TTTTTGAGAATCTTTTAGAGCTTGCTCTATTTGCATTAAACTGCTAATTTGATCTTCATCATTATGAAGATATTCTGATATAGTATTAATTAAGCAAATAGATGCGCATAAATCTCAGTATTTCTGATCCTCAGGAATTTTCATTTCAAATCTACAATTAATTAATAAAATTAACTCCCGTCCATCATTAATTGAATGATCCGATGTCTAATCAAAAATAGAGTCAAAATTTCTAAAAAAAAATGTGTGTAACTTAATTATTTTTAAAAAATTTTTCAATATGAAAATTTTACTCTGCAATAATAAGTGATATACTTGGAATATATAGCAAATATGCTAGAAATCGAATTAAAATACTCATAACTCTACTATTCATTATTATCAATAATAGCAGCTGGGCTCGAAGCGAGGCAGAGTAGTGGGTTTGTACTGACCACACGAAGATTGCTTGATCAGGATTCGTTCCATTAGGATGGGATTAAGTAAAAATGGAAAATAAATGATCTAATTTTCTATCTTTATAAATTGTTAAATATTTAAACTAATAATAAGCGAAATAATACTTCGATATATGCTTTGTTACATTAAGTACTAAAAAGGATACTTAAGCTTTTGTGAAGCTTAAGTTATAAGAATATAGTGCTGCTTTGAAAATTTAACAATCATGCTTATATTAAATAACTTTATTTTAATTAAATGTTAATGACTGAAAATATACTTCAAAGGTGGAAGCATCATTTGAGCTTTATCTTCAACTGAGACTGCAAATAATATGAGACCAACCGACGTTTTACCCTCTGTTTTGTCTCCACTAATTTCTTTGTATAGCTCATAAACTTCTCTTTTAAGTAGCTCATCTTTATTATTATGTACAGATTATTTTGATAAATTCCTTCTGCATGTAAATTCTTTTCACACACATGACTAAAGAAACAAAGCCTAAAATCCTCATCAAAATTTGACAAGCGGAAGGGTGGTACCAAAGCAGTCAATCCTACTTATCTCTTGAATATTGATTAAACAAGCAGAACTTTCCACAGGCAATCTGCAATGGGGAAACCTTGTATTTTTCTTTCAAAGTGTCAACTAGCTCTCCCATTGTGCAAGGCCCATCAATGACAATATCGTCCCATTTGGTAAAGCCGTCATTATATGCCCTCTTGGGAGCAGCTAAAATTTCATCATATTCAACAGATTTAATCACTATTGCAGGCCGAGGTTCTGGGAAAAGGATAAACGGACTCGCCAAGTTCATAAAGCTATCCCTCATTTTTTCTAATTCTAACTCAAGAGTATATTTAATAAATTCAGCTACCCCGATTCCCGCAATAACTGCAGTTGTAGTTGCAAGAGCTGGGATGATTTTTCCAGCAATAACCTTGGTTTTGTGCCTTTCTATAGTTGAAATTTTGTAATTATTTGCCCTCAAATTTGAAGCAGTGTGGATAAAATCAATGTGGAAATTAGTATCATCATCTTTTTCAAATGCAATTGGTGTCATAGGCTTGGCATTTTCTAATGAAAATCCTTCAGTCCAGCTCAGCAATTCTTCTCTTAATTTTATGTCAGTTTCTCCTGTTGGTTGCGGCTGCTGATCCTCGCTATTTTCTAATTGTATATAGACTTTTCTTGGGACAAACTCCCTAACTTGGACCTTAGACACCACTTCTTTTATGTAATTCCTGTCTCTATTCTGTGGAATGTTAAGGTTAAAGGCTACCAAATTTGCATAAGCTTCTATAAATCCTATATGATCTTCTTTTTCTGTGTCAAAAATGCAAGGCTCAGGTAATCTCCTGGTTCCTGACCAAAAATCGCCACCTTCTGACCATTTTGCATCAGGGGGAAATTGATGTAATAATGATCTAATTTCTTCATTAAATAGCTCATTAAGTTTTTGTCTTGCGACAGCAATACAATCGTCAAAGCTGCTTATTTTAGAAAGCTCTAAATATTCTTTTAGCTGCTTTAGCTGGGTAACTTGCATTGCAGCGTTCCTCATGCTTCGTAGTTTTTGCATATAAGCCTCAGGGTTTTCCAAGTACTTATTTAGCTCTCCAGGGCCAGAAGTAAAGTAATCTGACAATTTTTCTCGAGACCACTCAATACAGTGAGAAATTGCATATGGAAAAGACTTTAAAGTACACTCAGGGATTTTCTCTTCAGACATTTGTGGAATATCTGAATATGTTTGAGTTAAAAACGGAATGATTACTTGAGAATTCGCTTTTGTCCCTTCTGTTCCGCTTTCAAAGAGTGGCTTTTTATACCAAACACATTTAGAATCTACATAAACTCGTGCATGTACATTATCCACAGCCCCAAAAACTGCATTTAATTTCCCCCAAAACCTATCGTTAAACAAGTTTTCTGTTTCTGGGCAAACTCTGTTTTTCAAAGCAGTGACGTTAATTTCTGGGTTCATAATTTTCGCTATCCTTGTGGCGCATTCACTTTTGGATTGTCCCACATTAGTCATGTTGAATAAAAACTGTCTCGTCAGATTGGAGACTTCTATGTTATCGTCGTCAGTGACAGTAAGTTCTCCAGACCCACAGCAAATTCCAGACAATGCAAAAAGCTTTAGCAATTCACATCCCAAAGCCCCAGACCCGACCATAAATAAATTGACTGATTTAAGCTTATTGACTCCTTCTTCTCCAATAATGGCTTGGAGATCATGATACCTTGAGTCAACAATGCTTGCAGTTGGCTGGATTAGCTCAAACCAGTCTATATGAAACCACTGCTGGATTGGAGTAAATTTTCCAGTGAATTTTATGACTTCTTGAGCCGCAATTCCTCCAAATATTGAAGTAACTGGAGGAATTTGCAGTCTTGCATACTTCGCGACGTTTTTGATGATGGATTCATCAATTGCATCTATGCCAAACTCTTGTGAAGAAACCTCTCTGATTTCCCTTGCATAAATCACACAGAGATTTGCGTGGTCTTCATTGTGGACTTCAGGGAGAAATCCATGAACTTCTTGGAATTTTCTGATAGCAAGCATAGCTAAATGTAGATGAGGAGGCCTGTTTTCTTTTGAGTAATCAGACTGTATGAAAGGCTTTAATTCTTCAGGATTTTTAATAGAAACTTCATAAGGCCGAAAATCATAATGGAAAGGTTTTCTGACCTCTTCAACGATTCCATATTTTACATAATCTGGGTATTCTGTGGTATCTTCATCTATTGAAAAGCTGTGCTGGTCTATATAAGTCACCATTCGTTCTCTGCCATCATTAAGAGGAGTCATTCCTTCCACTTCTTTGAACCTTACATATTCTCCATTCTGAAGCATTTGCCTTTGCTTCTCATCTATCATTACTACTCCAGGATTGCTTTTGCTTATATTGGTAATCAAATAACTCTTCAGGTCTGTCCCATTTCTATCAGAAACTTCGAAATTGTCCCCAAAATCCACAAAAATGTGCCCAGCTACTCCTCAGGCTTCAACAGACACAAAACCTACTTGAGGACTTAGCTCTCTGCAAATGGAATTCACCCTTCTGAGCGTGGCGCCATCACTTTCTGTAAGAAGCACCAATGAGTGTTGAGAAATAACTTCTTGGGTAATTTCTCCTTTATGGATGTTTACTGAGACGTTTGGGTTGAGTTCTTGGAGTTTGGAGACAACTGATTCAGCTCGGTTTTGGTTTATATGAGACTCGCTTATGTAAAAGTTGGTCCCTAAGTCATAAAGCGAAATTATAGAATCATCATGCAAAGTTACTGTATTGAGACCAGCTAAGATCAAGTTTTTAGCGATTTCTAGACCGACTCCTCGGAGACCAGAAATCAAGACTCGGATGGTGAAAAGCTTTTTTTGAGTCGTCATACCAATAGCAGCGATTGAGCGCGAATAGAGATGATCTTGACTTGACATTATTAACAAAAATGTAGAATCCTTAGTTCTCAGTTAAAAGTGTGAATAAAGATGAAAATATGAGCAACGAGGTAAAGTAAGGATGGGTTTATGGGAAAATCAGCTTACCCCCCTTGTGAGCAAAAAAAAAATTTTGTTCTCTATATAAATTTATTGTAATTTTTTTCGAAATAAAATCCCAATTCTCAAAAACCGGAAAGCAAATATTAATTTAATTTATTAAATTTGTATTTTAAAATGCAAGCTGTTAATTAAATGGAATTAACTAGAGATTTTATTTTACTAATTATCACTTATATATCACCATTTTTTCATAAAAATAATTTTCAATTAAAAAATTTTTTGTTGGGTGGGTTTTTGGTCAAATAATAGGGATTTTTCTAATGGTTTGTTTACTCACGGGAGGGGGAGTTAGGCAAAATTCCTGAGTCCAGAAATATTAAGGGACTTAAGACTAATTTAGCAATTTCTGGATAAATAGAAAAATAGTTAGCGAAAGACATGAAGACTCTATCATATAAGAATGAAGCAATAAAAACACAAGATGCATTTCCTAATTCATTTATTTTAAACTTTTTAATTTCTTTATGGCCCTAATGCAAAAAATTATTATTTATAATTCTACATATATGCAAAAGCTCCAGGCCGATTTCGCAAAATTTTGTGAAGATCCAACTGACGGTTTATTAGTTTATTTAATCAACAATGATTTCTATCACTGAGGTGGGGTACTAATAGGCCCACCAGAAACTCCTTTTGAAGGCGGAAGATTCCAATTTGAGATTCTTTTCCCTCAAGATTTCCCTCAAAGTCCTCCAGAGTTTTACTTCAAAACGATTATTTTCCATCCAAACGTGGACTCGAACGGCAAAGCTTGCACAATGCTGCTTAATTACAAGTGGCAAAGCACAACAACAGTAAAATCGATCCTTGATAGCATTTGTGTGCTGATGAGTGAACCTAGCACTGAGGATGGATACCTTAATGATGCAACTGCAGTCAGAAGCGCTGATAAAGAGGAATATGAAAGAATAGCTAGGATGTGGACGCATATGTATGCAGTTTAATTTATTCTAAAATAATTATTATAGAAAGTAATGCGAAATATACGCTAGAATCATTTCTCCTTTTTTTTAACTTAACTTAAATTTGGTGATTAAGCTGTTCGGATTTCATTCCCTTTTAACAAGGATTATGAAGAACTAGTTACGTCATGGGCCATTCCACCATATAAAAATACCGTAACACATGGGAGGCCTTCCTTGGCATGCTCCTACCATTTCAAAGCGAAACTTCTCACCCGTTGCTCTTGCCAAAATCAGTTCCTGCGCATATTCCTCTTAAGAATTGCCTTCTCCGGTGTGCTGATTGGAAAAAACCCAAAGCCTCTTGAATGCGCTAAGGAGCAGTTTCTCTAGCTTGAATGCGCTAAGGAGCACTTCCTCTAGCCCTATGCGACTAAAGTTAAACCTTTGTTGCTGTGCAGAAGTTCTCCAGCTAAAACCAAATCCCACAAATAAAATTCATGAGGAGAGAAAAACTAGTAAAGCTTATTTCTCTAGAACTGAATGCCATTTTATTTATTCAAATTTTTTAACAGATGTAGGGATGGGAGCAGCCTTTGTACCAGGAATTGATGGAGGTGCTTTAGAATAAAATGCTAAAAATACTAGGGATGGGTTTATGCTTTTAGCTTCAACGTGCTCATCATTATACTCATTTCAATCAACTCCATCTTTAGTTAATGCAGTATAATGAAAGCTTTCTTCTTGATAATAGCAAATAGCTCCATATAATTCATATCAATTGTTTTTATTAAAATGAATATAAGGTTTTAGAGCCTGAGGAGAAGCTGGAAAATAAAAGATAAGATGTTGTGGGTAGACGGGTAGAGTCGCAGAAATGCTAATATCAGCTTCTTTTTTGCATGGACTGCAAAATGATTTAATCTTTGAAGGATTATTAATTTTGCTGAGGATAAAATTCTCTGGGTATTCTTTATATTGTGGAGGAATTACTAAAAATGAGCTGACATCTGAATAAGCTGATTTGTGCTTTTTACTGCATATTAGGTTTTGCTCAAAAACAATTGAAAAAATATCAAAATTCCTTTGTTCTTCTCCTAATTTGCTTAAAATCATATTCAAAACTTCTTTAGGATCTTGCTGAGTGTAAGCTACAAGCTAAATAACTTTTACAAACGGATAATTTTGCACCAGATTTGATAAAAATAACTTTGTCAAGCCTCCAATAGTCCGAGGGCTGTTGTCCTTTTTCATATTGAGCAAAAGGTCTTTAAGAGATTTTGAAAATGGCTGGGTTAAACTTTGAAGTGCAGCCTCAAAGGCAGGAGTACTCGAAAATATTTGTAAAAGAGAATTCAAATAGCAGGTGTTTCCTAAATTAGGAAGGCCGTGCTTACGATTGGGAGGTAGCTCAATTATTTGACTTTCTTTAAGTTTTCTGCATTCTTCTCTTAATGATTCATTCTCATAAACTAAATCGTGATTTAATTTTTCCAATTGGACTAGTTGGAAATTATGGCCCGCGCTCATTTGTTGTCCTTGATTATGAAGGAGCTGAATGGTGTCATGCATTTCTTTCTTTTCTTTTTCAAGGTTAGCGATTTCCGATTCATATTTATTTTTTATATCTTCTGAGGCTTTTCTTTGCTCCTTAAGCTCATGAATTTCATGTTTCAAAGAATTTATTAGGTTTTGCGATTTCTGATTTGAACCTTCGAGTTTTTTTACATTTTGCTGTAAATTTTTAATTGATAGCTTAAGTTTGCAGACTTGCTCATTGTCAATTTCAGTTTGTAATTCTTGATTTTTTGTATCTTTTACCCCTTTTTCAATAATTTCATTGCTTTCTTTACTTTCATCTATGCTAGCTCTTTGGTTTATTTCAGATGCTTCACTAATATCTAGTAGAGACTCATTTTCGGTATGCGAGTCTCTAAGCAGCGAATATATTTTTTCATAGCATTTAGAGTTTAAAATCCGCTCTATATCATGTAGAGGAGCCTCGCAAAAGTAAAAATAATGCGGTTCATCAGGCATGGACTTATCAAACCCAATTTTGTATCAATCTTCATCTTTCCAATGATAAAGTGCTTTGCCATTTTCTAAAAGCGCTGCGACAAGAAAATAGCTATTTTCATTTTCTTTTATTTTAATTGAGCAAATTCTCGATGGAAGATCTTTTAAAATCATTATTTTATCAGCAGCACAGAAGATCTTTTGTTGTAATGGTAAATCAATAAGATCTTTTTCAATGCATGAAATAGTTCAGCTATTATCTATTAAAACTTGGTCTAGCTCATCTCGTAAAAAGGCTAGCTCCCTTTGATTTTGTTCATCTCATTGTAAGGAATTTAGTACCTGATTTAAGGTTTCAGACAGCAACAGATTGGTTTCGAAATTGATAAATTGTTTAAGGGAATAAGTGAGATTGACTGCGATGCAAAATTTTCAAACTCGTGCGTCAGACATTTTCTATACTTTATTGGATGTCCGATTTAAGAGTTTTTTTTAATTATAGTAAAAGCAATGCCTTATTTTCTGGAATTTACTCTTTTGCAATGCAAATATGATGGCACTAATTTAATTCAATTTATTTACCCTTTTTTTCAATAAATATTCACAAATATAAAACCAATATATAAAGAAAATTGATTAGTGGTCTAAAGTCTAAATATGATAAGGAAATAATTATGATTCTATAATTTATTTTAGCATAATATTGCTTTGATTTATGCTTATATTTACATTAAGATTCACTGTCAAATCTGATTTTCTGAAAAGACTTTCTGAACTCTACAAATTTCATTTTAGATAACTTCTCTTGACTAAAGCCCTCAAGAAGCACAGGATTTCTTTCTAAGTCTAAGCTATGGATGCATTTTAAGTGGCTTGCCAATCAGCTTTGATTGATAAAAATTATATATTTTTGAATGATATAGAATCAGTAATTAAATTTAGAATTAGGGTTTAGTTTAGAAATTGTGCCCTTTATAGCATATACAATTATTTGACTTTAGCTGTGCCTGAGAATTGGCTTTAACTTTTAGCTGATGAACGATAGACAATATGAAAATTCCAAATATAGTAGGCATTCGCAAACTTAAGGGACCCAGTATTTGCAACTCCAATTTCTCTAGCTGATTTCAAATTATTAGATTATGCCTAACAAAATAAGAACTTAATCAATATACGGTTTTCTAAAGCAATATATTAAGGAGTAAAAATCTAAATAAGTTTTATTCATTCTTATTATATAGGCCAATTCTAATTACCTTTATCATTGATATAATTAAATTTTGAATATATGATTAAAGATCAGATGCTCATATTTAATATCTTATCCGACCAAGACAAGCAATGCTCTTGCAGAAATATATGTAAATCTTACTATCTGTGCTGGACTCTTTTACTCTAATTTTATAAGTTTAATGCTTTTAGTTAATCACTTATCGTCTTTCAAAACAGTGATACGTTTTGCACTGTATTCGTATTTTGCAATTTATATAACCTTAAGACCTCTTACTAAACATTTTAAAATGATAATTAAAAATTCTTAAGATTTACTAGAATTTATTATCTTAATTGTCCTTTTACCCCATTGCATGCTCAAAAGTCCATCTTCTTGCTTCCCTATTAAAATCTTCTCGATTCTTCAAGCATAATTCTGTGGCAGGTCCTTGGTATCCTGCTCTTGGTTCAGGCTCATTTAATAATCCTACTGCATACGAAATGATGTTTCTAACAGGGACTTTTGGGTTTCAGGCATTTGAAAAGATTTCACAACAAACGTGCCCATCAGATCTAATGTTTGGATGAAAAATTGGCGTCTTAAAAAGAAATTCAGGAGGACTTGTTGGGAAATTTGGTGGAAATGTAATTTCGAACTCGAATAGGCCACCTTCGTATGGGGTTCCATCAGGGCCATTAAGTGTTCCTTTTCAGTTGTAAAATGAGTGATTTATTATGTTTATAGTGATATAAGGTTCTGGTCTGTCTTGCAGATTGATAAACTCGTCCATAAGTCGTTGCATTTTGATTTCTATAAATTTTAATAATGGAACTAGATTTCAATAAATAGTTATATGCTAAACCTTGCGCATGAGTATTTATTTTTCTAATTCGCAAAGGATATATCCTGTTAATTTAAGTTAATTCTTTTATAATTGAAATAAAAGAAAATTTACATTATACGATACAAAATTAACTGAAATTATTTATGGATTTTTTAAGTCCTCGACTTATTTAATAAATAAAAAACTAAATAGCTATTTCCTGCATCATAGCTTTTATCACTTACAGTTGAGTCATTATATAATCTCCAAACATTCCCATCTTTAATATAATTTTCTGAATTAAGCAGTCATAAAAGCCTAAAATGATAATTTCTCTAAAATAGCCACTAATAAACCTCTTTATCACATCATATGTGTTTAAATTAACCAAAAACAATATATGAGTTGTATAATGCCCAATATTTCCAGAGCCATAGCTTCATATAAAACCATAGAGACTGAATTCATACTCTTCTAACTTCAGTTTTCCCTCAATTTTGGCATTAGGAAAATTTTTATAAGCTGGCAGATAAAAAATTAGCATTTCAGAATAAAATTCTCTTAGTTTTAATACTTATATTCCTCAGAGATTCACAAAATTGACAATGGAGTATATTATCTCCTCTAAAATTCTATACCTTGCATTGAAGTCTCTTAAATGCATCTGATTTGATTTTTGGTTATTTGGAATCGTAAAAAAGCTTTGATTTTCTTGATTATGGTAGGGACTTTATACAACTCATGCATATAGACTCTTGAATTGGAGTGATATTTGACAAACTTACGCTAGAAAGCTCTTCTAATGTTGATAAAAGGCACACTAAAAACTCTTTTGAATCTTGGTGGCCAAATGTATCAAGCTGCATAGAGCTTACGAATGAAAATTTTTGGTTAGCTTGATCTTTAAAAATCCTTAAATTCTGCTCGATATCTCTTTTTCTCTCATAATATTATAAACTCCATATAAAGCCACTGCAAAAGAGTGGCTGTCTATGCTCCTCACGAAATTTGTAAACCTATCATTGCTTTCTAAGGCTTGCGTCGTTAAAATACCCTGCATCAGGTTAGGGCTCTCTTACTCCCCGAGATCGAACAAAAAAATTTGTTCTTTAAATAGGTTTTCTTTTTAAAATATAATTAAATTATATTGTAAATTCTTTTTTCAGAAATCGGGAAAAATTAATTTAATTTTTAAAATTTATCTTTAAAATGCAAATTTGTTTATAATTCAACAGAATTAACTGATATCTCATTATATAAATTATTACCTATATAGCAAAAATATTTTCCCATGAAAAATGTTTATAATTCAACAGAATTAACTGATATCTCATTATATAAATTATTACCTATATAGCAAAAATATTTTTCCCATGAAAAATGTTTATAAAAAAAATTTTGTTCACTCGGATTGTGTTTTTATCAAAATTTAGGGATTTTTTTTCAATGGTTTTGCTCGCTCACATGGGGTTAGCTAGCAAAACGCATATAGAATTCAAGATGCTGCTTATTGATATATTTGGCCTCAAAGTGAATTTGAGAACTTGTGTGCATGCTTTCCCGTCAGAGTCCACATTTGGGTGGAAAGTTCTTGTTTTGAAGAAAAATTCGGAAGAGAAGTTGGAGAATTGGAATAGAAAATTAGCTTGAATCGAAATTTGCCAACTTCAAAGGAGTTTCTAAGGCCTATCAGCAGTCCATTCCAATGGAAAAACACTTGTCCTATGCCATAATAATAAGATGGCATCGTTGGAATTCTTTCCAAGAAAATCTCTATTCTTGAGAATTTATTATTTTTACCCTAAGAACCTTTGTCCAGCTATATCATGAAAGTCCCGACACATAGGCTGGAACTCCAAATTTTAGGAGACATCGGGCTTTCTGGCTGTGACTTCCGAGGAGGGAGAAGCTTATGCAGGAAACAGGTAGCATCAGCACAACCCAATGAAGACTCTTTGGCCAGCTGGTGGTGCCTTGGATAGAAAGTCTATAGCTTTAGCTTATATATAGGGTGGCGTAGGAGATGGCTTGTAGAGTCACTATTTTTGAATTAGATTATAGGCCCAGACATGCCTGGACAGCTCTAAAAGAAAAATGCTTTAAATCTTAATTAGTAAACTAACTAAGGAAGTGTTGTCCTATATTAACTCGATTCCTTTATGTAGTTCGTTTGAGCTTATTAAATTCTTGCGCTATATGAATCATTTTATTAAGGATATTTTTATACATTCTACAATTATCACTTTATTTTAAAATAATAAATAGGTAAAGATTTGAAGAAAGTTTGTAGTGTTTAAATGAGAAATTTAGCTAAAATAAAATAATATCTATTTTATTAGGGGGCATTTAAGTTAGTAGCATGCCAAATTGCATACAAGGTAAAAAGTTTAAATACATTATATATTTAGCTTGCTATGTCTTTTTGTAAAATAACATATAAGCATGCTCAAAATCAGGTGATGAGTAGCTAATATGGTCATCATTATATTGCATTCACTCTGCATTATCTAATGTATATGCAATATAATGCCTACACCCACTATTATAATAGCATATTACCCCATATAGCTCAAATTTATCACCACAATAAAAGAAATTATAAGCTCCTTGAGCTCTTTTGCCCAACACATTCCCAATATAAAATACAAAAATGTTTGGTATATTTATGCCAAAGGTGCTCATTACCATTTCCCTGTTTGCCGAGCAATTTTCACAATACAATAAATTTCCCCCTTTATACTCTTTTTCTTCTTCGAGATTTTTTAATTTCTCTTCAATTTCTTTTTTTGATGGATTTTTTAGAATGCAAAAGAGAGATGGCTCTTCTAAATTTGAAAAATTGTGGCATAGTTTGCATAGAATTTTCTTATATAAAATTATAGAGAAATCGCTTGAATCTGGCAAAAGGCCCATTAATGATAAGTAAAGCTCTTTTGGGTCATTTTCTGAGTGCTCGTTAAACTACGTATTTATTACCATGCGGAATTCTTGAAATAAATATAGCTGAAGCTTTTTTATTTCAGCGAAAATTGAAAGTCTGCCTTTCTGTTGGACTCATGATATAACTCTTGACAGTGAAACACATATTTTTGAATTTGAAGGTAATTTTTGAACAAAATCTGGAGTGCTTGATAATACTTGTAGAAGAGCATTTAAATAACAGGTATTCCCAACATTAGGGAGTCCCTGTTTATGAGATTTTATGCCATCTGGCTGGGATGCTCAAATAGGAAATACTAGCTTTTTTTCAGGAACAATACTTAGAGTTGGTAAATTTTGTATACTTATTATAGGCCTTGGAGAATCGAAAAAGTAGCCAAAAATCTTCCTAAGAAAATTTAATATCATCATTCTCTATGTTTTTCATACTTGAATTTGTAGAATTAAATTTTAAATATTTTATGCTTGAGGCCAACAAATATCTAGAATAAATTTTATATTTTCTTTTAATAATTGCAAAGAAAGTTATTACTTTATTCTGATGCATATTTACAGTAGCTTAATCTATAAAAGATCATCAGTATTTGCTTTTATCAAGATGAATTTGAAATAGAGGACGAATTTTCTTAGCATATTCAGTTTAAGACTTGGAAGATCAAAAATTCTTCTAAAATCTTTCTAAACATTTAAACTATCTTTTAGCGTTGAAAAATATGTTAAATTTATAGAATCAAATTTACTACTGATTAAATCACTGACAATAGATATGATCTTAGCTGGTGTAACCTCAAACTAATGAAAAAGAATTTGAATTAATCAGTTATGCTAAAGTTGAGCATAATCTAAAAAAATTATCAGCAGTTTCTATATTAAAATTTAGGTAGAATAGCACATCAAATTACTTGAAGCTCAGAGTTCCTTTATACCTTGATCCCTTGTATTGGCAGCACAGATAGTCTAAGTGAATTTTAGGCTATCATATTAAAAGAGCACATTTGTATTAGAAGGATATTTATTTAGCTAAAAGCATAAAGCTAGTGATCAATTATATAATAATTCATATTAATGACTTGGAGATATTTAAATCTATAATTTTATTTTGAAAAGCAAAGTTGAAATTTGATTTGATAAATATTCACAAAGTAATTTTAGACTTAGTTTACTAGATATAATTTTTTATCTTATTGATATAAGCCTAATTACAATAAATAGAAACATTCATACTGGTTAGTCGTTATCATATTTTATATGTTAAATAAATAACAGTTATCATTAGGTATGTTTTATTCAGTATAATAAGGCATAAAATAATTGCTTCAATAGTTATAGGAATTATTCTAATTAAATCTTGTAACTTATTTTTCCGGTAACCTTAATTTATAGAAATGAGAAAATTTCCAGGTCCGGTCAAAGGCAATCATAATTATTTGAATGCTGATATTCCAAGAAGACCAATTAATCCAAAAACCCAATCTATAACAGAGAAAAAAATAAATGAAGGTGAAGCAAGAAGTATCTCATATAGCAACAAATTGTCAACTAATGCAAACTTAAGAAATTCAAGCAATACTGGTTTAGGCAAGCCTGAAAGTCGAAGTGGAAATTTAAGTAAAAGTTTAATTTTAAATGAATTACTCTTGGATGCAGTCTCCTCGCTTGAGGTCCAACTTGTTTAACAGCTCTGAACAACGGTAGGTGGACGGCCTAGCCGTTGAACAGTTAAAGTTAGCAAGTCCGTTAAGACTTCTCTAGTCAGTGTCAGACTCAGCACTGACCTCTCCACTCTCTTAAAAGAGACTAAAGAGGTACGGCCTCTATCACTAAGCTCGAAAATAGGTCCCTACCTGCGGAGGTGTCTAGGACCTATCTCTAACTGACATTTTTAATATTGTGTGAAGTGGAAATAACAGAGTTTTAAGCACGCCACCAAAACCGCAAGAACTAAGTCAAAGTTCAGGGAAAAAAGGAAATGAAGATAAAGCAAGAAGTATCATCTATAGCAATAAATTGTCATCTAATGCAAACTCAAGAAATTCTAGCAATGCTGGCGTAAGCAAGCCTGAAAGTCGAAGTGGAATTAGCAAAGTTGTAAGCACGCCATCAAAGCCACAAGAACCAAAACAAAGTTCTGGATCTTCAAAGACTATTCAAGCACCTCAACAAAAGCCAAACCAGAACGAAGAAAAATTAAAAATTACAAACCAAAATATTAAGATCAATTCAAGGGTCACCCGAGATGTAGCGCTAAAAGATACTAATTTAAATGTTCATTATACAGAATCATATTGCTTAATTAAGCTGAGCTTCAAAGCGCAGGTCGACTTGATGCCTTTTGTTGTTATTGCACGTAGATCGAGCCTCCAATTATTATTCGATCCAGTTAGTTTCCATGAAGCCATTCGTCTTGTACTTAAATAGGATTATTGAAAAGCTCCCTGTGATACCTCTTAAGGGTATTTATCTCCACCTTGCTTCGCAACTGCCTGCCGTCTATCTATTAGCTATGCTCCTCCAGGAAATGCTAGAGGCTTGGCTCATTGTATCACTCTACCTGACTCCTCCAGCGCCTGCTAAGCTTAAGGGTCTTGATTTTATATCAGCTGAAGCATTTAAAACGTGATACACAAAGGATGCGAAATTAGAATAATCCTTGTTATTTTCTATCTATTGTGCAGAAGTCCAGTTATAAAACTACCCTATAAAAATAATGGTTGGGCGAGAAAAGGGAATCATAAACAGAATTGCTTTTAGCCAAATCCTTTTTATAATTTATAAATTCTTATTATACAGATAAAAGACATTATGACGTAAGTTATACATTTGGAAATAAAACCCAAGATCAAGATGAGAGACAAAGCCGTAATCTTAATAGAGTACCAAAGAGCGAAAATCAAAACTTCGATCATGTAAAGAATCCTCAGAATTCTCAGTATGATGCTATCTATAGTATTTACAAAAGTCCTAGCCCAGTTCAAGATAATTGGGGAAGAAATAAGGACCTGCATTACCGAGAAGACAAATATCAGAACTCTCAAGCAAATCCTGTGCCTGCTTGAAGTTTACAAAATTTCCAAGCTTCAAAAGAGAATAAGACGGAGAGTATTGTCCAAAAGTCGATTGGGAGCAATATTGAAGAGATTAAAAATGGTTATTTATATAATGACCCTACCAAAATTGCAGGCTATCAGCCAAACGGGAACGATTTCAAGTCAAATTCTTATCAAAATAACGCAGCCAAAGGAAGCGACATAAAAATCCTTCCAAATCAAAGGAATGCGAGCTCAATTGATAACTCAAATTATAGACAAACTAAAGAAAATAATTCAGAGAATAAGTATGATCTCCAAAGTAGATACAATACTTCTGAAAAGCAGTCCATAAGCAACTCAAGTGCCAGCATGCAAGCTTCATTGCCGAGCAATATTAGCGAAATCGGAAATGAGAGAAGTCGAAGAAATCGCTTTGAAGATGATAGAAAAAACATAGTTCACCCCTATAATGCGGCATATGATATCAAAAGAACTGATAATTCTTACGCATATGGCATCGTGTGTACCCCAAAACCTAAATCTCTGGCGAACTGCAATAGCGGCCTACCTAATATTGGAAATACTTGCTATATGAATTCTGTATTGCAAATTCTAGTTAGCACTGAAGGTTTTGAAGGTATAGTAGCCTGGATAAATCAACCTTTTTTCACATATCTTTCTAATATCTTTAAGCTAATGAAATCAAAATCAGGCAATTTAGCCTCTGCTATTTCCCAATTCAAAAATGAATTAAGCTCAGAATTCTCAATGGTAGCCTTTATTTAGTTCCAAGGATGCACCCAAAATGACTCTAAAGAGCTTTTCCAAATTATCATCTCAAAAGTCGCTGACGAAAAGCCTAATTTCGACTTGTTTTTGATAAAAAGAGTTAAAAGGTTTATTTGTAGAGGGCATGATGCAGGCTCTCCAGAAGAAAGCTCCTCGTTTTTTGTGGTACCTACAAATAGGATAAGGAGTATCCAAAGCTATATAGATGGATTAAAGAATCCAGAGAGATTTCAAGGTGCGAATGCTCTTTATTGTGACAAATGTGACTGCTTGAGAGATATGACAATTGAGACAACTTCTATTGAGACCCGAGCTAATTTAGTTTTCTATTTGACTCCGGCACCAACCTCTTTTATTCCAGAAGACAATATAACAATTGAAAACAACAATTATAGACTTTATGGAGTTATCTGTCATATTGGGACCAATTTGTCTGGGCACTATTTTGCTTATACTTATTGTGAGGCTGAAAATTCATGAGTTGAGTATAACGATTCGATGGTTTCTTTTGCTGATAAGCCGAATTTTAGATGCGCTTATATGCTTTTCTATAAAAATAAAAATTAATTTTGGATTTTTAAATTGGATTTGGTTAGGAAATTTATCATTAAGCAAATAATGAATTATTATGTCTTTGCAAAGTTTGTTTAAATTCTTGGAAAATGATTATTGAGTTTAAGATAAAACTTCAGCAGGAAAATATTACAATTTCTAAAAATGCAATGTAGTCCTATTTAGAAAATTTTTTTATTATTAAAAATAATTTTTATAAAATCCTTAAAAATATACTTCTATTATAAGCTTTTTCTTCTTAAGATAAGGAGGATCGAACACTCAGTAGCCATAGATGTATATCCTGGCCTATTATACAAATAAGCATGAGTTGAATCTTGGACATACCCTGCATCAGAATTAGGATTGGCCAGCAGATCAAATACATAAGCAATAATAATTCTAGCTGGGATATTTCTATTATAAGAAATATTTAGAACCCTCACACAAGTTTCTCCGTTGACTTCGTATATATTGGGATGAAAAATCTTTGTTTTGAAAAAAATCAGGAGGTGATGCAGGGTAATTTTGAGGAAAACAATTTCGAACCTAAATTTTCCATTTTGGTAAGGAGTGTCTTGAGGCCCTTGAAGAGTGCCTTTCCAGTGGAAAAAATTGTTATTAACTATTTCAAAGAGTATTCTGAATGACTTTCCAATTGAATTGCGTTAAGCTCAGCTTGAAGTCTTTCCATTTCTACAGATGTTATTAAATTATTAAAATATCTAATTTTGAGATTTTATTATATTTTCTTAATAAGCTTACAATGAGAACCCAAAATTTCATTGAAGATCTATCTTTTATTTCCAAAATATTTATATAAAGTGATAAAATACATATAAGATTATATGGATATGAAAGGTAATTTCTATAAAGAAAAAATTTATATTCATTGCTGCTTTAAGCAATTTATAAATTTTAGGCATTTTCTAATCTAGCTTTTTATTTGAATTTTGTAATTAAATAATAATCATGAAGAAATTATTCTTGTTTTATGAAATAAGTATTTAAATCTGATGCATCATATACTTGCAGTAGTTTAAAAAATTAAGTCGAAAATATGAAATATTTTATTTCTCTAATAAAGAAATTTATTCAGGTTAAAAATATGATATTTTGAAGATATTTTTAGCCATAAATGATAATGCTGAAGAGCTTAGATTATAAATTATAGCTAACTCCCCCCTCCGTGAGTGAACAAAAAAATTTTGTTCACTCACGGAGGGGGGTTAATTTTTTTTTTAAAAAATTAACATATATAAATTTTATAAACATTATTTTTTTCCGAAATTTAAAAAAATCCTAATTCGCAAAAATTGGAAAGCAAATATTGCAAAATTTATGTTTTAAAAATCAATTTGTTTAAAATTAAACAGATTTAGCTCTATATTTCATTATACTAATTATCATTTATATATTAAAATTTTTTTTCCATAAAAAAATTTTTGTTCACTCACGGAGGGTGGGTTTTTTAGGCAAAAAATAGCGATTTTTCTAATGGTTTTTTTTCACTCATGGAGGGTGGGAGTAAGCCACTATAAACTCAATCATTTACCAAAACTTGAATTAGCAGTTGATAGCGAGCTATATCGTATGCTAATTATATTATTTGAAATTTAAACCTGCAAGAGTAATTTGGCAAATTCTCTATATTTATTTATTCAAGACAAATTGTTCTCTGCACTCTACAGGTTATGCGAAAAGATAAATATTTCCACTTAAAGTAGAAGAAATAATCAAGATAGCAAATAAAAATCCCTCATTCAGGATATAATATATATAAAAATTCATTACATCTCTTGAGATAGCAAAATTTAACAAGAAATTAGATATAAATTACTACATTCTCTTCCAGTTTGTGATCTTTGCAAGCTGCTATAAAATTCTAATTAACAGATCTCCTTATTAGGTCTAAAATTTTTATAATAAAATATATAAAAAGCAAAATTTCATATTTAATAAAAATTTATAGATTTAGCGATAAAATGTCCATAAGGATTAGAATTCATGTAATTGGAGGAGAAAACTTTGTAGTTAAAGCCTCAGCCAGTATGATATTTTTTGAGCTCTATTACAATATACAAGCTGCCCTTTCCCTGACTAATGATCTCAAAATCCTCACTAATCTCAAAAATGCAACCTACCTCAATTTCAACCTTGATGGCGAAAAATCTCTCTTTGATTTAAAATCATGAACAGCAGCTGCTTAGAGGTCAAAATTATCCCTGATTTGCATATCTCTGTAGTATATGGAGATAGAAGAAATTTCTTGAAATAAGAAGTAGCAATATGAAGCTTTCTGAGTTCACTAATTTAATGAAAACTAAATTTAAAATTAACCAAGACATCGAATTTAGAAAGAAGAAACTATCAGAGATTACAAAAAGAGACTAGATTTGGCAACACAAGGAAATTTTTCTTTAAAAGCTTTAGATTTACTAGTTCGGCTACTCTGAGAGTGCTTAAGGATGAAATAAGAATTATGTTTGATTTAATGAAGAAGTTCGTGTTTTTGATACCAAAAAGACTGATACTTTTTAAAAGTTAGAGAGAGGCATTCGTAATAAGCTTGGAATAAGAAAAATAGACTGTATGCTTGGGTCAAAAATTTCTTAATACATGAAATTAAATAAGAAAACAATTAAAATATATGTTTTTGGCATATTTTTGAGACTCAGCATGAATTTTATAAGAAATATATCAGAAAATTACTAAAAGTTTAATCATTATTCAATTCGACTCTCTTTTCATTTAATTTGGTGCTTTATAATAATTGATTCGTTTTGCACAATAAAGACCTCCACGCTCAAATTTCAAGATATTCAAACTTTCATTGTGCTTTATTTTTAAATCTCTCAGCGTTTTATAATAATTGTTTTCAAAATTCAAATAAACGGATTTCACCATAACAGAAGCTTCTCTATTATTTAATAGACGTAATCCAGTCCTGGTTTCAAGCATTTGGCAGACATCAAAACATTTTGATAAAGGGTTTACCATAACACTAAATTTTGATGAGTTTATCAAATTTTCAACGCGAACTGATATATCTGGACAGCCTTTTTTTGCATGCATTATTTTTACTACTTTTTCGCCCTCAAATCCTAAGTCACGAAGTTTTTCGCTTTGATGATCTACCAACCTTAAAAGTGTTCCATTATTCAGAGCGAGACTTTGATTATCTGCTTCATATTCGTTTAATAGAGGTCTTGCCAATAAAGAGAAGGTTCAATTAAGATTTATCTCTTTTTCTGCTGGCCGACCATCGATGTCGATTAAAGTTATAGTTACCATTGAGTTGTCGTTGCCCTGCATATTCTATAAATTATAGATGGATAATATGTCATAAATAAATTTTTGATTTAATTGAATAAATAATTTTTAATTTCATTAAAGGTTTTATTTGTTATTATTTAATTTGCATTTATAAAGTAATATCTCGCATTTTGTAATTTTTATAAATTCTCAATTATTTATATCATTTCAACAGCTGAATCAAAATTTTAAAAGCTTTTTCTTCTTGCTGCATTTTTATATATTCAATAGGGCGAAATTTATAGAATTATGAATTTTAACTAATTATTTGTGTCTCTATAGACAGAGGGAGCTGCTATTGAATAGCTCTGTCATTCGATCACAGAAATAACCAAAATTTCCAGAAAATTAATAAAGAAGAAAATAAGAAGTCTCAAGGTTTTCTTCATAATCGTTCATGCTGCATATTATTTTTTGGTATTTAGCAATCCTAAAGAAATTCTCTGCATCTGAATTTTCTTCTGCAAGAGTTTCAATCAAAGAATTGCTAGATATCTATAATTTATATAATGAAATAAAATAAAATCAATCTATCATAGCACAAAACCTCAAAAAATTATAGAATCTTAATAATTAAAAATGGACAGCGCAACCGAAAGACTTATGAGAGACTTGAATGAGATGAGATCTGATCCTTTACCTTATGCGACAGCTGATATTGATGGAAACAATTTCAGACTTTGGAAGGGAACTCTCAATGGCCCGCCTGGAACTCCATATGAAGGAGGACTTTTCGAATTTCAGCTAAATTTCCCTGCTGATTATCCAACTAACCCTCCTACGTGCAAATTTATTACTCCTATTTTTCATCCAAATGTTTATTCAGACAGTGGAAATGGAAATGGAAATGTTTGCTTGCCGATTTTTCGTGGTGGCGTGGGCGGTGGGTGGAATAGTAGATTTACTCCAAAGACCATTATAAGCTATATAATTGCTTTATTAAATGACCCAAATGCAGCTGGTGGGTATGCCCATGACCCAACCACTGTCCTTAAAAGAAGTAAAGATGAATTTATAGCGAAGGCAAGAGAGCATACGTATAGACACGCTATGGGATAAACTTATAAATCTATTGAATGCAAATTGACTTATAAATAAAATTTTGATTAGTTGTAGCCAAGCTTAGAGTTATTAGGGCTAAGTTAATGATATACAAATGGGCCTTTAATCCAGAATAAACTATAAAATAAACTTTAAATTTAGCCATAATACGTAGTTGCTATATTGATATTTAAAAGTTGGATAAAATCGCCATGCTTTTCTATGGTGACAACTTATAAATAAGAGTTCAGGCTTGTGTAATCATGATTATTACTTTTACTAAGAGATTCTATAGAATGGATATATGCAAGGAGGAAAAATGATATAGCATTTTTCTTTTAATTGATCAGAATAATATAAACCATACCTGAACTAAGTTTTTGGAAGGTAATCCTAAGCTTCTTGCCTGTGAGCATACATCAAGGAAATAACTATCTATAAGCAGAAATTTTTAAGCTATAAAATATACTTTAGAGCAAGGAATGGGGTAATTTATAATTATAGTTTAACGAAAATTTAAAAGATTACTTTTTTACTTCTTTAAAGCTATTAACTTTTGTAGAATTACAATTTATAAGCTTGATATGGCAGCGTTGCAACGACTTATGACTGAACTGAATGATTTGCAAGCAAATCCTCAGCCTTTTGTTTCTGTGAATACTCACCAGGGAGACTACTATGAATGACTCGGAAATCTCAATGGGCCTGAAGGCACTGCTTTTGAAGGCGGTCTTTTTGAATTTTTAATAAAATTTTCCAAAAAATACCCAAGCAAGCCTCCCAAAGTATATTTTCAGACACCCATATTCCATCCAAATATTTTCCCTAGCAATGGAAGAGTTTGTCATTCTCTGCTTAACCATATGTGAAACCCAAACTGCCATCCCAGGGTTATCATTGACTATCTCATCGAATTACTGAACAGGCCTGAGCCAGAGCATGGATTTATGTGTGAGGCAGCTGATATTTGCTTAATAAGCAGAGAAGAATGATTCAATATAGCAAGAGAAAGAACATTTAGAGATGCATTTGGATAAAAACATTTAGGAAACAAGATTTACTATTAATAATTAATAAAGCTCCAATATTTGGACAATGCTCGCTTAAATATACATATGCAGCAGTGCTTTTAGTAAGAAACCAAAGAATTCAGCAAATAAAAAACTAAATAAACCCTAGGAATTCCATTCTGAAAATCAATATTTGCATATGCTTATCATTATAATGTATTGATGAGTAATTTTCTTTTGTGTATGTTGTATAATGCCCAGAAGACCCATGAACTGTATAAGACACAACTCAAACAGAGAGCACCGATTTCTTCAAAATCCAAACTTTTAGGAAGTCTGACTATAGCATCTATGCCTTGAAATGACAATATCAAGTAAGTTGGCTTGTTTATAAGGACTCATTCATCATGGAAATCGAATTTGAGCCGCATAAGTTACATTTTAATAAATCATTGCTTCTGAATATTGCTGGGTTTTGTAGCTTCGAAGGTATTCTTCAATATTGCTATAAAAATTTGGAGGGATTACTAAAAATTTGTCTGAGTCATTAAGTATGCTGCAGTGGTGAAGCGTTCAGATATAATATATTTGGAGCGATATTCTATTATGGAAACCATTTTATAGCGTTTGCTAAAGATGATAAAAAAGGCTTATGGTAGGAATTTAACGATTAAGTGGTCAATTGATGAAGTCCTGATTGGAATCTCCTTTATTTGGTGTCTTACAGAAATATAAACTAATTTTTAATAATAATTTTTGATTAGATAGAAACACATTTATTCCTATGAATTGAAATTTGGCTTAGTTTCTATATTTCAGTAACGAGTTTATTACAATTGAACTTTAAGCAGCTGAGTAGTTAAAATATGCTATTAGTAAAACTAGCCAAATTCGCTTATAAGTTACTAATTTTTTTGAAATTCCGCAAATAGCTTTCTTAAAACTCTTAAATTTATGAATTTTATTAATTTTCCATTGTGCATGTTTCTATAAAATATGTCAAATCTTACTTTAAGAATCGAAGATGCTACCGGAACAACAAAAATTCTGCAAGGCAAGAGTGATTGGCAATATTCTGAGCTTCTTAGACATCTGCAGACTATGTTTGGTGGAACCGAACTCACAGTCATGTATGGAAATAAATACATCGGTCCGAACTCCCAAAACCTCACACTGCAGCAACTAAATATCACCAATAATTCAGTTATCCGCGTTGTTAGTGTTCAAAGGCCTCAAAACCCCAACCCACCTGCTCCTGAACAGCCTCCAGTGCAAGCTCCTCAGCAAATTTCTATAGTCATTGAAGACAATGAAGGAACTAAAAGGACAATTCAAGTTCCTCCAAATCTGCAATTTAAGCACCTCTATGAAAGATTCTTGCAGATTTTTGGAAACCAAGAATTGACAATTATAAAAGGAAATAAGTACCTTTCTCTAACCAGCAATGGTGAAATAGACCTGCAAACATTAGGAATTGGTAATAACTCTACCATTAAAGTTATGAAGCAAATGGTTGGAGGTTTTATAAAATCCGAAAATTAACTAAAATATAAATTTCTTTATAATTCATATCAAAAGAGCTTTTGCTAACTTAAGCTATTAAAAGTTTTGAATCTACAAATAAAAATGAAAGCACATAACGATCAATATTGGAATTTTAAGTCTAATCTCTACTTTTTCCACAATTTAAACAAGGAATACTCATTTTTACAAAAAATTTCATCAACCTGTAATTGGATGATTGCTTTGCAAAATTTATTTAAGGAATTAGATGAGGGAAATCAGGATAATGAAATTTTTAAGAAAATGTTTTTTAAATATTTTAACTTGCGATTGTTTGATTGATTTAGCTATTTGAAGCATTTTATAAAGATTTTTTTTACGAGCAGCGGACAGATTGAAGATATTGCTAAATTATGAGTTTGCCTCCCTGATGATTCTTATAAGCAAGAGGAAGAAATAAAGAAAGACATCAATAAAAAATATGATCTCTTATTCATCTCATCTAAAAAATCCCAGCTAAGCATCAAAAATGAAATCACTATTCAGAATTATCAATATTCTTTGGTGTCTGCAATATCATTTCCTTCAAAAAAGCTTTTTTTCAAAGACAAGGGCAACTGATCTCAATTAAATTGTTCACTTAACATAAGTAAACTTGAAAAATTTCCCCCAGAACTTCAAGTGTCGTTTTTATGTTTTAAGTATGAGAGCGAAATCAAAGAAAAAGTACCAAAAAAACGAGCTAATGAAGAATATTCTTCAGAAGAAAAAATTAGAAAAAGAAGACCATTAGGATATTTTTCAAAAATTGGAATCCCGAATATCGGAAACACTTGCTACTTGAATTCTGTTCTACAAATTTTAGCTTCAACTCCAGGGTTTTCAGAAAATCTTTCACTGCAAACCTCTCTAGAAATATCTCTCAACAAATTATTAAATTCAATAAAATACCGTTCAGCCAATAGCGTTGAGAGAAATGCAGAAACTTTTAAAACTGATCTTGGGCAGAATTTTCCTATGGTAATTTATATGCAGTTTTTAGGATACGGGCAAAATGATGCAAAGGAGCTATTCGTCCAAATTATTTCATTTTGTAATGAATTAAACCCTCAAAATCATTTTTTTGAAGTCTATATTGATCAAATGTTCGAATGCCATAACACTCATCTTCATAAGAGCTATAATTGCGAAACAGAGCTGTTTATGACTGTTCCTCCGCATTATTTAAACATTAAAAAATACTTTGATGATAAAAGGTTGCCTAAGAAATATATCAATCAAAATCAGCTTTACTGCCAAAACTGTGAGAGATTAGCAGATACGACATTAAATGTTTTGGAGATAAAATGCCACTTAAATTTAGCATTTTATATGCCAAAAAGAACTAGCAGCTTGATGAGCATAAGGAGGGAATTTAAGGAATTTAGGGAAATAGAGCTCAATAATGTAAGTTATTGCTTGTATGGCATAATTTGCTATTATGGAGTGAGCACTTATGGCCATTATATTGCATATACAATAAATACAGAAGGAGAATGAGAAAAATATAATGATATATCAGTATCATATGAAGACCCTGACTTTGATAACGCTTATATGCTATTTTATAAAAGAAATTAGGTAATAATAACTCTATAAATTTAACTACTTATATTGAATTCACAGGTTTTCCGTCCCAATGCTTTTTTAAATAATATATTAACTTTTTTTATCAGATTTTAAAATTCTCAGAATAGATTAATTATTATTTGAATTAATCAGCTAGCAGAAAGGTGGCTTTATAAAACAACAGGTAAGCAAAATCAAGCCTTGGCGCTTCATAAGTAACAGTTTCATCATCGAATTTTATCCAGTTATTTTCGATCAAAACATAACTAAAATAATGAAGAATATAAGGATTGTACGCAATGACTCCATAAAGGAGATATAGATTATCTTCTTGAATAAAACTCGTCTTAATATTTTCATTCCTCGATTCTGATGGCGGCACATAAATTGCCAAATTCGATGGAAAGTCTATTTTATTAGTCGAAATTCTAGCTCTTTTTAAGGTATTTGAGCGTTTACACCTTAAAGAATTTTCCCCTTCAAATCATTGATCTTCTCCTAGCCTTATAAAATAGCTTTCAACATCACCATATGGTACACATAAAAACAGGAATTTCTCGGTTATTTCTTCTGCATGGTCAATGCTATATCTCTCATTATGATGGCAATGCAGAGTTTTATGCACTACTATACAAAAGAGATTTGTGATATTTTCTTCTATTTCGCCAATAAGAACTGTAAATAACTCTTTAGCATCATGGTTTTTTTTTATATGAAACTATTTAAAAATTACATCTTTAAAGGTTTTGTTTAAGCTGGAAATTAAAGTTCTCAAGGGATTCTCTATGCCTTGAGTGGTGTTCATAATAGACAGAACAGCAAATAATTGTGGAATTGGGGGGGTTCTAGATAATTGAATCAATGACGCGAACCCTTCTGTTCATTTTAGGATATGAACTTGCCGAAATGAGTTTGGGGGCTTTTTTATTAATCCTAATTGACTCTATTATTTATTTATTAAATAGTATTCTTCTCAGGTTCTGATGAGGAAGAAGAAACTAAAATTGACGATCGGCCAGGACTTGCAATTACTCAGCCTATCCCAGATGAGAAAAAAAAATGATTTTACAGCTAAGTAATGAAGCTGTCAAAGCTATGTTAGAAGCAGAAAAACTAGCAGCTGATAGTGAAGGCTGGGAAGAAATAAAATTAAAAGTCAAAACTGTTAAAGCTTCAAGAAGAAAAGCTGCAGGTGACCTTTACATTGTAAGAGTTGAAGGAGATATGAATAGGCCAGCCATTGAAATAATGAAATATATTAAAGATATCAACCGCAAAGTAGAATATGATGACATTTTTGAATCAGGCTACATCATTGGCATATTAAATGATGAAATGGAAATTGCATAACAAAAATATAAACAAACTGGCCCAGTATCATCTCGAGATCTATGCTTTATTCAAAGAAGGTTAACTTAGAAGGCGGCAAAATAGTTGCCATTGCAATGTCAACAACCCATCCGAACTGCCCAGAAACCAATTTTGTAAGAGCTCATCTTTATTTAGGCTGTTTTATGCTAATGCCAGTATCTCCTAGAGTAGCGCATATGGTTTACATGATAAATATTGACTTTAAAGGATCAATACCTAAGTTCATTCTAAACTCTATCCGATCTGATCAAGCTTTGGTCGTCGAAAAGATCAGAAAGAACTTATCAGCTTAATTTACTATTTCCTTCATATTAATATAATTGAATTAAAAATAGAATATATCAAAATTATCTATTTGAAATATTAAAAATTATCCCCAAATAACTAAATTCTTAAAAATCTTCCAAAAGAGATTGAGGATCAAGAATCTGAGCTTCAATTGCTTTGATTGCTTCTTACTTATTATCTTTAAGTTAACGTATATTTTCACCCACACTGTATAATGGGCATATCTTCCGAGCTAGAATTAATAAATATTGCCATTATTTATAAGAATTACATACAAATTAACCAAATCTCTACAGCCTTTCCTTTAAATTTTATTCTTGCACTATAAAAATATGTCCGCCGGGTTTGAATTTCTAACTTATGGCCGATGCGTCAACCCATCGCCAGACTTAGACTTTGGCTTCATGTTTCGGCACCCTGACTAAAAAATTGGCTGTGTGGCACCTCAAAAAATTATTTATGAACAAAAATTCGAGGATTTTTTAAAAACCAAGCTGCAAGCCCAAATAGAGAAAATGAAATACCTGATATAATAAAGTTCCTAAAAGAAGAGTTTTTAAGGCTGACTCGAAAAACAGCTTCGAGACTGGAAAAAGGCGTTTTTATAGCTGAGCTCAAGAAAAATCCTCTTTTGGCTGAAGTTTTTGGGTTTGATGAAAATAGTAAAGAAAAGGAAATTGAGGAACAAGTGGAAAATATTGGGACTGAAGAATGAATTAATATGGACGAGTTCCTGCTGTTTTACCAAGTTTCCAAGAGCAACTTGCTGAACCGATTCATTCAAAAGCAGAGACCCAGTCAAGTGCGACTAATGATTCCTTTATGGAGCAGAACAAACAGAGAACTGACGATATGAGCAGGATTATTGAAGGCTGCAAGCTAAAAATCAGAAAAATTTATAAAAAAAAACGTTGAAATCATGCTGGAAGGAGAAGTGAAAAGCCAGCCTATCGTAGAAAAAATAAAAGAAAACCAAGTTATAATGGACGATCTTCAAGAAATAATCGCAGAGCTTTCAAGCAGTGCTGTAAAAGCTGATACTTTGCTAGAAGAAATAGTTTCCCAAGCCTGAAGAATGATTTACTCTGCTTATCTTTTTGACCATTTTGCCTTTATCCTCACTTTTGCCAGAATTCAGCTTGAATCTTATCTCCAAGAAACCTTCTTGAGGAGAGCATTTAGCCTTATTTGAAGAAATTTTCAATAGCATGCCTTAAAACAACAACGGCAGCATCGTTACTTTGATTTTTTCGAAATGCTCAGCAAAAACGACAATGTGACAAGAATCCTTGATGAGCCTTCACGAGAGCCTAAAGAAGTTTCTGAAATCCCAAAAGAAACAATCGGCCAGACATTAGAGAGAATTTATTTAGAAAGCCCCAGAAATGATTTCCTGGGAAGAGTTCAAAGCTTATTTCACTGTAAAAGGCCGGCCAGATAAAGAGACAGAAGTAGAATATGTTAATAAAAAAAAGAAGAAGCCAAATCAAAAAATCAAGCCAAGCCTAAAGCAACAAAATACGCAATAACGGTTCCTGAACCTTTTAAATTTGACAGAAGAGAAAAAAGAAAAGGAATGTCTATAAAGGAAAGAAGGCCAAAAGAGATGCTTGAGCGAAAAGAAAAAGAAATCAAAGAATCCATAAAATCTATAAAGCGACACCAGTGCCTCCTGAAGTAAAAATCCCGCTTTATGAACGATTATGAAAGAACAAGAGAACGCAGGTAAAGCAAAATTCAATTGCAATTACAAAAGCAAATGAAAAGCGGTTTAGTTTTTATTATAGGGATTTGGCTAAAACAAAGGCAGAGCCAGCGGAAATGCCAAAACACGTTTTTACAGCGAATCCAGTGTCATGGACTACAAGGTCCCACTGTATGATAAAATTGTAAGCGAAAGAGAACTGGCTAGAAAAGAAAGAATCGGCAAAGCTGCAATCGAGTCATTAAACCTAGCCATGATGCCTCCCAGAATGGAATTATACTACAGACAGCTGCAAAAAGCTTCAAAAATTCCTAAACCAAAGCCGAAAACTAAAAAGTTCAAAGCCAAAGCAGTCCCAGACTTCCGCAGACTCCAAGCTGATTTCCAAAGCACCTTAGACGCCTGCAAGCAGTCTTTCAACCCTACAAAGCCTGAGCATTTTGCGTTCAACGAAACCAGTCTTCTTTCAACTACCTCAAACTCCTTGACAAAGAAGCTGACGCCAATAAAAATGGGGCCAGCCTTCCAAGGCAAAAAGATCTAAATCCTTATCAATCCTAAACAAACCCAAAATAATCCCTAGTAAAATTGAAAAAACCAAGGCTATGATTGAATACAAGCTTGCCCAGAAAAGAGAAGCCAAGATGAAAGAAGCCCTCAAAATGCAAGAAGAAGAGCGACGGATGAAGCATGAAATGATGTGAGGGGTCGTGCAGAATTTTTCCCTCATAAAAGACAATACTGCTGAGTTTAAAAGAAGAAGAGAAGAGTCCATTAAAAAGAGACGTAAAGAGCTGGAAGAAAATAAAGAGAATAATATGAGCAAAAAAGCTGATATAATTGTAAAATGGCTGATAAGAAATCTTCAGACATTACCGATGAATTGTTTCAAGAAAGCAATGAGGAGAGGAAAGGAAATAATGAAATAAAATTCAATTTCTTCAGCCCAAAAAAATCAAATATTCAGTCAGGAAATAGAGCTAATACTAGCCCAAGCTCTTCTGTTGATGAATTCGGAGGAAATGAAAATCCAATGATTGTAACACAACTTCTCAAAACTCAGCAGGAATTAGGATTGACGAAAATCAGGATTCTTGAATTTCAGAGTATCCTATAATAAGGAATTTATTTTATATTATAGCAAATGGGGGATTTTTAATATAGAAAAATAATGATATATATACATTTTCAACAGTTACTGACATTTAGTCCTGATATCTCCCGAGATGATCGAAGGGCTGGGCTAGCCAACTTTTTTGGTGGAAAACAACCTTTTAATTAAAAAATTTGCATTATTGGGTGGATTTATTGGTTTATTAACAAGAGTTGGCAAAACCAACCTCGATCATGTTAACAGAAATCGGTACCAAGGGTGTCAGAAAGTGTGGAGACGCTATATTTATAGGATCTTTTAATATTTGCTTAATGACTCAGCATTTAATAAATTATATACAGCCTAATTCTTAGATGGATATAATTTTGGGCTGATAAATAATTTCTCCATCTCGAAGCATTTAATTACCTAGCCAAATATCTATACTTTAAAATAATGTACAAAAGCTTGGGCTTGATGAAAGCCATTTTGAAATTGCAAATAGCCAAACTATGACTACTGCACTAATAGAAGCCTTAAATAAATATAGAAATCCCGGAGCCCAAGCTATAGAGGAAAACTTTTTAACAAAAAACATTTATTATTAATTGCTACTTAAACAGTCTGCTTCTCCAGCCAAAATGACAAGGGCAGCTACTTTTGGAAAAGAATCAGACGAAAAATTCGAAATCGAGCCATCGTCAAGCCCTAAAAAAGAGCCATGAATTTATCAAAAGAATAATTCATTTGGCTACTGCTCAATACAAATGCAATAGAAACTGCCAATAGAAACTGCCAATAAGCAAGACCTGCTTAAATCCATAGTGGACGCTATAGCCAAAAACGCCAATTCTGATGCATCACAAAGAAATTTTTTAATCGAAAAATATTGGCAATATGCATATAGCCACTTATTGTCACTTTCTTCTAAAGAATTTACCAAACCTGCAGAGTTTGCAAATGATTTAAATACCATCATCCAAAAAGCCAAAAATCAGGCAATATTGCAAATTTAAGCCAATTTATCCCTAACGATTTTGAAGAAGAATATGAGATTTTGTCATCAGAAGCCCCAAAAAGGACGTCGCTGAAAGACAAAAGGAAAAAACCAAAAAATCATAATTTTATGAAGCCTTCAGGAGTTGAAGGAGAAGCTGTTATAGCTGAGCAGCCCAATGAAGATTTTGAAATAAAAAATGAACTGCAAAAATCACAAGAAACTAAAACTGAAGATTTAGACCAGAAATATAATGCAATTATAGAGGATCTCAAAGCCCAAATTGAAGACTTAGCAAAAAAGATAGACGAAGACAAAACAACAATATTTTTTTAAATCAAAAAGCAATAGCTGACAAAGATTCAATTAAAAAATTAAATTAAGAGAAAATTGCAATAAAAAAAAATTATGAAAAATTGATTTATGAGCAAGAGAAGCAGTACGCGAAGCTAGAAAACAATTGAAAAGCAGATGAAGAAGCTATTAAATTTTTGAATCAAGGGCTAGGACAGTTGTCAGAAGAAAAAACAAAATTAGAAGCAGAATTGAAAAACAGAGAAAAATCTTTAAATGAGCAGCTATTACAAAGATTAGCCAAGCTTAATGATGAAAAAAAGAATATGAAGACCTTGTAAGAGATTTGGAAAGAAAATTAAGTGCAAGCAATGGAAGCAGAAATCAATATCAAGAAGAGGCTTTGAGGTATAAAATTGAGATTGATAGCTTGAATAGACAAATAGCTGGCTTGGCTGCAGAAATAGAAGAAATAAAAACTGGGTATGAAGAAAAAATAAACGCAAAAAATAGAGAAATCGAAAATTATCAAAAATCAATAGAGAGTATAGACATAGAAGAAAATAACAAACTAAATGAAATTATAAAGAGGCAGCAAATGCTCTGGATCCGCTACAACATGTACTACATGTGCTGATGGCTATGTTTTAAATCTTCCCTCCGTTAGCGAAGAAAAAATTTTGTTCGTTCACGAAGGAGGTTTATATTTTTTAAAATTTAAGAAAATCTCAATTCGCAAAACTTAATAAGCAAATATATTAATTTTAATTTGTAAAAATTTTATGTTTTAAAATGTAATTTGTTTAAAATTCAATATAACTAGCTAGAGATTTCGTTATACTATTTATTAATTATATATCAACACGCTTTAATAAAAAAAATTTTATACTAAGTTTTTTGTTCACTCGCAGAGAGTGGCTTTTGGAAAAAAAAATAGGATTTTTCCTATAGTTTTATTCGCACGTAGGGGGTGTAAGCAAATCTGCCTGCGTTAGTCCTACCTGCACTTCACCATGCTCTTGCTTTACTCTACTGCTAAAAATTGTACTTCATGTGTTGACGGGTATTATTTGTCCTTTAATTTTTGCCATCAATGCACAATTATTTATACATATCTTTAACAATTCATTTCGTTTTTGTTAATTTTAATTAAAATTTTATGTTTTTTAAAGATTTTTACAGCTTCAATTCACATCACCGTGCTCGAAATGTTCAAGTGCCTCAATTTGCACTAAATGCGCAGATGGATACTCACTTGGCAGTAACTCGACCTGCAATCAATGCACAAAAATATTTTTACTATGATTTTTTTAAAAATAATAATTGTTATTCTTTTGCTATTTATATTAAAAAATATTCAAAATAGCACATCAAAATAATTTATGAAAAGTGAAATATTAAAAATATTGTAAACTGAAGTCTTTGCTTACCAAATCAGAATTAAAAGTTAATTTTTATAATAGCCTTAATAAAATGCTAAATAAAATCATTAATATTCTAAAACTTACCGAGTTTATCCTGGTTAACTAGCCTCATTTATGCTCTGAAAATTTTTATCTGCTAATTGAAGGATTTTTTAGCAATTAGTTAATTAGTTATATTTAACCCTGGTTTAATGTCCATAGCCACATTACCTGGACAGGCTTCCGCTTCTGCTTTGGGTTTCCCCGCTGACCACACTCCGTCTACCACTTAGTCTTGATCTGAATGGTTCCTCGACTTCTGGCGTTCTGATTTTAACAGCTCTTGGGAAACAAATTTGCGGCAGAAAATTCAAATTTTTTAGGGATGGGTGCCCAAGGTTGCGCGCTCTTGGGCAGCACAAATATCATCATTGCCGGATAAATTCGCTGGAAGTGAAGCCAAACTTCATCATCAAAATTTGTCAAAGGAGTAATTTCTGATTGGCAGAACAGAATATTCGAACAACACAAATTTTTTAATTATGAGGTATTTTTTAGCAATAATTTCAGGCATCAATTCACATCGCCTTGCTCATTATGCAGTATCTCAACATCAACTTGTGCAAGTAACATTGCAGGATGCTATTTATTTGCAAATTTTTATATCAAAAAACAATTAAATTTTTGCATTAAAAAAAACTCACCGCTTGAAGAAAATAAATATGTCGAATTTTCCCATAATATACTATAATATATTTACTAATATTTTATTTTGCTTATTTATGGTAAATTGATTTTAAAAATGTCAAAAAAATTTTGGCATGTCATTATATATAAAACTGAGTCTAGGTATGCTAATTTTTTTTGACATTTTAAAATCAATTTACCATAAATAACCAAAATGAAATTTATGCAAGGGATTATATTTATATTCAACAACTTGTAATGCTTGCACAAATCAATGTGCTAATTGTACTTCAGCAAGTGTATGTACTAGCTGTGTTGCAAATGCTAGCTTTAATTCTGCAACCAGTTCATGCCAATTTAATAGTGGTTATACTCCAGTAAACGGGGCGTGCTCTCAATGTCCATCATCTTGTGCAGCTTGCAGCTCTCTAACAAATTGTTTAACTTGCAATTCCAATGCCGAAGTAAGCTCAAATGGTAGGAAAAATAAGCAAATATTTCGAAAAAATGAATTTCTTATTAATTTCCTAAATAATTGATATTTTAGGGATAGGAATTCTTTAGAAAATTATTTTTATTGAATATGCTTGCTTAAAAAATCTATTTTGAAATTAATTTATGGACTTATCGATATATCCGAATGGTCTATGCTCTTGCAAGAGTGGCTTCTCATTAGATTCGAGCAATAACTGTATCGCAATTTGCAATAATATTTGCACTTCTCTCTCTACTTCTAATGGGCAAAACTGCACTGCATGTATTACAAATGCAGAGCTATCTGAATTACTTGCTCTTGCCCATCGAATGCTTGATATGATTCACTCCCCACTTTAAATTGGAAGAATAAATTTTGTTCCTATTTAAAAGTTGGGTTGGATTTTTTTCAAGATTTTGTTTTATGAAGAATTGATCGATTCGTATTAAATAATATCCTTCTAGCAATTTTATCATTATATTAGGCTAAAAATAATTTTATATATTATTTTTACATATAAAATTTTATATAAAAAAAAATTGTTCCAATTCAAAGAGAGTATAAAGTACCCGGAATAGAAAATTTGCCTATATTTTGATCCAGCTTAAAGGGGGAGTCAGCCTTAAAAGCTGTCTCTCCAACTCTGGATACACCTTATCAGATAGCAAATGTGTGGTCTGCAAAAAGTATTTAGCTTCTACAGATGTTGTTTCAGCATCATACAGCTCACTATATGTATATGTCTTAATATCATTTAAATACCAATAGATACAACAGTTGATCCTTCATGCAGCAAGGTTTTGACATATGACACACTTCAATTGATTGGGAGCTGGCTCGGTGTGTTCTTGATCTGGCGCTAAGACTCTCAAAATTGCTTTGGGTACCCAATTTAGCCTCAGAGATTCTGCAATTAATCTAGACGGCACTTGGCTCCTTAAAGACACTGAAGATCCATGCATCATTAATTACCAGCCGCTAAGCGTATCAATTAAAATGGCAACAAGTCCAAGTCCAGTCGCCGTGATATCAGGACCACAGACTGCTTCACTTGGATGCAATAATGATGCAGTTGCTTACTCTGCTGATAAGTCGACTGGCAACTATGGAGCCTCTTTGACATACAAATGGAGCTCCATACCGATAGATTTGAGTTCACAGGCAACAGGGTTCTCTATTCGATCCCTAAATTTCCTCGCTCAAAAAAACATCGGAAATCCTATTTTTGGGTAAAAAAACCTCCGTTAGTAAAAAAAAATTTTTAAGTCGTAATTTAAATCTTTAGCTATTTCTGTTGAATTTTAAAAGCTTGCAATTTAAATAAATTTTGCGATAAATAAGATTTTTAGTTCTGCAAAAATTTTATATATAATTTTTTTTTTTTGCAAAAAATTATCATGGGGGAGTAAATCAAGTTTATCCTCTTTGACATCCTTAACTGTGAATGTTCAAATTACAAATACCTTTATGCTCACTAGTTCTGCATCTATGACAACAACAGCTTCTCCTCAAGAAACTTTAATTGTTTCATTTGACTCTTGAAACACTATTTCTATGAAATCTTCAGAATCAAAGACCGTAAAAGCATTGGTCGCAGCCATTTATGGAAACTCTGGCAACGTCAATATCTTGGCAATGGGCTTGCACATCAGGTCCATCCAGTATTGCAGCCACTAATCTTGCTTCTTCGACAACTACACAAAAACTGTCTATTTCAAGCAATTTGCTTGCTTCAGGAGGTCCATATGTTTTCACTGCAACAGCTACTCAGAATACTAATAGTTCCCCAATAACTGGAAGCGCCAGCGTATCTATTACAGTGGCTTTATCACCTCTTGTTATTCAGCTATCCAAAGGTAGTGGAGACGTCAATAAAAACATAGATTTTACTATAGATGCAAGCAATTCTAAAGACCCAGATACTAATTCAGCAGATGGCCTAGCCTATGCATGGACCTGCAGCAATCATTTAGATGGAACAGCTTGCTCCATAGCATCATATAGAAATTGCCCCACATGGGAATTGAATCCACGTGTGGGGCTATTTTTGGTACGTGGAAGTCGATGTTCTCCATATACCAAAAATGGCCCCACACGTGGGTTCAATTCCCGTGTGGGGCCGGTTTTTTTTGAATTGCCCGAGGATGGCGCAAAATAGCGCCATCCTCGGGCAATTTCTATACCTTTCAAGCCAAAGCAGTAGCGCCTCGACAATTCCTAAAGCAAGTTTAGTTGCAAATCAATGGGATTTAACTTGCACAATTTCTAAAGATTCAAGAAAAGCAAGCTATACAATAACTCTCAATATCATAGATATTTCAGCAACTATCACTATTGCAATTCGAACAATTAGCGTAAAAGCTAAATATCAAATGTTAAATAGATTCTCAGCCAGTGTCTCTGGAGGCGATGGAACCTCAATCCTATGGTCTCAATCATCTGGAACTAAAATAAAAATATCGCCAAATAACCTTTCCTATCTTTCCTTGAATGCAAACTCACTTGCTGAAGATATTTCATATGTATTTTCTTTGACTATTACATCTGGAAGGTCAAGCTTTAGCGTCGACTTAGCCTTTTGAATGTTAACTTAATTCTTCTGAAAAATTTTGGTAAAAAGTAAAAATTATTTAAAATAGTTAAAGGGTTGGAATTTTTATAAGCAAGAAGCTAGGAGCAGCTTGCTCAGACACAGTCCCTTCAGTTAATCCAAGTTCAGAAACAGCTTTGACAACTTCATTTTCAATATCAATTTCTAATTGTTATGACCGTGATGGTGAGGATTATCCAATTCTATACACCTTTGAATATTCTCGGATAGTGGAGCAACATATAGAGGTTGCCCGATGATGGCGCTCAATGCGCCATCATCGGGCAACCACTATACAGGATTATTGGATCGACTTCAGAACAGTCCCAAATTTCCTATTACCTGCCTGCAGGCACCATCACTATTTTAGCACGTGTTTGCAACCAGCTCAATGCTTGTATGGACTATACGATAAAATCATCTATATCTGTCAGCAATTACAAAAGCAGCAGACGATTGCAGTCAGATGCTTTAAGAACTTCTTATTCAACGCTGACTCTTGATCCAGACAACATATCATAAACCATTACTTTGTTCTGCAGCAGCACTTCAATTGACAGTTCACTGTTCGCCACAATTTGGAGTGATCTGAAATCCTATGTCTCTAGTCAAACTATGCTGCTATCATTAATAATTTTTTTATATTTTTCCTAAATTTTTTAATTTTTATTAAAATTTGGAAAAAAAAATTGAATTCATTGCAAGATAATTAATTAGGACTTGCTACTATAACAAATACCCTTTTGGGCAGTGTTTTAGGCGCAGTTTATTCTTTGTCAACCCAAAGAGGATTAATGACCCTCGATGTCTTCGAAGAGTTCATTGTGTGGGTAGATAAATTTTTGACGACCTACTCATCCTTAGTACCAACTGCAGATAATTTAGACGCTATAGTGGAAATAGGTGAAAGCTATTTGAATTATGGCATCAATACTACCTTCTCTGAGCAAAGCTTTGAAAAGTACGTTCTCTATGTGAATAACTTTTATACAACCTGGGCAATTGCAGCTACCACGAATGACTTACTATATTAGACTAATTGAGGGCGGATTATTAATAAAAATTAATTTTATTAAAGATATTTTAATTTTTAGCAAGAGAAAAAGTTAGTTACCCAGTCATCAATTAATAATGCTGTAAACACCGCTAAAACTTATATTTATAAAGACAGAAACTTCCCAGAAGATATGCAAAATACTACTCGTTACTATTCTGAAGTTGCAAGTCTTACTTATCCAGGCACTTTGGATTTCTAATACAAATATATGGAATATGAGAGCTAATTTCTATCATGGGTTTATTGATGACTTTTCAGCTATTGCAATCTTTAGTCTTGCAAACTCAGGAACATATAAGGATTATTCAATTATTCAAACAGCTGAAACTTATGTCCCATTCTCAGATTAACCATTCCTTATTGATCTGCCTTATAGCAAAAACATTGGTGAAGGCATGGTCTGGGGCTGTGTGTATTACAATGAGACAAGCTCTAATTGGACTGAGTCGAACTGCAAGATAGTAAGTATCAACAATTCCACCTCAAACGTCACATTTAATGTATACCACTTCTCAATGTGCAAGCTTGCTGAGGTGAATCCTAGTGTCAACTCACCGTCTTATGTTCCAATACCAGAGAACTCATGTAACGATAATTATGCTCCTCTCTACATCCTTGTGGTAGTTCTATTTATTGGCTTGCTATTAGCTCCAACGATGGCTATAATAGACAAATTAGTCCTTCTGCATCTACTCAAGCCCCTAAGAATGCACCTCCTAGGACCCCAGCATCTCATTCTCCTAGACCAACTCTAAGAGGACTCATGCGTCCTGACATAAGTGTTCATGCATCTCGAGGTGAAGAATCCATTGAAGATGACTATTTTGAGAGCTCAGACGAAGAAGGTATTTAGTCCAAAGATATCGATCTCACTGAAAATTCTGTTGTCGAACAAATCGAAGCATCTATTGAAAAACCAACCCTGAAATCAAATATGAGCTGCAAGAATTAATTGAAGGACACTTGGTATTTGGACTTATCTATCACAGACCTATTTTCTCAAGAGTCGCAAGAGTATTCACCTTAATCGTTGCTATCGTCTTTGAGGTATTATTAGAAGGCTTATTGTATTATGGTTCAGAAGACATTAACTCAGGAAGCGAAACTGCAACTCAGACGCTGTTTGATAATTATGAAGGAAAATACTTTGGGTATATGATTTTGGCTTTGGCGATCACGATTCCTGTTGAAGTATTATGATAGTTACATTTAGCATTAATAGAAAGAAAGCGCCAATCTGGCCAGCATTGGAGTTATTGTGGGTCTGGCGGTACTGATTGGGTCCATTGTAGGGGTTGCTATGCTGAGCTATGACTTCTGCCACGAGTGGAGTGGGTATTGGGCTGTCAGCTTCTTGTGGGAAATTTTGATTGAGATCTTTATTATGGAAACCATTTACATGATTGTTAGATACTTTCTCATACAAGCTTGCCCAAGCAATGAAGCCATTAAGTCTTAAACAACTTTATTCTTAATTATGTGTTAATAATTAGCATCATATAAATCTTCTATTTAAGTTAATTGGTAGCAATAGCTGACTCTATAAAGAAGGGCTGTAAGCAAAGTTTACCAAAGTTTAGAGTACTTTGCCCTTGAAATAGACCTTATAGCTATTACATTAAAAAAATAAAATTTTAAAATTACCATTTTATATATATAAGCTATTAAGTCTTAACTAATCTTCCTTAATTTTTGTATGAAAAATTTATTAATTTTTTAATTTATGCTACAAAAATTTACTTGAAGTTGCAATAGTTGACCCTGATAAAGAAATAATATAGTCACCTCTGAGATATTAATGCGATAAGGAGTACTCATATTAGGCCAAAATTGATAAAAATCGAATGAAAAAGGACGAAAATCCAAGCTGTCATTGTGCTGCTGAAGCTTTTCAGTAAAAATAAGTTGAGTTGGTGAGTTGAAAATAATATTTTTGCAGACAGCTATAGCTGGGTCAGAGCCCTTCAACGTTATATGCTTAAAATTCCAGCTTACGCAAACCTAATTCAAAATGCAAGACGATTTTCTAGCCTCAAGAATTGCATATTGTTATATAAAATTTCTAAAATTAATACCAATACTTAATGGTAACTTAAAGTTTATTTTATGAAAGCAAAATTTCCAATATATATTTTATTTCTTATCAGCTTGATTATTTTATAGGTTTATTAACTGGACAATTTTGGTTATCTGAATCCTAATTCATCTTATTTATATATGCTGGTTACCTGCCAAAGCGCATTTATTCAAATTCTCGTTTATTATATAATACATAAGAACAAGCTATTAATAAATTTAGTTAAAATTAAAAAATTTAGCAAAATTTGCTCACTTTTTATAAATGTTTTAAATAAAAATGCGTAATCTAGCCACTTACGTGATTCTTAATATTAAATTATAGCATAATTTAAAGATCTTAAGGCGGCTATTTAAATTTGTTTTGGTTTGGGATTGTTATTGTTTTAAAGAATGATAACCCTTGAAGATATTTTCTGCTGCATTTATAAGAGAATTTATGCTTAAGTATTGAATGATTTTTATTTTTCTTTCGTTTTATTAAGCTTTTATTTTATCCTGCTATTGAATCACAGTGATCTTTGATTTTCTTATACAACACATCTTGCACTTCTTTAATATTTTTCACTTGGCTATTGATGGTATCACTTTTTAATTTATTCATCTCATACCTCTTAAAAGCAATCATTTTTGTTCAAATTTTGATTCTTCAAATAAATTATTGATTAATTCTTCATGTGAATTTTCAGATGCTTTAATTTTTCAAGAATAATAAGTTGATCATCAAGATCGTCATGATACAGTCCCACAGCGGGGTCAAACTCATTTAACACTAATGGGATTGTTGAGCGGTATCAAAATTATAATAATTCTCTGCGATATTTAATCTCAAACCATATTCAAGATCTATCATTTTCTGCTCTCTGTCCCTGAGGATCCTCGCCTTTTTCGAGCTTTGTCAGACGAAGTTTTTTTTATTTACCACCTTAATGGAAGGCCAGCCAAATTTCAGCCGGCAGATAAACCTTTATAGGTTTTCAACAGCAGCCCATAGAAAGCTAGAACTACAAGAACACATTGGAAAGACCTGGTGCGTCGAAAAGAACTGAAGCCCATTCATAATTGAAAACGTGCATTTATATTTTTTATATAAGTATGAGGACACGCAAGTAATAGACTGCACTGAGGAGCACCTCCCTTGTAAAAGACAATTCGGCTCTGACAAAGGATCTAGTCGCACCTTTGGCTCAAGCCTCTACATTAGATTTTTAAATACAAATTATTTCGTATCTTTTGCCCAGGCAAAGTATGATTTCATAAAGCCTCATCATAGGCCTGCTTTATCTATTATAGAAGCCTTAGAAGGAGGAGACTTCAAAATAATTTACACGAGCAAGCCTTTAAATTCCCCTTCTACCCTGCTTGCAAATCCGAAATGGATTAATACAAAATTTTCGAAAAATGACATAAGGAGGATTATGATGGTCACAAGTATAGCTAATTGGGATTTCCAAAGTGGCATCGCTGACCTGATGGTGAGTCTTGACGACGAAATTGCGGTGGCGATTAAAGTGGATAGGCTGAGGGATTTTGTGCACTATATGATTAATGTTTATGAGTATGGGAGATTGCCTGATGAGAATAACGGTGCTGTAAGCTTTGGGAGGAATATTTTAGAAGTCTGCAACAGGGGGGTTTTATTGATAATAATTCTTAATTATTTATTGGTTTTTGGGTGATTTTTATAAATTATATGGTAAATTGGCTTTTTATTGAGGATATAAATTTAATTTTGATGCCTTAATTCCTTATTTTTTAGTCAAAATTTATAAACTTCTCGAATAATGCTCATTTTCTTATTTTTATATATTGTGAAGCAGGCAAGCGTCATTTTCTTTGAGTTATCAATCTAAATAAAATTATACACTGCTGAAATATTAATGGCTTTATGTCAACAATACTAAATAATTTAATAAAGACCTCAACGACTACAAAAACGCACTTCCATCAGGGCTTCTTATTATATAAATATTTTCATATAAAAAGTGGATTTTTGAGTTTTTTTAACTCAAATCATAATTTTTATAAATTAAAAGAGAAGCTGAAATGAAGAATTAGCTATTTTTATTTTAGAGTAAATTAAATAAAAATATTAGAATTGCATAAAGGGAGAAATGATTATTCGTTTAGCTAACAACAACAACAATTTGTTTTAGTCAATAATTTTAAATTGGATATTTATTTAAATAAATAGAGATAATCAATCAACTATTTTTGATGATTGTGCTTTTCCCTCACATTATTTATAGATGTATCAGAAAAAGGCTTGTACTTGCTATTTATTAATTATGTATTTTCTTACTATCTCACACCCTTTTGAAGATGACCATGCTGCAGAATTGTCTGAATTCGTTATCATAATCGAGTGGGATAGCTTGAATATTTGGACTACTTCGAGGTTAGGCAAGATTATTTGTTTATGTTTTTAAGTGTAGTAGCGAAGAGGGTCTATTAAAATTAATTAAGATTATTTGAAAAGCTCCTGTGATTCCCCGAAGGTAATTTTCTCCGCTCTTCTCCACCAGCTACCTGCTGCCATCTTCAGGCTTGGCGTTATGTAATGAGAAAAGTGGTAACTTTGTCATACCCTAAACTTGACATAAATTTTCTGGTGTTAAAACCTAGCTGATATAAGAGCTGATAGACTTCATGGACACTTTCCCTGCGCAACATTAGTCTTCTAATTCAGGACATGCCTAAGCAAATTTATAAATGATACCAAAATTTTATTTATATTATGCTTTTTAGGAGTAAGTAAGCTAAATTCTAAACCTATAGTGAGAATAGATTAACTGCGCTACCATTTTGTTTAAGAGTATAGAGAGTTATTAAAGTTCTAAATTTTTATTTTAGACTGTTGCTACTTGAAATGCTTGCTTAGAACTAAGATCGAATTTCCACAGCCGATTTGGATAAACAATGAAGTAAAGGCAACCCTTATAGCGAACAGCACTTGATTGATTATAATCTCTATAAATGCTATTAGTCCCTATTTGAGTCCAACTAAAAACATTGTTTTCAGCACTTTCAAAAGTCCTTCCCCCTTTCTCAAATAAATAAACTCTTTTATTCCCTCTCAGCATAAATTTATAACTCGCATTTAACACCAAATTGGGGACTTCTTGGTAGTTGTTTTGAGTTATGCTATAAATTATACCCTTTTATATTGAATAAAGGTTTTATACTGATTATTTTTTCTATTTATATAGTGAATAGTAAGACGGTGAACTAATACTAAAGTTTCAATTCATTATAATTTTTTACATAATTTTTTGAATATCATAGCTCGTTATAAGAATCAAATCTCTATATAAAGCATTGCAACCAATTGTAAAATCCAAACCTTGAGGTAGTGGAGCCATGCTTTCCCACACGTTTCGTTTAAAATCATACCTTTCAGCCAATTTATTATTTCCTCCAATTAAATAGATGAAGTTATTATAAAAGATAGGATGAGCATAATGATTTACTTTTGAATTTTGGAGATATTTAACATTTTTATTTTTGTCAATAGTAAACACTAAGCCTGAACTAGTGTTATTGCAACAATAGAAATAAGTATAATCAGGAAGTATACAGCTTGTAGTGTGTCCATGAATTGGTTCTTGAGTTGGAAGAGTTGCAGTAGAAGAAATCTGGAAGGTATCTAAATTTATAGTTGCAAAATTTGAAGTTTTATGCCTAAAAAATGAGAGTTCGCTTGATATGATCATATTTTCTATATCATACATAAAAGGATTAAAAGGTTTTTCATAAGTTTTGCTAATTGCTGCATTAATATCTTTATAGTCTAGGTAACACTCTTTTATATCTCATCCATTCATCTTACACCGGGCATCTGAAGCATTTAATTTAAGCACGCTTTCCATATCATCATCTTTAGCAATATCAAGAACCTCATCTCCACTATATAAAATTGTAAGCACTTTATTGATTCTTGCTTCTGCTTTATTAATCTGATCAATATATATTCCAAGCGTAGTATTAAAATTCTTAATGATTGTATTTGCGTTAATAAGTAGTTCAATTTTGTAGTTTTTGATATCTTCTTTGAGTGCTATTAGTTTTTCAATAATTGGCTGCTTAATTTCTTCTGCTGGCTTAAAGTATAGCTTTAGGTATCGATGGCCTTTAGAAGTTGGTTTTTCTAAGTGCTCAAAGCTGTGCTCTTTGCAAAATAAGGTAATTCCTTCGCATTCGCATTTCCCATAAAGCTGGTTTGTGCAACCATCTTTGAAGCATCTTCCACTGGACATAATTATAGAATCATAATAAACTATTATTTCTTATCTTAGTTAAAGTTTCTTTCCCCAGATAAAATTATAATCCTAACAGCTCAATTATATTTTATGTTCTTAGTCTTATCCGATTAAATTTTTAAGATATAGCACAGGCATATTTTCTTGGAATAGCTTATCATATTTTTATATTGTGCTTTGAAGCTCTCTAATTAATTAAAATACGTCTTCTAAATATTTATTTGAATTATTCATATCTTGCTTTATTTTGTAATGGAGCAGAATAACCTTATTACGGATAGGGTTAAGATGATGATGTTCTTCTTTAGATTCAGCGGCTTTTATCTGCATTTTTCGGAGTATCTCAACACAGTCTCGGCCTAATACGTCGTTTATAAAATTGATCTCTTTTCAGAAAGGCTTCATTAAACCCGGCCAAGCTGAAAATATCAATAGGAGTATTTTCATATTTACTTCCAGCACATCCAATTAATTTCGAAAAGATTCCTCAATATCTATGGGAGCCTCATACATTCAGTTTTTAGACCACGAAGTCGTGGTTTGAAGACTTTTCGGTTCTTCGGAATTGCATTATTAACTACAGGCGCCAGGGTTTTGCTCCGCTGGCTAGGAGCTCGGTTTCAGGTGCAATGGTTCGGATTGATTAGCAAGTTTCTTGTGAATTTAAGAGCTAGGATTTTTTCTGTCAAACCTTAAGCCTTAGCTCAGGATCTTTATTTTTTGCCTTTTTTTGCTGAAAAAGTAAAGCAAATTAACGAATTCAGATCATCGATATCAGCAATTCATTTATGAGAGCATTTTTTGTTTTTCAAGGTCTTCTTTTGTATTCAATAAATATTGAATCAGAATCTTTAAAAATAGTCTTTTTCAGACACTCGTCGATTTTGTCAGGATGAGTTTGTATTTCTTTTAAAGCATTCTCCAGCCCATTACGGATGCTCATTTTTTATAATAATTTTAAGAATTAGGATTAAATTTGGATTCTTCGTCAAAAGTGTCATTTCCTATAGCAGGAAGCTCTTTTTTCATACCTTCAGGAGCAACACTGAGGCCTTCGAACTACCTAGCCTTGCTAAAAAATTTAGACCTTTAAAATTCAGTCCATTTTCTGCAGATAAAATTTGAAAATGCAAGTTAAATCAAGGCAATTATAATTGCTATATTGAAAAGGAGATTGATGATTTCACTCGGGGTCACATTTATATTTAAGTGGGTCTAAATAAAAACTGAGCCCGTGCTCACAGGTATCTCCGGATATTTTTCTGAGCCCACTTGGAATTTCATAATACTCTTCCCCGTTCTGGCATTTTTCTTCACCAATAGACCCTTCAATTTTATTACACAGCCCTCCATTTTCTCTGGAAAATCAAAAATCGCACTCAAAATTAGGTATAGAGGCTGCCTTTGAGTAGCGCTCTAAGCGCCCGAGACTTCCCGACGAAGTCTGGGCGGTGGTTTGACCAGCTGATGTTGGTCAAACCAGCATCCAATTTGACAAACCTTCTGTATGAGAAGAATTTGTCATTTTGGATGTTGGTTTGACCAACATCAGCTGGCCAAACCACCGCCCAGACTTCGTCGGGAAGTCTCGGGCGCTTAGAGCGCTACTCAAAGGCAGCCTCTATATAACGCATGCACAATTATGTAGAAACGTGCCTCTTTTGAACTTTTCTCGATTAAAGCATTTGCTTTCTCTTTTTCTCCTGACATATTCTACTTTTCTGCCTAACAAGCATTTATCCCAAGACCTCCCTCCACAGCTCATAGTCACTATGGCGCCTCTGGACTTTTTTCCCCTGGGATATTTGGTTAGATTTTTTCCAATGAGATATTTATTAGAAATTTGAAGGCATTTTCAGAAAAAATGTCTCACTATCAAAAAAAGCCCAAATTTCCCGAAAATGTCACATTAACAAAAAAATCCTCTTTAAATGATATGAAGACAGTCACTATTGCTTTCTCCTGGCTTATCAGCACCTTTGCATTGTCGCTGATGAAGTGAAGAAAAATCAATGGCTATACTGGCTCCTTTTTCTCATATTTTGCCAAATATAATGAAATTCTGAGATGTCGCTTTGGACTCAATGATAATATCGTCAATTTCTATAGGAATGTCAGTAAATTTGACTGAGTCTCAAGTAAGGCCCTCATCCCAAGATAAATAGAACTTATCTGTGGCTTGTTGGCTATCAGGCATTACTATAATAGAATCCTGGCCACCGGTTTCATAAATATATGACCCTTTTTTAATTTCAGTCCAGGTTAGTCCGCCATCTCTTGATAAATAGGTATTGAGTTCGTCAGGCTTATTGGATAAATATTTTCCAACATTTCCCACACCTATGATATAGGCTATTACCTAAAATGCCCGTCAAGGGCGTAACGATGGAGGCTCTAACCTCGAGTTGGTCTGGCCAACTTAGGTTGGTTTGCCTGGCTGGAGAGTTGGTAATTGAACCACAAGAGGCTCATTTGCCAACTCTGCAGTCAGGCAAACCAACTGGAGATTAGTGCTCTCCATCCTTACGCCATTGACAGGCAATTTTAGGTAATTACCTATAATTCCGACAGCATTTACTGAGGAATAAACAGGACCGAATTTTTGAGAAGTAATGGAATGTAAATGAAGGGAACAGTCTTTGTCTTTGCAGAGGGCATGCTTACCACTAGAATCCATTTCTGGAGGGTTAAGGATTCCAAAATCCTCCTTTTTTGAATGAAATAACAGTTTTCTTGTAGCTTTGGTCTAAATCTGCGATAATTGTTTGCCTTTTTGTGGTAGAAGCATCAAATTCTTCGTTAGTTTTTTCCTGGTCATAGATATTGGCTATATAAATTCCTTCAGCTCATAAAATCTGTTAAAATCGCAGTATCCTTTTGCATCTCTGACGTTGCGAAGGAGAGAGAATACAAATTTTCTGCCTGTGACGTCAGATTTGTAGATGCTTCCATATCTTGAGTCTGGGCCAGAATCGTTTATATTGAGAAAAATTGACCCTTCACTTGTGTCTAATAAAGTATATGTTCTTCCTTATGAATAGCCTATATGAATTTTAATTAATTTTTAGAAAAAATTTCTATGAAATCTTATAGCTATTCTCAGGAATTCTTCTAATAGGCAATTCTGCTTTATAGAACTTCTCTATATTTTCTTCGTTAGAAACATCTTGTGATCCTTCTTCAATAAATTGAGTTACTAAAATGTATTTTTCAGCTAGTAAAAATTTATTCAATGTGGGACTAAAATTGAAGAGGTTTTGAAAAAATCTAGGTCATTTTAGAAAATTTTTTTAACACCATTTATATAGAGATTTTTGAGGGGTAATTATTTAATTTTCTGACAAAAAATATCGAGCCAAAATCATCACTTTTTATCATATCAACATTATAGCTTCATCCTGCCACCTTTTGGTCTCATTCCTCCAAACTTCTTGTGACATAAATTCTTTTTTTTGGGATATTTTTTCTGATATTTTGTGCTAAATTTTTATATGCTCATGAAAATTGGACAGTATAATCCACAACTTTTGTCCAAGTTTCTCCTAAATTTTTTGTCAGATAAACAGCTCTGTATTTTTTGCAGGATTTACCTACGAAATCTGAGCATTTGCTCCAGGACGCTGCTAATCCCCAGTCTCTTTCTGTAGGATGAAAGTGATATTCTTCCATTGGTTGTCCATAGTTTAAAGCTTTTATTGTTTTGCCACAATCTTCTGAAAGCCAGTTAAGGCCTGTGCTTCCTAGCATCACCACGACTTGCTTGTAGGCTGGATTTAAGATTATTTGGATTACCTTGCCTACTGTTGATCCTGCCTTTTTTTTCTTTTTCTAGAATTGGGGAAAGCAGCTTCCATGAAAAGTCTTTGTTTTCAGAGCGATATATTGAATTTTCAGTGGTGAGAAGAAGCGTGACTTCGTCTTGAGCGCCGCAGAATTTTATTTCGATGACTGGAGAGTCTAGATCGATGTACTGGTATTCTACTCTGTCAGGGTTTGGTTCTGCAAAGGTAAATAATTGTAAATCTGCCAATTAATCATATTTCCCAAAATGATGCGTATTTTAGAAATTCATAAAATTAAGTTATTAATATTTGTAAATAATTATCAAAAAATAAATGCAAATATCAATAAATAAAGCGTGATGAATACAAATTGCTATAAATTGTAATGGCTACTTAAAGAATCTATTGCCTTGCTAAATAATTACACAGGCAAAAATTGACGATTCAATTCCAATTTTCAGTTTCATTTCTTTGCCAATTATTTAAATTCTTTCAAAATGCCATTTATAAGCGCAAAAGAATAATAATAATAATATTTACGATTTATCATCCGTTTAATTCGGACCAAATTAAGCGCAAAAGAATAATGAATGCAAAACTGATTATACATGAAAAGCGAAATTGTGCATTCCCTCACTCCCCCTTCATGAGCAAGAAGAGCCATAGGGAAAATCCCCTATTTTTTGGAAAATTAGCCCTCTGTGAACAAAAAATTTTTTGGAAAAAAATAATTTTAATAAATATTATAATGAAATCTCCTCATTTTATAGCATAAATTGTAATTAAATTAGATTCTATTAACAAATTTTGCCAATTGAGATATTTTTTCAAAAACATTATAATAACTCTTTCTATGAGAGAGGGAAAATACTTTGGTTGCTCACCAAGGGGATTCAGCATTTTCCCCTTAAAATCCTTATGTCTTAATTATGAATTTCTCAACTATCCTTGGCTAAGTCTTACGAAGCTCACAAGGACAATTTAATAAGAAGGTATAACTCCATCATTGGAAAATTATCATCCAAATCCAAGTCTTACCTGCTCAAATCTAACCAGTCCCGCTATTTGGGCAAAGATACAGGTCCAAAACCCTAAACCAACCAATTAAATCAAAATTTAAAGACCCGGCAAGTCCAACTAAAGACCCCTGCTAGAAATTATTTCTATTGAAAATAAAATGTCCCATGATTTTATTTTAGAAAACGAGCTAGGAATCGAGCTAAATAAAAAAGACATCAAGCATATAAATAGCTTATGATTCTATTGCTTCTAAAAGCAAATTCCAAGAGTTTAACAAAAAACAAGGAAGAATTGTTTGAGGAATTAAGCACGAAAAATATTCAAGGGGAAAAATTAAGTCTTCAGTATGACGCTTTGCAGACTATTTAATCACCAGTAAGGCAAAATAGAGAGGGTAATAGATGAAATGCTGATTTTTATAAGTCTACGAATTTAGGGCGTAGCCTGTTATGAATAAGAAAGCTTTTAACCTATCAGAGTATAAAGCAACCTAGCATAACAAGAAACAGTCCCTTTAAAAGAGCTAAAAATCTCTTTATGAGGCATCGTAAAGCTGCAAAGTGTACTTAGGCGCTATATAGATCACCCAAAAAATCAAAAGTATTAACCTAACAAAGTCAGTTGAAGTGTTTCTGCCCCTTCAGATTCAAATACTCACTCCCCCCCCTCCGTGAGCAAACAAAAAAATCTTGTTCGCACAGAGGGAGTTATTTTTTTTTTAAAAAAAATTAAATATAAATTTTATAGAATTTTTTTTTCTCGAAATTTAAAAAAATCCTAATTCGCAAAAATTGGAAAGTAAATATTAATTTAATTTATAAAATTTATGTTTTAAAAGCAATGTGTTTAAAATTTAAATAGAATTAGCTTATATATCAAAATTTTTTTCTATATAGAAAATTTTTTAATTAAAAAAATTTTTGTTGGCTCACGGAGGGTGTGTTTTTGGGCAAAAAATAATAGGGATTTTTCTAATGATTTGTTTGCTCACAGAGGGGAGGGAGTCAGTAAAAGTTAAAACTAATTATTTTCTTGCAAGTGAAAATATTGTAAGATCTAGCATAAAAGAAATCACTGACTACTCATCTTGCATTTTCAAGACCAGGACCATTTACAGTAAAAGAGCCTTTTAAAGATAGCGAGCATAGAACCAAGTATGTGCCTGTCGAATGGAAAACTGGGCATACTCCCCATTAATTAAATAATTAAAATTTAGTTAATTTAGCATATATATTCGAGAATTAAACAATAATTATCAAAGACACGGCTTTGGTGTCCATGATGGGCTTCGATATAATGGATTTTGGTTAAACGACAAAGTAAATTTAAAAGGTAGACTGATCAATGGGGTTGGAGAAATCTATAAAGGTGAATGAAAAAACGACAAAACCCACGGCTTTCGAGTCTATGTCTATATGAACGGAGCTATATTGGAAAGATGCTAAACAGGGAACACCTAGACCAATCGGGCAATTGCCTAGCGTGAAACTGGGAGTTACACCCCAGGACTTGAATTTTTCCTTTTTGCCGATAGGTCACCAGAAATTCAATTTTTGGTGGTCAACTTCGTATACCCAAGCAGCATGCCGCAGAAGTCCATAGCCCGCCCACTCAACACTCAAGCCGCAAGGAGAGGAGTAGACGTCCAGGCGAAATCTCACTTCAGAATTGCCAGGCCCATCAGGAGCTGAAGAAGGAGAAAGGTAGTATCCGAGCTGATTCTTGGGCCAGCGAACCATTACCCCAATCCGGACAAGGTGGAACCGAAGACGGCGCAAAGCAGGTGAATCCAGCAATGGGGATCCGTGGTGACTGCGTAATCAAAACGGCAGACGCCTTCTAATTTCTAAGTAAGTAAGTAAGTAAGTTTAAAATTTAAACAAAATTAGCTCGAGATTCATTATACTAATTATCACTTATATATCAAAATTTTATTTGTAAAAAATTTTTCTATTAAAACAATTTTTGTTCACTTAATGAAGGTGGGTTTTTGGAAAAAAATAGGGATTTTTTCTAATGGTTTTGTTCGCTCACGGAGGGGGGAGTAAACAACAAATGGAGAAGGCACTGAAATTTGGCAGAGCACGATACCAAGGAGAATATGCAGGCGGAAAGAAACAAGGGAAAGACAGATTTGAATGGGCTGGGGGATTTTTATAAAGGTCAGCTTAAAGATTATGGTTTTCATAGGGCGAGGATTTATATGAGGAGTGACGGTAGAAAATATTTAGGAAAATAGATACTCCATAATACATTTATTATAAAATTTATTATTAATGAATGCAGAATTTATTATAATAAAAAATATATAGTAAAATGGAAGGGATCGGAACTTTTATGGAATGACATATAAATGAAGATATGTTTTATGATAAAAAATAAGGATATGGAGTACTTGGGTGCCTGATGGAAGAAAATATGAAGGAGGCTGGTATAATGGAAAACAGCATGGACGGATTTTATTAGAAGTAAAAGAGAAGGATAATGGAAAGATGGTCAAAGAATGAAATGGATGACTTATGATCTAGATAGTAATATTTCAATAGGAAAATTAATTATTTAATGTATTTGATAAATTTTATTTAAGCACAAATTTTATTAGGCATAAACTATCCTTTTTTATAATAATCTAAATTTAATATTTTTTATGTAAACTATTTAAATGCCTATACAAAACCTTATTTTCTATAAAATAAACTGCCAAAAAGGATAAAACTATTATAATATTTTAACAGCTATGGGAAATTACACTTGCCTCACATATCGAGACGAAAACGAAAAATTTATTACAGAAAGTTTCCAAGAAATGCAAAGACCTTCCATAAGCCCAGCCTCGAACAAGAATTTCCATGCGACGATGATAAAAAGCCTCAAAACTGAAATTCAAATCAGCAAGCTGGAAATCGTCCATCTCCAAAGTGTCCTCCGTGGCTATTTAGATCGTAAAATAACTCAAATCATCAGCAGGACAAAACCAATAAAAGCACAAAATAGCTGAGACTCTCCCCTACTTAAGCATTTTTTCCCTCCTTCTCTGCCCATATTACCAGATCTTTTTTAAAAGAAATCCCAAAAGAAGAAGTCCCTGATTACTCAACAGCTGTTGACAGAGCTAACTAGAGCCTTATAAAATTGATGAGCTATTTCCTGAAAATGAGCCAAGAATGAAGTGCAACCGAGTCGAGTTGGAAAATGGATCTATTTATATAGGAGAATGTTATAAAAAACGCCAAAGGCACGGGTTTGGGCTGCAGCTGTTTACTGATGGGTCTCAATATGAAGGGTATTGGATAAAAGATAAAGCAAACATAAAAGGAAGATTAGTCCGTTACAATGGAGATATCTTTAGAGTAATCAGTGCACTTTCCCTGTATTCTCCTTCTTCCTCATCACCTTCTTCTCGTTCAAAATCTTATTTAATCATTTTCTGAGAATTTATCAGCATCGTCCAAGAATTTCTCATCCAGAATAAGCTGTCATAATCATCATCATCATCTAAACCCTATCTGTAATAAGATTCCTCGCCAGTGCCAAATCTTGGTCTATAAGCCCAGGGCGCCTTGTGACTTCATTTCTGCTCCATTACAAAATAAAGTAGGATATGAATAGTTCAAATAAATATTTAGAAGACGTATTTTAATTAATAAGAGAGCTTTAAAGAGCACTATAAATATATAATAAACTATTAAAGGAAAATATGCCTATGCTATATCTTAAGAATCTAATCAGATAAGGTTAAGAATATAAAATATAATCGAGCTGTTAGGATTATAATTTTTATCTGGGGAAATAAACTTTAAATAAGAAAAGAAATAATAGCTTATTATGATTCTATAATTATGTCTGGAAGATGCTTCAAAGATGGCTGTACAAAGCAGCTTTATGGGAAATGTGAATGCGAAGGCATTGTCTTATTTTGCAAAGCGCACAGCCTTGAGCATTTAGAAAAACCAACTTCTAAAGGGCACCGTTGCCTAAGACTATACTTTAAGCCAGCAGAAGAAATTAAGCAGCCAATTATTGATAAACTAATAGCACTCAAAGAAGATATCAAAAACTACAAAATTGGCGCACTAATCAACGCAAATACAATTATCAAGAATTTCAATACTACGCTTGGAATATATATTGATCAGATTAATAAAGCAGAAGCAAGAATCAATAAAGTGCTTACAATTTTATATAGTGGAGATGAAGTTCTTGATATTGCTAAAGATGATGATATGGAAAGCGTGCTTAAATTAAATGCTTCAGATGCCCGGTGTAAGATGAATGGATGAGATATAAAAGAGTGTTACCTAGACTATAAAGATATTAATGCAGCAATTAGCAAAACTTATGAAAAACCTTTTAATCCTTTTATGTATGATATAGAAAATATGATCATATCAAGCGAGCTCTCATTTTTTAGGAATAATTCTTCAAATTTTGCAACTATAAATTTAGATACCTTCCAGATTTCTTCTACTGCAACTCTTCCAACTCAAGAATCAATTAGCGCATACACTACAAACTGTATACTTCCTGATTATACTTATTTCTATTGTTGCAATAACACTAGTTCAGGCTTAGTGTTTACTATTGACAAAAATAAAAATGTTAAATATCTCCAAAATTCAAAAGTAAATCATTATGCTCATCCTATCTTTTATAATAACTTCATCTATTTAATTGGAGGAAATAATAAATTGGCTGAAAGGTATGATTTTAAACGAAACGTGTGGGAAAGCATGGCTCCACTACCTCAAGGTTTTAATTTTGGAATTAGTTGCAATGCTTTATATAGAGATTTGATTCTTATAACGAGCTATTATATTCAAAAAATTATATTCCTAATTAAAACTTTCACCGTCTTACTATTCATTATATAGAAAAAAAGATAATCAGTATAAAACCTTTATTCAATATAAAAGGGTATAATTTATAGCATAACTCAAAACAACTACCAAGAAGTCCCCAATTTGCTGTTAAATGGCAATTATCATAAATTTATGCTGAGAGGGAATAAAAGAGTTTATTTATTTGAGAAAGGGGGAAGGACTTTTGAAAGTGCTGAAAACAATGTTTTTAGTTGGACTCAAATAGGGACTAATAGCATCACAGGAGATTTAAATCAATCAAGTGCTGTTCGCTATAGCGTAGGGACACTTTTAGCGTGCCCTTAAGCTTTTGCTTCTTCAGCAACTTTGAGTTGACTGGCCACTTGAAGATTGCAAGCAAAACCTGCAAGTTGCTGAGGAAGTGCATGCATAATGACACGCTAAACCAGTCCCTAGTATATATAAGGGTTGCCTTTACTTCGTTGTTTATCCAAATCAGCTGTGGAAATTCGATCTTGGTTCTAAGCAAGCATCTCAAGTCGCAACAGTCTAAAATAAAAATTTAGAACTTTAATAACTTTCTATACTCTTAAACAAAATGGTAGTGTAGTAAATCTATTCTCTCACTATAGGTTTAGAGTTTAGCTAACTTATTCCTAAAACGTATAATACAAGTAAAATTGTGGTATCATCAATAAATCTGCTTAAGCATGTCCTGAATTAGAAGACTAATATTGCGCAGGGAAAGGTTCCATAAAGTCTATCAGGTCTTATATCAGCTAGGTTTTAACACCAGAAAATTTATGTCAAAGTTTAGGGTATAACAAAGTTTCCACTTTTCTCATTACATAGCGCCAATCCTGAAGATGGCAGCAGGTAGCTGGTGGCGAAGAGCGGAGAAAATTATCTTCGGGTAATCACAGAAGCTTTTCAAACAATCTAAATTAATTTTAATAGACCCTCTTCGCTACTAAACATTGAATTTACTTAAAAACATCAATTGGAGAAGGTTTTTAAAACAAATGGAAATAAAGCATATGAAAATGCTAATTTTTAGGAGAAATACACTTGTTCAATATTTTCTCAGCATTAGTTTTAAAATCTTATAATATGTTTTGAGGACTTTTTAATGATGTGCCATTATTTAAGCATAAATAATTAATACTTTTGAGTTTATAATGATTGCTCATCGATTTAGCCCAGTTGAGAACAAGAAGCCCTAAGCTATAAAGTATATCCTTTAAAAACAAATTAACCCCCTCCTTGAACGAACAAATTGTTTTGTTCGCTCGCTGAATCGGGGGAGTTAAAAGAAAAGCTCGAAACTCAAGTATAAAATTTTGATTATTTAAAAAGCTTACTGAAAATTCGAAATAAGTAAATATATTAATTCAATTAAATTGCTTCAGAATAATAACTTAAAATTATATTGGAAAGCATAACAGAAAACGCTATAGAAGTCTAGGGAACTAGATTTTCGAATAAAGCCAAAGTCAGAAAAATCCTTGCAGGTGAGAAAGCTAGCAGTTTTTCGTTGTTTATTTAGGAGATCTCTTATGCTCATTTTATTATATTTGGTCTTTTAAAGCTTGGAATAATAGCGATTTAATATATTTCGTTTAATTGCTGAAAATAGCATTCGTATATTATATAACTCCCTTCACCCTCTGTGAGCAAGCAAAATCATTGGAAAAATCCCTATCTTTTGCCCAAAAGCCCATCCTATATAAGTGAGAAATATTTTTTAATAAAATTATTTTGAAAAATTTTTATATATAACTCCCCCCCCCCTCCGTGAGTGAACAAAACCATTAGAAAAATCGCTATTTTTTGCCAAAAAACCCACCCTCCGTGAGTGAACAAAAATTTTGTAGCAGAAAAATTTTTTATGGAAAAAAAAATTGATATATAAATGATAATTAGTATAATGAAATCTAGAGCTAATTCTGTTTAATTTCAAACGAATTGCTTTTTAAAAACATAAATTTTATAAATTAAATTAATATTTGCTTTCCAATTTTTGCGAATTAGATTTTTTTTAATTTCGAAAAAAAATATTTTTTATAAAATTTATATATAATTTTTTTAAAAAAAAAAATTAACCACCCTCCGTGAGTGAACAAAATTTTTTTTGTTCACTCACGGAGGGGGGAGTAAGTGATAAAATTTTCAACTAATTTCGTTTCATTTTAAACAAATAGCAATTTAAAAACCTAAAGTTTAGGATAAATAAATGATTGGTTTCCAATTTTTGCGAATTTTTTTAATTTCAAAAAAAATTTTCTATAAAATCTATATGTAAATTTTAAAAAACTCCTTCCGTGAGCGAACAAAATTTTTTGGTTCACCAACGGAGAGAGTGGAATATAAATTTAAGAGATAATTTCCAAATTTCTGCTATATCCCATATAGCTTGGCTTTTAGTATGCAAACCTCTGAATAAATATCCTGGATCTCTGTTTATATATAATTTTAATTTGCATAATCTCGATTAATACTATTATTGATGGCTTTTGCTGGCATGTCTGGGTCTGCTAAATTTCTGTTTGAAAACTAACCCCAATATAATTTAAAAAAAAATTTTTAAAACAATAGGCATAAATATTATACAATTATTCAGTAGTCCATGCTCTTATTATCCCATCTTTCCACTCAACTTTCTTTTTCACTCCTTTAGCTATATACCAGCTCATCCCATTCTCTTCGTCATTATACCAGTTTCCTTCATACTTTCTTCCATCAGGCCGCTCTAAAACTCCAAATCCTTGCTTTTTATCATTAGCATACTCCCCAATATATGATCCTCTATCAATCCATGTAAAATGCCCTGCCCATGCAGTTTATTATTTGCCCATTCTCCTATAGATCTTATTTTCCGACCACGTCATATATTTTTTTTTACCTGAATATCCCCTTTCCAAATTCCCCACCAAAAATAATCAAAAACAATCACAAAGTATGTGAAACCCCCCATTCCATGATATTTATTATCCTTAAAATGCTCTTCATAGGAACTTCCATCCTCCAATTCATATTTTCTAAACTCATGCCTTAGGCCACTTAAATACTCTCCATGATATTTTCATCCATTAGGCTGATACTCAGTCCCTGTGTCATTTTGTTCATCAGTTTTTCAGTTAATTCATATCTTGCCCCGCAAATATATGCATAAATTCCGTATCCACAAGCCTTGTCATTCTTCCTCTCGCCTTCATAGACATCTCAATTGACACGGACTAATCTTCCTTTTATATTTGCTTTATTTTTTATCAAATACCCTTCATATTGAGAACCATCAGTAAACAGCTGCAGCCCAAACCCGGGCCCTAGGCTATTTTTATTCCAATTCTCCAATATAAATAGCTCCATTTTCCAAATCGACTGGGTTGCGTTTTAGGCTTTTTGTCGTTGCATGGGAGTTCTCAAGTAGATTTTTCGTTTTCATCTGGACATATGAGGCAAGAGTAATTTCCCATAATTCTTAAAATATTAAAACAGTGTTATCCTTTTTGGCAGTTTATTTTATAGAAAATAAAGACTTTGCATAGGCACTTAAATAGTTTGCATAAAAAATATTAAATTTAATTTATTATAAAGAAGGATAATTTATTGCCTAATAAAATGTGTGCTTAAATAAAATTTCTCAAATACATTAAATAATTAATTTTCCTATTGATATATTACTTATCTAAATTATAAGTCATCCATTTCATTCTTTGGCCGTCTTTCCATTCTCCTTCTCTTTTACTTCCTATCGAAGTATAATAAAACTCGTTCATGCTGTTTTCCATTATATCAGCCTCCTTCATATTTTCTTTCATATGCCACTCAAGCACTCCATACTCTTGTTTTTTATCATCAACATATGCTTCTTCTCATAACATTCTGTCATCCGCGTAAAAGCTCCGGCCCCTTCCATTTTGCTATGTATCTTTTATTATACTAAATCCTGCATTCCTTATATAAAAAATTGTATAATAAATGTATTATGGATTATCCACTCTCCTACATATTTTCTCCCGTCACTCCACATATAAATCCCTACCCCATGAATGCCATTATCTTTAAACTCGCCTTCATAAATGCGACCACCAGCCCATTGAGATCCACCTCCTCCTTTTTTCTTTCCATCTACATATTCTCCCTGGTATTGTGCTATGTCAAGCTTCAGTGCCTTCTCTATGCTGTTTATCATAGACACAGACTCCAGAGCCGTGGGCTTTATCGTCTTTTCAGACTTCTCCATCTCCATGGATCAGTCTTCCTTTTAATTTGCTTTGCTGTTTAGCCAAAATCCATCTTATCGAAGCCCATCATGGACACCAAAGCTGTTTCTTTGATAATTATCGTTTCATTCTCTAATATATATGCTAAATTAATATTATTTTATAGGGAATGTAGCTCTGTTTTCCATTTCTACAGGCTCATGCTTGGTTCTAGACTCACTATCTTTAAAAGGCTCTTTTACTGTAAATGGCCCTGATCTTGAAAATGCAAGTATAGCAGTCACAGTTGAGTAGTCAGATATCTGGCTTTCAGGGATTTCTTTTATGCTAGATCTTCCAATGTTTTCACTTGAGGAAAAATTTAGTTTTAGCTTTATACTGGTAATGTGGATCTGAAGGAGCAGAGTAGGCTTTACTAGGAGCAGCCTCGGTGAATTTCGCTTCAATTGATTATTTTAGGCTAATTTTTGCGATCTATTTTGTGTCTAATGACACTTTGCAGCTATAGGAGATTTTTATTTCTTTTAAGGCAACTTTTCTTGAAATGCTAATCTATTAGTCCCTATTTGAGTCTAATTTAAAATATTGTATTCAGAACTTTCAAAAATTTTTCCGCCTTTCTCAAATGCATAAGCTTATTATTTCTCAACATAAATTTATGAGAATATGCATTTGGAAACTTTTTGTTTTATTTTGAGGTATGATATATATAAATTATGATTTTTTTGATATAATAGCTTGTTATAAGGATCAGATCTCTATATAAAGCATTGCAGCCATAACTAAAATTCAAACTTTAAGGTATGGAGCCATTCTTTCCCATGAGTCTTGCTTAAAATAATATCTCTCAGCCAAGCTATTCTTTCCACCTAATAAATAGATAAATCTATTATGAAATATCATATCAACATAGCAAATCACTTTTAATTTTTAAAGCTATTTAGCATTTTTATTTTGTCAATTGTAAAAGCTACCCTGAAATAATATTATTAAAGCAATAAAAATAAGTATAATTAGAAGTATGCAGCTTCTGGTGTATTTGTGAATTGGCTCTTGAGTTGAAAGGGTTAAGTATAAGATAATTAGTAGAGAAAAACTTTTTTAGGGCAAAGCTCTGGCTTTGAGCCAAAGTGGTAAACTGCTTGGAATCCTTTCGGTAGGAATATACTGTTGAGTTCTGCAATTCTCACTACTATTAATATAGAGTCTAAATCACTAGGCCATTTTTTTAATTATTATCTATTCCAAAAACTTAGGCTCGGCCTTTTTATCAGGTTTGTGAGCTAGTTATCATATGATTTTTAAGTAGTTTCATTCAAGAAAACTTTTAAAAGTAGTGAATGTGAAAGGCTAAGAGTGATTATGAGCTGATCCCAGCCCCAGACAAGTAGATCTCATACTTTTAGGAAGTCCAAGTAGGGTTTACCTTATCAGGATACCAAGGCAGGCTTTTTCTCAGCACGCAGACAGCATAGCGAAACTGCAAAATAGGCTCAAACTTCTGGAAGCAATTAGTGCCTGAACAAGGGCAAGGTACCTATGGCCTGAAGCCAGTGAGGACGGATAGGGGATGAAATAACTCCCAATGACCCACTACAATTTAACTTAATCTTAATCGTTCGTGAACCGATTTTCTCTTATTGCAGAAAGGGTCTACGAACTCTTAGCATTCACGAGAGATATTTTATAGTAGCCATTTTATTTAGAAAGTGTTACTGTAGAAGAAATCTAAGTTTATAGGATGCATAAAAGATGAAAGCTCATTTGATATAATAGCATTTTCTCTGTATTGCCTAAAGGGATTAAAATTTTTTCATAACTTTTGCTAATTATTGCATTTATAACTTTATAATCTTATTCCCCCCTTTAAATTGGACCAAACAATCTTTTAAATTTTGGGGGTTATTTTTTTTTTAAAAAGATATAAAAATAGAATGCAACATTTTCATTTTTAATTTAAATATAATTCAATTCAGTGTGCCAACTGTTTAAATGGCATTCTACTTGCACTCACTCCACTAACTGATTCAAATTCAATAATTTAGCTTAATATTAGGTTAAATTAGATGGTCTTCAAAGCATCATTCATGCGTATAAACATTTTAGAAAGAGCTAGCAGCTTTCATTTGAATCTTTACCACTTCTCTAGCAAATACTGCATCTCTTCAATTTGCTAGCTTGCAAAGTTGATGCTTGCCTTGAAGATTTTCTTTCGAAAAGCCAGCAAGACTTTCAGCTAAGTTTAATTGAAATTAATAATATACGTTAGCTTCAATGCGCTTTCATGTCTTTCTTCAATAATTAATGAATAATAACTAATCGAATACTACTATTTCGAGAAGATATTTAAATAAAAAAATGTTTCCATCATTCTTAAAGCAATTATGATATCCACAGTAAAGCAATTGCTCGTCAAAAATATCAGCAACTCTTATATAAAGATTTTATTTGGATATTGCTTGGGATTTTCCTTTACTTCAGTAGTCCGCTAACTATGAATTATTCTGGTTTGGAAATAACTTGGCAGTAGCGTAGCAATCTTTTATCCTTTTAGAGGAATAATACATATATAGATCTCTGCAAATATGTAATTCTTGCTTATTTGATTTTTCATTATATTTAGTTAGATTAGCGGTAGCTTTTCTAATAGTTCAAGTATATTATTTCATTAATTGTAAAAATCTGAAATGCTGGAAGTGGAGAATAAAGATTATCCATAAATTCGGTTTTTTTCAAAGCCTTCAACAGTTTTTCTATTTTGAACTCCTCCTGTTTAGAACCTGTAAAGTTTTATGATCCAGACAATATCCTGCAGTTGACTCGCATAATGGAAAAGTTGTGCAGCCTCATTTTGTTGGCTTCAATCGAGTATATTGTTTAGATCTACTTTCCAGTAAATCCAAGCACTGATTTGTCTATTGATAGATGATTGCTGAATTTTCACTGATAACTCTCTTATTCTTGATAATTTATCTTCTTTGAATACTAACCCAGCTGCTAAATATCTTTCAATTGCTTCAAAACGATTAATGCCCTTTGCTCTTTTTTATTAAATTGATTTGAATATGCATTTTGCTATATTCAAGAAGCTAGCAATTCCCATGATAATAATGCCTATATTTGAGCAATTCAATTTCACTCAATTCACGTCAATTTTGATATAGTTCCTTAAGTTTTCCGCTACGTCTTTTGTTTTTAAATGCTCGGCTTTTAATTATACAATATCCTGGAGCACTTCACTAGTAAAAATTAATTGAATATTTAGTGATTTAATAATTTTCTAGGACTCTTATATTTGGCTTATCGCAATTACTCATTTTTTCAAAATATTAGGCTGAACTTCCTTCCAACTTTGAAATTCACTATCTAGAGGCTGCATATAGCTATTTTAATGGGTATGCATCCATTTATTATTATAGCCCTAAAAAGCTATATACTTATGAAGCTATATAGAGCATATACAAATTTGATAGAAATATGCACACAACATGCTAGAATCACTTACATTAAATAAAATTAGACTAATTACTGTGCTGAAAATCAAACTGCTTAGTCTTATTGCGATTCTTGGCTCTATATATGAAGTGTAATGAGAAAAGTGGTAACTTTGTCATACCCTAAACTTTGACATAAATTTTATGGTGTTAAAACCTAGATGTTATAAAGCCCTGACAGACTTGATTGACCCTCTTCAATGTTAGGGCATGCTTTTAAGCAGATTTATTGATGATACCACAATTTTACTTGTATTATACGTTTTAGGAGTAAGTTAGCTAAACTCTAAACCTATAGTGAGAGAATAGATTTACTACACTACCATTTTGTTTAAGAGTATAGAAAGTTATTAAAGTTCTAAATTTTATTTTAGACTGTTGCGACTTGAGATGCTTGCTTAGAACCAAGATCGAATTTCCACAGCTGATTAATACAAACAACGAAGTAAAGGCAACCCTTATATATACTAGGGACTGGTTTAGCGTGTCATTATGCATGCACTTCCTCAGCAATTGCAGGTTTTGCTTGCAATCTTCAAGTGGCCAGTCAACTCAAAGTTGCTGAAGAAGCAAAAGCTTAAGGGCACGCTAAAAGTGTCCCTACGCTATAGCGAACAGCACTTGATTGATTATAATTTCTATAAATGCTATTAGTCCCTATTTGAGTCCAACTAAAAACATTGTTTTCAGCACTTTCAAAAGTCCTTCCCCCTTTCTCAAATAAATAAACTCTTTTATTCCCTCTCAGCATAAATTTATAACTCGCATTTAACACCAAATTGGGGACTTCTTGGTAGTTGTTTTGAGTTATGCTATAAATTATACCCTTTTATATTGAATAAAGGTTTTATACTGATTATCTTTTTCTATATAATGAATAGTAAGACGGTGAAAGTTTTAATTAGGAATATAATTTTTTGAATATAATAGCTCGTTATAAGAATCAAATCTCTATATAAAGCATTGCAACCAATTGTAAAATTAAAACCTTGAGGTAGTGGAGCCATGCTTTCCCACACGTTTCGTTTAAAATCATACCTTTCAGCCAAGTTATTTCTTCCTCCAATTAAATAGATGAAGTTATTATAAAAGATAGGATGAGCATAATGATTTACTTTTGAATTTTGGAGATATTTAACATTTTTATTTTTGTCAATAGTAAACACTAAGCCTGAACTAGTGTTATTGCAACAATAGAAATAAGTATAATCAGGAAGTATACAGCTTGTAGTGTGTCCATGAATTGGTTCTTGAGTTGGAAGAGTTGCAGTAGAAGAAATCTGGAATGTATCTAAGTTTATAGTTGCAAAATTTGAAGTGGAATTCCTAAAAAATGAGAGTTCATTTCATTCAATGATATCTTCTATAGGTTGCATAAAAGGATTAAAAGGTATTCCATAAGTTTTACTAATTGCTGCGTTGATATCTTTATAGTCTAGGTAGCACGGCCTTATATACCACCCAATCATCTTGTACTGAACATCTGAAGCATTTAATTTAAGCACACTTTCCATATCATCATCTTTAGCAATGTCAAGAACCTCTTCTCCACTATATAAAATTGTAAGCATCTTATTGATTCTTGCTTCTACTTCATTAATCTGATCAATATATCTTCCAAGCGTAGTTTTAAAATTCTTGATAATTGTATTTGCGTTGATAAGTGCGTCGATTTTGTAGTTTTTGATATCTTCTTTGAGTGCTATTAGTTTATCAATAATTGGCTGCTTAATTTCTTCTGCTGGCTTAAAGTAAACTCTTAGGCATCAGTGTCCTTTAGAAGATTTTTTTTCTCAGTGCTCAAAGCCATGGTCTTTGCAAAATAAGGTAATGCCTTCGCATTCACATTTCCCATAAAGCTGGTTTGTACAACCATCTTTGAAGCATCTTCCAGACATAATTATAGAATCATAATAAGCTATTATTTCTTTTCTTAGTTAAAGTTTATTTCCCCAGGTAAAAATTATAATCCTAACAGTTCTATTATATTTTATGTTCTTAGTGCTTATTTTAATTTGTTTTATAGTTCTAAACTGGTTTATTTCTCGTGAATGGATTTTAATTTGGTGCAGAAATTGCCACAGAAAACCATAAAAATCATGTGGTAGCGCACATGTGTACTAATTGATTGTACCTCAAATAAGATTTTTTATGAATTAGTTGATACAAGTTTGCTTGATAGTTAGTATCTATGATAATTTTTCAGAAGTGAAATTTTAATACAGTGATTCTAAGTTTAAAGTAATAAAGGATATGCTTTAGATGAACTTGGAAGACACCCAGAAGCAGTAGAAAGCTATGATAAGGCAATCAAAATCAATCCAAATAATGCCAAATTTTATAATCGCAAAGGCAATAATCTTTATATTTTAGAGAGGTATCAAGAAGCAATAGAATGCTATGATGAGGCAATCAAACTTGAACCTAATAATCCTTTGCATTTCTGCAACCGAGCTAGAGTATTTAATAATCTCAGACAAGAAGAAGCAGCTTTGCAGGACTTTAATAGGGCTTATAATTTGAAGCAAGAAAATCAAGTAAGTGGTTTTTCACTGGGGATGAATGAAACCTTCCTGAAGAAGAAATCAATTTTATTAATGACGCATTAGGCCGAGACCGTATTGAACTACTCCAAAAAATGCAGATTTAAAATAAAATAATAAGCAGTCATTATACTAATTATATATACCCCGAGCCTCACTTGGCTCAGGCTATAAAGCATATGCAATGTTTGAGTTAGAGCACAATCCTGAAGTTAATTGAATATGTATTCCTGCTCACCTCTCCTTTATCTTTGTCCTGTGATTTCACTTCGTGGACATTTCTGGCAAGGGTCATACCTTTGAAAGAGTTTTTGTAGAGCCGTTTAAAGTGACAAAAGAAGAATTTTTAGATTTTTTACAAAAGAGTAGTCAAAAAATAGCAAGCTGAAGGGAAAAGTCCTAGCATCCTTTAGCTAACGTTTAGTTGAATCAAGAAACGGCTCAAGAGCTTTTGGAATCGGGTTCAGATGAACTAAACAATTATTTACAAAAATTTCATATGCCTCCTTTAAATGAATAATTTTTTTCTAGGATTTTGCTTATTTCTTGGATATTAACTAAGCTTTCTTGCGTTGTAGAAAACTGAATTCAGCTTTAGCTTGGAATTTTCTTAATTTTCCAATAATTTCTCGATGCTCTATTTCTTTTTCAGTAAAATCTTTTCTTTGACAATAAATCTTGAGTAAGTCTAGGCATCCTTTCTCTCTATTCATTAATAGCTCCAAAGTCTGTAATGCTTTCTTTGATTGGTACCCCTCCGTGGTCTTTATGTGGTTGTTTTTTAATAAGTCTACTTTCATATTTTCATGATGCATTTTTACCTGCTCTTCCTTAAGCTGGAAACTTAATTTTTTAACTCTTCCAGGTCTTTCGACTTCTTACCGACGGTCTTTATGAGCTGCTCCTGGTTTCGATTTCTTTCAATAAAGGATCTTTTTTATTTTTTGGAAGACCTTTTCTATTAAAGTGGCTGTATACGTTAAGATTAACTTTGTTGCCTCATTTTGCGGCTCAAAATGTTTAAATTGATTTAAATTTGACCCATATTAAGATTAAGTTTAAGTAAGTCATTTGTCCTAGACATGGCGGGGATTTCCATTCCTGCATGCGGCAGACACCTCGCCACCGCAGACAAGGGATTCGCATGACGGATCTTGATTTCCATGACTCCTAGAGCAACGGGCGATCACCTGGATTGAAAATACCAATTTATCGTTAGGCAGATGCTACCTCTTGAGCTGTTAGATGATATTTATCGTCCACTCAGAGATTTTGCTGGTCCTGCCCTATCCAATGATAATCTCGGAGGTAAAACTCAGAGTCCCAGGAACCAGCTCTCTAGGGCTCGGAAAAACCTGACCCGATATAAACAAAGGATTACGGTCTCCTTCTGCCCTTCACCTCCACACTGGGCCGTTGCCTGCTTTTGTTGAAGAAAAAGGTCAGGAGGTGGATGGTCTGTTGTAACAATTTTTATGTATATATTTGACCTATTTAATTATCAATAGCGTCATAACTTAAAAGATCTAAATCGCTTATAATAGTTCAATAACTCATATTAGCAATTGCATAAATATAACTGTTTTAGTTTGATATTTTCAGTTATAATTAAAAACTTATTTAATTTGAAATGCTGAAAATAGGATTAAATACATTCATCGTTAAATCGCATTGCTTTTATCAAATAGCTAATTATTTTTGAAAGAGGCCTAAAAGGACTTATAAACGCTATGAAAAATCAGCAAATAAGTGCTGTAGCAGCATTTATAGAGAGCAATAGTTTAAATAAATTTTTTAACATCTTTGCTATAAAATGATAGAGCTTTTTATATACCACTTTTTCTTCTTTAAATCTATAGTAATTGCCCGAGGATGGCGCTATCTTGCGTCATCCTCGGGCAATTACAATATACTTTATGAACTTGATACATAAAAATGGTGACGACACCACCCGACCTCTCGACCCTATTTCCTCAACACCAGCAGGCAACGGCCCAGTAATAGGAATTTAGGGGAAAGGGGTTGGGTCGGTAATCCTTTAAGTATACCGGCTAGGTTTTACTTGTGCCCAGGGAGCTAATCCATGGGACTTGAGGTTTTACCTCCAGAGCAGCCGTTGGAAAGGGCAAGGTCGGTTAATCCCTGAAGGGCAATGACCCTTTTAGGCCCTGAAGACGGTATTTGCCTAACGAGAAACTGGGAGTTTCGACGCAGGTGATTGGCCCTTAGGCTCCAGAAACGATGAAATTCAAGATAGGTCGTGCAAATCCCTTGTTTGCAGCAACAAGGAGGGTGTCCGTCGAGCTTCTTTGGAGGGATGAACGTGTAGGGGTGGAAATCCCCAACCCTGCTATAGAAAATTCCTGGGGATAGCGCGGAATACGCTATCCCCAGGACCAACCGGGATCGGATCCCACATGGAACGAGGGTTCCATGTGTGGATCCATTTTTCACACGTGAAAGTAAATATCTCACATGTAAAAAATGGATCCACACATGGAACTCCCGTTCCATGTGTGAATCCGATCCCGGTTGGTCCTGGGGATAGCGTATTCCGCGCTATCCCCAGGAATTATCTATAGATGAACGGTATTAATAATCATAGTCATACTTTATAAATTTAAGGTTATCTAATAAATGTGCAAGAATATTTATCATTATTTTTATTTAGGGGTCTTACCTCGTTTAACCAGTTCGATTTTTCTATAATCTGTCATAGTCACTATCTTTATTTATTTTCCTTACCCAAAATGCATAAAGTTTCTTTTTGATAAATAATTTTCTTTGACTCTTTTGTTGCACTATAAAATATGGCATCAGGCAGGAAACATTTGTTGAAAGTAATCATCTTAGTCCTTCCGTGAGCGAAGAAACAAAATTTTGTTCGCTAACTGAGGGACTTAATTGTTTTTTTATATATAAATTTTATAAAAATAAAGTTTTCAAATTTAAAAAACTTTATTTGCAAATTTGGAAGGCTAATTTAATTTGTAAAATTTATGTTTTAAAAGCAATTTGCCAAAATTAAGCAGAGTTAGCTTGAGATTTCATTATATTAATAATCACTTATATATCAAATCTTTTCTCATAAAAATTTTTTGTTTGCTTACATGAGGGTGGGTTGTGGTGAAAAAATAGGTGGTTTTGTTCGCTCACGTAGGGGGAGCTAGGAGACTCAGCGTAACCACTACTTAGAGTTGGCAAGACTTCTCTCATGAACCAATACGTAAACAAGCGTTTTACCCAGCAATACAAAGCCACAATTGGCGCCGATTTCCTCACCAAGGAAGTAATGATTGATGATAAACTCGTAACTCTTCAGATCTGGGACACAGCCGGCCAAGAACGTTTCCAAAGCCTTGGAGTTGCGTTTTACCGAGGTGCTGACTGTTGTGTAATGGTATATATCCATTTATAATATCTTAAAAAAATACACTAATTAGCCATAGTCCTATTTTGTATAAAAATAAAATAAAATCTAAGAGTCGGACTATTATAGTCTTTATAAGGTATATGACATAACTTCAAGTAAAAGTTTCGATAATATCAGCTCCTGGAAAGATGAGTTCTTAAGCCAGTCCAACCCTAAAGACCCTGAAAACTTCCCATTTGTGGTGCTTGGGAATAAGCTCGACAAGGAAAGCGAAAGAAAAGTTGCAAACGCCAAAGCTTCACAGTGGTGTAGAGACAATGGAAACATGCCGTTTTTCGAGACCTCAGCTAAGGACGCTATAAATGTCGATGAAGCATTCCAATCAATCGCCAGAAATGCCCTTTCTCAGGTAAAAGAAGAAGAAGAGTACAAGCCAACAATCAATTTGTCAGGAGGAAAGAAAGATAAAGGTCAAAAGAAAGCCTGTTGTTAGGTAATTAAGCAGATTTAGATAAGAATTTAAAATAATTAGAGGTCTTTACTGTTCTCAATCAGGTTGCTGCAGCATCTAAAAGAAGGGGAAGAGGTTGGCTGTATATTTGGGCATAATGATAAGAAGAATTCAGGAATTTTATTGTTTTCTGACGAATTGTGAGTCCAAATATTCAAAAGATATTCTCCTTGCTTATTGGAAATGCTCACGCCGTTGATTGGGAAGTTTTCTAAGGCTGCATCGTATTGCCCACTTACAAGTCCTATAAGAATTTCTTTCCAAACTTGGACCCCATCTTCTTTTTTTATTCGAAGCTGCCAGACTCCTGAGTTTTCAGGATCTTCCCAGATAGGCTTGACTCCTGTCTTCATTATGTGGTAGCCTGATTTATTGCTGAGAGTTGTAAGGACTGGAAGGTTGTTGTAGCAGCCCCAGAATTCTTGGACTGTGTGGAAGGAACAGATTTTATGTAAGGTTTGCTCATAGGATTTGGAGGTTCGTTTTGGGTCACCGTGGTCATACCAAGCGTTCCAGTTATGCTGAAGTTCAAGTGCCATTTTAAATTTAAAATATGAAGATGAATTTTAACTGTTAAAAAGACGATTATTGATATTGATGATTACTCCCCTTAGAGAAAAAAATTATTAGAAAAAAACATTCTGTGAGTGAGGAAAATTGTTTTATATAAATATTTGCAACTTGCAAGATAATATTATATTTTATTCATTTAAACAGATTTGAAACTATATATTATAATTAATTTAATTTTTTATAAATATATATATATTTCCTATATAAAATTTACAAAAAAATTAACTCCGTAAATACATTTATTTCTATTGGCAGGGATGTTAGGAAAAATAAAATAATTTTGCCTGGTTTTTAATATAATTAAAAATATTGATAATCCTTCCTTTTTTCTATTTACTCCCCCCTCTGTGAGCGAACCAAACCATTAGAAAATCCCTATTTTTTTCCCCAAAAGCTCACCCTCCGTAAGCGAACAAAAATTTTTTTAATAGAAGAATTTTTATGAAAAAAAATATTTGATATCTAAGTGATAATTAGTAGCATGATATCTCTAGCAAATTCTTTTAATTTTAAACAAATTGTGTTTAAACATAAATTTTACAAATTAAATTTATATTTGCTTTCCAATTTTTACGATTTAGGATTTTTTTAAATTTCTAAAAAACATTTTTTCTATATAAATTTTTTAAAAAAAAATTATTCACCATTTTGAACGAGCAAGATGTTTTTGCTCGCTCATGGAGAAATGGGGTGTTAAATATTTTTTATACTCTTGATCATTTTTAAGACAGTAAGAAATTAAGTACCGCCAAAGATACGCGAAACTATAAATAGCTAGCCGAAAAATGATTTATAAAATGTCACAAACTAACGAGCCAAAATCTGAAGCACAACAAAGCACCTCAGCTAGTGAATCTAAAATTCACAGAAGCCTAATCTCAAGACCCCTCGCACCTTTTATATAAATTAAATTAAATTTTGACTGATTATAAGCAAGCAAGCCCACTGGCCTTTGCCTCGTCTCGGCTCCAAGAACATCAGTCTCCATCGCCCTCGGAGTTTTAGAGAAAAATAAAAGGCTGCAATTTTGGATTTTTGACCACAAATACCTATCTGGGGACGAGCTTCAATGATAGAGCCATCGTCTATAGAGTGCGCCAATGGCCCTGACAAGGGAAGACCATGTGATAGACAAAACTGTCTAGCCCACCTGGCAGGGAAAACTTCCCTCTTCGACGAGGCATTTCCGAGCCTGAAGGCATAGTCAAAAAGTTGATTTTAGCTTCATCAGGATGGGCCCGACCTGCGCCATAGGGAGAGCGTCTCGGAGACCAATTTCCTAAGCATCACGATTTTATTTCTCACCCTTTTAGGCTTTTTGCAAAGGAAAACTCCGATATCAAAGACACCAAATTCCTCTCCAAGCTCTGGCATGAAATTGACGCTTTTGAAAAAGAAAAGTTCAATGACCTTCACAAGAAACAAAAAGAGGTATATAAGAATATTATAGACCTTACTTCCCAAAAAGAAGCTCTCATAAAACAACTCGAAGAGGTAGAAGCCAAACTTTCTAAAGCCAATGAGTCTTACATTCAAAACCCAAAGCAAGCTGCCCAAAAAACCAAACGCTCCAGGACAACTCCATTCAACTGCTACTACAAGAGTCAGATACTTTCCCTCAAAGAAAAAAAGCCAGAGCTGAAATATAGAGAAAGAGCCAAAGAGTTGAGAGCGGCCTGGAAAGAGATGGGTGAAGAAGAAAGAAAGCCTTATATAGAGCATAATTAATATGCTAGCAGTGACAAAATATGTTCTTGACGACGCACCACTTTTGGATCCAAATCGCTTTATAGCCAAACTAAGGCTCAAGTTTTAATCCTAACCCTTACCTTGTCTAGAGCTGCTATATGGGTGGGTAGGTCTTGAGAGTCTGCTGGAGGCGACTAAGTCCAGGTATAGATATCGGATGTTTTTTGCGCCAAGTACTCTTTCCTGCTCCGAGAGCTAGGATTTTTTTTTTCCTGGGTGTAACCTCACTCAAGGTAGCCGACAAGAAGCATAGGGTTAGCTTTTGTCTCCATAGCACCCGCAAGACGGAAAGTAAGAGGAGACTTCCTTACCCGTTGAGGCTTAATGACATCTGTGCAAGCCCCAGATCCCGGGAGTAGACCGCTGTTAAGACAGGAGTAAGGGAATTGATTTCCTCAAGCCAGCAGGCTCCTGTGATCACAAGTATGCGGAGGTATCTTATCTTATGGTATTTATATCGCTTAACGTCCACTACGGGGTTACAACTCCAGGTTTATCACTCGCCTTTCGTCGCATCGGGCCCACCAGTCTGCTGGAGACAAACTCGCTTTGATCACCAGGGTGCTTCCAGGGCAAATGTCCACGTCTTCGACGGCTCATGGATGAGCTACTTGCTTGTACATGGGTTGCTTTTCCGAAAAACCCAAAAAATGGATTTTTCTGGTCAGCTATCGGCAAAAAGGAAAAATGCAAAGCCTGGGACGTAACGCCCAGTTTCACGCTAGGGAGTTGCCCGAATGGTCCAGTGGACTTTGCTGGGCTTCCCCTTTCCAACCTTGCACCCTCCTTCCCCACGAGGAAAAAAATCCACCCCTGAGATTAGACTAGGGCTAGGCTCTGAAAGCTACCAGAATTGCTTACCTAGCATTGCTGTCCATCTCTGAAATGGTAAAACCTTGCCGGATATAATTAAAATATGAGTCGAGGCTGCATGGCCGGGAGTCGAGGCTGCATGGCCGGGAGGCCATGCCCAGACGAAGACGCCATATTTTAATTATGTATGCGGAGGTATCAAATTTGGAAGTCTTTAAGATCTTTGATTAAATTTATATAGAGCTTGCAAAAGAAGCGAGAAAAGTAACTAGTAATTAATGAATTTTTTGAAAAATAATAATGTCTGAGCAATATATTGACCGATTAGCTATTAAAGATATTGCAGAAATTTCGTCACCTTCAGCATCAAATCATTATTATAATTCGAGATCATATGCAAACGCAATGAGGGCTCTCCATGAAAAAATAAGATCACTAGAGTCAGAGAATGCGCAATTAAAGGATAAAATAGCATCAATAGAGACAAAAAGCAGCTTTGATAGCAAAAAGTGGCAAGAAAGACTGATAGATGAAGCAAAAATTTGAAGTCAAAAAGAGAAATATTTGCAGAGTACAATTTTTGGGCTCGAGCAAAAAATTAAAGAAATGAGCGAAAAATTATCAACCAATGATGAAAAATTGAGAATAAAAGATGATCATATTTGGCACCAGAGCAGTCAAGAGAAAATGAATTATCAGCAATTTAAATTAGATAAAGAAAATTTAAGCTTGGAAATTGAGCATTTGAAAAGACAGTTGGCTAATGAAATCAATGAGCACAAAAATAGCGAAAATATGCTAATTAGGATTGAAAAAGATAAAAAACTGATAGAAGAAGAAAACTCTCAGCTTAGAAGAGCTAACTATATATTGGAAGAAGAAGTCGAATTACTGAAGAAGTCTGCAAAGAACCCAAAAGCAGTAATATTTACTTAGCTATATGAGGATGAGGGCATAAGAGAAAATGATTATATTGAAAAAATAAAAGAGCTGGAATTTAAAAATAAAAGTTTAAATGAAACTGCATCAAATCAAAAACAGCAATTAGAGATATTACAAAAAGAAATCGAAGAAATTTATAGATCACAAAAGACCTCAGCAAATTCCAATGCAGAATCCCTACAAACTCCTTCAAGCAGAAAAGAAATTTCTTCCTATAAAGAAGAATATAAGCTAAGCAGCTCAAAAAAGTCATCTACAAAAACAAATTTAGGATCATTATCTAGCTCATCAAATCGGAAAGATCTTTCCCCTTACAAAGGAGGCAAACCAAAAAAGTTTAAGAAAAACTTTTCTGCTAAAATCATTAAAAGGCCTGTGTCTCCCCTTTGTGATGTCTGCGCAAAAAAAGAAGACGAAAGGCCTTTGAAGTCTTCGCTTAAAAAAAAGCCTTTTCAGAAATCTGTTACTGGATTAGTAAGAATTAATGAGCCACAGGGAATGAACGAAGACCAAATTGCAAATTCAATTGAAAAACTGGAAAATGAAATTTCTTTTTTAGGCAAAAAATACAAGCAGCTGCTACACTCATCACAAGAAGAGACTTCTGATTTGGAAGTCTTGAGAAAAGAAATCACTGAAACCTCTGCTGAGATCCAGCAGAAGAGCGATGCCCTTTACGAACTTAAAAGAAAGCGCCATGCAATGCTTCGAGAAAAATTATCAGCATAATTTTTAATTTAAAGCTGGAATCTTTCTAGTTTCGTAATAGTAACTCTGCTTACTCTTATCCATTATTTTATTCTATTAAAATGATTTTTTTTTCAATTTATTTTAAATAAATCAATTATTTAAAAAAATTTTAGTTCTCCATCATACCTAGCGAGTTAGAATTTTTAATATTGTGGTAGATAATCAATAAATGGAAGACCCAGAAGTCCTTCAAGCTCGTGCGAAACTTGCAGCTAAGTTTGGCGAATCCGCAAGAATCGGTGGAAAAGGCTCAATGAAGCGCAAGAACAAAGTTCCTCACAAAACCACTATGGTAGATGACAAGAAATTACGATCTTCTATATCAAAACTCGGAGTGCAGCCATTGCCAGCAATAGAAGAAGTCAATTTCTTTAAAGACGACAACACTGTGCTTCATTTTGTAAACCCACAAGTGACTGCTAACATAAAAGACAATTTCTTTGTGGTTTCAGGAGCAGGCGAAGTGAAAACTATTAAAGATCTGATGCCAGGAATTATTACTCAATTAGGGCCTAAAAACCTAGACGTCCTAAAAGAGCTAGTTCAAGCTGGAGCTAAAGAAGGTGGAGAAGAAGAAGTGCCGGATTTAGTCGGTGGACAAAACTTTGAAGATATCGCAAACCAATCCTAAATAAGAATTTCAGATTCATAATGCTTGATAAAAGATTAAAATTATTTATGAAAATATATCGGGCTTATTTATAGAGCTGGAATGATAATATAGATTTTTAAGTAATAAGCAGTTTTAATTAAGCTAATTTGGATTATTGCAATTAAAATATTGGACTTATAAATTACATTTTCTATTATAATGAAATCAATATAATTATTTATTAAGCCCGCCCATTTAAAATGAAGAAACGGAGAAAGAGATCAATTCCAAGTGACTGTATTTATGATAAACAAGAAAATAAGCTTTACCCTCGAAAGCCTTTGTCCTCATACCAGTTCTTCATTGAAGACCTCAAAACTCAGCCTATAGAAGATGGCAAAAAATTAACTTTAAAACAGCTTAGTCAAATTGGAAAAAAGAGATGGAAGGAATTTTCTGAAGAAGAAAAGTCCTGCTTTGAAAAACAGCATGAAAATGATACAAAAAGATACAAGTCCCAGCTTGCCGAACTTGAGCGGGATGGTTATTTTACATTAAGTTGTGGGGCAAAAAGCAATGATAGTGCATATATTGATGATGGGGAAGAAACAAAAAATAATAAAAAAAGATCAAAAACCCCAGTTGAAAATCCAGAAAGGAAGAGAAATGTAAAAGTCCCTTCAAAAACCGAAGAAACAAAAGATGAAAAACCAAAAGAAAAAATTAAAAGTGAAGATAATGCTGCTAGTAAAAAAGTTTTTGTGTATTTATGTGGATCTTGAGGATATAAAAGAAATTCAGAAAGAGTGGCAAAGTCTTTAATAAATAATCTTGATTTAAAAAGCGATCAAGTTATAGTGCAAAGCAGAAAATCAAGAGAAATTGACGTACAAGTACAAATTGGTTCTGAGAAAAATGACGTTTATCACAAAAGCAGCACTTATTTGACCCTCACAGATCTGATAGAAGCTGTAAAACCTTATTTCCCTTAAACCCCCAGCCAAATGTGAAGACTTTGCTTAAATCCTAGCAAAGTTGGAGAGGGCTGATTAATTAAATTTACAATTATGTATATTTAGTTTTCTTTAGCGATTAACATAGCTTTGAAGTTATCAGAGTTACTCCTTGCGTGCTTGCCTTCTTTCCGCTTTTTTCTTGCAGAGTTCAAATTATCCTGGGTTTCCTTTTTAAAAAAAGGCGCTGAGTCTGATTTTTTAAATAAATCAATTACTTCGCACATTGTTTTTGTGGAGGAGTTTCGACTGAGTTTTCCTCCAGATCCAGGATGTCTTGAGCTCATTGATTTGAATTTTGGGTGAAGCATACTGATTGGGTTTTTAGACTTGTGCTGCTCTCGAATGTCGTTAATTTTTTCGTTAGAATTTTCGTAATCTTTTCTTAGTTGATCGCATTCTTTGCTTTTTTGGTCGAGAAGTGATCTTAAATACATCGTAGCAGGTCATTAGTCAAAAGTTTTTTCCTTGGCAGGCATTTTTTAGAAAATATTTGCCAAATTTTTTAGTTGGAAGCCAAGTAAAAGTAATGGATTTTTGTCAAAAATTAAACAAATAATACCAAGAAAATTACCCTCACTCCTCCTTTCTGTGAGTAAGCAAAAATCTTTTGCTCCCTCTTATAATTTTTTTGAATATAAATAAATCTTAATTAGAGAGGAAAAATAGTTTAATTTTTAAATTTCGATCGAGATTTAACCATAATAGTTGCCACTTATATTAAATATTTTTTTATAAAAATTTATCGCTCACAATTTTTTCCAAAAAAAGGATTTTTCCAACGGTTTTGCTCAGCTCATGAAGTGAGAATTAAGCAAAAGTCATAGACCAAATACGCATATTTTTCACTTCTCTCATGTGTGTTTTTTATCTTTGAAGCCACTTTTTCCTTATTAGGCTTCAATAGCTCACTCCCTCCATGAAGTAAAGAGAGTTTCCTCTGTGTAGCAATTTTCGAAATTTCGTCTTTGTATTTGTCTTCAATATCTTTTGACCTGATTCTGGCATCATCTGAAGAAATAGGTTTTTCTTTTCTAAGTTTTTCTATTTGTTGTGCTTTTTGCTCGATATCTTGTGTTTGTGTTTCAATAAGCTGGCGGTCTTTTAAGCTTTTTCTTTCCAGCTCGTCAATTTTGCATTGGCACGTTTCAATGTGAAGTTTCAATTGCTGCTCGGTCCTTATGTGAGCCCGGACTTCGCCTTCCAGCTTCTGCAGCATATTTTCGAATTGTTCTGTGCGTTTAATTAAGCTTGTGGTTTCAGTGTTGGATTTTATGACGTTTTCCTTAAACAAAAGCAGATTTGTTATGAGATCTTTTAAATTTTCATATAAGGATCCCCTCCCTTCATTTGTCCAATTTTCTAGTCTTTTATCATTTGCCCATTTTTCTAGTTTTTTTTATAGGAAAAAAATTTTTTTAGACCCTCATTTGTCCAATTTTCTAGTCAAAATTTTGATAGGAAAAAAAATATTTTTCAGGACCTCAATTGTCTCATTTTTTAGTTTTTTTAAAGTAAAAAATTAAAATTTTAGGACATTCGAAAAAATTCAAAAAAGACTAGATCATATTTGACGAGATTTTGGGACAAGTGAGGTCCTGAAAATTTTTTTTATCCTATAAAAAAAAGACTAGAAAATTGGACAAATGAGGGGGGATCCTTACTTCGAGAGGTGAAAGGTCCTCTAGGGTTAGTAGCTCTTCATTGGTGACGCTTTCATCATCTAAGTAGCTGTTCCTGATAAAGGCGTCCTTGAATAATGCTTTTATGCTCTCTAATGCTTCTTTCTCTTCTTCCATTTACTTTGACTTTACTTTCAGGTAAATTTTTTTAAAATATTGAATTTAGTAAAATCATATAAAATGCAATTTTAGCTACGAGTTTTGCATTTTATATCTATTAATGCTTTTATTTCTAGCGAATTTAGCATATTATCTTTACTCTTCCTACAAGAGCGGCAAAAAGTGTTGGCTCGCCTACGAGGAGACTTATATTTTTAAAATCCTATATTAATTTTTTTATATATGTTAAGCAGGTAAATGATGCTATTTCTTCAAAAATTAAAATGCAATAAAATTTCAAAAGTTTCGCCAGCTTTGGCAAATTTCTCCATTTCAACACATACTTTTCTACTTCATCACAAAATTCTTCATTAACTTTCAATAGCCTTGATCGCTGACAGAAAGGGGAGTTAGCAGGACACCAGCTTATTATTGAGTTTTATATTATTTGCTAATTAGACTTAAGTTGAATGCTGATGATCATCTTCTTCTGCGACCTTGCTCCTTTGGCTTTGCAACTCTTTTATAAAAATCGTCGAAGTAAGTCCTCCCATAATTCCTCCAATAAGCGGCGCAATTATGTAAATCCAAGTGTTTCCAAAATGGTCTCCATCCTTAAACAAGTGTATCAAATTCACTCCAAACCCAACAGCTGGATTAAAGCACCCTCCAGAGATATTCCCAACAGACCAATCTCCAGCAGTAACACTCATAGAAACAGCGGCTCCTACCAATAAATTCGAATCTGTTAAAACCCCAGCCATAATTGCATTTGCGCAGAGCAGTGTAGTGTATACTGCACTAATACCTTTAGCTTTCTATAAAAGACTTATCTTTGTTAAAGCTAAAAAATGTCTGAAAACTTGTGAAAGAAATAAATAATATTAAAAATCAAGATAAGGAATAATGTAAAATCCAGCATAAACCTTTGCAAGCCCTCAAAAGCTATATAAAAATTCAGCCAAAAACGCCTCACCTCTATTATACCCAAGCGCAACGTCAAAATATGCAGCATATCGGACGATTCCCCAAGAAAGGAGGGCTGCCATGATAGATCCAGTTATTTGAGCGGCAATGAAGCACATCAGCTCTTTGAGTTCTTGTGTTGTAAGGGTTTTGGTAATGTGCTTTCTTGTGATTATTGCTAAAGTAACAGCAGGGTTGAATTGCCCACCTGAAGAAAATCCTGTGAAAATCTGAGCAGCCCATAAAGTTCCTCCTACTGTGAAGGGCTGGCCTTGACTCACACCTACACCAAAGACTAGAAAGAAAGTCCCTACGAATTCAGCTACAAGTCTTCTTATCATTTATTAATATCCATTTAAGGTTTTATGACTTCTAACTTATTATTAGTCTCCTGGAGGATTGAAGGTTGGTAGGAAGATTGGAAAAACTTTATGGAAGGATTGTGAAGTATTCTAGTTGACACAAAGTAATTCAAGAATTGTATTGGCGGCTGATCTTGGATGAGAATGTGAGAATAGGGGTTTGTGTGAAAAATATTTTAGAGAAATAGCTTCTGTTGATGGAGGGAGCTGCTGCTGCTGGAGGATTTGCTGTTTGAAGATGGATGACTTTTTTTGTTTGTTGCTGTGATTTGAAGTTTATTTTTGCTGAGATTTGAAATTGGAAATTTTTAAAGTTCTATGAAGTTATTTTGAAAAATAAAGAGAGAAATCCTTTATTAGGAAGTTCTAAAAATTAATAAATAAATGATTATTAACTTCACTGCCCTAAGTGCAATCCAGTTCAAGTATTTGGCTTTTTTAGCATTTTTATAATTTACAGTCAGTTACTAAATTCAGTAGAACTGATGTCTATTTAAAATAATCAATAAATATAATTTTGAATAATTTTTAAAAATATTTAGTTTTATTTAAAAATTAAGATATTGAATATACTTATTTGTTTTAAAGGGTGGAGGGTGAGGAATTATTTGACTTAATGCATTCCTTTATTGAATCTATAAGCCTTATAAAGAAAATAAAATATTCACATCACCTGCCTTTATAAATATATAGTAATATTATACCTTCCTGACACAGCCAAATAAATCCTATGCAATTCAGAAAGCTTAAATACAAATAGCACTTTTAGTAATATAAAATTATTTCATTTACAAGTTATTATACGACCTTACAAAATATTCTCTAAATTGCCCCATTAACAATGAAAATTATTTTTCTTCATCAATAGATTTTTTAACATATTTTTTGAGGATTTTTCAAATTTTTATTGAAGCAAATATATGCAGTAATCAATTTGGAATTTTTATAATGATTGAAAAAATTTATCGCTGCTAATGATACCAAAGGAAAAAAAATTAAGAAAATAATGACAGTTTATTCGCTATTAAATTGGGAGTAAAGAATTCCTATTATTTACCTGCAGCAAAATTCATGGTTTTTCCTATTCAAATGTAAAGAGTTTCAAATTTTGTAATCTCTGATAATAAATTAATTATGGTAGGACAAGAAATTAATGATGTGAAAATCAGCACTGCGTTAAAAATCACAAGTTTGATTTCGGGGCTGGCTCTGGCCGTTCTGGCGATCTATAAATTCTCTGCTCTTGGTATATTCAACGCCCGAGATTTTTTTTTGACTATTTACTATATAATATTTGGTATTCTGCTGGCATTGTCAGAAATGCCATGCAAGGTCCTCATGTCTTGTGTCTCATTTTTGGGGTTCTATATTGGAAAAGCACTGTTCTGTTTATTTTTGGGAACGATTGTGTTTGATACTGGAAATGCTTTCTTTTTGGTGCTGGCAATCGTATTTTGGGTTGAGGGAATTATGTATTTTTCTCTTGCGTGTGGCTGCAAAAAAAATATAGTTAATAAGGAAGAGGAAGGAGGAGAAGGAGAGAAAGGAGAGAAAGGAGAGAAAGGAGAGAAAGGAGGTGCAAAAGCAGAGAAGGCAGAAAAAATAAATTAGCTTATGATCAAGGATTTTTCTTTTGAATTTTGACATTAGTAAGCCATTAGACTTGCTCAGCTTATCCAAGCTTCAAGATCGAAAAGCTTCCCAAGCTTTTGAATCCTTTGAAACTCGCATGACATAGTCCCTGGCTTGTCAGCTCCTAGATTGAGTTATAGAGGTTTCCTCTATATAGCGCTAAAAGCGCAGACATTTTCCCAGGAGCTTTCCAAGTTCGTCGGACCAAATCGCTTTTTGGTCCGACCAAGGCATTGATTTGGTGCAACCTACCGATAAATTCCGATCAGAATTTATCGGCCTTACAGCGCCAAACATAGGAAACTTCTATAGGTACCATTTGACTTTTAAAGGACAACTATTTGGTATTTCTTTCAAGTAAAGCCTAAAGATTCTTCATGGAAGCCCATACTATAAAAAGAGGTCATTAAATTATAAATTAAAAATGCCAATGATTGAACATAAGTCTCAAGAACTCCAGTCTCCTCTCATCCCTGCCTCAGCCTGCAAAGCCCGCCAGGATTGGCAGCTCTTTTCTATATAATGAGAAAAAGAGTCAAGGCTTTAATAAGCTTGCCAAGATCTATAGAAATTTCTCATAGATGGCGCTGTTTGCCCTTGATTTGCCCAATTGGGAATTTTTTTGGTTCGACCAGTCCCATATGATTTTGTCAAACCAAAAAATTTTTCTCATGGGCAAATCAAGGGCAAACACTGCCATCTATGGGAAAATTTCTATATATATTTTTAAAATTAAAAAAATTGTAGGATAAATTGCCTTTTTATATTAATATGTTCGAGAAGACAGACAAAAAAGAAGAAAATGGGTTTAAGTCTGTTGATTTGAACTCCCCTGCAGCTGAAAATGGTGCTGCTGTTTAAATCAATGCAAATAATCAATATAATTTCTTTTTAAAATATCTGTTCCCTGTTTTCACTCTAAAATAAATGAGTCCACTCATTATTATTACTAAGATACCCTTCTTACCTCAAAATTAAAAAACCCACTATCCTTTCCTTCCATAAATACCTTTCTTCCTAATCCCTCCTAAACCCCCCGGATTCTTCCAAGCCCAGAAAACGACTACTTGAATATTTCTAAAATGGAGCCTTTACCTGATCCATTAGGTGACCGCGTAGTAAAATCCCTTCCAACACCTCCCCACAAGCCTCTTTCTGAAGATTTGCTTTTTCCTAATGCATGTAATTTATAATCAGCGAATATTCCAAACCTCGAGAATCTAAAGCTCCACTTGTCCAAAGAAGGAAGGATCAAAAAAGCAGATGTTATTAAAATAATAGAGCGGGTTAAGAACTTATTCCAAGGAGAGCCAAACTTGTTAAGAATTGACGACCCTCTTCTTATTATTGGGGACATACAGGGGACATAAAAATAGTGTGGCGAGCCAACCTGCCCTCTTAACTACTGCAGCCAGATGAAGTCTGGGAACTTTGTGGGAGGGAAAGCAGCGTTGGTACGCGTAGTCGGCGGGTTTTACATGGTATGGCGGAGCGCAATATCGAATAGCCGACCGCAAGCTCACATCCAGGGTAAGATCTTTAGCCCGAGGATGATGGAACTTGAATTTGGAAAGGGATAGGCCCAGAGGGCGTCGCTTTGCCAATAAGGCATTTTCACAGCACAATACCGGGATTGCGCTATGGACTGCAAGGTTTATCCTGGTCGATAGCCTGACAAGAAAATTCGCTTTTCGAATTTTCAGAAAAAGCAACCTCGTGATGTTCGGCATGGTGACCCAGCATCTCTATCCTGGGTAGCAAGCGCAAGCGCTTGTTCGAAGGGAGCAACACAAGTCTTAGGCTGTGAAATCAGACTGGAGAGCAAGGGACTATGCGAATCAAGTGACGTGAAAAGCGTTTTTAAGCTTGTTGGAGCTTCTCTATAATGGCTTAATTAATAAATGGGGACATCCATGGACAGTTTTTCGACCTGCTCAAAGTCCTAGAGATGGGAGGCAGCCCAACTAAAAATAAATTTCTGTTTTTAGGCGACTACGTGGACAGAGGCATTTATTCAATAGAAGTAGTCATTTTGCTATACAGCCTTAAGCTGAATTTTCCAGACAGGGTGTTCTTGATAAGAGGGAATCACGAATGCAGGATTTTGACGACTTATTTTACGTTCCGGGCTGAGTGCTTAAATAAATATGATTTGGAAATTTATGATCGGTTTTTAGAGAGTTTTGACTGTTTGCCGTTGGCAGCCCTTGTGAATGACAGCTTTATCACCTGTCATGGTGGGCTTTCTCCGGATTTAGAAGTACTAGATGATATTGATTTAATATACAGGTTTAACGAGCCACCTAAAACTGGGGCGTTTTGCGATATTTTGTGAGCTGACCCAGTAGATGACCAAGAAGGGATTTTAAATGAAGAATTCTCTTATAATACCGTAAGAGGGTGCAGCTATTTTTATGGAGCCAACTCGACGAACACTTTTTTGCAGAGAAATGATTTAATATCAGTCATAAGGGCTCATGAAGTCCAGCTGGAAGGCTACAAAATGCACAAGTGGAATGGAGAAAACGACTTTCCAGCAGTCATCACTATTTTTTCAGCCCCAAATTACTGTGATACCTACAATAATAAAGGAGCCATCGTGAGACTGTGCAATAGTATTTTAAACATCCAGCAGTTCAATTATATTACCCACCCTTACCATTTGCCTGACTTTATGGACATTTTCACCTGAAGCTCTCCTTTTGTGGTTGAGAAAGTGATGACGATGATGCTAAATATCCTGAAACTGGACGAAAAAGTACTTTTGAGGTCTGATAGTCTGGCAAATAGAAGAATTAAAGGACTTAAGGTTGATTTTCAGGAGGCGAAAAAAGGGATTTTGAAGAATAAGGTGCGGGCGGTGTCGAGGATGATGAAAATGTATAGGACGCTCAGAGAAGAGTTTGAGCTGATTATAATGCTGAAAAACATGTGTCCTGATAACAGAATTCCTAGAGGACTTTTGATTGAAGGAAGAAAAGCACTGATGAGAGCAGTCGACATGTTCAAACAGGCAAAAGCCTTGGATCTTCCGAATGAGAGAAGACCAGAGTAAAATAGCTAATTAAACATAATTGCATAGGAATTGCCATAATAAAAAATCTGACACTAAAAATGGCTGATAATTCACAAATAATGATATTCCTATTATCAATAATCCAATTAGCTAATTCACTTGAGCTATTTATAGTACCTCACTCCCATTGTGACTTAGGCTGGCTACATACTATTGACTGATACTATCAGAATAAAGTAAAATCCATTTTCCACACAATAACAACCTTATTAGCCGAAGATAAAGACAGGAAAATAGTCTGATCAGAAACTTCTTATCTGAAAATGTGAATGGAAGGCCAAGACCTTGAAATGCAAGAAGCGATGAAAAGTCTAATAAAAAATGGCCAAATTGAAATCGTTGGAGGAGGGTATGTACAAAATGACGAAGCCAACACAGATTTTGATATGGTTATTAGGCAGATTGAGCATGGTCATGAATATCTGAATGAAAAATTTGGGATAAATAAAGTTAAGGTCGGCTGACAAATTGACCCTTTTGGACATTCAGCGCTGACTCCGAGTTTGTGGGCAAAATTTGGGTACCAATATCATGTCATAAACAGGATAGATTCTAGTTTTAAGCAAGAGCTGATTAATAATGGAAATTTAGAATTCATATGATATGGCGTCGATTTTGGCAAAAATGAGTCAATTTTCACTCACGTTTTATATGACCACTATGATGCTCCACCCATACTTAATATTTATAGTCCTCAGTACTGTTTCTCAAATGGAACTCTGTCGGTGGAAATTCTCAAAATATGGTAAAATACTATATAGCGCTGAAAAGCTATTTTCTTTAGTAGTTCAAAGGACCTCTGCATACAGGACAGACAAAATGATGTTTTTGTATGGAGATGATTTTTACTTTTCAGACCTGGATAGCTCAAGAACTGAATTTAAAAATCTTGAAGCATTAATAGACTATATAAACCGGTCGCCCAATTATTATGGATTTACTGTAAAAATCGCGACAGCGAGTGAATATTTTGATGCTGTTTGGAGCTCAAACAAAAAGTTTTCAAGATATTTGAGCGATTTTTTACCTTATAGAAATTTCAGAGGAGACGTGCTTTCTGTGTATTGGACTGGGCTTTATACAACAAGACCTGCTCTTAAGGAAATTATATATGAGACCCACAGAATTGCTAGAGCTGCGGAAATCGCAAAGACAGTATGTAAAAAAGAGAGGTTTTCAGCATATCAAGCTAGTTTGACTTTACATCATGATTCGATTACAGGAACTTGTAGGCCAGATGTTTCTCATGATTATAAATTGCGAGACAAAAGTGATATAAATCTGGCTTTTGAAGCAATTAGCAGCGTTATTAAGTCACAAATTAATTGGCCAAGCACTAACAATTTTACTATAAATTTGCCTTATCGAGTTATTATTGCTTTCAATTCGTTAAATTGAGACAAAACAGCTTTGCTTAATATAACTCTAAAAGGAAAGATTTATATTGAAATTAAGGACTGAAATGGGAATGCAGTAAAGTCTCAGCTGGTAGAGGATAGTTTTAATGGAGGCTTTATAGTCTATTTTAAAGCCGTATTGCCATCTTTGTCATTTGTAACTTTTTTTATAACCGAGCATGAAAAGCCTTGTGAAGGTTGCTCTGTAGAGTCTGAGACTAAAAAAAGCAAAAAATTGGCTGATTCTTGCTATAAGCTTAAGTTCAATAAGCTGGGGATGATTAAAAATATTGAAAGCTCAAAATTTAAATATGATTTGGTACAAAAGTTTTGGCAATATTCAGGAAAAAACAGCGGAGCTTATATATTTAGACCCATAGATGAAGGAAAAGAACTAAAAGATTTAAAATTAGAAAAATTTATAATATCTGAGGGGCCAATTGTAAAAGTAGCCGAAGTTATATGAAAGAGAAAATCAAAATTTTTTTCTGAAAAAATTATTTTATATGATGAAAAGAAATTTTCATTAGAAATTGGACTTTTTGCAAGAAAAAATGAAGAAATTATGATAAGATTTTCAAGTAAAAATATTAAAAATAGCCCATGATTATTTACATCAAATTCAGGAGATTTAAGAAGCCGCGTTTACTATACTGAGCCCTATACAGAAAAAGGAAATAATATGTATCCAGCTCCAGGAGGCTTTGCAGTAAAACTGGAAAAAGAATTTTTAAAAATATTCCCTTTGTTCTCTATAGGAGTTGAGATGGTAAATGCAAATACTTTCGAGCTTCTCATTCACCGAAGTTTAACCCATGACGATGGGTTTGGTCTCGATATGGGGGTAATCGATAAAACTTTTGTAAATCATCATTTTGATATTGAACTTAACGAGAATTTGGATTCTCAATATTGAAAGTCCTCATTTGAATCAAAAACAAAGGTTTATTCATTTCCTGTCATGACTGATGAAGGAGATGTATCTATGGAGGAATGGCATAATGGAAAAGAAATGGCCAGCAACTGGAAAATCAGGACTTATTATGAAATGGGGTTTAATAATCCTAATGTTTATTTATCAAGTGCAGTTATGAAAGGAGAGGAGACAATTTTTAGAATTTTGAATTTTAATAGCAAGGAGGAACCAATATGGATAGAAAAATTTGAAATGGGGAGAAAAATGCTTTTTGATGGATATGAGGAAGAATCAAAGCAGAAGAACTGGGAGGAGGATGAAAAAGAAATTGCGTATACAAGCAAGCCTGACTCTGGAAAGCCTATTAGAAGTTTAAATGCAACTCGAAGCGAAATAAAGGATGGAATTGTCTTAGCGCCTTTGGAATTTGCTGCATTAAATGCCTCTGCAAGAATTAATTAATCTATTTTAGAAATAAAAATTCTTGTTATTAAAATGAAAAATAATTATATTATAGCTATGGACAGTCCAATAGAAGTTTTTATTGTTCCTCATACACATTGTGATCCTGGATGGCTAGAAACTATGGAATGATATTATGAAAATCGAGTAAGAAACATTTTTCAGACCATAATAACCCTTCTTTCAGAAAATGATAAATTGAAGATGGTCTGGTGTGAGACCTCATTCTTAAAGATGTGGATGGACGAACAAAGCCACGAAATCCAAACAAAAACAAAAAAACTCATAGAAAAAGGCCAGCTCGAAATCGTTGGCGGCGGGTATATACAAACAGATGAAGCTTGCCCTGACATTGATATGATCATCAGGCAAATTGAGCATGGACACGAATATCTGTACGAAACTTTCAGTATCCCCAAAGTCAAGGTTGGCTGACAAATTGACCCCTTTGGACACTCTGCCCTCCTCCCAAGCATATTTGCAAAATTCGGATATGAGTATCATGTAATAAACAGAATTGATACTGCTTTTAAAAGGCAGCTTATAAGTGAAGGAAACTTAGAGTTTGTCTGATATGGGTCAAATTTAGGGCAAAATGAATCTATTTTTACACATGTTTTGTATGAGCATTATAGTCCTCCTCGAATTCTTCATCCTTGGGACCCTTTTTATTGCTTTGGAAATGGAGATTTGACTCAAGAAATACTAGAATCGAGGTAAATTTTATGCAGTGCAGAAAAATTATATGATCTAGCTGTTAAAAGATTAGATTAGATTAGATTAAAGTTAGTTTGAAGAGTTATTTCAGCCCCTTCTGCCTTAATACTCCTTGCCCTAGTCATTGATTTGCACTTACGCCCTTTTCTGTCAACGCCATCAAAATATGGTGATATCGCCATCTTATGAGGAGATGCCTAGCGGTTGGCACGGTCCATCCAGGATGGGAGATAGGACACGATCCCGAAGCCTCCTTCTGATCCCATTACAATTCACATCTGGCTCTAGTTTCCTTATCTATATTTTGAGGTAAAAAAAAAAACTGTCGTAGTGTATCGTATAGGGAGAAAAAAGTTAAGGCACAAACCCTCATAAACTCAAAAAATTTTGAGAGTATGGGAGAAGGATGGCTGCCATTTTTTATTTTTGTGCAGTCAAAAGAAGATCTGCTTATAAGACAAGCAAAATAATGTTCTTATACGGTGATGATTTTTGGTTTTCAAACTTAAAGCAGTCAAGGATAGGCTTTGAAAAAATTGAAGCACTTGTGGATTATGTGAATAGTTCAGAGAGATTTCAAAATTTCAAGATAAAAATTGCAACAGCAAGTGAATATTTTGAAGCAGTTAGGAAAGAAAATGTAAGGTTTTCAGTTTATAGAGGAGACTTTTTTCCATATAGGGTATTTAGAGGAGAACCGAGGTCGATTTATTGGACTGGGTATTATACTACAAGGCCTTTGCTAAAAAAATTGATATGGGAAGCTCATAGTCTAGCTAGGGCTGCAGAAATATCCAAAACGTTTTCAGCTGAAAAATGCTTTTTGGCATATGAGGCAAGTCTTGCACTGCACCATGATGCGATCACTGGAACTTGCAGACCACATGTAGCTCACGACTATAAAAAAAGGCTTAAAAACGACATATACCAAGCTGCTCGAACTATTGCAAGTGTAATTACTTCAAAATTCAGCCTCACAAAAGAAATCAGCTTTACGCTTACCTTACCTTACAGAGTAATAATTGTCTACAACCCCCTGAATTGGGCCAAAACTTCACTATTATCTTTAAGCACCCCTAAAAAGACATATCTCGAAATCAGAGACGGCAAAGGAAACTTCATAAATTCACAAATTGTGAAGGATTTTTCCAATGACGAATATACTGTTTATTTCAAAGCAGAACTTCCATCATTATCATTTTCTGCATTTTTTATAACTCAGCATGATGAGCCTATAGAAAATTGCTCAATAGATTCTGATGTGAATCAAGGATATATTTTAAGCGACTCTTATCATTCTATTGAATTTTCTAAGACTGGGATGGTTAAAAATATTAGTAAAGAAAATAAAAAATTAGAAATTTCGCAGCAATTTTGGATGTACCCAGGACCAAGAAGTGGGGCTTATATTTTTAAACCAATCAGCGAAGGCAAAAAACTGAAAAATTTAAGCCTGCAAGCTATAAATATATCGACTGGCCCAATTGTGCAGGTTGCTGAAGTGCTTTGGAAAAGAAAATCAAAGCAGCCTTCAGAAAGACTTTATTATCAAAAAGTTATTTTATATGGAGAAAATAAATTTTCCTGGGATTTTGGAGTATTTGCATATAAAGACGAAGAAATTCTTGTCAGGCTGACTTCCAAAGAAATTGTTGACCAGACATGACTTTTTACGTCAAATTCAGGAGATTTAAGATCTCGGGCCTATTCGCAATGCGATTATTCTGACAAAGGAAACAATATGTACCCAATCCCAGGCGGCTTTGCAGTAAAAATGCAGAATCATTACATGAAGATGTTTCCTTCTTATCCTGTTGGACTAGGGATGGCTAGTGAAAATTCGTTTGAGCTGCTTCTTCATAGAAACTTAACCCATGATGACTGGCTAGGAATGTGTACGGGGGTTATTGATAAGACTTATGCTCATCATCATTTTGATATAGAATTCGGAGAATCGTTGAACAGCCAGTTTTTAAAATCATATGTGGAGACGAAGACAGTGCCTTATTTATTTTCTGTTATAAATAAGGAATTAGATGTGACATTAGACAATTGGAGAGAGGCAAAGCAGTTTAGAACTCAATGAAATCATGAAACAAATCATGAGCTGGGGTATGAAAATTCTCAGGTTTATTTGTCAAGTGCTCTGGCTAAAAACAATAGTTTTATTTTTAGGGTATTTAACTTTAGCAATGAAAAGCAGCTAATCTCGATGAAAAATTTCACAATTTTGGATAGAATTCGGTTTGGTGGATATGAGCATGTTCAAGAATCAGAAAAATTTCAAGAAAGCTCTGAAGAAATAGTATATTCCAACAAGCCTAATTCAAGCTTTCCAATCCAACTCTATGCATCTCAACCTATCCCAGACACTCAATTTCATCTTCTTCCATCCGAATTTTCTACTTTCATTTCTGCTAAAATAATTAAATAAAATACCGTATATTTATTTATTCTTAAATTATTAGCATGCTAAGATTTTTCCGGTCTTTCAGCACTAAAAACTTTCTTTACACAGTATCCTTGGTAGGCCGACCAAACTCCGGAAAATCCACTCTTTTTAACCACTTAATCGGCGGCTCAACCTCCTTAGTCCACAACACTCCAGGCTTAACCAGAGACCGAATCGAAGGGATAAGTAATTTTTAATCAGCCAACCTCTTTGGTGTCGATATCAAATTCATAGACACTGCAGGCTGGGATCCTACCGACACTCCCAACCCTAAGCCTATCATCGAGAAAATGAAACTCCAGACCCTCAACGCAATTAAGTTATCAGATACAATTCTTTTCCTCACCGACGTAAGAGCTGGGATCAGCCCTTCAGACATTGAGCTTGCACAATATCTCAGGAAAACTGTCCTCAGTGACAAAAACGCGACCAAAGATGTAATTTTGATAGGAAATAAAGCTGAATCAAGCTGACTTGGTGATGTAAGTAATGAAGTATATAAATTAGGCTTTGGGGAGCCACTATTAATATCTGCACAGCATGGGGAAGGGATTGCTGATTTATATGAAGAATTAAAAAGCAGGATTCCTGAAGGGTATGCGGATGATTTTAAAGAAAGACTGAAGAAAAGAAAAGAAAAACATAATAAAATTAAGGCAGAAAGACTGGCAGAGTTGGAAGATTTGGAAAAAGAGTCAGGCGAAGATTTTAATTTGAAAGAATGGGAAAGGGCTTATGATAAGCTGAACCCGTGGGACAACTCTGACTATGACTCTGACAATGAAATTGACATTAATAAGTCTTTAGCTTCTGATTTCAATTTAAAAGACAAAGATAGCCTGATGGAAAACATGAAAAAGCATAAAATGATACAGCTAGCCATTATTGGAAGGCCAAATGTAGGCAAATCCACCTTGATCAATGCTTTTCTCAATGAGGAAAGAGTCATCACTGACAATCAGCCAGGGACTACCAGAGATGCTTTATATTTAGACCATGTCCACAAAGGAAAAAAGATTTGCCTTGTAGATACTGCTGGGCTGACCAAGCATAGCAGGGGAACAGTAAACAAACTTATACAAGAAGACGTTATGAAAGCTATAAAATTCAGTCACGCTGTCGTATTACAAATAGAAGCACCTGTCGGACTAACCCCAGTTGACCTTGAATTAGCCAAAAAAGTAATAGACGAGGGCAGAATCCTGTTAATCGTTGGAAACAAGTGGGACTTGGTTCCAAAAGACATGAAAGGCAAGGTTGCTAAAGATGTCGCTATAAATTTACATACAAAAATCACTCTAAAAGGCCTCAACGTGATCTTTATAAGTGCTTTGCAGAATTATAATGTAAGCAAAATTATGGACGAAATCCAGTCTTTGTATGAAAAGTGGAATAAAAGAGTATCCACTGGGCTGCTCAATAGGTGGCTGGAAGCTTTTAAAAAAGTTCAGCCACTTCCTACAAGCCAAGGAGCTTTATTGAGGATAAAATACATGATGCAGATTAAGGCAAGACCGCCGAGCTTCTATGTATATGTAAATGATAGGTCACTTATGAAAGAAAACTATCTAAAGAACTTTACATCTTCTCTGACAAAAGAATTTGGGTTTGAAGGGGTCCCTGTCAGGATTCTGCTGAGAGATAAGCACTTAAAAGCGGCGAAGAGACACAAGCCAGAGTTTCAGGTGAAAAAAGAGCTGAAGAAACAGGTGGGAGCTTCATATACTGGTAAAATCTTGAACTCTGATCCATCCCAGCAGCCTATACTTACAACCTAATTTTATTTTAATAGTTTTTATAATTTTATCTATAAATATTTTACATTAGTTTGCAAAATCCATTTTCCTCGTTTTTTTCAAAAATCATCTCATCTTTTCTGCCACGGCTTGACACCCCACCTGAAGGTCTTTTCATTGTTTCCATCCCAGCTGAATCTTCTGTTAGCCTAGAAAGAATTCTATGCCTATGTCCAGGCTTGTGCATCGACACTTCTTTCATAAGGATTTCTTCAGTTATAGGCCATCTTGTGTTCATAAGTGCAAGGTTATGGTCCATATCATCATATCCAGCCTCCACAAAAGCATGAAAATATTCGACTAAGTTTAAATTTTCAAGCCAACTCTTTAAGCATGGCACATTTATCATTCCTTGACTAGGCTGCGCAGGGGCCACACAGCATTTCCAAATGCTAGGATCTTGCTGCTTTATGCGGCGACGTGTAGATTTACCTCCCAGTCTGCATTCTTCGTCTAGAGAAGCTAAAAACCTTCTTCTCCACCCTGATTTCTTAATCCCAATATTTGCTAAAATAGCCTCAGTAATCGGCATTGAGGACGTCACAGCTGAACTCATTTGCCCTATATCATCATATCCAGCAGACACCAAAATATCAAAAACTTCTTCTACTTTATAATTAACCATTCACAAATAAAGTTCCTGCCTTCTATCAGCACCTCCAAATGAAGCAGTCCTCAGCTTCCTATTCGGAGTCATATCATATTCCGATTTCTCTGCATCTGGCTCAAATAAAGTGCTTACCCCTCTTGAGTGACTATTTTCATTCAAACCCTTATTTACTGAATCCAGCTTCAATTCTGGCACCAATTTCGCTACAAAATTCAGTTCAGTCGACGTGGTCGGCCTTTCTGATTTGGTCTGGAATTTTTTTTCAAGCTCATATCTTACCATCCAGTTTTCAGGATTTTCGTCCTTTATGTCCTCGCTTAAAGTAAAATTTTCTTCATCAAGCCCCATCTCACAGACGTATTCTGAAAAGTCCATTCCTTTAGACAAGTCCAAAGGAGTTTTGTCGCTCATGTCTTTAATTGTAGTGGACGCTGAACTTTTCATAAGGAGCATTGCAACCTCTTTGTGATCATAATCGATAGCGTAGTGTAAAGGAGTCCTACCAAAGACGTTGTTAGATATATTTGGGTCGCTGTTGAACTTTAAAAGAAGCTTTACCATCTTAATATCGCCTTTAAAAGCGGCCAGATGAAGAGGCGTGTCACCATCATTTTGCTGGGAATTTGGGTCTGCTTGGTAAGATAAGAGCATTTTGGCAATTTTGTATTGACTATTGGCGGAAGCTTGGTGCAGGGCGGTTTCGCCGATATTGGTTTTGACATTGGGGTCGGCCCCGAGATCTAAAAGCAATTTAGAGGCAGCTTCATGGCCACATATAACTGTGCGATATAAAGGCGCTCAGCCGAGTTTCATGTCCTTTTGGTTGAGAAATTGAGGGAATCGTTGAAAAACGTCTTTTAGAAGCGGAACGTCTCCTAAACGACAGCCCCGATTAAGATCTTCTATATAAGAAGATGAGTCCATTATTTAAATGTTTAACTACTGGGATATATATTTAGCAGATTTATTTATTTATCATAAAGGCTGCGTTTATTTTTCATAAAAATCAGATACTATAATAGTCTGGCGGCAAGTGAGAATAATTTCATAGAATTCAAATTGGTGGCTACATAAGGATTTTTGTAATGCTAGTTCCTGTTAGGTCCCATAGCTCAGCTGGTTAGAGCGCTGTGCTAATAACGCAGAGGTCGTGAGTTCGATCCTCACTGGGACCATTTTTGAAAAAATTAATTTTTAAATTTTATATCTTAAATTAATCATCAATAGAGATTTTATATAGTCTACTGGATTTTTTATTTGATAATAAAATATTTGGCAGTTAAAAAGATCAAGCTGTAAAGTGCTATTGAGTAAATAATGCAATCTAATATAACGCAACTGTTATTTTAAAAATCTATAAATCTCTATATAATTTAAAGTACAACCAGCCCTAAAATTATTAACGCAAACCCATAAAGAGCGCTTGTATATTGATCAGAATAGTAGTTAGGATCATAAATTCCCATAGCGTCTGCACACGTATCAATAAATCCTGTTTGATATACAGCCCAGTACTCAAGCTGATAATTTAACTGATACCACAAGTTATATTGGTCTGAGTTTATGGACTGACATCTATTCATAACAAAAGGAGAACTTGAATGGGCGTTTTCAGCTGAGCAGCTTGTTTTCGAGTACCTTAAATTTGTCCACACAACACTCATAGTCCCAATTACATTGTGGATATATTTTTGAAAAAATCCTCTATATCAGTCCTTAACCCCAGCACATCCACATGCTTCAGTCTGATATGTAGAGTTATCAGTCATATAATTATAAACGCCAATATCCCCAACTAAGCAGCTAAAAGGCGGGTAAACAATAAACCCATCTAGGTAAATTTGTAAGGCGTCACATATGTTAGTATTTGTATTCAGGAAATTTGTCTGGCAAAACCTCGCTTCTTGGGCTGCTTTCCCCATAGTTAAAGAAAACAGAGAGGCGCATACGCCATTATTACACCCTGACCCAGGCATACAAGTAAAATCTGATGTGCAGGACTCGCCATTGGCGCTCGAAGAAGTGCAGACTCCGCTGCCTGAGGCGGTGTTACAATAAGCAGTGCTAGCACATTGATTATTTGATGTGCATGTAGCGCCAGTGCTTCTTCCTATGCAGAGACTGTTCTTGCATACATTAGAGGCACAATCTGAAGCTGTGCAGCATGGAGACCCATTTAGAAGAGTGGCGTCTGTTGGGCAGGGAAATATGATGGTTTGTTTCGCAGAGCAATTTACGTTTGTCCATTCAGACTCTTCAAGCTCATAGTTTTTGAAGACTCCGACGCATTCATAATCAGGTGCACATTCTTCGAGAGTGATTTTTCTATTAGTATGGTCTACATCTAGACAGGTGCCGACAGTTCTTGTGGTGTTGCAGTCGAATTGGTAGCAGTTGGTGATGCCTAAAGGTTGTGCATACTTTATGAGTAATAGAAAAACTAAAAAATTTGGCATTATTCTTTATATATAATTAAAGAATTTTATGAAGTAGCAAATTTAATTTTGAAATCGAATAACTTATATCTGCTATATATTTATTATTTATGTTGTGCGTTAAACTTATAGTATTGACAGTAATAGTTTTAAATCTTTATACAGTATCTCCTCTTAAAATTCCTTGATAATATTAAAGAATTTCTCACATTTTATGAGCAGCTATAGGGTAGATATCACCAACCCAAAAATTCAAAATGCCCTCAAAGAGCTCGGAATTACCCCTGAAGAACTAATCGTCAAAGACATTAACGAATTTTTCGAGCCTGGGATTAGTAAAAAAATCCAAGAACTCCGTTATGAGCATCACAAGCAAAAACTGAACTCGCTCTCTTCTAGCATCCAATCTTATATTAAAGAAAATCACAAAGAGCGATCTCGGGCTTCCTCTCAAACCCGCTCAACAATTTCTCAATATCCCAACGACGTTTCCACAGAAAGAATTTCTAAGCAGCATAAGTCAAGCTTGGCACAAAAAATAGAAGAAGAAAGCAAAAGAAGGAAACTCTTAGAAATTGTTAATAAAAAACAAAATAGGAGGTCTCTAATTGAAAAACAGCTGAAAAAAGAGATTGAAGAAAGGAAAAATAAAGATGAGGAAAAAAGAAAAGCACATAAAGAAAGACTGAAAATGATTAATGCTAATGAGATTACTCTGCTTCAAGTCTAGATTCTTGCGGTCTTAGCTTGGATTGACAACTCTGAATACGGTAAGTTAGACCTGTCTAAACGTCAGATTGTCCATGTCCTCAAATCCCCTAGGACCTCTCTGTCTACATCAAACTCAGTGCAGATCACTTCTCTTCGCGCCAGAAGCCCTCAAGGAGGTATAAACTTCTCTATCTGTTTGGCTACAGGACCAGAGCCCTGCATTTTAAATTGTGGAAAATGATTATTTTGGAACAGATTAAGAAGAGAAAAAATATAAGCGAGAAAGTGACTAGAAATTATAGCAAAACTCCAGAAATTAGTATAGAAGAGAATAAGAGTAGAATGCCAAGCAAGATAGGCTCAATTCTTGAGCAGAAAAAAGAGAGGGAGCTTGAAGAAGAGTATCAGCTGCTAGAAAGACTGGAATTCTTGAATGAAAAAGTAGAAAAGTCTGCAGAATTGCATGAGCAAATGCTTAAAACAAAGTCAGAAAGGATGAGCTACCACACACAAAAAATTGAAAATAAATTGCACAGCATCAGCTCCACAAAAGAAGAAATGGAGCTGAATAAAGCTAAAAGTATTGTAAACAATATAATCCAAAAGTCATTGAGAAGAGGCAAAACCATTGATGATACAAATTACCGGATAAAATCCACACAAGACAAACTTAGAGAAAAACAGCTGAAAATCCGCCACAATTTAAAAGAAGTTACACAACAAGAAAAAGAACGCATAAAAAATATAGAAAACAAGCTGAATATTAGCTATGAATCTGTAAGGCAAAAGCAAGCAAGCTGGCTGAAAGATTTAGAAATAAAAAATGAGCTACAAAAAATGAAAGAAGAGGACGTGTTCGAAAGCATAAACAGAAAGAAAAGAATTGAAGAAGTGAAAAGAAGCAGAATCCTTGAAAAACACAGCTTAATTCGCCAAAAGCTTGAAGCTCTAAAAGAAGAAAAAGAGCGATACAATGAAATGAAAAGGCACAAAGCACTATCAGAAGCAATAGAAAAAGACCATGTTAGGAACCTTAAAAGCAGAATAGAAAAAACCAAAAATTTGGCTGATGCCAGTCTTCTTTCATCAATTAACTGTAACTAATTTTAAACTAATTATATGCTTATATCTGGAGGAATAGGCAAAGAAGCGTCTGCAGAAATAAGAACTGGACGAGCAGCTATCTCTTCTTGTTTTTTGGCAAATTCCTCAAAAAGAACTTTAACCTCATCAATTTTCCCACTCATTTTTTCTATATCATCCAGCTTCTTATTCATGTCAGCTTTTTCTTTAGTTTTTTGCTCTTTTTGTTCAGCTGTCTTCTCAAAACTTTTCAGTTTTTCCTTCAGCTCATTTATCATGTTACTAGATTTTTCATTATTAATCTCAATAGTAGTCCTTAATTCTTCTACAATTTTATTGATTTTCCAAGTGGCGCCATACCATTCTTCATCTTTTTTAAGGTCTCCAGCTTCCGCACATATATGAATATATTTTTTTTCGCCAGGTATTTTCTCATGTGACATAAGTTGCTCTTCTGCCAAAATCAGTTTGGCGATTTCTTTTCTGTCAGTTACTAAATCATCATATTGGAATTTATCATAAATGCTCCCTATAATAGAGATTAAGAGACTTATCATTATCGTAGGGTTTATCAGGGTTGCAATTACAAAGAAAATCATTTCTCCAGAGGTGTAGCTAGATGTGTCAAATTCTCCTAAGTCTAAACTGTATGAAAATGCAATATATTTGGGGAGGCTTGACAATGAGTCTCGTTTTAAAGCTGTAAAAGCAAATGCAAAAACTACCGTTAAGTAGAAAAAGACAATGAAGAAAGAAACAAGGGATTTCAAGATAGACTCGACTAAGACTAAAATTTTGCGAGTGCTTTTGAAGAGCTTAAAAACTGAAATGGCTTTGGCCCATAAAACTAGGATCTGCAGCGAAGTCAATATTTCTGAGTTTCACCAAAACCAATTTAGCAAGCAAAGCTCCATATACCTTCTTTCAAGTCCCCAGCCGAATTTTGATTTTATTTTAGTGCTCATCTTTTGCTGATAGAAAATGTAAAGGAAGCCTATAATAGTGTTTAAGACCATCATGATGAAATAGTAATACTCATTTCTTAAAGAAAAGATTGCAAATATAGACAATATAAGCACAAGAATAAGTTCTTGACCAAATTTAGTTATCAATCTCGATTTGACGCTATCCCACTTTTTTTCGAGGATAAATCCTATAAGTCTTGATTTTAGTATATTTTTGCTAGGAGTTTTAATAATACTGTCCAGAAAATTAACACTTTCTTCTGATCCAGGAGTCATATCAAATCTAATCGAACTCTGATAAAATTCTACAACTTTCCCTTCGTCCCCTATTTGCTCTTTTAGTGGGAATTCTTCTTTTGAAGGCTCAAGATTTTTAGAAAGGACAATCAACGGGAGTTTTTGGCTAGTCGAGCAAGTTTTTATTGCCAGTTTCGCTGACGATTTCATAATTAAGTTATCATATAGCTTATCCAAGCATTGATAGCCTTTATAATTGAGATTCGTAAGAGAGCTTTCTAAGAAGCATAACATATTTTTCCCTTCTGCTTTATTTAAAATTGCGCTTATTATCACGTTTACGCATTCGACATTACCTCTTTGATGGGCAATATCTAATGGGGTGAGGTTTCTTCTGCTCAGCAAAAATGGGGTATTGTTGGCTAGACATGTTTCCAAATGTCTTGGCATGTTAAAATATGCATAAATGTGAGCAGTGTTTATAAGCATTGGGGTTATAAACCAACTGTCCATCATAGGATCATATGCCGGGGCTTCTCCTGAAATAATATTTCTTAGATATTCTATATACCCAGAGCTGCTTCTTTCAGGTCCATACATATAAATGCTTTTTGTCTCCATAGGGTTTTCTTTGATATAAACATCTTCTTTATCAGCCATAATAATGTATTTTTCATCTGGGCTACAAGTAACAGCTAAGCACAATTGGTTAAATTTAAGAGAAGTTATTTTTGAATAGTTTTGGCAATCCCAAAAAGCAACAGTTGTATCTGTAGACGCAGAAATGAAATATCTACCATTTTTGCTGAAATAAAAATCGTTTACTGCTCCAGTGTGGGAATCTACAAATTTAATCAATGATAAAGTCTTAATATTTCATATCCCAAACGTAGAATCCCAGGATCCTGACACAAGAATTTCGTCATTCCTTGATACTCTTAAGCATTTTACTTTTTTAGTATGCCCTTTCAGATTCCCAAGCTCAAGTCCCACCACTAAATCAAAGGCCACGATATCACAGTCCTCACTTCCCGAGAAAAGAATTGAAGAATCACTTGTAATTGCCAGTGACCAAACTGTATTAGTGACTTTTTAATATTTTTTCTTAAAAAAAATTATATAAAATATAATAAGCATAAATTTTCTTGGTAATTTAAAAAAAAAAATTTGTTTAATTAGGCATCCATCTGTTTTAGTGTGCCTTCTGATAACATATTTTGGAGGCCTGTCAATATTGCTGACTGGGCTGTCATATTCTCTGACGGTGACTCTAAAAGCAGTGTCTCCAGTAATAAGATATTTCCCATCAGGGCTCACCAAAACCGCTTTGATTACTACATCATTTGAATATGCCATAGGATATTTTTCAAAAGTGTCCAGATCCCAAAAAATCATCTGTTTTTCAGCTGTACAAGTAATTAAATACTTCTCATCCGGCGTCATGCACATAGCATAAATCCCAGCTTCATGCTCAAGCTCCCTGACTTTCTTCTGAAAGTCCCACACAATAGCTTTTTTATCGTTTGCGTTGGTATAAAACAAGTTTCTTGACTCAGAGTAAATAGTATTGTATATATTGCTAGTATGTCCTTTAAGCAAAACTTCATAATCCATTTGTGGGACAGTCCATATAAGAATCCTGTGGTCTTCAGAGACTGTATAAATAAATTTCTCGTCATCGCTGATCAGCATTGCTTTAATCCAATTTTTGTGGCCTGTAAGCACAATTTCTCTTCTCTTATGGGTTAAATCCCAAACTCTGACAGTTGTGTCATTGCTGGAAGTAACCACAATTTGGTCATTATGAATCCAATCTAAATTTGCGACTCTTTTTTCGTGACCTTCAAGTTTGTGCAACATGTTCCATGTCCCAAATTCCCAAATATAAGCAACCCCATCGTTATCGCCTGCGGCGACCATAGATTTGCTTTTAGTCAATTTTACAATTCAGACACTATTGGTTGGTCCTGTTAGGACAGTTTCTATTGATTGTGAGACTGTATTATAAACTTTTACGACTCTGTCAGCTCCACCTGTAACAAGATGTTCGCCATCAATACTTAGGTCCATAGTCAGCATTCTATCATTGTGGGTGTAAATGATTTTTGAGTCACCTCTGTTGACAAGATCCCAAGTTCTTACTGTTTTATCATCACTTCCGGAGTAAAGGACAGTTTCATCTGGCGAGAACATGACTTCACTTACTTTATCAGTATGCCCTTCCATCACATCAACTTGCTCAAAAGTGCTCAGCTCGAATTTTCTTATTTTCCCTTCTTTTCCTGCTACTAAGACATATTCATTGCTTTTAGGCAAAGCTGTTGTATAAAGTCCACCTCCAGGCAGTTGCCGATCATTGATACATTCTTTAGTCAATCGGTTGATTATAGCAAGTCTGCCTTCAACGCTACAAATAACAAAGCACTTTTTATCAGCAGTCAGCTGAAGACTGTTTCCTTTGAAAGGAATAGGGATAACATCAGGGTGATATTTTTCAGCGTGTAGGAAAAGGTTTCTTATGTCTTCGCTAAACTCAATTTTGGTGTCATTAAAAAGAGCAGATAAAACAGGGTTTGTCCTATATTTCACTGCAGCTTCATTCTTTGCTTGGAGATCTTGCTCAGAATTCATATTTATTATTCGCGTGATAATAATTAATCGTCTTGATGCTTAATTTTCGTTATAAATGGCAGCTTTATACTTGAGTTTGGCTTTTATAGTGTTTGCGAAGGATCTTGTATTTCAGCAGCATATGGGTCGTGGAAGGCTGTTTTTGCCGACTAGGTTCGGGCTAGTTCTTGTAGATGATAATGGGGTATATGAAGATCCAATTGAAGATAATAATTTGAATCTGGAAAATAAAGGAGAAGAAGAGGTAAAAAATGATTATAAAAATATTGATGAGGAGGTTTTAAATGAAGAGACAATAAAGAAAAATGATGAATTATTGGGTAAAAATGAAGAAAGTAATAATATTGGGAATTTTAATGGGACAAAGTTTGAAATTAGTGAAGGAAAAGAAAAGGAAATAAGTGATGGGACAATTGAGACTTCAAGCCTTGAGATTGAGGATAGTTTTGAAGATAAAAATATAGAAGAAGAGCAGAAAAATGAAGAGGAGAGTCCTTTGATTTTTCAGTATCAAGCTTCAAATATTCAAGATGAATCTACTGAGTCTCTTAATAAGAAAACTGAAGAAGAAATATCAGAAGACAACAGCCTTTCTTTTGTGATTTTATCTTTTATAGGATGCACATTTCTGATTTCGCTAATTTATTTGCATTATAAACACTAAATCTAATTTTTAAAATTCTTCACAAAGCTTTAATAAATTATTTTTTCGCAATATCAATCAGCATATTTGCCAAATATATCATTTTTCTCTATTAATTATACATATCAAATCCAATTTATAAAAGATATTCATGAAAGCTCAATACGACCAAAGAGTTCTCTACACAGCTTAGCAATCCGAGACTAAAATTAAACCTGAATATTTAATTGATTTAACATTTACTTCCCTCCAAATCATTCCAAGTAAAAAATGGGTGTCGAGCTTGAAACAATCAAACCAGGAGACGGAGTGAACAAACCAAGAAAAGGACAAACAGTCAGAGTTCACTATGAAGGCTTCCTCACCAACGGTACCAAATTCGACTCCAGCAGAGACAGAGGTGAAATGTTTAGCTTTAAACTCGGTGTTGGTCAAGTTATCAGAGGTTGGGATGAAGGAGTTGCTCAGATGTCAATTGGCCAAAGAGTACGCATGACTATTACCCCTGACTATGGCTACGGTGCAAGAGGTGCTGGTGGCGTCATCCCTGGCAATGCGACTCTCATCTTCGACGTGGAGCTCTTTAGTTTTAGCTAAGTAACCATTGAAAGTTCGTAATAAAATGGAGGAAGCCTTGCTCTCAGAACTCGTAGCCCACGATGAGATCACAAACTCCTTTGAATTCGCCCAACACCTGAATAAAAGCCACCAAGAACTTGCCAGCGCTATAAGCAGTCTCTCAATGGACGAATTTATTATTGCTGAGCACAGAGAACAACTAGTTCCTGAACTCACTGATAAAGGCAAAGAATTCGTAAGAGAAGGCTCTCCTGAAGTAATTGTTTATAACTACGTTTTAAACAATCCTGGAGTCTCCCAAGCCCAAATCCAAACCACTCTAGGTGAAGTGGGGAAATTTGGCTTTTCACAAGCAATGAAAAACAAGTGGATTGGAATTGATAAAGAAACGAAGTTAGTTAATGTAACTGTAGACCATGTTGATGACACTGTCAAACTACAGCTAGAAGCCTTCCAAAGGAATGAAGAAGTAAAAATCGATGAGCTCAGGAAGCGAAAACTCATAGACAACGTTAAGAGATCTTATTTCGTAATCAGAAAAGGACCAAACTTTGCCCCCCACAGACAAAAACCAGAAGCAGAACTAACTTACGATATGGTCAGGACTGGAAACTGGAAAACCACCACCTTCAAAGAATACTTACTTAACTTAATTATCTGGTGTTTAAGGTGTCTAGTGCCGCAGCCCCAAAAAGGGCTTATGGCAAAACTAGTGACGTAGGCGAGCCATCTCGGAAACAGGTCAGCTCTGCCAAGCCTTCTATCCACTCCTGCACTACCAGCCCTGCTGCACGTCTCACCCGGCGCGATGCCGTCGCCCTTGTCTCGACTCAGCTCCTGCGCGTGTTCCGCCTGAGGGTCATCCTCCCTTGGGGATGTGCTGAGAGGTAAAAGCCCAAAACCTTGAGTGGACTGAGGAGCAGTTCCTCTGGTTATCTCCAGAGTTAAACGCTATTGCTGTCCAGAAGTTCTCGAGTAAAAACCTAACCCCATAAATAAAATTCCATGAGGGAGAGAAAATTAGCAGAGCTAATTTCTCTCGAACCGAATGCCATTTTATTTATACCTTCAAAGAATACAATTTTAACGCCAAAGGTAAATACCCAGCTGGTGGTCACCTACATCCTCTATTAAAAGTTCGCGCCCAGGTTAGGAACATCTTGCTTGACATGGGATTTGAAGAAATGCCAACCAACACTTTTGTAGTCAGCAGTTTTTGGAATTTTGACGCCCTTTTCCAGCCTCAAGCTCACCCAGCTAGAGATGCTCACGACACGTTTTTCATTAAAAGCCCAGAATTTGCCAATGATTTTGAAGACGACTATAGACAAAGAGTCCAAGAAGTCCATGAAAGAGGTGGCTACGAAAGCATTGGTTTCAGGTACAAATGAAGTATAGATGATGCTCGCAAAAATGTGCTGAGAACACATACGACTGCAAACTCTTCAAAAATGCTATATAAATTAGCTCAAAACGGCTTTAAGCCTAAGAAATATTTCAGTATTGACAGGGTTTTTAGGAATGAAACTTTGGATGCGACTCATTTGGCTGAGTTTCACCAAATTGAAGGAGTCGTGGCTGATAGGAATATTGGACTGGCAGATTTGATTGGGATTATTGCAGAATTCTTCAGGAGGATGGGGATCACTGATATAAAATTCAAGCCTGCTTATAACCCATACACAGAGCCGAGCATGGAAATATTTGGGTACCATCCGATTCTGAAGAAGTGGACAGAAATTGGAAATTCAGGAGTTTTCAGGCCAGAAATGTTGAGACCAATGGGACTTCCAGAAGATGTAAATGTGCTGGGATGGGGACTGTCACTTGAAAGGCCAACTATGATACAGTATTCTATTGGAAATATCAGAGACTTGTTTGGATCCAAATTAGAGCTGAGTGGAATCCAATCCAACCCGATCTGCAGATTTAAAACAGACGAATAAGAATATCCAATAAATTTCTATCTATAATAAAATATCTTAAAAAGCTTTATTAATTACATAACAAAATAACTGCGAAAATAATATTCATTTATTCATTTGCATTGGGATAAGAAATAATAAATGTTGTCCAGATATATTATTCGCTTTGGCCGTAGCAATCTAAGGTGCTTCTCACAAGCTGCTCAAGCAGCCCAAGCAGCCCAGCCAGCCCAAGCAGCTCCAAGCAAACCAGAAAGCTCCGCAGAATCTCTAATTGGCAAAGGATCTTCTAATTTCTCCAAAAAAGTATTTTAATAAATTTAGATTAAATGAAAATCAAAAAAATCAATTTTAAGTAAAATTTTTTATTGGCAAAGTCAAAGCCGAAATCACTAAGGACTTCCACGTCGTCGACTTCAAAAATGTCCCAGCCTTTACTCTTGGCAACTTTAGCGAACGGATGGAGACAGCTCTTATCGATTTGCTCAACGGTCTACGAGGTCTTCAGGGCGGAAAAGGCGCAGTCAACTTCATTGAAAACATCCAAGTTTACAGCTTCTTGGAGTATCAGCCTTTATCCAATGCAGCCAAGGTAGAATCTCTTGGAAACAATCAATTCAAAGTCAGCGTTTTTGACCCAGCCAACGCTCCTCAAGTAGAACTCGCCATAAAGAAATCTCCTTTTAAGCTTCAAGCTCAGAGAAACCTTGACGTTATTACTGTGACTATGACTCCTGATAAAGAAAACACCCTCAAGGCAGCTGAAAGCTTAGCTGAGGAGACAAGAAAAAAAATCACTGCAGTTTACCAAGAAGGACTTCAAAGATTTAAAGGAAGAGACCCTAATGGCGAAAGATCAATGGAGATCTTGAAGGAAAAAAACCTGCAGCAAGTTGATAAGTTGTTGGCCAAAAAACAAGACCAATTTAAGTAAGTGAGTAAATCACTCTTCGAAAAATTCGAAATTAATTGGAAAATAATTAGCAAAATAAAGAAAAATTAGCTCAATTCTCGGATGTGGACGACTGATTTGGGGAAAAGACCAGCATTTTCTAGGGTTTGTGATTTATTGCTGAGGACTAAGAGTGGGAAATTTATGACGATTTCAAAGTCCGAGAGGTCTAATGTTTCAACAAAATCATAAAGAATTTCCACTGTCTGTGTTGCGTAAAATCTTCTTTCACATTTTTGTCCATTCGGCAGCCTAAATGAAATCTGTGCAATATTATCTCCATTTTCAGGCTCAGGCCCAATTTTTTCGATTTTTTGTCTTTTAGCTTCTTCTTTTCTCAGTCTTTCCTTTTTTTCTTCTTCTTCCTCTTCTTTCAATTTTTGCTTTCTTTTAGCTTCTTCTTGTAGATATCTTTCTCTCACAATTCTTTCCGCTTCTTCTAGCTCTAAATCTTGCTGCCTTCTTATTTTTCTTTCATATTGCAGCTCTGAGTCCCCATTCAGTAATATTGAATTTTCTCCATTAATGCATAGGTCCAGCTCATTAAGAAGTGCATTCAGCTGAATTGGGACTTTTATGATTTTGATTATATGAAGGTTATTAATTTCTTGAGGATTTAGGACAACAAAGCAGGGAAATTGTGTCAGTTGAAACAGTAAAATTGCTGCCCTACCATCTGGAGAAGTTTGGTCGACTCCTCAGGAAATAAAATTATTTTCAAGAAATGAAGTAAGTTCTTGACTGCAGAGAACAGAGGCTACCCATTGGCTTGGGACTGTAAAAGAATTAATGTAGACGAGGAGCAGCTTGCGTAATTTTTGGGCTTCAGATAGGGATTCTTGGAGTTTGAGGTTGGTAAAGGGAACTCTTGGAGAATAATTGCTGAGAATTGAGATAAATGCAGAAGCATCCTCTGATGTCCTCACTGGAGGGTAAAAATAATTATAAGCTAAATAAAACACTCAGCTTATGCCAGAGACTAATTTTTGTTGTCCTCACTTTGCGTATCTTATAATAGCCCAGCTTGATTCTGAATAGGCTGAATCTTGAATAAGAGGGTCCTGAATATCATCAGATACCATAGAATCTTGAAAATTATAATTGTTTCTTGGCATTGACATGAATTCATTACTTGCCGATATTACATCAAAATTATGTTTATTCAATAATTCCATTGCCACATCTGCATCATAACTTTCAGTTATTGCTTGAAAATTAAGCAACGCTTCTTGCTGATTGCTATTTAGCTTTGAAGAGTACATAATTTTTATATTAGAAACAAAGATGAGTGCATTTTTCTTTATTTTTACCAATAAGGCTTCTCTTAAAAAGTTATATATTCAAATGCTTATTTTTAAAAATTATAAAATTAATTTATTTCCACAAATTCATCACTAATTTTTAAGTAATTTATTTTGGTTTTCTTGTTTTTTCAAATTCTTCGCAAATTTGGTCAAAGTTTGAAGAACGCCTCAGCGTGATGATGGCCTTGTTCCTATTTCTGCTTATTCCTTCACGATCTGTTTCAGGGACGCTCAAAGTTTGGAAATTTTCAAGAGTTGTATAGCCATTAGAGCATAACATTTCTGCAGCTCTAACAACATTGGCAGTAGCTTCGCCAAGACCATGGAGCGCAACGGTTTCGTGGGTTTTGAGGACTTCTTTGCTTTGATAGACGAAGGAAGCGTATCCTCTCTTGACGCTGACTTTTATTATATTGCTTTCTTCTGCCATTTTATACCACCAGCTTGTATATTGTTTGGAAATAGCTTAAATGGATTTATTTGGGGAGATCTTCAATTATCTGCAGTTAAGGCTTAAAAGATTTAATATTAATTATAAATATTCATTTCTTACTCCCCTCCTCCGTGAGTGAACAAAACCATTAGAAAAATCGCTAATTTTTGCCCAAAAACCCATCCTCCGTGAGTGAACAAAAATTTTTTTAATAGAAAAAAATTTTATGAAAAAAAAAAAATGATATATATAAGTATAATTGGTATAATGAAATCTCGAGCTAATTCTATTATTTTTAAACAAAATGCATTTTAAAAAACATAAATTTTATAGATTAAATTAATATTTGCTTCCCAATTTTTGCAAATTAGGATATTTTTTATATAAAATTTTTTTTTAAAAAAAATTAACCCCACCGTGAGCGAACAAAATTTTTTTGTTCACTCACGGAGGGGGGGAGTTTAGGATTTTCTGGCTTTAGATCATTTTTATAAAGATTATAAAATATGACACAATTTGTGCGCACTAAATTAGCCAAAAAATATAGAGTTAATTGAATATGGGAAGATCATATGAAGAGTTGTCAATTATCTATTATAGCATGCTTGGATCAAGCATTTTAAGCTTGCTTGGAGGCTGCTTTATATGCCTCGTTTATTATATGTTTAAAAAGCTTCGAGTTTTCGCTTTTAAGCTTGTTCTCTATCTTGCTATTGCCGATATTTTTGTAGCATTAGGTAAAAATCATATAGGTTTCATGGTCCCTTTCCATCCTCCCGATGGTGAAAACAGCAATCTTTGTATATTTCAAGCAGCCCTCACTTCTTATTTCACTGATTGCACTATTTATTTGACTTCAGTTATTGCTCATGCTCTATATAGTGCAGTTGTTAAACATAGAACTATTGAAAAATATCATCTATATTATATCTTATTCGCTTTTGGCATGCCTTGAATAGGCGTAATTATACCTTTAATCGCAGGCTGGTATGGTCCAGATAACGGCTGATGCTGAATTAAGCCAAATCAAGCATATACACCTTGAATGAAATATCTGCAGTATTATTTTCCTTTATTTTTGATATTAATATATAACTCCACAGTTTATGTTTCCGTGATAAAGAAACTGAATAGAGAAACCAATTTAGGATCAAATGAAGTAAAAATGAAAAGAAAACTTGCATTAAAATTAAAAATGTACCCTATTGTGCTGTTTTTATGCCAAATCCCTCCAGCTATTTATAGGATTTGGGAAATTGCTATTGAAAATTCTTCAGATAAAAGTGTCCCTTTTGTATTGATTTTGATATCAGGGATCGGGCTGAGTATCAATGGGTTTTTAAACTCAATAGTGTATGGATTTACTGGGAGTGTTAGGAATGAATTAAGAAAGAAAATTTTTGGTAAAAAAAAGCCGTCTCATGATACATCGTTAATCTTTTATATTGTAAAAGATGAACAAATAACTGAAAAGCTTGTGGAGCCCTATTAATTTATATTTTTAAATACAGTCTATATAATTGAAGGATAATTTATTTTTTAAATTTCTTCCTTCACTATATCATACATCATAGAGTCTTCAAGCGGATTTTTTTTCCTTCTACATATCACTTCTCTCAGTTTCTTTTTTACGACTCCTGTCAGTCCATATGCAATTGAATTTAGTGCTCCATTTGAGCACATACTGACTGCTGCAATTCAAAGTATCCAAAAACTATCATCAGGATCATAATCAGTCCAGTCAAGCTCTTTAATTGTTCCTCATACTCTATAGATTGTAACAGGAACCTGACATATAAGAAAAATAATTGGGTACAATTTCAGTTTCCTCACCAGTTTCCTTTTCAGCTTGTTTTCTCTACTCCCTATATCTGCTTCATTTTTTATTTTTCTTATCACTTTTAAGTACACCACAGCATTGTAAATTAATACAAATCACATAGGAATATAAAATAAAAAATATTTTTCTAAATTTTGGTAAACTGATGTTCCTGATATCCAGCATCAGGCTCCAGAACTCCCATAATCGTTAGAGATAAAAGGGATGACTGCAGGGATTATTGGAATTGTGAATGCATAAATGAGGTATTTTGTGTGGTAAAGCTCTATAGGCTTGTGCCTGATAACTGCTGAATAAAGTGCATGAGCGATGATATTTGATCATAAAACACCGGAAAGGTCAAAATAAAGACTGACTGAGGCTTGAAATTGGCAGAGAGGGTCTGAAACTTTTCAAGGGATCATGTAAACTAAGTAGAAAATACCTAAAGCAGAGCACATGTCGGCAAAAGCTAAATAAGCGACCAGTTTAAAAGCAAACGCTCTTAGTTCTTTGAATAAAATGTAGGCAGAAATTACAAAAATTGATCCGATCACACTTAAAATGCAGGTGCCAACCATAGATGCATAGATCGCATCATTAGACTTTTCGTTGTCCATGAATTTTATTTCAGATAATTAACATTTATATAGAAATTATGGTCATCTTCAAAATGATAATTCTTCAACAGCTGTTTCATAGAAATTTACGATAAAAAATTATTTATTCAGCCAGCTGCTCAATTTTATTTAAATGTCCTAGCAAAAACCTGTATGTTTCTTCTAATTCTGGGTTGTGCTCATTCATTTCCATTTTGGTTTTCAACTCTTCAACTACATAAAGCATACAATAATTTGCAGTAATTACATATCCTTGGACCATTCCTAGTAGTCTTTCTCATGATCCTACCTTTTGGATGCATTCTTCTATTTGTTCATTTCCTTTTACTTTCTGTTTTAAATTTACCTTAAATGAGTCTTTAAAGAGCTTGCTGAAAATTGGGTCCCTTTTCAGAATGACTGAGTAATGCTCAAGCATGTAAATAAATTTTGAGTTTTTTGTGGTGCTAGGCACTGAAGGCAGCTTATTGCTGGCCCTGCTTCTCTTTTTGCGTTTTTCTAAGAGTGATGATTTCATAGTTTCGTATTCCTTGGCTTTATCTTCCTGATTGGATTTTTACGTCAAGAGATCACATATCTCCATTGATTTTAAATGCTTTTAAATGCGATAAACCCCTCAAAGATCTTGGGATGTCATTCCCTTTATACTTAGCTCCAGAAATATTTCTCAGTGACTGATAAACACCTTCAAGATGGGCAAGAATAGCATCAAAAGGAGCAGGCTGAGCGCTTCGGAGGAAATTAATTACAGATCCTGCTAGTGTTTTGCTAAATTTTGATTCTTTTTGCATAAAATAATATAAAAAATAGCGCCATATAGATAACAAAAATTAAGTGTTTAGATTTCTTATGCAGTCAGTTGAAAATGCTAAAATGCCCTTTATAAAGGCAAGCATAATTAATTAAGGAATTCCTCTAAAAGTCAACGCATCCGCTTTATTAGGGTTATTTTCTGAATGCCCATATACAATGACAGCATGATCTCCAGATCTTGCTACCAGTCTCCGTTTAAGCTCTTCAAATGCATTATTTATCATCACTTCTAATTGCTCATATTTCTCTATCTTAATTCCCCAAAGATTTCTATAGAATTTTAACTGGCGGATTGTAGCTTCATTAGTAGAAAGCACAAAAATTGGGGCTTTAGGCCGATATTTCTCGACAAGTCTTGCAGTCCCACCTCTATCGCTAAATACGACTATAACATTAGCTCCTCTTTGGTTCGAAATATTTGCAGCAGCTTTGCATGTGCCTTCTCTTGACCCTGCTACAAAGTCGCCCTTGATCTGCTTTTTTAAAGTTTCTTGGTATTTTTCAGCCTCCAGACAAATTTTTGACATAAATGTTAGAGCTTCTATAGGAAACTGCCCAATACAAGTTTCTGAAGAAAGCATAACGGCATCAGTTCCATCAATAATTGCATTAGCGATATCACTTGCTTCAGCTCTTGTTGGGCGCGGGTTCTTGATCATTGATTCTAGCATTTGAGTAGCAGTCAGCACAGGTTTTGCGTATTGATTTGCAATGCTAATTATAAACTTCTGAGCTAAAAACACTTTTTCATTAGGTAAGTTCATCCCTAGGTCTCCTCTTGCCACCATAACTCCATCACTTTCTTTTATAGTCTATTCTTATTTTTATTTTCACATAAAATTAAGGAAATTTTATATATAAAAAACAATTTTATACAAAAATCCTTTCACCTATACAATTTCTTCAGTATTTTCTAACCCTTCGATATTTTCTATTTTTCCAATAATTTTGATAAATTTTCCATTTTCTCCCAAAAGTTGTCTCATATCGATAACATCTTGCTTTCTTTGTGTAAAGCTAATGGCTACAAAATCTATTTTGTGGCTTGATACTAATTCTAATAAAAGCTCGTCATTTTCTACAACACGTTTGGTTATTCCTATACGAGAGCCTAATACAGTAATATTTTGATGCTCTAAAAGAGGTACTGATGCACTTATCACTCTAACTTTAAAGAGAGATGGCCGGATATCTAGAGTTTCACATATAATACCGCCGTCAGAGATCAAGACTGTGCTGCCAATTTTAATATAGCTAAAAATCTCAGGACTTGTAATTGAAATTATATTTTTGGTTCCTTTTACTGTGCGATCAGTTGTAATTTCTAGTTCTTGCCCTCTTTCTAAGGCTATAGGTGCGTGTTTTTTATTGATTCCTGTCCTTACTTCAGGACCTTTTGTGTCGACCATAACAGCAACTTCTTCTCCGGTCTGCTCACAAGCGATATCCAGATTGTGAAGAATCTCTTCGTGCGATTTTTTGTCCCCGTGGGCCAAATTAAGCCTGGCCACATTCATGCCATTTTCTATCAATTTTGTAATTATAGGGACTTCACTACAGGCTGGACCAAGCGTACAGACAATTTTTGTTTTTCGGGACCCTTCTTTCTGTTTTTGCATATCATCTATAACTGACCTTTGGCTTATAAGAGTACCTGCTTCTTCTGTTATAGGCTTGCTTGCAATTTTTTTCTTTATTATATTAAAATCTGGCAATATCCGTGAGATATTAGAAACATAGTAATGCAATAAATCTAGATCGTCATGAAAAATATCAAAAGGTTTAGGCAGCAGCGTTGTTTGGGCTAAAATTGGTGGAGAAATAGGGTGTTGGTAATTAAGCTCAACTTCATTAATAGCTCTGACTGTTTCCATCCCTTCCACTACTTTGCCAATAATAATATATTTCCTATCTAAATGAGGCAGAGATCTCAAAGTTATATAAAATAGCCCTTTTCCTTTTCTGGTAACTCCAACTAGTCCTTCTCTGTCATGCTTAATTTGGAAACACTCAGAATTCAGCTCATTGCTATCGTCATATTCTTGGCTTAAATAGCCTCCCATAATATAACACCCTTGCACAACTCTGTTGAAAGGAGTTCCTTTATATGAAAGGATTTCTCCTTTGGAATTTTTCTTTTTTTCTAAGCAGAGCTCTATAAATTCTTGGCATGACTTTGGACAAATCCTATGGAAAAGCTCTATTATGACTGGTTTCCGCTGACGGTCCATTGCGATAGCAAGCTCGACAAAAATATTTTCTGAGTTCATGATAGTTTTCGTTTTCTGGATTCTTGATTGTTTTTCGTAAAAAGAGAAAGGAGTGTGGTCAAAATAATGGAAATTTGTGAAAGCCCAGGACTCGAGCTCTTCTAAAGAGCCTAAATAGTGGTCGTCTAGAGTAACTATAAATAATTGTTTAAATAAAATATTATTGGGTGAATAACAAATTATTATTATAGTTATTAAAAACAGTATATAAGCTAAGTTAAGTAAAGTTTAGCGCTATAAGGCATAAGCGAATTGCTATAGACCCACTTACCTATGAATAAACTCCCTAGGTAAGAGCCACCTCTTGCGGATCCCGGACTAATCTCGAAAGATAAAGACTAAGTATCAGGTAAAGCCTATCCAGCCCATATAGTTGGTATAAGAAAACTAGAGAGAAGCAAAACTTTCTTCTCGGCAAGACGCCCAAATCCGAATGCCTGTTTAAAAGTGGTAGAGGCTTGCTTTTAGCTTCGTTTGATTGGTCCTACCGCTCCATAAGGTATGTCTTCTTCTGTCAACGACAGTTTTTATTGTTACAGTATATAAGGGATTGATCTTTTAAGAATTGGATTTGAAGGGTTTCCATCAAGGATTTTATTGCTGGATCTAGCTGTGATTCGAAATGCCCTTGGATTTCTATTTCAATTTGTGCAGACTCATGAAGGTCTTCAGATATTTTTTTAACTTTTTGAAACCTTTGAATTGGGCGAAGATGAAAAAAGCACAGCGTGCTTTTTACCTATGCTTGACGGCTAGAAAAACCATGCACTTTTTTACCCTATGGTTTTAAAAAAATATTATATTTTTTTTGCATAAAACAAGTTCAGTCATTTTGATGAGCAGCTGTAAAAAAAGCACGCTGTGCTTTTTTCATGTTGAGCCCTTGAATCGTCAATTCTTCCTATAGCAGTTATCCGAGCCATTTTCATAAATGAATAATTTAATTCTTGATTGCTTGAGAACCAAGATTCTGGGATGACCTTAAGAATGATTCGGTTTTATTAATCGTGGGGATTCTAAAGAAAAGAGTCATAATAAATGGGCTGCAGAGAAAAAATAATAGAATAGAATTAATATTTTTTGAAAATTTTATCATTAAGCAAACCATTTTTGGCGAAAATGAAGCATTCACGCACAAGACAATAATTCTTTGGCTATCTTACTATAAGCTTTACTTTCTTCGATTTGAAATATTAGTTATAAGTATTTGACTGTGCATAAAATGTTAAATAAAACATCTTTCCAATTCCCAATCCATGTTCTTAAATCGCCATCATCATTAATTTGAGATTAATTCCATGTTAGAGACCGGAAGTGAATACCCTTCATACATAAAAGAAATGATTTCTGAGCTCCGCAGTTCGGAGTCAGCTGCTTCTATTTTACAGAAATATAAACAATTCACAGAAGGCGACTTCTTATTAGCTTTAATTTACAAGAATCTGAGCTATTCTCCGCATTCAAGAAAATTTTTGTCGAATGAAGAAGTCCTGTCCACTATCCATAAAGAATATCTGACTGACCTCCCTCCCCTTTCTTCTAATTGAGAAATACAAAATGGACTAAGGGAGATGAAGCCATATTATGACAACCATATTAATTTATTCTAAATAGTCTAAATATTTATAAATGAAATATAAGAAATTTATATGAATTTTTATTGAAAAACAGAATAATTTCCAGTCCAAATGGAATTGGTCTTGATATTTATCCTCAATCGCCTGAATTTTTTGAAGAGTCAAGCCTAACGACGATTAGGAAATAAAATGGTTACGTTTACGGAAATTGGGCTACGAGGAGCACTCCCTATAGAGTAGGTGGACATTTTCTCCCATAGGTCTTCCAGTCCCTGCCAGATGGGGGCTAGGCAGGTTTTGCTTTCATTGCAGGGATATCAGTGCACCCTGCAGGCAGTGACTCTGCCCAAGGGAGTTAATCTCTTGGACAGGTGACTCAGATCAAAAAAACCAATATGGCAGCCTTTCTTCCTCTTTTGTCCTTGGGGCGAGGAGGGAGGCTATTTTGGAACCAAGATGAGGCAAAGGCTAGTGGGTTTGCCCACTTATGGCCAGCTTAATCAATTAATTTAATTTAACGACGATGTGGTGCGAGACCACTCCATCGTCAAACAAAAAAATCGAGCTGATGTGCACTCCGCCCAGCACTACTTTGAGATCTCGTAATGGGCTTAAAGCATTGAGCTGGAGAGTAAAGGAAATTGTTGAGAGGTTTGGGAGCGCAACTTATAAAGACGTCGCTGATGAGTTGCTGAGGGAGTTGCAAAGCAACCAAGGGGACGAGGACTTTAAGGACGAAAAAAACGTCAGGAGAAGGGTTTACGACGCACTTAACGTCCTGATTGCTGCTGAAATTTTACAAAAAAGAGGCAAAATGGTGGAGTCCCGCAATAAAAGTTCTTACAGACTGTGCTTTAAGTCTGAAAACTCAGAAACGTTTATTTCTAAAAGAAAAAAACTCAAACAGCTTTTACAACATTATGTTGCAATTAAAAATTTAATTGAGAGGAACAAGAATTTGCAGAGCGCCAGCGACAGGCTAAGATTGCCTTTTACGCTGATCACTGTGTCCTCAGAATCTAGTGAAGAAGTAAGAGAAATGTAGGTTTCGATAAAGACGAACATTCAGAGGTCGAAAATCCACATTAAGTTTGAGAGTCCAATAACTGTCATGGAGCCTGTTGAAGTTTTAAAGGAACTTGGGCTTCACAACAATCCTGCAGGGATTCATCTTGAGGCGTTGGAGCTTTGCAACTATGCCTCGCCGAGCTAATTAATTAATCGCAAAAGGTAATCATTGATATAAATGTAAGGGGTTTTTGATAGTTGTATAGTAAATGTGAATTTTTTATTTTTTTTAAATTGGGGAAGGATTCTTTGTTCCGATTTAAAAGTGGAAGAAGTTAGAATAAATGCCTTTTTAAGCACAATAACAAAAAATTCTGAGACTCATTAATAACCCAGTACTTATAATAGCCAATTTTAAGGAAAGGCCATTAGGGCATTTAGCAAATGGGATTTCAGTGAGAGCAGAGCCAGAAAAATTAGCTGCTAACCATGTGGCTAAGAATGAGAGAAAGTTATTTAACTTCTAAGATTCATTCTGCTTAAAGCTGAATGTGATATCAATTGGAAGCTTAGTTTCATCCAAATCAGTCTGAACCTTGATCTGACTTACTGTCGATGATTTGATACTCCAACCTCCTGTAGGAACAGAAGCTTGACCTTTAGAAGCTGTAAAAGAATTAAATCCCACCGTTTTCGAAAGTGGGTGAGCAAAATCAATAACGGCATCTGGAGAGTCGAAACTCAATTGATATCCTACTTTATCCACTCTGCACGAACTTCCATCTTGGACTACTAAGTCAGCACACTCAAAACAAACAGGACTATTAGTGCATAAATTGCACGAATCGGCACATGCTAAATAAATCTTACAAACACAGCTTGTTTTAGTCGCACTTTCATCATAAAGGAAATATCCTGAATTGCATTGAGTGCATATGTCTATCGAAGAACAATCTGCACAATTAGAAGAGCAAGCTATGGTTAGAGAGCATGAGCCTGCCTTAAGAGTATAGCCATCATTGCATCTGGTACAAACTGAACCGCCTTGAGAAGCACAAGCGCAATCAGGGACTGCACTAGTTGGGCTGCAAGGGCCACAGCCGGAAGCAGTTCCGCTAGAGCAGATTTTGCAAACAGTAGCACTAGAAGCCTCTTTACAACGCTGCAGTTGAGACTGTATGCACCCTCCTATTCCGTCAGAGATATATCCAGTTGAGCATTTCGTGCAATATTTTGGATCTGTGCTATTACCCAAAGAACAATGAGTAAGAGTTGAAGTGGAGCATAAGCCTGCATCGTTAGCTATTTTTCCAACTGAACATGAAGTGCATTTTTTATCTGAGGTGCAAATGGTGCAATCTGGATCAATTGTGCTGCACATCGTGCACTGCTTGTTGACACCATCCCAGTATTGAATGCCTGTGCATGCTATTTGGGCGCAGGAGCCATTATTCTCGTAATACCCGCTCAGACAAGTTTTACATGAGACTCCATCAGCATTAAGCACTTTACAATTTGGAATTGATGATGCAAAGCAAGTGCCTGAATCAGATGCTACATATCCCGTTTTACAATTGGTGCAGAAGCCAGCTCCAGAACATTCTTGGCAATTTTTATTAAATCCGGAGCATGCCTTGCAACTGTTAGAGTCCAAATAATACCCTGTTGCGCATTTAGAGCAAGTTTGACCGCTTGTACAAGTATCGCAGCCTGAAACTTCGCATGTCGAGCAAGTCCGATCCATATTTAAATAATATCCTGAAGCACAAGTGTTGCATTTCCCACTATTAGTGCAACCAGTACAACCTAATATTAAGTCATTACATGATGTACAGCCTTGAGTATAGCCTACATTGCAAATGCTACATTCAAAACTGGAAGAAACAACAGCACAATTTTTCATACTTGATGCGGTGCATCCACCATCTATGTCAGGAATATCTGTATATGAGGTGCAAGTTCCGCAAAGTGTTGAAGATGCACAAGTCTGGCAATTATTTTGACCATTTGTGCAAGTTGGTGTTAGTTTTCTTTCTTTTTCTGTAGCATTTGATCTTATTTCTTGGCTAGATCCTTGAATATCGTTGTTTTGGAAAAGCTGATTAAGAATCTCAGGATCTGAAACGGGAGCTTTAGAACTTTCCTCATGCTCCATGATGTTGTCTTGCATTGCAGAAGCTCCAAACATCAGGATAAGAATAAACGCTACCACTACCATATATTTTTATTAAGCTATTAGATAAAGGAAAAAAATGGACTTATGTAAATATTTCAGCCTTAAGTTAAAAATTAAACTATTCTAAAATTTCCAAAAGTTGTATTAAACTTTTGCAATATAATTGGATGCTAAAGCTTGGCATCTTTATTTGTGGTCCTATTATGGCTCTCACCGATTAAGCAGCGTTTTGAATGCTTAATCAGTCTCAATCTTGAGCTGATCTTAAAAACGTGCTCATGCCCTTGATCAATATTTGCTAGGCAGCTGGCCTTTAAACTCGACCATATTTACTTAAGTTCATTTTATAGCATCTGCCTGTATTTTTAAATCAGATTAGAAAAGTTTTTTAACTTTAAGATTCATTCTGCTTAAAGCTGAATGTGATATCAATTGGAAGCTTAGTTTCATCCAAATCAGTCTGAACCTTGATCTGACTTACTGTCGATGATTTAATACTCCAACCTCCTGTAGGAACAGAAACTTGACCTTTAGAAGCTGTAAAAGAATCAAATCCCACCGTTTTCGAAAGTGGATGAGCTAAATCAATAACGACATCTGGAGAGTCGAAACTCAATTGATATCCTACTTTATCCACTCTGCACGAACTTCCATCTTGGACTACTAAGTCAGCACACTTATAACAATTAGGACTATTAGTGCATAAATTGCACGAATCGGCACATGCTAAATAAATCTTACAAACACAGCTTGTTTTAGTCGCACTTTCATCATAAAGGAAATATCCTGAATTGCATTGAGTGCATACGTCCTTCGAAGAGCAAGTCGCACAATTAGAAGAACAAGCTAAATAGAAAAATACCTAGAGAGCATATACCTGCAATAAGACTAAGGCCATCATTGCATATGGCACAAACTGAGCCGCCTTGAGAAGCACAAGCGCAATTAGAGATTGTATTAATTGCGTTGCAAGAGGCGCAGCTGAAAGCAGCTCCACTAGAGCAGGTTGTGCAAGTACCAGCATCAGAGGCCACGTCACAATACTGTAGTTGAGACTGTATGCACCCTCCTGCTCCGTCAGAGATATATCCAGTTGAGCATTTCGTGCAATAATTTGGATCTGTACCTCTAACCAAAGAACAATGAGTAAGAGGTGAATCGGAGCATGAGTTTAAATCATTAAGTATTTTTCCAGCCATACATGAAGTGCATTTTCCATCTGAGGTGCAAGCGGTGCAGTCTGTATCAATTGTGCTGCATTCCTGGCATTGCTTGTTGACACCATCCCAGTATTGAGTGCCTGTGCATACTATTATTTGGTCGCAGGATTCACCATTAAGGTAATACCCGCTCTCACAAGTGCTACATTTGCCTGTCACAGAATAGACTACTTTACAATTTGGAATTGATAAGAAAGTGCAAGCGCCTTTATCATTTGCTATATCTCCTCCCGTACATTTGGTACAGAAGTTCTTTCTTAGACATTCCCTACAATTTGGACTAAAGTCATAGCATGGCTTACAACTGCCAGATTCCTCAAAATACCCTGTTTTGCATGTATTGCAAGTTAAACCTCCGCCTGTGCAGGTATCGCAGTTTGAATCACTGCATTTCCCGCAAGAAAAATCCGAAACTAATTGATATCCTGAATCACATTTGGTGCATTTTCCATCATCAGAGCAAGTAAGACAACCTTCCATTAAGGCACTACATGATGCACAGCCTTTGTAATGGTCTGCTTTGCAAGTTTCACATACAGTAGCGGAAGAAACTATAGCACAATTTCTCATATATGATGAAGTGCATCCACCATAAGTGTCAGGAATATACTCATGCATGTTGAATAGATCAGTAAAATTTTAAAAAATAATTTGATTTCCTTTAAAACGGAGCAGTTTTTAAAGTTGGCAGTCTCTAAACATAGCTAGCACTTACAATTTTTTATTTTAAACTATTTTTATAATTAATATAATTTTATTTTCCAATTATATAAGATGCCTAGCCCAAAGAAAAAAATAAAATGATGACGTTGACAGAAATTGGACTCGAGGAGAACTTCCTAAGGAGCAGATAGGACCCATCCTGATGAAGCTGAAAGCAGGCGCCTCTTTTCCTCTTAAAGTAGACCTTCAGGCTAGGGGATGCCTTGCCGAAAAGGGAAGTTTGTTTCCCCAAAGTTTTTCCTGTCCCTGCCAGATGGGCTAGACAGATTTTGCCTAATAAATGGTCTTTCCTCATCGAGACCATCGGGGCACTCTACAGACGGTGGCTCTACTCTAGGGAGCTGATCCCTTGGACAGGTAGTTTAGGTCGGAAATCCAAGATGGCGTCGAAACAAGTAGTATAGTAGCATCAGAATCTTGTCTGGAGCTATCCTGGAGCCGAGATTAAGGATGAAAAACTAATGGGTTGCCACTTATGGCCATGGATCATTTTTAATTTATAGCCCAAAGAACTTATTAGTTGAATTATAAAATTATATATTTGCTGGTTGATTCAATCAGTATCCTATTTATTCTTCAAAAAGCCATTTTGAAGGAAGAAAAACAGTAAGTAAAATGGTTTTCTGTATAGAGTAAAATTTGATAATGTCAGATAGGGTGTATTCAAGGTAAGCACACATAGCAGCATTTGTAGTGCACTGTTGACAATAGCTTGCAGATGCACAAGTCTGGCAATTATTTTGACCATTTGTGCAAGTTGGTGTTAGTTTTCTTTCTTTTTCTGTAGCATTTGATCTTATTTCTTGGCGAGATCCTTCGTTGTTTTGGAAAAGCTGATTAAGAATCTCAGGATCTGTAATAGGAGTTTTTAAGCCACCATTAGAATTTTCTTCATACTCAATGATGTTGTCTTGCATTGCAGAAGCTCCAAACATCAGGATAAGAATAAACGCTACCACTACCATATATTTTTATTAAGCTTTTAGATAAAGGAAAAAAATGGACTTATGTAAATATTTCAGCCTTAAGGCAAAGATTAGCTTTATTAAATTTATTGAACTAATTTTTATTCTAATATTCGCAAAAACTTTTTAAATTTTTGCAGCTTAATCAGTCTCAATCTTGAGCTGATCTTAAAAACCAGCATATGCGCCTTGATCAATATTTTCTGGGTAGCTGCCCTTTAAGCTCGATCATACCTGATTAAGTTTATTTATATATTCCAAAAGTATTATCCTATCTCTCTAGTGTAGAGAGCGTACTTCCAATAATCTTTTATCTAAAGACAAGAATCCGCTACTGGCTCATTGCAAATTAATGCAAGCTATATTTTATAAATTATAGTGCTTTAAAATTAAATAATTTTATTACTTCTAGGAAGGGAGCTATGATTGATTTTTTAGTAAAAAAATCACGATTAATAGCAAATTATTGAATTTCTGGAGTTAAGAAATTATTGAATTCAGTCAATTTCTGGAGTTAAGAAAGCCATTTAATATCTGGTATATGGCCTGTATAAATTTAAGGCCAGCCAAAATGGATCGAAATTATAACAATTTGAACACTTTCAGCATAGCTTAATAAAAAATAATTAAAATTTCTCAAGCTTCAAACAAACAACTCTTTATTTAATTGCATTTTGTTATAAAATATTAAAATTTAATAATTATTTCTCCTTTGATTATAGCCCTGGGAACGGGCTATAACGAAAATTAATACCCTTAAGAGGAAAATCATTAGTGCTATTGACCCATAGGTTGTTGGAAGACCTGAAGATGAAAAAGTATTTTTAAATCATGCGTTAGAAGAATTGATGAGTTCTCACCTAGAGAATTAGCTGAGATAGTAAAAACATTACCAAATAATTATTTCCCGCACATATGGCGCCTTCTCGTCAAAAGTTGGAAGTGCTTATCCTGCAAATATAGGAGGATTTTGCATTTTGAGGAAGGATTCTGCAACAGAATGAATCTCTCTAGTGCTGAATCTATGAAGCATTGAGCTTGAAATGGAAATAAAGAAATGATGCAATGAGTTTTTTTTTTATTAAACAGAAGCTAGAGATTCAGTGGGTTCCAGGAAAAATTTTGATTTTAGATGGCCTACCTTGTTTGTGCTAGTAGGTATGCATTTAAAACAAAATTTCTCGTGAATGTGGATGCACTTGGAAGTCTGATGGAGTTTTATTGTTGTTGTTTGTTGCTGTGAAATATGCGGAGTTTCTGCTTGGCGGAGGTAATAGGACTTTTGCTTTGTGGAAAGATGTAACCATTTGTTGTGGAAGAGGTGAAAAAGAGAGAAGTGCTTGCAAGACCGGCAGTAAAAGCTTAAGAGAGTATAAGATAAAAGCATTACCAAATTCTGAGCTACTGAATCTTTTAGCAAGTGACTATACTAAATTTGATTGAAAATGGGCTGCTACCTTATAGCCATAAATCTAACTTTTAAGATTTAATCTATAATTTCCCCTATTATCTCAAAACACTTACCTTCCCTTCAAATGGAGGAAAAAAAATTGATAAAATTTTTTTTTTGAGAGAAAATTGTAATGTAAATTTTATTTTTTAAATAAAGTAAAACACCCTTAAAACTAGAACAGATTTTAAAGGGGAGTTATTTAATTTTTCTCATAGTAATTAATTCCCTTAAAACTAAACCCAATTATCTAAATATTTTTAAGCTATTAGAGTTCTGTTCTCTTTTCTCCAGCCTTGCCTTGTAGGTAGTCCACAATGGCTTCAGCAGTTCTAGCTCCTCCGTATTTCTCAACTTCTTGTCCTCTTTGGAAAAATATAAGTGTTGGGTATCCTCTGATTTGTCTTGATGATGCTGCAGCTTTCTCAACAGTAGCGTCTACTTTGGCAATAACAACCTTAGAGCCCTTTTCCTTTAGCAAATTAGCAGCTTTCTCGTATTCAGGAGCAAGTCTCTTGCAGTGTCCGCACCATGGGGCGTAGAACTCGACGAGGATGTTTTCGTTGTCTGCAATAGCTTTGTCGACGGTGGCATCAGTAAGCACCAAGACGTTGGAATCTTCGTCAGCTGAGGTAAGGAGCACAACGCTAAGTAGAACAAGGAGACTGATTGTTTTGATGGCCATTTATTATTAACTTCAGAAATTCCGCAATTTCTACGTGTAAAATTAAGGTTGCAAGATGGAAGAGCTAGGGATAGAAGAAAAGAAGCAGAAAAATGAGAAATATGGGTATACTCCAAAGAAAGAAAATTTGGTCATGAAAGAGTTCTATCAGAGGCAGCTGGGGATTACTGATGAAGATTTTGAGGCTTTTTGGGAAATAGCTAAACAGCCTTTACCAATAGCTTTTAGGGTTATATTTTATATAATTGAATTACAGTTTATTATTTTCACACCAATTTTTATTGTGGGTTCTATATTTAGGTATAATCCAACACAGCAAAATTATCAAATAGTCATAAGCAAGCTGTCCTCATCTCTCTATGAGACTGAAAATTTCAAATTAAAATGCATCCCTTGGTACCCTAATTCTTTAGTATGAGAAGCAAACAGCCACAAGACTGAGCTGAGGAAGGTGCCATCAGTCAAGGCGTTCCACACATTTTTATTAAACGCTAATGACTGTGGCTTAGTCACCCGCCAAGAGCTGGTCTCTATGATTCCTCCTCTTGTTCTTGACATACACCCTAACCAAACTGTCTTACTCCCCCTCTTTATAGCAAAATTTTTTTTGAAATTAAAAAATTCCCAGTTCGCGAAATCTGGAAAGCAAGTATTAATTTAAGTTGCAAAAATTATGTTTTAAAACGCAACTTGTTTTAGAATTAGTATGCTAATTATCACTTATATACCAAATATTATTTTTATAAAAATTTTTTTATTATTCACATTTTTACCCAAAAAATAGGGATTTTTCCAATCGTTTTATTCACTTACGGAGGGGGGAGTTAGACATCTGCGCAGCTCCTGGCTCAAAAACAGCCCAAATAATTGAAATCATGCAAGGTGAAGGCCTCGTGGTCGCTAACGATGTCGATAAAAATCGCGCTTATATGCTAATCCACCAGCTGCACAGAAGCAATACAAGCTGTATGGTCGTTGTAAACCACCCAGCCCAAAATTTCCCTATGATTGGTGAAGGGAATTTCAAATTTGACCGAGTTTTATGTGACGTCCCTTGCACAGGAGATGGAGCTATTAGAAAATTACCTTTGAAATGGAAAGAATGGAACGTAAAAGAAGGCTACGCAATCCATGGGCTACAAATTGACATTTTAATAAGGGCAATTGAGCTTTGTAAGGTAGGAGGATTGGTGTGCTATTCTACGTGCTCATTAAATCCTATTGAAAATGAGGCGGTCGTTAATGAGGTTTATAAGAGATTTCAAGGGACGCTAGAAATACAAAATTTGCCTGAGATTTTAGAAGAAAAATGCCCTGGACTTGCGTTTAGAAGGGGTCTGAAGACTTGGAAGGTGTTTGGGAATGCCAGGAAAAAGGAGCAGTATAGGTTTATTGAGTATAAGAATATTGAGGAGCTGGCTGGTCAGAATACAGCTATAAAAGCATCGGCGTTTCCAGTGGATATTCCAGAAGAGATTATAAATACAGTAAGAATTATGCCGCATGACCAGAATTCTGGAGGGTTTTATATTGCGCTATTTCGAAAAACTGCAGAAAAGCTTATTTCAGTGCAGCCTCACATTAAGATTAAGATTAAGATTACGCTGGGTATTTAAGGTCCCTACTACGTCCGAGGTCGCATGCCACGGTTTCCCGTGTGGTGGCAGAGCGTTCACCAAGCCCGGGCCGAAACCCCCGGTTTCTCGGTAGAGGTATTGTCAAGGGCCGTCTATACCGGCTTTGCTGACCACCTCCATTTCCAACTTGGATCGTCGCCTAAGTTTACGCCAACTCCGCTTCGTCGTCCGCCAGATCTGCCCATTGAAGGGCACCTTTTCAACTGGAGAGACCCCCGTCTCGATGTCTAACTCGCCTCCCCTCTTTTCCGGTCATCCCGAGAAAGAACTCAACAGCTTTCGCCATTCGGGGCGAGCCACTAAAGCAGCTTAGGCAGGTAATTCACCCTGCCTCATTTCGGGCACTCACTGGGCTGAGCGCTGCTGGCAAAAAGAAGTCACGAATAACTGCCCATGGGTCTGGTCGCAAAAACAGCGGTTCTCGCGCTTAGGCCTCTCGCTTCGAGGTCCCGGACGTTGTTGGGCTAATTCCTGGCTCCAAAAACCATGCCCGGATATACATGGGTAACCACCACTGGGAGGGTGGGTCGGTCGCCATACGCCATTTTATGTATATAGTGCAGCCTCACATAGAAGCTCCTCAGCCTGTTGAAGAAGCTACTCAGCCTACTGAAGAAGCCTCTCAGCCACCAAGCGAAGCTTCTCAACCTTTAGTTGATGCCTCTCAGCCACTAAGTGAAGCCCCTCAACCAGTCGAAGAAGCCAAAAATCCACAAAAAAAGCAAAAATGGCGAGACGTCATCAAAGGTGAGAATTTTTTGCCGCTATCAGAAGACTCCGAAGAATACCAAAATCTCTTATCCTGCTACGGTATTGAAACTCTCCCACTCTCCCAACTCTTCACAGCCTCCTCAAAAAAGAAAAATTTTTACTACGTTTCTTCACATATCACAGATTTTCTAGCCCTAGACTCCTCTAAAAAACTCAAAATTTTTAACATGGGAGTGGTCGCTTTTACAAAAAACAGAGAAAAAGAGTCAAAGTCAAACTGCATGCACCGGCCTATGCAAGACGCGCTGCCATTTGTGTCGAAATTTATTACGAAAAGAAAGGTAATATGCCAAAATGTGTCGCTGCTTGGAAGATTAGTCAATGAGCCTTATATTGAGTATGACTCTATAGAGGAGGAAAGTGTAAAAGAAGGGCTGCAGGACTATGGATATTATGTGCTGCATTTTGAAAGAATTAATGAAGATGTTGTGGTACTTAAAATATCGGAATGGAAAGTTGTGCCTATAATTCCTGTGGAGCATATAAATAGCTTGAAAATTCGATATGATTTTCAGTCCAGTTAGGCAGATTTTTGATAATTAAGTAGCGTTTAATGTCAATAGAAAGGTAAAAATAATTCATATCATGTATAACTGTGTGAGGTTGTTTGATAAATATGGAAAGACTATTTAACTTGGAGAAAATACCACTTTTATTATAGACCACTTATTCTTGTAAAAAGCCCTTAAGCTTCAAAGTGCAATCTATGCAAGCTAAAAGTCTTCTTTAAGATTTTCCAAGTAAATTTTTTATTTACCTTCCAATTTCATAATTTTTTTTTAATTTTAAAAAATATCCGAAAATCTTCTGTCTGCCTCAAAAATTTGCCTCTTTTTTCCCTCATCTATCCCTATAGAACTTCAAAGCCCTCACTAATCCCTTAACTTTTAAATGAATTCATAGAGAATCTGTTATAATAATATGAGAAAAACAAACAATAAAGGACCATCCTCTAATAGTCATGAGTTTTCTGATCACGGAGGACACAACATGTTTCAGTTGTCAGGCTTCACAACAATAGCTCAAAGTATTCACGCCCTCATAATGGCTCTTGACAATTCTGATGAAATCAATATTCTTATCATCCTCAATCAGCTCTCTATAGAGCTTGCAATTATTCAAGAAGACCTCTTGGCTGCTATACCCCTCGATCCTCTGGTCACTGCCTTCGCCACTTGTCTGCAAATTGACCATTATCGTTATATTAATTATAGAGAAGTTCAATGCAATTCTCGAAGGACTACTTCCACTCGTATTAACCCTTCGCCTGATCGCCAACTAGTACACAACCTTAAAAAGGATGCTCTTGTTGGATAAGGGCTTGCACTTGCTTAACAGTAGTTGGATGAATTATATTATTGAGTCGAGCTTCAAAAAGGTTGCCTACGATGAAAAATCCAAAAGGGGTTAACTTTTCTGGTTGACTCTCAAAAGTGTAAATCCAAACCCAGGGCGCAACTCCTGGTTTCACGCTGGAAAACAGTCCAATTGGTGAGGAAATATACAGCTGCACTGTTGGAAGATTCCTTTCCAACTCTTAGTTCAATTCCCCTCCAAGACAAAACTGGCATTGAAGTTAAGTATGCAGTCGGAAACTTCGACTATAGTTCACCAGACAAAGAAAGACCTGCTGGATGCATATTCCCGAACACTATCCTCTCTTACTCAAGGTCCCTGCATATCTTTGGGGTATAACCTACAAGAGTTAAAAGGGGTGTGCTGTTTCGCCATTTTAATGTATATCTCTACAAATTGACCATTTTCCTGACATAGTACTCCAAGCAATTTCTTGCTTGATGACTATGCTGGACACGTTACCTAACATAGCTGGGCTATTCATAGCAAGAGGAGGCATAGGGATTCTCAGTACAAAACTCGCAAATTTTGAATTTATTGATGTCGCTGAGCAGGCAATTAAATTACTTGAAAAAATTTCGTATGAGTCTACATCAGAAATCATAATGGACAGAGTTTTTGAAAATTTGGTAAATACATTAGAGTTTTATGATAAAGAGACACAAAAAAGAATATGGAGTATATTATAAGCTGCATTAAATCATAAAAATTTTATTTTTTATATAAATTATCGCTAAAATTAATTTAGTATACTATAATCGTAAATATTGCAAAATCATTGACATCACAAAAATTTTTTTTGCAATATATCGTCCCTATGCTACCTAGCATTTTATCAATGATGACGTATAGAGGCGCAGACCATTGTCTACAAACTGAGTCTGCTATTGATTTCTTAATAGCTTTATTAGAAAACCTAGCCAGACTGTTTTCAAAAGACTTGAAGGAGCTTAAAGCTCACTTGCAAAGTATGGGAGAGCAAGGGATACTTAATAATATATTAGGAATTGTCCATGAAGCTCCAGTATTGGAAATGAAAATTTTTAAATTATTAGGATTAATATGTCGATGCTCGTCAGCGCTCAGCATTAGCCTGATTAATCTTGGGATTGGTCCGATCCTTAAAGAAGCTCTTGAAAAAGGGTTCGATAAAGACTATTTTTTTGATGCTTTGCAACTAATTGACACAATTCTGCCTGAAGACTTCACTAAAGACCCAATAGTAAAAGAAAAAGCGTATGCATTTAGAAAACATACAAGATATATTAGAAACTTGGGGGAAAATTTGACATCGAGTCTAATTTTGTGCTATCAAACGTGTATTAATAAAGAAGAAGAAAGTTTGATTGTGAATAGTTTGGTAAAAATTTTTGTTATGGCCCACTCAGAGTATTTATTAACGTTTACCAACTCACAAGCTATAGCAAGCTTTTTATCGGAAGTCTTACATTAATATTTATCTTACTTATTCGGAAGCCCTCTGTAATCCTTGAAGGACTATATTAACCCGGAACGCCCTCTTCAGTTGCTCTCCTGTTTGTACACGACTTTACAAAGGAAAATCATTTCGGAAGAGGCTCTGCACTCGCTATCTGATATTTGAATAAGCCGCGCCACCATGTTTACCTCTTCCTAACTATCGGAATCATTTCCATCTGAGGTAAAAATCTGGATTTGGAGTAAAGCTTGCGTCGGCTAACCTGACATTGCGTTTCACAAAGCAAATAAAAACCTTGCAGATACAACATTCCGAACATCATCCTCCCTTCCTCGAGGTCCTGTGCACCTTGTGAGATGCCAGCAGCAGGAATTAAGAGGGTAGCTTGGTTCGCCATTTTAATGTATTGCAATTGCCCGAGGATGGCGCTATCTCGCGCCATCCTCGGGCAATTTAAAAAAGGGCCCACACCGGGAATTGAACCCACGTGTGGGGCATTTTTGGTGCGTGGAAGTCGATGTTCTCCAAATACCAAAAATGGCCCCACACGTGGGTTCAATTCCCGGTGTGGGGTCATTTTTGAAGTCTTGCATTCAAGCTACCCAACTGTAATTTTAAGCGGACTGAAAATTGTAAATATTTGTTATGATAAAATTCCTCAAGAAATTTCTGAACTTTTTAATGAGGTCTATGCTAAATTATGGCGAAATAATTTATTGAGGCATTTTAATAAGCTATTTAATGTAAAAAGTATATAAGAGAAGGCATTGTATATAAAGCTCAATTATTCAATAATCAGGATGCAAGTAAACAAGTTCCTCAAATAAGAAAATCAATTAATAATATTGGCGAAGAAAATACCCTCCAACCTCCAGATGACTGAAAAATGCCAAGACGTATAAATAGGACTGGGACTGAGCCGCCGCCTGAGTTTTTTCCAACATTTAAAACGCTTACCTATGAAAGAGGATTTCACAAAAACGAAATAAAAAGAGAAAGCTCCGCTATAATTGCTAAAGCAGACCAGCTAGAAAACAAAAAAGCTTTGCGCGTTGCCAAAGACCTTAAAAAACTTGCAAGAAAATTATTCCAAAATGAAACTGCACAAGAAATTTGAAGCAGACTAATTGAAATGCTGGAAGGTGAAAAATGTCCAAGTTTATTTGAGTTTAGTAATTCAGGACTTGTGGAAGCTATATGAAGGTGATTCAGTGAAGGGGATTTGGAGGATAATAAATCATGCAAAGTTTTTATATGAAGGCTGCAAGAGTTTTTACATGAGTTTATTAAAGAAAATAATAAAGGAGAATATCGCTTGATCACTTTAATTAGACTGCTTGAAGGTGCTGGAAATTATGACCACAAGTTCATAGAAAAAGACCCTGAGCCTGCTTTGGTTAGGCCAAATAACAAGGAGCTTGCTCAAAAAACACGTTTGGTTTTTGATTTCGCACCAAATGAAGCTGAAATCATTAATCAAGAATATAAGCATGAGCTAGCTGGGAAAATGGCTTTTTTTGCAAAAAATAGCAAATTTAATATTATAGCTGAAAATTCAATTCCGTTTGATGAGATAAAAACTGCCTTATTAAGGATAAGAGATAAAGAAGAATTAAACGTCTTTAAAAACGTTTTTAAAAAAAATGCTGCATTTAATCAAAAAACACAAAAATTAGAAACAATTAGTGCCAAGCATAAAATGCTAATTACTTCTAAAGATCTCAAACCCCTTAAGCACAGCAACCACTTTGAAGTCGCTCAAAAAACCAAATCAAAGCCTGATGAAATCGAAGTAATCACGACAATAAATGGCCAAGAAATAGAACCCGGGCTATGCGTTTATGACTTGCTCATTAAATATGGCAGATTTGAAGAAATAAAATTCCGATTTTCTCCCCCCAGGCGTATCTCAAAAGAATGCAAGTTTCTCTGAGACTCAGTCTCAATTTACAAAGACTTGATCAAAGAAAGTCAAAAAACAGGCTTAGACAGCACTGAAGAAGCAAAAATAATACCCTATCTCAGCCTCCTTAAATTCTTTTACAAAGTGAATAGTTTTTTGCCTTTGATTTTATCCCCTTCCTCGCTTTTATTTAAATCCTCAGAACCTCAAAGCATTGTTTATCCAATCCACGAAAATTATTTTAAATCTAATAAGATCAGCATCCAATTATCAAGGCATTTGCAAGAAGAAAACTCAGACTTACCAAGCTGGGCTGCATCACTTCTTCAAGAATGCAAATTTTTAGTCCCTTATCCTATTAAGTTCGGGATTTTTAGATATATAGGAATAGAAAAAATGAGCAGCTTATGGAAAGAAGGGATACCGAATAAGCAAAAAATAAGGATAAATAGAGAAAAAATGCTAGAAAATGCGATGTTTGTGATGTCGGATGCTACATTATTGAAGATGGGACCGATTGAGTTTGAGTATGAAAATGAAGTTGGGACTGGAATAGGCCCGACTCAAGAGTTTTATAGCTTGGTCGGAAGGTCTATAAGAAATCTCAGAATTTGGAGAAATTCAGGAGAAGAGTTGGGACTGTTTCCGTCACCATTGCAGTCAGCTGGAAAAAATGCTTTGAAATATTTTTCATTTATAGGAAGACTTGTAGGAAAATCACTGCTTGATGAAAAACAGCTGGATTTGCCTTTATCTTCAGTGTTTTGGAAATTAGTTATGAACGAGAATATTACGATGAATGACATTTTGAGCATTGATAAAACACTTGGGAAAACCTTATTTGATTTATATTGTTTTCTATGAGTTCAATTAATTCAATACTATTTTTTAATTAAATAAATTTAATAATAAGCAATATATATGAAATTGTTAATAAAAGAAACAGCTCAAAAGATAGAAAGGGAGACTACTCGTATAAAGGAGCTAGAATTAAGGACTTAGGACTTACATTTACCCTGCCTGGATATGATGAAATTGAGCTAAAGCCTAACGGAAAAAATATTTCTCTGACATTGCATAATTTAGAAGAGTATATTTGCCTGATTGCTAACTTCCCCTCTTTCTTTGAGCGGACAAATAATTTTTATTTACAAAATATTTTTATAAACTTTTTTTCTGAAATTTAAAAAAAAATCCCAATTTAGGAAAATTGGAAAGTTAAAATAATTTAATTTGAAAAATTTATGTTTAAAAATGCAAGCTGTTTAGAAATTCAACAGAATGGGATCGATTTTATTATGATATTGATCATTTATATATAAAAAAATTTTTATGTTCGCTCACGAAGGTAGGTGGAGTAAGCACTCTTTAATGCAAGAATCCCAAGCTGTTGCATTTCGTGAAGGGCTGGATTCCGTGATTCCATATGATCTTCTAAAAGGATTTACAGGAGAAGAGCTTGAGACTATGATTTGTGGCGAAATCGACGAGTCATGGGATATAGACACTTTAAAAGAATCAATAGTCCCTGATCATGGCTACACCCACTCTTCCCAAACTATCCAAAATCTTCTCATCATAATTTCTCAATTTTCTGCTTCTGAGCGTCGAACATTTTTACAGTTTGTCACAGGCTCCTCAAGACTTCCTATCGGCGGATTTCCCAACTTATCCCCAAAACTCACAGTCGTTAAAAAAGAGCCAAGCATGCCTGGCGCTCACCCTGACGAATATTTACCCTCTGTAATGACCTGCCAAAACTACTTAAAAATCCCCGAATATTCCTCAATCGACATTTTGCAAAGAAATTTGAAATACGCCATGGAAGAAGGCCACGAGGCTTTTCACCTTTCTTAATTGATAATTTATTTAGCTTACTCCCCCCCCCCCCCCCCCCTCCGTGAGCGAACAAAAAAATTTTGTTCGCTCACGGAGGGGGGTTAATTTTTTTAAAAAAAATTTATATATAAATTTTATAAAAAATATTTTTTTTCGAAATTTAAAAAAATCCTAATTTGCAAAAATTGGGAAGCAAATATTAATTTAATTTGCAAAAATTTATGTTTTAAAACGCAATTTGTTTAAAATTAACAGAATTAGCTCTAGATTTCATTATACTAATTATCACTTATATATCAAAATTTTTTTCCATTAAAATTTTTTCTATTAAAAAAATTTTTGTTCACTCACGGAGGGTGGGTTTTTGGTCAAAAAATGGCGATTTTTCTAATGGTTTTGTTCGCTCACGGAGGGGGGGGGGAGTTAGAATCCTTACAATTTTATTTTTGTGCCCTTTTCACTTTTTCGGTATAGTCATAGTCTTCTAGTGCTAAGGAGTCTACAGATTGGTCGATTCCCATGCTGCTACCACCGCTTTCTCCTATCGGCCCGTGGGAATCTCTTCCTCCAGTCCCTAGACTGCCTTCGATTTCAATGTCCTCATCAATTTCATCAAAATCGTCAGTGTACTCCTGTTCGTCACTTCCTATAGTTTTAGGCCTCTCTTCTGAAGCTGGAGGCTTAAGCTCTTCTGGCTCTTTGCTTTCTTGCTTCTGGGACTGGCTTTCTTTGAATTTCTTAATGACTTGATATATGAGCGGGTTGTTGTCACCTTTGATATTCAGTTTGTTCTCAATAAAAGACCTATCTTTCGGCTCTTCAGGGAGCTTGCACTCAGGAAGCCAGACATTTAAGGTATGCACCATGCCTAAATTTTGCAAAAAATCCCTGAACAGCTCAGAGCAAAGCTGCCCTGGCTCAGTTTCCATCACTTTTTGGGCTTCAGTCTTATTGCCGCCTGCTTTAGCCTGCTCCTGCTGTAGCGCATTAAAAACACTGCTTCTAAGCTGTGCCCTTATTGTATCCAAAATCCCATTGTTATCAAGAGTTTCTATGACAAGTTCTTTTAAATCTTCCATTTATATGAATTAATCATCTATATTAAAATATTTTTCTTGACTGGTTTTCCCAGGCTTTCCATGCATTTTTTCCCACTCTTCGAGAAGGTCGCTTACACTTACATCAGGCTCTATTTCTTGCTCTGGGGTAAAATCAGGGTCCATGTCACTCATTCATCTTTCAAGCAGAGGGATTGGGATATAGCTCTTTTTTGAGGCTCGGTGGAGACCGTAAATCATTGCTTCTTTGACCCTGGCTTGCTTAAATAAAGTGTGCTGCTTTTGAGAATTGTCCATTATTATTTATAAAACCCCCATTAAATTAAATTAATATTAATGATAGCAAAATGGAGGTTAGTGTAACTGCTTGGAGGAGGCGAACTTGCTTAAGTGCCATCTGGCATTGTGTCTGAGGTCGGTAAGGGAGAGAGGGGTTTGTATTTCGTCGAAATTTTGTGTGAAAATCCCTGATTCGACTTTTTTTAGCTGAAAATCAAATTTTGAATGTGGAGATGTGCTGGTGCTGATTATAGAGTCAAAGGTATCTGATTTTTCGCCTGTGATGCTTGAGTATCCGTGTGATAGTCATTTTATCATTTCTTCTGTAGCGCTCATATAGACATCTTGGTTTTTTCAGCTGATTTCTTCATCAGGAAATCCAATTGTTGGCTTAAAAGGACATATCGTTTTTAAAGACGAGGAAAGCTCAGTTAAGATTTTCATATAATATTCTTTTCCCAATTATAAGATCAAATTAGATAAATGTAAAAATCTATATATTAAACTATCAGAAGCAGCCAAAAAATAATCTTTATATATGTGATCATTTATATTTAATGCCATCTTCACATTCTTTGTGCTGATTATTTTTTTTCTCAATTTTCTCTTTGACTTTACTCAGCTCACCCTTTTTTGCTGAAACAAAATTTATTTTATGATAATCTACAGACTGGGAAGAATTCGATATAGCCTTAATTTTCATCTCAGTATTTGCAAGCTTCTTCTCAATTTTCTCTATATTTTCACTTATTTCCAAAATATGGCATCTTAACCGTAATTCCTGATCATAGCTTGAAGAATGCATTTTTGCGATTTCAGCCACATCATGTGAAGAAATGGAATTTCCTATCGCAAAAAGCGCCCTTGATATATCTTTTATATGGCTTTGATACTCCTTAATCTGCAGCGACCTTTCTTTAGTCGCTTTTATTCATTTTTTGCCTAAAAATTTCAAAAGTTTTAAATAGACAGAAATTTCAGCAAAGGGAGTTCTCGGTCTTTTTACTTTTGGGGTGACTGATTTGCAGTCCCTTAGCTGAGCATACAGCATTGATTCTTTGAATTTACTGTCTTGAAAGTCAGTTTTAAAGCTTTTATTAAGCTTGCCCATGACTGATTTTGTGCTGCGAATAATGCTAACATTTGCCGTTGCTGAATTAATTAAACTTCTAGAAGCGCTTTTAGATCTGCTGATTTCTGTATTAATTTCATATCGTTTTTTCTCTGCAATCATATTAAATCGCCTTAAAAGCTGAATTTTGTTTTTGATTTCCTCTGTTTCTTTTCGGAGCTGGCCAAGTTTTGCTTTGGTAAGTGTGATATTGTCGTAGAGACTATCGAATTTTTTTTCAGCTTTTGTGTTGTTTTCTCTTTGCTGGGATTGGCTAAGTTGTGCTCTCTTTTTGATGATCTTATTTCTTAAAATTTCTAATTGTTCGTCTAAATTTTCTCCAGATCTCTTTTCAATTTCGAATTTGTGGATGTAGAAATCAACCCTTGCGAGATTGTATTTTAAGTCTTTTTCATCGTTTTCACTTAATTTCATGCTGAATATAGCAAAATATTTTTAATTTTGTTTTTAAATATAATATAAATCTTATTTTTTGTAAAAAGAAGTTAGATTTAGTTCGGATTTAAGAGTGTTGAGCCTTTCCCCTATTTCCATTTTTGACTTGATAGAGAATTCAAAACAGATTCAATTTCTTATAAAACTGTCAAAAATGGGAAAATGAGAAAGACGTTCATTGAAGTCAACGATCTTTGCTTATGCTCAAAAATTAAAAATAAGGAATTAAATATTTATTGCTGAAATTAATTTTAACAAAATTTATTGTAATTTTGCATATTTCATAATATAAATAAATTAGAGCAACCTTAAGGCTTTGATTGCCGCTACTGATAGTCCTTCTTATAAATTCAGCACCTGCTTTAATCTTCTATAGCTAATTCGAATCTGCATCGTATAAAAAATGCCAGTAATTTCATACTTAGTTAAAAGCTTAATTTTGAGGTTTAAAATAAAACAGTATCTCTTTTAACTTCTATAAAGGATTTACTTTATTATACATATTACTTTTTGGAATTATTTCAAATGGGTACTCATCAATTACTAGCTGAGAGTGATTGACGCTGCTTTTAATAGACTCACTTCTCCCTGGGCTGCTTGTTTCCTGAACTGTAAATAGCATCCCTTGTCTTTTTAGCAAAGCTTGAAGATATGGAGGGTAATGGACTCTTTCAACTTTAAGTTCTTGAAAGCTTGATATAGTAATTGCCCGAGGATGGCGCTATCTTGCGCCATCCTCGGGCAATTCAAAAATGGCCCCACACCGGGAATTGAACCCATGTGTGGGGCCATTTTTGGTATGTGGAGAACATCGACTTCCACGCACCAAAATGGCCCCACACGTGGGCTCAATTCCCAGTGTGGGGCGATTTTTTAATTGCCCGAGGATGGCGCAAGATAGCGCCATTCTCAGGCAATTACAATATAAGAATTGGGCTTAGCTTTATGATATATTTTCCTAAAATCCTTGCATGATAATTTTCTTCCCGAATATAAAAAATATCGTAGTTTCCAGGCTCTCTAGGTAAAAAAATCTTTGCTACTCCTGATGTGTTTCCTTGGTCTTTTGTTATTTTATATCTTGAATAAGAATTACTGTTCAGTATCTGGTGATATTGTTTCTCCAGATTTTGTGGTTTTAAGATAATCACTATCTCATATTGTCGTTCTGTCAACTTGTATAAAAACGTCTGTTCACAATAAACCATCACTGGCTTCGATATGACTATGACGGAAATCAACTGTTGGATCTACTGGGGCACAACACCACAATGAAGACAAATTAAAATAAATCATATATTTCATTTTTTTACTAGGCTTCATAATAAACCTAATTTTATAGATTTTTCAATCCCAACTTAATTATTCTCATCTTTTTTATTTTTAATAAGCGACCTTGCATGCTCATAAGAGAATTGGTTTGATTGAAGTTTTTCTTCGAATTCTTTTATTTTTTGCTCGACAGTTTTCCCATTAATTTCAGTGCTGTGATTTTTTGTTACTTCTCTGTGTCCTTCTACAAGTTCCTGTAAAGCTTTGTGGTAGAGGTTGACGTATGTAATTATCCATTTTGAGAAAGAGTCAAGCCATTTGGCAGACCGTAGATATTTTAAGAAATTCTGTAAGATCCCTGGTATCATGATATGTAGCGGACCTTCTACCTTGATTTCGCTCCAAAAATGCATCAATTTTTGCTTTAAAGTCAGTCCGGGCTTAATCGACTCCTTTAATATTCTCTGTCTGTCTGGAATAAAATATTTTACTTCAGTGATATCTCTGAATATTGTTTCTTTATGCTGATATCTATATAATTTTGTATTGAAGTCTAATGAGTTTTTTCATCTTTTATAATCTAAATATTGCTGCTGAAAAATCAGGTATGGCAAATGATAAGGCCGGAGCTTATGTTTAACTGATAATTCTCTTCTTTGTGAGTAGTAATTCCATGTGCATTTTGAAGCATTCCAAATATTTATAGGAGTTACCTTCCGATATGGAGTATTTAAGAACTCTTTAAATTGTTTTAACATTTATTAAATAAAACCTATTTAATAATATTTTTATTCTTTAAATGTTTGAAATTATCCTTGTTTTTAGAATTACATAGGTGCTAATTAATTAGGCAATCATTTTAGAGGCGCGGAATGAATAACTATAGGTCTTTTATTCCTTTTTTTAGGGATCAAAAAAATCTCTCGCTAACAAAATTTTATTTAAAATCATTTTTCTTCGGCTTTTATTAAATATACAGGGAGCTCTATCAATATCAAGGTACAAAATGAACTTGGCTTAATGCCAAAAATGCATATTTTAAAGAAAATAACAGTGAAATTTCTTTATTATCAGTAATTTAGTATTACTTTCTCCAGTTTATCACTTGTGTTAAATTATATAATTTACAGGCCAAAAATGTCAGATCTTTTCTGTGTTAAATTAGAAGGAACAGTTCTTCTCAAAGTAATTCAGCACTGTCAAGATACAGATGCTACAGCTATTGGCCAACTTATAGGTCTCGAGTCATCTAACTCACTCGAAGTCACAAATTGTTTCCCTCTCCCTTCAAACTCCTCTATCGGCCCTCAAGAATTGGAAGATTATAGCAGAATAATGTGTAAACAGCTAAAAGACCTATATTTTGAAAATTCCGTAATCGGCTGGTATCAGCGTTCAGATGAAGGAGAATTTTTAGACATAAGTTCCATTGAGTACCAGTACAACATGCAGATTGAAATCCCTAATGCTGTTATGGTCGTCTATGACCCAGTTTTGCTTGTTTCTGGTGGGTTTCCATTAAAAGCATATAGACTCACTCAAGAATTCCTTGATTTTTTCAGTGATGAAGAATTCACTACACAAAGAGCAGCTTCATTAGGAGTCAACTCAAAAACAGTTTTCACTGAAATTCCTTTAAGAATAGAAAACAGCATGGTAACTAATGCCTTTTTAGCACAATACGCCCCAGATCCTTATGAGGTCACAGATAAAGACTGCTTTGAGCCTTTTATTAAGAAGCATTTGGAAGCGATAGAGCAAGGGCTTGATGAGCTGTTAGAAAGGCAGCAAAAGCTGTATGGGTATACAAAGGCGGTACAAAAACAAAAACAACAGCAAAAATTTCATGAGGCTCAGAGAGAGGCGGAAAATAAAAAAAGAGAAGAGAGAGGAGAGCCTTTGTTAGATTTGACAGAAGGGACAGGATCACTTTATAGACCTATACAGCCACCAAGTAGACTTGAAAGTTTACTTGTCTCACAGCAGCTAAATACATTGGGAGAAGAGTTAGGAGAATTTTGTGGGGAATCACAAGCGAAAGTTGATCTTTTTATTTCTTTAGGCCAGAAATAATAAAATATAAAGAAAATTATATAAATTGTTTCCTCTCATTTTATTGAAATTTTGATAAATAGGAGTTTAATAAAAATTAAAAATATTCTTGTTACCTGGTAATAGCTTGTGATAATATCTCCTTGTGTTAGCAAAAAGAATAAGTTTTTATTAGTAAACTCATGAATGAATAATTTGATTAAATTAATGCTGAGCTTCTCTCTCAGTAAATACAAGAACACTTTATATAGCATTATAGCGAATTTTAATTTAGATTTTTCATCGCTATAAGCTATCTAAAATTATGTTAAAATCCCGGAATATTTTTGAATATATTTATTGATCTGCTTAGTTCTTCTTCATATGGGATTCTCTTTAGGCTATTTATTAAATTATAAAAGAGGGACGATTGACTTAATTCACGCATATTTGCTGGAATGTATTTATAGTTTTTATTAATTGATCTTTTTCATTCAAAAATCTTTCTCTTAGGAATATTTTGATCAGCCAATCTCCCTGGAATATAATGAGCATTGTTAAAGCATTTTAAGACTCAGAGTATCTGTTATCTGGCATAGGCTCGCTTGTTTTTGGGTATTTAGGCATTTTTCGATATTCAACTCTTAAGATAAGTTCGGCTTATATTGCTATTTACATCTTTAGACACAGAATTAGATTCGAGAAGTACTTCTACCGCTTCTGTAGCTAAAGTATTGTAGATTTTATTATAGTTTTGGCTCTGATTTTGTTAATTTTGATCTTCCGAACAACTTCTGAATGTTACTCAAGTATAATTTGTCGCTCTTTTCTTTCTTTATAATTAAACCTTCAACCTTTATTGGTTGATTTATATCAGCTTTCCAGACTATTAGCTCAGCAAAATTTTCATTTAACTCAGCATTTTCATTTGAGAATGGCGCCTTTTTCAAAGGAAAGAAAGCCATAGCAGCTGAGATTATGTATTCTGATATTGTGCAATAAAAGAAAAACCAATCAAATATACTTAATAATAAAATGGTTTCTCTTGCCAAAGAGCTTCTAATACAATCTCCTATTGGCAGAATTAAATGGCTTCAAGCACCAAACGACTACACTGAAATTATCGATAACCTTGCAAGGACCTTCAGAGCTGGGAAGTCTGGCCTTAGATTAAAAGATCAATTTTCAACAGATGTAACTGATTTCAATTACAATGTTTGAGTAAATACTAGCGATTCTCTTGAACTATTTTTAACAGTTGATTATTCAGCTCCAGTAGACACTGAAGATACATCAGAACTCTTTTCACAAAGGTCTACTGATATATCTGATTTAAAAAATAAAGCAATGATGAGAGCTCGAGAAATCGGGGAAAAATCAGTATCACCTGATCCTCCTCAGAGAGGAACAAGGGGCAAGAAGGCTGCTCCAAGAGCCAGAATATCCGAAGAAGAGCAGAAAATGATTCAAGGACTAGATATTCTTATGAACTCCTGTGGATTCACTGACGAAGCCAAGTGCAGAGAAGCTTTGAAAAAGTCGAATTATGACCCTCAGCAAGCAATTAATTTATTGTTTGCTTAGAAATAATTAATAAAATTGATTATTATGGATTTACACTAATTTCTGAGCTTTGTTTGCATTTAAGCAAATAGTTGCAGAGCTGTTCAGAGTACCTGAGTTTTTTCTCTTTAATGTCTTCAAGTCTGGAATATGCATCTTGATAAATCGAAAACTATATAAATTTCACCTTTTCTCTTTGCAAGATTTTTAGTTCTTCTAGTTCTTTTTCTATGATTTTCATTTTTTCATAATATTCTTTGCTATGCTGATATAAATAAAATTTATTAGCTTCTGGTAAAAATGAAGTTTAATTTATTTTAGAATATTTTTTCATATCAGCAAGTTTTATTTCATCTGCCTCAGATATTTCATTTTTTGAAAAAAATATTTTGCTCATAATATCAGGGACATATTTTGAGATACCATTTTGAGACTGCTTGTATTTATTTTCCATATCTTTATAAATACGAAGGTAGGCTATTTTTTTCTCAGAAAGAGACGCGATATCTTTTTCTACATACTGCATTTCCATGCTGACACTTAAATAGTGTTGCTGAACAGTTTCATAGTCTTCATCAATCTTTTTTATTTTTTCTTGAAATCTTGCAATATCTTGTTTAACTTGATCTAGCTCTCCCCCTTCGCTTTCATTTATATCTTTAACTAAATCCTCATTTTCTGAATAGGTTTGGTTGTCTGAGTCAATTTTTAAGCTACTTTGGACTTTATAGAAATCGTCTTCAATATATTTCAGCTCTTTTAAGCTTATTTTAAAAGATTTTGCGCTCGCTAATAATGATTTATAATCATAATGGTTTTCCCTGACGTTATTTCTTAAGTATATTGATATCTCTTCCAAATTTAAATCTAAAAAAATAGGCTTAAGCTCTCTTAATATAGCACACTCAGTTCTAACAATGACTTTTCAATTCCCAATAAAAATGCAATCCCAGATTTTGACAAGAGTATCAAATGGGAGATCAGCTGAAAAAATTGTTAAAATGCATCTTGATATAAAAAAGCCGTTTGAAAAGTTAATTCTGCGAAAATGAGCATATAAATCAGGAATCATCGTTTTAAAGTAATAGCTTACTTGATATTCACGTAACGTAAGATCAGGAACTCCTGAAACAAACATATTTTCCAAATTTCAAGACTTTATTATTCCCAATAAAGCATAAAAAGCATCTTCTTCATTTTGAACAACTTTCAAAATAATCGCAGCTATAAAATTAAGTCCTTGACAATACCCTATATGCGGTTTCACATAAGCTAAAGCAATCAAAATTTTAGATAACTGAGATTTGTCTATTTGTGAATTAGCCACAAGATAAGTTCTCGGAAGGTCTTTGCTGATATCGTTTTTTACTGTGTAAAACTTAGGGTCTTCTTCTGCTTGATTTTGTATATAAGAATAAATATTTGATGCATTATCAGTGTAGTTTAAAATACCTCTGACTTCAGTTTTTACTCTAATTATCAGTTACTTGTTAATCTTGCAGCACTGCTTCCAAAAATGTTTTCGGGAGGCTTCAGGCAAGTCTCCTCTTCATATGCTTTTTTTAATTTCATGATTCTCGCTTAATTTTGTATGGTGCTCTTTATTTAAAGTGTACAGTTTTGCAATCTCTGAGGTGTTTAGAAAAACAAGTATGCATTTTTGTGTTAGCATTTATAAAATTAGCTTAAAATTTTTTCTTTAAAAATTTCTGTAGTTGTTTTACCAATTTCTCCAATATCTTCTTCTTTTAGCAGCCTCTCCACATCAGTTTGAGCTAACAGCTCTTTAACTGGAAAGCCTTGCATATCCAATATCCCTTCGTGCTCTTTTAATATCATTGCAATTTCTTTCCTCACTCTCATAAGCTTCACTTCTTTATCAGTAAGTAAATGCATAAGAAATCCTTGCCTAAGCTCTTCCCTCTTATAATTATTCCTAATTTGAGATTCTTTAGACTTGCTTTCCCCACTTTCTACAACCCAAGCTGCTCTTTGTACCTCAAAATGTGCTCCCAATACAGGTATAGAAACGGGCAAAAAATCCTCATTTCTCCAGTCAGGGTTTATGTCCGGCTTTGGTGCGACCATTTTAAATATTTCGAATTAATAAGGATTTTCTTTAAAATAAATTACATTCATTGCATTTACAATCAGACCGGGTAGTGTAGAAAGAAGATTCTTCGAAGGCGGAAGGGTTTATAGGGGAGAGATTGTGGAGAGAAGAGACGTTGGAGATGTTGAAGGAGTCAAAGAGGATAGTTGGGAGCTTTTCTGAGTGGTCTCGGTAGTCAGTTTCATGAGGATAAGTGGAGTCATCTGTTTTTAAGGAAAGATTTAGGGATTCAGGGATTGTGCACATTCTTTCAGTTTCGACAGTTTCTGAACAAAGCTTCTTGGGACTTCTGCGGGAATAGGAAAGCTCATCTTTTAAGAAATTATTCAGGAAAATGTGAGTGGTAGAAGATTCGTCTATGAAACTAGAGCAAGAAAGACACGAAAACCCTAACTCCCCCCTCCGTGAGTGAACAAAAGAATTTTGTTCGCGAGGGGTTTTAATTTTTTTTAAAACAATTTATATATAAATTTTATAGAAAATTTTTTTTTTCGAAATTTTTTAAAAAAATCCTAATTTGCAAAATTGGAGAGCAAATGCTAATTTAATTTATAAAATTTATGTTTCAAAACGCAATTTGATTAAAATTAAAACAGAATTAGCTCGAGATTTCGTTATACTAATTATCACTTATATATCAATTTGTTTTCCTATAAAAAATTTTTGTGTGGGTTTTTCGCAAAAATAGGGATTTTTCCAATGGTTTTGTTCGCTCACGAAGGGTGGGAGTAAGGAGTCGCTCATTGTTTGAAAGGTAAAAGGCATGTCTGAATACTTTTCAATGCTATCTATTATGGAAGTCTCTATCAAAGAAGGGAATAAATACATAAAATGGCCTGGTGATAAGCGGCCTGTCCTAAGCTTTGCGGAGTTTCTCTTATGTATATCTGGGGGGCAATCTACTTGAGTTAAGCAATGGTTGTGTTATGCTAGCGCTTGAGTTGGAAATGGAGTTTCCCACAAAGTCCATATGGCTCGATCTATGAAGAAAAATAACTTTACTGAGAAACCGGGGGTTTTCACCAGGGCTCAAGTTGCTTTAAGGATGCCTACCTCACAGCTAGCATGATACTCAGGAAGTGGGGACCATAAATACAAATCTTTAATCTAATCTAATCAAAGAATGGTCTTCTTTCTCAGAAATATATAACAAATTGATAATGCACTTTGGTTCAGGCCTATATGATATAGTAGCAACTTCCGAGTTTGCTCCAAAATTCATTTTATTTTGAGATATAAATTCTTTTGCAGCTTTTAACGATGATAATATTTTTTCTGTTTTTATCTTGGAATTCAAATGAACTCACCTGAATAAGTCTTTTATCATACTTTCTATATCACATTTGTTTTTTTTATTTATTTTATTTGTTATAATACTCCAGCAAATATATGTGCTTATATATGATATTTTATAGTTTCCTCATAAACTTGGATCAATAATTGTAACTTTTGCGAATTTGTCATGGAAATTCAAGCTTCTATCAGAATTGCCGATCCCTGTTTTAAATACCAAAATTACGGTCTCATTGTTGTAGCATACATGCTAAATTAAATGATTGTAGTGTCTAGTGCACTTTCAGTAAAGGGAACTAGTGGCATAGCAGGCCATCCCACCATCTAAATGGCACACACCATATGGGCAGATGATCCAATACAATGAGCAGTCAGCCGATCGCACATCTCATTCAGGGCCGTGCAGTAGCGTGTTACGAGCTATTCCTACTAAGCGGATAAATCCTAAGCCTTCAGCGTACCCAAAGTACCAGGGGATAAGTTGCGCAGCACTTCCTTTAGCTTACCTTATGTAGCTAGATAAAGCTTCTCTTGGAAAACTGGACCTCATAATAATAAAATGAGCTCATGAGAAAAATATTTCGCTAGTGAAACTTCACATACATCACCATTTTATTATTATGCATTGTGTATCATACAGTTCAATCGTCTAATAGCGCTACAGCTTGCTTTGGATAATTATTAAAATCGTCAATTTTTGTAAAAATCTTGCATTTGGATTTTTTTGACCTAAATATAATTTACTTTAAATAAGCGATTGCGAAATGAACCTTGATGTCAAGCCCTAGATCTATCATCAAAAGATCACTTAAATAAACATTTTCAAATATCTGGAAATCATCCAGATTATTTAGCAGAGTAGAAATATTATAGTCGAGCTTCATTTTTTTAAAATATTAAATACGTTATTATTGTATTACACAATGGCAATCTTTGCGGGATATCGATTCAGAGCTGTTTGGGCTTATATAGATTTCTTGGTTTTTGTATTTTTGTATCTGAGCTTGAAGTTCTTTAATTTCTTGAGATTGAGCGTTAACAGCCATTCTAAGGAATTTATAGGGGTCCTTAGAATGTTCTAATAGTGGATTCCTGCTTAGATCTCCAGAAATAAAATCATGGCGCCGACAAAAGATGACTCTGAAACACATCTCGGTGGATCAGATAGGACCCACTCCGATGAAGCTGAAAATAGTATCTCTGCCACTTTTAGAAGTCGAAGTTGAGTTTGAAGATGCCGAAGAAGGAGTTTTCATACCCCCCAAAGGTTTCCCCTGTCCCTGCCAAATGGGTTAGACAGGTTTTCATCTCCCATTTAGTCTTTGCTTATCGGGACTAACGGAGCATCTCCAAGAGGTGGCTCTAGCCTAGGGAGCTAATTCTTAGGTTAGCTGGGTTTACGCCAGATATATACAGACTAGAGGCTATCCGCTTATGGCCTTATGATTTAACTTTTTTTAAATGCTTAGATCTTCAATGTAAGCCTTTTTTATCTCTTTATCTAATGAGCTACACTCAACCTTCAGTTTTTCTATTTTATTTTTTAATATTTTGTTACTTCGCTTAATCTTATCTACATGTATTTGTTTCTCAAAAATTTCTTCTTTTAATTTATTTGATTTTTCAATTTTATTTTGCTTCATACTTTGCAATTGTGATTCCTTATCAGTAATTTCTTTTATTTTGTACTGTAAAATTTTATGCTTAGCTTCATACTCGACTATTGAAGAGTTGGCAATAATAATTTCCTCATTAAGTTTATCTGAACATCTTTGCAATTTATTTAATTTTTTAGTAAGATCATTGTTATAACCTTCTTTAAGACCCTCCATAGCAGCAAGACTTTTTATCTTCGCTCCCACTTTTTCATTTTCTTTCAAAATTTTTGAAATATTTTCATGTTTCATCTGGATTTCCTTCAAAATTTGTTGTTTTTTCTCATGAAATTCCATGGTTTTCTTTTCAATTTTTTTATTCAGGCAATTTATCATATCTTCAGTATATTAATAAATTAATGGATGAAGCAATAATTATAGAAGCCTTTAAAGCAAGTTTACAGTTAGATAATGAGCCTAATCAAAACGTTCAAGCATTAATTTCCTCAATCCAAACATCAATTGAAGGTCTTATCCCTAAACTCATGAGTATTTTTTTAAGCGACAATCCTATTGAAATTAGACAGCTAGCTGCAACCTATATTAAAAACTTATCTAAAATCTGAGAAGACTCAAAACGAGAATTTCCTCTCCCACAAGCTGACAAAACATTTTTACGAACTAATGTTATAAAATGCTTAAAGTTTTCTATTCCTAATCAGATCAGATCTCAATTTAAAGAAATTGCTTACCAAATAATTAGAGTAGATTTCCCATGAGAAGGAATCTTTCAACAAATTGATGAGGCTTTAGAGTCAGATGTTGACCAAGTCTATGCTGGACTTACTTTAATTCATCAAGTCGCCAAAGTTTATCAGTATCAAACGAGGGAGAGTAGGAAATGCTTTGAAGCACTTATTGATAGAACTCTTGGAAAATTAGATAAATTTTTAGAGGCCTTTCTAAATGACAGTAATGCAGACGCTTATTGGTACATTTTATTAATACTCAAAATATACTGGACTAGTTTTAAGATAGAATATCCACTGAGCTTTTCAATAGTTCAGCAGCTAGATTTATGGCTTGGGAAATTAAAAAATATATTAGAAAGCAGCTTGGGAAGCCTAGAAACACAAGCTGAAAATGAAGAGGATGCTAAGTCAAGAGATTTGCACCCAAATTGGGTATGCAAAAAAAAAATTGCACAACTTTTAAGTAGATTTTTTGCACGCTATTTTATGGCTGACAAAGGTATTAGTAAATCGGCAGGTAACCATTTTGAGAGCCACTGAGCAAATCCATTATTATCAGCAGTTTTAGCCTTATTATATAAGAAGCCAGCATGCTACATACCAGAGAAGGTGACTACGTATTTATTGGAGTGTGTGATAAGAGCCCTTAAATTAAAAAATGCTGAAAACATAATAAAAATGCCTCCTACACCTAATGGAAAACTAGCTGTTCCAGCCTTGATTTCTGATGTAATTATTTCAGTTTTATACCGAACTAGATCAGACGAGCTAGCCTGGCAAGAAAATCCTGCTGAATTCCTAAGAAAAGAAAAAAACTTTGCAAATAGTATTTGCTATATAAAAAATTCTGCAATTAGCCTTTTAGAAATAATTTGCGAAAAAGGTAATCTGCAATTATTTTTAGACTATACTAGTGTAGAACTACAGTCGAATCCTCAAATATTCCATAAAGAAGCAATTCTATATGCACTAGGATCTATTTCCCGAATCTTAAAGGAAAAAAAAGACTTATCAGAAAGTATCAAAAATTTACTTATCATATATGTGCTACCTGAATTTAGCAGTAGAATAGGATTTCTTAGAGCAATTGCTTGTTGGGTTTTCGCACAATTTTCTTCATTTTTAACAGCAGACCTAGAAACTCAGCTCTTAGGATTTGAAAAAATCTCACAAATGATGCTAGATCCAGACCTTCCTGTAAGATTTGAAGCAGCCCTTGCATTTCCTAGAACCTTAGACTGAAGAATTCCTAATGAAAAGCTATCAGGCTACTCCAGAAATATAATTGAAGTTTATCTAAAGCTTATGAGCCAAGTTGATAATGAAGAGCTTATTGATGCTTTAGGAGTAATTGTAGAAAAATTTCAAGCTGAAGTTACAGATTATGCCGCTGAACTTATTAAGTATTTGCTTCAATTTTTCTTAAAAATAACAAAAAATATAGACAGCATAAATGAGGATGAAGGCTTTCTTATGGGGGCATCAATTTTGAAAATTATTGATAAGCTCGTTAGTTATCTTGAAAACAAGCCACAAGAGTTATTAGCTGCATCACATTTACTAGTGCCGGTTTTTAATTATTGCTTTAATGAGTATTTAGAAGATTTTATACATGAAGCAGCAATTTTGCTGGCAAGGTTACTTTATTCATCACCAAATAACTTTTTGCCACATCTGTTTCCATTTGCCAGGTGTATAAGAACTTATTTACTGGGAGAAGGGAATATCCAGCCATGTGGACTGTATAACAGCGTTGAGTTTTTTTCTCCTATAGCAAATTTTATATCAAAATATCCATTACTCACTGCAACAAATCTTGATATATTTCTTTCAATAGGTCTTGGTCTATCAAAAAATAAAAATGAGGAGAGCAATATTTTATTGACAGGCTGCAAAGTCCTGATTGTTCTTTTAGAAAATCTTAAAGGCTCTTTAGATCAACATATCCCTACAATTATTAATCAAGTTTCCAACTTGTATGGATTTTCAGTCAATAAAATTATAAAAGCTAAGGCTTCTGAAGTTATTTGTATTTCATTATGGAATAATCCTATAGTAACTATCCAGACCTTACAAAATACCAATATATTAAAAAATATCTGGAAATTTTGCTTTGGAGACCTCAAGCAGTACCAGGAAAGTTTGGCCAAAAGATATGCAATTTTAGGATTATCATCGATAATCGTGACTTTTAAAGAATTACCTTCTTTTTTTAGTGAAAAAATGCCAGAATTGCTGAAAAAGATTCTGGAGTTATGAAAAAATATTGATGAAGATGTTGTGATGGATGAGAGACCTGAGGAGGAGGAAGAAGAAGAAGACACAAAAATGGACGAAGAATCTGATGATTGAGAAGATGAAGATATTGTGTTTTCTGATTTATACGATTCACCAATAGAAAGTCTTGAATTAAGAGAACATCTTAAAAACACTTTCTTGAATGTTTCTATAAGTTACCCAGATATACACTCTCAAGCTTGTGAAATACTGACAGAAGAGGAAATGCTAGTTTTAAATCAAATTCTGAATTAGATTTTTAGGTTAATCCTAATCAATCGTATAAAATACCATTCTAGCACAACTATTTCCTATTTTCATAATATAATCTTTAAAAGAAAAATATAATATTTTCAATAAAATTTCCAAAAATCTTTGTCTTTCATTATTTATCCTAAAATTCATTTCTGAATAAGAAATAAAATATGGGTCTGTTGAACAATAAAGAAGTCCTTCTCAAAGTTTTCATAGTTTTTTCTGGTCTCCTAGTATTTTTAACTGGTGTCACAAATATTTTTGAAGTAGGATCTTATACACCAACTCTTGTATGTTTTTACCTTATGTATCCTATAAAGCAAAACAATCTTAATAAATTATATAAATAAATTCCTCTTTTTTTGCAAAAATAAGCATTTTTCATACTATTTCCAATGCAAATTTACCTATATTTCCAATAACATTTATTCAGAATCTGTTCAATCATTGTAGTGGCAGGCGAAATTTCTCCTTATATCCTAGAAAACTATATCCTCCAGATCTTCCCATTCCTATCCCAAACATTAGGAAAAGGAGTCTTTTATATCATGATTTCCACTTTTTGTTTTGGCTCAGAAATGAGTGGAATAGGAATTGCAGCAGGGATCACATTTTTAATTTCGGGGATTGCTACAATTACTTTTGGTGGATTGAAAACTCAGCAGATGCAGCAGCCAGAAGGATATAGCATGGAGCCAACATTTATGGGCCAAACACAAGGTTATCAGCCACCAAACAAAGTTGGGATTTAATTAATGACTTCATTTACGCTGAAATCATAAAAATATTGTTTTTTCCAATAATATAACGATGACCCCCCTTCAATCTTCATGTCTATTGCAACAAAAAATTTTTGAAAAAATCTTCCTACTGCAACACAACATTTTTATAAAAAAATTAATGCATTTTTCTCTAGGTGAATTTCTCAAAAAAAAACATAAAACAGTGCTACTGTAGGCGTGTCAATGACCTTATCATCGAGATTTGGACGGCTATTGTCATCTCTCGCCATTTTATTAAACTTATCTAGCTAAAAAGTACGGAAAAATTTAAGATGCGCATCAAAAATGTGTTGCAAAAGGATTAGGATTATTACAGCAGGCGCTAGCCATATTGGTGACGCAGTCACCAAGAACCTCCCGTACGGAAGGATCTACCGCTTTTCGACTCCAGCCCAGAGTGTCTATCCCTCTGACGAGTGCCCTTCCGGTACCTTCTGTCTCCTCCTTGCCTTGCGGGCTCAGTCTTGAGTGGGCGGCTTATGGATTTCTGTGGCCCTGCTACGGGCGATTGGATTAGCTTGATTCCAAGGATCAGCTCCTTGGAGTCTATCGGGTGTCAAAGTGCCTTCCTTCGACAGCTACAGGAAAAAGACTGTTCCCCTGTGGCCTGGGCCGAAACCCCCAGCTTCTCGGTAGAGGAATGCCCATGGGTCCTTGGATCCAAAGAACGTTGTTGAGCACCTCCATTTCCAACCACAGGAAAGCAGTCAAAACCTACCCGGATACACACTTCTTGAGCCTGCGTCTGATTCTCGGCTCAGAGTCCGTCCCAGTTCGCCGTAGCCATAAGGTCTGGACTGCTGCGCCAAGAGGGCAGGTTAGCAAGTGTCGCCATTTTAATGTATATAATTTGTTGCAAGAGACATAAAAATTATTTTTTTTATATAAAATTGTATATTAAAAAATTCATTTTTGTTGAATAGACATGAAGATTGAGGGGGGGTCATCGTTACTAAAAACTAGCGAAAAAATTTATTAAATAATTGGCAAATCATATAAATTTTTAATTATGGCAATAACTGTATGCTGCATGAGGACAGGATTCTGGTGGGTTTTCCATATCCTTTTGCTTTTGATGGTAATGGCTCTAGAACTCGCATCCTTAGGGGTTACTAGATGGTTTAAACAAGGAGATGAGCCAGAAACTGATTGGGAAGGAGGCTTATTGGGTCCAACGCCTGACTCAAACTACTTTTCAGACGCACTGCCTTATTCAAACAGATGGGACCGCTGCAACGATGGCTCAGTCACTGGACAAGATGGGCTCTGTGAGATGTGGCACAGTCTTTGGGCGGGTGGAGTAATCTTCTCTCTACTGAATTTGCCTTAAAACATCACAATTTTAATATAAAGCACTTATTTTTTATTATTCTGCCAATTCTATATAAAACAGCATAATTTACATTCTTTTCGAGACAATTTCACTGTTTTTCATCTCAGCCACGATTTTTATCCTAATTTTAGACATGTGTCGAGAAACACGAGCCCTCTGGCTTTCAGTAGTCTTCATTTGGAACGTGTTGGCCTGGCACTTCTTCGCCTTAGTCATTTGGTCAGGACTTGCCATCATGTACTGGGACGAGGACTGCAAAAGCATAACATGGAATCATGGACAAAGCCAAGCTAGAGTTTGTGGAAAAGAAGGCCCAGCTATCTCTTTGGCTTGTGTTTTATTCATCCCATTTGTCGCTTTACTCCATACCCTTGTATATCTAGCTGCGAAAAAACAGCGGCTACATGAGCCTGAAGGCGAATTCCCAATGACAACTAAAGGCGCAGAATCAGACAGAATGGCCTCAGATAACCGATTTGAAGTGGAACACGAGCACCATCACCATCATCGTCATCACAATCATACAACTAAGGACGCCAACCAAGAATAATAATAACTTAAAGATTAGCTTTTATCGGTAAATTTTTCAAAATTACAAAATTAGCTTAAAAATAAGTGTTTTTTCATAAGTAAACCAAAATGGGCGAATTCTTAAATATCATAATACGAACTCTTGACTCACAAGAACTGCTATTATCAATCACTTCTCTAGCTAGGGTGACGGAAATCAAATATTTCATTAATCTGCGCGTAGGCATCCCAGTCCACCGCCAAAGACTTATTTTCCAAGGATACCTTCTCAAAGACGAAGAAAGTCTTGAAGAAATTGGCATCTCCAACAACGAGACCATCTATTTAGTAGGGAACGTTCAAAGAGACGAAGACCCTATAGTCGCCCTTGCCCAGCTGTCACTTTTAAACAACTTAAGGTCTCAGAGAAGGCCACGAATACCTAGAAGAGCCTTAAGCAATGACCAAATAGCAGAGGTTTTAAGGCAAAATTTGTATGTGATTGATGATTTGATAAGTTAAGTTAAGTATTGTAAAGTCTTAAGCGGATAAATCACTAGCCTGCCTATCTAGCATAAACCTACCTAACCTAAGGATTAGCTCCATAAGTTAGAGCCTCCTCTTGAGGATCCCCAGTTAGTCCCAATAAGCAAGGATTAAGTGGGAGGCAAAACCTGCCTAGCTAATCTTGCAGGGATATGGAAAACCCATCGGGGTGATCGGAATCAGTCCTACCTGCTCCACAGAAAATGTGCCTCGAAGTCCATCTTCCCTTTATTTTTGACTTGATAAGGAATTATAACAACGACCAAGGAGTAAGCAGGAGGGTGCTTAGAGAAGGACAATGGGTTGATGTGCTGGATACTGTAAACCAATGGCTCGATGCACAGATTTTACAACTGAGGACAACAAGGTCAGGAACAAGAGTTCTGGTGCATTATAATGGCTGGCCTGACAGATGAGATGAGTGAATTAATGCAGAATCGCCAAGAATAATGCCCTTTAGATCAAAGACAAGACAGGCTAGTGGGTTAGGAATACAGTCTCCAGTCCCGTCAAATCCTCCTGTGATAAGGAAATCAGGAAATGAGGATATTTCTACAATGACTCTTCAGACAAGTATTTATGTATAAAATTTTCATTGAATTAGTATATCGCAATATTTGTTCCTTCAGGGTTAATATTTTTTTATATATATAAATTTATTAATATTTTTTATCGAATCTTAAAAAAAAATTGGAAGCCAAAAATTAATTTAATTTGTAAAATTTATGTTATAAAATGCATAGTGCTTAAGATTCAACAGAATTAACTAAATATTTTATTATAGAAATTATCACTTATCTATCAAAATATTTTTTTCAGAAAAATTTTGTTCGCTAACAGACGGTGGTTTTTTTACCCAAAAATAGGGATTTCCATGATTTTGTTGGCTCACAGAGGGGTAATTATATAAAATTAGCTTATTTTAAATAGCATAGATATTGTGAAAAATTTCATGGAAAAATACTCAGTTATAAAACAGTCCTTAAATACTTTTCAACAAATTGGTCAATTTTTTAATGTTCACAATATAGGAGATCAGCAAGAACAGATGAAAAATGAGTTAGAAAATTTGAAAATTTATATAGCGCCAGTTATCGACAGAGTAGGAAGAGCAATGACAGATTTAGGACAAGCGTTATCAAGGGACACCAATGAAGAATTGAACTTGATTGAGGCATCAGATGATCCTAGTCCAATGAACTTGTATTAATTGGCTTGTACTAACTTTGTTAAAGTTAATTTTTGTCAAAATTCTTGCTAAAATATAAATTCATTTTTCTTATGATTTTCAATAATAATTCTTGCCAAAAAAGCGAAATTTTATATTTATTAGTATCATAAAACAAATTTTATATATTTTTAATATTAATTTTAGGGTATTTTTAACGAAACTCAAACCCAGCCCCTGATTTAATTGAGTACAATAGCTTTTCTTTTGTTCTTTTTACGCTCGTATATGTAGGTAGCCTCAGTGTATTTACACACGTTTGTGCAGTGGGCAGTTTTTCATCATCTCTATCAATAGGCACTTTACTTATAGTAAATGGTGGATATAAATTCTTAAACCCAAACAAAGGTGGCCTAGGGCAGCTAGTCACAAATCTTAATAAAAGAGAAAGTTCTTCAGAAGAAAAAGACTCCAAAGCTTGCCAGAAATACTTCACAAAAGAGTCTCTGTGCGAGCAGTCAATATAGCGTGTATGAATTTTTATTCTTATTTAGAAAAATGGAATATTATTTATCATGAATTAATGCCTATATTTAATACAAAAATATTAATAAGGCTATATACCATAATTTTATTATATATAAGCTGTTATAAGTCTTCTATATCAATTTTTTCCGTTGTCCCAGAAATGATTATTTGCATCTCGCTTGGAGTAAACATAGACAGTCAGCTTGAAGGTATTAATTCACTCAATCCTTTAAATATTGCTGAGCATTGGTCTTTAATCTGAACATTTAATCGGTAATCAGCAAGCTTGTAAATATACTGAAGCTTATTATCATTTGTGACTGACTTGTCGCGACCTTTTGGAATTAGCTCAACTTCTGAGCCATCGACATTTGTGACGACGAAATTAAGGGATAAGTCTTCAGCGTTGCCTTGGTAATTTTTCAAAAATTTCAAATTTTGGTATACTTCTTTGTCGAGGCTTTTCAGGTCTTCTAAAAAGTTGTATTTTCCTACCATTTTCCTCAAAAAGAATTCTGCGAATTTAGGCTCGACAGTGATCCTTTCATATATTGCTTTTCCTAATATTCTCCCTACCAAGAAAAACATCCCTAAATGCTCTTTCCCAAAGAAGAGCTCAGAAGCAGGATTTGGATACAAGCATTGGTCTGAAGTGACACTAAAGAGCCCATATTGAGGGTTAAAAGCTTCTGCGCTAAGTGAAGTTCAATATTCTTTAAATAGCCCACCTGCATCAATTCCTTCTTCTACAGTCCCTAGCGCATTAACGAAAATCACTTCTAATTTCCCTCTGATATCAGGGACGTTAATAATCTGTGCAATACTGTCGACCATTAGGTTTTCTCTTCTTACCACTATTCTTGTAGATGGAGCAGCCATATACAATTCCTTAGTCTGAGCAATATTCATTGATAGAATCTCAGCCCTAACTGTGAATGGCAAACAAAATGGGAATCTTTGAATTATTGGGCTTAAAATTTTAGAGTCCTCAGTCATTTTATCTATAAGCTCGTTTAATTGATTATGGGGGAGCTGAAATTGAGCTTCTTCGAAAAAGTGTTTGGACGAGTTGAATTCATGGAGAAGTTTTAAGACTTTACAGGCACTTGATACAAGGTTTTCAGCCACAGGGTTTAAGTCTTGATGTAGAAGTCCTGCATGGACAAGCTGAATTATAAAATCAGTGAAATAAATAAGCTCTCCTTCATCAAAAATATATGGAAACTCAGCATCATCCACAATTAAGAGCAAGCTTTGATAAGAGCAGCAAAATAATGATAAAGCAGGGCTGAACTTATAAAATTCAGGGTTCCTATTTGTAGATGCCAAGCTATCTGGGTTTAAAAACACATTGACATCACAAAAGAGCTGAATGAATTTCCAAATCCTATATAGAACTTTTTTATTAAAAGCAATCCCGCCCATAATCCCTGTCACCACAAATTGAGCTTCTTTGCTAGTCTGGCATTTCTCTAAGAATGTGTTATAAATTTGGCACAAATCTTGGGCCACACTTGGGTTAAACTGATCAGTAAATTCATCATGCCCGTGATCAAAAACTTTTAAGAAAATTGAAGAAAGCTTGTTTGGGTCTGTAAAAATTGATAGCTGCTTCCTAAGGACTTTTAGATTAGTTGGTTCACTTATACAGGCAGAAGAATCGGACTCTAGCAGCCTTGGGGTCAATTTTGTTACAGCTTTAGCGCACGTCATCAATAAAGGTGCCATTTCCGAAGGACTCATCGAGCTAAATAATTTTGCTGAAAAAAGTTCTCACAAATTGGCAAATAAATAAATTTCTTTTTCGTCATATCCTAGCGTATTTCTCGTCAAAAGCTGCCCATAATAATAAGACTGAATCATTTCTTTCCATTTCACAGAATTGCAATAAGGATCTTGCAATATAAATTTCGACATTCTTGGTATTGACAAAACATGTTCTACAATGAACCCTTGAATGTCCACAAAATGATCATAAATTAGGCTCCTATCAGACTGGCTTAATTCTTCTATGTTTATTTGATAATAAAGCAAGTTTGATAATAAAGTTAGGTGGAGGAGGATTTGAATATCTTTGGTAATTTTATTGTCTGAAGCGAGTAAAGTTTTTATTTCTAAGTGTTTTTTGCAGCTTTTTAGCAGATTTTCGTCACAAACTAGCTGAGAGTATAGCAGGAACATGTGAAAAGAAGGGATTTCAAACCTAGGAACTTCGAAGAAGGCGAGAATAAATTTCCCTGCTGATTCTTCGTTTTGAAAAGCTCTGGCAAGCCAGACTCCGACATTCACAATCAAATTTCAATTATTTTTTGACCCAAAAATATTAAAATCAGGTTGTTGGCAATTGTAGCTTGCTTCTATCCAATCTCTTAATTCCCAAAATACTTCCCATCTTTTTGTCATAATTGCCAGATTGATCAATTCTTTAAGATTTTTTAAAGGTAAAACTTTTAGCTTGTCTCCTAGCATCAATTTAAGCTTCTTTATATCAGAAATTTTGCTTTGAGCTTTAGTGATAGCCAATTCTGATACAGTATCTTTAGCATTACGAGACCTTAATAGAGCTTGAATAGCTGTGCATGCCTTTGTGAACTTTCTGGCTTCCATCAGCTGCTGTAGGTTTCCTTTGGCTTCTTCTGAGCCTTTCTTCTTAGGGGGTTCGTAAGGCTGAAACATTTTGAAGTCTAATTAAATTATAATGAAACAACAGATAAATTCAGAAAAAATATTTAGATTTTAACGAAAAATTTAGTCAATGTCTTTATTAGGAGTATTATAGAAACTTTAGGCTTAATTATTTTATGATAATTTATTGAAAAATAATTTTTGGCATACCAATGATGATGAAGCTGCAAAATATTTTGTGGGAATTAAGAAAATTATTCATATTTTACAAAGAAATTTCAAATAGATGAACAAAAGTTTTGATAACAAAATTGGCCTTCCCAAAGCAAGTGAAAGATCATCTTCAATTCCAAGGCTAAAGCAGTGAAACTCAGATATCCCAAATAAATTTTTATTAAGCAGTCCTAAATACTCAAATACCAGCATAGGTCTTTCTTCCATCAATTGTGTGACAACACCTACATCTCATCTGGATAGCCTTATTATGCAGACTGAAAGAGAATGCACAGAGATTAAAAAAGCGATTTATGATAAAGGATTAGAAGAAAAAGCATTTCTTGCACAATTGATTAGAAAACTGGCTATTTTTAAAATTATTTATTCTGATAACTAATTTTATATAATTATTCATCACAATTTTATATAAAAAATAATTTTAGAAAAGAAATTGAAAAAGAGTTAACAAGGCTTGATGGTAAATTTTCTGTTGAAAAAAATGAAGGAAAGCAAGAATCACCATCTGTGCTTGAATTTATTAATGAAGTCATGAGTGAAAATAGATTGTTAAAAGAAAATTTTATGAAAATATTATCAAATATTGATATGAAAGGAAGCGGCTTAGCTGTCATCCAAGAATTGGAAATAATGCTGAAAGGCCAAAATTTGTTGTTCTTAAGAGTTTTTGAGCAGATTGAGAAGGCTGCAAGCAACCTTAGGAGTTATGGAAATATTCTTAAAGAAAGAGAAAATATGATACAATCACAAGAAAATGATCTAGCAATTATGCAAAAAGTTGTGGAGAGTGAAAAGAAAAGAATCACTGAAGAAAAGATGTGAATAACAAATGAAAAAATAAAAATAGATAATGAATATCATTTTATTCTACATCAATTTATATTGAATAACATAAATTTAGATAGGCATTACAATAATACCCCAAAATATTTTATTCAATTCAACTCATTGTAGCATATTCAAGACGAAAAAACTAAAATGATGCAAGATATGGAAAGAATTTACCAAAAAATAAATATTGAAAGTGTGGATCATTTAAATTCTGCTGGAACTACTTTTTCTAGCTCTAAAGAGCCAAAAAGCGAAAAAGATAAATCTAACTCAGAAAATTCCATTAAAGATCATGATGACATACAAAAACCTCAAAAAGATTTGAATAGTCAAGAAGGGTCTAAATATAAATATTTAGAAAATCAAGCCTACGAAATAAAAGATAAAAGCTCTCATTTACGATCAAAAAGACTCAATCTTGAAATAGGTATAAAAGATACAGATAGAACTGAAGAGCTAAATGATGATTCACACAAATTCCTTAAAATAAGTCCAAAATTGATTCTAAAAGAAAACAATTCAGAAAATTCAAAAGAAAAATCCTTATTAGAAGATTATTATTTAAATACTCATAGGAATAGAGAAAACGGCTGGCAGTTATCAAATAATTGTGAAACAAATACAAGTGACATAGAGTCCTTATGTGATACCCTATCCAAAAATGAGCCTCTATTTTCTCAATTCACCCACGAAATTTATCAAAAATCTCCAGAACCCAAAAAATATGAAGAAAATGTTCTAATTGAAGACTTCAGCAAGCCATTTAACTTAAATCCGCTGAAGAGCGCCAGCCAAACCCCATCCCAACCCAAAGCAGTATCCAAAAGAGATACAAAATGCTTTGAAAACCTAAAGAAAACCATCATGCTAAAGCAGCAGAGAAGCAATAGCACTTCAGCTTCAATTAAAAGTGTATATAAATAAGCCTATGCATAATCTCCAGGTTTATAATAAAAAAACTCTCTAAGTACTGCTTTTGATGTGTTTCTTATTTCAATTAAAACCTGCGTAACTTCTTTTCATATAATCTTAAAAGCCAGCGCCATATTATTACAGTTATGTTCAAGAACACATTTCAATCAGGCTTCTTATCGATCCTCTACAGCATAGGCAGTAAGCCTCTTCAGATCTGGGATAAAAGTGTCCGGAACGGCCATATAAAGCGTATTACAGATCAAGATATACAAAGCTCGGTCCTAGAAATCATGGGAACTAATGTGAGCACCACTTTTATCACTTGCCCAGCTGACCCAAACCAAACCGGGCATAATAAAATTCTTTACTTTTTTTATGAAAATTAAGAATTTAAATTAAAAATAATTTTTTTCAAAATCATTTACCTTAAACTCTATGTACCAATCAAACCCTTGGTATCAAGCTTCCTTTCCTTGTCATGATCATAAAAAATCTCAAAAAATACTTCACCTTTGAAGTTCAAGTCTTGGACGATAAAAATATTCGCCGAAGGTTTAGGGCATCAAACTATCAAAGCACAACCAGGGTAAAACCGTTCATCTGTACGATGCCAATGCGCTTAGATGAAGGGTGAAACCAAATTCAGTTCAACTTGTCTGATTTTACGAGAAGAGCATATGGAACGAATTATATTGAAACTTTAAGGGTGCAAATCCATGCTAATTGTAGGATGAGGAGAATTTATTTTTCAGACAGACTGTATTCAGAAGAAGAACTACCGCCTGAGTTTAAGCTATTTTTGCCTTTACAAAAGCAAGCGTAATTTAATATAAAAAATATTGCAATAAGAAATTTTGAATTTTAATTAAGAATTTGAATTTAGAAATAATTATATTTAAATAAAATTAAAGATTTCATTTTAAAATACGATAAAGAGAGTATAAATTATACTTTAACTGGATATCTTATAAAAACATGACTTAAAATATAAATCTTTGAGGCAAAACTGTAGAAAATTGAGCTACAAAAATCATAACTGCAAAAGATTTATTAATATTTAAGAAACATTTGTGTTCATTTAGAAATGCATCAATGACGACAACTGGAATTCATTTGGGTCGTATTTGTATACAGTTCCTCTGCTGATAAAATAAAAAGATCCATTTTTTTCTACTACATCAGTAGGTGACCACCATTCCTCTTCTTCTAAACTCTGATAATCTGAGCAGCTTATAGTATCAAAAGTGCTGATTTGCTTACAATGGAAAATTAAAATTTGATCTTTATAAGAAAACATCAAGCTACTTCCTCCAATTGGCATTTGAATCCTTAACAGAGAAAATTTATTATTAACAGCGTTGTAACTTTCTATTGAGTTTTCTTTGATTCCTCCAGCTACAAAAATCCGACCTTTGTGGACACAAGCTGCCAGATTTTCTCTAGCTACATTTAAATTTCCTATTTGTTGCCATTTTTTAGAGATAAGATTGAACCTTTCACAGTCTTTTATTGAGGCGAAATTGCATCCTCCGATTACATATAATTTATGCACCATAATGGATCGCTGTACCCCAGCAGAATATCAACTAGAAAAATATGGTCTAGGGCACCTACCTTATACAGTCTAATGTAAGTAGGCATCTTAAAGCCATAAACAGAGATTTGTCATTTTTGTTTGAGCTTTGCAAAAAAACTGACAAGCACAAAATAATTTTGAAAATTAAAATGATGGTCATCATTATCATTATTACAGGGTGGCGTCTGCCTTATTGGTTACGTAGTCGCCAAGGACCTTCCCATACGGGAGGTTCATCCGCTTTGCGCCGTCTTCAGCTTCGCCTTGATTGAATTGGAACATGGTTAGCCAGGCAAATGATCGGCTCTGACACTGCCTTTCTTCTCCTTCAGCGCCTGATGCCATGGCACTTCTGAAGTGTGGGGTTCAGCTTCGTACGTCTCCTCCTCCCCTTTTCAGGTCCAGTATTAAGTGGACGGACTATGGACTTCTGCTGCTGCATGGGTGAACGAGGTTGGCCATCCAAAAATTCCAAAAAATGGAATTTCTGCTCGACCTCTCTGCAAAAAGGAAAAGTCTAGATCCCGGGATGTAACCCCGTGTCATGTTAGGCAGTTGCCCGATTGGTCTGGGTATTACCTGCAGACTTAGCTGGGCTTGCCCTTTCCAAACCTAAACTCTCCTTTCCCTCGAGGTAAAACCCAATCTTGAAATCGGACTGAGGGCTAGGCTCTGTACATTATCAGAATTGCTTACCTAGCATTGCTGTCCATTTCTAGATTGGTAAAACCTTGCCGGATATAGTTGGAATATGTGTTCGGAAGCTGCGTGGCCGGAGGCCATGCTAGGTGGGGACGCCATATTTTAATTATATTAAAATGATGGTCAATAATGATCTAAAAATATTTCAGGAGCTATATAAATAATTCCCAGAAATTAAGGAAGCATGGTTATACCTAGGAATTTTCATAGGTGGGCCAGGGTCAAGCTGATAGTTATTAGTATTAAATATTCAAAGGTAGCGTTTTGCAGATAAAGATAAGCCTCCAGTAGCAAATATATAGCCATCTTTATCGCTATATACTTAACTTATGATCAGAATTCTGGTCGGTATACCGATCAGAAAGATCGAGCTTACCCGAGGACGTCACTAGGTAACGTCTTAGCTGCTTACGGACTTGCTGCACGGTTCACATCCTCCAAGTTCCAGGGTCTCCTCTCCAGTTGCATCGGTGACATGCGGAGAGCCCGTATTGTTAGATTGCATCGGTTTGAGATTGCTTGCCACTTGTTTATTTTAGCCTTCACTGATTCTTTTTAGTAGCTTTACATTGAATCTCTGAAGGGCACCCGCAGTCAGGTGCTTCAGCAGGAAAAGCCTTTTTAGCGGGGCAAAACCCATCTGCATAGCGAAGAATATATAGCCATCAGGAGAAAAAGTCCACGCGTTTCCTTTAATCCCAAGGTCTTTATTATGCAATGACATTTGTTCAACATTTCCTGAATCTATATGATAAATTATATACAATTTACAGCAAATAAAAAATAATTTATTTAACTCTTATTATTTTTTATAATAAATATTTTACATTAATCAAGATTTAAATAACAAATAAAAGTATAAGTTGGTTCGGAAAAAAGCAATATAAAGCATTTGGATTTTTTGGAGGATTTTTTTTAATTTCTAATGTTAATTTGCTTAGCTTGCTTCCTGAATTTGACTTTTGGACAGGTCGATTAGATTTACTAAAAGCAAATGATTTTTTGGTAGCTGAGCGTGCCATAGGCGATTTTACTGTTCTTTCAATTACTGATGTGTCTGGACTAAAAGGGTTAGTGTCTGTGAGATATTCATCTCAGATTGGTGTAGCTTGGCTTATTGGAGAAGACTCTGGAGTTTCCATATTGAGCAAAATTTCAGGGGAATTTTCAAGAATGTTTATAATTTCTGGATCAGGAAGACTTGGCCTGGAAACATGTCTTGGTTTTGAGATTTTGGATGCTTCTGATGCTTTAGGAGTTTGGCTAATATTGTGGCTAGTCTTAAATGTAGGAATTTCTAATGAGTTTCCGCTATAAGGGGTATTAATTGTTCTTTCATTATTTTTACTGTTTATAAGCCAAACTTGCAAATCAAATTTATTCATAATGGCGTCTCTAATTTCAAAGTCATGAATCCCAATTTTTTTTGTGATCAATTTGAGTGTATCTATTTCTCCTTTAGTTTTCAAGCCTGCTAGCATATTTGATATGCTATTTTATTATAAATAGCCCACTAAGGAGCATTTTTTGGTTAGCGAGACATCAGCTGACTTACCAAATTAGTTGGCAATAGATTTAATTGCTACCCAAATTAAAAAAATGGATAACCAAAAATGATCTTTAGTGGGCTATTCTTAGTAAACATATATATATAATTATTTTGAGTGTTTCCTGATGCAAAGCAGTCAATAGCTTCATTAATGATTTTTTCTTTATTTTCGCATTCTTTATTGACTTTTTCCTTTAAAAATTCCCCAAGTTCTGATAATTCTTTCTGAAGTTTATCAATATATTGGTCAATTGCGAAAAAAGACTCTTTTTTAAAATTTTCAAGTTCTGTAAGTTCTTCATGAAGTTTAAGCCTACAAGCAGAATTTAATTCATCCCTGATTTTTGCTTTTGTTATAATCTGGCTTTCCTTTTCTTTTAACTCAAATCATGAACTGGACATTAATGAAGCTGTTCTCGTGTCTTTCAGAGAAATAGGGTTATGGATAATGCTAGTGTCTTTAATTAAATGCGTACCAATGCAATTTGAGCATAATAAAATTTGAGTACAAAAACATATAAGTTCAGCATTTTGCTTGCAAAGTTGGCATTGCTTATTGGTTTCCATATTCTTCTAATAATTTGAGGATGAATTATTAAATATCTAATAAATTTGAAATAAATTATCATTATTAAATAAATTGCACAGATACCCTGCAAATTTAAAATACTAACGGTTATTTAAACATTTTTAAATTTCGTTCCACCTAATCACGTTTTTCTCAATGTTTTCCATAGTTTTGCATAGGTTGTAAAACCCTTCATCAACCTCTTTTGAAAGTTTTTTGACTTTTTCTTTAATTTTCATTCTTGGTCTTTTTAATTTTCTAATGTAATTATAGGTCTGCAATATCCCAATTGCTCTTTCTTGACCCATAGCTTTGGCAAAATCTGAAAAGTTTTCAGTCCCTTCAACTTTTCTGAGAGGCCGCTGAAGCAAATGTTTGGTTTCTGGGTCAGAAATTAATAGAATCGCGAAACGTTTAAACATGGATATTATTTTTTGGTTTCTAGTAGGATTTAGCCTTGGATTAGCTGGGCCATGCAGCTTTTTATATTGGAAACTCTTGATTTTTGGGATCATGATCTCTGCAAAACTTTCGGCAAATTTTTCCTAACTCCCCCCCCCATCCTTGATCGAACGACTCGCCATCGTTCAATCAAGGATGGGGGTTAAAAAAAATTTTATATATAAAAATAAAATATATATATATAAATTTTTTTTTATTTACTTTTAAATAAGAGGTTAGGAGTATTTAATAATTATTTTTACAGCAAAAAATTTAATTAATTTCATAAAAATACCAATTTTTTAATATTTTAATTTATTAGTTACCCCTTTAAACTGTATAAATTTTAATTTGTTACTTATTAAATTAAAAATTTGTTTTTTAAAAATTTTAAAAAATCTCTATTTTATTAGATTATTGAGTTTTTAAGCCCATGTTGATGACTAAAATTACTTTGAATAGTTGATTCCGAAGCTTTCTATCGTCTCAAAGTCTCTGAAAACAACTTCATTAGGTACATCTTCCCAAGCTTTTGATAACTATTATATTTTTATATATATAAAAATTTGCATGATATGAAAATCGTTCGATCAAGGATGGGGATTAATTTCCCCAATTTTTAGGAATTTTTACAGTCAATCGTTCGATCAAGGATGGGGGGGGAGTAAATAAATTTTACATTGACTCTGAACGTTAAATTTTCTTGAAGAATGACTCTTTTTTTAACTAATTTGTCAATATAAAATTTTGGGCTCCCTTTGTAAGTATATTTATGGAGCACTGTAGATCGCTATAGGTCTTCATTATAGCTCACTCACCTTAATAGATTTTTATATAGGCGATTTAGGATAGATAGTTGAAGTGTTTTGCTATTTATTGTTAAATAAGTGATCTAGATAGCCCTGATTAGTAAGGATTATAGTAATATCGTTTAGATTCTAATGAAAACTAAGTTAAAAGTGATGGAACTCTAATATTTAATTAAAAATACATAACAATGCTTTATGCAATAAAATCTGAATATTTCTACCTCATGACTCACAGGATTTTGTTGTGTTTTTTTCCATTTTTACATCAGGCTTTGCCGAATCAACTTATTTAACAAATGAAATAAAAAGTAAATATTTAACTTTAAACTAAATTCCTAAAGAATTTGTCTTTTTGATAAGATCCATGAAAATTAAATCACAGTTAATGCAAATTTCTTTTTTGACATAAGACAATTAAAAAAGTAATTTTTATAGAATTTTTTCGATGAAATTTGAGCCATAAGGATAGCTTTACAAGTGTTTCTTGCTGCCCAAAATATGGTGACTTTGAGAGCGTTATTACCCTCAATACTATCTTTACAATTTAAAAATCATAAATTTATAATTTAACGCAATCTATCAATTTAAAGTAATCGGGAAAGATATATTTTTAATGATAGACCCAGTCAACCGCTGAATTCAACTATTTTTCAATAAAATTATCTTTCAACACATAAAATTTAATTTCTCCCCCCCCATCCTTGATCGAACGATTGACTGTAAAAATTCCTAAAAATTGGGGGAAATTAACCCCCATCCTTGATCGAACGATTTTCATATCATGCAAATTTTTATATATATAAAAATATATATTATTTATCAAAAGCTGGAAGATGTACATAATGAAGTTGCTTTCAGAGACTTTGAGACGACAGAAAGCTGCGGAATCAACCATCCGAAGTGATTTAGTTATCAACATATGCTTAAAAACTCAATAATCTAATAAAATAGAGATTTTTTAAAATTTTTAAAAAACAAATTAATTTAATAAGTAACAAATTAAAATTTATACAGTTTAAAGGGGTAACTAATAAATCAAAATATTAAAAATTGGTATTTTATGAAATTAATTAAATTTTTTGCTGTAAAAATAATTATTAAATACTCTTAACCCTCTTATTTAAAGGTAAATAAAAACAATATATATATATTTTATTTTTATATATAAAATTTTTTTTAACCCCCATCCTTGATCGAACGATGGCGAGTCGTTCGATCAAGGATGTGGGGGGGAGTTAGAGATTATATATTCCCATTTTCACTTTTTATTTGGTTTGCCAAATTAGTTGCTTTGCAAAACCTAATATTAAAATCGAATGAACAAACAAAATCCTATTACTCATAAAATAAAAATTCTACAAATTTATTGTATCTAGTTTCTGGAAACCATGATAAAGACACTGTTATGCATTTCTAATTAAATTTTATTTCTTTAAAAGTTCCATCACCTTTTAACTTAGTTTTAGTTAAACCATATTTCACTTTGAATCCTCATTAATCAGGATAATTAATATGGTGGGTGGTGAATAAAAAAGGTCCTTGGCGCGAAGAGCCATCTTGGCCGCAAAATTCGCCTATAGCCTAAACCAAGGTTCAGGCCCTTTAATTCTAACCCTTAGCATGCTTCAAGCTGCCGTATGGGGTGGGTAAACCTTGGGATCAGCTGGTGGTGACTCCATCGCCAGAGTATTGATTATCCGGAGGAAGTGCTGTTCCCTGCGTGGCGAACCTGTCGATAGCCAATCAGTGGAGCTTGAATCGAAGGAAGGGCTCGCCGCCCTGAAGAAAACTTTCTTCGTTAATTTTGGGATTGTTCGCCTGCTGCTGGAGTGGGCACTGATTCGATGTTGAGTTGAAAGTTGAGCTCTGATGTTGGCAGATGGAAGTGGAGACTGTTGTGGTTGTTGTGGAGTTTGTTGTGGAGTTTGTTGTGGAGATTGTTGTGGAGATTGTTGTGGAGATTGCTGTGGAGATTGTTGTGGAGATTGTTGTGGAGATTGTTGTGGAGGTTGTTGTGGAGATTGTTGTGGAGATTGTGGTAGAGATTGTTGTGGAGTGTGCAGCTAGTAGGATAGGGTTAAATAAAACGTTTTCTTCTTCATTAATCAGGGCAACCTAGATCACTTATTAAGCAACGAATGATAAAGCACTTCAACCTATATCTCAAATCGCCTATATAAAAATCTACTAACTCCCCCCCCCTCCGTGAGTGAACAAAAAAATTTTTGTTCACTCACGGAGGGGGGTTAATTTTGTTTTTTTTAAAAAAAATTTATATATAAATTTTATAAAAAATATTTTTTTTCTAAATTTAAAAAAATCCTAATTCGCAAAAATTGGAAGGCAAATATTAATTTAATTTATAAAATTTATGTTTTAAAGAGCAATTTGTTTAAAATTACATAGAATTAGCTCTAGATTTCATTATACTAATTATCATTTATATATCAAAAATTTTTTCCATAAAAAATTTTTCTATTAAAACAATTTTTGTTCACTCACGGAGGGTGGGGTTTTTTGGGCAAAAAATGGTGATTTTTCTAATGGTTTTGTTCACTCACGGAGGGAGGGGGAGAGTAAGGTGTATGAGCTAATCAAACCTATAAGGCCAGCTTTTTTTATATACCTTTATTTTAAAAATAATAACCATTAATGATTCAAACGCACTCAAAGGCTATAGCTTTTACATAAGAGCGCAAATAGCCAAGATTGTTTTCAAGGGCATCTATAAGCTGGGATTCATAAACCTCTCCCCCTGCCTCCTTTATAAATTTCATCACAAACCCTTCTAAAGTATCTTCCAGTATCAAGTAAGGGTCTCGGTGTATCTTGTACCGATCCCTCATGCCCTTCGATTTAACTATTTTTGGCTTTTCTTCAGCTTGCCTGCATTATTTTTACGTTTGTTTATTCCTTAAAGCTTCTTCAATTTGATCTTGCCTGATTCTTTCCACTAATGTGAGTCCATCATCCATGATAATTAAAATTATTAAATAAATATCTATATAATCTTAAAATTTTTAGTAGGGAATATGGAAAATTAGCATGAACAGCCTTTAGAATTTGTATTTTTTTTAAATTCTTGACCCACTTTGATACCGAAATGCTGGCATGGGTCAATTTCGCCGTTTTCGATTTTATTCACAATTTCTCTCCCTACAAGATTAAAAGCCTCTTCCACATTTAAGCCAGTTTTGGCTGAGGTTTCTAAGTATTTCAGCTTGTTCGCTTCTGCAAATTCTAAGGCTTCATCTTTGGTGACTGTTCTTTCACTATCTAAATCACATTTATTTGCAACAAGTAATATAACCATGTCTGGGTTTCCATTGTTTTTTGTTTCTTCTAGTCATTTATGTAAACTTGTGAAGCTGCTCCTTCTTGTCATGTCGAATACTAATAAAGCTCCTACTGCGCCTCTATAATAAGCTCTTGTGATGCTTCTGAAATTTTCTTGGCCTGCTGTATCTCATATTTGGAGATGGACTGCTTGATCGTTTACTAGAATAGCTTTGGCTCCAAACTCAACACCTATAGTTAGATCGTGATCTGTCCGGAATCGCTTGTCAGTGAATTGAAGAAGCAAGCAGCTTTTGCCAACAGCGGTATCTCCTATAATGATGTACTTAAATAAAAAGCTATAAGACATTTATAAACTTTTTAATAGATTTTTATCCCCAATTCAACAAAATCAATGAATTTTAACGATGATTATGCAATCATTCTCACTCTATGATTGTTTGAAACGATTTCATATAAAAATTCGAATATTTATTTTTAAAAGTAAAATCTCTACTAAGAATAATAAAAATTACAACAAATTGTAATCATTAGCAATTTATTGCTTAAATAATTAAAAAATCATAAATTCTAACTCCCCCTCCTTGACTGAAAGAAAAAATTTATTCGTTCACGGAGGGGATTAATTTTTTTTCGAAATTTAAAAAAATCCCAATTCGCTAAAATTGAAAACAAATATTTATTTAATTTGCAAAATTTATGTTTTAAAATGCAAGCTGTTTAAAATTAAGTAGAATTAGCTACAGATTTCATTATACTAATTATCACTTATATCAATTTTTTTTCCATAAAACATTTTTGTTCGCTCACGGGGGAGTAAGTATAAAAATGCAAAATTTCTTCAATGCAATATCTCAATAATAAATAGCTTACAATGGATATATGAGAAGATATTTGTAGAGTCATACTTCTGGACACTTTATCAAATGGAATGCTGACAGAAGAAAAAATAAAGGAAATTGAGGAAGATATCGATGGGTTAAGACTTCATAAAGAGCTTGATGCTGGATTTAACATAAAACACTCACTAGATGGCCATTTTGAGGGCATGGAAATACAGCTAACTAATTGCCAAAAAAATCATTGTTTGCAATGCTTAGTCCCCCCCTCCTTCCTGAGCGAACACAAAACCATTGGAAAAGCCCTATATTTTGGATAAAAACTCGTCTGTGAACCGGCAAAAATTTTATAAAAAATATAAGTGAATTATTATAATGAAATCTCTAGTTATTCTGTTTAATTTCAAATCTTGCATTTTACACCACAAATTTGATAAATTTAATTAATTTTTACTTCTCAATTTTGCGGTATATGCTTGCTTTTTAATTTCGCACGAACAAAAATTACTATAAAACTTATATATAAAGAAAATAACCCTTTTCGTAAGCGAATAAAATTTTTTTGTTCGCCTTAGTTAGAAAAAATATTTTGAATTACAGAGCTGCGAACACAACGTAAAATTTACGAGATTTGAGCAAAAGAATATTCCTTGGCAACTAGAAGTGCTTAAAAACTTAGAATCGGATGTGTTGTTCAAAATAAAAAATGGCTGCTGCTTTTCTTGTAATTCTCTTTATAAACTGAAATCGCTTATGGATCAAAAATGCTTTTGCAGAGTTTGCGATGCCTGTATATATTTAAATTATTCAGAGCGCATATTGAGCTGTCCTTCATGCAAGCGCGAATATGATAGAAAAGATATTAAAGAAATATACGAAATAGGAACCAAAGAAAAACCAGGAGAAAAAATCCCATTATTTGATAGATGCAGCATTTGCAAAGGTATATTTGATGAGGATGCATTTTTTAACAAATGCCTTTGTGGGTGTTATGTTTGCATTTTATGCAAGCTAAATATTGAAGAATGCCCAAATTGTAAACACCATATTGAAGTTAAAAAAGAAGCTGAGGTAGAAGAAGAAAAAGTAGAAGAGGAAAGTAGCGAGGAAGAAGAAGAAGAAGAAGAAAAGAATGAAATAGGGCAAGAACATGAGGAAGAAAAGAAAGAAGAAGAGGATGAGAAAAATGAAGATGAGGGAAAAGAAGGAGACAATCCTTTAAGAGCTAGTATAATTAAAGAATAGAGATTACTTATTAGCTGGCTCTTCTTCTGGAGCTTCTTCTGCTGCTTCCACAATTTCAATGATTTTTCCAAGCCCAACTGTTTTACCTTCATCTCTCAGTGTAAATCTTCCAAGCTGGTTCATTTTGGTAAATGGCTCTACACAGATTTCTTCTTCTGCTTTAACACGCATCAAAATCCTTTGGTTTGACCTGCCAAATGACGTTTTTGATTTCTTTTTTCTAGCAACATCAATTAGGGCAGTGATTTCTAAGATCTCGCATTCTTCAACTGCTGTGTGGGCGTGCATAACACATTGGTAGCCAGCTGAGACGACTTGCTTTTCTTCTAAAAGATCTAAGAGTTGTACGTCAGCAGAAAATTCTTGTGCTGCATGACAGACATCGTGTATATCACAAATAGTAAACCCTCTCTGAATTTCAACTTCTTCAGGGACCTTCAATTTGATCCTTACATTTTCTCCAGCATTTGCGTACATAAGCCTAGATTCTTCAGCTCCAATAATTTCTACGATTTCTCCTTTTATCCTGATAGGCATGACGATAACTCTCTGCCCTTTGACAACTTGCCCACTTTCTACTTTTCCATATATGATTATTCCTTGGTCTTTGCTTCTGTCAAGTATTGGGATTCTTAATGGAGCTTCAGCAGACCTCACAGGCAGTGGTAAAGAGTCGAAAATCTCAAAAAGTGTTGGGCCATTATACCAAGGTGCAGTCTCTGGTTTAACTCTTTCTATAATATTAGCCCCTGAAATGCCAGAAATTGGGATCCAGTGGACTTGGCTAAGGTCATATTTGCATTTTTCCGACAAAAATGGGCTCATTTCTCGCTTGATCTGTTCAAAGCGATCTTGAGACCAGTTGACTGAAGGGTCGTCCATTTTGTTGATGACGACTATTAAGTTGCTAATTCCTAGAGACTTGGCCAACATAGCATGCTCTCGGGTTTGGCCACCTCTGTCGAATCCAGTTTCGAACTCACTAATTCTTGCAGAAATCACCAAAGATGCATAGTCAGCTTGAGATGCACCTCCTATCATATTAGGGACATAAGCTTTATGGCCTGGGGCATCTACACTTTTTTCAATGAATTTATTTTTTTTTTAATAAAAAATATGCAAAATTCATTACAAAACAGCATAAAATTGAAAATCTTTTTGTCGGAGTCTCAAAAAACGCTTTTCCGACTTCAACCGTGATCCCTTTTTCTCTTTCTTCGTCAGTTTGATCCATAATATAAGCAAGCCACCATGAGTCCCTTCCAAGCCTTTTGGCTTCTTGTTCATAAGTTTCGATGATTCTTTGGTCAACTTTTCCAGACAGCAATAAAATGCTTCCACAAATAGTTGACTTCCCAGAGTCCACGTGGCCAATAAACACAATGTTAACTGGCTCTTTTATTTTATCAGGCTCGACAAGCGGCTGTTCTTCATTAGCAGCTGATTCTCTTAGTTTCGCGATTAAGGCAGCTTTGTCAATTGGTTTTTCTGTGATGCTTTTGATGACTGGTTTCCTGACTTTTGGGGCGACTTTTACTTCTTCTTTAGGGGCTTCTTCTTGTTCGACTACTTGTCGCACTTCTTCCCCTACATTTATATAGTAATTTTCTATGAATTTTCTATAATTTTTTATGATTTTAAAAGTGAAAAATCGTATAAAAATGTCATACTTTTAAAGCCAAGTTTTGGGCCTGGTGTAACTTTAGGCTTGCTTGACCGTGAGTTTTCGAAGTCACTGAAGCTGATTGTGTTATCTTCTGGTTCTTCTGGCTCCTCAGGGGGTTGATTTTCTGGGTAATAATAAGGCTGCTGGAGGTTATAGTACTGCTGAGGATATTCGTATTGACCATATTGGCCGTATTGCTGGTACTGCTGGTTATAATACATGTTCTGTGGGTCTTGATTATACAAGTACGTATTTTGATACGAAGGATTCTCATATCCAGGAGGGTTTACTTGTGTAGTGCCAAAAGATGGAACAAACTCACTGGCATTTAAGTTGAAGTTGAATTCAGCAGCATTTACGTTCAAACCTGATTGTTGCGGAGGAGTCTGTTCTGAGTTTGACATATTTATCCACTTAAAAGATAAATAACTTGACTAAAGTAATTTTTTAGCTTATTTTTTTATAAATAAATTTAATGTTTTTTTAAAAAATAGAGTGGAGTAAGCTATTTATCTTAATATGAGATAAGATTATTTGATAAGAAGCCTAATTATTCATATTTTTCATCATTATTGTCTTGAATTCTTCCAAATCAATCACTCCGTCTCCATTGGAATCGGCTTCATCAAAAATTTGTTTCCACACTGAGTCTTCTACTCCTTCATTTCCACCCAAAAATGCTTTAAACTCGTCTATAGAAATCGTCCCACTATTATCTGTATCATAAGCCTTAAAAGCTGCCTCTAACTTTTCTTGAGAAAGGACTTTTTTCCAATCCAGCGTGGCGGTCACAAATTCTGTGTAATCAATATACCCATTCCCATCTGCGTCGCAGTGTGCTAGAATTTCTTCTACATCCGCTCCTAAGTTTAATGACAAGCAGCCAGCCCTTATTTCTTCTGGGCTTAATTTTCCATCTCCATTATCATCAAGTGCTATAAAAGCTTTTCTGATTTCTTCTGTTTCTTCATTAGTTGTTAAATGGGACGCAATATATTCTAAAGTCGCTTGTTGGAGTTTCCAGCCGGACTATATAAAATTTACTTTAAAAGCGCCAAGATTTGTTAAGGTTGACCTCGCGAGTCGATTTCCTTTAATTTCCCGATCAACTCTGCCTTGCAATCATTTGTCTTGGAGGACTTCTTCAGCTGAAGGCCGCTTTGCAGGGTCTTTGGTAAGCATTTTTGTTATTAGACTTTTGGCTTCTTGAGACACGTTTTTTCACTCAGGCATTGCGAAGGTGAAGACGCCTCTAGAAACTTTCATTAAAATCCCATTTTCAGAAGATGCGTTAAATGGTGGGATTCCACATAGCATAATATACAAAATAACTCCAGCGCTTCAGACATCACATTTTTCGTCATATTTCCCTTTAATTACCTCTGGAGCTACATAATACGCCTATTTATAGCTTACGGTTCCTGTAAAATTCGACAGTTTAGTATTAGGCGAAAATTTTAAAGAAGTCCCAAAATCAATGACCTTGATCGGGGCATCTTGTGAGTCATTCTCAAAAAGTAGGTTTTCTGGCTTGAGGTCTCTGTGAACTATACCATTTTGATGGCAGTACATTAGTGCTGAGACTATTTGGTACATATAGCTGGCAGCTGTATTTTCATAGAATCTATGCTGAGAAATAATTCTATCAAAAAGCTCTCCGCCTGTACAAAGCTCAGTAACAATATAAAGAGAGATGTCATCTTCAATAACTTCGTAGATTTTTAAAATGTTAGGATGGTCAAGGTCTTTCAGGATTTCTACTTCTTGTATAAGCTTCTCTCGGTCGTCTTTCTTGAATTTTGATTTCGATAGCACCTTTATAGCCCTAACTGCTCCGCTACTAATATGAATTGCTTTATGCACACTGCCAAAAGAGCCGTTGCCAAGCTTTTCTTGCACCTGATAAAATTGCCTGATATCTCCATTGATAACATGGACGAACTGCTTTCTACGGATTTTTACACCTGGGTCTGTATGCACAGACGCTTTGTTATGTTTAGATGAAATATCGCTTGCGGTGTCGTCATAAATTTGTGGCTGCGGAGCATGAGTGTCTGTGGTTTCTTTTATATCTTCTTTATGAAGGTCTTGCTTATTCCCCTGTGACGAATAAAACCGTTAAAAAAATCCCTATTTTTTGCCAAAAAAACAACCCTGTGAGCAAAAAAAAAAATTTTTTAATAGAATTTTTTTTATGGAAAAAATTTTGATAATAAGTGATAATTAGTATTACAAAATCTATAGCTAATTCTCTTTAATTTTAAAAAAAATTGTTTAAAAATTAATTTTATAAATTAAATTAATATTTGATTTCCATTTTTTGCGATTTAGGATCCTTTAAAATTTCGAAAAAATTTGTTTTCTATGAATTTATATATAAATTTTTTTTAAAAAAATAACCTCCCTCCGTGAGCGAACAAGATTTTTTTGCTTACTCACGGAGGGGGGGGAGTTAGTAGCTTCACGAACTACACTAATAAGCTCGCTTGTAGAATTTGGTAGAGATTGGCAGCACCCCATGGTTAATTTATATAAAAAATTAATTAAAAATAACTACCACACTATGCTTGTTCTGAAAATGATATTGATAATATTTGAGACAAGCATGTGGCCATAGACTGCGTATTGTCCAAATAATATTGTAACAATCAAAGATGAGAATTTTGATAGCAAAATTCATATTTTATTTATGATCTTTATTGCAATTTTCTTTTTCAGGAGGATAAGTCCTATTATCGCAATTAATATCATAATTGTTTTCCTTATATGAAAAGTTTTTGTTTTGGGCTTTTGTGAAGAGCTCCAAATATCATCAATTTTCCCTTTTATATATTCAGAAGGGTAGAGGACTGTGAGCACGTCATCAAGCAATTTATTAATTTGATAGCCAGATCTGGGGATATACGATCTGCAAATTGGGCACTTTACTGTGAAGAATTTGTGCTTTATGAGGTTTTCTATACATGTGAGGCAAAAATTGTGACCACAAGGAGTTGAAGTTGGGAAATGGAATGTATCTAAGCATATAGGACACTCTGTTGCTCCGCTAGCAACTGATATATTTTCCATAATTAGTTTTATATAGAGTTAGACATAAGAAAGAATAAATAACTTATTTCAACAAGGCATTTTTACCTCTTTACAAAATGGATTTAATTTGATAAAATTTTATTATATAGCTCATCACCTAAGTGGCTTGTCATGTGCCTGGTGTCTCCTGAAAGGCCGGGGACTGATTTCACTAACAAATGTAAGTTAAATCAACCCTTTAAAAAGTAATCCCATCAAATAATTCAGATTTGCCATTTCAAGGGTTGATTTCACCACAATTGATGGTGAAACCAATATCCCAGCCTTTCCAGAGAAGTAGGGCATATGGCAAGCCACTTAGGTGGATGAACTATAAATTCGAAAAATAAATTTGGGAATGTGATTTTTGATAGAGAAAAAGAAACAACTTTTAAATAAAATTTTTGTGAAAATTTGATTTTGCAATTAAATAGTGATATTTTATATTAATTATAATGATAGGGTTTTGAAATTATTTGGAGAAAGGAAGATTCAATTTATGTTTGTGAGTAATTTAGTTCCTGTTCATTTATGATTCATTTTTACTAGAAATTTGGGATTTTGGCGCATTTCTTTCAGTATTTTCTGTAATTTCTTCCATTTTTACTCTATTGCTAATTGACTCTCTCTTGTAAAATGCATAGCAAAAAATAGCTGCCATAGGAATTAAGAATAAATTCGAGGAGATATGTATAAGAGGGCCGTAATAAGAGCATGCATCTGATTTTTCTATATTTTTTGCGTCACTTTTGCAACTAAAAGTGATGTCTACATTGCTTATAAATTAAAGTTAAAATTATAAGGCCATAAGCGGATAAACCATGAGCCTGCCTATCTGGCAGCAGAAACAGGGAAACCCTTCAGGGAGAACCAAAAACTTCCCTCTTCAGTAGACATCGCCAAACCCAAAGGCCTGCTTCAAAAAGTGGCAAAGACACTATTTTCAGCTTCATCGGAACAGGTCCTATCTGCTTATCCTCGGAGTCCATCTCTGTTGGGCATCATCATTTATTTCTATTGCTTATAAGGACTCAGGATATTAATGCCAAAAGGTTGAATATTGGAATACAAACTACATAAATATAAGACATTATTGGAAATCCATAATTTTTCCCACGTAAAATATTTATATAAGCTTGCATAAAAAATATGAATGATACCAATGCAAGAGTTTCAAATAAAAAATAAATTTCATTTGCATCAGAAATATCTGTAAAAATTTTGCATGTACGACTGGAAGGATCAATGCTGCAATATTCGAGAGATAAGCATTCCCATTCTAAATGAGGAAAAAGTTCTTCACAATGATTACAATAAAACAGCCCTCCATTCCACGAAATATTTTCATGAAATCGGATTATTCATGTATCATAAAAAGTAGCATATAAAACAGTAAAAAAGGAGATTCCTAGCAGCACCCCTACAACTATCATCCAGCTATGAAATGTTTTGGATTTTATGCAAGCTGTAAGTGATATGCTGTTTTGTATATGCTTTATTTTTCCAACTTTTCACATAATAATTCAGAGAGATGCCAAAGATAAAAAGCAAAAGCTGATATTTATTAGCCCAATAATAGGTCCTTGCTGAAAATATATACCTTTATAATTATAGCTCATGCGCTGTTATGGATTTCTCTATAGATGTCTTTACTCCCCCCCTTCGAAGTTCGACCAAGATATAGGGAAAATTCCTATTTTTTTGGAAAAATTAACCCCCCTCAAAGTTCGACCAAGACCTATATAAATTTACTAGGAAAATATTATTTTTCGATCTTATGAATTAGTTCAAAAGACCAATTGTTTTAAGGGCAGTAGATTAATTAAGGAGAGAGTTAGCTGAATTTTCAATTCTGAAATTAGAGCTCGAAAACTTGACCCCTTCACCACTATAAAAATTTTTCTCAAATGTTTTTTAAATTTTTAATTTAAAATTAATTTTTTAAGAGTTTTTTTTTAAATAATTAACTCTTTAAGCATGGATTGGTGGCGAAGAAACTTGGGGTGATCAATTCCATAAGATCTACAGAAGAATATGATAAATATTTTTTTTTTAACTACTAAATTATGTAAAAAAAATTCTATATAATTTTTTCTTAACCCCCCTCGAAGTTCGACCAAAAAAATCTTGGTCGAACTTCGAGGGGGGGGAGTTAGCTTAGACAATTGAAGTGTCTTAGCATTCGGACTTGAGGAAGAAACCAGATGCTCTTGAGTAGCGAAGACTAAAGTATTTCTAAATTTAAATTAACTAAAGTTAAATAAACTCTATTAAAGAGCAATACTAATTACCAAAAGATTTAATTTTCTAGGATCATGTTCAAGGCCCTTTCTTAATTGGATTAATGGTCCTGCAATTCGAAATATCTGGCTTACTTCCTTAGTGCGAAAGCTAAGACACTTCAATCATCTATTTTAAGCGCATCTATGGAGAAATCCCATACCAGTGTATAAGCTATATATACTAATAGCCATTATTTTACTATAAAAATTTGTTATTTATTTTAAATAAATATAAATCAAAATTATTTTTAAATGTTTCAAAATCAGACCATTCAATAAAAAATCAAATCAATATACCGGATACATGTGTCAGGACCATAAAAACAGCAGACAAGCTCAATACAGCTTTATTCCCATAATATCTTCAATTTAATGCTAATATCAGTTTTTCAATCACAATAAGGCCAAGCACATAAGATATCAAGTCTAAAAAATAAAGCAAAGAGCTGGCCTTAAATCCATAGCTATAAATCATACAATTTGTTGAATTATCAATAGAATCACATACAAATTTCGTAAAGCATTTTCAGGTTCAATTTTCATAGAAACTTGGGCAATTTGTGCATCTTGCCAAGCTCATATTAAACGAAAACTCTTCATTTTCTAAAATAACCCAGCTTTTTTGTGTTAATGATACAAAAATCAGCGATATTGAGGAGGAAAAGAAAATTAATGGAATTCAGAAAAGTTCTCTTGATGGGGTTTGTGTTGGAGAAGCTTTCATTTTTATATCAGAAATAAGCTTATCTTAATAACAGCATTTACTAATATGAATTAATTTATCATTATAACTACTAAAAGAAAGAAGTGCTTTCGATAAATATTTAATATCTAAATAAATCAATTTTTCTTATTATGTTTTTCATATAAGCTACGCTATAAAAATGCTAATATTTACCAAATGGTCTATTCTTATTTATTTTTGGAAGCTTTAGCTAAATTTATCATTATATAGATAAATAATCATAATACTAAAATCGCTCACGTATATAAATTACTTATTGAATTGTAATGATAAATTTATGCAGATCTCCAAAGTTTAGTGATATAACTGAAAAAAAGCCAAATCCAGGCCCTGGATATTATAAGCCATCCTCAATTTATAGAAAAGGCAGTTCTTTTAGCTTTTCTCAATCAGATCGAAGTGTCAGTCTTCTAACAGCCCACGATTTTGAAGATCTCCCAGGCCCAGGGACTTATTCTCCTACACAAAAAGGTGTAAATCATTCGATGTTTGCGTTTAACTCAAACTCTCCCAGATTTCAAGGTGAAAAAGAGCGCAGCCCAGGCCCAGGAACCTATTTAATTGAAGATCAGCCAAAAAATAAGCCTTCACTAAAAACTGTTCATAGGATAACAATTCATCCTGCGCCAGTTCCTGTTTCAATTCCTCTATTAGAAAGGCAAGAAGTTTCAAGATATGATGGACAAGTTTTAAAAGCAAGCCCAGCTGAATACTATTCCAGTTCATACTCCCAGTTAAATTAATTTTTTTAATTAAAATAGTGCTTTATATATATAATTTGGTATATATTTATTAAAAAACAATATGAACTTTGTTTTTTCCTACTTTCCTTAATTTTATATAAAAAAATAAAGTTTTTCTTAATATTTCGAATATTTTTAAAACCCTTTATATAAGACTATCCAAAATTGTCTCAAACCAAACCAAACCTTGGAGTAATTTTATTTGGGAAATCTAAGCATGAAAGAAATTTATGAGACAAAACAAACCCTTTTACCAAAATCCCAAGCAGAGAAAACGTAGGGCCTGGAAAATATGCAGCTGAAAAAGAGAAAGAGAAATCTAAGCTTTCAGAAAGAGATTTTAGCTCAAAGTCACCAAGATTTAAGGTAGCTGACTCAAATCTTCCTGGGCCTGGATATTATGATCCTAATATAGAAGTAGTAAAACCAAGCTCGCATAGTGTAATTGCTAATAAATCGCAGAGAAATATTGATTATGGACCAAAAAGAGAAGGAGTGGAGCCAAAACCGACAAAATTTAAAGCAAAACCAAGACAGCCAAGCCCAATTTTTAAGTCAGGTACAGCAAGAGAGTGCATAAAACCAATAACGAGAACACAAATTGGCCCAGGAACTTATGAAGTAGAAATAGGTGGCTCTTCGTTAAGTTCGTATAGTTTCTCTATGGAATCACGGTTTAAATCAATAAATTCTCGACACGAATCCCCTGGACCTGGGACTTATAATGCCCCTAAAGCAAAAAAGCAAGCCTCCCCAATGAACTGAAAATCTCCAAGATTCCAGCCTACAAGTGACCAATATATACATGTTGTAGGTGATACCAAAACTCCAGGTCCTGGGAATTATACTAGTTTTTCACCTTGGAGTTCTCAAAGGAACCAAGCTGCTCCATTTGGAAGCAAAACTCTTCGAGTTGCAGAATTTTTGGATGGGGCTGAAGAAAACCCTGATCCTGGAATTTATCGTACAGCTGAAAGCTCTCGGAAAAGGGGAGCTACTATTGGCTCTGAGGTTAGATTTAAAGGAGGAATAGGCAGTTATATAAAGGAAACCCAGTATGGCAACCAAGTAGGCCCTGGATCATATTCGCCAAAGCGAAGTCTTTCAAAAAGAACTCATAATATATCATGGCTGAATTAATTCTATAGTAAATGTGTATTACTTTATGCTATTTTTAACAAAATTTTGATTAATAATTATTCTAAATTTCTTATTTTAGTCTATAATAGTTTTTATTATTTAATATAATAGCCATTAATAATCAGAAATCTTATATACTAACAATAATGTCATTAAATATAAAAACAGCCCAATCCCATAAGACCCATCAACTTGCTCTATCAAGTCACGAATCTGTGGAAAAACACTGTTTTGTACACACTCTTCAATGTTTTGCAACTTGGCAAAATTTTTGATTATTATGTCATAATATAAAATATTCTTGTACAGTTCATAGTCCCAATCTTTTACACAAGAAAGGTCAAATCTTTGTATTGTATTGCAATTATGGATTTCTTTGCTATTTACCCATTTTTTCCATAATTTGCGTTTTACTGCTCTTACTGGGTCTGTAGCTACTGATTCACAATAAGAATCCCCATTAGGGCTTAGCCCACAAGAACACTTGTGGTAAAATTGCATATCACCATGTACTACCTCACAGAAATGGTCAGAACAAGGATTTTTTTCAAATCTTTCAATTGAGAGTTCGTCAATACAACGGTAGGAATAGCACATCCCTGATGAGCATTGTTTGGATTCATAATCTATACATGAGTGTATGAATTCTCCAGATTTTAAACTGAAATATTTTGTGCAAGCCCCATTATAGCAAAATTCATCGTTAGGACACTCGTAGTCTTTGAGGCATTTTTCACTGTGGGAGATCTTTTTACGGCATGAGCCTTTGTAGCACATGAGTTCGCTGTCACATTCTATTTCAGAATGGCAATTCTCGAACTCTTTTTTTCCCCTGCAAACCCCATCAATACAGTCCCACAAACATTTCTGCTCACTATCACATTTATTTCCTGGAAATGCTAAAACTTTGCTGCTTTTTACGCATTTTCTTATTGTGGGATCGCAGGATTGGCCTTCAGGACATGGTTTAATTATAAAATCAGGCCCATTCACAATAGCGCACTCATCTTCTGCTTTAGATTCATCGTGACAACGATAAATTGGACACTCTGTTTCAATTTGCTGTGACTGGATGAGGATGAGAGTGCATGTGAGAATTATCCCTTTTTGCATTATTTTTGTATTTTTTGTCACCAGTTGAAAAAATGAGAAAATCTGATTTGAACTGAGACTTTAAAAATGAATTATTGTTGGTGTCTTAATTGCAAGATAAGCAAGATTTGCCAATAAAAAGCTGATATTTTTATAATTTAAAGAATTCAGGAGTTAATAGATATGCTAACTGTCCTTTTAAATAGAAACAAAATATTGATAAAATTTCAAATTTTTGGGTATATTAACCCCCTTTTAAATTGGAACTAAATTTTAAATTATAAATTTATAGGTATTTCATAAAATTTGTTTTATAGAGAAAAAATAACCCCCTTTAAATTGGAAATCAATTTTTTTCTAGCTTAAAAGGGAGTAAGGTCAAAAATTAAATTAAGCAGTAAGGAAAAGTGAATGATCTTTGAGTTATAAAGATAAAAATAATTAAAATTATTATTTAGATTAAAAATGGGAGCATGGAATGACGTCATAGTAATTCAGTATTATATTTATAATTTGCTATATCTATATCAATTATCCTATTTTTACGTTAATAAAAATTCATGATTATATATGGGCGAAGTAGCAATTTGTAATGCAGGCTGGATTGCGTCTCTGTAAATAATAAGACTGCTATGAGATCTCTTGCAATGCTTTTTTAAATGCAATATGTTGACTCTTACTCCCCCCTGTGAGTAAATAAAGCCATTGGAAATCCCTTTTTCCCTAAAACTCACCTCTTTGAAAATTTTAACATAAAATTTTCAATGAAAAAGCATTTCGATATATAGTTAATAATTATTATAATTAAATCTTTGGCTAATTCTGTTTAATTTCAAACACTTGCATTTTAAAACATGGATTTTGCAAATTAAATTACTTTTACCTATAAAATTTATAAAAAAAAAATTAAGAATGAGTGAACAAAATTGTTATTATTCTTTCACGCAGGGGTTAGCTAAGAAGCGAATTTAGCAGTTTATAATACTTATATTTAATTTTTTAAATCTATATAAATCCTCAGTATAAAAAGAAAATATCATAAAATGAGTAATTTATTTTTCATCTTTTAATAAATATCATATAAAATTTTAATTTTTCAAATATGTCCAAATTAATGACGATTTGTAGAATACGTCATCGAGTTAAGAAAGCACTATAGATTATCTATATCTTAAATCATAAGAAAAGCATAATGAAAATTTAATATTCACTATTTCTTCCAATCCACAAATACAAATTATATTTAATTATATTTTATTTTAATTAATTTTGAAATTTCACACAAATTCCAATATTTCAATAAATTAATTCCCTACTGATAATTGCTCCATATTGCACTTATTTTATTGACCATGGCATAGTTATCTACTTATGACGCAAGCGTAATAATTCTGATAAAAATGAAAATCCCTAAGGAGAGAATAGGTCCACTTGACAAAGATCATGAGTTTCTACGGGACAACGATTTTATCCATCAAGGCTACCGCTTACACTTCAGCTCCCCAAAACGAATTCTAAAAAGCTTGTTTATGATTCACAATGAGTCAGTCAATGTTTGGACCCACTTGCTTGGGGTGATACTATTTATCATGTTTATTTACTACACAGTTGTATGACTTGGATTAACCTCAAACCCCATATGCATAAAATGAGGTGACAAACGACCGTTCTTCCTGTGACGAGTGCCCTTATGAATTCTGTGCATAGATTTTTGGTGCCAAGGGTTAGGGAAGCCTTGAGGCAAGAGATTCAGTACTTTTTCTGCTGATGAAGAGGCCTGGCTTGAGAGTTAGTTTTTGCCTCTTTTTACTAGCAGTTCCCAGATCCAGCTTGGGTGTCCTATAGAGGCAGGACAATTTAATTGCTTAGGTGATTTGTGGCTTGTCCTGAATGGTGCAAGATGCTAAGTTTTTCTAGGCGATAATACAGAGAAAAAGGGGAAGACAGCAGTGTAAGACTTAAAGGCCACTGTCTCTCTCTATTGAAAAGGGTCCCGTGCAAGGGGGCAATCGGTTTTGCTAAGTAGGGTTGGGTGTTACTGACGCTTGGTCTGAAAGTTGGTGCGGAACCATTATGGTATACCGAGAAACAGAGAGTTTCTGTCAGAGCTCAAGATGTTTTAAGGGAGCCCGCAGCAATGCTATAGAACACAATTTCTAATGAACTAGGGACTCAAAAATGTTTATATAATCTAATCAAGCTTCAAACTCCAAGCCTGAATTGCTCGAAGACCTTAAAACAACCATTCTAAATAGTTACCAAGCCAGCGTTTCTACCATAAACGAAATCGGATCAATTGCATATCAATACGAGCAACAATTGCAAATAAAACTTACCGATTTTTTGCAAGAAGCCCAACATTATGGAGAAAAGCTCGAACACAAAATATTAAGCATATATTCTGATTTACAGTCTCTGAATGGTACTGAAAAATTTCACCCTCTAAAAGAAAAAATATCTAAATTAGTTAGATTAATTGACAGTAAAGAATTGGACTGGATTGATATTTATAACCCATACCCAGAGTTTGCTATTAAGCATCAGCTTTCAAGATGGCCAGTCGTGATTTTCCTTGCCAGTGCCATCATATGTCTAGGCTGCTCTTCAATTTACCATCTCTGGAAGGATTATTCTAATAATCTTTGTCGTACATTAGCAAGGCTAGACTATGCTGGGATTTCTTTTTTAATTGCTGGATCTTTTTTCCCTGCGATTTATTATCCGTTTTATTGTCATCAAGGTAAAAAGTATATAGAATATATAACGTTTTATTTGACTGGAATTTCTCTAGCAAGTTTAATAGTGTTTGTAGTTGCGATGATGCCCAAATTCCAGATTGCAGAGCTAAGGTGGTTTAGAGGGACCATTTTTTTGGTATTGGGGCTGCTTGGGGTTATACCTTCAGTTCATTTGGTTTACTCGTAAAAATTATGTAGGGACCAGGCAGAGTATTTTTTGACAGCCTTTGCGTGCTATTTGATGATGGCTGCTAGTTATATTGTAGGGGTGCTTATTTATATCGCAAGATTCCCAGAAAGGCTTTATCCAGGAAAGTTTGACTTTTGTGGGAACTCCCATAACATTTGGCATTGCTTTGTAGTTGCAGCTGCAGTTTGGCATTACGTTGGATCCCTTCAAGCTTATCACATCAGAGCTAATATGATGGTATGTCCTCATTAAAGTAAGAAGTCTGGCTATTTTTAACTTATTATTCGCTTAGTTTAAATAGCAATTTTATTCGTTACTGGATAATAAAGTACATAAACGTTTAAAAAATGAACAAATACACTGACAGATCAAGACCCCAAACTACACGCTCTTTAGTAAAAAGGCCACAAACCAGCTCAGCTGGGTCTTTATCATCACGTGCTGCAACAGCTTCGACGCTTTTTAGGCCCAAGCTTTTAATAGATAATCTTATTCAGACAATTGATAAGCCATCAATGACAAATAGGTTTAATTTATTGCATGATAATCATTGAGAAAAATTAGATGAATTCGAGCATATGAAACCAGACGATTCACAATACCAAGTTGAGCTTTATTTTCCAAAAAAACCGCTCACAAGTGATATATGTGGCTTAACATTAAGAGAAAATGAGAGACTTTCAAGAAAATCGCTTTCAGTTAGCAGCACTCCAATTATAGGGAACGATGAATTTATGATTAATGAAAAAACACATAGAAGGCTACCTTCAGAACAGGATTTTACAAAAATTTTAAATAGGCTGGAAATGGTTATTTCGAATAAAAATTTAGGAAATAGAAGAATGGAGCTTGTAGAAGGGGAACGCTTTGATGATTATTTAGAAATTGGAGAAAGTCATTATTTTCGGGTAAGTGTATTGTTCATGGACCTTTATGGATAGATCTTGTTGAAAATGTAACCGCTATAATGGACTTCACATTTTGAGCATCTTAGACCAGACCCCTCACTATTTAGAGAAATATTCAGTTCTTAATAAAAAAGTTTGAGAGCTTTAAATTAGTTCAATATAGTTTTATATAATTGTTTTTAAAAATATTTCTAATAATTAGCATAAAAGCTCGGCAAAATAAAGATATATTTATATTTAAAATGGCTATTCTCTCTTTATGCTTGGAAAGTGGTAATTTCGCGCGAAAATGACTAGTCAAAAATTTTGACAAGTGTGAACTTTTGACAATTAAACGAGTTTAAAATGGGGATTAATATAAAAATAAATTTATGACCCTTTTAGACTAAAAATTATCAGTATCTTATATATTTTTTCCGTTTTCAATAGAATTAGGTTCCAACAAGTATATGAAGTTACATTCTAAGTCCATAATCACAAATAAGGGTATTTTTTCTAAGAGAGTATAACCATTTTAGTTTATGCAAATATTATAAAAATTAAGATTTAATTTAAGAAATAAGTTTTATAGCAAGTTTTAAATACTTAAAATATGAGGACCGCATAAGGTGATGATATAACCAAAAAAAATAAAAAAAATCAAAATGTACGCTTGTCCAGAAAGCAGAAATTAAGCTACAAACAATTGCTATCATCGCTTAAAAAATATAAAGTTCCAGATATTCCTCATAAGGCGAAATAACAATTTTAATTTTTGTCATGGCTTAAGAAAATCAAGATAGAGATATAATGAACAAAAAAATTTAGTATGTGCTTGTCCAGAAAGTGGAAATTAATGCTACAAATAATTATAATTATTTCGAGAACTATCCTAAATTAAAATTATTTTTATATTAATCCCCATTTTAAAAATTGGTTCGTTTAATTGTCAAAATATTTCACACTTGTCAACATTTTTGGCAAGTCATTTTTAATTCCCGTATTTGGGCCAAGCCATTTTCCCGCGAAATTAATGCTTTTCAAGTGTAAAGAGAGAAGATCCACTTTAAATATAAATATATCTTTATTTTGCCGAGTTCCATACTAATTATTATAAATATTTTTAAAAGTATTAAAAAGCAATTATATAAAAAAAAACTATACTGAGCTAGTTTAAAGCTTCAAATTTTTTTTATTAAGAACTGAATATTTCTCTAATTAGTGAGGGGTCTGGTCTAAGATACACAAGAGAGCGGTTACATTTTCAATGATGTCAATCTATAAAGGTTCATGAGCTATAAAAGGGAAAAAATGTCCTATGAGGGTGATAATAAAATGTGCCAAAGGAAAAGTGAAAACTTTTGTCTCAAGAACTGCAATTATGCCAAGCGAAGCTACGTATGACCAAGCTTCAAAGTCTTATAATTTTGAAGTTTCTGACCCTGGATTAAGATTCAGAGCTGAAACTATAAATTTAGGGATTTATGCAGTTTTTGACTCAAATTATTCAATTATTATTGCTTTTGGACGAGAAAACGAGCACAAATCCACCCAAAACAGATATGACCCTAAAGACAATGACGAAGCATACCAGAGTGAAATAGCCAAAATAATGGAAATGGACTTAGAAAAGCACAGAGCACAATACACCCAAAAAAAAACAATTAAAGGAATATTAGGAGTCTCCGCAAAGCCTTTGACTTGAGAAATCAGACATAAGCAGACAATCGAAAGAAAAAAGAAATTTTTATTAGAAAAAAGAAAAAAAGCTGAAATGATGATAATTAGAAATGAAATAAAGCGAGCAGAAGAAAGAAAACAAAGGGAATACAAAGAAGCTGAAGCTATTTTGCAAGCCCAGCAAAAACTTTGGATTGTATTAATAAAATTCGTGCAGGGGCTTGAAACCTTAAACGAAAGAAAAAGAAAAGAAAGATCTAAGACTTTATCAAAATTAAAAGAAAATGGGTCTGCAAGGAAAATTCAGATGTTTTATAGAAAAAAAAAGCAAAATGTGACCTCAAATGATATCAATTTATTGAGAGCTGGCCCATTGTTGAAGCTTTATTCGCATAATATAAAAATAATAATAAACAGAGACGTAAAAGAGAAATTATTGAAGCTGATAAAACAGAGTGCCAGGATGAGAGATATTCCCACGCATTTTAATGATTATTATTTATGTGCTGTAAAAATCCAGAAAGCATGAGCCCTTTATGTAAAAAAGAAAAACGAAAGATGAAGCTTGCTTATTGAGCTGTGAAATCAAGGCATGCAAATTTATATTAATTCACAAGTAAAGCCGAAATCTGGAAAAGGAAAAGGGAAAGGAAATTCCCAGCCTAAAGTGCCGAGCATTCCAGATATACAAAGAGATAGAATTTTAACTGAATTCATTAGAGAATGCAAAAGAAAATACTTTAAAGAACTCGATAAATTTTATGAAAGCAAAGGATATTTGCTTAATTTAGCTGCAGGAGCTTTGCAGTCTCAAGAAAGCCCTAAAAGGGTAAAAAAAGAATACCCTCCAAGTTTTGTATTTAGCCCTAATCTTGACGATATTGCGAAATTAATTGAAAAAGCTATAAAACTACAAGTAAATTAATAAAATAAATAAAATTTCAATAAATCATGGCAGGATGGTCACCTCTTAACTTTAAATTACTTGAAGAAGCCGAAAATAACTTAATTCAGCTATCAGGGATTGAAATAGAAAAAACTAGGATTTCTATTGATGAAAACCATTCTGTATATTGCCTCATCTGTGGAAATTCGGAAAATCCTCCAATGATGCTATTGCATGGGTATTTAGGTGAAGCATAATGTTCTTTAAAATTTTGAAATTTCTTACTGAGCACTATCGAATTTATTGTTTGGATCTTATCGGGATGGGGAGATCAAGCAGACCAGTTTTTAAGGCTAACGGATATAGCGAATGTGAGTCTTTTTTTATTATTCCAATTGAAATCTGTAGAGAGTATCTTGGAATAGAAAAAATGATATTAGCAGGGCATTCGTTTGGAGGGTATATAGCAGGGTGTTATGCAGAAGCCTACCCACAAAGAGTAGAAAAATTAATTATGATATCTCCTGCTGGCATTTCTAAGCCGACAGAGGAGTATGACTTTGAAAGGTTTCTTGAGTCTAAGAATTGATTTGTGAGAATTTTGATTAAATCAGGAAGATATTTGTTTAATAGAAATGTTAACCCTGCTACTTTATTGAGAAAAATAGGACCTTTTGGAGGAAGATTTATTAAAAATTATCTTAAAAGAAGAATTATTGGGCTTACTAAAATTGAAAGGAAATACTTACTCCCCTTTCGTGAGTGAATGAAAAATTTTTATCAGAGAAGATTTATATATAAATTTTATAATAAATTTTTTTTCGAAATTTAAAACAATCCTAATTCGCAAAAATTGAGAAGTAAAAATTAATTTAACTTGCAAAATTTTGTTTTAGAACGCACGCAAGCTGTTTAATATTAAACAGAATAGCTAGAGATTTCATTAAATAACATAATTATATATCAAAATATTATTTCCGTAAAAATTTTTATATTGAAAAATTTCCGTTTTACTCATGGAAGGTATTTTTACCCAAAAAATAGGGGTTTTTCAAATGGTTTTGTTCACTCACGAGGGAGGTTAAAAATTTATTTCGAACAAGTGAATTTGTGCCCTGGAAGCGGAGAATACGCATTACCAAAAATTATGAAAGAACTGTTGTATCCCCATGCACCTCTCTGTGATAGGCTAAAAAATATTCCAATTGTGTTTCTTTTTGGAGATCAGGACTGGATGAGCTCTCAAGGAGCTCATCAAAATAAAGAAGTAAACCAATCAAACGTTATCATTGAGACTGTTTCAAACGCTGGACATCAACTATATTTAGATAATCCTAAAGAAACAGCTGAAAAGATCATAGCCGGAATATCTAAGCTTTCTGAGCCAAAAACATAATGATTGGCTTTTTTACTAATTGTAATAGCCAGCAATCTTTAAAATTGCTTTAATTATTTCTAATTTCAATTTCAGTTATTTTTCTTTATTTATCAAAAAAATAGTATTCTATATCTATCAGTATATATAAAATTCATCTTCTAGTCTCATAAACTCCTAAAATATAATAAAATTACAAAAAATAATAAAATTCAATATGAATTGCTGCTTGCCAACTGGACTAGGACCAAACCCATCTCAAGAAGCCACCAAGCTATTCAAAATTCTCAAGCTTATCATCATAATTCAGATCACTTTAGCTATTTTTCAATTCTTTGCAGACGTTTGGAATGGGATTATGATGCTTATTGGAGCATTAATACTTTTTCTTGCAATCAGAAATTCTAATTGATGCTCATGTGTGGTTTATATTGTATTGACACTGATGGACTTATTTTCTAGCATTAATTTCTGTGGAGAAGTCTTATTCACTAGCCAATACTCAATAACAGCAGAATCTGGGTTTATTTATTTCTTTATTTTAATAAAGCTGCCTTTTTATATTGTCAGCTTATATTACACATTTTTGTCATATAAAGAGCTCAAAGGTAAATTTTAAATAGCTTTATTTTTAACCAGCCAAGGAGGAGGCCAATCATATGAGCTGGAATCAGGCTGAAATTTCGCTCAAAATTCCAATAATCAGAGAAACGAGCAACAATTTTTTTCTGGACAAGGCTATAGATTAGGGTAATTGACATTATACGGATATTATAATTATTAGCTTCAAAATTTAAAAAATGTCTTCTACCAAAATTTCGTTGGGTTTTAAAAGATCTTTGAGATGATCAATATGGATTTGCATTTTCTTTAATCTGCCATCCACTTCTTTATTAGGCTTTTTCAGCTTTTCTATCTCAGCCATCAGCTCATTATTATTTATTTTTAGACAGTCATTGTCCAGCTTCAGTTTTGTATATTTCACTTGCAAAATCTCTAGCTTGGCTGACGTGTTTTCATTTTTTTCAGTGCATAAATCACTTTCTTGTTTAAATTTAAATACTTCTCTATCACTTTTGCTTCTTTCCTCATAGAGTTTTTGTTTTAGGTTTTTAACTCTTTCTTTAAGTTCTTCATTTTCTATTTCAACCCTAGTTTTTTCTTGAAAAACTTTTTCATTATTTGTAGACGATCCATGTTTTGTGAACTTTTTTAAATCATTTACAATGTTTTCATAGTCACATATTATTGAAATAGCATTTTGGATTTCTGAGTCTAAAACAGATGAAGAAATCAGCAAATTTTGGATGTGCTCTTCTTTTGATCTGTTTTCTTTTAAACAGTTTTCTAATCTTTTCATTAATTCACCGATTTCTCCTTTTAGCTCTTCAACTGTACTATGCATATTTTTTAACTCAATTTTGCAATAGTCATGTGTGATGTCAGAGATTGTTTCAATGTTTGACAAATCTAGTTTATTCGTAGACTTTGGGGCTTCTAGTATGTTATTTCTAAACTCAAGCTCTTCTTTAAGCTTCTTTTCAAGGTCTTTTGCAAGTTCTAAAATATTATTAATGGTTGTGTTCCTGACTTCTGATTTTTCAGTCTCAGAATTTTTACCCTGCTTTAAGATAGCATTTTCTAGCTTAGCCTTATCCAGCTCTTTTCTGATATTCTGCACATCAAAAGCCTCGTCACTGCTTGGATTTTCCAAATCTTTCATTATTTCTTTTTTAGCAATCTCCAGTCTATTTTGCAGCTCCTTTACTTTCTTAATTGACTGATTCGGATTCATCAGCGTCTCTAATAGCGAAATCAAATTTTTACAGGTAAATAAAGCATCTTGTATAGATAGCGTGCTTAGTTGTGTCATACTTGTATGCAAGTTTTGGTTGGGAGGAGGCTGCTCAAACTCTGAGTCAGAAACTCTTGCATCAGAGTTGTTTGATTTAAGCTGCTCTTCAAGCTTAAAAATTTGCTCAATATAAGTTTCTTCTCTGCTTGAAAATTCTTTTTCTAATGAAGAATATTGGATTTGGAGATTTTGAAGCTCCTCTTCAATTTTGTCAATTTTTGAGCTTTTTGATGATATTCTGTGCTGAATTAAGCTAAAAATTGTGATTTTTAAATGAAAAATGGTATAAATTAATCAAAAAATGATAGTTTTTGGTTTTCTGACTGAAGAGATGCAAGCTTGTCGTTCAGGTCTTTTATCGTCGCTTTATATTTTTCCATGTCATCTGTTAGTGATGAAACTGTTTTTTCGTGAATTTCTTCTGCTTTTGCAAGCTGCCTACAAAAATCAGGAGAAATAAATTGATCGGCGTTTTCAAGCCTGTCTCTTCTTGTAAGTCTTTCTGGAGAATCCATGGCAAATTTAAGCTGCTCCAGCTGCCTATCTTTTTCTTCCAAGCTTAATTTAGATTTTTCCATGTTATTTCTGATAATTATCATAGTGTTTCTCATTTCTTCTTGTTTTTGCTTATAAAGCCTTATCCTTTCCTCTGACAAGTCAAATTTCGACTTATATTCTTCCACTTTCGCCCTTAAATCATTATTTATTTGTTGTAGGTGATAAATCATTGAGTTTTTAGCTGCCAATTGTTCTTTATACTGCCCCACAGCTGACAAATTTTCTTCATTTTGTGCTTTAAGCCTTTTGATTTCTTCATTTTTCATCAATACTTCATCATTTTCCCCTCTTTTAGTAGCCATAGGCTCATTGTAATTTTTCCCTTCCCTTGCCATTGCATTTTGAAGTAACTTGATTTGCAATAAATGGCTTTCTTTTTCTTCATATAATAAATTTTCCATTTTTTCGATTTGGTCTTTTAAGGACTGTTCTCGATAAATTCTTCTTTCTCGGTCCAGTTCGAGTCTTTCCCTTTCTGATTTAAGTTCATTATAGGCTTGCTCTAACTGTCTAATTGATTCACTTGTAGACCTTTCTTTTCGCTCTGGGCTTAGGCTGTATCTGTCAGTTTTATTAGCCCAGCTTTCTCTGATTCTTTCAATTTGCCCCTTGAGGGAATTATTTTCAAATTGTTTGGAATTTTTGAAGTCCTGGCTGGTCTTGGCAGGGTCACTTTAAAGTTAAAATTAATTTGGTCATCAATGCCGAGCTTTTTACTTGTCTAGGTCAAAAAAGCCAGCTTCAGAGTGTAAATTAGGAAAATGGAAGGCTGGCCTCTTGAAGATTCGGTCTGAATCACCTATTCAGGGCAGAGCCACTGTAAAGTGCTCCGATGGTCCCGATAAGGTAAGATTACATGGTAGGCAAAACCTGTCAAGCCTATCTGGCAGGGACAGGAAAACCTTTAGAGGAGAAATAAAACACCCCTATTCCAGCAGGCTTCACTTTGAGATTGTCTACTTTGCTCACTCGAAATTCTTTCACCATCCTTCGTGCCGATTCGCCGCTCCATCAGGAGGTGCGCCTCGGAGTCCAATTCTGTGTGACCATTTTGGCAGGGTCAGGAATTTCTTCAATTTTTGCCTTTAGACGGTTGATTAATGGCTTTTTTTCTTCATCAGGACTTTTAGACTCTGCAATTTCTCTCATTTTGCTTGTAAAATTCAATAAAGTGATAGTGTCTTTTAGAAGCTCTTGAACTGGGTAAATGCAGCATATAATAATAGCTTGGCTTGGGTTAAAAGGATTATACACATCCAATGTATTTCTTAAATAAGAAGTCAGGGCATTATCATACCAATTTCCAGTAGTTTTTTTCAGAATATTCGCTAGTGAATTAAAAGCACTTGAAATAGACTTGTCGCCTTTTGCATATTCTGATGCAGCTAGCTCTACAAAGTCTCCTTGGGAAATTAAAGAGTTTTGCTTATAAACCCTCATAGTAACGATAAAATGCAGCTTTTCTTTAAGTTCTTTGCCAATTTGTTTTCTGTGTTTTAAGGCTTGATGCAAAATAGCATGCAAATCGGTAATTTTTTTGATAGTGACTTCACTACGGTCTTGAGTGTTTGTAATTAAGTCAAAAATTCTTTCACCACAGACCGCGATGACTGATACTTTAACGTCATATGTATTTTCCTTTTTTTTAGTTAACGATAATAGCATTTCAGCACTTCTGAGGACCAGCCCTCTCCGCTTGCCTTCACCGCCTCGCATAGTAAAGCTTTTTCCAGACCCTGAGGTCCCAAAAACTATCAAGCTCAGACTTCTCCCCGCTAATAAATCACTAATCGCGTTTTCTATTCACGCTGAAAAAATTTGACTCTGTGAGTCATCTTGCTGTATTATTCCATCAAATCTGACATGTAAAGAATCAGTAGGCTGGATTTGAAAAGCATGCGGAGAAATCCTTTCTCTTCGATCTTGATCTGTGCTGTCTCTTTTCGATATAATTACAGTTTTTCCATCATGATATGGCAATATACAGCTTGGCTGTTCTAAACGGCTCCTGCCAAATGACAGTGAATTTTTGATAGTGTATATTTCATCGAAATGCATTTGGTCGAAAATTAACATTTTTTGGGTCAAATGTCTCACTATCAAAAGGTTTCAACCAATTTTCGGCTGAAAATACTTCGGTGAAATTATCGGACCTGAACCCGTTCTACACAAGGGCGAAATCTGCAAAGCACTTTAAAATTCCTATCTTCTTCAATCATTTTATGCCATTTCTTATAATTTTTAATAAATTGATTTATTTTTAAAAAAAAGAAAATATACTAAAATTAGTATAAACTAATAAATGGCAGATTCCTAAAACAGCAAAAACCATATTATTACTTTTAATTTTTTTAGAGAAATCTTGCTTATTCAACCGCATAACTGCTTGATCGATGTCTTCCTTCAGGAGTCTCACACTGTCTAATTTCCTTAATCTTCTTTTGGATCGCTTGGTCCATAAATGCTTCAATATAATAGAACAGTTTTTGGTTGAAAGCTTCTGACTCTATTTCTTTAGGCTTTTCTTCAGTCTTCTTCGGCTTGATTTTCGTGATAAAAGGCAAAGAAAGGCTTCTACCGTTTGAATCTTTAAAAGAAAGGTTAAGGTCTTCATCACTGTCTTCTTCTTCTGATGAAGACATCTCAGAAATCGTTAAGACGACGTCATATTGAGTATCCGAGGCATCAGTCTCAGTATTTTGGGGGGAGTATTGGGAAGTAGGAGAGAGCTGGGAGGACTCTAAAAGGCATTCACATGAGGAAAACGCACGTTGGCGTCCTGGAAGTTTCCGTGGGGTAGTTCTAGGGGATAAGGTGTGCTCTAAAAAGAGACGGCTTGATAATGAGTTGTTCATTGTCTTATAGACTTGGAAAGCTTTTTCTAAGACTTTTTCTATAATAGAAGGAGTGTCGTCGTATCCATTGCGATATAGCATGGAGCCGATGTTGTAGAGAGACAGCCCTGCATGTGCACCTTTTTTAAGCAAAGTAGAAGAAATCCTCATGTTTCTTAAACAAATGTCTCTGAAGGGCATAGTATCTTTGAGCATGCTGATATCGTAGAAAGGGTCAATACTTTGTATGTAATCCATACATTTAGGAGTGATCGGGTTTTTAGCCTGCATCCATGACATCCAGCAGAGGTCGTATTCAGAAATATCTAAAGTGTCAGGAATGGAAAGGCCGTGGTCTATAGGAATTAAATGATAATCATTGTCTTTTACCATCCTTTTTCATATGAAACCAAAAACTATTGTTTTTAATAATAAAATATCCACATTTTGTTTTAAAAGAATAAAATGTTTGCCTCATTTCTGTCCATATTCAGGATCCTTATATCTAAAATTGCGATTTTTTGGACTTCTTCTTTAGAAAACATAGAGTGCGAAAAATCTTCGACGCAGCCTTTACTTTTGATAAACTCCTGCAAGGAGCCTTTTTTAGGAAAATGATGGCTATTTGGGGTGTAGCAAAAACTGTCATGTTGAGCTTCAACAAGTGTAGTTGCAGGGACCCCTGAAAAGCCTTCAAAATCCAAAAGATACGCAGCTACCTCTCTATATCCGCCTTCTCCAGAGAGGACGCCAGTTCGAAATCCTGGATTTCCCATCTTCCCTGAGTGTCCACGAGGGTTATTTGGGGCAAAAGCTTCTTCGTCTAAAGGTTTAAAAATAGCGCGAATATCCCTATATGTATTTCGTAAAAAATAAGTCCCACCAGTTCCGTCCATAGTCAGATTTGGAGCCAAGCCAAGTGCTAAGCCTCTGTTTACGTCTTCGATGAGCTGAGATAAGGAATTAGTGACGATCAGGCCTGGGCATTTCCTGATGAATGACCCAGCGAATTGTTTGAACTCGACAACGATGACTCGATTGTTGTGCTGCTCGTCAAAAATATGATAATCTTCCAAAAGTCTTGAATTTGACAGCTCAATGTGCCCATGAAACAAACGCTGCTGTTGTGCAGGAACTCCGAATAATCGAACTATTTCTTGTTTGAGCTCTGATACCGAAGTTCATTGGAAAATTGTAAGTTGCTTGTAAGCTCCAGCGACTTCAATGCCAAGATGACACCTACGTACTCTCTTCTCTGCTCGGCGCTGAGATGAGTACGACATTTTAATTTCGGTTTATCAGATTTAAGGGGATTTGACGGATTTTGAAAGCATTTTTAGTTCTGTTCTGGAAATAGGAATATGATGGATATAATAGGGAATATAAATTTTTTAAAAAATTTATGCAGGTTTATTTGTAGTCTAAATTTTTTAAGTTCTATTTGAAAAGTGATAGCAAATCAAAGAATATAGGCTATAAATTATTTATTTAACTTAAATTCTATATTTAATGTTCAAATTTTAACCAAAAAAAGAATAACAATAAAATAGAGAAAAAACAAATTCAATTCTTAATATTGGAAAATCAAAATTAAATAAAAAATCAAACAAAAATATCAGGTTTAAATTGATTCCAATTGGATAATCTATCACTAGTAATAGAAAATTTATGAGCTATATGTATTTCTAGACTTCAATAAATGCAAAATTTTTTATAATTTTTAAAAACCATTGAAATTAAATCTAAGTTAAATGATTTAAATCATTTAGTTGGCTTTTTCTTTGCATAAATTAAATCTCTTTCAATATATATTGATTTAAAATAATAGCAACTGATTTCTAGTCAAACATGCAGAAGTTTCCATATTGGACGATTAAATTAGCACATTAAGGTAAATAGGACTAGAATTACAAGTAGAACATGAACCACAAGCTAAATAAAATTACCCTGCTAAGTGATTCATCTTCCTGCAAAATGACCATTTTAATCTTAATTTTTAAGACTATAATTTGAGCTTTTGGTTGAGCTCACAGTGTCTTATCTTATTTAATTAAAAACAAGGTGCGTTAGCACTAAAAGTTAAAGAAATGACTAAAAAGCTCAGACCAGAAATAATAGATAAAGCATGGCATATATTGGTAAATCTTCACTTTATAATACTGAAATTTATAAATTGCTGTGTGATATTTATTATGACTAAAGACAAATCGAATGGAGGGTATGCAGCTACCAACTCTCTTCTTCCCCTTCAATCTCCATAGTTTCAGCTCCAGTTATTTCATAATCTTCCATGAGGCAAGCTATCTTCTATTTCTTAAATATATCTTATGATACTATACAATTATAATTATTTCAATTATTAAAAAATTTCTATATATTATAATTTCCATAAATCTTCTCTTGCTTCTGTGAAATCTCTGCTTGACATATTTTCATAGGAATACCAATGGACGAAAGCTCTTTTAGCGAACATTAAATCGAACTCATGGCTAATCCTAGAGAAAACTTCAGAAATAGCAGTTGAGTTACTGATCATACAAGCAGCTCTCATTATTTTAGCTAAGTCATCATCCTTAACAGCAGCTGGCGGCTGATAATTAATTCCACATTTGAATCCAGTTGGACACCAATCAACAAATTGAACTGTACTCTTGGTCTTAATGGTAGCAACAGCTGCATTGACTTCTTTTGGAGTTACATCTCCCCTATACATCATGCAGCAGGCTATATATTTCCCAGTTCTAGGGTCACACTTAGCCATCATAGAAGCGGGCTCAAAAGCACTATTGGTAATTTCTGCCACAGAGAGTTGCTCATGGTAAGTTTTCTCAGCTGAAATAATTGGAGCATAAGAAGAAAGCAAGAAGCTAATTCTTGGGTATGGAACCAAGTTAGTCTGAAATTCAGTAACATCAACGTTCAAGGAACTGTCAAATCTGAGTGAAGCAGTCAGAGAAGAAATGACTTGGGCAATAATTCTATTCAAATTATTATACGTTATTTGCTCTATATTAAGTTGTTTTGCGCAGATATCATAAATAGCTTCGTTATCAAGAACAACAGTAGCCTCAATTTCACTAATAATAGAATGAGTCGATAAAACAGCATTGTATGGCTCAACAGATGAAACTGAGATTTGAGGAGATGGGTAGACATAGAAGCCAATTCTTGGTTTCTTGCCATAATCGCGTCGAAGATTTCAAAGGAGACGCATTCCAAAGCCTGAGCCTGTACCTCCGCCAACTGAGTGGAAAAGTAAGAAACCTTGAAGACTCTCACAATTATCTGCGAGTTTTCTAATCCTGTCCATGCAAAGGTCTTCCAAATCACGCTCCAAGTTTCACCTCCCACGATAATAGATGCTAGAAGTGTCTTCTTTTCCAGAAATGAGCTGCTCAGGGTTAAATAGCTGATTATAGGCACCTGTTCTGACTTTATCAATAACAGCTGACTCAGAGTCAAAGAAGACAGTGCGAGGAACGAACTTGCCAGCGTTAGTTTCGCTAAAAAAAGTCTTAAAAGCATCATCTTCTCCTATATCTTTGTCGCCTGATAATTGCCCATCTGGTTGAATGCCGTGCTCAAGGCAGTAAAGTTCTCAGCAAGCATTTCCGATTTGGATTCCTGCTTGCCCGATATGAAGCGATATAACTTCTCTCATATTACTCCTATTTAATTCCAAATTGCCACCATATTACTGTTAGCAGATAATCCTGATTTACTATTCGAAGAATAGGTTTGCTACAGAATAAAAAATTTACTAGTTATTTAGGGAAGATTAGGAATAGCCCAAGCAATATTTTACTCAGACTATTATTGTGTTTTAAAAGATGCTTTAATTAAAAAATGAGCATTCGACAACGAAGATTTTGTGTCTCTTATTAGGAAAAACTAAGCAGCTAACAAATATAGGGTTTGACCCTCAATAGCCCGATAAGAGCAAATAATTCCCTGCGGAATTATCTGCCCTTATCGGCTGTTGAGGGCCAAAACCCTATATAATTTGAATAAAGCTGTTTCATGCGGGAAGGGTGGCTATTGATGCTGAATATATTTAAAATAAGTAATAGAATAAATTGAGCAGAATTCAATTAATTTGATGCTTTTAAATTAAAAATTGAGGACATCATCGATAATCATATTAAATATACAAGCATAAATCTTTATATCGACATATAAATTTTTCCCAAGTAAATTATTTCCTGAATAAACAAAATTCCAATTTTCCAATTTATATACTACTTTTAAATAAAAGAAGAAATATCTTTTATATTTGAGCGATATGATTGCAAAACAAATATTATACTTGGAATATGGTAATTCATCAATTAGCAAATTCAATATTAATTTAATAGAACTTCAGTAGAATATCTCAAGCGAAATAGGTGCACTCGCTATTTTACGAGCTTTCTAATAACTAATGCATAAAGAATTTATTATGAGCTCTAGAAAGTATTTACTGATAAGTCGTCTTGCCATTTGAAAGATTGCTTGAGGTACGAGTTTAGCTTACACATCGCTGTTTACTATAATCGTATTATCCATATATTATTGAATGCCGATCAAAAACGCTTTTTATATGAATAATAATTTAAAATAAAAACAACTGATTTCTAGTCAAACCTGCAGAAATTTCCATCTTGGACGATTAAATTAGCACATTCAAGGGAAATAGGATGAGCAGTGCAAGTAGAACATGAATCAAAGCTGAATAAAAATAGCTCTATTAAGTGATCTCCATCTTCCTGCAAATTGACAATTTTAATTGTAATTTTGAGACTATAATTTGAGTTTTTAATTAAACTCACACAATGTTATCTTTTTTAATTAAAAACAACGCATACTAGCACTAAAAAATAAAGTAAAAAAAAAATTAAAAAGCTTACACCTGAGATAATAGATAAAGCATGGCATATATTGATAAATCTTCACTTTATAATATTGAAATTTATAAATTGCTGTGTGATATTTATTATGACTAAAGACTTATAAAATGAAGGGTATGCAGCTACAAACCCTCTTCTTCTTCAATCTCCATAGTTTCAGCGCCAGTTATTTCATAATCTTCCATGAGATAAGCTACCACAAATAAACTTCTCTTGATTCATAGAAATCTCTCGAATGACTAGATTCTGCGGCATACCAATGAATGAAAGCTCTTTTATACCACATTAAATCGAACTCATGGCTAATCCTAGAGAAAACTTCAGAAATAGCAGTTGAGTTACTTATCATACAAGCAGCTCTCGTTATTTTAGCTAAGTCATCCTCCTTCACAGAAGCTGGCGGCTGATAATTAATTCCACATTTGAATCCAGTTGGACACCAATCAACAAATTGAACTGTACTCTTGGTCTTAATAGTAGCAACAGCCGCATTAACTTCTTTTGGAGTTACATCTCCCCTATACATCATGCAGCAGGCTATATATTTCCCAGTTCTAGGGTCACACTTAGCCATCATAGAAGCGGGCTCAAAAGCACTATTAGTAATTTCTGCCACAGAGAGTTGCTCATGGTAAGTTTTCTCAGCTGAAATAATTGGAGCATAAGAAGAGAGCAAAAATTTAATTCTTGGGTATGGAATCAGGTTAGTTTGAAATTCAGTAATATCAACGTTCAAGGAACTGTCAAATCTGAGTGAAGCAGTCAGAGAAGAAATAACCTGGGCAATAATTCTATTCAAATTAGTATACGTTATTTGCTCTATATTAAGTTGTTTTGCGCAGATATCATAAATAGCTTCGTTATCAAGAACAACAGCAGCCTCAGTATCATTAATAATAGAATGAGTCGATAAAACTGCATTGTATGGCTCGACAGAAGAAACTGAGATTTGAGGAGATGGGTAAACATAGAAGCCAATTCTTGGTTTCTTGCAATAATCACGTCGAAGATTTCAAAGGAGACGCATTCCAAAGCCTGAGCCTGTACCTCCGCCAACTGAGTGGAAAAGTAAGAAACCTTGAAGACTCTCACAATTATCTGCGAGTTTTCTAATCCTGTCCATGCAAAGGTCTTCCAAATCACGCTCCAAGTTTCACCTCCCACGATAATAGATGCTAGAAGTGTCTTCTTTTCCAGAAATGAGCTGCTCAGGGTTAAATAGCTGATTATAGGCACCTGTTCTGACTTTATCAATAACAGCTGACTCAGAGTCAAAGAAGACAGTGCGAGGAACGAACTTGCCAGCGTTAGTTTCGCTAAAAAAAGTCTTAAAAGTTCATCATAATTTAAATATAGAGCCATCGGAATTTTATGCTCTCCCAAACAGAAATTCCTCTTCTTAACAATTTTAATTATGAGGTTGGCTTCGCTTAACAAATTATCCAGAAAAGATTAAGTTTTATAGCTCAGTAGCGCTTTACACTGAATGGCCATTAAAAGGAAATGAAATTTTTTGATGTATGCTGCAAACTGTAGGTGGCTCAGAATAGACTTTTAGAGTGCCAGACTGATTCAAATTGATTCTGCCCACAAACGGAAGGATAGTTTTCTTAGGTGCTGAGATTAGATGGATGAAATTTGCATTAGTAATCAAAATTATGCCTGGTTTAGTCCTGGTGTGCCCTATAAAGACTTTTATCGGTTAAAGCGTGTAAAGCATCGTGACATATAGGCTTTAAAACTTAAAGCTAATAAGTAAGTTAAAAGCATCATCTTCTCCTATATCTTTGTCGCCTGATAATTGCCCATCTGGTTGAATGCCGTGCTCAAGGCAGTAAAGTTCTCAGCAAGCATTTCCGATTTGGATTCCTGCTTGCCCGATATGAAGCGATATAACTTCTCTCATATTATTCCTATTATTATACATGTTTTTGATTTGGGTTAAACCCTCAAATAATACTGGGAAAATATGTGTTGTCCAGCTAACTTGATGAAATTGATTTTAATTCTAAATTGCAACCATTTTACTGTTGGCAGATAGCCTTGATTTACCAATTCGAAGAATAGGTTTGTCTCATAATGAAAAAATTACCAGTTGTTCAGGTAAGATTAGGAATAGTCAAGGTGATATCTTAGACTATTATTGTGTTTTAAAAGATGCTTTAATTAAAAAATGAGTATTCGACAAGGAAGATTTGGTGCCTCGTATTGGGAAAAACTATAACGACAAACAAATATAATTTAAATAGAGCTGTTGAATACAATAAGGCTGGCTATTTATGCTGAAGATATTTAAGTAATTGAATAGATTGAGCAGAATTCAATCAATTTAATGCATTAATTTTAAAATCTAGGACATCATTTATAATCGTATAAAGTATTCATGCATAAATCTTTATATCGACATAAATTTTTTTTCCAAGGAAGTTGCATCCCTGAATAAACAAAATTCCGATTTTCCAATTTATATACTACTTTTAAATAAAAGAAGAAATATTTTTATATTTAAGCGATATGATTGCAAAACAAATAGCTCCATATCATTTGATCAGGACTTTTGCTAGTAAGACATTTCCTAGAAAATCTGGTCGATTTTTTTTTCTTGTGAGGTTTGGCAAAACATCCCAGAGGATTAGATTAGGATTATAAAGATAGGTGTCAGTTATATTGCTGATATAATCACCCCCGAGAAAATGTCTCACTAACAAAAAGTAAGAGAACTAGCATGCGCCCAACAAATATTATGCTTGGTATATGGTAATTCATCAAATCAGTAAATTCAATATTAATCTATTAGAATTTCAGTAGAAAAACTCAAATGAAATAGCTGCACTCGTTAGTTTACGAGTTTTCTAATAACGAAATCATTTAAAATTTATTATGACCGCTAGAAAGCATTGACTGATGAGTCATCTTGCCATTTGAAAGATTGCTTGAGGTAAGAGTTTAGTTTGCACATCGCTGGCTAATATTATACGTATTATCCATATATAGTTATATACATAAAAATAACCGGTGACGAGCGACCAGTCCTCCTGGTTGCGGGTATCCTTATGCATCTCCGGAGTCCATCCCACAGGCGTCGCCTGCAGAAGGCACGGCGCTTAAGGAAGCGGGACTATAAATACATTTCTTAATCTAATCTAATCTAATCCATACATAATGGTCCTGGGCTGTAGATTTCAAAGTGAATAAAATTGCAAATTAAAGATATCATTCTTATTACTTGAAATTCTTGAATCTAATCCTTTATCCCCGCTTTAGAATAGAGCAAACACTGATAATTTTCTTTTTTGGGTAAGTTGTCCGTTTAAATAGAATATAATTAAATTTTATAGGCGAAAGAATGCTATCTATGAAAATAGCTTTAAATCCCAATTGAATGCAGATTAATTATAACCAAAAACGAAATTTACCTTTATCTTGTTCTATCTACATAAGTAAAACTATTTAAACACATAAATTTGTTTTACAATAATTTTTTTGCTTTAACAAAGCCTTAAAACTTCAACAAATTTTTGCTCTATTAAATTGAGAGTAAGCAATAATTTAAGCAAAATAGCATGATATTTATTATAGTCAGTGTCACTAACTATAATTAAAATAAGCAAATAATTTGCTATAAATAATATAAAGAGTAATGCTCATTTGTTTATATTTCTTCATAGAAACTAAATGATTTATTAATTAAATGGCAATTACAATAAGCAGCCAAGATATTAACTTACTAATTCTGCATTATCTCAGAGAGCGAGGTCTAATTCACGCTGCATTTGCCTTAGAAAAAGAAGCTAACATCACAGACTCTCCTATCCAGCCTGGCATCCTCGTCACCCACTTACAAAAATCTCTGACTTTAGATTAAGATTAAATAAATTCGAGATGATCTCTGGGGATTATTTCAGCCCCTCTCCGTACCAGGCTGATTTCAGGTTTCAACTTGGCCCTAAGTCCCAAGTGCCACACCACACTGTTTTCTTGTTGATGCCACGAAAAATGATGACGTCATAGTCTCTCGGGGAGACTAACCTTTGGTTCTAGCCTTGCGATAAAGGACTCTCTTCGCCTTGATAGTGCTCAGGACAAGAGGGAAACACCTAATTCCTTCTCCTTTATAGCCTTGCCTTTATTAGGCGTATAATTGCTTCCCAGAACCATGAGCTAAATCTGCACTTCAGTTTGCCTCTAGGATAAGGAAAAAATCCTGTTATAGAGTCCTGACCAGGCAAAAAACCTACCACTACTTCTAAAATATGGCATCCACTTTTCTAGGGCTGAGATCAATTCACCAGTCACCCTGGACCTAAACCACTCTCCATCTTTTAAACAGTTTTAACTTTAGAAGAACTTGAATTTCACGCAAACGAAGAGGTATTTTCTAATAAAGGACTTAAAAGCCCAAGGTTTCCCAAAATGCCACGCAGAATTCAAGCTAACTCATTCCCATAAATGCATGTATCGCGAAGAGACCCCAAAACTCGTCCCAGAGACTTCACTTGGTATGATGGTCGACGATTCATTCGAGCATACCTCTCTATTTGGCCACTCAAAAGAAGTATTAATAATCCACTACCAAAACTCATATATTCTTTCAGGGTAACAAAAATTCAGCTCTAAAGACCGCACTGCTAAGATATGGAGAATTGGGGAAAACCCTAATCAATGGGACCTAGTAGTCACGATTTCTCTGACTAATCTAGAGATTGAGAATTTTGAAATAAAAAGTTTATACTGAAATAAAGCAGGAGATATTCTTTCAGTAGTAAACGATGGCTTGGCTAGATTTTGAACAAGCACTGGAACTTTAGTCTCAGAAATTTCTCATAACACTCCTATAATTTGTGCATATTTTGAGTCTACAGGCTCTAACTCCCCCCCCTCCGTGAGCGAACAAAACCATTAGAAAAATCGCCATTTTTTGACCAAAAAACCCACCCTCCGTGAGTGAACAAAAATTTTTTTAATAGAAAAAAATTTTAATGGAAAAAAATTTTGATATATAAGTGATAATTAGTATAATGAAATCTAGAGCTAATTCTGTTTAATTTTAAACAAATTGCGTTTTAAAAACATAAATTTTGCAAATTAAATTAATATTTGCTTCCCAATTTTTGCAAATTAGGATTTTTTTAAATTTCGAAAAAAATATTTTTTATAAAATTTATATATAAATTTTTTTTAAAAAAAAAAATTAACCCCCCTCCGTGAGCGAACAAAATTTTTTTGTTCGCTCACGGAGGGGGGGGGGGGGAGTAAGTTTCTTACTGTGTCACAAGATGCTTTGAAAATTTGGAATAGCCAAGGAAACTCTATAAACTCAATTGAGTCATGCTCAGGGATTAGGGATGCAAAATGGCACAATACAGATGAAATTTGTACAGCAACGATGACAGGAGTATTTTTATGGAAATTGAGCAGAATTGAAAGAATAAAAATCGAGGAATCTTTAAATGTAAAAAAAATATTTTGGGATTATGAAGGGAAATTTATAGCGATGCTGGAAGATGAAAGGCTGGGGATTTGGGAACAAGAAGGGTCATGATGGAATACCATTATTTGTAAACAAATTGAATGGAATCCTAATACCCCATTATTATTAGTTGCTAAAGGAGGAGGTGTCGTTGAAATCATTGACCCAGAAAAAAGAGTCATAAAACACCAATTTATTGCAGAAACTTCAGAAATTATTAAAATCGCTCATAGTAAAGATGGGCAGATGTTCGCAACTATAGGACTAGATGGAATTTGCAATGTATGGAACTATGAAACTGCAGAGAAAATTAAATCGTTTTCAATAAAGCAGCAAGCAATTGATATGTAATTTTTAGGTAGGGTTTGGAGTGACGATAATACAAAGCTTGCAATTTCTTTTACAAATATCATCACAGTCTACAATATTTCAGTATAAATTAATCTCATTAAATAGTCATGATTATTTTTTTAAATTTTACACAAATTACACTATTTTTATTATCTTAATCCTATGATGGCAGCACAAATAAGAAACTGCACTTATTGATAGAAATCACTGAACGGTGCTTCAAGGGCACAGCCCCATCTTGATATCTGTAAGCCTTCCCGTCAACTTTTACTCTTCCTTTCTTCGTTAAGCACCTGATTTCAAACCTTTGATCTTTAAAATTATAAATCAGCAAAGCATGCTGCCTTGAAATAAACTTAGAAGGGCCTAAGTCTAAGTCAACTTGCCATTGGGAGTCACTTGCTTGAGGCTTTCTTCCTATAATAATGTGTGTGTTTGTAAGCAGGTAGGTTCAGTTTTGACCTCTTAGCACAGCAAAGCCAGCTCTTTTGAAGAACGCTTTAGAATGGTCTCCCATAATAATGATTATGAATGTGTTATTAAGCTAATATGTCAATATCCAACATTACCCCTAACTCCTACCTTTTTAAATTGGAAAAAGATATAGGTAAAAATTTCCATTTTTTGGGTTTATTAACCCCCCTTTAAATTGGAAATAAATTTATTTTTCAATGTGAAAATTTTTATAGGTGAAAATAAAATTTTTATAAATTAGTTTTGACCTAATTTATTAGGAGAAAATGCAATTAGAATATTATTTAAACAGTTTTCACATTAATTTTGAAATAATTCTTTTCAAATAAATTAAAATCTAAAACATTTCTTTTTTAATTTTTGAAAATGTTTTTTATAAAACTATTTAATAGATTTTTTTTATAAACTTTAAACCCCTTTAAATTAAATTGTGATTTTTATTCAGATTTAAAGAGGAGTAAGATTATTGAATTAACTAAAAGGAAGCTTCTCTCAAACCCCAATCATCCTCTATCAATTCTCCGCTCCAAAATGTACTCATTTGTCCACAAAACCTACCCTGGAGTGTTTATCACAAAAGATGATTATGACCCAGTTGTCGGAGTCAGAGAAAATTTTGATAATCTTTTAATTGCTCCAGACCACCCTTCCAGGCGTCCTAGTGATACATACTATATTGATGAAAACACAGTCCTTAGAACCCATACAACTGCCCATGACTGCGAAATGTTGAAAAATCATAATGCATTTCTCATGACAGGAGATGTATATCGAAGAGATGAAATAGACAGCACACATTATCCAGCTTTTCACCAGCTAGAAGGTGGAAGAGTCTGGAATAAAAGTGAATTCAGCTTTGCAGCCCAAGAAAAAGCTCATGATTTTGCCTTGACTGAGCTTAAAGGTATGCTTGAGGGGCTTGCCAGAGAATGTTTTGGAGATGTGGAAATGAGATGGTATGACAACTATTTCCCTTTTGTAGATCCAGGTTTAGAGCTAGAAATCAGATGGAAAGATAACTGGATGGAAGTCCTTGGATGTGGCGTCTATCATCCACAAGTGCTTAGAAATGCTGGAAAATCTGATGACTTCTTCGGGCTTGCTTTTGGTATAGGGCTAGAAAGATGGGCAATGAAGGTTTTTGATATTCCTGACATAAGGCTGTTTTGGTCTGAAGACCAACGATTTTTATCACAGTTTTCAGCTACAAAAGGCATTACAAAGTTTAAAAGCTTTTCAAAGTTTCCTTTATGCTACAAAGATATATCTTTTTGGGTTCCTGAAAAATTCGAAGAAAATGACTTTTTCGAACTTGTAAGAGAAGTTGGAGGAGACTTAGTCGAAAGGGTCGAAAAAACAGACAAGTTTAGTAAAGGCGATAAAACAAGCTACTGCTTTAGAGTAAATTACAGGAGCATGGAAAGGAATTTAACGAATGAAGAAATTGATGAATTACAATTTAGGCTCAGAGAAAAAGCGGTGGCAGATCTTAAAATAACTCTCAGATAATTATTCATTGCAGGTTATCGATAAATTTAAAATTCTGAATCCCAATCTTCAGGAGGCGGCATGGAATTCCATATACAGAAATCGACTTCTTCTTTACTTTCTTCTTCTCGGATTAAGCTTTCTAGCGGTTTCATGCTGCTAAAAGCTACTTCTATTTCGTTGTGCAAAGAACGAAGCTTAGGTATGTAAGGCATTTTTAACTGGCGGGATAAAAGTCGGTCCTATGTAAAAGTTACTCAATTAAAGTTTGCAAATCATTTGTGGGCTTTTAATTTATCAACACTTCCTCCAGTCCTTGCTGCAGGATTTTTGTTTAATAACTGCTGAATTAACGGTTTAGCTGCTAAGTTTGGGTCAATATTTGTAGGGTAAATTATTTTGTGTTCTAAAATTTTTTCATAGATTGCATGTGCATCGTCTTCATCTTCTCCAAAAGGGACTCTGCCATATATAAACTCATAAAGAATGATGCCTAAGCTTCATCAGTCAGCAGAAAATGTATATAGCTTTCTGATATAAATATCCAGGGCCAATTTAGATAAATTTATTTTTCGTAAAAAATAAGCAATATATAATAATTTAGCATATCCGCTACCTAAAATGATTTCAGGAGCCATATAATGAGGAGTTCCTACAGTAGTATAAGTCCTTCCATTTATTATTTTTGAAGTTCCAAAATCAATCAATTTTGGATATCCTTCATGATCGACCATTATGTTTTCTGGCTTTAAGTCTCGATATAAAATATCCCTTTCATGAAGATGCTCTAAAATGACCACTAAAGCTCCAATATAATATTTAGCATCAGCGTCACTAACAAGCTGTAGCTCTATAAGTACATCAAATAAATCAAGACCTTGGACAAATTCCATTAAAAAATAAATCCTGCTAGTGTCTTTAAAAGTTTTGACAAGCTTGAGGATCATTGTGTGGTCGACTTGTAAAAGAATTTGCCTTTCGAGCATTAAATTCGTTTGGATTTGCCACTGCTCAATCTTTTCTCTGGAGACTGATTTCAGTGCATATAATCTATGGGTTGTTATATGTCCAACTAAAAACACATTCCCAAAGACTCCTTTTCCTAACTGTTTTATAGGTATTAAATCATTCAGTGTAATTGTGTCATCCTGCAGCTCAATTCTTTCTATTAAATTTTGTCTTATTTCTTCATCAATAAGAGACAAAAAATCATCTTTTTCTAACACCCAACAGCTTACTTGTCCATCAGCGATTACAGTAGCTGTCCTAAAATCATTAAATAGCACTGACCTTTCTCCAAAATAATCATTTTTTGTTATAGTTCTCAATTTCACTCCATCTTTAAAAACATTAACTTTTCCTGATTTTATTAGGAAAAATGAATTTCCTGGATTATTTTGAGTGACGATTGCATCTCGGTCGCTATAATGCATCACTTTTAATGCTTGTGTAAGGGAGATGAATTTTTCTGGGCTTAAGCCTCTTAGTAGATGCACTTGTTTGAGGACTGAAAGAGCTTCATTATAAATAGTCACCTTATTGAAGTTTCCACCAATGCAATTTTCTATAGAAACCCTTGAAATATCAGCAACATCACTTTCTACCTCTGCTAAATAATCAATCATATATTCACCTTCAGATGGGTGGTCTAAAAACTCATCCCCAATGCACCCAAATTTTTCTATTGCTCCTACAGGTCCTCTAATAGCACCTCTCAGTACAATTCAAAGCCTTTGCCCTTTATGTGTGCCTCTGGCTACTATTACAGATCCAGGCTGGAAGGTATTCACTTTCATACAATCAAATATACTTTCTTTCTGTTCTTTTGATAATGCTCTTAATACAGGACTTCTTTCACAAGCAATTCTCAAGGTATTTCTATACAATATCTGTTGCAATGAGCTTCCTAGCACATCTATAAGGGAATTGCTTCCTATTGATATTAATTTGACCTCACTTATAGCTGTACATGTAGCAGTTCTTGGGGAGCCATAAAGTAAGGACTGTTCCCCAAAAAAATCTCCTTTGGACATTTGACGTATTTCGATGCCGTTTTGAGAGCATGAGACAAGGCCTTCTTTTATGATATAAAAGAGGTCGCCGACGTCACCTTCTTTTACAATCCTTTGTCCACTATGCCATTTTTGTGTGTTAAGTCCTGCTAATAAAGCTTCTTTTTGCTGAGATGTAAGAGTGTTAAATAATGGTACACTGTCAATGAAACTTTTGTTTTCTAAATGGTTCATATCATTTACTCTTTTTACCGCTTCTTTGAAAGAAATTCTGTCAACTACTCATAGTGTGCACTTTTCTAATGTATAATTTTTCATAATAAAATTTAAAATTTATAATAAATCAATTTATTTGTAGATATTATTTTAATAATAATAAATATAATAAAAAATGAGCATAGTTACAGTTGCAGACCTGGCTCTATTATCAATCAGTGCATACTCTCCAAAACCAGTCCCTGGAGATATCAAATTTTTTCTTTGTCCATTTATAGTGACTTCCAATCTCCCAGTTGCTAGAACATAAAAACACAGTCCTGGTTTATCTTGCTCAAAAATAATTTCGCGTGGTCCTATTGTGTAAAACCTCATATCATTTGCAATAATAAATTTGCTATCTTCATCGAGACTTCGCAATATGAAGTGATTATTAAATGCTGTTAAAATCATTTTAATATCTTCTTCAGTTTTAGGTTTATCAATAATTTCTGCATGGGAAGCTTCAGTAATACCTTCTATTGAAGGACTCGGGTGGTGAGAAAATTTGTGGGTCTTGATTCCTTTCACCCTTATGCGTTTTGACTGATTCTCAATTTGATTTTTGGTTGAAGGCTGACTCGGTCCTGTAGGCTGCAGCCTTGTAGGGGATCCTAAGGAATCTTTTCGGTTTTTTACCTCACGCAGTATGTACTCTCTTCGGCCACAGGTTGCACAGGTGCTTCCCATTTTTTTAATAGGCTTTAAGCAGAGCCATGATCAGGATTATTTCAAATTCCTAAAACCTATACAAGCGAGCTTAAAGATTTTACTAGTGAGGAGTAATTTCTTTTTCTAATTCAGCCAGCATATATATATAATTTAAAAATTTTAATAGTAATTATTTTCTAAAAATCTACGAAATTATAGCAAATAAACAATTTTTTCGCCCATCAGCACTTAGTATCAAATAAGAGGCATATTTATTAATTATGAGCTATCCCGAATTAAGTGACAAATTTGAGCTTGTCTCTTCGCATCTGCGCAAGGGCTTGCAGGTCAGTGCAAATCTGTGTTCATTTTATAAAAACTTCAAGAAAGCTCTAGACACGTTTTCTCAACAAACGCTTAAGTCTATTGATGCTTTTTCAGCAGAGCTCCCTAAAGATATTAACTCAGCCACATTATCTAGACTTTTAACTTCAACAACTATTCATTTCAGAAAATTTGCAGCCCAACAAGCTATGTATTCTAGACATCTGCAGCAAGAAATAATTGATCCTCTTGAATTATTCATCAGTCAAATCAACAATTCCAATACAAATTTAGTCAATAAAGTGACCCCTACACATAAGCAGCTGCAAAAAGCGATACAGAAGATGGAAAAGCACAAAGAAAAACATATCAAATGCAGCTCAGAAGCAGAAAAGATAGAAAAACAATACAATTATAATGACACAAGCGAAAAGCAGCAAAAGATGTACAAGCAAGTCTTGCAGTATAAGAACTCAGCATTTAAAGCTTCAGAAGCATATGATAAATCTGTATTTGACGCAAACCAGTGCTGAAATGACTATGATTCAATTATTCCAGGGATAATGGCCGATTTCCAACAGAACGAAGAAAGTAGAATCCATTTCATCAAATACTCAATAGAGAAATACGCGAATTACTACATAGCCTACCAAAAAAACATCAATGAAATTTTTGAAGAACTAAATGTCGCGCTGGGGACTGTTAATAGTGAAATTGATATCAAAGAGTTCGTTGACAATCATAAATCGTCATCCCCTATAAAAAGAGAAGAGTTCGTGAGCTATGAAAAATGAAAAAGACTGCAAAAGAAAGGAAATCAGCCAGTTTTTAATGAAGAAGACTACGAAATTTTAGGCGATGCTGGCATTCAAAATGGAAAAGACCCTGATCTTGAGCTTGTAAAAGCTGTGCTTGGGTATTTAATTCCTTTTAAACTAGACCCAGTCAGAGACAGCATTTTTATAAACTCCCCAGAAGAAGACAAAAGTTCTGAAGAAGTCTTAGACTCCCGATTTTATGCAAAACTATCAGAGCTTCTCCATACAGCTGAGGGCCGAGAGCTATTCTGTGATGTTTTAGAGCACAAAAACAGCAACCGTTGCCTTGAGTACTCAAAAATTACCCAGCTTGCTTCATTAATAAAAGGCATGCTAACTGCTATGATGATAGACGGGGACACAGACTCTTCGATTTTCTGCAAAGTTATTTTTGTCAGTGATAAATTTTATACAGAAAATGAAGCAAACAAAAAACAGTATTTAGCAAGCTTTATCAGTTCTCATTGTATATGGTCTGATGCCAAAAGATGAAACCAAGCCATTCTGAGCGCTATTGAGACACAGCTGGAGAACGAAAGTGAGTCACCGCTATCTCCGAATAAAAGAAGGAAAATAAGAAATGGGCTTGTTACCGCTATTAAAAGTTGGACACATAAGATACCGTTGATTTTTCAGAAAAGATTGGCAGATGAAAGAGCTGAAAAGGCTGCGGCATATCTGATGATTAGTCAGTTTAATTATCATATGATAAAACTAGGGATACCAGTGGAGACTGCAAATTCAATTGTGCTTGCAGCTTGTCAAAGCGTAAATTTGGACCCTGAAAGGACCTGCTTGCTACTAGCTGAAGTCCTTAATACGAAACGACTTCTTGTACATTTAGAATCTCCAGTTGAAGTATCTTTAAAAGCTAGAGAAAAAGAGCGTGAACGATTTGGGGCATTACTGCCCTATGGTTTAGCAATAGACTTTCTTCAGCCAAATGAATGCTTTAGCTTGGTTTTAGTCTGCAAGCAATGGAAAAATATTTTTTACCATCAAATTATCAAAAAATGGCTTACAGAATGGAATTTATCTGCAGAAAAAAAGCATTATTTAAGATCACAAGCATGGGTAACGCTTTTAAAAGCAAATATCAGGCGTATTGAATATTCAACTTATTTAAATAAAATATCAGAATTAGGTGATATTGAAGAAGTCATTGATTTAGATGTAATCAGATCATACCAAGGGCATCAGATTATCACTGGCCAAATATTGAAAAATATTCTTAAGTCTATAGCTGTTTATAACCCTGAAATAGGATACTGTCAAGGCATGAATTATGTGGCTGGAACTTTATATGTGCAGCTGCAGGACGAAGAATTAGTGTTTAAATGCTTAATTGGGATGATTGAAAAGTTCCAAATGCAGCCACTTTATGTGCAGTCTTTACCTAAGCTTAAGCAATTTTTTTACCAATTAGACAGGCTTATAGGAATTTTATTGCCTGATATTCATTCATTGTTTAGAGAAATTGGATTATGTTCTGGGCATTTTACTGCTTCTTGGTTTATAACTGTATTTTCAAGTATTCTTCAGGATAAGCCAGAGCTGCTGCTGTCGATATGGGATTTATTCTTCTTAGAAGGCTGAAAAATTGCTTTTAAGGTCTGCATAGCTATTTTGTCAAGGGCGTCAAGAGAAATTCAAGGGAAAAGGTTTGAAGACGTGATGTCACTGTTGACTAATATAAATACTCCAAATTGTCCAATTGATGTATTTGATGAGAGGTTTTTGGAGAAAGTGCATAAGATTGATATATCGAATGCACTTTTAAGAGACTTGGAAAGCGAATATGAGCATTTGAAGATTAGAGCTTATAATAAGCATGCAAAATATTAATCAATAATAAATTGCTTAGCATTTATTGATATGTTATTTTATTTCTCAAGCATGGTTTCTTATATAAACATTGCTTATGTTTTTCCATAAATACAACGATATTTATATTAATTAGCACGTATATATTTTGCTTAAATTGAAGCAGCACACTTATCCCTTCTTTAATGCTCAACGGAGTTATCTAGTTTTACCCAGCTCATTTCGTCTAATTGATTTACTGAGCTTCCAGGCCCACTTAGCGTTTCTGTTGACCCAACTGATATTCTTGGGTCTGGCATTCTATCAGTATCTATATCAGATTGATCCAGCTGCATGACTATCTGCAGCAGTTGTTGCTTTACATCTTTCCTGATGAATTCTAATTTCTTTTGATGGATTGTTTGACTTTCTTGTATATTTTTCATAGCTGCAGAGAGCTCAACTCGAGGATTTGAGCAGCTTTTAGCTCGAAATCGCTTTTGAGAGTCAGAAGAATCCTCACAAGATTTTTCACCTAAAGGAAATAGGCAAGCAGGCTGGGGATTTATAATGCTGGAATTTTCGCTTGATGATGAGTTTAATGAAGCATTGGCTGGTGTGATTTTTATATTGACTGGTGGCTTTGAGCTTTGGTTTTTGAGAAATTCAAGAGTTTTTTGTTTAAACTCGTCAAATGGTACAACAAAATTGTGCTGGACTGCTTCATAGCTTGATGAAGAATTCATAGAAGAAGAACTTTGTTCTTTCCCTATCCCTTGTGATATTAAAAATCTTCCAGGCTCGTCCTCGAGGAATTCTTTTTTAACATGTGGGATAGCTGAGGGTACTCTTTTATGTTTATTCATTTATTAATGAAAAATTTTATATAACTTCAGTTTATAGTGAAATTGAAAACTATAATAAATAAAATTTAAAGTGGATGATACTAGAGTAAATCGACGTCTATAGAAAAAAATTAAAACTTTTTGAAATTTAATATGTTTCATTGTGATTTATGTTACGATTTATTTATTAATTTAAAAATTGTGATGGGCTTTCATGAACCAATTTTTATAAGTTTTCTGAAGCTATCTCTTAGATGCACTTTCATAATGTGGAATCGATAAGAAGATCAATTTATATATCTTTCTCTAAGCGATAGTTCCTCTTTCAGCAATTTCCTCTGCACCATTTCGTTAGCAAATTTTCTAGTCAGGCATTTGATTGAAAAATAACAATCAACAGTCTGATAAGGAAAAAGTATTGATCAACGGCATAAAAAAACTGCTTTCTGAGGAAAAAAAATCTTTTAAAAGATATGCTTTATTCTCATTACTCTTAAGCTGGTTTTTAATTTCAATAAAAAATAAAAGAATATCAAATATAAAAATATATAAATCTTTTAATTTCTTTTCGACTCATTAACAGATTATATTAGTTCCACGATTTAAGCTTGTTTTAGCGTCGAATCAACCAGCAACTCAACATGAATAGTAAGCCTCTGATATCCTTCTTCCAACCCTTCAGCAGCTTCCAAAAAGTGGTTCTCAATTTCTTTGATGTTCAAATGAAAAGGCATTGATTTTCTCCTTCCCCTGGCTGAAGCTGTGACAAGTATAAAACTGACTTTTTTTCCGTCTTTTTCAACAGTTAATTTCACTCGTTTTCTGGTATTTCCGATATCAAACACCCATAAATAAAAAAAGTCTCTGTTGCTTTGGCTCTGATTTAATATAAGTTCTCCATTAAAATTCCATATGCTGAACCCCCAGTCAGCCATCCTTCAAGATTTCGAGTTCCACCCTCTCACCCCTCTTATGTCGCTCATATCGAATTCTTTTACATTATGTACAGATTTTAAATGGGAAGGCAAATCTTCCACTATCATATTGCAACCCACATACAAACACTCAACATAAGGATTGAAAGGGCAGCTTGAAAGATGAGCAGAACGTGCTGATAAGGTTGTAATCACGTCACAGCCAGGAAATCGGCATTTCACTTGTATGCTTTCTAAGATCTTTTCGATTGTTAGGTTTCTATAGCTTTGAGACATATCAGATCTGCACTCAGGGCAAGTCGGAACGTGCTGGTGGCAGCGTGAACAAATTGAGTGTCCATTGGGGCATTGGTATACAGGTGGTGCTAGGTATTCAAAGCAAACTGGACATTCTAAAGAATTTTGAAGACTTGATGTGGAAAGTAGTCCGTCCATTATAAGAAAATTTATTTTGTCTTCACACAAATGATGAATTATTTAAACTCTTTTCAAAATTTTAAATAGATAATTTCTTTTTCTGGCTTGGGAAATCAAAGCAGCAGCTTAGCAAGTTATATAAATAAATGGGAGGAGTGAATCATATTCTTGGTTGGTATTACGGAAAGCTCAGTTGGAACCGCATGTGGTGCCACTCAATCAATTTGACAACAAAATTCGCTGCTGGGCCTCGCAGGAATCTTTTGCAAGCTTCAGGAAAAACAGGATTCAAGATCCGTGAGTTCAGAAATGGCAAAGAAATCAGCAGAAGTGAGGTTACGACCCTCAGTAAAGCACTTCCATCAATTGAGATTGATAAGGATATTAGTATGTAAGGAGCAGCCTTATTGAGCTCTAACTTAAGAACGTTCGATAATTAGTGAAATATTTATAAAATGAATAATATACCTGATCATCAAACTCTCTGCGCATATGTGCAGGGACTTCAGAACCTTATTAATAATGGAGATGGGCAAAACGCTTGGGAATACGCACAATATTTGATAGCAATGCCTATAGAGTTTGAAATACAAGCTACAGGGAGTCAAATGATCAATCCTTTGCCTATTTATGGGATGGAATTCAATCAGTGGGTATATGATGAACTTAAGGATATAGGATATGATGAAACCACCTGCAAATTGGGAGCAACTGGGACTGCTACTGTAGAGGATGCGATTAAAAATCTAAAAGAGCAACTAATTTATCGGTCTTTATAGGAAAAAATATAGATTACATATATAAAAATCTTTAAAAACAATTTTGGTAGAATTTCTATGAAAAAATAATTTTCAATAAATTATGTTTCGATTACTAATTCATTAGATTGGAGGCTCCACCCTTCTTCCTAAATGTCTGTAGCTTTGATTTACAGTAGCTACCTCGTCATATCCTGATGCATTAACTACAAGAACATCAATTTTTTCTTTTAATTCTTCTTGCAAGCTTAATCCTAGCGCACTTCTATATCCTTTCACAGCATTATAAGCTGCTGAATAAGGAAACTTTCCACTAAACTCTGCAGTGCACAAAATTACTGCTGATCTTTTGTCCCTTCCAAATAATCTTAAAGCCAACCCTCTAATAAATAATGCAGGGACAATTAAATTTGTCTGTATAACATTCGTGATATTCTCACTCTCCATTTCCTTAAATGCTCCTGGTTCGATTATTCCTTCATCATTTTTTATGCTTTTAAATCTTCCCAACTCTACTTCTTTTGAGTTCACAATCACAATGGAAATATCATAAGCCTGGTTATTAAAAAGCTCTAGAACTTTCTTAACTGATTCCTCATCAGCTAAATTTTCATCGATCGTAACAAGCTTGACTTTGTAATTTTTCTCAATTTTGGCCTTAAAATCTGCTGGAATTGGACTCTTGTCTATAAGAATTATATTAAAACCAGCTGATGCAAATTTTTCAGCCCAGTTTTTTCCAAAATCTGTAGACCCTTCTGTTATCACGACCCAGGATTTGGCTCCATATCTTTGTATGAAATCTAATGGCTTGACGAGGCTTTTTTGGTAAAAGCTTTTGATGAAAGACATAGCCTTATAGGTTAGGTATAATCCAGCTAAGCACGAGACTCCAATAATTGCTGGCCTTACACTATCTCTAGGTATACGAGCAAGCATGAAAATTATAAAAATGGAGCAATAATATTTGATATTTACATATGTTTACATTCAACAACAAAATAGCTGCTGAGAGCTCATATGCTTGTGAGTGTAGCGGAGAGTGCTTGGGAAAACTGATAAACAGTACAAGTGAAATGCTACTTCTTAAGGTATTTTTCATGCAGTTTCAAGAAGTTCTGCAGACTGAAAGACTAATGATGATGGAAATGATAAATAATGACTCAAATAAAGACGCGCTTTTACTGCAACTTGTGAACAAGGCGGAAGAGCTGAATAGAGAAAATGCGGTTTTAACATTGGAGAATAGAGGATATAAGGAGATATTAAATAATTTGAAAAGAAATTAAATTTCAATATATTGGCTCGTTTGATATTTTGTTAGATTGATTATTTAATTAAGTAAATTAATATATTTAATAAATATAGAAATCATTTTTAGTTAAATATGCGTGTTTTGATTGCAGAGGACTATTAATAAGAAAAATAAATTGATAAAGTTCAGAAAAATAATAGGGGCTCTATTCATATAAGATTTATGGCATGAATAAAAACTTAATGATGCAGAACTGCGCTCTATCCTTTTGAGAATTTATTGGCTATAATAAATCCTTTCTATCAGAACGCTATATTTTTCCCTCATATAAATTATTCATTCAGCCTTGTCATTAAAATACAAAATAAAGATTTGATAGTGAAAGACTCGAAAAAATTACAGTTTAATCTGCCATTTCTTCACAAATTCAATCACCATTTACCTAAATCATACGTCAGAAAAATAAATAATTCACAAAATGATATGCCAGATGAAAGGAATAATCGTTCTAGATAACGAAGGTCAAAATATTTTTAGTAAATACTATAACCCTTCATCTTCCTTATTAACCCATTCAAATCAGAAACTTTTTGAGCAGCAGCTATATTCAAAATCATCAAGAATTAGCACAAGAGGCACAGAAGCTGATATACATAGTTACCAAGAATAGCCCACTAAGGAGCATTTTTTGGTTGCCCGACAATAACTGATTATAAATTCGTTGGCATGCCATATTTTCAGGCTAACCAAATTTAAGAATGCGAATCAAAAAATGCTCCTTAGTGGGATATTCTTGGCAAACAGGTATATTTTTATGCTGGAAACTTATTCAGTTGTTTTTAAAAATTATAACGATATAGCTATATATTTATTTGCGACTTTTGAAGAAAATGAAATACTGATGGCATCACTTTTAGATGCAATTACTGAGGCTTTGGAGATGCTTTATAGGACAGAAATTGATAAAAAACGGGTTTGTGAAGAGATGGACTTAATGATGCTTGCAATTGATGAGTTTTTAGATGATGGGATTATAATCTGTTGCGATGCTATGAGTATTGTGGAAAGAGTCACAATGAGAGAAGGACAGCAAGTTTTGCCACAAAAAAATAAAAAGCAAGAATCAACTTTAGGTAGGGCAATAACCAATGCAAGACAGGCAATATCAAAGTCTTTAATGAGATAATTAAAATTTCTCCATTAATATAAGTCGCTCATATTAAAATAATGCAGAATAGATGCATGCAATACCAGCCAGCTAGGTATTCTTTAAATGTATCATAGTTTCATACAATTTTTGTATGAGAGGATTAATCATAACTTTTTGATCATGAGAATCTAAAACAAATAAAAGATTAGTCAGAATTTAATAAAATCGCCATTGAAAGACTTTAATTTATTTAATGTCTTCCTAACACTTATTAGATTATCTTTGTTTCCAGAAACACAGAAGTTAGATCTTAAAAGTGTAGGATTTGCACAGTATAAAAAACATATGTCAATATTATCAATAATATTAAAGAGATAATTAAATAGGCATTTACTCTGTCCGATTGCTATATCTAAATGATATAAAAGGGTGATAATTGCGAGTATTCTGCTGATTTTGAACTTGGATCAATCCATGTCAGTCTGATTCTGCATATGCAATACTATTATTAAACTTTCTCTGGCTTTAATTTTCACCAAGGATTCTATTGTTTCTATATATTCATTTTTTCCTAAAATACCCATATCCTTGTACTAAATATTATCATCCGCAAATAAATCTATTAAATTTCAATAATGGTAATTAAAACAATATAATTAATACCATATTCATAGACTTAACCAATAAATTAATAAGATAAACAAATCAGAATATACCAAAAAAATCATCTGGCTCTAAATGCCTTATAGTCGCTTACTCCATCCTCTGTGAGCGAACAACAAATTTTGTTCGCTAATTTTTTGTTCGAAATTTATAAAAATCTGGAAGGCAAATATTTATTTAATTTGTAAAATTTATGTTTTAAAATGTAATATGTTTAAATTAAGCAGAATGAATTTTTGGTGCCAATACAATGCTAGTGACATTAATATTTGACTTTAATCAAAATAATGTAGGCAAATTATCCTATTTATTGTTGCATCTAGATTTTAGCTACAACAGGAAAAGTAAAAAGGTGAGCCTATTAACATAAAGAAAGCTAAAAAGAATTAGCATTTCAAGAGGAATATAAAGAATGGAAATCAAATTAATTTATTTTAATTACCTTGTAATAAATAGTTAAACTTATTTAAACTTAATTGATTTTAAACCTGGAATGAATTCACATTTAATCTCAAAGCTTCCGCTCCCTGCCCATTGGCATCTTCATTCTTTTGATCATTTCTTGAAGAGATAGTTATATTCTTTTTACAGCATTCTTGGAACAAATATAGGCAGCCACAAATAAACCTAAATCCAAGAAGTATAATTCCAATAATAGCAATTGCATAAATATAATTAGCCCCATAATCTTTTTACTTATTTAAGAAATTGATGCAGTAAGCAAAGAATGTATTCGTTAAAACCCAAATAACTAGCCATCTAGTTCTGAAGGCTTGATAGTCGCTTAATCTTTCTCTTTCATCATTATTTAACTCCTGTGGGCGGTTTCCCCAAGTACAATCATGAATGTTGCAAATAGCATAGATGTTGAAGATATTCACATACGTAGGGGTTAAAAACAAGAACAGAACTATTCCTCTTAGTATTGGCAAAATCGCATTATTCAATAAAACATTTAATGTAAACATTCCAGCAGTGCAAAATGCTAAAATAACTATGATTGGCTTGGAAAAGTTGACATTTACGAGAAAAGCAATCATAAAAATGACAGCACCAATCATATAAACTCCCAATACGCAAGCAATAGCTTTGATTGTGTCTTTTGCTCTACTAGGCTCAACACCTAATGATATAAGCAAAATGATAATAAGTATTGCGACATATACCAATATAATTGCATTTCCAAATGTAACCAAATCGTCTCGATCTTGTGGAAAGGTCGAGTGAACTGTAACAGCAAAAACTAAGAAAAATGATCCAACAATTAACCATGAAAAAACGACATTAATAACATAGTAAAACAGCTGGATTCCAAAGAAAAATTTTCTGCAGCAAGTGTGTTTTGTCTTATAAATAGATAGAAACCTTCTGATTGAGTCAATTAATGCAAACCAAGATCCATTTGAGCAGGAACTACTAAATTAAAACCATCAACAGACATTGGCTCAATTTCTCCGCAGCATCCTGCTACTCTTACATCGTTTTCCATTGCTTTGTATAAATAGTATAAAGAGTTATCTAGAGGTTTAGTGCCTACATCCAGAAGCATCACATATTTAGGCTGAATCATCTGGCAAAAGCCTCCGAAGAATCATAAATGGGTGTTTAATTTCCTCTTATTTTTTTGTTTTATACAAAAAATAAGTTGAAGATCTAGTTCATTTTTATTATTAACTCGGATTTTTTGCATAAACAAGTGGGCGAACTCATCATCATCAGTCCCTTCAGGTATTTGGCAATTCCGCACATCCCCCCCTGCTTCTGGAAACCTGTCCAAAATGTTTTGCTTATTGCAATATTTTATAAAAAATTCTTTCTGGCTGTCATAAGTTTTAAAAAATGCTTCCACACCATCAATAATTACTATACAGGCATATTGTTGAGGCTGCACATCATTTTGAACAAAGGATTTTAAGTTTGACTTGACCCCATCTAAAGTATTTTTTAGTTCATCAATTTTCTCATTGTACATAGTAATTACAATAAGAAATTCGCAATGCAGTGGCCCATTAGCTGAGGCTATTAGATCTTTAAGCACGCTGTTCTCGATAAATCGTGTATCAGGAGCAACACAGGATAAGCCATTGACACTTTTTAATGCTTTATAAGTTTTTCCTTCATGAGTAGTCGTTTCAAGAGCTTTATTTAGCTTTACTACTTGATAAATCATCTCAGAATTGACTTCTACTCGTGGTCCAGATATCCATTCAGTTGGTATGACTTGAGATTGCTCACTTACGTACTCATCTTGTATGACTATTGCGGATTCCTCACCGCTAAGGCTGTTGCCCTTTTCCATTTTATAAACCTTCTACAATAAACTAATTAATGCTAAATTAAATTTTAGATATTTTGAAATCCTATGTTTATTTGAATAAACTACAGAGCTAGGATAATACTATAAGTCTTTATGAAAAAAGAATCATATTAAAAAAGTTAATATTATATAAAGTTTGTGCTGCAAATAAATTTAGAGAGAGCTTAAATATTTTCTTATATGAGCATGCTAATATTTTCTATAGATTAAAGGCAATCTACTAAAAATTAGTTTTATGAATTTTCAGCATTAATTTAAAAGTCATAAAATTATCAATAGTTTATCTTAATAAATACAAAACAAAGTTAAGCACAGAGAATTCTGCATAACTAGCAAAAAAGTATGCTAAGGCTTATGAAACTCTACAAATTATATATCTGGAAGGATCGTAATAATCTTTATGCATTTATTGCAAATAGCAGACATTTATTGAGCTTATAAAGCTAACTATAGGCATTTTATTATGGTAAAATTTTTATAAGAGACTCCTCTTCAATTCATTTCTAACTAAAAAGATTAGCGAAATATTCCCAATTACTTTTAAAATCAAAATTTTATGCAATTGGTAAAAAAGCTTATCAAGTGCTATCTTAAATTTTTTATGGATTATGAATTTTTGGTTAAATCAAAGCAATCGAAGAAAATAGCTTAAGTTTAAAGATACTGTGCTTATTCTATTAGTAGATCCCCAATTAAATAATAGATTAAATTATAATAATTAAAGTATAAAATAAATTTAAATAGGGAATCAGCGAAATCTCAATTTTAAAGATTTTATATGATAATAAATAATTTAATTAATAAAATTTAATTTTAAAATGTTCAATTATATATTTATGATTAATATCAAGTTAACACAAACTGCTAAAGTCCTATTTAGGTTTTACTTGATTTTACTTTAAAAAAGACTAATATTTATAAAATAATTAGGATATTATACAATAATCAATCAGTGTGATTGAATCATCTATAAATGACATTAAACTCTCTGAAAGCTACTAATATTATTAGGAGAATCACCCTGAACTATAGTAGGATCAAGAGGAAAGACTTCACCTTTCTGTATGCATACCTCAATATATATCTAGACTTATCGTCTAATATTTTTTAAATCAATGACAAGCATAAGACTTGACCTTCTATTACATTTATATTTGCTTGAAAAGCATTTCCAATTATGCAAATCGATATAAAATGTTTTCATTGATCAATTGAGAGTTTTTTGTGTTTAATACAAAGAATAAGCTGAAGCTCTATTTGCTTTTTTGAATTCTAACTCTCATTTTTTGCATAAACAAGTGAGCAATTTGGTCCTCACTGGCTTATTAAGATCATTAAGAACAGTGTTTTCATAAAACCGTTCATCTGGAGCAAAATGAGATATACTCTCGTAGTTTTAAAAGTATTGCCAGGCTCTATTGTCATATTAAACTTTGCAACTTGGTATATAAAATGCTTTTTTTAATGTTTTCATGACTATCTCCTTGTTGATTTAATTTTTCGATGCTTTAAGCTTCTTTTGAAACTGAAAATTCGTTAGAAATGACTTGACTTATTCGATTTGGTTGAAGCCGTAGTTACATTTTAAAATAATGTTTATACAATAAATATAAATTTTCAATTAAATCTCAATTGCAAGTTGGAAATAACACACTGTAATCAATTCAAATTAATACTGTAAATTTCGATGCATAAAAAAGGCTCACGAATAATAATGATAGTTAATCTTTAAATCACATTTTAAATGTAAAATACATGCTTTTCAAAGGAATTATTTTATTTTAGAGTTTTATCTTTATTATCAACCAATTAATTCTTTTTAGTTAATATTTAATAATTCATCATCTTTCTCTATCAATAAATCGTCCATATTTTCTAAATCTGAATTATTTAAGCTATAATTATAGAAGAATCAAGTACGAGATTTTGCTTTTAACTTAGCTAAAATTTTTGGATTAGCACAATGTTTTATTTAAAAAATTTTAATATTTACTATTTTAAGGCAATTTAATTTATTAGTAAAATCATTTATTTTCTTTCAATTAATATCGTAGTCCAGCTCTCTAACTCAATGAATTAATAGGATTTAACTAAGTAATATGCCCATCGTTCAAGTTAAACTAAAATATATGAGCGAATTATATCTCAGCTAAGTAGATACGCATTTTCATTGCTCAGGTGTATTTATTTATTAAACATTCAGACTTTTAAATATATCCATGCCAAATTTTTGTGTATCAAATTTAAAGCTATTGCTGCTATGATCAAGCTTACCAATATTATAAGTTTACTTATGAATTAAATTTTCGATATAATAGGTTCAAATTCCAAAGGCTCAGCCATTATCGATGCAAATTCCTGAAAGTATTTTTCCAGCCTTCCTCTGATATCTTGAATCGGTTTATCCAGCTGAGTTTTGTTAATTTCATAACCTTCTGGCAAAACTTGCTCAAAAACTATATCATGATAATTCAAAGTTTGAGCATAAGTGCTTACTATAAAGCCCCATGAATTTCACAGTAACTAATCATAAAATTTTTTTACTAGGCAATCCAAAGGAAAAAGCATGCTCGCCTTTCCGCATCTTCCTCTGTTAAAAAATTTGGCTGAACTGATAAATCAATAAAATGCGTAGTCGTATCCTCAGCAATTTGTCTATAAGTCAATGTCAAAGCTTTTTTATTGCTTCTTTTTGGTCTTTCCCCATTAATCAAGATTGATGAGCCTGAGTCTCTGATTGTTTCTCGGTCTTTTGGCTTAATAAATTCTTGAAAAGCAGGAACTTGGTAAATTTCAGGGATTTTCAGTAGCTCTGTAAAATATATTTCAAGTTCTCGCCTTCTGTGATCTATAAATTGTGGAGATGTATTGCCAAAGAACTTTTTGGGAGGGAAATCAAGCCATTGTGAATATTTAATTAGAGATTCGTAGAGTTTTCGCAAGACAGAGTAACGGCGCTTTATAGATCATGTTTCTCCTGTTTGGGTATCTTTGACGAGAAGTATGTACTCGATGTAGTTTTGCTGTTTCTGGTAATCATTTATCGCAATTAAGTATGACATCTTAGGAAAAAATTATTAGTATTTGTGTTTAGGGAAGAATTAGTGAAATACATAGTAGCCAGTATTAGATGGAAACGGCTTTAGTAGCTGACTCATAAAAACGTAGAAAATATATTGGGAAAATTTAATTGAATTTTTTTAAATTTTGACTAAAAATTCGGCACGCTTGATTACCTAATTAAATAAAAATTCAAATAAATAAAAGTCTTTGTTTACTCAAAAATATTGAAATATTTGGACTGACAAATTTTAATTTTTGAATATTTAAAAATATATGATAGAATTTTTTCTATTTCATTATTTAAACTATCATTAAATTCCAATTAATGGGAGCAGCATGCTCATGCTTTAAAGAAACCCAGCTAGACTCAGAGCAACTTACTATCAAAAAAGAAACTTCAAATTCACGTTTAAAACAAGAGCAAGGCGCTTTTGTCATTGAAATACCTGCCTATTTTTTCAAGCCTGCAGAAATCAACAATTCCCATCTCTTAATTTTGCAATCTGTCCTAACTCCCCCCCCCCATCCTTGATCGAACGACTCGCCATCGTTCGATCAAGGATGGGGTTAAAAAAAATTTTTTTGGGAAAAAAAATTTTTATATATATTTTTTTTTATTTACTTTTAAATAAGAGGGTTAAGGGTATTTAATAATTATTTTTACAGCAAAAAATTTAATTAATTTCATAAAAATACCAATTTTTAATATTTTGATTTATTAGTTACCCCTTTAAACTGTATAAATTTTAATTTTGCTCCTTATTAAATTAAATTTTTTTTTAAAATTTTAAAAGATCTCTATATTTTATTAGATCATTAATTTTTTAAGCCTAGATTGATGACTAAATCACTTCGGATGGTTGATTTCGAAGCTTTCTGTCCTCTCAAAGTCCCTGAAAACAACTTCATTAGGTGCATCTTCCCAAGCTTTTGATAACTAATATATTTTTATATATATATAAAAGTTGCATGATATGAAAATCGTTCGATCAAGGATGGGGGTTAATTTCCCCAATTTTTAGGAATTTTTACAGTCAATCGTTCGATCAAGGATGGGGGGGGGAGTAAGAGGTTATCTTGATCGTCGAGCAGTTAAAGAAAAAATCAAGGCTAATAGCACTCAAGTCAGGCTAAACTCTGGATACACAATGCAGCCTAGAAATTCCGTTATGGAAATTCATGGAGAACTTCCAAATTATTCAAACACTATAACAGAAGCTATATATAAAAAACTTGAGCCTTTTCAGTATGATGCTGAGTTCACTGATAATACTCCAAGGGTCAAAAAAGGCCCAGTTTTGCTCGATAACGGAGCTATTTATATAGGAGAGTGAAGTGATAAATGAGAAAGGCACGGAAAAGGAGTCCAAGTTTGGCCTGATGGATCAAAATATGAAGGTTACTGACTGCATGATAGAGCTAACGGAAAAGGAAGGCTGATGCATGGAGATGGAGATGTTTATGAAGGAGACTGAGTTGATGATAAAGCACATGGCTATGGAGTTTATAAACATACTGATGGCGCCACCTATAATGGCCAATGAAAAGATGATAAACAGCATGGGTTTGGCCTTGAAATATGGCCTGACGGAGCCAGATATGAAGGACAGTATACTTATGGCAGAAAAGATGGGAAAGGCAAATTCCATTGGTCTGATGGAAGCAAATACTATGGGGAGTTTAAAGATAATAATATTGATGGAGAAGGAATTTATTCATGAATGGATGGAAGAAGATATGAAGGAACCTGAAAAAACAATAAAATGGATGGATTTGGCACTTTTACGTGGGCTGATGGAAGATGTTATAAAGGAGAGTATGTAGATGATAAAAAACAAGGCAGGGGGTATTTTTCGTGACCTGATGGAAGAAAATATGAAGGAAGCTGATATAATGGTAAACAGCATGGACATGGGGTTTACTCTACTGCTAAAGGGGAAAGAAAAGAAGGAGAATGGCAAGAAGGAAAAAGACTGAAGTGGGTTGAAAATTAAATATACTTAAAAAATTTTGTATTCAATTTTAGCTGCTTCCTTCAAGATTAATTTTTTATATGATTGTTATGAAAAATGACAGACTTAATTTTTGTTCCTAAATTAGGACTTATTCCAGGAAGACCAAACAGCAATGCTCGACAGCGAATCTGGGTCAAACCTCCTGCCATCTCAAAAAACACTATCACTTCACTTCGGCAAAGACGAAATAAATCAGCCACAAAGCAAAGATCACCATTTACTCAGTTACTCAAAGTAAAATCCCCAAGGCTTCAGTCAGTTAAATTAGCAAATACCTGAATAGAAAAGACTTATTCCAGATGAGACGACATTTTATATCAGCCAAACTTAAGACCCAGAACCACAGCTACAAAAAGGAGGAAAATTTATGATTCAGGCAGCCAAAAAAACGTAAATGAAATCCCAAGGCACATTAATGTTGATTATGAAATTTTAAGAAATGAAGAATTAGAATACACCCTACAAGAAACTAAGCCATCTCTTTTGCCTAGACCGATTCGAAATCGGCCTATAACTGCCCCAAAGCCAAACATTGAGATTCAGTTATAATTTTTTGATAAGTTAATTTTTATTTTACGTTAATCTTGCTTTTGTTTTGCTCCTGTTCTGATGATATAGATAATTAATCCAACCACAAATAGTAGGGAGGCAATAACTAAGTATCCTCCAAATGGAATTCCTCCACAGGAATGGCATTTCTTAGGCAAGGGCGTTGTGTAGTTTGCCGAAGTTTTATAGTCCCAGGTATCATTTAATAGTTTATGAAGCTTTGTTTCGTTTTCTACCGGAAAATCCCCGAAGTAATAAGCAGTGCTATTAGCTCGTCTGTAATCTACCAAAATCAGCTGCGGATGCTCATAAGCTTTGAATTTTTCTGCTATGTCTGGGAATATATTGATATCGAGATAAGAAAACTGAAACCTGAAATCCTTTGCTTTTCTTAACCCCCAAGCCAAAGCTCTCATGTGGCCTACATATCTGCCAGTCTGAGTTTGGTTATTTAAATCTATAGCTGCCAGTGCAAATAGCTTGCCTTTGAGCCATGGCATGACTTCTTTTTCTATACTTCTTGTGAAGTTAAAGACCATCCCATACTTGTATTTTTCAACAAAGTCTCTTAAGGAATCTCTATCAAAATTTGTAATGTTGTAGTCATAAGCGTCATCAATACCATGCTGCTTTACAGCTGGCAGCTCAGTCCATTCAACTCTAGCATGCTGGAATAAACCTTCTGCTTGGGATTTTCCAAAATAAGTATGTGTATGATGCATTTCTCGAGCAAGCTGCTCAAACTCAATATCCTGAGGCTTTCTAACACCTGAAAGGAATTCTGGAAAAGTCCAAAGCATAAAGGCACTTTTGAATTTTCTGAATCTTCTTAAATGCTCTGTTGAGGAGACGGGTAAAATTTGAGGCATAGAAATTTTTTGACCAAATTCAAGGAAATCATCGTAAGTTAAATCCCAATTGAACTCTTTTACTAACTCTTCAATGTGAATAAGCTAAACTATTGGAAAATTACTATTTTTGGGAAGAAAAAAAAACTGTGTGAAAAATAGCGGCTTGCTTTGGATCATCCTGGGCTACATATTGCTGCCTCAGCTTGTTGGGTTGGCAAGTAAAAATTATAATAACACTTGTGAGCTCATAGAGTTGGGTTGGCAAACTGATGCTGCCTGATTCAACCTTACAGGTTGAGGCAGCAAAATGTAGCCCAGGGAGATCTAAAGCAGGCTCTAGGCAATATATTAGTGATAATCATTATAAATAAATCTCAGCTATTTTATTGAATTTTAAAACCGATTTCATTCTAACGCATGCATTTATAATTAAATTAATTTTTCAATTCTGAATTTGGATTATTTTAAATGTGTATAAAACTTAAATAAATATAAACTTCCTCCGTGAATGAGAAAAGTTTTGGTCACAGAAGGATGATTAAGCCTCGAGAAACATAAGTAGCATTAGGCAGTTTTGTGATTTTAAGCCTTTCGCAAGTTTCTAAATGTTCTTGACAGTTGAATAAGCTGAATGTTAGCTTTTGTGTGATTTCAGACTGAGAGGCGTTTAAAAATTCTTGCTCGATTTTTCCAGAAGGGTTGTTTGTATATAAAATAAGCCAATCTTTTGGAGAGGTATTTCTATATGGATAAGAGTGGTTAGTTGAATTAAGAGCAATATACTCAGCGCTGCATGCTATAATTAACACGTATGCTAAAATCATTTTATTAATTTCAATATGGATATCACTAATTGTGGGAAAAGAAACTCTATGTAAAAAAGTGACTAGCTTATTGTGACTTCATTTATTGCGATTCTATGTATTTATTTATGAATATATTCGAAACCAAGCTTCGATATTTGCTAGGAAAATTTTTAATCGGTTGCCTATGCTTATTAGGCTGAAAATTTTTAAATTTATTAATTCATGCAAAATGTTAATCCAATTTCTAGAAGTTCTGCGAATCAACATTTAAAACAATTTTGAAATAGTTTGATATACGCCCTTCCTATAGATGGCGCATTGCGCGCCATCTATAGGAAGGGCGTATATTAAATCCATCTTTTCTTGTCTCACCTCAAGCTGATCCTGTTCAATACAAAGATTTAAGAGGTAGCTAACTTTAAAAAAGCACTTTGAATTGTTTCATTCATATGCAATTTACGAGAATCTGATGCTCTAATCACTTATTCTCATAAAATAATTGAATTTATTAATTTAACTCTTAAAACTCAAATAACTAATGTAATAGATCGGGATTTCTTTTTCTATGCAGCCATTATTTGATTTGTTTAAGCTCATCTGGCTTCTATTGTTGTGGTTGTAACCCCAAGAGTATGATGATGCTAATAGTTTATTTGATTAGATAATTTGAATAGCTGAAATATTGCTGTAGCTGATACAAAAAAGAAATTCCTTAATAGAGATGAGAGCTATTAAGATATCATCTTTTGAATTTTAAATAGTAAATTATCAAATTGTAATTTGGTTTATTCCTATTGCACTCAATCTATGCGACCAAAAGTATAAATAAATGATAAGTAAAATTTTGAACTTGAGTCTGTCTAAAATAGTGATTTAATTGTCTCTCATAAAATCAATTAAAATTGAAATTAGCTTTCACAGATATCCTTCCTTGAAGAGATATCCAAAATTCATTCTAATAGTTGATTGCTTTGATTGTTTGACTTCTTATTGAAAAGCATAAATTAACGATTTGAAATCTTCTTTTATTCAATAGGTTATCTTATTTTAAAATAACCCCAACAGAGCCTCTGTAATATTTTACTACACTGTCCCTAATTCCCTCTTTCTTATCACCTCATCTCTAGTTTTCTTTAATTTTTATTCGTATAGCTTATTGCAATGGTCGATCTAGGCTCAAAAGCTTAATCTCAAATGCCCACCTTTTCCATTTAAAACCGCCCTTTTTAAAATCAGGGGTACCCACAGGCATTTTTTCCTATACCCTTTTAAAAATCATGGGGGTCTTTAATTTAATTTTTCCTTATTTAAGCCAAGCCGAAAAATGTTTATAATAAAAATCAGAATATGAGAGAAGTTATATCAATTCACGTCGGACAAGCAGGTATTCAAGTCGGAAATGCTTGTTGGGAACTTTACTGTCTAGAACACGGCATTCAGCCAGACGGACAAATGCCAAGCGATAAAACTATCGGAGGAGGAGATGATGCCTTTAACACTTTCTTCAGCGAAACTGGTGCTGGCAAGCACGTTCCTCGTGCAGTCTTCTTAGACTTAGAACCAACTGTTATTGATGAAGTCAGAACAGGTACCTACCGTCAACTTTTCCACCCAGAGCAGCTCATCTCTGGCAAGGAAGACGCCGCTAACAACTTCGCCCGTGGTCACTACACCATTGGTAAAGAAATCGTTGACCTCTGCTTGGACAGAATCAGAAAACTCGCTGATAACTGCACAGGACTTCAAGGTTTCTTAGTTTTCAACTCAGTCGGTGGTGGTACAGGTTCAGGTCTTGGTTCATTGCTTCTTGAAAGACTTTCAGTCGACTACGGAAAGAAATCAAAACTTGGCTTCACCGTTTACCCATCTCCTCAAGTTTCAACTGCAGTCGTCGAGCCATACAACTCAGTCTTATCAACCCACTCCCTTCTTGAGCACACTGATGTTGCCGTTATGCTTGATAACGAAGCTATTTATGACATCTGCAGAAGACAACTTGATATTGAGAGACCAACTTATACTAATTTGAACAGACTTGTTGCTCAAGTAATTTCTTCATTGACTGCTTCACTTAGGTTTGATGGTGCCTTGAACGTCGATGTCACTGAATTCCAGACCAATTTGGTGCCATATCCAAGAATTCACTTCATGCTTTCTTCATATGCTCCAATCATTTCTGCTGAGAAGGCTTATCATGAACAACTCTCTGTGGCAGAAATCACCAACAGTGCTTTTGAACCAGCTTCTATGATGGCCAAGTGTGATCCTAGACACGGAAAATATATGGCCTGCTGCATGATGTACAGAGGAGACGTATAGGAAATAGCGGTGATTATAGATATTTGGAGGTTACTATGAGGAATGCCTAAAGTTTAGAAAAATGGATAGTTCCAAAAGATGTCAATGCAGCTGTTGCTACCATTAAGACCAAGAGAACCATTCAATTCGTAGATTGGTGTCCAACTGGATTCAAATGTGGAATTAACTATCAACCACCAACTGTTGTCCCAGGTGGTGACTTAGCTAAAGTTATGAGAGCTGTTTGCATGATCAGCAACTCAACTGCTATTGCTGAAGTTTTCTCTAGAATTGACCATAAGTTCGATTTAATGTACGCTAAAAGAGCTTTCGTCCATTGGTATGTCGGAGAAGGTATGGAAGAAGGAGAATTCTCTGAAGCAAGAGAAGATTTTATGGGGAATTATAATAGATAGGCATTTTTTAATAATTGGAATAGTTATAATTGTGAGGCTTCATAAGATAAATTTAGAAGATAAGGAATAGCTGCCCTCGAAAAGGATTATGAAGAAGTCGGAATTGAAACTGCTGAAGCTGAAGGAGAAGAAGAGGGTTACGGAGAAGAACTCAACTTAAATATTTAAAGTTTTATGATAAATTTTGCAGGCCATAGTTTATATTTACTAATCTTATAATTTATATCACAATTTAATAAATTGATATTAAATAGGAGATAGTAAGTAACATAATCAATTTGAAACATTTTCATAAATTGAGTCATTTATAATCTGAGATCTAAACTCTATAAATACATAAAGATGAAACTGCTTAAAATTAGAATGCCTTATATCCATAAATATCTTTAAAATTGAAAGTCGAAAAATGCTTTAGAGTCGGCTAAGGAATTCCTTACAGCCTAAAAGAAACTTATAATTATAAATTATTGCCTTTTAATTAGCATATGAAGAGTTGAGCCTTCCAGAATGTTATACGAAGCAATAGTTTTCCCACTTTCTAATACTCTTCCAGAAAACAAAATTCTTTGTTGGCCAGCAGGCACGCCTTGGCTTTCTTCAATCAATTCCTTTAGCCTATCAACCATGTCTAAAGGATCAACATATAGATCAATATATGTGCCTACCGGCGTACACACAGAAATTTGCATTCCTCCTCTAAGTCTCAAGACAAGGTGAAGCGTCGATTCCTTCTGAATATTATAATCAGCCAATGTCCTGCCATCTTCCAATTGCTTCCCTGCAAAAATAAGCCGTTGTTGATCAGGAGGTATCCCTTCCTTATCTTGAATTTTCGCTTTCACATTGTCAATAGTATCCGATGATTCCACATCCAGTGTAACCGTTTTCCCAGTGAGAGTTTTCACAAATATTTGCATATTTTATTATATTTAGTTAATTTTATTCAACTTATTTCTTAAACAATTTCTATAAATATCTTTAAAATCGGAAAATTTCTTAGACTCAGCTAACGAATTCATCACAAATTAAATTATTGCTGTCTTCAGTTTTTATTCGCCAATATGCACCTAATTACCATATGATCCATAATGTTATACGAAGCAAGACTTTTTCCACTTTCTACTACTCTTCCAGCAAGCAAAATTCTTTGCTGATCAGCAGGCACGCCTTGGCTTTCTTCAAACAAAGCCTTTAGCCTATCAGCCATGTCTAAAGGATCAACATTAAGTGTAATTCTTTTGCCTACCAATATATACACAAAAACTTGCATACCTCCTCTAAGTCTCAAGACAAGGTGAAGCGTCGATTCCTTCTGAATATTATAATCTGCCAATGCCCTGCCATCTTCCAATTGCTTCCCTGCAAAAATAAGCCGTTGTTGGTCAGGAGGTATCCCTTCCTTATCTTGAATTTTCGCTTTCACATTATCAATAGTATCCGACGATTCTACGTGTTTTCCCAGTGAGCGTTTTCACAAAAATTTGCATATTTTATTATATTTAGCCCAATTTATTTCCTAGGCAATTTCTATTAATATCTTTAAAATCTGAAAACCTCGAAAAATATTTTAGAATCGGCTAATGAATTTATCACAAATTAAAAGATATAGTCATAAATTATTTTGCTATCGTCAGGTTTGATCGTCCAATATTACATCTAATTACCATATGAAGGTTTGAGCCTTCTATAATGTTATACGAAGCAAGACTTTTTCCACTTTCTACTAATCTTCCAGCAAACACAATTCCATGCTGATCAGCAGGCACGCCTTGGCTTTCTTCAATTAAAGCCTTTAGCCTATCAACCATGTCTAAAGGATCAACATTAAGAGTAATTCTTGTCCCTACCAACGTATACACAAAAATTTGCATACCTCCTCTAAGTCTCAAGACAAGGTGAAGCGTCGATTCCTTCTGAATATTATAATCTGCCAATGTCCTGCCATCTTCCAATTGCTTTCCAGCAAAAATAAGCCGTTGTTGGTCAGGAGGTATCCCTTCCTTATCTTGAATTTTCGCTTTCACATTATCAATAGTATCCGACGATTCTACGTGTTTTCCCAGTGAGCGTTTTCACAAAAATTTGCATATTTTATTATATCTAGCCTAATTTATTTCTTGTGGGTTTTTACAAAAAATAGGCATTTTTTCAATGTTTTTGCTCGGTTGTTTAGACAATTTCTATTAATATCTTTAAAATCTGAAAATTTCGAAAAATATTTTAGACTCGGCTAGCGAATTCATTACAAATTAAAAGAAATAGTTATAAATTATTGTGTTTTCATCAGTTTTTATTCGTCAATATGGCAACTAATTAACATGAAAAGCCTTGAGCCTTCCATTATGTTATATGAAGCCAGGCTTCTTCCATTTTGTAGTAATTCTCCACCAAACGCAATTTTTTGTTGATCAGCAGGCACATGTTGACTTTCTTCAATCAAAGCCTTGAGTCTATCAACCATGTCTAAAGGATCAACATTAAAGGTAACTTTTTTGCCTACCAACGTAGAAACAATAACTTGCATCCCTCCTCTAAGTCTCAAGACAAGGTGAAGCGTCGATTCCTTCTGAATATTATAATCAGCCAATGTCCTACCATCTTCCAATTGCTTCCCTGAAAAAATAAGCCGTTGTTGGTCAGGAGGTATCCCTTCCTTATCTTGAATTTTCGCTTTCACATTATCAATAGTATCCGATGATTCCACATCCAGTGTAATCGTTTTCCCAGTTAGCGTTTTCACAAAAATTTGCATATTTTATTATATTTATCCCAATTTATTTCCTAAATCTCCAGCTCGTCTTTATCTTGTAGCATATTTAAATAAACCCACAATTTAAGTGCCTACTCCTTAAAGCCTATCTAAATTTTCAAAATCTAATTCACACACATTTTATTTCTTATTTTAATCCATCCACTATAAATGCTCAAGAACGTGGCTGCAAAAGGCCTTATAGGCAAGAGGTCTTCTTTAGGTCGAAGTGAAGCTCTCAGAGACATCGGCATGAAAGAGCACGTTCATCGACTTTTCGACAGATCTTCAGCTTATACAAGAATCCCAGGCTCCTTTGTGGAAGGGCTAAAGAAATGCTCACACATCTTAGAAATGCAAATCCCAATAAAACGTGACGACGGTTCTATTGATATTTTTGAAGGCTTCAGAGCTCACCACTCCATCCACGCTTTGCCGCTTAAAGGAGGAATCAGATTCACCCCAGGGCTCAAGCTAGAAGATGTGGAAGCTGTTGCAGCACTCATGACATTGAAGATGGCTGTTGTGGACATTCCTTATGGAGGAGCCCACGGAGGAGTTTCAGTTGACCCATCTAAACTGAGCAAATCAGAGCTCGAACAGCTGACCAGAAATTATGCTAGGGAGCTGACCAAGTCTGGCTTCATGGGACCATCAATTGATGTGGCTGGCCCTGATATTGGCACTGATTCTACAACAATGGCATGGGTCATGGACGAGTACTCAAAGCTAGCTCCAAATGATACAGAACTGCTAGCTGTGGTCACTGGGAAACCAGAGGCATCTGGAGGCATTGCTGGTAGAGTTGAAGCCACTGGTCGCGGCTTTTATTATGCTCTCCACCAATTCTTGTCTGATTTAGAGCTGACTGAGTCATTAGGCCTTACAAATAACTTAGACAACAAGTCATATATCATCCAAGGCTTTGGAAATGTAGGCTACTATATTGCTAAATTTGTGACGGAAAACGCCAAAGGCAAAATAGTAGGAATTTTGGAAAAGGATGGTGGCACTTATAACCCTGAAGGACTTGACGTAAAAGCTTTAAAGAAGCATTTTGACAAGCATCATACACTTAAAGGATTTGATGGCGGAGACACCTATTCATATGCAGAAGATATTTTATGCTGGCTTAGAAAGACTAAAAAGATAGCCACTGGCTATATTATCAGTATAAAAAGAAATTTTAATTGGATAATTCTAACTCCCCCCCCCCCTCCGTGAGTGAACAAAAAAAATTTTGTTCACTCATGGAGGGGGGTTAATTTTTTTTTTTTAAAAACATTTATATATAAATTTTATAAAAAATATTTTTTTTCGAAATTTGAAAAAATCCTAATTCGCAAAAATTGGAAAGCAAATATTAATTTAATTTATAAAATTTATGTTTTAAAAAGCAATTTGTTTAAAATTAAATAGAATTAGCTCTAGATTTCATTATACTAATTATCATTTATATATCAAAATTTTTTTCCATAAAAAATGTTTTCTATTAAAAAAATTTTTGTTCACTCACGGAGGGTGGGTTTTTGGGCAAAAAATAGGGATTTTTCTAATGGTTTTGTTCACTCACGGAGGGGGGGGGGAGTAAGCATTTAGGCTCTCTAAATAATCATATCAAAAGAATGCGACATCTTGGTACCAGCAGCTATTGAAAAAACCATTAACTCAGAAAACATGCACCTCCTAAAATGCAAAATTGTTGCAGAAGCTGCCAATATGCCAATCACACTTAAAGCTGAAGAGTATTTACTTAACCATGGAGTCGCTATTTTACCTGACATTTTAATGAACGCTGGAGGAGTCATTACTTCATACTTCGAGTATGTAAAGAACATTGGCCACATTAGTCCAGGCAAATTAACAAAGAGATGGGAAATGAGGTCAAATGAAGCTATATTGAAGTTCATTGCAGGGCTCTTGGAAACTGATCTTACACATGGAGAGCTTCACGTTGCTTCAGATTTGGATATTGTGAATAACGCTTTGGAAGATCTTATGACGAACTCTGTCAAGCTTACCCAGAAGACTGCTAATAGATTCGCTATTAACTATAGAGACGCAGCTTATGTGAATGCCATCAATAGAATATATGAAAATTTAAGGTATAGCAGCTACTATGCAGCTTAAATAATAGCTAACATTTATTTATAAGAATTTGTGATGAATTTAAATTGGAAATTAATTCTGCTCAATTCTTACATTTTTATTCTGAATATGGGGCTTGTAAAGATCTCATTTTAGAATGATGATCTCAGCTAAATCTTGGCAAGCTCAGATAAAGCCATCATCTGATCGTCATCTTCCTATAGCCCCAGAAGCAAAAATCATATCTAAAAGCTATCAGAGTTCGCTTGGTGAACAAGCCAATCTGATCCAGATGAAAATCAACCGAATTGAGTCTGAGAAAGACTCGCTGTATTAGAAAGTTCTAGATCTAAAGCAGCTCCTACAAAGAATTTCAATTGAGCAACAAAGAGAAGCTGCCAGGAATCAAAGAATCACACAAGACCTTAACCAAAAAATCAAAAGATTAGAAAAAGCTTTAGAAATTTCAAGAGAAAACGGAGGCCATCTGCAACAGATAAAAAGCTTTTGGGGAGAATTTATTGAGTGAGCTTAAAAGATTAGTAATATTATAAAATTTCATAAATATACTTTTTGTCCTCTTCTTTGGATATATGCTTATGAGCTCTTGCTGTAATTTTTTCAAAATTTGGAGTAGATATATAATTTAAGGCTCCTTATAGATTCTTTTGTAGCAATACTTTTGCCTATTGAAAATGCCAGTTTTTCTGAAAAGGGCAAATTAAAATTGACAAATACAGCTATAATTTGCATTTTCAATTTTAAATTGTGTTTGCTAGAAAAATTGGCATTTTCGTCGACTATTCAACAGACAAAGGTATTGCTCCTAAACAAGCAAAAATAGGGCTGGAGCTATATGGGTTTTTGGAAGAATTATATTATAAGCTTTTGCAACTTTGTCTTGATTTATAGTGTCAACTTTATATTTTTCTGGCGAAAAACGAACCCCAACTGCTTTGCTCATATCATAAGCGCCAATGTTGGCTTTTCGCTTGATGATTTTATCAGAAAATATATAAGGAGACGGGGTGAAAGACTTTTGAGGTTCCTTTCTTGGGGAAATTTTACCGAAATCAACACTTGGGGAACTTTTATACTTGGAAAAAAGTTTAGGAAAATTAACTGTTTCGAAACGGGCTTCAATTTGAGAAGATGATGTGTATTTTCTTGGTAATTGTTTGTCAAACGACAGAGAGGCTCTTGAAGACCAAGAAGAATCTACCTCCCTCTGAATTTATTTTTAAAGAAGAATTATCATAAAATATATTATAATAACTTTGTTTAAATAGTTATCTAATTAGTTTATTATAGAATTCGGAAGCATTAAAGATAATTATTATTTTTCCTTATAAAATTAGTATTTTATTCTAATTTAAAGGGGATAGTTTACTCAAAAATATAAATTTTACTGAATTTTTCCAATTTAAAGAAAGAGTAAGGTATTTTCTTCAGTAGTCCTTTGCTTAATTTTTTTCCTCAACGCATTGAAATCTATATAGCTAATTTCTGAATTCAAAGTATTTTTTCGTTTTACAGGATAATGACAGGTAAGGTCTTCGGTATCAACACAGGTTGGGATATAGATTTTTTGATTTCTGGATAATCCAGAAACTGATCTGAGTATTGATACTTCAGGTACTCGAGGCAGAAGAAAATTGATTCTTGGATTGTATTTGGTAGAAGGAGGAGATTCAAGATTTGAAGGTTTCTGTATAAATTTTACGTTTATTTTTTCTAACTTCTCTCTGGATGGGGATAAAAAGCATGAAGAGTGCCTACTATGAGCTTTCCCAGTTTTCTCTAATAAATCGATTTCTTTTTGAACTTTTTTCAATTCTTTTTCCACATCTTCGGCACTAATTAGTCTGGCGGGGTTTTGTCTGGACAGGACTATATGGCAGGCTTTTCCTAAGCTCAGATGAGAAACCGAAGGAGCAGCGTCAACTCATTTTATTGGTAAGCAATATTTCTCTACATAAGGCGTGATAATCTCAGAAAGAGGCTTGGGCAATAAACTCATACCTGATCACTATTAGGGGTTTAGAGACTCCTTCGCTGTGGAGACAAGACCCATGCAAGGCTGGGTGAGTCTTCCCGAGTTACTGGTGACGCCAGCATGAAAAGGATTTGCGTGTGGCTGCCACTGCTCTAGGCAGCCTTAGCCCAAAGCCTACTAAGGACGGTTAGAGGCTGAAATAATCCTCCACCACCCCCAAAATCTTTATCTAATCAGCACTAATTTGTTTCAAAAGCGGAGGTGGCTCACTTTTTTCCCTCACACAGTAATTTTTCCCCGCAAAATCATACACCTTTCCAAGCCTGGAGAATTTCTTTGGGCTGATAAAGCTCATTTTTCTAATATCACAATTAAAACCCTAATATAGTTTATATTTAAACTCTATGATGATGAGAAGACCATCCTGGGTCAGTCACGTTAATTTCAATCCCAGGGAGAAGCTCTCTAATTCTTGCTTCAAACTCACTATTCTTAGAAGGATCTACCTTCCCATCAAATCTTACCCAAATTTCATATTTCGTGACTTTTCCTTTATCAACAATCCTTATTCCTGTAATTTGTTCTGGCATGAAAAAAGTTTCTCCGATTAAAGCATAAGCAAGACGGGTCCAAATATTTTTTATTTCTTCACGATTATAAGGCCTTTTGAAAGAAAAATCAGACCCGAATTTATTTACTTCGTCTTCCCATGCTGGGACGATATTTTCTTCAAAAATCCCAATAGCTTCGATAGGCTGAGTCATCCCTTCAAAGTTTTTCTGCATGTTGCTTTCTTCGGTAAAGAGATAGGAAGGATCAGCGTGAGGGAGGTTAGACCAGTGCTGCCAAAATGATCAGAGAGTATCGAACTTGCCAATGATTTTCATGTTATCTAGAAAATTTGCAGTGTTTCTGGTGTCCCACATTTCCCAGAGAACCCATGTTCTTTGAAGAGGATACTTGCTTGAAGCTTCCATCTTTATAAAGATTCTAGTTTAGCATATTGACACTATGAGGATTATTCATATCTGGTCAGGTAGTTTTCAAAGGAAAATTTTGAAAGAAACAGTGAAGTCTGAGATTTTTTTAAAATAATTTTAAGGGCAAAGCTTGAAAGATAATTATTAATCTTGGTATATACAATGATGCTAAAAATAATTGAGATAGCATGAGGAAAATTTAATTAATTTTTACTTGCAGATTAAATTTGCCTTAATTTACTAACTCCGCCCTCTGTGAGCGGCGTTTAATTTTTTTTAAAATTTATATATGAATTTTTAGAAAATTTTTTTTTTCTAAACTTAAAAAAAATCAACACTTCGCAAAAACTGTAAAGCAAATATTAATTTAAATTGTAAAATTTTTGCTTTAAAACGCAATTTGTTTAAAAATTAAACAGAATTAGCTCAAGATTTTATTATACTTATTATCACTTATATATCAAAAATTTTTTTCCATAAAAAATTTTTCTATTAAAATAATTATTGTTCACTCTCGGAGGGTGGGTTTTTGGGCAAAAAATAGCGATTTTTCTAATGGTTTTGTTCGCTCACAGAGTGGGGGGAGAAATGATTTTTCCTAATACCATTCCGACTTCTTTCCCAGTTTATATATCGCAAAATTAATTAAATCTTTATCTGTGCCCAATCTTTTATTTTATCAAGTTGCACAAATTTTCATTTAATTCAAAACCATTTAAACTGCACCATTGTTTTTTTAGAGCTGGATACTTACATCAGATTAATTAAAATAAAAATGGAAGGGAAAGTTGCTGATATGGTCAATGAAATATGTAAAGCAGAGAGCGAGTATGGCTCTTGGACCTTAATGCATCGGTGTAATCTTTGTAATAAATGAATGAAAATCATAGGAAACTCCGATCTAGAAAGCCTTGCATGGATTTATGTATGGATGAGGTATTCAGAACTGCGGAAATTAGATTGGCAAAGAAAATACAACACAAGGCCTTCAGAATTAGCTGCAAGCCAGAAAAATTTAGCATTCACCGTAACAGAATTAATTGCGAAAGCCAGCAAGCAAGGCTTTGTATCCCCCGCATGAATATTACGTAGCATTTTAGGAAGTTTTGGAAGAGGCGGTGATTATGGACAGAGAATTCGTGACCAAATCTTAGAAATAATGCACAGGCATAGAATTGGTGAGACTTATGGCACTTATCTTGAGCAATGGCATCAAAAGTTGCACAACAATACAACTCCAGATGATATCGGAATTTGTGAGGCGACCATTGCATATTGGGAAACAGGCAACATGAATAAATACTGACTCCCCCCCCTCCGTGAGCGAACAAAACCATTAGAAAAATCGCCATTTTTTGACCAAAAACCCACCCTCCGTGAGTGAACAAAAATATTTTTAATAGAAAAAATTTTAATAGAAAAAAATTTTGCTATATAAGTGATAATTAGTATAATGAAATCTAGAGCTAATTCTGTTTAATTTTAAACAAATTGCGTTTTAAAACATAAATTTTGCAAATTAAATTAGTATTTGCTTCCCAATTTTTGCAAATTAGGATTTTTTTAAATTTCGAAAAAAATATTTTTTATAAAATTTATATATAAATTGTTTTTAAAAAAAAAATTAACCCCCCTCCGTGAGTGAACAAAATTTTTTTGTTCGCTCACGGAGGGGGGGGGGGGAGTGAGAAGTTCTACATAGTCATGGGATTACTAGAGATAGATTAGCGTCCTTTGAAAGACCAATCACAACCCAGCCTAACTACACGCCTTATTTAATTAATGATTTCAGAGATTTCTTGAAGACTTTAAAATCAGTCCACTCAGGGGCTGATTTAATCACAAGTATAGAGCATGCCAGGCATTGTTTTACTCCATTTATGCATGTAAAAATAGATGATGTGCTCAGAAATTTACATCATTGGGATACAATCAGTCAAATTGAGAGAGCTGTGTGGGCGAGGCTTGAAATTAATTATCATGGAAATAAAGGGAATAATTATCAATATAGAGAACTTTTGTATGTCGATTTGAGCTTAGAAATGTATATCAGGCAACTATTTGAATCAATTTTACATAGAAATATGGCTCCGAGACATTATATTAGAGAGCTAAATTTGCTATTGGATAATGCTTTGATTACAAATGAGGATAAAGAATTGATTATTGCTGTAAATGATTGGAAATCGCTAGCGAAAAGATATGGAGATTGATTAGGCCATTAAAGACAGGCGTTAGCCATATTGGTGACTCAGTTACCGAATGGGAGAGAGGTGCAACCGCTTTTTGACTCCGGCTCAGAGAGTTTTTATCCAAAGGTGGATACTTCCGGTACCTTCTGTCTACTTCTTGCCTTAGGGCTTCAGTCTTGAGTGGGCTTAAGGATTTCTGCTATCCTGCTACGGGCCATTGGAGTGGCTTGATTCCAAGGATCCTTGGAGTCTATCGTATGCCGAAGTGCCTTCCTTCGACAGCTACAGGGAAAAGACTACTGTGGCCTGGGCCGAAATCCCCAGTTTTTCGGTAGAGGAATGCCTATGGGTCCTCGATCCAAAGGACTTTGAGCGCCTCCATTTACAACCACAGGAAAGTAGCCAAAACCTATCAGGATGCACATCTCTTGAGCCTGCACCTGATTCTCGGCTCGGAGTCCATCCCAGTTCACCGTAGCCATAAGGTCCAGACTGTTGCACCAAGAGGACAGACTAACATGTGTAGCCATTTTAAAGTATGCGAAAAGATATGCAAATAATTTAGAAGGAAATCGTGAAATCGCATTGGTGCTGAAATCAGCGGCTGACAGAATTGGCAGGATCATAGGTGTTGCTGTAGATGATTTTAGTAGCCTATTTCAGCCTAAAGCAAAAACAATTGGCGAACGTTGCAAAATTGATAAAGATTTTGTTGATTTTTTCAGCGAAGAAATAATTAGAGCATCCTGTTTTTTTGCCCCATCAATGATTTTGAGGAAGCTAGATGCACAGTTCAGAGGAATTGCAAAGCTAAAACCTTGGCAAATTATCAGCCCCATTTCAAAAATCCAAGGAAAGCTAATAAAAGTCGAATTACTTCATGATGTAGCTTATAACATTTATAATGAGCCTACTATTATTTTATCGAAAAAAACATTCGGAGAAGAAGAAATTCCTGAAGGAGTCCTTGGGGTAATTTCTTGTGGAGAACTTGATGGCCTCGCACATGTTTCTGTAAGGGCCAGAAATCAGAAAAAATTGCTAGCTGTTTGTTTTAATGAGGAGGAAATAAAAAATATAGAAAAATATGTCGATCAATGAATCTGTGTGACTTCTCAAGGAGGGATAATTATAGTAAAGTCAGCACAAGAAGAAAGATTTGAAGAAGAAGAAAATGAGAGATATGATGCTCAGCAAATCAAAAGACCTGAGCCATTAGAATTTATTGCTATATCTTCTGATCAGTTTAATGAAAGAAAAGTTGGGGCAAAAGCTAATAATTGTGAAATTTTAAAGAGAAATCTTCCTGACTTTCCCTCTCCGAGAGAGTGAAAAAAAAAAATTTTGTTCCTTACAGAGGAGATTCATTTTATTAATGAATTTTTTTAAAAATCCAATTCACAGAAATTCGAAAATAGAAATTAATTTAAATTGAAAAGCAAAAATTAATTTAATTTGTACAATTTATGTTTTAAAAAGCAAGATGCTTAAATTTAATAGAATTAGCTAGAGATTTCATTATAGCAATATAAAAATATCTTTATAAAAAAAATTTTTTGTCTGCTCTCAGAGGGGTTTTCTAGATGGTTTTGCTCACTCACATAATTGGGGAATGAGCATTTTGGAGTCCCAAGACAAGTTGCAATCCCTTATGGAGGGTGTGAGTATGTGATTTCTCATATGATTAATGAAGAAAAAACTAATAAATATAGAGAGCTAATCGGAAGACTTGAAGAAATGGAGCATAATAAAGAAATAGCAGAAGATTTAAGCGATTTAAAGAAAGTTATTTTAGAGTTAGAGATGCCTGAACACGAAATGAATGAAATTCAAGAAAAATTAGAAAGTATTGGCATAGCTAAAGAAGACTGGGAAGCAGCATTCCTTGCAATTAAAAAAGTATGGGCTAGCAAGTTCAATGAAAGAGCTTATTTAAGCACTGCAAAATTAAGAATCCCATTAAATGATATTATAATGTCAGTACTTTGCCAAGAAGTGATAGTAGGAGAATATGCTTATGTTTTGCACACAAAAGACCCATTTACTAATGATTCTTCTCATATTTACGGAGAATTAGTCCTAGGGCTTGGTGAAACCCTAGTTGGAGCTTATGAGGGCCGTGCATTTTCGTTTACAGTCAGCAAAAATAATAATGATTATCAAATTGAAAGCTTTCCAAATAAATCAGTTGCATTAAGAGGGTCAGGATTCATATTTAGATCTGACTCAAACTCTGAAGACTTGCCTGAGTTTGCAGGAGCTGGACTTTTTGATAGTATAATTATGAAGGAAACTGAAGAAGAAATAGTATCTTATGGCAATGAAAAAATTTATATAGATTTTGGATTCTGCAAAGATATTATTTTCAAATTGAAAGAAATTGGAATTTTGGTGGAAAATATATTTAATGGTGTGCCACAGGATATTGAAGGAGTCATAAAAGGGGGGAAGATATTTGTAGTTCAGTCAAGGCCTCAAATTTAAATTAAATTAATATTAGTTTGCAAATCAATAGGATTATGGGATCATTAATTTGTTGTATTAAGTTTAGTATGAGAAAGAGAGAAGAATGAAGCTTAGCAAAAGCATATTAAATTAACTTAGGGAAAGGAAAATTTTTAGGCTAAACCTGATATTATCTTCATAATCTGTTCATTGACTGTAATTGACTAATATAAGTACCAGAAAGATTGAGAATTTGGCTTTGTGTTCAGTTATTGAGCTTTTTGAAGAAAAGAAAAGCAAGCATCAGCCCAACTTCTACCCTTTTTATTATCGATTTGATTAAATTTATCTTTATTACTAAATTATTGCATAAAACAGTGTCAAAACTTCTCATATATAAAATTAATTTTATTTTAGATTCAATGTTATGTTGAAGATGATTTCTTATTCATTATATTAAGATTTTTGTTAATCGGAGGTCTTTTATACTCAAATATATCATTTCCTTGTGCTTTCATTGAGCTGATAACTGCTCTATCAACAAATTTCATAAATCCTGTTTTATCCTTGACTCCTTTTAAGTGAAGAAATGCATATTCTCCTGGAGTGATGGCAATTTTTTTTCTTATTTCATCACGAATGAACTTATCGCCGTCTAAAATTGCTTCTTTAAGTTTAACTTCGTCAATTTTTTTCATTTTCTCAAGCTTTGGAACAAGCATTTCAGGGTCTACTTCTTTATAGTTTGATGAGAACAATTCGCGACTTTTTCTTGTTTTACTTACTTGCTTGTAAATTAGATAGGTTGCTATAAATACTAGCTCCCCCCTTTTAGAGTGAGCAAAACCATTGGAAAAATCCTAATTTTTGGTTAAAATCTACCCTCCGTGAGTAAACAAAAAATTTATTTAATCTAGAAATTTTTTAAAAAAACTATTTTGATATATAAATGATAATTAGTATAACGAAATCTCTAGCTAATTTTGTTTAAATTTAAGCAGCTTGCATTTTAAACATACAATTTACTATAAAATTAGCATTTGCTAAAATTATTTCGAATTGGGGATTTTGAAAAAAAATTTACGATATTAAATTTTTAAAAAAAAATAAAAACCCCTCGATGAGCGAGCAAAGTGTTTTGTTCACTAAAAGAAGGAGGGAATAAAGAGCCTGTTATCACTAATGCTTTTTGTGGTTTGAACGATTTATTGTCGCCGACATAAGGGTATCGATATACACTTTTATAAAATCTCTGGGAGCGAGGGGGGATTAATTTTTTTTTTCTTCAAAATGCTAAAATTTAGAAGTAAAAAATAATTTAATATGCAAATTTATGTTTTAAAATGGATGTTTAAAATTAAACAGAATTATCACTATATATATCGAAATATTTTTTTTAAAAATATTTGTTCGCTCACAAAGGGTATATTTAACCCAAATATTAAGGATTTTCCGATGGTTTTTTTGCTCACAAGGGGGGAGTTATACTAATTGACCAAGAATAGCCCACTAAGGAGCCATTCTTGGTCTGCCAGAAAAAATTTTGACAAAAGATCCTAATCTGCCATTACCACTGAGTTTTGGTGTTTCCAAATTTTTTGGGCAAGCCAAATGCAATAAAAAAAATTGTTCTTTTGCGATGATGCATTTGGCTTGTCAAAAAAATTTTGGCAACACCAAAAACTCAGTGGTAATTGCAGATTAGGATCGTTTGTCATTACCACTGAATTTTGGTATTGCCAAATTTTTTTGACAAGCCAAATGCATCATCGCAAAAGAGCAATTTTTTTTATTTGCATTTGGCTTGCCCAAAAAATTTGGAAACACCAAAACTCAGTGGTAATGGCAGATTAGGATCTTTTGTCAAAATTTTTTCTGGCAGACCAAGAATGGCTCCTTAGTGGGCTATTCTTGGTCAATTAGTATACTAAAATTTAGCATTTATTATTAAACTAATCATTACATTAGCAGTTTAGCCTTTGAATATTCTCGATAATTTATATCAATAACAAAAATATCTGTCAAGCAACTTTATAATTTTTGCAAAAACCAAAACATACCTGCTATAAAATAGTCTTCGAGCCTTTTGGATCCTACTAATTATTTTATCAAAATTTGATATCCATAGATCATTCTATTAAAGTATACAGCCTTGCAGGCATATCTTATTTAATTTTAAAATGAAATCGGTATTATTAACTAACTCCCCCCCCCTTCGAAGTTCGACCAATATTTTTTTTGGTCGAACTTCGAGGGAGGTTAAGAAAAATTTTTTTGAAAAAAATTATATAGATTTTTTTTATATAATTTAGTAGTTAAAAAAAAATATTTATCATATTCTTCTGTATGGTTGAGAGGGTGTAAGGGTTAGAAAAAATAGTGCAAGATGGTTTTGTAACGCTTTTTTAGAACTTGAATACAAACATCGCAAGTTCACCCCCACATAGTTTAAAATTCTTGAAAAATTGCTTATTTTCCTATTAAATTTATATAGGTCTTGGTCGAACTTTGAGGGGGGTTAATTTTCCAAAAAAAAATAGGAATTTTCCCTATATCTTGGTCGAACTTCGAGGGGGGGAGTAAGTGCATTAGTACTAAGTTACTAATTAATAAGCTTTATTGTGCATTAATTAGTTTGAAATGCATTTCATCCACATAATGAGATAAAAACTAAGCAAGCTTTCACAGTTTTTACCATTTAATCGCCTTTTTATATTTCCGAAACATCCAAGGGAGACTTTTAATAAATCTAAAATGGGTAGTGGACAACATAAATCAGCATCAGCCGTTAGCTCTTACAGCGTGAAAGCTAGACAAATGCCACCTAGTAAATTCTAAATCAGATCCCAATCAAAAGCTCCCACCCGAAGTTCTAGAAGGATTTGGCAGAGTCCTCAAATCCCAAGCAGAGCGAGTAAAAGGCTCTAACCGTAAAAAGCCAGAACTGCCTTCAACAATCCAAGAGAAAAAGCCCAACCAAGACAATAATTCCAATGCAAATCCAGAAGTCCAAGCCCCTCCTTCTGTAGTCCCTGCTGTAGTTATAGAAAATAATAAAGAACCTGAACAGGAACAGGCATTCCAAATCGACCAAAACCAAATTGAAGAGCCAGAAGAGTTCAAAGAAGTCCCTGGAGGCTTACCAGACGGTAGAAAATCCCCTGAAGCCCCTTCAATAGACGTTGAAGAAGAAGTAGAAATGAAAATTGACCCAAATATTTTATACATAATTCCCATAAATGTCCTTCTACTCACCCTCTTATATGAAATATTCATAGAAATTAAGCATAAAAGAACAAAGAGAAGCTAAGGAAAGAGAAGCCTATTTAGATGCTGAAAAAATTGCTAATGATTTAAGGAAAGCAGAAGAAGAGGAAATTATAAAACAGAAAACTGTTATGGGGAGCATGGAAGGGCAGGCTAAAAGCATTTTAGATAAGTACAGATAAAGCTGGAAGAAATTATTGATATTTAAGAGTAATGAAAATAATTTTTAGGGATTAGTGAGATAAAAATATGGATGAAAACAATTTTTACACTCAACTCCAATAGAAATTGTGAGGGGTGTTATAAGAATTGGCCAAATGTGTCGTGGATGCCTTTGCTATCTATGATGATATCGCCAAATATCATTTCTTCGGCGATACTGATCAAGAAGGAGACTTATTGAAATATCTCAAATTACATTGGACTTTTATCAATTACAATGTAAGATATTGATCGGCTGGTTGAGTCATAGATGCCATTGCGATCTATGAATTATGAGCCCATAATACTCAAAATTAAGCTTGCATACATTAAATAACAAGAATAAAGTAATATAAATGGCAAAAGATCTAATTAATCAGCTTTTCATCTGCAAAGATCGACTTGTGGAAGAGTCATTAAAAGGGTTTGAGGAGTCCAAGCTACTTCGGAGGCTTATATCAGGAACAGTCATGAATAAATATGCATATAATAATGGAAAGAAACACCCAAGAGAGTTTTCAATATCTCCGGACTTGAAATATTTTCAATGAAAAATTGAAAATTCTAATAGAAAACTTCGCAGATTTTCAATTAATGATATAAACGATGTAGTAATAGGGAATTCTGAGTTTTCATGCAAGGTATCATCAATGAATTTGAAAAACGACTCAGAAAATCTTTGCTTCACTATTGAATTGTGCGAATAAAATGACATATCGGCTTGGAAATGAAGCCTCAAACATGCTTTATTTATATCCGGCAAGGGTTTGCCAACTCAGAAATTGACAGAAATGCAAGCTAAGTAATTGTGGTAGCCTAGCTTTAGTCTGCTTCGGGATTGGATTTTATCTCAATGAAAAGGTGGATTCAGAGCTGGAAAGAAAACTCTCAGCAAAATCTTTAAGCAATGCCTAGATCAATCGAACATCTTCTTAGCGTGAAACTGGGAGTTACACCCAGGCTTTGAATTTTTTCCTTACTCCCCCCCCCCTCCGTGAGCGAACAAAACCATTAGAAAAATCGCCATTTTTTGACCAAAAACCCCACCCTCCGTGAGTGAACAAAAATTTTTTTAAATAGAAAAAATTTTAATGGAAAAAAATTTTGATATATAAAGTGATAATTAGTATAATGAAATCTAGAGCTAATTCTGTTTAATTTTAAACAAATTGCGTTTTAAAACATAAATTTTGCAAATTAAATTAATATTTGCTTCCAAATTTTTGCAAATTAGGATTTTTTTAAATTTCGAAAAAAAATATTTTTTTATAAAATTTATATATAAATTTTTTTTTAAAAAAAAAAAATTAACCCCCCCCTCCGTGAGCGAACAAAATTTTATTGTTCGCTCACGGAGGGGGGGGGGGGGTTTAGCTGAAAATTGTCCAGAAATTCCCATTTTTTTAATTTTTGTACGGGCAGCCAAGCAGCATGCTGCAGAAGTCCATAGCCTTCCTATTCAACACTGGAGTTGGCAAGGCAAGGAAAAGACAGAGACACATAACCCTACTTTACAGGTGCCCATGGATCAGGTGGTGAAGAAGAGGAAAGGCAGTGCTCGATTCAATACTTGCCTGGCTAGCCATCTAACTCGAAGAAGTACTTCCTGTTGACCTTGCAAAGATGGTAAATCACTTGCAGGGATCCTAGATAACTGCATTACTAACAGGCAGTAGTCAACCCTGAATTTAAGTTTATTTTAAGCTTCACAATTAAATTGAAGCAGAGAAACGTTGATATTGTCGCCCCTACAGACCGTGAGCGCGATATGTGGGTAAGAGGAGTTAGCTTGCTTATAGGCAGTGACGAAATGGCAAGCGAAAAATCCATAAAATCCCTAGATGAAGAAATAAACGATCTTAAAAAGCACCTTTTAAAAAAATCTAAAAGCGAAGTTCACTTCGAAGGCGCAGCCATCGACAATTCCAGCGACGAAGGCATTATTGAAAACGAAGACACCAAAAAATTTAAAAATAAAATAAAATCATTAGAACAAGAACGCCAAATTTTAAATGACCAAATCAAGCACTTGACTGAAGAAATTGATAAGAAAACAAGCGAAGACCAAAGCAAGAAAAAGCAAATGGGTCAAAGAGATAAACAAATAAAAGAATATGAAAACCAAATCGAAATCTTAAAAGCTCAGTGCGACTCAGCAGAAAAAGACTATACACAAAGGACTGTTTCTATTGAAGAAAAACTGACCCAAAAAGACACTGCATTAATGAGTCTGCAAGCAGAATATGAAGAATTTAAAAAACAAATTAAGGACTCTTTTAATAAGACTCTTGTGCAAAAAGTACAACAGTATAGAGAATCCAAAGAAGTTTTGTGCTCTTATGTGGCGTATTTAAAACAAAGGCTTGATAGTATTGAAAAAGAGGTTTCACTGTGGCAAGCAGTTGTCCATACACATGTGCTTCCTGTTTTCCAGGCAAAGAAGCCAGGCAGGATGCCTCAGTTTAAAGAAGTCCTTTCTTTTGCACTAGATATTATGGAAAGAAAACTAGACACTGACAGATCCCAAACCCAATTTATTTCTTTATTAAATGAAGCCAGAAAAAATGTTAAATCAAGCTAATTTAATTCATTACATTAGATTATTTCTTTTTCTGTACATTTTTTCTCTTTTTAAATACTTTTTCTGTAATTTGTATTAAATTTCCATCAATTAATTTGCATTTATCAATTATTTCATCAAAAGTGCTGCACATAAAATTTTCCAAGAGAATTTTTTTAATTCTTTCAGAATCTGCAACGATATTGAGTTTTTTTAAACAAAATTGGCACTCTTCATATGTTTTACACGAAATCAAGCCTATCAGCTGTTTTTTCCTTGCTTCATAGCATTTTTCCCACAAATCCAGGGCTTTATTTAAATATTCATATTTTTCTACAAACATCAGCTTGGACTTTATTAGCATTTCAGGGATATTTAATTTATTCATAAGCATATATATTTGTATTTCCCCTTTTGCAAATGGATCCAAATAGTTCCAAAGATTCTCGAGCTCGCTTTCACACATTCACATGCCTAGAGAACTGATATATTCAAATAATTCGGCTTTAGATACAGATGCATTTAATGATTTGTGAAGATCTTTTTTTTCTCCTGTCATCGATTGGGCTAGTCTTATTAAAAAAATTTCAAGCGAGCTTGATTCTTCGAATGATTCTGTGTTTCTAAAAATAAGACTGTTGAAAATCTCAAATTCTTTGGCTTTGTCTTTGCAAAAAATAGTTTGTGTGCATTTGATAGCGTCTTTTAAAGAAAATTGGTCAGCTTTGTCAAGCCTACAGGATCTTATAATATTGAAAATGTCTTTGATGTAGGAATTTTCAGCATCAGAAAGCTTTGGGTTTGAAAATATTAGTCTTCGGTAGAATTTGGCTCAGTTTTTTGGGTTTGTTAAGAGCTGGCAGCATAAGCCAGAAGTATGGGAAATTAGCTTTTGGTCTATTGGGAACTTTTTGATTAAATTCATTGCAAGGATCTCATCAAATTTGCAAGTTGAGTTTAGCTCGTATAAGATTGACTCACATAGCTCTATTGCATCTGTTTCATTTATGATTTTGAATTCTTGGCCAGCTTTTGAAGCGATTCTACTGATATAATTATTATAAATTATTGGAAAATCGTGCTCTGGTAATACATTATGCAGCTGAGGCAGACTTCAATCAGTTTGTATCTCAATTGCGCATCTTTTCGCACTCGCCAATCAGCTTGTCTGAGCCTTAATTAACCCCGAAAGACTGCTCAAAATTTTTAACTGTGAGCTATTTTCCTCTTCAATTTCAGCTGTAAAATTTCCAAGTCCTTTAATCATTTTTCCGACCCTCAATAATGTATACTCCCTAGTATAGAGGCTGCCTTTGAGTAGCGCTCTAAGCGCCCGAGACTTCCCGACGAAGTCTGGGCGGTGGTTTGACCAGCTGATGTTGGTCAAACCAACATCCAAAATGACAAATTCTTCTCATACAGAAGGTTTGTCAAATTGGATGCTGGTTTGACCAACATCAGCTGGTCAAACCACCGCCCAGACTTCGTCGGGAAGTCTCGGGCGCTTAGAGCGCTACTCAAAGGCAGCCTCTATATCAAACTCAAGCATTTTTTTTATAGAAAAAAATTTTGATATATAAGTGATAATTAGCATAATGAAATCTAGTGCTAATTCTGTTTAATTTTAAACAAATTGCTTTTTAAAATATAAATTTTATAAATTAAATTAATATTTGCTTTCCAATTTTTGCGAAATAGGATTTTTTGAAATTTCAAAAAAAAAAATTAACCCCCCTCCGTGAGTGAACGAAATTTTTTTGTTCACTCACGGAGGGGGGGAGTTAGTATTTTCTTTTTCTTCGATAATTTGTGTCAAATTATAAATTTCTTCTTTCAATACATCAATTCTTTGTTTCAGCTTGTCTTCGTCTCTTTGAGCATCAGATTGATGGCTATTCAAAGATTCTTTTAGCTTCAAAATCTCTATTTCGTATTTATCTACAGTTCTTTTCATCTTATATTTATATGATTCTTCTAATGCACTAATTTGATAGTCGTGGACAATCAGGGCATTGTCAAACAGCTTTATTGCAAATCTCCAAATGATTTCATATGACATGGTATAAACAGAATCTGGGTTTTCTTTGTAAAGCTGTCTTAATAGTCCTAAATATTCTTTGTGTTTTTGGATTATTGCTTCTCTATTTAAGCTAAGAATTTGTGAAGGGGTTTGGTCTGCTGAGATCATGATATCTGAGTGTAATTTATTTAAAAATGAATCCACACTTTTTAAAAATGATGACTTTGGGTTGGAATTTGCTAACAAATAGTTGATTTCTATATCAGTATTCAGCTCTTTTAAGCATTTTATTGATTTCAGGTATCTCAATAAGTCTTCATCACTCGTCTTTTTTGAGGCAATAATTGAATTATTGCTATGGCCAATTTGAGAATGTATACCTAAAATTTGTTTTGAAGTATTTTTTTGGAAACTTGCAGTGACAGGTCTGGCTTTGTCAATAAAATATTTTTCTTTGTCAGGGATTGTGATGATTTGTTTACTGGAGCCATCTATGACGTTTAAAAACATTTTTGGTGATGAAAATTTTTGAGATGATCTTCTAGTAGCTGATTGGTGACGGCCTGTAGCTGTTGATGCGTCTGTTATGAAAAATTGATTTGCGAGATCGGTGAGACTTTTGGTACAAGGCTTGAGAAGCTTCATTTCAGTTTTTAATCCTTCATATTCCATTATTTATCTGAAAAATAGTTTTGGTTGATTTTTAAATAATATGATGGGTGGATGAGAAATTAATTAATATTGAAAATCTATCATTTGGTGGAAAATTTTAGGGGTTTTAGGAGACTTTTTGTTATGTATATGTTTGCATGGAATGTAAGAATTAAGATGGCAGTTGTGATTAAGAGCAGAGGATAAAAGCGTTGCAATTGAATGATATTCTTATATAGGGCTATCAGTTATATATAGGACCCAATTATATTGATTGCAAGAATAAAAGCTAGAAGCTATATTTAAAAATGATAAAGGATTTTCTCTATATTAAAGAAAAATCACTTAACTTGATATATAGTATTCTTATTTCCACATTTTTCCATTTTGATAAAAAACTTAATTCCCCCAAAATAAATTTAAAAATTAAAATGACCAATATTCCAAACTCTCTCTTCCTCATCACTCAAGACTGAAACCGCAAGGCAATGAAGAGACAGAAGGTACCGGAAGTAGCATCCACCTTCAGGGAAAGACACTGTGGACTAAAGTCTAAAAGCGCTTGGCCTCCATACAGGAGGTCTTTGGTGACTGTATCACCAATCTGTCTAACACCTAACTTTAATAACCTAACCTAATCTCTCTTCCTCAGAGAAACAGGGCAGCTAGAATGCAGTTACTTTCAAATGAAAAATCAATACAAATCCCTCACAGCAATCAGCCCAAGCTCAAGCAAGAGGCATTCTCTCCGAAAAGGCGGAATTTCTGAAATAATTCCAACGAGCTCATTTTTATTTGTTATTACAAATAGAGGATGTTGCCTTGTCTTAGACAAGGTCACATGCAAAGAACTGTTTAATTTAACAGGTGAGAGTGAAAAAACGAGGACTTTATTTTATAATAAAGCAAATCAATCAGTAATCCTGATAACGCTCCGAGACGAAGATCTCGACGGAAGACTCATATGCAGGTCCTATCCAATGGAATCTATAGAAAAAGGAGCCTTAGAAAGCGTACCGATATTTAAAGACGAAGATTTAAGGACTCCAGGCTTTATAGAATTTGACGACACAAACCAAATTATCCTTACGAGATCAGCTACAAGAGGCAGTTTTAAGTTCTGGAGAATGAATAATTACTCCTTGGCTTTCCAAATTGCAGACCCTCTGGTGGAAGAAATCAGGCTGAGCACAGATCTTGTTCTTTTAGTTTATGGGCCTCAGGGCGGAGTTTTAACTTCAAAGCTTGTGTCGATTGCTAACGGCCACTTGCTTAATGTTTACCAAATTCCTATAAAGCCTGTTAGAATGATTGAACTACTTGAGCTATTTAATCAATTCTTGCTCCTTAAACAAGCTGGAGAGCCTTTGGTGATTTTTGATCTTTTGCAATCGACGCACATTTTGGTTGCAAATTTCTTCTCTCCACAGGCTTTTATATTCCTTCAGGAAAAAATGAAATTCCTTGCTTTAAGGGCTGGAATTATTGAGCTGTGGGATTTTCAAGGGAATTTGCTTAAAACTTTTCATGCGCCGTTATGCACAAGTATAAGAGCTTATGTTCCGAGTAGACTGTATGTAACAAGGAAGCAAGACTTGCTGTTGATATGCTGTAGCGAATCTAGAACACCGGGAAGGCCTTCTAATGTAACAAGAAATGATAGGAAAAGCAGTGGAGTCATAAAAGTCTTAGAGCTCATGAGTGGGACTTGCATCGCAGAAATTGTTGCTGATAGGCTGCTTGTCAACGTATCGACTTTGGCGTATGATGAATATTATGGATCAATTTACACAGGTCATTCAAACGGAACCCTCATTATGTGGGATAATTAATTTATAATTAATATAGTATGCATTAGTTTAAGTTTGCAAGTTTTGAAGTGATTCCAAATACTTTGAGCGCACAACCAAAACTCCTAAGTCACTTGAAAATGCGATTTTTACATCATGGGCTGCAACAATATATGGGTAGCCCATAGAGAAATACATAAGTTTCTGATAGGGAGGGGTCAGCTGAGGGAGGTTTTTTATCTGTATACACTCTGCTAGTCCTTGGTTATCTCATAAACATATATTCCCATCATAGTCTACTGCTATAATTACTAGCTTTGTAGCCGTAATGTTATCATCATCACTAGCCATTGATGCAATCCCTTCTTTTAGACAAAGCCAATTTAAAGCCACAATGTCAGCTTTATGAGTTCCTAGAATATGTCTTGTAACCCCTGTTGATATGTCAACAAGGATCAAACTTCTGTGATTTCTGACTAATAAAATTGAATCTTGGAGTAGCTTAACATGTGTGATGTGTCCATATTTTTTTTCATATGCAGCTATCTCACTGACTGCTTGAGTTGTGAAATCATACATTTTAAATGTCCTAACTCCCCCCCTCCGTGAGTGAACAAAAAAATTTCGTTCACTCACGGAGGGGGGTTAATTTTTTTTTTTTAAAAAAATTTATATATAAATTTTATATAAAAATATTTTTTTCGAAATTTGAAAAAATCCTAATTCGCAAAAATTGGAAAGCAAATATTAATTTAATTTATAAAATTTATGTTTTAAAAAGCAATTTGTTTAAAATTAAACAGAATTAGTACTAGATTTCATTATGCTAATTATCACTTATATATCAAAATTTTTTTCCATAAAAAATTTTTGTTCACTCACGGAGGGTGGGTTTTTGGGCAAAAAATAGCGATTTTTCTAATGGTTTTGTTCACTCACGGAGGGGGGGAGTAGAAGATTAGTGCCTCATTCCATTCATAATAGCCTTTTCCCATCAAAATCATAAGGAACTGACTGAGGGGGCAAACTCGGGATTTCAAATTTCAGCTTAATTTGGCTTGAAATATTTGTAATATATATAGTGTCAGCTCTGTCAGCAATCCCAGCAAGCTGAGTGATTGTAAGTATGCATACAGTGTCATCTTTCATTAAGACTTGTGTATAGCCACAGTCATCATTTGAGTGCAATCTTTCATGATTAATTACTTCTCTGGAGGACTGTAAAGAATCTGGGTTTAAAACTGCTCAACAGTAAAGATCTCCAATTGCTATAAATAATGAGCCATCAGCAGATAGTGAAACCCCTCTTATGCACTCTTCACTAAACTCAGTTATTGGGGTTTCTTCATGAGTATTGAAGTTGTAGTAAAGAACACGACCTAAAGCACTACCATAACAGAGACCTCTTTGGTTTATAGAGAGGGAAATGACTGGGTCTGCAAATCTTATGTCGATGTAAGCTTCTAAACTCATTGATGCGATTTTTCTATTCTTATATAATAAATTAACATTAAAAACAATTTATAAAATTCCCAAAAATACTGATGCCGTTTACATCAATATTTGATCTCACATTATTATGGAGCCATAGCAGCTGTGAGCTGCTTTCCCCTTCAATAAATTTAAAATACAGATATTTACAGCATCTTTTCTGCTGCAGTTCAATTACAGCTTTAGTTGATGCCTTATTTTCATATCGCCCCCAGCATATCAGCTGCAAATCTTTTTCATCCCTCTGAAATTCAACTATTTTTATCCCATTTTCTTCTTTTTCACATAAAATTGTCGATTTTCCTTCAATTTCTGTCTGTAAATCACTATATCCTTTCACATCATCAAAATCATTAAAAATTGTATGATTGATTGGATAATAGCTATCACTTGTCATTATCAAGAACACTTTTAAAGGACAAGTAAAAGTCTTTGGTCTTTCTATTACAATTGTATGAATACATGCTTTTATTTTTGATTTTTTTATAAAAGAATGATCAATATACGATTCAACTGTATTTGGGTCATCATGGTCAGTTATTAAATCATTAAGTCCTTTAAATTCATAATTTACATCCTGCCCAACTACTGCTGCACATGTTATGTTTTTATCTTTAATTGAACTATACATCGCTCCACATTCTTTGGCTTCGAGAAACAAGTTTCCGATCCAATACTGAGATGTATTGAGCAAAACCCCTCCGTTAGTCGCATAGCCAAAGAAGGTCAATCTCTTTGATTTTCGAGATTTTTGGGCTGTACATGTATTAAATTTTAAAATTTCAATCAGCGATTTCAAATCTTTGTTCTGAATGAAAGGGAGCCCAAGCTCGTTTTTAAGGATATTTTGAATTACGTGAACAGAATATGCAGATTTTCGGCAAGATTTATTGATTCTGGCAAAAATCCAGTAGATTTCAGTAGTGCTCAGAAATGAAAGGATTTCAATAAGCTGATTGATAGCCAAATTTTTCATTTATTAACAAATAAAAAATTTGAATTGAAGTTAATGGAAGAGAAAAATAAATCACCATTATAAAAATGGATGAAAAAGTATTTCAACTTAAACTCTGAAAAAGGAACATTGAATTAAGTACTCAATTATTCCATATATTTACCAAGGTGAAGATAAAAAAGTAGACTGTGCTTCTTCATGCTGACCCATTTATCAAAGCATTAGCAATCAAGTATAGCCAATTTCTAGATATTATAAATAGCTATGCGATTTATGAGATAGGAATCAAAATCATAACCCTAAAGGGCTTATTTCAATGCTTGCTGGAAACCAAAATCCCGTTCTATAAAATACGAAGCAATTCAATATATAGCTTCTGAAGCCAAAATAAATTATTACAGTCAAAAATAAGAAGATTTTCGCCTCCTTTTGTCCCTCATTATGGGACCTCTTAAGACAATAGAGGATCAATTTTGTGTACCTAAAATATTAAAATTCATTCTAATCCCACATCTCCTCTTGATTTTTGACTCGTGAAAAAAATTATATAAGCAGCCCTTCGCATTACCCACGACATCTATATAAAGGCAATGCAAAGTTGCACATAAAGACCTAGTAAAGAAGAAACCTTGTCGAGATATCTAATTATTTAGAGCTGATAGCTATTTAAATATAAAAATACATTTTCCTGACTCCCCCCCCCTTTAAATTGGAACAAAATATATCGGCAAAATTTCCACTTTTTTGGTAAATTAACCACCCTTTAAATTGGAACAAAATTTAATTTTATAATAAAAAATTATATATAAATTTTTATCTAAAAAGTTTTGATATAAGTTAAATGCTTCTTCTTAACTAAAATTAAAAATTTATTTATATCTTGCTCTTTTTTAAGAGAAAAAGTATAAAGAGCATCTTATTTAAATAAATTTATTATCCTTAATTGCTAAATTTTAAAAAAAATTAAATTTTTTTTTAAAAATTTTCAAAAAAATTTTTTTGTTTTTTTGGTAAAAATGATATTTTTTATATTTGGATAGTTTTGATATAAATTCAATAGGAATTCTTTATAAAATTTCAAAATTTACTTATTCCTTGCTTTATTTTAAAGAATAGAGTATAAATAGCATCTAAATTAGCACTTTGATCGATAAATTTCTAAAATTTATTTTTTTTTTTTTAATTTTTTTATCAATAAAAATAAAAATTTTTGCGTAAATAATTTTGATACCAATTAATATTAACTAATAATGAAAATTTAGTTATATCTTGCTTTGTTTTAAAGGATAAAAAGTAAATAGCATTTTATTAAACAAATTTATTGATCCAATTCGATAAGCTTTCGAATTTTTTTTTTTTAATTTTTATATATTTTATAAAAAATTTTATATTGATATTTTTTTTTAAAAAAAAAAATTAAACCCCCCTTTAAATTGGAACAAATTTTTAGTTCCAATTTAAAGGGGGGGGGAGTGAGATAAATTTTTACTGAAAAATTATACTTGCAGAATTCATAGAGGTAGATATTTAATTAAGCGATAAGTTTTAATGATTGACCATTCCTGCTTTTTCTTGCTCTTTCTGGGCTAATCCTTGTAGTCTTTCAATCAAAAATTGCTGTGTATCATAAAATCTATCCACACAATTTGTTAAGCAACGATCTTCAGTCGATGAAAGACTTCTGGAAGGCTTTTGAACACATTTCATAAAGCATTTGTGAGATTGGCGTGCAAAGCTTTGCATTATTGCTGCTTGTTCTTGGAGTGCATGCTGAGAAATTCCTTGATTTCTATGGCCTTCCATTGATTTTATGAATATAATGGACTTAAAATATGCGAAAAGATTTCAAAAGAACTCCAGGAGATCCTAAATCAAGTGTGTTTAAATTATTTACTAGCAAATGAGCACGAAAGTGTACTAGCCTGTTAGCGATGTTCAAAATAAATTTCATCAAGTATTATTTTCAGTCTTATTTGAGTTAAAATATTTGTTAAATCGAGGAAATGAAGTTTTTATCGTATTTCTAAGAATTTTTCTAGATAAAATTGAAAAATTTGGTGTGCCTTTTTGATCGGAACATTTTATATTTCATCCGGAATTTTTTATCTTAACTTTTCCTCCTATAGTAGGAAATTCGCCAATCAATTGAATTTATCCGAAAAATTACTTCAAGCGCAAGCCTCTCATATAAATCATTATAAAGCTACCTTGATTTACTTTAATTATATTTTGAATAAAAAGCCAAATTTGCTTTAATTTATAAGTTACTTTAAGTGGCTTGCTGGTATTCATCTCAATTATTTATAATTACAAAAATTGAATATCTAACAAAATCTGCAAGGATTTAGAATGCTAATCTCATGCAAGAATAAGGTTTCTATGATCTTAATTTTCAATTAAATGCAATGATATGAGCCTGGACGATTTGAATCAAAGAGATTTATGATATTTAGCATTAATTTAATATGAAATATTAATTCTCCGACTTATTTATGCGATATTTTATAATTTCTTATCTAGTAAAATGAGTCTAAGATCCTATTTATTTTAAATAATTGAACAATAAAGTAATTATTAATTTTTTCTTCATAAATATTTTTAAAGATTTATTTAATTTCTTATTGAATCCAGAAGCCAAAAATGAATTATGCATGGAATTTGATATTCACAATTGAAATACATTTTTAGGCTGTGGGAGCTATAAGAAATTTATCTAAAATATAATAATAAATTAATTATTGATATTATAATACCATTAAACTTTGAGAGTAGCATTTTTAATCATAAATTTTACAGATTGAATAAGTTTTCCATTAAAAAATATATATATAAACAGCGTTCTGAAGAACCCAAAAATACTGCTCAATTGCATACGATAGAGTGAGCATTTTGCTCGATTTTTCATATTTCTAACTTCAAATTTTTATTTTCAATTCTTGCTTTTTATTAATAAATGACATCCTTTTTGTTTTTCTATCTAGAATAGTGTTTCTGCTGCTTTTAATGGAAAAATTCACTCAAAAGCTCATCACTTTTATTTTCACCTATATTAATAAACGAGAAATCTCCTTCCTATGCATTAAGGTGCATTTACTTTAAAATCAGCTGACTACTTCCGCATCAGCGTTTGCATATTTCAGAATTTTTTAAGAATTAAAAATTAATCAGTCAAAAGTCATTTACACAATTTGTGCGTTACTTATTCCTTACTTGGCCTTTTGTCTCATCTTTCGGCGCTTTCTTTTGAGTCTTCTCATCCTCTTCTTCCTCCACTTGTCTCTCATATTTATTATTAGCCATAATAAAATGGTCCTTTGGCTTTACACACTTTTGTTTGTACTTCCTTATATGCTTTACAAGATATGGAAAATAAACAAGCTAAAAGCTCAGAAACCTGAGAAGACAGAATAAGCCCCTATTTATATTTAAAAAATCAAATTATTAAAGAAAATGAATTTTGTATGTTCTGGAAGGCTTTTTAAATAAATTTATTGCTAATTAATTGTTTTTATATTAAAATAGCTCTTCTTCTGTTTTAAATTTGCAATAATCTTCAAGCCGCATTTGTTTTATATTGTCTGGTAAGCTTAGAGCAAGCTCATCTGTGTATCTATTCATTTTGGATAGGGATTCATTTTCCTTAAGCTTGTACATGACTAAAACAGTCTTCATTTCGTTTTCTAAATCGGTTACTAAATTCTCAAGCTTTTCTCTATTGTCTTTTTCAAATGTCGATAAATTTATCCCGGTTTTTGCAAGTCTGATGAGGGTTGGAATATCTCTTTCTTTCATTAATTAAATTTATTTTGGCTTTCATATTGCGCGGATAAATTTTCGGATCTTTTTTTGTTCAGAGAAATTTAATTTATGTTATTAATGAATCAAATATAATAGATTTTTATTTAATATCATAGAATTATATTTAATCAGGCTATTTGATCATATTTTTTAAGTAAGTCTAGACCCTTAAATCATTAATGTACATTGCATAGATTGAAGGGACTTATTAGTTCATAGCTTTTTATTAACTAATTTAATAAAATAATATTCTATTTAAAGAAACTCTTCAAATCCTAAAATACTAGAAATCTATACTTATCCATTATGTATTGGATAATTTCTATTAATATGGACAAGCCACTTTTGATAAGAAGAAATCCTCGTACTAAAGCTCTTATGAAATTTACATTCGACTTAATCAGCTGCGCAATTATTATGGTCACTTTTTTGGTGACCACTTTTTCTTATGGCAATACCTATTATATTTCAATGCAAGACGTCACTAAAAAGTTTGAGTATAATGGAATGGATGCATATACACTTACAACATTCGAGGAATTTGATAAATATTATTGTACTAAGCCTGAAGGAACAGACAGTGAGGTATGTGACTGGACTGGGCACTTTAAAGCTGCAGCATTATGCTATCTAATTGATTCTATTGTATGCCTAGTGATCATGGTCTATAATGTGCTGAATTTGTTAATTTCACCCTTTGGTTAATGAGCAACGCCATTAGAAAAAAAAAAACTTTTTGGATTTTTATTAAAAAATAAATTGGCCTTAAGGCTAGAGAGGGGAAATTTTGATTTTCGAGGGAGTAAGTTTATCATTTGGATGTACGTGTTTTAAGATATTAAGTCTGCAAATATCTCATTATTTAGTACCAATTGCATATTCTATAGGGATTATTCTTTATTTATCGGTGTCAAACTTTTATTCTCTTACTTCCCCCTGTGAGTGAACAAAACCATTGGAAAAATTCCTATTTCTGCCAAAAACCGACCCTCAGTGAGTGAACAAAAATTTTTTTAATCGAAAAAATTTTTATGGAAAAAAATTCTGACATAGAAGTGATAATTACTCTAATGAAATCTAGAGCTAATTCTGTTTAATTTTAAACAAATTGCGTTTTAAAACATAAATTTTATAAATCAAATTAATATTTGCTTTCCAATTTTTGCAAATTAGGATTTTTTTTGAAAAAAATTTTTTTTCTATAAAATTTATATATAAAATTATTTTAAAAAAAAAAATTAATCCACCTCCGTGAGTGAACAAAATGTTTTTGTTCACTCACGAAGGGTAGGGGGGGAGTTAGTGAAGATGGGGAAACGTGGTCTGATTGGAGTGTTACATTTGGAGCTGGGATTGTTCTGATGTTTGTAAATGAAGGAATTATGATTGCAGGGGCTCTTTATTTCTGGTGGGCAAGAGTTCATGGGCTTGAAGACATACTTTTGCATATTGGAAATTTAGCACCTTTAATTGACAAAAATCAGCTTAGATCCATTTAAAAATTAAAATAAGTCTACCTTAATTTCATAAAATAAAGCAACTTATAAAATTAAATCAAAAACCTTTTCCATTTTTTGATTTCTTATGAGTAAAAATGGAGCTTATAATCCAAATGGCGCAGCTCTGAGCATGTGCAATAAGAATAGAGATCTTTAGTGCCGTCTCTTTGGATGGCCTCCCGCCTCTCTAACATCATAATTTTCCTCTTAGGTTAAATATTGACCTTCAGTAAAGCTAGATTTGTCATCCTCTAATATTTATGCAGAGTAAAAATGATTGTCGTAGAAAAATCATTAATTCCTTAGCTTTAAGCAAACCTAATCATTAAATTTGCATGCCTAAGCCAAAAGTATCTTCGAAATCATTAAGAATTCCTTGGTCTGGTAAATATTCAATAATAATTCATGGCAAAAATTAAGAAAAGAGCATCCAGAGGTCTTCTTAAAAAACACAAAACAGTCGGTAGATCACAAAAGAAAAAGAAAAACTTCCAAGGAGCACCAGAGCTTAAAGAATTTTGGGACCCAGAAAAGTCAGGAAAAGCTAACTATGAAAGTTTAGGGATCCGCACAAGCATTGATACTCCAACTGATACCCCGTTTAAAAAAGAAGCTTTAAATGCTCTAACAAAAAACTCTGACTTCTCTTCCTTTTATATTCGACAAATATTGGTATTAATAGATTGGCCTATTTTTAAATTTAAAAAAAAAATTTATTGTTTTAATAGGTAAAAACAATAATTTCTTTAATACCCAATTTAATGCCACCAACCAAAAGGGAAATTCACTTATAACTTGTCATTTAAAATGCGACTAGCATATTATTTAAGTAAATTTAATACTTTTGATATCAATTAATTTATCATAAAAATTAAAAAACAAAATTTGTCATGCTTTTAATAAAATAATTTTTGTTTCAATTTAAATCGGGGAAGTGAGCATGTCCCTACAAAAGAAAAACTGGCAGATTGGGAAATACAGATCATTGAAAGCATGATAAAGAAATATAGAGACGACTATAAAGCGATGTCGAAGAACATAAAAATCAACACATGGCAATGGACTGCAAATAAAATCCGAAAAATGATTGAAAAATACAATAGCATAAATAGCTAAATAATTTAAAATGGATAATTTACTTTCGAAGAAACTCAGAAGTGGGCTGAATACGACTAGGCCAAGCTCACAACAAATTGTTAACCAAAATATGAAAACTAGTAGCTTGAATAATTCTCCACGCCCAGATACAACACAAGCTAGATTATAGGGAATTAGTATGATTTGCCCTGCAAGGGCAAGCGATTGGAGAGGAAAATTTTCCAGTTGGTTTTCCACTCAGCCTGGTCAAAATAACTGGAGATTTGGCAAATGAGCCTTTCTCCAGTTGTTTTTACAATTTGAGTTAGCCCAACCAACTGAAGAGTTTCCGTCTCAATTGCTTTCCTTGCAAGACAATTCATAAGAATTCCCTATAAAAGATCTTTGTGCTGAAGACAAAACTAAAATTGGGCTCCTCGTTAAAAAAGCTGCTTTAGAAAAAAGCCAAAGAGTTAAATCTGAACTCCGGGCTGCTAAAGAGTTAAAGCGTAAAGAAAATGAATTAAAAAAATATAAAAAACTTAACAAAGAGCTACAAGAAAAAGCAGAAACTATAAAATCACAGCTGGAAAAATCAGAAGAACTGCTAAATAAATACAAGCATATCTCAGTTTCCTCAATAATCCAAACTCCGAATTCTCCGCAAGCTTTTAACCAAAGTTTGACTAGAGAAATGATTTATCAAGCAACGCCTATCACTAAATTTTTATTTCCCAGTCATGATGAAGATTCCCCACAAAGTATAGAAGCAGATAAGATTTTGGATAAACCTGGCAAAATTGATGAGATTATTCAGCATGCTCGTATACCATCTAGCCCTACGAATAAATCAAGCATATTAAGTTCTAAACATCAGCAGACATTGGTTTTAAGAGAAACAGCCACATCTCCTATTGAAGTAAGCTCTACAAAAGATTATCATAGTGTTTTGATTCAAACAGTTTGTGATAAAGAAATACAGACACAGACTAAAAATCAGGGAGAAAAAATAGCGAAAAAAATAAGCCAAGAAACACAATCAGAGTCAATAAATGAGACGAGGCTAAAAGCTCAGAATAAAAGTAAAGAAAAAGTTATGATGCCACAAAATATTGACAGATAAAAATGGCGTGGAGAAACAACTTAACCTCTTAACACCGGTAGCAAGATGGAAGTCTGGAGACCTTGTGGAAGGGAGAGTATGTCCGGCCGGATTTTACTTGGTCTATTAGAGAGCACAATGTCGGGCTGATCAACCGCAGGCTCACATCTAGGGCAGGGCTTTAAAAGGAATGGCCCAGCAAGGCTAAAGGGCGTTCACTTGTCCAATAGGGCTTTTTCCCAGCGCGATGCCAGGAGTTTCCCCCTAAGCTATAAGCTACATTTCGGTATAGTCTGAACATAAAATTCACTTTTGAATTTTGGAGAAGGGAATCCCCGTACGTGCGGTATGGTGACCCAATGTCTTTACCTTCGAGTTGTGAGTGTAGCCTTGTTCGGAGGAAGCAACGCAAGCCTTAGACTGTGGAATAAGACAGTCGAGCATGGAGGTGGTGAAAGCAAGGGGACATGAAAAAGCAATACTGACCGGGAGCTTCTATAATAATTTAATGGACAATCCCACAAAATATCAATGGAGAAACAAGAGTTAAAAATATCTCACATATGAAAGAAGAAAATACTAATGCTTCAGAAAAATCTAGTAAAGAGAATGCAATATTTCAGGCCTCAGAATCAAAAGGTCTAGAACTATCATTTGCTCCAAAAAACACTATTTATGAGCCTAGATCAAAAGAGCCTCCTCTAACAAGTGATGAATTAAAACCGATTGATAAATTATCCCAGTCAAAAGAATCTATAAGCAGCAAGCTCAATTCTCTTTCAGCTTCAATTAAATCTCCAAGCTCATCATTCTCTCTATCAAATAAGCTAAATTCAAAGTACTACAACCCACTCCTTACAAATACTCTTGACGATTCTAGTAAAATGCATTTATCAAATCTCACAGACTCAAAGAAATTTTCTGACAAACTTAAATCAAGCTCATTTAAAACTAAACAAAGCTCCCATGAAGACGAAAAAAGCCAAAGCTTCAAGCTCAAAGATCTTGGATATACCCAAAAATACCCAGAAAAAAATCATCATAGGGCTATAGACGATAAAGTTTTTGATGATAATTTCTTTCAACTAGTAGAAGAAATTGAAAAATCTGACAGTTCAAAGTTCTCGATTTCTCAATTAAACAGCTCATCAAATCATAATAAAACTGATTATCTTGATTCAAAAATGATGAGTATTATTGATGAACTTGAAATGGGCGATGAAACAATGGAGTACTCAGTATCATCAACTTCAAAGAAGTCTCATATTAATAAAGAGCAAGATAGTTTTGAAGAGCTGAAGAAGCGAGCTTATCAGCTTAGGGAGTCCTTAAGAAAATAATTATTATAATATAAATCATAAAAATATCTGACTTAAAATTTCAAAAAATAAAAATTAATATATATACTATTAAAAAGAGAGAAATGCTGCTCATGCAGCGATAGATAGATTAATAATAATAATATATACTATTAATATCATCTTAATGCACTCAAGGAAAGCTTCATTGCCTTCAGTCTTAATTAACTCTCCACCAGCCTCTTCTTCTACTCTTTCATCAAGAAAAACTGCAGACCTACCAATTTTAAAATCAAGTATTACCCAGAGAAAAAAATTTTCAATTGATATAACTCCAAGCGACTCATATACCGACCTCCAAGCCGCATTTACACAAACAAATCGATTTTCCCATCCCCGAGTAAAATCTGAACAACTTTTGCCTAAAGATACCAAAAAGCCTGTAACTTTTATATAGAACAGAGCAATGATAGAAAAATTGCTTAACGAGTATTCTGATCTTTTTGAAACAAGAAGATTTTCCATGACTCCAGGCAGCACAAGTACAAAACTCGGCCCAGGCTGCTATAATGTTTCATTAAGCACTTTAGGAGGGCAGTCGTTTCAGTTTAGCACCACTTCTAGATTCAAAAGAAATGAGCTAGCTTCACCTCCACTTGAAATTGACGAAATAGAACAGAGAAGACGAATTCAAGCTATTTTATTAGAAAACAAAGAAATGGAAAAATACCTGCCTGATAATAAAGAAAAGCTTATCAAGCTGAAGTCTCAGATTGAAAACACAAAAATCTTGGAAGCGAAGAAGAAAAAAGAGCTTTTGATTTTTCAAAAGAGGATAGATACACAGCTAAAATTAGACGCGAAACAAAGGAAATTTGAATATAAAGTGAGAAGGGAAGAAATTGATAAAATTGCTAAAGGGTGGGTTATTTTTTGGATTGTGTGCAGCTGACAGTCTATTGGGTATCATAGAATGGTAGAGAGAACTGATTTGCATATAAGGTCAGAAGGGGTTTTGAAGAGGCTTTATGTGCTTTGCTGGAGCATTGGAAAGTTTAAACGGCTACACAAACTATTAAAAATTAGAAATGCAAAAAGATGTCTAGAAAAGCTTGTGAAACCTGTAAGAGAATGGCACAAATCACAGAAAATTGTGTATAAAAGCAGAATTATCGATATAATTGAACGTGCTGCTACAAAAGATATGCTTTTCCGGCTTCTCGCCCAGTGAAAAACAAAAATCACATTTCTCCAAAGAACAATAAAGCACTTATTATTTGAGAAAAAAACTTCAATGACTTTTAAAATAGTCATGTGAAATAAAGCTGAATATAAAATATTCAGAGAGTTACAAGTAAAAAGGCATGCTTTACAGAATAATGAGCTAAAAAAACCAATAGATTCAAAAGCGATTTTCGGGAAATCTACAATCCCTGACAACGTTAAAGAACAATGTATTAAAAATCTTTTAAGGCAAAGAGCAAAAGAATATATTGAAAAACTAAAAGAATGGAAAATAAAATGCAGAGAACTTATGGAGCAGGAAGAAAAAATAAAATACAAAAGAGAAGCCACTGCTTTCCTTAAGAATAAGAAGGTCAAAATGGTAAAATTGCCTGAGAAACCGAGGGGGGATTATATGCTTTCTGAAGCAGACTACAGAAAAATGATACAGGAATGCATTAAAAGTCAAGAAAAATGGGAAATGCCTCACATCAGCTACTAGTCGAATATTTGATAATTTAATTTAATTTGTTTTACTCAATGCTCACACAGCTTGAGCAGTTCTCAATATTTAATAGAAAATTAAGAAATTTATAAAGTCAGAGATCTTGGTGATAAAAAGATTCATCAATGAATCAGAAGAGGGCAAGTTTTGTCATCAGTATAAAGTTATATGAAGTCAGTAACGAGGAATGTCGTCAAGGACAGTAATTCTAGAGAAGTCATCAAGGTAAATGAATAAAATTGTTCAGGACAGTAAATGTCGTCAAGATTCTGAAGCAGAACTGAACAGTTGTCATCATTTAGAGCTCTATAAAAATCAGTTAGCGATCTAGTTTTCATCTGGATGCAGTTGGTAATTCCAGCGTAGTGATCATCACCATTAAAATTATAATAAGCTAATATGGACTCAGATGAACAAATAATAATCGAGCTGATATGGCTTTACTTTTATTAATTTTTGATAAATTTTGCAGCAGGGTTTTTCATTGTTGAGGTCATAATTTTTCATTATGCTTAATTGCTCAAAAGCAAATTTTTAATTTTTGAGGCAATTTTTAAAGCAGGCTGAAAATAATTTTTATCCTATATATAGGCTGCAGATAATAGTCCTGCTAAGTGCGCGCGTGAAATTTTTAGTGCAGTTTAATTACGAATTTGAAATGTTTATTGGGTTTTGGAACTTGCTTACCCCCTCCGTGAGCGAACAAAACCATAGGAAAAATCCCTATTTTTTGCCCAAAGACCCACATCCATGACCGAACAAAAATTTTTTATGAAAAAAATTTTTGATATATAAGTGATAATTATTATAATGTAATCTCTCGCTAATTCTGTTTTATTTTAAACAATTGTAAAGCATACATTTTACAAATTAAATTAACTTCTCAATTTTTACAAATTTTTAAATTTTTTTAAATTTTGAAAAACAAAATTTATTATAAAATTATATATAAATTTTTTTAAAAAAAAAGATTAACTCTCCTCCGGAGCGGACAAAATTGTTTTGTTCGCAAACGGAGGGGGAAGTTAGCAAGAATGATATAAAATGCAGTTGTCTTAAAATAGTCAATGGACTATAATCAAAAAAATCGATTATCCAAGGTAATATTACACAAATAATACAAGACAATCTAATTTTATAAAAAATTGCCACTTCTCTGTTGAATAAAACAAAAATCAAATGTTTTACTTACAAACTTTAATAAATAAGCAATAAGCCTAAACTACCTTAAATTTAATTTCTTAATCCATAAATGCATTGGCTTTACACTCACAAAATAACACTTCAATAAAATTATTAAACATGGATATAGAAGTCTTTGAAATAGACTCAAGCAGTGACGACTCTGAAAAAGAAAATATCTGCAACTACAGCAATGACCCTGTAATCATGACATACAAAATAAAATCTTGCATTCCAATAAAAGAATCAGACTACTCTAGACTTAATCCTAAACAGTATTTAAATGATAACGTAGTTGACTTCTTTCTATTGTACTTTCTCAATGAAAGTGAAAGAAAAAGTATTCACGTCTTCAATAGCTTTTTTTACAAAACGCTGGAAAATGATGGGTATGAAAAGATCGCTAAGTGGGTTAATGAAAAAGAAATTTTTGATAAGGATTATTGGGTTATCCCTTTAGCCATTAATAATCATTGGGTGTTACTTGTAGTTTGCTATCCAAAATGCATTTTCTTAAAAAATAGAAAAGGAAAGCAAAAGAGGCCCCAGATTTTGCTGTTTGATTCGTTGAATATTATAGAAGAAGATCTTGGAGAGAATGTGAGGTATTTTATAGCAAATGCATGGGCAACTCTTAATAATGAAGATTACTGTGAAATTCCAGAAAAGGAAGTACCATTGATAGCAGTAAGAGTGCCGCAGCAAGAAAATCTATTTGATTGTGGGGTGTATTTGATATTTTTTGCTAACCCCCCTCCGTGGGCTAAAATAATTGTTTGCTTTCGATGGGTTAATTTTTAATATAAATTTTATAAATCTTATAATAAAATTATTTTTGAAATTAAAAAAATTCGCAAAAATTATGATGCAAATAATATTTAATTTGTAAAATTTATGTTTTAAAATACAAGCTGTTTAAATTAAACAGAATTAGTTCGAGATTTCGTTATAATTATTATCACTAATATATAGTTTTTCATAAAAATTTTTTGCTCACTCATGGAAGTTGGCTTTTGGAAGAAAAAAAAAATTTTTTCCAATGGTTTTGTTCGCTTACGGAGGGGGAGTAAGGTCTTCATGCGTGCTCCAACAAAATTTGATTCTGCCAATACCAAAAAAGATTTTTCTGATTTATTTAAAATAGAAGAGATTGAGAGAGGAAGATGGGAACTCAAAAATATTATTAATCAATACTCTTCAGGTGAAAGAGTAAACAAAGGTGTCAATATATTCTTGAGCAAGAGCCTACTAAAGGATAAAACTTAACTTAACTAATTTAACATAAATGGCTTAAAGACTTTCAGATTTGATGCATCTGCATACTTGTGGCTACTGAATCTGCTTGCCAGAGGAATTCAGTCGCCTGAGCACTGTCTCAGCGGCAGCCTGCTTCTGGGCCTGGGACTTGCGCCGATATCCCTGAGTCTCAACGGGTTAGAAAAACTCTTGCTTTACGTCTTGCGGGTACTATAGAGTAAAGGTTAGCCGATGCCTCCCTGTCGACTATCTCGAAAAAGTGTGAAATCAAGGAAAAGAACCAGGGAAAGAAACTACAGCTCAAAAACCATCCGGATAACTAAAACCTGGATTGAAATGGACTAGCTGGCTCCCAAGGTTTACCAACCCCATACAGCCTCTCTAGGCAAGCTAAGGTTAGAATTAAAGGACCTGAACCTTTGTTTAGGCTATGAAGCCATTTTGGCGCCCAAAGTAGTGCGTCGCCATCAAAATACATATTTCATTGCCACGACATATTAATTATAAAGGATTATAAAGATAGTGCTCCAGCAAAACTAAGGAGAATTGATGAAGATAAGAGTGTTAGAGTTATACCAAGCAAAACACCCACAAGACAACGTAAAATTAAAGATGGTAAGGCTAGTAAAGTAGTTTCAACGAGAAGTTCTTTGATAACACCTAAACTAGCTGGCCCTCAAAATAAACCCAAAAATAACGCGAAAGCCTCTATCCCAGCTTCCCCTGCACCTAAGATAACTAGAAAAGCAAGCAGAGCGGCAAGAAATAGCAATAACACTAATCAATTGTTAGAAAACAATATACCTATAGCTGAATCCCCAGCAAAAACTCCTCAAGCGAAAAAATCTCCTATTAGTCCATCTACAAAGGTTCCAAGAAAACCTCCTAAAGCCACTAATAACCCTGATTTACAGCCTTCTAAAGCAAGAAAAGATGCCCCTAAGCCTGCAAAAACTTCAAGCACAATTACTCACAAGACTTCTCCAAAGTATACCAATCCAATGCCTGACAAAAAATACCCAAAAAGGGAACGAAAGGCTAATATATGGTTAAAAGATTACGAAATCGATCTGACTCCTGCCAGAAATTTACCTCAAAAAAGGCCAAGAGGTAAATAAAGCAAGCATTTATCACTTTAATTTTAAGGGCTTTGTATAATTACTTAGATCTTAATTATAACTGTAGCTTCGCTTGTGGAGCGCTTACCTCATCCTTCATTTGTAAAAATGGAAAAGACTTATTTTTCTTCCAATAATAGCAGACTCCCAGTACAGTCAATGAGCTTGTTATAGAGGTTTCCTCTATATAGCGCTAAAAGCGCAGACATTTTCCCAGGAGCTTTCCAAGTTCGTCGGACCAAACCGCTTTTTGGTCCGACCAAGGCATTGATTTGGTGCAACCTACCGATAAATTCCGATCAGAATTTATCGGCCTTACAGCGCCAAACATAGGAAACTTCTATATAATAAAAGTGAAAACCACAGTGATGATAAGTTTTGTATTGCTTGTCTCACTAGATTTTGTAGTAACTCCATAAACTTGCCAATGATAAGTGCTTACTTTTGACGTGGAATTCGAAATTATGTAAAATTTATATGTTGATTTTTCTGCTGTCAAAATATTTTCATTTATTGCAAAAGTCTTATCCCCGTGCTCAATTGTTTGGGTTTTTGAGCTTTGTAGGGTAACTCCATGTGGATGTCCTGATATTTCTTTGAGAAACTTTGACGTGATTTCTTCTGATTTTGGTTCCAAAATTTTTGTGTAGTCAGGGTTTTGGTGCTGGATTAGGTGGATAGCTGAGGAATTGTCGAGGAAGGAGAATTGAAGATAATGTAGCTCAAGCCCGAGGGTAAGGGTGTTGTTGAGGACGATTATGGAATTGTAAATATCGTCGATGTGCTCTTCTGAAAGAGATTCTGCCCAAATGAACAAGCTTTCGTTCCCGCCGGTGACTTTCAGCTTATAGACTTCGTTTAAATAATTGACTGCGTCCTCACTAGGAGATGCTTCGACGACGATTAAAATAGCAAGCCACCACATTATATAAAATTAAGATTATACCTTTCTTTTCATAAAAGTATTTTAAATTGAAGCCAAGAAAATTAAAATAATAAAGCAAAAAGATTATAGATTATATAAGTTCTATATAAATTCAATAAAATGAACATAAAATTACTATATATCATTATATTTAAAGCCATTTCTATGCTATATAAATGAATTTATATGAAAATCTAGAATGTTCCATAGTTAAAATAATCATATAAAAATACCCTTGATATAAAAATTGATCTTTCTATATTCATTATTTTGCATATATATCCTAAATAAGCTTTAAATAGCTAATAATTCACCTAATTCCCCACATGTTTATAAAATATGGAGTGGATCGAGTACAGCCAACCTGCTTTGCTGAACTCAATGCTGTTTACAGCTTTAAGTCCATTCCTCTGGACTATTATTGCCAGATTTGAATTCCACACTAAAGGAATATCCAAATTATTCTTTGGTCACAAGAGGGCAGCCGTAGCATTATTTGGAGCGATTATTTTCACTCTAAATTTAGTTCGCGGTTTTGCTTTTCATGAGGCCATTGAGAAAGAGCCACAAATGGACATTGACAGCTTTGCACTTGATGTGGCTTCATACGCTTTAATAATGATTGGACAATTCTTTGTGTGTGCATCAGTTTACAGATTAGGAATAGTAGGAACCTATTATGGAGATTATTTTGGAATTTCTCTATTTGATGGACCATTAACGTGCTTCCCATTTAGTGTTTGTAATGACCCGATGTATTGGGGATCTACAGGCACTTTCTTTGGATATGCTCTATTGGGGAGAAGCCCTGCTGGGATTTTCTTAACTGGCTGGGTAGCTATTTGCTATATGGCAGCTGTCGCTTTGGAGTCCCAAATGCTACAAGTTATATATCCGAAGAAGTTGGAATAAGTATAATCGTTAAATATTAGTCAATTTATAATAGTGATGAATCATAATTATTGTGTTCTTATTTAAATAAAAAGTTAGGTTTTTTGCATTAGCCAAAACAGATTTCCAAGTTTAAAATAAAAATGGCTTGTGCTAATATAGAAAATAAAGAAGATCTTATATTTAAGGGTAATTAATATGGTAGTGGAGACTAAATATGTCTTTTATGAAGCAGTAATGTGTCATAAAAGTCACTTATAGTCGAAGCCAAGGCTCATGCACTTTATTTCTAACCCTTTATCTTGTTTGCTGATTTGCTGCATGGAATACTTAGGAGGCTATGGGAGTCAGCTGATGGTGACTTTATGATATGTACGAATTATCTGGATGGCTTTGGGCTAGTTCGTTCCCTATTGACTCCAAAAGGTGGCTCCTTTTTCTTTAGTATCGCCACTACTCATAGTGGCTGACACAAGGCATAGGACTCACCTTTACCTCAATAGCGCTAGATGGCGAGATGATGGAGGAATGATTCATATCTGTTTAGATTCTTGGGTCTCAATACAAGTTCTGACTCTTGAGAAGGCCACTATTTAAAATAAAGTCCTAATCACTTCAGAAGGCAAATGACTCTGATTAATAGTGTGCAGAGTCAATGAAAAATTTATGGAAAACTTTAAGAATTTTAAGTTTAATTATATTTAAGGTTCATATTTTATGTATCATTATTTACTAAAACATTAGCTTCTAACTGACGTAATTTAAATTTTTTATTTAATGCAATTTCTATCAAAATTAAAAATGCTGCTTAGCTGCTTTTCATGAAATAAGCTTTATTAATTTTTAATTTTATTTCACAACTATAATATTTTCAATACTAATTAGATTCTCCAATAAATATATTGAAAATTATTGCAATAGAAATTGATTTTCGTTACATTATTTATTATTTGGTATTTAAGGCGTCTAGTGCCGCACCCCTAAAAAATGGTTATAGCTAAACTAGTGACGTCGCTGAACCATCTTGGATTCACGATGGTCAGCCCATCGCCCAAGCCTTCTATCAAAACCTCGCCGCCAGCCTTCGCCGTACGTCTCACCCGGCGCGTTGCCGATACCTTGCCTTACTCAGCTCCTGCGCGTATTCCGCCTAATGGTCATCTTCCCGTGGAGATATGCTGAGAGGTGAAAACTTAAGCCTCTTGATGCACTGAGGAGCAGTTTCTTGGTTATCCCCAGAGTTAAACTGCTATTGCTGTGCAGAAGTTCTTGAGGTAAAACCTAACTCCATAAATAAAATTGCTTGAGGGAGAGAAAATTGGTGGAGCCAATTTCGCTCGAACACATAATGCCTTTTTATATTTATAGAAATTGATTTTCAATTATTAGTTTCAATGCATAATAAAATCACTGAGGTGAGCGGCATATCCCTTTGTTTTTGAGGTATATTTATGGACCAGCATGTCTGTATCTTAAAAGCGATAGAAGTGATCCAAAGCCACTTTTTAAGCCTTTCTCTTTGGACTGTTAAATGTATCTTTTTGTCATCAATGCCCTGCCCAGTGGTTTCTATATATAAAAAGGGCAGCGCACATACCTAAGTTTCTGCTGTTTCTTTGCCTCGCAATAACGAAAGCTGCTAGTTCTTTCTTGCATTATCCAATTGAAAATGATTCGACTAAAAGGACAATTTGGCATTGGAAGGGCGTGGGGTTAGTTTAAGATGGCATTCAAATTTAAAACATGTACCGTTTGAAATCCATATAAATATAAAAGTGGCAATTCTTGCATTTAAATAAATAAAAATAGAGTAAAACCCTAAGAGATAATAATATAATAAGTAATTCCACAAATTTGCTGAAAATTTTATTTAAATCTACTAGAATTTGCATTAGGAAGTAATTCTCATTTTTAAAATATTCAGCTTATCTTTGTTAAAAGTCAAACTAATTATATTTTTTACCAGGCTTGAATAAGTTGTTGTTAAAATTATCTATGTCTTTACAATATTAATTAAAACTTTATTAATTATCTTTAATATAGATTTAAAATTTTTTGGATTGATGAAATGCTATTTATCAGTCCTCCTATATTTGCGCTTTAAGATCATTTTCTTTTCATCAATTTACTAATGAAAATGCATCATAAATTCAAAAAATTAAAGAATCATGATCTTTTAAGAATTTCTATGATTCTTTATCATTAGAATTTATTAAAGGGATTAAAATTAAAATATAAACAAATATTGTTTTTACATCTTCTTATTGATAAATATATGATGCTTAGATAGTTTCTTTGAATTCAAGAAAAACTTACTTATTCTATAGAGGATATAGTATTAAATATTCCAACTTAACGTAGAGAGCTCTCGCTAAAAGCTATTTTGATTTCTATTGGTATTAAAGGTAGTAAATATCATTATAAATATTTATTCATGAAAATAGCAGTGAATATTTTGTGCTCTATAAGAATCGCTTTTTTACGAGTCCTAAATAATTCTGTTTTAAGGCGATATTTAACTATAGATTTTTGCCTTGTTAATACCTATTTTGCATATTGTTAAGTGAATTATAAGGCAATTTTATATTAAAAGAATTGAGCAAAGGTTATTTGCATTGATCTCCACAATTTTTCTTAAATCTTATTCATTTTACTGCTTTTAGCCTAACCCTAGTCATATTTGGATTCATTTTACCTAAAAATTCCTCTTATACTCTTTCTATGAAAATTTAATGCAATTCTTAATGATTTTTTTAGTTCATTTCATAATAAACACCTTATAAATTCCGCTATTCTTAATTATCTTTTCTAAATTAACATATATTTTTCTTTTCTTTAGCCGTTTTCTATTGTTGCAATTTCGCTCTACAATTGAGAAATTTTCTTTCAAAAAGCTTTAATTTTCGATATCGAATCGATAGTTATCTAGAAATTCTGGAAAAAGTGAATTATTATTATGATTTAGGAATAAAAAATATGCCACTATTATAAATATAATAATTAATGAAAAACTTTAAGGTTATGGAGCTCTACTGTTGCATGTACAATGGTTGCCACAATGAATACACTACCAGATCTAATTTAAAACATCATATTGACGTTGCTCACTTGAAAGCAAAGAAATTTATTTGTCATGTTTGCCAGCAAACACTTGCAAGCAAACAAAACCTGCGAGAACATTTAAACAGACACAGAGGAGTAAAGCCGTTTGCATGTGGAATATGCAAGAAACAATACAGACAAAGAAGCCAAGTGCTGATTCACTCAAGAGAGCATGGAGTTATATGCGAAGTACTCGAAAATTATATCGAATCACATCCAGAGGAAACTATAAATAAACTGCTAAAGAAAAAAATAGAAAAAACTTCTAATGAGTTTCAAGCTATGAATATCGAGCTGCCACTTATAAATTATCAGCTAAGACAAGAATTCTTATTACCCTCTCTTACAGAGATTTTAAATAAAATTTAATCTGTTAAAATTGTGCTCATTATATATAATGCAAAATTCTTTCCAAGCAGCCTATAAGTATAGATTATAGCTAAATTAGAGGCTTGGGCACTTTTCTTTGAATATCAACTAGTTAAGTTATAAAATTTTCAATTTAAATATGTGCCATTTTGCAGAAAAAAGGTCTATAAGCCATAATAACTAACTTTTATTTTGATTAATGCCATTTCTTAATAATTCTGCAAAATAACAGTTGTGCTTATAGGAGAATTTAAGTGGTTTCTTTTGAGGTCTCCTCAAAAGACCTTTTGAACAGAAAATTAAAAACTCATATAGCGATGGCAACATTATCTGGAATTATAGTGGATGATGGCAAACGATATAGATTAGCTAAGGTACATAAAGTATATTAGCAGCGAGCAATTATAAAGGCTGCAATATCAATTTCGGGATCACACAAAAGGAAATTTTATTTCAGTAGTATTAAAAAACAGCGATTCTTTATCTCGAATCATTCGTCCATTTTTAATTTCATGAGAGCACACATAAAACTAAACAATCTAAGAATAAAAATTAGCCTCAATACTCTTAAAATCGTTAAAGTTCATTTTACAGAATTTTTACAATGAATATATTTTATATGATTAAACAGTAAATTAGCTTATTTTATCTGTTTTTTATATAAAAATATTCAAAATCCAGTTTTTACTTTGATGATAACTAATTTCTGAAGTGTTTAAATAAAGCTATTATAATTTTAAAAATTTTAAAAAGGGCGGTATGAAGTTTGCTAATATAAATTTAATTAGAATTATCAAAGCATTTATATTTCGAAAATGATTTGATCTTCATAAGATGAGTCATTCTATGATTTAACACTTTTAAATTTTTTAAATTGTAGCTAACGAAATTCTTAGTTCTAAAAACATGTTAAAAATAACTATTCAGCTACTTTTATAATTATTAAAAATTTATTCATGCAAAAAAACTTAATACTGCAAATCAAAATTATTTAAAATGCCCTTATAGATCAAATAAAATTAGTCTTAAAAGCATTTTCAAAAAATCATCTTTAAATATGTGACTGGCTGGGATTGCTTTTCTGATATAATTCAAATGAACTAATAGATTTTTTGCTTTTAAATATTTTTTTGCTCAAGATCATCATCGCTTTTTCTTTGGATTCCTTTTCCCTTACTTCAAATTTTCTTCCCTTAATTTAGGATGCATCAGCTGCTATATTTTTCCGATTTATCTAATTTTTTTAAGCAAATTTTCAAACTCTTCCAATGAAGGAAATGGCCCAGCTGATGAAAATTAGGACTGGCAAATAGACGGGGCTCAATGCCTCATCTAGATTGGATTAATGTAAGGCTTAGTAACGAAACTTCCTCAGAAATATTTTCTGTTTACTTAAATAAGTATTTATAAAATATTAATATTTGTCAGAGAGTGGCTGATGAAAAGAGGATAGTCTTCCTATTGCTTATTGATTTTGGCCTTAGCAAAAAGTCCGAAAAATGGCGTATGTGGGAATCCCACTCAAGCCTGAAATCCTTGCAAAATAAAGCTCAACCAACCACCAAACCTATATTAGAAGAAAGATCTTTTTAGCAGGTGCTTACTGCCCAAAATGAGTCAAACCATCATAACTTGCTGGAGACTTATTGGGCTTTTTGTTTTGACACAATAGACCTCTTATATTTTGGGCAAAAACAGTGCACATTAGAAATGTCTGTCTAAAGCTTATTGATTTCTGCCTTAGCAAAAGTGAAGAAAATGGTGTATATTATAATCTGGTCCCATACCAAAAATAAAGCTCAGCTCACTATGAAATCTATATCGGAAAACAAATCTTTTATCATGGCTTACTTCCTAAAGCGGGTCATACCATCATAGCTTTTGGAGACCTATTGGACCTTTTTGTTTTGATAATAAACATTTATATCTACAATAGGTCTAAAGTCGATTTAAATTGTTGGGTAAAAGAGAGCATACTGAGGGTGCTTCCCTATTGCCTATTAGTTTTGGCTTTCGCAAAAAAGCCCTAAAAATGGCATATATAGGAATCTGGCACCAAAAGTACAACAAAAATTAAGCCGCCCACCACAATACCTATATATAAGGGATTACAATTATGCTTGCAAAGGGCAAATGCTTACTGAATCTATTAGGGAAGATTTAAGATGCATAAAATTGTACTTTTTCGAAGGAAATTGAATAAAGCATGGAAAAAAAGCCGGATAGCAGATAAATACATCAAAAATATATTTACAAGGTGATAAAGGCTAAAAAAATATGCTAAGACTTGACATCGATCTAGATTATAATAAATGCTTTTTTAATAATTATGCATCTAGATTTGGCAAATGGTCTGACTGATGAGGTATTATTTATCGACCCTTTTATTTTGTAATTACCTTTTCCTCAAGTTGTTGAAACCAAGAGGTATTATAAAATCAAAGAAAAAATTCAACATGAGAATTTATTTAATGAGTTGATGCTAAAGTGGATTAAATAATTTGATTACTTCATTATTGATAAAAAGATGAGGTCTACGAATTTATTTTTGACAATCCAAACGAAAAACTTAGAATTTTAGTGACTATTTTCCCTATTAGCACCATTTTACTTATCGTTTAATTTCAGTATTAAGTGAATTGTTGAGAGTAATATCATGTAAAAAGCAATGATGAAAAGATTGTTTACGTCGAATATATGCTATTTTAGATATATTAAACAATTAATTTAAATTAACTAAAGCTTATTAATTGAATTTCTTAGACCACGAGGGCCTATAAATTTTTAAGAAGCAAGATAATTATTTAATTGAAATTATAGTTATTAAAAATCATCAAAGAAAGCTATAGTAGTGCATATAAGGATATTTTCAAATTGTTCTTGAACAATTACGAGAAAGTAAAAATTTGATAGCTTTCACCAATATACAGTAAACGTATTTTAAAGGGGAAGAGCAATGTATTTTACTACAATACAAGAAAAAAAATCTTAGTAATATAATTTAAATATGCATGTTAACACCCATAAATAGGAGAGTAGATCATCGATGCCAACTGATATATAAATATGGGTATATAATAAAATATCAATATGAAAAACTTTAAAGTGATACAGCTCTACTGTTGCATGTACAATGGTTGCCACAATGAGTACACTACCAGATCGAATTTAAAGCACCACATTGACGTTGCTCACTTGAAGGCAAAGAAATTCATCTGTCATTATTGTCAGCAAACACTTGCAAGCAAACAAAATCTGCGAGAGCATTTAAACAAACACAGAGGAGTAAAACCGTTTGCATGTGGAATATGCAAGAAGCAATACAGACAAAGAAGTCAAGTGGTGATTCACGCACGAGAGCATGAAGCCACATGCGAAGTACTTGAAAATTACATCGAGTCACATCCAGAGGAAACTATAAATAAAACATTAAAGAAAAAAATTGAAAAAACTTCCAACGAATTTCAAGCCGTAAGCATTGAGCTACCACCCATAAATTATCAGTCGAAACAAGAATTCTTATTACCCTCTCTTATAGAGATTTTAAATAAAATATAAACTTTTAAAAGTGTGTTCGTTATTTATCATGCAAAATGCTCTCTAAGCAGCCCCTAATTATAGATTACAGCTAAATTAGAGGCTTATCGCTTTTCTTTGAATATTAGCATATTCAGTTATGAGATTTTCATTTAGCATAGGAGCCATTTTGCAGAAAAAAGATCTAATATCCATATTAACTAACATTTATTTTGCTTAACGCCATTTCTTAATAATTCTGCAAAACGATAGCTAGGTTAATGGATTTATTTCGTTTAAACATTCAATTGAAATATTGGCGATTAATTAATCAGTTTAGAGATATGCAAATGGAATTTTATTTCCAGAGTATTACAACTTTACTTTTAGAAGGAGAGGCAAAATTTTTCTTATTGTATGATATTATGAGTGCATATATAAGACTAAACAATTTAAAGATAATAATTAGCCTCAGTTCCCTCAGAATCGATAAGGTTCATTTTACAGAATTTTTATAGGATATATATTTTATATGATTAAACTAAGAATTAATTCACACACTTGGGTTTTTCATAAAGTTATTCTATTTTGAGTATTTTTTTGTTTATACCGAAATTCAGAAGTACTTAAATAAAGACTTTATAATTTGGGATAACTTATTAATCACAAATTTTTATATTATTTTTATTATTCTATAAAATACAATAAATTTAAATATAATTTTTTACAATATTTTTAAAAGGGAGACATGAACTATATTAAAAATGTTTTTAATTTTAAAATAATATATTATATGTTTAAGAAAATGTTTTGATTTTTATTAAGCAAGGTATTCTAATATTATAGATAGAAATTTGGCATCTTTAAATGGAATCTAAAGACATTTTTAGGGTTTAAAAAGCCATTTAACTATTTGTGATTATTTAATTTAAATTGAAAAAATTAAAACTGTTAAAATTCCTTATATATCAAATAAAATATTGTTTAATCTGTAGTTATTATCAGGCTGGCATGTTTCAAATGCATTTTCCAAAAATTAATCTTTTTGAAGCTGCGACTGGCTAGGGTTCGCTTTTCTTATATTATCATTAAGTTGCAGTACCAAATTGTTTACTTCTTTTACTTTTAGCTCTAGTATTTTTCTTTATTTAATAGCACCAACGTCTTTTCTTTGCACTCCTTTTCTCTTACCTCAATTTCTTCTTCTCTTATTTTAAGATTACATACATCAGCTGCAATATTTTTTCTAGTTTATTTAGTTTTTTAGTTTTCTGATTCATTTCGTCTTCCTTCTCTCTAGTTTTCAAGCTTTTTTGCTTCTTCTTCAAAAGAACTTTCATCATTTCTTTGAATTTTTTTGAATTTATTTATGCAGTTTAAGAAAGACGGGAAACACCTCTTTTTAAAGGGTCTGGCGAGACGCCGGAGGCGGCCATTTGAAGTTTAAAAGAATAGTTAGCTACTTGTGGGTTCCTTATCTTTGTGAATTGGGTCTGTTTTAAGCCTTAAAGTGTGGCTTCTATAATTTGGACAGAGCTCAACTGAGCTTTGATGCAATCTGAGTGGAATGGCTGTGAGCAGTAAGCATTGAGCATAAAAAGCAGGGTGGCTGGAAAGACAAATCCCGCAGGGAAGAATAAATTGATCTCAATGAGAGCCATGATGTTTGGCTCGAGGGCGCCTCGCCATCATTTCTTTAATGTTTATAATTGCATAGAGCTCAAACTTCAATAGTGCTATTTGAAGAAAAAAACTCATTAAAGGCCATAAGCTGTGAGCATATTAAAATACAATCTTTATAAAAGTTTCCATAATTTAATCTAACCTTGCATATTTTTTCAAGCTGTTTAAAAATAAACAGAATTAGTTAGAGATTTCATTGTAATAATTATCACTTATATATCATATACATAAAATGGCGTATGGCGACCGACCCACCCTCTCAGTGGTGGTTACCCATGTATATCCGGGCATGGTTTTTGGAGCCAGGAATTAGCCCAACAACGTCTGGGACCCTCGAAGCGAGAGGACTAAGCGCGAGAGCCGCTGTTTTTGCGACCAGATCCATGGGCAGTTATTCGTGACTTCTTTTTGCCAGCAGCGCTCAGCCCAGTGAGTGCCCGAAATGAGACAGGGTGAATTACCTGCCTAAGCTGCTTTAGTGGCTCGCCCCGAATGGCGAAAGCTGTTGAGTTCTTTCTCGGGATGACCGGAAAAGAGGGGAGGCGAGTTAGACACCAAAACGGGGTCTCTCCAGTTGAAAAGGTGCCCTTCAATGGGCAGATCTGGCGGACGACGAAGCGGAGTTGGCGTAAACTTAGGCGACGATCCGAGTTGGAAATGGAGGTGGTCAGCAAAGCCGGTATGAGACGGCCCTTGACAATACCTCTACCGAGAAACCGGGGGTTTCGGCCCGGGCTTGGTGAACGCTCTGCCACCACACGGGAAACCGTGGCATGCGACCTCGGACGTAGTAGGGACCTTAAATACCCAGCGTAATCTTAATCTTAATCACTTATATATCAAAATTTGTTTCATAAAAAATTTTTGTTCGCTCACGGAGGGTGGGTTTTTATGTAAAAATAGGGATTTTAATGGCTTTGTTCACTCACGGAGGGGAGGAGTAAGGATAGGTGCGATACTGCAAACAAATAATTTTGTAAGCGTATAAAAGATTGAAAACCGAGCATCATTATATGACTATAGGTGAGATATAATTTACATTTTAGCCTTATTGTGGCTTCAGTTCATAATTTTAAATCCATTCACAACTTTATTTCAGGATGACCTTTATGGAGATTTCTTTTACACATAGATTTTATTCAGAAAGTTTGCATTTAGTTGAGATGATGGTTAAAATAAGTCAACTGAATAAAAATTATTTCTAGTATTTCGGAATAATTGATCTAAGCTTCCATTTAGGTATTTGTGCTACTTTAACTTAAGAGCCAAAACTTATTGATCGTTGACTTAAAAAGCTATTAAAATTATAGCATGATAAAAATAAAATAGAAGATCCACTGCATGAATTTCCTTACCGAACTTTTATTATAGGGTTAGGTTTTTGTGCATGATTTATGTCTGATAGGAAAGAAATGGCAAAGACTATTCAGTATCTTTCATTCATTGCGTTTTACCTCTTCCTGTGCTTGATACTGCGAGACCCTAAGACCAAGCAGGTGCAGGAGGAAAGTGGACAAGTAAGGCCGCTTGAATTTTCAGAATTTCTGGGTTATTAAATAACCTAAATGAAGCTAGAATCGAGTCACAGATTTATGAACAATCTAGGGTAGCGAGAAAATGCCCTCATTGAGCTGGCATTTAGAGGCTAGATTATCAGATAACCAAATTAAATTATTACATATTTATAGCAGTGACTGACTTAATTTTTTAGTTTAGGCTAAGCCACTGGCTTTTAATTTTTCAGTGCTCTTTAATAGATTCGAACTCTTCATTGTCGTTTCGAAGAAGTTACCTATATTCGAAACATCAAAAAAAGTAACGATTTATTTTCGATGGAACGTGCTTATGCGCGCTTTTATTTGAAATTATTAATTTTTAAAGTCTTTTTCAAGTCTCATCCCTTTTTAGAGCTCTAAGAACTGGCTTTTATATCCGTTTTTTAAAATTTATTTCGATAATCCCTATTTATGTGTACGGATATAATTATTAAATGGCAAGCTTGACCAAACTAAAAGCATGCTTTGTTATTTTCTGTCTTTCCATTGGTATTACTGCTTATTCTCCTATAGCAAAATGGGTTTTTACCCCAAACAATCTAGTAGATGGGAAGATCAAAGACTTATCTTCTAATAACAATGAGCCTTTCCAAACTTCATGAGGGAGCATAGCTGAATCAGAAGTAACTTGTAAAGGTCTTTATCGTTCCCGTAATTCTGGCGCTTTCGACTATGGAATTGTAAGTGCCATTACATCCTCCACATTAGAGTATGGGGTAAGTATTTGAATGAACTTGCAAGGTGGTAGTGATGCAAATCCAACTCCAGTTGGCATGATAGATTCTTCTGGATACTTTACCTATTATGTCAAAATTATTTATGGTGATCCCACAAATTATAATTTTTGAAGACGTGGTGATAAGATAGGAAAGACAGTTCCTATTTCCCCCCCAGGTATATTTTACATAGGAAAATGAATATTTTTGGTATTTTATTTTGTCAAATCTCTATCCGTTTGGACTTGGACAATTATTTCTCCAGAGTTTTCAACTTTAATTTTAACTCATACCATATATCCAGGTAATGAAATTCGCATTGCATATCATATTATTGGATACTATTATGAGATTCAATTCTTCAAAAAAGCTAGTATAAACTCGCCTATTGTTACTTTATATGATAGCTCTGATGCTACTTAATACACAAGCAAGTCCTTCGAGATCATAATTAGTTTTACATTGACAATTATTTGCAAGGACACCATTTGGATCGTTGCAAGATGTGCACACTCCATAATTTCCAAAGCATGTGCAAAGTATCGGGCATGGGCAAGGTGTTGAGCTCAAGCATCCAACATCGGGGTGGCAATAATTGGCGCAAGAAGCTGGACAAGTCGAAGTTGCAGCATCATAAGTAATTTTTATTTAGAATCTCCTCTTGATTGTGCACAATGAACACCAGACAAGGTATGCACTCAATGCAATCCAAACTTTTTCCTCTATAATAGTGACTCTTCTACAAGCTGCTTAGGTAACTTTTATTTAGCTTGTGATTCATGCACTTCTTGCAAACTAGTTCTACGTGTTTTAAATGCACTGATTTAATTTCTCAAGCTGGAAACTCCTGCAGAGTTGAATCAATTGGGTACAAGTTTAGCTTTGTCTCTCCCAACATTATTGTTGACTTCGCCTATCCCTTGGCAAAGACTCTAAAAATCAGCAACTTAAAAGCAACAACTACGGATAATCAGGCTATCGCGACCACTACTTGGCAAATCCACTCGCAAACGGCAAGCCAGCTACAGATTAGAACTGATCTAATTCTAAGCCAGCTCCCAATCAAACTTAACTTCAACTTTGAGCAAGACCTTTAGAAGGATAATTAATTCGTCTTTCTTATATTAAAAATATTTTTAGCTTGAATCAATAATATATTATATGTTTCAGAAAATGTTTTGATTTTTATTAAACAAGGTAATTTAATTTAAATTGAAAAAATTAGAACTGTTAAAATTCCTTATATATCAAATAGAATCTTGCTCAATCTGTGGTTATTATCAGGCTGGCATGTTTCAAATGCATTTTCCAAAAACTCATCTTTTTGAATCTGCGACTGACTAGGGTTCGCTTTTCTTATATTATCATTAAGTTGCAGTACCAAATTGTTTACTTCTTTTACTTTTTGCTCCAAATATTTTTCTTTATTTAACAGAATCAACGTCTTTTCTTTGCACTCCTTTTCTCTTTCCTCAATTTCTTCTTCTCTTATTTTAAGATTACATACATCAGCTGCAATATTTTTTTCTAGTTTATCCAGTTTTTTAGTTTTCTGATTCATTTCGTCTTCCTTCTCCCTAAGCAAGTTTTCTAGCTCTTTAAGCTTTTTGGCTTCTTCTTCAAACGAGCTTTCATCATTCCTTTGGATTTTTTTGAATTTATTTAATACATTTTCCCATCCAGTGATAACATTAGTTCTTTTGTGCTCTATTGCAGATTCTTGTTCAGCTAACAATTTTTCTCTCAATTTGATATTTTTTTCTTTTTCTAAAAATTCTGTTTCAAGTTGCCGATATTTTAGCTCGATTTCTTTTTCTTTTTCAATTATATTTTTTTCTCTTTGCTTATATGAGTCTTCTAAGCTTACATAATAAATTTCTTTTTCTCTTTCATTTATTTCAATTTCTCTCTCTTTTAGGCTTTCTTGGTATTCTAATAGCTTCAGCTGTTTAATTCGTAAGGCACTTTCTCTTTCACTTATAAAAATTTCTTGCATTTTAAGAACTTCGTCTTCTTTTCCTTCCCCTAATAGTCTTATTTGTTCTGTAATTCTTTTTTCTTGCAAGTCAAGCTCTTTTTCTTTTTTATCCAGCTCTAGCTTGATTTCAAGCTGTTTTGAAGCTTCATTTTCTAGCTTTTCTCTAAATTTCCGGAGTTCCTCAAATTCTGATTGAAGTTTTTCTGATGCTATTTGTTGCTCAAATTTTGCAGCTTCAATTTCATGTGCTTGTTTCTCAAGATTTTGTGAAATAACCTTTAAGATGACTTCATCTAAAACAATCCTGCATAATTGAGCTTTTTCTGAGTCCCCCCCCCCCCCCCCCGTGAGCGAACAAAAAAATTTTGTTCGCTCACGGAGGGGGGTTAATGTTTTTTTTTAAAAAAAATTTATATATAAATTTTATAAAAAATATTTTTTTCGAAATTTAAAAAAATCCTAATTTGCAAAAATTGGGAAGCAAATATTAATTTAATTTGCAAAATTTATGTTTTAAAACGCAATTTGTTTAAAATTAAACAGAATTAGCTCTAGATTTCATTATACTAATTATCACTTATATATCAAAATTTTTTTCCATTAAAATTTTTTCTATTAAAAAAATTTTTGTTCACTCACGGAGGGTGGGTTTTTGGTCAAAAAATGGCGATTTTTCTAATGGTTTTGTTCGCTCACGGAGGGGGGGGGGGAGTGAGTCTTTTAATGTGTGATAATTCATCAATCTGTGCGGCATATTTATTTTCAAGATCTGATATGCTGGCTTCTTTTTTCTTTAGTTCATTTTCTTTGTGTTTAAGCTCTTTCTGCTGCTCATATAAAATTGATTCTCTTTCTGCTAGCTTTTCTTCGCTTTTTAACAAGTCAAAAGTCCTTTGTTCTAGCTCTGAAGCTGCTTCTTTAAGCTCACTTTCTAATGTGCTGTAGTCTTGCTCTTTTTTGAGAGCAGCACTTGCCTGAAAGGCTGGGGTTATTATATCAGAATAAATCTCAAACTCCTCATTTTCTTTAAAACTTGCCCCAGTTTTCTCATTTCTGCTAAACTCTATCTGATTTTCATTATTTTCATACAATTCCTCTTCTTTCTTTTCTAGCTTCCTCATTTTTTCTTTCAATTGAAGCTCTCTTTCAGCAATTTGCAGTTCCATCCTTTTCATTTTTTCAATAGTAATTTCTCTATTATCAAGATCCTCGTCCTTATCTTTAACCTTTTTCATTTTAGATCTGAGCTCTTTTTCCATTGCGTCCAATTGGGTTTTCCTAATATCAAGAGACTTGCTGACTCCCCCCCCCCCTCCGTGAGCGAACAAAAAAATTTTGTTCACTCACGGAGGGGGGTTAATTTTTTTTTTTTAAAAAAAATTTATATATAAATTTTATAAAAAATATTTTTTTCGAAATTTAAAAAAATCCTAATTTGCAAAAATTGGGAAGCAAATATTAATTTAATTTGCAAAATTTATGTTTTTAAAACGCAATTTGTTTAAAATTAAACAGAATTAGCTCTAGATTTCATTATACTAATTATCACTTATATATCAAAATTTTTTTCCATTAAAATTTTTTCTATTAAAAAAATTTTTTGTTCACTCACGAGGGTGGGTTTTTGGTCAAAAAATGGCGATTTTTCTAATGGTTTTGTTCGCTCACGGAGGGGGGGGGAGTGAGCATTTCTAGTCCTTCTAGCTTTTCATATGCTTTTTTTAAAATCATAAAAGACGAATAGGAGCTTGCACTTTTTGCGGAATATGAGGATTGGTTTATATCTGCCTTCAAGGTTTCTTGTAGGCGCTTTATATCAGTGATAAATTCTTTAGGGGTCCTTGGGATTGATGGGTTGGGAGAAATGCTGCGAGAAGCTGATGGGGAGCAGTTTTGCTTTTTGCTGTTTATTTTGATTTTCTTTGAATACAGCTTAGCATCAAGATGCTTTATTGATTCATAAATGTCGCATGAGCTTTGATCGAACATTTTGGTATCGTCAAAATGACTTTGAGATCGATTTGTTGAATTGCTTTGAAGCTCGTTTCTATGTCTTTTAATAAAAGTTGTTAGCCGATCTGTGTGGTCTTTGCTTATTTTCAATACTTTATATGAGCTCTGGCTGGTGTCTTGTGAAAATTCTTGACTTTTGTTGTATTTTGTTTTTTTATTTCCTCTGTGCTTTTCTTCAGACATGAATTTTCTTTAATTAATTTATTTATTCTTAAACGAAGAATTAGGAGTTAAATATTTTCTTTTTGGATTGGTTTCTATATAAATGATAAACGAAAGGAAACAAATCTATGGCAAAAACTTTCCTGATATTTATAGAGATATGATTATGTATAGAGAGATAAATAAGAATGATAATGAGCCTGACCCATTGCATGTTATTTTAGGAGTTATTGAGAGCTATCTTTATTATGATAATGACAGAAAACAGGTCCTAATAAAATGCTTGTCAGATCTTATATCACTAAATCAGCGGCAACCTGCACCAATTGAAAATGCTTATAATCATTTAATGCAGATCATTAACACTCGTGATATCAATTTTCTAGATAATTTATCATTTTATAATGAAGAATTTTGGGATTTACTGAAAGTCATTAAAGATAACATTGAAAATATCTGTGGATTTGAGTCTTTTATGCCTTATAATATTTTATTTAAAATCTCTTGCATGTTTCAAGTTTCTATTAGAATTGTCAAAACTGTAGAAACCTCTGATTTAAAAATGATTCAGTATGGCAATGTAAGCCCTATAGTTGATATATTTTTCAATGAAGCGGATTTATGATATATAATGTATCCTGAATTAACAGTTAGGGAACTATTTTTACCACGTCATTTGGATAAAGTTTACCATTGTGGCTGCCATAATTCGCATGGAAAGAGTTGCCCAGATAAAGAGCCATATACTATTGAAGATGAGCCTTGCAGTTTTTATATAGTTTTATTTTCCTAGAATTTAAGCTGCAATTAAAATAATTAGTAAAAGAATAACAGCCTATTTTCTAAGAAAAACGATTTTTTTTGCACTTTTATAGTAGCTGAATACAGATAATTTTAATAATTTTTTAGCAGATTATGATAATTGTCTCCAACAAGGAGTTCTCTCTTGTTCTTGCTCCTGCCCTCTCTGTGGAAAAATCGCATGTATATGAATATCAATATCTGGCCCAAACACTCTTGGATTAATCGATGCAAGCTCACTTGGAGTCGGCATAACTGGAATTTGTAAAGGCGGCCTAGCACTATTATTGCTAATCCCACTTTCATTTGTGATCAGACTTGACGATACTGAGGCTGCATCATCAGGAGGTCTCTGCACAGTCCCTCCAATAATCGCTGCAAGATCAGTCAGAAGTCTTCCAGTCCTATCAAGTAATGGTGCTAATTGTGCAGTCAGAAGCATTAATTCTTGTTCAGTCGTCATTTCAGTTTCTCTGCTTTCAAAGCTTTCTTCAAGCTCCATACTTAAAGAATCTTCTACATCACTTCCAATGGTGGCTTCAGAATTTGTGACGTGAGGGTCTTGAGACCAATCTTTTTCTTCTTCAAGCCTATTTTCCAGCATACTTAGTCTTTCTCGCATTGGGCCGACTCTTTCTCCAGCTCTTTCATGCCTTAGAATGGTAGTTAAAGAATAGTAGCGTTCCATCATGCCTTTTATTTGTTCTAATAGAGAGGATGTTTGAAGGATAAACTCGTTGATATCGTAAGGACCGGAAGCACGGGCATTTTCTGCGTCTATCGGGATTACGGGGAATGGAGAATGCATTGGGGATATTATTGATTGTAATGTATGGGCGTGAAGAGGCTGGATTCTTGGAGACGATATATTTATTCATTCATCCCAGCGCGTTGGCCAGCCGTTATAATGGAAATAAGCCATTGTGCCTTGGGAGGTGTTTTGGATGTCAATTATTTGTGCCTCAAGCCACTGATCGACTGTATCTTTTACGTCGAGTCACTGCCCCCTCACAAATTGTCGCCTGTTGTTATCAAAGCCTTGAATTTCTCCTTCATTTACAGTGTTATTCATTGATTGTAGCATTCCTTCAATAGTCTGCAAGTTTTGTTTAATAGCTTCAAGTCTTTCATTGGCATCGATTTCTCTTCTTCTATGATATAGCGCTGGCATGGTTATAGATATCTTGACTCCCCCTCAGACAGTTTCAGTTTAGATTACACATGAAAAACTAATTGGCTTGTCAAATTTATAATGATGAACTTGACATTTTTTCCCCATGTTTTATTTAAAATGAAACAGCTAGAGGACTGAAGAAAAGGAGTTGAGGTCGAGTCATAACTACATGCGAAATATACCGCCTCCTCCTGCGGTTTAGCAGTGAAGCTGGGTTAGTTTCTAACGCAAGTCTTAAAATGTCTCCTAAAGTGTCTGATCTTGGCTCTTCTACTTCTGGTGCTGGAGGCTCTTGGACAATTCTTCCAGCTGCAAGCTGAATGACATGTCCTCGCTCTATTTTATAAGTCCCTATAGATTCTGTATTCTTTAAAAGTTTGCCTCTATAAATGACCCTTTGTTGATCTTCAGGGATTTGGGTTTGTTGCTTTATCATTGATTTTAAATCTGAGACTTTGGTGTCTGAAGTCACGAATAGTTCAAATTGGGTAGAATTGACAGATCTGATTTTTATTGGGTAGCTCTCTGATGAGTCTTCCATGTTGGCAAGTTCGAATTATATGAAATTTGCAATTTTAATAAAGATGAGCTAGGACGTTAAGACTAGGGGTAACTTTGATGTAATCAGGAATATTAAAAATTGGGAAATAATAAATTAAGTCTGTTTATTATGCACAATAATTATAATTCTATTATTTTTCATTATGATAACAATTCAAAATTAAATGATAAATGGATTCTTTATTACAAATCAATAGAATTATCAAGCCTTATTACCCCAGCCACATGCAGCTACTATTAATTTTATATAAAAAACTGAAAATTTTTAATATTCTCCCTAAAATATAACTAAACGTGATAATTATTATCGATAATGGGACAAACGCCTTCTATTCAAAGCCCTCCCAATACAACTCAACGGATCAAGCCAACCCCAGGAACCGCAGGAAAACGTGCTATACGTAAAAACACAGTTTCAGTTTACTCTGAGTCTAATAATCAAATTTTCTCTTTGAAGGTTACTTTCGATATGCCTATTTCCCATCTGAAAGCAATGCTTCCAGGTGATAAAATTCAGCTTAAGCTGGACGGAAAACTTCTTCCAAACGCAGGTACTTTACAAGACCTGGGCATATCTGAGCAAAGTCTATTAAGGATTGTAAGTGATGAAAAAAATTCAGACAAAACTGCAAGCACAGTAGACAGCATAGGAGACAGCATTTGCATACCAAAAATAATTGGCCCGAAACGAGAACTTCAAGCTAAGCCTATAAAGCCACACTGCGAAAGCATCTTATCGTTATGCTCTTCTGTGGACGATTTTCAAGTAGGGATTAACTTGCCAAGATTGGCTGTGCCTGATGTGACGTTAAAAAGAAGCTATGCATATAAAGGGAAAAAACTCTGTACTAATGTGAATTATAATAAAATGGCTAAATACGGAATTAGAAAAAAATATGGTCCATAGAAATGATTGACCGACTAAAAGTTAATTTTTCTCCCAAAATGTGGGCTTCAGCCTTATGTCCTGCTGAAGAGGGAAACACTATAAACTCTGTACTAATGTGAATTAATTTAATCAGAGTAATTAAATCTCAACTATTATAGGAGCTTCTTCGTCTTCACACATTTCGAATTCTGATATTTTTAACATAGATTTTACAAGCTTTTTGAATTTTTTGCCGCGGGTATATACTGAAGGTGGGAGATTTTTATTGTGGAGAAGACTGAGGAAGGACCGAAGGCATGAAGATAAAAAATTAGGGCCTATTAGGTCGTCTGTAAATAAGTCCTGAGATATTGATTGGAGTTGGGAGTAGAAGGCTGGGATAAATTTCTCAAAAAAAGATGGGATTTGCAATAATGCAGACTCGCAGTTGCAAAGCAAAATCAAAATATTTTTCCATTGATAAAAGCTTTCAAGTGAATCGCCAAGTAAAAATGCTAAAAATGAAAATTGGAGTTCTCCAAGCAGATTTTCTGGATTTTGGAAATCCTTGTTAAGTAGATCATAAAGGATAAAGGATTTATCAAAATTCATCTGTGTGATTTCTTCAGGGGTTATGTTTGGTTTTGCTATTGATTTTGGGATATGTGTATAAAATAACGATCCTTTCACAATCGAAAATTTTTCAAGGTTTTCTTCAGACGTTGAATATTCTTCATTAATCTGGCTGATTATATTGCTGATAGGTTCAATTTTTCCGATTACTTCTGAGTTAATATAGCATGCCAAAAGTTGCCAGATTTGATAATTCATATTGGGATATTCAACTAAAAGTACATCAAATTCCCTTATATTGCTTTCATATATTTCTTCATCTTCTGTGCTGACTTTACTAAAATTTTCTGTCTGTGGGTCTCATTTTTTAATTGTTGCTTTTCTTTCTTCTGCATAGAAAAAGAAACCTGACTTTGTCCCGCCTTCAAAATTGTAAAATAAATAGTGAGCGCCTGTAGGAATTGATTTTACCCCTTTAAATAGACTTCCTGTTTTTAGTGCTAGGTTGTCTAAATGGAGGTTTATGTTTGGAGGAGTCTCTAATAGGATTAAAAAAGATTCCATTTATTAAGATTAACCATATAAGTCCTCGAGATCAATATGTCCAATTGTCTTATTTGTATATCCAAAGCCAGAAAATGAGTTTTCTTGAGCCTGGTATAGCACTAGCTCACCGTTTTCTAAGTCAAGCTGTCGAATTATGGCTTCCCAGTTAGGAACTCCGCCCATAATATCATAAGCGTCAGTTAATCTTAATTTCAAGCTAAAAGTTTCACCATCCTCAATATCTTCAACTTTTATTTTTACCATAGAGCTCATTTTAAAAATCTCAATTACAAACCATCTTCCTCTGATCGGAATTTCTCGCTTGAAAACTAAGCTGATACCAGACGGTGGAGGCGGAATTCTATGAGGCTTCAAAGAGCTGTTTCCTCTATTCCCTATCAGATATGGATACTCTCCCATACTTCTTAATCTTTTTTCTGTATTTTTTCTGTCTTTTTCCCACTCTCTTGCGCTATAGCATGACGATTTATTTTTTAACCTTGCCAGCAGCTGCCTATTTTCTGTATTAATTTGATTCATAACCTTTTTTCTGTAGCCAAAGTTCAATGATCCTTTTTGATTTTTTTTGATGCCAACAGATTTTTTGGTCTGAAAAATATTGTGCATTTTTTCAAGGAGAATCCTGTTTTCTCTTTCAATCTCCGTAAAGCGATCTGTATAGATTTAACCTTCTAATAATTGATCTCGCTTGGCTTTATTTTTGATATGGCTGAAGTTACCAGGAGTTTTAATATCAACAATTGGCCGAGCATCTCTGAGGTGCCTGTAATGCTTTTCCTTATCGTCTGATTGCCACTTCTTATATAGAATCTTGTTGGCTGAAGGGAGAGACCGATCCATTAAAGAATAATTGCAAGTTACATATAAAAATTAAATGGTCGATCGAAAATTGCAAATGCACTACTCAGATGCTCCTCAGGATATGCAGATAGCGCTCTATGCCAAATGACAGTGTATTTTTGACAATTTACATTTTATCGAAGTGCATTTGTTCGAAAATTTTTTAAATAGTGCATCTTTTGGTCGAAATTTAACGTTTTTTTTTTTGGTCAAATGTCTCATATCAAAAAGTTTCAACCAATTTTTCGACCAATTGTACTTCGGTGAAATGCACACTATCAGAAGAGCACGATCATTGGCCTGCACCCGCAGATAGCTGCTATTGAGTTTGCTGCTGGATTTATTGAGAAAAAATCTACTAGTCTTGAAATTGCAAAAGAATTAAAAAAGGACTTTGAAAAAAGGTATTTTGGGAGCTGGCATTGCATAGTTGGAAATAATTTTGGAGCTTTTGTGTCGAATGAAGAAGGGAGAGTAATTTATTTCACATATGGACAGATTTCAATACTTCTATTTAAGGCTGGATAAATTTATCGTTGATTAATTAATTCCTTAGATTTATCAAATTTAGATTAAGTTTGAAAGGATTTAAATTTAAAATGGAAGAAGAGAAATCTGTTTTTAAAAGAAAATTTAGCAAAAGTTTATGTATTTCTGTCTCCAAGAAGTGCAAAATCATTGACGAAGAATCATGTGCTGCTATAAGATCTTTAAACAAGTCATCAAAATCTATTTCTGAAAATATTGATAAAAATCTGATTGGTATTCCTCATCACTGTGCTGAAAGGTCATTGCACTGTCCTTTAAGTACTAATATAAAAATATCTCAATTAAAACCATTCAAAGCTCTTCCGATGCCTTCTTTTCCACCCCCATCGATTCATTTAAGCACTAAAGAATCAACGAAGCCTATTTCTATAATTCTTCATAGTGAAATTCGGAATGCAAAACGAGAGAAATATAATGAAATGATCAAAGCTCTACAAGAAAAAATCAAAATAAATAAAGAAAAAACTGATAAGGAAAAAGAAATTAAAGAAATTGAGGACATAAGAAAAAGCGCTGTGTTTAAAGCTAGACCATTGCCTGAGCAAGCGCCCCCAATGCCGCCAATGAAAAGTACAAGACCTCTAACAATTCCGATTGAGCCAAAATTTCTGACGGAGATAAGAGCGCAAATAAGAGAATCAAAAAAAATTGAAAAATAATTTATTTAATAGAAACAAAATTTTTCGGGTCACCTTCACTTTGATATCTTCTATGGCGTATTAATCTGTTTGCTTTTTTAGAAAATTCAGGTGGGGCCCTTCTCTCTGTTGATGATCCATCATCATCGTTTGGATCTATACCCATCATTGATTCTAATAAAGTTAAAGCTCTCAAAATTGTGGTTGGGTCTCTTAAACTATTGTGATGGCCATTTACAGTTAAAAAAATGCTTACTCCCCTCTCCATGATCATAAAAAAAATTATCTGCTCAGAGGAGCTTTAAAATTATACTATAAATATTATAATAATTTTTTTTCCAAAAAAATCCTATTCCCAAAATTGGAAACCAAAAATAATTTAATTTTATAAAATTGTTTTTAAATGCAAACTTGTTTTAAATCCAGCAGAGATTTTATTGCATTAATTATCGCTGATAGAGCAAAATATTTTTTATAAAAAATTTTTATATTAAAAACATACTTTGTTTGCTCATTGGAGGATAGGTTTATTGCCAAAAATAGGGACTATTCTAATGGCTTTGCTTAGGACCTGCTCAATCTTGGTATAGTTTTTGAGAATGATCATAGTTTATTAATTTATCTTCGAATGAATGAATAAAAACTGCATAATTGTGGCATTTTTTTACAACTAATAGCGGCTTTATGTTTTCTAGATCAAATAAAGCTGTGTCTTTAATAATTTTCGAGATTTTTTCTAATATAAAATCTTTAAGAATTCTTGGTATTAGCTTATATCGGCCTATCATATCATCAATTACATCATTTAAACAGCAGAAAGGCGAATCCAACACTAAAGGCGGAGCATTTGCCATACTTTCTGAATATAGAATTGCCGCAACAGCTCCCATACTTCTTCCTCATATTCCAATTGAAGTTGCTCTTCCACTTTCTTGCACATATTTTACAACAGTTTTTATATAGGGCTTTCCCTTGAATAGCCTGATAACGGGCTGGCTTCATCCCGTTATCGGGCTATTCAAGGGAAAGCCCTATATCATTTTTTTCATAAAAGCCTAAAGAGACATAGTCGCCTTCAGAGAGTCCACAGCCTCCAAAGTCAAAACAAACTAATGACATTCTGTGTTTGAGGATGTGCTCTAATATATCGAAAGAATCAATTCTACAGCCACAGTTGCCATGACAATAAATCACACATTTTTTAGGATCTTGCTTTATTGAGTCGAATCAGCTACACTGCAAAATTCCTCGGATGCTAACTAATTGAAAATCTCTCCTTTGGTATCAAGTTTTTCCTAATGAAAACTGTTTATGGCCTAAGTCTGCGATCTGGTATACTTCTCTTTGTGGCCTAACAATATAACTCGCTAATGCTTGCATTTAATAATAAATTTCATATTTTTTGATAAATAGAATTTTTGCATAGAGTCTAATAGAATTATCTTTACCCTAAAAAATATAAAATCTGATTAAGTCTAAATCATTTTCTTTGCAATTTTTATAAAAATTTTAAGTTTCTAATGAATCTTATTAACTTATATAAATTCTTAGCGAATAAAAGAACCCTTTATCAATTCTCATATTTTTACTATTCAAACTTTACTTATCTGGTATCATATTTATAAGATAAGAAAAAATATGTCGGGAAAGATTTTAGCTGCAAAATTCCTAGTTGTCGTATTCTTTTTGCTGTCAAGCCTTCAGAAATTTAATGACTCCGCAATGTACGAACAAATGCTTATAGGAGGATACAACAACTTTTTTTCAAAAATTTCCAGTATTACAGGGGTTTATTTACCTTTAAGCCCAACTTTTATTGAGCTGAATTCAAGATTTATTATCCTTTTAGCAGCTGTCTTGCAAGTTATTGGCAGTGTACTTGTATTAGTTGGAAACAAATATGGCTCATATCTTTTGGCTCTGATTCTTCTATCTTATAATGTAGTAATTCACAACCCTGCTCTCTTGAGTGCTCCAGAAGAAAGAGAAACAAATACAATGCAGCTTTTACTCAATTTTGGGTGGATGGCAGCTCTATTCTTGGTAAGCGGTGTTGAAGAAGAAATTGCAAAAGTCAAGACATCTTAGAGATTAGTAAAAATAATTTTATTGAGCTACTTGGCTGCTGTTTATTAATAAATTATCTAGGAAATTATCCCTTATGAAATATAGAACTTTGAAATAGGATGCTATTCAAAAGAAAATTATGATTCTGTCATAAGTGATTTAGATATTAGTTTCTCCTTTAAAGATAATTTGATAAAGGATATGCTTGAAATCATCTTGAAAGAAGATTAGACTTAATAAATAAGAGCCCCTAAGAATAATTCTAATTAATTAAAAACTTACTGTAATTTATAATTAAAATTAGATGAATAAAGTATGAAATATATACTCATTAAATTAGTACCTCACAGTTTATTAAATGAGAGCATGAACGAAATTTCTAAAAAGAAATTACGTGTTTCAAAAATCGTGTTTATTGTAGTTGATTTCTCATAAGTTTCTAATATTTAACTTCAAATCCATAATTTATTACATTTTATATTTCTTTTCTTAATATTTATTTCTTTCTAAATAATAAACCAAAACCTAAATATTACAATAAAATGGCCTTCAAGAGTCTTTTTGGGCGATTTCTTGTAGCAATGTTCTTTTTTATGTCTGCAGCTATGAAATTCACCGAGCCAGCATCTCATGAAGCAATGCTGCTGGGTAGCTACACGAGTCTATATAAAGAATTTTTTGCACTTTCAGGTTTCAATCTTCCAATTTCTCCAGCTCTCCTTGGACTTCAAGTTCACGCTCTTATTCAATTAACAGCAGCGTTGATGGTGCTAGGAGGAATCCTCTTTGTTTCAAATGTCAGAATCGGAGCTTATCTTTTGTCCCTGCTTTTATTATCATTCAATGTCGTCATACATAATCCTTGGCTATATACAGGTGCAGAGAGAAATATTAATATTGTGCAAAATCTGTTGAATTTTGGGTGGATAGCAGGATTATTATTGATATGTGGAGAAAAGGAGGAAAAAGAGAAGAAAGAATAAGTTTAGCTTAATTAATTATTAGGATTCAAGCAAATAATTCTTAAGTGCCAAATTTAATTCTTTTATTCACTATAGACATACTAAGAAATGAGTAATTTAATAAGGTTATAGAGAAAACAAAAGAAAATTATGAATAAAATGGTTGAAGCATGCTAAAATTTACTAATTATTTGAAGTTTTAGTTTGTAATCTATATATATAATTTTTATTATGAATCCAATTACATGTTTTTGCTTTTTCCAAAGCTATTAACAATGATAATTTTCAAAATTAATGGCTTAAATACTTTCATAGTTTATTTATGCCAAAGAAAAAAGCGTAAGCTATAAATTCATAAGTTTCAAACAAATCATCCAATTCTAAATATCTAAATCTGTTTCAACCAAATATAAGAAGTTTCTCTCCTTCGTTCCAAATACTAATAATAGATAAATGGAACTTATGAGATCAGATACAACTCTTCCATGTTTGATGGAGCCAAGACTTGATAATTTCAAGCCGACGTCCGATCCTTTAATCCAATCCCTTCTATTCATAAGAAGCTTGGCCATCAAGCTCCGGCTCTCACAATCATGTGTCGCCACTGCTCAAACCTATTTTCACACAGTAAGTTCTACTCTAGTTTACAATTAATAACAGCCACCTAAAATATGACAACCTCTTAATCGCAGGGGCATGCCTTTTTCTCTCATCAAAAACCCTTGAACTGACAAGGCCAATTGACATTTTGTGTAGGAAATTCTATGAAGAAAGATCAGAAATTCGAAAAATTCTTAACCCAAGGCTTCAAGTCCCTCCTCTATCAGACTCAATGTTAGCTGGATTGAAACAGAGCATCCTTCAATGTGAGTTTGCTGTACTTGAAGCTTTATGCTTTAATGTGGAAATCCCTCTACCCTATTCATTTATTTCAAGCTTTGTGTCAAATCTTGAGTTAAATGTGTATCAAAAGCAGGATTTGCTGAAAATCGCTAACAATTTTGCGAATGACAGCTTTAGGGTACCGATTTTTCTTTACAAAAATGCAGAGAATGTGGCTGCAGCATGCTTGATTTTGGCTTCTAGATATTTAAGTCTTGGTTTAGAAATTGCTGCAGATCAAGAAACTGTACAAGCAATTTTGGAAATTTATAAATCCAATATAAATATATAAATATGTAAATATTTGTAAAAAAAACCATTTTTCTGGGATATAAATTTATTAAATTTGAAGCAAAATATATAAATTATTAGCATATTCACAATTAAATCGGTATGGGTGATGAAGCTTTGGAGTGTTTTGCCTTTAAACGGGATTCTTCTTTCGTAAGTCAAAGCTTTAAAGCATCTCCAGGCTTTAAAAGGGTATTTGTTGATTGGGTTTTTCTGTGTCTGGCTGCTGACGATGGGGAACTAAATTCGCTTGCATTTGTGGAGTGTCTTTCAGTTGTAATTCCTCCTTTATCTAGACAAGGGATAAATTCCAAATCTTTTGGTTTGTCTTTAATTCAATTCCTTGGACGAGTTTTTTCTAAATAAAATAATAAATCTTTGAAGTTCGATATAGTCTGATATTCAGGAGATGGCCGGCTTGAAGTTTTAAAGGAATTTAAATGAAAAGCCCTTCTCTTTATAAAACTTTGTTGCTTATGAGCTCCAATTCTGCTCTTCGCAATCCTCTCAGCATTAAAAGCTTTTTGTCTTTCTTTATCAATTGTATTTGCAATCATATTCAAAAATGTTGGGCTGTTTTGTTTTTGCTCCCTCTCCAGACTGATTTTAAATCTGTTCTGGTCAACTCTAGTTTTCTTAGTGAAATCTTTTAAAACATAAGCAATTAATGGCATTTTTTTTGGTGATTGCTCTTGTTCATGCTCATCTTCATCAGTCAAGTCTTCTGAAGTTTCCTCTTCTGGCATTGACCTCAAAAACGTTTTCTTCCTTAGCCAAAAGTCATTATTCGCACTCGGCGCTATTTCTTTATGAAAAGTCAGTTCAGTTATATTTAATAGGTGAAGCTGTGAGGTTTGGTCAACAATCATATCATATTTCAATGACTCAATAAACTGGTTACAAGTGTGATATACAGTTTCTGTAATATACATTGTAAGCCACATAGCTTTTTCAGAAACTATTACATCACGGACTGTTTCTCCAAACTCCTTGGTAAATTTTCCTGACAAAAGCTCTGTGTGTAATTCGCCTTGTTCGTTCCAAGCTTTTATTTTGTAAATTTTATCTGTAGATTTAGTTGTTGGCAGCGCCATATGGATACTTCTCACTTGGAGTCCATGAAGCTGATTGTCGGCAAGCTCGACAATTTCTTTTGCAAGGACAATTCGTTTGCCATCTGTGTGATATAAATAGCAGATAACTCTATCTGGAGTGTACTGCTCTAGTATAGGGACTCGAGTATTCAGAAAGTGAGTAAGCAAATATTTAGTGCGATTTATTATTCTTGTTGGTTTTTTTATTACTACGCCGTTAAGATCAGTGCAAAATCAATCAGATAGCTTATCGCCCCTGCATATTCCGGCTTCTAGGATTTTCAAATGGGATTTTCTATTGACTAATTGAGTGAGGAACCATTTATAACTTTTCACTTCCATTTCTTTAAGGTTTATAAAAGAATTTTGCTGTTAATAATACTCCAAAAAACACTATTAATAGAGTGGATTAAGATTTTAGAAGATTTTTTTATTTTATAAGTAGTGTGAAAATTTAAATCACAGATAAAAAATAGTAAGGTTAATTCTATAAGATTTTATATATTAGATGTCAAAAACTATAGAAGTGGTGCCAGAAATGTAAAATAATTTCAGCTGTCAAGGCCAATAAGAATTTGATAATATAAAAATCCTGATCCACAACAAGATAGAGTCTATTTAATTAACTTCTAACGAATAAAATTTTTAACAATTGTGAAAAGAAGTTTATTTATTTTTTGTTATTCCTTTGCTTCTGTCTTCTGTTCTTTCCAGGCCGCATCTTTTTCTTCTTTTTTGAGTTCTCAATAGCTTGCCTTTGTTTTGCTTCTACATGCTTTTTGTGGGCATTATTGGAAAATTTCTTTTTGTGTACAGCTTCTTTTCTTTTTTCAACAATTTCAATTCTCTTTTTGGCCTGGATAAGATTATTTTGGACTTTTTTCATATGCTCATCAGTCTTGAACATTTCAGCTCTAAAATCTGAAGGTCTCCAGATAGGAATATTCAATTCGCCAAGTTGTTTAATGCCTGTTTTAGCATTTTCTAAAGCAGTGTTATAAAAGACTAATTCTCTTTTGAAGTCATTTTGCAAGTCATCCATGGAAAGGTCAATTTCTTGGTCTTTTATTGCCAAATGATCGACCCATTTAATTTTTTTCAGCTTCTTTTCTAAGGAAAGATCCCCTGGATCTTTCCCAAGCGAACTCTGGTAATAAGTCCCTACAAGAAAGTCTAATTTTTCCAGCAATTTTGCCTCATTGATGGATTCTCCGCCTTCTTTGTTTAAGACTTGGTACTCTTCGTCACTTATGTGTTCTGCATTCAATTCTTCTGGCTGGAATTGAAGTGGCTTTCTTCCGAATTTCTGCTGAAGAACGTCCATATTATTAAGATTATTCCATTAGGTTTAGGGACAATTAATATTAAAAAATCACAAATTAGTCTGCTTTACATACAGCTTTAATCAGCTGGATTATATCTTCTGGTGCCTTTTCCTTTTCAGACACAGAGTCTTCATCTTTAGACTGCAGAAGCCCAATATTCCATTAGGTTTAGGGACAATTAATATTAAAAAATCACAAATTAGTCTGCTTTACATACAGCTTTAATCAGCTGGATTATATCTTCTGGTGCCTTTTCCTTTTCAGACACAGAGTCTTCATCTTTAGACTGCAGAAGCCCAATATCATCTCTATCTCGTAAAGATGACGAAAAGTGCCTTAAAGGCATCGCAGACTTGACCAGCCTCATTTCTTCAATTTCTGACCCTGAGCCTTTTTGAAGTGTTGGCTTGGTCTCTTCGTCTGAATTATCAGAAGGATCAGAGTCTATATCCACAATTGAGTCTGTAAACTGAATAGATCCACGTATTCTGTTCATCCATGGAGCTTCAGGCTTAGGGATGACTTTTTCAATAGAAAAATAATCTTTTACCTTATACTCAATACTAAAATCCAAGCTTGGAAGCTTTACTCTAGGCAAAGATAGAGCTGGCCTTACCTGTATAACTGGTTTTTTATTGAAAGGGATTATTATAAATGGGAAATTCGCTACAAATTCATTGCTTGTGTTTAATGGAAGAATTGTGGTAGTTTGCTTTGTTAAAAAGGGGCCTATACTTTCAGGGTCACACTGAAAAGCATCTTTTAATAATTTTTCTGCAGATGTGTTGTTACCTAATGTAAGCTCAGCCAATGCTGACAAAAAATACATTTGGCCTTTATTTTTGCTATTGAGGATTTCTGAGAGATCTTGGAAAATCAGTAAAGCGTGGGATTGGTTAGACTGCATGTGGCATAAAGAAATATTAAATAAAATTTCACAGTTTTCTTCTTCAGCAGTTATAGCTTCATCAGGATTTGTGGAGACTTCTTGGTTCTGTATCATTTCTAACACATTTTGAAAATCCCTTAAAGCCAAGCTATAGCTTTCTGTGTACATATAAAATACGCCTCTCAGCCAATATATATATTTCTCGTCATATAAGTCGCCTTTACCATTTGTTAGCCATTTAGTAAAAATTTCAATGGCGTCTTTGAAGTTTTCTTTAGTTTTAGGCAGCTGTAAGAATTCTTTTATATACAATAAACAGTCTTTATCAAAAATAATGGTTTTTTTATTTGGCTTAAGTGCCAGTGCTCTCTCAATTTCTTTTATAGACTCATCTAGCTTATTAACTCCCCCCCCCCCCCCCGTGAGCGAACAAAACCATTAGAAAAATCACCATTTTTTGACCAAAAACCCACCCTCCGTGAGCGAACAAAAATTTTTTTTAAATAAAAAATTTTAATGGAAAAAAATTTTGATATATAAGTGATAATTAGTATAATGAAATCTAGAGCTAATTCTGTTTAATTTTAAACAAATTGCGTTTTAAAACATAAATTTTGCAAATTAAATTAATATTTGCTTCCCAATTTTTGCAAATTAGGATTTTTTTAAATTTCGAAAAAAATATTTTTTATAAAAATTTATATATAAATTTTTTTTAAAAAAAAAAATTAACCCCCCTCCGTGAGTGAAACAAAATTTTTTTGTTCGCTCACGGAGGGGGGGGGGGGGAGTAAGCAGAATATAGCATTTAAGTTTTTGGTAGGTCGCTTCGAAATTCAGCTCAATCCTATTTGACCTGTCCAATGCATCTAATGCGTCCTCATATAGTCCAGTTAATATCAAAAAATTCCCAGCCTCAATATGCACATTTTTGTCCTTTGGACAAGCCAGCATAAGTTTTTGAAAGTCAGAAAACGCTAAATTGGTGTCACCCATAAGATAAGAGCATCGTCCTCTATATGAATATAAATATCCTAATTCTTCACTTAGCTGCTGGGCTACTCGAAAGTCCTGAATTGCTTCTTTATACATTTTTAAAGAGGCATGGATAAGTCCTCTTATTATATAATGGTTATCGTGATTGTCTTCAGCTTTTTCAATGGTAGTTTTTGCGTCTTCAAAGGCTTCTTTGAATTTCCCTGTTAAATATTTAATTACTGACCTAAAGAAATATGCCTCACTTTCGATTTCTCTTGCCCTTGTGCCTCTGTCGATAAGAGATTCTGCTTCTGTTAAGCTAGTTTGGGAAATTGGGCTTCTGCTAAAGGCTTCTTGGACTAATAAACAAGCTTGGTATAGCTGTGGCTCAAGGTTTTTTGGGAAATGTCCGTGGGCTTTTTTAAAATAATTCATAGCTTGTGAATTGTCACCTTTGGATGCTGCGAGATACCCTTGTGATAATTTTTGATTGTATTTTGAAGCTTGTCCAAATCAGAAATATAATGATGACGGTGAAGGATTGTTATAGTAGGCGCACTCCTTATAGAACAGGTTGGAGCCATCTTGAAGAATTGAAAAAGAGCCTCTGCCCTTTTGAAGTAGGCAGTTAGGCTTAGGGATGCCTTACCAAAAGGGAAGTTTTGTACCTCACCGAAGGCTTACTGTTCCTGCTAGATGGGTTAGACAGGTTTTGCTTACCACATAATCTTTGTCTATTGGACTATCGGAGCACCCGATAGGATGGCTCTAACCTAGGTAGTAAAACCTTAGGTTATGCGAGCTTTGCCAGAAAATTCAAGATGGTGAAAATTTGGTTGGGCGTTACACCATTTGCATTCTGGTGTATATACACCCAGCGTAGGTATTTTTCCTGTATCAAGGTAATACGGGTTTGGAGGTTCCGATTATGGCCATATAATCTTAATCTTGTCCAAATCAGTATACAGCATTGCTTTTTTAAAATCATGCAGGGCATTTTCGTGTTGATTTAAAGCATTGTACCCATAAGCTCTATAGCAGTAACAATTCCCTTGATATTCCTTTAAAATAGGATACTCTTTTTTGATCAGTTTGGAAAACATAGCAATTCCTTCTTTGTATTTTCTTTTCATCATACATATTACTGCTTCTGCGTAGTTCCTTAAGATCGTCTGCTGCTTCATTTCCTTGAGCCCATTTGACCTTTTAAATGTGTATAAAGCTCCATAAAAGTCTTTTTCTCTGATTTTGATAGCTCCTAACTCCTCCCTTTAGATTGGAATAAAATATAAAATATGGTAAAATTTTTTAGAAAAATAATTTTTTCAAAAAGGAAAATTTTATATAAAAATACTAATTTTTATAAATTAATTTAAAATTAAAATAAAATAATGTCGAATTCAATTAATTTTTTTATGGAGAAAATTAACCCCCTTGGATTTTTTGTTCCAATTTAAAAGGGGAGTAAATAAAACACAGACTGGCTTGTATATTTGAAGTCCCTGTCAAATTTAATTGCTTGTTCAAAGCATAAGGCAGACTCTGGGTATTCTTTTAAAGAGTACAAAAGTTGAGCTTTTTCAAAGTAGCCTTCAGAGTCTTCAGGACAATGTGACAAATATTTATCAAAATCCTCAAGAGCTTCCTGTTGATTTACATCGACATTTAATTTCGCCCTCTTCAACAACGCTGGCAAAGCTGCTTTAGGAACTGACGCAGCAATTTTTAAATAATCAAAAGCTGATGAGTTGTCTCCCATAGCATGCAGACAGTCGACAATTCCAAATACCGCTGGAATTTCAGCAGAGTTAAACCCAAGGGCTTTTTGAAAATCGCTTACTCCCCCCCCCCCCTCCGTGAGCGAACAAAAAAATTTTGTTCGCTCACGGAGGGGGGTTAATTTTGTTTTTTAAAAAAAAATTTATATATAAATTTTATAAAAAATATTTTTTTCGAAATTTAAAAAAAATCCTAATTTGCAAAAATTGGGAAGCAAATATTAATTTAATTTGCAAAATTTATGTTTTAAAACGCAATTTGTTTAAAATTAAACAGAATTAGCTCTAGATTTCATTATACTAATTATCACTTATATATCAAAATTTTTTTCCATTAAAATTTTTTCTATTAAAAAAATTTTTGTTCACTCACGGAGGGTGGGTTTTTGGTCAAAAAATGGCGATTTTTCTAATGGTTTTGTTCGCTCACGGAGGGGGGGGGGGAGAGTTAAAGCTTTTTCTCACTGTTGTTGCTCCATATGAATATGTGCTCTAACAATATACCCTTCCACGAATTTTGGAAATTTCGATAGTCCTTTGCTTATATATCTTAATGAAGTCGGGATATCTCCCATAGCACTAAAGCAGGAACTTAAAGCTAAATATAACTGTTTATCATACATTGAATTTTCTTTTTCAACTGCTAGGAAATCAGCTAGTGCTGTTTTGTGGTCATTTAGATGCATATAGCAAACACCTCTGCCATATAAAGCGTCTAAACTCCCTTTATCGTTTTTAAGAATTTCTTCAAAAGATTGAATAGCTTCTTTATGCATCCCATTTTTCAATAAAAATTTGGCATGCTCCAACTGGGCTTCTTTTTCTTCTAAAAAGTTAGACAGTCGGCTTGTGGCTCTAAAAGTGCCTGTTCTTAGCTTTCCTGGCTCTGCAGTAGCGCTATATCGATGCCGATCAGCTGATGTGCTTCGATTTTTTACTATTGATATATCATCATATGGAGAAAAAGTTTTATTCACACTTGGCGTGAATCTTTTTCTTATTGTAGAAGTCCCGTGTGGAGATGCTCGAGACTGCCTTGATGGAGATCTATATCTTACCCTTGTGACATTTCCGGTTTTATTTGGATTATTAGGAGCTTGAGGTTTGATTGACATATTTATAATTGAATAAAGAATTAATTTAGCGTGGCCTTTGGGAATTGAAATTAGCATGCTATATGAAGGCTATTAAGGATTTGTTTATTTTAAATACTGATTGAAGATTTTTGCTTAATTATTCTATAGTAATTGCCCGAGGATGGCGCTATCTTGCGCCATCCTCGGGCAATTCAAAAATGGCCCCACACCGGGAATTGAACCTACGTGTGGGGCCATTTTTGGTGTGTGTAGAACATCGACTTCCACGCACCAAAAATGGCCCACACGTGGGTTCAATTCCCGGTGTGGGGCCATTTTTTAAAATTGCCCGAGGATGGCGCAAGATAGCGCCATCCTCGGGTGATTCCTATATAATTTTTATTGTGCATATAAGCTGGTTAGTTTGCTATTTTAACTAAACTTTTGATAGGGTGCTAATCAAATTTTTGTAAAAATTAAATGTAAATTTCTTTTATAAATAAATTTTATGTTTCCTATCAGATTTAAATATCTCCTTTTTTAAAATTTAATTTATCAGAATTACCATGAATGATTAATATACCATCTATAATCCCATTTTGTGAAGAAGCAGCTCTTAGCTTTGATTAGACATAAAATAGCAAGGCTATAAGGCACTTTGATTGAATTCAATGGCTGCTGAACATATAGACTTACTGAATTAGGCTCTAAACTTAATTAAGCAAATAAATTAAAATCTAAAATAGGCTATCCAAATGCCATATCAAGCCTGGTAGCTGTGTAAATGATTTAAGCCTTTCAAAAAGTCCTTCCCATTCATTTGTGGACTGTATCTGCTTCGAAAGCATGTCTGACAAGAATTTTTCTGTGTCATACTCTCCTACTTGTCTTGCTAACGCGTAGACTTCACTAATACTTTTTGTGTTCCCCCTCTCTAAATTTAAAAAAAATTCAAATACAGATGCTTCGTCTGACCAATTAAGCTCCATCATTTGGCTCCCTACTAAATGAATATGCTGATCTCTTAGTGTCAAATAGTCAATGATACTTTCAAAATGAGTTCTTTCATCGTTTGCTTCAGAGCGCAATTTTTTGGCAATCCCGGTGAGATGTCTTACGCCAAACCACGCTGATCCTTGCATGTATAAAAGGTAAGCATCACTTTCTTTCTGAGCTTGAATAATTAGTGCATCTCTTAAATTTGTAGGAAAAGCCGCCATTATTTTTTTAATTTGAAGGATTGCTATTTATTTTTTGTGGGAAATTAAATCATTATCATTAATTATCTATAACGTTTAACGTCCACTACGGGGTCTCCCTGTTCAGGGATGTCACCATATTTATCCACGTGTCGGGCCAACGAATCGCTGGACGATCCGCTTTGATCTCCAGGGCACAGGACAAATACAATTTCACCGGCTTCGACGGGCTTCGCTGCCACCACGGCTTTGTTTGACTCAGCTCCTGCGCGTGTTCCGCCTAAGGGTCACTTTCTTCGGGTGTGCTGACTCCCCCCCCTTTATATTGGAACAAAATATAGGTAAAATTTCCACTTTTTTGGTAAATTAACCCCCCTTAAATTGGAACAAAATTTAATTTTATAATAAAAAATTTTATATATATAAATCATAATTTTTATGTAAAAAGTTTTGATATAATTTAAATGTTTCTTCTTAACTAAAATTAAAAATTTAGTTGTATCCTGCTCTTGTTTAAAGAATAGAATATAAAGAGCATCTTATTTAAATAAATTTTATTATCCTTAATTGTAAATTTTTAAAAAAATTTAATTTTTTTTTTTTAAAAAATTTTATTTTTCTTGATAAAAATGATATTTTTTATTTAAATAGCTTTGAGATAAATTCAATACGAATTCTTTACAAAAATTCAAAATTTACTTATCTCTTGCTTTATTTTAAAGAATAGAGTATAAATAGCATCTTATTTAAAACAAAATTAGCACTTTGATTAACAAATTTTCTAAAATTTTTTTTTTTTTTTTTAATTTTTTTTTATCAATAAAAATATAATAATTTTTGTGTAAATAGTTTTGATACCAATTAATAGTGGCGTATTAATTAATAATAAAATTTTAGTTATATCTTGCTTTGTTTTAAAAGGATAAAGAGTAAATAGCATTTTATTAAACAAATTTATTAATCTAATTCGATAAGTTTTTTAATTTTTTATATAAATTGTTTTTTTTATAAAAAAATTTTCTTAATCCCCCTTTAAATTGGAACAAAATTTTTAGTTCCAATTTAAAGGGGGGGTGGGAGTGAGAGGTAAAAATCTGAGCCTCTTGATCGCACTGGGGAGCAGTTCCTCTGGTTATCCCCAGAGTTAAACCGCTGTTGCTGTGCAGAAGTTCTCGAGATAAAACCCAACCCCATAAATAAAATTGCTTGAGGGAGAGAAAATTAGCGGAGCTAATTTAGCTCCAACCGAATACCATTTTATTTATGTGGGAAATTAAATCAATTATTTATATAGATAAAAATTTTGTTAGGGATTTTTGCTGCTATCATTTTAATTGTTTCCATTTCTTTTAATATAGTTAGTAAATGAAGAGATTAAATTAATTATTATCCCTTCTATTTAAAGAAATATTGCGAGATTTCGTCAGTTGAAATTCCTTTGGGGATTTCTTCAGTTGAAATTTCTTGTTTGGAGATTTCTTCAGTTGAAATTCCTAGTTTGGAGATTTCAATATCCAAAAGCTTTTCTATCTCATCTTGACTAATACCACCCTTATAATTTCGAAAAAACAAGTAAAAATTGCATTTTTGGGCTTAATTATTCACTTTAAATTTGAAAATTTTAAATATATGCTACCTAAGTTAATATGGAAAAAAATATAAAAAAAACTGTACTTTTCTACATTAAATGAGGAAATCCGAGTCAACAAAGTCAACTTTGAATCTATAAGCAGCATAAAAATAAAATTTATATAATTTTTTCTTGTAAAAAATCCAATTAACCCCTTTAAAACTAGAACAGATTTTTGGTCAATTCAAATGGGAGTAAAGTTCAAGTTCATGACCTTTAGGAAACCAAGGATCAACTCCTATTATTTTCAGCATATAGTAGCTGGTAAAAATTTTCATCAATTTCCATTTGCTTTTGCAGGAGTCTTTATGTTCTCCTTCGCAGCATTTAAAATCAAATCTTTCGCACAGACTTTTGCTTTCAAAATCAGCAAATAAAATTTCATTATAATAGTAAAAATGCTCCTTAATATTTGAGTCTTCAAAATAATTTTGACAAAAGGTATCATTAAATGAGTTTTGTGGTTCTTCATGGCCTGATTTTTTAGATCGTTTACTTTTACCATCAGTTTTAGGGCCATTCATTGTATCTGAAATTCTTTCCATTTCTTCTCGATCTCTGTTACAGACCTCTAGTGAAGACTCATATGCGCTCTTAGATTTGCTATTTTCTATTCCTTTTGATATAGAATGTATTATTAAGTGAAAATAGTTTGAGTATAAAATATATAAAAAATATTTAGGTTTGGCTTGAAGGAATATTTAGTCATCTTGATATAGGAGAATTATAGCAGTTATTTTGGATTAAAAGCAAATAACCCAAAGCAAGCTATTCATAGGGACGAACCATAGTAATACTCTATCAAATCCTTTCAAAGGAGCCATTTTTTTCAGGCTTTTCCTTATAAAGCGCTTTTGCCCTCTTATTAATCTGCATCTAAGATATTCTTTTTTAGGGGGCATTTCTTTCTTATTTCTTCTAGCATCCCTCTGTGAACTAACAAATCCATTGGAAAAATCCCTATTTTTTAGCAAAAAAATCCTTTTTTGAGCGACAAAAATATTTTTAATATAAAAATATTTTATTAAAAATATATTTATATGTAAGTGATAATTAGTATAATGAAACCTTTTGCTAATTCTATTGAATTTAATGCAGCTTCTATTTTAAATATAATTTTACAATTATAATGATTTTTGCTTGCCATATATTTTTTTAAATTTTGAAAAAAGGATTTTAAAATAATTTTTTCAAAAAAAATATCCCTCTATGAACGAACAAAATATTTTTGTTTTGCTATGGAGGCGGGGAAGTAAATAATTGCAACATTAAAGCTTCACGTTTATACATCGAAGATCCAACTCTCTTGCTCTTCTTAGACTCTTTAGTTTTTCTCTTTCTCCTTGGGTTTTCCATTGCAGAGTATATGCTCTTCTTAGACTCTGTAGTTTTTCTCTTTCTCATTGAGTTTTCAATTGTAGAGCATGTAATTTCAAGGTCTATGCTTGACAGTTCTGTTTCTTTTCCACTTAAATAATTATTCATTTCTGTGGGATCATTTATATCAGGATTAAAGCTCATCTCTATAAGTAATGCTTATTTATATTTATATATGTTCAAGCTAAAAATGTCATAAATTTGTTAAAAAGTGGAATAAATGGCAAAGAGTGGAATAAATATGGCAGCTAGCAAAATTCTATGGGCTTTTTAAGCTAAAAATCAAGGAAATCAAAAAGAAATAATTGTAAAAATAAAGAATTTCGCTACTTTGAAAAAAAATTATATATAAACATAAAGAAATTAAACTCTTTGTAAGTATCATAAAAATAAAGTTATCATTATATTAAGAATCGATTAATTTCAAAAATTATGTCTATTTGATGGGACAAAGAAATTATTAATCAATGATTGTTATAATTAATTGCATTCAATCTCTTTTTCTTCTAAGCCTCTGCAAACTCATTAGTCAATTTTTAATAATAATTTATTATTATAATTCAAGAGGCTTTAAAATGGTTACTCTCCAAAATCAATTACAGAGCATCAAGCCTTCATGAGCAGTAATCAAATTTATAGTCAGAAAAAGCCTTCAATGAACGAATTAAAAAATTTTTTGATATAATTAATACTAATATAAACGATTCTTAAGCTTATTTTATTAGCTTTAAGAATGCTTACATTCTAAAGACATAAATTTTATAGATATATTTGGTTTAAATTTCAAATAATGCATGCTGAGATTTTTAATATATTTTATTTAAAAAATGAAATAAAATAGTTATTTTTATAATAAAAAACTTTATCGAGTAGTATAAAATATAATTACTCTCATTAGTTTTTGAAAGTCAAATTGAATTCTCACAAGTCTTTGCATCAATTTATCTGAATAAACTAATTTTATTCTATTTAAAATTAGGACATTTCTATAAGCGAAAGAACCGAGCTTCATTATAACGGTTACATTTTTAGAAGACTATCTATAGCGATGTATGAACTATCAGATATAAGTTTTTATATTATTAGATCGAGTTAACCTATTTGTCTGAGATATAATTATCCAATTAATACTTATATGGCTATCGGCTATTTCAGTTAATGAAATTTTCTTTAGCAAAATTATAGGTGGACAATCATATTAAAACTCTTCGTACATGATACTAATTTGATATCCTTGTATATTCATAACAGCGGAATGTAAATATTTATATAGAAATAGAAATTAAAACAATTGGGTAATCTAAATATTGAAAATTGCATGATTTTTTATGATACAAAGAATTATAAGCTCATAAATCAATGAATTTCTGATTTTAAATAATGAACAATTTATCTTTTTAAATTTAATTAGTCTTTCTTCTATGCCAAGAATTGTGAGATGTCATCATCATCTTTATTGTAGGCTGCGACTTTTGAAAGCTCATCTATATCTTCCAGTGTTATTTTTTGTCTTTGCTCTCCAATTGGAAACCAAGGATCGATTTTTATATCAGTCAGCATTAAATCGCTGACAAAAATGTTTAACAATTCCCATTTTTTGGTACAAATATCTGTATGCCTTCCTTCACAGCAAAAGAAATTAAATTTTTCGCACAGAATATCACAATCAAAATGAGCAAATAAAAGTTTAATGTAATAGTAATAATGCTCCTTTATAACTTCTTCGAGAAAATAGCTTCGACAGAAGTCATCATTAAATGATTTTTTAAGTTCATCATTTTCTTTAATTTGCTGTCTCTTGCTTTTCCCATCAGTTTTTGGGCCTTTTACTGTAGATGACTTTTCCATCATTATTGCTGAGTCTCTACTATCCCTGAGACAGATTTGTGTTAAGTAATTCCATATTCTGTAAGATTTGGCATCAGTTAATAAAAATTTGTGAATCCCTTTTGAAGGGTAAATTCCTTGGAAACTTTGTCTTATTGAGCGCTTGTGTCCTCTTATCAGTGTGCATCGAATATATTCTTTTTTGGGAGGCTTGTTAGGTTTTTTTCTTTTAAATAAAGCTAGAAGCAGAGTTTCGAGTTTGAACTTTAGAGCCGAATCGACTGCCATAGTCTTTTTGTACTCGTTTGTTTTTCTCTTTGTGCATGAGCTCTTACTGGAATAGTATGTGCTCTTATTGCTACAAATTGATGATTTTTCTTCTTCAGCAGACTTTTCTTTGATATCAATTGTGTTGAATTTCTGCTCAAGGTAGTTTAGCTCTTTTGAAGTTTCAGTACTAGTACTTACATAATTCAAAATTTCTGATTCTTCTTCGATATCGAACGCTATCATAGGATTTGGGTCGATATCCATAAGACAAGTAAAGTCTTCCATGATTCTGTATAAATTATATGATTTGTAGAAAGCCTTGTGAATATATGTTTAAGAAAATGGAATAACTAAACGAATTTTGGGACGAGAGAAATCTAGGACTGATTGAAATTTAAAAAATAAATATATATGAAAAAGAATTCTACACTTCTTTTTGTGATTATTTATCAAAGTTATAGGAAATAAGTTTAGAGACGAGAAAAATAAAATTTATCTTCTTAAGGATTAGTAAAGTGATCATAATGCTAAAAGTTAAGTCACTAATAAAAGATAAGGCCCATCACTCAGCATTGATTGATGTGCTAAGATTTTTTCTGAATTTAAAAAGCCTATACAATTCTTTATATATTATTCATGCACCGACATGTCATTAGATCATTTAAATATCTACTAAGTCGTCCTAGTAATAAGCGAATTCTTACTTATTCGTTTTTTTCAAAAATTTTCATATAGAAAATCTAATATGAATAGATCAAAATTTTGTTTATTGCAGGCTTTCAGATAAAACATGAAAATAGCGATGACCCCCCCCTCAATCTTCATGTCTATTGCAAACAAAAATGCAATTTTTTAATATAAAATTTTATATAAAAAAAATAATAATTTTCATGTCTATTGCAACAAATTATATACATTAAAATGGCGACACGTGTCAACCTGCCCTCTTGGCGCAGCAGTCCAGACCTTATGGCTACAGCGAGCTGGGACGGACTCCGAGCCGAGAATCAGACAGAGGCTCAAGAAGTGTGTATCCGGGTAGGTTTTGGCTGCTTTCCTGTAGTTGGAAATGGAGGTGTTCAGCAACGTCCATGGATCAGAGGACCCATGGGCATTCCTCTAACGAGAAAACTGAGGGTTTCAGCCCAGGTCACAGGGGAAACAGTCTTTTTCCTGTAGCTGTAGAAGAAAGGCACTTTGACACTCAATAGACTCCAAGGATCCTTGGAATCAAGTTACTCCAATCGCCCGTAGAATGGCCGCAGAAATCCATAAGCCGCCCACTCGAGACTGAACTCTCAAGGCAAGGAGGAGACAGAAGGTACCGGAAGGGCACTCGCAAGAGGGATAGATCCTCTGGGCTGGAGTCGAAAAGCAGTAGAACCTTGAGTACGGGAGCACTTTAATGACTGCGTCATCAATATGGCTAGCGCCTGTCTGTAATAATCTTAATCTAATCCAATGCAACAAATTTTCGATGCGCATCTTAAATTTTTCTGTACTTTTTAGCTAGATAAGTTTAATAAAATGGCGAGCCTAGCAATAGCCGTCCAAATCTCGATGAGAAGGTCATTGAAACACCTACAGCAGCGCTGTTTTATGGTTTTTTTGAGAAACTCACTAGAGAAAAATGCATTAATTTTTTTATAAAAATATTGTGTTGCAGTAGGCATGAAGTTTTTTCGAAAAATTTTTGTTGCAGTAGACATGAAGATTGACGGGGGGGTCATCGTTACAAATTTTGGACATTTATCTATTCATTAAAAATTTACTATATGAAAATTTGTGCAAAAACATCAAGAATTTGCTTATTATGAGGAGGGAGTAATCAATGATTTAAAATAATTAAATGCTCAGTCTATTAATGGTTTTTTTGAAAATCTTGCAATCATTTTCATGTTCGAATACCTGTAAATATTGCAAAATACTTAATGAAGCTTGAATTTAGTATTATCTAATCAGCAATCCTTGCAGTGGTATGACTTGCTCTTTGAATTCTACTAATTGCGATCCAAAATGCAAATCATGCGATCCTACTTCAGAAACTTGCTCAAATTTGTTTACAGCCTGCTCAAGAGACAAAGTAAAAACAAATTAGTCTATATGTGGCTATCCGATTAATTACTATACAGTAGTAGGGAATATTTTAAGCTCAGCAGAAATTTCCTCTGGAACAATATGCTATTGAATTATAGATGGACACTCCTATTATGACTCTTATGGCTATGACACTTTATCATTTTCCTACATGTTTATGGGAGTATGTAAACTTTATATAGAATCCTGGAAAAATAAAAATAATAGGCTATTACGTTCCGCCTACAGTAGATAATATAAATATTGATAGCTATACCCCGACGTGAACAGCTATTAGCAAAGATTATTATAAAACAATTAACATTACCGAAACAAATTATTTAATCATAGGCTATATCACTGATGAAACTTATTCTTCGTACTCAGGCGTTTCTATAAGCTGACAAATGGCAAAAACTACTTCAAAATCATCGAGCCTTTCTTCTGAGCAGCTGGCAACAATAATTGTCCTTGCAATTATGTTTGTTTTATGCTGCGCTAGCTGCTGCACTTGTCTTTATAAATTTAAAGGATATCAAACCTATGCCCGTATAATTCCTTCTCAAACGGTTAATAGAGCAAGAGGATATGAAATGGTTCCAGAAACGTCACTAGCTTATGTGACAGAAAACAATATTCAGCAGTGCATGCCGAAGTTGAAGTTTTTGAATAATATGATTGAAGTAGGTGTTAAAACATGCTGCATTTGTTTTGATGAGTAAATTATAGATAGTTTGGAAGAAGGGATTCTTGTTAGAAAACTGGTTTGCAAGCATATTTTTCATGCTAATTGTATTGAAAGCTGGTTTGTTAATGCAGAGGGGTTTCCAAAGTGCCCGGTTTGTAAAGCGAATCCTTTTCAAAATATAACGGAAGCGATGAATATCCATATAGCTAGTTAAGGAAAACGAAGGCTATACATATTTCTAAAAAATTTTGATTGCACGGTTTGATATTTTAAAATATGGATAAATAGTAAGTATAGAATAAAATTGAAATTCATTTATAAATATTAATCAAAAAAATTTGAGAATTATCATAAATTTTAAATAAGGAGCTGAAGCCCGCTTATTCTTTTGCTTCATTATCTACCTCCCTTAAAGTCGGATATGGAACTTTTTCAAAAATTGAAGTATCATCAGCTTCTTTTAAAATAGAAATGCTATCTTTTTCATGATTATGGTCATACTCCACATTATTTGTCTTAATTTCGAATACTGATACTTCCGGACTTTGGGTAATTTCACTAAATTTTAACCTTTTCCAATTTTTCAGTCCTGGTGAGTCTCCTTCTTCAGTGTTATATAGTACCCCCCCCCTCGTTTTGTCGCATTTTCTAGTGCAAATACATTTTTCGCAATTTCTAGTTTTTTTATTTTTTTTTTGATGTCGCAAATCTTAGTTTTTTTAAAAAATAGTTTCTGATTAATTTAATTGAGTAATTATAGAGGAGTTTACCTTACATTTGCCTGCAGAGGGTTAGCAGGCCCGAGTCCTTCCCAGTCCTTCCCAGTCCTTCCCAGTCCTTCCCAGTCCTTCCCAGTCCTTCCCAGTCCTTCCCAGTCCTTCCCAGTCCTTCCCAGTCCTTCCCAGTCCTTCCCAGTTTACTCTCCCCTTTTTAGAGAATAGATTAAATTAGCTAGCTTATTAACTCCATTCTCCTTGCGCTTCAATGGCCTGCTTGCTCTTTCATTTTTCACCTTAAGAATGGAATTTTGCACTTCCTCAAAAGAAATTTCGTCCTATGACTCCTGAATGGCAGCAATTAGTCTGGCTTTGCTGTCAGGCCTTCTTTTCTCCACTTTCCTCTTCAAATTGGCCCAGATCATCTCAATTGGATTGAGATCTGGGCTCTTCGGCGATTGAGTCTTCACATCAATCCCGTTTTTCTCTGCAATATTCCATAGTCTGCCTTGCAGTATGGGCTGTTGCCCCATCCTGAACGAAGGTGTAGTCTCCATCTAAAGGCTCAATATAGCCCTGGAGAATGTCTCTGATATAGATTTGGGCATTGATTGCATACTTCTCCTTCTTTATGAAGAGCATTTTGCCAAAAACGATAGAAATTCCTCCCCAGATCATAATTGAGGTTTTTCAATTGATAGGCTCTTCAATCGTTGCGTTTATCCCTTCTTTGCACCACGACAAATTAGAGTTACGAAAGAGATGCACATAGCACTCATCACTGAAGATCCATGAAGCGATATCTGAGTCAATCACCAGGACATTCTCTGCTCTTTATGAGCTTCAGTTAGCTGTAGAACAACCCCTCTTCTTCCTATAGACATATCCCCTCTTCTTCAGCTCTTTTCCTAGCTGTTCTTCGCTGATGTCAACTGTCTTTCTTTTGAATTGGGCCCTCAAAACTTGCCTTGCTGACAAAGCCTGTATCCTTCTCACATTCCTTTAATGACCTCAGCAAAGTCTTCATCACTTCAATGCTTTAGGGGAGATCTGGATAGTGCCTCTTCTCTTCCAGCCGCTTCGTCAGATTCACTCTCAGTATTCTCTGCAGCAATTCGCTCAATAGTCCGTTTAGAAGTCCCCAAGATTGTCGCAAGTTCTTCGTTTTTAAAGAAACCTACGTCAATGATCCTCTTGACTATGCTCTCTCCATCATTCCATTTTCTTAGGAGGAGGCGATAGTCCATGGTCCACAAGCTTCCGCCTGAGCTCTAAAGTGTGCTCTTCAGGATTGAACTTGTTGGTGTAGTGCCTGATCGTCGTCAGGCTCATGTCCTTGCCACAAGCAGCAAGACGCTCTTGGATCTGCTTTGCATTGAGCCTCTCTCCATAGGCCATGCTTTGAATCATTGCCGGGATTTTTATCGGCTGGTCCTCAATTTCGCGCAACTCCATTAATTAATATGGAAGACTAGAAATTAAGCTATCAAATAAGGAAATAGGCATGAAGATAGGGGAATAAGAATGGTGAATGGCAAGTGGTGAGGCTTAAGCAATGGGAGCAGGTAATGGGAAGCAAGCTGTGGGGATTGAGGAATGGGAGCAAGGATTTTGAAGGAAGAAATGATGAAATTTTCACTAACTGATCCCTTGACGAATTTTAATTTTTAGGAATTTATAGAGAGAAAAAAAAAACTAGAAAATGCGACAAGCGAGGTCCTGAACCGATTTTTTTTTGGCTTAAAAAAAAAATAGAAAATGCGACAAATGAGGTCCTGAAAATTTTTTTTTCTCTTATAAAAAAAAACTAGAAAATGCGACAAACGAGGGGGTACTATAGGTAATAATAGAATTCATCGAAATATTTTGAATTTCTTTAGTAATCGAATTTTTATCGAAGTCTGTTTCTTGGTCGCTAATATTGATAGGAGAAATACTCTGAATCCATTTTTCGATTCTTGTTCCATGCATCATTCTTCTCAGAAATTTGATTTTTGAGTACAAAATAGAGATCCCTACTCCAGTCATGCTCGAAATTCAATGGGCTAAGAAAAACAAGTTCGCTGATACAATTATTATAAATAGAAGAATCCTTGCTGGGTAGATTAAATCATCTGTCAAATAGTATAAACCACTATAAATAGTCAGTCCAGATACAAGAATTGATTTAGTTTCCAATGAATTGAGCTGATTTGTACAATAAGGTTCAATTTTGCGATGTAGGAAAAAGCAAAAAAGCAGCAAAAAGAAAACAGTTAATGCTTGAATTCGTGTTGACGTAGAGCCAAGAAAAACTGCGCAGCAAATAATTAGAATTTTTCTATAGAGAATTGTAAATTCCCAATAATAAGTTTTATCTTTGAAGCCAAGATATAAAAAGCCAAATTGAAGTTTTAATTCTATAGTATTTAACTGTTCTCTATGCTTATGTATAGATCATAACTCCCAATCTCTGTGTGTGAAAAAAAATTGTCACTGAAGGAGGGAGTTGATTTTTTGAATTTTAAAAATATTGCAAACTAATATTATTTAATTTTTAAAATTTATGTTTAAAATGAAGCTGCTTAAAACATAGCAGAATTGCTATTATAATAATTATTACTATTATATTAATTTTTTTTTATAAAGCGCTTTTATATTAAAAAATTTTGTTTTCGCTATTGGAGAGCGGTTTTTACCCTAGGGATTTTTCTAATGGTTTGTCCTCTCACGGAAGGGAGGGTAAGCATAAAGTTGGTACCGCTATGCATCAAATTATAATACTTGGAAGAGCAACAGTCAAAGAATAAGTAATATGCTCAGCATCCCAACATTTAATGTCTAAGTCAGATCTAAGGTAATAAGATCCAGACTCTATTTCCATACAGTTAAAATTTGAAAAATTGTATTTCACAAGTGAAGGCTGTATTAAAAATAGCTGAACTACTAAAGAGCCTAAAAATTTATTTTTAAGGTATTTTGTTTCTAAAACAAAAAGATAATACCCAACCCAAAACATCATAGTCAAAAATGCCAAAATCATAGGGAGAACAGCCATAAATATCAATTTTGAAAAAAATGGCTTTGATTTTTGTCCTTGCAAATAGCAATCAACTGAAAATATTTGGTCAGTCATGCTTCCCGCAGTATTTTGAATCGAAAATACCTGAAGAACAAGCTGAGGTCAATTTAAATTGAAAGAAGCTGTAACAACTACAAGTTGTAAATAATTCATAAAAATTTTGATATAAACTGATGTAAGCGATTTCGGTTTATATGCTGATTTAATAGATGACCTCGTCATAATAAGGACAATAAATAAAGCAAGGGTTATCATCCCTACTAATATTAAGCTATTTGTGACTGGATTTGGGCACTTAGAGCAAGTGTCTTCTCCATTTCGTGAATACCCTTCTTCGCAGGACTGGCATAAATTCCCTTGATAGCCTTTTTTGCAGGTTCCCACTGAATTGTTAGAATCAATTCCTCCTAAGCATGCATGAGAATTTGGGCATGCCAAAAAATTGTCGGTCAAGTTGCTTACTCTTCAATAGCCTGCTTTGGGATAAATATTATTTTTCCCATAGCATTTAGCAGAAGTTGGGCAATCTTTACAAGAATCACCAGCATTGAGATTATAAGTTCCAGAATCACAGACTTGGCAAGTCTTAGCTAGCAAAGCTTCGCCGACTTCACAATCTCTAAGCTCAAATTCAAGTGATTCAGAAGATAAACCTAACTCTTCCGCTCTGTGAACAAACAAAACCATTGGTAAACTCTCTAGTTTTTGTGTAAAATCTACCCTTCTTAAATGAATAATTTTTTAATATAAAAATTTTATGAAAAATATTTTGATATATAAATAATAGTTATTATAATGAAATCTCTAGCTGATTCTGTTTAAGAAAAATTTTACAAATTAAATTAATATATTGCTTTAAAAAAAATACTATAAAATATTTATTTATAAATTTAAAAAAAAAAATTATCCCCTCCATCAGAATTTTTTTTTTCGCCTACAGAGAGGAGAGAGTAAGGAATCACTAGAAATTATTGATGAAGAAAGAGTAAACCCTACTTTACTTCCAGGCTCCCCACTCACAATAACTTCACTAAAATTATAAACTCCTGATGATGCTTGAACCTTAGTTTTTCCTGACAATGAATAGTTCGAGCTATCTGTGACTTCCAATTGGCAAGTGCTTGTATTTTCAGTGAGAACTGTTTGATTGTAGTGATCAGTAATTCCAACAATTAATGGGCTTGATAAATATTGCCCTGGAGCAGATGGCACCTGCACTTCAAGTCTTCTTTTATAGCTTAAAACTAGCAAACTAAGAGGAAATGAGGCTAAATCATCTCCATATAAAGCTGAGTTATTTGAAAATGATAAATTAGAAATCGTTGGTTGTGACAAGTATCATTGTACAGCGCCACCACTCAAGCATGCACTATTATCTATAAAATCTGAATTTTTGATAGAGACACTAATTTGAACTGTGGATGTCAAATATAAAGCTCCGCCTTCTCCATCTGTGCAAGAACTATTAGATTCTAAATTAGTTGCTGAATTGTTTCTAAAAATACTGTTTTTAATTCCGATATTTATATTATTTGAATAAATAGATCCTCCATATAGAGATGCACTTAGACTTAGATTGATTAATTTTTACCTCTAGCTGGGTCAAACGCTTAGTGCAAAGACTCCCCTTTTTTCCTCGGCTTTATCGCTCACTCCGATTGTATGCGCAGCCTGTCGACAAAGTAGCTCCTTTTTGCTTCCGTGGAGCCATTTAGCAGCCCAGAAGTGTCGGGACCACTTGCGGCTTGGTGCATTGCCGGCTCTATCTGACTTTCCTTCAGCGTCTGTTCGGCTGAGGGTTCTCCCTTTATCTGGTATTTGAAAGATTTAAAGCATTATTCTGTAGAATGCAAAGTAAGAAAACCTTCGCCATTTCTTTCCTATCAGGCAGAAGTGCATGTGTAAAAACCCAACCCCATAATAATAAAACTTGCTTACTCCCCCCCCCCCTCCGTGAGCGAACAAAACCATTAGAAAAATCGCCATTTTTTGACCAAAAACCCACCCTCCGTGAGTGAACAAAAATTTTTTTAATAGAAAAAATTTTAATGGAAAAAAATTTTTGATATATAAGTGATAATTAGTATATAATGAAATCTAGAGCTAATTCTGTTTAATTTTAAACAAATTGCGTTTTAAAACATAAATTTTGCAAATTAAATTAATATTTGCTTCCCAATTTTTGCAAATTAGGATTTTTTTAAATTTCGAAAAAAATATTTTTTATAAAATTTATATATAAATTTTTTTTTAAAAAAAAAAAATTAACCCCCCTCCGTGAGCGAACAAAATTTTTTTGTTCGCTCACGGAGGGGGGGGGGAGTTAAGATTAATTCATGGAAGGAATTCTCCTCTTTCCGAAGCCATTTTATTATTATCCATATAGAGATGCACAATTTTCAAAAATCGAGTTCTCAATATTTGCTATAAAATTTGATGCAGTAACTGTAGTGTGATCAAATTTTATAGCTCCACCAGCAGACGATATAAGATTTTTAAACTCAGTTCCAATAATAGTAACATTTATGCAATCTATGCAATTGAGAGCTGCCCCATTATCATTAATGCCACTTTTAAATTCTGAATCAAGTATCTCTATTAATTTAGATTTGCTTGCTTCAATTGCAGAACTGATATATTCTTTAAAAGTTGTTTTATTAGCACTCAGAGTGCTGTCATATATATAAATTACTCCTCCTGTACTGGATGCAGAGCTGCTTAAAATAGAAGAACTAATCAGTTTGCATCTGCTTCCTGAAGTGCATTGGAGTACTGCTCCTGTAGGAGCTTTTGCATTTAAGAAATTGCATTTTTCACAGGATAATGAACTATCTGCTACTGAGATGCTGCCTCCTGAGCTAGTCGAAATAGAATTTTTAAAATTTGTGTTGTATACAAACAAACTTGAATCGATATTTATATAGAGATCACTTCCACTAGTTCCTGTATGGTTCGAAAAGGATGAGTCAGAAATGTTGCATGTAGAATAAATCATAAAAATTCCAGAATTTGTAGCACCTGTATTATTAAAGACTAATCAACCCCTTTATTAATAAAATGGTATATGGTTAGGGAGAAATTAGCTCTGATAGTTTTCTATCCCTCATGGAATTTTATTTATGGGTTGGGTTTTTTTCCTGAAGAACTTCTGCACAGTATAGCGGTTTAACTTTGGAACTTCTCCAAGTGCATAAGAGGCTTTAAGTTGTCTTATAACCACACCTGAGGAGGTATATCATAGCGAGTGCATCGAGCACCATAGGATTTTCTGATCAGGTGGAGATAAAGCTTATTTTGGATTGCCGAGTCTTTCTGAAATATGATGTGATGTCGGATGTGGGTAGCATCATCACTTAGGAATTAAAAGAGTGGGCTGCGGCCTAGTCGTATTGCTAGAGAAATCAGCACGTTAAACACTAACTCGCTCCATGAGCGAACAAAATCATCGGAAGATCCTTATTTTTCGGGTAAAAATCACATTCCGTAAACGAAAACAAAATAAAAATTTTCAAGAAAAAAATGATATATAAGTTATAATTATTATAATGAAATCTTTAGTAAATTCTATTTAATTTTAAATAGCTAGCATTTTAAAACATAAATTTTACAAATTAAAATAATATTTGCTTTCCAATTATTTTGCAAATTGGAATTTTTTTAAGAAAGAATTTTTAATATAAAATTTATATAAAATTTTTTAAAAAAAAAAAATTAGCCCATTAGCTAGAGAACAAATTTTTTTTTCTATTACGGATTGGGGGAGTAGGCTAACTAAGGCTAAGACTAAGAATGAACCCCTTTTAGAACAAGAAAAAATTTTATGAGTGCAAAGGCTTACTTAATTTATATAAATTTTATAGTAATTTTTATATTGATTTTCTTGTTTTAAAATGCCATTGTTAAAATACAAACAGAATTTAAATTGATATAAAAATTAATTAAATATTAAATATCGTGCACAACCTATTATTTATTAAAAATAATTAATTTTATCATGCACAGATATTAAAACTATTTTTTTCTTTATATTTTGCTAATTCTTGAGAAGGGGTGAGCAGCTTTGAAGAGAAAACAATCCGCTGTCTGATGAAATAGCAGCCATAGATCCTGCGATATTGTATGATATTTCTGTATTTATAAGATAGGAGTATGAAGATTCTGAGCCAAGAATAGAAATGGCTGAACCTCTCATATCACATTTGTTCTCAGAAAAAACTGAATTGTTAAAAATAAAAATAGAGCTTTGGTCGACTGCAAGTCCTCCGCCATTATGTTTTGAAGTATTTTTAACAATTGTGCAGTTATTGCATGTTATATTTGAGGCCCCTGAAATATAAATAGCTCCTCCATCAGAAGTCGCAGAATTATTCTTAAAAACGGCCCCTTCTAAATTGACTACCGATTCATCTTTAATTATTGCTGATCCTCCTTGTGAAGCTGAATTTTGATAAAAATTTGAATATTGATCAGTCCAATGCCCTTTAGCAATAAAAACTGCATTGCCAGTGTTATTAAAAACATATAGATTTAGAGTAGTCAATTGGCTAATAGCAGTGTTTCCGTTTATATACAAAATATTACTTCCTCTGTTAGAAGTTATTGAGGACTCAGATAAATGTGTTTCAGCAGGGACAGAATGATCTAAATTCAAAACTACGGCATAACTAGCTGAGTTTGAATCAAAAACACATGAAAATACCAAAAGGGTTCCTGATAAATGTCTAGCGTACACTGAAGTCATTTTATTATTGGTAAAGTTTGAATATGATATTTGGCTTGGAGAGTCAAGATTAACTGATTTATCAATAAAAATAATATTTTGGCCTCCACCATTGTTTGAAAAAGTCATATTACTCATAGTTAATAACACATATGATTGGCTTGCTAATGATGAAATAGAGATATGGCCAAGTTTGGGATTATTATTTTTTATTGTGCAATTTTTCAATAATATCTTTGATTTTATCCCATCTCTACCTGAAAAAACCAAGGCACTATAAAAAGAGCTTGACAATGATTCGACGATGCTGTTTTCTCATGCAAAAATTTGGACAGAACTAGCAGATATAGGCGTTTCTCCACCTATGAAATTACAGTTAATGAGTGTAAAATTACTTGCAGATGTAGAAGAGCTCAATGTTACGACTGAGCTCCCAACACCATTATAAAAATAGTTATTTTTAAATGTCAAGTTCTTCAAAACAAGTGCTGAGGACATAGTTGCAGCCAAAGCAATGCTATTTCCACTTGACTTATTATCAGAAAATACAGAATTTCGTAGAATAGTTTGATTTAAACAGTTTGTTAAAGCTAGTCCTGCATTATTTTGAGTACAGTAATTTTGAGAGATCGTGTTGCAGTGAAAAATAAAATTATTTATGCTTGTTGTTGAAATGACTGATTTGCAACTTGGCAAAGCCGATACTACTGATGAGTTTATATAGAGATAGCCTAAGCTTTTCATATAATTAATAGTCACAGTGTTGGCATCTTCGTTTAAATTGTCTCCATTTCCATTTCAAGTTGAGTTTAAAATATAAAGATTTGGTAAATTCGACAAAGAGATACCTGATCCTCCAAATGTATTTTTTGTGAAATTCAAGTTCTTAAGTGTTATGCTTTTAGCAGGAAAATCAGCTTTTATTTTTTGGCCTGAATCCAATGTTGTAACTCTTGAATCCCCACTGATGTACTCTTGGATTAGCTTCCCTTTGTATGAAATGTCAATGATACCATCATCTTCTGAATAATTATTAAGAAAAGTGCAGTTATTTATCAAGATATTCTGAAGGTCTCTATTAAACTGAATTATAAAAGTTGACGATGTAATAGCGCTATTGTTTTGAAAAAGTGCATTTTCTATCCAAATATTTATCAAATTTTCATATACCAACTTTTTATTATCATCAATTTCAAGTGGCATGTCCAGCTTATATTGATTTATAAAGAATAATGCATCATAATTAAAGTTGTATTGAAAAACTGAATTTAAAACCGTTAAATTCAAAATTTCATTGAAAGTAAACATTGCTTTTGTTGAAGATTCTGGATCAATGCTATTTACTAAATTATACTCAATTGTAATATCTTCAAATTTAACATATTTGATTTGGTTAGAGAACCATAAATTAAAATAACTTGGCGAGCAAATCACCCTTTTAACTCCTTAGTCTTGCTAATCAGGGTTAGCCGCTCGATGTGTGCATCCGGATAGGTTTTACTGGAAAGGCGGAGCAGCAATGCTAATCTGATCAGCTAAAGTTCAATCTAGGGGCAAGTTTTTTTGTTCACAAGGAAAGGGAACACAAAATTAGAAAGGAATCTTACTGCAATGCCAAAGGACGTCATTGGCCAATCGGAATGATTCCAGCGCGATACAAGGTGTGCTTGAGTTCCATTTTGCCTACAGCTGACCAAAAATTCAAGCGCGGCAGGTAATGCAAATCTTTTGACTATCAGTAGTAAGTGCAGGAGCTCTGAAAGGGCGAATCCTCTTATGCCATGGAACGTGAGCCGGCGAGGAAGTATTAGGAAATGAAATAAGAGCCTAAAGGCTACCGGATAGAGATCTTTTCTTATAATTTAATAACTAGCAATATAACAATTTAGAACCATAAATCCAGCCAAATCAACTGCGTCATTAACTTCATAGTTATTTTACTTTTATTAGCATTATAGAAAAGCCCAGCTGAAACAACTTTTTACTCCCATAATGCTCCACTACTTGCTCACTAGCTCTGATGCCACAACCTTTCACTATGTTACTCCTTCCGGCTGAGAGCCTCCGAAAGTTGGAAAGTTTGTATTGCCGTACCGGCCACCAATTTTTTTTTGCCTTCTATTGAAAATTCAAAAAGTTCGAATTTTCTGATCGATTTTTGGTCAAAATGGAAACTCAAAGTCCAAGACACAATTGGTATCGCTGGGTAATTCTTATTGGAGAGGAAACATCCTCTGAAACTGATGGGATACCCCTAGCATTTCTGCTCCATCTGTGCTAGAAAAAATAGTCGGGTGCGCACATCAGCTGCCTTTCTCACTTCCGACTTATCCTCTGCTAAGACATCGACTACACGAATAAAGAAACTCTACTAATTCGTCATACCATTATAATTATATATTGACTTCATAACCATTATTCAGTAAAGATACTGAGCTATTAATAAAATGTAATTCTCCACAATAATCTGAGCTGCAAGCATTAGATACAATAACTCCACTATTAGGTTTGCTCATTATATTGTAAAAGCTCACCAAGCTCATATCCAATATTCCACCTTTAAGAGTAACTATTGAATTGTATTGTTGCCTAAAATTATTAATTTCCACATTCTAAATAAAAAATACATTTAAATATAAAATTCCATTAGAACCAATTTCAAAGAAATTTGTATTATGGAATTCATCACAAGTGGATTGAGGCACATAAGAATTTGAATCCAGAGTATTTCCATGATCATCAGTAATTACTCCATCATCACTAGTAGTTGCTTTACAATAGTCACAATCAGTGCAAAAAGGACTAAACTTTGTGCTCCCATCAAAAATTATATTTTCAAATGTAACATTAGTCAGTATATCGATTGCTATTGGTAGAGTATCTACTATAATCGTTATACTCTCATCATCATTTACACAGTCTGGGTGGCTATAAATTGAACAATATAATGGCTTTATAGTTATTTGAACCAATTTATTAGATGTCCTATATAATGGCCTTGAAGCTGTAGCTTCCAAAAGGTAATCATCATCGATAACTTGTGTTAAGTTATGAATACCTCTCATCAAGTAAACAACTGAATATTTCCATGCCAATTGTGACAACCCATAAGATAAAGAATTATATGGGGAATCAATTGAGCCATCCCCTTGCTCTACGTCATTAGCGCTTATAAAACTTTCATCTGGGATTTCCTCTGTAGATCCATCTAAAACTGGAGCGCAAATGACTACGTCCATTTTATAGTAATAGTAAGGTGTATAATTTATTCAGAATTTTGCTTTACTTTTCTGTTAATTTTTTCATGAAAATCTAATATCTTAAAAGTTTTAAAGCCTTATAGTAAAAATAGAAACCTATTATATAATATCTAGGACAGTTATCAACACAGTAATTATAAAATTGTTTATTTAAACAATATCCGCACATTTTGGAATTTGAGGTAGCACAAAATCCACAGTTATTAAGATCATAGCAGCTATAGGACCAACATTGAAAGTAATCAAAGAAGCAGTCAGCGTTGCTGCATGCATCTTGACAATGCCAATCAAAATTATTATAATTTAAGCTGCAGCCATGCTTTGCATAACAAGAATTAGGAGTATTCACAGGATAATTTCAATCGTGTGCAGCAATTTGGGCATAAAATGATGATTGAATAATATTGGGCTCTATACAGTTAAGGTCAAAATCGCAATCCAAAACTAAACACTCTGGCTTGCATAGTCCAAGATCTGAATTAAAACATCCTGAAGCGCAAGTTGGGCAATCATTTCCGTCATATCCACAGCCTTCATTATAACACTCACTATCACAAAATCCATTGTTTATCATATCATTGAAGCAGTCAGTTGCGCAATCTCCACATAAATAATTACTTAACTTAACTTATGTCACTTATAGAGAAGTTCTGGCAGGCCGAGGTTACTACTTACCTCCATATAATGCCCCATTACTTGCTTGCCAGTTATACACGATTTTCTATGTGCTGATCCTCATGAACAAGTGGTTGTACTTGCTATCTGAGCTTCAGAGACATAGGGTACCATGCCACTTGCTAAACATTCTATAATTCCAAAAAATCGATTTTCTGGACATATGTCGACAAAGATGAAAACTCAATGCACAGGACTCAACGCTTAGCACCGCGTTGGAGATATTCATCTTCCATAAAGTTCCATTAATCTTCTGATGCCATTTTAATGTATACATAAATAATTATCAAAATTGCATGGCGCTGTTGAACAGACAGGATCGCATATTCCATTTTCTAGCAAATCTGGATAGCATCCAGCAGCACATAAACAATCTCCATTATCATAAAAGCAACTCGGTGTATTGCACTCAGGATCACAATAATAATTTGTCAATAAATATCCAGTGCATCCAGAGCTACACGAAGAGTCTCAGCAATCTCCTCCGTCATATTGGCAATAATAGTTCATGCAGGTTCAATCGCATACACCGTTTCCGAGCATTGAATACTGGCATCCTGGATTGCATTCCTATATAAAATTTACACATTCATAATTGTTAAAATTGCATAAAGAATTACTGCATTCTTGATGGCATGCTGTATCTTGAAGAAATTCTAAACTGCAGCCATCTGAGCAGTATCCACAATCTCCATGGTCATATCCACAGTAAGCCAAATCACATGAAGAATCGCACACCCCATTACTTTTTAAAGTACAGCCTAGGGTGTAAGTGCAATAATATTCACAGTCACCTCCATCAAAGTTGCAGCCTTGGTTCATACAACTCTTATCACATCAACCATCTCCAATCTATTTTAGGACTTACTCAATAGGACGGACAATCTATCGAACATAAAGCCAAAACAGTTTGAATTGAGAAAGTTTCGATAACTAACTCTTTACCCTCTGTGAGCGAGCAAACTATTGAAAAAATCCTTATTTTATAGGTAAACCCATAAACACACAAAAATTTTTTATCAAAAAAAATTGATAATCAATATAATGAAATCTCTAGCTAATTTTGCTTAATTTTAAACAGCTTGCATTTTAAAAAAAAAATATAAATTAAATTAATAAATATTTGTTTTGCAATTTTTGGGAATTAGGATTTTTAAAATTTCGAAAAAAAATTTACTATAAAAATTTTATATAAAAACAAAATTAACCCCTTCGTAAGCTAACAAAATTTTTTTATTCGCTCACGGAGGAGGGAGAGAGTAAGAGAATTTTCAGCCTGAAGAAATTATTTTCTCTCATATTTAGGAGATTTATTAAAACCGCAACGCTTATCAACTGAATAGCAGTAATTATAATAAAAATGAAATATTCAGTATAATACACGGCTAAGTTGAAATTTTTAATTAATTTAATTTTTCTTAATAAATGATAAATAAAGCAGTATAATATCAAAATAAAGTAAGGATGCCTTATGCTTCCGAATGATATATACCTAAAAATAATAAATATTTTTTTATATAATTATTAAATTATTTTTAAAAATGATTTTGCTATTTAGATTCTCTTTATAAAAATCTAAAACTTTAGACTGAAACTTATAAGATTAACTAAATGAGGAAGATATATTAAATCATTAATAAAATTGAAATTGCAAAAGTATGAAAATTTAATCTAGATTTTTCTGTAGCTGGGGTATTTCAGTAAATCTGCTGTGTTTGGCTAATTCATCATGGAGCAAAGAAGAGCACCATGTTAATATAATGGTAAATCTGTGATATTATACGTAGACATATACAATGCATGATGCAGTTTGAAATGCATGAAAGTCGAACTTATGCTAAGTTCAGGTAATTGCACATCTTTCAAATGTGAATTGTGGTTTTGCACATCTCAATTGTGATCTCTAGCGGCATTTGCTAATTCAAATGCTATGTAATTCTTTTCTAAAATTATGATATATGACAAGATTTCAAAAGGAAAAGCTGATGAAAATCAAGATCAGTTATTAAAGAAGCCATAAGGCTTTAGCATTGGACAATCAATGTAATTAATATATAGATGCTATAAGAATGGTAGAAAAAATGGTAAAATGCAATCAAGACAAAAAAATCTATCGTGCCATTATATCTCTGTACAGTGTTTCATATAATATCTTTAAAATTTAAATTACCATATTCTCATGAAAACTAAAAGAACTCTGTCAAACATTTATTGGTATGATAAATGATTTTAAACTCCAATCACTCAGTTTGGCTAGAAAATCAAGGATATGAAGCTAGATAAATGAAATTGGGTTTAGGTTTAGTAAAAGATCAAAATTAATTTGCAGTTATATATATTCATTAAAAATATTTTTAATTATGATACTTTTTTGCTTATAGTTACCTAAAATAATTAAATATTTGAATAATTTTAGTTTTAAGTTTTAAGCAATATTTGAAAGTATTTTTAATGGCATTATATTATATTTAAAAATTTAAACATATTAAAAGTAGAACTTCTGCCATAAAGTATAGAATTTACTCCTCTAATTGATCTTCTTCTACCTCCCTTAAAGTTGGATATGGTGCTTTTTCAAAAATGGAAATATCATCAGCTTCTTTTAAAATAGAAATGCTATCTCTTTCACGACTTTGATCACATTCTACATTAATTGCCTTAATTTCGAATACTGATACTTCTGGACTTTGGTTGATTTCACTAAATTTTAACCTTTTCCAATTTTTCAGTCCTGGTGAGTCTCCTTCTTCAGTGTTATAGGTAATAATAGAATTCATCGAAATATTCTGAATTTCTTTGGTGATAGAATTTTTATCTAAGTCTGTTTCTTGATCGCTTATATTGATAGGAGAAATACTCTGAATCCATTTTTCGATTCTTGTTCCATGCATCATTCTCCTAGCTCATCTCCTCCATGAGCGAAAAAAAAATTGTGTTCTCTTACAGAGGAGGCTAATTTTTTTAAGAAATTTCAATTTGTAAATTAATTTAATTTGCAAAATTAATGTTTTAAAATGCAAGCTATTTAAAATTAACAGAATTAGTTAATGGTTTTCATTATAATAATTTATCACTTATATATCAGAATTTTTATTTTATAAAAAATTTTCTATTAAAATATTTTGTTTACAATGGATTTTTCACAGGCTTTGCTCGCTTATGGAGGGGGAGTAAGAAATTTGATTTTTGAGTACAAAATTGAGATCCCTACTCCAGTTATAGAAATATCGACTTCATGATGGCAAATGCTGAGTAGGACCAACAGAATAAACAATTTCCAGAATTCGAGCCTACGGTCAAAAAGTGCCTCGAAGGGCACGGAGTTGGATGGGAGGCAATTCTGGGGTGGGGACCCACAAACGAGAAGACCGGGCTGCTCAACACCAATCGGGCACACTGGAGGAGCATTAGCTGCGGAGGCAGTTCAGAAGAGGCTTTGGACGACTCTTTCGTACTCTGAGCACTACCAGGTGTTAAAAGAGTCCTTTGCGGCAATTTTTGTCCAATAATTGGGTGAATCTTCTCCGAAAGATGTCGACGCCATCATTTTTGATGACGTCGATAGAAAAAGACGTAAGCTGGGATTAGTGCTTAACGCCACTGAAGCGCAAATCTAATCCGTGTAAGGGTAGGGGCTGGAATAATCCCCAGCAACCACCTCTAATATTATCTCTCTACTCCAGTCATGCTCGAAATTCAATGGGCTAAGAAAAACAAGTTAGCTGATACAATTATTATAAATAGAAAAACTCTTGCAGAGTATGCCAAATCATCTGTCAAATAGTATAAACCACTATAAATAGTCAGTCCAGATACAAGAATTGATTTAGTTTCCAATGAATTGAGCTGATTTGTACAATATGGCTCAATTTTGCGATGTAGGAAAAAGCAAAAAAGCAGCAAAAAGAAAACAGTTAATGCTTGAACTCGTGTTGATATAGATCCCAGAAAAACCGAGCAACAGATAATCAGTATTTTTCTATAGAGAATAGTAAATTCCCAATAATAAGTTTTATCTTTGAAGCCAAGATATAAAAAGCCAAATTGAAGTTTTAGTTCTATTGTATTTAACTGTTCTCTATGCATATGTATAGATCATAAACACAGAGTTGGTATTGCAATGCATCAAATTATAATACTTGGAAGAGCAACAGTCAAAGAATAAGTAATATGCTCAGCATCCCAACATTTAATGTCTAAGTCAGATCTAAGGTAATAAGAGCCTGATTCTATTTCCATACAGTTAAAATTTGAAAAATTGTATTTCACAAGTGAAGGCTGTATTAGAAAGAGCTGGACTACTAATGAGCCTAAAAATTTATTTTTAAGGTACTTTGTTTCTAAAACACAAAGATAATACCCAACCCAAAACATCATAGTCACAATTGCCAAAATCAAAGGGAGAACAGCCATAAATATCAATTTTGAAAAAAATGGCTTTGATTTCTGCCCTTGCAAGTAGCAATCAACTGAAAATATTTGGTCAGTCATGCTTCCTGCTGTATTTTGAATCGAAAATAACTGCAGTACAAGCTGAGGTCAATTTAAATTGAAAGAAGCTGTAACAACTACAAGTTGTAAATAATTCATAAAAATTTTGATATAAACTGATGTAAGAGACTTCGGTTTATATGCTGATTTAATAGATGACCTCGTCATAATAAGTACAATAAACAAAGCCAGGGTAATCATCCCTACTAATATTAAAGCATTTGTGGCTGGATTAGGACATTTCGAGCATTTATCATCGCCATTTCTTGAATAACCTTCTTCACAAGACTGGCATAAATTTCCTTGATAGCCTTTTTTGCAAGCTCCTACAGAATTTTTAGACTCAATTCCTCCTAAGCATGCATTGGAGTTTGGGCATTTCAAAAAATTGTCGGTCAAGTTGCTTACTCTTCAATAGCCTGCTTTGGGATAAATATTATTTTTCCCATAGCACTTAGCAGAGGTTGGGCAATCTTTACAAGATCTACCCGCATTGAGATTATAAGTTCCAGATTCACAAATTTGGCATGTCTTAGCGATTAAAGCTTCGCCTACCTCACATTCTCGAAGTTCAAACTCAAGTGAATCTGATGGTAAACTGCTTGAAATAATCGATGAAGAAAGAGTAAACCCCACTTTGCTTCCAGGATCTCCAGTTACTATAACTTCGCTAAAGTTATAAACTCCTGAAGATGCTTGAACTTTAGTTTTTCCTGATAATGATTAGATTAGATTTGTGCTGTGTGTTTAAAGTCCCCGCTTATTTGTGTTCTACAGGTGGGGAGGCACAACCGCTTCAAGCCCAGCCGAAACCCCCGGTTTCTTGGTAGAAGTAATGATCAAGGGACAGCTCATACTGTCTTCGCTGAATGCTTCCATTTCCAGCTTGCCAAGTTGCCCTATTTTTACGCAAACTTTGTTCGTGTCGTTATGCCAGATCCACTCGCTGAGAGCGCCTTACTGGGGAGACCCCCGTTGAGATATATAGTTTGCCTTCCTCACTGAGAGGTTGGGTCGGTCGCCGTCCACCATTTTTATGTATATTTTTTCTGATAATGAATAGTTCGAGCTATCTGCTACTTCCAGTTGGCAGGTGCTTGTATTCTCTGTTAGAACTGTTTGATTATAGTGATCTATTATTCCAACAATTAATGGGCTTGATAAATATTGTCCTGGAGCAGATGGCACTTGTACTTCAAGTCTTCTTTTATAACTTAAAACTTTTAAGCCAAGAGGAAATGAGGCTAAATCATCTCCATATAAAGCTGAGTTATTTGAAAATGATAAATTGGAAATAACTGGCTGAGAATTATATCATTGTACAGCACCGCCACTTAGGCATGCATTATTATCAGAAAAAACTGAGTCCTTAATAGAAATGCTGACTTGAACTGTAGATGCCAAATATAAAGCTCCGCCCTGTCCTGTTGTGCATGAACTGTTTGAATCTAAATTAGTAGCTGAATTGTTTAAGAATTTACTGTTTTTTATTCCTATGTTGATATTATTTGAATAAATAGACCCTCCATATTGAGATGCACAATTTTCAAAAATAGAGCTTTCGATATTTGCTATAAGATTTGACACAGTCAGCGTAGCATGATTGAATTTAATAGCTCCACCATTAAATGATACTAAATTTGTAAACTTGCTTCCAATTATTGTAACATTCATGCAATCTTCACAATCTATAGCTGCACCATCATCATTCATTCCATTCTGAAATGCTGAATTAATTATTTCAATAGACTTGGATTTGCTTGCTTCAATTGCAGAACTGATATATTCTTTAAAAGTTGTTTTATTGGCACTCAGAGTGCTGTCATATATATAAACTACTCCTCCTGTACTGGATGCAGAGCTACTGAAAATAGAAGAACTAATCAGTTTGCATCTGCTTCCTGAAATGCATTGGAGTACTGCTCCTGTAGGAGCTTTTGTATTTAAGAAATTGCATTTTTCACAGGATAATGAACTATCTGCTACTGAGATGCTTCCTCCTGAGCTAGTCGAAATAGAATTTTTAAAATTTGTGTTATATACAAATATGCTTGAATCGATATTTATATAGAGATCACTTCCACTAGTTCCTGTATGGTTCGAAAATGATGAGTCAGAAATGTTGCATGTAGAATAAATCATAAAAATTCCAGAATTTGTAGAGCCTGTGTTATTAAATAGCGAGCAGCTTTGAAGAGAAAACAATCCGCTGTCTGATGAAATAGCAGCCATAGATCCTGCGATATTGTATAATATTTCTGTATTTATAAGATAGGAGTATGAAGATTCTGAGCCAAGAATAGAAATGGCTGAACCTCTCATATCACATTTGTTCTCAGAAAAAACTGAATTGTTAAAAATAAAAATAGAGCTTTGGTCGACTGCAAGTCCTCCGCCATTATGTTTCGAAGTGTTTTTAACAATTTTGCAGTTATTGCATGTTATATTTGAGGCCCCTGAAACATAAATAGCTCCTCCATCAGAAGTTGCAGAATTATTCTTAAAAATCGTGCCTTCTAAACTTGCTCCCGATTCATCTTTAATTATTGCTGATCCTCCTTGTGAAGCTGAATTTTGATAAAAATTTGAATTTTGATCAACTCAGTTTCCTTTACTCCCCCCTCCGTAGGCAAACAAAAATTTTTGTTCGCTTAAGGAGTGGATTAATTTTTTTTTTAAAAATTTATATATAAATTTTAGAGTAAATTTGTTTTCGAAATTAAAAAAATCTCAATTCGCAAAAATTTTAAACAAATATTTATTAATCTGTAAAAATTATGTTTAAAATACAAGCTGTATAAAATTAAACAGAATTAGCTAGAGATTTCATTATACTAATTATCACTTATATATCAAAATTTTTTTTCATAAAAAATTTGTTCGCTCATGGAGGGTGTTTTTGGGCAAAAAATAGCGATTTTCCAATGCTTTATTCGCAATGGGGGGAGTTAGCAATAAAAACTGCATTACCAGTGTTATTAAAAAAATATAGATTCGAGGTAGCTATTTTAGTGATAGCAGAGTTTCCGTTAATATACAAAATATTACTACCCCTATTGGAGGTTATTGAGCAATCAGATAAATGTGTTTCAGCAGGGGCTGCATGATCTAAATTCAAAACTACGGCATAACCGGCAGAATTTGAATCAAAAACGCATGAGATTACTGAAAGAATCCCAGATAGGTGTCTAGCATAGATAGAAGTGACGTTGTTATTGTTAAAATTTGAATATAGAATTTGACTAGAAGGGTCCAGGATAACTGATTTATCAACGAAAATAATACTTTGACTTCCCCCATTATTTGAAAAAGTCATATTACTCATTCTTAACAAAATATATGATTGAGTTGATAATGATGAAATAGAGATATGCCCTAGCTTAGGATTATTATTTTTTATTGTGCAATTTTTCATTGAAATCCTTGATTTTATACTATCTCTACCTGAAAAAATCAATGTGCTATAAAATGAGTTTGATAATGATTCTATAGTTGTATTTTCCAATGTTATATTTTGGACTGAACTAGCTGAAATAGGCGTTTCTCCACCAATGAAATTACAGTTAATGAGTGTAAAATTACTTGTAGATGTAGAAGAGCTCAATGTTACGACTGAGCTCCGAACACCGTTATAAAAATAGTTATTTTTAAATGTCAAGTTCTTCAAAACCAGTGCTGAGGACATAGTTGCAGCCAAAGCAATGCTATTTCCACTTGACTTATTCTCAGAAAATACAGAATTTCGTAGAATAGTTTGATTTAAACAGTTTGTTAAAGCTAGTCCTGCATTATTTTGAGTACAGTAATTTTGAGAGATCGTGTTGCAGTGAAAAATAAAATTATTTATGCTTGTTGTTGAAATGACTGATTTGCAACTTGGTAAAGTCGACACTACTGATGAGTTTATATAGAGATAGCCTAAGCTTTTCATATAGTCAATAGTCACAGTGTTGGCGTCTTCGTTTAAATTGTCTCCGTTTCCATTTCAAGTTGAGTTTAAAATATAAAGATCGGGCAAGTTCGATAAAGAGATACCTGATCCTCCAAATGTATTTTTTGTGAAATTCAAGTTCTTAAGTGTTATGTTTCGAGCAGGAAAATTAGCTATTATTTTTTGACCTGAATCCAATGTAGTGACTCTTGAATCTCCACTAATGTACTCTTGAGATATCTTACCCTTGTATGAAATGTCAATGATTCCAGAATCTTCTGAAAAATTATTAAGAAAAGTGCAGTTATTTATCAAGATATTTTGAAGACCTCTATTAAACTGGATTATAAAAGTTGTTGTTGTAATAGCGCTGTTGTTTTGGAAAAGGGTATTTTCAATGCGAATATTAATTAAATTTTCATATATCAGTTTTTTCTCATCATCAATTTCAAGAGGCATGCTCAGTTTATATTGGTTGATAAAGAAAAAAGCATCATAATTAAAGTTGTATTGAAAAACTGAATTTAAAACCGTTAAATTCAAAATATCATTGAAAGTGAACATAGCTTTTGTTGAAGATTCTACATCAATGCTGTTCACTAAATTATATTCGATTTCGACATCTTCCATTTCAACATACTTTATTTGATTTAGGACCATAAAGCCAGCCAAATCAATCGCGCCATTAACTTCATAGCCATTATTAAGTAAAGATACTGAGCTATTAATAAAGTGGATTTCTCCACAATAGCTATTGCTGCAAGCATTAGATAAAATAACTCCGCTGCCAGGCTTGCTCATTATATTGTAAAAAGTAACAGAGTTCATATCCAAAATCCCACCTTTAATAGTAATAATTGATTTGTACTGCTGCCTGAAATTATTAATTTCCGCATTCTAACTCCCTCGTCGTGAGCAAAAAAAACTTGTTCGCTCACAGAGGTGGGTTAATTTTTTTCGAAATTTAAAATAATCCCACTTCTCAAAAATTGGAAAGCAAATATTAATTTAATTTGTAAAATTTATGTTTTAAAACGCAATTTTTTTTAAAATTAAGCCGAATTAGCTAGAGATTTTATTATAATAATTATCACTTATATATTTCCCTAAAAATGTTTGTTCGCTTACGGAGGGTGGGTTTTGTTCGCTGATAGAGGGGGAGAAGTAAGTAAAAATTACATGCAAATTTAAAATTCCATTCGAACTAATTTCAAAGAAATTTGTATTATGGAATTGATCGCAAATTGATTGAGGGACATAAGAACTTGAACTCAGAGTATTTCCATGGTCATCAGCAACTACACCATTACTGCTTGTTGCGATTTTACAATAGTCGCAGTCAGTGCAAAAAGGACTGAACTTTGTGCTTCCATCAAAAATAATATTTTCAAAAGTAACATTTGCTAGTATATCAATTGTCATTGGGCGAGTATCAACCAAAATAGTTATACTCTCCCCATCATTAACGCAATCTGGATGATTATATATTGAACAGTATAAAGGCTTAGCAGTAACTTCAGCTAATTTAGTAGATATTCTGTATAGCGGCCTTGAAGTTGTTGCTTCCCATAGGTACTCATCATCTATAACTAATGTTAAATTATGAGTGCCTTTCATTAAATAAATCACTGAATATTTTCATTTTAATTGTGCAAGCCCATAAGATAACGAATTATATGGAAAATTTATTGAGCCATCTCCTTGATCTGCATTATCAGCACTTACAAAGCTTTCATCTGGAACCTCTTCTGTAGATTCATCTGGAGCTGGCGCACAAATAACTCCATATCAGTCAAAAGCTCTTGTATAATAATATCTTGGACAGCTATCAACGCAATCAGTATAAAATTGCATATTATAGCATTGATAGCAAATTTCTCGATTTGAATAGTCACAGTACATACAATTTGGATCATCACAAGTACTTGATCAGCATAGAAAATAATCATAAAAGCAGTCTGCATAATCGCATGATAGTGAACAATTTTTTGCAAAATTATTATAATTTAAGCTGCAGCCATGATTTGCATAGCAAGAATTTGGAGTATTTACAGGATAGTTTCAATCTCGCATAGCAATTTGAGAGGAATATGATGATAAACGCATATCTCTATCTAAGCAATCCATATCAAAGCTGCAGTCTAAAACCATGCACTCAGGCTTGCATGATCCAAGATCAGAATTAAAGCAGCCAGGAGCACAAGATGGACAGTCATTTCCATCATATCCACAGCCTTCATTATAGCACTCATCATTACAAATCCCATCATTTATCATATAATCAAAACAGCCAGTTGCGCAATCTCCACATAGATAATTGTCAAAATTACATTTTTTTGTTGAGCAAACAAGGTCACAAGAGTTATTTTCTAATAAATCTGGATAGCATCCAGCAGCACACAAACAGTCACTATTATCGTAATAACAACTAGGTGTATTGCAGGCAGAATCACATATATAATTTGTCAATAAATATCCAGTGCATCCAGGGCTACAGGAGGAATTTCAGCAGTCCCCACCATCATATTGGCAATAATAGTTCATGCAGGCCCAATCGCATACTCCATTTCCCATCATTGAATTTTGACACCCTGGATTGCATTCCTATATAAAATTTACACAGGCATAATTGTTAAAATTGCATAAAGAATTGCTGCACTCTTGATGGCATGTTTTGTCTTCAAGAAATTCTAAAGTACAACCATCAGAACAATATCCACAATCTCCATGGTCATACCCACAATAAGCCAAATCACACGAAGGATCACAAACACCATTACTCTTTAGGCTGCAACCCAAACCATAAGTGCATCAATATTCACAGTCGCCTCCATCAAAATTGCAGCCTTGATTCATACAACTCTTCTGGCATAATCCATCTCCGATCTAATTTAGGAAATACTCAATATGATGGGCAATCTATAGAACATAAAGCAAAGGTACTTGGAATTAAGAAGATTTCGACAATTAGGAGAATTTTCAGCTCGATGCGATTAGTTACTCTCATATTTAGGAGATTTATTAAATTGTGAATTTTCAGAAAGCTTTATATGCATAACTAAGATTATAAATGCATAATCAATAAAACAATCATGTAGGTTAAAAGCTTTTCGATCGTTTTTTATTTAGGTTTGATAGACAAAATCCCATTTTTAATTTTGATAGTGAGAATCGATATTTAAAAAAATTATTGCTGCCTCATTGGCATATTTTAAAAATTAGTATATTTCTTTAAACTTTGGGAATTTTGAGAATTTTTATAACTAATCTTTTATTGACTTAAAAAATGAAAATATTCTTTTACTATGAATAGATCTTTAATATCAGTTAATGAGGTCAAATCTCTTCTTGTATGATCAGGGGACTAGAAAAATTGATTTATTATAATAAAATGGTATTTGTCAAATAGTAAAAAAATATTGCCTTACTCCCCCCCCTCTCCTCGTGAGTGACCAAAAAAATTTTGTTCACCCACAGAGGGGGGTTAATTTTTTTCTTCAAAATTTAAAAAAATCCTAATTCGCAAAAATTAGAAAGCAAATATTAATTTAATTTATAAAATTTATGTTTAAAGCAATTTGTTTAAAATTAAACAGAATTAGCTCTAGATTTCATTATACTCATTATCATTAGTATATCACAATTTTTTTCCATAAAAAATTTTTCTATTAAAAAAATTTTTGTTCACTCACAAGGGTGGGTTTTTGGGCAAAAAAAAGCGATTTTTCTAATGGTTTTGTTCACTCACGGAGGGGGGGGAGTTAATAGATTTTGCAAATCAATATCATAGTCCTATAACCATCACTTAATTCACTTAAATTTATATATTATGCGTTGCATAAATTTCTTATGGACGTTATACGCGCCATTTTCATTTGAAATTTCAAATTATGAATTTTGCCGCACTAAAATCTGCGTTTTGAAACGCATATTTGGTTTTCACATACCAAATTCAAATTGACATGCATATGCATGATAAGAAATTATTGCAATACATAATATTTGAATTCTTTCATAAAGGTAGATGTGTTAATTTTAAAGCTTATATATAAAACATAAAATATACTCTGCTTCATTTTTCTACTTCCTTTAAGGCAGGGTATAGAACTTTTTCATAAATGGAATTATTATTGTTCTTTTAATATTGAAATGGCAGCTCTTTCATAATTGTGCTAGCATTCGATACTATTTGATTTAATTTTAAATATTAACACTTCAGGACTTTGAGTGATTTTACTAGTGATAAGGGATGTATAGCTGGATGGTCAAGCATAGGTCGCAACCAGACACCCCCACCCCCTAAAAGTGGTACCCCCACTCCCCCTAAAAAATGGTACCCCCACCCCCCACCTCCCCTAAAAAATGGCACCCCCACCCCCCCCTTTCACAGATGGCACCCCCACCCCCCTTAATATAGCATAAATAAATGACAAATGCCAATTTAGAGTAGCAAATAAATTATTATTTTAAATATTCAAAATTACTGATTTATACAATATCCACATAGCGTAGCACAATCGATGAAGGAGTAGGTGGAATGAGATGAGAATTTCCTATAACTACTAACTCCCCCCATCCTTGATCGAACGACTCGCCATTGTTCGATCAAGGATGGGGGTTAAAAAAAAAATGTTTTGGGAAAAAAAAATTATATATAAAAATAAAAAATATATATATATATATTTTTTTTTTATTTACTTTTTAATAAGAGGGTTAAGAATATTTAATAATTATTTTTACATCAAAAAATTAAATTAATTTCATAAAAATACCATTTTTAATATTTTGATTTATTAGTTACCCTTTTAAACTGTATAAATTTTAATTTGTTCCTTATTGAATTAAATTTGTTTTTTAAAGAATCTCTATTTTTTAGATTATTGAGTTTTTAAGCCTAGGTTGATGGCTAAATCACTTCGGATGGTTGATGTGCAGCTTTCTGTCGTCTCAAAGCTCTGAAAACAACTTCATTAGATGCATCTTCCCAAGCTTTTGATAACTAATATATTTTTATACATATAAAAATTTGCATGATATGAAAATCGTTCGATCAAGGATGGGGGTTAATTTTCCCAATTTTTAGGAATTTTTACAGTCAATCGTTCGATCAAGGATGGGGGGGGAGTAAGCATACCACATATGAAAAAATTTATTAGCAAGCATAATAATGATCTTTGGTGCTAATTAGCAATATATCTTGCATATATTTATGATCTTTGTGGAACGATGGCTAAAAGTCGAATTAGAGATCCAAAAGTAAAACTGACAATAGCAAATACTATTTTATTACAACTATATTGAATCCTGTTACCAATTCAGTCCTGCAATCCTTGTACAATGGACATCAAATTAGCTTTAATTTATGAATCAATAAATTTAATGCAAGTTATTGTATTGTGCTAATTTAATAATTAATGCCATTATCTATATCTTTGGCATTATATTTATAAATATAAAAAAAAAAAAATTTAATATATTTTCTAATTAATTGCAACCAATTTAAATTTATTACTTAATCATAAATATAAAGTAATTTGTGGGCTTAATTTATCAATATAGTGTTTTAATTGGGTTATATTTAATTTATTCTGCTTGTTTCCTATCAATTACTTCTATAGAATAAACCCGAGAGGGGGGGTGGGGGTGCCATCTGTGAAAGGGGGGGGGGGTACCATTTTTAGGGGGGAGGTGGGGGTTCCCTTATTTGGGGGTGTCTGGTTGCTACCTATGCTTGACCAGCTGGATATCTGTTTTTATCTAGGCTTGGTAAAATTATGAATCAAGAAAATTTTTATTTTTAAGCTACTAAGCTCTATAAAATATCAATATTCTCCATGCAAAAAGCTTATTAGAAGTACCTGAAAACTTTACTAGAGCTCTCTAAGCTCTGCCTCTTTAAACATATTTTCTTATTATCTTATTTTTTTATAAAATCTTTAATTGTGATCATTTTCAAAGCCTTCATTATCTCTCAAGCTCGGAAGAGGGACCCTTTCAAATATCGATATCTCTTCAGCATTCTCATTCGAATTCGTTAAGCTCTTTACTGAATCTTCATCATACCTAACAACTTCAATGTCATTCTTTTCCTTATGCTGTTCTTCACTGAAAAATGTGCCTGAATCAGAAACTTTGCTTCTTGAATTATATCTTTTCAACTTCCTTGAGGATGGCTTAGGATCAATACATGGCTGAGTAGGAACCTTATGAGGAGAATCTAAATTATCTTTTGTATAAGCTGTCTCTGTAAAAGTTTTATCAAGCTCAGTTTCAGAAGTATCTGGGATTTTAGCAGGGACCAGCTGAAGAAGCCAGTTTTCTAATTTTGTTCCATGAAGGCATCTTCTTATAAATCCTAGTTTTGAATATAAAATTGCCAGGCCAACTCCAGTCATATTTGAAGCCCAATAGAAGAGGAAATAAAAATTGACAACAACAATGATAATAAATAGCACAATTTTTACAGCATAAACAATGTCGCCTGTTAGGTAAAACAACCCACAATAAATTGTAAGTCCTGAAACTAAAATAGCCCTTAAATCCAAAATATTTAATTGGTCTGTCAAGTATGGCTGTATTTTTGCTTGCACAAAGAAACAAGTCAGCAGCAAGAAAAAGACAGTCAATGCTTGTACTGAAGTTGAAGAATTTCCCATAAAAACGGCACAGCAAATAATAAGAATTTTTCTATAAATAATGGTGAATTCCCAATAATAAGTTTCTTTTTTGTACCCTAAATATAAAAACCCATATTGTAATTTTAATTCTAATGTCAAAAGTTTGTCTCTATTAAGGTATATATGAAGCAAGCACAAAGCAGGAACGGTGATACACCATACCATTATGCTTGGAAAAGCGACAAAAAGCGAGTAAGACCAATGCTCAGAGTCCCAGCACTTCAAATCCAAATCACTTCTCAAGTAATAATTCCCTGGCGAAACTTCATAGCAGTTATAGCACGAAAAATTGTATTTCACAAGTGTTGGGTGGATTAAAAACAGCTGAACCACCAATGAGCCTAAAAACTTATTCTTTATATATTTAGTATCAATAACACAGATATAGTATCCCAGCCAAAATATCAGTGTTATAACAAAGAGTCCTGCTGGTAGAAGAGCCATGAAAACCAATTTTGAATAAAATGGTTTTGTATTTTCCCCTTGTAAATAGCAGTCAATTGAAAAAATTTGGTCTGTGACCCCACCAGCTTGCTCTTGGACTGAAAAGAACTGTAAAACCAAAAATGGTCAGTCTAAGTTAAAAGATGCAGTAAGAACGACAATTTGTAAATAATTCATGAAGATCTTGATAAATACTGAAGTCATTGATTTGGGCTTAAATGCAGATTTAATAGAAGCTCGGACCATTAAAAACACGATTAAAATTGCTAAAATAAGCATTGCAGCCAAAATCAGAGCATTTATAGTAGGGTTCGGGCATTTTGAGCATGAGTCTTGGCCATTCCGAGAATAATCAGATTGGCAGGATTGGCATAAATTTCCATAATATCCTGTTTCACACTCTCCTAAAGAATTGTTCGTTGCGACTCCTCCTAAGCAAGCAGCTGAATTTGGGCACTCCAAAAAATCATCAGTTGTATTTGACCACCTCCAATATCCAGCCAGTGGATAAATATCACTTTTTCCATAGCATTTTGCTTCAGCAGGGCAATCCTTGCAAGAAGTCCCAGCTTCCAAATTATAAGTCCCACTAGTACAAACTTGGCAGGTTTTCGCTACTAAAGCTTCTCCAACAGTGCAATTTCTTAAGTCAAACACAATATTTCCGCTTGGTAAATTGCTATTAGAAACTATTGTAGAAGATACAGTAATCTCTACATTGCTTCCAGGATCACCAGTGACTATAACGTCGCTGAAGTTATAAAGTCCAGAAGCTGCCTGAACTTTGGTTTTCCCAGACAATGAGTAGCTGGTGCTGTTTACCACTTCTAATTGGCAATAGCTCGAGCTCTCTGTCAGCACAGTCTGATTGTAATGGTCCATTATTCCTATAATAATTGGAGAAGAAATAGTTTGGCCTGGAGCTGAGTCTACACTGACTTCTAGCCTTCTTCTAGAATCTATTACATCTAAGCTATAAGGAAAAGATGCCAAATTATTTCCATAATAAGCTGAGTTGTTTTTATATACTAAATCGCTTACTCCCCCCCCTCGAAGTTCGACCAAGATATAGGGAAAATTCCTATTTTTTTTTTGAAAAATTAACCCCCCTCAAAGTTCGACCAAGACCTATATAAATTTAATAGGAAAATAAGCAATTTTTCAAAAATTTTAAACTATGTGGGGGTGAGCTTGCGATTTTTGTATTCAAGTTCTAAAAAAGCGTTACAAACCATCTTGGACTATTTTTTCTAACCCTTACACCCTCTCAACTATACAGAAGAATATGATAAATATTTTTTTTTTTTTTTACTACTAAATTATATAAAAAAAAATTCTATATAATTTTTTTTAAAAAATTTTCTCTTAAACCCCTCGAAGTTCGACCAAAAAAATCTTGCTCGAACTTCGAGGGGGGGGGAGTTAGAACTGGTTGATAGTCGTACCATTGTATCCCACCTCCGCTTATGCAGGCTGAATTATTGGTAAACGTTGAGCTGCTAATCGTGATATTTATAGAGTCTTCTGATTTTAAATAAACAGCTCCTCCTTCTCCAGCTGTGCAAGCAGTGGCAGAATCACCTGCATAATTGTTTTCAAAAGTGCAGCCTGATATATCTAAATCAAATTTATTTGAGTAGATAGCACCGCCATACTCTGCTGTGCAGTTATTGAATACTGAGTCTGTTATTGTGACTTTATTATCTGCATCTGTATATGATTGATAATCAAAATAAAGAGCGCCACCGTCTGTAGATTTTAAATCCGTAAAAGTTGAGCTTGTAATATTTACTGAAACACAGTTAACGCAGTCTATTGCAGCCCCATATGTGTTGATACCATTTTTAAATGTGGAGTTGGAGACCACAATTGTTGGTGTTTTACTTGTTTCAACACAGGAGCCGACAAATCCATTAAAGATAGAGTTGTATAAATAGAGGCTACTTTCAAATAAGAAAAACACTCCTCCACTTGAAGTTGCAGCACTGTTTTCAACTGTGGAGTAGTTAAAAGTGCATACGCTGCCGGAAAAGCACTGGGTAGTTCCTCCACTCTGTGCGGATGTATTATTAAAGTATAGTTGAAGTGCTGTTTTGGCTCAGACTTTCCTATTATGCCTTAGCATAATTTGAATGATTCCCACACATCGAAATATTTTTACACATGCCAGACGCAAATCCACATGTGGAGTTTCGACATTCGAGGGAATCCACATATGGGCTTTTTGACTGACATGTGGAAAAATGCCCTAAAGTGTGGGAGGCAACTTTGAGATTTTTTAGATATAGAAAATTCCTGGGGATAGCGTATTCCGCGCTATCCCCAGGAATTTAGTATAGCTTCTCAAAAACAGATCTAAAAATAAAAACTGCGCTTGGAAAACTGATTAAGTAACCACCAAAGCGTTGTGAGAACTATCATGGGCTCAATCAAAAGCAAGGCTCAGGCTATAGCACCTTTCACAGTAAAAAAGACTGCCACTGATAGAAACGCTCCCACCCGTAGATTCTGAAACTGAATTTTCAAATGAAGTGTCATAAACCATCAAAATGCACATAATATCCGCATAAATATGAGCTCCATAATACCCAATATGGTTATAAAATTTTGAGTCATAGATATAAGCGTTTGAGTATATCATCAAAATCGAAGGGGTATTAGCGACTGAGGTGTTATTATATATAGAACAGTTTTTATACATTATCTGGACCATAAATCCAGTAATAGCTGCTCCAACTCCAGCATAATTAAAAGAAACTTCTGTATTCTGGATAATTGAAGTGACTTTAAAAGAGTTAAGAGATGCTATAGCTGAGCCTCGGCTTGTGCAGCTGTTTTTGGTTATAACTGAGTTGTTAAATGTGAATTTTGAAGCTTGTTCAGAGTATAATGCACCTGCTTCGTCAGATGAAAAATTATCACTAAATGTGCAGTTATCACAAACTAAGGTAGAAGATCCAGATAAATAAATAGCTCCTCCTTCTGACGCTGAATTACTTTTGAAGATTGTGTTGGTTAGAATAGCGTTGCTGGTAGATTCGATTAAAGCTGCCCCTCCTTGGTATCCAGAATTTTTGTAAAATGTTGAGCCAGAGTCTGTTCAGTTGCCTTGGTGGAGAGAAATGGTGTTGTTGGAGTTATTGTAAACATAGCTGTCAATTGTGTAGAATAAAGAGGTGCCAGAGTCAGAACTTATGTAGAAGATGCTGTCCCCTGTATTTGAGCTAATAGTGTTGCTATCAAAAATAACCATGGTTGGTGATACACAGCCAGAGTTTAAGATAGTTCCATATGGGGCAGAATTTGAGCTGAAGGTTGATGAAGAGACTGTAAAACTTCCTGACCTCATCTGAGCATTAATCAAAGTTATTGCATTACTAGAAAAGTTAGAAGAAGTAATCACACTGTCTGAGTCCATTGCAATCGAGTTGTCTATTGTAATAAGGTAGCTACCCAAAGAGTTGTTATAAAATAAACAGTTTGAGATGCTGAGCAGAACTGATGAATAAACAACTGCAGAATAAATCTTGATGTGCCCTGATGTAGGAGAGTTATTTTGGATAAATGAGTCTATTATCGTCAGACTCGAAGAATCGTCAGCCCTAAAGGCAACAGCGCTATAAAACTGGTCTTTTGCCCCAGACTCAAATGTACAGTTATCAATTGTTAAGCTTTTTAATGAATCCGCATACACTGGAGTTTGGCTGCTTATAAATTTGCATTTAGTTAGGGTGAATTCTGCATCTTTTGTGTTCAAAACAACGACGCCATTGCCAGATTGTCTGCTAAAATAATTTTGTGTAAAAGTTAAATTATATAGTCCGAGCCTCCTTTTGGCTCGAGCTATGCCGACGTCAGGAGATGTCGAAAGGGGAGTTGGTTTTACTAGCATTTGTAGTAAAATCAATCTCCAGATGATAAATCCACCGTATATTGAGATCTGCTATCTGGGGTGCTGGCTTTACCAACAAATATTGGTAAAAGCCAACTCCCTTCCGACATCTCCCAATATCGGTATAGTTCGAGCCAAAGGAGGCTCAGGCTATAAATAACTGGAGTAGTTGACATATCTGCAAATAAAGCTATGCTGTTCCCTTGAGATTTATTTTTTGTAAAAGTGGAGTTCTGGATATAAGTGCTTCCAATGCAGTCTTGTAAGTACAATCCTGCGTTTGTATCACTGCAAAAGTTGCCTTCGACGGTATTGAAGTCAAAAATGAAATTATTTGTGTCTGAAATTGATAAAATTGATGAGCAGGTATAGTCTAAGGAAGAGAGCTCAAGGCTGATATAAAGGTCGGATGAGTCTATTAGATAATCAATATTTACAGTATTTATATCGTCGTAGTCACTTTCTCCATTACTTATTCAATATGAGTATAAAAAGTTCACATTAGGAACATTGCTGATTTCAATAGCAGTCTCAGACAAAAAATTATTACTCCTTCTTAACTCAAAAAAATATTTTGCTTGACAACTGGGAGGTTAATTTTTTTAAAAGTTTATTGTTTTGGATTAATCAAAGCAAAATAGAATTTAACTTAAAAAAAAATGTTTTATTGTAAAATTAACTAGGGATTTCATTTTGATAATTATTATTTATATATTAAAGCATCGCTAAGGGATGAGTTGGTAAAATTAAGGTTATAAAAAGTGATCGTTCTCTTAGGGTAGTGAATCTTAATATTTTTACCATCTATTGTAGTTACCCTGCTTTCTCCAGACACAAATATCGAATAATAGCTTCCTTCATAATCTATATAAATGATTTCTGAGCCTATGTTATTGTAAAATGTGTTGTTATTGAAATAAATATTCTGAAGCTCCTTGTTAAATTTAATAATAAATCCTGCATAAGTTTGGGCACTGTTGTTATAAAATGTACAGTTTTCGACCCTTATGTTTTGCAGATTTTGATATATAAGAGAGTAGTCGCTGTCAAGGGTAGTAGGCATAACTAAGCTATTTTGATTGATATAAAACAAGCCGTCATAGTTATAATTGAACCGAAATTCCGAGTTCAGAATAGTTATATTTAAAACATTGTAGAAATATCCAAAAGTTTGGAAAAGAACTTGATTTGTCGTTCTTTGGACTATGTTTTTCTCAGCTATTATGTCTTGGATTTCAACATAATTTGTTTTAGTAGCTGATAGAAAAGGCGCCAAAGTAATTTGTTTGGTGATTTCGTAGCCATTATTCATTGCTGATACTGTCCCACCTAAGTAATGAATCTCTCCACAGTATCCAGACGAGCATGTAGAAGAAATGGCAGAGCCTTGAAAAGCGCTCATAAAATTATAAAAATTTACAGATTCCATATTCAGTATCCCTCCGTTAACTGATATAATTGAGCTATATTGCTGGCGGAAATTTTGGATTTTCACATTCTACATAAAATTTACCTTCAAATTCAAAATTCCAGCTGAAGTTATATTAAAAAATCCAAGGTTGCTAAAAGTATTGCAGATATCCTGAGGAGCGTAGTTGCCTGTAAGTAATGGTTTCCCTCTGTCATCTAATAACTGGCCATCATTATTTGTAGCAGATTTACAATAGTTGCAGTCGGCACAATGAGGTGCAAATGTGATACTTCCATCAAAAATGATATTTTCTATCGTCACATTTGTTGAAATGTCCAAAGATAAAGGAATAGCATCTACATACACAGTGATACTTTGTCCATCATCTACACAGTTAGATACTGAATAAATAGAGCAATAAAGAGGTTTTATTAAAAGCTGGATGGTATCTGTAGTGTCTCTATACAGTGGTTTTGAAGACTTCGCTTCTAATGAGGTTGAATCATCAAAAGTAGTAAGGTTATGGCTTCCTGACATTAAATAAACTGTCGCATATTTATATGTAACTGTTGACAATGCATATGATAAAGAAATATAACTCCCCCCTTCCGTGAGCGAACAAAACCATTAAAAAAATCCCTATTTTTTGGCCAAAAGCCAACCCTCCGTGAGCAAACAAAAATTTTTTTGTGAAAAAAGTTTTGATATATAAGTGATCAATAGTATTACGAAATCTATAGTTAATTCTGTTTAATTTTAAACAGATTGCGTTTTAAAACATAAATTTTATAAAATAAAATTAATATTTGCTTTCCAATTTTGTGAATTAGGATTTTTTTAAAATTTCGAAAAAAAAATTTCGATAAAATTTATCTCTAATTTTTAAAAAAAAACTGACCCCGTGAGCGAACAAAAATTTTTTGTTCACTCACGGGGGAGTAAGGACTATTTATACTCCCATCCCCTGACACCAAATTAGTAGCACTCACAAAAATTTCTTCAGGGCTTTCTTCAGTCGTTGTATCAGCTGACTCCACACAAATCTGAACATTTGTCTGAGGATGAGTATAAGATTCATAATGCTTTGGACAAGAAGTCAAGCAGCTACCAAATCATTGATAATTGTTGCATCTTACACATAAGTCCGGGTCTAAATTTGAACAAAGTTTGCAATTAGGATCGGTGCAATTCTCGCTGTAGCACTGGAAATAATTATAATAGCAATCTAAAAAGTTGCAGGTTTGTGTGCAGTTTGAAGGCTTTATCGGTTGCAAAAAATTAAGACTGTCTGTGTATTTTAAAGAACAATCATGATAAGGACATTGAGTCGGGTATGCTAATTGGTAGTTTCAATCTTCATTGACTATTTGTTGATAATAGGCAGAAAAAATAATAGAAGAATTATGGCAATTAGGGTCAAAGCCGCAACTGTATACCATGCAATCAGAATTGCATTTGCCTAGATCGGCTCCATGTCAAATGACTGTGGATTTTTGACAGTGTACATTTCATTGAAATCCATTTGGTCGAAAATTTTTCGGTGAAATGGACACTATCAAAAAGGCAATGTCATTTGGCCTGCATCCGCCTAGATCTGTAACTAAACAGTTGTTTGCACAGGTTAAACAGTCCGTTCCGTCGTAATTGCAATCTGCATTGTTGCAGACACTGTCGCAGGTACCATTGCTTATCGCGCTTTTAAAGCAGTCAAGCGCACAGTCTCCACAATCATGATTATCATAATCACAGTCTGCTACAGCACATTCTTTATCGCAAACTCCATTTGTGAGCATAGAAGGATAGCAGTCTGTATTACATAAACATTGATAATTATCATAATTACACGTTTCTGTGTTGCAGACCTCATCACATTCATTATTTTTCAATAAAGCCAAAGTGCAGTCAGTATTACACTGGAGTTTGTCACAATCTCCATTATCATAGCTGCAATCATAAGTCATGCATTCCCATTGACATGTCCCATCACCAATATAGCTCCCTTTGCACCCCTCATTGCAGTCCTAAATATCTCTTACGCATTTATAATTGTTGAAATTGCAATAGGCATTATTACACTCCTCGTGGCAGACGGAATCTTCAAGCATTGTTAACTCCTCCCTCCGTGCCGTGAGCGAGCAAAACTATTAGAAAAAGCGTACAAAATTTTTTAATAGAAAAATTTTATGGAAAAAAAAATTTTAATATATAAGTGATAATTATTATAATGAAATCTTGAGCTAATTCTGTTTAATTTTAAAACAAATTATGTTTTAAAAAAATATAATTTTTACAAATTAAATTAATATTTGCTTTCCAACTAGGATTTTTAAATTCCGAAAAAACAATTCTATAAATTTATATATAAAATTTTTTAAAATAAAAATTAGCTCCCCTTCGTGAGCGAACAAGATTTTTGTTCTCACGGAGGAGGGAGTAAGGTGCACCCATCAGAGCAATACCCACAATCTCCATGATCATAGCCACAATAAACATTGTCACAAGCAGGATCACATACATTATTACTAGGTAAAGTACAGTTGTAAGTAGTAGAGCAGGTGCTGGCACAATCTCCTCCGTCAAAATTGCAGCCTACAGACATACAGGCTTCATCACATCAGCCGTTGTTGATCTAGATAAGAAATACTCATGTAGAATTGCATTCAAAACTGCATAGTGAAAAAACTGGTATGGTAAAAAAGATTAAGAGTAATTGAATCAGATTCATGATTTCCTTTTAAAATCAATTTGTAATGGTTCTTTTGGGGAATTTTATTCAACGCAAACGTTATAAAATGATAAACTAAGATAAAAAGAGGAAATATACATAAAAGAAGCTAAACTGAGACAATATAGGCTTAAACTGTGAATTCTAATAAAACTAAAACTTTCATCTCTATATATTTTTGAGATCTGTGAGAATCTGAATGTTATTCTATAATATAAAAATGTAAAGCATATATATATGAAATTACATATGATTATTTAATTATGGAAGTAGATTGGGTCAAAGATAAGTTTATATTGTCATTTAAATTAGCATATTGTTTATGGTTAAGATTATAGGCCTGGAAATTTCTTATAATAAGAAGCTTCTCTTAAAATTGAGAGATTAAATTCTCTTGCCATTTAAGTAGGAAGGCTTAGTCCCCGATTTAATTGGAAAAAAAATTAGTAAAATTTCCTATTATTTGAACTATAGCCCTCTTTAAATTGGAAAAATATTTGTTTTTCAATAGAAAAATTTTATAGGTAAAAAATATAATTTTTTATAAAATAGATTTGACCAAATTGTGAAAAGGCAAATAGAGTATTAATTAAACAGTTCCACACTGAATCCATTTATCTTTTTCATTAATTCTTTATAAAAAATATATTAAAAGTTAACGTATTGCAATCATTTATTTTTTTTAAATTTATAAGAGAGAAAAAAATGGTATTATTTTTTTAAAAAAAAATTAAATCTCTTTAAAATTAAATAGGATTTTGCTCCAAATTAAATGGAATTTAGTATTAATTTGATAATATATTTGATATTGTTTAATGAATTTTAATAAAATAACAGAATTATTCACACAATTTATTAAAAGAAACTTATTTATTTATCTATTTAAAACTTTTAGTAGCTTTTAAATATATAGTCAAGCTATAAAAGCAATTTATTTATAGTTTGGCATGCATTATCCTAATAAAGCCATTCTTAAGACTTCAAAAATTCATAAAGGCTTAATGAAATAGATTTAATCTAAATTACGCTTGAGATGAAGGATTCTATACTTAAGTCTTTCGTTTTCATCTTTCAAATTGCGGATTTCTTCCAGGAGCTCTTTGTTTTCTTTGCTTTTCTCTGAAGTTTTCATATCTTTGAGGTCTTCATCTAATGCAGCTCTAATTTTATACAAATCTTGAAGAATTTCTGCCTGCACTTGTCTGACAATGTCGTTTGCCCCGTCTTTTAGGACAAACTCAAGCTTGCTGACTCTTTCTTCGAGCTTTGTTAAGCCTTCCATATTTTTATCACATGAAGTAATTGTAAAGCCTCTGGAAAGAAGAGCTTTAGAAATTCTATTTATCATTAACTATAAATTATAAAATTTATATGAAAATACATGTAGTTTATATTATATAAAAACTTATTTATTCATAGTATGTTCCACATATTTATTGATAAATAAGTATAAAAGACTTTATTTATAAACTTGAATTTTTTGAAATTCAATATATTGAAGTATAAATAAAGAATTTTATATAATTCCAATTGATTTATTAACAATTTTCCATTTAGCTTTCTTCCTTGATAAACTTTGAGATAAAATAAGCGATGCATTGATCTACAACTTTACTGTCATTGACTAGATCAATTTTTATATAATCCAGCCCTTTTTGTCCTGCAAACTCATAAGCTTCATACGGTTGAATTTCATTTTCTCTATTAGAAAATTGGTTCCCAACAATCAATTTATAGCAATTTCCAAGAAAATATTTTTCAGTAAATTTCAATAAATACTCAAGCCGATTAAAGCTATATGCATAATGATGCGCAAAAAAATAAATAACTCCATGGCATCTATTAGCGAATAATTTGGGTAGCTCAATATACTGAGTTTGTCCTGGAACATCATAAAGGAAAACTTCAACAACTAGCCCATTTGGCATTCTAATTACTTCTGAAGCAAGATCTAAGGTTGAGGAAGGGATATGTGTGGGTGGAGTTACTTGATCTGTGAATTTGCGTAAAAATGTGGTCTTTCCGGTTGCTGGGTATCCGACTAAAGCAATTTTTAAGGATAATGATACTGCGCCTGGGGTATGGCCAAATAATTTTGTGAAATCTGATAGTTCTAAGACTTGATTATCGAAGCTATAATCCATTATAACTCATTTTAAGTAAAATATTTGGTGTTATCTTATTTTAATTAAAAGTTCTTCTCTCACTTTTGTCAGAATTCCATTCGATTCTATGTAAAATTCATTTCCAATGTCGCCTTCTTCATCCATATATATAGGGATTGAAGGACTGCCTTGGGTTCCACCATCCCCTGCAGTCTTTTCTACAATAGCTGGCTCTTCTATTATTTTCAATATTTTTGGCTTTTTAACTGCTTGAGTTTTTGCATTTTTCTGTTGCTGCTGCTGTTTTTGCTTTTCTTTTTTCTTTTTGGCATTCCTTCCTCCCATACTTTTACAACTATCTATCTAACTCTGTATCATTGAATTTTAAATAAAATAATATTAAAGAATTTAAAATTATATAATATGCGTAGCCAATGCTAAAAAAAATAAAATTTATTATTTGTATAAGCAGGGGTAGACAATTCAGATATTTTATTATCAAAATTTAATATAAAATAAATACCTTAGTCCCCCTAGACTTATAATATTTATGATTCAGGAATTCAAAGATCTCCTGGAGCACTTAGACCCCACACAAGAAAAAATTCACACTGCTTCTCGTTGGTGTCAAGAGTTTCTTACCTCAAACCCTTCTAAAACTCAAAGCATAGTCGACGCATGATCAAAATCCTTAGAAACAAGCTCTCAAAAAATTGCCTTTTTATTTCTCGCAAATGATATAATCCAGCAATCCCACAACGAAACCTTAAAATCTATGTTCAACTTCGCATTACCACGAGCCTTCACCATTTCCGCTACAAATCCTACACAGATCCAAGACATACGAAAAGTCCTAAAAGTCTGAGACGACCGTCAAGTCTTCCCAAAGCCCACTATCGAAGAATGAGAAAAAATTTGCCAAAGAGCAGAAAGCCAGCTCCCTATATCAGACCGATCAAATTTAATTTACATTATAAATTTAGCTAAAAAACTAAATAATTTGAAAGATTTAGAAGAAAAAATGAGAAATATGAATGGGGAAGCTGTAAAAATGTCAGACGAAGAATGCAAGCTGAGGGAAGACGTGATTAAAGAAATCGTAGGAGTCATGAAAAAAATCCATCATGGGAATCTCAATGTGTCGATATTAATTGGGAGAATTAATGAAAAGTTAAAAAAATTAGATAATTAAATTTTAATAAAATGAATGATGAAATTTTTGGTAGCCAAGAGTTCAATAAATCTTTAGATTCAAATATAAGTGACCAAAAGACTCAAGAGAGGTCTCCACGCCGGTCTATTGTAAAAATAAATGTGGCTGCAAAAGAAAAACTACTTATTAAACAAGATGTGAATCCTAATCCGTTTGCAATTATAAAAGCTACTGAAATGGTAAGGAAAAATAACCGAGCAATTACAATTATGAGTGCGACAAAAGAAAAACTCATGAAAAAGATCAGCTTGAATTTTAATGCTGAAGAAAATGATAGCACAAATCAGCAATTAAAAGTAAGGTCTATCAGTTTGATTCCGATTAGAACGATAACTCAAGAGTCCGAATATGGAGACGACACTCCATCACCATCGAAAAATGAGAAAAACTGAGCAAAAAGTCAAAATCCAATGATAATCAGGTCAAGTGATTTTTATGGAAAATTAAATCGCTACTATACAAACACAGAATCGAGTCCAGTTTCAATAGAAAATACTCCTATAACTGTGGTTTCTACTATGACTTGGCAAAATACCCAAGAAAAATTCAAATCCGGCAACGACCCCAAAATTTCTTATTCCCATCCAAAAGACATAAAGCCGCACCGTCATCATTCAAACGTCTTTATTAACGTCAAAGCTAAATCTATTAGTCCTACTAATAAACAAAAAGGACAATCAGTTCGTAATTTATTGATTTCAATCAGAAATCGCTCTCCAAGTTCAAGTACCTTGGGGAGAAGTCAGACTAATTAATTAATTTTTATTTATATATTCTTACTTTGTTTTGCAAAAGTCGATCTTGCTGACAATATAAGGTCATTTGGACCTCCCATTGCTTTTTTTAACGTCTTATTATAAATCATATCAAATTGGCTCATATTTGAATTATTTTGGGTGAAGTTTTTATATCAGTAATGAACAATCCCTATATAAAAGAAAAAAATAACTTCAAATGTTTTGTTGTTTGATTTTATGAATTTATTGAGTTTGTTTGCCTTTAGCACTTTTATAGCGATTTCTCCTAGCTTTAAAAGGCAAGGCGCAAAAGGAAACCCTTTTTCTTTATCTTTTGAAGCCTCAAGCATTTCTTTGGTTGATTTCGTAAAAAAATTGGTCAAAAATAGCATAAATATCAAAAATTGTGGGATGCCTCTGAGTTTGGTTTCTTTATCAAAGTTAGAAATTCCGATTTTTTTGAAGGAATGAGGCCAGGAGGTTTCATTTGTGATGCTGCAATAAACACTTAATAGTAAACTTTTATGGAATGCTTGGGACATTCTAAAAATCGTCTCAGAAAAACTGATGATTTTGTCACAGTCTTCTGCTTGCTCTTTTGTAAGCTTAACATTGCTTTTCCCACAACACCCACATAATCTAGCAAAAAAGCTTGGCTTTATCATTACTCTTGAGGAGCTTTTAGAGATTAGGATTATTTAAAGTTAGGCGTTAGCCATATTGGTGACGCAGTCACCAAAGACCTCCCGTACGGAGTTCACCCGCTTTCGACTCCATCCCAGAGGGTCTATCCCTCTTACTAGTGTCCTTCCGGTACCTTCTGTCTCCTCCTCGATGCTCAGCCTTGAGTGGGCGGATAATGGATTCTGCGTCCTGCTACGGGCGATTGGACTAGATTCCAAGGACCAACTCCTTGGAGTCTATCGGGCGTCAAAGTGCCTTTCTTCGACAGCTATAGGGAAAAAAACTTATGTGGCCTGGGCAGAAGTTCATATTTTCTCGGTAGAGGAATGCCTATGGGTCCTCGGATCCAAAGGACTTTGCTGAGCGCCTCCATTTCCAATCACAAGAAAGCAGCCAAAACCTACCCAGATACACACATCTTGAGCTTGCATTTGATTTTCAGCTCCAATTCGCTGTGGCCATAAAGTCTAGACCAAAAGGGCAACTTGACGTGTGTCGCCATTTTAATGTATGCGGGGCTTTTAGGGAGTTTTAGATTTTTGAATATGGATAGAGCATCGTCAAATGTGTAGCATTTTATTTCTTCAGTATCAGCATTAACACTTTCTTCTTCACGATTTTTTGGTATACTTAATCCAATTTCTTTATGAAATCTTTCCACTGGTGGCTCTAGTTGTGGATCTATAGGCTTGACTTCTTGGTTTTGCAAATCACTGGGGTTATTTTTTAATTTTCTAGCAACTTGGACTGCTGAAGGAAGCTCAGGAATTTTTTTGTCAATTGTTTCAGGCTCAGGTTCATTTTTAATAGAAACTTCATATATAATATGGTCCGACCTCTTGATGCAATTTTTAATGTATTTGGGCAGAAGTTTTTCTGTGATGCCTGGGATATTGGATTTTCCTCCTGACATGGAGTTAGTCGGTCACTGTTCCGAGTAGGTATAATCTCTACTCGAATTAGGGACTCTAAAAATAGCATGTTCTCAGCATAAAACTGAGAGTCAATCCTCAGGCTCCAAGTCCTTAGCGAACTGATTCCCTGGGAGCAAGTAGGGTACGACGTAGCCTAAGGCAAGAATCGGTTCAGCCCATAGCGATCACCAAGCTGTGAGCTTGCAGAGGTGAAAATCTCTGCCGATTTAAAACAAGGCATCATAATTTAATTTATAGAAACTTCAATCTTTGGGCTTTCTTTTTTCTTTTCTGCATTTAACTTAAATAGAGGAGAATTGCTTTTGATTTCTAAATTTAGTTGAGATTTTTCGGGTTTCTTTACAAGAACTTTTATTTCTTTTTGTGAATCTTCATCAGAAGATGAAGAAGATGAGGAAATAGAACTGTCTAAATTTTTGTACTTTTGTGATAAAGTTGCTTTCTGGTTTTTGTTTGGGTTTGTGGAAGACTTAGGTTTGTCTTGGTTTGAAATTTCTGAATCTTTTGGGAAATCAAACTTAAAATCTTGTTTTTTACCTCTAACAGAAGGTCTACTGTCAATAGATGAGACTGAATCTCTCTCTTTCGGGGATTTTTTTTTTGGAATTTTTGGCTGGATATTCAGATTTTTTACTATTTCTGACGACTTTAAAGGCTCAGTTGTACCTACATTAGCTTTTTCCTCTTCTTGTTGTTCTTTTGCTTTAGCTGCAAAGAGCTTAACATTATCTTTTTTCTTTTGAGCAGTCTCATGATCTTTTACTCCAGAAATTTCTTCCAGAATTTTGATCTCTTCAACCCTTATTTCTCTATTTTTCTTTTTATCCTCTGTTTCAGCATTTTTGACATTTCACAATTTTTCTTCTCCTTTTCCCTTGCTTTTTCCCTCTTCAATATTTACTAGCTCACTTTCCTGCTTTATATTTTTATTTGCCTTAAATTCAATTGAATAATTTTGATTGCTCTTATTTTTTGCAAAAATTGGATCATCATTTGGGGAGTCTAATTTTCTTGCAGGAATTGGCTGAGCTGGTAGCATACTTAATTTAAGGACATAAGACTGTTTTTGAAGATTATCGATGTCTTTATCAGATTCGCTCATTCCAACTGCATCAAGATTCACTTGAGGAATTTTTTGTTGCTGTGCATCATGCTCTTTGCTGGGGTTTTTATTATTTTTGATTATAAGGCTGGACGGGCTTGATGAAGAACTGCTTAATTTTTGAGAATTTTTTCGATTTTGAAGACTTGGCTTGGGGATTTGCTCATTTTTTATACTTTGGTTAGCATTAGCAAAATAGCTAGGGTCAAGCGGTTCTACATCACTAGAATCATTATTTGAAGAGCCAGAGCTAGATGATGATTCCATTTAATATCTTAAAGGATAAATTAGAAATAATACGTTTCATTAAACTGGACCAAAGAAAATCATAAAATATATATAATTAATATTTATGAAAATTTTTATAATACTTGCGAATAAACGACCACATCACTACTTATCAATTGGAGAATATTTTTATAAAATTTTTTATTTGAAATCGTTAAAGCTTGAATTCTCAAATATTCTTGGCTTCAAGGTCTTAGATATTTATTTATAGTGTTTAAGCCGGAATAAATTCAAATTTTTAATTGAATTATCTTTTAAAAAGCAGCAAAAGCCAACGCAAATGCTGCTAAAAGCTTGATATGGCTAGCATCTGAACTATCATCATCGCCAGCATTGTAGCTCTTTTTTGCCTCAGCATATGGTTCCAGCATGGTGTCTAACACACAACTTAGGCTTGACTGCATTAAAGGATAATCTTCAATCAAATAATTATAGTAAACGTACTTGTTATAATTATCTGAGTCCCAGTGAGTCTTCATACAAAGGAAATGGAATCTTGCAGCTGTGTTGCACGAGAAAATGCCTTTGCTTTGAAACCATTTATTAGATTGCTTGATAAACGCTTGATATTGAGGGTCACCAGGGAATAATGCACAATAAGAATCTCCTTCAGGGTTATAACCACATTCACAATCACCTGGGACTTGAATTCCTGAAAATTCATCTTTACTAGAGGCGCATCCAGAACTTCCTGTGGCTGTGCATTTAACTGGCAGCTGCTGGTTTGATTTTACAGGATCTAACTCTCATATATTAATGAGTAAGACATATTGAGAAGGTTTTTTTTTTGAAAGCCATTAAATTTGAAAATATTTTAAAACGAATAATTTTGTATATAGGAGGTAATTTTATATAGTTTTTTTTTTTTTCTACAAATTTAGACAGCTTTGTTTAAAAATATAATTTTATAAATTAATCCAGCAATTTGCTCCGAGTTTTATAAAAATCTCCCTGATGAGAAGTAAGCATCGAAAATGTGCATTATTAGTCACCTCACAGCTCCACGAAGAGCATAAGTTGCTAGTCCCTGATACACCATTACTTAAGCTGCAATCGCTCACAAAATCATGAGGCTCAAAAGAGCCTAGCTCAAAGCAAGTCCCAACGTTATGTGTTATATTGCAAGCTGCGTTATTCACACAATCTGTTAGTAAAGTGCAGCCTGTTTCTCCAATTTTTAACTGAGGAGTGCATGTATTTGTGGTGGTATTACATGTAAGGCCTGGATTGCATTGCCAAGTATATACACATGCAGCATTTTCTGGAGCCCCTTGGCATATAGAATTAACGCATCCTTGATAGTCTTCGACAGCACAGTCTGCTGAGGTCTGACATCCTTCACCTGGGAAGCCGCTTGAGTAAATACTAGGTCGAGCTTTACATGTCGAGTTATTTTCAGGACCAGACTGACAAGATAAAGAACTTTCTGTGCAAGGCTGGGCGTAATAAGTTGACGCAGGCATATCAAGGTAAATGCAAGTGTCTTCACTAAAAGAAATTGATGGTGTCTTACAAACGTATTTAGGACATGCTGCAGCTTGATCAGCTAAGCTTACAACATCGTTTTCAACTAAATTATGATAAAAAGAAAGGTCTTTAGCAAGTATAAAGCTAAAAGATCCTAATAGGAGAATATTTATCATAATATTTATTCACTATATGATGAAATCTAAATATACAGCCGCTAATTCTATTTTTAAAATTCATTGTGTTTTTATGGATAATCTTAGATTCTATATCATAAATAAGCTTTAATCTTTAAAAATATTTTTTAAATTTGATTTACTTCAGCTTTTAGATATCTATTATACATAGCCAAGTGCGTATAAATAAATTCTGATTTCTAATTGATAATAAAAACTTTAATAATACTTCTTATCAATAAGAAGAATATAAAAGTATAAACAGCTTTCTAATTGAGCATTTATAATATAGCTATCCTTCATTTAAAGCGTATGTGATCTGAATAAAATTCAAGTAATTAAAAATTCTGTCCATCTTAGCATTATTACTTTATTTTGGGTCTTTTGCCATTTATGTTTTTTTAATATCGTTTACCACCAGAACAGCTCAGTAGAGAGACTTATGAAATGATTTGACTAAGCTCAATGTTTTATGACTGGGAAGCACAAAATACATTATTAGATTGATGAATCCAATATATTTTTTTGGTTTTCAACTGCGACCTTACTCAAAAAAAAATAACCGTAATTTTGAGAAAAAATTATTCAGTTAAAAATACCTGCTTGAAGACTGCCTGCTTCTAATTATCCATAACTAATGAAGCTCTAATAGGATTTATATTAAATTATGGCTAATATGGAGCTCAAAGTTCCTCTGCTTACTCCCTCCTCCGTGAGATAAAAAAAATAATCCTGTTCAAAGGTTCTGATTAGTTAAAAATTTCATTACTATTATAAATTTTACGCAAAAAATATGGGTTTTCCCAAAGAGTTAGCAGTCTCGCAAATTCTTCGACTAGTCAAGACATCGAGCTAAAACTCAAAGCAAATCCTAATATCGGCGATCTCTTCACCTCTTTCCCTGCCAATGATTCCAGAAGTGACATCCAAAGCATCCTTAAAAACCTAATGCGAATGAAGCCAGATGAAATTCCTATTCCATTCAAAGGGAACTGTCTGCAACTTACCAAAGACAAATCTTCTTTTGTCTTCTGCAGTGTCGAAGGAAGGCTTGGGATCTGCAATCGCTTAACCAAAGAAGTCACCAATGATGTGAAACTGTCTGACAATGGCCTCTACGCACTGGCCCTTTTCAACAATGATCAGTATGTTTTTGTCGGGGGAAAAGACGCAATAATTTTTAAATACAGGCTAAGCGATTTTAAGTTAGTTAAAAAGTACCAAGGACATGAAGGAAAAATCAGTGAAATCTTTTTCTCAGGTGATGAAAAAACCATGTACACTTGTAGTGATGACAAAAGTGTCAGAATTTGGGACCTAAGTGATGGCAGCTCAGAAATTATTTATAAGCACAATGATAGGTCACTGTGTATGAGTGTCTCTGAAGATGAAGAGTGGCTTGCTACTGGAGGCGCTGACAGAACAGTGTTTGTGTATGACTTAAAAAATAAAAATGTCTTACAAACTTTAGATGGACCGACAAATAGTATATGGGGCATCAAATTTTCGAAGTCAAAATCAATGCTAGCTGCTGGAGATAATGATGCAGGCTGCTTTATATGGGATTGCAAAAATTGGAGCTTATTGCGACAGTTAGTAGGACATGAAGCAAGAGTGTCTTGTATTGAATTTTTAGATAATGAAAAAGTTGTAATCAAATAAAATGTTGGTTATTAAGTTTAGCGTCCTTTAATAGGTTGTCAGCTTCCACGACTATCTCCAAAACCGCTCTGGGGTATTCGCGCCATCTTCCTCTGGCCCGCTAAAGTGTGACCACCTTGAGCTTATTTCAAGATGAGGATGCCAGTCTTGAGTTTGGGCTCTACTTGGATCCTTCAGGCACACTAAAGGTCCCAGTCTCTACCGCTAGAATAGGATGTACCCTACTGTAAAGCTCGATTACCTAAGGTTCCGTTATTCCACCTGATTCTTTCTAGCCTTATTTAGCTAGGATAATTTTACAAGAGGAAACTAAAACTCATAATTAAAATATGCAAACGATGAGTTTTCTGCAGAGAGGCTAGAAATTAGAGCATCGTCATATTTTAATTATGAAAAAGTAGTAATCACGGCCAGCAATGATAAAACTGTAAGAATTTGGTCATTAGATCACGATAGAAAAGAGATTGTATACACAGGACACAAAAATTGGATCAAATCAATGATGCTTATTCCTCCTGACGAGCACACATTAAAGCATCTGTTTTTATAAAAAATAATTTCTAAAAAGCAAAAAATATATTTATATATATTTGATAATTGCTTTTTATATTTGATAATTTTTTTTATATTTGATAATTATTTTTTATATATTTGAAACAATATATATTTAAAGCATCATATTATAAAATTATTAGAAATTGCCTTTGAATATCAGATAATTGATCATTAATAAAAGCTCGAATAAAAATTTAAATCCTTTGCTTACTAACTCCCCCCCCCCCCTCCGTGAGCGAACAAAAAAATTTTTGTTCGCTCACGGAGGGGGGTTATTTTTTTTTTTAAAAACAATTTATATATAAATTTTATAAAAAATATTTTTTTCGAAATTTAAAAAAATCCTAATTTGCAAAAATTGGGAAGCAAATATTAATTTAATTTGCAAAATTTATGTTTTAAAACGCAATTTGTTTAAAATTAAACAGAATTAGCTCTAGATTTCATTATACTAATTATCACTTATATATCAAAATTTTTTTTCATTAAAATTTTTTCTATTAAAAAAATTTTTGTTCACTCACGGAGGGTGGTTTTTGGTCAAAAAATGGCGATTTTTCTAATGGTTTTGTTCGCTCACGGAGGGGGGGGGGGGGAGTAAGGGGAAATAGCGATGATCAACGATCAATTTACACAACTTCAGAAGACTGCAGAATCCTCGTATGAAAAGTCCCAGTAAATCTTGATAACGAATGAAAATTAACAGGCCACACAGAAAACGTTTACAATTGCTTATACTCTCAAAAAAGAGACCTAATTTTCACCAATGCAAATGATAAAAAAGCAATTATCTGGGACCCAATTAAAAAAGTCAAAGTTAAAGAGCTTCTACATGAGGCTGGAATTTATGCAATGACACTGACACAAGACGAAAATTACTTGATTACTTGCACGTCACAAAAACAGATGATTATGTGGAATATTGACACTTATGAGCCTTTCAGTATAAATGAGCTTTCAAATGTGACTGTTAAAGCAGTTTGCTGTACTCCTGACGGGAAGTATTATGTTACTGGAGATACAGAAAACAGAATTACAGTGACTGAGTATAGAGATCCATCAAGCAACCAAGAAAGACCAGTGAAATACGTATTTAGGAAGCATAAAAACACTGTGTGGTCTCTTGCCACAACTCATGACTCTAGCACACTTATAACTGGTGGCGAAGATGGGTCTATAGTTTTATATGACCTTAATATCGGCTCTGAGAAAGGCCAGCTTTTGGGACACACAAAAAAAATAAAATGCCTTGCAGTGTCAAGAAACGATGAAATCCTCATATCTGGCTCTTGGGACAGCACTTTTAAGATATGGAGTATAAACAAACTATTTTTATACAAAACAGTTACTTTTCATACAGGAGCAATCAATGGGGTTTATTTTTCAAAAGATGAAGAATACTTCATTGTCGCCTCGACTGACCAAAAAGTGTCATTTTGGAATTACCGTGATTTTTCATATATCACAAATTTGACTTTTGATGACCTTTGCTTACTCTATCCCCTTTTAAATTGGACAAAATTCTTTTTAATTTTGAATTTTAATTTATACTTATGAATTAATTATTTAAATTAATCTGGTCAGTGTCAAACTGTTTAAATAGCATAATACTAGCACTTCCTTTATTAAATTAGTTTAGGCCAATGGAATTTAATAGAAATATTATTTAGCCTTAAAATTTTTCATTGAAAAATAAATTTGTTCCAATTTTAAGGGGATTTTAATTTACTAAAAAATAATTTTATCGATATTTTGTTACTAACTCCCCCCCCCCCTCCGTGAGCGAACAAAACCATTAGAAAAATCGCCATTTTTTGACCAAAAACCCACCCTCCGTGAGTGAACAAAAATTTTTTTAATAGAAAAAATTTTAATGGAAAAAAAATTTTGATATATAAGTGATAATTAGTATAATGAAATCTAGAGCTAATTCTGTTTAATTTTAAACAAATTGCGTTTTAAAAACATAAATTTTGCAAATTAAATTAATATTTGCTTCCCAATTTTTGCAAATTAGGATTTTTTTTAAATTTCGAAAAAAATATTTTTTATAAAATTTATATATATAATTTTTTTTTAAAAAAAAAAAAATTAACCCCCCTCCGTGAGCGAACAAAATTTTTTTGTTCGCTCACGGAGGGGGGGGGGGGGAGTAAGCAAGTTAGCTGTAAATTGTTCTCCAGATGATAAAACCTTGTATGTGGTCGAAAAATCAAATATATTTATACAAGAAAACCCAATGAGTACAGAAAAATTTGGATTTTATGGTCCAGAAAGGTCATCTCAAGGGATCATTGACTATATAGCGAAGCTAATTAATGCTGAAGAAGTTGAGCACGACCCAGAGATGGACAAGTGGCTTATAGCTCCAATGAGGATGAATGCAGTCCATCTTTATGCTTATTTTAATCTTCAACTCCATCTAAAGCAAGCATTTCATTTAGGGTCTCCAATTTACAACTCAATCATGAAGCGAAATCCTTTGTCCTTATGTATTGAAAGAGATTTCACTGATTGTGCTAATATAATCCTCGGCTCTCTAGAGAAAAAAGTCAATGAGTCTCCTTATTCTCTATATTTAGTTGAAGATTTGCTTGTAAAACTTAACGAAAAAGGCTATGCAAACCTTAGTGAGTTTTATAACTATTTAATAATTCCATCAAAAGACATTACCCTTCCAAAATTCATCGATCCTTTGGCAAGCTTGCCAGTTGTCTTGGAATCTAACACAAATGAAATTATTTCTGATAAGTTCGCCCCTAAAGAAATGTACAAGAATGAAGGAAAATCAATCCAGTTTTGGAGCAGCTATGTTAAGATTGACACCCAGATTGGTTCTGAAGCGAGTGTTAACTTTTTGGAAAGCCTTATTGATTGCCCAAATCCTGATATTTTTAGGACAAGGTTTATCAAAGTGATTTTAAACAAAAAATGGGAAACTGTTAGATGGATCATGAGGCTTCAAGGCTTGATATATGGGACTTATTTATTGCTATTGTCTATATACACAACGAACTTTTTAGGCTCAGTGGCATTTTTAGCTCCTATTTTTGCGATAAATCTGTTTTTGCTTTCATATGAAGTTTTCCAGATGGGCGTTGCAGGGCTTGATTATTGGTCTGATCCATGGAATTATTTGGATTTGACTAGAAGCTTTACATGTGTTGTGTATGCAGTGCTTTTATTCATAGAAGTCGGACTTGAGGCAAATGAGAAGCTGTTCGTTTTCTTGACTTTGCTTTCTTGGATTAGAGGGATTTCTTATTTCCGCTTATTCCAAAAAACACGTTATCTTATCGATTTAATTTCTGAAGTATTTTCGGATATGACGTCGTTTCTAGCCTTACTTTTCTATTCAACTCTTGCATTTTCACTCATTTTTGTTGCAATTACAAAAGGAGAAGGCGACAGTTTTGCTAGCTACCTAACTATTTCTTATAGACTTGACTTACCCTTTTTCTTGAGGACATAGTGTCTTTCTTTCATCAAATTTTTTTTTAAGATTTTATATATATAAAATATTTTTATTTTCAATAAGTTTGCATTTAAAAAAAATTTAGCAGAATTTTTTTTTATTCAAAAACAGTCAAAATATATTTAAAAAACCTCTAACTCGTTCACACACAAGGCTATTATATTAAGAAATTATATATTGATCAAAGGATTTAGGAGATTTTGATACTGCAGGATACTCCACGATTGATTGGATAATATTTTTCCTAGCTTCAGTCATAAATCCATTGATTATGCTGAACTTATTGATTTCAATCATGGGTGATACCTATGATAGAGTTCAAGATGGCAGAGAAATATCTGACCTAAAAGAACTTGCTGAAATGGTCCTGGAAGCTGAAACTTTGCTTTACTGGAAAAGAGGACTAGGGCAAGCACTTTATATCCAAGTATTAGGTGAGCAAGAACAAACTATGGAGGTTGATACTTGGCTCGGGAAAGTCAGAGAACTAAAGCTTAAACTTGTGACTATTCATAAGTCAATCAATAATATAAGCATCACCCATACAAATGACTTTAAGAGGCTTGAAAACAAAGTTGATGTTCTGAGATCTGCTGACAAAGAAGAAGTTCTAGGGAAAATTGAAGAAATGAATAAAAGTTTCACAGCTTTTAAAGAAGAAAACCAAAAGCAGATGAATGAGATTAAAGAGCTTCTCTCTAAATCAGAATAATTTAATCTTATTAAGGATTAAACTACCTTATTAAAATTTCTCAAAAATAAATTTTGATGGCAGTTATGCTAATTTGAAGTTAACTTGATTGCAGAAAAGATAGATAATTTAGAAAAAAAAATTAATTAGAAAAATAAGGTTGGGGTCAGACAGATTGCTTAACATATAGTCGGAGTCGGCTCTTATCGGACTATAGGAGCTATCTACTGGAGCTGATCTTTGGACCGGAAATCTAAAATGGTGACATTTTGGAGGCAAGTAGGGCGACAGCTACTGGGTTTATCCGCTTATAGCTAGCATATGGATTTAATTTTTATTTAATTTATAAAATAAGATAATTTTTATAAAAAATATTTCAAGTATAATTTCTTGGAAAATTCTTATCATGAGCTGAGAATTAAGCTCAGTGACAGATTTCAATAATGATAAATCAGCTTTAATATCATTTTTGAATTAAATTGAGCATAAAAATTTTACTAATTGGCCAAACATTTGTGATTTAATATCTATTGAAAAGAAAATATCTATTAAATGATGATATTTCAAGAATTACTCTCAATTAATTTATTAAATAAATTTTCCATTTTTAATAATCTATTTATATGTTTAGAAATTGCATCAAGAGGTTCCTATCTAAATCTGAGCAGCTTCAGATTCTAAAGGCCACAAAAGAACAGTAACTTTCACTTAGACAATACAAGGCAGCTCTTGCGTCTTTATCTCCATTTCAGCTCAATAAAGTCAATCTTCTTACAGAAGTGATCAATGAAATGTCTGAAGAAGAGCAGCAAATCCTCTACCAGCTTTTCCGTGACAAATACCAAGAAACAGTAGGTGTAGACCCTGCTCTCTATAACGATTTTACTCCAAAAATCCAAAAAGCCAAAGATTGGCCAGAGCTTACCCCAGACAATTTCGAAATCCTGAAAAATATCAAAGTAAACATATACCATTTTCCACCCAATCTATTTTTTACCTTAAAAATGTCATAAATTCACCCTAATTAAGTATAAATTTCCAAGGCGGATTTTTAGAAAAAGTCATTTCAGGAGAATTCCAAATGAGCGCTGCAGCTAGTGAAGCCCCAAAAGAGCAGAAAGAAGAAAAGCCTGTGGAAAAGGAAAAAACCAATTTTGATGTCATTGTAAGAGGTTTTAGCCCAGATGGAAAGCTTAAGCTTATAAGAGAAGTCAAAAATATCCTAAATATTGGCCTTAAAGACGCTAAAGACAAAGTCGAAGCTATCGTAAATGAGCCTCTGCTGATAGGAAAGCAGCTCCCAACTGAGCAAGCTAATGAGCTGGTGCAAAAACTTAAAGAATTAGGCTCCATAGTAGATCTTAGATTAGATTAGATTAGATTAACGCTAGATATTTAAGGTCCTCACTACGTCCGAGGAAGCATTCTACGGTTTCCCGTATGGTGGCAGAGCGTTCACCAAGCCCGGGCCGAAACCCCCGGTTTCTCGGTAGAGGCATTGTCAAGGGTCGTCTCATACCGGCTTTGCTGACCGCCTCCATTTCCAACTTGGATCGTCACCTAAGTTTACGCCAACACTGCAGCATCGTCCGCCAGATCTGCCCATTGAAGGGGACCTTTTAAACTGGAGAGACCCCCGTTTAGTGGTCTAACTCGCCTTCCCCTCTTTTCCGGTCATCCCGAGAAAGAACTCAACAGCTTTCGGGGCGAGCCACAAAAGCAGCTTAGGCAGTTAAGTCGCCCTGCCTCATTTCGGGCACTCACTGGGCTGAGCGCTGCTGGCAAAAAGAAGTTACAAGTAATTGCCCATGGGTCTGGTCACAAAAGCAGCTGCTTTTGCGCTTAGGCCTCTCGCTTCGAGGTCCCAGACGTTGTTGGGCTAACTCCTGGCTCCAAAAACCATGCCCGGATATACATGGGTAACCACCACTGAGAGGGTGGGTCGGTCGCCGTCCGCCATTTTATGTATATAGTAGATCTTAGATAAAAACTACAGTTAATCTTGATACTTGTGTTTATGCTTATGCTTTTTATGACTCTATATGAATTTTACTGGGGATCTCGAACTTCTGTGCTTGTGCTTATGCTTCTCATCATGCTTATGCTTTTTATGGTCCTTTTCCTTCCTGTCTCTCTTTTTATTTTTTATTTCTCCAGGCTCGATTTCGCTTGCTTCTTCATCTTTTAATTTTTCCACGAATTTATTAAAAATATCTCTGAGCTGGGTGTCTGATAAATTCACGAATTTTTCTTTTATTTCGTTTTCGAATTCTGTATATGTAGAATTTGAGGCGATATTTGCGTTGGATTTTAAGTAGTCGTCGTATTTGTTGAGCTCTTTTTGGGTTTTTCTTTCTTTGTCTTTTAAATCAATCATGGCTTCGTCATAGAGGACACGAAAAACAATGACACGAAGGTTGTCAGGGATTGAGTCGAGGGCTTCTCTGGAATGCTCTAAAATATCTTCATAAGTGGTGGTAGGGGTGATTTGGAAATTAAGGAGGGAGTCTGATAAGGCTTCTTTGTGGTCTTTTATTTTTTCTTTTTCTCTTTCTATTATGTCGGAGTAGAGTTCTTGAGGGGATGATCCTGGCTGGCCGACTAAATTGAGATATCGCGGGTCATCTTTTATTTTTTGGACTATTGGCCGCCAATGAGAAGCAGCATTGATTTCTCCAGTTTTCACTAGATCTTCTAATAGCTCTCTAAAAGCTTCTCTTCTTTTTCTAGCCTTTGTGCGCTCTTCTAGTCTTTTAGCTTCACTTACCTGCTTTTCAGTATCCAAAACATATTCACTGAACACTGTTAGCTGGTCTAACTTGTCAATTGCTTTAAATAAAGGATGCTCAGCAAGCAGTCTTTGTATGATTCCCCATTTCATGGTATGGTCGATATCCTCTCTGTCATCCAATAATTTCCTCAAACTTTGCATTTGCTGCTTTCTCAGCTGCCTTTGTTTTTCTCTATCTCTTCTTTCGAGCTCATCTAAAAAGTCCTGAAAAAGCTCTTCCCTTTCTTTTTCTTCTAAAATTCTCCACCTTGGGTCTCCTTGGAAAAAATGTGCAGTCTTATAATATTTTGATTCAGCGCGCAAAATCCCTGAAGAGTCCAGCATTTTCATAAAATTTTCTCTCGCGACTTGTTTTTTCTTTTTTGCGTCTTCTCTGTCTTTTCTTTTCAGCATCTGTGCATATTCCTGGAAAATTTGTTTTTTGGGAGCAATATTTTTCATCATATACCAATTTTCATAAATTTCCATATTTTTTTTAAAAAAATTTTAAAATACAATTTATCGAAAAAATAATATTAAATCGTGGATCATCTCTCATTATTCTATGGAAATCTTCCCATTTTCATGTAGAAGTCACCCCTGCTTCTTGAAACATTTGTACATAAGCTTGTTTAATTTCTTCTTTTCTTGTAGGATTTCCATCCTTATCTAAAAACTCGTCAGGAATTTGTCCTTCTTCACATTCTTCTGCGTCTGAATTTTCCTGAATTAATTTTTCTTGGAGATTTAAAGCAGAAACTTTATTTTTCCATTCTTGGACTTCAGCTGGAATTTCCCATGACGTTTCTGACGTCCTTTGGTTTATGTAGTAAATTTTCCCACTTTGGGTGATGCTTTCTTCCCATTCTGTAGGGTTTGTTTTGGGATCTTTGTTATCCTCAGGGCGTATCCAGCTAGTTTCATTACTCTATATAGAAAATACCTTTGTATTTAAATAAAAAAGACGCCCATCTTCTGCTTTACGTTCTTCCCAAGTTTCCATGATTTTAATATTTATTTTTAATTTTACAAATTTTCTGGGGATTTATATCTTGCTGGACTAAATTTCCTATTAGTGAGGTTTTTGGGACGGGCTGAGGTAGGAGGTCGAGGTATTTTGGTGGTTTCATTCACAACTCTTTGTAAAGGAGGCGGCAAAGATGTGAATTTACCTTCGCCGAGATTGTGAATATGGTATAAATAATTGTTGTTTTTGGAGATATCTGCATTTTTAGAATTGGCGTTGATAAATACGCTTTTCCATAGCCGATTTTTTTGAAGATTTGGCTGCTTTGTACCATTTATGAATTTCGGAAGAATTAAGTTCATCCCTCTTCTTTTTCTCCTAGCTCTCCTCATCCTTCTTCTTTTTTTCGTCAAATTCAGCAAATTTTCCAATCTTTGAATGAATTCTCTTCAATCTTGATCAGTAATAACCCCTTCTAATTCGTCTCTTCTTGACCTATAATCATCATTTTTCATCTTATAATTCCTAATAAATTCGCTTTGGTAAGTTTTATTAAACTCATGTTTGGCTTTATTCAAGGCACAAAAAAATTCTAAATTGTCATAAAATACCATTTTTTCAGGTTTTTTTGGCTGCTGAAGTAAATGAGCATAATCCTCAAATGTATATTCTGCTGGGATCACTTTTGCAGTTAAAGTAGTCCTATTTGTTATTCTTCCCGTATTAATTGGAGCCGTTTTCACTGAGTTGTCACCATTGCTTCTATATGTCTCTCTAGGTCTTGATATAGGCTCACTTACAGGAGCTGAAAATTGATTTCTTTTTTGTGAAGGTGAAACTCTTACAGTTACCTTAAACCCAACTTCTCTATCAGTTTCATCTTTAATTGATCTTTCATATGTTTTCTTTTCAATTACCTGCGATTTTTCTTCTTCCTGTTGAGAAATATTGTGTTTTTCCTCTGCTTGGCATTCTTTATCAGGAGAATTATTTCTGCTTATTATCTGCTGTGCAATCATACGCTTTTCTTGTATAAACAAATCTGGACTTTTCTTATTAACATTTCCAAGCCCGGTTTCTGGTGTTATAGAATTTTCTCTGAAATATTTGCCTGTCCTTCATTTTTTGTTGATTTTGTGATATTTGACGTCACTTTTTTTATAATTGATATTTCGTGAGTATTCTGGGTCAGGAAAGTCTTCGAAAAGTGCTGAATCGTCAAGGGAAAATTTCCTTGTGATTTTTTTAAATTCTAAGTCTTCTATAGCTTGTTCTTCTAAAAGAGATCGGCTTCGAGTAAAAACGATTCTTTTAGAAGATCTATTAGATAAAGGAGTATCTCCAAATAATTGAGAATTCGTTCCGACATGTGTAAGCTCAGGGGTTTCTGAAACTGGGTTATTGCCTATTGTGTGCAGTCTGCTAGGTAGTGAAATATTTACTTCTCTTTTGGAATTTTGGGAATTTGACATAGGATAAGTTTCTTGATTGACTGTATCTTGGCTTATATGGCCAGTGCCAGGAGGTCTTGCTGATATCGATTGGCCAAGTAATGATAAATTTACTTTTCTAGTAAAAGAAATTCGATTTGAATACACAGTTGGCTCTTCTTCTGGGTTTTGGGTTAAAATAGGCAATGTTGGCACTTTGGAAGACTGATATCTTGTGCTTCTAAAAGAAGTCGAAGTCTTATTTTGCAATGGCTTTGATTTTTCTAAAAATTGCAGGACTGGCTGCTTTTTGATTTGGTTTAACAAGCTTTCTAGTCTAGTAGTGCACTGCAATAAAACTGCTGTTTGGTTATAGCCAGCTTGTTCTATCCAAATATCATTAATTCTAGCTTCATAAGGGAAAATTTTCATGAGTCTCCCTTGCACTTCTTTTCTTATTGATTCTGGCTCCAAAAAATTAGTTTGGTACCATTTGATAAATTCCAAGCTGATTTGCTGCTTACTTGACTGCTGAATTTGGTCTATTTCTACATGAAACTGCTGACTCCCCCCCCCCCCCTCCGTGAGCGAACAAAACCATTAGAAAAATCGCCATTTTTTGACCAAAAACCCACCCTCCCGTGAGTGAAACAAAAATTTTTTTAATAGAAAAAATTTTTAATGGAAAAAAATTTTGATATATAAGTGATAATTAGTATAATGAAATCTAGAGCTAATTCTGTTTAATTTTAAACAAATTGCGTTTTAAAACATAAAATTTTGCAAATTAAATTAATATTTGCTTCCCAATTTTTGCAAATTAGGATTTTTTTAAATTTCGAAAAAAATATTTTTTATAAAATTTTTATATAAATTTTTTTTAAAAAAAAAAAATTAACCCCCCTCCGTGAGCGAACAAAATTTTTTTGTTCGCTCACGGAGGGGGGGGGGGGGGAGTGAGGTAATTTTTCAATTGAATTTAGTTCTTTAAATAATGATGTATTCAGATGCACTCCATAAGAAATATTCAGCATAATCGCATTTATACTTACCAAAACCCCTTCAATGCTAGTAATTTCATTCCAGCTTTCAGCAATTTCACACAAAAAATCCAAAAATTTGTCAAAATTTACAGCTTTTGCTTCCATTTGATACCATTCTTCGGCGTCAATGTTTCAGTCTTCTTCAGCAATTTCTTTGGCTTCTTCATAATAAAATTCATTTTGGATTGTTTTTTGGACTCGTAAATTGAAGTCTACATATTGGTCTTTTGTGATAAAGCCTCGAGTGCCTGACTCTCTTTGGTCTTCATTTTCACCGTGAGGGTCCATAACGTTTCATCAGCCTTTAATGCATTCAACTAATAATGGATGTTGGGCTAAAGCTAACTTTTTATGAGCTTTGTATGGGTCGTTATCTTCGTGTCTTTGAGATATCATAGATGTGCTGTGCCTAGGCTTTGATTTTTCTCTTTTAGATGATAAAAATTGAGATATTATAGATTGGTCTTGATTAGATTTAGGAGTTAGAGTAGATTTTGGGATATTTGGAGGAATTTTGGATTTTCTATGGCTTTTTAAGGAGGATTTTTTAGGGGAGTATTTTGATTGCTGGGAGACTATATAAAATGTTTGAGAAACTTTTTGGTCGATTAGATTCTTAAAATCTGTCATTTGCAGTTTGAATTTTATATAAAATTTAATTCCTTATGCTTTATAGTTTATAGTTTAGAATATGAAAAATAATAAGCTCAGACTTAATTAAGTGATTTTTTTAAACTCTAAATTAGAAGTCTTTAAAATTGATTATTAAGTGAATTATAAAAAGTAATCTATCAAAAATAAATGAATCTGCGATATATTTAGATGAAATTTAACATTTGATGAAAATTTGTATAATACAACTCTGGGACTAATACATAATTATGCTATTTCAATAGAGTCAATTCTGTGTTCAAAGCATATAATATACTTCTAATTCAAATATGGATGCTATTATTCTTTGAGGATTTATAGCATTTATTCAAATTTTTTTATTAAAATTTGCCTAATTTTAAAAAGAATGAATAAAAAAAGCCTAAAGATTAATCTCGAGGCTTTCTGGCACTCTACATTTAAATATTATTAATATAAATAATAATTTTATTCTTTAAAATTTTCTGGAACCAATTATATTGATCCTGCTTAGATATATATTCTCCTTTGTGTCAGTGCTTTCAATTTTATTGTTTTTATGATTTAACAAAAAATGCTTAATATTTATTTTATCAATACAATTTTAATGGAATTTTCAAATAAAAACAAAGAAAATATTATCAATTGCATAAAAACTCAAATATTATCAAACCTTCCTAAAGGCTCTCAAAAATTTTACTATTTATTTTTTATCATAGATTAACTGATTAAGATTAAGATTTACGCTGGGTATTTAAAGTCCTCACTTCGTCCGAGGAAGCATTCTACGGTTTCCCGTATGGTGGCAGAGCGTTCACCAAGCCCGGGCCGAAACCCCCGGTTTCTCGGTAGGGGTGAAAGTCAAGAGACTTGTCATACCGTCTTTGCTGACCGCTTCCATTTCCAACTTGTATCGTCGCCTAAGTTTACGCCAACACTGCCGCGTCGTGCGCCAGATCTGCCCATTGAAGGGCACCTTTTAAACTGGAGAGACTCCCGTTTTGTTGTCTAGCTTGCCTTCCCCTCTTTTCCGGTCATCCCGAGAAAGAACTCAACAGCTTTCGCCATTCGGGGCAAGCCCAAAAAGCAGCTTAGGCAGGTAAGTCGCCCTGCCTCATTTCGGGCACTCACTGGGCTGAGCCCTGCTGGCAAAAAGAAGTCGCGAGTAACTGCCCATGGGTTTGGTCACAGAAGCAGCGGTCTCTGTGCTTAGATCTCTCGCTTTGAGGCCCCAAACATTGCTGGGCAAACTCCCGGCTCCAAAAACCATGCCCGGATATACATGGGTAATCACCACTGAGAGGGTGGGTCGGTCGCCATACGCCATTTTATGTATATATCATAGATTAACTGATAAAAATAGCAATTAATATTTTAGCCAAGCTGCATTCAGCTTCAAATATTAAATTTATAATTTTTAAATATAAGAGATATGTCAAATTTGGCTTTTACTGATCTCGGAGAAGCAACTGAAAATCTTAGCTTTACTACAAAAAAGAAGAAGAAGAATTCTCCTTTAAAATTGCTTTTTAAGTTTTACAAAATTGCATACTACCAGAAAATACCTAGGGAAAAATCATTTTTAAAGCAGAAAATAGAAGCTGTTTTTACCACTATAATTTGATGACTTCAGATTTCAAGTCTACTATGGCTGCCTGACCTTCCTATAGAAGGCTGAAAGAAAAGTATGGGTATATGGCATTTTATCGGTTTTTTAAGGCTAGACAATACATGTTCTGCCTTAGGAGTCATAAATTTTTGTATTTATGCCTCAATTTCGACTATTTTATTCAATTTTGCTTTTATTGCGATTCTTATATTATTTCATAAATCGATAAAACTTCCAGAACTTTGGATCAGTTTTTGCAAAAAAAGCTTATATTTGTTAACAAACTTTTTATCTATTCCATCTATAGCATTACTTGTTTTTTGCTTGAAATTAAATTTTTCAAGCCAGAAAAATGCCGCTGATTATTATGATAATAGTTATGTGAAAGACTTTGAAGTAAGTAACGATGACTCCCCTCCTCAATCTTCATGTCTATTGCAACAAAAATGCAATTTTTTAATATAAAATTTTATATAAAAAAAATAATAATTTTCATGTCTCTTGCAACAAATTATATATACATTAAAATGGCTGCACGTGCCAACCTGCCCTCTTGGCGCAGCAATCCAGACCTTATGGCTACGGCGAACTGGGACGGACTCCGAGCCGAGAATCAGACGCAGGCTCAAGAAGTGTGTATATCCGGGTAGGTTTTGGCTACTTTCCTGTGGTTGGAAATGGAGGTGCTCAGCAACGTCCTTTGGATCTGAGGACCCATAGGTATTCCTCTAACGAGAAACTGGGGGTTTCGGCCCAGGCCGCAGGGAACAGTCTTTTTCCTGTAGCTGTTGAAAGAAGGCACTTTGACACCCCAATAGACTCCAAGAGCTGATCCTTGGAATCAAGCTACTCCAATCGCCCGTAGCAGGGCCACAGAAATCCGTAAGCCGCCCACTCAAGACTGAACTCCCAAGGCAAGGAGGAGACAGAAGGCACAGGAAGGGCACTCGTAAGAGGGATAGATCCTCTGGGCTGGAGTCGAAAAGCGGTAGACCTTCCGTACGGGAGGTCTTTAATGACTGCGCCATCAATATGGCTAGCGCCTGTCTATAATAATCTTAATCCTAATCCTCTTCCAACAAATTTTCGATGCACATCATAAATTTTTCCATACTTTTTATCTAGGTAAGTTTAATAAAATGGTGAGCGATGGCAATAGCCGTCCAAATCTCGATGAGAATGCCATTGACACACCTAAAGCAGCACTGTTTTATGGTTTTTTTGAGAAACTCACCTAGAGAAAAATGCATTAATTTTTTTTATAAAAAATGTTGTGTTGCAGTAGGCACGAAAATTTTTTCGAAAAATTTTTGATGCAGTAGACATGAAGATTGAAGGGGGGTCATCGTTATATTTATCCAAGCATTCATATTTTTGAGCTTGATATTATGCTTCATAATCCTTTTAGCGGATTCTATCTTTACAAGTGATATCAGGCATTCTATAGCAAATTTCGACCTAAAAGTAAAGGCACACTCACAAATAGACATTCACTGTGCATTATTTGAAATTATTTTTTCGATTTTCCATTCAATAGTTTCAAAAGATAATATAGAATATTTTCAATTTTCTTTGATGGTTACTTCTATACTTTTATTAATAGAGGCGATGAAAAGCTTATCTTATTTTAGCATTTTCATGAATTGCCTAATTGCTGTGAAATATTGTGCAGTCATGTGCGTTGCTGGAATATTTTTTTTCGGAAATATTATTGATAGAGCTTTTTTGATAACTTTGTTTACTTTAACTGTCATGCCTATTCTCTGCGTATTTATTGTTCAATTTTTGTTACATAGAGTTAAAAACAATAAGCCAGATATTCCTTCAGATTTGCAAAGAATAGAAGGACTATTTTATGCAGAACATTGCTTAAGACCATTTTTATGTTCAGATAATATAGAATTTAAAGATAAAATTTTTAGCTCTTTGGGAAAATGCTATAACAACACTAAGCTGCACAAAAACAAGCTGCTAGTAATATGAGAAGTAAACTATTGCATTTTTACATTAAATAATGAAGCTTTAGCTAAAATCAAGTTTAGCAAAATTGCAGATTCAATATTTAGCTTAGAAGGAAACTATCAAGAATATATATGCAAAAAAACTCTATCTGAATTCCACTCAAATGAAAGCGCTGAATATCTTGATTATTTTCAAAAAATTCACGACTCCAAGCTTGAAGACGAAATTATCTGCACCAAGCTTCTAGACTTCTGAAAAGAGCTAGTTTCTATCAATCCTAATATAAATATACTGAACAAGCATGCAAAGATGATTTCTGAGTCTATTAAAAACTTAGACAAAGAGTACACACATTTAAGCTCTCTCTTCCCAAAATGCAAAGAGCCCCTTGTTTTTTATTCTACTTTCGCCAGAGATATTTTATATGATAACGAAAAATCAGCGATTTTAGAGTACAAAATAAAATCTATTGATAAAATTACTACAAGCTCCTCAAAAGATAGCAAAAGCTTTAATTATTTTGATGACGATAGTGGAATAATTTTAGCTTCAGCAGAAATAGAAAATTTTGGAAAAATAAGTTTTGCGAATGGGAGAGCTTGTGAAATTTTGAAATGCCCGATTGATGATATTATAGAGAATAATATTTCTTCTATAATACCTTATCCATATAGTGAATTATTTAATAAAGGTCTTTATAACTTGCTGCAGCTTGTAGATGATGCTAATTTGAAGCTGCCTGATAGTTTTTTCTTTGCCTTGCCTGATGATCATATTATAGAGTGTACTGGAAAAATGTCAATAGCTTGCTTTTCTAGCAAACTGTGGTTCGTACTTATTTTTCGTGAAAAAATCACCAAGAGGCAATTCGCAATGGTTCCTTCACACGAGGCCTACTCCATAAAGACTTTTTTTTTGGCCTATTTTTTTTTGGCCTATTTTTTTTGGCCTATTTTTTTTGGCCTATTTTTTTTGGCCTATTTCATGACGACTATTTTTTTTTGGCCTATTTTTTTTTGGCCTATTTTTTTTTGGCCTATTTTTTTGGGCCTATTTTTTTTGGCCATTTTTTAGCTATTTTTTATTAATATTTGGGCCTAATTTCATACTAATGATTTTAATATAATATAATTTTGAATGTATTTTAAACGATTTTATCAACATAAATACACCTTTAACAGATCTCTTACTCCATGAATGGTAATTCATTGCTTTTTAAAATTTCGAGAATTTTAAATTTAATTAGGATTTTTCCACTTAATTTACTCAATATTAATCGTGTAAGGAAATACATCCGTTACCCAATAATTATTTAGTTCTATCAGCAGCTTCATGAATTATCCTCGACAGAAAAAATAGACCAAAAAAATAGGCCAAAAAAAAATAGGCCCAAAAAAAAATAGGCCAAAAAAAAAATAGGCCAAAAAAAAAATCGGCCAAAAAAAAATAGGCCAAAAAAAAATAGGCCAAAAAAAAAATAGGCCAAAAAAAAAATAGGCCCAAAAAAAAATAAGCCATAAAAAAATAGGCCAAAAAAAATTAGGCCAAAAAAAATTAGGCCAAAAAAGAATAGGCCAAAAAAAAATAGGCCAAAAAAAATAGGCCAAAAAAATTAGGCCAAAAAAATTAGGCCAAAAAAAAATAGGCCAAAAAAAAAAGGCCAAAAAAAATTTGGCCAAAAAAAAAATAATCGTTATGGAGTAGACCTCGTGTGAAGACACGGTTCGCAATTATCTCAAGCAATGGCGATATTTATGCACACTCTAAGAAATTCGCTAAATTTGCAGCCCAAAAATCGAAAAATTTACAATATTACAATATTTCTCAGTTATTTCCTAATTTGCATGATACAAATTTGCAGCCTTGAAAGCTTTATCCAGTTCCATCAATTACGATAGAAACATATTTAGCTTATTGTGTCATAGAGTTTTACAATATAAAAATTCCATATATAATACTTGTTAACGATCCCGATGAAATTTCATCTTGAAAACATGGACATTTTGGAGATTTCCAGTCTCCAGAGCCTGGTATCATAAAAAAAGTCCACAGTGCTTTACATTTAAAGCGGCACTTAACTGTTAATGGCAGCAAAAATTTTCAAAGCGAAGAAACACTCAATTTTTCACAAAAATTGCATTCCAAAGAAACCGCTTTTAGAACAGATACTTCGCATTTTGATAGCAGTTTTGACGTATTATTAAGCGGAGGGATAATAGAAAATGAAAAATCCTCATTAAGATCTTCAGTAAAATCTGAGTCTCTTTCACAAACATATACACTAAATCATATTGTAAAATTATCCACCAGAGCATTAAAAATTTTTCATATAATGCTTGTGCTTTCTGTAATTTTTATTTAGATGGTAGCACGATAGTATATATTAAAATGGTGAGGCAATCCAACCCACCCTAAACTCCTGTAGTTAGCATCCAACAGAGTGCGCGCAGGGTCCTAAAGGGGGAGAATGGCATTCGGGAATATGTATTCCACTGGGATTTGTCTAGGTTTAGCGAAGCGCAATATCGGTTTAGTAGATCGCATGCTTTCTCCAATGCCAAATTTTTGCCTCAGTGGGAGATGGGTCAGGAAGTTGGAAAGGAGATCCCAGCGAATTCAGTGGTGTTCGTCCTGACCAATTGGGACTATTTGGAAGCTACACCCTGGGCTAATTGAAGAAGTTTATATTATTACCCTACCCTAATTCTTCGATTTCCTGATATTTCCAGTTCGAGTAGCTTCCAACTCGAGTAGCTTCCAACTCTAGTAGCTTCCTACTTCGCTTTCATAGATTGCTTCATTTTTACATTAAAGCAAATATAGTACCCTGGGCTAAGGATTTCCATCTTAACCAAGAATCGACCTGAAAATTAAACCCCCTTTGAATTTTCAGTAGTGGGCAACTCTATTGACTTACGGCACAGCGACGCACTCACCAACTACCGGATAGCGAGTGCAGACCTAGCCAAGCAAGAGCAGCCTTCGCGATGTCTTGAAATGCGAACTGGAAAGTAGGTGGGGAAGCATTATGGGTGGAGGTAGTATCTGTCAATTGCAGCGGCTTTTCTATAAGTTTAATTAATATTAATGGTAACAGCGATAGGATATATTAAATGGCTTGTTGAATCAACCCACCTTCTTAACTCCTGTATAAAACCTCCCACAGATCTAGAAAGTGAGTTGATGCTCGCAAAAAGTGCATCTGGCAAAGTTTCATGACAAATGAAGCAACAGTGCTGAGCTGATCAGCACGAGCGCAATCTGGTGACTTTTTCCTCGTGGGAAAATGGAGTAAGAAAGGGCTGTTATAAAATATTCTTTTGGTAAATCGGGAACTATCCACGACGCGATACCAGACGTTGCATCCTGGTATTCCAGTTAAATTTTCTGAGATTCGGCGAGATAACTCAACTCTTTTTAATTGGAAGGCAATCTGAGTTCCTGTAAGGCAAGGAGGCACAACTTCGTAAAATATGAACTTACAAGCAGAGAAGCATTAGGGAAGGACCCATGCTTCTCTATTGGATGGAGTTTTCGATATGTTTAGTTAAGATTAAGGTCACAGCAATAGTTACAAATCTAATAGTAGTCTTTTATATATCATCAAAAGTTAAAAGCGAAAGCAATATTGATGTGCCTATCACGCTAGGGAAACTACAAGAAGTATTTCATGCATATACATTTAATGATCACAATTTACAATGGCAGTTAGGGGTAGGACTATGGCCTACAGTTGAGTTCAGTGAGAGAAGTTTTACGCCTTCTTGAGTGTTTTCATGTCAAGAGAAGTTATCTACACTGAGGCTGGTGTAAAGAGGTCCTAAGAGACTTGGGGACATGGACAGTTTGACGGTTAGGTCGGTCTTACCTGTAAATCCAAGTTAAGACCGCAAGAATCTGGACTTGAACAAGCTATTTTTAACATTAAACATTTTATGCTAGAGCTGTTTCAGTTATTGAGTCTTTAAATGGCCCACCTGAAATATTAGCTTTTTCTTACCCATTTGTGAGAAAGTAATATTTTTGCTCTTTTTTCAGAGGAATACTAGTTTTTTTGTTGCTTTAGAATGCAATCCAGAGATTTCAAAATATCAATTAACGCTATTACAATGCTTTTATTAGTAATTCAGATATTAAAAATTATTTCCAAATTTTTTTCTTATGGTTTTGATAAGGGAGTTATGAAAATTATTATACCCAAGCTAAAAACTTGGAAGAATTATATCAGAATATAGTTTCGACTTTATTAAATTGAAAATCATGCTCAATGACTATTTTTACTGATGAAAAAGCAGTGATATGAAGCACAACTGGAGGAATTCATTTGGAAAAAACAAATCTTATCAATATAATAGCAGATTTTATAAAAAATGGCAATGATTTTATAGCAAAACAAATTAAAAAAGAAGATAACTCTGATGAATTGAGATTTTTCAGCTTAAACGGCTATTGGCAAGCATTTCGATATTGCAATGATACTTTATTTGAACTAAATGACTGTGTAATCGAAGAAATAAACACCCTGGAGTTGCAAATGAATATTCTTTTATCTGTAGGATTTGGGATCCTTCTCCTTTGTTTTATTATCATTATACCGTTTTGTTTGTCAGCTATCAAAATGGAAAATAATTTTTGGAATTTAATAAAAAAGAATGCTTATATAAATTATGGAAAACTGAAGCAGGCATGCTTAGATAGGCTTATAAATATACATGAAAGAGATTATAATGTGTCTGATGAAGGAAAAAAGAGTAAAGAAGCAAACTTGAAAAACTACTGAAAATATGTGTGAAGGATTTCAGTCTATTTGCTGATAGCACTGCTATTTGTTTTGTTTAACAGTTTGTATCTATATAAGCATTGCGCACTGTTACTATACTGTTTCAGATTATATGAGTCTATAGAAAAATATTTTTTTCAAATTGCAAATAATTATAGGTTATTCATTTTGATTCAAATCCACTCTATGAAGAATATATTTGAGACCAAATTTATTAGTAAATTTAATAAATACGCAAGTTTTATATAAAAACTTAATGGTTTGATCTAGTGAACTGACAGTTGTCGGCGTTCCACAGTCCCTTACTACTTTATTGGCAAATTCTAACCCTTTTATGACTACTGAGGCGAAGTTTCATGAGGTATGAAAATATCTCAGTTACTCAGAAAAAAAACTGAGGGATAAAAAATATTCTTGCTTTTAATAAGTAAATATTCCATAATTAGCTTATTTTTTGTCTTTTTTTAAGAAAAAAATCTTGAGATTATAATTAAAAGTTCTTATTTATTCTAAATTTTATATTCAATTTTGCTCAATGATGAGTTTATGAAAATATTCTATGAAAAAACTGAAAATATAAGCAATTTCTTAGAGTATGGGACTTATTCCGCAGGAAAACTACTCGCAATTGAAGGCTCTTATATGGACTACTCGCATCGATATGATTTTCTGGTTGTATGGGAATATCTTATGATAGAATTAAATAATATTGATAATCAGCTTGATTTACTAATTGATTTAGTAGATACTGAATCAAAAAATGAGATTAATTTTCAGTTGGATTTAATTATTGCATCACTAGTGTTATTTGTGGCAAGCTCATTGGCAATATATTTAGGATGCTATTTACCATTTTTTAGTCGAGAAAAAAAGAATCTTGAAAGAATGCAATCAATTACAAAGTTAATTCCTAATAAATATATTCGGTAAATATAAATTTTTCTTTTTAGTGAAAAATAGTGATAGTGGAATGTAAGGCTTTTTAAAATATCTTTATACCAATTTTTATAAATTGCTTGCTAATTTTCTCTTGATTTCATTATATATAAATAGTTGTTAACTGGTGTAAAGCAAGGATAAAGGGGAATTATTTAATTGTTGAATATAAATTCTTGATAATTTCTTATCTAATATTTTTGCATTGTTAAAGTTTTATAATCGGTTCCTTCAGCGACACTTATTTCATAAAGTTATTTTTTTAGCTTACTTTTTTTGGCCTATTTTTTTAGCCTATTTTTTTGTTAATTTTTCTTGTCCTATTATTTAATGCTGTCAAAAACAATAAATAATCAATATTAAATCGTTTGCAGTTAATAGTTTATGCATTTTCTAGTTTTTGTGTGGGATTAGTTGTCATCTATTTGGTGCTATTTTTATGATTTTTGAATAACGAAAAAAATATTGTGAGAAAATAATGCAAGTGCCACAAATTATCCCTGTTAATTATATTTAATATAAATAATTTTTATATATAAATACTTATTTTTCTGTGTTTAAGTTAAAATTCTATTAATTCGCAATAAATTAAATCTTAGCACTCTATAGTTTTATAAAAAAAATCGACTTATTTATTTACTCCCCCCCCCCCTCCGTGAGCGAACAAAACCATTAGAAAAATCCCTATTTTTTGGTCAAAAACCCACCCTCCGTGAGCGAACAAAAAATTTTTTTACATATAATTTTATATATAGTTTATTATATGTATATTTAATACAAATAAAGAGGATAATATTGAAAAATAATTATTAAGTTTGTTTGATATATTATTCAAAGGTTAAAAAAAAGAATACCATAAGTGAAAAGGTTGAATTTAACAATTTTAAATTTAAGACAAAAAAATGAATAGAAGAAATCGATTAGATAATTAACTTCTTCATATTAACTTGATGGCTGAAAATCTTTGGATGATTAACGCCATAAGAACCCGTCAACTCAAATGATTTTCTGACAAGTTGAGGGCTTACAGCATCTCACGCCTTTGAAGCAATGTTTATCAGTTGCTGGCGATCAAGAGCTTTGAGGTTTCCAGTTCTTTTCGATCTTCTTTCAATCTGCTCTGTTTGGAATTTGATTCTGAAATCTGTTGTTTTTGATTTGAAATTTGCAATTACCAGTGCGTCAAGTGGTTGCAAATACTTTGTGCACCCTCCAGGGATCACAATTTTGGTTGCATCTAAATCTGAAATTGCATTAGAAATCATGATAGTTTTATGACTTCCAGCCTGATCATAAATCAGCAGTTGGTTTTCTCGTCTCAATATTGTTCTGAGGTAGTCATTAAGAATCTGGTCAGAAATGTAGCCAGATTTATTTGATTTTATGATGACATTTTCTGGAATATTCAGTCTTTCTCTTACAAGGTTCGGATCTGGCCATTTTTCTCTTGAAAAATGAGCAAAGCAGGCATTTTTTTCTCCATCAGCTCTAATCATAAGCATAACAGTGATAAAATGGTTCATTTTAGCTGATTGAACGCCTAGAATTCGTTGAGTTCCCTTGAAATCATAAGTGAACTTGCTTTTTACATCTCAATCAAATCTCGTTTCATCGAAATTGTAAATGTTAGATGGAACGAATTGAGGAAGCAATGACGCTAAATCATCTAGGTATTGCCTGACAAGTTCTGCCTCTTTTTCGATTGGCTTAATGCTTGAGGCATTGATTTTTCTGAAAGATAAATTATTTCTGGTCCTAAATCCTTGCCACCATTTATCTCCACAGCCCGAATCGCGCCAATCCCCATTTCTGCCGCCAAACTTTTTGCTTTCTCCTCAATCGTTGATCTGAGAACCTGAATACCTTGCTCACGGATTGCAGTAAACCAATGAACTAGTTCTTTCTCTAGCTCTGGAAATTGAGTGAGGCTTTCTAATTTTAATTTTTTATCAGATTTTACTGATTTCTTCAACTCATCAAGCTTATTCACCCATTCGGAAATCGAGCTAAAGGAGTTGACATGAAACTTTGCAGCAACATCTCTCATGCTCATCTCATTTTGGTGTTGAATGTAAAATTCAGCAATTTCAACTTTCTGCCAAATTTCAATGTACTTTCTTTTCCCCTTTGTACATTTTTATTATGATTTATAGAGAATTTGCTTATTATATTAAATAAGAAAATATATAAAATATTTTAACTGAATGCATATATTTATTACTAATAGGTTTATTGATTATTAAATTATTGAAAAATTAAGCTGTGTTTTACCTTTAATCAAATGGTATTCTTTTTTTTTTGGAAATTCCCTTACTCTCCCCCCATAATATTTTTAAAATAATTTTCAACTTATAAAAAAATATTATTTTACAATTAAAAATTTATATATAATTTTTTTTTAAAAATAAAAAAATTAACCCCCCTCCGTGAGCGAACAAAAATTTTTTGTTCGCTCACGGAGGGGGGGGGGGGGGGGAGTTAGCAACTTATCTATTCGATTTTTTTAAATTAAATCAAATAGACAACATGAAAATTTAAAATCTGATGGTCATGATATTATAAATTATGTCAAATTTTGCATTGAATAGCTTTGCAAACGAAAATGACATAGGCTTAGAATTTGTTAAAAATTATAAGCAAGAATCCTGCTTAATCAAATCTATATTCGAATTTTATCGACTTGCTTATTACCAAGAGGAACCTGAAGAAATCTCAATAATCACACAAAAAATACACAAAATTTTTTTAACTACAATTTGATGCATTCAAATTTCAAGCTTACTATGAATTCCTCATCTTCCAATTGGCAAATGGGATGATAATAAAACAATCTGAGAATTTTTTGGGTATTTAAGACTGGATAATGCATGCTTCTCAATAAACAGTTAATTTTTATAAGACTATAAGCGGAGAGGCATTTAGCCTGCCTATCTGGCATAAGCTTATAAGGCTATAAGCGGAGAGCCATTTAGTCTGCCTATCTGACATAAGCTTATAAGACTATAAGCGGATAGACCTTTAGCCTGCCTATCTGGCATAAGCCTACCTAGCCTAAAGATTAACTCTAAGTTAGAGTCATCTCCGCAAGACCGGATAAGCAAAGACTAAGTAAGGCGAAGCCTGTCTGGCCAATCTTGCAGTATAGGGAAAACTTTTGGGGGAGAACCAAAAATTCCCTCTTAGCTTCATCGGGGCATATCCTACCTGCTTGCGTCGACTTAGCATTTTATTTCCCTACTCCTCAACAGGAATTATTAATTTTTGCATTTATATATCCCTCTCAACAGTTTGATTAACTGCTATCTTAATTGTTATATTTGTGATTTTAATTCACAAGCTTATAGAATTTCCAAAAATTTTTGTCAGTGTAATAAAAAAAATCCTTTATATTTTGTCAAATTATTTACTAATCCCAACAGTCACTCTACTTTGTGTATGTTTAAAACATAATTTTTCCCCTGATAATGCAGCTTTAGAATATAAAGATAAAGATTCGGCAGAGGATTTAAAAGTGCCCATTGAGATACAAATCTGAATAATTTTTACTTTGATTATTTATTATATTATGATAATAATGAATGTAGTTTTCTCAAGCGAAATAAGGCACTCTATGTGAAAAATGAAATTAAAATCAAAAGCACATTCAAATTTAGAAATAAATTCTGCAACTTTTTCATTTTTAGCACCAATAATTTATTCATTACCGCAGAAAATAATATTGTGTACTTTCAAGTTATTTTTATGATTATTTCTGGAGTTTTGGCTTTAGATGTTATAAGAAGTTTGCCTTATTTTAATCTTTTTATGAATTTTTTGGAATTATTAAAATTTTCAACTATCTGCTTGATATCATTTGCTTTTTTATTTGGGAATGTTATAGACAACGCTTTTGTTATCTCTTTATTTTTATTTCTTGTAATTCCACTTTTAAACATTATAATTGCAAGGATTCTAATTAATTTATTAAAGGAAATAGACTTCGATGTGCCTTCTGATCCTAACTCCCCCCCCCTCCGTGAGTGAACAAAAAAATTTTGTTCACTCACGGAGGGGGTTAATTTTTTTTTTTTAAAAAATTTATATATAAATTTTATAGAAAATATTTTTTTCGAAATTTAAAAAAAATCCTGATTTGCAAAAATTGGGAAGCAAATATTAATTTAATTTATAAAAAATTTATGTTTTAAAACGCAATTTGTTTAAAATGAAACAGAATTAGCTCTAGATTTCATTATACTAATTATCACTTATATATCAATTTTTTTTTCCATAAAAAATTTTTGTTCACTTACGGAGGGTGTGTTTTTGGTCAAAAAATAGCGATTTTTCTAACGGTTTTGTTCACTCACGGAGGGGGGGGGGAGTAAGAGATTAGCAAATATATATGTCCTTGAGAGTAAAATACGGCCGATTTTTTGCTCAAATAGCATCGAAGCTAAAGCAGAAATTCTCTATTTTTTAGGAAAATGCTATAATTGTAGCAAATTACATGAAAACAAACTTTTAGCAATATGGGAAGCAAATTATTGCATTTTTACCTTAAATGACGAGGCATTAGCTAAAATAAAGCTTGAGAGATCAAAAAATTCTCATTTCAGCTTAGAAGGAAACTATCAAGAATATCTATGCAAAAAAGTCCTTTCTGAGTTCGACACAAATGAAAGTATTGAATATTTAAATTATTTTCAAAAAATCCATGATGCGAAAAAAGAAGATGAAATTTTGTGTATGGAGCTCTTAGATTTTTGAAAAGAAATTGTTTCAATAAAGCCAAATTTAAATATATTGGATGACCTTTTAAAATCAATACCTGATTCTATATCGTATTTAGATGAAGAATATTCGCACCTACATTTAATGTTTCCTAAATGCAAAGAAGTACTAATCCTTTACTCTTCATTTGCAAGAAACATATTATGCGATACTGAAAAATCTACAATACTAGAGCACAAAATGCGATCAATCGATAAATTTGCAAGTGGTACTTCAAAGGACGCTAAAAGTCTAAGTTTTTTTGATGAAGGAAATGGAATTCTACTAGGCTTAGCTGAGCAAAAAAGATTTGGCCAAATCACTTTTGCTAATCAAAGAGCTTCAGAAATATTAAAATATCCAATCAATGGAATTATCGATAACAAATTGCAGTTTTTTATTCCTCCTCCGTATAATACCTATACAGATGATATTTTTTATTCTTCTCTTCAATATGTATCAGACTCACAAATCAAACTCCCAAAGCACTTTTTCCTCCAATTACCCAACAAATCTCTTATTGAGTGCAAAGGAAAGGCTTCTCTTTCTTGCATATCTGGACACTTAATATTTATATTGGTATTTAAAAATCGAAATAGTTCTCATCAGTTCGCCTTGATTTCTGATGAGGGAGAAATTTATTCACACTCAGAGCATTTCCCACAATTTGTTGGAAAATCCAATAATAATTTAAGAGGCTATAAACTGGCTCCATGACAAATGACGATTTTTGACAGTGTACATTTTATCGAAATCCATTTGGTCGAAAATTTTTGATAGTGCGAAAATTAACGTTTTTTTTTTCGGTCAAATGTCTCACTATCAAAAATTTTTCGGTGAAATGGACACTATCAAAAAGGCAAAAGTCACTTGGCCTACACCCCTATAAACTAAAAGACATGCTCCCTGCATTTCAGCAAGAAAATATTAAGCCTTTTTTCCCATATCATCTTTCATATATGGAAATTGAAACCTATTTAATTTTTTGCCATTCTGAGTTTTATAGTGTAAATATCAATTATGTTTTGATTATAAACGACCCAGAAGAAATCGAAGCATGCCGACGAGGGGAGTTTGATGAATTTCAACAGGCAGGAAAAATTATAAAATTTACCTCAAAAAATAAAATTTCATTAAATTTGATACGGTCGCTAAGCTCAGATAACAGTGATATAATAAAAAGAAAAAAAATACGAAAACAAACAAAACTTGAAGAATTACCATGGGACACACATATAGGAAATGTAGACAGCACTGAAGTTGCAGAAGAACATAGCGGGAAAAGTTTTGAAGAAGAAAAACATTCAAATAAATCAGATAATACATCCCAGCATTTTGCTTTGAAAAGAATTGTAAATTTATCTTCACGGTCTATAAAAATTTTTCATATTTCTTTTGTTTTTGCTGTAATTTTTATTTACTCCCCCCCCCCCTCCGTGAGCGAACAAAAAAATTTTGTTCGCTCACGGAGGGGGGTTAATTTTTTTTTTTAAAAAAAAATTTATATATAAATTTTATAAAAAATATATTTTTTTCGAAATTTAAAAAAAATCCTAATTTGCAAAAATTGGAAAGCAAATATTAATTTAATTTGCAAAATTTATGTTTTAAAACGCAATTTGTTTAAAATTAAACAGAATTAGCTCTAGATTTCATTATACTAATTATCACTTATATATCAAAATTTTTTTTTCCATTAAAATTTTTTCTATTAAAAAAATTTTTGTTCACTCACGGAGGGTGGGTTTTTGGTCAAAAAATGGCGATTTTTCTAATGGTTTTGTTCGCTCACGGAGGGGGGGGGGGGAGTTAGATGCTGTTTGTTATGGCTACAAATTCTATAGTTTTGATATACACCTCAACTAAAGTTATTTCTGAAAGTGATATTGATATGCAGATAACCTTGGGAAATATTGAAAAAGTTATGCAGTCTATTGCACTTTTTTCAAGGTCTGTACATGTATTAACATTTCTTGGAGGTTCAAAAGAATTAATTAAATATACTCTAGACAATTTTGAATCCCAGCTAATCCTACTTCAAGAAATTCATACAAATATAACTGAAAATTTATTGGGAGTCCATAAATGTCTAGGTGAAAATGCTTTTGTGCATGAAGCAGTGCGTATTTATAATGATGATGGCAGTATCAGTAAGACAAAGACAAATTTAATAGATGCTGTCTTATATACTATTAGTAAGGTAGTATTTATATAGGGTTATGATTTTATAAGGAAAGTAAATAAAAATGAAAACCTGGAAACTGAAATAAAATATTTTGTAAGAAATGGAGGAGATGAGGTATTTCATTACTGCAATAATACTTTATATAGCCTTACAGACTGTGAAATACAAGGCATAGATGATTTGAAATATCGAATGGATATCCTATTAGCAGTTGGATTTGGAACCCTAGTTCTCTGTCTCGGGTTAACTGTTCCATTTGCTCTAGCTGTTATTAATATGGAAAATAAATTTTGAAATTTAATAAAAGAGCATGCATACATCAATTACATAGAGTTAAAGCAGGCATGCTTAGATAGACTTATGACCACCCATGGCAAAGTAGATACATTGTTCAGCGATGGGAATCAGATCAGTAAAAACTCCGATTTAAAGAACTATCGGAAATTCAGCTGGAGAATTTGTATATATTTGATATTAGCTTTGGCTTTCTTTTTAGTGAATATCCTATATTTATACAGTGATTGCTTAACATATTTGCATTTGAGACCAAATTTACTGAGAGATTTAATAAATAGTCAGGCCTTATATAAATCTCTATGAATATGATCAAGTGAAATCTCTATAATAGGATTTCCAGTATCTTTACCTAATAATACAGCGAAAGCATATCCTTTTAGCGATCCTCGATATGAGCTTGATCATGCTTCAGCTTCTATAGCTTTATCAGAAAAAGCTATTAAAGATTCTAAATATTTACCTCTCTTATCAGATGAATTTAATAAATTATTCTATGAAAAATGCCAAACCTCAAATATTATCACAAATTATGGAGTTTATGCAACAGGAAAAGTTTTAGCTTCTGAAGCTTATTATCTGGGCTATGGTAATGATCCCAACTTCCTAGACTTCTGATATAGCCTAACCAAAGAGTTAAGTGTTTTTAATGAAGAATATGACGTTTTAATTAAGCTGGCTGATCATGACTCACAGAATCTCATAGAGAGCCAGTTAAACTTTATTATAGCAGCATTAATATGTTTTTGTGTTTTATCAGTAATAATCTACTTGCGAATATTTTTATCTTTTTTGATAAAAGAAAAAAAATATCTTAGTAAGATGAGAGAGATGTCAAGGATTATTCCTGATAGATTTTTTAAATACTAAATTAGAATGTTGTGTTTATTCCTTTGCTATTTAAAATTTTTAAATAAGATGGGCTTTATTAATAAAATTAATTTCATTAATAAAATTTAATAAATAAAAATTTCATAAAATTATTTAGTTTTATTCATTTATCTCTTAAAATTGAAGCTATTTGATAAGTTTTAATATTTCAATTATTATATTTTAAGAAATCTGCGTGGAATGTTTGTTTTTTATTTAAAAAGGTAACCATAAATAGAAAACTGATATTTACTCAAATTAAGCAATTATCTCAATCTTCAAAACATCAAGTTCTATCACAAAGATTTTTGATACTTAGCTATTTTAAACAAATATTTTTCATAAAATATTTTATTGAGAGAGCTAATAAATCATAACGATATCGCTCCAAGAAAGTTGACTCATATTATATTTTTAATTTTTTTGTGTAAGTTATTATTATTATTATGTTTGAACTAGATAGTGAAATTGATCAGCCAACGACTTTGAGGAAAAACAACATTGAGCTTAAACCCAAGAAATCAATTATCAAATCTGTTTTTAAGTTCTACAGCTTGATGTATTATAAAAAGTTTTTCGGAGAAGATTCTTTGACGAAACAAAAAATTAAGTTGGTGATTGAAGTTCTTTTTTGATGCGTCCAAATTATAGCTTTGCTCTGGTTTCCTCATCTTTCGATTGAAGATTGAAGTAATAATATGATTATCTGGAAAATTATTGGATATTTTAGGATAGATAATGCTTGCTCGGCTTTGGGAATTATTGATAAATGTTTTTACATATTAATTGCTGGAATTTTCGCAATTTTTTCAAGTGCTGTTTTATTGATCCTATCGCTTTATTATTCAGTTAAAGTGCCAAAAATAATATTTGCTATTTTTGAAAAAATTATTTATCTGTGACTAGCACTGCTATACATACCTTCTTTAGTGTTATTATCCATATTTTCTAAATACCATTTTCTTAATCATGATCACGTGCTTGAATATGAAAATACTGATAATTTATCTGACTTTAAAATTACAGCATCATGACAAATGGTGAGCATTTCTGCTATTATGCTAAATCCCCCCACCGTGAGCGAACAAAACCATTAGAAAAATCCCTATTTTTTGCCCAAAACCCCACCCTCCGTGAGCGAACAAAAATTTTGATATATAAGTGATAATTATTATAACGAAATCTCAAGCTAATTCTTGAATTTCGAAAAAAACATTTTTTATAAAATTATATCATGTATTGCATAAATTTCTTATCATGCATATTCATATCATTTTTGAATTTGGTATGTGGAAACCAAATATGCATTTCAAAACGCAGATTTTAGTGCGGCAAATTCATAATTTGAAATTTCATGTAAAAATGGCGCGTATAACGGCCATAAAAATTTAGCCAAGGACTTATATAAAATTTTTTTTAAAAGAAAATTAACCCCCTCCGTGATCGAACAAGTTTTTTTTGTTCGCTCACGGAGTGGGAGAGTAAGCTTTTTAATAGCAATTCTTTCAACTGAATTTTCAGGCGAAATCCGTCATTGTGCTGCAAAAAATATTGTAAAATCAAAATCTAACTCAAGAGTAGAATTACATGCAGCAATTTTTACATTTATTTTTTCAATTCTTTATCCGCTATCAGTTGATAACTATACTATTTATTTTCAATTTTCGATTTTAGCTGCTTCAACATTATTAATATGAGAAATACTGACATTTTCGCCTTATTTTTCAGTCTACTCTAATACACTAGAAATTATTAGATTCTTTTTAGTGGCCTTAATATCATTTCTTTTTATCCTGGGATATTGAATAGATAATTCTTTACTTATTACAATTTTCGCAATTTTTTTGGTGCCTATATCAATATTATGTATAATTCAATTTATTTTGAAAAAATCAAAAACAAGAACCCCTCCAATCATTGTCGATATTAAAAATAAATTTGATCTAGAAAAATATCTTAGGAGCGCTTTATGTTCAAATGATGTTGAAAATAAAGATGAAATCATTGGTATTTTTGAAATATTTTTCAAGAAAAAAATAATGCATCGAGATAAACTTCAGATTGTATGAGCTGCGAATTACTGTATATACGCTTTAAAAAACGAAGCTCTGGCTAAAATCAAATTGAGTAAATCCAAAAGTATATCAGATTGGAGTCTTGAGGCAAATTATCAGCAATACTTGTGTCATAAAGCTATTATCAGTGCAAATTCAAATGAAAGCATATCTTTTGGGAATTACCATCAAAATTTAAATAAAGTTAAAAAAGAAGACAAAAAATTATGCCTGAATTTATTAGAATTTTGGAGAGAAATTACTTCTAAAAGCCCTGGATTTTTCAAATTAACTAAAACACTTAATTCTATAGATACAAGAATTGAATTTCTCAATGATGAATACAAAGAATTGGCATCAAAATACCATAAATCTAAAGAAATATTGTCTCTTTACTCTTCATACTTGAAAAACATCTTGTTTGAGATCGAGAGATCAGAAATGCTTATTTTCAAGTTAAAATCATTAAAAGAAATTTATTTGAGCTCGGATAATACTGAAAATTTTAGCTATTTTGATACAAATAATGGAGTCTTAATAATTTCAAATGAAGAGAAAAATCTTGGCGAAATTCTTTATTCTAACTCAAAGACTGCAGGAATTTTGAATTTTCCTTTAGAATCTATTATTGGGAGTAATATAAAGAATTTTATTCCTTTTCCTTACAATAAAGAAATTACTGAAAAATTGTCTAATTTAATTGATTTTAGCTCTGATACAGAAATTTCATTACATAAAGGATTTTTTTTAATATCACCTATGAATTTTCTTTTAGAATGCACCGGAAAAATGCTATTTTCCTCAATTAATAACGTTGTTGTAACAATTTTGATTTTCAAGCTAAAACAAGCAAGATATCAGTCTGCTCTAATATCAAATGATGGGGTTATATTTAGCTGTTCAGAAGGCTTTCCAGTAGCTGCTGGTGCATCCCATAATAATGTGATAGGAGCTTCAATTAGCAATTTATTTTTTGATTTAAAACAGATTGACATAAAACCATTTATTCCATATAAATTGCCTAACTTTGCCAAAGAAACAATAATGGTTTTATCAAATTTAGAATGCTTTGATATGAAAATGCTTTATATTTTATTAATAAATGATTTTGGAGAAATTCAAAAATGGACAACTGACTGCTCTAATTCTCATAAAATCGAAACACAAAGGGGAGGAAGCATTCAGAATATGCTGCTCTCAGTAGAAGACCCTTCTATAATTCATGAAAATCACTCAGAAATCCTTGATTCTAAGTCTGATCAGTCATCAGATGAGTCTTCAAAAATGATTGAAAATATTTTAATAGATAAATATGAAGAAAAAACTCAAAATACAGATAATGAAAACCAGATTGTTTTTATTCATATGATGAAAATATCGGCAAGATCAATTAATGCTTTACATTGTGTTTTTATTTTATGCGTAATAATTACTTAGATTCTCATAGTATTAGGTTCAAATATTTCTGTTTTATCTTATGCTGTTTATAGCATTAATTTAGCACGAGACATAAGCCTTTCAAGATCAATAGGAGATATAGGAAAATCCTTTCAGCAAATGGCTTTCCTTTCGAGAATCATAGGGATTGTTTCCTATTTTCCAGACTCTGAGGAAGCCGTTTTGTATTGCTTTAATCTTTTTAAATCTGATATAGCCAACCTTGAAGATATTTACATAAATATTGGGTCAAATTTAACTAACTCCCCCTCCTCCTCCGTGAGTGAACAAAAAAAATGTGTTCGCTCACAGAGGGATGCTAATATTTTTTTAAAAATCTATAATTCAAAATATAAAAAAAAAATTCGCAAAAATTGGCTTGCAAATATTTATTTAATTCGTAGAATTTATGTTTTAAAATGCAATTTGTTTAAAATTAAACAGAATAGGTTCAGATTTCATTATACTAATTATTACTTATATATAAAATACTTTTTTTTTTAAAATTTGTTTTTCGCTCACCTTTTGTTGTTTTGGGGGATTTTTCCAATGGTTTTGTTGGTCACGGGGGTAAGTGAGACTCATGCTCCAGCCAAAGTATTTTTACAGGAAAAAATATAAATTTGTGAAATATTGGTCCTCTAATATATCAAGAAAAAGTGAATTTAATCGACACTGTTTCGCAATTTATTATATATGTAAACTTTATATAGGGAAAAGAATTTGTAAGAAAATTCAATACAACAGATTATTAGATTAGAATAGAGTTATAGCGGGTCGCAGGGGTTTATTTCAGCCCCTCGCCGTCCAACGGATAGCTTCGCAGTGACGCTAAGCGCTATCCTCACACCACCTTTTTCCCTTCTGACGTCACCAAAAAATGGTGACGTCGAAGGTCTTCGGGGAAGCCACCCCACCCGGTCGGGGTCTCCGAATCTCTGCAGAAGACTCCTTCAACCTCTGACAGGGCTCAGAGTATAGGGGAAACGCCTTCTGCCTTCTCCATGGCCTGTCAGAACCGTATCACAGGTTCATTAATGCTCCCATGGAGTGGTATCGGGATTTTGCGCCAGTAGGGTCGTCTTGCAGGTAAGGAAAAAAGACAAGGATCAGCCCCAAGTCAAAAACCCACCCCGGAGAACTATCGCCATGTGGCTCGCCTTTCCTGGGCATGGATCAACTCACAGGTCACCAGGAGTCCACGTCAGATCACGCCATTTTAATAATTCTTCAATACAACAGAAGATTATTCAAACACAGTTTTATTTTTTGCATTAAATGGGTATGGGGAAGCTTTTAATTATTGCAACAATTCGCTGTATGACGTCACTGGATGCAAAAAATCAGAAATATCTGGCTTAAAATCTGAAATGTTTGCTCTTTTGATAATAGGGATCGCAGCAATGGCAATAGGAATTTGCATTATGACTCCTTTTTGCTATTTTGCTATAAAAACTGAAAATATGCTTTGAAACAATATTAGAAAAAATGCATACAAGCATTATCATAAACTGAAAAAATTATAGAGGTTTCCCTCTATATAGCGCTAAAAGCGCAGACATTTTCCCAGGAGCTTTCCAAGTTCGTCGGACCAAATCGCTTTTTGGTCCGACCAAGGCATTGATTTGGTGCAACCTACCGATAAATTCCGATCAGAATTTATCGGCCTTACAGCGCGCCAAACATAGGAAACTTCTATATGCTTTAAAAGACTTGCAAATGTTCATTTTCAGCTTGAGTTAGCTGACCATGAAGAAACCCGATATAAAAAGCGATTAAATTTTAAAAACTATTGGAAATATATTTGAAGAGCTAGCTTATTTTTTATAATTACTTCATTATTCTGCTTGCTGAATATTTTCATTTTTTATGAAAAATGCGCAGAATATTTATATTGCAGACCTGAAATCATCAAATCCTTAATTCATTCGCAAGTTTTCATAACAAGCCTAAGTATATGGACAAGCGAAACAGGATTATACACAACTGACTATTCTTTACAAAATATGCTCCCATTTGCGCTTCCTTTTAGTGATAGCAACATTAAGCTTAGAGATATTATTTCTTTAACAAAGCACTCTCTTACATCGCTACGAAGTACGCAATGCAAAAGTATTTTTTCCAAATCCTACACAGAAGAATTGTATGAATATCAGAAAGACGGAGATATTCAAGAGCACACATATGGTGTCTATGGAGCTGAAGAAGTCGCAATGCTTGACGCTTATTATATTGCGTATTATGAAAATGCTAGCGTAGAAGATTGACTAAAGTTTATAGTTCAACTTCAAAAAATGAATGACAAATATGACGAATTTATTGATGAGAATAACCAGCATTCACAAAATTTAATAGATGACCAAATAAGCACAATAATCATATTTTTGGTTCTTTTTGTTGGCTTATCGTTTGGAATGTATATGGGGCTGTATTTGACATTTTTTAGAAGAGAGAAAAAATATTTGAGGAAAATAAATTCAATGCTAAAGCTAATGCCCGGGTAGGCTTTAAAAAATTATATAAATATTTCTTAATCAGATGGTAAATGCATATTAAATAGCTAAAATATTAAAGCTTTATTGCGAGAGATATAGTTTTTGATTCTATTTCCTAAAAATCATATTTCTATTGTGGGCTATGATAGCTTTGCTTTAGCAAAATTATTTTATTTCGAATTTTTAAAATTTTAATAGCTCATTAAATAAACGCTTAACTTAATTAAAATTACCTTCGTTTTGTTTATCCTTTCTTTTAGATGCTGCTATTTAAAAATACTTTTAGCTTTGCTCCATTTTAAATGAAGGAAGAATCTTCCTTACATAATAATCATTTTATTCAACAAAAATATTTTTTTAAATAATGACTAGAATCTATAGTGATTGCACCAGACCTCAAGCTAGTAAAAATTCTAACTCCCCCCTCTGTGAGCGAACAAAACCATTAGTAATCCCTATTTTTTGCCCAAAAAACCCATTCGGTGAGCCGAACAAAAATTTTTTTTATGAAAAAATTTTTAGCTAATTCTGCTTAATTTAAAATAAATTGCATTTTAAACCATAAATTTTACAAATAAACTTATTTTTTCTTCTCATTTTTTACAAATAAAATTAATTTTTCTCTTCTCATTTTTTACAAATTACAATTTTTATATAAATTTCGAAAAAAAATTTTTTCTATAAAATTTATATATAAATTCTTTTAAAAGAAGAATTAACCCCCTCCGTGAGCGAACAAGATTGTTCGCTCACGGAGGGAGGAGTAAGCAAACCTCGAAAATTCAATTATTTCTTAAGCCAATTTTTGAACTTTTCTGAATGCTTAATCATTCTAAAGGATCAATTAGAAATTCATTGTCAAAGCAGAAGGTTCAAGTCACTGTTGAATGCTCGATATGATGTCTTCAAATGGCAAGCTTGCTGTGAATGCAAAGTCTTAATATTAAAAATTGAAGTAATGACCTGGGATTATGAAAAATGATCGGATACTTAAGACTAGACAACGCTTGTGCAGCTCTCGAAATTATTGATACGTGTTTATATACTTCAATTTTTTGAATATTCAGTATTTTTTCAATAACTATAGCTTTATTTTTTGCAATTAGCTATGCAATAAAAATACCAAAAACAGTAATTTATTTACTCGAGAAATTTATTTATTTATGGCAAACTTTAATATGCATCCCTTCCATACAGCTTCTTTCCATCTTTATAAAATACAATTTTTCGCACAAAATGGAAGTTAATGAATATGAAAATATCACTAGATCTGCTGATTTTGAAATCCCTGCTCCTTGAAACGCGTGCTGTATATTAGCAATTGGGATGTGCTTTATTATAATTATATTAAATTCAAAATTTTCTGGAGAAATAAGACATAGTTGAGCAAAAAATATTATTACAGCAAAAGCTCATTCAAAAATCGACTTCCATGCAGGAATTTTAACATTTTTACTCCCAGTCCTCGGCTCAATATTTGATGAAGACTACATTGTCTATCTGCAGTTTTTTGCAATGCTGAGTTCATTTTTATTGATTTTAGAATCAATAATGTATCTACCATATTTTTGCTTATATAGCAACACAATAGCACTCATTAAGTTTTTTATTTTAGCTTGGATAGCTTTTATTTTTATTTTAGGGGAATGACTTGATAATATATTAATTATCAAAATATTTGCAATATTTTTGTCACCAATAATAATTATTTTGGTTATTATTTATACTATTAGGCTGCATAAAAGAATAAATAAAGGTATCCCAATGAGCATAATTGAAATGAAAAATAAATATGACTTACTCCTTGAGCGAATAAAAAATTTGTTCGCCAAAGAGGATTAATTTATTTTAAAACAAATAATATAAAATTTTATAGAAATTTTTGTTTAATATCTAAAAAATCCATTAGTTTTCTATAACAATTATTACGTATATATCAAATTATTTTTCCATAAAAAATTATTTTGTCGCTAACTGAGGGTGGTTTTACCCAAAATATAGAAATTTTTCCAATGGTTTTATTCGTTCACGGAGGGGAAGTTAGAGAAATCCCTTAGATATGAACTATGCTCTCTTAAGGCTGAAAATAAAGACCAAATTATTTATATTTTTGAAACTTTCTTTTCAGAAAATATTTTATGAAGAGATAAGCTTCAAGTGATATGGCTCGCAAACTATTGTTTATTTACTTTAAAAGATGCCGGTCTAGCAAAAATTAAAATATGTAAATGTAAAACAGTTTCAGATTGAGACTTGGAGGCGAATTATCAAGAATATTTATGTTATCGAGAAATAATGGATTCGAAATCAAATGAAAGTGTTGCTTTTGAGTGCTATCACAATAAATTAAATGAAATAAAAAATATCGACAGAGTACTTTGCAAAAATCTATCAAGTTTTTGAAAAGAAATTGCTTCAAAGCAGCCTAAATTTTCAAAATTGATTGACTCTATTAACTCTATAAGCAGAGACATACAATTTTTAAGCAATGAGTATAAAAAGCTGACAACTGACTTTCATACAAGAGAAGGATTAGATCTTTATTGCTCATACTTGAAAAATATTATCTATGATTATGAAAATTATGACAAAGTCAGCTACTTAACGTTTAATTAATTATATTTCTTTAACCAGAAACGCCAACTATCATATCACCTATACGGCCTCCTGCTCCTGCTTTGGATAACCTTTTAACCCTATTCTGAAAATCTCCTGGTATTTGCTCTAAGTGATCTTTCACTTCAGCGGATCTGATTTTAGTGAATCCCTTCCAGAAACAACTGCGTCCGTCAGGCACGCTAAAGATTCCAGTCTCTGCAGCCTGGGTGAAGTAGCACGCTTTTATAAATTTCGATTTCCCTAGCTCTCCCCTTTAAATTGGAGCAAAATATCGATAAATTTTTCCATTTTTTGGGTACTTTAACCCATTTTAAAATTAGAATAAACTCTTTTTAATATTGGAATTTTATTGATGAAAATATTATTTTTTAGGGAATTAGTTTTGACCTAACTTATTGGAAAAAGTACATGTAAAATGCTAATTAAACAGTTTTTACTCTTAATAGATTAATTTTAATTAATTCTTCATTAAAATATTAAAATTCAAAGTCTTGTCTCAATTTTTAATTTAAAAATAAGAGAAAAATTTCATATAGTATAAAACAATTAACGGCTCTTTCAATTGAAACTGAATTTTTGTTCAATTTAAAGGGTGGAAATAAGAGACAAACGTCCGAAGTTGAGCACATTCAGGCATAATACCATTATTTCTGGTATAAACTCGTTAGGTGAAGCCAAACCTCATAATCAAAATGGCAAATAAAGAATTTCTATTTTGAAAAACAAACTTTTATGACGCCATATTTTGATTATTAACCAAGTAAGCTACAAAGTAAACTCTTTTGAAGGATATTATTCAAACACTATCAAGAATATGAGCTATTTCGACTGCAATAATGGGATTTTAATTTTTTCTAACGAAGAAGAAAATTTTGGGGAGGTTCTTTTTGCAAACCCGAAGGTTGCTGAAAGTTTTAACTTCCCTCTTAAATCAATTATTGGAGACAATATATTCAGTTTTATACCTTTATATTATAAAAATTCTATTACTGAAAATATAAAAAAAATGCTTAATTTTGGCTTGGACACAGAAATAGATTTAGGTGAAAGCTTTTTTTTAATTTCACCAAATAGTGACTTATTAAAGTGCATGGGAAAAGCCTTGCTTAGTTCACTTAATAATTATCTAGCCACTATATTAGTTTTCAAAATAAATGACTATGAGCATCAAGCTGCGTTGATTTCAGACAATAAGACAATTCTTTGCTATACAAAAGGTTTCCCGCAATTAGTTAGAAAGCCTAGTTATAAGTTTAGATTAACTCGAAAAGGATTTAAAAGTCTCTATTTCTGATTTTCGGTTTCACAGTGTTTTTGCTGAGGGGCAGAGAACTACTATCTTCTGTAGCTCCAATCACAGGACGTCAGCTTTTTAACTTCAAACCTGAAATGTTCGCATGTCAGATTGCTCTCATTATGAAGCCTCTTTTATCTAAAGAAACTCCTTGTTGAAGCCGGTTAGGAATCTAATTTGACTCCTTTCGAGGCTACTGAATATTGCTGGGGATCTTAAAAATTGTGTTCAATGTATAAGGACCACGCCACTGAGAGACGGTTTGCTCACTTCTGGTCATTTTATTTATGTAGTAAAACTAGTTATAATTTGACAGGATTTCCTCTTACTCCCCAATCATTTATCAAGCAACAATTGAAAAATCTTTATTTTTTGAGAAAAAAATCCATGAACCTGTAAAATTTTTTTAATATATCAGCGATAATTTATAATAAATCCCTAGCTAATTCTGTTAGCATTTTAACCAATTCTTATCCTAAAAATATTTGCAAATGAATTAGTTTTGATTTTTGTGTTTTTTTGTAGGACTTTTAAAAAAAATAATATAAAATTCATATATAAATCTAGAAAATAATTTAACCTTGATGGTCAAAATTTTTTTCTCTCAAGAGAAGCTAGTAGAATTTTTCCAGATTTAGAAAATGTTGATCTGCAGCAACATTCTCCTTATTTTTTATCTTTGCATGATGAAATAATTTTAGTTTTTTTGACATCAAATACATTTGGAATTAAAATACCCTACATTATATTTATCAGCAACTATGCAGAATTCTCTGAATGAAAAATTAAAAATTTTAAAGTAAACCTTGATGAAGAAAATCTAATAGAAAATAGTCCAAAATTGTATAACGCACTGAGGCCATCAAATTTTAACGAAATCTCTTCAAATTATCAAGACGAAACTTATGAAAAAAATATCGATTGTGAAAATGATATCCAATTGACTATAGACAAAACAAGAAGGTATGAAAGCAAATTGGCATATACAAAAGATGAAGATGAGCCTCAAAAAAACAAAAATATAGCCCCAAATGCATTTATTCACATGGTCAAAGTTTCATCAAGATCAATAAATGTGGTGCATTTGGTATTTGTGCTAGCAGTAATATTTATATAGATTCTATGAATGCTGATCACATATATATTAGTTTTAATTTATGCCTATTATAGTATTAACGCTGTGAGAGATGCAAATGTCCCAATAATTTTAGAAAATCTTGGAGAATCTTTTATACAAATGGGCTTATTTTCAAGGCTCGCAAGCATATTTAAAGATTTTGGAGATAATATTGTATGACAATTTTCTTATAAATATTTTGCGATAAACATCCAAAATTTGGAGATTTTTTACTCAAAAGCGATATCTCTTTTAAGCAAAAATAATCTATGCTCAGCACAAGATTTTTTCATTCAAAAAAACATAAATTTATGGAAAGTTAACAATGGAATCTATAGGGAAAAAGCAAGCTTATTAGACACAACCTCTCAGTTTATCCAATTAGTAAATTATAAGTAGGGAAATGATTTTATGGAGAAATTAAATAGCTCAATAGATGTTTCAAATGAAGTTGTATTTTTTGTATTAAATGGATATGATGAAGCCTTTCATTATTGCAATCAATCAATGCATGAAATAGTTGCATGCCAAAAATCCCAGATTCTTGACTACAAAAGTGAAATTTTAGTTCTTTTGATTGTCGGAATATTTGCATTTGCTTTATGCATTTGTTTTATGACCCCATTTTGCTACTCTGCAATAAAAAATGAAAATATTCTGTGAAATAAAATAAGAAAGCATGCATATAAGTATTATGATAAGCTTTATCAGCCATGTATTGAAAGACTTTCAAGTATTCATTCTAAACTTGAAACTACAGTTAACAATGAGCTCCGATTCAAAAATGATCAGAATTTTAGAAATTCCTGGAAATACATATGGAGACTTTGTTTACTGCTAATAGTAACTTCAGCGTTTTGTATAGTTAGCATAACTGTTTTTTATGGCATGCTCATTAAATATTTATACTCCAGGCCTGAGCTCATCGAAAATCTCCTGAATTCTCAAATCTTGCTTACAGATTTAGACGTCTGAACTACAGAAGCATCATTAAAAATCACTTCATATTCAATAGAAGGACAAACTGAGTACCCAAACCCATTCAGCAATACTTATAAAAAATTCATAGACTCAGTTTCTCGTATAAATGTGCAACAAAAGAAAATAAGGGATCCAAAATATTCTCCAATTATTTCTGACAGCTTTAAACAGCGTTTTTATGAAGAGTATGCAAAAAGTGAAAGATTAGAGCATAGGATGGGTAGTTATGCAGCTGAAGAATACTCAATAACCGAAGCTGAATTTATTAGCCGCTTTGATGCTCAATATATAAATGATTGGATAAACTTAGTTGTTGAACTACAGGACTTGGATTCTATTTATGATGGCTTAATTGATAGCATCAATAAGTACTCTCTAAGCGTAATCAATCAGCAAATGAAAATAATAATTGCAGCTTTAGTTATTTTTATTATATGCTGTTGTGTGATGTATGCTTGCTTGTATTTGACATTTTTTATAAAAGAAAAGCGAAATTTGAAGAGAATCAGTTCAATGTTAGAAATCATGCCACAATAATAGAATTTTAGGAAGAATTCAAAGATTAAATAATATTTATATGCTACAGTTTTTAAATATGTATGAATCGTGCAAGGGATATTAAATAACTTAAATAAATAATTAAATTTTCTGCAAAATCAAGCTCTAAGGCGTAATAAGTATATAAGTACTGAAATGTGCAGTTTTTAAATAATTTTTATGAAAACTTTTTAAACTCATTAGATGGCTTGGTGCTTAAATCAAGAAAAGTTTATATTGCTGAATGCTTCTATTTAAAATTTGCAAAATTTTAATCCTTATAAGTCCTTGTAGAATTACAGCGAGCTTCTCGATAGTATTAATAACTATAGCTTGATCATATTTTGATGTCCCTATATATGCTATATGAATAGAATTTGTAGTTTTAACCAACTAGTAAATCATAATTGGAAATGATTTTATAAAGAAATTAAATAACTCAGTAGATGTTACAAGTGAAGTCACATTTTTTGTTTTAAATGGATATGATGAGCCTTCCATTATTGCAATCAATCAGAAGTGGCCTTAGCAGCTAGTCAAGTTTCTATGGAAGCACAAACTTCATATCCAATTCCTTTTAACAATGACTACACAAACTTAAGGGATGCTATTTCTTGATACCAATATCCAGATGATTGAATATAGAAATTTACTAGAAATAAGCCAATAACTTTTTGATAATTTAATATTTTGAAAATATTTGCCTATTATCAATATAAGCATAATTTGGCTATTGAGATTCAAAATTTAGACACAGGTTGCAATAGCTTAATTGATTGCATGAGTAAATACTCATAAATGCAAATGAATGCAATATAATTGTTTTAGCCATTTTATTGTGCTAATATTTGACTTTTCCATAAAGGAAAACAGCATATAAAGAAAATCAGAGATAATATCAGATTAAAAGTTTTTTTGAATATTTTAGCTAATTAATTAGAATTAGATTCATATATATTTTGCCGCCATTATGAGTTAGCTATTTAAGTTAGTGCTATTCAAAAGAGTTCGGCATTGCTGCATGAGGAAAAAGTTCTTTCACTTTCTCCTTCCTCAGTCATCCTCGATCAGGAGGTGTGAGCCCGATCTAACAGACAACCCCGTAATATGCTACCATAACCCCTCTGAGCTGGGGCTGATCATTTACCCAGAGTGCATGGATTTCATGACTTTTTCGCTCCAATATGGAGTGTTTTATAAGTTTATTATCATAAGTTCTAAGTAATTATTAAGTTTTATCAATAATTTGCAACTAAGTAATAATTAAAAGATTAAAAAGAAACAGAAAAAGGGGTAACCGATCCTTAAAAACACACTATATGAGCTATTTCTAATCTAAACAATAAAATGGCCCTATAAAAATTGCATTTATTGATGCCTTTCTAATAAATAATAATAATTTTTTTGTGACTCTAAATAAAAATGTGAATATTGAATAAATTAATTTCGATCTTTTCGTTTTTAATTATATTGTGTTGTTTTAATTAATTAATTAATTAATTTCAATATGATTGAGTTCGCTACTGAAATAAGCGAGGATTCTATTTTGAACAAAAAGGAAGCAGAGCCAAAGAAAAAAAAGTCAATAGAAGACACAATTTTTGAATTTTTCTTTATATTATACTATCATCATAATTGCAAAGAAAAATCCCTAGTAAAACAAAAATTAAAATTGGCAATTGAAGCTACTATTTGGTGTCTTCAAATGGTCAGTTTGCTATGGATTCCAAATCTCTTAATTTCAGATTGGGAGGCTAATATGACTATGTGAGTCGCTATAGGTTATGTAAAAATAGACAATACCTGCTCAGCCTTTGATATTGAAGATAAATGTTTATATATCTCAATGGCTTATGATTTTATAGTAATTTTAGGCATTTTTGCATGCTTTTTAGCTATTTACTTTTCCAAAAGCTTGCCAAAAATTATAATAAGCTTATTAAATAGACTTATCTGGCTGTGGCTAAATTTTTTATGCATCCCTTCATTAGAAATATTCACTTTGTTTCTTAAATACAGTTCACAACAAAAAAATGTCACTGAATATAAAAAAAATGAAGATTCAGCAAAATATGAAATTTCAAGCCCAATACAAACTTTAAGCATTATTGCAATTTTAATATGTTTTCTGACTATTTTATTATATTCTATTCTTTCATCTGAAATTCGCCACTGTGCAGCAAAAAGTACAGTTAATGCAAAAGCTCATTCAAAAATAGAGATTCATACAGCAATCTTTACATTCTCTTTCCCAGTTTTTTATTCAATATTTGCTGATAATTATATCCTACATTTACAGATTTTAGCATTAATTATATCAGTATTTTTAATAGCCGAGACAATTTCATTTTTTCCTTATTTTTCAGAATATTGTAGTATAGTCGTTATTATTCGGTTTTTTATCGTTGCCCTGGTATCTTTTCTTTTTATTTTTGGCTACTGCTTAGATAATTCATTATCTATTTCTATATTTGCAATTATTTTACTCCCTATCTCTATTATATTTATTATTATTTACACTTTAAAACTACACAAAAAACTAAGCAAAAATATTCCTGAAAGTATTGATGGAATACATGATCAATACCACTTAGAAAAATCTCTCAGATATGCATTGTGCTCTGAAAACCATAAAAATAAAGATGAAATTATACGAATTTTCGAAAATTTTTTCTTATTTAAAGGCTTACATAGATGTAAGCTTCAAATTATATGGATTGCAAACTACTGCTTATTTACTTTAAAAAATGGAGCTCTAGCGAAGATTAAATTGTCCAAAGCAAAAAGTTTATCAGAATGGAGCTTGGAAGCTAGATATCAAGAATACTTGTGCAATAGAATCATTACGGAATTCGATTCAAATGAAAGCGTATCTTATGAGAATTATTACCACAAAATCAATCAAATTAAGCACCAAGATAGAAAACTATGCGAAAATTTATCATCATTTTGGGAAGAAGTTACTTCCAAAAACCTATCTTTTTATAATTTAATCAGAACTTTAAATTCCATTGATGATGGGATTGAATTTTTAAATGCAGAATATAAACAACTTACCACAAAATACCATAATTCTCGAGATGCATTAATCATGTATTTTTTATATATGAGGAATATTTTGCATGATTATGATAACTCTGACAAGATTAACTACAAGCTCAGATTTTTTGATAGAATTTTTTCCAGCATATACTAATTGACCAAGAATAGCCCACTAAGGAGCCATTCTTGGTCTGCCAGAAAAAATTTTGACAAAAGATCCTAATCTGCCATTACCACTGAGTTTTGGTGTTTCCAAATTTTTTGGGAAAGCCAAATGCAATAAAAACAATTGTTCTTTTGCGATGATGCATTTGGCTTGTCAAAAAAATTTGGAAACACCAAAACTCAGTGGTAATGGCAGATTAGGATCTTTTTGTCAAAATTTTTTCTGGCAGACCAAGAATGGCTCCATAGTGGGCTATTCTTGGTCAATTAGTATAACCAATAATACTCAAAATTTAAGCTGTTTTAATAGTAGCAACGGAATTTTGCTTATTTCAAATGAGGACGAAAATTTTGGAGAAATTCTGTCCGCAAACTCTAAAGCTATGAGTTTTTTCAACTTGTCATTACATGATATTATAGGAAATAATATTCAAAGTTTCATTCCGGAGCCTTATAAAACAAAAATTCTTGATAAAATGAATCATATGGTGCATTTTAGTTCAACAACGGATACCTATTTTAATGATGGCTGCTTTTTTATTTCCAAAAAGAATTACCTGTTAGAAACTATTGGAAAAGCATCAATAACTTCTATTAATAGCGTCCTTGTCACTATACTTGTTTTCAAAATAAATCGAACTCAACATCAGGCTGCTTTAGTATCTGAAGAAGGAGAAATTTATTGCTATTCTGAAGGATTTTCTGAAATTGCAGGAAATTGTAATAATTTGGCAGGACTCAATATAAAATCTTTATTTCCATGCTTAGAAAAAACTGAATTACAACCACTCACCCCATATCATATACCAGGCTTAAAAAGTGAAACAATTTTGATATTTATGCACTCAGAATTTTATAAGGACCCCCCCCCTCATTTGTCCAATTTTCTAGTCTTATAGGAATAAAAATTTATTTAGGACCTCATTTGTCCAATTTTCTAGTCAAAATTTTGATAGAGAAAAAAAATTTCAGGACCTCAATTGTCTCATTTTCAAGTTTTTTTAAAGTAAAAAACTAGAATTTAGGGCATTCGAAAAAATCCAAAAAAACTAGAAAATTGGACAAATCATTTTTGACTAGATTTTGGGACAAATGAGGTCCTGAAAAAAAAAAATTCTTATAAAAAAAAGACTAGAAAATTGGACAAATGAGGGGGGGGTTCCTTAGCATAAAAATCCCTTATGTGCTTCTCATAAACGATCCTAATGAAATTATTAAATGAAAAGACGAAAATTGAAGGACTCAATACGATTTTTCTAGTGAAAACTCAGTAAGGCCAACTCCATTCTCATTTCAAATGCTCAAATCCTCAGTTTCTGAAGAAAACTCTCCACTGCTGTCAAAAGAAGCGCTTGGGCATGATTATTTATCAGACGAAACTACCAAAATAATAAAAGAAAAAAATAATACTGAAAAATCTCAAAGCACAGAAAGCTCATCTCAATGTGTATTTCTTCAAATGATAAAAATATCATCAAGATCAATCGATGTCTTACACCTTATTTTAGTTTTATTGGTAACTTTTAATCAGATTTGTGTGGTAATATTTACTAATTTGGCAGTTTTATTTTATGCTTTTAATAGGATTAATGCTGTTCGTGACTTAAGCCTTCCAAAAGCATTAGGAGATATTGGAAAATCGTTCCAACAAATTGGACTTCTTTCTAGACTCATTTTTATATTTTATCCGTTGAGCCAGGCAGCTTCAATTGTAAACTTCTGTTTTAGCCGTTTTGAAGAAAATGTGAAAAATCTTGATAATTTGTATACGAATATTTCGGGAAATTTAACAAATTGAGGTTCATGCTCTGGGAATGACATTTTTAGTGAAAATAATATTAATTTATGAAAAATTGATGATGATATATATAAGGAAAAAACGAATTTAATAGATACGATTTCACAATTTATTCAATTTGTAAATTTTACATAGGGAAATGAATTTATGAGGAAATTCAAAAATTCAGAAAATTATTCCAAAGAGACTTCATTTTTTGTGCTCAATGGATATGGTGAAGCTTTCGAATACAGCTATAATTCTCTATATGACGTTATATCCTGCCAAAAGTCTGCCATCCTTAATTTCAAAACTGAAATCTTTTCCCTCTTATTACTTGGAGTTTTGTTGCTTTCTTTAGGAATTTTTATTATGGCCCCATTTTGCTATGCTGTGATTAAAACTGAAAATATTCTCTGAAATAATACAAGAAAATTTGCATACAAATATTATAAAGATTTAAAGCAATCATGTCTTTCAAGGCTTTCAAATATCCATAGCCAGCCTGAAACTGAGGCTAATAGCCAACCTCGGTCGAATAAACCATTAATCTTTAAAAGTTATTGAAAATATATATGAAGAATCGGCTTATTTTCCTTAACAACCTCCATATTTTGCATCATAAATATCACATATTTTTACGAAAAATGTGCAGAGTATGTATATAACCGACCAGAGGTGACAGAAGCGTTAATTAATTCCCAGGTTTTATTTACAACTTTAAGCACATGGACAACAGAAGCAGGAATGAAAAATTCAATTTTTTCACTGTCAAAACAATTGACATATGGATGCCCTTTTGGAGATCCTGAAAATAATTTAGAAGACGTGATTTTTCGTATAAAAAAATCTCAAAAGGCATTTAGGGACAGTAAATATTCGTCTATTTTGCCTGAGTCTTTTAAAAAACCTTTTTTTGAATATGACGGAGACTGCGAGGTAGATGTTCATAGGTATGGAATTCATGCAGGAGGAGAACTATCAATACTTGATGCTTACCTTATTGCACAATTTGAAGGCAACTCAATGAATGAATGACTCCCTTTGATGTACAGCCTTCAAGAATTAGATGGCGACTATAATATTTTTATCAAAGAGTATAATCAGTATTCGCAGAATGTAATTGATGATGAAATGAATATTATTATTGGAGTTTTGGCTATATATATTATAACTTCGATCATAATGTATCTTAGTCTATATTTGGTCTTTTTTAGAAGCGAAAAAAAATACTTAATGAAAATAAATTCTATGCTGCAGATCATGCCTGAAAAAGTTATTGCTAAGCAAAATGATTTATAGTTATTTTTAAAATCATTTAGTCTCAAGATAAATTCGCTCTTAAATAAGTATTTATTGTTTTTAGTTAATACTTTAAAGATTGCATACAATATAGAGGTAATAAATTCAAATAAAATAATTTAGTGAATCGTTTTAAGTTTAATTTTTTTTCATAATGCAAATATAAAAATTTTGTCTTTTAATTAATAGGCTTCTTAATGAAAAAATTAATCTTTTTAAATTTTTCTTATGATATAGCATTATTTTGAATTATCAATCAAGGAATTCTCAAGTTAAAATTGATTCAATTATTAATTAATGTCTAATCCTTACTTACATAGAATCAATGCATTTTAGATCTCTATTTTATAACATTCAGATTGATTCCCTTTCATTTTTTATTATTTATATATATAATTAATTTTATTCAAAGCAGATTTTTCTCAATTTGGTGATGAGCTATAGAAATTGCCCGAGGATGGCGCTATTTTGCACCATCCTCGGGCAATTCAAAAAACCGGCCCCACACGGAAATTGAACCCACTTGTGGGGCCATTTTTGGTATGTGTAAAACATCGACTTACACGTACCAAAAATGGCCCCACACGTGGGTTCGATTCCCGTGTGGGGCCATTTTTTGAATTGCCCGAGGATGGCGCAAGATAGCGCCATCCTCGGGCAATTTCTATAACTATTCACGTCCAGCTAAAATTTATTTATTCCTTGTGCATAATAAATATATATGTCAAAATTAATTTCAACAAATCTTGAATGATTTGATGATAAATCATTATTCAGCCTCAAAGTCAAAAATGAAAAATCTTGATTAGAATCCGCTTTTGAGATTTATCGAATGATTTATCATAGGCAAAATGCGCAGAAAAGCTCTTTAAAAAAGCAAAAAATATTATTGTTTATTGAAAATTTTATTTGGTTTCTTTATGTGGCAAGTTTTTTATGGATTCCAAATTTAGCTATTAGTGATTGAGAAGAAAATAAAAATATTTGAAAAATTATTGGATATGCAAGGCTAGATAACCTATGCTCAGAGTATGAGGTTATAAATTTGTGTATTTTAGCATCCCTTGGTATTATAATGGCAAATATTTTTGGATTTTTTAGCATTATAATATTTATTTACCTATCAAAACGATTACCAGTAATTGTTTTTGATTATTTTTGAATAAATTGTAAAGTTTTATACAAATTTTTGTCACTCCCAATATTCACTTTACTTTTTATTTGCTTAAAATATAATTGGTTTAAGAATGATGATATTTGGGAATATTTTAAAAAAAATGAAATTTCTTCATTTGAAGTTGGCAATTATACACAATTTTTTATATTTTTGGGATTGGTCTACTTATTTTTTTTTAATATAGCCAATTCTATCTGCTCATCAAAAATCTGCCACTCATTGACCCACATTAGGCTGGACTCAAAAGCTCATTCAAAAATTGACATTTATTCAGCAATACTCATATTCTTTGTACCTTTGCTTTTTGAGGCATTAGGTAGCGAGTATATCATATTTTTTCAGACAGTTTTAATGATTATTTCTGGAATTTTAGTAATGCTAACTATCAGTGAGTTGCCATACTTTAGCGTTTTTATGAATTCTTTAGCAACAATTAAATTTTTAGGAGTTTCATTATTGTCCGCATTATTCATTTTTGCGAAGATCATTGATACCTCAATTGTGATTTGGCTATTTATGTTTACGATAATCCCTTGTATCGCTGGATTAACTATCCGAAAAGTAAAAATTTCGAATCAAAGAATTATTTCTAAAATTCCAAGAGACCTTCAAAGTATTAAAAATGCTTATTACCTTGAGCATAATCTTAGGAGTTATCTATGCTCGAAAAATATAGAAGAAAATAAGAATCCAATTTTATATTTTTTAGGCAGATGCTTTAATGACACCAATCTATATTCAAATAAACTTTTAGCTATTTGGGAAGTTAATTATTGTATTTTTACCTTAAACGATTATGGCTTAGCCAAAATAAAGCTCTGGAAAGCAAAATATTCTAGCCACAGCCTAGAAGGAGATTTTCAAGAATATATTTGTATAAAAAATGTTTCGGAGTTTGAAGGGCATGAAAGTATTCAATTTATGAATTATTTTCAACAAATTGGCGAAAATAGAATGGAAGACGCAATTTTATGTGTCAAACTTCTAGATTTTTGAAAAGAAATTGTATCTGTAAATCCAAATGCAAAAAAAATTAATAAAATGTTGGAAGTAATTTCAAGCTCTATTGCAAATATTTTAGAAAATTATTCTAATTTGCACCAAAAATTCCCAAAATCTAAAGAAGCTTTATCTTATTATTTAACATATATGAAAGATATTATGTTTGATTTTGATAAATCAAATTTACTAGCTCCCCATCCGTGAGCGAACAAAAACATTTTGTTCAGCACAAAAATTTCTATATAATATTTTTATAGTAAATATTTTTTCGTAATTAAAAAAATCCTAATTCGCAAAATTTATTTTACTGTTTAAAATCCAGCAGAATTAGAAAGAGATTTCGTTGCATTAATTATTAATTATTTTTTTTTTCATAAACAATTTTCTATAAAAAAATTTTTTTTCTCACAGAGGGGGAGTAAGTAGCAAGCTCCAATCTATTGATAAATTATCTATCAAGCAAAATGCTGATAGTAAAGACTTAAGCTTTTTTGATGAAAATAATGGATTAATGCTCATATCTTTCGAAAATAAAAATTTTGGAAAAATTGCTTATGCAAATCAAAAAGCATCAGAAATACTGAAGTACCCCATAATTGAAATCACAGGACATAATTTTTCATTTTTCATACCCCCTCCTTATGATTCTTATTTTAACTGTAAATTGTTTCATCTTCTTCAATTTGCAACAGAAGTAGAAATAAAAACTCCTAATCATTTTTTCTTGTCATTGCCTAGTAAATTTATTATTGATTGTATTGGAAAAGCGTCATTGATATCTCTTTCGAATCAGATTTATATATTATTTATTTTTCAAGAAATAAAACATTCTTCTGGATTTGCAATGATTTCTCCGGATAAAGAAATTTCTTGGCATAGTGAAAACTTTTCAAAATTTATAGGGAAAATGGCTCAAAATTTTGAAGGACTAAGTTTTAATCATTTATTTCCCAGCTTGCAAAATGTTGAATTACAGGATTTTAAACCATATAAGCTTACTGAAACTGAAATAAATTTAACTCCTTGTTATTTTGAGTTTTATGGCTTAAAGATTAATTACATTTTAATAGCAGATGATTCTTCAGAAACAAATGTTAGTAAATCGAATGAAAATATCCAAAATAGTCAGAGCAATCTCGAGGATCCTTCCAAATATCAATTAAGCTGTGATGTGACAAATCAAGGCCAGAAAGGTAAGTTCGTAAAATATTTTAATACTGAGTCGCAGCAAAGATTTTCTCTAAACTCTGAAAGCTCATCACATTTAGGAAATTTAAAAAAAATTGTGAATTTATCATCGCATTCAATAAAAATTTTCCATATTGTTTTTATAGAAATTTGCCTTGTATTTTCGATTTTTCCTCTGCATAAACTAGCTAAGTCATTGGAAAATCTTACCCTTTATAATTTTATATAAATAATAATTATCATAACCGAATTTCTAGGTTATTAATTATATTCAATTTAAAATAGATTAAAAAAAATTATAATATAAAATTAGTATAAAAAAGAATTTGAGTCATGAAACTGCACTCTCTCACACAAAAGGGAGAAAGTGGAGAATTTAATGAAATTAACCATATATTATCCGTAAAAATAACATAGATGCTTATTGTCATGACTTTAAACTCAATTGTTTTAATATATACTTCAAATGCAATTGTGGCTGAGAGCAATACTGACTTGCTTATTTTGCTTGGAAAAGTAGAAAAATCAGTTCAAGGAATAGCTCATAATGCTAGAGGTGTAGGTGTACTTGCGGGAAGTTCACAAGAACTGGTAGATTATTCTTACAATCAAATTATTAGTTATATGAAAGTTTTAGAAGAAACTCATCAAAATATAACGAATAATTTAAATGAATGGAATACATGTGGAGGAAATGATGCATTCACAAATGAAAATGCTCCGATTTGAGAAAATTTTGATGGGATTTATATAAAGGAAGCCAATTTGATTGATGCTGTTTCACAATTTATTAATGTTGTAACTGATATACAGGGAAATATTTTTCTTGATAAATATAATAATAAGCAAAATGATGCAAAAGAAGTCAAATTTATCAATTTAAATGGTCTAAGCCAAATTTTCAATTATTGCAACAGCTCTTTATACACCTTTACTGATTGCATTATGAATAACTCAAAAGAGCTCGAATCCTGAATGAATATATTGCTGGTCGTTGGCTTTGCAAATTTAGTTATTTGCTTACTCCCCCACTCCCATGAGCCTGTAAAACATTTTAAAAAGTCCATGTTTTATTTAGATATAAAAATTTTTGGTAATTTAGTTCAATTTTAAGAGCTTAAAATCTAAAATATAAAATTTTACGAATTGAAATCTACAATAAAATTTATAGAGCCTCACCCAAATTTTGGGAAGACTATTGAGCAGCATGAAAACCCCTTCAATACCTAAATACCTAGTCTTGATAATAAAAAATATAAGAGATATTGCAGCATTTCACTTCTATACAGAATTTTTATATGTTTGGCAAGTTTGGATAATATTTTTGTATTAAATTTAAAAAAAAAATATGTTTACTCCTTTGCAGATCTTTAAGGAAAATGGATTTTAAAAGAAAGCAACTGATTAAAATTCTAACTCCCCCCCCATCCTTGATCGAACGATTGACTGTAAAAATTCCTAAAAATTGGGGAAATTAACCCCCATCCTTGATCGAACGATTTTCATATCATGCAAATTTTTATATATATAAAAATATATTAGTTATCAAAAGCTTGGGAAGATGCACCTAATGAAGTTGTTTTCAGAGCTTTGAGACGACAGAAAGCTACGGAATCAACAATTCGAAGTGATTTAGTTATCAACCTAGGCTTAAAAACTCAATAATCTAATAAAAAAGAGATTCTGTAAATTTAAAAAAAAAAAATAATTCAATAAGGAACAAATTAAAATTTATACGGTTTAAAAGGGTAACTAATAAATCAAAATATTAAAAATTGATATTTTATGAAATTAATTCAATTTTTTGCTGTAAAAATAATTATTAAATACTCTTAACCCTCTTATTTAAAAGTAATAAAAAAACAATTTATATATATATTTTTTTATTTTTATATATAATGTTTTTTTCCCAAAAAAAATTTTTTTAAACCCCCATCCTTGATCGAACGATGGCGAGTCGTTTGATCAAGGATGGGGGGGGGAGTAAGAAAATTTATATTCAAAATTAAATTTAAAAATTTTATCTTATATATCCTATTTGTCAGTTTAAAAAATTTGACTTTTCAGAATTTTTCTTTAAATGTATTTTTCCTCAGAAATCAAAAGAGGAGTCGGATGCTATATATATTGTTTTATATGAAAATAAGTTATTTTGATGCTAGATATTGCATGTAACTATGATACATAATTATGCTTATTTGTGTCTATTCATTATAAAAAGAATTCAACTGGATTCATGATAAAGTGCGATAATAAAATGAAATTCAGTGTATTTCTCTATTAATCATTTATATAGTAGGTATGAAATGAAGTATTAAATATATTTTTAAGCCTGCTTAAATTGCGTTTTAAAAGTTTATCAGCAAAAATTTTTGCAATATCTCTTATTTCTTATTATCGGGTAGGGCGCTATATATATAAATATTCAATCCTTTCGTGAGAGAGCCAATATTTTTTGCTTACTCAAGGAGGGGCGGGGTTAGTAATTACAATGTTTTTTGCTAGATATAGCATAATTGCAGAAAATAACTTATGAAATAAAATTAAAAAGAATGCATCCAAGAATTATGAGCATCTTAAAAAAAATTATTTTGATAGGCTTTCAGAAATGCATGGACAAAACAATATTTTATTTTCTGACACAAAGAAAATCAGTGAAATCGGAAACTTTAAAAACCATTGAAAATATTTTTGGAGAAATTCAGTTTATTTCATTTTAGCTTTGGCTTTTTTTTTAGTAAACTATCTTTATTTGTATCAAAATTGCGTAGAATATTTGCATTTAAGGCCAAGTCTTCTTAGAACTATAGAAATTTACCTTCTATTGTCCAATATGGCTGATAATTATAATTAATATGGCTAAATAAAGCTAAACTCCTATATAATAAATTCCCAAGTTCTATATAAATCTTTAATTGTTTGGACAAGTGAGTTTTCAATATCAACAACTCCAATTGCTTTACCTATTTATTTATCTGGCGTTTACCCATTTTCTAATGAATTATCTTGCTTGAACAATGTAATATCTTCATTGCTAAATTCTGAAAGAGAAATAAGAAATAAAAAATATTCTCCATTGCTTTCTGACAAGTTTAGTGAAGTCTTTTATGAAAATACACGAAATATAGCAAAAATTGGAGATTATGGAGTTTACACAGCTGGAGCATTGCTACCTTTTGAAGCTTATTATTTAGATTTTTCAGGTTTAGACAATTATCTTGAAGTTTGGTTTAAATTAGTTAAAGAAATAAACGCTTTGGACAGTGAGTATGATTTATTGGTAGATTTAGCAGATAAAGACTCACAAAATGCTATTATGCAGCAATTGCGGTGAATTGCAATAACCTTGGGTATTTTTATTGTATGCTCATGAATTTTATATTTTGTTTTTTATTTACCGTTTTTATTAAAAGAACAAAAAAAGCTCGAAAATATGACACTCATTGCGAAGCTAATTCCTAATAAATATTTTAAATAAACTTATCTATGATCCGGTTGAAATTCCATTATGCGACTTTAGGAAGAAGAGGCATTTAAGTTTATATTAATATATATAATCAGTTTTTTTGATTTTTATTTGATGATCTTTTTATATAAAGCAACTGCAATTAATTTATAGGCGATTGTATCATATAAAATTCTTATTACCTAAATGCTCACTCCCCCCCCCCCCCTCCGTGAGCGAACAAAAAAATTTTGTTCGCTCACGGAGGGGGGTTAATTTTTTTTTTTTAAAAACAATTTATATATAAATTTTTATAAAAAATATTTTTTTCGAAATTTAAAAAAATCCTAATTTGCAAAAATTGGGAAGCAAATATTAATTTAATTTGCAAAATTTATGTTTTAAAACGCAATTTGTTTAAAATTAAACAGAATTAGCTCTAGATTTCATTATACTAATTATCACTTATATATCAAAATTTTTTTCCATTAAAATTTTTTCTATTAAAAAAATTTTTGTTCACTCACGGAGGGTGGGTTTTTGGTCAAAAAATGGCGATTTTTCTAATGGTTTTGTTCGCTCACGGAGGGGGGGGGGGGAGTCAGTAGACGGTATTACTTAGATTTTTTAAAGGATATAAATAGCTGAAAATTAATTTATATAAAAACATATGTTTAACTAAATTCTAATTTTATTTGCTGAAAATTTAAATAAAATAATAAGTCTTATTTAAATATAATTATAAAAGACTATAGTATGTTTCGATATAATAGAAAGTTTTATTTTTATGAAAAACGAAAAAATCTGCAAAAAATGCATTGCATGGCTTCGCTTGCTCTTATGCTACAAGCTCAACCGTTTTAATTTATACAGCTACAGCTATTATTGGGGGAAGCGATATTGAATTAAACTTTTTATTAAGAAAATCGAAAAATCAATAGAATCTCTTGGCCATTTTTCAAGAGGGTAAATATACTTACCGATCTTAGCAGCCCACAGGAATTAATAGACTATTCTATAAGGATTTTATTGTTAATTTAGAGCTTTTAAAGGAAATTCGACTAATCGGGACAGAAAATATAAATAATTGAAAATCGTGTGGAGGATTAAGATTATTAAAATTCAGGCACTAGCCATATTGGTGACGCAGCGGCAAATACCTCCCGTACGGGGAGGTTCTACAGCTTTTCAACTCCAACCCAGAGGATCTATGAATTTCTGGTACCCTTCTGTCTCCTCCTTGCCTTAAGGCTTCAGTCTTAGTGCTTATGGATTTCTATTGCCCTGCTACGGGCGATTAGAGTAGCCTGATTCCATGGATCCTTGGAATCTATCGAGCAGCGAATGGTCTTCCTTGACAGCTACAGGAAAAAGACTACTGCCTTAAGGCCCATGGGCCGAAATCCCCAGTTTCTTGGTAGAGGAATGCCCATGGGTTCTCATATCAAAGGACGTTGCTGAACACTCCATTTACAAGCTTAGGATAGCTGCAAAACCTACCCAGATGCACAACTCTTGAGCATGCACTTGATTATCGGCTAGGAACCCGCCCCAGTTCGCCGTAGCCATAAGGTCTAGACTGCTGTGCTTAGAGGGCAAGTTTGCACGTGCCATCATTTTAATGTATATAAATAATATCGAGGAAATGAGATTTTCATAGACGAAAATGTTTTCCTCTAAGATGATGACAATGCTTTTCAGTTAAAAAAATACATTTTATTAATGATATTTCAGAGTTTATTTGTTTTAATTATTATTCAGGGAAAATCTTTTATTGAAAATGAAATAATCATGAAGACCAAACCAAAGAAGTGCAGTTTTTCAATTTAAATGGGATAAACCAAGTTTTTCATTATTGTAATAGCTTTACTATAGAATCAAAGACCGTGGGATGAGCAATCTTGGTCATTCTGAATATATTTTTAACAGCTGCCTTTAGAATTTTAATGAACTAAAAAATCTTGAGAAGATGAAGATAACAGCAAAACTAATTCCAGCGAAATTTTTGGGATAATTTTAATAATTGAACGCTGAAAATTAGTTTATGTACTTAATTTATAGAAAATATGCAATAATTAGATTTTTATTATTTAAAATAAAATTTTAAGAAATATAATCTGGAATTTTCGAAAAGTTTAAATTTTAGAAATTACACAATTTTTGATTACCTTTTTTTTTCTCCAGAACGAAATATTCAGAATATAGGCTTTTTTCTTTTAAACTCTGATTGGGAACATTTGCCTCTTCTGATCCTGGCTTGGCATGTCTCTATTTTGACTTTTAAAATAGGATTAACAGATTTCTTAGTTTACCAGATATTTCATCCCTATTTAACTTATTATATAAGAGTAAGACCATAGTTAAAGCAGACTATCTTCAGTTCATTAAGCATGATTAAAAAATAATAATGCATATGATATCTTAATTGTAAAAGAAATTTTTAATAAAAATAATAAAACATTCTTTTAGCAGCCTAAATATTCATTGGGTATTCACCTACCAAATTAATAGTAAATTAATTACCACAATTTTATTAGCTAATTTAAAGAAGTAGCAATTTTTCTTTGACCTCTCACCATCTTATCTATTCATCTTTTAATGTTTTTTAACTAATTAATAATTTATGATAGATTTCGAAGCTGAAATAGGTGAAGCTTCTTCTTTAAACAAAAAGAATTATGGCCGAAAAGAAGAAAAACCGATACTAAATGCAATTTTTGAGTTTTTCTCTATTCTATACTATCAAAAGAGCTATTTAGGTTTGACTTTGCCACAACAAAAAGTCAAAATAGCAATTGAAGTCTCTTTATGGTGCCTTCAAATGACTAGTTTACTATGAATTCCAAACCTCCAAATTGAAGATTGAAAAGAAAATATGATTATGTGAAGAATTATTGGATATTTAAAAATAGACAATACTTGTTCAGCTCTTGGAATTGCTGATACATGTTTATATATCTTAATGGCATGCGTTTTCGCTGTTTTTTTTGGTATGTTTGCTTTAGTTTTAGTTCTTTATTATTCTATTAGCTTGCCAGCAATTATATTTAGCGTATTCAAAAGATTAATCTGTATATGGCTAAATATTCTGTATATACCTTCTTTGGAGTTATTCACGATATTTCTTAAGTACAATTTTTCACAGCAAAAAAATGTTTTGGAATATGAAGAAAATGATAATTCAGCGAATTTTAAAATATCAAGTCCTATACAAGCATTAAGCTTTATTGCCATTATAGTGAATTTCTTGATATTTTTTTTGTATTCTATGCTTTCAGGTGAAATTCGCCATTGTACAGCAAAAAGTATAGTAAAAGCCAAAGCACATTCAAAAATTGAGATTCATGCAGCAATCTTTACATTCGCTTTTCCGATTTTGTATTCGATATTTGCTGATAATTATATAATACATTTGCAGATTTTAGCGCTTATAAGCTCAGCATTTTTATTAGCTGAGACTATTACATTTTTGCCTTATTTTTCAGAATATTGCAGCATTTTAGTAATTATTCGGTTTTTTACAGTCACTTTAATGTCTTTTCTTTTTATATTTGGCTATTGCGTTGACAATTCTCTATTTATTACTTTATTTGCAATTATTTTATTCCCTATTTCTATCGTTTTTATCATTATTTATGCTTTAAAATTGCAAAGAAAATTAAGCAAAAATATCCCAGATAATATATCAGGAATAAAGAGCCAATATAATTTAGAAAAATCCCTCAGATATGCGTTATGCTCAGGAAATGTCGAAAATAAGAATGAAATTATTAGAATTTTCGAAAATTTTTTTATGTCTAAGAGCTTGGATAGAGATAAGCTTCAAGTTATATGAGTAACAAACTATTGTTTATTTACTTTAAAAAATGAAGCTTTAGCAAAAATAAAATTATCAAAAATTAAATATACTTCAGGCTGAAACTTAGAAGAAAAATATCAAGAATATTTGTGCAATAAAATTATCATGGAATCAGACTCAAATGAAAGTGTATCATATGAGAATTATTATCATAAAATCCATCAAATAAAACAGCAAGATAGAAAACTCTGCATCAATTTATCAGTTTTTTGGGAAGAAGTTACTTGCAAAAAACCATCATTTTCTAAATTAATCAAATCGCTGAATTCTATTAATGATGGAATTACTTTTTTGAATACCGAATATAAACAGCTCACCACAAAATACGATAATTCTAGAGATGCCTTACTCTCCCCCCCTCCGTGAGTGAACAAAACCATTAGAAAAAATCCCTATTTTTTGCCCAAAAAAAACACCCTCCGTAAGTGAACAAAAATTGTTTTAATAGAAAAATTTTTATGGAAAAATTTTATATATAAGTGATAGTTAGACAATGAAATCTCGAGCTAATTCTGTTTAATTTCAAACAAATTGCGTTTTAAAACATAAACTTTATAAATTAAATTAATATTTGCTTTCCAATTTTTGCAAGTTAGGATTTTTTTTTAAAATTTTTAAAAAATATTTTTTCTATAAAATTTATATATAAAATTTTTTAAAAAAAAAAATAACCCCCTCCTTGGGTGAACAAATTTTTTTGTTCACTCACGGAGGTGGGGGAGTTAGGACTGTATTTTTTATATATGAGGAATATTTTGCATGATTATGACAACTCTGATAAACTCAATTACAAGCTCAGATTTTTTGACCGAATTTTTTCCAGCATAACAAATGAAGCCCAGAATTTAAGCTGTTTTAATTCGAATAACGGAATTTTGCTAATTTCTAATGAAGAAAAAAATTTTGGGGAAATTCTTTTCGCAAGCTCAAGAGCTGCAGAAATTTTTAAACTTTCGACACATGGAATTGTGGGGAATAATATAAATCATTTCATCCCAGAACCTTATAACCAAAAAACAGTTGATACTATGAGCGAAATGGTTCATTTTAGCTCAATAACAGAGATATACTTTAATGATGGCTGCTTCTTTATTACTCCGAGGAATTTCTTATTAGAGTGCATTGGGAAAGCATCAATAACTTCGATTAATAATGTCATTGCGACTATACTTGTATTCAGATTAAATAAATCAACTCATCAAGTCGCTTTAATATCTGAAGATGGAGAAATTTATAGCTATACTGAAGATTTTCCTAGTCTTATAGGGCATGATAATTTAGTAGGAGCTAATATAAAATCTTTATTTCCGGATTTATACAATTTTATATATAAAACTATTTTGTTTTAAAAAAATAGATTGATATTTTGAAAAATAAATGGAAGCATTTTTAATGTAAAAATGTATAGAAGAAATAAATTTTCAGCCGCTAGTTCCTTACAATTTATCTGGTTTTAAAAATGAAATGATTTTAGTTATGTGCTATACAGAGTTTTATAATATTAAAATCCCTTATGTGCTATTGATAAATGATCCTGATGAAATTCTTAAATGAAAAGATGAAAAATGGAGGCAACAAGACAATCTTCAAGAAGAAAACTTTGTAAGGCCTATACCATAATAAATATGCGATTTAGCCAGGGCATTGCCTCCTGGCAATGCAACCTCAAGAGCATATTTAGTTATATTCGGCAAGGTTTTAGTAACCCAGAAATTGACAGCTATTAGATAAACAATTCTGATAATACAAAGAGCCTAGCCCGAGTTCTTATTCAGGATTAGATTTTTACCTCAAGGGAAAGAGTGAGTTCGATTTGGAAAGAAAAAGCTTAGCATCGTCTACAGTAAAAACCTAGACCATTAGGGCAACTTCCTAACGTTAAACTGAGAGTTACACCTAGCCTGTAATAAGTAAGTAAGACCGACACCACTGTCATTCCATATGTTCAGATCCTCACCTTCTGAAGAAAATTCTTTACTAATGTCCAAAGAAATGCTTGATCCTAAGTCAGATTGTCTATCAAATCCAGACGAAACCACAAAATTAGCAAGTAATCACGCATCTTCAATAGTAATAAATCTGCCAAAATAATTTAGATAAAATTATATTTTTTTGTAAAAATAATATATTTTTGTTTAAATTTAATCAATTAATTCCTTTGCATCTATATAAAGGGAAAAAATGATGACGAAAAATCCCAAACAGAAAGCTCATCTTTAAGCGTTTTTCTTCATATGATGAAAATTTCATCAAGAGCAATTGACGCATTGCATATTGTTTTCGTTATACTTGTAATTTATAATTAGATCGTTGTAGTACTTGCCACCAATCTAGCTGTTTTATTTTATGCTTTTAATGGTATAGGTATAGTCCGTGATATAAGTCTTCCAAAAACCATAGGAGATATAGGCAAAGCATTTCAGCAGCTTGGCGTTCTTTCAAGGCTGCTTTATATGCTTAATGGATTAGAAGGCATCGATAGTGTCCTCCAGCTTTGTTTTAATCGTTTCCAAGAAAATGTTGTCGCTCTTGATAATCTGTATATAAATGCTGCCTCAAATTTAACTGACTGAAAGTCATGTTCAGGGACTAGCATTTTTACTGAAAAGAACATTAATTTAGGGTGAGGAGGGTTAGGCCGACTGCTGTAGCTATGTCTACGATTTTTTAGTAATAGCTTTTTTTACTTCAAAATGGCGCGACATAGGTATTGGAAATTTTTAAAAAAATTCCCAATTAAATCACAACCTCTTTATTAGAGCCGGCCTATCGCGATAGGGGGTATCGACTTAGGCCGACTCACCAAAAATTATCGGGATAGGCCGGATCCGAAAATTTGTATAGTGTTAGGCCGGAATTTTTTTTTGCCAATAGATTTAGGCCGTATTTTTAAAATTTTTTTTTAGCACTAGACTTAGGCCGGAAAAAAAATACAGTCGTGCTATGCCGATTATATATGCTATTTTTCAAATAATTAATTTAATAAAATATAGTAAGAATATTGTAGGAATATATGAAATAATCCGAAGCCTTTAATCTATATGATATAAAACTCGCTTAAATTAATATTGCTACGCTTAGTAAAATAAATTTATTCTATTAGATGATCCAAGTCTTGATCTACAAAAGATGGAAGCATCTTCGTCTTGAGGTATTGTCCAGAATATATCTTTACCAGTAGTAATCTTTGCAACAAATAATATATGGGAGCATAAAAGTCCATATCTATTTCATTTGCCACAAGTGCATTCTAGGAAAATCCTTGCTAATTCTCTCCTCTTTTAATTGATTTTTATAATTTGTATCTATTATTCATCTTCAATATTGACTAAAACTGAAGACTTCATCCCACCCAGTGACTCTAACCTGATTATACCTTAAGTATTCTGCCTAACCCTCTTCACCCATTAATTTATGGAAAATTGATGATGGGATGTATACGGTAAAAACCACTCTTATGGACACTATTGGGCAGTTTGTTCAGTCTGTAATTTTCATATAGGGATATGAATTTATTACGAAATATAATAATGGAGGAAATTTTTATAAAGAAACTGCATTTTTTGCTATAAATGGGTATGGTGAATCTTTTAAGTATTGCTATGATTCTCTGTGTGATGTGATAAGCTGCAAAAAATCAGCAATTTCTGACTTTAGAACTGAAATATACATACTGTTGGTATTAGGGATTATAGTGCTTTCTATAGGCATTGTAATAATGGTCCCATTTTGCAACTCTGCTATCAAAACTGAAAATATACTATGAAATAATATAAGAAAATATGCAACTAAAAATTACCTTGAGCTTAAGCAGTCTTGTATTTTAAGGCTTAACTCAGTCCACAATCAGCATGAAACAGTTATCTTCAACGGAAATCGATCAAAAAATTTGTTAAGCTTCAGGAGCTATTGGAAATATATATGAAGGGTCACCTTATTTTTAATAGCAACTTCAATATTCTGCATAATAAATATTACTTATTTCTATCAAAAATGTGCAGATTATTTAATATTTAGGTTCGACAAATTTATACGAAACTGTCAGAAGTCGACTTAAAGAACCTGATCTAAGTAATGTTAAGACAAACCGTTTAAAGTCGATTATGCGAATAATATAAGAGTAGCGATAATCAATTTTTTTTGACATAAATTGAATAGTAATTTTTTTATTTTTTGCAGTCTGTTAAGAACAAAAATAGGGAAGTCGGTTATAAGAAATAGAGTGAAGTCGTTTAAATAGTAATTGATCGAGTCGAATAAAAGAAATCGTTTTTTGAAGTCGTCTTTGTGAAATATAATCAAGTCGAGTAGTGCAAACATAAGAAAAACATGATAAATGCCTTCAAGTCTGGATTGTGAAATCTATAGAGGTCGACTATAAGAAATATCATAAAGTCGATTATAAGAAATAAATTCATTCTCTCGACTTGACAGCTTTCATCATCTGATAGTGAAGAAAAACGATAAACCCTTTGAAGTCTAGGCAAAAATCTAAGTCGTTTTTATGAAACCGTTAGAAGTCAGGTTAACGAAACTCAAGAAGTAGGTTATAGACAAAAGCATTCAAGTCGATTAATTTTTACCATTATGATAAAAATAGGCAAGTCGGTTATAGCAAATTTTAATATTACGAGTAATACTAATCTTAAATAATAAAACTTTAAATATTGTTAAAAGAAAATTATTAGAAATTATTAAAATTAAGTATTTCTATCAAAAGATCAATTCTTTCAGGAAACAGACCTATGCTTCAAAAGCCAGTAGAAATATAGAGCATAATCTTCAAGTTCCTTATCATTTCTTGGGTGGAATCCGTTTTTATAAGCTCTGAGCCTCTTCATTCTGCTTCATAAATTCTCGATATTATTGGTTGTGAACCTTCCCGTGCCAAAGTCTCTATTATGGTAGACAATCGAATGCAGATATCCAATTGCTGGCAGCTGCTCAGCCATCACTAAAAATTTCAGTTGGATTTTGCTGGATCATTACAAACTGAATTTATAATATATCCTTCTAAATTTTCCCAGCTTCTATCATTTCCAACATAATATACTTTGAAATCTTCAGTTCCTCTACTTTTATTTTAATGGAAGATTCGGAAAGTAATGTTTCCTATTCTTCTTCCTTTTGTGAAGAAAACGGAGCTTTACAGGATGAATTTTTCGAACTTTTACTATTAAATGAACTTATTGATACAGGATTACTTGATAATTCTGAATCAGAATATGAATGAAATGATAGTGATACAGAAAATGTTGATACAGATGACAAAACATTGGAGTTTTTAAGTCGTTTAGATGGAAAAATACTAGATGAAATAGATCCTATTCAGGAAACCTTCAAATATAGGAAGACTGAGGTGATCATTGATGATAAGAAGACAATCGATAAGAAAATCCTGAACACCAGAAAAATAAAAATTAGATCAGATTCAAATTTTATCAGAAAAATAAAATTGATATCAGAATCAAACATTATCAGGAAAATAAAATTTAGATCAGATTCAAATTTCATCAGAAATAGAAAATTCATATCAGACTCAGAAATCGAAAAAATCGCGGATTACGTGGGTTCAGAAAATTTTACTAAAATTTTATCCAAAGATTTTAGAAAAGAAGAAAGTTAAAAAATTTTTAATCGGGATGGCCCTGAAATAAAGGCCTTTAAGTAATAAAGATTTCTCTCTCTCTCTCAGTTCCTCTGTCATAGAGACCAAATAACCATTTAGTATCGCCATCTATTGTTGCCAAATGAGTTTCGTCGACTTCAACCGTTGGATGACCTTCGCCAGCTTCATTCTCTATGCCAAGTTGAGTATCTGTGAAATATTCTTCTGTTACTTTTTCTTTAATCAAAGCTCTTATTTTCTTGAAGAGCTTTATCACTGAATCTCTTGAAATCTCTGAGTCTTCAACTATAGTAATAAGAGGATGCTCTCTAACGAGACAACGAAAAATCAACAGCACGATTTGCCTTATTTGTAGCCTGGATCTGTAAAATATAGAGCTTCTTCTGACAGATAAGCTTATGTTGCAATTTAAACAACGGAGAAAAAGGACTTTCATTGCGCAAATACATAACACAATTTCCATGGCATAAGTCACACATATGTTTGGCTTGAGGATTCCAACTTCTTGGCACCAGGCGATTGCACTTTCTTCTGATCTTAACATTTCTTGGAAGTGTCCATAGATGGGATGCATAAAACCGTTCAGCCATTATTATTATTACTTAATAAGAGAATTTAATAAGCCCCTTAAATAATAATTAGAAATTATAATTACGCTAAATTACTTCAGCCTTCTAGGAGGCTGTCCTAATCCTTTAAATAGGATTAATTATTTAATAAAAGTATCATAAAGCAATTATTTTAAAAAAAAATTAATATATATTAAAATTTTGCTATAACCCGACTTGCCTATTTTTATCATAATGGTAAAAATTAATCGACTTGAATGCTTTTGTCTATAACCTACTTCTTGAGTTTCGTTAACCTGACTTCTAACGGTTTCATAAAAACGACTTAGATTTTTGCCTAGACTTCAAAGGGTTTATCGTTTTTCTTCACTATCAGATGATGAAAGCTGTCAAGTCGAGAGAATGAATTTATTTCTTATAATCGACTTTATGATATTTCTTATAGTCGACCTCTATAGATTTCACAATCCAGACTTGAAGGCATTTATCATGTTTTTCTTATGTTTGCACTACTCGACTTGATTATATTTCACAAAGACGACTTCAAACGATTTCTTTTATTCGACTCGATCAATTACTATTTAAACGACTTCACTCTATTTCTTATAACCGACTTCCCTATTTTTGTTCTTAACAGACTGCAAAAAAATAAAAAATTACTATTTAATTTATGTCAAAAAAATTGATTATCGCTACTCTTATATTATTCGCATAATCGACTTTAAACGGTTTGTCTTAACATTACTTAGATCAGGTTCTTTAAGTCGACTTCTGACAGTTTCGTATAAATTTGTCGAACCGATTATTTATATTACAGGCCTGAAGTTACCAAACAACTAATTACATCTCAAGTTTTGTTTACAAATTTCAATATATGAATCACAGAAGCAGCTATGCAGACCCCAGGGTTTTCACTAGCAGATATGCTACCGCTAGGCAGTCCTTTTAGCAATGCTATATTAAATTTAGATGAAATAATAGCTCAAATAAAATCATCTCAGCTTACTTTTAGAAAATCCAAACATTCTGAGATTTTACCTAGAAGTCTTAAAAAACAGTTTTTTGAAAAAGATAGCTGTGAAATTAAAGAGCACAATTTTGGGGTTTTTTCAGGAGGAGAAATCTCAATATTTGACGGATTATTAGTTTCAAGATTACAAGGAGACGCAGTCGATGTGTGGCTTGCTTTGATGGTTAGCCTACAAGAACTAGATACCGATTATAATGAATTGATTGAGAAATATAATCAATATTCACAAAGTGTGATAGATGATCAAATGAGCGTGATTATTGGAGTTTTGGCAATTTTTATTGTCATTTCGATTGTGATGTATTTTGGGGTTTATTTGATATTTTTTAGAAACGAGAAAAAATATTTGCAAAAAATAAATTCAATGCTGCAGATTATGCCTGAAAAAGTTATAAATATTCGTGATATATAATTAAATTTTAAAAATATTAAGCACTGACTTTCTTCTTGATAAAAGTTCTTTTCTTATACAGTTTTTAATTAAATTTTGTATTTAGGTATGATAAACTTACTCCCCCCTCCGTGAGCGAACAAAACAATTGGAAAAATCCCATATTTTTTGGCTAAAAGCCTACCCTCTGTGAGCCAATCAAATTTTTTTTCATAAAAAAATTTGATAAATGATAATTATTATAATGAAATCTCTAGCAAATTCTATTTAATTTAAGCTTCTTACATTTTAAGACATAAATTTTGCAAATTAAATTAATTTTTGCTTCTCAATTTTTACAAATTGGAATTTTTTTAAATTTTAAAATTTAATCTCCCTTCGTGAGCAAACAAAATTTTCTTGTTCACTTACGAAGGGCTGCTTCTAATCTATACTGATCGAATAAAAGACAGTTTGCATTATTTTTTTCCATTTAGATAAAAGGCTTCTTAGAATTAATTCAATTTTGGCAAATGGAAATCAAAAGAAAACTCGCAATGAAATTGACACATGGAATACCTAATGTGAAAGGGAGTTTAAATAAAGATTATTTATTTTTATTATAGGAATTGCCTGAGGATTGCGCTATCTTGCGCCATCCTCGGGCAATTGGTATAGATTTTTTAATTAAATAAAGTATTTAAGACCTTGAAGTAAAATTGCAAGTCCAGATATTTAAATCTAATGAAAAAAAATCGTTACAAATTAAAATTTATCTAATTTTCTTTTAATATCTCAATGATAAAATGAGCTTTTAATATATGGGCAATTAAGATAATATGTTTGTTGGCTTATCATTTCTTATATTAAAATTTACTTCATTTGCATGAATACTCAAAATCATTCAAAAATAACATATATTAAATTAATATCTTATTATTGCTTTGCATAAAATTAACTAATTTTTATTTTTAAATAAAAGTTATGAATAGCCTGGTTTTTGATTCAAAAATTTTAATAATAAAAATTGATATTTAAAATATTTTCTTTTTGGAGCGAGAGCTATTATGAACATTTTTATCTATGCAAATAATCCTATTCATATAATTTTTAAAAATGATGAGCGAAGTTTAATAAATTTTTATCAGTAACTTTAAAATATACTGGCACTGAATAGCAGAAGCTTATTACAGTAAAATTATTTTAACCAGTGCGACAGAGCAGGAAAAATATGCCAAAATTTTGAATAATCCCTATTTCTAAATCAACATTAGTCTTTTAAAAAGTTTTAAATTTTTTTTATTTCCTTCATATTCATTTTCTAAATAAATTATAAGTAATAATACAGAAAAATTTTATTTCTTTCATTATTTTATTTTTAGAAAATTTCAGTAAAAAACAGGCTCATTGATATAAATATGTAAAATTCTGGAATTATAATTTTAGCTATTTAAATGCATCTAAGAAAAGTTGAAAACTATGCAAATAGAAATTTAAATATTTTAAATACTTATCTTATCAAATAATCCTACCAAGTTTTCTTATAATTATCTCCATTTATGAGTGGATTTGATGTTGATAAGGACCAGACTACAAATTTCAAGAATAAGCTTTTGAGAGTAAAAAGAGAGAGATCATGAGTAAAAGCCCTTTTCGAAGTTTATCGACGGCTTTACTTCAGAAAGAATTTTGGAGAGAAATCAATTTACAAGCAAAGGGCAAAAGCAATTTTTGAGGCCTCAGTTTGATGCTTTCAAATAATAGCCTTAATTTGAATCCCAAACCTACCAATCAAAAATTGAAGTGGGAATATTTTTATTTGGGAAATTGTAGGATATTTGAGATTTGACAATACTTGCGCCGAATTGGCAATTATAGGAGAGTGCCTTTATGTTTCAATGTTTATGGTTTTTTTAATTTTTTTAGGCATGTTAGTCCTAGTTATTTGTAAATACAAATCTATTGATATACCAGCTCCGGCATTTACCTTATTTAAAAGAATATTTTATTTTTGGTTAACTTTATTTTTTATACCTTCAATTACGCTCTTTTCCATCTTTGAAAAGTATAATTTTTTGCCTCACGATACAGTATTAGAATACCATTTTAATAATGGCTTTAAAAACTTTGAAATTAGCTCAGCATTGCAAACAAATATTGTCTTTATGATGATTATTTCTTTTTTTTTACTTTTACTTTATACTGAATTTTCTGGTGAAATTCGACATTTTGCAATTAAGAGAACTTTAAAAGCAAAGGGGCATTCAAGAATTGATAGGCATGCAGCAATTTTTATGTATTTTTTACCTATTCTTTATGCGATGCTTGCAGAAAATAATATCGTTATTTATCAAATTTTGGTCATGCTTGTTTCATTAACACTTATGGTAGAGAGTATAAAATTTCTTCCGTATTTTTCGAAATTTTACAATTCGATAATGATTCTTAAGTTTTTTGTGATTGCTTTCGTATCCTTTATATTTTTACTGGGATATTGGCTAGATAATTCTTTATCTATCATCTTATTTGCAATCATATTACTTCCTATAATATTAGCATGCTTTCTCTACTATATCATAAAAATGCAAATAGGAGCAAATACCATAATACCAAATGATTTGATACATATAGATTCTCAATACAAATTAGAAAAAGCCATTAGGTATGCTTTATGTAATAATGATATTGATAATAAAGATCAAATTATTCGTCTTTTTGAGCTATTTTTTATGGCCCTAAATAGAGGCAAGCTTCAAATTATCTGAGAAGCAAATTATTGTTTATTTACTTTAAAAGATGAGTCTTTAGCTAAAGCAAAGTTAAGCAAAATTAAAACCATTTTGGATTGGAATTGAGAAGTAAATTATCAGGCTTATATATGTAAGCAAAATATTGAAAATTCTTATATGAGTGAAAGTTCAAATTTTTTAAGCTTATTTCACCAACTAAATTGGATTAAAAGAAAAGATAAAAAATTATGCGGAGATTTACTTAAATTTTGGAAAGAGGTTGTATCAAAAAAACCCATTATGAACAGGCTTATAACGCAGCTGAAAGCGATAGATAAAAGGGATGCAGGTCCAACGACACTTTCTTTTTGATAGTGTCCATTTCACCGAAATATTTTTGGCCGAAAATTGGTTGAAATTTTTTGATAGTGAGACATTTGACCGAAAAAAAAACGTTTAATTTTTCGGCCAATATCGCACTATTAAAAATTTTCAACCAAATGTATTCGATGAAATGTACACTGTCAAAAATCCACTGTCATTTGACATGAAACCAGATGAAAGAGTTGTCCTCCTTAGCAATGAATATAGTCAAATAATAACGAAATTCTCTAATTCTAGAGAATCTCTCGAACTTTATGCTTCTTATACAAGAAATATCTTGTATGATATTGAAAAATCAATTATGCTTGACAATAAGTTAAGATATTTTGATAGACTTGCTCAAAGCTCTACAATTGACATTAAGCAAGCTAATTTTTTTAATGATACAAATGGTATTATCATTTTTTCAAATGAAGAAGAAAATTTTGGAGAAATTCTTTTTACTAATCCATCAGCTATAGAAATTTTAAAATCTACTTCAGATTCGATTATTGGCAACAGCATATCTAATTTTATTCCTCCTTATTATAGAAAAATTTTTATTGAAAAATCTAAATGGTTTACTCATTTTGGCTCGAATTCAGAGATTAGTTTAGATGATGGATTTTTTATATATCTCCCCACAAATTTTATATTGGAATGTACAGGAAAAGCATCAATCACAGCAATTAATCATTTTATTATTACAGTGCTTGCTTTCAAGGTTAAACAAGTTACCCATCAAATTGCATTAATATCAGAAAATTGTGAAATTTTATGTCACTCTGAAAATTTTGCTGAACTTTCTAGAAATGATCAAAGCAATTTAGAAGGACTTTCTTTAAGAAGCATCCTTAAATTAGAAATTTCTAATTTAAATCCATTTACCCCTTACAATTTAGTTGGCCTTCAAAGGGATATTGTGTTTGTATTTGCGTACTTTGAGTTTAATGATATTAAAATACCATATATTTTATTAATAAGTGATCCTGAAGAAATGCATCAATGAAAAGAAAAAGGATTCAATGGGGATTTTAGCTATGATACAACTCCTACTCATAGCAAAAGAATTGAAAAAACATTCGAAATTATAGAAATTCCATTAAACTTGCCAACTACCCCCGCTTTACAAGGAAACAAAGAGCTCAGTTATGATTCCGATTGCAGGCTAATTTTTAATGAAGCTGACAATAATTCAGATCTTCATGGCGATTTTTCTTCAGAAAAAATTGATGAAAAATCTGTGATGTCCCAGCATACTTCTTTAAGAAATTTTATAAATACTACAAAAATATTTTCAAGAGCCATAAATATTTTGCATGGCGTTTTTGTCCTATCAGTGATTTTTATATAGATCATAATTGTTATATCCACAAATATCGCAGTCTTATTTTATGCGTTTTCCAGTATCAACTTAGTCAGTGACATGAGCCTTCCTTTGACAATTGGAAATGTTGGAAAAAACTTGCAATATGCTGCTTATCTTGCAAAAACTGTTTTAGTGCTTTCTTACCCAGGGGCTGGGACTAGAGATTATGCTATTACTACTTTGGAAGGGCTTAAAGCTGTATTGATAGAGTTGGATAATCTTCATTCATATGTTACTTCAAATCTTACTGACTGAACTTCGTGCTCAGGAAGTAATTATTTTACTGACAAAAATATCAATTTATGATATGTAGATTATAATGTTTATATGGAAAAAACAAGTTTATTGGATACAGTAACTAAATTTATCCAGATTGTAAAAGCTATATAGGGAAATGGATTTATAAGAAAATTTAATAACTCCGAAGACATCACAAAAGAGGCCTCATTCATGGTCTTGAGTGGTTATGGAGAAGCATTTCATTATTGCAACAGTTCGCTATATGACATTATAGAATGTCAGCAATCAGGAATATCAGATTTCAAGACAAAAATGCTAATTTTATTGGTATTAAGTTTAGCTGTTCTTGGGGCATGCGTTCTTATTATGACCCCATTTTGCTATTCGACGCTGAAAATTGAAAATAATCTTTGAAATAGTGTTAGAAAATCTGCTTGCAGACACTATCTTGAGCTTACTCAGTCCATTGTTGACAGACTTGCAAATACTCATCATCAAGACGAAATTCCTCCTTCTGCAAAACATCTTTCGAAAAAATCATTTATTCTCAAAAACTACCCAAAGTATGTATGGAGAATTTCTGTTTATTTTATAATTGTATTAGTATTTTCAATTGTTAATATAAGCTATTTTTACGAAAAATGTGCAGAATACCTGTCATATAGACCTGAGGTGATAAGAGAATTAATAAATTCGCAAACTTTATACACAAGCTTAGGTATATGAACAACAGAAGTGTCTCAAGACTATGCAGGGACTTCTGTGAAGTACATTCTATATTATGCTCTCCCTTTCATTGATAATAGATCTGCCTTGCAATTAACAATTGAAAAAATTCAACACTCAGAACATACGCTAAGAAATCCCAAATATTGTCCCATTAAATCAAAAAAATTTAATCAGATATTCCATGAAAATATCTATAATTATCCTTATCCTGACTTCAGATTTGGAGTCTATTCAGCAGGAGAAATCACAATGTATGAAGCTACAGCTATTATATATTTATTGACAGATTATATGGCATGGACGAAATTCATAAATGTTATTGCTAGTATAGACAATTATTATAGCCAAATGATTGATGAAGTTAACCATTATTCAAAAAGCGTTATTGATGACCAAATTCACTTAATAATAGCAATTCTTATAGTTTTTATTGTGATTTCATTGATAATGTATTTTGTGATGTATTTAAGGTTTTTCAGGAAGGAAAAGAAATATTTGACGAAAATAAATTCGATAATGAAAATCATGCCATAAACTTTTATAAAACTTGTGGTTTATTATAAGGGCTTGTATTTTAAGACTGTAAATAGAAATTATTTAAAAGATAATAAATGATGTTTACACATTATAAATAATTATTAAAGCACAGCAATAATAAATATACACAAAATTAATACAATCTTTGTTTATTTAGTCTATAGAAAACTGAAAAGTGCATTTTAAGATATGCAATTCAATTATTTTTAAACTTCTTATAATAATCAATGGAAACAAAGTGAAAAATAAGCAGTAGAGACAAATATAAAAAATTTAAAATCAGCTTTTGAAGTTTATAAACTAAGCCATTTATATTGTTTTATTTAATAATTCTTTGGGGCTCAATAATAAAAAATTAATGGCTTTCTAATTATTGATTAAATTTCACGCTTATCATAATGAAATAAAGTAATTATTCAGGTGCATGATGATATAAAGGAAAGGTTTTAGCGAACTTTATTTTATTTTTAAATAAACTTATCTTATCACCAAGTATATCTTTTATATTATGCTTAGCTTAGTTAATCTTAAAAAACTAAGAAATATATTACCAAAGACGAAAATCAAGCTATCGAAACACTACACTATTTATTAGCTGTAAATGATAATTTCAGTTATAAAGATCCAAACTTTTTTATAATATAATCTGTTTAGTAGATTATTAAAAGCTTCTAAAGTATGGCAACTATGGCTTTATATGCCGAAAGCATAGAGTTTTATATTTTAAGATTATTTTGCATTATCAGAGTCTTTAAATAATATTTTTCAATAGACACTCTATTTCATTTCCTTAAAAGTTTCAAATGATAATGATTAAAGAAAACATTTTGTCATAAGTTGGATTTTTCTAAAGCTTTATATCATTATCTTAAAAATTTATTAATAATTTATAATTAAATTTAATTATAGTAGTTCATAACGATATTTAAAAAAATTTATATTTAGAATGCTTTAGCTCTATTAAAAACTAAAATTAATCATCATTAGGTTTTTTCTTATAATGTCTTCACTTATGGCTGGACTAAATGCTGATAGATGGGAAGTCTCAAATTTAAAAAGTCAGTTTTTGAAGTTAAAAAGAGGAAAATCATTAGTAAAATCGCTCTTTGAAGTTTATAGGCAACTTTACTTTAAAAAAGGTTTTGCTGATAAATCAGCATATAAGCAAAAAGTCAAAGCTATATTTGAAGCCGCAATTTGATGCTTCCAACTAGTAGCTTTAGTTTGAATCCCAAATCTGCCAATTAAAAATTGGAGTGGGAATATTTTTATTTGGGAAATTATAGGATACTTAAGACTTGACAATACTTGCGCAGAATTTGGAATTCTTGGCGAATGCCTTTATTTAGCAGTGTTTATTGCTATCTTCAATTTTTTAGGTATTTTTCTCTTAGCTTATTGTATATATAATTCCTTTGAAATCCCTACATATGCATTAATCATATTTAAAAGAACCTTTTATTTATGAGTGACGATGCTATTTATACCGTCACTTACATTATTTTCCATCTTCGAGAAGTACAATTTTTCACCTCATAATACAGTTTTAGAATACCGTTCTAACAATAGTTTTAAAAACTTTGAAATTAATTCAGCATTCCAAGTCGCTATTGTTTTTGTGATGATTATTTCTTTTTTTTTACTTTTGTCTTATACTGAATTTTCTGGTGAAATTCGACATTTTGCAAGTAGCAGAACTATAAAAGCAAAAGCACATTCAAGAATTGATAATCATGCTGCAATTTTTATGTATTTTTTGCCTATTATTTATGCAATGCTTGCAGAAAATCATATCATTTTTTATCAAATTTTGATAATGCTTGCTTCATTAGCACTTATGATAGAAAGTATGAAATTTCTTCCTTATTTTTCAATTTTTTACAATTCTATAGTGATCCTCAGATTTTTTATTATTGCTTTAATATCCTTTATTTTTCTGCTAGGATATTGAATTGATAACTCTTTATCTATCATCTTATTCGCGATAGTTCTCCTTCCTATATTGTCCATATACTTTATTTATTTTATAGTGAAACGACAACAAGGAGCAAGTATTAGCTTACCTAATAATTTGATAGGAATTGACACTCAATACAAATTAGAAAAAGTTCTTAGGCAGGCTTTATGTGAAAATGATACTAAAAATAAAAATCAAATTATTGAAATCTTTGAATTATTTTTTATGACTCTAAACAGAAGCATATACATACATATTAACTTAGGTATTTAAAGTGTTTGCCCTCCTCAGCAGGGTGATATAGGCATAGCCCACTCTTTTAACTCCAGACTACTAGTGACGTCACCAGCCATCTTGTCTCGCAAGCATTCCAGGAGACGCTCCCGTCTGGCCAGAAGGTACCGCACTGGTCGCGCTGACCTCGCTCGTAACTTGACTCCTGCACGTGTTCCGCCTAAGGGTCACCCTCCTCGGGTGTGTCAATCAGAAAAACCATATGTCCCTTAAATATCCTGGACCAAGAGGAAATACCCTATGCGATGCTCCATATTGGTGTTGCGGATATAAGCCCACGTGGAAAACTAACCCCATAATAATAAAAGCGAAAGAAGGAAGAGTTCTCGGAGAGAAGTAATTCCGCACTGAGCCATTTTATTATTATGACTCTAAACAGAAGCAAACTACAAGTTGTATGAGAAACAAATTATTTTTTATATTCATTAAAAGATGAGTCTTTAGCCAGGGTAAAGTTGAGCAAAATTAAAACAGTTTTAGATTGAAACTGAGAAGCAAGCTATCAAGCTTATTTGTGTCAAAAAAATATTGAAGATTCTTATATGAGTGAAAGCTCAACATTTTTAAGTTTTTTTCAGCAATTAAACTGGATTAAAAGAAAAGATAGAAAATTATGTAAAAATTTACTTAAATTTTGAAAAGAGGTTACATCAAAAAAGCCCATTTTAAAAAGTCTAATAACGAAGCTGAAAGCTATTGACGATAGAATTCTTTTCCTTAACAATGAGTATAGTCAGATAATAACGAAATTCTCTAATTCTAGAGAATCTTTAGCACTTTATGCATCTTACACAAGAAATATCTTGTATGATATTGAAAAAGCAATTATGCTTGATAATAAATTAAGATATTTTGATCGAATTGCCCAAAGCTCTACAATAGATACCAAGCAGCTTAGTTTTTTTGATGATAAAAATGGAGTTCTAATTTTTTCAAATGAAGAAGAAAATTTTGGAGAAATTCTTTTTAGTAACCCAGCAGCCTCTAAAATTTTAAAAACTCCTTCGAATTCGATTGTTGGCAATAACATATCTAATTTTATTCCTCCTTATTATAGAAAAATATTTATTGATGAAACTCAATGGTTTACACATTTTGGATCAAATTCAGAGATTAATCTAGATGATGGATTTTTTATATACCTCCCTACAAATTTTATATTGGAATGCACAGGAAAAGCATCAATCACTGCATTTAATAATTGTATTATAACAGCAATCGCTTTTAAAGTTAAGCAGACAAGGCGCTATATTGCATTAATATCAGAAAATTGAGACATTTTATGCCACTCTGAAGATTTTTCGAAATTCTCTGTAAATAATCAAAGCAACTTAGCAGGATTTGCTTTAAGCAATATCCTCAATATAGAAATTGCTAATTTAAATCCATTTGTGCCATACAATTTAGCTGGTCTCGAAAAAAATATTATACTTTTATTGGCATATTTTGAGTTTCATAAAATTAAAATACCATATATTTTGCTAACAGATGACTTACTCCCCCCCCCTTCCGTGAGTGAACAAAACCATTAGAAAAATCCCAATTTGTTCCCCAAAAACCCACCCTCCGTGAGTGAACAAAAATTTTTTTAATAGAAAAATTTTTTATGGAAAAAATTTTTGATATATAAGTGATAATTATTATAATGAAATCTAAAGCTAATTCTGTTTAATTTTAAACAATTCGCTTTTTAAATCATAAATTTTATAAATTAAATTAATATTTGCTTTCCAATTTTTGCGAATTAGGATTTTTTTAAATTTCGAAAACACATATTTTTTATAAAAATTTATATACAAATATTTTTAAAAAAAAAAAAATTATCCCTCCGTGAGTGAACAAAATTTTTTTGTTCACTCACGGAGGGGGGGAGTTAGAAGAAATAGAAAAATGAAAAGATAAAGGATTAAATGAAAATTATAGCGATAATAATTATTCTAACCTAAGCGACATCAAAGAAAAGACAATTGAAAATTTAGAGATTCCATTGAAGTTACCAACTGCTTCAGCTGTACAAGAAAGCAAGGAAAATAATTATGATTCCGATTTTAAGCTTACTATCAATAAAGCTGATGATAACTTAGATATCAGTAGCAATCTCTCTTCAGAAAAAATGGACGAAAAATCTCTTTTATCCCAGCACACTTCCTTAAAAAGATTTATAAATATTACAAAAATATTTTCAAGGGCCCTAAATATTTTACACCTCATTTTTGTTTTATCCGTAAATTTCATATAGATCTTGATTGTTATTGCAACCAATATTGCAGTCTTATTTTATGCCTTTTCCAGCATTAGCTTAGTCAGTGATAACACAAATAAAATTGCGACGACACCGACCCGTCCTCTCCCGCAACTGGGCGAGATTGGGGACCTTGCTACAGCCTGAAGCCAATCCGCCCAGGGAAATGTCTGGAATGGGTACTGGTAGTTTGTGTCCGGCTCCCAGTCCAGCAACGACGATCCTAGGGTCGTCCCGATAGGACACGGAGTAAAAAGGGTTTATCCTCTACGCTAGTGCCAATTTGGAGGGCATGGCAGGAGCCTACAAGAGCTAAGGAGTTAATCCTTAGCTCTAATCCTAGTCTGGCGACGTGAAGCACGGTGACCCAGTCCGCCTACTTCCGGGATAGCATGACCAAGCCCTATGACCGGAAGGAGCTGAGTGGTAGCCTGTGGCACTTAGGTGCACACTGGGAGCAGGGCAAGGAAAGCAAGCGAGGCGTCCAAAAGGCGGAAGAAAAGGACCGTCGGTCCTGGCCGGGAGCTACTCTATAAATTTAACTAAGACTAAGACTAAGACTAAGCTTAGTCAGTGATATTAGTATTTCTTTGACTATTGGAAATCTTGGTAAAAACTTGCAGTATGCTGCTTATCTTGCAAAAAGTGTTTTAGTGCTTTGTTATGGCGGAGCTGATATGAGACAATACGCTTTGAGCACTATGGTAGGATTTGGAAACACGCTGATAGAATTGGAAAATATTCATTCGTATGTTACTTCAAATTTAACAAATTGAGACTCATGCTCAGGCCGAGATTATTTTACTGATCAAAATATTGACTTATGAAATGTAAAATATAGCGTTTATAGGGTTAAAGGTTAACTTATTATTAAAAAGCACCTGTGGGCTCAATTCGCCTGCCATCGCCCTCTAGGGGTAAACATCTCGTCGTCTGAGGCTCACGTTGAACGGCGAGTGAATAAGTTGGCCACCGTGAGCGTTTATAGGGAAAAAACAAATTTATTGGACGCATTAACTAAATTTATTCATACTGTAAAAGTTATATAGGGAAATGAATTTATAAGAAAATTCAATGATTCAGAAGATATCACAACTGAAACCTCATTTATGCTTTTGAATGGCTATGGAGATGCCTTTCATTATTGCAATATTTCTCTATATAAAATTATAGAATGCCAGCAATCAGGAATATCAGATTTTAAGACAAAAATGCTTATTTATCTAGTATTAGGAATTGCTGTCCTTGGTGCATGTGTTCTTATTATGGCCCCATTTTGCTATTCAACTCTGAAAATTGAAAATAATCTTTGAAATAGCATAAGAAAATCTGCTTATACGCATTATTCTGAGCTTGTACAAACAATTACAGAAAGGCTTACAATCATTCATCATCAAACTGAAATTCCACTCAATGGCAAGAAGCTTTCTAAAAATGCATTTAACTTCAAAAATTATCGAAAATACGCATGGAGAATTTTTATTTATTTTATAATTGTGTTTGCGTTTTCCATCATTAACATGAGCTATTTTTATAAAAAATGCGCAGAATACTTGTCTTATAGGCCTGAGGTCATAAGAGAGTTGATAAATATGCAAACATTATATACAAGCTTAGCGATATGAACATCAGAAGCGGCAGGGGAATACACAGGAACTGCTGCTAAGTACATTTTATATTATGCCTATCCTTTTGTTGATAGCAAAGCTGCAATGCAAATCGCAATTGACAAAATTAATTATTCAGAAATAGTTTTAAGAGATACAAAAAATTCCCCTATTTTATCAAAACAATTTAATCAATTATATTATGAAAATGTAAATAATTATCCTTATGCTGATTTTGGTTATGGAGTGTATTCAGCAGGGGAAATCACAATGTATGAAGCTACAGCTATTTTTTATGAGCTTAGTGATTATGCTGCATGAACAAAATTTATATTCGTGGCAACCAGTATTGATCATTATTACAGCCAAATGATTGACGAAGTTAACAGTTATTCAAAAAGTATTATTGATAGCCAAATTCATTTAATAATGGCAATTCTTATCGTTTTTATTGTGATTTCATTGACAATGTATTTTGGTATGTATCTAAGATTTTTCAGGAAGGAAAAACAATATTTGACAAAAATCAATTCAGTTATGAAAATAATGCCATAATTTTTTATGAATTTATTGGTTTTAATAGCGTATATTTATAGAAATGCAAATAAAAATTATTTATATAATTTTTTAATCAAAAAGCATTAAATAAAATTATTAAACATTCAAGACTATTAATATTAATAATCATGCCATTTTTTCTTCTAGCATTTTCTTTTTTACTTACTCCCCCCTCTGTGAGTGAACAAAACCATTAGAAAAATCCCTATTTTTTGCCCAAAAACCCACCCTACGTGAGTGAACAAAAATTGTTTTAATAGAAAAATTTTTTATGGAAAAAATTTTTGATATATAAATGATAATTAGAAATGAAATCTAGAGCTAATTCTGCTTAATTTTAAACGAATTGCATTTTAAAACATAAATTTTTATAAATTAAATTGTTATTTGCTTTCCAATTTTTTGCAAATTAGGATTTTTTTAAATTTCGAAAAATAATTAACCCCCATCCGTGAGTGAGCAAAATTTTTTTGTTCACTCACGGAGGGGGGGAGTTAATAGTAATTTCATTTTATATTTTTATTATCAGCAAAAATATAAAAATTGAAACAATTTAAGTTTTCTAACGTTTCCTTTGCTAATTATGATAATTTTATATAATTTGAACAATAAAACAGATAAAAACTTTTATGCCTTAAGTTATAGAGCCAATATGAGAGAAAATTATATAAACTATACTCAAACAAAAATAATTGATTATTGCTTAATTTAGGCAGACTTTTTAGCAATTAGGCTTAAAAACTTCAGTTTGCAAAAATTTTTTAGATTGAATCTCATAACAGTCAATATCAGCTGAAGTCTTTTAGCAGTTACATTGAGTTTTTTTAATCATATTTAATAAATTGTAATAAACATCCCTGAAGTCTTTTGCATATATGATATTAAAGCATTAGTTGCTTTTTTAAATTTAAAAATCAATATCATATGAATTTGTGCAAAGAAGGCTTGGCTGTTCCATTCACGCAAAATAAGGTATATTAAAAATATTTTTTTCCTAGTAAAACTATAGCTCAAAACACTCAGATATTTTTAAAATATTTATAAAAAATGATTATCATAATTATAAAAATCACAATAAATTTTAAAGCCTTCATATTAGAAATTTTCTATCTCATTCCTTTTTCCTTATAAAAGCATTAATTATGACAGGGCCAGCAATTGAATTTGGCAATACGAAAAATAAGTTTTGGGAAACTGAAAACGAAAATTTATGATTAGATGCGATTTTTGAGACTTATCGACAATTGTACTCAAAAAAGAACCTCGAAAATAAATCTTTTTCGAAACAAAAGGTTAAAGCAGTGCTTGAAGCAACAATTTGGTGTTTGCAAGTTGCAGCTTTAATATGGATTCCAAACCTTCCAGTTAAAAATTGGAGTGGAAATATTTTTATTTGAGAGATCATGGGGTATTTAAGATTTGATACCACCTGTGTTAAGCTAGGCATTATTAATGAATGCCTATACTTATCATTTTTGACAGTTTTCTGTATAGGTTTTGGCCATTTAGTTATAGCTTTTTTTTTGTACAAATCATTTGACTTACCTCAACAAATTTTTGTTTTATTTAAAAAATTTTCCTATTTATGGGCTATTATGCTTTTTATTCCTTCGATGACTTTATTTTCCATTTACCTCAAATATAATTTTTCTCCTGACTCCCCCTTGAATAGCAATCAATATTTAAATAACTTGCTCACAAGGATAATTTTTGGATTCAAAATCCAGAATACATTTTACTTTAAATAATAATTATATATATTTTAATTTTTTTTAAACAAGGGATATAGCTTGAGCACTCTATATTCAAAAAATAGGATTTTCTTATGTGCTCTGTGATCTTAGGGAGATTGAGGAAAAAGTATTAGAATATAACTCAAATAATCATTTCAAGGACTTTGAAATTAACACTGCTTTGCAGATACTGATCGTTTTTGCAATGGCTATTTCTTTTTTTCTTATATTATTTTACTCTGAACTTACAGGTGAAATTCGTCATTTTGCAGCTCAGCAAACAATTAAAGCAAAAGCGCACTCAAGAGTTGATAATCATATGGCAATTTTTATATATAGAAGTTTCCTATGTTTGGCGCTGTAAGGCCGATAAATTCTGATCGGAATTTATCGGTAGGTTGCACCAAATCAATGCCTTGGTCGGACCAAAAAGCGATTTGGTCCGACGAACTTGGAAAGCTCCTGGGAAAATGTCTGCGCTTTTAGCGCTATATAGAGGAAACCTCTATATTTCTTACCAATTTTTTATACGATAATTGCAGAAAATCATATTATTTATTATCAACTTATGATAATGCTTTTTTCACTATTTTTGATGTGGGAATCTATAAATTATATTCCCTATTTTTCTTTTTTTTGCAATTCGCTATTGATCCTTACTTCCTTAATAAGCAAGTTCTTTATTTTCCCCCTGTTTGAATTATTTTTTAATTATTTTAGGCCTCAATATGTTTTAAAACTGCATATATTGCTTCTTAAATATCACACTTTCTATATTTCAGCATATGATTTTGAAATTACCCTTATATATTCTACAATATTATACTAAAAAAATAATGCTCCTTAGCTTGCCCACTCAGAAAATGAGAGTTAGGTTTTTTATTATTGCTGCTATATCCTTTATTTTCCAGCTAGGATACTGGGTAGACAATTCATTATCAATTATTTTATTTGCAATTGTGCTGATACCTTTATCATCATTATATTTTATTAATTTTATCTTAAAACTTCAGCAAAGAACAAGAACCAATTTACCAAATAATTTAACAGGAATTAATTCAAAATATCAATTAGAAAAAGCTTTAAGACACGCTTTGTGTGAAAATGATGCTGAAAATAAAGATCAAATCATTTACATTTTTGAAGCATTTTTTATAGAAAAGACTACAAATAGAGCCAAATTACAAGTTATATGGGAAATAAATTACTGCTTGCACACGCTAAAAGACGAGTCTTTAGCTAGAGCTAAATTAAGCAAAATCAGCAAAATTTCTGATTGGAGTTTGTTGGCAAATTATCAAGCATATTTGTGTAAGAAAAATATTGAAGATTCCTATACAAATGAAAGTTCAAAATTTTTAAACTATTTCCAGCAATTAAATTGAATTAAGAAAGAAGATAAAAAATTATGCGAAACCTTACTAGAATTTTGAAAAGAGGTGGCTTCAGATTCGCCAATTTTGAATAGGCTTATAAGAAAACTGAATTTCATAGATAAAAATATTTTGTCCCTAAGCAGAGAATATAGTCAAATAATTACAAAATTTTCCAATTCCAGAGAATCTTTACTCCCCAGCTTCGTGAGTGAACAAAGCCATTGGATAGATTCCTATTTTTGTACCGAAAACCACCCCTATGTGAGTTCTAATTTTGCAAATTGGATCTTTTAAATTTGAAAAAACAAATTTTATATATATAAAATTTTAACAGAGTAAATAACCGTCAGAGGAGTTAGCCCTCTATGCTTCATATACAAGAAATATTCTTTTTGATATAGAAAAAGGGATTATGCTTGACAATAAATTAAGATATTTTGATAGGCTTGCTCAAAATTCCACTAATGACATAAGAAATTTCAGCTTTTTTGATGACGGAAATGGAATTTTGATATTTTCCAATGAAGAAGAAAATTTCGGAGAAATTCTATTTGCTAATTCTGCTGCTTCAGAAACTTTAAAATTCACGTCACTTGTGGGTAACAGCATATCTAATTTTGTTATACCTTATTATAGAAAAATATTCATAGAGAAAATGAAATGGTATGCTCATTTTAGCTCTGCCTCAGAAATTGACTTAGAGGAGGGATTTTTTATAGACCTTCCCACACATTTTTTAATAGAGTGCACAGGAAAAGCATCAATGACAGCTTCCTTACTTACTTAACTAGGTGGCTAGAGTCCACTTTGTTAGTTTGGTTACCGAGGATCCCACCAGGGGTTCATTCGCTTTGTGAGACATTACTTCCGATCGCAAGAAAGGCGGGTTGCCTGGCCGTCACCTCCTCCTTGCCACTTCGTGGTGACTCCAGTTTTGAGTGGGCAGACTACGGGTTCTCAGGACCTTGCTTCAGGCTGCTGCAGCAAGGTTGCCTAAACAGAAAAATCCAAAAAATGGATTTTCTGGCCAACTTTCGGCAAAAAGGAAAACTTGTAGCCCAGGCCGTAATCCCGGTTTCACGGAGAGAAAATGCCCTATGGATCCAAAGGACCTTGCTGAGCAATCCCTTTCAACTTCCAAAGCCTCCTCTTCCCTCGAGGTAAAACCCAAGTTGAAAACTGCCAAGGGCTTCTTACGCCACAGGAGCTGCTTACCTAGCATAGCTGACTATTTCCAGCTTGGTAAAACCTTGCCGAAAATAATTTAATATGTGCTCGAAGGTTGTATGGCCGGGAGACCATGCTCAAGCTGAGACATCATATTTAATAATGCATCAATAACAGCAATTAATAATTTTCTTATTACAGTACTTGTTTTTAAGCTAAAGCCTGCAAGTCATCAAGTTGCATTAATATCAGATGATGGAGAAATTTTAGGACATACTGAAGATTTTTCTAAATATGCTAAATATTCTGATAGAAATTTGATAGGTTTTGATCTATTCAAAATATTTAATTTTGAAAAATTTCAATTTCAACCATTCATTCCTTATCATTTATCAGATAAAATTTTGGTGTTTATGTATTTTGAAGTCTGCGATGTCAAAATATCATATATTTTATTAATAAATGACCCCGAAGAAATGCAAAAATGGCAAGATAAAGCACTTGAACAATGTTCCTGCCCTATCAGCCCTTCTTATATTAATAATAAAAGAAAATCAAGGCTATTAGAAAATCTTGGAATTCCTATGAGCCAGCCAATGACTCCAAAATCCCAAGAAAATAGAGAACTTAACTTTGATACTGAGTGCAGACTAATTATAAATAAGTCCGATGAAAATTCAGATATTCTTAATGACAAATCTTCAGACAAACTTGATGAAAAATCCCAAATTTCTTTGCACACCTCCTTAAAACAATTTTTAAGCATTATAAAAATATTTTCAAGGTCTATAAATATTTTGCATTTTGTTTTTGTCCTCTCTGTAAATTTTATATAGGTTTTAATTGTAATTGCTACAAACATCGCAGTTTTATTTTATGCATTTTCCAGCATCGATTTAGTCAGCGATATGAGCCTTCCTTTAACTGTTGGAGAAGCTGGCAAAAATTTACAATTAGCTGCTTATATAGCAAAAGTAGTTTTAATATTGTCGCCATATGCAATTTATTCCAGCTCAATATTACCTCCGATTTTTGCAGGATTAGAAACGAAAATTGGTGAACTGGAAAATATTCATTCTTATATTGCTGATTCCCCTCCGTGAGCGAATAAAACCATTGAAAAAAATGCTTATTTTTGGGAAGAAACCACCGTGAGTGGAAAAAAATATAAAACTTGTTTTGATATGCAATTAATAATAATTGTTATAATAAAATCTTGCAAATTCTGCTTAATCCTAAATAGCTTGCATTTTAAAACATAAATTTTAAGGATTTTTTAAATTTTAAAAAAATTTAATATATATTTTATTAAAAAAAAATATCGTTAGTTGCTTGTTTTTAAGCAATGCAACTTGCATGTGGAATCTTTTTGACATGTGGAATCATCTTTTCATATGTCGAAAAGATTCCACATGTAACTTGCATTGTTTTTAAACAAGCAACTAACGATAATCCCTTCTTGAGCGAATAAAATTTTTTTTTTCGCTATTAGAGAGGAGTAATAATTTAACAAGCTGGGACTCATGCTCAGGCAGAAGTATAGTTACCGATAAAAATATTGACATGTGGTATTTGGATAATGGTATTTATCGGGAAAAAACAAACTTATTGGATACTTTAACTCTGTTTATTCAGACTGTAAAATCTATATAGGGAAAAGAATTTATAAGGAAGTATAATACTTCAGAAGATTTTACCGAAGAAGCTGCATTTATGATAATAAATGGATATGGTGAAGCTTTTTACTATTGCAATCACTCAATGTATGATGTTATAGATTGCCAGGAAACTGGAATCAATAATTTTAAATCCAAAATGTTTATATTATTAGTGCTAGGGATTGCTGTCTTGGGAACTTGCATTCTAATTATGGCTCCATTTTGCTATTCAACTTTAAAAATTGAAAACGATCTTTGAAACAACGTAAGAAAATCTGCATATAAGAACTATTTTGAGCTTGCAAATTCAAGCATTGATAGGCTTACAAATATTCATTATCAAGCTGAAATTGCAACAAACGACAAAAAACTCTCAAAAAAGTCATTTAATTTCAAAAATTATTGAAAATATACATGAAGGATTTTTATCTATTGCATAATTGTATTTTTATTTTCTTTAACCAATATATTGTATTTTTATGAAAAATGTGCCGACTATTTGTCTTATCGGCCTGAAGTGATTAGAGAATTGTTAACTATTCAAACGTCATACACAAATCTAGGAATATGAGTGACTGAGATTTCAGGAGAATATACCTATAGTACTATAAAAAATCAATTGTACATGGCATATCCTTTTACAAATAGTGAATCTGCTGTACAAAAGGCAATTTCGAAAATAAAATATTCAGAAATTATTCTAAGGGATTTTAAGTATTCTGAAATTTTATCAAAAGGATTCAATAGAATATATTATGAAAATGTCAACTCGGCTTGAAATGAGCTTGCAACGGGAATACACTCAGCTGGACAAATAACAATATATGATTCTGGAGCTCTTATATATCTTTATTATGACCTTTACTCATGACTACGTTTTTTGAGTTTTATCTTTGAACTTGACCAATATTATAGCAAAATAATTGTTGAAGTCGATAAGTACTCTCAAAGTGTGATCGATGACCAAATACACTTGATAATGACGATTCTTGTACTTTTTATCATGATTTCTTTAGTAATTTATTTCGGAAAATATTTGATATTTTTCAGGAATGAAAAAAAATATTTGATGAAAATAAACTCGATGATGAAAATAATACCGCAAGGGGTTTAAACGAAAATATTTTAATAACAATTGTTTATATCAGATAAAATTTTTAAATTAATTTATTATTTATTTAGTGAATTATAAGAGCATATAAAATCAAATTCAAAAACTGCCTATAAAATTCTTTAAAGCAAAGAAAAAATTCAAGAAAATATTTAAGCATTAAAAATTAAACATTAATTTTCTATTAGCACTAAATAAAGCATGGTTAGAAATATAAAAGTATATAAGATTTTTTAAATATTATTTAGATTTTGTTAACTCCCCCCATCCTTTGACCGAATATTTTTACTGTAAAAATTCCTAAAAATTGGGAAAATTAACCCCCATCCTTGATCGAACGATTTTCATATCATGCAAATTTTTATATATATAAGAATATATTAGTTATCATTAGTTTATTTTATGGAAAATAAGTATGCTCTTTATATATAGTGGGCGCCTAATGAAGTTGTTGTCAGAGGCTTTGAGATGACAGGAAGCTACGGAATCAACCATTCGAAGTGCTTTAGTCATCAACCTGGGCTTAAAAACTCAATAATCTAAAATATAGAGATTCATTAAAATTAAAAAATTTTAATTCAATAAGGAACAATTTAAAATTTATACAGCTTAAAAGGGTAACAAAAAAAATTAAAATATTAAAAATTGGTATTCTTATGAAAAATAATTCAATTTTTTGCTAAAAATAATTATTAAATACTCTTAACCCTCTTATTTAAAAAATATATATAAAAAAAAAATATTTTTTATTTTATATATAATTTTTTTCCCAAAAATTTTGTTTTAATCCCCATTTTAATCGAACGATGGCGAGCCGTTCGATCAAGGATGGGGTGTAAGAAAAATTTATGATTTCAGTTTCTTTTTAATATATCATTTTTCATAATAAAATACTGACAAGCTAATCAGAACTTCTTTTTTAAGCTTTATTCTCAAAATTAATTTTTCCAAATAAATAATTAATGACACATCATACCTCGGGATATTCAGAAGAAATTCACTTTGACTCTAATCCCTCAAGAAAGCTTAAAAACAAAAAATCACTAATCAAGCCAATTTTTGAGTTCTATTGAGCTGCATATTATCAGAAAATTCCTGATGAAAAATCTTTTTTCAAGCAAAAACTCCATACAATTTTGACAACTATTATTTGGTCCTTTCAAATAGCAAGTCTATTATGAATTCCAAGCCTTTCAATAACAGACTGAAACACAAACAAAACATTTTGACACATTTTAGGCTTTTTTAGATTAGATAACGTATGCTATGCTTTAGGTGTTATTAATTTTTGCATCTACATATCATTCATTAACATTATGATAAATGCTCTTTTATTACTGATCCCAATCGCCTTGATTTATAAATCATTGAAAACTCCAGAATTTTTATATAAAACTTACAAGAAAAGTTTTTACTTTTTATCAAATTATTTTATAATTCCGTCAGTAACACTCCTCGCTTTATGTCTGAGAGTTAATTTTTCACGTCAAGATAAAATTTCTATTTATGATGGAAGCAATATGGAGGATTTTAAAGTAAATTTTGCGGTACAGATTTTGATAATTTTTAGCTTATTTTTGGGTTTTTTGGTTATTTTGATGGATGCATTATTTTCAGGTGAAATAAGGCATTCTATGGCTAAGTATATACTAGTATCAAAAGCGCATTCAGAAAATGAGTTTCATGAGGCAATATTTAAATTAAGCCTTCCAGTTTTATATACAGTTCTTTCAGATAATTATATTGAGCATTTTCAGTTAATCTTTATGATTGCTTCTGCTGTGCTGTTGATAGAAACATTAAAGAATTTTCCATATTTTAATTTCTTTATAAACAGCTTGAATGCTATAAAGTTGTGTGCAATTACTTGTCTAGCATCTCAATTTTTATTTGGAAAGCTCCTTGACAGTTCATCTTTAATAATTCTATTTACATTTACAGTTACCCCTCTATTCTGCCTATTTTCAGTCAAAATACTAGCATATCGAATAAAAAAAATTGGCTCAAATATTCCATCAAATCCCAAAAGAGTCGACAATTTATTTTATTTACTCCCCTCGAGTGAACAAAAATTTTTTATAAAAAAATTTGATATATAAGTGATAATTAGTATAATGAAATCTAGAACTAATTCTGTTTAATTTTAAACAAAGTGCTTTTTAAAACATAAATTTTATAAATTAAATTAATATTTTCTTCCCAATTTTTGCAAATTAGGACTTTTTTAAAATTTCGAGAAAAAATAAATTAGCCCCCCTTAGTGAGTGAACAAAATTTTTTTGTTCACTCATAGAGGGGGGAGTTAGAACATTGCTTAAGACATTATTTTTGTTCACACAATACAGAATTTACAGAAAAAATCATTAATTTCCTGGGAAAATGCTATAATGAATCCAAGTTATTAAAAAATAAACTTTTGGTTATATGAGAAGCAAATTATTGCATTTTCACATTAAATAATGACTCTTTAGCTAAAATTAAGCTAAGCAAAATAAGAAACTCAGATTTCAGCTGAGAAGGGAACTATCAGGAATACGTTTGCAGGAAAATCCTTTCAGAATTTAATACCAATGACAGTGCTGAATATTTGGATTATTTTCAAAAATTTCATGACTTTAAGCTAGAAGACGAAATTTTATGTATAAGACTTCTCGATTTTTGGAAGGAAATCGTTTCTGAAAAGCCAAATATAAGTAGCCTTAGCAAGCTTATAACTTATATCTCAGAATCTTTAATATATTTAGAAAGGGAGTATTCACAATTGTCATTATCATATCCTAAAGGTAAAGAGCCATTAATTTTATATTCATCATTCGCAAGAAATCTTTTATGGGATCTTAATAAGGCAACAGTATTTGAGTATAAAATTCGATCAATTGATAAAATTTTAACAAGCTCTACAAAGGACTTAAAAGATTTCAGCTATTTTGATGAAAATAATGGACTGATTTTAGCTTCTGCTGAAAAAGAAACTTTTGGAAATATTATTTTTGCAAACGCAAAATCTTTGGAAATTTTGAAATACACGATAGATAGTATTCTAGGAAGGAATTTTTCTGAATTGATCCCGCGGCCTTATAATCAATATTTTAATAAGCATATTTGCACCTCATTGCAGCTTATAGATGATACTGATTTAAATATACCTGAAAGCTTTTTCTTAGCATTATCTGATGATTTTATTATTGAATGCACAGGAAAACTGTCAATAGCTTGCTTTTCTGACAAATTATGATTTATTTTGATTTTCAGATCGAAGCCAGCCAAGAGACAATACGCTTTGCTATCACAAAGCTGGCAAATTTCTGCACATTCTGCAAAGTTCTCAAAGTTCTCAAAACTTGCAGCCCAAAATCGAATAGATTTAAGAGATTTTTATTTTGCACAATTATTTCCTAATTTGCTTTATACGGCTATGCAGCCTTCAAAGCTTTACCAAATTCCATCATTTAAATCTGATACATATCTAACTTATTGTATTTTACAATTTTATCATATAAAAATTCCCTATATTTTACTTATAAATGATTCTTCAGAAATTCAAGCATGGAAAGAAAAAAATTCATACGAAATCCAGCCTTTAAATATGGGAAAATTGCAAAAACGCCAAAATTCTATACATATAACCCAAAGCTCTATTTCTGATCAAAAAGCTCTAAAAAATAATCCTTTTTCAAGGCAAAATTCAACTATAAAAGAAACTGCTTTTAAAACTGACACGCAGCATATTGATAATACTTACGAAGACATCATAAACGGAAAAGATATCGAAAATGATAAAAGCTCAGTAAAATCTGACACTCTTTCACAGTCTCCTATTCTAAATGATATAGTAAAACTCTCATCTCGTACAATAAAAATCTTCCATATAGCTCTAGTTTTATCAGTAAAATTTATTTAGATGTTAGCAGTAATGATCACAAACTTAATTGTTGTATTTTATATATCAGCAAAAGTTACACATGAAAGCAATATAGATGTATATATTACATTGGGAAAGCTCCAAGAAGTCTTCCATGCAGTCACTCATTATGCAAGAGGGATTTCTGTAATTGAAAGTCTTAATGGGCCAAGCAATATTATTGAATTTTCTTATGAAAATTATTATAGTCAATTAGGATGACTAGCACTTTTTTTTTGGCTTGCCGGCAAGCCAAAAAAAAAGTGCTAGTCATCCTACTTGACTATATATACAAGCAGAACTATTAGAGAGCCTTTATGAAACCATTGTATCTACATTAATAGAATGAAAATCGTGTTCTATGAGCATATTTACAAATGAAGCTGACAAAATATGAAGTACAACTGGGGAAATCCATGTTGAATATACAAATCTTATAAACACTGTTTCAGAGTTCATAAAAATAGGCAACAGTTTTATTAGAAAACAAATTAATCATGAAGATAATATCAAAGAGCTGCAGTTTTTTAGTATAAATGGCTTCTGGGAATCTTTTAGATACTGTAACAGCTCGCTCTATAACCTTATTGAATGCAAAATGGAAGATATTGACTCTTTAAAGCTACAAATGGATGCCTTATTAAGTATAGGATTCGGTGTCCTCCTTATATGTATGATTATAATAATCCCATTTTGTATATCAGCTATCAATATGGAAAATAAATTTTGGAATTTAATTAAAAAAAATGCTTATAATAGCTATCCAGAACTTAAAGATGCTTGCATAGAAAGGCTTGAAAAAGTCCATGGGAAAATGTATAGCGTTTCTGATGATGGGAAAAGAAGTTTGGAATCGAATTTTAAGAATTATTGAAAATTTATATGGAGAATTGGGGTTTATTTGATTATTGCGCTTTTGTTTTATTTTTTAAATAGTTTGTATTTGTATAAAAATTGTGCCTCATTGCTGCATTTAAGGCCAAGCTTATTAAGAGATGTTATAAATACCCAAGTCTCTTATAAAGCTTTGATAGTTTGGTCTAGTGAAATGACAGTAGTTAATGTTCCTCAGTCTCTAACCGTTTTATTAGCAGACACTTATCCGTTTAAAAACTTAGAAGCAAAATTCAATGAAGCATTTCAATCGGCCACTTATTCAGTTAAACAAATAAGAGATAAAAAATACTCTCCTCTGCTTTCTCACAATTTTATGACCATATTCTATGAAAAAGTACCAGATTCTAAGAATTTCTTAGATTATGGACTTTTATCAGCAGGGAATGTAATGATATTTGAAGGTTCTTATCTAGTTTACTCACATAGGAGTGATTTTCTTGATGTTTGGCTTGAAATTATGCTGCAGTTAAATGAGCTTGACGATAAGTATGATTTATTGATAGACTTAGCTGATAAGGATTCACAAAATGTTATTAAATTTCAATTAGAGCTTATAATTGTTTCATGGGCATGCTTCGTTTTAAGCTCTTTTTCATTATATTTATGATGCTATTTACCATTTTTTAGTAGAGAAAAGAAGAATTTGGAAAAAATGAAAGCAATAACACAGATCATCCCTCATAAGCCTTTTAGATAAAAATTTTAAACAGAAAATTGTAAATAATTATTTATATTTTAATTAGCTTAATAGATATTTATGATTATGTTTCATGTGCTTGTTATAACTGATTTTTAATTAGCCAGTCATCATTTTATTAGCTATCTTCAATTTTGCCATGTGTGCTATACTATTTTGTATCTATTTGTAATTTTCTGCTTTTTACCTCATTTTTTGTTGTAAAAAACTGCAAAAGTTTTTCCAACCTCATATCTCAAAATAAATTTATAAATTAATATTTAGTGATGGATTCCTTAATGAAATAAAGTTCGATGTCAACCAGTGGCCAACGCTTAAAACCAAAAATTCACTAATAAATTCAATTTTTGAAGTCTATAGGGTAGTGATAAATTAGCATAGACTTATTCACAAAAAGTCATTGAATTTCAATTAGAGTGGAAAAATTTCATGAACTTGCTTCGTTGTAAGCTCTTAGCTTTATATTTTTTATGCTATTTGCCATTTTTTTGATAGAGAGAAGAAGAAATTTGGAAATATATTTATCTGGTTTGAGACGTTAAACACCAGTTTTTTAGACGACCTTGGTGCACCAATAGAAAATACCTATACTTAGTCTTAAAGACTTATTAACTAATTATAGATCTCTTATTTTTTAATTAAACGCCTATTACTATAATTTGAACCTGCACTAGGCCTAAAAAATATGGCCTCTTCAGTTTAGGCATTGTGCAATTTAGTAGTTAATAGCTCTTAATAAAATAGTTATGTGCGGTAGATACTAAATTATTAAAGCTGAAAACTTAGTAGATTGCGAGCAGATTTCAGTAGCTAGCTTTAGACTATAATGGCTTATACATGACTGAAGAGAGAGTATCAAAAAGCATGTGATTATAAACTTATTCAGGCTATTTCTTAGTAACACTAAAACTAGGTTCCTTCACACGACGACTATTTCATAACGACTATTTTTTTTTGGCCTATTTTTTTTTGGCCTATTTTTTTTTGGGCCTATTTTTTTTTGGCCTATTTTTTTTGCCCTAGCCTCATTCATGAAGCTCTGAGAGGACTACAATCTTATTGAGAAACAGAGACCTTCCTTACGCGATTAATATTGAGTAAATTAAGTTAAAAACTCCTAATTTAAACCTAAAATTCTCGAAATTTTAAAAGCAATGAATTAGTATTCATGGAGTAAGAAATCTGTTAAGGGTGCATTTTTTGTTAGTTAAATCGTTTAAAACACATTAAAAATTAGATTAAAACAATTAGTATGGAATTATGCCCAAATATTAGTAAAAAATAGTTAAAAAATTGTCAAAAAAAAGCCAAAAAAATAGGCCAAAAAAAAATAGGCCAAAAAAATAGCCAAAAAAAATAGGCCAAAAAAAAAATAGGCCAAAAAAAAATAGGCCAAAAAAAATAGGCCAAAAAAAAATAGGCCAAAAAAAATAGGCCAAAAAAATATAGGCCAAAAAAAAATAGGTGAAAAAAAAATAGGCCAAAAACAAATAGGCCAAAAAAAAAATAGGCCAAAAAAAAAATAGGCCAAAAAAAAATAGGCTAAAAAAAAATAGTCGTTATGAAATAGTCGTCGTGTGAAGATACGCTAAAACTAAATGAAATGCTTTATGGATTGAGAGCAGGCGTCAGTAGATGGTTTTAGATGATAATGGCTTATATATAACTGAATGATATCGAAATATTTATAGATAAGCTGCTGTTAGGGCTGTTTCTTAGTTATACTCAAGCTAAATGAAATGCTTATTATTTAAGTAGGACACATCCTAGACTGAGAGTAGCTTCAATAGATGGTTCGAGATGACAATGAATTATTCAAACACTGTAGATTGGTAATGAAATACGAATCATGATAAACAACAATTAAGGCTATTGCGTTATAACTAAATGAAAGACTTAATATTGAAGCTAGACACACTACAGACTGTGGGCAGGTTTCAATAGAAGGCTTTAGTCGACAATGGCTAATGCAACCACTCTAGAATCAACATCGAAAATATTATCATGATAAGCAATAATTAGGTCATTTCTTAGTTTTTTATTTGTTCAAACAAATAATGATAATTATAAGGCTGCATTAAATAGTATTTGATTATATTGGGTGATTGATTTTAGTTAAAGTTTGTTATATTCATATGCTTAAATGAAAACAGTCAATGAAATTACCTTACTGCACTTATAATCATACATTTTTCAATGCCCATAATCCAGTCATATATAAGCTATTATCATCTAAAACCATCTACTGAAGCTATTCTCATTCTAGAATGTCCTACTTAAACAGTAAACATTTCATTTAGCTTGAGTGTAACTAAGAAGCAGCCCTAATTGCAGCTTATCATGATAATTATTTCATTTAACACACTTCAGTAATGTGTAAGCCATTATCATCTATAGAAAAATTCCCTTTAATAAACCCTATCAGTGGGTGAATTGCCCGCTGAGTTCACAATTTGGTCCGACCAAAACTAATAATTTTGGTCGGACCAAATTGTAATTGTAGCAGGCAATTCACCCACTGATAGGGCTATATTTAAGGGAATTATGTATAACCATCTACTGAAGCTTACTCTCAATCAATAAGGCGTCCAAATTCTATAATAAGTATTTCATTTGGTTTTAGTTTTATTAAGAAATAGCCTGAATAAGTTTATCATGACTCGCATTTCGATACCTCACTTCAGTCATTATAAGCCATTATAGTCTAACAGCATCTAATGTGAATAAATCTATTTTAGTATTTCGGGATGAATAATATTTTAAACTTATTTCTTCAGGGTGTTAGGCTGTTAAAATTTTAATAAATATTTTATCAGAATCTGTTCAGTTTTTTCACATGAAAATTTCATGCTTTGGTCAGAATTAGCATGCATAACTTTAGTTTAATTCATGCTTTAATAAAATGGTACTTTATGAAATCAAACTTCAAGCTATAGCACAATGGCTATGAAGATAAAAATAAGTAACTCTTATTATTAGTAAGAACCGAAATTCAATTTTGTGGAAATTTGTCTTATCTATTGATCATTTCTTATTTAGTGCCTACTCAATGCGGTCATTTTATACAGAAGTATTAGTTACTAAATTTCACCCTACCTAAATTATAGAGTCATGCCTTTAGGTCTAGTATATATCAAATCATAGTAAAAGGCACATAATATAAAGATAAGACATCTATAATTAGGAATAAGTTTTTAAGGTTAAGCATGTGCTTTTTCTATTGACACACCAAGGTCTCTTAAAAAACTGGTCTTTACCGTCTATTAAAACTGTATAGAATCTCCTAGAGAAAAATTTTGACTTAGCCAATTTTTGAATTATCTCGAAATTTACATTATAAGTATAAGCCAAATCCAAAATCATTAACAATAAGAAATTGAAAAGAAAACAGTGATTTTTGAAGAATTATTGGTATATGAGACTAGGCAGTGCATGCTCCGCATATGGAATTATAAATCATTGTATTTATTTTTCACTTTTTAATTACTCCAATGAGCACTATAGTGATTTTTCTTATGGCGATTATGGTATTATACTAAAAAACAATTCCATCATTAATTTTGAAAATTGTAAATAAACTCATTTTTTTTTGGTTGTTTTAAAAATTCTATGTTTACATTGTTGACTATACAAAATTAGTGAGCAATCATTGCAGTCTAATATTGATCTTATAATATTTTTTGATTTTAACAACTTGTGCAAAGGGTAAGTACAAGCATACAAATATAAAAGGATTGATAAATAATATGTCATCAGTCCGATAATTTTTTAAATCTATATGCATAATTATTATAATTAATTTATTACTAGCTAAGAAAGAAGAATTAATTATCCTTCTAAGGGTCTTGCTCAAAGCTGAAGCTAAGCTTGATTGGGAACTGGCTTAGAGTTAGATCAGTTCTAATCTGTAGCTGGCTTGCTGTTTGCGAGTGGATTTGCCAAGTAGTGGTCGCGATAGCCTGGCTATCCGTAGTTGTTGCTTTTAAGTTGCTGATTTTTAGAGTCTTCGCCAACGGATAGGCGAAATCAACAATAATGTTTGGAGAGGCAAAGCTAAATTTGTACCCAATTGAGTCAACTCTGCAGGAGTTTTCAGCTTCAGAAATTAAATCAGTACATTTAAAGCAAGTAGGAATAGCATTGCAAGAAGTGCATGAGCCACAAGCTAAATAAAAGTTACCTAAGCAGCTTGTAGAAGAGCCACTATTATAGAGGAAAAAGTTTGGATTGCATTGAGTGCATACCTTCTCTGGTGTCCATAATGCACAATCGGGAGGAGAATCTGCATAAAAATTACCTAAGACACAAGTAAGTCCTTGAAGAACATAATTAGTTTTACATTGGCATTTATTTTCAAAAACACCATTTGGATCTTTGCAAGATGTGCACACTGAATCATTTGCAGAGCATATACAAAGTGCCGGGCATGAGCAAGGATTTGAGTTTAAACATCCCACATCGGGGTGGCAATAATTTGTGCAAGAAGCTAGACAAGTCGAAGTTGTAGCATCATAAGTAGCATCAGAGCTATCATATAAAGTGACAATATGTGAATTTATAGCAGCTTTTATGAAGAATTGAATCTCATAAAAGTTTGCTTCCGCATTTTGTCCAATTTTAATTACATTCCCCGGGTTGCTGCTACCAGTTAAACTAAAAGTGGAAAACTCTGGAGAAATAACTGTCCAAGTCCAAACGGATAGAGATTTGACAAAATAAAATACCAAAAATATTCAGTTTCCTATATATAAAGAATACCTCGAGTAATAGTAACTTGTTTGCTTCCGCCTTCAGATGCCTGAAAGATATAGGTCCAGGGATAGAAAAACTCAAATCAGACATAATATTTTGAATCGTTATTAATACCAGTTTTCATTTCAACTGGGGTTCCTTTACCTTGCGAGCTCAATCATATGCTTACCCCAAACTCTACTGTGGACGAGGTAATAGCACTTGCAGTCCCATAGTAGAAAGAACCCGGAAGTGGGTGCAAGTCCAACGATCGTGCAGTTTATTAGTGTGCATTTCATCGAAGATAATTGGTCAAAATTTTAAAATAATTCACCGTTTGGCCGAAATTTGGGCGGTTTTTTGTTCAAATGTCTCACTATCAAATATACACAGCCATTTGATGTGGAGCCACCGGAATTATTGGTATGAAGACCTTTACAAGTTACATCTGATGTAGCTATGCTCCCTTGTGATTTTTGGAAAGGCGCATTGCTATTAGATGATAAGTCCTTGATCTTCCCATTTACTAGATTTTTTTGGGTAAAAACCCATTTTGCTATAGGAGAATAAGCAGTAATACCAAAGGAAAGACAGAAAATTATAAAGCATGCTTTCAGTTGGGTTGAGCTTGCCATTTACTAATTATATCCGTACAAATAAATAGGGATTATCGAAATAAATTGTAAAAAACGGATATAACAGCCAGTTCTTACTCTAAAAAGGGATGAAATTTGAAAAAGACTTTAAAAATTAGTAATTTCAAATAAAAGCAAGCATAAGCGCATTCCATCGAAAATAGATCTTCAATTTTTGATGTTTCGAATATAAGTAACTTCTTCGAAAAGACAATGAAAAGTTGGGATCTATTAAAGAGCATTGAAAAATTAAAAGCGTGACTTAGCCTAAACTAAAAAATTAATTCAGTCACTGCTATAAATAGGTAGTAATTTAATTTGGTTATCCGATAATCTAGCCTTTAATGCCAGTTCAATGAGGGGCATTTTCTCGCTACCCTAGGCTGTTTATACATCTTTGACTCAATTCTAGCTTCATTTAAGTTATTTAATAACCCAGAAGTTCTGAAAATTCAAGCGGCCTGACCATCGCCTCACTTGTCCACTTTCCTCCAGCACCTGTTTGGTCTAAGGGTCTTGCAGTATCAAGCATAGGAAGATGTAAAACACAATGAATGAAAGATGCGGAATAGTCTTTGCCATTTCTTTCCTATCAGAAATAAATCATGCGCAAAACCTAACCCTTAATAAAAGTTGGGTAAAGAAATTCATGCAATGGAATTTTTATCATGCTATAGTTTTTAACAGCTTTTTTAAGTTAACGATCAATCAATTTTGGCTCTTAAGTTAAGGTAGCACAAATAGCTTAAATGGAAGCTTAGATTAATTATTCCGAAAAGCTAGAAATAAGTTTCATTCAGTTGATTTATTTTAACTATCATCTCAGCTAAATGCAAAACTTTCTGAATAAAATCTATTTGTAAAAGAAATCTCTATAAAGACCATCCTGAAATAAAGTTGTGAATGGATTTAAAAATTATGAATTGAAGCCACAATAAGGCTAAAATTAAATTATATCTCATCTATGGTCATATAATGATGCTCGATTTTCAATCTTTTATACGCTTACAAAATTGTTTGTTGCAGTATCGCGCCTAACCTTACTCCCCCCTTCCGTGAGCGAACAAAATCATTAGAAAAATCCCTATTTATTGCCCAAAAATCCACCCTCTGTGAGCGAACAAAAATTGTTTATGAAAAAAATTTTGATATATAAATGATAATTATTATAATAAAATCTTTAACTAATTCTGTTTATTTTTAAAACAGCTTTCAATTTAAAACATAAATTTTACAAATCGGAATTTTTTTAATTTTCGAAAAAAAATTGACCCCTTCCGTGAGTGAACAAAATTTTTTTGTTCGCTCAGGGAGGGAGTTAAGCTTGAAAATATTAAATTATGGAAATTTTTATAAAGATTGTATTTTAATATACTCACAGCTTATGGCCTTTAATTAATTTTTTTCTTCAAATAGCAATATTGAAGTTTGAGCTACGCAAGCAAGCAAACTATACCTTTTCATTTAAATAAATTTCATTGAAGTTACTTTATTAGAATAGAGCATTTAAATTTTGCAAAAGCTTTTTGCTATTTATATGTTGCAAGCATCTTGAATAAATAGATATTTTGAATGCAAAAATGTCTAAAATAGAATGAAATATTGGTTCCTTCCTCAATGAAAGGAAATTTTCTAAGCTTCCTTTTTTGATTATGCATAATTAAATTAAATAAATATAATTCGCACAATTAAAAGCTATCTATGAATATTGGCTAATTTTAATTATATTTCGAAAAAAGCTGAGTATAACTTATATCTTAATTTTTATTATTATTGTCCAAGTCATTATGCTGATTTGATTTATTATTATAGCTCTGAATATCGGAAGTTACAACTGAATGCTGATTATATATACATTAAAATGGTGACACATATCAGCCTGCCGTCTTGGCGCAGCAATCCAGACCTTATGGCTACGGCGAACTGGGATGGATTCTGAGCCGAGAATCAAGTGCAGACTCAAGACATGTGTATCTGAGTAGGTTTTGGCTGCTTTCCTGTGGTTGGAAATGGAGGTGCTCAACAACGTCCTTTTAGATCCAAGAATCCATGGGCTTTCCTCTATCGGAAACATGGATTTCGGCCCAGACTACAGTATTCTTTTTTTCCTGTAGCTGTCAAAGGAAGGCACTTCGGCGCCCGACAGACTCCAAGAGTTGATCCATTAAACCAAGTACTCCGTCGCCCTTATCAGGGTCGAAGAAATCCATAAGCACTCAAGACTGAAGCCTCAAGGTAAGGAGGAGGCAGAAGTACCGGAAGTGGCATCCACCCACCTTCGGAGAAAGACTATTTGGGCTGAAGTCGAAAAGCTAATGAACCTCCCCGTACGGTAGGTCTTTGGTGACTGCGTCGCCAATATGGCTAACGCCTGACTTTAATAGCCTAACCTAAACTTACTGAATGCTAATTTCGTGACATCAAATTTTGCATATAAGGCTTTACCCTGATTAGTTCTAGTTGGTCCGACCACGCGCTAGGTTGGTTCGACCAACTCGATGATTCACTGACAATCATCTACCCTTTTAGGGCTAATAAGGGTAAAACCCTATATCTCTGAATGCTGATTAAAATAAATAAAAACTTTTTATAGTAGCAAACATTAGAGCAAACTCCAAACTTGAAAATTTTGAAGGCTTTCAGATTTGATACCTTGCACGCTTTCGGCCAATAAAACCTGCTTACCGGATAGTGGAAATATTTTTATTTGAGAGATCATGGAGTATTTAAGATTTGATAGCACCTGCGTTAAGCTAGGCATTATTAATGAATGCCTATACTTATCATTTTTGACAGTTTTCTGTATAATTTTTGGTCACTTACTTACAGCTTTTTTTTATACAAATCATTTCACTTACCTCAACAAATTTTTGTTTTATATAAAAAATTTTCCTATTTATGGGCTATTATGCTTTTTATTCCTTCGAAGACTTTGTTTTCCATTTATCTCAAATATAATTTTTCTCCTGACTCCCCCCTTGAAGAGTCATCAATATTTAATTCGCTTGCTCACAAGGATAATTTTTTTGATTCAAAATCCAGAATGCAAATTACTTTAAATTTTCTTTTAAATGATTATATATATTTTAATTTTTTTAAACAAGGGATATAGCGCGAGCACTCTATATTCAAAAAATAGGATTTTCTCATGTGCTCCGCCATCTTAGGGAGATTGAGGAAAATGCATTAGAATATAACTCAAATAATCATTTCAAATTAACACTGCTTTGCAAATACTGATCTTTTTGCAATGGCTACTTCTTTTTTTCTTATATTATTTTACTTTGAACTTACAGGTGAAGTTCCTCATTTTGCAACTCAACGAACAATTAAAGCAAAAGCGCACTCAAGAATTGATACTCATATAGCAATTTTTATATATTTCTTACCAATTTTTTATACGATAATTGCTGAAAATCATATTATTTATTATCAACTTATAATAATGCTTTTTTCGCTATTTTTGATATGGAAATCTATAAATTATATTCCCTATTTTTCTTTTTTTTGCAATTCGCTATTGATCCTTACTCCCCCTAATAGGCAAGTTCTTTATTTCTCCCTTTTGAATTATTTTTTAAATTATTTTAGGCTTCAATATATTTTTAAAACTGCGTATATTGCTTCTTAAATATCACACTTTCTAAATTTCAGCGTATTATTTTTGAAATTTAATTAATTTATTATTATATATTCAACAGTATAATACCTAAAAGAAAGCTTGATCGCTCAGAAAATGAGAGTTAGGTTTTTCATTATTGCTGCTATATAAAATAATGGACTGATTTTAGCTTCTGATGAAAAAGAAAATTTGGAAATATTATTTTTGCAAAATGCAAAATCTTTGGAAATTTTGAAATACACGATAGATAGTATTCTAGGAAGGAATTTCTCTGAATTGATCCCGCAGCCTTATAATCAATATATTAATAAGCATATTTGCACCTCATTGCAGCTTATAGATGATATTGATTTTAATATACCTGAAAGCTTTTTTCTAGTATTATCTGATGATTTTATTATTGAATGCACAGGAAAATTGTCAATAGCTTGCTTTTCTGATAAATTATGATTTATTTTGATTTTCAGACCAAAACCAGCCAAGAGACAATACGCTTTACTATCGCAAAACTGACAAATTTCTGCATGCTCTGTAAAATTGTCAAAACTTGCAGCCAAGAATCGAACTGATTTGAGAGATTTTCATTTTACACAGTTATTTCCCAATTTCTTTATACGACTATGCAGCCTTTAAAGCTTTACCAAATTCCATCATTTAAATCTGATACATGTCTAACTTATTGTATTTTACAATTTTATCATATAAAAATTCCCTATATTTTACTTATAAATGATTCTTCAAAAATTCAAGCATGGAGAGAAAAAATTCATACGAAATTCAGCCTTTAAATATAGAAAAATTACAAAAACGCCAAAATTCTATACGCTCTATTTCTGATCAAAAAAATCTAAAAAATAATCCTTTTTCAAGGCAAAATTTAACTATAAAAGAAACTGCTTTTAAAACTGACACGCAGCATATTGATAATACTTACGAAGACATCATAAACGGAAAAGATATCGAAAATGATAAAAACTCAGTACAATCTGACACTCGTTCACAGTCTCTTATTCAAAATGACATAGTAAAACTTTCGTCTTGTACAATAAAAATCTTCCATATAGCTCTAGTTTTATCAGTAAAATTTATTTAGATGTTAGCAGTAGCGATCACAAACTTAATTGTTCTTTTATATATCAGCAAAAGTTATACATGAAAGCAATATAGATATATATTACATTGGGAAAGCTACAAGAAATCTTCCATGCAGCCACTCATTATGCAAGAGGAATTTCTGTAATTGAAAGTCTTAATGGGCCAAGCAATATTATTGAATTTTCTTATGAAAATTATTATATACAAGCAACACTATTAGAGAGATTTATGAAATCATTGTATCTACATTAATACAATTAAAATCATGCTCTGTAAGCATATTTACTAATGAAGCTGCCAAAATATGAAGTACAACTAGGGAAATCCATGTGGAATATACAAATATTATAAAAACAACTGTTTCGGAGTTCATAATAAATAAAATGGCATTCAGTTCGAGTGAAATTAGCTCCGCTAATTTTCTCTACCTCAAGCAAATTTATTTATGGGGTTAGGTTTCTTCTGAGAACTTCTGTACAGCAATAGCAGTTTAACTCTGGCAGATAAGTCGAGGCACTGCTCCAAGTACATCAAGAGGCTCGAAGTTTTACCTCTCTGCACACCCGAGGAAGCTGACCATTAGGCGGAGTACGCACAGGAGCTGAGTCAAGGAAGGCAAGGCAACGCAGCCTGCCGAAGCCGGAACGCTGTATTTTGCCCGTGCCCTAGCGCAACAAAATGGATCGATCCAGAGGTCCATGGGCCCGACACGTGGATAAACAAGGTGAAAGCTCTGAAAACGGCTACCCCGTAGTTAACGTTAAACTAATAGATAATAATGTAGCGTAATGTTTCAGAGCTCATAAAAATAGGTAACAGCTTTATTAGAAAACAAATTAATCATGAAGATAATATCAAAGAGCTGCAGTTTTTTAGTATAAATGGCTTCTGGGAATCTTTTAGATACTGTAACAGCTCACTCTATAACCTTGTTGAATGCAAAATGGAAGACATTGACTCTTTAAAGCAACAAATGGATGCTTTATTAAGCATCGGATTTGGGGTCCTCCTTATATGTTTCATTATAATAATCCCATTTTGTATATCAGCTATCAATATGGAAAATAAATTTTGGAATTTAATTAAGAAAATGCTTATAATAGCTTTCCAGAACTTAAAGAAGCTTGCATAGAAAGGCTTGAAAAAGTCTTTGGGGAAATGTATAGTGTTTCTGATGATGGAAAAAGAAGTTTGGAATCGAATTTTAAAAATTATTGAAAATTTATATGAAGAATTGGGGTTTATTTGATTATTGCGCTTTTGTTTTATTTTTTAAATATTTTGTATTTGTATAAAAGTTGTACCTCATTGCTGCATTTAAGGCCAAGCTTATTAAGAGATGTTATAAATACCCTAGTCTCTTATAAAGCTTTGATAGTTTGGTCTAGTGAAATAAATTAGCTTAATTAAGCATTATATTCAAATCTGAGTCGCAAAACTATTATGAGTCTTTGCTGAAAATCTCCTAATTCTCTAGTTTAGAATTAGGCTTTTAATATAATCTGTTGTAAAAATTGCTTGGTCAGCTAAATTCCCTTTTCATATGAAATTCTGAATTTGGCAGTATTTTAATGCATATTATATTTAGCATGCATTTTAACAAATGCATTCATGGCAAGCAATATTTGCAACACATTATATTAGTTTATAATTTTAGTGAAATGACAGTAGTTAATGCTCCTCAGTCTCTAACCGTTTTATTAGCAGAATCTTATCCATTTACAAACTTAGAAGCAAAATTTAATGAAGCATTTCAATCGGCCACTTATTCAGTTAAACAAATAAGAGATAAAAAATACTCACCTCTGCTTTCTCACGATTTTATGGCCATATTTTATGAAAAAGTGCCAGACTCTATACTCTCATTGAGCGAGCAAAATAATTAAGTTTGCTCATAGAGGGTTTTTTACTAATTTATATATAAACTTTTTTCGAAATTTAAAAATAATCCAATTCGCATATTCGAGAAAAAATATTAATTTAATTTGTAAAATTTATTATTAAAAAGCACGCTATTTAAAGTTTAACAGATTTAGCTAGATATTTTATCATAATAATTATCTTTATATATCAAATTTTTTTTCATAAAAATTTTTTGTTCGATCGGCTTTTGAGCAAAAAATAGGGATTTATCCAATGGTTTTGCTCGCTTACGGAGGAAGGAGTAAGAATTTCTTAGATTATGGGCTTTTATCAGCAGGGAATGTATATTACATCAAGCTATATCAATGTTGACTATTTTTTCTTTAGGAATATTTAATTCTTACGTATGCTATTTTAAAAAAAAATTATTTTTATGAAATAAAAGGAATTAATTATTCGAGGTATAATGACTAGTTTACTCGCATAGGACTGATTTTCTTAATGTTTGGCTTGACATTATGCTGCAGTTAAATGAGCTTGGCAATAAGTATGATTTATTGATATACTTAGCTGATAAGGATTCGCAAAATGTTGTTAAATTTCAATTAGTGCTTATAATTGTTTCATAATAATAAAATGGCTCAGTGCGGAATTAGTTCTCTCCGAGAACTATTCCTTCCTTCGCTTTTATTATTATGGGGTTCAGTTTTCCACGTGGCCTTTTATCAGCAATACCAATATGGAATACCGCATAGGGTATTTCTTTGGTCCAAGATAATAAGCTCCACCTGGGTTTGCTGCTTGACACACCCGAGGAGGGTGACCCTTAGGCGGAACACGCGCAGGAGTCGAGTTCGGGCGAGGCAACGCTGCCGGTGCGGGGTTTCTGGCCCTGTTGAGGACGGCACTTTATAGACGGCCAGATCGGGCTAACCGGTCCAGGAGTGCTTGGTGACGTCACCAACCGGGAGTTAAAAGGATGGGCTTAAGCATGCCTAAATCATCCTGCTGAAGAAATCAAAACACCTTAAATACCTAATTAAGTAAGTAAGTAAGTAAGTAAGCTTATAATTGTTTTCATGGGCATGCTTCGCTTTAAGCTCTTTTTCATTATATTTATGATGCTATTTACCATTTTTTAGTAGAGAAAAGAAGAATTTGAAAAAAATGAAAGCAATAACAAAGATTATCCCTCATAAGTTTTTAGATAGAAATTTTAAACAGAAATTTGTAAATAATTATTTATATTTTAATAAATTTAATAGATATTTATAATTATGTTTCAAATGCTTAATGATAAAGATCCACAAAAATTCATTAAATTTCAATTAGAGTTGTAATTATTTCATGAACTTGCTTCGTTTAAGCTCTTTAGCTTTATATTTTTGATGCTATTTGCCATTTTTTTGATAGAGATAAGAAGAAATTGGAAAAATCAATGCAATAGCAAAGATAATGCTTTTATGACTTGTAAATAAAATTTAAAGAAATTAATTTTATATTAGTTTTAAATTATTATCGAAGAGATGCAATCTAAGTTGTATAAAGATAAACATAAAATTAGTGCTATATAATCAAACATTAAAATTTGTATTTTAAGATAATTAATTTAATAGATGAGGTTAATCAATCCTAAACTGCATTATTTATAAAAATTATTTCATTTAATTTATGAGATAAAATACATACAAATTATTAAAGATAAAAGATGGGATAATGCTAAACAAAAGTGACTAAAGAAAAAGTTAAAATAGCTATAAAATCCATAATTAAAGAAAATATATAAAATTTAAGGCTTGCTTTTTATTTTTATTTATTAAGCTTAAAAGTATAACAAATTTCAAAAAAAATAAATAAGATTGATTTGCATTTGATAAGCAATTAATTAATCCAAGTCCTATAAATTGCACAAATATTCTAAAGAATGTAATTAATTTTATTAATAGATGGAGCTAAGCTTATCTTTTTATTGAAATTTCCACTAAAATATATAGAGGTTTCCTCTATATAGCGCTGAAAGCGCAGACATTTTCCCAGGAGCTTTCCAAGTTCGTCGGACCAAATCGCTTTTTGGTCCGACCAAGGCATTGATTTGGTGCAACCAACCGATAAATTCCGATCAGAATTTATCGGCCTTACAGCGCCAAACATAGGAAACTTCTATATCCTTTTTTGGCTCTTCATTTTCTTTAGCTTTGGCATAAAAAAAACTGGCTTTGCCTTGCTTTCAAAATACAAAGAAAGATAGAAATATTTATTAAATTTACTAATACAAAAAAAAATGCAATCTCCAAAGTTTATATATAAAATAACCAAAACTGTAAGAGTGATATATTTTATTGAATCTTATAAATATATACAAAATTATGTTGAATATTATAATTCAGAATTCTAATCTTTTTATAAAATCCTGATAATAATTCAATATGGCGTCTCGGCGTGGGCTTGGCCTCATGGCAGTGAAGCTTCAAACACATATTAATTATATCGTCAGGTTTTTTTCCAACCCATAAGTGGGCAGCTATGCAAGGTAATCAATTTTATGCTTTTATACAGAGACTAGCCTTTATCCGCCATTAGAGTTTGATTTTAACTTTAGGTATTAGGATTATTAAGACAGCGACTTATGGATTTCTGCAGCTTTGTAACGGGCGATTGGAAGTGGCTTGAGCCAAGGATTAGCTATTTGAGTATATTGACTATCAGAGTGGCATCTAGAGTAAGCGAAACCTCAGAATAGCCTTTTGACAAGTTAAATCTATAAATTCCTGAATCAGCAATCTTGTATATAAATTAAACTTATGGAAAATTTTAACTTGAAAAAGCTTGAATCGTATGGTGGAAATATATTATATTGTTTGAGATAGATGGTAAACATCAATTTCTTAGGCGACCTGGTATACCAATAGAAAATGCCTATACTTAGTATTAAAGAGTTATTAACTAATTATAGATCTCTTATTTCTTAATTAAACACCTATTACTATAATTTGAACTTGCCATAGTAAAAAGCACATAATAAAAATATAAGAGATCTATAATTAGGAATAAGGTTTTAAGTATGCAATTTTTCTATTGACACACCAAGGTCTCTTAAAGCTGGTCTTTACCGTCTATCAAAAACTGTATAGAATCTCCTCGCGAAAAATTCTCACTTAGCCCAATTTTTGAATTATCTCGAAATTTACATTATACGTATAAGCCAAAGCCAAAATCACTAACAATACAGAAATTATTTTTGCTGACAGAATCATCTATTTGGTGCCTTCAAATGTCTAGTTTTTTATGAATTCCTAACTTAATTAAGAAAAAAAATGGTGCCGTTGGATGGAAAGTGGACTCGATTGCGCATTCCTATGGAGCTGGACCCATCATGATGAAGCTTAGCAGGTCCTCTGTCCCTTTTTGAAGGACCTTCAAGCCTAGGGATGTGCTACTGAAAAGGGAAGTTTTGTTTTTACCTGAGGGTTTTCCTGCCCTTGCCAGATCACTAAACAAATTTTACCTATCACAATGGTATTCTCTCTCGGGACAGTTAGAGCATCTCACAGACGATGGCTTTGCCTAAGGGAGTTAATCTCCAGACAGACTATTCAGATCGGAAATCCTAAAATTCACCCTTTTGGAGCCAAGGTGGGCACGGCTAGTGGCTAGATCTTCTTATGGTCAGCATAATCGTTTTAACTAACTAACTAACTAACTTAACTAATAAGAATAAAATTGTGATGTCTACAGAAGATGGACGCGATGCACTCGCTATGAGCAGGCAGGGTCCGTCCAGATAAAGAAGAAAAGTGCCTCTGTCACTTTTGAAGTTCTTTTCGGTTTTTGGGATATTTGCCAAAGAGGGAATTTTTTACTTCTCATCGAAGGTTTCCCCTCTCCCTGCCAGATGAGCTAGTCTTTACTTATCGGAACTAAATGAGCATCCGGAAGAGGCGACTCCAACCTATGGAACTAATCTTAGGTTAGGTGGAGTTATGCCAGATAGGCAGGCTAGTGTTATATCGTTAATATCCTTACTCCCCCCCCTCCGTGAGTGAACAAAACCATTAGAAAAATCGCTATTTTTTGCCCAAAAACCCACCCTCCGTGAGTGTACAAAAATTTTTTTAATAGAAAAATTTTTTATGGAAAAAAAATTTTGATATATAAATGATAATTTTTATAATGAAATCTAGAGCTAATTCTGTTTAATTTTGAACGAATTGCTTTTTAAAACATAAATTTTATAAATTAAAATTAATCTTTGCTTTCCAATTTTTGCGAATTAGGATTTTTTTAAATTTCGAAAAAAATATTGTTTATAAAATTTTATATACAAATTTTTTAAAAAAAAATAAATTAATCACTCACGGAGGGGGGGGAGTTAGAATTTTAACTTAAACTTAACAATAAGAAATTGAAAAGAAAACAGTGATTTTTGAAGAATTATTGGGTATATGAGACTAGACAATGCATGCTCTGCATATGGAATTATAAATCTTTGTATTTATACTTCACTTTTAATTACTTTAATTAGCATTATAGCGATTTTTCTTATGGCGATTATGATATTATACTCAAAACCAATTCCATCATTAATTTCGAAAATTGTAAAACAAATTCTTTATTTTTTTTCGGTTGTTTTTAAAATTCCTGTGTTTACATTGTTCACTATATGCTTAAAATATAACTGATTTCCAAAAACTTATGTATATGAATATTATGAAAATAATGAAATTTCGAATTTCGAAGTGAATATTCTTGTGCAAATCCTTATAATAGCAGGGCTTGCTGGGTACTTTTTTATTTATGTGGTAATAGGTGTGATATGCTCACTCTCCCCATCCGTAAGCGAGCAAGCTATATGAAAATACATATATTAAATCTCATCAATTTTTGCAAAGATATTTTAAAATTAAAAAAAAAAATTGGCGAGGAAATTTTTTATGCTCGCTTATTGAACAAGAGTCAGGAGAAATTAGGCATTCAATGGCAAACCATATTATTGATGCAAAAGCCCATTCAAAAATTGATATTTACTTACTCCGCCTCCGTCAGCAAACAAAAAATTTTATTTCGCTCACGGGGATCCAAAAATTTATATAGAAAATTTTTTTTCAAATTCCACTTCGCAAAAATTGGAAACAATATTAATTTAATTTGCAAAAAAAAATTATGTTTTAAAACGCAATTTGTTTAAATTAAACAGAATTAACTCGAGATTTCATTATAATAATTATCACTTTTTTATAAATTGTTTTTCCAAGAAAATTTTTCGATTAAAAAAATTTTTATTCGGTCACGGAGGATGGGTTTTTTGGTCAAAAATCGGGATTTTTCTAATAGTTTTACTCTCTCTCACGGATGGGGGGTGTTAGCGTTCTCTGACATATTGATACCTATCCTGTTTACTACAATTGGGAGCTATAATATTGTATTCTTTCAGGTTATTTTAATTATTGTTTTTGGGGCTTTGACAGTGGAAATACTTGAAAAATTGCCATATTTTAACTTTTTCACAAACTGTTTAACATCAATAAAATGTTTGCAAATTCCCTTAATATCCTCGTTTTTTATATTTGCAAAAATAATTGATGCATCATTTATAACTCTACTGCTCTTTATTATTATTTTGCCTATCATAGATGCAATAATTATCTATAAAATAAAATATTCAAAGAAAAAAAATATCCCCAAAACTCTCATTTATTTTGGAAAAATCCAAAATATTTTTGGCCTTGAGCGTTGTCTTAGTCCCCCATCCTTGATAGAGCGACACTATTAAAAAATTCCAAAATAGAGAAAATTAATCCCAGTTTTTTCATATGGTCAAAATGAAAAACATCTGAGGTCTAATTACCTTTGATAATAATGAATATCAATGTAAACCATATGATTCCTTTGAGCATTTCTAATTTAATTTTTACTAATATATCTAATGCTCATCTATTAGTTAGTGAATATAATATCTTATATGCAAAAAATAATAAAGTAATATAAATTTATATAAATTTTTGATGAAACATGGTCCAATCAAAGGTGGAGGGTTAGAGATTTTTTCTGCTCAAATAGCCAGGAAAAAAGGGAAGAAATATTATCACTTCTAGGGAAATGCTTTAACGAAACTACTTCTTATGCAGTTAAATAGCTCTTAAGTATGCAAACCCTATATATGGTTTATTAAAAAAAATAATTTTTGAATTAAAAAATAAATTGACTATCAATTGAGCTTGATTTATGCTATATAAAAATAAACTTCTTATTATTTGGGAAGTAAATTATTGTGTTTTTACTCTTGGAGATAAAGCTCTTGCAAAAATAAAGTTATGCAAATCAAGATTTTCAGACCATAGCATCGAAGGAGACTACCAAGAATATATTTGCAAAAAAGTCGTGTCAGAGTTTAATTCAAGTGAAAGTGAAAAATTTTTAGTTTATTTTCAAAAAATAAATAAAACTAAAAAGGAAGACGCTGATTTATGCGTTAGACTTTTAGATTTTTGGAAAGAGGTTGTCTCAAAAAAACCAAATTTAAATAAATTGAATAAAATGATGGATTTAGTATCAAATTCAGCAATTTCTATTACAGAAAGTTATTCACATTTACATGAAAAATTCCCAAAATCTAAGGAAGCTTTAACGTTTTATTATACATTTGTAAAGTATATTTTATGCGATATCGATAAATCAACACATTTAAGCTATAAAATTCAAAGTATTCATGATGTATCAGAGCTGTCAAGCCAATCTAAAGACACTAATTTTTTTGATGATAACAATGGAGTGATGCTAGTTTATTGCGAAAATAAAAATTTTGGAGAAATTGCATTTGCGAACCAAAAATCGGCAGAAATACTGAAATTACCTATTAGTGAAATTATAGGGAATAAAATTTCATTTTTTATCCCATCTCCTTATGATTCTTATTTAAATCAGTTGCCTTATTATTTGCAATTAGCTACAGAGGCAGCAATAAAATTTCCTGACCACTTCTTCTTATCATTACCCAGCAAGTTTCTTATTGACTGCACTGTAAAAGGATCCCTAGTTTCTATGCATAACAATTTATTTTTTCTCTTTATTTTTCAAAAAATAAATATTCCTCAAGAATTTGCTGTAATTTCTTCAGAATGAGACATTTATTCACACAGTGAAAATTTTCCTCAACTTGCACAAATAATATCCAAAGATTTAAGAGGATGTAACATTAAGCATTTATTTCCAAGCTTAGCCACTATTGATATACAAGCTTTTACACCATTATTCCTGGCTGACATAAGTACATATTTGATTTATTGCATTATAGACTTTTATGGCTTAAAAATTAATTATGTTTTGCTAATCAATGATAAAATTGAAGCTGAAACTTGAAAAACTGATAAAAGAATTGAAAAAATTAATAAAGAGTTTACCCCAAAACAAAAACTTTGCTGTGATTTTTCTCAGAGAAAAGAAGAAAATGTGTCAACTAATGTATTTAAAACAGATTTTGATGATAAAATAGAGCCTTATCATAACTCGCAAATTCGATCACAATTTTATAAAATAGATCGTATTGTATCTTTATCATCTAGATCAATAAACATTTTCCATATTGTTTTTGTTTCAGCAGTAAAAAATATATAGATTTTGATTGTTATTTTTGCTAATTCAATTGTTCTGATCTATACCTCAGCTGCTATTACAGCTGAAAGCAGCATAGAACTCCCTATTTTATTAGCAAAAATCCAAAAATCTGTACAGGCACTAGCCTATTTTTCTAGAGGCGTCAATGCTTTATACTCCCTTCAAGCACCACAAGAATATTTTGATTTTTCTTATTATCATGCAGTTAACAGCATAAAAATTTTATTTCTGCTTAAAGTAAATAAACAATTTTTATATTTTTAATAGTTTTTTAAGCAAAAAGTTATAAATATCTTATAAAGCATAGAAGAAGTCCAAGCAAACATTACACAAGATTTAAAAAACTGGAAAAATTGTGGAGGAAAAGAAATTTTCACAGATGAAAATATTCCTTTATGGAAAATAGATAACGGGGTTTACCTTGAAAATAGCAATTTAATTGATGCTATTTCATTATTTATTCTTTATGTAAATGATATTTAGGGAAATATGTTTATTAGTAAATGAGATAATACCCACATAGCTGGAGGTAAGGAACTTCAATTTTTTGTTTTGAATGGAATGGATCAAGTTTTTCATTATTGTAATAGAACTTTATTTGATCTATCTAACTGTGAGATAAATAATACTATCTCCCCCATCCGTGAGCGAATAAACCATTTGGAAAAATCTCTCTTTTTTGCCCAAAAATTCACCCTCCATGAGCGGACACAATTTATTTATTAAAAAAATCTTATATATAAGTGATAATTAATGAAATCTCTAGATCATCTTTGAACAAATTTTCCAAAATAAAATTAATATTTGTTTTTCCAATTTTTGCGAAAATGGATTTTTTAAAAATATTTACTACTACAAATTTATATATAAAATTTTTTAAAATAAAAATTAAACCCCCTTTATGAGCGAACAAAATCTTTTTTTGTTTCCTCACAGAGGGAGGAGTAAAGATTTGGAAGTAAAGATGAATCTTCTTTTATCTTCTGGTTTTGGAGTTTTGGTTATTTGTCTTTTTATTACTGTACCTTTTGCTGAATATTTTATAAATAGAGAAAATAACCTTTGAAACCAAATAAAAATGCAGGCTCATGGCCACTATGAAGCTCTTAAAATAAATTGCCTTGAAAGATTATTAGTAATTCATAATAAAACAGACACTTTATTTTCTGATAGCAAGCATACCAGTAAAACCGCAAATTTCAAAAATCGCTGAAAATATTTATGAAGAAATTCGCTTTACTTTGTATTGGCATTGATTTTCTTTTTACTTCCCCTCTTTATTTATCGGCTAAGTTAATTTGGTATAAATATATTTTGAATATTTAAATTGGTAGCGATGTAAAATATAACATTATAAATTAAATTATTTAATTGGATAATATTTTAAAAAATATCGCCCTTTGATTAATTTCGTTAATCAGGGAGAAATAGTAAATTATTTTTATTTGTATCATAACTGCGCTGCATTTTTACATTTAAGGCCAAGCTTACTGAGGTCTATTATAAATTCGCAAGTGCTGTATAAGACTTTATTAGTATGGACAAGTGAAGCATTAGTAACGAGATTGCCATCTTCTTTAATATATCAAACCCCAGAACAGTATCCATTTATTGATGCATATAATAAACTGGATATTGTTATAGAATCTTTAAAATTCTCTGAAAAAGAAATCAGAAGCTCAAAATATTCTCCTTTACTATCTGAAGAATTTAAAGAGATATTTTATAAAAAAACCGAAGGTTTGAGAGAAATTACAGATTATGGAATTTATTCAGCTGGAGGAATAATACCATTAGATGTTTATTATCTAGAATATAGCGGCCGAAGTGACTGGCTTGTGATGTGATTTAAGTTTTCAAATGATGCAATAATTTTGGATTTAGAATACGATTTATTAATAGATTTAGCAAATAAAGACTCACAAAACGTAATTTTAGGACAATTGCAGTGGATTATTATTGCGATGATAATTTTTGTATTAATCTCATTTATTTTATACTTTTGATGCTATTTGTTCTTTTTGGCTGGAGAAAAAAAGAATCTTGAAAAAATGAAGATAATATCAAGACTTATACCTAGAAAATAATATTATGCTTAGTATACAGAATTCTTAAAGCAACCCAAAAAAAGAAATTTACCAATTTTTTTTCTAATTTAAATGGGGCTAATTAAGAAGAAAATATTGTTTAGTTTTAAATTTAATAGATTAATATGCATTCTTTGCCAGATATATCATAAATAAAGAAATAATTTCAAATTTATTGCTTATTATAAGAATTATTTAAATTTTCCCAATAAGAATCAAGATGAAATTTTTTGAAGGAATCATTTAAGAGCAAAGTAGTGAAATTGCACAAGGTGACTCAAAAAAGGCCTAGGCTATATTAAAAATTTATTAATTATAAATTCAAATTGATAGAAAGCTTTTGGAATTTTATTTAGTCATTTTACAAATTAAATGGAATGGATCATTTTAACTAAGTTAAGTTAATGATATTTTTGATGACAAAAGATTCTTTGAGGGATGCCTAAAGCCTCTCTATGCATTTTCAGCAATTTTCTCTTAAAACGTTGCTTTAAGTAAATTTGCAATTTCAAAAAAAAAATTAAATATCTCTTAATAAAATTTGCCAAAAATTTTATTTTCTCAACTATACTTCGCTTGCTTTTTTATGTAATCAAAACTAAATTTTTTTAAAATATTTCCCGAAATTGTTTTTAGACTTCTTATGTAATTAATGCTTGGGACGAAAGTTGAAATGGCAAAAGACCAAGTTTTAGGTAATGTGTTTTTGAAGACTCAAAGCAGAATTAGCCTGATAAAATCGCTTTTCGAAGTTTATCGAAGACTATTCTTCTGCAAAACATATAGAGAAAAATCTTTTTTAACCCAAAAAATAAAGGCAGTAATAGAAGCAATAATTCTCTGTCTTCAACTTGTTACCTTTTTATGGGTTCCAAACTTATCAATTAAAAATTGAAGCGGGAATATGCTTATTTGAGAAATTATAGGATACACAAGAATTGATATCGCATGCTCATCAGAAAATATTATTGCTGAATGCTTAGAAATATCAATTAGTTTGGTTTTCGTTAATTTTACAGGTATTATTGTTTTTACCTCTCTTATTTATTATTATATCAATATCCCAACAGTAGTTATCAGCTTATTTCAAAAAGTATTTTATTTATGAAAGCTTTTATTTTCCATACCTTCTATGACTTTATTTGCCATATTTCTAAAATACAATTTTTTAGCAAAAAGCCACATCTCAGAGTACAAAAATAATAATGATTTTATCCCTTTCCATGGGCGAACGAAAATACTTTGTTCGCTCAGCTTAAGAGGTTAGCTAACTTCCTCCAAAAAAACATCCCAAAAATAAATTTATTCGCAAAATTTATGCTTTAAAATGCAAGCTGTTTAAATTCAACAACATAGATAAAGATTTCATTATTATCACTTATTATCAAAAATTTTTTTTTCATAAAAGATTTGTTCGCTCACGGAGGGCGAGTTTAGCCAAAAATAATGGTTTTGTTCGCGGAGCGAGTTACCAATTTCAAGATAAATTCTACTTTTCAAATTTCAATTATTCTTGCAATGGTAATATCATTTTTTTTGGTTTTATTTTATACAGAACTTTCTGGAGAAATTCGTCACTCTGTAGCAAATAAGACCATAGAAGCAAAAGCTCACTCAAAAATCGATATCCATATAGCACTTTTTAGTTATTTTTCTCCTATACTATATGCTATATTTGCAGAAAACTCGATTATTTATTTACAAATTTTAGCAATTATTAGTTCAATAATTTTAGTTCGTGACTCAGCCCCTGACAAGAAATAGCTTAGCTGAGCTAATTTTTTTTTAAAATTTAATCAAAATCCTAATTTTGAGATAATTGAAAAATTAAATTAATTCCAATATTTATTCAAATTTTTTAAAAATTATTACTTGTATATTAAAATTTTTTATTGCTCACAGAGGGTGGCTTTTTCTGATAAAATAGGGATCTTCCCAAAGATTTTGCTCGCTCGCGAAGATTCAGGGAGTAATACACTCAATTATACCCCTTATTTCTCTCACTTTTACAACACTATGATAATTATTCAATTTTTAGTTATAGGCTTAATATCATTTATTTTCGTGCTTGGAAATTGGTTGAACAATTCTCTATCTATTATTTTACTTGCTTTGGTTGTGGTTCCTCTATTAGGAATTCTAGCTATCCAATTTATATACAAATCTTGGAGAAAATCAGTTCCATCTATTCTACACCAGCTTATCGATATAAATTCAGACTATGAACTGGAAAAAAGGGCTAGAGATTTATTATGCTCTAATAATCTAGAAAACAAAGACCAAATTATTCACATTTTTGAAAATTTCTTTATAGAAAAAAGCTTGAATGGAAGCAAACTTCAAGCTATTTGGGTAGCAAATTATTGTTTATATGCACTAGAAGACAATTCTTTGGCAAGAATTAAATTAACTCTTTCCTCGTAAATTGGAATAAAAATAATCTTTTCATATTTAAACAAATTTAGAATAAAATATTTTATAAAGTCTACCAATTTAAAATGCACATTTATTAAAGAGTATTCTACTTTATACTGAAATAAAACCATTTATATTTAAATTTTAATTTTGACAAAGATTAAATTGGGTATCAAAGCTATTATTATTTACTACCTAAAAAATAATATTTTGTTCCAGTTTAGAAGTGGGGAGTAAGTAAAATTAAAAAAATTCAAGATTGAGGCTTGGAGACAAATTATCAGGCTTATTTATGCGAAAAAAATACTCAAGAATTGTATACAAGTGAAGTCACGAATTTTTTAGAATATTTTACACAATTCGAAAAAATCAAGAAAAAAGACCATAAATTGTGTGTAAATTTATTGGAATTTTGAAAAGAAATAATATCAGAAAAGCCAAGTCTGAACAAATTAGTAAAGAATTTAAATAAAATTGATGAATATATTGCATTCCTCAATAATGAATATATTCAAATAACAGGAAAATTTCCAAACTCAAGAGAATCTTTAGCCCTTTATGCATCATATACAAGGAATATCCTCTATGACATAGAAAATTCAACTAAAATTGATAACAAATTACGATATTTTGATAGAGTTTACCAAAATTATATTTATGAAGCTAAAGATTTCAGCCTTTTTAACGATATTAATGGAATTTTTATCGTCTCATATGAAGAGGAGAGTTTTGGGACAATTATTTTTGCTAACAAAAAAGCTTCAGAAATTTTAAAAACTCCTTTAAATTTCCTTGTAGGAAATAATTTAGCGAATCTTTACATCTCCCATTATAAAGAAGAGCTTGAAAATGAATTTAAAGTATGACTACAATTCAATTCGAATCCAAATATTGATTTAAAAGAAGGATTTTTCTTGAATCTTCCTTCTAGTTTTATATTAGAATTAGTAGGAAAATCTTCACTCCCCTCCAAGAGCGAACAAGAACATTTTGTTCGCGAAGTTTTTTTTTTTTAAAAAAAAGTTTATAGAATATTAAAATAATTTTCATAAAAATTTTAAATTAAAACCTCACAAAGGGTTGAATTTTTGCTAAAAATAGAGATTTTTCCAATGTTTTGCTCAGGGGCGAGTCATTAACTTCTATTAATCATAGTATCGTCAGCATTTTAACTTTCAAGCCAAAACAAGCAAAGCATGAGATAGCGATTTTAACAGAAAATTTTGAAATTTCATCTTATACAGAAAATTTTGGTAAATTTACAAAAAATAAAGGCGACAGCTTGGTAGGAATCCCTCTTCAAACATTATTTAATGACTTAATCCATTTCTATTTATACTCCGTTGCAATATACAAAATTATACAAAGGCAGTATAGTAGAGAATAGTTTAAAAATTAAATGATAGGTAGATACTTCTAAATCATTATAAAATTATTAAAAATTATTTTTTAAAAGGCTATTTAATGATATAGAGAGCTAGAAAATATAGATTTAAAGGCATCAGTCCCTTATAACATATCCGGCTTTGAAATTGAAACTATTTTAGTTTTATCATATTTTGAATTCAGCAATTCAAGGATTCCTTATGCCTCTTTTAAATAAATTGGTAACGTTGACGGGAGACAATCCCTGATGACGGAGAGGTGGGCCCTCCCATCAAGTTGAATTAAGGCACCTGTTTGCTTTTCTGTAGGCCTTTGTTCGTGGATGGCTGCCAAAGAGGGAAGATTTATTTCTCCCTCAAAGATTTCCTTGTTCTGCTTTAACTAGGCAGGTTTTCTACCACGTAGTCTTCCCTTATCGGGATAGAGCAACTTTCTAGAGGATATCTCTGTCTTAGGGAGTCAGGGGGTTTAGATCGGAATATAAAATTGCAGGCAATATTCTCCTCACTCGGACTCAGAGGTCTATAATACCTTTTGTCTTTAGAGCCAAGACAAGTCGATGATCAGTGGTTAAATCCACTTATAGTCAATACTTATCCTAGTCCTATGCTTCTTTGACAAATGATCCACAAGAAATCCTTGAATTAAAGCTTGGAAAATCTGGGCCAAAATTTTATGATGAAATTCAAACTTATGAATTCGATTCCAAAGCACCTCATCAGGCCCAAACGAATAATTTAGAAATTTCAGAAATAGAGGAGAGCCATCTATCTGAAGAAAAATCTCAAGTATCCCATATTTCTTCTATGAGAATGTTTTCAAGTGTGGTAAAATCGTCTTCAAGGTCAATCAATATTTTGCATGGTGTCTTTGTTTTATCAGTAACTTTTATCTAGGTTTTAGTTGTGATAGTTGCGAATATTGCGGTTTTATTTTATACATTTTCTAGTGTGGATTTAGTTACTTCTCACAAAATAAAATATAAAAAAAGTGATAGTTTATATAAAAGTAAAATATTAATTGCAATATATAATTTTCAATAGGAAAGGTAGCAATATAGATCTTCCACTTACTATTGGAAATATGGGAAACTATATGCAGGCAACAGGCTATCTATCAAGGGCAATGCTTGTACTTAATCAATTTGGAGGCGCAACCACTGAAAGTCTTGTGCTTTTGATTTTTTCTATTTTTAAAAGGCTTGTTTCTCGACTAGAAGATGATTACTTATATATTTCTAGTAATTTAACAAATTGAAACTATTGCTCTGGAAGAAGCATTTTTGTTGATGAAAATACATATTTATGAGAAATAGATTCTGATTTTTATATGAGGAAAACAAACTTGCTTACTCTTCTTTAAATTGGAATAAAAACTCTGCTCCAATTTAAAGGCTGGGACAATTTTTTAAAATAATTATATAGAAATTTCCCATAGATGGCGCTTTTTGCCCTTGATTTGCCCATGAGAAAAAATTTTTTGGTTTGACCAAACCATATGGTACTGGCCGAACCAAAAAATTTTCCCCAGTGGGGCAAATCAAAGGCAAACAGCGCCATCTATGGGAAATTTCTATATCAAATTTTTCTCTATATAACGGACCTCTTTATGGATCTTAAAGGCAATATTGTAAAAAGAAAAAAATCCACTATTTGCCAGTTTTAAATTTTACTTTTCAGAATATTTTAGAATCTTAAAAGGTATCAATTTTAAAAAGCCAAAAAAATTTTAAATTGAATTCAGAATTTTAATTATTTTTTAAGGATTAGCTCAAAGAAAGTAATCTTAAAACGTAAAAACATTTTTTAATAACACTTTTTCATTAAATTAGGTCAAAATTAACTTAAAAAATTAATATTTTCACCTATAAAGCTTTCCTATTGAAAACAAGTTTTGCTCAATTTAAAAGAGGGTAATGGCCTTTTTAAAATCATCCAAATAGTAAAAATTTATATAGGAAAATAAGCTTTAGCTAATTTTTCCTGCAAAAAATTTGGATATCTAATTAACATTTTTTTAAAAACAATTAATTTTTAAACTGTTTTACTATTAAAATACTTGCACCGAAAATGAATTCATAAACAAATTTAATACTTCACAAAATTATTTAAATGAAATCACATGATTAATATTAAACGGATATGGAGAGCCTCTTCGCTATTGCAATAATTCCTTATATGAGGTAACAGAGTGCCAAAAAGAACGAATTTTAGAATTTAAAACTCAAATGTTTGCTTTTTTAATAGTTGGAATTGCTGTACTTGCTGCATGCATAATAGTTATGGCTCCATTTTGCCATGCAGCTATTAAAATTGAAAACAATCTTTGGAATAATTTGAGGAAAAATGTACATAAAAATTATTTTGAACTTATCCAATCAAGCCTCGAAAGGCTTAAAAAAGTTCATTCTCAGGCTGAAGATATTCCTTATAATAGAAATCCTTCTAAAATTCCATTTAACTTCAAAAAATACTGAAAATACCTATGAAGAATTTCCTTATATCTTATCGTCATATTACTGTTTTCTATTATAAATATAACTTACCTATATGAAAACTGTTCTCAAACTCTAGCACATCGTCCTGAAGTAATACGAGAACTAATCAATATGCAAATTTTATATGTAACCTTAGGAATATGAGCTTCAGAAGCTGCAATCGAGACCGTTGGCATTTCTCTTAAAAATCAAATACCTTACTCATATCCTTTCCGTAACAGTTTAGCTTCAATGACAGATGCAATGCTCAGAATTAAATATTCGCAGTCTATCATAAGAAATTCTAAATATTCTCACATTTTGTCAAAAAAATTTGATAAAATATTTTTCGAAAAAGCTGACGATTCAACTTGAGACGAATTTGCATATGGGCTTTATTCAGCTGGAGAAATGACTTTATTTCATGCTGATTTTGTTTCAGATTCATTTTCGGAGTTTTCTCAACTGTCACGATTTATGCTAATCATAAACGACTTAGATTTGAGCTTTAATGGGCTAATCAGTGAAATTGATCAGTATTCACAAAGTGTGATTGATGGCCAAATTAGCGTCATTATAGGAGTTTTGGGTGTTTTTATTATCATTTCGTTCATTATGTATTTTGGGATTTATTTGTCGTTTTTTGTTGGAGAAAAAAAGTATTTGAGGAAAATTAATTCTTTGATGGAAATAATCCCATATCGCTAAATATAATAGCATTTATATATAATCAAACGAAATGCAGACAATCTTAATTTTTTACTTTATTAATGCGTTAAGAAAAAAATTAATCATCCTGCTCAAAGCTGAAGTTAAGTTTGATTGGGAGCTGGCTTAGTGTTAGATCAGTTCTAATCTGCAGCTGGCTTACAGTTTGTGAGTGGATTTCCCAAGTAGTTGTGGCTAGAGCCTGGTTATTAGTAGTTGCTGCTTGTAGGCTACTTATTTTTAGAGCCTTTGCCAATGGATAGGCGAAGTCAACAATAATGTTTGGAGAGACAAAGCTAAGCTTGTACCCAATTGAGTCAACTCTGCATGAGTTTCCAGCTTGAGAAATTAAATCAGTACATTTAAAGCAAGTAGGACTAGCATTGCAAGAAGTGCATGAGTCACAAGCTAAATAAAAATTACCTAAGCAGCTTATAGAAGAGCCACTATTATAGAGGAAAAAGTTTGGATTGCATTGAGTGCATACCTTGTCTGATGTTCATTGTGCACAATCAAGAGGATATTCTAAATGAAAATTACTTAAGACGCAAGTAAGTCCTTCGAGAGCATAATTAGTTTTACATTGACATTTATTTGCAAGGACACTATTTGGATCGTTGCAAGACGAGCACACTCCATCATCTGCAGGGCATTTGCAAAGTGTCGGGCATGGGCAAGCTGCTGAGCTCAAGCATCCCACATCGGGGTGGCAATAATTTGTGCAAGAAGCTAGACAAGTCGAAGTTGTAGCATCATAATTAGCATCAGAGCTATCATATAAAGTGACAATAGGCGAATTTATAGCACCTTTTATGAAGAGTTGAATCTCATAAAAGTATGCATCTGATCCTCATGCAATTTTGATTATATTCCCTGGGATACCATAACTAGTTAAACTAAAAGTGGAAAACTCTGGAGAGATAACTGTCCAAGTCCAAATGTCTTGAGATTTAACAAAATTAAATACCAAAAATACTCATTTTCCTATATAAAACATACCTTGGGAAATAGGAACTTCAGTTTTGCCTCCATACAACTGAAATACATAGATTTCCGGATTCTTAAATCAGATAGAATATTCTGAACTTCTATCGAGAGCTGTAACAATTTGAAATGGGACTCCATTGCCTTGCGAGCTCATTCATATACTTACACCAAACTCTACTGTGGACGAAGTAATAGCACTTACTGTTCCATAGTAGAAAGCATTGGAAGTATCCTTATATGTATGAAGACCTTTGCAAGTTACATCAGATGAAGCTATACTCCCTTCTGATTTTTGGAAAGGAGTATTGCTATAAGAAGATAAGTCATTGATCTTCCCATTTACTAGATTGTTTGGGGTAAAAACCCATTTTGCAAGAGGAGAATAAGCAGTAATGCCAAAGGAAAGACAGAAAATTATAAAACATGCTTTCAATTGGGTCGACCTTGCCATTTAATAATATATCCGCATATATAAATAGAACTTATCGAAATAAATTTTAAAAAACGGATATAAAAGCCAGTTCTTAGAATTCTAAAAAGGGATGAAATTTAAAAAAGACTTTAAAAATTAATAATTTCAAATAAAAGCATGCATAAAAACGTTCATCGAAAATAGATCTTTAATTTTTGATGTTTCGAGTAAAGGTAACTTCATCGAAAAAGACAATGAAAGGTTTGAATCTATTAAAGAGCATTGAAAAATTAAAAGCCAGTGACTAAGCCTAAATAAAAAAATTAACTCTGCTACTGCTATAAATATTAAAATTTAATTTGCTTATCCGATTTTAGCCTGATACAGTTCAATGGACTATTTTTCTCGCTACCCTAGATTGCTCATACACCTTGACTCGATTCTAGCATCATTTAGGCTATTTAATAGCCCAGAAGTTCTGAAAATTCAAGAGGCCTGGCTGTCGCCTCATTTTCTAGCATCTGTTTGGCCTAATGGTCTTACAGTATCAAGCACAGGAAGAGATAAAACACAATGAATGAAAGATGCTGAGTGGCCTTGCCATTTCTTGCCTATCAGAGATAGATCATGTACAAAAACTTAACCCTATAATAAAAGTTGGGTCACGGAAATTCATGGATTCTTCCGTTTTATTTTACAATGCTATAATTTTATTAGTTATTTTAAGTTAAGCTCTTAAGTTAAGTCTGCGCAAGTAACTTAAATGGAAGAAATTCTAATAATATTTCTAGCAAGCTACGAAATGAGTAAATTTATGAACTTAAGCTTATAATTATAATCCTAATAAAGACTTCAACTTTTTCATAAAGTTAAAATTATTAAGATAAGTCTTAGATTATTTCGCAAAAACTAGAAATAATTAAAACAGTTGATTAATTTTAACTATCATCTCAATTAAACGTAAATCTTTCTGAATAAAATTTATTTGTAATCGCATCTTCATAAAGGTCATCCTGAAATAAAGTTGTGAATGGATTTAAAAATTACGAATTAAGGTACAATAAGGCTAATATGTAAAATTATATCCCATCTATAGCCATCGTTTTTCACGCTTAGAAAATATTTTTTAGCAGTTTAGCACCTATCCTTAAACTTATATCGTTATTTGCAGATTTTGAAACTTACCACCTAAGTGTGGAATTTTTTCCGCGTGTGAAAGGTGTTTTTCACGTGTGGAGCCCTTTTGATTTCACATGTGGAATCCTCTTTTCACAAGCGGAAAAAATTTCCACACTTTAGGTGGTAAAGTTCAAAAATCTGCAAATAACGATAAAATATATTGGATTTTAACATACTCTCATCTTAGCCTTTGATTAATTTTTTTCTTCAAATAGCACTATTGAAGTTTGAGCTGCAGGAGTAAGCAAGCCAGTTATATTTTTTTATTTATTTTCCTTAATCTAAACTTATCGCTAGTAACATGCTTTCTCTTTTGTATTACAAATTTTCGAAATAAGCTGGATATGCTAAAAATCTATGACCTCCAGACTCACTCTTGTAGCCGCCATTTTAGAGTCGCCAAAATATTTATTTGAGAGCTCTTTTAAATTCTTGTAGAAGCCCTTTGGCATTTAGAACAAAAAGTCATAGATTTTCTAATGGTTTTGTTCGGTCACAGAGGGTTCCTTCTTTGATTATACATAATTAAATTAAATAATATAATTCGCAATATTGAAAGCTATATATGAATATTTGCTGATTTTAATTATATTTTGAAGAAAAGTTGAGAATAACTTATATCCTTAATTTTTATTTATATTATTATTGTTTAAGTCATTATGCTGATTTGATTTATTATTATAGCTCTGAGAATCGGAAGTTATCGCAATACAACTGAATGCTAAGATAATATTATTCCATCAATTATCCCATGATAATTTCAGATTTTTCAATTTTTTATTTCTGAAACATAGCATTGAAGATCATTGGTAACAGCATAGCACCTCTCTTTAAAAATAAAAAGTATTTTTCACGAAGTTGGGCTAATTTCCAGCAGGCTTTTATAAGAATTTTTGTAATGGTCGTATTTTAATATGCTTCCAAGTTTATGACCTGCAATTAAAATTTTTCTTTCAAATAACACCGTTGAGGTTTGAGCAGTTGGAATAGGCAAGTCAGCTATTCTTTTTCATTTCTTTTTCCTTAAACTAAACTTATCGCTGGCTGCTTGATCTCAGTTCGGTCCTCCAGAGCCCCCAAAAATGTAAACAAAATTTTCGAAATAGACTGGATTCGCAAAAAATCGAGGTCTTCCAGAAGGTAAAATTTCAACTGATTGTGCTTTTATATCAATTAAAAGGCAAGTCCCAGATGTTTTTTTGCGTTGTATACGTCCACCAAAGTAAAATAGCTGAGAGCCATTCAGCTTACACAAAAGTCCTTTAGTTGTCATATCAAAAGATACAGGATTTGGAATTTTTGCACAAATTTTATTATCTTCGATGTTGTAAACTAAAAATTCTTTTGAGTCAGTGGATATTGTACAAGCATATAAAGGGATATCTGAAATAGAATGAAATATTGATTTTTCTTCTTCTATTAAAGGTAAAGGTTTATGAGCTTCTGTCATTATATTATATGCTTATATTATATGCAAACTTAATATTTTATCACCTATATTAAATAAGTTTGAGCTTTATGCAAACTTAATATTTTAGCACCTATATTAAATAAGTTTAAGCTTTATTTTCTTCTTCACAAATCAGGGTATATGTCAGCGCTAGTGGGTGAATGGGCTGCTCCAAGTTCTTTAGATTCTTCTTCGTCATTTTGCGGATTTGGGACGGGTATATTTATAGCCGAGAATGGACAATATGTGCATGCTTGATTTTAAGGAATGATTGCTGGATGCCCTTTACAGTTTTTGATGAAGCATAATATATAATGACAATAGAAGCCATGACACCTACTATTATCAGTATCGTCTACAGTTCGATTAAAATTATTAAAGGATGGGGGCTTAAGATGTTTTAAATTTCCCTCTTAATCTTGCAAAATCATTAGAAAAAATCGGCTTTTTGGGAAAATTAATTCTCTCGCAAATTTTTAATTTATTTATTTATTTTTATAACAATATTTTTGACCATATTAATTTCAAATGAGATTCTTCCTTAAATCAATAAACCTTAGCTTTCTTTCTAAATCCTATTAAATGAAATTGACAAATAGCTTTTATTTATTTTTTTGTCTATATTTCGCTAGAGTTTTTTCTTTTATAAGACACAATTTTAGCTAGACATATTAAATATTTCGCTGAAGCTCTCCACATTTTATATATAAATCCTAAAAAGAGCCTAATTTTTATTGATAATTAGATAGCTACTCCATAATCTTAATATTAAATTATTATGACTCTGAATTTGCACACCTCTTTCCTCTGTTAGCAAACAAAAACACTGGAAAATCCCTATTTTTATTTAGCAAAACCCGAGCAAACCAAAAATTGTTTATAGTGAAGATTTTAATATGATAATAGGTATACTGAAAATGTCTAGCTAATTATTTAAATTTTACAATTTATAATATAAATTTACTAACTCCCCCCCCCCCTCCGTGAGCGAACAAAACCATTAGAAAAATCGCCATTTTTTGACCAAAAACCCACCCTCCGTGAGTGAACAAAAATTTTTTTAATAGAAAAAATTTTAATGGAAAAAAATTTTGATATATATAAGTGATAATTAGTATAATGAAATCTAGAGCTAATTCTGTTTAATTTTAACAAAATGCGTTTTAAAACATAAATTTTGCAAATTAAATTAATATTTGCTTCCCAATTTTTGCAAATTAGGATTTTTTTAAATTTCGAAAAAAATATTTTTTATAAAGTTTATATATAAATTTTTTTTAAAAAAAAAAATTAACCCCCCTCCGTGAGCGAACAAAATTTTTTTGTTCGCTCACGGAGGGGGGGGGGGGAGTAATTAAATTAATTTACACTTTCCAATTTTCCTAATTAGTGTTTATTAAAAAATTTAACCCTGACTCCGTGAATAATTCAGAATTTCTTGCTAAATAAACAAGCACTGAAACTATCTGCTTTTATTATGGATTAAATTCACTTGAACGGATCCTCCTTAAATTTATTGTGGAAAACCTCGAAATGTTTTATCTATACAATTTTCAAAATATCCTTTTGTCGCCTATTGGTTTCCAACTTAGCGAAAGCTACTTATGCGATCTTAAATTGGTTATCATTTTTATTAGCTATAAAAGTATTTATGAATTCTTTCTTTGTGAAGCCTTATCATAAAAATATTATCACTATTTGGATAATGAGGTTTATGTAATCACACTCATTAAAAGCATGATTAATATTTTTAATAATCACATTAAATTTAATCCAATTTTTCTTTGTAAAAATAAGCCAAACATTTAATAAGTGATTTAAAATCCGGTTAAAAGAGATATTGCAATATTTCTCAATAGAAGAAAGCCTATCAAAATCTGATATAATTAGTGAATGCCCTTTAGACATTTGCACAATGTCTATAGATTCCAAAATTTCTTGTATGTTACAAAGAAAAATATTTTTTGGAAAAGAGTTTTTATCGTTTTGAAAGGCTTTCAACTATAAACATTGGAGGATGTGCAAATTAGCAAGCGGTGGCGACTTGCCATGCTATTAATATATTAATTGTAAATATCAAAAACTATTAGTTTAATAACTTGTTTTTGGCTGTTTAGAAATTATCAGGAGAATTGTCTCCACATTTTACTTTCAAAAGCTCACAAAATGCATGCTGGTGCTATGATAAAGGATTTTTCTTTAACCAGCATCATAAAATTTGCAAGTTGATTTTAAAAATGAAAACTTCGGGTCTTAGCAATAAGCTATAATACGAAAAATTATAAGAGTAGCCCAAATCAGCATAATCCCATATATTTTCTTATCGAATATCATAAAATACAGCCTATAATTTTTTCGATAAATTAATTAGAACTTTAAATGTGACGTCACAAAGTATAAAAGCAAAAGAATATTTAAAAGATTATGAAGCATAATTAAATTTTATATGCGTTTCTTTTTTATAATGATAAATTAAGCTATCCGAAAGTTAAATATTTTAAAAATTATTCAATATTTATATCAATCTCTATAGAGATTCATTTATTAGACAGAAAGTTTGTTTTTAACGTTCTAAAATCCTTTTGCTAAACTGAATGTGGCAAATAGGTAAAGGAGTCGAAGAATTTCGTTTAAAATTTTAACTCATATAATTCTTTTCTATTCTTATTGACTTTTGTGGTTCAAACTTGTATTGAATTTTTGTCACTGCTTATTAGGAATAAACATGACTTTAAATTGCTTTTTCTGTGTATTAAAATATAGATTATAGTTTTTCTTACTCCCCTCCACTCCATGAGCGAACAAAATCATTGGAAAAAATTCCTATGTCTTCCCGAAAACCACCCTCCGTAAGCGAACAAAATTTTTTATGAAAAAAAATTTATATATATATGATAATTAGTATAATGAAATCTAAAAAACTAATTCTATTAATTTAAAGCAAATTGCATTTTAAAACATAAATTTACAAATTAAATTAATTTTTACTTCTCAATTTTTTTACAATTTGGAATTTTTTAAATTGCGAAAAAAAAATTATTATAAAATTTATATTTAAAAAAAAATTAAACCTCTCCGTAGGCAAACAAAAATTTTTGTTCGCTCATGGAAGAGGGAGTTAAGGACTAAAAGAGAATTAACGGGAAAGTGTTTAGATGTTTATTATTAGAATTCAATATTTTTGCAAGACATAGTAAACATTAATTGAATTCTTTTACGATTATTAGCTGAGTGTGAATTGCCCCTTAAATTTAATTATCTTGCTATTATAAATAGTTAAGGTTAGTTCTCTATCAGAATAAATTCTAATATTATTGTCCATTTATGTCCTGGCTTGAAGTTGGAGCCGATGAAACTCAGGCTTTTGAAAGGAAATTTTTTAAGATTTCAAAGCAAAATTCAATTGTTGAGTCAGTTTTTGAGTTTTATCGTCGACTTCATTTAGAAAAGAATTTTGGAGAAAAATTTTATAAAGCTCAAAAGGTCAAAATAGCAGTTGAAGAGCTAACATGATGCATTCAGATTATAGCGCTTTTGTGGGTCCCAAATATTCCAATTAAAAATTGAAACAAGAACAATCTGCTATGGAGTTTTATTGACTTCTTGAGAATTGATATACTAATTGCCCGAGAATGGCGCTATTTGCGCCATTCTCTGGCAATACGGAAATTCAACTCCACACGGGAACGATTTTCCACGTGTGTAGCCATTTTTCACACATGGAAGCCAGGATTCTCATGTATGAAAAAAATGGCTCCACATGTAGAAAATCTTTCCCGTGTGGAGGCGATTTTCGGTTGCCCGAGGATGGCGCAAAATATCGCCATCCTCGGGCAATTTCTATACAACATGTTCGACTTTTGGAATTATGGGTGAATGCCTATATTTATCAATTCTGATTACATTTATTAATTTTTCAGGTATTTTAGTTCTAGTTTTTGTTGTTTACCGATCTATTAATATACCTCAAACAATTTTAAAAATATTTAGGAAAATACTTTACTTATGAGTGACCCAGCTCTCTATACCTTCTATGATTTTATTTTCCATATTTTTGAAATATAATTTTTCGACACAAAAAGAAGTGGCAGAGTACGAAAACCACAATAAATTCAGTGACTTTGAGATAAATACTCCATGACAAGTGCTGACTGTTATTGCAATGGTAGTCTCATTTATTCTGCTTTTATTTTTTGCTGAATTTTCCGGAGAAATTAGGCATTCTGCAGCTTTAAAAAATTTGGGGTCAAGAGCTCATTCGAAAATTGAAGTTCATAAAGCGATTTTTACGTACTCTTTTCCAATCCTTTATGCTATACTAGCAGAAGATTACATTGCTTATTTTCAATTATATACGTTGGTAACTTCAGGATTGTTTACAATAGAAACTATGATATTTAATCCTTACTATTGTCTTTATTACCACGTTCTAGTAATTGTTCGATTTTCTATAGTTGCTTTAGTATCTTTTATATTTCTTTTAGGATACTGACTTAACAACTCTTTATTAATTACTTTGCTTACGATAATTTTGGTGCCTTTGTACTCAGCACTAATTATTATTTTTGTCTTGAAATCAACTAAAAAGAAATCACAAAGCATTCCCAGAAACTTGGTGGACATAGGCTCTAAGTATTGTTTAGAAAAATCACTTACTCCCCCCTCCGTGAGTGAGCAAAATCATTGAAAAATCTCCAAAAGCCCGCCTCCGTAATCGAACAAAATGTTTTTTGAAAAAATATTTTGATATATAAGCGATAATTATTGTTAGATAATTCTGTTTAATTTTAAACAATTTGCATTTTAAATAAATTTCAATTAAATAAATATTTGCTTTCTATTTTTTTATGAATTGGGGATTTTTTCAAATATCGAAAAAAAATTTACTTAAACTCTTTCCATAAGCGAATAAAATATTTTTGTTCACTCACGGAGCAGGGGAATTAGATATGCATTATGTTCTAACGACTTTGATCAAAAAGGCAAATTAATTTACATTTTTGAAAAATATTTTTTAGAGAGGACATTAAATAGAGACAAGCTTCAAGTGATATGAGCAGCGAATTATTGTTTATTTGTTCTCAAAGATGAATCATTAGCTAAAGTTAAGTTAAGTAAAACTAAAAGTATTTCCGATTATAGCCTAGAGGCAAATTATCAAGAACATCTTTGTAATAAAAAAATTCAGAACTTTGTTCCAAGTGAAAGCACAAATTTTCTAAACTATTTGCAACGCTTAAAAAAATTAAAAAAACAAGATAGCAAACTATGCATAAATTTATTAAAATTTTGAAAAGAAGCCACAGCAAGTAAGCCTTCTCTCAGGATATTAATAAAATATCTAAATTTCATTAATTATAGCATAGAATTCCTTAGCAAGGAATACCCTCAATTAATGACCAAATTTTTCAATTCTAGAGAACCCATTTCTCTTTATTCATCATATACAGGAGGAATTCTTTATAATTATGAAAAATCAACTTTTCTTGACAACAAATTTAGAGGTTTCAATAGGGTTATGCAGAATTCTCAAAATAATTCAAAGAATTTAGACTATTTTAACGAGAATAATGGAATCTTAATTATTTCAGCTGAAGAAGAAAATTTTGGAGAAATTTTTTACGCAAATCAAAAAGCTGCAGAAATCCTGAAAACTCCTTTACAATTCCTTATTAGCACCAGTATGTCGGTTTTTATTCCTAATTGCTATAAAGAAATATTTAGAAAAGAAATGAGATGAAATGTTCATTTCCAGCCGTACTCCGAAAGAGATTTAAATGATGGATTTTTTTTAACTCTTCCAACAGGTTTTCTATTGGAATGCATAGGCAAATCATCAATTACTTCTATAAATAATTATATTGCCACTATTTTAGTTTTTAAACCAAAGGAGCCTAAATATCAATCTGCTCTAATTTCAGAATCAGGAGAAATTTGCTGTCACTCGGAATATTTTTCAAAATTTTCGAATTTTATTAATAGCAATTTAGTTGGATATTCTTTGAAAAATTTGTACTCTGGCTTAGAAGAATATAATTTAAAGCCGTTTACTCCGTACCGTTTAAGAAATTTTGAAAATGAAACAATATTAGTTATATCGCATGTTCTATTCAATAAAGTTAAAGTTCCATACGTATTATTGACAGATGATCTCGAAGAAATAAAAAAATGAAAAGAAGGTGCCTTTGAGTTGCCACATGATGAAGCGGAAGAAGAAAAAGGACAAGAAAACAGCCAAATATCATTAAATTTATCAATATCGCTAGATACAGAAGAGGATAGCCCAGAATTACACAATAATATCGAGCAAGACTATATTGATTCCAATGCAAATCTAAAACCAATAAATTTAAACGAAACCTCAGAAATCGACGAAAATAACAAATTTGAAGAGAGACCAGGAGAAAGATCCCCAACATCCCACTCCTCACAAAAATCCTTTCTTGATATGATGATAACATCTTCAAGATCGATAAACATTTTACACACAGTTTATGTGATTTCAGTAATTTTTATGCAGATTTTGGTCGTAATTGCTACAAATATTGCAGTTTTAATTTTCGCTTATATAAATATCGGTTTCGTCAGTAGCATCACATTCCCAACCACTGTTGGAAAATTAGGAAATTATTTCCAAAGTTTAGGATTCATGGCAAGAGTGCTTTATTTTACTGGATCTAATAATATTGATGTTAAAAATGTTATGTATAATGGCATTATAGCTGGCACTAATGAACTAGAAAGCATGTATAGGGAGGCTGTAAATAATTTAGGAAACTGGGACTATTGCTCAAGCCGAAGTATTTTTACTGATGATAAAATTAATATATACAATGAAGAAACCCAAATTTATAAAAAAACGAATTTATTGGATACCACTGCATTATTTATTAAAAATGTAAAGCTTATTTAGGGAAATCAACTTAAATCTAAATACAATAATTCAGAAGATTATATTACAGAGGTATCATTTTTAATGCTAAATGGGTATGGAGATGCATTTAATTATTGCAATAGCTCGTTATATGATGTTATAGATTGCCAGAAAGCCAAAATAGACAATTTTCAAGTCGAAATGGTTTTTTTGCTATTTTTAGGAATTCTTGTGCTAGGCATCTGCGTTGGAATAATTACTCCGTTTTGCTATTCCACTATCAAAATTGAGAATAATTTTTGGAATAAAATAAGACAAAATGCCAGTGATCATTATTTTGAGCTGACCCAATCAAGCCTTGAAAGGCTAGTTAGAGTGCATAATCAACCAGAAATAGAACTAAACAGTAAAAGCCCGTCAAAAACGTCGTTTGATTTCCGAAATTATTGAAAATATATTTGGAGAGTTTTGCTATATTTTTTCGTTGTATTAGCGTTTTCTTTGATATAGCCCAGGAACCTGTTTAGATGGTCTGGTCTGGGAGAATACTGCGCAGCTCTACGAGTTGGTTCTCCAGTTCAAGCTAACGAATCAACTTGGGGATCTATCAAATTCCTAGCACCAGGCTTAATTATCAACTCCCCTAATTGGTTCGTCAGCTTGAAATGAAGAACCAATTCGGGGAGTTGCACATCATTCTCTCAGCCCAGAACTATCTAACAGATTCCCAGGTATAAATATTTTATATCTGTATCAACAATGTGTTGATTACTTGTCTTATAGGCCTGAAATTATAAGGGAATTAATACAATCTCGGATTTTATACAGCAGCTTAGGTGTCTGAACAAGCGAAGTGGCAATAAAAAATATATATGTTTCAGATGAAGATAAAATAAAGTATTCGCTTCCATTTAAAAATGACAAAATATGAATGGAGGAAACTATAAATAAAATCAAGCATGCAGGGTTACAACTAAGAAAATCTAAATATTCTAGCATTTTATCAGAGGAAATTAAAAAAACTCTATATGAATATGCAGATAACTCGATTTATAAAGAACTTGCATATGGAATTTATTCTGCTGGGGAAATGTCAATAATGGATAATAATTTTGTTTCTTATGGTGGTAAAAATATAGAATTGTGATTGCATCAGATGATTCTCATTAATGAATTAAACATTAACTACGATGAGCTGGTTACTGAAGCTGATCATTATTCTGAATCCGTAGTTAATAGGCAAATCACCATCATAGTTTGAGTTTTAACAATTTTTATAGTGATTTCCTTCCTAATGTATTTTGGATTATATCTGAGATTTTTCAATGAAGAAAAAAAGTCCTTAAGCAAAATGCACACAATTATGGAAATAATGCCATAAAAAATTTTAAAATTTAATAAAATCTTAATTTACTGCTTTTTAAAACTTAGCTAGAGTAAGTTTACTAAAAATAAATTATTTAGCCGCTTAATCTTGGAAATTCTAAAATATAACTATCGCCTAAACAATTAAATCCTATTTTGATATAAGGCATACTTATAATTTGTTTGTTTTAAAGATGAATGATAAGCCTAATTTGAAAAATCTGGGATTATTATGTACTTGTAAAAAGGATATATTTTTATTTATATAAAGAATTCGTTTCTTTAACTATAGTTAAGAGCATGCAAGTCTAATAAAACTTCTAAAGGCTTAAGAGGAATAAATAAGAAGAGGGTTAAAATGAGTTATTAAATATTTTTGCAAGTTAAAGTAAAATTCATGCAATTTTTTTTTAATTCTAAGTGTAATATTAAATGTTGTTTAAATAAATAATTATCTAAGTCTTAAATGCATAAAGGCTAGTTTTCTATCAATATAAGTTCTAATATTATACCATTTATGTCCTGGCTTGGAATTATAGCCGATGAAACTCAAACTTTGGATAAGAAATTTTTTAAAATTTCAAAGCAAAATTCTATTGTTTTTTCAGTTTTTGAGTTTTATCGTCGACTTCATTTAGAAAAGATATTTTGAGGAAAATTTTATAAGGCTCAAAAGATTCAAATCGCAGTTGAAGAATTAATATGATGCATTCAAATTGTAGCTTTTTTGTGGGTCCCAAAAATCTCAATCAAAAACTGAAGCAAAAATGAATTGATATGAAGTATTATTAATTTCCTTAGAATTGATACAGCATGCTCGAGTCTTGGAATTATGGGTGAATGCCTATATTTTTCAATTTGGATTGCATTTTTTAATTTTTTGGGTACCCTAGTTTTAATTTTCTTTATTTACCGTTCTATCAATATACCTCATACAATTTTAACAATATTTAGAAAAATACTTTACTTATGAGTGACTCTAATCTCTATACCTTCTATGATTTTATTTTCCATATTTTTGAAATATAATTTTTCGACACGAAAAGAAGTGGAAGAGTACAAAAGTCACAATAAATTCAGTGATTTTGAGATAAATACTCCATGACAAGCACTGATCGTTATTGCAATGGTAGTCGCATTTATTCTGCTTTTATTTTTTGCTGAATTTTCCGGAGAAATTAGGCATTCTGCAGCTTTAAAAAATTTGGGGTCAAGAGCTCATTCAAAAATTGAAGTCCATAAAGCGATTTTTACTTATTCATTTCCAGTTCTTTATGCTGTTTTTGCAGAAGATCATATTGCTTATTTTCAATTTTATGCAATGATTATTTCAGGATTTTTTGCAATAGAATCTATGGCTCTTAACCCTTATTATTCTCTTTATTACTATGTTATAGTAATTATTCGATTTTCTGTAGTTGCTCTAATATCCTTTATATTTCTTTTGGGGTATTGAGTAAACAACTCTTTGCTAGTTACTTTGCTAACAATAATTTTGGTGCCTTTGTACTCAATATTAATTATTACATATGCTTTGAAAATTTGCAGAAAAAGCACCATAAAAAATGTTCCAGAAAACTTAGTAGGCATAAGCTCTAAGTATTCTTTGGAAAAATCACTAAGGAAAATAATAATAAATAATTTAATATAAACTAAAATTAATCTTTTAGTGTAACTTGCTCTGTTTGAGATCTCAGTGAAGTAGAATAGTATTTATAGCTTTTTTTTTTCTTTTCATAAATATTAACTTCACGATAAATTGCAACATATTTTTTGTTCTAAGCTAAAAAGGTGAAGTCAGATATACTTTATGCTCTAATAACTTGGACCAAAAAAACAAAATTATTTACATTTTCGAAAAATACTTTTTAGAAAGATCATTGAATAGAGATAAGCTTCAAGTTATATGAGCAGCGAATTATTGCTTATTTTCACTAAAAGATGAATCATTAGCAAAATTCAAATTATCCCCTATAAATTTAAATATTTAAATTAAAATAATGATATAAAATTATTATTATTATAAAACCTTCGAGAGGCTTATTCTCCAGATAAAAGTTTAAATAAAATCAAAAATGTTTCTGATTACAGCCTGGAAGCAAATTATCAAGAATATTTATGCAAGAAAAAAATCCAAAGTTTTCCTCCTAGTGAAAGCACAAATTTCCTGAACTACTTTCAACGCTTAAAAAAATTAAAAAAAGAAGATATCAAACTATGCATAAATTTAGTAAAATTTTGAAAAGAAGCCACTGCAAGTAAGCCTTCTCTCAGGATATTAATAAAATATCTAAATTTCATTAATTATAGCATAGAATTCCTTAAAAATTAAATTAAAATGTTTAAAGTCTTCTTTGCAATTGTCTTTTACTCTGCCACTTTTGGATGGAGTCACCTGATTGCCAGGTATAAATTCAGCAGCTATTTTTAATAGTGATTTAATCTATCGGCAGGGCTTTAATTCTACTCACCAAAGGTCTCGAAATAGAGAGGACTGCTCCGTTAGAAAGCCATTGAGTATTATAAAGGGAAGGTTAGCTTGATACCTTGCCGGCTAGGGAAAAAAGAACCATGCCCTCCGAAACTAGAAAGGAAAAGCTGTTGTCCAAAATTCATCCGCATAACTAATATTTGGTCAAGATGCCACCGCCAGCTTAATTCCAAATAATCAAGAGGATACAGAGGTGCTAGGCATGCCAATGGCTAGAGCTAAAAGGCTTAAACCTTGGTATAGACTTTTAAATGATTTTCGAGGCCAAGCTGATGTATCGACCATTGATAGAATCTTTAGATTCCTTAACAAGGAATATCCTCAATTAATGACCAAATTTTTCAATTCTAGAGAACCCATTTCTCTTTATTCATCATATACAGGAGGACTTCTTTATAACTATGAAAAATCGGCTTTTCTTGAAAACAAATTTAGATATTTAAATAGAATTATGCAGAATTCTCAAAATAATTCAAAGAATTTAGATTATTTTAACGAGAATAATGGAATCTTGATTATTTCAACTGAAGAAGAAAATTTTGGAGAAATTTTTTACGCAAACCAAAAAGCTGCAGAAATTCTGAAAACTCCTTTAGATTTCCTTTTAGGTGCCAGTATGTCGTCTTTTACCCCTTCTTGCTATAAGGAAGCATTTAGAGATGAAATCAAGAGAAATGTTCATTTTCAGGCAAAATCAGAATTGGATTTAAATGATGGATTTTTTTTAACCCTTCCGACTGGTTTTCTATTGGAATGCACAGGAAGATCATCGATTACTTGTATAAATAGTTACAATGTCAATATTTTTGCTTTCAAAACAAAAGAGCCAAAATATCAATCTGCTTTAATTTCAGAATCAGGAGAAATTTATTGCCATTCTGAATATTTTTCGAAATTTTCGAATTTTGCTAATAGCAATTTAGTTGGATATTTTTTGAAAAATTTGTACTCTGGCTTAGATAAAGATTAAATTCTAGCAGGTTTACATATTATTGCATCCCCTTGCTGTCTCAAATCAAATTAAGAGTTTTAAGGTCTTCCAGATTTGATACATTCGCCCCTCGATCAAAAACCACTTAGAAAGTAACTGCTATGGGGTTCTTATCCTTTGTGCTTTGGATCAACTCTCGAATCTTTAGAGGCCACCATTTTATTAATTCGTTCTTGCTTACTCTCCCCTTCATGAACGAGCAAAATCATTGGAAAAATCTTTAATAATTTTAGTAAAAAACTCTAGCTCTTGAGCGACAAAAATTTAATATTGTAATTTTTTATGAAAAAATGGTATTTTTGATTGCTATTATAATATTTTTCTCTGACTAATTCTGTTTAATCTCAAGCACTCGCATTTTAAACTTTAAATTTTACAAATTAAATTAATAATTGCTTTTCAAATTTGCAAATTTAGATATTTTTAAATTTCGAGAAAAAGTTTAACTAAATTTTTTTTGTTCGCTCACGGAGAGCAGGGTAGTTAGAAGAATTTAATTTAAAGCCATTCACTCCATATAGCTTACGAAATTTTGAAAAAGAAACGATTCTTGTCTTATTAAGCTTTGTATTTTATAGGCTTAAGATTCCATATGTAATATTGACAGATGACCCTGAAGAAATAAAAAAATGAAAAAATGGTGTTTTTGAGCGACCAAATTACACAGCAGAAGAAGAAAAAGGACAAGAAAGTAGCCAAATATCTTTAAATTTATCAATTTCGCTGAACTCAGAAGAGAACAGCCCTGAACTAAAGAAAGAAATCCATCAAGACTATAACGAATCCAAAGCAAGCCTAAAATCAATAAATTTAAACGATACTTCAGAAATTGACGAAAACAAATTTGAAGAGGCTCCAGGGGAAAAATCCCCAGCATCCCACTCTTCACAAAAATCATTTCTTGGGATGATAATTACATCTTCACGGTCGATAAACATTTTGCACGCAGTTTACGTGCTTTCTGTAATTTTTATGCAGATTTTGGTCTTAATTGCTACAAATATTGCAGTTTTAATTTTCGCATACTTGAACATAGGTTTTGTCAGTAAGATTACATTCCCAGTCACTGTTGGGAACCTGGGAGAATTTTTTCAGCTTGCTGCATTTATGTCAAGAATACTTTATTTTAACCCATCTAACTATAGTGAAGGTGTAGCAGTTATGTATTATGGTATGCTAAATAATATTGCTGAGCTAGAAAATTTCTATTTAGATGCGACATCAAATTTAGAAAGCTGAGACTATTGCTCAAGCAAAAGCATTTTTACTGATAATAAAATTAATCTATACGACCCAATAAGCGAAACTTATAAAAAAACAAATTTATTGGACACAACTGCTTTGTTTATTCAAAATGTAAAAAATATATAGGGAAATGAGATGCTTACAAAATTCAAAAATTCAGGCAATTTTTCAAAAGAAGCAAGGTTTTTAGCACTTAATGGATATGGAGATGCATTTCATTATAGCAATAGCTCGTTATATGAAATTATTGAATGCCAGAAATCCAAAATCGATGATTTTCATACTGAAATGATCTTGCTTTTAATTTTAGGAATTCTTGTTCTAGCCGTTTGTATTTGCATATTTTCTCCCTTTTGCTATGCATCAATAAAAATTGAGAATAATTTTTGGAACAAAATAAGACAAAGTGCTAGTGAGCATTATTTCGAGCTGACCCAATCAAGCCTCGAAAGACTAATTAGAGTTCATAATCAGCCAGAAATAGAAATGAATAATAAAAGCCCGTCTAAAAAGCCATTTAATTTCAAAAATTATTGAAAATATATTTGAAGAGTTTCACTATTTTTTATTATTGCATTAGCATTTTCTTTGATAAATATTTTATATCTGTATCAGCAATGTGTTGACTATTTGTCTTATAGGCCTGAGATAATCAGAGATCTAATACAATTGAGGATGCTATATGATGGTTTAGGTGTCTGGCAAAGCGAGCTAAACTTAAAAAGGCTTTATGCTTCTGATGAAAATTGAATAAAATTTACACTTCCTTTTAAGCATGACCAAATATCAATGACTGACACCATAAATAAAATAAAGCATACAGAGGTTTTGCTGAGAAAATCTAACTATGCAAGCATTTTATCAGAAAAAATAAAGAAGACTTTATATGAAAGCATTGATGATGAAATTTATAATGAATTTATATATGGACTATATTCTGCTGCAGGAATATCAATATTTGATAATATTTTCCTTGCATATGAGAGTAGCGATGCAAATTTCTGATTGTATGAAATTATAGTGCTTAATGAAATTTATTTCAAATGAAATGAATTGATCGATGAAGCTGATCATCATTCTCAATCTGTAATTGATAGACAAATCAGCATCATAATTGCTATTTTGGTGATTTTTATCGCTATTTGCTTTCTAATGTATTTTGTAATCTATCTCAGATTTTTCAATGAAGAAAAGAGGTCTTTACGTAAAATGAATACAATATTGGAAATCATGCCATAAAACATTAAAATACTTAATAAAAAAAAAATAAGTAATTTTAAGTTCTTAGCTAAGATGCGTTTAATTACATAATAATTTAAAACTTAAATAATTAATTAATTATTGTAGTTCTACCTTATTAATTCCGTGAAATTTCTTTGGATTTTTATCCAATATGTTCCATAATTCGTTTTATATTATGTCCATTTTATTATTCTCTCTAGAAGACGATGCTGATAAGAGTGAATTATTGCAAATCAATCTAATTAACTCCGTGAGTTTGTTTGTTTTTATTTTTATCTAAAAAATCTAGAATTTGTTTAATCTAAAATCCATATTAATGTTTAGGCTGGAAGCTGATATAGATGAGAGCTTCTCATATAAAAAAGAAATTTGAAAAATCGAAAAAGAAAATTCACTGATAAACTCAGTATTTGAGCTTTATCGGAGGCTTCATTTTGAAAGAAACTTTGGAGAAAAATCTATTAGCAAGCAAAAATTTGGTGCTATAGTTGAGGCAACTGTTTGATGTGTACAGATTGTTAGCTTATTATGGACTCCTAAGATGTCAATTACAGGCTGAAGTGATAATATAATTGTTTGGGAAGTGATAGGATATTTGAGGCTTGACCATACTTGTTCAGCTTTAGGAATTATGAACGAATGCCTTTATTTTTCTATTCTGATGTCCTTTATTAATTTTTTAGGTATTACTGCTTTAGTTTTTATTATATATAGGTCATATACCTTTCCAAATATACTCTTTAGTATGTTTAAAAGAATTTTGTATATATGGACAACTTTATTGATGGTGCCTTCTATGGCGCTATTTTCCATCTTTCTTAAATATAGTTTTTTGTCTGAAAATAAAGTCTCAGAATATAAAACAAACAATGACGCAAGCAAATTTCAAGAAGCTATTGTAGTCCAAATAGGAATTATTATTGGTCTAATAGTTAGCTTCTTTTTACTTTTATTTTACTCAGAGTTTTCTGGAGAAATTCGACATTTTGCCTCAAGCAAAAATATAAAAGCAAAAGCTCACTCAAAAATAGTGACCCACTCCAATATTATAACATATTCTTTACCAATTATTTACGCAGTACTCTCAGAAAACTATATTATATATTTCCAGCTTTTGACAATGATTTTTTCGCTTCTTCTGATGGCAGAAACTATGGTATTTATCCCATACTTTTCACCTTTTTGCAACACCATAGCAATTATCAAATTTTTTGATGTGGCGCTGATATCTTTTATCTTTCTCTTCGGATATATAATTGATAAAGGATTGTCTATAACTTTGCTTGCAATAGCTTTAGTGCCATTATCAGCTGTATTTATTATTCAATTTTCCTCAAAACTCCAAAGAAAAATCCCATCGGGAATCCCAACCAGTACAATCCATATAAATAATGAATACAATTTAGAAATTTTGTTAAGAAAAGCCTTATACTATAATGATGAAGAAAATAAAGACCAAATTATCGGGATTTTTGAAACATTTTTCATTGAGAAAAGCTCGCAGGGCAGCAAATATCAAGTGATATGGGCTACGAACTATTGCATATTTGCTTTAAAAGATGAATCTCTAGCCAAAGTAAAGCTAAGTAAAATAAAATTAATTTGCGATTGAGGACTCGAAGCCAATTATCAAGTTTATTTATGCAAAAAAAATATTCAAAAATCATCATCCAGCGAAAGCTCACAATTTTTAAATAATTTTCAGCAATTAAATAAAATCAAAAGAGTAGACAGACAGCTGTGCATGAATTTATTGGATTTTTGGAAAGAGATCACAGCTAGCAGACCTTCTCTAAAATCACTTATCAAATTTTTAGATCAAGTGGACGATGGTATTACTGTGCTTAATCAAGAATACAGCCAACTCACCACAAAATATTTTAACTCAAGAGAATCATTATCTCTTTATGCGTCTTTTGCAAGAAATATCCTTTATGATAGCGAAAAATCAATATTGCTTGAAAATAAATTGAGGTACTTTGACAGAATTTTACAAAATTCTTCGAATGGGTCTAAGAATTTTAGCTTTTTCAACGACAGTAATGGAGTTATGATCATTTCTAATGAAGAAGAAAATTTTGGAGAAATTCTTTTTGCGAACTCTAAAGTTTCTGAAGTTTTAAAATGCCCTTCACATTTTATTGTAGGCAATTCTTTAACATATTTTATTCCTAATCATTATAAAGATATACTTATCGAAGAAATGAGGCGAATTATTCGGTTCGATTCTGCTTCAGAAATCGATCTACTTGAAGGATTGTTTTGGAATCTCCCCACAAATTTTTTGGTAGAATGCACAGGCAAGGCTTCACTAACTTCATTTAACAATTTTCGAGTCACTTTGTGGGTTTTCAAGCCAAAAAAAGCAAAACATCAAGCTGCTTTAATTTCAGAATCTGGCGAAATCTTACGTCACACTATAAATTTTTCGAAAATCGCCAAGCAAGTTAACGGAAATCTGATAGGTTATAATCTAGAAAATTTATTTCCCAGCTTCAAAATGTATGATTTGCAGTCATGCACCCCTTATCAGTTGCTATATTTTGAAAATGAGACCATTTTAGTGAAACAATATATGGAATTCAGGAAAATAAAAATTCCTTATATACTACAAGAAATAAAATGGTGACGTTGACGGAAATAGGACACCTAGGCGCACCCCTATGGAGCAGGTAAGACCCATCCTGATGAAGCTGAAAGCAAGGGCCTCTGTCCCTCTTATAGCAGGCCTTCAGCCTTACCGAAGAGGAAGCTTTGTTTCTCTCCGAAGGAAATCCTGTAGGCTAGACAGGTTTTGCCTACCACATGATCTTTCCTCGGCGCGATAGGTGGTGAAAGATGCTAGTGAGCGAAGCAGATCATCTCAATGGGAAAGCTGCCATAAGAGGGTTTTTTTCCCCTGATAGTTTCCTATCCTGCTAGATTAACTAAACAGGTTTCCTACTGCATGGTCTCTACTTATCGGAATCATCGGTGCACCTTCTCGTTAGTTGATCTGCTCTAAGGAGTTAATCCCTTGGACAGGTAGTTCAGGTCGGAATCCAGAAGGGCAGTCTCCCATTTTCTCATTTGCACTCCAAGGTATATGGAGACTTGCTTTTTGCAGCTGAGAAAAGGAAAAGACGAGTGGCTTTATCCGCTTATGGCTACATAATTTTAACTTTATATAATACTAATAAACGAGCCTCAAGAAATTTTGAAGTGAAAAGCAGACACTTGTAGGATTCCAAGAGCTGACGAAATGGAAATCCAAATAGCCCATCAAATTTCTCTAAATATGCTAAGGTCACTGAGCTCTGATGGGAATAAGCCACTCTTATATAAAGATTCTCAAGATTATGCTGACTCAAAAGCTAACTTAAACCAGACTGGCCTAGAAGATACTTTAGAAGTGACTGAAAGCATTCATTATTCAGAAAAGGCAGAAGAAGAAGAAAAATCCCAAGTATCTCAGCCTTCCTCACAAAAAAATTTCCTAAAAATGATGGCAACCTCTTCACAGTCAATCAACATTTTGCACTGTGTTTTCATTATATCAGTATTTTTTATACAGATTCTTACTCCTACTCCATAAGCGAATAAAACCATTGGAAAAATCCCTATATTTTGCCCTCAATGAGCAAACAAAAAACTGCCAATTTTGAACAACTTGCATTTTTAAAACATAAATTTTATTTAAAATAAATATTTGCTTTCCATTTTTGCGGAAATGGATTTTTTTAAAAAAACAATTAACTCCCTTCATGAGCGAACAGAAATTTTTGTTCACTCACGGAGGGGAGGAGTTATAGTTCTCGCCACAAATGTCGCAGTGCTGTTTTATGCTTATGCCAATGTTGATGTAGCAAGTAACGTTGATCTTCCTTTAGCGGTCGGGACTGTTGGGAAAGACTTACAAATTTGTGCATTTTTTGCTAGAGCCTTGCTCGCTCTTTCTTATTCTACAAGCTCCGGGGCTTCAGATTTTATTATTGCAACTTATGAGACATTTAATCGCACTGTTAATGAATTAGAGACTATTTATGGCAATATTATGTCAAACTTGAAAGATTGGGATTCTTGTTCTGGAAAAAGCATTTTTACTGATGAAAATACGCATATATGAGGCGTTGATAATGGGTTTTATAAGAAAAATACCAATTTACTGAATATGGTTTCACAATTTATACAAAATGTAAGAGATATGTAGTCTAATGAACTATTAACTCCCCCCCCCCTCCGTGAGCGAACAAAACCATTAGAAAAATCCCTATTTTTTGGTCAAAAACCCACCCTCCGTGAGCGAACAAAAAATTTTTTTACATATAATTTTATATTTAGTTTATTATATCTATATTTAATACAAATAAAGAGGATAATATTGAAAAATAATTATTAAGTTTGTTTGATATATTATTCAAAGGGTTAAAAAAAAGAATACCATAAGTGAAAAGGTTGAATTTAACAATTTTAAATTTAAGACAAAAAAATGAATAGAAGAAATCGATTAGATAATTAACTTCTTCATATTAACTTGATGGCTGAAAATCTTTGGATGATTAACGCCATAAGAACCCGTCAACTCAAATGATTTTCTGACAAGTTGAGGGCTTACAGCAGCATCTCACGCCTTTGAAGCAATGTTTATCAGTTGCTGGCGATCAAGAGCTTTGAGGTTTCCAGTTCTTTTCGATCTTCTTTCAATCTGCTCTGTTTGGAATTTGATTCTGAAATCTGTTGTTTTTGATTTGAAATTTGCAATTACCAGTGCGTCAAGTGGTTGCAAATACTTTGTGCACCCTCCAGGGATCACAATTTTTGGTTGCATCTAAATCTGAAATTGCATTAGAAATCATGATAGTTTTATGACTTCCAGCCTGATCATAATCAGCAGTTGGTTTTCTCGTCTCAATATTGTTCTGAGGTAGTCATTAAGAATCTGGTCAGAAATGTAGCCAGATTTATTTGATTTTATGATGACATTTTCTGGAATATTCAGTCTTTCTCTTACAAGGTTCGGGATCTGGCCATTTTTCTCTTTGAAAAATGAGCAAAGCAGGCATTTTTTCTCCATCAGCTCTAATCATAAGCATAACAGTGATAAAATGGTTCATTTTAGCTGATTGAACGCCTAGAATTCGTTGAGTTCCTTGAAATCATAAGTGAACTTGCTTTTTACATCTCAATCAAATCTCGTTTCATCGAAATTGTAAATGTTAGATGGAACGAATTGAGGAAGCAATGACGCTAAATCATCTAGGTATTGCCTGACAAGTTCTGCCTCTTTTTTCGATTGGCTTAATGCTTGAGGCATTGATTTTTCTGAAAGATAAATTTATTTCTGGTCCTAAATCCTTGCCACCATTTATCTCCACAGCCGAATCGCGCCAATCCCATTTCTGCCGCCAAACTTTTTGCTTTCTCCTCAATCGTTGATCTGAGAACCTGAATACCTTGCTCACGGATTGCAGTAAACCAATGAACTAGTTCTTTCTCTAGCTCTGGAAATTGAGTGAAGCTTTCTAATTTTAATTTTTTTATCAGATTTTACTGATTTCTTCAACTCATCAAGCTTATTCACCCATTCGGAAATCGAGCTAAAGGAGTTGACATGAAACTTTGCAGCAACATCTCTCATGCTCATCTCATTTTGGTGTTGAATGTAAAAATTCAGCAATTTCAACTTTCTGCCAAATTTCAATGTACTTTCTTTTCCCTTTGTACATTTTTATTATGATTTATAGAGAATTTGCTTATTATATTAAATAAGAAAATATATAAAATATTTTAACTGAATGCATATATTTATTACTAATAGGTTTATTGATTATTAAATTATTGAAAAATTAAGCTGTGTTTTACCTTAAATCAAATGGTATTCTTTTTTTTTTTGGGAAATTCCCTTACTCTCCTCCCATAATATTTTTAAAATAAATTTTCAACTTATAAAAAAATATTATTTTACAATTAAAAATTTATATATAATTTTTTTTTAAAAAATAAAAATTAACCCCCCTCCGTGAGCGAACAAAAATTTTTTGTTCGCTCACGGAGGGGGGGGGGGAGTAAGAAAATTTGCGGTATCAGAAGACTATTCTCAAGAATTATTATTTTTGATAATGAATGGGTATGGAGAATCGCTTCGGTACTGCAATCAGTCGTTAATTGATGTAATCGATTGCCAAAGATCAGGTGTCAGCGATTTTAAAACCTTAATGACTGGTCTTTTAGTGCTAGGGATCTTTATACTTATAGCGTGCATTGCTTTTATGGCTCCTTTTTGCTATTCTGTTATAAAAGTTGAAAATAAGCTTTGAAATAATATAAGACAGCATGCACATGACCACTATTTTGAGCTAATTCAAGGCTGTTTCGAAAGGCTAACAAGAGTTCATGCGCAGCCAGAAGTAATGCTCACTGAAAAAACACTGTCTAAAAAGCAATTTAATTCGAAAAATTATTGGAAATATGGGTGAAGGATTTGCGTGTACTTATTGGCGGTATCTGCTTTTTCACTATTAAATATTACTTATTTGTATGAAACTTTATGTAATTAAATGGATAGGTTTGAAGCTAATTATTTTGAGAAAAATTCTCCTCCGTGATTTATTAGGTCGGCTTGACTTGCGAATCATTATCTGCAATGACAAAGCATAGCTTTTCTGATAGCAGGACAGATTGGCCCAAGAGAGAATGGAGTTTTACTGCTTGTGCACCTAAGGAGGGTGGCACTTAGGCTGAGCACGTGCAAGACTAATGCTAGGGTGACCTGTAAGATTTTCTGATTGTGGCACGTAGAATTATCGAATTACCTTCCATTTTGTGATGTAGGAAAGATGCGACATCATAATTTATGTTAAAAGGGTGGCTCAAACATGGCTAAATCGTCCTGCAGAAGAAAACGACTCCCAAAAAAATATATTAATTAATGTTAATATGAAACTTGCACAGATTATTTGTCCTATCGTCCTAAAGTAATAAGTGAATTAATTCAAACCCAGATTTTAGCAATCAATTTAGCGATTTGGACAACTGAAGTGTTGGTTGAGGATAGTAATCAATCTTTGAAAGCTTTATTGGTGGATGTAATCCCTTTTTCTGACACAACTAAAATGATGAGAAAGGCTGTGCTTAGACTAGTGGAATCAGAAAATATTCTAAGAGAGCGTCATTATTCCACGATTTATTCTGAAAAATTCATAGAAATGCTTTATGAAAAAATTAGCGGCACTGATGATTTAGAATTTGTATATGGGATTCATACAGCTACACAAATCGCTATTATGGATGCTAGCAATGTTGCGACCTCGGTAAATTCTATGCAAGAGTGGGTAATGTTAATTTACGTCCTGAGCGATTTAAACTACTACGGTGGTAAACTGATTGAGGAAGTGGATAGCTCCTCCACCAAAATAATTGATGCTCAAATGAGAATAATTGTGGCAGTTTTGGTTCTTTTTATTGCAATTTCTGTTTTTATGTACTTTGTGTTTTACATGACTTTTTTCAGAAAAGAAAAAAGATATCTCAAAAAAATAAATTCAATAATGAAGATAATGCCATAATAAAAAAATTATAAATATGATAAATTTATGAAATTTAAATAATAAATATGAGTACTGCACCAGCATCTCAAGAAATTTATATAGGATTTTCCTGTGAATAGCCTTATAAGGACATAATTTACTCATAGGGTTATTCACAGGAAAAACCCATAATTCTAAATCAGTCTGAAGAATCGGGTTCCATATTGCTATAGGGTTTTTTATTATTGGCTGTAATTTAGGGAATTACAATTCTGTCCAAAATAATATTTCTGACACTCTCCATTGAAAGTCTCATAAAGATCTTTTAATCCCTCTAATGGCTGCATTAATGCCTATAGGAGCTATATTTGGATCAATTTTAGCAAGTCCTCTATCTAATAAAAAAGGAAGGCGCAAAGCCTTTATATTTTCTGATATAATATCAATTATTTCGTCCATATTTTTTATCATCCCGTTCACAGAATGTTTTGCAATTGGACGATTTTTATCAGGATTTGCATCAGGGCTGTTCACTGTTTTATGTCCTGTTTACATATTTGAACGCGCTCCTATTGAAATCGGCGGGAAAATAGGAGCTTTAATTAGCATGAATTTGACATTTGGGATTGTGCTTATGTATGCATTGGCTTTGCCGTTGCCAGAGGAAGATTGTGAGGATTATGATATGAATTATTGATGAATTTTTATGTTTTCTATACAAGGAATAGCTGGAATAATTCAGCTTGTTTTGTTTATGGTAAAATATAAATATGACAGTCCTATTTGATTATAATAATTTGCATTAATAAGGTAAAGATATAAATGCTTTTAAAGAATAAGGTTTTTTGCTTGAAAATAAATATTAAATATATAAAATAGGGATAGTTGAGAAAAATCGCATTGAAGAAGCAAGGAAAAGCTCCTCACAGATTTATCGTCAAGATTCAGTTACTAATATTATCCAAACCCTTCAAAAAATCATTGAAGAATCAAAAGCAGGCGAAAACCTCCATGGCTCAAAATATTCCGATTTATTTTTGTGTAGAAAACATCATTCAAAAACACTTAGAATTGGCTGCATGTTTAACATTATTTATCAAATTTGTGGAATTAATGCAATTTTGACGTACTCCACAAAAATTTTTAGCGATTTTGGTGATGAATTTTTAGCAAGAGTTTTGACCTTGAGCGCGGGATTTGCAAATATGGGCTCTGCGCTGTTTTTATTTCCACTGATTGATAAATATAAAAGAAAGCCCACGCTTTGCTGAGGGTGCCTAGGTATGGCGATTTGTCTTATATTTTTAGGAGCCTTTTCTCTACATTATACATCAATGCTTCCTCATTTAATTTTTATTTTGGCTTATTTAACCTCATTTATAGTGTTTTCTGCTTTATTAATAATCCTAGTTACTTAATTTATAATAATCCTAGCTAAAAATAATTAATTCCATATAGGATAATATTTTTTGAAATTTCTATAGGGCCGTTATGCTGGATTATTTTAGGGGAAATTTTAGATGAAAAAGAATCGAGCATTTGCTATGGACTATGTTGAACAGCTGCAGCTGTAGTTGTTTTTATTTTTCCATTAATGTATGATGGAATTGGGATTTCGATAACGTTTTTTATATTTGGAGGAATTTGTTTATTAAGCATTATTTATTTTTGATGTGACTTGATAGAGACTAGAGGAAAAAGTAGGACTGAGCTCAGGGTAGAGCTATATCGGAAACAATAGATAGTTTTAATAATTAACTCGCTCATAATAAAAATCTGAGGTGGGGCTTAAAATACATTTTCTCTTCTTTTTTATCTTTAAGTCAATTTATAACCGTTTGCATTTTATTCAACTTATAGAGAAGCTTGCTGCAATTTCTGAAGATTATCTCCACCCTTATGCACCCTTCGCGTGCTTACCAGTTCGTGCCCGACTTCAAAATAGTTGCTCCCTCCCTCCTCCTCCCTACTAGGGCTTACGGTAGTCAAACGTCCTGTGCCACCATTCTGTACGCCAAAAAAGGTCACTATGGAAATTCAAAGGGTTGAATTTTCTGGCCGACTCTTAGCCAAAATGTAAATCCGAAGTCCTGGTGTAACTCCTGATTTATACTGGGAAATAGTCCCAATTGATCAAGCCAGTGGCCGCTCATACTATTGATAGATCCCTTTCAGCTCTCTGCTGCATTCCCTCTGAATAGAGGATGCTAACCTGAACTTGAACTTCACCAAAACAAGCAAAATCTGGCATGATATACGTCCCAAATGTCAGATCCCTCCCGTATTTCCTAGCACGATACAAGAACGAATCATTTGTACAAGTCAAGAGGGTTGGTTTGATAGCCATACCATTTTAATGCATAAAGATATTTATAACCATTTGAGTTTGAAATCTTAAGGATTAAGTCAGCATTAAGCAATTTCTATAGATATATATTATCTAATTCTATAGCACTTTTTCTACCAAAACTCAAATATCTACAATTGTCCCTGTCTCTTATCAAACTTTATTCTTGATTCTTTGAAACTATTAGGCCTCCAAAATTAATTTTAGAGTGACTATAAAAATCTTTTAATAATTATAAAATCAAAGAGAGATATCGATATTATCTGTTGCCTAAACTAAATATCAGATATAAATCGGACTTAATAATTATATTTACCTAATTAACTTAAATCAATTATAGTTTATGTGGAAATATAAGAAAAACAATATTGGAGTAAATTTCATATATTTTTAATGCAATATCATTATGCTTAATATAATCAAGAAATTTTTGATTTTAACTAGTTAGAATTTATCAACAATAATTCATTTAAATATCGCTTATATTTGTATTAGAATTATGCTTAAAGATATAAATTTGTTTCTTTGTCTTTCTCAGTTCTGAATTAATGTTAATATCTATTAGTTTTACTATTAGGAAAAATTATTGAAAGCAAGCTATAAGGTTCTAAGCCAGCATCCAAAATTAATCATATTTTACTGACTCCCCCCCTCCGTGAGTGAACAAAACCATTAGAAAAATCGCTATTTTTTGCCCAAAAACCTACCCTCCGTGAGTGAACAAAAATTTTTTTAATAGAAAAATTTTTTTTATGGAAAAAATTTTTGATATATAAATGATAATTAGTATAATGAAATCTAGAGCTAATTCTGTTTAATTTTAAACGATTGCTTTTTAAAACATAAATTTTATAAATTAAATTAAATATTTGCTTTCCAATTTTTGCGAATTAGGATTTTTTTAAATTTCGAAAAAAAACTTTTTTATAAAAATTTTATACATAAATTTTTTTTAAAAAAAAAAAATTAACCCCCTCAGTGAGTGAACAAAATTTTTTTGTTCACTCACGGAGGGGGGGGGAGTGATTATAAAGTTTTTTACTTATGCCCTAATCCAATTTTTAATAAATTTAAACAAGAAAATGAGCATAAATACTTCAGAAATCCAAAGATTTTCAAAGGGACTTCCTCCCACTCCATAAGAAAAAAAAATTTGCCAGCCCATTTTTTAAATATTTTTTTGTGTTGGTTATGGGACAAAATTAAAATTTAAACTAATAAAATTATTGTTTTAAAATGCAAGCTGCCTAAATTTGATAGAATAAGCTAGATTTTTCATCATAATATACTTAAATGTTAAATTATTTATGGGGTTTGACCCTTAATAGCCTGATAAGGGCAGATGATTCCCCGCTGATCATCGAGTTGGTCCAACCAACAAGTGATTTGGTCCGACCAACGCACTAAGTTGGTTGGACCAACTCGATAATTCCGCAGGGAATCATCTACCCTTATCGAGCTGTTAAGGGTCAAACCCTATATAAAAATTTCTTATATAATAAAACAAATTTTTTTTGCTGCTCAGAGGTTTAGCATGTTAATTTTTATTTTTTTTTGCTTGTTAACAGAGGAATGACTTAGCATCTTTTGAAATCTCAGAGCTGGATTTATTATATAAGAAAAAACCAAGAATAATGCCTTTGGTTAAATTCCACATAAAGAACGAAGATATTTCAAAATACTATGAAAATCAATTGAAAATTCAAACCAAAGTCAAAAAAATTTTCCATGACCAAGAATTAAAAGAGGACAACAGTTGCTATAAAACTTCGAAATTATCAAAAATAAATAGCTTTGAAAGGAGCCAAAACAAGTTAAAAAGGAACAATTTTTATCACAAAATTAAAGTTTCTTGCAAAAGCAACATAAATTTGCCTCCAATTAAGAAAAAATATGAAAATGTGCCTGAGGTAAGCTTTAAATGTGCATCTTTATTGGAGTTATTAAGCCCTTATTCACTAAAAAGTATAGATTTGAGAAGAAATAAAAATAAGCTTATTGGGCTTAAGAGTGCAAAATATATCAAAATGAAATCTCAAGAGCTTAAAAATGAAAGCATTGATTCACCTGATTATTTAAGCAGTTAATTTATACTAATTAAATTGAAGTTTTTGTGTTTAAGATTTTAATGATTTTTGATTCTTTATAAGAAATAGTCTCTTTAATGATTTCTAAAAGCAGAATTTACTGTATTGAATAAACTTTATTAATTTTTCATTCATATATATTATCAGTTTATAATATTCATGTGGAATATTCTTATTTACTTTCACTGCTGAGCAAAATTTATCTATTATAAGATTAAATATATAATCCAACTTTGAAAACCTCCAAAATCAATTTTCCCATTGTGTTTGAAAAGCAAATGAGTAAAATTATTGTTATAAGCTGAAGCCAAAGGCAAAATGGTACCAAGGTAATTTGATGAAGATTAATAAAAGTGAGTTCCTATATTAATTCCAATTATATGAGCATCAAAGAGGGCTATAATCTGTTAAGGCTAATAATCTTTGAATGCTTACTTCACCAATAAATAAGAGCTTTGTTTTTTAAGCCTCCTCTATTTATTTTTATATACCTCAATTAATATTATTTATATTTTACAATCAAAAAGCAGATTGCTGTCTTCTCCACCCTTATTTTCCCTTTTTTATGTTTTTTAATTTATAGGTAATGAAATTATAGTAATTTTTTTCATACCAAATCGGATTTGTTTAAGCTTAGGAGTTTCTACTATGACAATAAATAATTTTTTATGCAGTAATTCAAGCTGTTGCTGTTACTGGTTTCACGAATGAGAAGACAAAATATACAATTTGAATACGCAATTCTTGCATTCATATAGAGTTAGTTTATTTTAAAACAATTTTTTTCATGTCCCCCTTCAAACATTCTCTTTAATATTAAATCTCTTGCTTAAGCAATCTAGCTAATCGTAAACTTAAAATGGAAGAAGCGCCATACCCTCTAATCGAAGAAGAGCCCTGCAAATTTGACTCAATTTCAGATGTTCCTTTATTTCTTTGCAAAATATCAATAGATTCAACAGAATTTCTTGTCTACAACATAGAAAATAATAAAATCTGTGCAAGGCTTCCAAATCCTGTTCCTTATACTCTGCAAATTAGGGGGTTCTCATGTAACATCAATGGCTTTCAGCTGTTTTGGTTTGGTGGAGCTTCACAAAATGGCGATATTGTTGGAGTGTGTCTTCTTATAGATATCAAAACGCAATCTGTTGAAATATTGAGTTTTGGGAGGCCGAGAGCTTTGGCAAGGGCGTGCTTAAATTCACTTTTGACAGAAATTCGACTTAATTGAGTCAAAAATACGTCCAATATGGATAGAAAAATGCAAAAATTAACTCAAATTTAAATTTAAAAAAAAATATACTCATACTATACAAAACTGAGTGATTTCTTATTTAGTACCCTCTTAAATTAGCAGTTTTCTGCTAAATGAAGCAGAAATTAGAGGATTTCTATCCGATAGAGCATTTTTAATGCTTAATCTATTCAATGAGTATGTTTTGATACAATAAGTGATTTGCCATTAAAAGTGCTCTACTGATTTGAAACTTTCTATTTTTTCTAAAAAACTGAGAGCACTAAATAAGAAATAAAAATATCGAAAAAAGCTTTTGAATTAATTTCTGCCAAAAGTGGGTGTACATTCAACCCCAATGGCAACCCCAGTTTATTCGAAAATTTTATTTATATTTTTGGGGGCTATATAGGTAATTATGAAAAGCAAGCAATCAGTGATAAGTTTAATTTAAGGAAAAATAAGTGAAAAAGCATAGCAGATTTGCCTGAATCTACTGCGCTTTGTCCAAAACATAGGGGCTTCTCCAGCAATTATGCTGCTCTCTCACAGAGGATGGAGTAGTCAAACTACTACAATTGTTTTTGATAGAAAAATTTTAATTGCAGGAAGCGGGCTTGGAAACATACTAGAATATAATCCTACTAAAGATTCTTACTTCTCATAAACTTGGTTTGAACCGATAATCATCGTTCAATCAAGGATAGGCAATATAAATTCACTAATTGTATATAATAATATTTTAAGCGTAGCCACAAGAGAAAGAATATGCAAAGCTTAGGAAGCATGCTAAAAATCACATTTTAATTGTTATAAAAAAATTATATACTAAAATCTCTAATATTCATATGTGAAAAGACAGGCAGCTAGATTTGAGGATAAGTAGGGATTAGGCTATATTTTTTTAACTATATTAATTCGCTCGATAAAGAATAGGGTTAATTTATCCAATTTTAGGAATTTTCAATGGTTTTGTTCGATCAAGGTGGGAGGAGTTATGACAGAATTTTCAAAATCGACCAACGATTATCTAAATTACTCATTGTAATCCAAGACCGGCTAAAAATCATTTGATCGTAGTATTTTAATAGTGTGGCATTTCTAAGGGAAATTAAATTTGATCAAATGTCTAACTAGGGAAAAAATAGATCGATTTCCCCAGGAAATGACGAATATTAAAATATTTTGATAAAATCGATATACCATCAAAGGCCGATGCTTTCTTTTGACAGGTGACTGCCTTTGTTATTTTTCAGAAATAAATAATACAAAAATATGAAATTGTTTACTCCCACAATAAGATTGGCACAAAAATCGGTAAAATTCCATTTTTCGGATGAAAAAAAAAAAACTTATATGCAAAATAATGTATATACAAATAGCTTTGATATACAATTTTAATGTTTCCAAAATCTAAAATTGTTTATAGATGTTCGGTTATAAAAGGGGAAGTACAAATAATATTATATTTAAGCAAACTTAAGCCTTTTTAATGAATAAATTGTATTTATTAATTTTTTATATAAAATTTAAAAATTATTACAGAGTATCTATGGCAACCAAAACTATCACTCCTCTCTGTGAGCGAACAAAAACTGTTGAAAAAATCCTTTAAAATCTACCCTCTAAGAGCGAAGAAAAATTTTTTAAAACCAATTTTTATATATGAGTGATATAATCTAATGGAATCTTAATTTAAACAGCTTACACTTTAAGGCATTATTTTTACAAATTATTAATATTTGATTAAAAAATTATTTCGAATTGGGTTTTTTAAATTCTGAAAGAAAAAAAAACTTACTCACCCCAAACAAAAAATTGTGTTTGCTCATTGAGGAGGTTAATTTTTTTTTAAAAATCAATAATATAGTAAATTTTTTTCAAAAGATTCCAATGAAACAGAATTAGCTAGAGTTTTCATTATACTAATAATCACTTATAAATCAAAAATTTTTTCATAACAAATTTTCGTTTTGCTCACAGATGGTGGGTTTTTACCCAAAAAATAAGTATTTTTTCAATTCTTTTGTTCGCTCACGAAGAGAGGGAGTTAGTATAAATTTTATTTATTTCTTTATAATTTTTTTTAAAAAAATTAGCCCATGAGCGAACAAAGTTTTTTTGTTTGCTCACTCCCCCCCCCCCCCCCCCCTCCGTGAGCGAACAAAACCATTAGAAAAATCGCCATTTTTTTGACCAAAAAACCCACCCTCCCGTGAGTGAACAAAAATTTTTTTAATAGAAAAAATTTTAATGGAAAAAAATTTTGATATATAAGTGATAATTAGTATAATGAAATCTAGAGCTAATTCTGTTTAATTTTAAACAAATTGCGTTTTAAAAACATAAATTTTGCAAATTAAATTAATATTTGCTTCCCAATTTTTGCAAATTAGGATTTTTTTAAATTTCGAAAAAAATATTTTTTATAAAATTTATATATAAATTTTTTTTTAAAAAAAAAAATTAACCCCCCTCCGTGAGCGAACAAAATTTTTTTGTTCGCTCACGGAGGGGGGGGGGGGGAGTCAGGTATTAAGGGGCTAGAAAAAATTATTTAGCTTAAATAAAAATTATCCTCCTTGAAATTGGAACAAACTTTTTAGCTTCTATTTTAAAAAGGGGGCTGGAGTTAGGAAGCGTAAAAAATGGACGGTTTTACCCCTACTCAAATACTTGCTATTATAATAATTATATTTTTTTCATTAATATACGCTCATGCATATGCGAGTTCGATGTGGAAAATTTGGAATATAAAAAGATTGCAACGACCTCAGATACTCAGGTAAGAAGATCCAAAATGAAAAGCATGATTAATGAATTAGTTAATTCTAGACCAGTCAAGAGGCAAAGGTAGATTATCTTGGCTCAATCGGTGATAGAGGGAAGTATGAAAGGATATCCAAGCATTGCAAGAAGTGACTCCTTACTCCCCCCCCCCCCTCCGTGAGCGAACAAAAAAATTTTGTTCGCTCACGGAGGGGGGTTAATTTTTTTTTTTTTAAAAAAAATTTATATATAAATTTTATAAAAAATATTTTTTTCGAAATTTAAAAAAAATCCTAATTTGCAAAAATTGGGAAGCAAATATTAATTTAAATTTGCAAAATTTATGTTTTAAAACGCAATTTGTTTAAAATTAAACAGAATTAGCTCTAGATTTCATTATACTAATTATCACTTATATATCAAAATTTTTTTTCCATTAAAATTTTTTCTATTAAAAAAATTTTTGTTCACTCACGGAGGGTGGGTTTTTGGTCAAAAAATGGCGATTTTTCTAATGGTTTTGTTCGCTCACGGAGGGGGGGGGGGAGTTAGCAAATCGGGGACTAATTCCTAATGTGATGAATGAATGAATGAATTAATGGTTATCGCCCAACTAAGTGGACCAATTAAAAGATCTTCAAAAAAGTTCCAGAAATTTGTGAAAAATTCCCAAAAACTTTCTAAAAAGTAAATACAAGTAAAAGTAAAAATAAAAATAAGAGTAAAAGGTAAAAAGTAATTTCACAAAAAATCAATGCACTACCTGCTTGCGCCTCCAATGCAGGCCATTGAAAATTTTTGCCCTGTATCATGTGCTGTCTCCATGCCATCACCCATTGCAACCACGCTTCCATCTTCGCTTCAACTCCTGCAGTCCATGAATTCAGCACTGAAGAGACTACTGCTGGCGCAAAATCTCCTCTCACACTGCAACTCCTTTCAGAATTGACAGGATAAGCACTTCCTAACTTTTGGCGCAAAAAGCGCCATTATGTGCGGGAAATGTTTATGATTCCTAATGTGATACCGGAATTGCGCGATTGGCTTGTCGATCAAAAATTCGATCTTTTGGAATTTTGTCCAAGACGCGATTTATTTTTGCAAAACCTTTCCGGCTACGAGTTAGTGAGTTTAGGCCCTTGCCCAGTAGTAGCAATGCTATGGAAGGCCGTTTACGGATTGGCTAGCTAGTGGTAGGCCGTTATGGGAGAAGAAAAACCTTCGAGAATCCGAATTAATATTAATGGTTTCTTGGCCTAAGTTTACCTCCAGGTACTGAAGAAATTGCGCCAAAGGGAGGTGGCTAACTTCGCCATATAAATTTATATATAAAAAGCAAGATAATAATAATAATTATTGCATTTTATTTTAAAAATATCACTGTATATTATTGCAAATAGTGAATATTCAAACAAAACTATTATTTTGATTTTATTGTCAAAAATAAACTGTAGCAGCTACTAAAATGTACTATCTAGTGGATTCAAGAGATATGAATAAATAAATTGGCTTTCGGTTTGGAAAAATTTAAGCCTCTGGAGCAATTCCTCAACCTTTTGAATAAGATATAAGAATTCAGAAGATATGGAAGGCTAAAAATTATTTAATGGTATCAAAATTTTAAATCAATTTATGCTCACCCGGAGTTTATTTCCGAGAGAAGATATATTCGGATGTTCCATTTTTGTGCTGCATATATGATTGCCTTATAAATTATTGCTATGTGGCATTTAGCCACATATAAAAAGATCAAGAGCTAAATTATTCTGTAATGGCACTTTTCTTTCATTTATAAATAATTCCAATTAAACAATTTTAGTCATATAACCGAATTTAGAAATCTGTTAACCTCACATATATTCCTGAAAATCTAAATTTCTTAAAAATGCATATTAATTTTTCAGAAATTATAACCTAGCTTTATATAATCTAACTCTGCAGATTAAGCTTAGTTTATTGGGTTTTTATTAAACTCAGCTTTAAAGTCTTCAGTCTGTTTGATATAGTTCACGAAAGCTCTGGCATTCTTAAAAGCTGGAAGTGCTTCAGCAGGGATGACATAGCCAAGCTCATCTTCCATCCTTACTACAAGTTCAACGGCGTCCAAGCTGTCTAGTCCATGATCAGGGAGATAGCTATTAATAGAAAGAGCCGCTTTATTGCACGTGCGGAAATAATTGTGAAGCAAGTTAAGGACGTATTTTTCAATCTCTTCTTCTTTTCTGAGGACTAAATAGTTGCGTGGAACAATAGTCCCTTCTTTGTCGTAGACCATAGGAGAGATTTTGGTGGTGTCTTCGTTATGGGGGAAGGCGCTTGCTTGCATCATGGAAGTGGACATGAGTCTGAAAGCAATTCTTGGACGGAAAAGCATTTTTAATGGGAATTTATATTAAACTAAGATTTTTGGGGAGATTAAGGGAAAGAGGTTTTTTTGTGTTTCTTTTTCTATTTTAATTTTTATTAAAAAGTTGATTAATTAAAGATTTCTGGCCTTTAGAGCTAAAAAACAATTTCAGACTGTTTGTCTTAACGAATTTCTGAATTTTCAAGTATATTTTATTATGACTGTTAAAATTTAAATGCTCATATTTCTTGCACTTATATCTTCAGTCTTTTCCTATCAAGAATGCATTCAAGCCAAATCAAGCGGAACTCAAAAAGATTTCTGCGAGTCGAAACTTCTCTCGTCCAATGGCAGTGCTGCTACAATATCCTGCTTTGTGAATTTTTGTGATTATTGCTGCCAGTCATATTCTTCAAGTGACTGCTTAAATCTTTGCAGATCAACCCATGTTGCTTCTAATGTAAAAAATGACCCAGAAGAAATTTTTATCAAAGTCTGCTCAAGCGAAAAGATGAAGGAAGCTATGAAGCCATATTGTGAAAAATATATACCAATAAGAATAGGACTAGCTAATTTTACTATAGCCAGAAATCAGTAACCAGTAAATTAAGGGGCAGGGACCCTAGAATTTTCTCTTATGAGCAAATTTAAGTTAATTGTTAAATATTTTACGATAGCTAGGAATAAATCATTTTTAATTTATTTCAGTTAAATATGGTATAACTCAATAGAAGAAGATAAACTTAAATGCTATAATAGCTTTTGCTATGACTGCTGCTCTGGAGAGCTGAAAATAAACTCAGAAACTGACACAGAAATGCAAAAATGCATAAAATTCTGCTCAAAAAATATCCAAGGTGAAAAAGAAAAGAAAAATTGTAGTGAAGATGAATCAAATAAGTTTTGCACAAAATTTTTTGATCCGAATTCGAATGATAAGAGGCTGCATACAATCCACTCATGCTTAGAAAATTTCTGCGATTTGTGCTGTGATGGGAATGGAGAATGCACTTCTCATTGTGGGGTACAAAAAGTGGAGGAAAACGCAAAAATTGAAGAGGCTCCTAAAGAAAGTATATATTTTTATATGTAAATAGGAGGATAATTATTTTAAAAAAAATTTTTAAATTAATTTTAAAATAGAATGCTAGAAAGCCTATATATTTTTGTGGTATTTATAAAGGTATAAATATTCCTAGTGTGGTTACTTCAGCTTGCTATGAATTTATTGATGATTTTATTGAAATGAATAGATGCCAATATAATATTTGCTATGAGTACTGCAAAAATGATATAACTTGCACAAAAGCATGCTTAAAAGCAGCAGAAAAAAATGAAGGAAATGAAAAAATTGCAAAAATTATTGAAATTAAAATAAACTTGGAAAGCTCAAAAATTCAAGCAGAATTTGATTTAGAAGGACCTATTGATATAAAAATTTCAAAAATTAAGCAAGAAATTGAAAAATTTAAGCATATTCTTTTAAAAGCACAAAAAGAGCTGAACTCCTTACAAAAACAAAAGCTCTTAGGACTATCAAAAGAAGTAGATGAAGCTATATAATTTACCTGTATTTTAATTTTCTAAATAAGTATCTTAAAATTCCCTCCAAATATTAAGAATAATTATCATGGATCCCCAAGCTAAGCAAGAATCCTCAAAAAAGAAAGCCCTATCAAAAGAAGACGCCAAAAAAGCCTTATCTTACCTGTTAATTTTTTCCTACTTAATTAACATTCTTAAAATTAAAAATTTACTATTGGCTTATTTTAATTTTTTTTAAAAAAAAGTTAGATTTATTAAAGCACCTCGAAAAACAAAATGACGCTTTTCCTTTCCTTAAGCCTGTCGACTATAAAGCAGCTGGCCTCGATGATTATCCTTTAGTCATAAAGCATCCAATGGACTTATCCACAGTAAAAAAGAAAATAAAATCAGAAAAATACAGCTCACTCCAAGAAATAATTTCCGATATCAATCTTGTCTGGGAAAACTGTAAAACTTATAACCAAATGGGATCGGTAAATCATATTTAGCCAATTTATGAGCAAGCACAAAGCATGGAAGCAAGAACAAAAAAATACTGCGGAAAGCATGGGCTAATTAGTGAAAAGCCTCAAAAAAGGGCTAGAGAAGAGCCCCCAGCAATTGAGCAAGAAATCAAAATTCCAATTGAAAATATCATTTTTTAGTAAAATATTCCAAAATAAAATACCTCTAATAAATTCTAGGCGATTTAATTGAGGATACTATGTAAGTTTTGAGGCGAAAGTAGAATTAGCCGAAAAAGTCAGAAAATCAACTCATGATGTGCTGGCTGAAGTTGTAAAAATTGTAGAAAGCCAATGTAAAACAGCTATTGAAGAATTAGACTCAGACAGGATACAGATAAAAGTGGATTATTTAGATAAAGCAACGTTTGACAAGTTGTGTGGAATGATGAGTGTGCAAAGAGACGATGATGGAAATCCATCGAAAAAATCAAAATTAGGCTAATTTAATAAATTTTATGCTCAATATTCTTGTTGATTTTCTTTATTATAAAAGATCATTCAAATTATTTGAGGAAATACATTTTATCAATAAATCATGAACTCGTCAAACAAAAAAAACTAATTTTAACCGAATAAAAAGTTTATTCAAGAATTAATAAATATAATACCATTTTCTAATTTCTGAGACCCTATCAATATTGAATATAGATTTACTTCTTATTAAATTTGTTTTTACATTTATGCACATCTCTATAGCAATTTTTCGTTATCAAAAACTACGGTTAGAGACATAAAATTATACTTTAATATAATAAAAATTTAAATTTCACATCAAAAATCAGTAAAATTTGCTAGGGTCAAATAATATTAAATTAACAATTTCCAGAGAAAACCCACTTATAGAATATGAATCATCATCCATTTCCTAATTTCTTTGTAAATTTCTTATTTTTTACGTATTATTAAATTATCAGATCTCAATAAAAACCTTTGATTAATTAATTATGCCACTTAAATCAATCCTAGAAATTGTAGTCCAGCTAGATCGCTTTGTCAATATTGATCTCTCTCAACAAGGACTCTATCAATTACAAATTTCTTGCTATTATCAACTTTCCCAACAAAAAATCTACGCAGTTCCCATTACTTACACTTATTCGAAATCTTCTCGCGAAGACCTCATCAAAGTAGACCCTCACAATATAATTTCTGGGTATTTAGACGAAAAATTATTGTGTGTACACTCAAAAACTTTTCTGATTCGATATAGTGAAGAAAAAGTCAAGCTCAACGAAGTCGCAACTTTTCGTTTGGAAATCGAAGTTACTGAAAATTTTTCACAAATCCCTTTGACCTTACAACTAGGATAATTAAAATATGGCGTATCAGTGCTTCGCGGTCGGCTATGCTGACTACCACTGAGCAAATATTTTAATTATATCCGACAAGGTTTTACCAAGCTGGAAATTGGCAGCTATGCTAGGTAAGCAACTCCTGTGGTGTAAGGAGCCTAGCCCTTGTCCTTTTTCTGGTTTGGGTTTTACCTCGAGGACAATGGAGACTTGGAAGATCGAAAGGGGCAGCCCAGCAAAGTCTTTTGGACCTATCGAGCAACGAACCATTGTGAAACCAGGGGTTACGGCCTAGGCTGCAAGCTTTCCCTTTTGCCGACAGTAGGCAGAAAACCCATTTTTTGGATTTTCTGTTTAGGCAACCTCGTCGCTGCAGCCTGAAGCAAGGCCCCTGGAACCCATCGCCAGCCGACTCAAGACGAAGCCACCGCGAAGTGGCAAGGAGGAGGTGACGGCCAGGCAATTTTGCCTTTCCTGCGATCGGAAGTTGACGTCCCGCAAAGTAGATGAATCCCCTGGTGAGTCCTCGGTAACCGAGCTAGCAAAGTGGACTCAAACCACCTGAATAAGTAAGTAAGTAAGTAAGTAAGTAAGTAGTAAGTAAGTAAGTAAGTAAGTAAGTAAGTAAGTAAGTAAGTAAGTAAGTAAGTAAGTAAGTAAGTAAGAGCTTACAACTAGACCTCTTATATGGTGAAGTTTCAGCAAAAAAGCCACTTGTCCAGAGCACCCATCAAGTTTCCTATGAAAATGTCCTCTCAGTGGTAAAATCCAGGAACTTCATTATTTCTTACCCTCTAAAAGGCCTCCACGATTTCCTTCCAGGGTTTTTTGGCTCCAGATGATTTTGTGCAGTCGAAGGAATAGTCCATGTGATTTTTTATGATTATAAATTACCATATGGCGACATGCACACCTTTGTTAATCAGCTATTTGCTGACAAAAAAGGAAGACTAAAAAGCTTTATAGGTGCTAGCGAAATTGATGAAAAATATAATGAATATATCTCGATTTTAGCACAGGTTCATGAAGGAATGAGAAAACATATAGATCAATTAGCCAATATTTGTTCACTTGGAGAGGCTATAATTAATAGTCTAAAAATTTAATTTATATATAGGCAGTCAACATTATTTTCTATAAAAAAATAAAAATTAATCATAATATTAGGATTTTTTAGAAAAGATAAATGGTATATAAAATTGCAGGCTTTAAGACTTCCACTTATAGATGAAAATGACGGGGACGCAAGCAGTCGAAATTTCTCTGAAAAATTAGGAAGCAGCGATCCATATACTGTATGTGAAAATTTATTAAGAGAGTCGAAGCTTCTCGCTGGGTTTATTTATCAAGCATTTATACAGCTTAGGGATATCATTGTAAAAAATCCTAGAAAAACCTGCAAATATTTCAAAAGAATTTATGAGGACAGACTAATGGAAAGATATGGGGAATTCGTCGTAAGAGAAATACACAGAAAATGAGAATTTGATATCTGTGGGGTCGAAAACTCCAGAAAATTGCACAAAATTACTGCGAAATCTATGAGAAGAAGCCCTTATTTTATGAATTTAGAGTTCCTTCCTCTGCAAGAGGAATCTTTATTCCCAGTAGCCAGACTGCACCCAATTATGTTTGAGCAAATTTTTTATGCAGAAAATGATGTAAATAATGAAAATTTAATAAGAACTCCCAGCGGAAATCCTATAGAAGATATGCATGTAATTGTACTGGTCCATGGATTCCAAGGTAACTCATATGACTTAAAAATCGTGAAAAATTACATTGGGATGGTCTATCCCCGATGCTTTTTCCTCGAGTCCACCTCTAATGAAAATCGGACTGAAGGCGACATCCAAGAAATGGGTTTTCGGCTCAGCAAAGAATTAATCCACTTTCTAAGTGAATGATGCCCTGACGAAACCCCCGAAATTTCTTTTATCGGCCACAGCTTAGGAGGGTTAATAATCCGAGCAGCTTTACCTTATTTATCCTGCTTATCTGACAAAATGAGGCTTTTCTTGACCTTATCCACCCCACACCTTGGGGTTATGTACTCCAGTAAAATCCTTGACGCCGGGATGTGGGTGCTAAAAAAATTCAAAAAATTTTTGTCTATGAAACAGCTTTGTTTTGAAGACCATGAGTCAGTCGAAGGTACTTTTCTATATAAATTATCAAAATATGAAGGCTTGGAATGGTTTAAATATGTCGTATTAGTAAGCTCAGCCCAAGACAAATACGCCCCATTTGACTCTGCGCGTATGGAAGTCCCACCTCGTGCGTCAAGAGATGCAGAAAAAGGAAATTTATATATAAATATGGTCCATAATCTGCTGAATAGGCTGACTCTGCAGAAATTAATAAAGCTTGACGTGAATTTCAAGCTAAATCAGTCAATAGACACAATGATAGGAAGAAAAGCGCATATGCAGTTTTTGGAGAATGAAGGGTTTTTGAGAATGCTAGTGTATAGATATCCTGAGTTTTTTAGTTAAAATCAAAAATTAATTATTTATCCTAGTTTTTCTGTCCAAATTAAGCTTGTCTAGGACACTTTTAGTTCGCTTTTTTATTGAGTTTAACTTTGAGTCTAAGTTTAGGGCTATTGGTGTTATAAAAGTTTGGCTTTTAGTTTTTCGGTGATAGGAGAATGAAGGAGAATTGTATGGACTATTCAGAAATTTAGACTTTGGGGATAAGTGATTATTTGGCTTATTTTCTTGTGTCTCAAATTTAATATCAATTGAATGTTAAATTAGATTGATTAATGATGAGTATTTGAAGTCCCCACTTCCTGAAACATCGTGCTTTCTGCGGTGAAGGCCTGCGGGCTGGACTCCCTCGAAGCAGCTTGAGTCCGGTTTAATCCCGGCTTCCCGTAGAAGCATTTTTGCTCTTCATCTGGAAAAATCAGAGTGTGCTAGTAACTTCCATTTCCAATCACTGCCAAATTCCCAACTCTGCGTAGATTTAGGTGAGATCGTCCTGCTAAGGTATCCTTTTATACTGGAGAGACTAGCCCTTAATATCTTCTTCTCTGAGGAAAAAACTAAACGTGCTTGCGCAGGTTCGTTCCAGGCCACAAAACAATTTAGGGTACCCGCTATGGGCCTGGGTGCTGCTGGCAAAAAAGCTGCTCGAGCTGGCCAATAATTAGTGGAAATCGATCTGGGCCTCACTTAGAGGCTAAGCCAACGCTTGGATACTTACTGCACCAAAAACAACAACTTCCGAATACACATAAGGACACCCTCCACGGGAAGGTAGGTCATTCGTATATTATCAATTGAGTATAAAGAACTTTTATTTGATTTTATTTTTTCTGCTAAAGTAAACAATTGTGTTGGATTTTCATTATTTTTTAAAGCAAAATATATTTCTTTGATACTATTCTCATGAAATTTAAGAACGCTTTTTAATTGTTTTTCTTCCTCTTTTGAAGATTGTAATGTTATTTTCAGTTTTTTAAGATTTTGTTCATTATCATTTGCTGTGTTGGCCTTTTTGCGTAGATCTCTTATAAATTCTTTTAATTCAGATATTTTACTCTTGAGATCTTTATTTTTATGAGTGATAGTAGGGGGTGATTCTTCTTGATTTTTAAAAAATGTTATAGAGCGAGTCTTAAGAATTCTATTTAATTGGTCTACTTTTGTATAAGTCTTAGTCATTGTTTCTTTTCTTAAAATTGCAGAATCAGAGGAGTGGGGTGAGTGTCAATTTATCCTGCTTTTTATCATATTGAAACTTATATAAGCTAACAAATAAATACAAAGTTTAGGCTCTGGATCAATGTTATTAAATTTTATATAATTATCATGCATCAAAATCAGATAAAATCTAATAGTAATGCAAAATTATAATAATAAAAATAAGCAATCTTCTAAACGACCTAACTGATGCGGTTAAGCTAATATTGAATTCCTTAACCAGCCGCCTCGATTCCAATCAGTTGAAAGCTTTAAAAGAGATTAAGATGATATGATACAGCGGAAATCAGTCACATTATCAGTAAATAAGGCTCTTCTTATAAATTTTCCTCGTGGAATATATGGCAAAATTACTTGCAACAATCAAATATTTATTTCAAGTTTTGGTATAGGGACGATGTGGAGTTAATAGTAGAAGCAATTTTAGTAGCATTTGTGCATGAATTTGCCCATTTGCTCGGAAAAACAGTCACAGTAAAAAATTAATTCTTTTCAAGCACTACTGAATCTTTTCAATGTGATAATATTGACTCAAAATTTTATTTTTCGCCCTTATCCCCTTTCGTTAGGAACAAAAAAATTTCACTTGTTTTAGATTTTGCTCATTATGATTTGCTGTGTTGGCCTTTGTGCGTAAATCTCTTATAAGTTCTTTAATTCAGATATTTTACTCTTGAGATCTCTATTTGTGAGGGTATGATTCTTATGATTTTTAAAAAATGTTGTAGAACGAGTCTTAAGAATTCTATTTAATTGGTCTACTTTTGTATAAGTCTTTCTTTTCTCAAAATTGCAGAAATCAGATAAAATCTAATAGCAATACAAAGTTATAATAATAAAAATGAGCAATTTTCTAAACGACATAACTGATGCGGTTAAGCTAATATCGAAGTCCATAACCGACCACCTTGATTCCAATCAGTTGAAAGCTTTAAAAGAGATTAAGATGAGATGAACAGCGGAAATCAGTCAAATTATCAGTCGATCAGAACTAAATAGAAATCGCTCCTGAAAAGAAATTTTCCTTGCATATTTCTTCCGAGCTATTTCCCTCAATAGAGTTTTAAATCCACGAATAAAGTTAGTTAAATTTATTATTGGAAATATTGAGGAGATGGAGCCAAATAATCCTATGGTGGATCCACTTATATATGAATATTTTATTTACAGTTTAATAAAAGTGGCTTGCCTCGAAATCGATAACAAAAGCTGTAAAAATACAATTACCCATGTAAAAAATAGACTTTTTCAAGTAGATTGCTCCACTGAGCCAATATCTGACGATTGCAAAAATTGAATTCAAAACACCTTTAGGACATCCTTTTTGGATGGTCTATTCAATGAACAGTTCCCTGATTGGAGATCAGAAATTGAGTGCATTTTACAAAAGTCATATTTTTCTAATTTTATGCAAGACTCCGAAAAAGGACTCCTTCTAGAAGACGATTACATTTTATTGCCGGATAAATTTAAAGGAAACGAATCCAAAAATAAATTAGGCTTGCTGTTAGCTTTTGCCGAACAATTCTGGCAGTCATTAAATACAAAAATAAATACTAATTTTCCTCAAAAAAGAAAATGCAGAGATGAGGATAAGCCTAATCTCAATAAAAAATTAGAAGACCTTTTAGGAGGGCCCTTATATTTTATCAGCAATTATTCTGCTGGCTTTTTATTGGGCGCTAACCAAATAGATCGAAATATATTAAAAGAAGGATTTCCACAATTAAAAGAAAACAACGATTATTGAACAAATGTTATACAATATGACACAGTTCAATTTAAGAAATCCCAGTTATGATCAGACATTAATTTAGAAAATTTTCAATTAAAATCAACAACTTTGGTAAATATGCAAAAATATTATTATCAAATAGACCAAATTATAAAAAGATTTTTAAGTCTCAATGAGTTTATTGATCATAAAAATATGTTTTTTGTGATTTGTGGACTTTCTATTCAAGATAGCAAGAAATCCACCTGATACGGACATTTTAAAAAATCTGGGCTCAATCTTTACTGGAAGGCATTAGAAAATGATTACTCAACAATTATTAATTTAACGGATAATAGTGCACCTTTTATGCTCTTTTATGTGTATGATTATTTTATTCGAGAAATTACATTAAATAGACAGGAAAATTCATGCGAAAGCGAATTTGAATTTGTTTCAAATTTAACAGGCTATCATAAACCATTTTTTCAAAAATTAAGCACCGATGAAATTGATAAAATAAAATGAATATTTCTTACAGAATATATCTGAAAATTTTTTATGATTGATCCTCCTGAATATGAAGTCCTGCTTGCTGATTTTCTTAATAAAACTTTTAAATACAATTTAAGTGAAAACAATATTTATGGAAAAGTATTAATAAACAATTATACAATTGTTAACGACTTTTCATGGATCGAAAGCGATAAAATTAAGCAAGCTGGAATTATTTTTTCTTTAGTAAACTGCTTCTATGATTTTCTCTTCTTTCAAAATTTTAGAACGTTCCAGGATAAAATCAAAAATATAAGGAATTTACCAAATAGGGCAGCCTTTCCTTACTTAAAGAAAATTAATTTAAAGATTGCGGAGTTCATGACAGAAGAGCAAAACTTTAATGATAATTTTGAAAATCAGATAATTAATATTCAATCGTGCAGGAGCTGTGGAGAAGAATCAATTTGGATGCAACCGTACGATGACGACGAAATAAAAGATTTTATAGAAGATATATATCCTGACTCTTTCTGTAGTCTTTTAAAGCATCATATATGAGATGTTGATCTAATTTCTTCAGATATTGAATGAAACGAAATTAAAGATCAATATGAAGAAATATATATTGGAAATGAACGAAAACATCCTTCAGAGAATGGATATCTAATTCAAAATGGCACTTATGAATGGGGAAGTGCATTTAAATGCTTTCTCCTTCATTTACCAAAAATGATGCATACAATCTTAAAAGTTGAAGGTGATGCAGAATCGATAAGAAAAAGAATTCTTAGCATTCGATACTTTTTTATGGAGATATTAACTGAGGATATGTATGAAATATGGAAAAAAATGGCAATGAAAAATAATTCATTTCAAGCGTTAATTATTGATTATTTTTATACTACAATTGAATCATTTTCATTTGCTGATATGCGTGATGCAAAATTTTATTTTTCGAATATTAAAAGTCCTTACGATAAAATTCATTTGATTAGAATTCGAGACGAAATAAAATTAGTTACCAGAAAATTTCTAAATTTCGAAATAATTAAAAATTGCTATGATGAGATTTGCGAACAGATAAATCTAAATAATCAAGAATACAAAGATTTGATTGAAAATGCTTTAAATAAGGCGCTTCTTATAAAATTTCGTCTTGGAATATATGGTAAAACTACTTGCAACGATCAAATATTCATTTCAAATTTTTGGTATAGGGACGATGTGGAGTTAAGAGCAGGAGCAATTTTAGTAACATTTGTGCATGAATTCGCCCATTTGCTCGGAAGGTCAAAAATGAAAAATTTATCTGAAAAACTTCTATATCAATCACCTAAAATTATTAAATACTCAAAAAACAAAAATGAATATGAGTCTGGATACCAGATTGAAAAAAAAATTTTTGGTGAGCATTTAGAAAAAATATCTAAGCCTGCTGCTCATTATATTCTGACTTTAGAGAATATTGAGAATTTAGAACAATTTCAAAAAGAATTCAAAGAAGAAAATCACATGAAAGGAGCTGAGTTTATAAAGTTAAATAAAAAAGAGGATATGGGAGACGACACTATAGAGCTTGGAGAATGTGGCAATAGAAGGCCTACAATTAATCGCAACTTATTTAAAGATAATTAAGCATGGTTTGATTAATAGAACTCGATAAGCTCCTATTTTTCAATAAATTTTAGCTGTTTTTATTAACAGTCACAGAGATTGAGGCATTCAGTGTAATCACAGTGTTTATTTTTAATAGAATTTCTATTTTAATGTGTTACTGTGGTGCAAAATGTGTTAATTTTAAAGATATTTTCAAATTTCACCATATAGAAATATAAGTAACAATGTATTAATTCGTTTATAGCAAACAATAAAAGACAAAATGCTATATTTTAGTGTACTAAAGATATGGAGTTATACAATATACTAATTTTTAAATATTTTTAAATATTATTGCGTAGATACAAAGTTCGGTGGGAAAAAGCCTTTATCACCTGTCTGCAAATTTTCTCCAAAAAATCAATCCTCATGCTCAGAAATCTTTTGAATTCTATCCCCTTTCACCATATTCAGCAATCCAGACTGTGAAGGATTATAATCAACTAGCGTTGTGTAGATTTCTTTTGGAAATTCTTCATTTTCAAATGTAAATTTTGGTGTAGGTGGGATATTTCTCCTTTTATTTTCTTTGTCACTTTCTGATGTTTTTTTCTTGGAATCATATTGAGCATTCTCTATTTCTTCATAAGACTCTACTTCTGGGAATTTCGGGATAAAAGATTTCGAGTCCCTTTTTTCCTTCAAAATTCCAGTTGGCTTAAATTCTTTACAAGGGTCGTTTAAAATTTCGGAAAAATCTATATCAGCAATCAGCTTGGAGTCGACTCTAATTAGTTTATCTGTGACAAAGCTCAAAATTTTTTTAAGTTTAGAGTTCTGTATTATAAGTAAATCATGCTCATACGAGACTGTATCGCAAAATTCGATTGTTTCTTCTAGAGCTTCTTTAATCCTGTCTCTTTCAATGATGACTTCTTCCAAATCTCTTTGGCAGTCTTCAAGATCAGCTTCTAACTCTCTTTTTTGGTCTTCCCAATCAGTCGAAAACATTGAAATCGAATAATATTTTGGCTTTTCGTGGGACTGAGGGGATTCTTCAACTGTTGCCATTTCAAGCTCTTCATCCACAATTTTATTGGAAAACTCAATATTTTTTACCGATTCAATCTGTTTTAAACTTCCAACAGATGGCTGCTTTGCTAAGGTTTTTGATTGCTTTTTCCCATAGTCCATAATATTGAAATTCTTTGGCAGCTCGTTTTTTCTTGCTGGCAGCTTAGGTTTATTCTGTCCATTTGACGGTAAAAGCACATTATTCGGTTCTTTCACACGACGACTATTTCATAACGACTATTTTTTTTGGCCTATTTTTTTTGGCCTTTTTTTTTTGGCCTATTTTTTTTTGGCCTATTTTTTTTTGGCCTATTTTTTTTTGGCCTATTTTTTTTTGGCCTATTTTTTTTTGGCCTATTTTTTTTTGGCCTATTTTTTTTTGGCCTATTTTTTTTTGGCCTATTTTTTTTTGGCCTATTTTTTTTGGCCTATTTTTTTTTGGCCTATGTTTTTTTTGGCCTATTTTTTTTTGCCTATTTTTTTGCCTATTTTTTTTACCTAGCCTCATTCATGAAGCTCCTGAGAGGACTAGAACCTTATTGAGAAACAGAGACTTTTTCTTACGCGATTAATATTGAGTAAATTAAGTGAAAAACTCCTAATCAAATCTAAAATTTTCGAAATTTAAAAACAATGAATTAGTATTCATGGAGTACGAAATCTGTTAAGGGTGCATTTTTTGTTGGTTAAATCGTTTAAAACACATTAAAAATTATATTAAAACAATTAGTATGGAATTATGCCCAAATATTAGTAAAAAATAGTTAAAAAATTGTCAAAAAAATCGGCAAAAAAAATAGGCCAAAAAAAAATAGGCCAAAAAAAAATAGGCCAAAAAAAATAGGCCAAAAAAAAATAGGCCAAAAAAAATAGGTGAAAAAAAAATAGGCCAAAAAAAAATAGGCTAAAAAAAAATAGGCCAAAAACAAATAGGCCAAAAAAAAATAGGCCAAAAAAAAATAGGCTAAAAAAAAAAATAGGCAAAAAAAAATAGGCCAAAAAAAATAGGCCAAAAAAAAATAGGCCAAAAAAAATAGGCCAAAAAAAAAAATAGGCCAAAAAAAAATAGTCGTTATGAAATAGTCGTCGTGTGAAGATACGCATTATTCAGCTTTTTCATTGAGCTTTTATTAATTTCTTTGAGTTTTACCTCACGAAATTCATTTACACAGAACTCAATGAAAACCGATGCAGGAATTTCTGTCGAGTAATCTGCATCAACTAGCCTTGCTGCCATCCTTTGGACACAATAAGTCGGCTTCAACGTCTCTTGGAATAGCTTTGAAACTAAACTCACCCACTCATTTGTCCCCAACATCAAGTCTTTCAGCTCTACAGTTCCTTTTGAAGAGTCCCCAAGCTTGACCTGTATAATTGCTTTTCTTGCTTTTAAATAAAAAAGAAAAGTCTCTTTATTCCAATTTTCATTTAGAAAATTATTCAGCATCAAGAACTCCCCACTTTCGTTGGAAAATTTCTGCAGGGTGAAATAAAACGCCCAAGCCTCTTGAGCGACTTCGTCAAGCGTCTTGTGGGAGCGGCACTGAATAGAAAATTACAATATACGCAATTGTGAATTCTGGAAATGATGGGGATGGGTTTTCATGGACTGGGTAGGACGAGCAGAGTTTTGAAATCAGCTCAATTGCGAACGATTGTTCTTGGATTTGAGAAGTATAGGCAATGGGCGTGTACAAGGACTTTGGGATCCCTCGCTCTTCTAACAGCTTGCTGAATCCAGACATTTTAAAGATTTTAAATTGGCAGTTAAGTATTGTATTGGGGAAAGACAGAAGAATTTTAAAGGGAAATTATAGTTTAAAATATACACTTTAAGACTGTTGAAAAGCACTATTTTTATAATTTTGGTATGCAGGTTTATTGTCATAAGAAGACTATTTACTATTTGAGGATCACTATATTCTTAATTTAATTTTTTTTTAATAATTGATGGATAGTGTGAAGTCGAACTGCATAACTTCGGAAATTTTGCAAACCAAAATATGGTTTGTTTACTCCCCCCCCCTCCGTGAGTGAACAAAACCATTAGAAAAATCGCCATTTTTTGCCCAAAAACCCACCCTCCGGGAGTGAACAAAATTTTTTTAATAGAAAAATTTTTTATGGAAAAAAAAAAATTTGATATATAAATGATAATTAATATAATGAAATCTAGAGCTAATTCTGTTTAATTTTAAAATGAATTGCATTTTAAAACATAAATTTTATAAATTAAATTAATATTTGCTTTCAAATTTTTGCAATTAGGATTTTTTTAAATTTCAAAAAAAAATTTTTTAGAAAATTTATATATAAATTTTTAAAAAAAAAAAAAATTAACCCCCCTCCGTGAGTGAACAAAATTTTTTTGTTCACTCACGGAGGGGCAAATCTGGGATATGAAATTATGTTTCCACATAAAAATATGTTGAAATCAAATTTTTAAACATGAAATTTCTATTTCATATACCGCCCAGATTTGGCGAATTAGCCTGATTTTGTCTAACAAAGCTGCAGAAGCCATGAGCTTCAACATCGAATAGAAACAAATTGTAAAGCACCAGTTTTTAATAAAAAATTAGGAATCATAAAAGAATTAATAGCATTTTAGAGCAATTAGAACTGTCTTGATAGTATGCCAAGACCCTCCAGTGCACTGTTTTTCGACTGTCACAAATAGTATATTATTATTTTGGCATATACGAAAATGTTTGAAAAACTGCAGCGGTTGTTGCTCGTTTCATAGGCGTCCTTTTTACAATTGGTATGGTTTTAAGTGCCTTTTTAGCTTTATCGAGAATTGACTGAACAAGCTCACAAGCTGGCTCTTCTTTAGTTTCACTATTCTTATTTGCTGCTTCAGTTTCCAGATGTTCATCAGAATTCTTCATATCAATGTGGAGATTGTCAATAATTTCTTCGATTTCTTTATTTGCGTTGTCAATATTATTGCTGGCAGCTGGCCTAATCATCTTCTTAGCAGTCATTTCAATTGTTGCACTATGATGCATTTGGAAATCCAGTCTTACTGGAGGTTTAAAATAGAGTCGCTGCTGAGGATAAATTTTATTAGGCTGCGAGGCTTGATTTGAATTTAAAACCTGAAGAACATCTTTGTAAACCCTGGTTTTCAGCTTGGATTTCATTGTAATTTCATTTTTCTTTGATCTTTCGACATCTTCTTTTTTCATTTGTTCAATTCTCTGGAAAACAGCGTCAAAGTCTCTATTGGAAAAGCTTGGATTCCCAAGAATAGACCTCTTTTTTAGTCTCAGCTCAGAAATAATTTTTCTATCAATTTTTTCACTATTTTGAAATCTTTTTAGCCCGGCTGCCGAATATGGGCGAATTTTGTCAGTTTTCACTTCAAAAGCTTTACTAAGTTTTGAAAAAAAATATTCGTCAGCGCTTATAAATCTGTTGCTTCTTTGGTTTAATTTTTTTTGGTAGAGGCGCAATTGTTCGTCAGAGTAATATCTTTCTGGTTTTTTAGGTTCGTCTTTCATATGAATAGGAGATAAGCCTATTTCGCTTAAGGCAGGAGAAAGCGGTTGATCTGCAGGCTTATCTAAGCTTAGCTTAAGCTCTGATAAAGATTTTTGGTATTCAGTTTCGCTTGAAATATTCCTTTTGTGATTTTTTAAAATTCTTGTAAATTCTTTGCTGGTCATTGGCTTTATTTTTTTATCAAGCGATTTTTCAGACAGTTTTGAGCTTGCATCTACCAAAGCTTCTTGTGCTATGACCAAAGTTTCATCATTTTTTGCAATAAACTGTTTTCCGATAGAAGTTGCTATTTTATATTATTAAGACCTATCGAGAAGCTCGTTTTAATTCTACAAGGACTATTTCCACCCTAAAGCTTCCCCCGCCTGCTCACCAGTTCACATTTCACGACTTCGCAAAGGTTATTCCTACCGAACGAGGGCATGCACTCGCTACCCAGTAGTTGGGTGAGTCTCAACGCAGTATTGCACTTTAACAGGGCTACCCTCCATGGAAATTCAAAATGGTTGAATTTTTTGATCAATTGTCAGTCGAAATGGAAACAAAGCCCAGGGCGTAACTCTGGTTTCACGCTGGGAATGATGTCCTTTGGCCAGGATTAACACCACTGGCTCTGCTGGGAACCCCTTTCCAACTCTCGCACCCACTTCCCACTGAGGCAAAAACCTGGATTCCTTTCGGTCGGCAATCCAAAATTTGCGTTTCACCAAGCCAGGAAAAGCCATGCCAGATACACATTTCCGAACATCATTCTCCCTTCCTCAAGGTCCCTGCACACACATTTTGGATGCCAGCTACGGGAGTTAAGAGTGCGGGTTGTTTTGCCATACCATTTTAATATATCCGATAGAAACTGCATTTCGATAAGCTTTTACAGCAGATTTCAGATTTCCCAAAGATTCCTCAGCCACCCCAATATCATAAAATGCAATGATATAAGTTTTTATCAGGTTTTCCACTTTTTTCTTTTCAAATTCAGAGAGCTGTTCGAGAGATCTATTTTCTAAGCGCTGCTTGAGCTCATCTTGTAAAATAAATAAAGATTTTTCAGCTATTGCTCTGGCTTTTTTAAATTTATGTATTTCTGAATAAATCGCACTCATATTCAGCATAGTTTTAGCTGCGATTTGCAAGGACTCAGGCGACGAGACATTATGGTCTTCGTAAAATTTTACTGCACGAATTAAATAGCTCAATGCATTGCTTGGCTTTTTTAAGGATTGATGATAAGTTGCCCAATTGTTATAAGTTAGCATCATTAATCTAAACATTTTTTCATCCAAAAATTCTTGTGTCTTTGAGAAAAAAGCTGTGAGAATTTGTTCAGCTCTTCGCAGTCATTTGAGTTTTGAATCTTGAGAGAAAATTTTATTGCATAGCTGTACAACCTGTTGTATAATACACCTTTTGATATAAATATGTATTTTTTTACTAATAAAGATATCTATTTTCTATAGAATTATTTAAAATCATTAATTTTTTTATATTAATATTTGCAGTCTAAAGGATTATTTTTTGAAAATGGAAGTTTTGCGTTCAAAGCATCAAAGGAAATTTTTTCTATTTTTACCAGTGCATCCCTTAGCCTTCCTGATTTTTCGAGTTTTTTGCTTTCTTCCAAAGTGTTAAGCATAACTTCACTTAATATTGGATCATTTTGTAAAGACATATTATTTTACATATTTTCCATGAAACGTTTATGGATTAAATTAGTTAAATCTGTCTCTTTATTCTGTTTTGTTTCGACTTTTGTATTACTTCATTTATGTGATCAAGAGATTTATTGATGTCTTGCTTTTCTTTGTCGCGAATATTTTTCACTCGGAAATTTTTCATGGCAGATTGATATACACTGAATTTTGAATGAACTAGCTTTTCTTTGCTGTTTTTCCTGTTAATTTTTCAGCTGCCTCTGTAAGATAGAGAGCTGTGTGAGCTACTATTTTCTCTATTTTTATTCAGTTTTGGTGACATTCCACGACTTTGAGACAGAGAATGACCCCTTCTTGCAGATATTTTTACCTCAGATTTTCGTTCAGTTTTAATTTCACTTACTGGACTTGCCAGGCTGAAGCTCTGGAATTTTTTGATATTTTGGTTGTATAAAGGCACTTTTTCTTCTTTTGGATAGCCATAATCAAGTGATGTATAAGGAGAAATATCGTTATTTTTAGGAATTGGGAAAATTTTTTGTATGATTCGGTCTTCTAACGAATTTTTCTTTTTTATATGCAGCCTGATATAAAATTACTTTATTTTTTCTGCGTTTTCGATGTTTCACAGAGAGATTCTGCTTTTTTCTTCTTCAATAGTTTTGTCTAGCGACTTTTTCTTAGCCTTATTTTGTTTAGAAAGTTCTAAGATTTGTTCTCTTAAATTGCTATTTGACTTCATTTTAAGCTTTTAGGACTGAATGATACATAATATCCATTATATTTTTTATCTGTTTTCATATAGTAAACAGCCACAATATAAGAAAATAAAAAGTTTGAAATAATGATATATATTACAATTTTTTATGATTTTTACCCAGTAAAACACTGCAGATCTTTTTACAATACTTAATTTATTATCTTTTGACTTATACTAAAACGATAACCCATATATAAATAATAATTATTAGAGATAATATATATGATTTCATTAGTTTTCCTTCTAATTACAATCTACTTAACAATCACTATCATTTAGATCTCTTTGTATATAGCTTTAAAATGGCTGGATACAACCTTGCAGAGCTGCACGAAGCCTTAATAACCCCTACAAACCCTATCACAAAACGAATGCGAGCAGTATTTTACCTCCGCACAATCGCAACTCCTGAAGTTGTCCCCATTTTAGTTGAAGGATTTTCTACTGATTCCCAGCTTCTTCAGCATGAAATTTGTTACGTTCTAGGCCAAATCCACCTTCCAGAATCTGAAGCATTCTTAATAAGTGCCTTACAAAACGAAACTTTAGAAGTAATCTCTCGCCACGAAGCTGCAGAAGCACTAGGCGCAATAGGAAATCTTCGTTTTCTTCCTATATTACAAGCTTACTCAGCCTCCCCAATCAGAGAACTTGCAGAAACTTGCCAGCTTGCAATTGACCGTATTAATTGGCTCCAAAATCCTGAAGAGTAACTATTATGCAGAATTCCTCCATCCCCTATAATACTTTCTATAGACCCAGCCCCTAAATTTGCAGCCCAGCTTACAATTCCTCAGTTAAAAGAAATTTATCACGACACAACCCAATCACTGTTCAATAGGTATAGAGCTCTATTTTCTTTAAGAGATATAGGAACTGACGAAGCAGTTTTAGCAATTTGTGAAGGATTTGGAAATCAGAATTTCTCTGCACTTTTTCAGCATGAAATTGCCTTTGTGCTTGGGCAAATGCAGGAAAAAGCAGCTGCAGGAATTCCTTATTTAATTCAAGCATTAGAAGACACAAGTAACCATTATATTACGAGACATGAAGCTGCTGAAGCTATTGGATCAATCACAGATTCTCCTGAAGCGCTGGGAATATTGTAAGAAATATGTAGAGAAAAATATAAAAATGACCCAGCAGAGCCTGTCAGGTCCAGCTGCTTTATTGCTTTGGATATCTCTGAGTATTGGTTTAAAAATGAATAATTCTTTCCAATTTGCTAAAACATTAATATGGATATCGACAAAGTCGATTTTGATTCTGAAAGCGCTTTCTATGAGCTTATCACGAGCCATACTTTAGAAGAATTATTATCACTTGAGAACAATTTATCTTCAGAAATTAGGACACTTGATGGAAATATGCAAACTTTAGTATATGAAAATTATACTGTAATGGATTGAACTGATATTAATTTATCTAACTCCCCCCCCTTTAAATTGGAACTAAAAATTTTGTTCCAATTTAAAGAGGGGTTAATTTTTTTTTTTAAAAAAATTATCCATATAAAATTTTTATAAAAAACAAAAATTTATATAAAAATTTAAAAAAAAAAAATTTATCGAATTAGATCAATAAATTTGTCTGATGAAATGCTATTTACTCTTTATCCTTTAAAACAAAGCAAGATATAACTAAATTTATATATTAGTTAATACGCCACTATTAATTGGTATCAAAATTATTTACACAAAAATTATTATTTTTATTGATAAAAAAAAATTAAAAAAAAAAAAAAAATTTAGAAAATTTATCGATCAAAGTGCTAATTTTGTTTAAATAAGATGTTATTTATGCTATATTCTTTAAATTAAAGCAATAAATAAGTAAATTTTAAAATTTTATAAGGAATTCGCATTGAATTTATATCAAAAACTATTTAAATAAAAAATATCATTTTTATCAAAAAAAATAAAAATTTTTAAAAAAAAAATTTAATTTTTTTTTTAAATTTAACAATTAAGGATAATAAATTTATTTAAATAAGATGCTCTTTATACTATCTTCTTTAAAAGAAGAGCAAGGTATAACTAAATTTTGAATTTTAGTTAAGAAGAAACATTTAACTTATATCAAAACCTTTTAGATAAAAATTATCTATGATTTTTTATTATAAAATTAAATTTTGTTCAAATTTAAAGGGGGGTAAATTTACCAAAAAAAGTGGAAATTTTACCTATATTTTGTTCCAATTTAAAGGGGGGGGGAGTAAGTAATACTTATTTTGCATAAAATTAATATACTACTAAATTAAATATTAATATGGATTTAAATATAGCTCAATATACAACAAATTCATATCAGCTACTGACACAATAAAATCAATGAAATCCAACGTCGAGAAAATGGAAGACGAAATGAAAAGGCTCGAAGAAAGCATGAGCAAGATCCAAGGCTTGACTGAAAAAGTAGACGGAGTCTTAGGACTAAAACAGCAAGAAATCAAAAAATTGGTAGGAATTCATGAAGAGCTGCAGAAAATTAAATTCATCTGTGACTTGCCAGCTCTTTTGAGATCCGCAATTGAGAATAATTCTGATAAAAATAAAGTTGTAGATTTTCACCAAGCAGCAGAAAGCTATCATGACTCTCAGTCCTTTTTGCAACAGCATAAAACTGACACTTCTTATGCTTCTATCTATCAAGAAACTATGGAATGCACAGAAACAATCAAAAAAATCTTATGAAGCAAGCTGCAAGACTCAAACTTGCCTGCTCACTTATTTACGAAGTACATAAAAGAAATGGCATGGCTTGGAGATGAGTCAGAAAAGCTGCCGACTTTGTTTTTCAATTAGTATTTTTTACATAGCCATAAGAGTCACATAATTTCGACACTAAAAAAGTTGTATGAAAAAGCGACTTTGTCTGCAAAATCAACCCCAATTATGCCTATGGCAGATTCCTACAGCTCAATTCAAAGCATTGACCAAGATATCAGAGTAAATATAAACGAAACTGACAGAGAATACTCTATAAAAGAAGGTTCTTTCAGCTGGTATATTTTGGAGGTCCACGAACAAGGGATCCCTCAATTTGTGAATTCACTGGTCTCTTTTAATGAAATTTTCAGTGAAAAACAGAAAAACTTGATGATAAATTACGTGAGGGACGTGCTTACAATATATATCAACAATATTAAAAATAAATTAAAAGAAGTCAACTCAGAGCTGGGACCTTTTACGAAGGCTCTTCATATAGTAAATTCTGACATGAAGCAAATCAAAGCATTAGTGGCTTCTAGCAGCCAGTTCAGTGTAAGTGATAAGTTTTCGGAGCTATTTGAATTCACCATTAGGCATGAGGTCGAAAAAGTCATAGAAAATTTGCAAGGAAACTTAGTCAATTTTTTAGAGAATATTAGCAGAGATATAGAAAACTCGACTGAAGGACTGCCTGAGTCCATTGAAGGACCTACAGACAAAGCGGTTTATGATATTATGTACTCTGTAATTGCGTCTGTAATAGAACTGGAACCACTAATAGAGTCGTCAAAATCTTATTTAACGTCTGGGATCATGTTTGTGTCACTAATAGTGTCACATTTAATCCAATTTTTCCAGTTTTTCAAGCAGGCAGTCTCATCTTTTTCATCAAGATATGCAGGCAATGATCCTTCTCTATCAAGCTTATACAAAATTAATAAAAGCGGGACATTTTTGATAGCGCTTCTCAAAATTTCAATTTCTCTAGAAGAAAACGGCCTCCCCAAGCTTCTCAGCACTATATCAAGCTCCTATTCAGACCTAGGAATTTCAAAGCCAGAATTAAATGACATCATCCAAAGGGTCGCAAAGCCAGAGCTACTTATCACTTTAAAACAAACTCAAGAAGACCTCTTAACGATCTACATTGAGCACTATGGAAAGCTCTTTTCTGACATGCTAGAAGAATACGCTAATATTAATTGACTAATAGACACAGAGCCAATTGATGTACATCCAGTAATTTTAATATAGATAATCGTGCAAATTATAGAAAACTTGAAAATCGCCAAAAAGGAACTGAAAGTCTTTTTTAGGGGAGAACAAGCACTTAATCAGAGATTTAAGAGAAAAAGGGCTAAGCATAACGTAGAATTGGAAATGGAAAGACTTTTCGCAAGAAAAGCGAAAACTTATGAAAATGTAAAATTTGAGCTGAACAGCATTTTAAGCAGCATTGTGAAGCTGACGTTTAAAAGCATGTATGAAGAGCTGAGGATGAAAGAATTTGGCACTGGAGGAGTCCAGCAAATAGAAGTCGACTCTAGCTTCATGGGAAGCTGCATTGACGAAATCGTCGCTATGGATGATAACGACATCTTATCTGGATACGTCCACGAAGTAAACTTCACCGTTTCCAATCGCAGCACGCAGCCTGTAAGCCTTCAAAAAACTTTACTAGAGAGCATTGTGGAAAATAAAAAAGAACAACTAAACATTAAAAGTAAATCTTAGGTCTAACTCAAAAGAAATCTTACTCTCCCCATTATATTGGAACAAAAAATATTGTTCCAATTTAAAGAGGCTATTTTTTTTAAAAAACAAATAATATTTAAATGTTTCACTAAAAAAAATCAATGATATGATATATAAAATTTTTAATGAGGAAATAATTAAAAAGAGTCATCGATTTAGTGTGAAAACTTTTTAAATAGCAACTTTTCATTAAATTAAACCATACTTATTTTATAAAAATTAGTATTTTCATCTTGATTTTCCTTATTTATTTGTATAAAGAATTAAATAAAAAATTAATCAATTCTAAAGGGAGATTAAAGCACCCAAAAAATGCACTTGATGTTTTGTTCGAATTTAAAGATGGGGAGTTAGTATTTTTTCCCAGTTATCCTCTACTGAACATTGCACTCAGTCCCCCTTTGCTCTGAGTCTGCCGCATCTTTTCTTCTATTTCTTCTGGTGTGAAATCAGGCAGGCCTTTCATGATCCTCTTTTGTCTTTCCACCTGCATTTTTTGCATTTCCTGCATCATCAACATGCCTTGCTTAACCATCATGCTTGTGTATGCGAGGTTGACACCTTCAATAATGCCCAAAATTACTCCACCTGCGACTGCATTTCGCCATGCTATTGAAAATCCTGAACGAAGGGCAAGAATTCCACCAGTTGCGAACCCTGAAACAATTGCATTAATAGGATCGTCACTCTGACGGTACCATAATAAAAAACAGTCAAAAGTCGAGAACAGGCCTCCCCATAAAGCAAAACTACCTCCGAGTATGGGTGCTCGAAGCTTTACTGCGGTCATTGCACCTTTAAATCTCTCTCTGGATGGAGCATTGTAGAAGCCTTTTAAGAAATAAAAAATCGCCCCTCCAACTCCGCCCATTGCAAAGGCTCCTCCAAGATCGTCAAAGAATCTTTCTGGGCAAGGTTCTCGTTGTGCCATTTATAATTATGTGAGATTTTGCAATAAAGAATTCAAAAACTCTGGAATTGAGAAATTTTGCAACAAGATGATCTTTGATTAAGAAATCTTAGTCAAAATATCTTTATTTTGTTCTTATAATGTGCAAAAAGATAAAGCCTCGCCTGTAAAAGTAATATTATATTCTTTAAAATTGGCAAAAATCTTAAGCTATATCCCTAATGACTCCTTTTCAATTTTTTAATATAAAAATTAAGCTAAAACTTTGATTGGCCGCAGTCAGTATAATTCATATTTACATGGAAAACAACGATAGTAGAGACATAGACTACAGCTTCAAGCTCGTCATTATTGGCGACTCAACAGTTGGAAAATCCAGCATCCGAAGCCGGTTCACAAAAAATGAATTCTGTCAGAGCATGCCAAGCACCCATGGTTTCAAAAATGATTACAAAATTGTTGACATTGACAGCAAGGTCGTCAAAGCTGAAATCTGAGATACTGCAGGCCAAGACCAGTACCGCGGAATCCTTCCTTCGTTCTACCGAGGGGTCAAAGGCGCTCTCGTTGTCTTTGACATTACAAACAGAGAAAGCTTTAAAAATCTGTCTAAATGAATCAGAGAGCTGAAGCTGATGGGGGACTCCCTTCTTTCGGTCCTGCTGATCGGCAACAAAAATGACCTCGAAAATGAGAGAAAAGTCCCACAAGAGGAAGCCAAAATTTATGCCCAAAAAAATCAATTACTGTATATGGAAACTTCTGCTTTAACAGCAGAAAATGTGGACAAGGCCTTTCAGGATGTGCTGACTGATATTTTGAGATCTACTATAGTTATGATGGCCGGGGGAGAAAAGCCAAATATTGGGCCGACAAAAAAGATTACATCGAGTGAAAAGCAAAAAAGGTCAAAACAGCTGGCTATGGACGCTCCCAGATGTGCTTGTGCATGCATTTGCGAGATCTTTTAAATTAAGAGTAAAATTGAAAACTATAAAGAAACTTCCTTTATTAAGGAATATATAAATCATTATTTAAAATAAATTAATAAATGATTTTAATGACAAAAATCATTTTATTTGGTGATAGATTTTAATATATGAAATCAGGATTTATTTAAACAATTAATAAAAATATTTGAAAAATATAATTAGTATTGCTAAAGCAATTATATAATTAAAATTTATATTTACTTAGATTTAAAATGTCGAAGAAAAAGCCTGAATCTGATGTCAAGGTAATCAAGAGATAGCAACGCCTACTCGATAATCCTTTACAAGCAAAAGAAAAAGATTTAAGGCAGCACATGGAAGCTTTAAAAACTAATTTATCATCCAGCAATGGAGCAAATTTCTTAGCCAAAGCCAACGAAGAATGCGAATTTATTGAGTCAACCTTACGAGACATAGAAAATTATCAGCCAAAGTCTCAAGCAGAACAAACAAAAAAAGAAAAATTAATGCAAACTTACTCTGATGAGTTTGAAAACGCCCTCAACTCATTCCAGGAATCTCAAAAAGCACAAAAAGCTCAGGCTCAAGTCCAAGTTCACGATTTATTTACTGAAGAAATGTTAAGGGAAAGAAACGAAAGGATCCACACAGTCGAAATAAAAATGACCCTTATTGCAGAAATGCTCAAGGATTTTGCAGAAATGACCAGAGAGCAAGGTCTAAAACTAGACCTTATAGAAAATAACATCCATGAAGCAGGCGAAAACACAAGCGGAGTTGTAGATGAGCTAGAAATTGCAAGTAGACGAGGTCGAACGAAAAAGCGATTCTGCATGATCTTTCTTTTAGCTTTATTTTTCCTAGTCATTTCCGTACTTTTGTTACTCATATTAACAAGACTATAAAATTAATAAATTATGAGGAAAGTTCATTTAACTGTCCCTGCAAGTGAATTTTCTGGGCACTCCTCAATAGAATCCTCTCCATTCACAGAAGATTTGCCCTCACAACCTGTATCTTTTTATATTAAAGAGTATCAAAAATTGTACAAACTTCTGACACTACGAAATCATTCCCGAACAAATACAGTTAGGACAAATGAAGATGAATTTTTTCAGTCCCCAGCTAGAATAAACCAGCCACATACAGGCTGAAGCAACGAGTCTATGCTGTTGAACTCTAAGAGTCTCATGACAATTGGGGACACAAGCTATACAAGTGATTTCAGTGATCTCACGCCAAGAAACCTGGAACGGTCTTACTCTCCAAATCTGGCAATCCCTAGTGAAAAAAGTGGAGACTTGATCAATAAATCAGTAGAAAATTTGAAAAATATAATCTCAAAATGTGGGAAGCTACCTTTGAATATTCAAAAAGCAGTAGAGTTATTGGTGGAAAAAAGCAATGATATTGACCAAGACTCATCACAGGAAGAGATAATTGAGGCAGCTATAGCTATTGAAGTAATCAAAGGGAAAATTATCAATTACTTGATCAGCCAAAATGACACACAAAGCTTTTTTGAAAATATTATTTTTGCAAGCGAAAAAACTGCAGTAGAACTTGCTGATAGGTCAAGAGATGATATGGTCAACTTAATGAAGAAAAAAGCTAGTATTTTTGAAGGGAATTTTTCAGGGAAAAGAAAAATTCAAGAATTGTATATGTTTGCTATAGAAATTGAAAAATGGAAACATGGGAAGCTAAACCCGGATTCAAAATATGCAAACCGGCATCCTTTTCAAAATCAATATGAAGAAATATTGAAGCAGCTGAAAAGCCAACTGGAAGCTGAAAAAGGCAAAGGGAAAAAATCAGGGCCAAACTTAAATTTGAAAATGATGGCTATTAAAAAGAAAATAAAAGAAATGAGAGAAATGAACTTGGAATTGAAAAAAGTGGTGGACTATGACTCTTATTTATGGAAACAACTTACGGGTGAAAAATTCAAGGAATTCCAAAAAAAAAGAGGGAATAATGATAATCAGGAGCTAATAAAAGAAAACGAGAGTTTAAAGATAGAATTATATGCTCTTTATACAAAAAATGAAAGTTTATATGGTATAAAAGAAGAGCTCCAAAATGAAGTGGAAAAGTGCAAACAAATTATTAAAGATTTGGCCAGTCAAATTAAGCTTGATAACCAAAAAGATGAAGAAATTGATTATTATTTATTGAAAATCGAGAGCCAAGACTCTCTAATAAACCAGCTAGAAAAGAAAATTGAGAGCTTAAAAAACTGCTTATCTAATAGATTGCCAATGGTTTCATCTGAGATTCATGCACTTAAAAATGCAGCAAGAGAAATAAAAGGAAATTTAATAAAGGAATCCAGAAATTGGAATTCGAACTGCCAAAACGGGACAAGAATCATAAGTATTTTCTTGAGAAAAGCTATGGATGAGAATAACCAAACAAAGCTGGCAAATGCAAATCTAAGTGGCTTATTAGAAAATCAAATAAATGATGCAAAGCTTCAGAAAAAAGAAAATGAGGAATTAAAATTTAGCTTGATTAAAGCTTCTAAAGCACAAGAAAAGCTGCGAACAAGCTTAAAATATGTTCTAAAGACAACTGAAAGTGTGAAATTTAGCATCAATGATATAAAAAAACTTCAAAACCTGCAAATGAAGGCAAACTCAGAAAGCTTAGTGTTGATAAAATCAAAAATAAGTGAAATTGCGCGTGAGAACAAAGAAAAAGCAGAAATTTTGAGGAAATCTCTAACTTTTCAATATCACCAGTCAAAACTATCAGTTTTCAGAAAAGCTTGTAAAATAAAAGAGTCGATTTTAGTGTATAATTTTTCCTCTAGCAGACAAATTTCTTCGAGGGTATTCAGTAAAATTTTTTTCCCTCGTGTGACATTTGATAGAAATTAGACAGCTTCCCAGAGCAAATGTCTCAAGAGAATCAGTTTTTAAGGAAATGCCACACTAACAAAAGGTTTCGATTAAATATCATGAACCTCGATTTCAGAATCCAAAAGCACAGTTTTGGCCATGAAATCTGAGTACTCAAGAAAAATCAGTGACTTCATAGCACATTTCAATAAAACCGCTTCAGCTATGGTAGCTCAGATAAAAGATAAATCAATAAAGATTTCTGAAGAACTGGGCAGTGTTAAAAACGAGAGAGACATTTTTAAAACTCGATTCTCTGATGCCAGCAAAGAAATTGAATTAATATTAATCGACAAAGAAAAACTCAAAATAGCTATTGAAGATAAGGAAAGAGAAACTTTAAAATTTGCAGAAACAAACAAGCGGCAAAGTGAAGAGTTGTCGAAGAAGCAGAAAGAAGTTGAATTAATTTTAGAACAAATGAAGATAGCTAAGAGCAGGGAAATTGATCCAGCCGTGGTTGATGGCTTGAAAGCAAATAATAATGAACTAAAGGATGAACTCTCTAAGGTTCAAAAAAGCAAGGACTGGGAAATACTGAAAATCACCAAAGAAATGCAAATGATCGAGAAAAATCTTGCTGAGTCAATAAAAAATAGAGAAAATGAAATAAATATGTTGGCGGCAGAGAACTCAGAATTAAAAATTGAATTGTCCAATTATCAGCAGGAAAGCAGCAAAATAATGCAGTTAATAAATGAAGAAAAGGAAAACATTGAAGCAAATCTCAACAGCTTTATCAAAAGGAAAGAAGATGAAATCAATGAACTTAGGATCAAGTATGAGGAGTTGAAAAACCATGAAAGTGAAAATGAAAAAATAATTAGCAAAATTAAAGAAGAAAACAGCACAGTATTGAATTATTTAACTCAAAAAGACGCAGAAAATGAAAAGCTCATAGAGAGAGATATAGTTAGAGGGGATTAAACGGGGGTTATTTCAGCCCCTAGCCAGTTGAGCTTTAGCTTCACGCTTTATATGGCGCTAAGCACTAAAGCCACCTATCGCCCTTTTCCTTCTGAGCTACCAAAAATGGTAATGTCGTCAGTCTAACGGGTAGACTCACCCGAACCTGCTCGGACCAAATTGCAGTGCAGGACTCTCTTAACCCCTGGCAGTGCTCAGTGTATGAGGGAGGCGTCCCGTACCTCCTTCTGGAACAACCTCTGCCTTTTACAGACAACATAATGCTCCTCCAGAAGTGCCCGATTGGTGCTGCGCCGTTGGTCCTCTTGTCTGTGGGTCGAGAGAAGGCCCAGACAGCCCAAGCCTGCACTCCACCCCGAAAAGTGCCCACCTGCAACCCTGTGGTCCCTCGAGGCCATTTTTTTAAATTTTTTGCCTCGAGTTCTTATGATGCCAATTTTTAAAGCTCATAGAAGAAAACCAATATTTATCTGAAAAGGCATTAGCAAAAGAAAGGGGGATCCAAAATATGATGATGGAAAAGAATAAGCTTGAAGAAAATTTAAATATCACTATTAAAAGTAAAGAATCTGAAATTGTCTCTTACAAAGAGAAAAGTGATAGTTTAAAAAATGAAATATTTAAGCTGCAGAAAGAAAAAGAGAATGATAAGGAATTATATACTATTGAATGCAAAAAATTAGAAGAAAATCATAACAAATCGATAAAAAGTAAAGAAAATGAAATTACTTCACTTAAAGAAGAGATAGATACAAAGCGAAATGAAATTAAAGGGAATTTAACTCAAATTCGCAATATAACCAATAAATCTGTTCTATTAGTAAACGAGCTCAAAGATCTAAAGGGATATATATCTGGTCTAAAGTCAAGTATAACTACTGAAATGCATAACTACTTGATTGAAATGCAAACCATACTTCAAATGTCTATTTCAGAAAAATGGACAAAAAATGAAGAATTCAACAAATTGAAAATTCAGATGGCTATTGAAAACGAAAAAAGCCAATATAAAATTCTTGAAAAAAATAAGGATTGCGCTTCAGAAGAAAACCAGAAGTTTCAACAAGACATCAAAAAACTTGAAAAAATCAATCTATATAATCTTTGCCAATTAAAGAATATCATTGGTCCTCAGTTGAATAATCTAAGATCAACGAATGCACAAAATAAAGATTCAATTATCTCCCTCCAAATGGAAATCGTAAACAGCTTTAAAATATTCAAAAAAAAATTCCATAGAAAAGTTAACGAAAAAACAATTAAAGAGCTGGAAACTTTAGAGGAGGTTACTGAACTTGAAAAAATCGTCAAAGCCGAAAATTTCCAATTTAAAGATTCTTCTATAATATGCTGTCTTCTATAAATAACCCCAAAAGTCTTTCATACCTATTTTGCTAAAAAATATGGCAAGCTATCTACAGCAAATTGCATACCACAACTTACACAGGTAATGGAAAATATTGTAAAAGAAAATAACTCTCTTATAGAAAATTTTGACTCCAAAACTATAACTTTGAAAGATTTCCGAAGAAATTTTGTCGAAAATGTCAGCAGCTTTTATATTTCAGTCAATAATGTGCTGAATGAGTACTCATCAAAAATGGTCAAAGAAAAAGAAGATTTAGTCAGCAAAATCAATGAAATTAAAACTTATTATGAAATCAAGCTGAAAGAGATACTTAGAGGAGGAAAGTCGGCAATTATGGTTTTGAATAATGGAGCAGCTGTGATCCAAAAATGGTGCCGTAGAAGAAGACTTAGAAGAACTTTTGACCAGTATATGAATCTTATTAGAATGGAACCTTCTAAACTTCTAGAAATGGTGGATCCGAGCTTAGTGCCTATCTATGGCAACCATCCAAGGCTCAGAAAATGCTTCAGGTTTGCAGGAGAAGGCTGGCCTCCAGAAATACTTTTCAATGCTTCAATTTTGGAAGAGGAAAATGAAGAAGAAAAAGAGCCAAAAGATAAGTAAAAATTGCATAAATAATATTTATAGCTATTTATATATACGTACCAAAGATATATAGGGATTTCCTCTAGATAGCCCTGCAAGGGCTGTAAATTTTGGGTGGAATCTTTCAGTTGGTCCAAGTTTACAGGGCTGTCTAAGGGAAACCCCTTATAGCCCACTATGGAGCTTTTTTGGTTCACCATTTTTAAATTTGGTTAGAAAAAAATATGGCATGCCATCTAAGAAAAATACTGGTTATATTGGAAAATTAGTATATCTAGAATGAATCAGTTTATGATCGATAGCCAAAATTATATTTATAAACCCAAAGGCAAATTAAATATTCATTTTTTCCTAGCATATTATTTTAAAGCACTATATAATTTTTTAAATAAACATATTCACGATTATAATTAGCATTTATTCGAAAAATCCTGCACATGAAAACATGAACATTTGAATCAATGCTTCATTGTCCAGCATTTCAATGTGAGCAGCTCTCCCAATGAAGTTATTCAGCGACTTCTTCATCTTAAAATTCACATCGATCCTGTGAATTTTCTCAACTTTTAGCCTCTTCATAATATTTCTCGCCATTTCCATATATTCATTTTTCCCCGAAAAATTTTCTATATTTTCTTTGACTTCAATTCTCGCTGATCCAAATGGCGCATACTCATCCTGATGAGAACTGACGAGGCAAAAATGTTTGAACCATTCCAGTCCAGTTTCGTTGCTCAGTTTATATAAATAGCAATCTCTGGGGTTAAGAGAATCTGTCATGGATAACTGTACAAGGCATTTGCTTCTTCGTCATTTTTTCAATAGCCAGATTCCTGCATCAATTATTTTCGATGAATTATACATATAGCCTAAGTGGGGTGTCGAAAGGGTCAGAAAAAATTGCATTTTTGATGAAAATTCTGATAGAAAAGGAAGAGCTGCTCTGATTACAACGCCTCCTAAAGAGTGCCCAACAAATGATATTTTTGTGAGACTTCTGGGGCAATATTGTTTGATATAATATTTGACTTCTTCTGACAGCTTTACTCCCATTTCGGCTATATTACGGTCAGGGTTGTCTTCATTAGAAACCGAGCACAAAAACAACACATCTGGGCGGTAAAGGGCAAAGTAGTTCCTCCAATGCCGAACGTCAAAGGAATTTCCTTGGAAGCCATGAACAAGAATAATTAAATGTGTTCCTTGCTTCTGAAAATCAATGTTTGGAGAGTAGCTCAACCAGTTAGGACTTCATGGCTTTGAGGTGTCTAACAGAGTTAAAGAGCTTTCACAGACTTTTGAGTAAACATCTAAAAACAAAACAGGAGGCTCCTTGTGCGAAGCTTCTTCAGAATGAAGCTGGAGGGATAAAGTTTGGTTTTCATTATAAATTTCAGTCCTTCTCAGGGTTCTTGCGACAGAGGAATGCCTCTCCCCCAAATTTTGGTCGGTTTCTAAGGCAAAATCTGTAACAAGCTTCATCTCCATAAAAATGCTTTTTTCTCAATAGTTCATTTGGTTTTCAATGTATTCGATTTCTAAAGACCTTGTTATGTGTCAGGAATCTTTGGCTAGGATTTCTAAAAATGTAGTCGATAAGTAGCACATTTTGGTCGCCAGTTCTTGGATGTCACTGAGGAATTTATTCGCGAAATCTTCCAATGATAAATTCCATTCAGCCAATGGAATTTTAATTTTTTCAATGGAAAGTCTTCTTGGGCTTCGGCCATTTACATAAAATAGTTGCAAATGCAGCCCGTCGTTTCAGTCCTTGATTAAATTTTGAATTTTATCATGGACACACTCAATCGTCCTCACATATTTGTCGTAGATCCTGTCAATATCTTCTTGTTTCAGTACTTCGATTCCTTCAAGCAGACACTCACTCCCCCCCTCCTTTAAATTGGAACAAAAAATTTTGTTCCAATTTAAAGGGGGGGTTAAGAAAATTTTTTTAAAAAATAAAATCAATATAAAATTGTTTAAAAAAAGATTTCAATAAAAAAAATTTTCAAAAATTTATCGAATTAGATTAATAAATTTGTTTAATAAAATGCTATTTAATCTTTATCCTTTAAAGCAAAGCAAGGTATAACTAAATTTTCATTATTAGTTAATACGCCACTATTAATTGGTATCAAAACTATTTACACAAAAATTATTATTTTTATTGATAAAAAAAAAAATTAAAAAAAAAAATTTTTAGAAAATTTATCGATCAAAGTACTAGTTTTGTTTAAACAAGTTGTTATTTATACTCTATTCTTTAAAATAAAGCAAGGAATAAGTAAATTTTCAATTTTTGTAAAGAATTCGCATTGAATCTATATCAAAATTATTTAAATAAAAAATATCATTTTTATCGAAAAAAGATAAAAATAAAAATTTAAATTTTTTTAAAAGTTTAGCAATTAAGGATAATAAATTTATTTAAATAAGATGCTCTTTATACTCTCTTCTTTAAACAAAAGCAAGATATAGCTAAATTTTTAATCTTACTCCCCCCCATCTTGATCGAACGATTGACTGTAAAAATTCCTAAAATTTGGGGAAATTAACCCCCATCCTTGATCGAACGATTTTCATATCATGACAATTTTTATATATATAAAAATATATTAGTTATCAAAAAAGCTTGGGAAGATGTACATAACGAAGTTGTTTTCAGAGACTTTGAGACGACAGAAAGCTTCGGAATCAATTACCTGAAGTGATTTAATCATCAACTTAGGCTTAAAAACTCAATAATCTAATAAAATAGAGATTCTTTAAAATTTTTAAAAAAAAATTTAATTTAATAAGGAACAAATTAAAATTTATGCAGTTTAAAGGGGTAACTAATAAATCAAAATATTAAAAATTGGTATTTTTATAAAATTTTTTGCTCTAAAAATAATTATTAAATACTCTTAACCCTCTTATTTAGAGTAAATAAAAATATATATATATATATATTTTTTTATTTTCTATATAAAATTTTTTTCCCAAAAAAAGTTTTTTTAACCCCCATCCTTGATCAAACGATGGCGAGTCGTTCGATCAAGGATGGGGGGGGAGTTAGTTAAGAAGAAACATTTAACTTATATCAAAAGTTTTTACATAAAATTATGATTTTTATATATAAAATTTTTTATTATAAAATTAAATTTTGTCCAATTTAAAGGGGGGTTAATTTACCAAAAAAGTGGAAATTTTACCGATATTTTGTTCCAATTTAAAGGGGGGGGGGAGTCAGAAACTTCTCTTGCCAGGTCTATAGAATTGTCTCTTTTTATGCTTAGCCGGTTATTTGATATTGACTCAATGATAGACTTTGACCTGAATCGAAAATCTATTGGTAAAGAGTGAACGGTCAGTGACACCACCGAGAAATGCTCTTTATCAAAAATTACTGGGAAAAATTGATTGATCCCTTCCATTGCGTCTCTTAGTTTCAGCTTCACTTCGCTAACAGAAACTGCTCTATCAAGCTTCATAGTATTCTTTTCGAAAATATCTTCAGAGTACTCTATATCTAAATACATCAGATTAACCTGAATAATTATTTCATTTTCAGTTTCAAGGTCTAATTCTGTTCTAAACACAATGATATCTTGCAAAAAAAATTCCTCGTCACAAAATTTGATGTAAAAGATCTGAGATTTGAAACAAAAATCCTCAATTTCTGGAGGTAAAGTCCTGAGAAATTCTGTGTTTCCTTCACATGTAATCACATTATAAGGATGAGCTGAGACGGTATGGCCAGAGACAATATGATATACAGAAATCTCCAAATGGTAAAGTCCTGGGTTGTATAGGTCAATATTTCTAAAGCTCTCTAAATGGATAATGACATCTATAATTCCTCTTAAAGACATTTTTATATGAATTATACACAAAAATTAACTGACTTTTTAGTCCTAGGAGTAGAATATGAGATCTGGAAGTTTGCGAATTGGTCTTGCTTTTCTGTCCTTGCCTCGAATCGCTTAGTCATGGCATCTGTCAAAAAATTGTCGCTTCGGTTGCGGTCAGGGGTTTGTGAGCGGGGCCGATTTTGGTTCTGATAGTAGGGCTTCTCACAGAAGTTTAGCCTTGATTGTGTTACGTACTCGCATTTTCCTTCAAATATAACGTTATCTTTGGGGTATATAGGAGATGGTCTTCGGATAGGAGAAGTTTGTCCAAACTGGTCGTGATAGGATGACTTCATTTTGATCTTTTCGGAAAAAATTTCACCAACTGCGCCGCGCTGATCTTTGCAGAGCTTCGCTCTGCATGACAAACCTGGCGAAGTTGTGAGCTGGACTATTCTGTGCCGTAAAGCTTTGTATGGACTGAGCTGTTGAGAAGACATGTATAGCACAAGCCTCATTTTAGATCTCTGAGGACAATTACTTTTAAATAAAATACTATAATTTTAAATTAAGGAAAAGTCTGAAAAGTCAATTTTAGAATTGACAAATGGGATGTATATAATGACATTTTTAAAATGAATTTTGACTTTTTAGCTTTTTTTTTGAATTTTAAACTAACTCCCCCCCCTCCGTGAGTGAACAAAAACCATTAGAAAAATCGCTATTTTTTGCCCAAAAACCCCCCTCCGTGAGTGAACAAAAATTTTTTTAATAGAAAAATTTTTTATGGAAAAAAAATTTGATATATAAATGGTAATTAATATAATGAAATCTAGAGCTAATTCTGTTTAATTTTAAACGATTGCCTTTTAAAATATAAATTTTATAAATTAAATTAATATTTACTTTCCAATTTTTGTGAATTAGGATTTTTTTAAGTTTCGAAAAAAAAAAATTTTATAAAATTTTATATATAAATTTTTTAAAAAAAAAAAATTAACCCCCTCCGTGGTTGAACAAAATTTTTTTTTCACTCACGGAGGGGGGAGTCAGTTTTTCTTTGAATGGCATTTTTCGTAAAAGTCTATAGGGGAGCACTCGCTATAGAGTTTGAAAATGAAAATAATAGATTTGTAAATATGAAATGATTTTAGAGATTTAGGACGTATATCATCTGCTAAAATTTAAAGGAGAAATTATTCTCACTATGATATGAATTAAATTATATAAATTAAATATCTATAAATTTGACTAGTTCCTTTGTATTATTTTCTTTATGTCTAAAAATTAAAACATGATTCAAATATATGCTCAAGTATTTGGGGAAATTTTAAATCTTTAATCATTTTTTAAGATGCATAGACTTTTATTATAGATTAATTAAAATAAGTCTTTATTTATTAAATTATTTTTTTAGTTTAAAAACCGAGAAAAATTATTCATGAACAGAAGGCTCATCAAATAAGGCACTTTCGCTTGCTAGCCTTTTTTGATATATAATTGATACGTCAGGTGTGCTAATTGGAGCTTTCTTTCCAATACTATCTTCTCTTGGAGTGGTGTTTAGAGTGTCTAATTTATTGCATTCCTCTCCATTATTAGAATTGATTAAGTCCGATAAATTAGTCGGAACAACAATCCCTGTTTCCTGAGCTACTTTAAGCTCTTTTCTTTTGCTCAGCTTTACCTTGATTTTCAATAAAATGGTCAATTTGATAGTTCAGATCAAAAGATATACTAATCTTTGGAGGCTAAATTGCTATAGCACATTGGATCTTTTTTTCATCAGTAGATTAGTTTACTTGCTGCAATCAGACTCTATTTCCCAGCTAAATCGCAAACTGATTGCGGTCATTATAGCAGGTTACTGGTGCTCAAAAAGGCTCAAAGACTATATTTTAAATTCATATTCGGAGTAAAAACTTTGCAGCTTATTGATAGAGCCCTTAGGCCAAAGATTCTAAATGGACGGGAAGTGGAAATATTAAAGAGGTATAATGAGTTTTTTCTTAGAGCTAACTAAGCTAATGTTTTGATTTTCACATAATATTGGCAAACTAAAATAGCATAGCTGTATAAAATAAATGTGATCATTGATAGCAGAATAATGGATTGAAAAGCTTCTCTAGCAGACACTGATAAATCTGTATCAATAAATGGGGTTAAAAATATGAAGACTATGAGGACTACAAATTCTGCAGCTATTTCAACTTGGTTATTTAAGCCACTTTTATAAGGCTTATATTTGATCATATAAAAGATTGTAATAAGAGTTAAAATGATATTCAATACTGATTGCAAAGCAGGAAAATCAGCGAGATTGTATAGTATTAGTGCATATAAGCTCCTTCTAAGCAGAAACCATGGATAATAGCACATGCTTAAAAAACCTTTTTTACAGTGAAAATCTTCCAGTAATGAACTATATTTTTTAATGAAATTTTCATCTCCAGACTCAATGATGACTTTATTTTTCCAAATGAACCAAGTCATTAATCCATTAATGACTCAGGACAAAAGAAATACAAGCCACGAAAAAGTGCAGTCAGCCACATAGTCAGATTGACTAGCATCAGGATTATTTATCCCAATCACTGCGCCTGCTATAGTTAATATATAAATTTGCAGTCAAAGCTTAATTAGCCAAGAATACTGAAAATTCGATAAAACTTTAGTACTTAATACATTCCTAACCTTTGCAACTGGGATACATAAATAAAGCAAAAGCAAGATCCCCCAAAGAGCAAAAAACATTAGAGCGATTCATACCATATGTCCTGCAGCAATAACAAAAAGCCCTGATTTATACCCGTATTTATAAAATTTATTTATTGGTTCAGGCCCAATATGACGGCTTTCATAAATCCATACTCCAAGGTTTGGGATAGACTTATAAGAAATATAGCCCTTTAGCATATCATATATATCAGAAGGAATATCAATATTCATTAGAGGAGCAAAGGCAATAATCTGAACCATATTCACATATATTCATAAAGTTGCGGATTTTTGGGTTCAAAGATATAATCCAGGGCCTCTTTTGGATCGCCCTAGGCTGCAAAGTCTCCAGCTTGTGAAGTTGGCTAGGGCTGCAATTTTGCCAAGTCAACTCCACCAATTGACAAGCGCCATATAGGTTTCACTTGCTATTGGAGGAACTGACTTGTAAAATCACAGCCCTACCAGTCTGCTAGGAATTTTGCGATCCAAACGATGCCCTAAGCTATACTGAACAACGCCATAAAACGCAATCGTTGAAGTTAAGGATTTTTGAGTAGAGGTTGGTAAGACTGCAGCAATTTCTTCGTTTGCAATTTGCTCACTACTTTTTGGCTGTCCAGTAATAGTGGCATTGCTATGGTTAAACAGCCTTTGTTCAATAATAGAATTCGACACCCCATATACTATTTTACTAATAAAGAGCTGTAAAGTTACTGCTCCATTTACATTTGTAGGAGTAAATTCCACAGGGATTTTATAATAATCGTATTTTGAAACAGTTTTGACTTCAAAAGTGACTGTAACTTGTATATCAGCAAGAACAGTAATAGAAATGTCTGCTGTGCTTAAAGTTTCATTCAGATTTTCACTAAAGATTAGATAGAAAGTATTATCTGAATAAGACTCATTCACGTAAAGAATGTTATCAATACAAGTTTCATTTTCTTCTTTGGTCCCAGCGGGACAAACACAGCCACGTCCACCAATAACAAATGGTGAAAAGCATGAGAGACAGATATCTGGACTACTTGTGCAATTGCTGCATCTCTCATCAGTACAATCTGTGCAGTAACCATTATAAAAGGTTTTCCCTTCTCCACAAGTGCATGATCCATCTTTTTCTAATACAAATCCAGATGAGCATGACAGACAATTATACTTGCCACTCCTAGAGCAGGTAAGACAGCTAGAATCACAATCAGCGCACTCCAAAGGACTTTTAGTTTTGATATATTGAGTAGAGTTGCATGAACAGAATCCAGGAGAGCCAGCAAGTGTAATGCTTTGGCCGCTACAACTTAGACAGTCATTATAGTTAGGTCCAACACATGTGCTGCAAGCACTATAACAGTCTCCACAAGAATAAGGTACCTCAGAAATCAAATACTGGCTTGATGTGCAGTAGCATTGTCCAGGGTAAGCTAAAACACGAGTAGAATTGGCGCATGTTATGCAATCCTTATAACTTGTGCCATTGCAGGAAGCGCAGCTTGAGTCACAATAGGTACTGCATCCAGTCCAATCATCACATAGGTAGCAATTCTCAAACTCGCATAAGTTGCATTGAGTATCTGACTTGACGCAACCTTTTGTGGTGCAATTTGGCTTACAAGTTTGCCATGAGTTTCCGTCATAATACTTCTCAATTGGCTGAGTTGATAAACAGCTGTCAGCGGCTTGAGGATAGTACCCGCAGCTAGCTAAGAAATGGTCATAATTTCAAGGGTCCATTACGAAATTCCATATTTTTATGCTGTATATAAACGCCTTTATAAAATTCCCATAGCCTTTAGTTGACTGAGATGCTCCAATGGTAGCAGTATAGCCACTATTATAATCCAAAAATAACCCCAATAAAGAAATTTCATAATAGTCAACACTCATGGTTGTTCCTGCAATAGAAAAAGCTATTTGAGAGTATGGAGCTGCATAAGATACACAGACTGCAAGATTGTATCATTGAGAATCATACACAAGCTGCTTTGATTCTCCTATCAGTACCTTTCCAGTCTTACTCATAGTTAGATATAAACTTAGCTGGAGCTTATTGCTGCTATTTATTTCAAAAGCCATTAATTTTGTAAAAGTGCTGTCGTTAATCTGCTTTGCGAAAATAATTCCGCTAGTGGAAGTAGGCAGATAAATTCAAGCTGAAAAGCTGAATTCAGCGTTAAACATAAACGAAGTGACCTGCATTAATGAGTGGCCATTAAAGTAGTAGCCTCGACCTTTGGAAGGGTAAGGGTCATACTCATCATATTTTGGATAAAAATCAGTAGTGGCTCCAGCTAGGGTGTTTGTGTTATAAGTAGTGTCTTTAAAATTGCTTTGAATTTTGTTGAGAATTAAGCTGAAGCAAGGTATCCTTCCTTCAATCACTGTCCAGTCAATCTTGCATTGATAATTTCCATTATCATAAGAGCCTGAAGGGCATCCTCCAGAATGGCAACTTTTAGACGATGGGCCAAGAAAATAATAGGCCTGGCACGAAGTGCACAAAGAAAAAGAACTGCACGAATCGCAATAGTCCACACATAAGTTGCAGTCGCTTGCTCTGACACAGCTGGTTTCACAAGCCTCACATGACTGGCAGCCATCAAAGTATTCATATTGAGTAGAAATACAGTGAATGCTGGGACATATCATTTCTGACGGACAAGCTGAGCAGCTGCCTGAGCAGCTACTTAGGTAATAATCATTTCCAGCGCCATTTGACTGGTAATCAGTATAAATTTGAAGTTTGTGCAGGTATCCATGAAATCCATACCCGCTTCCGCTCATAGATGGAGCTCCAACATATAGAGTTTTAGCATTGTCAATCACATTAAGATTGATTGACTCTTGAGCTGTTGTTGTGGAGCCTCCATTCATTGATACTGAAAAATACACATAAGTCCAATCTGTTGATTGAGAAAGGTAAAAGAAGTTTCACTCATTGAGGGTAAAATATCTAAGATTAAAGGGTTTAAAGTCTTTCAGAATTGATACCCCACACGCTTGGGATCGCCGGAGCCTTTTTGCAGGAGGAATTCAGTCACCTGAGCTCTGTCTCAACAGCGGTCTACGGGATCTGAGGCTTGTATCAATATCCCTGAGTCTCGACGGGTTAGAAAGACTCCTCAGCCTTCACGTCTTTTGGGGTGCTACGAAGGCAAAGGTAAGCCCCGATTCCTCCTGCTGGCAACCTTGAGAGAAAGTTTAAACGCAGGAAAAAAGAATCATACCTCAAAAATCATCGAATAACTAATATACTTATTTACCAAGAATAGCCCACTAAGGAGCATTTTTTGGTTGGCGGGACAATAATTAGCTTGCCAAATTCGTTGGCATGCCATATTTTCTGGCTAACCAAATTTAAGAATGGCGAACTAAAAAATGCTTCTTAGTGGGCTATTCTTGGCAAACAGGTATACCTGGACTGTAATGACCACAGCTGACTTCCAAGACTTACCCTTCTAAGCAGCTCAAGGAATGCTAAGGATTAGGATTTAAAGGGGCTGAGCCTTAGTTTAGGCTATAAAGCGGTTTTGACACCCAAAGTGGTGCGTTCTCAAAGACATATTGTCGCCACCACCTTATTAAATATATTGAGGGTAAAAGGATTTGGCTCAATAGCTTTATCATATAATTCCAGATATTTGTTATTTATATTGACATAGTTTAAATTCCAATGCAATATTTCGTTTCAGGTATTTTGATAATCCACCACAAAAATCCAGCCAGAAACTGAAAAGAAGTAAGGCATGATAAAATTATCAGAAGACATGCGAGAGCAAATTTCAAAGAAATAGCCCCGGTTGAGAACAGGATAAGGGATAGGGCAATTATAATCTGCTGCAAGTGTCATCCCTGCTGGGTTGCTTGATATGACGTCGTATAAGCTTAAGTCAAGAGAGTAAACGTCTTTCTTATTGCACGTATTATATTCGGTGTCTTTAACTGTTCCTGACGGGCAGAAAGTCCAGCACAAACCTTGATATAAAAATAAAGTTGTTCCACAGTCAGAGCAGTCCCCTCAAGTTTTGCTGTCACTTGAAGGACAGATATTGCAAGTTGCATCATAGCAATTTTGAAGCAATCTTCCTTTAGTTTCTCAAGGTAAGATTTCTGACCAAAACCATGGAGGGCATTGTGCATTAGACTGAGAACACTCAATGCTTTTCACTTCTGGCATTGGCAAACGTTGAGCTTCTGTTAATGAATAAGATTTAGATTCATTTATTATTTGGACTGATACAAAACCTTGAAAATCCTCTTTAAATGAGCCAATTGCTCAAATATAAATCAAATTTTCTCTCATCTTATCTTTAAATTTGAACCCAAAATGCTGGAAATTTTGATTTTCAGTTTGGCATATTTTCTCTAAAGTTATATTTCTTTCGTCTGAAAACTTCACTAAAATACTGGATCAGAAGAATTCATTTATAGAGCTGATAATAACTTGATCATGATAAGATGAATTGATTCAAAGGTATTTTTCCCTGGTTGAAATAATAAATCCTTCAGATACAGAACATTCTTTTTGAGACCATAAGTTACAAATTTTGGAAGAATATTCTTTCCTCGTTAGCATTTGCGCTTCAATGCATTTAGAGCATAATTCAAGGCTTAAACTTACACAATCAAGTTGACAAAGGCAGAAAACATTAGAGATTTGGGTCAAGAGAATTAGCCAAGCTAGCATTTTTATTATTATAAGAAAAGCTGCGTTTCTTCATAGTTTAGCTACAATTGATAATAATATAAAAAAGAACAGTTATAAACTGCTATTTTGCGTTGTCTTTTCAAGGATTACGAAAAGTCGATTAAAATAAAATAATTATAATTTCATGATGCAGGAAAAATGCTTATTTAATTAGAAAATAAGCGCATAGAAGGACTCGATAATATTATGGAAACCATCAAAAGGAGTATAGAGGATTCTGGAAGCATGCTGAACGAAAAACTTGTTGAAAAGATACAATAAATTCATATTTCCATTAATGACTTCATAGATCAATCTTTTTATTTTCTTTTTAAATTCCTTTTTTATTGAATAGAAAAGAGAAATACTGTAAAAGAAGTTGTATTGCTAGAAGAGATGCTTGAAAATATATCCAGCTCCCTCTTTAAGGGCGAGCAAGTTTTTTTTTTTCTCTAAGAAGCAATTTGCTTTAAAAAAATTATATATAAAAAGGTTTTTTTTATATTTGAAAGAAAAATCTAAATTAACTTGTAATCTTTATATATAGCCAAGGAGGATAACTAGCATGGGGCTTTTTTGGCTTGCCTGCTAGCCAAAAAAGCTTTGTGCTAGTCATCCTCCTTAACAATATCTAATAATCCTAAATATGACACTGAGAGAACTGAATTACTAATTAAACTAAAGAAACTGATGGTGATGAAGAGGAGCTAAATCTATTCGATATAGTACTAGATTCATGAAAATATGAAGAAATTAAAGAGAAGAAGGGAATGAAGAAATGCCAGATTATTGAAGTGGATGCTGCAGCAAAAATGCTCATAAAACTGTAATGAAAAATAAGAATTTAAGGCGTCTTGGACGCGGTAATGCATAAGTTATTATTATATATCTAATAAGACTTATTGCAAAAAAATATTTTATATGGAATCTAAATTTATATTAAAATATTTTTGATCATTATAAGGGGGGAGAGTAAAGATTACTTTCTTGGGGAAGTCCAAAACTTCAAGATATCAACAAAATCAATTGAAACCAAGCTTGAGGGAACTTTGCTAAACGAAAGTCATGAGCAGCTGAAATTTATATGTGATTCAAATCAAAACGTTGCCATAGCCTACAACACCTACCTTAGCAGCCGAGAAAGGATTTATCAAAAATTGAATTTTTTAAACGAGAAACTAGACTTATCTTCAAAATACCTTTATGTGAATTTTCAAGTAGACAATAAGGTATGCCTATTTTACTATGATATAGACACCCATCAATTAAAGCAAGCTTCTCCAGAACCATATCGAAGCCTCTGCACAATCCAGCTCCCAAATTCTGAGCTCTTCTGCTATGGAACCTGAGATCGCACTTCTGGAGCTTGCGCTATTATAGACCTTAATACACTGAGTCTAAAAAGAATACTTCCTTCTGGCCCTCAAGCCTTATGAGCAGGAGGTGCCTACTATAATAACTCTGTTTATATATTTTCCAGCTCTTATAGAACTCTAGGATTGGATTTTGTAAATAGGTTCGATCTCAGGAAAAACCACTGAACCAGATTGTCTCAGCTGCCAAAATCATCTTTTGGGTGCTCTATTGTATAAAGGTTTCCTCTATATAGCGCTGAAAGCGCAGACATTTTCCCAGGAGCTTTCCAAGTTCGTCGGACCAAATCGCTTTTTGGTCCGACCAAGGCATTGATTTGGCGCAACCAACCGATAAATTCCGATCAGAATTTATCGGCCTTACAGCGCCAAACATAGGAAACTTCTATACCTTTTAACGGAAAACTGTTGGTTTGTGGCTTTTCTCTCAATAAGATATATAAACTTGATTTGGATATTGAGAGCTATTCAGAGATACCAGAAGTCCTTGTAAAAGAGTGCAGGATGAAGCTTCTAAGTGCGGGATATTCAAGAGCTTATTTATTTGAGGTTGGTGGGAAAATTGCTGAAAGTGAATGAGAAGATGATTTTAAATGACATAAAATTGGGATGTTTGCTACAACGGGTGATTATCGCTATGGGTACGCAAAGCATTGTAATGGTGCTGTGTATAATATTTTATACGATTTGAGGGATACTTGATGCTATAAATTTGATCTTAATAAGCAAAAATTGGAAGAAATAGAAATAAAGAGGCAATATACTACCAATAGAATATTTAAAATTGATTAATTACTTCTAATATACTTCTTCACAATATTAAAAATGTCACTAGGGATAGGTCCTAACTCCTGTTAAACAGGTCAGGGTCCTATCATCCGAGCTTAGTGAGAGAAGTCAAGCTTCTTGAGAGTCTCGGCTTGAAGAGAAGAAATAGGTGCTGAGGCTGGCAGGGACTAGAGAAGTCTGGAAGGGCTCATTAACTTTAACGGTTTGACATTTAGGCGGTTCACCTACCATTATTCAAGGCTGTTAATGCAGCTGGACCCTCAAGTAAAAGAAGCCAAAGGCAATTGCCAGAGTAATTTATTAAGCTTAAACTTAAATAAACTTCTTGAGCATATCATCAAAATGAATTACTGTAATCAGTTTAGTCATAACTGTAGAATTCTTCTTTTTTCTAGGTCTTCGAGCTCTGTTTTATTTAATAATAACTAAATCTCTTTTTGATTAGTTGGCAATATCGTTTTACTTGTAATGGAAGCTTTGCTTCTCAAATTTTTAATATTTGAGATGTAAAATCTAGTTTAATTTAAAATTTATAAATATTTTAATTATTTATAATCATAATTACTCACCAAATATTGCTTATATCATTAAAAATGTTTGCTCTTTAATCAAGTGGGGCTAATTATCCCAAAAATTAGGACTTTTCTATAATTTTGCTCGTTAATCAAGGAGGGAAGCAATCATTTTAAGAATAAAATAATGCTTGTTAACATAAATTGGTCTAATTCATCCATAAGTTATGAATATTAAAACATGGAACCTATCAAGAGAAGTGCACAAAAAAGAAGCAAAATACTAACCCAGGAGTTAAATAAAAAGATATTGGAGTTATCCTCACTTGAAAAATATCTTCAAGAGCAACAGAAAAAATATTTGTCAGGTGAACTATCAAATTATGAACTAACAAGAATCAGTCTTGAAAAAGAGTTTGAGAATATCTCACTTATCGAAATATCTCCTGAAGAACGCAAATTTTTAAGTGAAATCAGCTCTGAATTCATGACTGCTTATTCAAAATACATTGACGCTTGGAACTCTATTAAAACCAGCCTTAAGATTTTTGCTGAACAGTTAAATTTCGAGTCCAAGTTCATGTATTCTACTTGCGGAGCGCCAAGCAAGACTGGTGTGATGGTTTATGACATAAAGAACTCTAGGCTAAGTCAGGCTGAAATAAAAGTTCCAGAGTCTTTTGATAAAGCCTGTCTTGTCCAACTTCCAAACTGAGAGCTTTTTTCTTTTGGATGTTGGGAGTTTTCATCTGCAAAAGCTTATATATTTGATCTAAAAACGCTTAGTATCAAAAGAAGGCTGCCAAATGGGCCTAACGCCTCATGGTGTGTTGGAGTTTACTATCAAAATTGCATTTTCATTTTTGGTGGGATGTTTGAACTCCAAATACTGGATATTGCTTATAAATTTGACTTAGCAACTAATCACTGGATTAGACTGACTCCAATTCCAGTCCCGTCTTTTGGTTGCTCCTGTCTTGTTTTCCAAGAAAATATCTTGATCTGCGGATTTTTTTTCAAAAAACTATATAAGTTTGATAGGAAAATTGAAAGTTACTCAGAACTTCCTTTCGTCAGCGTTACCGAATGCAGACTTAAACTGCTGGCTACTTTTAATTTAAGAGTTTATCTAATCGAGATAGATGGGAAAGTCATGGAAAGTGAAATCGGAAACGAGTACAACTGGAATAAAATTGGAGACATTAAGCTAGGTGAGGAATATGGCTTTATTCACGCAAAGCAGTGCGATAGCTGCCTTTACGGAGTCTTATTTGGCATCGATACAGTTTCTTGCTTTAAATTTGATTTGAAGAAAAAGAAAATGGAAGAAGGAAGGGTTGAAGTTGACTCACTAGATGCTTGTATATAGCTCATGGCTAATAATTAATTAATTAATATATCTAAAATAGCTAATTAAACAAGATTTGAGGTCTCAATTATAATTTATATTAAGAAACTTGCTTTATAGATAAAAGATTAGAAACCGAACCCTCAGACAATAGGATTGGAACTAGTTTTGTTAACTCCCCGCCCTCCGTGACGAACAAAAAAATTTTGTTCTCTCATGGAGGGTTAAATTTTTTTTTAAATTTAAAAAAAATTCATGAAGCTGTTTAAAATCAAACAGAATTAGCTAGATATCATTATACTAATTATCATTTATATATAATTTTTTTTAAAAAAAAACAAATTTTGTTAAATTCACAGAGTGAGTTTTTGGGCAAAAAATGTAGATTTTTTCAATGGTTTTTTTGCTCACAGAAGGGGAGTAAGGCTTTTTTTTGGGCAAAGTATACGTAAAAGTGAATAAATTAATGCTGTTTAAACTAATAGTGTTAGGTTAAAAATTATCTGGTAAATCAATGATAATTAATATTTGATTCATATTGATGAACTCTGAAATCAGTGAATTAGTTGCATTGATCGTAAGGAAAAGTCTCTGTTTCTCAATACCAGACGGATAATTAATAATGCTTAGACTAAATATGTCCATTGACGGCGACGCTCCTTTGTGGTTACAAAAATTATTTTATAGCTAAAATAAAGGTTCGAAATCTTTAATTCTAACCCTTAGCCTGCGTAGATCGACAGTATTGGTTGTGCAGATCTTGAGGGTCAGCTTATTTAATTTAATGAGCAATTCAGATGGTTTTTTGGCAACAGCTATATCTCTACCTTTACGGAGAGTACGGTTAATTTCCCTATGTACCACAGCTCCTCGTTGCGAGCTGAAGAAGCACCGCTAACCGGTAACCACATCATCTTATAGTGAAATGACATAAGAGCTTATTGATCTGCCGAGATACTTACTCCTGCTCCATGAGCGAACAAAAAATTTTATATCGTTTAGAGAGGTTAATTTTTTTTTTAAAAATTATATAATTTGTAAAATTTATGTTTTAAAATGCAAGCTAAACAGATTTTTCATTACACTAATTATCCCTCATATATCAAGATAATTTTTACATTAAAAATTTTTTGTTCTCACAGAGTGTGGGGTTTTACCAAAAATATAGGAATTATTCCGATTGTTTTGTTCGCTTGCGAGAGGGAGTTAGGGTCATAGCCCAAGCTTTATACTTAGAGTCCACTGCTCCAAATATAATGTGAATTTTCTTGAGGCAAGCAGGTGGCTCTGGTCGATAGTGTACTAAGCAAAGACAATTAAGGGGAGATCTTTAATTATTTTAATTCAATATAAGTCAATTTTTACGGCGTTTTTACTGATATTTCTTTCTTTTTTTATATCAGGACATTCATCTTATTTACAAAAACTAGTAGTTCTATTTGAAGATGCCTAAATTTTCTTGTAGCTATAAGCACATGAAGAGTAATTTTCCAATCCTATCTATAATTATGTTGAATTTCTTAAGCTTATTTTATATATATTTTTTTATCATAATTAAATAATAAGTCTTTATTTCTACATTAGCTTGATAATATTAAATTATCTAAATTTTCTCTTAATCCATTTTTAAGGATAAATTATATTTTTCTTGTTTTCCTCATACATTTGAGTCAAAACAGCCCGACCACTGACGCCTTTTGCGATAATATTAGCTGTATCATTTTTGCCAAGCTGAACCTCCCATTCAAGAACTGTTTGATTAAAATTAAGAGGCTCTATAAATCCTCCTGGCATCTGAACGCTAGGGAAAATAGCATACCGAAAATTAACCTCAGGCCACGCTGTGAGAGCGTTATAGTAATTTTTCATCTTTGCATCATAGTAAGCGATCTCTGTCACGCGTTTATAGACATCAATTGTTGTCATTTTGGTTTCGGCTGGAAGAGCATAATAAGGCCCAGTAAAAATTATGTCGACAGTTACTTGAGACTGCTCTGCAACGACATCAAGACACCTATCAACTGCTGCATAGGAATCGAGAAGAATAACAGTACCTCCATCAATCCATGTTGCACCCAAATAGTTAGTGGGAGGGAAAAAGAATGCAGGGCATGCTGAACAGGTTATTGCTGTCAAAACTCCTTGTGAGCCCAAACTTTCGTTAAATTGTGCGAAAAGACCAGTATCTAGCTCCCCCTTTATAGGAGAGCAAAAAAATATAGAAAAAGCCTATTTTTTTAGTGAAAATCCACTTCCCCTTTAAATGTCATCCAAAAATTTCTTACTCTCTTCTTTTAAGTTGGAAGAAAACATAGGTAAAACTTTCCTTTTTGATAAATTTCCCCTCTTAAATCCAAATAAAAGTTAATATTTTATAGGTAAAAATATTAATTTTACTTTATGAACCATTTCTGATCTAATTTCATGAAGAGGGTGCAAATAGAATGCTATTTAAACAGCTTGCACTTTAAATATTTCAATATTTTAAATTAATTCTTTATAAAAACAAATTAAAATTTAAAACATTGCGTTTAATTTATATTTTTATTTATAAAAAACTGTATATTAATTTTTCTTAAAAATAGCTGACCCTTCTAAAATTGGAACAGATTCTTTGGTTCAAATTTAAAGGATGGAGTTAATCTGCGAATTAGGAATCTAAAAAAATTCGTTTATGTTGAGGGACGATCAAAAAAACTCGCCTTAAACGGGGGAGGTAAGTCTGTCGAACCAATTGTGATGTTTCTATTTATCCCATAAGTGTATCTTTTCTGAAGAGTTTCTGCCATAGGCTTATTATCAAGCAGTCCTCTTTGGAAGAGAAGACCCTCAATAAGCCCACCTGGCCACTCTACAAAAGTACTTTGCGATCCATTTAGAGTAAGCCATGTATTGACTACAAAATCTCCCATAGCTTTTTCGTTACCTTGGGCAAATTGAGCGACACCTCCAGCATTTAAGGACCCAGTTGAAATTCCTATTACAACATTATAAGCAGAATTAACGGTGGGTGTATTAGCAAGCTGCCAAAGGCTTCCAGCCTCAAATGCTCCATGAGTCCCTCCAGCTTCCAAAGAGACCGCATAGCAGGATGGACTTGCATAGGCTATTCCTAGCAAGTATATAATGGACCAAAAGAATAACATTTATTCGCCTATTTTGGAAAGACTATTTTCTTCACCAATTTTAGAAAATGGACATATCGAACACTTACTTCACAATTTATCCTTTGTGAAAGTTAAAGAAAGGCAAGGAAATTTTGGATAAATAGCAGAAGAATTTTGATTTTTTAGAAATAAATGAACTATGATGCAAAAATAATTTTAAAATATTATTTAAGACGTCAGATAGATATGCTCTGACTATATTCGTTTATTATAATTAACAAAAATTCTAATTGGGGACTTCCCAGCACTTCGGGGGAATGGAATTGTTTTGTGAATTTATTTCAACTCTTTCTGATGATATTTTTGAATTGATTAAATTCTGGTCTTCAGCATATGAGATATGTTTCTGCATATGACGGTGAAATTTAGGTTGTTTCTTTAATTCATTGATTTCTACAGCACAAACTTTACTTCCCATGCTGAATTTAAACAAAACCCCGAGTTCAATGCCTTTGTCAGTCATCAAAAGGCTTGGAAACTTAAAGTTTTGCAGTATCATGCCAGCGACAACCAAAATGCCTCATCCTGCCGCTAGACCAAACTCCCAAAATACATTATTTCCCCTATCCAATATAGAATGTATACTAAAAACCAAATTGCTTCAAATTACAGCTAAAAGTGAGAAAATAGCCCACATGTTCATACGTGGATAATTGTAAATCCTTATTTTCCAATATATAAAAGCGAGGGCTAGCAATGCAATAGAGTAAACCAGCCCTTGCAGAGCTTCACTGACCAAATGAATATTTTTATTGATCCCAATCATGATAAAATATGCAGCAGATTTATATACTGCAGTTTTCGGATTTATGACAACGTTAAATATAGGGTGGAAAAGCTGCCATGAAGGCTGGAAGTAAATCACTAAACTTAAGTACATAATTAAAACAGCGAAGCAGAGCAAAGAAATGCTGAAATGAAACCCAGATCAGCAATATGTATAGCAATCGTTACATACAAAACTGTCTGTAATTGAATCCCCTGTGCTTTCCTTGCATAAAAATACTGATAAAAGAATAGACGATAATGGGATATATGCAATACTGCAGAGAAGAATAACCCCTATCTCTGATACAAGTTCGGCTAGCTCAAATAAATGATGAGAATATTTTTTGCTTATTTCCCTCCTTGAGCAAACAAAATGATTGAAAAAATCCTATTTTTTTGGCAAAATGTCACCACCAGCGAGCAAAAAACATTTTTTTCATGAAAAAATAATTGATAAATAAGCGATAATTATTACAATAAAAATATATAAAGCTAATTCTGTTGAATTTTAAACAGCTTGCATTTTTAAACATAAATTTTCTAAATTAAATTAATTTTTACTATAAAATTTGGATAAAATTTATTCATCCTTCGCAAGCGAACATAATTTTTTCGCTTTCGGAGGGGAGTTAGTCTTTTCTGTATTATAATTGCTGAGCAAACCATAAAGCTTATCAAGGAGATAACTATATAAATTTCAATTCAAAAATGATCTCTAGTGTTATCCAACGGCCCACTTCAATCTGGAGAAAATAAAGCAATTGGCCTGAAAATTATTCTACTATAAGCTCTCATATCTGGGCCAATTGAGATTAGCTCAAGAGTTTCTACTCAAAGGATTATCATCATCAGCAGGTCTCCAAACTTCATCAATTTCGGTTCTTTTAGGTCCTCTATCTTTCCCAATTTTCATCTTCTAAGCTGAAAAATCACCAGAAAGATTTCGAGGATTATGAAAAAAGCTACTATAGCAAGGAATATCATTTTGCCATTAGAAGAGTCTTGTACCAGTCTGTAATCAAAAGGACAGTCTATTGGGTTTATTCTCATATCGCTTGGAATTTTAGTTGTGCCATCCGGCATTATAATTTTGCTAACTCTCCTTTATCACAAAAATTGTTGCATAAATATTTTTATATGGAATTAATGAATTAATAGTAAGTTCTCTCAAGCAATTTCTATTAACATTTTTGATTATAGCTTAAGCAAGCCAAAAATTTCTGTTTGCTAACCAAACGGGGGTAAAAAGAAATCTCTGGATGCCTGTAATACTATAATTCCCAACAATTTCATCTCCTTTTTCAGAACTATTTGAAGCAGGCAGGACACTGAAAATGTTCAGATAAAAATTGCTTCTACTGTTGCTGCTTGGCTCTATTGAAACTGTCCCAGTAACTCCTACAAACTTCTGCTTTCGTATATTCTCATTCACAGCTGTGAAGTTTTCAAGATTATCCCCTTTAATAATGCTGTAATCAAGGCCATGCAAAGCAAGCATTGTTTGGTCAAAAGAAAAGCCAAGAAAGTTTGACCAATGAACAGCTTGCTCTACTTGGGTTTTCATTGTTTGTCCATAGTTTCCAATTCATTCAGCTGTGTGAACAGTTAAAGACCTCTGAAACAGTTCAACCAGTTTATCTCCATATCCAGGATATCCGACGACAATGTCTGTAACTGAGATCCTATATGGCTGTAAAAAGAACAAATCACCTTTCCTCATCCCTAATTCCCACAGATCAAAAAGAATAAAGGCTAAAAATTCAGAAATTTTTTATAATAGTCATTATATTATTAATATAATTATCTTTTTATGAGATTGCAAAAAAAGTATTTGCTAGTAACTGTGAAGCAAGTCATAAAGCGTGATGAGAATACTACCAAACGAATAAGGATCGACCAAAGCAATCACGACTCGGCATTTCGAGTTAATGATGTCTGAAAATAAGTCTCCATAAGCATCTACTTGATCAATTGTATAAGTGCCGCTAAAATAATAAGACTGGTTATTGACTATATTAATATGCAAGCTCGAGCATTGATTTACCACAACATTATATGCATTTTGTGCTCACTCAGGTCTTTGAATCACCACCACATTCTTCCAGCCAAAAATATTGGCGATCTCAGGAAGAATGCCTGCGGTATAAGCTATCTCTTTCAGAACTGTCATAAACTCAGGAAATGTCGACTTATTCACAAACATTGACATAGCGCATCCATCAGAGACTAACGGAACGTTAATTCCAAGAGCCCGGAAATCAAAAATATCTCCATAGCAGATACTATCAGTTAAAGATGATAAGTGAACGACTCCCATTTTATCTTTGAGCTTGCTAAAGCATGCCCTTGAGAAGCTAGGATTATACACAGTAGCTCCACAGTCTGTGGACTGTATTCTCACATTGAAATTTTGTAAGAGGTTAGACTGATAGGCAACTCTGAAAGCAAAATAATTTCCCTGCCTGATTAAAGCCAAGTATGTGAAATCAGGACTTCCTGGATCCGTTACTCCGTCAGCAAGAGAAATAGTTATGCTTGCTTTTGGTAGATTTGGAATGACAGATGAGTTGCCAGGGAAAATAAAAGGACTTGATATGGAAATTATACCATTACTAATTTCTCCAACCTTGGTCTTTTTTCCATTCTGAGTATTAACGATAGAAAATGCAGGCAAAGGATGATGATTAAGTGTATTTTCTTCAAGGAGATTCATTATTTCTTCGGTTGTATAATCTTGTACTTGCAAAATCAATCCTAATAGCTTTTCGATAGCCAAATATTCATATTGGCTGTAGTTATCTGAACTTTCAAGACCCTCTTCTGTGTAAATCACTAGTCCATCACTGCTAAACTGGCCTCACACACTATTTGGTCCCAAGATAACTCCATATCCCTCTCGCATCATCATCTTTGATTCCAAACTTTTTACCAGCATTGGAGCGCTTCTGCCATCATTGAGAATAATTACATTTCCGATTCCCAATGATTTCACTTCTCTTCCGATTAATAAATCATAAGTGTCTTGCGTTTCATTATCTGCAGAGAAAATAGTTAATCCTTTGCCTTCACTCTTAAATAGGATTGGAATTTGATCTGCAGCACTATTTGATATGATCAGAAAGGTTTCTCAATTGAAGTAACTTACCAGTTGCTTTAAAGCTTGATAACGAAAATCAAAAGAAATATGACTGAAAATTCATATTTTCCATAGCTACCCGTAGGCTCCCTCAAACTTATATAGAGGAAATGCTGGGTTTCCGAAGATTGCTTAAGTTGAAATGAGTAAAAAGTATTGAAGGTTGCATCAATCGCAATACTAGGCAAATGTATGCAATCAGATTGAAAATTGCAGCTTTCAACACTTGATAAACTTACTGTAAAATTATTCTGAAACTTCTTATTTATAGAGCTCCATAGATATGTTGCCAAGTCAGGGTTTGTTGATTTTGATATTAGTATATCGATATTGTATGCGAGTGACGTATGCAACAGATATTGTATTTGAATAATCAAGAGCAAAAGCAAAGCCATTATTTAATCTGTAATAGAACTAAGAATTAAAAAAGTCCCAATGTTACTAGATTGTTAACTCCCTCCTCCGTGAGCGAGCAAAGCCATTGGAAAAACCCTATGTTTTTGCCCAAAGACCACCCTCCATGAGTGAACAAAAATTTTTTCGATATAGAAATTTTTATATATAAAGTGATTATTTAGTATAATTAAATCTCTAGCTAATTCTATTTATTTTTAAACAAATTGCATTTTAAAAACATAAATTTTACAAATTAAATAAATATTTGCATTCCAGTTTTTTTGGAATTTAGGACTTTTTTAAATTTTGAAAAAAAAATAAAACCCCCTCTATGAGAGAACAATTTTTTTTCGTTTACAGAGGAGGAGTAAGACTTTTCATAGTTAAAACCTCGCAATAGAAGGCTATATCATTAGTTTGTAAATTTAAGTGAATATATATAGCTTTGATTTGTTTGCAGTATTTTCTGTTAGATCTTGAAGATATAACGATTGACTTGCATACTTTTGATTGAGCAATTATGTTGTATATTATTGAGATATATTGGGGAGAATTAAGTTCATTTTAATATTTTGAGTTCCTGTTATATTTGAGAAAATTAATTTTCATTTAATTGATGTGTTAGCACAAAATATTAATTCCTTTTATATTTTTTATATTAGGACTGATGTATATCGCATTGTGACGCTAGTAGCATTGCAATAAGATGTAAAAATATTACTATTAGTCACTATTGTAAAGTTATAATAAAGCCAATATGAAAGAAATTAGAGCTAATTTAAGATATGCAAAATCTAATTGTTTTGCAAATTAAATTTGCTGCAATCCGGTGATATTTTAGTTTAAAATTAAACTAGTTTAACTCATTTATTTCTAATAAAATCAAATTTATCCGATAGCAACAAGGCATAAGAGTTATTTCATCCTCCAAGACAATAGACAGCCCTTTGAAATATATAGCTGAGAAATATCAACAAGATGTTCTAGATGTTAGCACCCTAGCTTCATAATACCTGTTAATAATAAGAGAAAATCTGATGGAGGATATATCTTCCAAAACAGAATAATTCGCCATTTGGAAGCTGGGTTATGCATGCACCTCAGTCTAATAATTGCAGAGCATCTGGTGCTTTTAATTGCTCTCTTCCGCTTTCAGTATCAAAAATAACCCAGTCAGTTCAGTCATAATCATCTTTATCAATAAGATGAAAAAGTTTGCTTTGATAGTAGCAGCTATTATCTTGATAATATTGGCTGATTGGGAGATGAAAAGCAGGAATCTTACATAGTGAATTCATTTTTCTAGAATCTTGTTTTAATTCTTCAGCCATATCTCTTTTTAAGACTGTAGATCTTTTGGAAACGTTTTTTGAGAATAATTAAGCTTTTTGACATTTAATTGAGTGCGCTGGATGAGGGTTTGCTAAGTTTCGTTTCATTGATTATGATTTTGGATCGCATATTATTAGCATAAAGCTATTTTTTTCTTTTTTTACTGCATTACTATTTGTATTAATTTATTAAAATGAGGAAATTTTCATTTTGCGTAAATCAAACTTACAGTATCTTTGCTTCTCGTCTGTTATAATATAGATTGCTCCTTTATTATATGTACAGTACACCTGAGATGGCCAAATGTTTATCACTCAATTTGCTACTACTCCCCAAAGGCCATACACATCCTTTGCTTTGCTTTCATAGATAAATCACTGGTACTTACACTCAATTACATATAGGTTCTCTGCATTTATTAGGATCTTTTTTGTACGTTTTTCGAAGTGATAAGGAATTATAGAGAATGAGTCAATATCAATTGAATACCGTAAAAGATGTCTGATTTCATACCCAGAAATCAAAATATCGCCGTTAAATATAACGCTTTGGCAGTGATAATCTGCTTTTGGCATTTGAGTTAACTTCATTCACCGATTTTTATCCAAATCAAATTTCCAAGACAAAGTTAATTCCTCAGACGCATATTCTCCTCCAAAGCAATAAATGTTTCTTTCGAAATAGATAGCTGATGATTTGGAACAAAGGGCTCCAGATGGCAGCTTTCGAATTCCATAATCACTTCTATTATTAAAGTAGTCCCAGATGAATCTCAATTACTATAGCAGAACAATTCATCGTTTGGAAGCTGAGTAATGCACGTTCCACAGTCCAATAGTTCTAGAGTTTCCAACACTTTAATATGCTCTTTTTCATTTTCAGTATCATAGATAATCAAATTCTTCCTACCTTTAACATCCTTTTTAATAAGGTAAAGAGATGAAATTTTATGATAAGCATTAACGTAGCCATGATAAGCTTCTTTTAATTGTGGACTTGAAATAGAATTTTTTTGTAAGATAAGCAAGTTCTTCGAAAATCATCTTCTGTATTATGATCATTAGGCCTGCTTAAAAGCGCAGATCTCTTGGCTCAAAGCTGTTCATAGCTTAATAATCAATTCTTAGAATTTTGATTGGGCCCAGCAAGATTGCTCTTTAATTCATGATTTAAGGCCTCTTTAGTTGAACTTAGTTTAAAATCAAGCAATCTAACTCCCCCCCTCCATGAGGTGAACAAAACCATTAGAAAAATCCCTATGTTTTTGCCAAAAAAACCCTCCTTCATAGTAAACAAAAATTTTTTTAATAGAAAAAAATTTTATGGAAAAAAATTTTGATATATAAGTGATAAATTAGTATAATGAAATCTAGTGGTAATTCTGTTTAATTTTAAACAAATTGCTTTTAAACATAAATTTTACAAATTAAATTAATATTTGCTTTCCAATTTTTTTTTGAGAATTAGGATATTTTAAATCTCGAAAAAAAATATTTTCTATAAAATTTATATATAAATTGTTTTTAAAAAAAAAAATTAACCCCCCTCCGTGAGTGAACAAAATTTTTTTTATTCCTCACGGAGGGGGGGAGTAAGTTGATTTCCCATATTATAAATTTTGACACCTTATCAGTTCTTTTTATTTGTTTATTAATATTAATTAGCCAGTAAATCAAGCTACTATTTGAAACGTTTAACCCAAACACACCAGTCTATCGGGCACCACTTGGCTTCGATCGGCTAATGCACTGGCATCAAGTTCTTAGATTTTTTAAAAGCTGTTTTTCAACTTTAGACCACACAGTTTCATTAGGCAACATACCAAAGTCCCATTCTCCACATCTGAAGTTGATAGCATGTCTCCAGAAAATTCATTTTTATAATGGCAAAGTCTCACACTGATCATTGTATGAGCTCACGCATTACGAGAAGAAATTAAAGGATGAATGAAATAAAAAAGCAAGAAATTTGGAAGGTCTAAAGAGTTGGAGAAGAAGATGAAGGAGGGCAAGAAAATAAATTTAAGAGGAAAACAGCTGGAGTAGCTTGCGAAATAATATGCGCCAGAAGAACTCAAAAAAATAACTTTATCAAAACTAAATAGCGCTTCGAATAAATTGCACAAGCTTATTATGGAAATTTACATTCAGATTGAATTTATAGCATATCCTTAAGATGAGCAAGGATCACAATAACTGCTCAATAAACATTTTAAATTCGAGACTAAATTTTTAGCTAAATGCTTTAAAATGTGTAAGTCTGGATATACTCCACGAGTCATGCAAGCCTCAATAGTGTTATATATAAATCATTAAATTCTAAAGAATTTCAACTCAAATGTCTGTGCTTTTAAGTAGAGTTAATTACCCAGAAATAGAGTGAAATTCAAAGAAAGCTTCCTTACTGCATAGAAGCTTGGTCTCTAATCCAGTGCCGGATCAATCTTATCAAGAAGTTGCCCATAAAGACACTTTTCTTTATCTCATTAGGAAAGGCCATAACAATTGAGCTAATTTGTCCATATATGATTCTAAATGTGAAAGAGAAGAACTGAAAGTATTAGAGACTAAAGAATTAGATTTGGGTACATGCATAGCCCAGCTTCCAAACTGCAAGTTGTTTTGCTTTGGCAGCTATTATGACTCTAGAATTACCTTAATAATTGATGAAAATTATGAATTGCAAAAGTTGCCATCTGGAGAGGCCTGCCACTGCTCATCAGCTATTTATTTTAACAAAAATGTTTATTGCTTTGGAGGAGAAGATGAAAATAGTTTTTTAAATCTCTCCAGTAAGTTTGATTTAGATCAAAATCGATGATTTAAATTAGCACCAATGCCTGAAGCTGACTGCGCATGTAATAGTGTGTTATTTAATAGGAATATTTTGATTTCTGGATGAAAAAATAAAAATATTTGGCAATATTCAACAAGTATTGATTCCTTCTCCAAAATTTCTTATGATTTTGCAGAGTGGAAAAGAAAGATCCTGATAAATGGAGAGAGACTGTATCTGGTTGAGTGCCAAGGGATGATATATGAAAGTGAAGATGAGTATTCTTGAAAGCAAATAGCGAATTTTATTCCCAATCCTAATCCAGATCAAGCTTATTGTTTATATAATAAAGGAGAAATATATATTGGAATTGGCACATTTTATTACAATTTATACTATAGATTTAGTTTGGATAAAAAGGTTATAACCGAACTCCAAAGAAGCATAGCTAACAATTTATAAAAATAATATTTTTTCTCTTATAAGTGATGCACGATTTATCAATCTTTAATTTTGATAGTTTTTGCGAAAATTATTAATAAACTAAGCGAAATTTTACATATGTCACATTTAATTATTATGAGACAAATCCAACAGTTTCTTTTTTGCTATCCTTAATGTTTTGATAGAGAATCTATTTTTTGATTATACTTTTTTAGTAAGGTTAGGTTACGGAGGGGGAGTAAGAAGTATTGAAAAACAATCATTTAAAGATGATGATGCGAATATTAATTTTAGTTTAGAAATGATTTCTTAATTCTTACAAGAAAGCCGTTTAAAATTAAATTATAAGGTCTTAAGACGCTTTAATTGTTTTGTTGACAAATCGAATTGAATAAATCCATAATCTGTGGTAATAAAGTAAAAGCTATCTTCATAGAGCAGAGAGTATGAGTGGCGACCATGATATTCCTCAAACACATTTGTAGTTCCGATTGATGCTCATGTATTTATATCATTTAAGCCACTTTCATAGCAGCTTCTATTGCTAATTATATAGACCTTGCTTTTAGCGGTTAAGCAAATCTTCCCTGCATTTGAGTTTAATGTAATTGGAGCATATGAATATGAATTATTTAAAATATTGTAGCATAATATATCAGGAGAAGTAAAACCTAAAATTAAGATCACCCAGTTAATAAAAGTGCAAGTATTATTCACCATTGATCCTGGAAAAAGCGAAAGTTCTGTTCAATTCTTCGATTTTAATGAAAATTTTAATGAAGCGTTTCCATCTCCTCCAAACATATAAACAAAATCATCAACCGCAATAAGTCCAGAATTATAACTGTATCGAGAAGAATCCAAAGCAATTATTGAATTATTTGGATCTATAATAAAAGTCTCTGACTGAAAGCAGCAAAACACAGAACCATCGTTTAGCAAGCAAGTTGGGTCTCATTGTATAAAATTTTTATTGATGTTTTGCGATGCTGAGTTTAGTGATATAACATCAACTGCAAATAGAGTCTGACTTTTAAAGTATTTAATAATCGGCCCTACTTTTTTAGGCGTTGAAGCTTCAAAATTATCAATATCAAATAAACTTTTTGGATCTTTAACAGTAAATAAGTTTTTCAGTCTTTTTTTCAAGCTTGAATTGTTAATCTTAATTATATCTTCTTGGCATTTTATTTTTGCTGCATTTTCAGGAGATAATAATTAAAATATGGCGTCTTCGTCTGGGCATGGCCTTCCGGCCATGCAGCCTCGACTCATATTTTAATTATATCTAGCAAGGTTTTGCCTTTTCAGAGATGGACGGCAATGCTAGGTAAGCAATTCTGGTGGAGTACAGAGCCTAGCCCTAGTCTACTCTCAGAGATGGTTTTTTCCTCGTGGGGAAGGAAAGCACGGCAATTGGAAAGGGGAAGCCCAGCAGAGTCCACACGACCCATCGGGCAACTCCCTAGCGTGAAACTGGGCGTTACGTCCCAGGCTACGTGTTTTTCCTTTTTGCCGAAAGCCTACCAGAAAATCCATTTTTTAGGTTTTCGGAATGGCAACCCATGTCACAAGCAAGTAGCTCATCCATGAGCCGTCGAAGCTGGCAACACTTGCCCCTAGACGCACCTTGGTGAACGAAGCGGACTGGCCCAGAGGTCTGTGGGCCCAATGCGACGAAAGGCAAGCGGAGGTCTGGGCTTAGCCAACCCCGTAGTGGACGTTAAGCGTTATAATTAGTAAGTTAAGTTTTTGCTGCACTTTCAGGAGATAATTTTAATGCCGATTCAATAAAGCTATTGCTGTTTAAATTATTGACCTCTTCTAAGGTCTCACATAAATATACATATTCATCTAATTTTTTCTCTATAAGAAAAATCTTTTCTAATGCTTTCTCGGTTGTTTCATTTATTTGTTTTATTAATGCTGATGATTCTTTGACAATCTTCCAACGATCCTGCTTTGCTCGTAACTTTAAGCCTTTTATAAACTCAAATATAATAATTATAGTCTTAGGATCAGGAGATTTCATGATTCGTGTGAAATGATGCTTTCCATCGGATTCTCCATGCGCTACAACATGATTTAAGCATAAAAACACATTTTTGTCCGAGCAGTCACATACAAAAATTGGTTTATTTTGGCAATTAATTGAACAAGTCACAAGCTCATCCATTATTATTATTATTCAACTCTATAAAAATGTATTTTTAAATTAATGCAAAGCATAGATTTAAGGCTCATATCAAATAATTGTGCATTTTTGATAGTGAAGTCCTTTTAGTCGAAGTAGCATTTGGTTGAAATTTAAAGTTTTTTTCTTAATGTCAAAAATTTTCAAACTGTTTTTGGCCAAATGCACTTTGATGAAATCCATACTGTCAAAGCGACCTACACCATAGATTTAAACCTTCTTAATTTTATTATGAAAAACTAACTAAAAGGAATATTTAACTATTAGTTTGCAAGAGAAACTAATTCAATTTGAAAGCAATTTTGAGAACTGAAGGCTTTAGATTTTTTTGAAATACAATATATAATTCATCTAGCTTAATAAGCGATTAATTTTTGGACTGTTTAAGAATTAGAATGCCTTTAGGCTTCACTAAAATTATTTTCATTATTGTTTGAAAAGATAATATATAAAATTATAGTTATGAAAAATTTATTTGATCGGATTACTTAAAATAGAAAAGTTATCATTTGGGGTTTCTATGCTTCTTATAAGCAAACTTTTTATGAATAAAATGATAACTATGAGTTATCTTCCTGAAGCAGAACCTTTTTAATATACTTTTACCTGCATTTAAGATAAGAAATTCGAAAATTTCTTTTTTAAATTCCTTTTATTTTAAATAGCTTGCTCAAGATCAAATAATAAAACCGCAGAGCTCTTCTTCTTAGTTAATGCGCTTATGAAGATATAAGGATAGAATAAGTAATTTATATATCTTTTTTGTAAATTAAAATAATTATAATTAAATTCCTTTTTATTAGATTTTCTAAATGTCTTAATTATCATAATTCTATTAATTGTAATATTTTGGGTTTTGCCTTAAGAAACCTTCATCAAAAGTGATTTGAATGTTTTTAAGAAATATAGAAACAATTGGCATTAGCATCTAAAATAGCCTATTTCTCATAATTTACTTACTCCCCTCCTCTGTGAGCGAACAAAACCATTGGAAAAATCCCTTTTTTTGCCCAAAAGTCTACCCTCCGTGAGCGAACAAAAAATTTTTAAGAAAAAAATTTGATATATAAGCGATTATTAGTATAATGAAATCTCGAGCTTATTCTATTTAATTTTAAACGAATTGCATTTTAAAACATAAATTTTGCAAATTAAATTAATTTTTACTTCTCAATTTTTAAAAATTGCAATTTTTTTAAAATTTTTAAAATGCAATTAATTTATTTTGTAAAATTTATATATAAATATTTAAAAAAATAAAATTAACCCGAAAGTGAACAAAACATTTTTGTTCGTTCACTGAGGGGGAGTTAGAAAATAATTTATGATGCAATCCTATAATAAATAAACAATGATTTCTTTATTTATTCTTCTATCTTTAACGAAGAATTTCCATCTTGCAAGATGGAAATCCATTTTGGCTCGGCGACAGCAAAAAAAATCCCAGAATTCGGCCGTGCAAAAAAAAAATAAAACGGCCGGAAGGCCAAGGGGTCGCAGATGGCAATTCTCTGGGGTGCAGGCTAGGGCTGACTGGGCTTCCCCTCGACCCACAGACAAGATACCGACGGCGCAACATCAATCAAGCACTTCTGGAGGAGCATTATGGTGCCTGCGAATGGCACAGGTGGTTCCAGAAGAAGATAATGGACGATCCTCTCATACCCTGAGCACCACCAGGGGTTAAGAGAGTCCTTGCCGAAATTTTTGATCCAGCAGGGTCGGGTGAGTCTCCCCGACAGACTGAGGACGTCACCATTTTTGATTGCTCCGAAGAAAAAGGGCGTTAGGTGGCTTTAGTGCTTAGTGCCACATGAAGCACGAAGCTGAAGTCCGACTGGCTAGGGGCTGAAATAATCCCCGCTTAACCTCTCTAACTAATCTCTCTCTCTATCTTTAACAGAAGCCTTAATTCGCATCCCTCTTCATCTAGATTTTAAACCTTCAGCAAACTTTTCCAATACAAGTTACCCCTCTCCATTCAGAAGACTTGCATCTTCGTCAACAGTGACTAACTATGAAAACGTACCTTTTATTTAGTATCAATATTACGTCAAAATTGAGATTGGAACTCCTCCACAATATTTTTCAGGACTACTATCCCTTAGGTCCTCTTGGATTTTTATAGATCAGAAAAACTGTTATCCATGCAGGCTTTCGTCTAACAAATTTGACTCAAGCCTTTCGTTAACTTTTCAAAGCGAAAATATCTATTTAACTCTAGACTCTGTTGGCCAATTAGAAGGATATACAGGAAAAGACACAGTCAAAATAGGAGGAATTGCTGCTAAATCCCAAAGAATACTTTTAGTCAGCAAGGAGCATGACATGGACAATCTTAAGTCAGACGGTATATTTGGCTTAGGTTTTAGCACTTCTAGTGATGGAACCCCCTCTATTTTGAATACTTTTTATGCCCAGCATGACATTAATCACATAATTTTTTCACTTTACTTCAATGATTTCAACGATCCTTCTGACTTGCCTAATTATGGCCAGTCAATGCTTATCATTGGTGGTCATGATTTAAATAAATATTCAGCAGAAAGCACTTTTACATATATAAAAGCAAAAAACTCCAATGGAGCTTGGCAAGTGGACTTCGATAGCGCTACTTTTGATGGAGCTAATTATACAAATGCATATAAAGCAGCAATTAGTTCTGGGACGAGCTTCATTTTAGGGCCAAAAGACGCAATTAACGGTATTTTAAAACGATTGCATGACAAGTATGACTGCGATGACGTAGATGGGCAGCTCTATTGCAATTGCAATGGAAAGTATCCTGATTTTATAGTTCAAATAAGTGGAATAAAATTTACAATTAAGCCCGCAGGATATTTGATACAAAGTGATTCCTATTGCATCCCAACATTTGATTATACAACAATTGCATATGCATGAGTGTTAGGTGATTCTTTTCTCCGAAGATTTTATACAATTTTTGATATGGAAAACATGAAAATTGGCTTTGCCACTGTTGGGTATACATCTCAAATCAGCTATTCTAATTATACTAATTCGAATGGTTCTGGCAGTGGGTCCTCTGGAACAAATTCTACATCAGGCTCTAATAGCACAAACCCAGGTAGTGGCTCGGGGTCATCAGGAAATGGTTCAGGGTCATCAGGAAATGGCTCTGGTACTCACAATTCCACAACAGGCAACACGAATTCAACTGGCTCAGGGTCTAATACTATTGACTCTTCTAATGAATGGAAACTAACACTTGCTATAACGCTTTCTGCATTATCAGTCTTTATGGTTTGAATATTTTCGTTGGCTGTTCTCTTTTTTAAAATGAGAGAAAGTCGCAACATAGCTATAAATGAGCAGAGACAGGAAGAATTAAGAAGAATTGAAGAATTGCGAAAAATTGAAGAGGAGCGGAGATATAGAGAAGCGCACGCGCCCGATCATCCAAATAATCGCAGCAATCCAGCACCTGAGAATACCAAACAACGCAGAAAATGTGGAAGCGTTTTTCCGAGTGAATTAAGAGGACTTACATGTTATCATTATTTTTGTGAAAGAGATTTAAGAGAGTATTTAGAGAATAGCATTAAGGAAAATATGATGGAAAAAACTATGCGATGTCCCCTTGATCATTGTAATGGAGAAATAGGCCTTATCACTATTCAGGCCCTTGTATCTCCAAATTTATGGGAAAAGTTTGATAATTATTATCAAAGAGAATTATAGATACCTATTTAAGCGTTATATTTTATTGTTTTTAAGATTCTTCAATCTATTTTTTCTTTGTATTACAGGATATTTTTTTTTATTCTTCTCAACTCTAAAAAAAGGAGTTAATTACTAGAAATATAAATCCAACAGCTGAGCCATCTTGATAACATTATATAGCTCATGAACTATGAATAATTGCAGTGCTCAGTATTCTATATATTAGAGTCCTTTCCCAGTTGTGCTTGAACAGAGGCTTTACTTTAATTTTTTTATATAGCTATCCTACCTTTATGTTTTCATTATCAAAAGCATTTTTAATACCTTTATATAAAATTTAAATGCCAGCATGCTTATTACGATCTTAGCTTTCCTCTTATGTTACTTTTATTTTCGAATCTAATGTTTGCTTCTACGAAGATGCTACATAAATCATTAGCGCTCAAAAGACGCCTTGCTATGTAATTACTTTTTGACAATTCTTTAATATTTAATAATTAATTTTTTTTAACCCACAATTAGTGTAATATAAAAATTAAAAGCTCTCGTCTAATTGGACTGTCTTAAAAATTTCGATATTATCGTTTTCTCTAATTATTATATGTCCATTCACAGCTTCAACTGAATCAATAGATTTCAAAAATAAAGATCTGATCTTTTCTTTTACAGTCTGAGTTTTAATATCCCATATATTAATAATTCCTTTATCGTTTCCTCATATAAGTGCTGTCCCGTTAGGACTGAAGCATAAAGAAGCAATGTTTTCATGACTTTCTATATAAACACTCTCTTCAGTATTTATGCTTAAAATTCTAATATATGTTTTCCTTTGTGCCGAAACCAGAAAAGCAAATTTCGAGCAAATAGGTTCAATTGCATATATATATGGTCTCTGCTCTATATGAATTTTTTTTATAAAATACTCTTTTTCTAAGTCCCATATGTAAAGAAAGCATTGAGGATCAAATCGAAAATCATATTTACTAGTAAATTTAATGTGATTGCTGCTTTGGATTTTGGTTTCAACTACTCTAACTTTATCCAAATAAGGAATCCTGTGATATTCATAAGTATATCAGTTTAAGCAGATAAAATAGCTTTCACAATTAGAAAATGTGAAATCGTATATATAATCTTGAGTTATTATTGTTTTTACCCACATGCCACTCTTTAAATGGTAAATATCAAAAGCTTTGTAGATTCTTCGGGCTAGGTAAGTTTCGAACGGAGAAAATGCATAATCAGCATAAAAACTGTTAAAAGCAAGCTGCTCTATTTGTTTTGGGTTGAAATCTGTTAAATCTCATAAGATAGCTTTTTTTGTACCGAAAATAAGCAGATACGTTCCTTTTGGTGACACTTTTACATTTGAGACTAGAAAATGCAATTTATTATCATTTTTTAAAAATTTTGGGAAAAAATCATACACTCAGATATCTCCCTGCGAATTGGTTCAAGAAATATATTTGCTTGACGTTGAAAACAGAACTGATACTAATTTTTGCTTTGAATGAGTAAAAATTTGTAAAATTCTTTGATTTTCTAAGCACATTATATATCCAGCCCCTTCATTTGACCCAAATGCTAAAAATTGCCCACAAGGAGAAAATGACAATGCCTGAATTTTTTTATTTCTAGAAAAAATTTTTGTTTGGTGTGACGACACAGCATCTATTAAATATAATAAGGCATTTTCACTATAAGCAATTTTTCTTCCACAAGATGAGATAGCAATTACACCTTTAGCAGAGAATTTGCCTCAAACAGATCTGATAAGAGTCCAATTTTCAGTTTCAATTATATAGATTATGGTAGATTTTTTTATTGCGAAATATTTGCTGGATGGAGAAAAAACCAATTGTCCTCATTTATAAGGAATTTTATTAAAAGGACCAAGAATTTGATGACTGTTTTCTATATCTCAGCACCGGACAAAAGATTTATTATCATGTGCTGCTATAGTTTATTAGCTTTTCCTGCAAACATGCCTACTGTCCTAAAAATATAATTTATAGAATATAGAAAAACGGAGTTTTAATTTTTATCAGAAATTTTAGTAGGTATTATATGAATTTTCAATTTTGCGAAATTTCCAATTTAATGGTATTTATTTCAAATAAATGCTTTTTTTCATATTCATCCCAAAATTTAATGTATTGTCCATGAGTCATTGATATAACAGGATTTAACTTTGTACTATGAATCTTAATGTATACATTAAAATTGTGTAGCCAAACTGCCCTCTTAGTAACTGTAATCTGGCAGGTTCTAAGAAAGCCCAGGATCTTGTGAAAGAGAGGATAGCGTTCGGAAATGCGTGTCTGCCGGGTTTTACCGGCTTGATTGAGCGCCGTGTTGAATTAGCAGACTGAAGGCTAATTTACAGATCAAGGCTTAACCCTTGAGGATATGGTTGGCTGGAGTTAGAAATGGGATGCCTAATAAGACTAAGGATGGCACGTGGTCAATCGAATAAATTCTTAGAGTGATGCAAGGTACTACATCCCGAGTTCTGAGTTAGACAACTCGACCAAAATCGTTATCCGTATTTTTTGGAAGGCAATGCAAGCATTATGATCAGCGTCTCTTACTCTTGGGCAGAGATTTCAAGTTTTATTCGTTTGGAATAATGGAGTAGAAATCCTTGTCCTACTGGCAAGCAAATTGTGGAGCTTTATCCGGAGGTGAGCATTGGACTTCTTTATAAGTAATTTAAGTTAAAATTTTAAAGTATGAATTCTTATAATTTTTGAGGAAATAAATTCTCTTAAGTCAGCTTTAATTTTAGATTCTTGATTTTTTAAATTTACTTCCATCAAAATATCGTCAGTTTTATAGTAAAAATGGTCATCATTAGCAGAAAAGCTTAATCCTTTTCCCTTTTGTGAATTAATTTTCATAGCAAGCCCAAATTTTGCGTTACTTAAATCGCAGTTTTTAAAATTCACATTAATAATATGTGATTGCAAAAATTTGACTTCTTTTAGGTCACTGCCTTCAAAATTTACTTTTATAAATAAGCACTGAGATAAGTCAGCTTTTGGGATGCGAATATTGCTGAAATTTATGTTTTTAAAAGAAAAATCGCTTTTAGCTAGAATGGTAATCGCATTACTGCAAGCCAAATCAATTTCTTTTGAGGATCTTGAAAGTAATGTTAAGTTTAGGAGGTCTTCTTTGAGATTTTTATTCAAAAATTTGTTGAATAGAGTGTAAATATTTGGAAGGCCAAGTAATTCGAGCTTATTTAAATAAGAGGTTTTAATAGAGTCAATTGTTTTCCAATTGCTTATGTCCTTCAAAATTTTCTGGGCTAGATATTCATCACAAACTCTCTGTCAACTCAGTTTTTTGCTTTTATGCATTACCAATATAATCAATATGAAATATCAAGATGTTTGAACAAAATAATGTTTTTCTAATGAAACAAAGAATTTCTTTATGATCATATTAGAAGAATTTGAGTCTATACACTACTGCTATTGTGCCGTTAAAACAGTGCATGGTATGAAGCTTGAGAATAGAAAAAGAAAAATTGTTATATTACCCTACACTAAAGCAGCACCAAAAGCAGCACCAAAAGCAGCACCAAAAGCAGCACCAAAAAGCTGCACCAAAGCAGCACCAAAAGCAGCACCAAAAAGCTGCACCAAAAGCAGCACCAAAAGCAGCACCAACACCAACACCAACACCCAAAAAAAATCGCAACCAAAAAAATCGCAAAATCGCCTTTGTCGAAGCGATTCAAAATTAATGACGGCAGCTTTTAGGCCACCTAAAAAAAAAAAAAAAACCGCAGCGACTTTCCTGCCGGCCGGCTTGAGAATAGGATATGGATAAGATCCAAATGATTCCTTCAAATCTTTTTAATACATTACAAAATAATGCTTATAATTCTTTGAGTTACTTAGATTTCGGTAGATCAGCCCCAACTATCTTAGCAGACATGGGAAGAGAAAGAGTCAAAAGTTAGATTGGAATAGATTAATTATGGTTGTGGACGATGCAATATTCATATAAAAATTTGTAAAAACAACTGAGTTTGCTTTGCGTATTGTTCACCATTTTTTGACATGTCACTTTTTAATACTTCCTTGCATAAAGATTGAGCTCATCTCTTTGAGAGAATCTGTATTTTTGTTCGATAAAGAAATCTATATAGGGGTATGAGCTAAATTAATAATAATTAAAAGTTAATTTTCCTTTTCTTATAAGTAGATTTAATGAAATTAGAATATTGAGATTAATTATTTAATATTTGAGGATTTTACTCGGAAAATAATTATTACTTATTAACCCAATTGATTTGATTTGAAAATTTCATTATTATCCTTTTCTTTTATTATAATTAAGCCATTAACTGTCTATTTTCATCAAGTAAAGATCGAAATTCTTCCTTAATCCCCTCCTGAACTAATTATTTCCAATAATTTTGGTTGCTTTAAAAATTACTATTTAATCTTACTCTTAAAGTTTTACTTGTAGCCCAGTTGGTTCGATTTATAAATTTGAATATTCTTTTTTTCTTTTACCAAAATATGACACTTAGTAGCTTCAACTCAACTAATATCTCTTAAAAATAAAGTCCTAATCTTTTCTATTACAGTCTGCGCTTTTATATCCCATACATTAATCACCCCATTTTTATATCCTCCTACAATCAAATTTTCTTCAGAAGTAAAACGACAACATAGTGCTTCTACTCCTGGAATCTTCAAAGAAGTATCTCCTCCAATTTTTATATTTCAGATCCTAATAAAAACTTCTTCTTTGGAATCAAAAGAAGCAACTTGCTTTAAAAGAGGCGTAAAAGTAAATCTATAATTTCAATATTTTTTTGATTCCATTCTTTTAATCAAGTGGCCTTTTTCTAAGTCCCATATATGAATATTAAATTTTGTGCTCCACAAATGATACCTCCCACAGTCAGAAAAATTATGAGAAATTACGTTTACCTCATGAGTATCTTAGAACTTAGATTACTTAAGGTTTTAATGTGTTTCTCTGGTTCTTTAAGGTGATTTAAATAAGCCACAAGGGTTCAGCCCAGTTACCTCATGAGTATCAAAAGAATTAGATTAGATTTCTGAGAAGCTAGCTGTCAATCTATAAACCCTTGCTCCCTTCCTTATTACTCTGAAGTCTGCTGATCAATCCTAGAGAGGGTTTACCTGTTATTCCTTCTGATAAGAACTTCACTAGCTCCAAGAATTTAGAAGTTTGTGTGCCCTTCAGATACTAGATATATTGGTTTATAAAATGCTAAAAATCGAATTTCTGGTCAGCTGTATACTAAAGAATGAACTCAGATTTTTATATTGATCTGGTCAATGTCCTTATTTATCTAGAAGATGCCCTAAATGCTCTTGGGTAATCCTTTATAACTTTGTGAGTCTAGCCGTGGATTAGAAATTACCTTTTCTGCATTAACTCTGGGGTACCACTCCTACCTCAATATCTCATGACTTTGTAACTAGATTTAGGACAGGTATCATCCCATCAGATAATTTTAATAATAATTCCTGAGTATCAATTTTTCTTAAAATTTCAAAACCAGGAAAGCTATAATATTCGTAAAAACGCCTATCAAAAGTAATCAAACTATCCTCATGCTTAGAAAATGTAAAGTAATTTCACTCATAGTTTTTTGATTTGTGCACAATTAGGACATCAAGCTTTATATTATAAATATGGACACCACCAAAAATCCCAAAAGCGAAATAAGTTTCAAACGGAGAAAATACATACTCATCATATGAACCACTGACTGATATTTGCTTTATTTGCTTTGGAGCAAAAGTTGTTAAGTCTCACAAGATGGATTTGTCTGGGCTTGAAGTAAAGAGATAGGATCCTTTAGGAGATATTTTGGCTATATGAATTTGATAATGACGATTATAGTCGTTTTTAAAAATATTAGGGAAAAATTCATAGATTCTGATATTACAATTAGAATCATTTCAAGAAATATATTTACTTGATGGTGAAAATAACTTAACTTAACTTAAATTTACAGGCGTCCGCCGTAGTGTTGACGCAGTCACCAAGGACCCAGTATTAGGGTTCACCTGCTTTGCGGTATAGTCCAAACTGGCCATATAAACCAGTCACCAGGACATACACCTACTCCTTCCCACGCGCGTGAGCCGTGGCTTAGTGTTGAGTGGGCGGGCTATGGGCTTCTGCGGCTGCTGCTTGAGTTGACGAGAGTTGGCTCTCGAGAAATTCCAAAAAATGGAATTTCTGGTCACCTTTCGGCAAAAAAGGAAAATCTTCAAGTCCTGGGACGTAACGCCCAGTTTCACGCTAGGTAGGTGCCCGAATGGTCTAGGCATTGCCTGTAGACTCTGCTGGGCTTACCCTTTCCAAACCTGAGACTCCTTTTCTCTCGGGGAGAAAATCCATTCTGGTGGTTGAGCATGGGCCAGGCTCTGCACTGCAGAATTGCTTACCATGGCATTGTTGCTCATTTCCGGAATGGCAAAACCTTGCCGGATATAATTAAAATATGAGTCGAGTATGTGTGGCCGGAGGCCACACCCAGACGAAGACGCCATATTTTAATTATGATGGTGAAAATAACACTGAAGTCACGTTATTCTCAAACCCAGTAAAAATCTGAGAAATTTTCTGACTTTTTAATTCCATGATATACCCTGTACTATCATATAATTAATATGGTGGTAGCCAAAAAAAAATATGCTTGGCGACTACCATCACTTTGAGCACCAAAGTCGCTCTATAGCCTAAATCGAGTTTCAAGCTCTTTTAATTATGACTCTTAGTATACCTTGAGCTGCAGTATGGGGTGGAAACCTGGTTGTCAGTTAGTTGTGGCTCCAGTCCAGTTATTTGTTATCCGGATGACTTTGGGCCACGGGTTTTTCCCTGCCAGTTCACATTCAAGATGGCCAACAAGAGGCATCGGGCTAGCCTTTGCCTTCATAAAATTCGAATGGCATGGAATAAAAGGAATCTTTCTAAGCCATAAGAGACTCTGGATATCGGTGCAAGCTCTAGGGCCCAGGAGTAGGCCACTGCTGAGATAGGGTTCAGGCAAAGAATTCCACGGGCAAGCAGAATCTGGTGATAGCAAGCAAGCAGAGACATCAAATATGGAATACTTTAAGTCTTTTAAGTTTAGTTAAGTACTGTCATTTGATCCGAAAGCTAAAAATCTGTTGCAAGGAGAAAATGATAGTCCTCTGATTCCCTCCCTCCGTGAGTGAACAAAACCATTAGAAAAATCGCTATTTTTTGCCCAAAAACTCACCCTCCGTGAGTGAACAAGAATTTTTTTATGGAAAAAAAAAATTTTATATATAAGTTATAATTATTATAATGAAATCTCGAGCTAATTATGTTTAATTTTAAAACAGATTGCATTTTAAAACTTAAAATTTTATAAATTAAATTAATATTTGCTTTCCAATTTTTGCAAATTGGGATTTTTTTAAAATTCGAAAAAAAAATTTTTTAAAAAAAAAATTAACCCCCCCCTCTGTGAGTGAACAAAATTTTTTTGTTCACTCACGGAGGGGTGGGAGTGAGTTTTTTGTGTGCTAGATAGATTCTTGTTTTATCTGATGTGGTTAAATTTATCAGCTGCAATAAGTTTGTATCACCATACGCAATTCATTCTCCACAATAAGAAATTGCGAAAGCTTTTTTAACTGAAAATTTTCCCCATATCGATTTAACAAGGCTTCAATTACCAGTTTCAATTATATAAATTACACTTGTTTTGATAATTGCTAAATATTTGCTGCACGGAGAAAAAATCAGCTGGGAACCCTTATAAATGAAGCCTTTGGTTCCTCCAAGCGTTTGCTTATTTACATCTATATCTCAGCTTAGAACCCATGACTTACTATCAAGAACAGCAATATATTTTCAATTTGGCGAAAATACAATTTTCGCTGTGTTTATCTTAAATAAATAGTTTTGATCATGCTGGTTCCAAAATTCCATATACTGTCCATGAATTTTCACAAAATATGGTTTAAGGTTAGTGCTATAAATCGCAGTGATATGTGATGAAATAAGATCATTGATGTCAGCTTGATATTTTGTTTCTTGAGTTTTCAAGTCCCATTCTATCAAGCTATAATTATTTTTATAGTAAATTTGTTTCTCATCAGGAGAGAAGCTAAGCCCTGTAGCAGATGGCGAACTAGTTTTCATAAAATATCCAAATTTTGCATTGCTGAGGTTACAATTTTTAAAATTCACGTTAATAATGTGGGATTGCAAAAATTTAACTTCATTTAAGTTACTGTTTTCAAAATTCACGTTTAAAAGTAAGCACTGAGATAAATCAGCTTTTGGAATACGCACATTGCTTAAATTGATATTATTAAATGAAAAATCACTTTTTGCAAGTACAGTTGCAGCATTACTGCATGCTAAATCAATTTCTGTGGAGGATCTTGAAAGAAAAATGACTTGTAAGAGGTCTTCTTTGGAATTTTGATCTAAAAAATAGTTAAACAAGGGATAGACATTTTGAAGGTCAAATATTTCAAGCTTATTTATATAAGAAGTTTTGATCAAGTCGATGCTTTTCCGATTTCTTACATCTTTCAAAATGCATTTCACTAAATATTCATCTATTTTTCGTGGATTTTGGATTTTCTTAAAAAATCTATATTCTTTTATTAAGAGACCTTGCCTTTTTTCTTGCTTTAAGGACATATTTTATTGCAGCTAATATAAGACTGTTTTCTATGCAAATCTAAACACTAAATCAATAAAAGTAATTGCACTGAAAGAGAAATGCGTGAATCATTTTACTGTTAGATTTTTACTATACTTGCTAAAGATACAATTCAGAATAAAAATAACCCATGATATTTTTACAATTCAACCTATCAGCCCTCTTAATTCCATATCTTCATTTTTAGGTCCAAAATTTCCGTTAAAGATATGCATAAGTCTAACAATAGGTTTATAAAAAATGAATTGTTGGATAATACTAGCAGCAGCTTTTGCTTCAGCCTGGGTCTTTGATTCGGGCGTGGAGTACTTTTCATTTGATATGAAGCTCAAATGGTATTTTCCATCTGACAACGAGGTTGAATTTGAACTTTGAATTCCCAAACGTTATGAAGCGTCCTTTGGCTGGGCAGGAATTGCAATCCAAGATATAAGCGAGGCCAGGGATAATTTTCACGCGGACTACTTCATTGGCCTAATGAGCGATGGCCTTATGACTGACCGATATGCAGAAATCAATGGGTTTTCCCTTGAAGATGTTGACCAAGGTTGCACTAACGATATTGAGTCCTGGAGAAGATACGAGCCAAATTCAGTCATTTTCTGCTGGAAAAGAAAACTTATTACTGGAGACAAGTGCGACGTTGAACTTGTAAGAGATAAACCTTATATGGTTAAGTGGGCACTTGGACCTGTAATTGATGGAGCAATTGAACAGCACAGCATGCGACATATGGGACTTGAATATTTTTCCCTCCCCCCCCCCCTCCGTGAGCGAACAAAAAAATTTTGTTCACTCACGGAGGGGGGTTAATTTTTTTTTTTAAAAAACAATTTATATATAAATTTTATAAAAAATATTTTTTTCGAAATTTAAAAAAAATCCTAATTTGCAAAAATTGGGAAGCAAATACTAATTTAATTTGCAAAATTTATGTTTTAAAAACGCAATTTGTTTAAAATTAAACAGAATTAGCTCTAGATTTCATTATACTAATTATCACTTATATATCAAAATTTTTTTCTATTAAAATTTTTTCTATTAAAAATATTTTTTGTTCACTCACGGAGGGTGGGTTTTTGGTCAAAAAATGGCGATTTTTCTAATGGTTTTGTTCGCTCACGGAGGGGGGGGGGGGGAGTTAGTACTCAGCGATTTGTATCTTGATAATAACGAAGACGAAAGACAAACTTATGGGCCTTGGTATAATAAGCATCCTAATGATTTGAAGTGGAAAAACCAATTAGGATCGCCTTTTGGACCTGAAAATTTTAGGGTTAGAAACCCTGGCAATAATTAATTTTCTTAAAATAGACTAAATATGGACTGATTAATAATGATACACTATTATAATTTTTTTCATCTCTGCGTTTAAAGGCATAAAAGCCTTTTTCAGATTTATTTATTTATTAATAATTTGAAACAAAATAATTGAATTTTTCCTTTTTTGAAATTTTCTGAGATGATCTATTTAGACAATAATGATGGAAGAGAGGAAAAAGAAACTATTCATCCTTATCTTCACCACGAACAGTAAGAAAAATTTACTGCTGGTAGGAATCGGCTTGAAGAATGGCATTTTGGTTACAGAGCTCATTATGGTACAATAAAAGGCTATTCTCCAAGCCAATTCTTTTCATCAGCAAATTTTTCTTGCTGTTTATATTGAGACTAAGGCTGCACACCTGATATAAGAATTTTTGTGGAGAAAATTAATACTGCTAGGATAATAATTCCAAAGATAGACCAAGAGATTAAAGATTTCGTATCTCTATTTGATTTGTCTGAAGATGAAGAGAAAATTGATAAAATTCGATGTGAAATTATAGACGAATACAAACTCCTTCGTGCATCTACCAAACAATTCAAAGAAACTTTTGAGATTTTATTGCAAGTTGACACTGACACTGAATTCAATGATATTTATTCAAACTATACCAAAGAATTCACTAGTCTCGCTCAAAATTACAAGAGTTTTATGAAGCAGTCTGTAGTTGGCTCGAGAACTCTATCTATTTGCTTTAAAACAGCTGACGGGCTTGGTCTACAAATTTATGACTTGCAAACCCAAAAATCCCAATGCCTGCCTTCAGAGAGCTTCCTGCTTGGAGCTTGTATTGTTTCTCTTCCAAATTCTCAGCTATTTATTTACTCCTCTGGAAATCCAAATTATTGTGTAGGGATTCCTTGCATCCTGGATCTCCATTTAAAAACTAAAATAGAGGTGCCCAAAGTTTTAGACATACAGTATCCAGGAGGGGCTTATTATAGGAACTCTGTCTATCTTTTTGGTGGAGCCACCAATCATCAAATTTTTGATGAAGCATGAAGATTCGACTTAGAAAAAAAAATCTGATTTTATGTTCGCATAATAATAAAGTGGCTTCATGATGAGAAGAATTCGCTCCGTAAATTTTCTTTCACTTACCCACTTTTATTATTAAGGATTAAACTTTTGCATGTGCACTCCTGCCTGATAGGGAAGAAATAGCTAACAATTTTTTTACTTCGCATCCTATAGGCATCGTGCTTACCTCTTTTCATTGCTAGATAAAGGTAGGACTTGAGGTCGAACAGGCAGTGGAAAGTCGTATAAAGTGAGGCAACGTTCTAAGTCGCTAGTATTCCCAAGACTTCTTGGCTCTAAAAATAACAGGCCATATCTAAAATCAGGGTAAGCACCTAGGAAAAATAAAACCTTGTGGTCTTGAGAGTCTATAAGTGATCTAAATTGTAATATAAGTCTAAGATTTCATGTTCCCAGTCTTCCAGATCCCAGCACAATGTGTGCCTGCACAGTTTTTAAAGATTCAATACTGATTTGTGGGGTAGGACATAGGCAAATAAAGTTTTTAAATCAATCATGCTTAAAATTAGCAGCATTTATACATTATCATATATTTATATAATAAAGTATATATAAATATGATGTAAAAATACAAAGTTATTCAAAAATAGATGCTGTGAAAGTTGAAACATTTACACCTAGGGTGCTATTCAAAGCAGGCTCAAGGGTCTACTTTTTGGAAAGAGGAGGAATTTTTGAAAGCGAGCTTGAAAATGAATATGCTTATACTCGCATTAGAAATAATGAGCTTGAATGAGGCTCAGTTTCACAAGTGAAATTTTATGATGGAAACATTTGGTTTATTACAGGAGGAAATAAGAATTTCAAGGTCTTTAAATTTGATTTGGCGACAAAACATCTTGAAAACATATTATAATTCTTTAAGAACTTACATTAAATAAGCTTTGTCACATATTTTAAATATCGCAGTAATTGTGCCATCCTAGAAAATTTGCAAAATTTTATATTATTCTATTTACTCATAATTAAATAATAAAGGTTTTTATTATTTAAGTCTGCTTAAGACTAAACTTCTACAACAGACGCATGATGAAGATGATGAGCAGGGGCTATATCTTCCATCACTTTGGATTATCTGCATCAACTTCTTTATTTTACTCATCCTTTGTGAAAATTTGATGGAAATTGCAGAGTCTTCTTCAAGCTCAAAAGCGCACTTCTTAGGAGACTCAAAAGATATTGTATTGTGCTCATCTACTTCTTTTAAAATAGGACGAACCTTGGTTCTTCTAACGAAAACCGCTTTCTCCTGCTAAGCGTATGAGCAAGAACTGAACCAGTTACCATCACTAATAATATCAGTCTTACCAAAAAGTCACTCACAGCTTCATTTAAGTGTCCTTCGAATATAATATTTACTCCAGGGTTATAAACTTCTCCATTATCAGTGCTTTCTCAATTTTCTCTAGTGTATCCTTCAGAATTATATTTCTACCATCTCCTGAGCTTCCGCTATTGCTACTAGACCTTTTATCTGTTTGAAAGAAGAGATTATTGAGGTTTTCGAAGTGGCTGCCATCACAGTCATTCCTAGATTTTGTGAATGTAAAGCACCGCTACTATTCAGTTAAGTAATTTTGGTCTTAAGGCTCTGTAGCTCTTCGTCAGTTATAGAAGTCCTGAATAGCTCCTTCTCCCATGCAGTATGGCCACTCCACATTTCTGTATACATATAAGTCATTCCATGATTAATAGCAAACCCAACTCCAGAAATGGTTATTGCGAAAGAAGACGGGATATAATTCGATCTTACCCGAGCTATACACCTGATTTGCGCATTATAGCATATGTAACTAGGTAGGCTGCCTCATCAATTAAGATTTCTGCTTGAAAAGCTGCTGTGAAGTCGTAAAAATTTGGGCTGTAAAAGTTAGTTGTGTTGCCTCCAAAACTTGTCCTGATTTTAAAGAGAAATCGTTGATATAAGGAGTAATAGAAGATTGTTGCTGGACTGCAGATGTATAGTATAGTACCCCCCCCCCCTCGTTTGTCGCATTTTCTAGTTTTTTTTTTTATAAGAGAAAAAAAAATTTTTTCAGGACCTCATTTGTCGCATTTTCTAGTTTTTTTAAAGCCAAAAAAAAATCTGTTCAGGACCTCGCTTGTCGCATTTTCTAGTTTTTTTTTCTCTCTATAAATTCCTAAAAATTAAAATTCGTCAAGGGATCAGTTAGTGAAATTTCATCATTTCTTCCTTCAAAATCCTTGCTCCCATTCCTCAATCCCCACAGCTTGCTTCCCATTACCTGCTCCCATTGCTTAAGCCTCACCACTTGCCATTCACCATTCTTATTCCCCTATCTTCATGCCTATTTCCTTATTTGATAGCTTAATTTCTAGTCTTCCATATTAATTAATGGAGTTGCGCGAAATTGAGGACCAGCCGATAAAAATCCCGGCAATGATTCAAAGGCCTATGGAGAGAGGCTCAATGCAAAGCAGATCCAAGAGCGTCTTGCTGCTTGTGGCAAGGACATGAGCCTGACGACGATCAGGCACTACACCAACAAGTTCAATCCTGAAGAGCACACTTTAGAGCTCAGGCGGAAGCTTGTGGACCATGGACTATCGCCTCCTCCTAAGAAAATGGAATGATGGAGAGAGCATAGTCAAGAGGATCATTGACGTAGGTTTCTTTTTAAAAACGAAGAACTTGCGACAATCTTGGGGACTTCTAAACGGACTATTGAGCGAATTGCTGCAGAGAATACTGAGAGTGAATCTGACGAAGCGGCTGGAAGAGAAGAGGCACTATCCAGATCTCCCCTAAAGCATTGAAGTGATGAAGACTTTGCTGAGGTCATTAAGGAATGTGAGAAGGATACAGGCTTTGTCAGCAAGGCAAGTTTGAGGGCCCAATTCAAAAGAAAGACAGTTGACATCAGCGAAGAACAGCTAGGAAAAGAGCTGAAGAAGAGGGGATATGTCTATAGGAAGAAGAGGGTTGTTCTACAGCTAACTGAAGCTCATAAAGAGCAGAGAATGTCCTGGGCTAGGTCTTTGATTGACTCAGATATCGCTTCATGGATCTTGATGAGTGCTATGTGCATCTCTTTCGTAACTCTAATTTGTCGTGGTGCAAAGAAGGGATAAACGCAACGATTGAATTGAAAAAACCTCAATATGATCTGGGGAGGAATTTCTATCGTTTTTGGCAAAATGCTCTTCATAAAGAAGGAGAAGTATGCAATCAATGCCCAGGTCTATATCAGAGACATTCTCCAGGGCTATATTGAGCCTTTAGATGGAGACTACACCTTCGTTCAGGATGGGGCAACAGCCCATACTGCAAGGCAGACTATGGAATATTGCAGAGAAAACGGGATTGATGTGAAGACTCAATCGCCGAAGAGCCCAGATCTCAATCTAATTGAGATGATCTGGGCCAATTTGAAGAGGAAAGTGGAGAAAAGAAGGCCTGACAGCAAAGCTAGACTAATTGCTGCCATTCAGGAGTCATGGGACGAAATTTCTTTTGAGGAAGTGCAAAATTCCATTCTTAAGGTGAAAAATGAAAGAGCAAGGCAGGTCATTGAAGCGCAAGGAGAATGGAGTTAATAAGCTAATTTAATCTATTCTCTAAAAAGGGGAGAGTAAAGTGGGAAAGGACTCGGGCCTGCTAACCCTCTGCAGGCAAATGTAAGGTAAACTCCTCTATAATTACTCAATTAAATTAATCAGAAACTATTTTTTAAAAAAACTAAGATTTGCGACATCAAAAAAAAATTAAAAAAACTAGAAATTGCGACAAATGTATTTGCACTAGAAAATGCGACAAACGAGGCCTGTAAATTTTTTTTTCCGTTAAAAAAAAACTAGAAAATGCGACAAACGAGGGGGGGGGGCACTATAGATCAAACTTCCAGAGGAAGTAAAATATCTTGTATTTAGATCACAGGTTATATCTTTAGCTGTCTCAGTAATACCGATAAAGCCAAATATGGAATTTCATTATATAAAATTCATTGTCCTGCAAATTCTTTATATTTAAAAAATAGACCAAAAAATAAGGCCTAAAAAGCATAATCCAAAAAAAAAGTTGAAAAAAGACGTTATGAAATAGGCATAGTGCGAAGGAAACATATAATAAATTATTGATTGAATTATATTTCAAAAATTTTATGATAAAAATAATTGGGGCTTTTAAACAATTTCCGAAATCCAACTAATGTAAATAAAATGTGGCTTTTTTAGATAATCAATTTTAAAAGATAAAATTAGCTAAAAAAAAAGATTTAGAAGCCTAAAACATTACCTAAGACTCCTATTTTCATTGCACTATACATATACAGCTTTATATCTTCTAAAATACCTAATTATTTAAATATTTCTTCAGAATTGATTGTTCTTTAATGATTTATTTATTAATTTTATAATTAACCAGCTAAATCTATTGAAAAACCGTTATTCGAAAATGGAAATCTGTTATCCATAATAATAAACATGTCGAACAAGTGGAAATTCAATACCTTCGATTGTATGCAACATCCTATCATGTGTTTATGGGCTTGGTGTGTTCCATGTGGTGGCTGTTGCATGCAAGCCATAGATGCTAGAGAATGCGACAAAGACAACAAGAATGCATGCCTGATTGCATGCTTAATGAGTTGTTGTCTTGGCGTTTACGGAGCTACTTTCAACAGATACCAAGTCAGAAATAAACTTCAACTCGAAGGAACTATTCCTATGGATTTCCTTTGCCACTGCTGTTGTGGGTGCTGCTCAGTCGTTCAGGAATGGCAACAAGTTATGGAATCCAAGCATGGAAAAGCAAAAATCAACATTTGGGAAGTCGGAAAAAAATAAACCTAACTTAAGAATTATTTTTTACATAATCAGAGTAGAAATAGAGCGATAATTAGGAAATCGTTTTTAATTTCCCGCACAATCAGTGACTCTCGAAGGGAAGGGAAAATGCGTTGCAAAAGTAAGAATTGATGAAGATAAGAAAGAACAGGGGGCAACTATTTGAAAACTTAAAGCAATTATCACTATATACTTGAAATGTGTTTAAAATGAGATTGTGGTTATCAGCTCTTTCTCAGATTTGATCAGGAATTTTAGATAAGCTATTTTTTAGACGATATTAATGAAGGAGAGCTATTTATAAAGAAAGTTAAAGTTTGATCACGAATGAATTGTGTTAAAAACACTGAAATATAAATAGTTGCCACCTAATTTATTTTGGTTTCATTTTAAATAGATATAATGATAAATAAATTATCTTTAAGCAAAAATATAGTTATAAAGAGCTCTAATACATACATAATACTAACTCCCCCCCCTCCGTGAGTCAACAAAACCATTAGAAAAATCGCTATTTTTTGCCCAAAAACCCACCCTCCGTGAGTGAACAAAAATTTTTTTAATACAAAAATTTTTTTATGGAAAAAAATTTTGATATATAAATGATAATTAGTATAATGAAATCTAGAGCTAATTCTATTTAATTTTAAACAAATTGCTTTTTAAAACATAAATTTTATAAATTAAATTAATATTTGCTTTCCAATTTTTGCGAATTAGGATTTTTTTAAATTTCGAAAAAAATATTTTTTATAAAATTTATATATAAATTTTTTTTAAAAAAAAAACAATTAACCCCCCCTCCGTGAGTGAACAAAATTTTTTTGTTCACTCACGGAGGGGGGGGAGTAAGAAATAATTTCAACTTTTAATTTAGCTTATATCAAATATTAATACTAATTTTTGAATCTGTAGTGTTTAGTTTGATAAATCGATCAATTCAAATCTCATGCAAATAATTTTAAACTTTTTAAAATTTTTCTAATTTACCCTTTATATCTCCTTATCTTTCATTCTATCTAAACAAATAATGAAATGATAAAAATATCAAGGAATTTACTTTACCTTGAAACAAAACACACACTTGCTTATTTATGTCCATCTCCTGTGCTCCCAGGCCACTCCTTGATTTTCCCAAAGCAACAAGTATCTAAGCTATATCAATTAGGCAATGATTCAAGTTTTGATCTTTGGCTCTCAGTTCAAAGGGCTTCTAAAATTTTGGAAAAATATTACTTTAGTACATCGACTACAATAGAAGTTAAGGATGGTGTTAATCCTTGGCTTTATATAAATATTATCCCTAGAAAATCCTGCGATTTAGAAGAAAATGATACCATATATGGAATTATTGAAAATCTAAGTTTCGGAGAAGATAACATAAACCTTAGACAGGAGATTGAAATGCTTAAAAAGCTTATAAGCAATTAATTTATTTAAACTCGATCATCTATGTGAAACTAGAGATATAAGCAATTTATGGAAATTAAGATAAATGGAAACAATAAATTAAAATAAATTATATTTAATTAGATTTGGCAATGAATAGAACAAATTTTATTGCTTATTGAAGTTAATTATCTAATTGAGATAGCTTATATATAAGCTATAAAGGTCAAAATTTTCTATTTGATTCTTAAACTAACAGAATTAGGGATAAGCTTTTATATTTAATAATTTGATAGGTGAATGCAATTTAGCGATTTTTCTGATTATTGATATCTCCTATTTTAGCTTCTTATCTGTCTTTTAATGAATTAATTTGTGTTTTCCTCCCATTTTTGTAACAGCATTCAGTTTCTTAATATTTAATTAATTAGCTATCATCACGACACGCCGGGAATTTGCACCTATGTATAATCATCACCCCAAAGGGGTCCTGCAGACACCCATCCCTCCTCAAAGGAGGGTCTTGCACAGCCGATCGAAAATTCTGGCTTCGAAGTCCTGAAAGGCTGATTCCTCGGGACAAAAACTCTCATTATCGTGCTAGGCATTATTTGTCTTGAAGTTTCTAGGAAACCTTATCGCTCTACCGAGCCAGACCATCGCTGAACATACAATTTCTAGGAACAACAGGAGGTAAAAAACCCATATCGAGGGTTATCTCCTTGTGGCACGAGAAAAACCCTACCACCAATATACATAAGGATTCTGGACCTGCATTTAGCTTATTTCCGAACCTAGATTTTCCCTGCAGATGTTGATAAAATTGTGCAAGAGGTCGGGTTGGGAGCCTTCCATATTATATATATAATTTTTAATATTGAGAGTTGTAAGTTTTTCTATACCTGAAAACTACTTAAAGACATTAAAAAACGATATTGGCTTATAAACTATTTACATTATAATTTGGCACCACACCAAATCCTGTACATGGTGATAATCATAAAATTTAATCTATTTTTGGATCTTGAAGGCAATATAAAGCGGTTCCTTCACACGACGACTATTTCATAACGACTATTTTTTTTTTGGCCTATTTTTTTTTGGCCTATTTTTTTTTGGCCTATGTTTTTTGGCCTATTTTTTTTGGGCCTATTTTTTTTGCCTAGCCTCATTCATGAAGCTGCTGAGAAGACTACAACCTTATTGAGAGAAACAGAGACCTTTCCTTATGCGATTAATATTGAGTAAATTAAGTTAAAAAACTCCTAATTAAACCTAAAATTCTCGAAAAATTTTAAAAGCAATGAATTAGTATTCATGGAGTAAGAAATCTGTTAAGGGTGCATTTTTTGTTGGTTAAATCGTTTAAAAACACATTATTAAAATTAGATTAAAACAACAATTCGTATGGAATTATGCCCAAATATTAGTAAAAAATAGCTAAAAAATTGTCAAAAAAAGGCCAAAAAAATAGGCAAAAAAAAATAGGCCAAAAAATAATAGGCCAAAAACAAATAGGCAAAAAAAAAAAATAGGCAAAAAAAAATAGGCCAAAAAAAAATAGGCTAAAAAAAATAGGCCAAAAAAAATAGGCCAAAAAAAAAATAGGCCAAAAAAAAAATAGGCCAAAAAAAAATAGGTCAAAAAAAATAGGCCAAAAAAACTAGGCCAAAAAAAAATAGGTGAAAACAAAAATAGGCCAAAAAAAAAATAGGCCAAAAAAAAATAGGCCAAAAAAAATAGTCGTTATGAAATAGTCGTCGTGTGAAGATACGATATAAAGCATATATATATTGCGATATAATATACGGATTGTAGCCTTGCGGAATGGGTTGAATAATACCACTTGAAATCGTATTATCAGGCTTTTCGCTGATAAGCTGCTTCGAATTGCTAATTACATTTTCTGAGTCATTTAATTTTGTATGTAAGTTGATTAAATAGTTCAATGCTTCTTGATTTCTCCAAGCACGAATTGACTCTCTGTAAACTTTTACTGCTTCTTGGGCTTTATTTTGAAGTTCTAACTCATCATCAAGAGAATAACATACCTTTTTTAAAAAAAATTGACTGATTTTAAGCGACATAAAATATTTTAGCGCAATAGTAAGCATTGCCCAAGATGGCAAAGAAGCTGGGATTTTAGCTGATTATCAGAAGTATTGCACCCATAAGCTTTCTGATAGTAATGCTCTGCGTTTTCATAGTTTCCTTGAGCTTTATAGATGGATCCTAAATTACTGTAAATAATTCCTTTTTCTTCGAAATCTGGTGAAATTCGAAGGGTTGCCAAAAATGCTATCTCGGCATATTTTATATTTCCAAACTTTCAATAAAGGAGGCCAATCCCATACCAAAGCTGAGGATTTATGTCTTCTTTAAAAGTGTGAAGGGCTTTTTGATATGTCGCATAACACCTATCCAAATCTTGTTTTATAAAATAACAGTGGCCAAGAAGGACCCAATGCTTTCCTTCAGAATCATCCTGTTGAGTTTTTGATTCGAAAAAGGCCAGGGCCTGAGAAATATCAATTGGCTCGTTTGGCTTTCTTAAACCCTCCATGATAACTGGAAGATATTGCTCTCCTAACTCTTCCGGGTAAGGGAGATCGGTTCTCAAGTTCATCGACATCTTAATGCAATTATAATTACAATTTTCGGCCATTTAAATTTGTTGGTGAAGAATATTTCAGAATCATTTTGTTTTGAGAGCTTAATTTGCCTTAAATTTTTATTAATAAAGGCAGAAAATTTAAATTAAGCTTATTTTAAGCTTAGACAAATTTCTCTCATTATTATTTTTTGCGATTATTTTTTTTAGGCTTTATTTCATTGTCTTTGTATGATCCAAAAGATTTTGAGAGTTCTTCTTTTTGGAAACTTCAATCATATGGGTCTTTTACGTCACTTCTCAGCATGTTCGGATTGCCTTTTAAATTATACTTTAAACTGATGTCTCTTACCATGCAAAAAGACTTATAGTTGTGCTCTGTAGTCAAAATTCTATAGAGAGATAAAGTAAGGAGTCCATTTCATGCTATTGGATAAGGAAGCGATGAAAATGGATGAAAATAGACCGCAACAAAAGCCGAGCTCGATAAAGAAAATACCTTTCACATAAAATTGAGAGATATTTTATTTGTAACTTTTTCGTAATCTTCAGCATTGATTGCAGATTTTCTTATTTTCCCAAATAAATAGCAATGCTCTTTGAACTCCTTTTTTGAGAATCCTATAAGAATTCTTTTGATTGCTTGCATAATTATCCATTTATGGAATATTGGGTATATGCACTCAAAATATTAAATTCAGATGAAAAAATAGCAATATTAAATTTGAGTTAATATCTATATATTCATAATTAACATATAGTAATTTTACGATTTACAAAAAAAAAGTTCAAATTTTATCTTATATTTATGCCTTTATTTTTTGGCATTTAGCTTTAAGGGATATGCTGGATTTTATAAAAAATCTTCCGTTGTTAATCTTCTAAGGAATTTAATAATGAATCCACTACTAAGTAGAGCTATGATGAAGATGGAAAGTAAAAGAATGTAAATAAATAATAATGAATTTATCTATTATAATTCGCAGATGATAAATGCCAGGTCTAAATCATCACAAAGAATCAAAATAAAACCCTCAAATGTACAAAGTCCTTTGACTTCATATTCAGCACTTGCAGTTAATAAAAGTATGCAAATCAATCATATAGCTAATGACAGCCCAAACCAAAGTGATTTTAAACGCAGCAAAAGTGTTTTGCTGTCACCTCCAAGAAGATATACAATCAAAGATATTGATTCTCTAGAAGCTAAAAAATTATTCAAGCGGAATTCTTATTTATTAATCCTTTAATATTTGTCTTTCCCTTTTTCCAGTACAGGCCATACCCCTATATAGATTTCTTTATCGAACAAAATGCAATGGACTGTTGAACGAGCAAGACAGATTCGCTCAATCTCTATAAGAGGAAGTCTTAAAAAGTGACATGTCGGAAAATAGTGGCAAGTGTGAAAAAGTTGACAACAAACGCTTACTCATCCCCTCCAAGAGCGAGCAAAATCATTTGAAAAATCCTTATGAATCTCTAGCTCATTCTGTTTAATTTTAAATAAATTGCATTTTAAAACATAAATTTTATTAATATTTGTTTTCCAATTTTTTGTGCACTGGGATTTTTTTTAAATTTATAAAAATTTAACCCCCACATGAAGGGAGGGGTTTAGATTTATTCACAGCAAATACCATTATTATGCTCAAGCAGAATTCAGTTAGATATGAGCTTTCTTCTTTATTTGAAACATCCTCACAGGTCTCAAACTTTGAAAGCAGTGCAAAAAACTTTAAAAAAACAAACCCATTTAAAAGAAATAGGTACCACTCAAGCTCAGTTGAAAAATTAGCATCACTAAATTCTATAGTGAACAGATGTGAAAATGTCAGGCAAAGCATGAGCAAGGCAAATTTGCTTACAGCAATCGAAAATGCGAATTCTTGAAAAAATTTGCAAGAATCAATTAATAATCAGAAAGAATTAGATGAGTGAAATTATAAAAAACCATATAGAAAATTGTCAGAGGAACGGATGAGAAAAGAAGCTGTGGAGCTCCAAAAAATGTTTGAAGTCGGCCAAGGCCGAAAAAAGAGAAAAATTTGAAAATTATCAAGACCTGCCCTTTCAATGAAGGTTGAAAAAAGCTTAACTCTCCCTCTATGAGCACTAAAAAAGTCGGTGAGAGATCAAATTTTTATAAAAAAATTATATATATATGCGATAATTAGCATAATGAAATCTTCAGCCAATTCTTCCAATTTTTCTAAATCACATTTAAAACATAAATTTTACAAATTAGTTAAATTTTTACTTTCCAATTTTTGCAAATTAAATATTGTAAATATTTTTTTATAAAATTTATATAAATTTTTTTTAAAAAAGAGCTAATAAAGTGTTTTTCTTTGCTTAAGGAGTAAAAGAGTAAGTAAATATCGAATAACATAATAATGTTTAAATCAATTAATATTTATTGTATTTTCAAAGCCTCCTAATAATTATTTTTCGATATTTCTTGATTCAGAGAATTTATTTACTTGAAAATAATTTAAGCTTATATGATGCCTATCTTGTTAGCGATATCTAGCCCTTCATAATCTGGGGTGACTTTGATGAAAGCTTTCTTTTTCCCATCAGGTCTTATCAAAGTATTGACTTTTGCTACTTTGATGTTGTAAAGCTTCTCTGCAGCATCTTTAATTTGTTTTTTATTAGCCATAGGGTGCGCTAAAAATACTAACGTGTTGTGATCTTCAATTGTCTTAAGGGCCTTTTCAGTTGCTAGAGGCATGGTGATGGTAGAAAACTTATCAAGTCTTGTTTTGCCTGGCAAGCTTTTGCGAGCGTATTTTGGAGTCCTTTTTACAATCTTTGTGTCTGGTCTTCTAAATCTGACACTTGTGACTCTTTTGTGCTTTTGCTCTTTTTCTCCTTTGCGGACTGCTTTAGCTGTTTTCTTAGCCTCACCTTTTGCCATTTATATAGCTTATGATTTTAAGAGAAATAGATTAATTATATTTATCAGGACAAAGAAAGTAGCTTTGGCTTATTTGCATGCGAAATCGCTCTTTATAGGTATAAGGCAGTAATGGAGGGTTTAATTCTTCTTTAATCCCACTGTTTTTTATCGCATGGGACAGAGTGTATTGTTGGAAATAATCAATCAAGGAAATATTGACTTTTCTATCGCTGGAAATCACAACCAGCAATGTATAGTCCACGATATTTTGTTTTGATAGGAAAATAGAGTCATTTCAAATCCCAGCGTCTAATATTTGTTTTTCCTCCCAAGATAAATTGATTGGAAGCCCATCAAAATCATTTAGAAAAGTCATATCCCCTTTTCTATTCCTATGGTCTTTTTTTGATGTCCCTCTCAGCTCATACACAACTGAATTCAATGGCATTCTGTATCTCAAGTTTTCCATTAAACATAAGTATTCAATTCTGCTTCAGCCAGAATAGTGATTATTGAATACTACTTTATATAGTCCAATAATTTTTAACAGTCTTGAGTGCATTTCTCTATAAAAGTGTCTATAAATATGACGAAAATAATTTGGAGCAAGCTGGGTAAGCATCAAAAATTCTTGCTCAGTAATTAATTTCAATAAAAATCGATGATCATGTGAAATAAAAAATTTTTTGGGACCGAATGATTCGTCATCTAATTTTGATTTTATTATCGAGTTAATTAGATCGAAATTCTGGCCATATAAAAGTTTCCTGAAAGCATCAAATTGTTTAGGAAAATACGCTGTAGTACTAATTGATATTCGGTCTCCATAAAGCCGCCTGAAATCATCTTTCCTATTATTTTCTTCATAATTTGAAGCATGGAATGTAAAATGGTCATTTATGTATAGCTGATTTTCAATTGTTTCTTTAAAATCTTCTGCAAATGCTGACATATATTTTTGATATTGTACGGAATTTAAAGAGTAAGCAATTATAGACATTCTGTCTTTTTCTTCAACTGAGATGCACTGTTTATTAATCCCTAAAGGTAATGTCATGTTCCCATGCTTCAAGAATGTAAAGGCAGGATGGTCTAGGAATTTATCTTTTTCACTGAATGGAGCTACAGTAAGTGGAAGAGCCAGAGGCTTCATTGAAATTGCAGGATCTGAGTCAGATCTAGGCCCTCTAGTTGGTATTGATTCTGCAATTACAGTTTTAAACCCTAATTTTAGCCTTAATACATTGTTGCTTGTTACTTCTGACTGCACTTTCATATTACAGCATTTAAGAAACAAGCTTCTTTTAGCTTTTTCAATTGCAAAATAATTATTGCAGATATTAACTTCAGTATTCTCCAGCTTGTCTCTTCTCTGTTCAATCTCTTCTTTAATAGCTGTACTCTTTTTATACATTTCATTCCATTCTTCTTGGTCTTCTTGCTTATCTTTATTAATTTTTTCAATTAGCTCACATATGAAACTATGCAAAAAATTCAAAATTAGCATTCCGTTTTCTTTCAGCATATTAAATAAAATTTCGACAGCCTCTCTATCATGGTCAGCTGGTGCCTCACAGTTATAATTTTGAGGAACAAGCTCATACATATGATTTTCTTCCCAAATCATGCTTATTCTCGCAGAAGCCAAAAGAAAAATAAATTTATGAGATTTATATAAATCATGGCTGCATTTCTTTTGAGTTATATACTGGTTAAGCAAAAAGTTGCTGATAAATTTGTGAAAAGATAATTCCCATATAGACCTGCTCACATTGATAGGGTTTTCTTCATCACTTTTACAGTGAGCACAAGAAATAAACATTTTAATTTCATCACCGACGCCGGAATTAATCACTTTTGAAAAAGAAATTTTAACTCTACCATTGCTTTTCACAAAATAATAAGTATGAGATTTAAGGTAGTTTCCACAGCCATAGTCGCAGTATTCATCTATTTCTTGGCTAATTGCCGTTAAAAATTCACCAAGGGGCTGGTCATCAATTCCATAGAACAAAAATCCTGATAAGTTTGATTTTCGGCAAATCTGGTTTCTGCTAATGGATAAATAAATAAAATTAGCATTCATATTATGCATACTCAAAAAAATGTTGGAAAAAGGCTTTATGTTTGCTTGTAAGTAAAATTGAGTTTCTAATTTAATGTGTCTATACTCATTTAAGAGTCTTTTAAGAGCCATTTTTGTTGATTTTAATATTTTTTTGCTAGTGTCTGATAGTATTATGGAACCTCCAATTGATGAGTATTTTGGGCCTGAAAAGTAAACATACCGATCGTTTTCCAATTTTTTAGAGGAAAATTCTGTACAGTTTCCTAAATATAAATCCAAAAATGAAGAATGATATACAGATTCAAGCACCTTTCCTCCTAAAACTCTTGCAACTAAATCTAATTGTTTTGGCTTTAAATTCATTAGAATTGTAATTCCTAATTTCTCAAGTTCCTGAACAGTTGATTTATTGAGGGACTTTTCAAGCAGAATTATGTTTGGTCTTATACTTTGGATCCTTTTAATTACCATTCTTGAATAATTTGAATCTAATCCAGCCTGCTTTTCTTCTGCATCAATATTATTTTCAATATTTTGCTCATTGTCCATTCCTAGTAGCATTAAAATTTTTGGATTATCTATCGTTTCAAGCCTTTTCGCATCATTTTGTTTAATTATAACTCCACTTACAAATTCTGTCAAAGATGTATCTGCAGATTCAACCATAACAAATTTAATATATGAGCTCAAATCCATTAAGTCATCTCTAAATTGTGTTGATGGGCAAATGGTTTCTACGACCTTTTTAACCAACTCAATAATCATTTCTTTTTTATCAAGTCCAAGCTCAAGTTCTCTTAAAACTGCTTCTGTCCTCAATTCCATAAAATCATTTGTGTATTGTTCATATTCACTTCCACTCATGCTATTCATTTCGCCTAGCAAATCTATCACATTTAGTTCTTTGATTTGGACTTCAGCTTCCTTGATTTTTTCTTGCAATGTTTCTTGCTCTTGCTCATTTTGTCCTACAGCTTTAGAGGGGTCTTGAACTTTATGAATAGTCATTTGCCGAGTCAGGTAAGTTCTTGATGGTCTTTTTGGTGCAGACAAAGCATTTATGCAAGGCTCGCAAGCTCTTAAAATTTGAACACCATCGGGAAGAATTCTCTTATCCTAGTAATTGAATAGTAACAGTGTTTCGTTCATATTTATCAAAAATGTTATAAGAATTAAAATATTTTGATGGAAATAATAAAGGTTAAAAAAAATTATTTGAGAGTTAGATCTTGTACAATTCGAACAAAATAAAAATCCACAATATCTGCAGTGGTGCCGTCTTCTGATTGATGTAAAAGGTTTTTCACAATTAGAGCACATCTTTGAAGAAGAGTCTGGCATCCAAAATTCCTTTGAAAGGATGTTGACCTGTTCTGCCATAAATATTAAAAGTAAATCTAATTTATTAGCTTTATGGATATTTTTGTGCAGGTATTATTAAAAGATTTGGGAAATGGCTACTTAGATATTCTGTGGCCTCTTCATAGGTAGGTTTTTCTACTATGAAATAAAATGCATCATATCCTCCAGCTCCAGGAACACATGAAAATACAACATCTTCACATGTGTCTGTTACTTCATTAAGTAAACTATAAATATTGCTTGGCATAATTTCTACGCCTATAGCTTCGCTAGTTCTTAACCAGAAATCTCTGAGTTCTCTTGACAATTTCCTTAATTCCGCTCTATTTTGGTCAATAAATAACTTGACTGACTGTTGAACAATACAAAATAATTCTTCCATCTTTTGCTTTCCATTCTCTATATCAGACTCATATCAGCTATGAAAGCTCCTTACAAAAGACCGTGTGTCAGTTCCTTCCCCACCTTGGCAGAGAATTAAATGATAATGAGAAGGGAGCTCCATTCTTCTTACCGGCGTGCTTCATACAGTATTACTTATTTCTTCTTGAAGCTCTTGGACAGTAATGTCGTTGATTGTTTCGTTTAGGAGAGATTTTAATAAGTCAGATTCCTTAATTGAGTAAAGTTGAGAGCCAAATAATGCCGCAGCAATATCAAACCCACTACCGATTTTCTTTTGGGCGCGAGAATTTGCAAGCTGGCATGTGAAGTGAAGTATTCTTTCATCTGAAATTTGTAAATAATTAAAAAATGCAGAAATTATTGAGCATATCAAGGCTGAGGAGCTCCCAAGTCCAGTTTTCCCAGAGGTGTAAAATTCTGGATCGGCATTAATTTCAAGAAGAAAAGACTTTGATGATAATAAATAGCCACAATTCATAATAGATGCGATAAAAGATACAACATTTAAGGACTCAGCAATAAACGGATTCCATTCTCCTGAAACTTTACTGAAAGGAATCATTTCAAATTGTGCTTCATATGAAAACTGGTTTGACACTACAGTGATTTTGTTGTGGCTAGCAGATTCTGACATAATAATAGTAGCTTTAATAGAAGGAGATGAGGATATTACTCAGCCGTAGTATTTCTTGAATAAAATCAGATATCCTCCAAGTAATAGCACTTTTCCATGACATTTTGATTCAAAATTCTGTTCTTTATTCATCTCCATCTATCAATATTATTCCTTAAAACTTAGTCAAGTAATTTTTAAAATCCCTAAAATTAATAGCTCGCATTTAATTTCCTAAAGAAATGAAATCATAATCCTGGCAATCTTGGTTAAAAAATAAAGAATAAGATATAATAGGACTATTAATTTTATTATTCATATCGCCACAACACTTAAAATTACCCACAATTTCCGAATAATTTTAAAATATTCTTCATAAAGTTCTAAAATTTTACAAAAAATTGATCCTTTTGTTTTTTACCAAACCTCTGCAGGACTACCAAAAAAATGGAGCATTGTGATGCCAAATACTGAAATTAGCAGTGAAGACAGAATTTGAATTGAGACGGCAAACGTCTAAAAATATCAAATAAAAACAATCAGTAATGACGAGTTAATATTTTTTAACTAATAATAAAAAACTGTCCTAAAGTGACGCAATAATCATATTTAGAATACATAGTCCTTATAATAAATGAATAAAACCATTGGCATTTCTTGCTGTTCTGAGAACAATTTCAACATATTTTCTAACATGTTTTCACTTCTACGCACAGAAAATCAGATTCCAGAAGTCTCTGAAAACTTTCTCCTTCCTTCACCATTCGGATTACAACAAGCTAGTGTTGGTAATGAAGTTTCAGCCACACTTAGTGAAAAGAAGCCTAAAAAGAAGCACAGAAGACCTAAAAAGATCACAGCTTGCCCTCATATATATAAAAAGCACTACGCCAGGAATATGTGCAATGCTTGCTATCATCGTTTCGGAAGAGAAAAGAACGCATGGAGCTGCAAGCATGTTGAGAGGAAGCATTATGCAAAGGGGAAATGCGAAGCTTGCTACATTAAGGAGTATATGAGCTCCAATAATTCTTAGCTTAAAATCTTAAATTTAATCAAAATAGTTTCATTATCCTTAAAAAAAAAAGAAAATCCACAGATTATTAAGTCAATTGCATAATATTACTGGAGCAACAAAATCAAAAAATCAAAATTTTAAATAATAAACTTATGAGCAGCACATAAAAGGTTTAAAACAACTTATAAAAAATATTCAACATCACATTTTAACTATAAGGAATAAATTCACACAAACTTTCGTTAAATAAAATTATAACGGCATTTAAACAAAATCATATTTTCCTGATATACTTCGAGATTCTTTGAAAATTATCAAATTAAAAATATTGCTTAAATTGTACTTTTACCCACCTTTTAATGTATTATTTTTAAAAGGCATAAGGCTAAAACCCTTAATTCCAAAGTGGAGATGGGCTACGGGATTTTCCAAGTCAAGCATTCTATCATTAGAAGCAACTGAGTAAGAATTTGTTGAATGTGCTTTGATCAAAGAAGAGATCAGTTGTGCTCAAGTGAATCTATTTTATTCATCTCATATTTTACTAAGTCATGCAAATATATCAACGATACCCTTACAGAAACTTCATCAAACGCAATGAGAAATTAAATAATACTTATTGTGATTAATTTTATATGAAGTGCCAATATGTTTTTCGAAAGTTTTATTTTCAACAATATAGTAACTTCAATTTTTTTTATAACTTAACAGATCCTGTTTTGTTTGATTTCACCCAAACTCTTGCCTGGTGGCTGTCAATCATTCCTGACAAATCATCAAAAAAAGAAACAACTCTGCTCTCAATATCCTCTAAATCACTTTTAAGTTGCTGATTCTCCACTTCTAGTGCTGTCAAGATACTATAACTTTGCTTGTCTGAATCGATTTTTGAAATAATCTCCCTTTCTCTGAGATACTCTGCATTTAAGCTTTTTATTGTTTTTTTATATAGATTTTCCTGCTGAAAGCAAGCATTAGATTTCTTTTCAAGCTTTTCTTGCTTATGGTAAATTTTATTTGCTGCTTCACTTACTTCTTTTAGTCTTTGCTTAAATTTTTTTTCTGTCTCCTTTGATTTTATTTCAATATCCTCACTGATTTTATATACAAGATTTTGCTCTTCCAACTTTATAAAGGCAGAAGAAATCCTTCTTTTTCAATATGAATTAAAAACATTAAGTAGAATCTGGACTTTGCTTCTAATTTTCAAAGCAATTAAAGGCTTATGATCGATTTTTGGCATTTTCCTTCATTTATAAAAGTATTTTGCTTTTGCAATCCTCAATTTTGCACGGATTACCCCATGCAAGGTTTCTAAAATTGTTTTCATTAGCACTATTGAGAATTTTCATTTCTGTTGAACTTGGCTTTCTGATTCCTCCTCACCACTGCTGCTGCTTTCTTGGGAGCTCCGACTATCAGAAGAATCAGATGGGGGTAAATTAAGGTTAACTGAAAATGAGGCATTTTTTGACTCGACACTGTCATGTTCGATCATAGTTAAATTTTCAGACGGATTATCCATTTTATAAAATAAAAATTGTTTTTAATAAAGAATACATACTATAAAAATTTATTTAAAATAATTTAATAAATTTAAGAATAATATAAATTTATCATTTAAACATTTTTAGCAATAAAACAATATATTTGCATTATAATCGATGCTAAAACAATGATTTTGATTCCAAAACCTTTAATAGTTCCTTACATTTCCTATGGCCACCAGTGTAACTACAAAACGAACAAAAATTTCCTCTGCATTTAGGACATCGAACTGTCTTATTCTTTAATTTCTCATTAATAAGCTTATTCTTAGTGGGCGTTTTACAAAAAGGGCAGTCTATGCTGACTTCACTAAAATTCAATAGGCAAAGACGCTTAGCAATATCAGGATAAAATATTTCAGTGATATTGCTTTCTAAGAATTTATATGTAAGGCTGCAATGGCAGATCTGGCATCTGATATTACATAATTTGTCACTGTGCTTAATCGAGTTTCCAATTTTTTCATTGAAGCAAAGATGATGGTAATTATGCCCACAAGGAGTTGTAATAATAGTTTCAGTTTTAGTCATTAATTTACATATATCACATGCCATTGAATTCGCTTTACTCTTGGGAGTTTTAGTTTGATCATAGTTCAATTTCTCATTGTTAGCAAGTTTTTTGGTTTTATCTGATAGAAAGTTAGAATTTGAGCTGTGCTTGTTCCACCCTTCAAAATTTGCTGAGTTAGCATGTGAGTTTGGAGGTCTAGTTATATGTTCAGGATTAGAGGGAATTCCTAACTCCCCCCCCCCCCCCGTGAGCGAACAAAAAAATTTTGTTCGCTCACGGAGGGGGGTTAATTTTTTTTTTTAAAAAAATTTATATATAAATTTTTATAAAAAATATTTTTTTCGAAATTTAAAAAAATCCTAATTTGCAAAAATTGGGAAGCAAATATTAATTTAATTTGCAAAATTTATGTTTTAAAACGCAATTTGTTTAAAATTAAACAGAATTAGCTCTAGATTTCATTATACTAATTATCACTTATATATCAAAATTTTTTTTCATTAAAATTTTTCTATTAAAAAAATTTTTGTTCACTCACGGAGGGTGGGTTTTTGGTCAAAAAATGGCGATTTTTCTAATGGTTTTGTTCGCTCACGGAGGGGGGGGGGGGGGGGAGTAAGGACAAACGTCTCAGCTCTTCTTCTTTTAAATTTTCAATTTCATTAGATGCAGCAGTTGATATTGAATTTTTGTTTTTAAGCTCATTTTTGACAAATAATTCATCGGAACGGAAACTTACACTTTCATAGTCACTTGCTAAATAAAGCTTTTTATCAAATTTTGGCGTCGAATAAACGTTAGGCAAATTGCTTTCTTCGTTCTTTTTGATTATTTCTTGAGCCTCGCTAGTTTCTTCTACTTTATTGCTTTGATACCTATTTGATATATAGTCGTATGCGGGCTCAGCCTGAGCTTCTTCACTATCTACATTGTCTTTTGAAATGTTCATATCTGGGAAATTACTTGACTTAATTTCACTATCTACGTTGTTTTCTTTAGAAATGACACTACCTGGGATATTATTTGGCTCACTTTTATCTTCTTCATAAGTGCCTAAAGCAATCTCATCTTGCATTTCAAATGGTATGATCTCATTTGATATGATGATATTCGAAAGCAAATCATATGCAGTTTTAGCTGAAATCCTATTATGAAAATTAGGCTCAGTCATTTTAAGGATAATGTCTATGAAATTTTTAGGATAGTTTCTTTCGTTGCATACTTCTACCATAATGCTCAGTCTGTCTTCATAGGAAAGCTGATTATCATACGGATCAAGCCTGCATATCAGCATATCGAAAAATGTCCTTCCCAATTGATAAACATCATCTTTCAATGGGCTTGTTGAAATTCTAGATTCTTTATTGGTTAATTTATATTGCGCTTCAGGTGAAAAATAAGGCACTGTCCCTACGAGTGAATGAAACTCGCTTTCTTCATTTCCTGCTAATATTTTACTTTCCCCAAAATCAGCGAGTTTTAAATTTCCGAACTCGTCATATCTAATATTGTGCGGTTTTATATCTCTATGTGTAATATTGTTTTCATGGAGAGACTTCAGAATGTGGGTCAAATTTTTAAAGTGTTTCAATAGCAATTCTCCTGTAAACCAGTCACAGTTTTGGTTTCTCTGTGTTAATTCATTGTCAAGACCTTTTTCGCAATACTCCAAATATATTGAGAGGGTGTCGTTTTCTGTGGGTTCCCAAAAATAGATTTTGATTATATTTGGGTGAATCTTCCAGGCAGTCAGTTGAATTTCGGCTTCTTTTAGCTGATTTTGAGTGAAACTAAAGATTTCTTTGATGACTGCTTGACTTGGGTAGTTTAAGCCTGGAGTGTATCATAAAAAACTGGCTAAATAGATATTGGCACGTGCCGTTTTAGTAATCAACTTTTTGGAGTTCGCTCTGTAATAGTCGACAGCGTTGAAGCTCATTTTTATAGAGCTTTTCAAATTAATTGCATGAATCCTGGATAATTATAATAAATAGCGTATAGCAGCTTATTAAGTTATTAAGACTCATTTTCAAAGACTAACTGAGACTCAGCTTCTATTTCTTCTTCAGCGACTTCTTCGAAGCCTAAAATCTTTTCCAAGAAGTAATCTGGGGTAATTTCGTTCGGGATCATGCTTTCAGCTGATCCTCCTACAGGCATCAACAAGCTAGTTAAGCATCCTCTCAGTTCTCTTTCATTCATTGGCTCTCCTTTGGTAAACAGCAGCTCAAAAAGATCATCTTTCAATAAAACTCCTCTGCCTCCAGATATCACTTCAAAAGCTTCTTTAATTTCATTTCTATCAACCCCATAAACTGGTCTATGGTTTACAAAAACCCTTAAAAGAGTATCCATGTCTAAAGAATTGACAACTTTTCCTGTATTCGTGAATTTGCTATATTTCACCTCATTCATCATGTTATCAATTTCTTGCTGGCTTGGATAATACCCCATAGCCCTCATCAAGTAGCCAATTTCTTCTAATGGAACTGTCCCTTCAAGCTTCCTTGCTTTGGTTGTATTTTCTTTTTTAGATCTGATTTGTGAGTAATAAAAAAAGTCTTTCATATCTTTATAAGCCTTTCCATTTTTCCCACCTTCTATCATGTTTTGGAAAGGCTCTTCTCCAGAGCCGCCAAGGGCAATTTGCCTTTCAATAGCTTCTTCAGCGATAAATCACATATTAGCACACAAGTCTTTGCCTCCTGTTGTAAACATGAACTTGTAGTCTCCAGAAACTGCGATGTCTGAAATCTCTCCAGGATGTCCGATGAGACCCATAGTTTTGTTTGGATTCCCATCTAATGGAAGTTTAATAAGTCCAATAATTTTTTCAGCTGTTGAGTAGGCTAGGTAATAATCCGGAAGATCGATTGTGGACTGCTTGTCTTTGCTTTTAACAATAAGCTTTATTTTGGTGACTGGGCCACCTGATGTAGGGCCAAGACAAGTCAGCCTGCAATCTTTATTGTTAGCGTTCCACAGCTTGACCTTAAAAGCATCATTCATTGTAAGTAGCAAATCTTCTCCTGTACTCACTGGATACCAAATGCAGCAAGTGGGCTTATTTTCTTGATCTATTTTATTCACACTTAAAATTTGCAATTGAGTAGCTTCTGTTGAGTTTGTGTCGTACTCAATAAGTCTGCGGTCTTCTCCAACAGAAAAAAACCTTACTCCCCCCCCCCCTCCGTGAGCGAACAAAAAAATTTTGTTCGCTCACGGAGGGGGGTTAATTTTTTTTTTTTTTAAAACAATTTATATATAAATTTTATAAAAAATATTTTTTTTTCGAAATTTAAAAAAAATCCTAATTTGCAAAAATTGGGAAGCAAAATATTAATTTAATTTGCAAAATTTTATGTTTTAAACGCAATTTGTTTAAAATTAAACAGAATTAGCTCTAGATTTCATTATACTAATTATCACTTATATATCAAAATTTTTTTCCATTAAAATTTTTTCTATTAAAAAAATTTTTGTTCACTCACGGAGGGTGGGTTTTTGGTCAAAAAATGGCGATTTTTCTAATGGTTTTGTTCGCTCACGGAGGGGGGGGGGGGGTTTAGCAAGTTTCTGTCGTTTTCATCAATGCTAGTACCAAATGCTAGGCCAGTGACTGGCTTATAGTGGGATTTATGAGAACCGCAGTGCACCCACTCCATAGGGTTGTCTGGGTTATTTTTCTTATGCTCCCACTTAAACAGTGCAACTTTATTTTCTTTGTCTGCGATTGCCATGGCTAGTCCATCTTGAGAAAAAATGATTCTTAATATATCCCTTGCTTTGTCTGTGTATTTTATTTGAGGCTGTCTCTCACCATTAATATTTTCTGAGTCTAAAAGTAAATATGTGCCATCCTTAAAGCCAACACACAAAAAGTCACCATTTGGAGAATATTCTAGACAAAGAGGCTCTTTACTATACTCTCGCAAAATTTTCTTGCCATTGACTGGCTTGAATTTTTGACGCAGCCTTGTTCTATGATTCCAAACATAAATATAGCTATGCTCCCCATCTCCACCTGCAAAAGCAACCCAAGGCTTTTTGGGATGAACTGCTACTGCGTTGACAGGGTATCTCATTCCTTTCACAAGAATAGTCCCTTGTACAAAAGTTTCTTCTTCACCTGCAGGAGGGACTTCTTCAAAGAATGTTGACTTCAATTCCACAATCTTAGCATTATCAGAAGCAACAATAAAATCTGGACATGCAAAATTGCTCGTAGAATCTTCACCACGCTTAGCCAATTCTTCTTTACAACTCCTCGGTGGTAAGTCTGCAAAAGAAATGCTCAAAATATTTTCAGCATTAATATGCTCGAACCAAGCTTCAACTGTAAACCTTTGGTCATAAAACCTAACTGCCCCATCTTTTGACCCTACAACCAAATAATCCCCTTGTGTTGTCAAAAATGTTGCTTCAGTGTTCACAAGCTGCACAATTTTGATCGGCCTTCTCTGTTCTGGGTTTGAGTCAGTTTCCATAATAAAGCTCATATCCCACACAACAATTTGGCCACTTTTAGTGCCAGTAACAGCTTGTGTGGTGTTAGGAATAAAGACAGTTTGTGTTAAGGCTTCAATGCTCTGCCTAAAAAATGATTTCATTTCTTTTTCATTGTCATCGTACCTTAATGTTTGTTCATCTTCGTCCCACTGCCAAAAGAGCACAGATTTTGCACTGTTAGTGGCGATTTCTGAAATATTAGAAGTATTGAACCTCAAACTATAGTGAAGCCCTTCATCGGAATCTGCAGTGAATGGGACTTCTCCAGAGACGATTATTGCATCATTCGAGTCTTCTACATCGCGGCTCCAGTCCCAAACTGCGATTTCTTGTGGGGACGAACGGGAAAGAGTGCTTATGTAGCGAGGATCGCTAGAGATGTCAATGCAGTAAACACCTTTACCATGAGGACTTGCAATTGTTTTAACTGGGGTAGCGGTTAGAGAATCCCAAACAACCATCAGTGCATCTTCTCCTAAATCTGCTGTAACAATCCAGCGCTTGTCTGCAGAAACTGTGCAGCATGAAATTTTGTTGCAGTGGCCTTGAAGAAGTTTTTGCTCGCGGGTGATGTAATTGTAAATGACACCTGTATGAGCTGCAGTATAGAAAATTTCTGTTCGGTTCTCAGAGGTCAAGTTATGCACGCCGCAGATTATGTCTTTATTGAAGCCTACTACCCATTTCAAATTGAGGGCATCTACTCCATCTGAAACTTCATCATTGAATAAAGCTTCTTCGTTCTCCATTTATATTGAATTTTTCTTATGAAACTTAATACAAATTGGTAGTTATTCATGCTCATATAAATTTCTATTTAATTAATCAAAGACAAGTAATAATTATTTATTTTTGCATTTTTACTGCTTTTTCTAGTAGCTGTTCATTCGTTAAACCGACATTTTCGCTTAAAAGCCATCTTTTAGAGGTATTCTCAAGAATGTATTGAAAAAGGTTTACTTTTCTTCCTCGGCAAACATAAAGCATATGAGTACAAGGTATCCCATATTTCATAGTTCTTTTGCAAGTGCAAAGGTGAAAATCTAGATTTACTTCAAATATTTTTATTTGCTTTCCGCTCGCGTCTCCGATTTCAACAATATCATCTTCTACAATGGAGCACAAACTGCAGTACTCGAGGTCTTTAATTGCAGTCAATACTCGTAGTATGCAGTAATCCGTGAAAATAAACTGAACTCCATTGACATGAAGTAATAGCTCTTCTAGAATTCTTACATTTTTTAAGCTAAATCTCCCATCCTTTTTCAAATCAAACTATATTTCATGCAGTTCAGCACCTTCTATGCATGTTTGCTAATAATATAAAATACTCCATCTCTTTTGGCTAGGGCATAAAATATTTTAGACAGAAAAAAAATTTATAGGATAAAAAAATTTGGCTTAATGTGGCTTAGCTTTGGCAATATATAATTTTATTTTAACAATTTTTTCACCCTTGATCGAACGATAGAAATATATTTGAACAAAGATGGGGAGAAGTAACGTTTTTCACAGATATAGCCCCTTCATCTTTTTTAGACATATACTCATATTGAGAAAAAATTTTGATGTTTAAGTCTCTTTTGACACTTTTTAATATTTCTTTTGTACAAGTTTCCATGCATTTCAATCGTTTATTATTGCATAGCCCAGCTGTAAAGAAGTTGCTTGTGGAATATTTCGCCCATTGCTCTTTTTGATCGTAAATTTGGAGCAGCTTTTCATTACTAAGTAAATGAGGAAAATCAGTCATTAATTTAAGTCAAATCTCGGTGAGCTCTTGCTCAGTGTCTGTTTTAATAAGAGTGGCTAATTTGGAGGCTATAAATCGGCCTTTTCTTGGGACATCGAGGTCTGCACTTTTGGCAAGCATCATGAAACTAAATAAGATAGTGCTGCTTGGAAAACACTCTTTTATTGCACTGTATTGAATTCCATTGGAATCTGTTAGAATTGTTAGAGGGTCTAAAAAGCCTTGAGCTTTGAATTTGTTGAATGCCCAAAGATAGTTATCTTCCTTTGCTTCTTTAGAAAATGATGCAGCAAGTAAGCAGTTTGCGCCATGCTTATCAACAGTTAATATTAAAATGCATGACCCAAAATAAGGGTGGATTTGCTGTGAAGTCTCAATAAATAAAATATCAGCCATAGAATTTCAAGTTAAAACTCGATCTTTACTTGTAACAAAAATTCTTTCTTTCTTAACTCTCCCTTTTACAATATTTTTTATTTTTTTTAAAATTATTTTAACATAAAATATTAATTACATTACTCCCCCATCCTTGATCGAACGACTCGCCATCGTTCCATCAAGGATGGGGGTTAAAAACAAATTTTTTTGGGAAAAAAATTTTATATATAAAATAAAATATATATATATATTTTTTTTTATTTACTTTTAAATAAGAGTGTTAAGAGTTTAATAATTATTTTTACAGCAAAAAATTTAATTAATTTCATAAGAATACCAATTTTAATATTTTTATTTATTAGTTACCCCTATAAATTTTAATTTGTTCCTTATTAAATTAAATTTTTTTTTAAAAATTTTAAAGAATCTCTATTTTATTAGATTATTGAGTTTTAAGCCTAGTTTGATGACTAAATCACTTCGGATGGTTGATTCCGAAGCTTTCTGTCGTCTCAAAGTCTCTGAAAACAACTTCATTATGTACATCTTCCCAAGCTTTTGATAACTAATATTTTTATATATATATAAAAATTTGCATGATATGAAAATCGTTCGATCAAGGATGGGGGTTAATTTTCCAATTTTTAGGAATTTTTACAGTCAATCGTTCGACCAAGAATGGGGGGGAGTTAGTAAAATATTTGTAAGAAAGAGTTAGGATTATTTATTATTGTCATTCCATCTTCAGCAATATTTCTCAAAATAACTTCCTGATAAGTCATGGCAAGTCTGGTTTTCCTGTTCTCTCCTTCTATAAACACATTAATGGCTTTGTGAGTAAGATTAAGGTTTGGGTAGCTTTCTTTAAGTGCTGCATAAATATTTAGTTGATCAAATCCTTGCTTATACAACTGCATAATTTCATCTTTAATATTAGCAGGCATAGAAGAGTTGTCGGTGAATCTTTCAATTTCTGATTGTGTAAATTGTGGGTGGTTGTGGTAAGGGTTTATTTCTTTACAATAAAACTCAGTTAAATGTGATTTATTCTTTCTGGCGCATCAAACCATACGAAATGGACAAGGAGTTTCAGGTGCGAATGAAGGAAACCTCATATATTTGTGTATGTTAGCAAAATAACAATGGAATATGCACATGAGACCATGCTTTAAGACACCTCTTACTATAGTGTTATCGTTGCTGCACATCGTCTTAATCATGGTCATTAACTGATTTCTATCTTTGCATACCATAATAGAGCCTTTACTCCCTCCCTGAGAATTAGGAAAACTTTTTGGCCCATTCATAATAAGATTAGAGATTAGCTATTTTATTTATATTGCTTTTTCGGAAAATTATTTTAAAATTAAAGTTTTTCAATTCGCTTGCTTAAAAAGGTTATCATCAATATAAAACTAATAAATTTATTATTAGAAATCAAATTAAATAGAATTGCTATATTTAATTAAAATAATTATTAATTACATATGAAATATATTATATATAAAAGTTGTAATATTAAAAAATATTACCAAAATTAGAATATTTATTTATAATTTTTTCGGCCTGGGAGAGTTAGAAAAGCACTCTGTCTTATAGAAACCATTTACAGGTATCGCATCTAATTGAATTTCAGTTTTCCTAGCTTCTAAATTTTCACGTTCTTCTTCCTCATTGTCTGAATACTTTTTTTCTTTACTCCCCCCCCCCCCTCCGTGAGCGAACAAAACCATTAGAAAAAATCGCCATTTTTTGACCAAAAACCCACCCTCCGTGAGTGAACAAAAAAATTTTTTTAATAGAAAAAAATTTTAATGGAAAAAATTTTGATATATAAGTGATAATTAGTATAATGAAATCTAGAGCTAATTCTGTTTAATTTTAAACAAATTGCGTTTTAAAACATAAATTTTGCAAATTAAATTAATATTTGCTTCCCAATTTTTGCAAATTAGGATTTTTTTAAATTTCGAAAAAAATATTTTTTATAAAATTTTATATATAAATTTTTTTTTAAAAAAAAAAATTAACCCCCCTCCGTGAGCGAACAAAATTTTTTTGTTCGCTCACGGAGGGGGGGGGGGAGTTAGCAATTTTAGATTTTTCTTTATATTTAGTGCTCATTTGCTGGATATCCCGCAATAAAAATTATTCGATAATAGTCCCCCTAAAATATTCATTCAAGAGAGAGTACCCCTTCAAAAGCCAGCTAATTTACAGCTGAAATTGGAAGCTCGACACTAATATAATTGAAAGATAAGCTGTCGAAGTGCTGAAAATAAATGTCAAAAGATAAAATTTATGAATAAAAGACATGCTAATTTTATGAAAATAATTTTTAGTTAAAATTCAACTTGAAAATCTTTATTGGAGTCAATGCCGAATTTCTATAGCTTTTATATTATTTTTGATGCCTTGGTGTCATTTCTATCACTTGGATTTCGAAATTAGTTGATTTGGTACAAGAAAGCTAAAAAGTCTGCACTCAAAAAATGTTTATGAAGGTTAGCTTAATGATAAACCAAAAGCGTGCAAAAGCTATATATAATAATTTGTTCGAGTGTTATTAAATATGGCTTAACTTTTCAGGAGATATAACATTCTGGGTTTTGCAAGCGCTATAAACTTTCAGATGCATTTTAAGATAATTACCGTCATATACTAAATTGCTACTTTATTTCATTATTGATAGCTTTAGGTTCAAATTAATAGCTTACTTCATAATTTTAGCATTGCTAACAAACAACAGGAGAAAAGATGTACTCTTATTTAGACTATTAATTAGCTCCATCGCGCATATTCTGTATCTCTTTCCGAGCTAGCCCAATTCTCCAAATACCCCATAATTAGGCTTGGAGGCTTGAGCGGTAACGCTATAGTGCTTTCAATTGACTCTTTTGATGTTTCAGTGATTTCACTATTTTTCTAACTCCTCCACACTTAGTTAGCGAAAGAAATAAAATTTTTTGATGGAAATAGGACTCAGAGGCGCACTCCTATCTATGGAGGTAATACCCATTCCAATAAAACTGTAAATATTGTTTCTGTAGTAGGCCTTCAGGCTTGAGGAAGTCTCTTTGAAAGGTGGTTCAGATCGAAAATTCAAAAGGGCCCTGTTTCATTTTTCTTCTTTGGACTCCGAATTATATGGAGATTGAATTTTGGAGCCGAAATAAGGCAATCGGCAGTAGTTATTCCGCTTATGGTGGTATAAATCTTTTAACTTAGCTTAATAGCGAGCAAAATCATTAGAAAACCCCTATTTTATGGAAAATTAAAGAGGAAAAAAATGTGATATAAATAATAATTTGATATATAGCAATAACTTAGCTTATATTGCCTATTTACTAGGCAAATAATTTTCCAAAAGATATCTAGCAATTTCTCCAAAATTTGATATATAATTAATAATTATGACAATGAAATCCAGTTGATTCTATTAATTTTTAAACATCTATCAGCTACCTTAGTTTACTCTCTTACAGGGGGAGAGTAAATAACTCTTACTCTTGACCAAGTCCTTATTTTCGAATCAAGCTTTTTCGAAAAATCCTTGAAGCTTTCTGCAACTTCTTCCCTAGAAATGCTCTTTTCTTTGGATCTCTTAAACCTAGAAAACTCATCTTTCACTTCCTCTGGGAGCTCAGGTGTTGCAAGTATTAAATTGAGTGATCCTACAGATTCGCCTACATTTGAATATTTCTCCAGCTTTGGCTGAACGAGCTCCTTTCTGACTTGTTTGTAATGGTCTTTAGGAGTTCCTGTGACTATTGAGTTCTGGCCTAAATTTCCACCCGAGGTTTGGGTTGGGCTTTGACTTTCTGCAGGTTGACTTTCGCTTTTTTCCTGTGCATTCTGCTTATTTTTCTTATTTTTTGATTTTTTTTCATTTTTGTATCTCCCGGATCCACGGACAGCTCCAAACATGGCCTCTTCATCGTCTTCTAATGCTTCATCCCCCTTGCTTCCTTCTAGCTCCATCTCAACTTTGCGAGCTCTCCTAATTTGTTCTTCAGTCAATTCGTGCTCACTCACCAAGCTTGTTGTGTAGTATTTCTCATCATAAGTACTTTTGACACCAAAATTTTTTTCATTGAATTCGAACTGATTTCAGCCTTTAGTATTGTTTTGTTCCAGCATATCTTCTTCGCCTTCACATTCAAACTTCTCTAATTCTCTTTCTTTGTTTGTCCTTGCTCTTGAAATTTCTTTATCTGTCTTGAATTTTCGGGAACGTTAAGATTAAGATTAAAGGGCTTAGACTCTCCAGATTTGAAGCCACCACATTTTTCGATCATGTTAGCTTGCTAGCTGAGACGGACCCTATTTTGAACAGTGGCCTTCTCTAGGGGTGAGTCTTATATCTTACGACACAAGAGTGTTGACTAGATCGAGAAATCCTCTATTATATGCCATAGGGTCCTATGAGCACAGGCGGGCTCGACGCTCTTTTTCGGCAATTAAGAGAGTGGGGACACAGAAAAAAAGTAGCAGACTGTGATTTAAAATAACCCGTATAGCTAATAACTGATCTGGCAATCATTATAAACTTTGCAAGAAGCTACCCACCCTACGAGGCTGCTCGACGTGCTAAGGGTTAGGGTTAAGTGTCTGGGCTTGATTTTGTAACCCCAAACGTATGTTGTGTCATAAACATATTTTTCCATATTAATTATAAATTTTCGATAGGAAATTACTGAAATGCCCTTAAACTCAAGTGATAAAATATCACTCATCAAAAATTTTTGTTTCGGCATAATTCCGTCTTCAGACTTGCAATCTAGCAAGCAAGCTCCCTCAGATGTGTAACTATGTAAACGCCCTTGATGGCTTTTCCCTGACTTCGTAATGACCTTGCATTGCTTATTTAATACAGATAAAACTGCAAACATAAGCCTCTGCTTTAGTACTTCTTTTGGCTGTGGTTTTGATTTATTAGGCTCTGGATTCGAAGAATTTTTTGACTTTGCATCAATGCTTGAATTTTCTTGGGTGTTTTCCATTTTATTATTTTCTGAAGAATTAAGGGAAATATATATTTCAAATATTATCCTCTCTTATTTTCTTTGCTCTCTTCTTGCGCTATAAACTCTAAAGCGGCATTTAGCTTGAAATTTAAAGATCTTCTAAAATCGTATTTTTTATACATTTTAGCTTTCAGGAACATATCAGACCCAGCCCTCCAGTCCCTGCCTCTCATGTATACTAGTCCAAGCTCGTAGTAAGCATGAGGAATTACCCATTTTTCGTTCAAAATCCAGCTCTGATATTTTGTTAACTTTTCAAGCATTTTCACAGCTTCTCTTAGCCTTCCGAAATTTCTGAGGATTGACGCTTGCAATAGTAAAAGCAATGAATATTCGTCAGTTTCTTGATATTCACCTTTACCTAAATTTTCTGGGCTTGGGATTTCAGGGACACCAATTGAGGATAGGAAGTCGAAGGCGTGCTCAAACCAGTCTCGCTTCATTCCGTTGAGGTAATCAGTTACATATATGATTTCATAAGGGAATAATTGAAACCAGCGCCTATTTAGATATCTTTTAGCTCTTCTTCCTATTCATCTTTCAATTGTACTTCTTTCTAAATTGAGGTCTCCTAAGCCTTGAAACCATTCTTCAGCTTGATCGAGCTGTCCAGTCATACAAGAACAGGCTCCTAATAGGAGCTGGCTCTCCCTTTAAAATGAGCAAAACAATCTGTTAGAATTTTATAGGGGTTTAATTTTTTTGATAAAAATTACATAACATGATAAATGGCTTGTTTAATAAAGTTCTATTTGTATTGCCTCTTTAAAATAGAGCTAGTTATAGGCAAATTTTGATTTTGTGGCATGAAATTTAGTATCAAATCAATTAGAAATTATTATTTCTAACTATAAATTTTGTTTCAATTAAAAAGAAAGTGGAATTTTATCAACATTTTATATCAATATAAAGAGGGAGTGAGTGAATGGAGATGGAGGCGAATGGTCAGATGCTGAAAGGAGACAGGCTAGTGCTTCTTCTCATTCTTGGCACAGGAATAAAACCCATCCTTTTTCGAACAAAAGTCTTGGTGACCTAAATGGAAGACCTTGCTTTTCACACGAAATTAGCGCTCTCTCAAGCAATTTCAACGATCTTTCTAAATTTCCTTGCTTTGTAAGCATGTAACTTTCTAGCCATGAGAAATAAATGCTTTTATTATAATAGTGACTTCCAAATTTTATCAGTTCATTTGCTTCCCTATATCTCTCTTCTTTTCCAGGCACAAATTCAGGGATATAGACTAGTAACCAAAAAAGCATAAACATGAGAGCTAATGGAACGCGCATTCCTCGCTTAGAATTGATACATTTATAAAGTAATTGGACACCTTTGGATTGATTTGCTTCCATTCCAGCTAGTTTTGCAAGCCTCAATAAGCTTGGCGGTGCCATAGATAAAGACAGTAAAAATATCCCTTCTTCATAATTCAGCAAATTTTCAATATCATCTTCAATACCACTAGCAAGCTGGTCTTTATAATTTTGAGGCAAATTTTTTTCAAAATCATTATATTAGTTTACGATTTATAGCCCACTAAGGAGCCAGAAATCAACAGGGTTGCCAAATTATTTGGCAAGCCATAATATTTTTGAAACTGAATTTGATATTTAGTGAACCAAAAAATGCTTTTTAGAGAGCTTATTATTGTAGATCTATATATGAAGCTTAGTTAAATCAGCACAGATTTTATGCTGTTTCCAGGCATTTCGGAAATGAATTAAGATTAAGATTAAGATTACGATAACTCCTTGTAGACCCCCACTTAGCTTAGGATCTATCAAAACAAGCTCTCCCTCCATGAATTCCATCCACTGGCTAACAGCTCTGAACAACGGTAGGTGGAATCGGCCTAACCGTCGAACCGTTGCAGTTGCCTATGGCCCGGACGAGTCTCTCTTCGTTCCTTGAATGTGCTTCAAGTACTCTTGGGGCTGCCGGAGCAGTCCCAACGCTGATTTCCTTCAGAAAGATTGAACTTCCCTCACTAGGACGAGTATAGGGGACAGAACCCCTAACTCATTCATTCCATTTTTAATTGTAAGAAATGAATTGATCCTTTCGGATAATCTCTATGCAATATATCGCTTCCTGCTTTAAATAAATAAACCTCAGCAAGCACAGCTATATTCATTCTAGCACTTTGAGCTTCTTTTAAGATGTTAAAGATAAGTTCTGGATTCCCTTTTCCTTTAAATCCTGAAAGCCGATTCCCTGCAGCTTCAGTGCTCTTCACATGGGCATCTGCAATTTTTTCAGCAATTTCTAGCCTTTCAAGGGCAATCTTGCGAGAAGGCTTATCACCCATCAATAACGCTTTTAAAAATCCAGCTTCGGCTCAATGTAACGCACATCTTGAATCAAAATTTTTTCTTTCTTCAAACCAATGTTCGCTATCCTGAATTCCTGATGTCCACATTAGCTTAAGGGAATCTTGTATTGTAAATGAAGAAGTATCGATTTCAGTGCTCCTTGCAGTGGTTGTGGGTTTTGAAGAGCTATCTGAAGGCTGAGTATTTATATGAATTGCTCGAGGGATTGATGGCTCTATAAATCTAGGCGATGAAGCTTGTGACGAAAAAGGCGTTGAAAACTTAGAGCCAACCTCATGCAAAAAAGCGTTCCACATTTTGATCCTAATGAGATTGCATCTGGCAGCTCCAGAGCTGCCTTCACTGCTTATAACCAAATCCCTATTAAGCTCACATCATTGACACTGTTCCCAATCATGTTTGCTTTCTCCAGAATATCCACTAGGAAGAATGCTAACTCTTTCTATGCCTCTTCTTATTACGTCTAAACACAAAGTTGAAGCATGCCGAATATGCCTTGATTTTGTGTCAGAACAAAAGGCAAAATGGCACGGTCTTGTTGTTGTACTTGTAAAGTTTGCTGAAAACCCAGATAGGATATTCCAAAGCTCCTCTGCTCTAAGTTACAAAGTACCTGTTGTAAGGTTCAAATTTTTAGGGAAATTAAAAGCTTGAGGATAGTGTCCTTCTATATACTCTTCGAGGGATCTCAAATCAATTATAAATAGCCCTGGCTTAGGAATTTTCACATCCTCGCTTAAAATTGGAAGCGAAACAGAATTATCAATCATATCTACAGCCCATTGCTCTGGAGAATGTCTATGCAACACTAATTCTTCAATTATCGAAATAAAGCTTGATGGAGTCTGATGCTGTAGCGCCAAAGCTTCTTGGCAAATCTCGTCCAGCTCATCTAGCTCATTTATATAGAATCTAAACAATTGGACATCTCCCATCGACAAGTTTTTTTTGGACAAAATTTTTTCTTTAATTCTACTCACACATACCAAGGCGAAAAAATAAGGCAAAGTTGGATTATTTTCTTGCAGACAAAATTCCCAAAAAGCTAAAAGTAAGCTGATATTTAAGGCTGAAGCAAACATAGTCAAAAATCATCTTTCAGCATAGGCTTGAGGATGCAGCATTTTCCCATCCAAAGCGCTGCATTCGACAGGCTCGTGGTATAGTAAAAGCTTGTAGAAGATTTTATAGGAATATGGAAGCGAAGAGTCTTTTTTGAATACACGTGGCATCATTTTTTTAACAAATTCCCTAAATGCCGCGTAGACAGTCTTAAGAGAACTAAATCCGAGCACAAAAAAAGCAGCTAAGACTTCGTGCATCCCGGAGATATAAGAAATGTTTTCGGTTTTGCAGTAATAAGTGAGGAGGAGCTCGAGGTAGTCTTTCAACTCGGCTTCTTCAAACATAGGAAGCATTTTGTTTATTTGTTGACAGTCATTATGGATTTTTAGTTGGTCTGGGTGATCACGCTTGAAGTCTTCGTTTAGTTGTTTGAGATGGTTATGAGAAGAAGAGTCTAATTTCAGCAATCTGGTCCAACGGGTTGCACGATCTTCTTTGTTCATATTAGAAATATTATGCATATTTTTGATTGAAAATTAAGCAAGCACTCTCGATTATTTATTGCTAGTTTTTTAGAAATATGATCAAGAAGTTTCAATGCTTGATATTTTATTGCCTCTGCAATTTGCAGGTAGAATAATCTCTAAACAAAATATAAGGAATTTAATTAAAAATTAAAGTTAGTAAGAATCTTTTAATAGGATAGTTCAATGATTAGATCGCAATACTACAAAATATTATCCCTGCATTACTTAAATATTCTTATAATAAACAGCACTAATCTTATACTAACAATTTCTATATAAAATTATGTTTTATTTTGCTAGAAGTTAAAATATTTTAAAACATAGGAAAAAATGATTTATTTTAGTAATACTGATAATTTTGATAAATAAAATCTCATTGATCTCCAAAATGATTACTAATTCAAGCTATATCAAATTTCAAATTCTCAGGGCAGCATCAAAAAATATAATAATGGAGAAGTCTAAAACCAATTCTCGAGAATCAGAAAGAAGCATGATAATTAATTACGAAAAAGAAGGATATTTAGATGGCTGCTATGCTGTGCCTATAGAGTGACTTAAAGATTGGATAAATTTCACAAAAGGAGATCATAAACCTGGCAAGCTCATAACTTCCAATTTGCTTGATAGTAAAGGATTAATTAAGCCAGGTCTCAGACCATCCCGCGACTATAGAATGTTAATTACCCCTGTGAGCAAAAAAATTTTGTTCGCTTAAAGAGGGTTGATTTTTTTTTAAATTTTACAGTAATTTTTTTTGAAATTTAAAAAATCCCATTTCACAAAAATTTGGAAGCAAGCATTAACTTAGCTTGCAAAATTTATGTTTTAAAAAGGAAGCTGTTTAAAACTAAAAAGAATTAGTAAGAGATTTTGCTATAATAATTATCACTTAAATATAAAAATTGTTTTAGCTTACTGAGGGGGGAGTAAATAAAAAGCAGTGAGAATATTTATATTCAATTTATGGAGGAGACCCTCCCTTGATTTGTTCATCACACGATATTTATAGTTTAAAAAAAACCAGCACATCTTTTCAGAAACCTCCTTCAGTCATAGCTAGCATGAAAGGCACAGGGGAAATCAAAAGTATTTCAGTTCAGGACAAAAGAAATCAAGTTACTACTCTAAGTCAGAGGCCTAAACAAAATTTTCCAGTTGAAATGAATTTAAAAAACTCCAGATACATATCAATGCCGCCTGTCAAATCTTTTCAGCCAGCTGTCACCCCAAAAATTCCTCAGCAGCTGTATCAGGAAACAACGTCTTCTATATCATCTGAGTCAAGAAGTCCAGATTTAATCCCAGCTCAAAGAACAATATTAAAACAAGAAAAAAATGAAATTCCTCCTAGGCCGAAGTCAAGATCGTCACTAATAACTGATACTATATTTGATTAGATTAAATTAAGCATAATTCGATATCTCCCGTTTCTTATGTAAAATTATATAAGTTATAATAAAAATAATTTAATAAGAAATATACACCTCCAAAAAAATCAAATTTTGGGACCTAAGCCAAGCGGTGAATTTAAATCTAAATTTAATCAAATAGATGATATTCAGCAGTCAAGGCCTATTTCTGTCTCAAGAGATAGAGGTGTCATTGGGTTGGAAAACCCAATGTTTTATTGCTATATGAACGCAACTTTACAGTGCCTATTATCAGTATTACCTTTTTGCAATTTTCTGAAGAGCATTACACAAAGATCAGATACACCCTTATCAAATGCAATGTCTGCATTTGTAAAGGCATCAGAAAATGGAGGGATTTTAAGACCAAACGAAATTTGAAGGATTTTTGCTTTAACCTTCCCAGCTGGTCGCCAGCATGATGCTCCTGAATTTTTAAGAAAATTATTAGATGATCTTGATCGAGAGCAAGGACCTAATCTCCCCTCTGTTAGTGAATAAAATCATTGAAAAACCTTTTTTTTTGGGTAAAAAATGGACCTCCTAAAGGAGCAAATATAAAAATTTGTATGAAAGAATATTTTGATATATGAGTGATGATTATTATAATGAAATCTCTAGCTAGCTTTGTTGAACTTAAAACATTGCATATTAAAGCATAAATTTACAAATTAATTTAATTTTTGCTTTCCAATTTTTGTAAATTTAGAAAAAAAAAATTACTATAGGATTTATATATAAAAAATACTAGCTTCCCTTTACTACTTACCAGAAGTTTTTTGGTCTCTTAAGGAGAGGAGGTAAGAAAAGAATTAATGGAGGCAGTGACCCATGAAGGTATTATGAAGACAACCACTCGAAATTTTTAGTTGAAATATTTTCAGGATTGTTTGTTAGTCGGGTAACTTGCATGAAATGCAATAAAAATAGTGATGCTTTTGAGCCATTTACACTCCTAGCTTTAGAGCTGGCTCCAAGTCTAAATCAAAGTCTAGAGCATTTCACTGCGAAGGAAAAAATAAAAAATCAATATAAATGTGAATCATGTAAAAAAGTCACTGATATTGATAAGCAATATAAGATTGTGAGGAATCCTGCATATTTATTAATACAGCTAAAGAGGTTTGTATCTAACGCCTACAGCCCGTACCCAAGGAAGTCAAATGTTGAATGCACTTTTGAAAGTGTGCTTGATGTTACTGATTACAGCAATGAAAGGGCTAGATATGATTTGATTGCTGTTGGAGTTCATATGGGGAATACAGAAGGTGGGCATTATTATTCATTTTGCAAGCGTGGAAGCCATTGATATCGATTTAATGATTCTATATATACAAGAGTTGATTTACAAGAAGTTTTACAATCGCAAGCTTATTTTCTGTTTTATGAAAAAAGATTAATTTAATGAATATTACTTCCAAATAATTCATTATTTCCATATAATTATCAACCTTAAAAATATATCATAAAATTGAGCTAGATTTAATAAGAATCAAAAAATAAATGCAAGAAAATATTCTCTTGTCTAAAATTATTCAATGACACTTAAAATGAATAAACGACAATTTCGATTTTATTTGCATCATAACAAAAAATATCCATTTTTCGGTTTTACGCCTTAAATTAAAATGAAAATATTTTTATTTTAGGAAGGTATGAAAAGTGGTCAGCAAGTAACCCCAACAAATAAGAAAAAATTTATGATTATGATTCCTTCAGCTGATAACTGCACAAGTAGTGCTATTGACAAAAAGAATTTATCTCCATCATTATCACTTCCAGGCTTATCGTCTCAAAAATTCAAAATTCATTTAGAGAATAAAGCATTTAAGACAAGATTGCTTGCTAATATCGCAAATAGAAAAATTTCAACAGATAGATCGAAAAATATTCAAACACTCAATACAGCTCGAGGGATTTCTTATAACGCTGATCATGCTAAATCAATGATAAAAGAAGAAAATACCAGCGAACTTCTGGCCACCTTGGGGATAATGAAAGGAAAAACTGCAAGAGAATTTCCTAAAAGTTTCGAAAAATTAAAAGAGTCATTGACTATAAATTCAGATAGTGAATTAGAAAAATATGACTTGGGAAGCCCAGTTGGCAGAAAAGATGCTCAAGAGCTAGCAGATTGAGTCCAGCTAATGCTTAACAAAGCTCTTTCAGACCAAAATGAAGATATTGACAAACTGTTTGAAAGCGCAATGATGATCTATAACATCTGCTTTTACGAAATTGTTAGACAGGTGAGTGTACAATGTAAAGAACGCGGAGAGTTAATTAACATGGTATGAAAAGCTTACTTAAGCTTATTAGAGAGGGCACTAAGAGTTTCTCAAGTAAAGCTGACATGCCAGTCTGATGATTTTGAAAAAGAAAAAAATAGCATAATTAAAAAATTTTCAGCAGAAATATCAAGAATGACTGTTGAAAAAAATAAATGCAATTATGAAATAGAGCAGCTTAAAAAGTTAGTGAATAGTAAAGAAGAAGAAATAAGCTCGTTTCTAAACAGAGAAGAAAGACTTTGCGATAAAATTGAAATAATACAACAACATTATGAAGCTGTTAAAAAAGAAGTCTTGTTGCTAAAAGAGGATAATAGAATTCTTAGTACCAAAGTTGAAAGAGCAAAAATCAGTTTTGAAGAAAATAAAGATGGGATTATTCAATATATCCCTCCAGAAATAGCAAAAGTAAAAAGAAAAAAACAAGAAGAAATTAATAAAATTTTAGCCCAAGATCCTGTACTATCAAAAGTCAGTGAGCTTCATGCTCTAGACTCAAATGCATTTATTGAAAGCATCAGTAAAAATGAAGAAAATGAAAAAGAAATATTTTTGGTGCCAGATTTCAAAGACATTGGAATTGATGCACCTATTGTAGAAGTTAAAGAAATTCAAATTCAAACAGATGTAACTGAACTCTGCGGAGAATCAAAAGGTGAAAGAAAAGTTCTAAAAGAGCCAGAAACCCCAAAGCTTGAGCTGCAAATTATGGACATAATAAAATACAGTCAAGAAGATGCAGACAGAGCATGAATTGAAGAAACCTTTAGAGAGGAAACCCAAAAGCATTCTGAAAACCAGCAACAATTTTTGGTACAATTTCAGAAAAAGATTGACCAAGTGAACGATTTGATTGTGAAGATGAAAACTAACATCAAAGAAAACAAAAATGTCGCTGAAAATTATGCATTTGCTAATACTTTGTATTCTTCCATTGCAATGGCAATTAAAAAAGTAAAAGAAGAAACCCCAATGATGGTCCAAGAAATTGAGGTTGAAGAAGCTGAATCTGTTGAAAAAATTGAAGAGGTGCCGAAAATCGGAAGACTCTGGTCTATTATCCAAAAAGTTCACATGAAAAAGCCTCAAGATCTAGCGACAGTGATAACTCAAAAAGTTCTGAATACTCCAAATCATAAGTTGAAAAAAATAATGATCAAAAAAATGCTGCTGAAATTCATTACCCAATTTTATGATATTAAGCTATCAAGAACAAATGAGCCTGAATATAAAAACCAAACGATGTCTCAGTTGCTGTTAGAAGTTTTTAATAGGAAGTACGGAATGCATAAAGTGGTCGTTAACAAAATGTATCAGTTATTATCATCTTGTGTTAAATTCAAAAACATTAAAAGAATTTATATATTTGGGAGATTTTTGAAATTATACTCAGAGCTCACAAACCAAGACCTTGAGGTCTATTTGGATTTGCTTAAATTCATGAAAGAAAACTTTGGGTTTAAAGAAAACCAAGGAGATTTCGCAGAAATTCAATATGTATATTATGATAAAGCTACTGAATTCTGCAAAGTATATCTAGCTGAGATGGCCCAGGAGGAAGTAAGCTCGCTCTTAGTTTCTATTGAGGCTCTAAAAATTACAGATCAGAATAAAATTATATATATTGAGCTTGATAAACTATATGATGAAGTTATTGAACGAATTTGCAAAAAACGAGCTATCAGGATGAACTTTGTGAAATGCATTTATGAGGCTGCAGATCTTAATGACGATGGATTTTTGAATTTCCAAGAATTCGAGCTGCTTGTAAGGCACATTTCAACTGCCAAACTTTCTGAGTCTTATTACCGTGAACTTTTTAATGAGTTTGCTCAGAACTTCACAGGAGAAGACAATGAAATAATTCAAGCACTTACAGTAGAGAGTTTTACCCAGCTCACACAAACGTATCAAGTTTTCTCAACTGACTACCTTCAGCCTTTCGCTCAAATTACTCATCCAAATGGCCCAATAGGAAATTTATCAGAAATTAGCCCAAATATTGATAAAATCCTTAATAACTTCAAATGGAGATTTTTAAAGAGAATCAGTTGGAAGCTTCATAAGCGAGACTTGGATGAAATAATGGAAAAAGTCAAAGGAAAAGTATTAAACCCAAAGAACCCTGATTCAGTGTGGATTGGGCTAAGACTTCTTGATGAAGAGTCTAAATTGATTTGCGTAGAAGAAAATCTGAAAGTTTTGATGCCTAAAATCAGTGTAGTTTTGCCTATTTTCAATTCAATAGAAGGAGTAAGCTAATTTTTGATTTAAATAATTATTATTAAATTCTCTGGTAAATGATGTTTACTTATAAATGTCAGAGATAAAAGAGAATAAAGCAAAGAAGCAACTCAAAGCTGGTTACGAGGGATTAAAGAATTTTATTTGGCCATCTGACCCTAGAAAAAGAGCTGAAAAGAAATCAATTTACACCACCGTAGGCCTTTTTGTGGTTACCACTGTTGTATTGGTGAAATGGGGAACAAAAATTGCTGACTATGTCTACAACCCAGCACTTTTGGAAGAACAAAATCGTTTAGCGATGCAGGGATTATAATTTAATGCTTTCTGCTATAATTATTCTTCTTAATACAATTATGATACATAGGTTCGCAAAAAGGTTTTTTTCTGGCGAAGTCCCACCCGAGCCATCAGCTTGGGCTTATGCCAAATGACTTGGAGCCATACCCTTTGGTCTTTTTTCCTTAATTGCAATATATGAGTATCTAGAAGAAAAGAAAAGAATTGCTAATTGGCTTGCCAACTATAATGAAGACAAAGAGAAAGAAAATCCTTTAGAGAAAATGATTAGAAAGGCACTGAGACATTATCATGGCTCTACAAAGAATGATTTTTTAGACGAAGAAGTCAAAGAGAAGCTCAGAGCTGTCTGCGTCGAGCATAACACAAGCCCAAAAGATTATAATGAGTTCTATACAATGATGAATGGCTTCAAGGACAGCGAGCCCATAGTAAAACAAGTTTTATCAATCTGCGCCAACCCAGACAAGTCAGAGCAGTGCAGAGTTTTGATTCAAATGTCCTATATGTTTGACTTTATATCTTAATATGCATTAATTCTGATTTGCGCCCATTTCTATTTAAAAATATATGAAATTAAAACTAAGCTTTTATTTCATTATCCTCCCAGAACAGGGTGATCGGAATAGTTTAGATAGATAAACCCATCTTCGTCTTTTTTTCGTTCATAAATTTCTTTCATTGTGGAGTCACCTGTCATTAGATCAATCCCGTTGACAAATAAAAATAAAGCTACATCTTTGGGAAGGTTCACTTTAAGTCTTATTGAAGTCAAAAACTTTTGGACAGTATAGTCATACGGACAAAGAAATTTGAATTTTTGAATACTTTCAAGCTGAGATCTGGGGTCTTTTTCAAGAATTATGGGGATCCTATCAGGCCAGCTCTTCATAATACTCTCACATTCAGCTTTTCGCTTTTCAAGGGGGTTCTGAGCTTTATAATTAAACATTATAGATTCTGACATTTTTTATAAGAAATGAGAATCATGTCTTTATGGGATTTTCAATTTATTGGGTGGACTGTTATTATTAAAATACCTAACTCGTTATTTTATAAATAATAATTAGGAATAAAATAATGGCCATAATAAAATCTTGTTATCCAATAAGGATTAAAAAAATATGAAGGTTCGGAGCTGCACTGGGAAAGGATGTAAGGATTCCGTTGAAACAGCTTTTCTGCATCCCACAGAGACCCGGAAATTAATTGGTGCTTCATGTCTTCGTCATTATGAATAATTATTGGAATTTTTTCATGTCTCTTCATGCGATGCTTAATTGCCTTGTGGGAATTAAGGTTTCCTGCCTGCGTGAATGATTTCGTGCATCCAGGGTAAGGGCATTTGTAAGGCTTCTCCCCAGTGTGAACCCTTATATGAGTCTTTAAATTAAAGTCAACTGAAAAGGATTTTTCACAGTATGGGCAGTGAAATGGCCTTTCCCCAGTGTGAACTAGCTGGTGCCTCCTTAGTTTCGAATTATCTTTAAATGCCCTTTTGCATATTTTGCATTGATAATTTCTAATACTCATATCGTAATTATCTGCCATATTTATTATATGATTTAAATTTTTAAAACACTTAATAAAGAGCTTACTTCCTCAATATTACAAAAAAAAGGGACTAAATTATATAAATAGCCTGGTTGCCCCAAAAAGAAAAAATATTAAAAATTATTGTAAAAATAATTTTTATTTTCTTAGTTATAGAATTTCATCTATGTTAGTAGTCTAATTTTTAGATTGCTTTTTGTATTATTTTGAATAATAGCTAATTATTTATTTATGCATAGAGGAAAAACTCTGAGCTTCTATGCTAAAATTCCTATATTTATTAGGATTTTTCAGATAGAAATGAATATTTAGAATGTAAATTCATATATGATATTTAAAATTATTTTATTTTAGAAAAATTTATGCATGCTCTAGGCAATAATCCATTTACTTAATATTTATAAAATCATATCTTTTTGCTGATTAAACATGAATTATTAGTTTTTGTTGCATTATCATATATTAGTCTTCATTTGCTGCGATCATTGATCTTTTTGTTACAATTGAATTTTTGCTTTGAACACTTCCAGTGAATACTAAAAAGTTTTCATCAACGACTCCACTGGAAAGGTAATAATTTTCATTCTGAGATCTCACTTGCTGCTGTTTATGAATAAATACTTTGATCAAATCTTGGAATATGAAGAAAACAATATTGTAACCCCATACAAATCCTGCAGTGCCCCATCCAATAGGCTTCATGCTTGGAAAATCACTCTTCTCATCTGTCCATTCAAAGTAGTGCAAGAACCAATAAACAGATAATAATGTAGCTATCAAAATGGCTACTGCAGCTGAAAACATTAATAGTTTTGTAGGCTTGCTTGACCAGAACCAATCAGAAGTCCTTGCAGCAAACACTGTGAGATAATCTGAAAGCGATACTTTAAGATACATCATAGTTAAAATCTCCCCATAATTCAAAGCCCCAATCCCAAAGAATTTGAGGATTCTATTTGGATGATTAGTATCCATATGCCCAATTGCCATTAATAATAAAGCAACAGAAGATACATACGGAATGATTCCTAAAATAAGCGAATTCCACAGTATCATTGACAAACTCAGTTTATAAGGCTTTGTGTTGGCTGCTACATTATCATAAGCAATAGAGATTATAGTTCCATCATTTAAAACTGTGATTATTACAAGAGATATCACTGGCAATGCAAAGGTATTCGGCACTTTGTCACAATCTCCCTGGTTGCAGTGCTTTTTGCTAGGATTAATTAATATCATTGTTGTAGCAAAAAAAAGCAAAAGCTGCAAAGTGCAAGCTATCCTGTAGGTATAATAATTATTCAGTCTTTGGAACGTTTTTCTAGCTTCATGAACGGCTGCCATTATTACAGAAAGTCCTGGATAGGTTAAAATAATATCAGACGCAGATTTCGCAGCATCAAGAGCTCCATAAACAGCAATCCCTACATCAGCTTTTTTAAGAGCAGCTACATCATTTACATTTGAGCCCATGACTCCTACTTTGTATCCTTTTTCTTGTAAAAGCTTCACAATAATGTATTTATGCTCTGGAAATACCTCAGCAAATCCATCTGCATGATCCAGCACACTATCAAGATTTTCCTTTTGCTCTTCAGTTGTGTCAAAGCAGACAATTTCTCCATGATATATTTTGTCTCCTAAATTTAATAACTTGGCAGTTTCTTTTGATATAGCCATTTGGTCGCCAGTTACCAATTTAATACCAATTTGCATTTGAAATGCTTTTTCAATAGAATCTTTTGCATCTTCTCTTGGTGGGTCATATAAAGGAATTAGTCCGATCATGGACCATTTCCCATCTTTATTTGTCCTTGCAACGCCAATAGCCCTATATCCTCTTACAGAGAGTTCTTCTACTTGTTTAGTGACTTCATTTTCTATCTCCGGATCTTGGGCCATTGCTAGGATAATTTGTGGAGAGCCTTTAGTGCACTTGAATCTGTCTCCAGTGCGGGTGTTTTGGACTAAAACTTCACATCTTTTCTTTTTCGAGTCAAAGGGTATGAATTCTAACTCATCATAAGCTTGAAAATTAATTCTGCATTTTTGAGTCGCATACTCAGTTATGCATTTATCAATAGGGTCTTGGGAACCTGGAGTTCTTTTTGAGGCAAGGCCGGCTGATAAGAATATATCTTCTATTGTATATCTTCTTAATAATACAGGCTGTTGAGCAGTCAAATCATTTCTGGTAAGCATCCCAGTTTTTTTTACGCAAAGCAAATTCATCCCTGCTAGCTTTTCTATTGAATTCAATCTTGCTACTATTGTTTTTTTAGATGCCATAGTATTGGCTCCAACAGCCAAAACAGTTGTGCATACCAACTGCATAGCGATGGGAATTGAAGCAACCAAAAGAACTGTGCAAATAGACAAGGATTCCAAAATATCATTTCCTCTCACAAGTACGACAGCCAAAATAACTCCTACCAGCATTGTTGAGACGATTAGCAAAGACACTGAAATTCAAAAATTTGCTTTTTCAAACGATGTTTTCTCACTTTTGACTGTAAATTTCTGTTTTGACTTATACAAAAACGTCCTAATTCCAGTAGCCAGCACGATCGCTTCCATTTCTCCTTTCTTACAAATAGAGCCTTGATACACCACTTGTCCTTCTCCTTTTTTCACTGGAAAACTCTCTCCAGAAATCGAGGACAAATCAAACTCGCAGCTGCCTTCGCACAAAACTAAGTCAGCTGGGGCAATGTCTCCAATTTTAATTTTAATGCGGTCTCCAATCACGAGATCTTTTGATGCGACTTGTTCACATCTCCCTTCTCGTTTCACATAGGTTTGGGGGAGGAGGCTGGTTTTGAGCTTCTTTATAGAAGTTCTTGATCCTCGATCTTGATATCATTTCATAATTCCATTAATAAACTGAAGTATTAAAAGGACAAAAAAGCTCACCCATGCGTCTCTTATTCACCCTTGGCTAGAAAGTAAAACTGTTTAATCATCCCTTTTTGGGGAAAATTAACCCTTTTGTTAAACTTTTTTTGAATAGAATTATTGTTTAATATATAATTAATACCTATAACAGAAATTTCAAAAGAAAATTATATTGTATTTTAGTGATATAAATTTTATAAATTAAATCAGGTTTTTCATTTCAAATATTTACCAATTTGAATCTTTAAAATTTCTAAAATAAAATGGCATTCGGCTCGAGACAAGTTAGTTTTGCTAATTTTCTCTCCTTCATGGAATTTTATTTATGGGATTGGGTTTCTCTTGAGAACTTCTGCATAACAACAGCAGTTTAACTTTGGGATAGCCAGAGGAACTGCTCAACAGTGCAGCCAAGAGGCTAAGAATTTTACCTCTCAGAGTATCCGAGGAGGATGACCCTTAAGCAGACACATGCAGGAGCTGAGTCAGGAAAGAGTGACGTCATCGCGTCGGGTGAGAAACGCCGGCCAGGGTGGCAGGCTGTTTATTTGGGATGGTCTGACCTTTTCGGATCGGTAATGCTCGAGAAGTCACCATTTTGGCTCTGTACCTTTAGTAGGTGCGGCGTTAGACACCTTAAAACTGTAATTAATGCAATATAATTAATCTTTAAAATTTCGACAAAAATTATAACAAGAAAAAAATTAAAACCCTTTTTAATGAGCAAAAAAAAATTGTTTGCTAGTTAAGGGGGTCAATTAGAATTTCAAATGTAATTGCAGCTCATATCATTAATGGAATGGGACCCCACAGGTAGCCGAGGTATCATAGACAAGATTTTTCACGCTTCTCTGGAAGGAGATTTGGGCCATCTCGTTGAAAGCGAAGAATAACTTCTTCAGAAGAAAGACCATCAGAGCCTGTATTAAGTTCAGCTTGTGTTTCGGGTGATAAGGCGAGTGCTTGTATTTCAGGTTCATGATTTTCAGCAAGTTTTGAATAATCACCCATAATATTGATATAAAACCATATAATGCTTTACCTTAAGAAGCTTGCAAGCAATGACTTTTTATATCTTTTTAGGCAATTTTAGGAGAAGCTCTATAATTGATTAATATAAGTTTTTTACTATTATTTCTTTATGCGCAATATTCAAATCTTTTATATAAGCCTTCTTATATTTATAATTAATTACAAAATTTCAATTGTTTAGTTCAAATTTTCGGTACTTCTGATGGATTTAATATGAATCTATTTTGGATAAGTAAAATTGGTCTTTCAGCTATTGTAATAATATAAACAAAATGCAGCAAGTCCAAAGAACTCGAAGACACGGCATACTTGACCTAAATCAAGACTTGTTCAAAAAGCTTTGACATGCTGATATTAAAACCAGCGAAACAGAGCATTCACCTGATTTGGAGTCTTACCAGTCAAATGATGATTCTGCTCACAAAAGTAGAAGACTTTCTTATAAAGATAAAATAAGAGTTGCTCAAACAGCTGAGGAAAAATTATTTTTGAAAAAGGCACTTGATTTTCTTTCCAATATAAGAACAGGTCAAGAACTGGTTCAGCAAAATGAGCTCAATAAGATGGTTAGATTATTTAAAGTTAGGCGGTAACTATATTGGTGGCGCAGTCACCAAAGACCTCCTGTACGGGACGTTCTACTGCTTTTCGACTCCAGCCCAGAGAGGGTCTATCACTCATATGAGTGCCACATTCGGTCCTTCTGTCTCCTCCTTACCTAGAGTCTAAGATCTTGAGTGGGTGGCTTATGGATATCTGCGGCACTGCGGTAGACGATTGGAGTAGCTTGACTCCAAATATCAACTCCTTGAATTCTGTAAGGTGTCAAAGTACCTTCCTTCAAACTCTTGCGTCAAGAGGACTGGCTGGCACGTGCCACCATTTTAATATATATATGAACTCAATAGGAATAGGGCAAAATTAAGAATCCAAAGAAAATCATACAGAAAATTTTTAAATGACTATTCTCCCGATAAGTATCCATCTGTCGATTTGTCTGATGCACCCATGTGTATGCCGCCATCACAAATGACCGATGCGCTGAATTATGAATTTCAGATAAAAAATCCCCAACTCGGCGCAGGTCTAACTTTAAGCAAAATCGTGAACTTGCAGTACAACCTGATTCAAGTGCTTTGCAAAGATCTGGACATTGATGTATGAACACTTGCAATGGCTTTCCGTTATTTTCACCGTCTGCTTTGCGTTGGAGTAGTGACCCGACAAAATAGGAAACTCGTCGCATACACTTGTGTTGTTTTAGCCTACAAATTTAACGAAGAAATTCACCTCAATCTTTCCAAGCTCAGACTTCAAGTATTAGTTCGTGCTATGTGCGATTTAGATAAAAAAAATAACTTAAAGCCAAGCGATATATTTGAGTATGAATTTGAGGCTTATCGAAAGCTTCGGTTTAACTTAAATTGTGACGCTAGTGAATTTGAAGAATATTTTTATAAAATATTAGAAAAACTCGAAATCGACCCAGAAAAATATCTTGGAGATGAGAATAAATGAAACGATGTAAATTAATATAATAAGTATTATGAATATAATTGATGAACGTATGTTCAAATTTTTACTTAAATCTATTAGGACGTGAGGACCTTTCGAGTATTTGATGGCAGTTTTTGCAGCCTCGTTTAACAATGAGATACTTACTTATGTTTGGATTATAGCCTTTGTGAGTGTGCCAATTTCGTATGGAACAAGTGTAATATGCTGCTTGCTTCCAATACTCATCTCGAAAGCAACTTGCTACCTTAAAGAGAAAATATGCAGAGAGAGACCGACGCTTTATCAGCCACGAATTGAAGCTTTGATGTTCGAGTTCAGAAAAAAGGACTCAAATTATTCAATGCCATCTTGTGATTCTGCTCAGGCCGCAGCGTTTTGAACTTTTTTTTGTAAACACACTTGAATGCCTTGGTGAATTGGAATTTTGATGACAATTGGAACGATGTTTTCTAGAGTCTATTATATGTGTCATTATCCAACAGATGGTTTAGTTGGAGCTTTTATAGGAATGATGATAGCTCTTCTTATGGATTATATTATATTAGGATAATTCTCTTGAGTTTTTAATTAAGGTGAATTAGCCAAGTTATTTATCATAAAAGAAACTAGCATGTTAGCTGTTAGCAACTTTAATGTAATTTCAATTAAATAGAAAACTTTTAATGCCAATTTTATCTCAGTCAATTATTAAAATAGATTAATAAATCATTTAATGTGATAACTACTATTTTGCTATCACAGTTATTATTCATCATAAATTCTCAAGATAATGAAATATGATAAACATTTTTTAAGAAAATTTTCAAAGTTGTCATTACTTTAATTCATTATTGAAGCATCGATAATATGTAAATTACATATGAAGTCCACATCTCAAAGAAATGATAATGTAAAAATTTATACCTTTATTACTCCGAGAAATTCAAGAAACTTAAGCTTATTAATAGAGAAAGACCCAAATAAAGCAAGACTCCACAAATACGCTTTATCCATTGCAGCAGACAAGAAGTTTACAATCTTAGACTCGTCACGAAAACGAAAAGACGACATTTCACTTCCGTATATACACAATAGCCACAGATCAAATATATCACCCAGATATAACAATGCTACCAATAAATCTTTAGCTAGCTCTCCTAATCATACACCAGATAAACTTAACATCTCTAAAGCATCAAGAAAAACATCAATTTTAAGGCCTGAAGATTTCCAACCAGTTAGCGAAGATTTAAAGTTTCCGATTGCATCTTCTCAAGCTTTGAAGCGCTACATGAACTCTTTGACTCCTTATGAGCATGGAGAAATTTTAGAATACCCCAAAGTCTATTTCTTGGGTATAAATGCGTCAAAAATATTTTCAAATAAAACAGAAAAAAACTACGGATTTGATGACGAAAATTCCAATTATATTTTAATAACTGGAGATCATCTAAACTACAGATATGAGATATTAGAAATCATAGGTGCAGGAAATTGCAGCCAAGTTTGTAAATGTTTTGACCACAAGACTAAAGAAATTGTGGCAATAAAAGTAGTTAAAAGTAAGCCGAAAATTTATAAGCAAGGTGTAGCAGAAGCTAAGATTCTTCACGCTATAAAAGACGAAGACGAAAATGATGAGTGGAACATTGTTAGGATGCATGAATTTTTCTTATTTAGAAAACACATATGTATGGTCATGGAAATACTGGATATAAGCTTATATACTATGATAAAGTCCAGCAAAACTATGGGATTACCATTGGGAATTATTAAAAGAATAGCAAAACAGATAATAAGAGCATTGAAATTGCTGAGAAAATGCGGAATTATCCACTGTGACTTAAATCCAAAAAATATTTTGCTGAAAATGTACTCAAAATCAGAAATAAAGCTCATAGATTTCGGATCATCATGTTTTACTTCTGATAAAAAATATAATATAAAGCAAGTGAAATATTATCGTGCGCCAGAAGTCATATTAGGATGTTTGCATTCCTATCCTATAGATATGTGATCTCTTGGATGCATTTTGGCTGAATGCTTTGCTGGGGTCCCACTATTTCCAGGTGAAAATGATCATGATCAGCTCTCCTGCATAATGGAGCTATTAGGCGTGCCTCCTGATTCTTTAGTTTCTCAATCATCAATGAAAGATTCATATTTCAATCTATTTGGCGAGCCTATTCTCTACCAAAAATCATATAATAAGCCTAGAACTCCTGGGAGTGTTTTATTGATTGATAAAATAAAAACAACTGACTTACGATTTTTAGATTTTTTAGAAGGTAAGAAATAATTAGAATGTCTTCGGTATGATCCAGACAGTCGACTCACCCCGAGTAAAGCTCTAAAGCACCCTTGAATATCTGAAGCTATAAAAATTTAAAACCGCTAAATTGTATATGCTTATAAACCTTTAATTCTGCACGATATTTATTAATTAGATTGAATTTTCTAAAAATGAATCACAAGATATAATATTTTAATTTTTTATTTGTTTATATAAATCAATTATTAAACTTTCCATGTTCTGCCATTTTTGATGGCCGATTAATTGCATAATGAGAATGTTGCTCTGAAATATTTATTTTATTTTACTATCAAATTATATAAAATTCAAAAGTAATTGCAACTATCTTTCAAGAATGTTTGTTTCAAATTTAAAAAATCATGCTTTTTATGGGGCTTGCATTGCCAGGAGAATGATGGTACTTATCATACAGCCTGTCAATTCTGTCTTCTTCTACAATTCTCCAGTTTTTTTCATCAATCCCAATACTCCTCGGGGTTTTAATTGCTTTTGCATACTCCAGCTCGATTATTCTTTGTTGCAAAGCTAAGAGTCCAGTGCGTGCCAATGTGCTTCTGGCTCCCAAATTTTCAAGCCTGATAAAGTCTTCATCACACTTAATCTTAATTGAAAGCTTTTCATGGTCATTTTGAATATGTTTAACAGTCGGCACATCGCAATTTTCTTGTTTCTTTTCTGGTTTATTCAGTTTCCCCAAACTCTTTCCTGGAACCTGAGACAGACTTTTCAAATGTTTATTTTTTTTGACTCTGTGGCTCACTAAGTTGTTTTTAAGGTAAATTGATTTAAGTTGAGTTAAACTTTGCGACATTTAATTATAAGAAATATATTACAAAGTATCATCTATAGAATCATAAATAGTCGTCTCTTGGTTCATCTGTTCTTCCAGTGGAATTAGAACTCTATCTTTTTCTGTAACTGTTGCCAGCCACTTTATGACATCGCTTAAAATTCCGCGGCCTTCAAGGTCAAATAAGCTTGAAATGATTTCAATTGCAGAGCTCCGACATGAGCTCTTAAGCATTGACTCCAGTTCTGCAGCGCTGAACTGTCTTAGGACTTGTCTTCGTTGTTCTTCAAATTCGTCCGTTGGGGTGCCTACAAGTCTTCGTCTTCGTTCTTTCATTTCGATTAGTCTGCTTTCAAGTCTTTGTCAAAGTCTGTTGTTACTTCCACGACGTATATCTGACGTATGCCAGACTTGGTGGGTGATAAATTTCTCAATACTGCGCTTTCATTGAGGTTTTAGTTTGTCTTCTTTTAAAGCTTTTACTGCGTGGCAGAGTCTAGAAACGTACTCAATTAGCACGTCATCGCCAGTTAGTAGAACTTTTTCGTTTGATTTTGGCTTTTCTGAGCTGACTTGGCGCTCATGTCTTTTGGGGAGTTTCGGTGTAACCGCCAATTCAGGAGTTTGGACACTATTATAAATGGGGGTTTTTCTTGGCATGGACTCAGTGTATAGTATTGAATATAGATATCTGTTGACTAGTTTAATAGGCTCCATATATCCATCATAGAATTCAGACCCTTTAGATGGATAAATTCTTATAAAATGCCCTCGGCGTTTATATTCTTCAAGAGTGTCTCTTACAACTTCTTTAAATTTTGTGCTCTGCATAAATGGAACTTTTCTACCAGGACTCACCGTTCTGCTAGAAATATCTGACTTTGTTTGCATTTTTAGCCTGTTCTGCAGTTTATTAATAGATTCCTTTTTTTTATCAAATGGTCGGATTCCCATTAAATTGAAAGCATCTATTAGTAAATTTGATTTTATATGGGTATCAAGAGGAGAGTCAGTAGCTAACGAAGGAGATAAATTTACTTCTAATAGTCACGGCTTTAGATTAGAATCTAGAATTACATCAAATCCAAATAAATCAAAACAGTTTTTTGAGTTCAAATTGAGCTTTTTCACTTCTTCTGTTACAGCTTGTTCTGATGAAATTACTGTTTTTATGATTAAATCATAAATTTTGATCCAAACTGACCCCACATCAATTCCAGCTGTTTCTAAATGCCTCATAAGAGCTGATAGACTCCATTTATGCCCTATATCGTCACACTGAGCATCTTGATTTTGTATAAACTTATCATTTTTCTTATTTAACGAATAATTAGTCAGATGACTAAACCTGTTTTTCTTTTGTGATAGCGAATAAGGCTCACTTGCAAACCTTGCCAATCCTTCTTCATATACATAAATTCTCAAAGGCTCATAGCATGTAACCAGCACATAAATTCTCATATCAAATTTCAAATCATTTATTAGCAGCGGATTTTCAATATATTGCGAAATAATACAAGGCTCATCAATTGGTACTTCATTTATTGAATCAATTAAATATATTCCTCTGCCTTGCGATGAAGCTGGAGGTTTTATTATTCACTTCGCATTTTTTTCATTATGAAAATGTGCATAGAAATCAGCGAACTCATCAGGAAGTACATAAGTATCTGGGACGAAATTAAATGCTTTGTACCCATATTTTTCTTGCATGGACACTATAGATGCACATAAGTTGTCTTTTCTTGTAATTTCAGTTGAATTCGGAAAATGGTTGATTCTTTGGAACTCGTTTAAGTTTTGGTAGAGAAAAGTCTTGGCAGCTCCACATGACCAAAGGACACTTCAGTCATGTGAAATTGTTTGGATTAATCCAGCAGTTTCCAACACTTTTTTCACTATTTTTATATCAGCTTTATAGAATTTATAATAAACTTCTTGGCTGAGAGGCTTTACGTCTCGGAAATCTATAGTTGGAACTCTATACTGTGTAGAGTCAGTAAGCTCTTCTAGCAGTTTTTCTCACCTCGATTCCATATATTCGATATACGGAGAAGTGTTTGAAATTGTAAACAAGCCTTTTCGAGGTTTTCCAGTCCCTTCAATTGCTAATCCTTCCCATTGGTTTTTGGATAACTCTCTAGGCCCTCTAATTGTTTGAGTTTTTGGGGCAACGGAAACATAAGAAAATTCTGATTTATCCATAAGCTGTAATAAGAAATGTAAGATATTTTCTATAAACCAATTTATTTGTGATTTAAAATTAGATTATTATGCTCTCTAGATTTAATTTCATATTTAGAAAATGATCCCAGTTGCTAAGAAAACCGAATGCGTCAAGGTCGCTGTGAGATGCCGCCCTATGTCAAGCGACGAAATCAGAGACGCGCGGCAATGTATCGTTACAGTTGACAGTAATCGTGGGGAAATGACAATTAGAAACCCCAAAGCTGATGCATCAGAACCCATCAAGGTCTTTACATATGATTGCACCTATGGCTCTGATTCAGCTCAAGAACAAGTGTACCTTGACACTGGCTACCCAATTGTGGAAAATGTCATTGAAGGCTACAACGGCACTATTTTTGCCTATGGTCAGACTGGCACAGGTAAGACATTCACTATGGAAGGAAAAGATGAGCCTAGTGAGCTCCGAGGCATCATCCCACGCTCTTTTGACCAGATCTTCTATACAGTTGGCCAGAACCCTTCTAACGAGTTTTTGATCCGTGCTTCTTTTCTAGAAATCTACAATGAAGAAATCCATGACTTGCTTTCCAAAGATTACAATGCTAAGCTTGATGTCAAAGAAAACCCTGACACTGGATTTTATGTAAAAGATTTGAACTTGTTCGCTGTTAAAAGTGTTGATGAAATAAAAGAAGTCATGAACGCAGGAAGACTGAATAGACATACAGGCCAAACTGCAATGAATAAGGATTCTTCAAGGTCCCATTCTATTTTTAGCGTTGTGGTAGAGAGAAGTGAGACTGGAAAAGATGGGGTGACACATTATAGGGTCGGAAAATTAAATTTAGTTGATTTGGCTGGGAGCGAAAGACAAAGCAAAACTCAGTCAAGTGGAGAAAGACTGAAAGAAGCGACGAATATCAATAAATCCCTGCTCACCTTGGGAAATGTCATTTCTTCTCTTGTTGATGGAGCTTCTTCCCACATCCCATACAGAGATTCAAAACTTACCAAACTGCTGCAAGATTCACTGGGAGGGAACACAAAAACCCTTATGATTGCAAACATTGGTCCAGCTGATTGGAACTATGACGAAACCATAAGCACCTTGAGATATGCCAACAGAGCCAAAAACATTCAAAATAAGCCAAAAATCAATGAAGATCCTAAAGATGCCCTTCTCAGGGAGTACCAAGATGAAATCGCAAAATTGAAAGCTGCTTTAGAACTCCATGGAGCAGGAGGCGGAGGACAAATAGGCATCCCAGGCATGCAGATGAGAGGCCGCCAAGAAGTTATTGAAGTAGAAAAGCACGTATACGTTGAAGACCAAGAAAAAATCAGAGAAGTCGAAGCCAGACTTGAGCGTGAAAAATTAGAAATTGAACAAAACGCCCAAGCAGAAATCCAAAGAATCGAAGCACAAAAGAATCTCGCAGAAGACGAAAAAACAAGACTTATTGAAGCTCTGAAACAAAAAGGAGAGCACAAAAGAAAAGCAAAAGAAAAGCAACAAAGACTGTTAAAGAAGCTTAAAGAAATGGAAGAAAAAGTCTGCGTGGGCACTCAGATCATGGAGCAAGCTGTATTTCAAGAGCAAGAACTACAAAAAGCCAAGCAAGAAGTCGAAAAAAGGCGAAAACAAGAAATGCTGCTTGAGAGACAACTGAAAGAAAAAGAAGAGCTCAATTTCCAATTAGTCGACAAGTTTAACTCTTTGCAAGAAGAATTAGATACGAAAAATAAAAAACTGAAAAAATTGTGGACCAAGTACCAGAGTACTGCAACTGATTTAAGAGATATGAAGCAAGAAATACAAAGAGAAAAAGAAGATATGATGGACACCATTAGAGTTTTAACTCAGCAGCTGAAATTGAAAAGCACTCTGATAGAAAATTTTGTGCCCAGAGAAGAATCAGAAAAAATAGAGAAGCGAGCACTCTGAGACGAAGCTGAGGATGATTGGGTTCTGCAGCCTCTCAAGGCTTCTTCTAAACAAGTGAACTCAAAAAGACCTCAGAGTGCCGTTGGCCTTAAGCAGCCAACTTCAGAATATGCTAGAATTGCGAGAGGTTTAGGCGATGCAAACACTCGCTTCAGACATGAAAATATCATTACATTGGATCTAGACCTGCCAGAAAGGACAACAGAAGACTATAATGGAATTGTTTCAGATAAGCTTAGAAACATTATCACCAGTATTCTTAACGATATAGAAAATGATGCTTCATTTGTCCCAATAGAAAGCTACTCCTTTGCTGCTGAAGACGAAAGAAGATCTTCAGGTACGAAGCGGCCTGGAAGTGCTGCTAAAAGACCTGGAACTGCAACCAGGAAAAAAGAAGGTGCAGAGCCCAGGCCACCTTCTTCTCAGAATAAAGCAAGAAAAGGGTAATAATTTCATAAACCTCGTTGATTTTATATTGATAGTAAATTAATTAGCTTAAGACAGCATTTTGGTGCGATGGATTTCTGAAAACTTGGTATGGGTGACTGGGAGTGCTCTTCTCATAGATTTAAAGCAGGTTTGCGGTATCTGCTCATACAGAGTATGCATCCCTCTATGCACTTGGTCTTCAAACTCAAAAATAGCCCTACACACAGCCTGGGAAAAAGCTTCGTCGTCATCTCCTACAATATTTTTGCTGAATTCTTTCTTTTGGTCCAATTGCAAGTTTCCTTCTTCAAAATAGTGAGCTCTTATATGGATGTCTCCTTCTAACTTTGTGCCAGATATTTTTCAATTGCTGATCCACTCTCCAGTTCACATATTTCTTAAGTTCAAGACTGGAGAAGCCAAAAAGATAGAAAAGCCTTCTTCTGTGCTGAAAACTCTGGCTTGGGCCGTTTCTGAGAAATGCTGACTGATATATTGGTCAAGCTTGGATTGGATAGCTTGAGCTCTGCTGTTTTGAGGCTCAATTTCTTCAACAGATTCTGCTTCAAAAGTATGGGTGTTGAAAATAAAGCTTTTTGACAGCTTAGGATCGGTGAAACGATTTGCCGCTCTTCCTTGAAGAGTGAGCATGGCTTGGCTGTCATTAATAGAAACAGTTGCGCCATGAGAAGCTAAGCATTCAATAAGAGTGTCTTGAATTGTTTCCTGCTCTAATATTTCTTCTCCAATGATCACTTTTAAGTCGTTTAGGACTTCTTTGAGTTCTCCTACAGGAGTGTTTCGAAGAAAATATTGAATCACTCTTACCTTGACTTCACTCCCTTCCATATTATGTTTAGGATTATCAGGCGCTTTATGATTAGAGTGCCTCAAGAACTGCTTGAAGCTTCTTTTTGCAGGTCTTCTGGGCCTGGAGGCCAAGCTGTAAATAAAGTCAGTACAAAAGTAGATCTTAGATTTTCAGTCGATGACGCAACATGGCTTCCGGAGCATGTAAAAGAGAGATTGAAAGAATTATATCACAACCAAATCAATAAAGAAGGAGAGCTTTTTGTGACTTCTCAAAGATTTAGGGACCAAAAGCATAATTTAAAAGATGCTATACAAAAGATTCAAGAGATGGTTGATGAAGCTGAGAAACCTGTCATTATAAGAGTAAAGACTGAAATATTTAAAGAGGAGGATGAAGTTAAGGATAAGAGAATTTTCGAAAAAAAGAAAAGGAGCGACATCAAGAAAGGCAGACAAGGAAAGGGGAATAGACATGAGCCTGCTTAAAATCACAAATAATATATTTAGTTAGGAATTATTGAATTGAAACTTTTTTCCTTTGATGCTTGCATTATTTGGTACGAGTATTGCTTTTTTATATATATCTAAAGCTGATATCTGAAGTAGCACAATGAATTATTTTCTTGTTTTAATAAGTTTATGTTACTCCCTCTCCGTGAGCGAGCAAAAAATTCTTGTTCGCTAATGGGTTATTTATTTTAAAAAAATTTATATATAAATTATATTGAAAAAAAAATTTCGAAATTTAAAAAAATCCTAATTTAAATTGGAAAGCAAATATTAATTTAATTTGTAAAATTTATGTTTTAAAACGCAATTTGTTTAAAATTAAACAGAATTTGCTCGAGATTTCATTATACTAATTATCACTTAAATATCAAAAAATTTTCCATAAAAAATTTTTCTATTAAAAAAATTTTTGTTCGCTCACGGAGGGGGTTTTTTGGGCAAAAAATAGCGATTTTTCTAATGGTTTTGTTCGCTCACAGAGTTGGGAGTTAGCTAATGGTAATTATTATGTATCTTTTTTTTTGAATAGCTTAATTGCTTCTAATCTCGAGTCTACCAAAATTTGAGACACTCATCAATTAGGATTATTGGCGTTTAAAAAATCATGACTAAAATCCATGCTTGCTCATCGGAACTACTCTTTCCAAAGCATCTTGTTTCATACTTTGAGTCATCTGATCAACTCCATTTGACAAATGAATTCTTGAGAATCTCTCTATGATGCTTTTTGGGGCACCTTTTACATAAAGGATACTTTTAGAAATTTACAAAGATTGATAAAAGCTATTTCCTTTATAATTGCCGATAATTATTTACCCACATTAAATTATTTCGAACCCTTAAGATATTGTTTTTTAGAGCATGATTAATTGCAATTAGTACTTTAATTGGCTTTGCAAATTTTATTTGACTGAATTTCTATTAAATCATTTTCTATCTAACAATTTGTCTAATAAAACCTTAAAATTTATTTATTGCTCACAAATGCTAAAGGACCATTTTTAATTTTCAAATTAGCATTAAAACAAGGCTCCTTAAAAGCCAGAGCCAATCATTTTGTATAATTTTTATATAAGCAGATCAAGAGAAACCAGATTATCTAATGTAGAATGATTTATTATCGTAATTGTATTAATTATTTCTTGGCTGTTATTCATGAGTGTTGATCTTAAAATCACTTAAAATCTGTGAAATTAATAAAAATGCAAAATCACTTCCAGCAATCTCCAAATCAGATATATCAAAACCCTTCAGAAGTGAACCCTAGATCAAATGATATCCAGTTTCATGAAGCAGATATAAATAATAATTCATATGAATCTTCTCAAGAAAACTCCAGTAATGCTAGTTTTTCTGAAAAAGATGAGCTCAACTCCACTGAAGAATACTCAAATAAACACCTAGCCCTCAGAGCTTCAACAGCCCCTGCTAGGCCGCTAAGCGACATTGAAGAGTTTCGAAGAAGTTCTGATTTTTTGTTATTAGAGCATACAGTCATTTGCAGCTCTCAACTCATAAGGACTGACGATCAGAAGTATGATCTCGATTCTGAAGAAGGCCAAGCGGCATGTAAAAAGTTTTTAAATCAAATAGAAAGGCTTTGTGATGTTTTTAAAGCTTTTTGTAGATCGAGAAGCTATCGAAAAGTCTTTTCTAACGCATATAGAGTACTATATAGAGAAGGATTTTTATGTTATCTTACTGAAATTCTTGATTCTGCCCAGGAAGGATTTCCTTACCTTTATGTGAATGGGGAAAAGTATTTATTTTCTCAAGAAGTCTTGGAGGCTGGGAGAAATTTGTACAGCTCTTTTTCAAAACTCCAAATAGATTTAAGAGAAATATATAATAGAATTTGTGAAGAGACAACTTCAGGGATTGTAGGAGAAGTCATTTTGTGTTTAACTAATGCCTTACAAGAATTTGATAATAATTGGGTAGATTTTGAGAATTTGTATGTTCATGAGTTGATGGTTATTGAGACTGATGCAAGAAGATATATTACTGAGGGGTGCAAGTCAAATGACTTTGCCTTTTTGATAGTGTACATTTAACCGAAAAAATTTTGGCCCAAAATTGATCTGATAGTGAGACATTTGACCGAAAAAAAAACGCTAATTTTCGGCCAAATGCGCACTATCAAAAATTTTCGACCAAATGGATTTCGATGAAATGTACACTGTCAAAAATCCACGGTCATTTGGCATGGAGCCATTACTGAGGGTATTGACATTGAAAGAGAAATGCTCTTACTTGAAGCAAAAGGGAGATCAAGAGGAAAATTAATATTTGAAAATGAAGAATATAATCACTGCCGAGAAAGATTTGTAAAAATATTAGGGAAAATAAACTCTGTCGCCAATATAGAAGGAAAAGGCAGAGATGATCTTACCCTTGATATATTAATTGCTGCAGAAGGAATATCTAGAAGAATGACCCAGAACAACCCACTTAAAAACTTGGCTGATAAGATCAGACATTCATTTACTGTATTAAGAGCTTTGTTTCGGAAATATGAAATCAATATCGAAGTAGTTGATCCACAGCTGAAAAATAACCCAGACCTCGTTGAAGGTCTCGTTAAATTTGAAGAAAGCTGGGAACGCGGAAAAGCCTATATACTAAATTCAAAAAGGTATAATAAAGTTATATATCTCCACAAGCTTATAGAAAAAATCTCAGAAAAATACCAAAATTTTCAGCGGCAGCTAGAATGTTCTGACGCTGAATTATTTGTTATTATCCCATCCCTGCTTGTACTAAAAACTCTAGAAGAAGAGGATAAAGGGATTTGCAGATATTTCTGCCCAAGGATGTATGATGAAAATGATGAAATAGGAATCACTTGAAAACGGCTGAAAAGAAATTTTAAATTAGGGAAACTAGCATCATCATCTTTACTTGAGTACACAGAACTATTAGAAATGATGATATTGGGAATTCCAATTAATCCTCAATTGAGGTCAGAAATTATCAATCCCAAATTCGATAACATCGATCATGTCGTAAATAAAATAAAAACCTTATCAATAGCAGTTCAAAGGCACAAGCCTGTTGAATGGAATAAATTTTTGGATATAGTTCTCAGCTAATTTTTGAAATAAATTATTTTAATTTTCCATAAGCTTGCTTAATTAAGATTCTCTGAAATACAGCGTAATGAATCTTCATAGATATCTGGCCGATGATCTCTGAATGAGGATTTGAGTATGTGAATTTTAGAATAGAGATCATACATTGCCCATCCTCCACAAAACCTTAAGTTTTCAGGCTTATTAATTACAATATTTTCTAAATGTCGTTTTTCCTCAAAATAGTGATAAATTTTTCCCGCAGGCTGTAAGACCTCATCTTGTAAATTCTCAAAAATGAATTTCCAAAGCTCATATACTCTTGGTATATCATCTTCTCCAGCATTTATTAGTCAGCTAATATCTATATTTCCAGAATCTTCTTCTTGTTTTAATTTTTCTATAATTTTGCATAAATTTCGTATATGGCCAATAGAGAATTCTGTAAACATATCATTTCCATGCATAGTTGTCAAAACTTTCTCTTTTAGAATTTCATTCAATGTACTAGAAACAACACATGGACATCCAAAAGTGAAAGTTTTAATTTTCAAATGGCTGAACTCAGGATCAGAGCTTCACATAAGGGTTAGCAAGCTTGCTACAGCACCACCTAAGCTATGCCCAGTGAGAATTAAATTATACCCATCGAATTTTTTAGATTCAGTAATAACTATCTGTTTAAGCATCTGTGATAAAATGCTTGCAGAAGTCATCATCCCACTGTGAACTGCACCTGCAACTTCTGCTTGAGTTTCAAGATCAATATAAGTATAATCGCAGCTTTCAGCATTTATATCTGTAAACACATCATGAATTGAATAAGTTCCTCTTATTGTTAAAACTAAGGACCTAGTAAAATGGTCAACAGATAAAATATGCCCAGGGGTAAATTTATCTGAAGAAAATCTACACACAAAAATATCACTTTCTTCAATCCCACAGTGCCGCGCAAATATTTCGCGATCAGGAATAGATCTAAGAATATCAAGGTAATTTCCGCCTACAAGAATATTTATAACATTTTTTCCATAAATTGCCATAGCATATTTCCTATAATAAAGCATATCAAGCAAATCTGCTTCATTTTTTACATCTAGCCACTCAATGAATCTATTTACAGTTTTTTCTTCCGCATTTTGCATTGATGTATACGCTTGCAAATATCTTATAAATTCTATAATAGAAATATTTGGAAGGTCTTGCCTATATAAGTTGATAAACTTATAAATATCAACCATTAAATTCCAGCTTTCTGAGGAAAGCAATGACTTTTCAAGATCAATACCGTTCGTTCTGAAGTAATTTTCAACTTGAACTCTTTCATTTGCTAATAATGAGTTAAGAGATGTTAAGCTGTTAACCCAAGTTTCGTAGCTGCTGGCAATTCCTGAATGTGCTGTCATTTCTGCTTTACTTGCAAAACTCCTAATGCCTCCACTAAGCTATATATTTTTTACCCATGACAAACTTTCATTGGTAGCATTATCCAAAGTATTCATTGCACTGTCAACCCATTGTGCGAAAACACTTGTCCCTTTGAAAAATGCTTTGTGAGATACCTGTACCAGTGGAAGTGCTAATGAATTGACAGCTGTATGGGATGCTGATATTAGTTTGTGCTTACTTCTTTTGATTTCTTCCATTCTCCCAAAATTAAGCGACAAATAAAATGTTTTCAAAATTTAGCTTTTAATTAGTAAGCCAAAATTCAATTTTTAGTTATGCATTTAAATATTCTTTTTGGCTTTGATTTGCCTAAAAATAATTTCAATTAATTAGTAACTGAGAAAGTTAGTTAAAGGTATATAAATTTTTTAAAAATTTATATTAACTCGCCATTGTTTCTAAAATTATGGAAAATAAAACTTGTGAAACTTCAGTAGATGAAAAGAATAGCCCGGATCGCGAGCTTAATTCTGATGAAAATACCAGAGGAAATCATGAGCTTTATGCTTCAGAAATAAGGAAACTTGAGCAAACTATAAAAATCAAAGATGCGAAAATTATGGAACTAGAGGATCTTTTGAAGTTTGAAAAAAGCAATAAGAAATCGACGATTGATAAATTCGATCTCGAAATTTCAAATCTAAACAACGAAATATCTAGGCTTAAATCAAATCAGCACTCCTTAAGATTGGAGTCTCAAACATGGCAAGCAAAATTCAGCTCCTTAGAGCAAGAAAATTTAAAAATCCAAGACACACTAAATATTTTCCTCGACAAAAACAAAAATCTTGAAGAGGAGGTAAAAGCTTACCAAAAATCGTTAATCATAAAAGATAAAGAAATTGATCGGCTCTATAAAGAGCAAGAACATATAAGAGAAGAGTCTTTGCATGCTAGCGCTATGGAAATAAAGGATTTAAAGAACAAAAATGAGCATTTGTCTTGCAAAGTGACATCTCTCAGGAACTCAATCGCTTTACTAAAGGGTGCACTGAGCACGGCTGAAGAAAATGCCAAAGAAAAATCAAAATCACTACAAAAATGCATTGAAAAGCTGGAGAGCGAGAAAAATCAAATGGCAAAAGAAATAGTTATCCTCAGTGCAGAGCTTGAAGAAATTCAAGAACAAGTTAAATTAAACGTCTGAAGGTCTTCCTTATTGATGCCTCAGCACGCTTGCGACCACCGGACTCTTACTTGCCGGATTAGGAAGATCTCTTGATGATGTGCGTCTTGAGGGTTCTATGGAGGTAAAGGCCAGCCAAATACCTCCTCTAGGCCACTTGAGAGGAAGTGAGACACCCAAGATAAAAGAATCACAGCCCTCTTGAATTGGCAGGGAAAGAACCCATGGCCCAAAAACCCATCCGGATAATCAATATCTGGACTGGAATGGCCGCCAGCTGACTTCAAGGTCGCCCACCCCATAAGTCCGCCATACAGCAAACTTAGGGATAGAATCAAAGGGCCTGAACCTTGGCTTAGGCTATAAAGCAACTTTTGCGCCAAAAATGGTGCGTCGTCGACAAGGATATATATTTTTTGTCGCCACCACCTATTAATTATTCAAGAAAGAACAAGAAACTCAATGATTCGGCAAGCGTCAGAAGAGAAATTGAAGCTTGCCAATGAATACTCAAATCGAATTATGCAGCTGATGTCTCCAAGAGAAAAATCACACAGCCTTTCATTGGAGTTCGATGAGGAGAGATTTAGCCATTTACCTTGTCTGGAGGATGAATTAAAAGAATTAGAAGAAAATGCGCCTGCTCAAAAAACTGGTTTTCATTTTAATTCAGTTGACAGAGATGCTGAAACTAAAAAACTTATGCAAGAAAAAATAGAAATGCAAGCTGAAATTAATAATTTGAGGAGACAATTAGAAGGGACAGGCAGTGTGGGAAGTGCAACTCCAATCCTATATCAAAAAGAATTGGAAAATATACAAGCCTACGTTGAATCTGCAAAAATGCGATGTAGAAACGCAGAAATTAAGAGAGAGAATTTACGGAAACAAATTATGCACATTCGAAGTCAGTCTAATTTATTAAAATAGCTTTTTTCATAATAATCTTTATAAAATAATAAGTAAGCTAGATTTACTTATATATAGCTTATAGCGGAGCCCAAAATTTGTAATGCAGAAATAAATATATTATAAGAATTTTAATTAATAAGGAAAATATAAATTACTAACTCCCCCTCAATGAGCGAACAAACCCATTGAAAAAATCCATTATTATAAAGAAATCCCTAGCTAATTCTGTTTAATTTTAAACAGCTTACATTTTAAAAATAAATTTTCAAATTAAATTAATTTTTACTTCTCATTTTTATAATCTGAATTTTTTTAAATTTTGATAAAAAATTTTCTATGAACAAATTTTTTTTCGCTCACTGAGGGGGAGTAAATACAGGCTACGCTTATTGTCCAATTTGCTGCTGGTGCGACAGAAATGAAGTAATTCAATACTCCATGAATTTATAAATAAATTTATACTGCTTAACAGTCGCCACCATTCCCCACCTCTGCTCTCTCAATCTTCTCACAACCCCAAAAATAGAAACTCTTGGTTCTGTGGTTTCATCTTCAGCTTCTTTTTCCAATAGCTCTTCTAACGCAGTGACAACATTAAAAATTCCTATCAATACTCCAGTTCTTCCTATTCCAGCTGAGCAATGCACAAGAACTTTCGATCTATTTGCCAGTCACTTTTTCTTAATCATAGAAATCATATAATTTATCGAGCTAAATTCCTCAGAAAGCGGAGGGACTCCTTGGTCAGGTCAAGCTGTGCTTTGCAAATGCGTGATAATCCTATTTTCTTGTGTCGGCGTATGTGTTATAATAAATACTCTTTCAGTTAAATTTGGGTATTTTATTGTGCTTTTCACTAATGATATCTCAAAGACATCGCAGGAAATATTATTTTCGCTTGGAAAATATTCCTCACATTTTACGACTCCTTCTTCTAATAAATTGCACATCATGATTACGAGGGAAACCTCATATTCTCAGACCATGGCCCAGAAAGCTTCCATTGTCCGACGAAGAGGGCCTTGGGTCGCAATAATCAATTGCTCTGAGCCAGCACACGCACCGTCCACGAAATTTGCATTGATATAAGAGTACCCCGGGATGTGGACTAATGTGTCTTTGTATGGAAGGATGTCGGCGTAGCGGTTCATAGAGCAAGTCATGGCAGAATTTTCAACAAGGCATTCAGCGTGTTTTCGAGTTTCTGTGATTCGTTTCAATACTCGGAATTCTAATTCCTTGTCCCTTGCCTTGCTGTGGAAAAAAAATTCTCTATAAGGAATGCCTGCCTCAAGTTCGCTTAATTCTGTGTGCTCGGTGATAAACTTGTAAGAGATATCGCGCTCTCGGCATGAACCCTCAATGATTGGTGTTTCCATAATAATCTTTTTTAGAGGGCGTAGATATTTAGAAGAAAAAGAAATTAAACATGGAAATTAGAAATAGAACTCAATAGGTGGGGTTTCCAGATATAAATGCAATAATAAAACTATTTAAAACTCATAGTATTCAGACCTTAAAGAATATCAAAAAATAAAAAAGGATCCATTTTATTTCTTATTAGCCAGTTAAAATAAGCTGATATCTCTGTATGTTCTTGTAATTAAATTTTTTACTAAATAAATACCATTCTTAACTCTGCATTAATATTTATCTCTTTAATTACCACAAAGAGAGTTATACACATCTTGAGCATACTCTGCAACCTCCGCATCATCATGCTCCTTGAGCTTTTCAATAACAGTTTGAAGCCCATGGATTATACACCCATTTTCTGTCAGCTGCTTTACTACTTTAAGAGCTCTCTTTTGCAGGCTTGGCTTTTCAAATACCAAAATATCCATAACCGATTGAGCCTGATCAGCTGTGCAATGCTTTGCGATTTGTTTAGAAAATAATTGCAAAATAAGCAGCAAACAATGAGCACTCTTTTCGGAAATTGCAGGGTCTTGTGATCTTAGAAAATTGGTGCAGATTCCTAGGTTATCCAATAGTGGATAAGTCTGAGGAGGTGGGTTTGATTTATCTCTTGAATTACTGGCAATCAAAAATAGGAGTTCATATAAAATATCAATCGCAGTCTCAATGCACCAGTCCTGAGCTAAAATATAAGGCATTACAGAGTTCAGTCTTCCTATAATTTCATATCCCAGCAGCTCATCAAGGGTTATTTCTTTGCTGTCAATCACTTTTTTGATTATCTGCATCAGGTGAATATTCAATTTTGCATCTCCAGGCTCAAAATGAGTAATTAAATTAGATATCAAGCCTTGAGATTTAATCATTCCAATATAAGCCCCACATCTTTCAACAATTGCGCTCAAAAGCTTTAAAGAGTACAAAGGAATTGGGTCATCATCTTCAAGTAAATGTCCATATAATGGCATCAGCTGGTTGACCAAGAGCTCATTCATCAGCTTTGTTGAGTATTTATTCAGGTTTGTAGGATCATAAATGTCGTCTTCAAATAAATAAGGCATAATGATATCAGAAAATATTTTCAGGCTTCGGAATCGTGTGTCAGTACTTCGATCAAGAATTGATAATAGGGTTGGGAGAAGAGTGGTTAAAACTGACTCGGAATATGTTTGCAGTGCTTTTGAGTGTGTACTTAAGCTTTCCGTTAATTCAATAACTGCAGCATTCATATTTCCAAGATCTAAAGACAACAGGTTTGATAAAGACTTGATAAGAGATGGATAAGGGAGCTTGAATCTTGCAGAAGTTGAGTTAAAAATGGGTAAAAGCGCTGGAAACCAACTAAAATTGCTTTCCAGAGCCATTTTGATTATATTCATGGACGATTCTGCAATTGAATCTAATAAATGGTGCAAGCAGCATTGGACATATTTGTAGCTATCACGAGCAAGCCTATCTAAAAACTGATAAAACCGCGTCTTGCCTAAAGTTAGCAGGTTCTCAGCTGAATGCTTCACAATAAACATAATAGCCAGAAGAGCTTTTCCTCTTATTACAATCCCAGTATTTTCTAATAATCCCACAAGTATTGGAATCAGCTGTTCATCACTAAAAATCACTTCTTTATTCTGCAAGCTCATACAAACAATCGTCAAAAAAGCCTGCTGAACCATCCCTTCTCCATCAGACAAGCCAGCCAAAAATTGTTTTGAAGGCAAAACCCTTTCATAGATTTCCCTATCTTCCCTTTTCTTTAGAATGAAGAAATTCATTCAAAAAATGCCAATTTTTTGGAAATTAAACCCCTTTTAATTTTTATTTAAAATAATGTTTGGTTACAATATTTTTTATATATAATTAATATTTTCATAACAAGATCTCTAGCTAATTCAATTAAATTTAACACAGGCTGGATTCTTAAGCATACATTTTATTAATTAAATAAGATTTTTCATAAAATGCTTTTATATAAATTTTAATCTAAAACAAAATTATCCCCTTTAATATACGATGGAGATTCTTGATTGGTCTTAAAGGGGTTAAATAATTTCTGGTTCAGCCTTACCAGGTGGCATAAGTTTGCAGCTGCTGAATTTTTAAGGAGTTCTGACCTTGACTGTGAATATCCAGTTGCCATCGCGATTGCTACTTCCTAATTGAATGTTACTGGTATTGCAAGCATTAGTCCTGCACGCTTACTTTGAGCAGTGATATTTTCGATTGTTCTTGTTGCGTAGTACTTCATTGTTTCATCTTCATTTGGCTTTAAAAGCTTTATTAAGACTGAAATTAAAGAGCTGTTGATATCTCATACAGGGTCACTATCTTCCTCATCCATTTGAGTGGCTGCATAAAATAAATATTCCCCTAATGCTGCAATTGCTTTTCTACGAGTATTTTCTTTAGGGTCTCTTAGCTGTTCTGCCAATGACTGAGCAAGCCCCGATTGAGCAAGCTCAGACTCTATTAGAGTTGCGTGGCGCAAAAGCTGCCCAAACACTGAACAGATTTTGGCTTTAATTTCTGACGACTTTAGTCTCAAAAGTTTCAGCAAAAGGGACACAAAAGCACTATTTATTAATTTATTCGCCATTGGAGAGCTGGTGATAAGTGATTCAAGATACCCCAAAAGTGAGAGTTTTGATTTTGAATTGATATTGTTGCTCAGCTGAGAATAAACTTCACTTAAATGGTTTTCAAGTTCTGAACTGTCCACTTTTTGGGTGGCTTCTTCAGGAGTCCAGGGCTCAATGGACTCTATGCTTGTGCTGACATCAACAACTGTTGATGAGTCTCGAGATTCAATAATTGGCTTTACTGAATAGTCTGTGTTGTGGATTAAAAGCTGATCTATCGGAAGAGGCTTAAATTGGTTTTTAATTGCTGGGGTATTTGGCTGGGCTGCACTGTTTGATCTTTGATGGAAAACCCTTAGGTCTTCTTCTTTGCTTTCCATATTCTCTGCATTTTCTGTTCCTTGTGATTGGGCTTTTTCTCCGAATTCTAGCACCTGGTCTTTGCTTTGGAGCATAAAGTCGCCGTTTTCCAGCTTTTCTTTATTTTTATAGCTCCCTTTTTGGCTTTCCCTCAAAATATTTCTTTGAATAGTCTGAGAAATCCTCATAATATCGACTGAATGGTCAAGAGCTGTAGGAGAAGGCGCTACAGTTGGCATCCTTTGTTGTACTCCTCTGCGCTTTAAATATTCCTCATACATTGAATGCTCAGGCAAAACCACTTCTAGCTGATTACCTCTCTGCTGCCAAAATGGGTGTACCAGTAGTTCTTCTCATGTAATTCTCTTCGCTGGGTCTTTTTGTAACAAATCTCCTAATAGGTCATTAAATTCATGAGAACACTTGTTTACCTCTGGTGTCTCTTTTGTCAAGATTTGGCTTACTAAGTCTTGAAAAGAGTTAGACATAAACGGAGGGTTTCCTACAGCTAGCTCATATAAAACGCACCCAAGACTTCACAAATCTGAGTAGTAGGAGTAAACCCCTCCTTCTTCAAATAATTCAGGCGCCATGTAATAAGGCGTTCCTCTTCTTCCCTCTTTGTCAGGGTCTACATCGTTGATTTTTCTGGCCAAGCCAAAATCTGAGAGCTTGACAACTCCGTATTCATTGAATAAAATATTTGATGGCTTTAAGTCGGCAAAAATAATTCCATGAGTGTGAAGATAATAAAGTGCATCTCTTAAATCACTGCCAAGCTGCCTTACAGTGGCCTCTGGGAGTTGCTTGTCTTTGTCAATCAGACTTAATAAATCACCACCTGGACAATACTCAAACATTAACCAGAGATGGTTTCGAGTTTCGTATCATTGAAAAAATTTTAGAATGTTTTCATGATCCAATTCATGCATGATGCGGACTTCGTTAACTCCCTGTCCTTGACCGAACTGATAGTCATCGTTTTATTAAGAATAGGAGTTAAAAGTATTATGTATAAAAATTTATAGTGACCTTAAAAATTTTTGTGCTTACATAAAGAGATAGAGTATACAAATATGCTTAAAATTAACATTACAATTTCGCTAGAGCGATTATAAATAAAGTCTCTAAGATTCATTTTTTTATATATAAGTTGCTAGATTTAGGTAGGATATAGGAATGCTTCTGAAAATTACTCGACCAAGAATGCAGTTAATTTTCTCTATTTTTGAAATTTTTTCATTTTATCGTTCGATTAAAGATGGGTAGTAAGAACTTTAGAACGGCGAGACTTTTCAACCGATTTTACTGCAATATACGTGATTGTTTTTTTGATTCTACCTTTGTATAATAATAAAATGGCGTGACTGGGACCAGTTCTCTTCGAAAATTGTCATCTTAAGCAATTTATTATTATGGGTTCAGTTTCCATTTTCGCAGCTATGCTAAGGAGCACCAAGTGCATGGCTAGAACGGCTAGTTTTTGAATATTCGGGGCATGGTGCTTTTACTGCTTAACATTTCTGAGGAAAAGACCCTTAATCTCCCTCTCCGTAAACAACAAACCCATTGGAAGAGTCCCTATTTTAGGGTAAAAACTCATCCACCCTTGGCGGCCTCTAATAAAAAAAGAGTGCCTAACATAATGAGCTTGAAGTTAAAAGGCAGATCATAACTTCCTTTTGGAATCAAAAGGCGCGTTGAAAACTAAGAATCAAGCAGCGCGTTAAAAATTAATACCAATAAGTAGCATTTGACCTTTGTAAACTACTGAGTACTTCCCTCGGCCAATTTCTTCATAAAAGTGGTAATTGTTCATTTGAATAATGATTAGATTAGATTAAAGATAGAATGGGTCTTCGGGATTTATTTCAGCCCTCCTCGCTTTTACCAACTCAAGGATTTCCGCCCTAAGCATCGAGCTGCACTTAGATCATTTCTGTTGACGTCACCAAAAATGGTGACATCAGCATCTCACGGGAAGATGCCAAGCATTTCATTGGACAAACTCTTAATGTTCAGCACCATCTACCTGAAGATGGGAAGAATAAGACTACCCCAAATCCTCCTTCCGGTCTCCATTACCCTTCGCAGCCAGAAGTGTGGAGTTGTCACATTGACTCTGGTAAAAAACCCATTGTGGTTACCCACCAAAGGAGAAGGACGGGTTGGATAGTCACCATTTTATTTGTTTCTTGAATAATGAAGAAATCTATTTACTTTAGCGATTATAATACTATATTGGAGCAAAAAGACCTATTATGAGGCGGTACCTAAAATTATAATAGTAAATAAAATGTTACCATATATGGATTTTTTTCGATACCAATGTTTTAGTGCCATAATTAACGGATAATGGCGAGCGAGAATTGGTGGGTTGGGACTTATCCTCAATGCTCTCTTAAGCAGCTTAAAGAGATGCCCATTTATAACAAGTTCAAAGATATTTCAGAGCAATTCAAAGAAAGTGACGAAGAAAAGGAAGAGTCTTTTGTCATCATTGACAATTGCGATATTTACGAATGGCTCGACAAAACACTAAACACTGGAGAAAAGCTAGGCCATGACCGAAACTCAGACACGTGGTTTTATGAGCGTTGGCTTGTCGAAGATGGGGTTCCTACAGTCATAAAGACCTGGCTTAAGGACCGGACTGAGTGGGGTGTAATCATTAAAACCTATCCTGACCATGAAACTCAAGCTTCATGGACACTTGGGAAGGGGAAAAAAATCTATGAAGAAGAGACCATATCAGGCATCGAGATTTCTGGTATTAGGTCCAGAATCATTTGCAATTGCCCTATAGTGGAACACAGAAATGAAAACTATTGAAAAAAGCCAGATGATAAAGGAGATGAAAAATACTGGACAATTGGAAGAACAATTGGGTCAGAAAAAAGCTATGAGAAAGACGGGATTAGCTGGGGAGAAAACACTCTGCAAGATCAAGAAAAATGCGAAAAAAAGACCTGGAAAAAAGAGCCTGAAAAAGAACAAGAACATGTTGAAGGGACAAACGGAAAAGTAAAATGGGTTGAAAATAGAGTGAAAGTGCCTAATCATGAGCATGAAGATAAGTTGTGGACAGAAAAAGACAAGAAGTGGGGAGAGTTCTCAGAGAAAAAGCCAAATAAAAGTTATAGAGTTGAGTGGCAAGGAGAAAAGCCAACTTTTGGAGGTAATGGGCTATCTGCTGACAGATTAAGTGACATTTATGAAAAACAGCTAAAATTAGCTAAAGAATCAGAAATTACATTGGCAAAGCTTTCAGAATTGCAGCCAAGTACCAAGAATGAGGCTGAAAATTTGGCTGGAATTTTGAAAAATGTCCAAAAGCCTGACTTCGAAAATCCAGACTCGCTTGAAGAAAAAATAAAAGAATTAATAGACATAGAAAATAAGCAAGAAGTCCTCAAGCAGAAAGCCTTGGAAGCTCTTCCACAAAGAGAAAATCTGACAGACAAAATTGATAAGCTTGAAAGCCAAACTAAGGATATTTTAAATAATGCTACAAGAGAAGCTTCGCTTGCTGTTCAGGATGGTGATGATTCTAAAGTTGCACTTGAAGCAATTAAAAATTTATTGGAAGAGCTTGCAAGGGAAATTCCAGAAAATAATTCAGATGCCTTACTGCATCTTATGCCAGTTTTCAATAGAAAAGTAAATATTTTAATTATATAAAATATGAAGATTTCATTCGCAGAATTTTTTTTATTATAAAATTCTTGAAATTAAACAAAAATCTGAACTTTAAAGTTAGAAAAAATTAAAAAAAGATTAGGCCTATTAGAAAAAATAGAAAAAGTTCGAAAAGATGCCAGAGAAAAAACTGCGAAAGAAGTTCGCAATCTAAGAGACGAAATTGATGCCAAAGAAAGCGAGCTAGAGCAAGAAAAGCAAAAAAGCGAAGAACTTAAAGCTCAGTATGAGTCACAAATTCAAGCACTTCAAGATAATTTAGAACAGAATGAAAAATTAGTTGAAAAACTAGCTCAAGAGTCAACCGAGAAAAATGGAATCATCAATCAGCTTAAAGATAAAAATGCTGGCCTTCAGAATGAAGTTGACGCCCTTAAAGAGCAAGTATCTAACTCCCCCGTCCCCCATCCTGAGTGAACAAAACCATTAGAAAAATCGCTATTTTTTTGCCCAAAAACCCACCCTCTGTGAGCGAACAAAAATTTTTTATGGAAAAAAAAAATTGATATATAATAATTAGTATAATGAAATCTCGAATTAATTCTGTTTAATTTTTAAACAAATTGCGTTTTTAAACATAAATTTTACAATTAAATAAATATTTGCTCCCAATTTTGCGAATTAGGATTTTTTTTTAAATTTCGAAAAAAAAATTAACCCCCTCCGTAGCAAACAAAATATTTTTATTCTCTCACACGGAGGGGGGGAGTAAGCTTGAAGACGACCTAGACAAAGCAAACCAAGAAATTAAAAACTTAAAGAGACTTTTAAATGAAAAAGATAATGAAATCCAAAGCATGAAGGCTACCATTGATAATTACGAAAAACTAAGCCAGGAAGCATTTAAAGGAGACCAAGGACTGCTAGATAGCTTAAAAGCAGAACTAGCCGCAGCAAAAGAAGAGCTAGCGAATAAAGCCAAAACAATATTTGACTTAGAAGAGCAAGTGAAGTCAAAAGAAGATGAAATTCAAGGGCTGAAGAACGATAAAGCAAGTCTAGAAAACCAAGTTGATAATCTCAATAAAGAGGTAGAAGACTTAAAAACACAGCTTTTAGCTCTTCAGGATGAAAATAAAGAACTTCAAGAAAAGGCTGCACTATACAACCCAGATTAGATTAGAGTAAAGTTATAGCGGATCGCAGGGGTTTATTTCAGCCCCTCGCTGTCCACCGGATAGCTTCGCAGTGACGCTAAGCGCTATCCTCACACCACCTTTTTCCCTTCTGACGTCACCAAAAAATGGTGACGTCGAAGGTCTTCGGGGAAGCCACACCACCCGGTCGGGGTCTCCGAATCTCAGCAGAAAACTCCTTCAACCTCTGACAGGGCTCAAAGTATAGGGGAAACGCCTTCTGCCTTCTCCATAGCCTGTCAGAACCGTATCACAGGTTCAATAATGCTCCCATGGAGTGGTATCGGGATTTTGCGCCAGTAGGGTCATCTTGCAGGTAAGGAAAAAAGACAAGGGTCAGCCCCAAGTCAAAAACCCACCCCGGAGAACTATCGCCATGTGGCTCGCCTTTCCTGGGCCTGGATCAACTCACAGGTCACCAGGAATCCCACGTCAGATCACGCCATTTTAATAATTCTATACAACCCAGAAGAAAAAGCAATTCTATTGAAAATCATTGAAGACAAAGACTCAGCACTATCAGAAATCGAAGACCAACTAAATGATGCCAAAAAATACCATCAGCTTTATCTTCTGATTAAAGAAGAAAAAGATGAATGCGAGCAAAAAATCCAAGAGCAAGACGTCGACATCAGCGAGCTTGAAAGAAAAATCAGAGAGCTTACCCAAGAAAACGAAGAACTCAAATACAAGACCAGACAACTTGACCAGCTTATAAAGACTGCTGCTGCTCTTGAAAACGAAAACCAAAAGCTTCACACCCAGCTATCCTATCTTGAAGAGTTCAGCGGTGACAAGTCAAAAGAAGTCCAAAAAGCAATCGAAGAATTGACATCTGAAATCAGCAAAAGAGAAGCCATAATAAAAGATCTTAATGACCAAATTGAAGCCTTAAAAGCTAAGTTAGATGCTTTAGAAAGAAAGCATAATCTTGCAATGAACAGGAACTTCTTAATTAGGTTTATCAATGCATACAAAAATAAGCAAAATCAATGTTTCTTCTATTGGAGGAGCTTGAGGCCAATTAAGAAAGTAATTCCAGAAGAAACCAAGGAACCAGAGCTTATTGAAGTCCCAGAAAATATGGATGAAAGTGATAGGAAAAACTACACAGCTGCCGCTAAAGGTATGATGGAGGAAAACAGGCAGCTGGTTGAATGTAACATCATTACAAAGTCACTTGAGCAGTCTGCTGTCAAAGGAGAAAAACCATTGAGCTACTTGAACGTTTTCAAGTTTTTGGAAGATCTTATGGATAAGAAATATGAAACTGACCGCAAAGACTTAATTGACAGAAGACAGCCTAGGTCAATGACTGAGTTTATGATGGAGTTTATTACAAGAAACTTTGGAATACAGTCACTGGCTTATAAGTTCTTGGGACAGTTCATCCCTGGTCTTCAGCAAGTTTATAGAGAAGGCAATAAATATGCCATTTTCTACAGTCGTCTCTTGCAAGTTTTCCACCCTGAGCCAGTTCCATATAATCTTGCTATCTATTTGGTTAGAGCAAGAGTTAACTTCAATCCTTTAATTGAAAAATTAGAAAAAGCTCGTGCTGTACAAGGAAAGAAACAAACAGGCGCTCCAACAGGAACTACCCACGGCAAAGCAGCTTATGACCTTGCATCAACAGGAGGCTTAGCATTATTAAGTGATGTTATTGACCATATTTTAGTAAACTTTGCTAACGACAAAGAATCAGGGACTCTTGCCCTTGAGCTCATAAAGCCAGAACCAGTTAGCCTAGACAACTACGTCGCCTATATGATTACTCATAAAATGGCCAAAATGGGCAAAACCCCTGAAATGATATTCAACGTCCTAGACAAAGATGGAGGCGGATCAATCAGCACAACAGAATTTATTGCAGGAGTCAAGCAAGACTTAGATCTCTGGATTAGTGATGCAAAAATCCAAACACTCCTAGAGTCTTTAGACAAAGACGGAAGCGGGGAGCTCGAAAAGACTGAGTTCACAGGCAGAATCAATATGAAATACCTTATGGAATGCAATAGAAACCCTGAGTGGGTCGTCTCAAAAGCTTCATATCTGATAGCTCTTGTAGAAGTCTTCAAAGCTAGACAAAGAAAAGATGCGGCTCACTTATACTCAGATTTCTCAAGATTCAACTCTGAGACAATCAATCTTGAACAGTTCACTCAATTAGTGACACAATATGACCCTAATCTTAGTCCTGAACAAATTTCTGAGCTGTTTGCAGGGGCTGGGGACGGAAAAGAGGCCATTGAAGCTCATGAGTTTTCAAAGATTGTTATGAAATATGGCATTGCAGGATATGGATTGGGAGCTTTCCTTATTCCTGAATTAATGGCTTCGTTGTCTGAGAGGAAGATTGTAACTGATGTAGACTTGAAAGGAATACCAACAGAACGTAAAGCGAAAGGAGCCAAGGAAGAAGAGGGAAAATCCCCAGTAGGAACGGTGTCAACAGCATCCACCAAAAAGATGGTTCTGAAAAAGCCTTCAGTAGTAAAAAAGTAATTTAATGGCTAAAGATTAATTCCTTTATGGTTTAATAATTGACTGAGCAAATTTATATGACGATGTGAGAAATACAAACTAGAGTTGAACTCTATTTTTATGTATATTTACCTGCTGATTTATTTTTGTGAGAAAAGGACTTGTTTCGTTTGATTTCCCTAGTTTCTCTTTTAATCTCACCAAAATTTGATTTGCAGCTTGCAGGGCGTCTGCTTCTGCAGGCTTATCATTCAGCCCTTTCTCAATTTTTTCATCATTGCAGCACTCTTTTACTCTTTTTTCTACCTCATATCTTTCTTTCTGAAACTTAAAAGCAGTTGCTCTCAGCCCTTCAAGAATATTCGCTTCATCACTATAGTTCCTTTTGAGCACTTCCACATCTTGATACAAAAAAGCGCTTTCAACTCGAGCTTTGCTATCTTTCAAAGCTAGAAGGCTTTCATAATCATTTATCAGTTCTTTCATAGTTTCTATAATTTCTCTTGAGTCTCCATTTCTTTTTAAATCTCTCTCTAGATTCCCAAAATTGTGTTGAGTCCTGATATGTGCTTGCGTTTCGTCATTATGAATGGTTTCCATCTCTTTTATTCATGCCCTACATTTTTCTGTTGTAAAAGTAATTTCTGAGGCGTAATGTCTATGTGGTTTATAAGGAATTGAATCTTTGGATTTTATATTTACAAGATCGTCTTCTTGCCTTTGCAGCATTCTGTCTTCTTGGGTTAGCTCTTTTTCAAGTCTTTGGATGTCAGACTGAATTGATAATTTAATGTCACTCAGCTCTTTTTTAACTCTTTCAGCTTTGGAGAGTTCTTGCCTGGTTATGGCATCTTTTAACTGAAGCTGATGTATGATTTCTTTTAATTGCTCGATATTCCCAAGGGGCTCAAGATTAAGGATTTCGCCCGATTCTGGAAGCCTAAGGGAAGACACTGGTGTCGAACTGCTTGTGAGGGCTGCTGTTTGTTGACTTGGTATTTTTGATCTTGGTTTTCTTCTTTCCATTAAATTATAGGTCATTATTTTTTCTAATACGCAACTTTAGAGGCAGTATTTAGCATAAGATTAAAATAATAATCTCGTTGGTTACCTTAATAAGATATTATTCTTGAAAATTTAAAGGGAACTTCAATTTATGAATCATTTTTAAATATTTAGAGAGTGACTCTAAACGGAAATGGAACTCAATGAAGAAAAAGGGGTAAAAACTAACTCAGATAGACTCACTTGTCCTTAATTGCAATAAACTTGCAATGGATTATCTTCGCCAAGAAAACTATTCAGAATCTCTTCAGCAGCTTTCCCGAGCACAAGAGCTTCTTAGGTTTAGTGAAAAATCCCCAATTAGTTTAAAACTTTTGGCGATCACTAATAATAACATTGGCTGCTACTACAAAAAACTTGGAAAGCAAAAACTTGCACTGCAATGGCTGCTTAAAGCACTTAACTTTGATGCTTTTTCCTCAGCAGATCGTACAAATCTCGCAGCAACTCATCTAAATATATGTGCTATTTATTCCCAGGCTGAAAGACATGACAAAGCACTTCACCATGCAATAACTGCCCTCCAGATTTTAAAAGAGGTGTATGACCGTGATGGCCCTGATGGTGTAATTAATACATTGATTTTGGTGCTGTATAGCGCAGGTGTCGAATATGAGTTTTTAAATGATATAAGAAAAGCAGAAGAAACATATAAATGTGGCTTGGATATGGCGACACAAAAGCTAGGAAATTCTCACCCTTTGACTCAAAAATTGGCATCTAGTTATGACATGATCAAAAATAATAAAAATAATGACAAAAAGCTAGGAAAACTGAATTCCAGTTTTGGTTATGCTGCAGTTAAGTCATTATTGCATTCAAAAATAGCGCAATTGGATAATACTTTGCCTCAAATAAAATCATCAAATAGAAGATATAATCAAACAAACAGAACAAGTGCACGCCCTTTATCTAAAAATTCAAAGGTGAAGACTCCTAAGTCTTTGGAAAATTCGATGAATAGGAGTGAAATAATTGAAAATGCACCTAGCCAGCAGTCTTATATTCAGCATAACTCTGCAAGGTTAAGTTCTGTAAACCCTCCCTCTAAAGCGAGGCTAGTATTTAAAAGAGGGAGATCAGTGCCAAAAGAAGCTATTGACCAAAATTCCATTCTTAAAATTAAAGAAAAATTTGGAGAAATTCAAGCGAAAATAAATGGCTTTGAGAAAAAATTCAAACCTGAAGTAAAAAAAGCTTACTTATTACATATCGAAAAGCTCGCTGTAGTTCATCGAAGGATTTTTTCCACCTGTAGCATACACTTTGCCTGCTCGCTAATTCGTATACAACTTGCAAAGGTTGTTCCTGCCGGATGAGGGCCTGCACTCACCACTCGGTAGTTGGATAAAATGCGTCACCATGTCGTACGTCAGCAAATTTGCCTATTAGGAAAATTCAAAATGGCTGAATTTTCTGGCTGACTCTCGGCCGAAATGGAATCCGAAACCCAGGACGTAACTCCTAGCCTTCATGCTGGGGAACAGTCCCGATTGGCCAAAATGAGCGCTACTGGCTGTACTGTGAAACTCTTGGACCAATTTCCCTCTGAGTTAAGGAGCCTAGATTAGGATTAAAGCTTACAGTCGGATATATTCGGCATTGCGCTTTCACCAAACCAGAAAAATCTAGTCGGATACATATTCCTGAACATCATTCTCCCTTCCTAATGCCTCTGTAGAATACTAACTACCGGAGCTAAGAGGGTAGGTTGGTTCGCCATGCCATTATAATGATAAAGTAAAAAAATCAGAAACAACCCAGAATAATAACAAGTCCTTGAGAGAGAAGAGTGCAACTACAATACAAAAGTATTGAAGAGGGTATATAGCTAGAAAATATTATAGCAAAAACCAAGCAAAGCTGAAGGCTTTATCTGCTGTTGCAGAATTAGAAAGAATTAAAAAAGAAGGTTTTGGTATATTCAATGAAGTTTCTCGAACGGAAAAGCCTGATATTAATTATAAAAATACAACAAAAAAATCAGAAAAAGAGCAAAAACTCCAAAATCAGAAACTAATTCCACATAAACCCGATAAAACTGAATCTCAAGATAAGCCAAATTTTAATAAAAGCAAATACTTGGCTAATCCTCTCTTAAAAGGATATAAAGGTGGAAATAGAATAAAAAGAAACTTGCTGAATCCAATAGAAGAAACAAAATCTGAAAATAAAGAACTCTCAATTGTATTAATTCAAGCTCAAATTAGAAAATTTTTAGCAAGAAGAAAATTTCTTAAAATGAAAAATTCTGCAATTGCTATTCAAAAAATAGTAAGAAGGCACCAATGCAGGAACCTATTTCAGAATATTCGAAATGCAGTTTTGTATATTCAATACTATTGGAGGCATTATATTTTAAAAAAGAAAACCCATAAGGCTGTGTAATTTTATAAAAAAAATTTTTGAGAAAAATAAATAAATCACAATTTATGCATTTTATTAAGCAAAGCTACTACACTCAAACATTAAATTTAATATAACTTTTTATATTTTAAATTAATTGATAAGGAAAAAGTACAAATAAAGGAAATAATTACGTTAAAGAGTAATTGCTTGCTTCATAAAATGAACGACATGATCTATAAAATAATCCATCCCTTGCTGCATATTATAAATGCTTTTTACGTTTTCTAAAAATCCAGCCTCTTGAAGTTTTGACGTAATATCTTGATCTTCAGGGTAATGATAAAACGTTAACGCTAAATATTTAGCAGCCAGATCAAAATTTCCTAAATCTTCAAAATGATTTGCCAATGTCGTGGTAGCCAATCATAAAGTAAAATCATCTTCTCCATTTCTCTGGAAGTTTCTGAGCTCAAATACATAATTTAATTCAGGATCAATTTCTCCTCTAACGATTTTGCACAGAGCATCCTCAGAATTAACTTCTCCACTTGGCTCTTCTAACTCATCCATTTACTTGCTATTAAATTACTGTTATTGTCGCATAGACTAATTAAATAAAAATTAAAGTACAAAGATATTTTAATTTAATTATACACGTTGTACCTAATAACACAAGTAATAAGGTGGCGGGGGTCTATAGGCAGACAGCAAATACATCATTCATTCAGCATCCCTTCGACTATTGATTAATTCCACTATTTTCTCATATGCAATATCTGCTCTGTTTTCATTTAGAGGGATGCATAACTCTTCGTGCTTTGTTACTTCATCAATGCTTCCTTGGTAAGAACAGTTTTCATTTCGGCATTTTGTAGTGACACATCTGGTTAATCTTGCTAAGGTATGGTCAACAGTGCTAAAATACAATTTTTCACATCTGTGTGGGCATTCTAGCTTTTCTGTGACCCGAAACCAAAGCAGCAGACATTCTTTGCAAAATAAGTTATCACAACCTTTGCATTCCAATGGCTCTATTGGAAATTCAAGGCAAATGGAGCATTGAATCAGCTCTGTCCCCATCTTGATCAAGTTGAGGTCTCTTCCCATTTTTAAATTTATTTGGAATGTTGCGTTTGTATCAAATTTTATTTTCTTTTCTATTTTTCTATTTTATGAAGATCAAATATTTCTCAAAATCCTACTATGTGCGGGAAGATTATCTGTAAATTTGTGAATTATAAAACAATTATTTGCAATAATGATTATTTTTTAAATAAAAAAGCACTATTTTTAAAGTTAGAAGGCAACTGCAATCAAATTTTCTCTTTTAATTTTTATAAATAATATTAATTTTTATTATAAACGATCAATCCTTAACAAACTTTGTTCCTAATGCTTTTGAATCTTTATTCTTTGTTAGATTACAAAGAGAGCTGGCAAGTTTGAGCTGCTAGCTTAAAATTAGATATAAAAATGAAAATGAGATGGGGTTTAAACCAATTACACTCAATTTGTCAAGATTGTATCGCGATAATAAATAGTCACACCTTCCCTAGCATCTCCCACAATGAAAGAAGGCTCCAAGTGCTAAAATCCTTGAGCCTTATATTACAAATAAAAGAAAAACACGTTCGCTTTTTTCCAAACGACGAATCAAAAACTTTACACAGATTAAGAAGTCTAATTCATCCACTTACATGGGAGCAGCCACTTGTTCGTAAGGTGCTTTACGAATTCTGAAAAGGAGTGACCATTTCAAATATCTCAAATGCCGTTGAGTCTTTACTTAATTCTCCTTATTATACCAAGCTAATTTTAGATAACTTATTATTAATGCTATTTTATCTTTTTATACATTGCCTAAATTGCTTATCTAGGCTGGCATGTTGAAATATAGAGAATTCACATGTGGAAATTTTCTTCAAGCATTGGAGAAAAAAATTTGGTGCACCAGCCTATATAAGCAATATAGACAAAAGATAATAAATTTTGACTAAACTCATTAAAACGACATTTATTAAACAAATATTCATAAAATAGAAATCAAAAAGAATCTAAATTAAAATTATATAAATAAAAGTGTTTATTATATGTGTGATAGTTAGATACATTACACTTTTACCTCCTCTTGATTCCAATGACAGTTTTCCATTACATAAGGCCGTTTTTGAGAGGAATTTATTCCGGATCCGCCAACTTTGTGCGGGAGAGGATAATGACCGAATTTATGTTGATATTGATCAGGTGGATTTTTTGGGTAACACACCTTTGATGCTTGCTGTCAAATTGAAGCGCTATGAAGAAGTCTTAGTCCTCGTTGACCATGGGGCAGATCCTAAATTTCGATTATCGCCTGAAGATCCAAGTCCTTTGGAGCAAGCCTTGGGTATGAAAGATCGCCACATTCTATCAGTATTAGTTGCAGGATACCTACGAAATACAAGAGAAACATGAGTCAATCATCAAGAAGAGTTCAAAAAGGCTTTGAGTGAAATGCCTGACTTCTCACTTATAATGCGATGGGAATGCAATAGTAATTTGATTCCTTTTGTAAAAAAAATAACACCTTCAGATATTTATCGGATTTACAAAAAAGGGAGCCAAGTTCGGATCGATTTAACGTTGATCGGCTGAGAAGGTCTGAAATCCAAAAGGGGCTGCCTATCAATAATTTATGATAGTGACGAAGGAAAGGTCATAATCGTCGACCACAATAATAAAACCTGCAAAGAGCTTGAAATTGACCCCTCTAATGAGCAAGTGGAGAGGGTTGTAGAAAAACTATTTAAAAAGAAAAAAATAAGTGGCGAGTTTGAAATTTTCGGAGTCAACGTCAAGCCAGAAAAAAACTGGAAAGGCGACCCAGTCACAGAAAACGTTAAAAATTGAAACTGCGTAAAATATAAGCTGACGTGCAAAGCTGCAGCTGATATGGAAAAAAGGCAGATTGTCCTCGATAAAAATTTGCAGAGCCTTAAGACTTTTGAGGAGTATTTACTTTATTCACAGAGCTCTTCAAGAAGTGAAAACTTTAATACAGTCCTGCTAAGTCCAAAATCAAGCAAGCACATATCTAAAGACATAACAGCTACTTTAATGGCATGCGAATCATACCCGCTTTCATTAAAAAGCTTCGTTCCATTACTAGATCTCTTGACTACTGTGAGCAAAAAGGCTAATAAACTAAAACCCTTTTTAAGCCACAGCATGTTAAGCGAAATAGGTTTCCCAGTAAAGGCTATCATCCCTATATATGCCTCTGTAAAGGTAATTGTTACGTTTGAAAGTGTTTTAATTGCTCCTCCTGAAGACTCTTTATTTGAAGTTGATTTAACGACCAATAAAATCCACTATGAAGAGCTTAGACTGGAAAGTGAGTACTCAAATCCAGCAATATCAGAAGAGTCCACTGCAAAGATGGGCGACAGGTCATCTGATTTTTATTATCAATGTGAAATGTCGTGCAGCGCAGATGAAAGCTTAGATGAGGCTCAGCAGCTTTTTTTGTCACTCAACAGCTTTGATGATGCTCAAATTTTATTGGACTCAGACGAGGATTTTTCAGAAATCTCAGAACAATATGTGCCTCGGCCGCTGCCTAACTCGCAGTTTACGAACGCTACTGGTCGAAAGTCTTTACGACAGGTAATAAGAGGGGCTGATATGATAAGGAAGCTGAGAGAATTTATTGATAAAAGGCCCAGAAGATCAGATAACGATGTAGACATAGCATTGTAAAAACTAATAAAATTTTGTGTTAGCGAAGCTTTTATTTTCATATTAAAATATGTGGCAAATTGTAAGATCATATTCTTTCAAGCCACTCACATTGTCATTACTCAAAAAGCTTGAGCCGTATTATAAGCAGCAGCAATTATTAAATGACCAAATTATGCATATATTGACTGAAGGAAAAGAAGCAAGCCAAATTCCTAGGCTGCAAATTGAAGCTGCATCACTTAATGATCAAGTTAATTTTTATACTAACTCCCACTATGTGAGATATAAAATTATTGGAAAATTACTTATTTTTGTAAAAAAAAGTGAGGGAGCAAAAGTACTTTTACTCCCCCCCCCCTCCGTGAGTGAGTGAACAAAAAAAATTTTGTTCACTCACGGAGGGGGGTTAATTTGTTTTTTTAAAAAAATTTATATATAAATTTTATAAAAAATATTTTATTTCGAAATTTAAAAAAAATCCTAATTCGCAAAAATTGGAAAGCAAATGTTAATTTAATTTATAAAATTTATGTTTTAAAAAGCAATTCGTTTAAAATTAAACAGAATTAATTTTAGATTTCATTATACTAATTATCATTTATATATCAATTCTTTTTTCCATAAAAAATTTTTGTATTAAAAAAATTTTTGTTCACTCACGGAGGGCGGGTTTTTGGGCAAAAATAGCGATTTTTCTAATGGTTTTGTTCACTCACGGAGGGGGGGGGAGTTAGTATTAAAATTGTTTAATCATAAATTATTTTAATATATAAGTGATAATTATTATAATCAAATATCAAGCTAATTCTGCTAAATGATTTGGATTCTAAACATAATGTTTACAAATTACTTTCAATTTTTGCGAATGGAATTGTTAAAAAAATAAATTTATTAAAAATAAAATTTAACCATCTATGATCAGCAAAATTTTTTCTTTTATCGAGAGGGAGAGTAAGCTAAAAGATTTGACAACAAGTATAGGGTATGATTATGATTAAGATTAATTATAACGGGCCACTGGGGTTTATTTCAGCCCTACCCCTTCACGAGTTAGCTTCACGTTCAAGTGGCACTAGACACTGACTCCAACTAACGCCCAGATTAAAGATTGCCTCCCAAGAAGTACAGAAGGACGTTGCGCCTTGGTCTATCATCTGTGGGTTGAGGTAAAAAGGTTTAGCACTAAAATACCTATCCCAGATAACTATCACCAATAAAGTCTCACCTTTATCAGGCCTGATCAACTCGCAGAGCACCGAGGGCCTAGCTCCGCTCACCATTTTAATAATATAAGTATAGAAGATCTGGAAATCCTCGCAAAAGACGAGACTATGAAAGAAGACGCTCAAAATGAAATAAATGAAAAAGTATCTGAGCTAGAAGATTTAGAAGCTGTGGCAATTGAGATCTTGATTCCAAAAGACCCAGATGACACTTCTAACACACTTATCGAATTAAGGCCTGGTGTCGGTGGATCAGAAAGCTGCTTATTTTGCGATGATTTACTAAATATGTATATCTGCTATGCAGAACATCATGGATGGGACGCCCACACGATATCAATCTCAAGAGACGCGTCAACAGTAAGAGGCGTTAAAGAAGCAACAATAAAAATTGAAGGACATAACTCATATGGTAGACTAAAATACGAATCAGGTGTACACAAAGTAATCCGCATCCCCGAGACAGAAGCTTCGGGACGCCTCCACTCCTCAACCGCATCTGTTGTGGTCTTACCAGAAGAAGCTCCTGTAGATTTCAAAATTGATGAAAAAGACGTCAAGATTGAAACAATGCGATCACGAGGTGCAGGAGGCCAACATGTAAATAAAACTGAGTCAGCTATTAGACTAACACACATCCCAACAGGAATCACGGCACAGTGTCAAGATGAGCGATATCAACACATTAATAAAGAAAAAGCTTGGAAGGTACTGAGATCAAGAGTTTATGCTTTGGAGAAGCAGGAAAGAGAGCAAGAAGTGCAAGCATCTAGGAAGTCGCAAAAAGGAACAGGTGATCGAAGTGAGAAAATAAGGACTTATAATTGGCCTCAGGACCGAATTACTGACCACAGGTTTGGCTTGACGATGCATGGGATTGATAGCATGCTAAATGGAGCTCTGTTGGATACTTTTATTGATAAAGCAATAGAAGTAAGAAAAAATAGTTTGATTCAAGAGTTAATAAAAATTGATTAGAAATATATATAGCTATAAGATATCACCGCAAAGAATTTATTTAACTTTTCTTTGTTAATTTTATTTGATAAATAAAAATAATTTTAATTAATTTTTTTAAGAATTAATCATCTTTTTAGGTTATCATAAAATAGGTCATAAAATTCTAATTAATAAGGCATATGGCTTATCCAATATGGGTAATTAATAAAATGAAATTATTTTTTCTGTTTATTGCTATAATTTCAGCTTGCGAATTCTCATGCTACTCTCAATGCGCAACCACGTCTTGCATACAGAACTGCGGGTGCGACTCAAGTATTTTCAGTGGTTTCAAATTTACACACAACTCCATAAAGTTTTCCTTTAAAGCATTTAATAATCAAGATTTTCAGTTTATTGAAAATATTGGCTGCAATCTAAATAAAGCTGGGCTTTGCAAACAGAATTTCCTTGAAGATTCTATGTATGACTGCTTAATCTCAGCAGGGTGCCAAAAAATGATAAATCAAGAAAATGAACTGAATATGGATGATACAGAATGCATTGATATATGCACGCTCAGCTGCAAAGGAAAACTAAGGGATCAGCTAGACAAATGCTTGGATGCTTGTTTGAAAAGCAGCTGCTCAGGACTGCCAAGTAGTGAAATTGGGAAGCTGAGTGGATCATTCGTTTTTGAATATGCCAGATTTATTGTTCTCGCGTCAATTAGCGTAGTTGGATGCGGAATTTATTTTTTGACTTCAAAGGGAAAAGTAGAAAAAAATAAAGAAGAGCTTTATCAAAGGCTGATATAATGTAAATATAAAAAAAATCCTTGTAATAATTAGGCTTAAGATTTTTCTAGAAAATATTACCAAAAATTTCCTCAAGTATTTATCATATTAAAAAGTTTTTGCTATTTAAGCTGATAAAAGTTTGAATTCTTTAAAATTTGCAATTTAATCTAACCTTAATTTATCTCTTAAATATTAAACTACTCTTGCAAATTTGAACTAACATGGCTGAGCTAAAGCATCCTGAAGAAGAAAGCCTCGAAAATAAACCATGGTGCTGGACAACAGTCCTTGCGCAATCAAAGCCTCCTTGTCAAAGATCATTGCACACAGGTGTTGTATTAGAAAACTCATTATATATTTTTGGAGGCTACGACGGTGTGCAAAGAACAAATGATTTTTATCGATTCAGTTTTGCGAATTCCCGATGAACCCAAATAGTATCCAACGGTGTTTTTCCGACTCCTAGAGACCGGCATGTATCAGTAGTATTTGGCACCTGCGTTTACGTATATGGAGGTTACGACGGATATAACAGAGTCAATGATTTTTATGAGTATAATGCTGAAACGAATACATGAAGAGAAATAATTAGCTCGGGCAATGGAAGTCCGCCTTCAGCCCGACACAGCCATTCAGGCGTTGTATATGAAGGCTCTATGTATATTTTTGCAGGATATGATGGACTTTATAGAAATGATTTTCATAGGTACAATTTTGAAACAAATTCGTGAAGGATCGTGACTGACAGTTTAGGAGCAAATGAGCATTGGCCGAAGCCCAGGTATAGAACGACAGCAACAGTGGTAGGTGATAAAATGCTTGTATTTGGAGGGCATGATGGAGCGAGACAGTTGAACGATTTTTATGCATGAAGCTTTACGAATGAAACATGAAGTGAAATTGAAACTCTAGGGTTTCCTCCCAGTCCTCGGGACTCTCATGTAGCAGTTAGCTTTAAAAACTCGCTTTTTATATTTGGAGGATCAACTGGGAATGCGAGAAGTGATTTCTTTGAATACAAATTTGATGAGCAGAGGTGGCTTCCTATTTGTTCGACAGGAGGCACTCCTCCATGCAGTAGATTTTGCCACATTGGAGTGGTTTATGGGAAATGCTTCTTTATTTTTGGAGGATATGATGGTTCTACAAGGTTAAACGATTTCAAACAATTCCGATTTGAAACTGAAAGCTCAGATGTCCCAGAGAGTACACTGACTCAAGAGCTTTCCTGCCTTGTAAATAATCAGCAATTCAGTGATATCACCTTTATTATAGAAGGAAAACCAATCTATGCACATAAATTGCTACTGTGCCGGTCGAATTACTTTTCAGCAATGTTCAGCGGAAATATGATTGAAGGGAATTCCAAAGAAATCACAATTAATAACATTTCTTACCCTATTTTCTTGACTATTTTGAGGTATCTATATACTGATCAAGCTGATGTTAATTTAGAAATTGCAATGGACTTGTTTGAAGCAGCGGATTTGTTTTGTATTGAGAGATTGAAGAAAATCTGCGAGCAAAGAATAATGTCATCAATTAATATATAGTGATTCTCTATAGATTGCATAATAGGCATTATATATATAGCCCATCTCCCTATATAGATTTCTTTATAGAGTAAAATGTAATGAACGGTAAATAGCCAAGACAGACTCTCTCAAGGGAAATTGCTATATAAAAAGCCAAAGTTTGTATTGAACGCTGGTTGCTCTTATGAAGTTCTTAATGTCTCATAATAATGTTTTATATTTATGCTTTCCAGTCTAAAGGGTATCTTTAATTTTAAATTAATTTTAATAATAAACCCATTTAAAAAATTGGCGCATTTGCTTGCCAACTTTTTGTACACTCATTAATGCCACTTTTTAACGTTTCCTGGTGTAAGATCCTGCTTGTTCCTTTGAGAGAGCCGGTCTTGGTCATTCAGCCGTCCTTTGCATTTTGTTCGATTAATAACTCTATATAGGGGCATAGACTATAGTTTTTTTTGCTACAGTTTATGAGAAAGATATAGAAAATGCAGCCAATATTTTTCAGGCTAGTGATTTGCATGGAGCTTCAAATTTGAGGGAAGCGTCGCTGAGATATATTGTTAATAATTTTGACCAGGTTTGCAAAACGGCATCTTTTAAAGATATGGCCAGAGCAAATGTGGAGCTTGTGCTAGAGATATTGAATAAGCGATAATTTATTATATGACTTATTATATAAATATGACTAATTTTTTTAAAAAGAAGCTTTAGGCGCTCGTTAGTAATTGGACGAGCTAAATCTAAACGCTTAACTAGTAAAAAGTACTTTGAATCAAAATTAAGAATCAGATAATCATAAATTATCAAGATCTGCTGAATAATATTAATGCTCATCATATGAGATAGCTGACTTCTATAATCATAATGATAATATTTTAAAGAAAAATAGATTAATTGCTTACTAATAGATTCTAGGCTATTGAAGCCAGTTGGTGTAATATAATATTTAATTTAAATTCGATGCAAATACCTAGGAATTTAATACCATTCTTTTTTACGAAATTATATACAATTTTTTCCATCCCACCCTAAATTTAATCATTAAATCTTATTATTTCCAGACTAGGCTGGCTTCACAAAAGCTTGGACGACCATATCATTTCTAACATAGCAGCTTGACAAGGTTTGATCGTCTTTCAACTCTTTCCCGCTGAAGAATAGGCGTAAAGTATCTGGATCTAGCCCGTCTTTTTCCGCATACATTTCTTTAAGGACTCTTGAAACATTTTTCGTTTCTATCTGGATGACTGTATCATGCTCTTTTCCAGCCCTTCTGATCTTCAGTGTCACAAGCTCATTCTCTATCAAAGCAGGCTTAGGGACCATAACCTTTTTTTCATTTGGAAAATAGATGGGGTCATTCACTATATAAGGAGGAATTTCATAAATTGTGCCATGGGGATCTTCACACATGGTGATGCTTTCGTTTCTTAACTTAATTTCGTTCATTTCAAGCAAAACCTTTGCTGTGGCTGCATCAGCTTCAATGGCACTTTTTATTGCAAGCCAAATGTGCCTTCTTCCTGTTGTCCTTGTTCTCCAAAATTCGATTCTTTTAGCTTCTAACTGTTGTCTTGTAATTGTGGCTTTCCATGAAATAGTTTTCAGAACGCCTTCTCCTGTGAACTGATTGGGAAGTTCTTGATAGTCTTTGCCAATTGTAAACCTCGGCCTGATAACATTCTCATCAGATTCACTTTTTGTGCAATTGCCTCCCATTACGTAATTTTTATTGATTATTCAAAAATAAACTAAATAATAATATGATAGCTAAATTGGATTATTTCAAATTAAGAAGATCTAGTAGATGATTTTTGCAATTTTAAACGGTTATAATGGTATACTAAAAAAATTGAAATAATGCTGTAATAATGAAATGTTATAATGAAATGTTATAAAATCTCGAGTTGATAATAAGATTTCCAAGAGTTGATATAACTTAAGAAGCTGAGGGATTTGCTTTATTGAAGCTATTATCTTAGATAGAAATTAGCTGGCTATGCATAATTTTTGAAGCTGCTTATATTTATTGGTCGATTTCTTTGTTTATTTTTTCTGATTTAAATAGAATTCTATTAAATGTGTTTGAAAATTAATTTAATTATAATACCACTCAATCGAACTTATACAAATATATTTGTAAACTCTGCATAAGTTATTGTTTCTTCTTCAGATTTTCCGATTTCTGTCATTATTAGTTTAACAGAATGTCTATTCATATCACGCCCACATCTATTAAACGTTTCCTCAATGTCTTTGCCCGTAATAAATCCTTTTTTATTGGTATCGAATTGGTTATAAATATATCCCAATTCTTCTTGTTCTAGATTGTGTCTTGAAAGCAATGCAGCAGCCAAAAATTCTGAGTAATTTATGACTCCATTCTTGTCTATATCAATTGACTTCATGAGATTTTTAATTTCATCATGGGCTAATTTGAATCCTGAATTCTCCAATGCATGAGTTAAAGATTTTCTAAAAATTTTCCCGTTTAAATCTTGGTCTAAGCCTATTAGATTATGATGGTAATTAAAGTTCCCGCTTCCTGAAGTACAGTGGATTCCGCAGCGAACGCTAGCGGGGCAGGCTACTCAAGGCATCATGATCCAGGGCTGAAATCCTCAGCTTCTCAATAGAGGCATTTTCCCTTCTGATCAAGAACGGTCTAAGCCTATAAATATTTGTTTAAGCTCTTTCAAATCAGAAAAGCTTAAATGCTTGACCAAAATATTTAGAGCCTGTTTTTGAAATAAAGATGATTTACAATAGTCCTGCAGAGAACTCAATAATGATTTGTCAATAGAAACTTTTGGTTGTGGCATCGCTTTGAACCAAGGATGTTCTAATGCTTGAGCTGCTGACAGTCTTTTTGACGGATTCACTTCTAATAGCTTTCTGATTAAATTTTTTGCATCACTTGAGGCTTGCCTCCATAAATCGTTATCTGTGCTAAAATCCCCTGATTTAATTTTTTTAAATGTATCACAGTCAAATCTTTCGCAAAAAGGCAATCTTCGGCATATCATACTGTACAAAATTACGCCGATACTTCATAGGTCACATTTGAAATTGTATGATCCTTTTATAATTTCAGGAGCCATGTAATATGGAGTACCTACCGCTCCATGGAAATGCTTGGACTTTCTTTGAAACTTACGGGAAAGGCCAAAGTCAACAATTTTTAATTCTGCATTTTCTTCATTTGATTCGAATAAAATATTCTCCGGTTTCAAATCTCGATGGACTATCCCATTTGCATGGAGATGGTTGACTGCCATTAGAATTTTCCTCATAATTGCTTGGGCATTATGCTCATCTATTTGATCAGTGTTAACTATTTTGTGGAAAAGCTCTTTTCCAGAGCAAAGTTCCATGACTATGTACAAGTTTATGTCATCTTCATATGCCCCATAAAATCTGATAATATTTGGGTGATCAAGCGCTTTAAGGATTTCAACTTCTCTAATCAGTGCACCCATTTTATCTTTTATTAAAGACTTTTGAATCAATTTTATTGCGACTTTTGTGTTTTCTCCGATATGCACAGCTTCTCTAACTACTCCAAAATGGCCGTGCCCAATGATCTTGCCGATATTATATACAGATCTTATTGAAGATACTTTAATTGTCAAGTAATTTTCTGTAGTTTGCTCACGCTTGCTTTTTTTAAGCTTCTTTTACTAACGTTTATTCCCATTTTTGAATTATTTATTAAATTGCCTATCGGTTTCAAAGTTATTTTTATCAGAAAATAAATTAGAAAATGAAACCGCTAGAAGTTTATTAGACAGGCATTAGTTTGATAGACGGAAATGTATATAATAGGAAGAATTTAGGGAAAATAACATATTATTATAAAAGCAGATTGAAATAAGTAAAAAAAATGATGCTCTCTATAATTTCTCTTAGCTTGAAATATCCCAATCGAAATAATCATTAACTAAAGTAGCAACGCCTCTAAATTTATACTTAACATGAAGCTGAGATTACTTTTTAGTTTTATTGCACAATATTCTAAGCATTTTTATGAATTGATATGCCATATGCATATGTATTCCATAACAGAAAATTCCTATTACTCAACTAAATTATTTCCAACTTTAAGCTTCTGGGACAGTTATTGCTGTTTTGAATCTTATTTTAAGTTATGAGGTATTTTCTTACGAATGTGCATCCAGCATAAATCTTAAATCTTTGTCCATTTTACAACAACCAAAATAAATATATAAAAAAAAATAAGCACTTGAATAATTTCAGTGATAAGATGAAATGAGAGTATTTAAAATTTGGAAAGTAATAAATAAGAGAAACAGAAAGTAGTAAATACTTTATTGTTCTTTATAAATTTATTACTCATAAAATAATTTTTATTCTAATAAAATTGCTTAAAGAAGCAAAAGGAATTATAGAGGCGAGTATTAGCAAATTAATATAGAATATTAAAATAAAATCAAGAAATTTCAATGAAAGCAGAGAATTTTTTATATATAAAATATAAGAAAATGTAAAGAGGAGCTAATACATAAGGTACATAATAAGAGCTTTCAACAAAAGAATTGATATAAAATTTATTTATAAAAACAGCTTAAAATATTTATTTTTTAAATGTCTATACAGAAAAAATCATAAAAATATCTTAGATTTTTTACGAAATAATTATATTCAAAATATGCCAAGTGCGAAATGCAGGTTCATTGTGCCAAAACACTAATAATAATAATAATTCAAAATATAATTTGTCAATGTAAAGAATGATTAATTATTTTGTTAAGTGCATCATAAATGCTTCCTTAAAATTCTGAAATGCATAATTTATTTAATATTTGAAAGTTAAAATGCTTCTGCTATACAATCCCTAACTTTATTAATGTCATTATGCTGATTTATGTGATCTATTTATTTTAAATTTGATAAGTATGACTAAAGATTTTACACTACTAATCAGATATAATTCTTCAATCAAGATTATTACTATTATATTTCCTCTTACACCTATCGTAATAAAGAAAGTTAAAATAGCTTAGAAATAATTTCAATGACAATTATTTTTTTTGAAAATGCGCTTATAAATGTCGAATTATCGAGAGCTATGGTGAAAGGAAGAAGTGAATAATGCTTATCAACTTTTGAAGTATTTTTCCTATTCATTTGCTATTGTTTCAACAACTATACGGCTTTTAAGTTGCTTTTTCTTAAAGACAAATTTTATCCATGATCATTTGATATATTTACTTGTCCATGCTTTTGGCATATCTCTGATTGAATTTAATGAAAAGAGGTACTCTGATACAAAAGCTGTGGTCGTAATAATTGTTTCAGAATTATATAGCACTGCTACCTTTATAACAAAGGAACACTTTATGGATCAGCAAAACGTTTACTTGGCTTTTTCGATTATTTTTACAACAGTATTAGAAATGCCAATGGTGAAAAACAAAATATTGTTCAATATATTGCTCGCTAAGCATTCTTATTGTTGGATTTTTCATAAGATGCTATTCTTAAATAATGACTTTGCCTTAAACGCAAGCCAGTTTAATCTCTTTATATCAATTGTTGTCATGTGTAATTATAGCAGTGACTATAACCACAAAATTTCTTATGAGCGATTTCTTTTCAGTAAAGAAGTTGAAATTTCAAAAGACAGGCTGAAATTTATCACTCAAGCCCATTCAGATGGGATATTAATTATTTCAAACGAAAATCAAGTTAATTTTTTCAATTCAAACATCCTCAATATAATGCTGTGCACTCCTGATGAAATTATGCATGATTTATGTAAATATGAATATTGCCCAGATAAAAAGGTTTCCTCCTTTCAAACTTCTAATTTTTTAATTGATGATATAAAACATGCTTTTTGGTACTTGGAAGATCCAGAAATGACTCTTGGGGTTACTCTTGTGCATAATATCAATATTGAGTGAAAAGTCCAAAAAATTTTATGAGAAAATAATTCTGCATTGTTTGTGACTGCTAGGAATATTAACAAAATAGTGGAGCTAGAAAAATCAATTGCTGATGGCCAAATGAAAACTATACTCCTCAGGTCAGTTTCTCATGAGCTCAGGACGCCACTCAATTCTATAAGCTTTTTTGCAAATGATTTATTTGATAAAGCTGAAAAAACTCTTAAAGAATCTGAATTACAAAAGCTAAGAATAATTTTGGTATCTTCAAAATTGATGCTCTCTTTAATTGATGATTTATTAGATTATTCAAAAATAATTGCAGGTGTTTTTACAATTAAAAAATCCTATTGCAATATTCGAAAAATTGTGAGCCATGTTTGCCAATTAATTGACCTCCAAGCTAAATCAAAGAATTTAAGCATGAGCTACAGGGTTGATCCTTCATTGCCTTTACAAATTTTTACAGATCCAATTAGACTTAGCCAAGTGATTCTAAATCTTCTAACTCCCCCCTCCGTGAGTGAGCAAAAAAAATTTTGTTCACTTACAAAAGGGGTTAATTTTTTTTATAAAATTTTTTTTTTCCGAAATTTAAAAAAATCTCATTTCTATAAAAAATTGGGGAGCAAATATTAATTTAATTTATAAAATTTTATACTTTAAAACGCAATTTGTTTAAAATTAAACAGATTTAGCTTGAGATATCATTATACTAATTATCATTTATATATCAAAAATTTTTCTATTAAAAATTTTTTGTTCACTCACGGAGGGTGGGTTTTTGGGCAAAAAAATAGGGATTTTTCTAATGGTTTTGTTCACTCGCGGAGGGGGGGGAGTAAGCAATGCACTTAAATTTACATTTAGCGGCTCAATTGAACTGTGCTTTACATTGGATTCAAAGCAGAGACTAAAATGCTCAGTTGAGGATACAGGAATTGGAATCACGGAGAAATAAAAATAAAATGGCTATGCTTGAATTGGCTTTCTCAAGAACTATTCTATCTATTCATATAATTATTTTATGGGGTCCAATTTCCCTAGTGAATGCTTATCCAGTTGTATCAGCAAAACCCAGCACATAGGCTGGACTGTCTAATTATTGGGTATTAGGAGACACAAAATTTTATTGCTTGGCACTTTTAGGAGGGATACTCTTAGGCGAATACACTCAGGAGTCAAGTGGGGTGATACAATGCACCCTATGGGTGGTGCGGCATTTATTTAGGATTGTTCAGACTTATGCAAATGTTGTGATTTGGGAGGGCTCGGCGGCATCACAAGCTGGATTTAAAAGGTTTAGCTTTTACTTAGTCATACTTTGAATAAAGCAACATCTTAAACATTAAGCATTAGTAAATTAGGAATCAGCGGTGAAATTCAAAAAAAATTATTTACCGAATTTGCTTCAACTTATATCCCTGGCATTAACCCTCAAGGATCAGGACTTGGCCTTTGAATTTCAAATTACATAGTAAAATCCTTACTCCTTCCATTTTTGTACTTTAACCCTCTTAAATTGTAAACAATTTTTTTTTCAATAGGAAAAATTTATAGGTTAACCTAATTTATGTGAAAAAGTACAAGTTGATATTATTTAAACATTTTTGCACTGTATCGATTAATTTTTTGAATTAATTCTTAAATTAAAATTCAAAACTATTGCACTCAATTTATATTTTATAATTTTTAGAAAAATTAAATGAACACGGTTTTTTATTCCTATTTAAAGGAGGAGTTAGGAGGTAAAAGAATTAAGGTTAAATCAACAGTAGGAAAAGGCTCCATATTTTATTTTTCTATGGAGATTTTCCAGGAAAAGCAAGAATCAATTTTCAGTACCACAAATTTGCAAATAGGCATTGAAGAATTAAAACCTATAGACATGGCAAAGTATAATTCTATAAAATCAATGAATAATCCTGACATACTAATAGTTGATGACGATGAGTTTAATAGAATGGCGTTGAGCTCGATTTTAGCTCAATATAACATCACTTATGATGAAGCCTATAATGGAAAAGACTCAATTAACAAGATTTTGGAAGGCGATAAAAGAAATAAAAGATACAAAGCTGTTATTATGGATTGTAATATGCCTATTGTTGATGGCTATGAAGCATCCAGAACTCTAAAAGCGCTTTATGAGGAAGAAAAGCTGCAATATATGCCTTTTATAATTGGGTATTCAGCGTATAGCTCAGAAGAAGATAAAAACTGCTGCTTAAAATGTGGGATGGTAGATTATCTAACAAAGCCTTGCCCTCCTGATATTATAATAGCAACTGTAAAGAAATATTTGTAAAGAAAATTCGAATATATCACATTTCTAATTGCGAAATAAAACTGTTAAAAATTCTTATATATATATTATCCAGTTATAAGATGATAAATGGAAGAAATGATTTGTTGAATAATAATATTTTATTAAAAATCTTAGCTAAATGACTTAAACTTTAATGAAACTTTAAGGGAAAATGAAGGTTAGCATTGCGAATCTACTGCTTGGTAATTATGCAAAAGAGGCTTAAAAAATCTCAAAATTTTAGTTTAATTAATTTATTCTTTACATAAATTCAACAATGTCAAACGGGTAATTAAAATCTTTTCGGATGAAGGAAACGTATTTCGTCTTTCCAATACATATTTTGACTCTTTTGAGTCTTTTCTATTAACCAAGCTGTTTCTTCTTGGCTCTTCTTTCAAGACAAGCACTCCTCCTACTTTATCATAATACTTTTCCTTCTCTACAGGAATCCCATTGGATCCGATTTCAGCTCTTATGCTGCTTACTCCCCCCTCCGTGAGCGTACAAGATTTTTTTATTTGCTCACGGAGGGGGGTTTATTTTTTTTTTAAAAACAAATTAGAAATAATTTTATAGAAAAAAATTTTTTTTTTCCAAATTTAATTTAATTTATAAAATTTATGTTTTAAAGCGCAATTTGTTTAAATTAAGCAGAATTAGCTATAGATTTCATTAGGCTAATTATCATTTTATATCAATTTTTTTTTCATAAAATATTTTTGTTCGCTCATAGAGGGTGGGTTTTTTGGCAAAAAATAGGGATTTTTCCAATGGTTTTGTTCACTAACAGAGGGGAGCTAGAGAATCAGATAAATTGTTTTCTGCATGAGCTGGCTCTTTAGTATCAATATCTTGTTGGACCGCATCTTTGCTATGGTAGCCAAAGCAGCGGCAAGTACGCAGACAAATTAAGGCTATCAAATTCATTAAATTAGTAATGATTAAGCATAAATTTTTTGCTTTGGACTATAACGAGTTCCAGAAGGATTAGGATTATTAAAGTTAGGACTTAGCCATATCTGTGGCGCAGTCACCAAAAACCTACCGTACAGGAGAATTTGCCACTTATCGACTCCAGCCCAGAGAGTCTGTGCTGCTTCCGGCACCTTCTGTCTCCTTCTTGCATTGAGGCTTCAGTCTTGAGTGGGCGGCTTATGGATTTTCAGCTCTGCTATGGGTTATTGGAGTAGCTTGATTCCATTGATCCTTGGAGTCTATCGGGTGCCGAAGTGCCTTCTTCAACAGCTACAGGGAAAGGACTGCTCCCTGTGGTCTGGGCTGAAACCCCAGTTTCTCGGTAGAGGAATGCTTGTTGATCCTTGGGTGCAAAGGACGTTTGTTGAGCACCTCCATTTTCAAACACAGGAAAGCGGTCAAAAACCTACGGATACATATCTCTTGAGCCTGCACTTGATTCTCAGCTCGGAGTTCCCTGTTTGCCATAGTCATAAGGTTTGGGCTGTTGCGCCAAGAGGGCAGGCTAGCACGTGTCACCATTTTAATGTATATAAATATAGCGAGTTCCAGAAAGTTAGTAACTTTCATCTTTGATGAAAATTGAATCAATGATTAAAAGGCTAATTACCTCATTGTTTGAAAACCATTTATTAAGTTTTGCAAAAAAGGAGGCTAAATAGGCGTCATAGATGTTTAATTTTTATAAATTATTGGCAAAGCATGGTTGCTATAAAATTATGAAATTCTAAAAATAAGCTTGCTATTCTAATTGAAAAAGGCAGGATATGGTAACAAAGGAATATCAGCTTAAGGCCTCTCTCTGATTTTAGGTTTAGTGACTAAAGGATTAATGAGATTATGGATTATCCAAACAGCAAATATCCCAAAATTAATTTTTAAAAATTCAAAAAAATGTATGCTAATGAAATTGGCAGAATATTAAGTTCATTAATTGAAGCTTATTTTAATTTCTAAGATTTTAGTTATTAAGCAAATGGTACTGCCTGTCCATTCTTGGCGTAATTGTCATAATTGCTCACCACAGCATCCCAATTGACAATTCTCCACCAGTTTTCAACAAATTCAGGTCTTCTTTGTTGGTATTTCAAATAATAAGCATGCTCCCAAACATCACAAGTCAAAATAGGGACTCCATGGACTGTTCCAATTCCGTCCATAAGAGGATTTTCATGTCCAGGGGTATTGTGGACCTCAAGTGTCCCATCCTGCTTGACAGTCAAAAATGCCCAACCAGATGCAAATCTATTAACAGCGGCAGCTGTGAATTGTTGTTTAAAAGTTTCAAATGATCCGAATTTTTCATCAATTTTGGCAGCAAGTTCTCCAAATGGAGCAGGGTTTGAAGACCCAACAGGGCCCATATTTTGCCAAAACAGAGTGTGGTTATAGTGTCCACCAGCGTTGTTGATGACAGCAGGGCTAGTGCCAGCAAGAACATGTTGTAAAGCAGTGAGATCGAGATTGGCTCTGTCTGGGAAATCAGCAAGAGCTGCATTTAGCTTGGTGACATAAGTATTGTGGTGAGCTGTATGGTGGATTTCAACAGTTCTAGCATCCATATGAGGCTCAAGGGCTGTATAGGTGTAAGGAAGTGGATGTAAGGTGTGGACCATTTTAACTATATATGAATGCACGAATTTCCACCAGAAATCTTAATGTACATTTCTGGAATTATTTGAAATAGAATTGCTAATAATTTTATCCCCAAATGCTTCTAAATTAAAATTCTTAAAGTTATTAAGCTGATGGATTTCGAGAAATTAACATTTTAATTGGCCATTTGTATTGTCTTGAAGTTGCGAAACAGATAAATTTCAAAATTATAGGTGAAACTTATGTTGCAGTTGAGGAGCCTTTTCAATCATATTTCCTTTGCCAAAATTTGTACAATGTTTGTAACTTTTCCCTGAACCTGCTTAACATGAAAAGTTGAGAAAATTAAGAACCATCGGATTTAGCATTAAAATTTTAAGAGCTTAAGAACTTTTAAGATATTTTATTATAGACTGAAAGCAAAAACTTTTAAAAATATAAAAAATAGTTTTTAATTTATAATTGAGAAAGCATTTGTCATTTTAAGTGTCTCTTCTATAAATGAAATATTAGATTGTCAAATAAATCCTATTTAAAACCTTATCAGATGATTATAATTAATTTTGTGTTGATAAATTAGCGTAATAAAATATAAGATTAACTATTTAAATGTAAATATTTAAGATTAAATTTAAATAAAGCGCATATATTTTTTTGGATCGCTATGGAACAATACCTAAAGAGGTAAAGGAGCGATATGGCAAGTCAAAAAATACTATTTTTATGGCAAGCTAATGTTTGGCTTTACATTCAGAACCTATAGATAAAATTTGTCAAATTTTATCTGTACTCGTCCGAAAAATGGTAGTTGCCATTTCCATTTGACTTTTGATTGCTAATTTATCTCATTAGGTATTGCTTCTCAGCGATCTAAATGGGCTTTCGAACTATAAGAAATTATCTAAGAAAAATGCCAAATAGCGCTTCAAAATAATATGAATTTTTATAAGTAAAAAAACCAAGATTCAGTGTAGTAAATCCCCGCCTTCCATGAGCTAGAAAAAATTTGCGTTGTTTTTTGATATAAAGTTTATATTAACATTTTTTATAAAAAACAATTTCAAAATTAAAAAGTGATAATTAATTTTAATTTTACGTTATAGAATAAAAATTTTTTCAAAATAATTTTTATAGATAAAATACTTTTGAAGCCGAGGTAGGCTGATTTTTCCAATGGCTTTTCACTTACTGAGGGTGCAAGAAATTATAAATGGAATCTCAAGAACCAAAAACTCCTGATATGACATTTGTCGCCGTCGGAGACATGAATACCGGCAAAACAGCAATGATTCTAAAATACACACACCGTAGTCTGCCAGAAACATATACACCTACGGTTTTAGATAATTATTTAGCTGAAATTGAAATAAAAAGCCTACCAATAACGATAGAATTATGCGATATTGGAGGAGCTCAAAGACACCAGAAACTAAGAATCCTCTCCTATGCCAAGGCAAAAGTTTTCTTGCTTTGCTTTTCACTAGTCAATCCAGGTTCATTTTTATCAGTAAGAAATAATTGGCATCGAGAGATCAAATCTCATTCGCCCAACACTCCAATAATTCTGGTTGGTACAAACAAAGATCTAGTTGATAATCAAGAAGTAAGAGAAAAACTTAGCCGAACAAATGAATCCGTTGTGACTGATGAGGAAGCAAAAAAACTTGCAGATGAATTGGGATATCAAGGATATTTACCCTGCTCCTCACAATTAAATATGGAATGTATGAGTTAGGGGTACAGTCCCTATACTTGTCCTAGTGAGGGGAAGTTCATTCTTTCTGAAGGAAATCAGCGTTGGGACTGCTCCGACAGCCCCAAGTGTACTTGAATCACATTCAAGAAACAAAGAGAGACTCGTCCGGGCCATAGGCGTCTGTAACGGTTCGACGGTTAGGCCGATTCCACCTACCGTTGTTCAGAGCTGTTCGCTAGTGGATGGAATTCATGGAGGAAGAGCTTGTATTGCTAGATCCTAAGCTAAGTGGGGGTCGACAAAGAGTTATCGTAATCTTAAATCTTACCCTGCTCCTCAATTACTGGCGAGGGGATACGGAGGGTATTTGATGAGGCTATTAAGCTCGCAATTTATGATAAAATACATGCAACAGGGAAGAAAAAAGAAAAATGCATAATCTGGTAAGAATGGTTTCAGCACTATATGCGGAAACTTAATAAGACCTCAAATATTATCATTTTAATTAATTAATATCAACACACACGGTAATCCGAATTTAAACTTATTTTGGCATTAAAGAACTCTTCAATAGCATAAGATATTTTATACAGCATTTTTTTATATCTAAATCAGCTTGAATTTAATTGTTTAATCAATCATTAAATGCACTTTTCTTAGCAGGACTACTAAAAAACTATTAGCTATATTTAAATTAAGTTATAAATGCTGGAATTTAAAATTTGGCATAAGAAATGCAAACAAGCTAAAACAATAAAAAATACAAGCGGTGGGAATTGAACCCACGACCTTCTGCGTGTTAGGCAGATGTGATAACCACTACACTACGCTTGCTTGGAAGTGCAACACTCACACCCATTTTATAGTAAAGATAGAATAAATTATTATAGTATTTTCTTAAAAATATTTGAGCAAGAGCAGTCCATTATTTGCACAATTAAATGAATAATGAGACTTTAAAAGATATGAACTTTAGTGCATCGAGCTTATTATAATCTATTAAAAGTAAAAAACTTATATGATTGTAAAACTAATTTTATTTCTATGATGAGATATGTATTTAAATAAACATGCATTTCTAGATCATGTTGATTATTGTTGCGAATAAAGAAAATATCAAGACAAAGGAAATTCCCAAAACGATCCAAATTCTCTTAATCTGAAACTTTTCCACTTTGATTTGAGTAACTATTTCCCTCACTCCCATACCCATGAGCGAACAAAACCATAGGAAAAATCCCCTATTATTTGGTAAAAAAAAACCTCTGAGAGCGATAAAAAATTTTTTTCAAATGAAAAAATATTTGGATATATAAGTTATATTTATTATAATGAAAAATCAATTTAATGCTAATTTTAATAAGCTTGCAAATTAAATTAATTTTATTTCTCAGTTTTTGCGAAATGGGATTATTAAAAATTTCGAAAAAGAAAGTTTACTAAAATAATATATAATTTTAAAAAAAATTAGTCCTCCCTGATGCCAGCTAGCAAAATGTTTTATTTGCAACTGGGAGAGCGGGAGTCAGTATAATCTGGGTCTGGGATTTCTGTTAAAGGATTTCACCATGAAGTGATGTGACTTCCTAAAACAGTCTTGAAATTTTCATATATTGAAGTTGTAATTGCGATCTTATTGTTCCTTTTTTCAATTTCTGTTTGATTATTTATAATTATCAGTAATTGATCATACAATAAAAATCCAGAAAAAACAAGATATAATACTGCCAAGTATTGAACCTGCCCACCTCTCCCTGCATTACAGAAATTAATTTTTTGGAATAATTCTGTCGCTTTACTTGTCAAGTGCATTTTAATTTTAAAAAATGTTTTTTTTGATATATAAAAAATAGCGTTATATTGCAATTATTAAATTTAGTGTGTATTGTAAGCATCGCTAAGCTATAATTTAGCAGGAAGATATAGTTGAGATGTTATTATTATAGGTAATTAGTATTTATTGTAGCTAAATATTTTTTAGAGTACTGATATGGGGGAGCACTGGATTATTTTTGTGCTGCACCAGATATAAGCTTGCAAACAGTGAGATAAAAGCAGATAGCAAAATTATAAATAAATTTTCATCCAAATTATAGCTTGCGCACTAGAATAGATAGATATGGCCAAACAATGTACCGACCAGCAAAAATGGACTATGAACGCCTACATTATACAGTATAAGTCTGATTAGGCATCTTAAAACCATCTATAGAAATTTTTATTTCCATTTGCATTTTTCAAAAAAATTGGCAACAAAAATTTATAATTAAAATTAAAATGATGATCAATAATGCTCTATTAAAATCTTGAATTATATAATTTTGAGCTTGCATCGCAAAACAAATAGAGGAGAGAATAATAAATAACGTTATGCCGTTAAGAATAAAAGAGTACGCTAATAGCAATATAAAACTTTTTTGAGTCTTAGCTCCTATGCAATTACAAATCCAAGGGCAATGGTGATTCATCTTATGCACACATTTCTTGCATATGTGGCAATGGTGAGTTCTTTGAGGTTTTCATTGTTGGCAATTATCACAATAGCTCAAATGCTCTAGTGGGACTGAATCAGGGACTTGCATAGTAGGAGTATATCCTGGATTGCTAAACATTGATCTTAGATGTGAAGTTATTGTAAGAGTGATAAAGCAATGATAAATAAGGATCCAAATTACTCCGCCTTTTGTATAATGGTTACCCACTTGATACCAGATTGGGATGAGTTGAAATATGATTGTATATTCTGCCAAAGATAATAGCGAATAAATGAGCCCCACACAGCAAAGCCCAATTGCTGTAATTTTCATTTATGCTTTTTTATAAAATATGACGTTTTTATAAATTGCCACGAAAATATGGAATTTTGCAATATATTTTCTATAGATAGCTCAAGGGTATTCCAATAAACAGCATTATGGGCTATCTATGAAAATATCTGCAACTAGCTCTATAGCAGTTGAAGATGAAGTTCTTATACCTTTCCCATATTAAAATTGGAACCAAAAAATCTAGGTAATTAAGATTGTTTTTTAAAAAAATTAATATAAGCTTTCTCAAATTTAAATAGAGTAATTGCAGCTAAATTTTTTATTTTGGCGATATAAAATAGGCATTAAGCTGTTTAATTAACGATTTAAAAGCTCGAAAGATGTCGAATGCTCAGATTTAGAATGCTCATGAGCTTGCATATTTTGTAAGGCTGCGAAATAGCAAGAGAAATCTAAAATTATTTAATTGATTCCAATGCAATTTTATACGCATTGCTTTGCTTAGGTCTTCATTACGAAAAATTTGATAAATATTGTTAATATGCCTTACTCAAAACAATTATTCTTATTTATAATTTCCACTTTTTGATCTTTACTCTCAAGCTTTTCTTTGATTCAGTCGATTTAGATGGCTGAGATGCTCTAATTACGGCTTCTTTCAATGAACACAGGTGATAAGATTCATCTTTTAATCTTACTTTTCCTTTAAATTGGGACGAAATGCTGTTATAATTCTTTTTCAAAATGGAAAGAACCCCAGCTTGGGAAGTGCTCTTGCGATAAGGTCATCCAATAAAGAATTGGAATGAAGCTATGGCTCTTGAAAGCGTAAGATGCTCAGACAAATCCATATGGATATCTAGAGCAGCAATTAAAATTTTATCCAGAAGCTATCCTGAATTTTTTCCCTGCAATTGTGCAATTAGGATTGGCAAATTAATTTTAGTGAAGATTTTAATTTTATATATATTACTTTGTAAAAAACTTTATTATCAAAAAACCGCTCTATAATTTTAAAAATTATTAGAGGAGTTAGCGACACAGAAGTATTAGCAAGCGAATTCGCGGTAAAGGGTCTTGTGCTACCTGTCATTGGCCTAGATGAAGCAACACGATTTGCTCCTTTTAATGTTGCCGTTGAAGATGCAGAAAAAGGCCTAATTTGGCTGTCAGAGCAATCTTTAATTAAATTTGAAGATGAGTTTGATTTGTCTGTCTCTCTGAAACTTACAATATATCTATGATGTTGCCCTCCGGTTCTATTAAGCTCATCAAGAGGCAACTGACAATCAGATAGCATTCTTTTGCTCTTAAGATCTTTCTCAGATCTTGATTTTAACGGATTTGTAGCTGTATAAGGTCTTGCACTATTCAAAATTCCACAAGTAGCTCTCATTCTTTGATAGGAAAAATTTTCATTAGTTCTCGATTTATTGACAATAGAAGAACTTTTAGATAAAGTTTGCTTTACCTGTTCATAAAGATTTGGGTCTTGCAATAAAACTCTTAATTCGTTCATTTGCTTACTTTGGACTTGATTTTTGTTTTTTCTCAAAAATTTTTTTAATTTATAAGGAGATCGGCTATCACTGATTGTTTCTTGAGGCTCAAATAGTACATTTGAAGCATTTATTTGGCTGCTCATGATTTTTTCAAGCCTTTTATCTAAATCAGGGTTAGATGAAACTGTTTCTGATAAGATAAATGTATTTGTATTTGAATCTTTTGCAATAATTAAACCTGGCTGTGAAAAAAGCCTTTCTTCAATAAGTTTGCTTCTATCATAAGTGTTTGCAGCTAAGAATAAGTACTCATGAGGAGTCAATCTTCCTATATGCTTAAAATTTGGGGTGTTATGCTCCAGCCATAAAGATATAAGCTTCAGTGGCAGAAACCTATTAACCAATATAAATGACTTCTGCAATAAACTTGGGTCTTGTTTAACTCCATTCCTCCTCGATTCAAAATCTAATGACACATAAGAGCTGTAATATGTTTTTATCCACGGTACCCTATTTATTTCCTACGTTATTTTATTTTTGCTGAACAAAAATATCGCAGCCTTAATTAACTTGACATTTATCTCAGTTTCAAAACCATTTGCAAGCTAAATATCTTTTACTTCTCTGACATTTCGTCAGAACTCTACGTCATCTAGAACATTAAAGATTTCTTGTATATCAATTCATTTTTTTTCTTTTATTACTGGTTTTAGGAATAAACGAAGGTGTGGCAAATAACAAGCAAGCTATATGTAAATTACACTAATTCCTTCACCTATAATATACTCAATTAAATCGCTATTCACGTTGGCTTCCATTTTGCTAGGCTGCACTATCCCTTGTAGCGTTATTATCTCTTCTGCCATATTTTATATTCAATTTTTGATATTAAATATGCTAGGCTCAGGCGCTGGATCAGTCTGGAATGCAAACTCTTGGCATTGGTAACCTCTATTTAGGGAAGAGAAAAACTACAAAATCTGGGCTCAAAACAGATTTAAAGAGCTTCTCCTCGGTCTTTCTTTCACACACAACTCTTGGAGGATCTATCTAGATTCAATCACAGAAATCAAAAACTCTGCAAGTGTTATGATAAGGAAAGGCAAAACAATTCTTCTGTTTGAATTCGAAGTTGATGCCAGCTGGAAGGCAAATAAAGATGACAAAGAAGAATCTGGGACTCTAAAAATCCAAGAATTCAATCAAGATGAAGCAGACGAAATCATAGTCATGGCTGAGCCTACTAACTCCCCTCCCTCTGTGAGCGAACAAATTTTTTTTTTCGCTCAAGATGGTCTAAAAAATTATATATAAACTTTATAGTATTTTTAAAAAAAAAAAATTTGCAAAAATGAAAAGTAAATTAAATTAATTCGCGAAATTTATTTTTAAAATGCAGCCTGTTTAAAATCAACAGAATTAGCTCGAGATTTCGTTATAATAATTATACTAATTATCATAAATCAAAATTTTTTTCTCATAAAAAATTTGTTTTACCCAAAAAATAGGGATTTTTCCTATTTTTTTGTTCGCTCATAGAGGAGGGAGTAAGGAGAATGATGACTCGTGGGCCATTAAAATATTTTTACAAAGAGAAGCGAAGGCTCAGATTGTGGAGATAGTGAATCAGTTTGCAAACGAATTCAAAGAGCTGGAAAGCAACCAGGCAAAGTTTGCAGAGGATAGGAACAAGAGAAAGGAAGAAGAAGATAAAAGGAAAGCAGCAATTGAACAAAATTCAGCTGAGCAAGAAAGGCTAAGTAAGCTAGCTCAGGAAAGAGAAGAAGTATTGAAAAAGGCAAACCAAGAAAATAAGCCAATTCAGCTAGAAGATAATAAAGCTCAGGGATCAGTGTGGAACGCTGGGTCTTATTTCTGGGAAGAAAAATCAGTGAATTGGGCTGCTGATAGACTGAAAGAGCTGATAAAAATGATTCATTTTGAGATTCCAGCTGGAAATATCAGCATTACGGAAGTGAATTTACAAGGAGATGCATCAATTAGTATTAGAAAAGCCAAGAAAATCGTGACTTATAGCTATATCATAGACGTCAAGTGGGTTGGTAAAATTTTTGATGGAGAAGGTAACGAGTTAAGGTCTTGCAAAGGGACAGTCCACCTACCAGATGTAAGTATGGACGTCGAGCCAAATTTTGAAATACAAATCAAAATAGACGAGCCTGGCCCAGAAAACGAACTCATAAAGTACTATATGGACGCCCAAGGTAAGCCAGCAATTATTTCACAAATTCAAACTTTCATTCAAGAGCTGAAAAATTCATAAATAAACCTTCATTTTAATCTGATAAAATTCTATACTAAAAAATATATTTATATTTCACATTGTCATCGATAAATGGAAGATACCAAAACACAGGTTTTGACACCTTCAAGCCCTAGTTTTAAAAAACTATTTTCCAAAAAGCCTCCTAGGTCATCAAATCTAAATGCTCATTGTCATATTTGTAATCTTCAATTTTCGTCAATCCATAAAGGATTTGAATGTTCAGTATGCAAAAAAGGAGTCTGCAAAGAGCACATTCTGGTCCGAACTGCAATGACGTTGCTTCCTATTTGCGATGATTGTGAAAGAAGCAGAATTAAAAAAGAAATCGCAAGAGAGCTTGCACCTCAGTATAAGTCATTAAAAGGTGATATGAATTGAATGCTTAAAGAAAAAGAAAAGATAAAGACAGAGATTACAGGGAAATATGAAATTATTTCGAGGCTAGAAATTCAGATGAAAAATAACGAAAAAACTTATGCGCAGAGATTGGAGAATTTTGAAAAGAAAATTGAAGAAGAAAATGAAAGGGAAAAGACAGTGCAGAATGTAATTGAGAGCTTAAAAAATGCCTTAACTGAATCTCACTCTATCCAATTAATAATAATTAAATTTTCTAATGATTAGAATGATTTTCTTATATATTTTTTACTCCAAATTTTTGCCAAAAAGTATTACTGCAGGGAGAGTCAGAATTCAGAAGAACAAATGAAGAGGAAAAATGAAATAAAAGCAGAAGAAATCAAAACACATATAGAGGAAATCAAAGAAATGAAAGAATCTGAAGAAAAGTTTTTAAACAATATTGACGAAATTAATAAAAATTTGAGAAATACAATCCCAGCAACTAAGATAAAATCAATTGCTTGCTCAAAGTGTTATGAAGCTTTGAAAGAAACTTTTAAAGAAAAATACATGGACGCACTCAGAAATGAAGGTAGGGAAAGCTTGCTAGCAAGTTTTATATTGAAAGCAAGTGTAAAGCCTACTGAAGGTACAAAAAGAGCAAGAATTGAATCAATTACAAGAGAAACTTGCAAGCAATGCTTACTAATGTAAAATTATAGCGTAATTAATCAAATAATTTTTCGTTTAAAGTTATTGCAAATCTGAGACTTTTCGCCCTTGGAAAAAATAATTAACACATAAGTTGCCTGTTAGCAATGATAATTCTTCAGCTGAAATAGTAGATTTATCAAAATCAGGGTTTATATCAAGTGTTCTTGCTTCAATGAGCTCAAACCTACTTCGCTGCATTGCTCTTTGAAACTGCTCTACTGAGAAAATGTTATTAAAAACTGAAAATAATTCTTCCTTGCTTTCTGGGTTGATAAATAAAAGCTCAACTTGCGGAATTTCATTAATTACTGTTATATTTTGATATTTTGCAAAAAAATGATCTTCTGCGACCTCTTTAAAAGTCAGAAAATTTGTATAGGTTTCTGGATTAAGAGTCACAAATCCAATTTTCCCTCCTGGCTTCAGATATCTGTTGCATAAATTAAATATTTCAGCAAGTTGATTTTCATCTTTCGCAAAGCAATGGAAATAAAAGGCAGTTATGATATCAAAATAATTACTATATATATCTAGAGATAAAATTTGAGAGACACTCTCTAAAGATGAACAATCAGCTTTTTCTATCATGAATTTTTGATTAGGTATTTTGAGGCTTTCTAAGTATTTTTTTGCACTTTCGACCATTTCTTGTGATATATCTAGACCTATTACTTGATCGGCACCTTTTTCAAAAAAATGAGCTATAGACTGCCCAGATCCGCATCCCAAGTCAAGTATTTTTAATCCTGATAATGAATTTTCACAATAATTTCCATCTCTTGATAACTGTTTTATTGTTGTATATTCGCCACAGTAATAATATAGTGGTGATCTTTTAACATGATTATTACACTTAAAATTATCAGTTAGGGTTATGACTCAGGTCTTACATCAGAACTCAGTGAGAGAAGTCCACGACTTCTTGAGAGTCTCTACTCAAAAAAATGGGTCTACACTGAGTCTGGTATATATCAGAGAAGTCTGAAGGGGCTTGGGGATAGAAATAGGTTGACGAGCCACCTACCGTTATTCAGAGACAAGGCTGGGTTTAGGAAGTATGGGACTTGAAGAGCTACCTTAAACTTAAACATGTTTATATCTTTCAAAATTTTCATCAAAATTTCTTTCAGAATCAGCCATTTATATATATAAGATTTAAATTAATATGATATCCTTGACAATAAAAAAAAGTATTCCTCTCTTTCCTTTCTTTCGAAATTATTTTCAATAAGCTTCAATTTATAATTATCCTATATCAATATTTAATTGACTTTTGTAACCTCTATGTTTTATTTTAGTCTATTTTTCCATTTCAATGAATTTCATCTTCATCTCAGAAAGACGTACTGAATCTCCGATAACTTGCAAAATTAGTCAAACTTTTGTTGAGTTAAAAATTATTTAATTTTAGAATGAAGCATTTTTATTGCCAAAATTTGGCTTTATCATATTAACTGTAAAAAGATTTATTTATTGTCTCATTTCACTTTTCCAATGTAGACATATAATGGGTCCCTTTGTAATTTACTATTCAACACAAATGATTACATTTATTAGACCTATAAGCAACGCAGAATCAATATAATTCAATACCATAAAAATGTTAAGAGGGCAGTATAAGAATTATTTTTAATTTGAAACATCTTATAACGAATTCTGATATAGCCTGAGCACCTTTATGACTTGGATTCCTGATCTTTTCCGACGCGAAAGATGAGAGTTGCCTAACCAATTAATATAGGTTTGACAAGTGGCAGAACCACATGATGCAGGGTTTCTGCTATATGCATTAAAATGGCGGCAAATCAGCCCATCCATTTAACTCCTGTAGCTGACACTCGAAGGCTGCCAGGGACCTTGAGGAAGGGAGGCTGGTGTTCGATAAGTATATCGGCTTGGCTTTATTGGTCTGATAAGCGAAATGTCAGACTGATCGAATCCAAGCTTTACTCCAATCCCAAGTTTTGCCTAAGATGGAGATGGGTCTAGAAGTTGGAAGAGGCTTCCCAGCAGTGTCAATGGCGTTCGTCTTGATAAATCGGGACTATTCCCCAGCATGAAACCAGGAGTTAGGCCTGGGCTACGGATTTCCATCTTAGCCGAGAGTCGACTAGAAAAATCAAAGGGTTGAATTTTCATTGGTGGACGTATGTCATGGTGATCTAAACTTTCCGACTACCAGGTAGCATGCAAAGGCTCATGTGTAGTAGGAGCAAGACTTTGAAGGTCGCAAGACATTGTCGGCGAAGTGGGTGAGTGGATTTTTATGGAAAGGAGTAAGGATTTTCAATCCGAGAGCGAGCTTTTCTATAACCTAAGTAATTGTAATTGCAGAGTTTCTCACAATTGGGATAGTTGGTCAAACCAATATTAGTTGGCTTTACCATCCCTACTCTTTCTTTAGAAAAAGATAGGGAAGCCCAAGCTATAGAGATGCTCAGGCTATATCTTATCTTTAGGAGCTCTTTTTCTTCCTAGAAAAAATAGCCAAGAAAAAAATTTCTAGCTAGTAGTCCAAAGTCTCAGCAAAACATTTGCTTTATCAAAGTCAGGATTAGTGCCAAGAGGTTTTGCATCAATGAGCTCTCAATAGAAGGCTATTATTGCGTCGAAATAATTATTATATTGATCTATTAGTAGCACTTGAGAGACACTATCTAAAGACATCAATCAGCTTTTATTATCGATAATTTTTGATGAATTTTGAGGCTTTCTAGGTGAGCTTTTGCACTTTCAACCATTCCTTGTTGTATATCAAGACATGATTTGATTAGCTCCCTTTTATGAAAATTGGCATGGATTTTCCAGGCAAAGTCAAGAATTTTTCACTCTGATAAGTTAAGTTATTAAGTATCCGGCCATAAACGCTCCCGCAGGCGCTGACCATCCGCCCCGTCTCGGCTCCAAAAATGGCATGTCGACCATTTTGGATTTCCGACCTGAACTACCTGTCCAGGGGATTATTTCGCACTGGACAGAGCTGCTCCTAGATAGCGACCCGATGGTTTCGGTGAGGAAAGACCATGTGGTAGGCAAAACCTTTCTAGCCCATCTGGCAGGGGCAGAAAAAACCTTCGGGGGAGAAACAAAACACCCTGTTTAGGCAAGCTTCCCTTTGAGACAGCCTACTTGAGCCCTGAAGGCGCATTTCGCCACTCTCTCCTGATCCACTGCTCCTAAGGAGGTGTCGCCTAGGAGTCCACTTTCCGTCAGCATCACCATTTTATTTCTTTTTCACTCTGATAAGGAATCTTCGGTGTACTGCTCATCTCCTATCGCTACTTTATTGCTGAATATTCACTGCAATAGTAATATAGAGGCGATTTCTTAACACGATTATATACTTCACAGTTCTCGTCATAATTACTTTAAGCGTCTTCCATTTATTATATATCTCAGAATATGTTCCAAACAAATCTACAAAAAGCAGTCATCTTCTCATCATAGGTCATATATATTTCATTTACAAAATTCTTAATCCATAAATACTTTACTTGAATTATTGCTTCTATTTATATTTATTTCGCATCTAGAAAAAAATTTATTATTTCAAAGCCAGCTTATAATAAAGAAAAAAGGGTTTCATTCTGACATTTGCTATTAATTTTCAAAGTTCTGTTAAACTTTTTCTAAGCGCGAAATTGAATTCAAATTACTTTAGGAATTTAATTCTTACTGTTAGTCCTAATTTTATTCAACTCATTTACTTTAGTTCGCTTCATTCTTAATTTGCCTCTGATGTCTTAAAGTCATCAAGAATCAAATTAAGAAAGAATGATTTAGGTACTATAAGTCTTGGAATTATTGGATTTCAAGTCAGTAAAGCTTGGAAAAGGCAGACTTCGGGGATCGGGAGCTACAGTCCACTTCGCGAGAAAAAAGCAGGGCTTCTTACTATCTTCACTTTCGGTTGTTGATGTTGACCAATAGCCACTGCCGCTCCTTCGGATTGATTTCTTGTTCATCTCTAGGGTTCTTTAAGGTATTTACTAAAAAATTTATAAGACTTGAAAAGCCATTAAATTCATAAAGCTAGTTTGGTTTAATTTTTAACATACCGTTCAGAACCCAATAGAAATTAAATTGATAATTCTTTAATTTAAAATAGTCATATTATTGCAAAAATAAGTCCGATTGCTAGGATAAATTCAAATAAGAAAATTTCAAAATTCATCGAGAATGTTGGCGTGGATGATTATTATTCACTTTTTAAAATTAATCATGGAAGTCCCCAACTGAGATAATGCAAAATAAAGTATTGTCCAAAGCTTGGATAAAGGACCTTTGCTTAATCCGAAAAAGTTATTTATGCTACCATTTTTCCAATATAAATATTTTGCTATCTGGAAGATTCACTTCATTACAAATTAGAGATAATATAATTGTTAAGAATTGTATAAATTATCATAGCTACTCTCATATAAATAAGACATTAATATCAGAGCCGATACAAATATCACCAAAATCCAAAACCATCCACTCCATGCTTCTTTTGGTTTTCTTGGAGTATTTGGTAATGGTTGAATCCCTTGCTCTTTAAGTCTTTTTAGCTCTGATTTTACAAGAGGGTCTGTTAAGTCCAATCCAAATTTTTCTGCTTGTTCAAGCATTTCTTTGCTTGGATTTTCAAAATCCATTATTGCTTTTTTTGCATCTCTTCTATATTTTTTCATCTTGTTTATTTTTTTTTTCAAATTTTTTGCTTCAGTTTGTTGTCCATTTGATAAGAGATCTTTTACCATAATTTCTCCTTTCTGAATCATATCTTCAACTTCAGCTGCAGAGTTTTGTTTTGGTTGTGGTGCTGCATCATCATATGTTGGTTTTTTAAAAAACGAATTAAAGGTCTTTTTGGATTTCTCAGTTTGGTCTTTAATAAAATCTTTAAATTCTGTGATCTTTTGTCGTATTGCTGCATTTTTAGGATCAATTAAAGCTGCTTCTTTTAGCAATTTCAAGGCGTCTTGATAGTCATTTATTCCAGAGCTTGCCGGCATTGTCATGGCTTGTGCCTTCCTATAAAGAGCTTTTGTATTTTTTGGGTCAATTTTTAATACTTCGTCACAAGCTCTGACTGCTTCTTTTCATATCTCGAGTTTTATATTGCATAGTGCAATATTAAGATAAATTGCAATCACACACTGTTTAGCTTCTTCGTTAGGCTCTTCATTGTGTACTGTTAGATCTGAGTCTTCGATTCCGCTATTTTTCCAATTTTTATTTTTGTTATCTACCCATCTAAACACAGTCAAGGCTTCTTCATACTTAAATAAAGCTTTTTGGAACTCTTCTTGTTTAAATAGCTCTGTCCCTTCATTTTTCTTCTGCTCAAATGCTGCAATTTTTGCGTTTGTGCTTGAATCTCTGATGCTTTTGAAAGAGTCTGAATAATAAAGCCCTGCTTGATGGAATTGTGGCCAGCTATCAAAATTTGTACGAGCTTTACTGAGCTGGGCTGTTTTTAAAGCCACAGCTTCGCGCATGAGTTTGTCAAATTCTGTTTTCCCTTCCATCTTGCTAGAATTTTCGTCGATTATTTATATAAAAATTATTTGTTTTTAATCATAAGTGATAGAAAAGAAACAGCTGTGTCTTCTTCGGTTTCAGATTCAGAGCTTTCTTCAGTTGTGGAGTCTGTTGATTCTTCAGTTACTTCCTGTGTGTCTTCTTCGTCTTCTACTTGATAGCTTTCAAGAGACTCAACTAAGCCATCGTATTCTGTTTCTACAGTTTCGCTGATTTCATTAGAAGTGTTATTAGCCCACCAATCCCAAATTTCTTCTTGGTAATTTCTTTCGTCTTCTTTTTCTTCTTCAGCTTGCTCATCAGCAGTATCACTGAACCCATCATAGTCGTTTCTATCTTAATCTAAATCTTAAAAGATGGGCTTGGCCGGCTGGTGGTTCCTCAGTCACCAAGGACCCTTAAGGGTTGCCTTGCGATATCTTTTCCAACCACAGGAATTAATGCAAAACTTAATCTGAAATACAAGTCCATATTAGATGGCAATCTCAACTATTCCTCACTCAGTTCGCTTTGACCATAAAGTTGAGAAAGTTATGTTAATAAGCTAGGTGCATTTAGGTCACCATTTTTCTGCATATTAGTCGTTTCCCATCAATCGGCTCAGAAATATCTACAGTTTTTGCAGCTTTTCTAACAATGGTGGTAATTTGTCGTTCAAGGCCGCTGATTTCTTCGTATAGCTCATCTTTTGATTCTTCTAGAAATTCAATATTGCTCTCAATCTGCGAAATCTCATCTTCATTATTATCTATATCATTTTCATTATTTTGAGGCTCAGGGCATTCATTTTGTCCTTCTTGATGGTAAAAATATTTATCTTCACATACATCACTATAAAAGCCATGACCTGATAAGCAATATTCACCTTTCGCACACCACCCACATTGAGTATCAGATAAACATATGTCGCAGCTGTTATACTGCTCACAGCCATGTGAGGAGCAAGAACCATAATTGAATTCAGTACATTCTCCATTTGCAGGACCTAATGAATCGCCTATGTGGCATGTCTTTTCTATGCTACACCAGACACATTCATCATTGGATGTGCAATCCCAGCAGTTTTCGAGGTTATTGCAATTCTTTTTTAATAATTCTAAGGTTTCTTCTAATGCAGCAATTTGTTCGTCAATATTTGAAATTTGAATATTTAATTTATCAATTTCAACGTTTAGTAAAGACTCAGCTGAATCTGAATTTATTTCTTGCTGGATATCCATTTGTTCACTTAAATTTTCAAGATTTTCATTTGCTTTGATCGAAAAGTCAGTTATTTTGGAGCCAACTTCTTCTATGCCTTGACCAATTCTCCCTGCTGAACTAATCTGAGTCGTTTCTTCTTCCTCTTCAAGATTTGATGATTCATCAGAGCTTTCACTTGACACAGAGCTATCAGTTTCTTCAACATTAGTCTCTGTTGTTGTATCAGTAGCTGAGGAACTTTCGTCTTGCTTCATTTGCATAGAAATTCCTGAACATATAACTAAAACACTCAAAAATAAAATGTTCATATATTCGTTTTATAAAATTAAGCAAGACATTTTCCTTATCATGATAATTAATATGATGGTGGCGACGAAATATAGCTCATACCCCTTTATAGATTTCTTTATCGAGCAAAATGTACTGGATTATTGAACGACCAAGAGAGACTCTATTAAAGGAACGGGCTGGATATCTATATCAGGAAGTGCTAAAAAGTGACATGTCAAAAAATGGTGACAAGTCTGAAAAAAGTTGACAAGTGAACGCGCCAATTTTTAAAATGGATTTATTATTAAAATAATTTTTAAACTTAAGATATTTTAATTTATCAATATTTAATTATGCTAAGTACACATCATATGAGTCGATAAGAACTTTATATATATTGAGAATCACAAGCCACGCACTTTGCAAATTATAGCTCTAGTCTTCATAAATAAATTAACATAAAATAAAGAAATTCCATCGAGCCGGAAAAATGCACATCGATTTACAAGTTTTTTATTTTCACTTATAAGCCATATTGAATTTTTGCTAACTCCCCCCCCCTCCGTGAGTGAACAAAACCATTAGAAAAAATGGCTATTTTTTGCCCAAAAACCCACCCTCCGTGAGTGAACAAAAATTTTTTTAATAGAAAAATTTTTTATGGAAAAAAAATTGATATATAAATGATAATTAATATAATGAAATCTAGAGCTAATTCTGTTTAATTTTAAACGATTGCTATTTAAAACATAAATTTTATAAATTAAATTAATATTTGCTTTCCAATTTTTGTGAATTAGGATTTTTTTAAACTTCGAAAAAAATATGTTTTAAAAAATTTATATATAAATTTTTTTAAAAAAAAAAAATTAACCCCCTTCTGTGAGTGAACAAAATTTTTTTGTTCACTCACGGAGGGGGGGGAGTAAGTATTTCTCATATGAGTCGATAAGAACTTTGTAGATATTGAGAATCACAAGCCACGCACTTTGCAAATTATAACTCTAGTCTTCATAAATAAATTAGCATAAAATGAAGAAATTCCATCGAGCCGGAAAAAAATGCACATTGAGTTGCAAGTTTTTTATTTTCACTTGTAAGCCGTGTTGAAATTTTGCTAACTCCCCCCCCCCCCCCGTGAGCGAACAAAACCATTAGAAAAATCGCCATTTTTTGACCAAAAACCCACCCTCCGTGAGTGAACAAAAATTTTTTTAATAGAAAAAATTTTAATGGAAAAAAATTTTGATATATAAGTGATAATTAGTATAATGAAATCTAGAGCTAATTCTGTTTAATTTTAAACAAATTGCGTTTTAAAAACATAAATTTTTGCAAATTAAATTAATATTTGCTTCCCAATTTTTGCAAATTAGGATTTTTTTAAATTTCGAAAAAAATATTTTTTATAAAAATTTATATATAAATTGTTTTTAAAAAAAAAAATTAAACCCCCCTCCGTGAGCGAACAAAATTTTTTTGTTCGCTCACGGAGGGGGGGGGGGAGTAAGTACACATCATATGAGTCGATAAGAACTTCTTATATATTGAGAATCACAAGCCACGCACTTTGCAAATTATAACTCTAGTCTTCATAACTAAATTATTATAAAATAAAGAAATTCCATCGAGCCGGAAAAATGCACATTGGTTTTGATTTTTACAGCTATTATTAAAATTAAATATATATGAAAATCAAAATATTTAAAGCCAATATATAATATGCAATTATATCTTCTGTCTAATTGGGTATCTTAAGTTTAAAATTATTTTAATAATAAATCCATTTTAAAAATTGGCGCGTTCACTTGCCAACTTTTTTCAGACTTGTCACCATTTTTTGATATATAATTTTTAGCACTTCCTGATATAGATATCCAGTCCGTTCCTTTAATTAGAGTCTCTCTTGGTCGTTCAATAATCTAGTACATTTGCTCGATAAAGAAATCTATAAAGTTAAGTTAAGTTAGTTTTGTAAGGCCATAAGCGGCTGAGCCACTGACCTCAACACCTCAGCTCGAAAGACGACCCCCGGTCGGGTTCTGATGTGGCCATACTCCCAGGCCAGACGCCATCTCGATTCTGGTCAAAACCACCTGTCCAAAGGATCAGCTCCTTTGGGCAGAGCCACTTCTGTCTGAGTGCCCCGATGGTCCCGATGAAGGAAGACCACATGGTAGGAAAAACCTGTCTAGCCCGTCTGGCAGGGACAGGGAAAACCTTCGGGGGAGAAATAAAACTTCCTCTTCGGCACGGCTTCCCCCAACTGAAGGCCTACTTAGGACAGGAATGAGACCTGTATCTTCAGCTTCATCAGCAATGGGTCCTACCAGCTCATAGGAGGTGTCCAATTTCCGTCGACATCACCATTTTATTTCTTGAAATCTATAAAGGGATATAAGCTATATGCCCTTGACGATGACACATCACTTTGGGCGTCAAAAAATGGTTTTGCAGGCTAAATCAATCTCTAGACCCTTTAATCCTAACTCTTAGTTCGCCTAGAGCGGCTTTATGGGATGGGCAGCCTTGAGAGTCAACTGATTGCTATTTCAGTTCAAGAATTAGTTATCCAGATTATTATTGGGTCACTGATTCTTTCCTATCTCCTCTATAACACCCACAAGACGTTCAGCACAGGGGGGTCTTTCTGACCTGCCAAAACTCAGGGATGTATTACAAGCCCTTAGTCCTGGGAGAAGGCTGCTGTTGATGGGACTCAGGCAATTAATGCTACCCCCCTGGCAGGCAAGGGTCCGGCAGCAGAAAGCTTGCGAAGGTTTTAAATCTGGAAAACCTTAAGACGTTTAATTTAACTTATTATGATTATTCTATTTATTTCTGCAATTCTTAACTTATATATCGGATAAGAGCATCTAATAAGCTCTCTCTAATAAATATAAACAAATTCTGTCAAAAGTTTGCAAAAGGAAAATATCAAATTCATATAATTTATTTATCATGAAAAATATTAATATCACGAGCAAATGACGCTGATTAAAGATGACTCAATTAATAAAATTAGAAAATGAATGATATCAGAGTCGGAAGTAAATACAGAGTTGGCAAAAAAATCGGGGCTGGCTCTTTTGGAGAAATATATCAAGGCACAAATATCCAAACAAATGAAAACGTTGCAATAAAGCTAGAAAGTCTCAGCACCAAGCACCCTCAATTAATTTATGAAAGTAAAGTAATAAAAATGATCCAAGGCATCCCAGGTATACCTATGGTGTATTGGTCTGGAGTTGAAGCGACTTATAACGTCATGGTTATGGAGATGCTTGGTCAAAGCCTCGAAGACCTGTTTAATTCATGCAAGCGAAGATTTACATTGAAAACTGCACTTATGGTTGCTGAACAGATGCTTTGCAGAATTGAGTACTTGCACTCAAAAAATTTTATTCATCGAGACATAAAGCCTGACAATTTTTTAGTTGGGATAGGTAACCGAAGCAGCCTTATTTATTTAATTGACTTTGGCCTTGCCAAAAAATTTAGAGATCAGAAAACAGCTAACTTCCCGCCTATATAAGCAAACAAAAAAATTTGTACACCGTCATCGATTTAATAATTTTAATATAAATTTTTATAATAATTTTTTTTTCAAAATTCGCAAAATTGGAAGTATTGATTAATTTGCGAAATAAATGCAATTAGAATTAGCACAAAGATTTCGCTATAAAAATTATCACTTATTCATCAAAATTTTTTGTTCGCTCATGAGGGTGGATTTTACCCAAAAAATAGGAAACTTTTTAATGGTTTTTGTTCGCTCATAGAGGGAGGAAGTAAGCATATCCAATATACAGAGAATAAAAGCTTGACTGGAACCGCAAGATATGTATCAATAAATACACACTTGGGAATTGAACAAAGTAGAAGAGATGACTTGGAGAGTATTGGATACGTAATTGTGTATTTCTTAAGAGGATCTTTACCTTGGCAAGGAGTAGCTGCACAAGCAAAGCAAGACAAATACCAAAAAATAATGGAAAGAAAGCTGAACACGCCAATTGAATTACTCTGTAGAGGGTTTCCTCCAGAATTAACTATGTTTATACAATATTGTAGAGGACTTAAGTTTGAGGACAGGCCTGACTATGGGTATTTAAGGAGAATTTTGAAAGAAGCTTTTATGAGAGAGGAATTTCAAAATGATTTAATTTTTGACTGAAATGCAGGGTACTTAAGAAGGGGAAGCAAACTTAGAACAAATAAAGAAGAAGATGTTGTTAAGCTCCCTCCTATAGAAAGAAGAGAACGCGAACTCACAGGAAGTAATCTTGGGATGATAAGATCTTATAATGAAAGGCCAAGGGAAATTCAAAGGCAAAAAACAAGATGTGATATATTTTAGCGATTTCAAAGGTGCATATACCTGATAATTTATTATATATAGATTTAAATACAGTTAAAAGTTTAATCTTAAAAGAGATTTATTAATAAATGAATTGAATTCTAACTTCCCTTCTCCGTGAGCAAACAAAAAGATTTTGTTCGCTCAAGAAGGGTTAATTTTTTTTCTCGAAATTTAAAAAAATCCATTTTCATAAAAATTGGAAAGCAAATATTAATTTAATTTGTTAATTTATACTATAAAATGTAAGCTGTTTAAAATTAAGCTGAATTAGCATGAGATTTCATCATAATAATTATCACTTATATATCTTTTTTTTTTCGTAAATAATTTTTCTATTAAAAACTTTTTTTCCAATGGTTTTAATTTCTCACTAGGGGGATTAAGATAAAAAATAATTTTTGATATGCCTAAATAAAAGTTATAATGTATAGATTATTATCTTATCTTTGCCATTATAAAAACAGATTCCAGCTTCTGGAGATTAAAAGAAAGTAATTAATTTTAGCTAATCGAGGTATATAGCATAAAATCCTATTAGTAAATGCTATTTTCCTTGCAATAATAAAATTATTTTTACGAAAATAACTTATTACAGTTGAAAATTCTAGCAAATATTTTCCTTAACTCCTCCTCCTCCTTGTGCAACAATAAAATCTTGTTCGTTCACTACGGAGGGATTAATTTTTTTTAAAAAAACATTCTAAAGAAAGTTTATAGAATTTGTTTTTTCTGAAATGTAAAAAACCCTACTTCGTAAAAATTGAAGAGCAAATATTAATTTTATTTGTAAAATTTATATTTTAAAACGCAATTTGTTTAAAATTAAACAGAATTAGCTAGAGATTTAGTTATACTAATTATCACTTATATATTAAAATATTTTTTAATAAAATAATTTTTCTTTTAAAAAATTTTTGTTCGCTCACGGAGGGTGGGTTTTTTTGGGTAAAAAATAATGGTTTTTTTGCTCACAGAGGTGGGGAGTAAGCAATCTTTGAAATAACGCTTCAATAAAACCTAATCCTCAATTTCTTTAGATTTGGAATTTCATTCTTATCTCATGTTTTTATTTTTTTAATTCTTTTACGAAATATTCTTTAGTTGACATATTTTCTATGCTCTAGAAATTTCTAATACTCAATTATATTGAAAAAACTCTTCAACTTATTATCTGTCTTAACTCATTTTAAGTTCTTATAAATGGAGGGTCAAAACATTTCTTTAATTCAGAAGCAGCTTTCTTCAGCTATAGAACTCCTTCAGTCCTTTCAGGATGATAAAAATCTAAGTTCGAAAGATACTCACTGCGAGGCAAGACTGAAGGAAATTAGACAAGAAGTGATGAATAAAATCAATTCATCATTAGTTGATATACAAAAGGAAATGCAGGAAAAAATCCAGCAGACCTTAAAAGAATTTGACTCAGAATTCAATAAAGTTATCAATGAGCTCATTGAAGTTGAAGTCAATGTTCTAGATGAAAAGAAAAATTCAGGAAAAACTTGCATTTTATCTCAAAAAGTTCATATATTAGATTAAGATTGCTCCTCCCACTTCAGGCTCGCGCCCTATAAATGGGTAGCACTTACACCATTTTTGCCTACGTCGCCAAAAATGGTGACTTCGACGCTCTAGGGGTGACGCACCCAGGCACTTCCTTGAACAACCCCTAACTGTCAGCCCCGTCTGTCAGGAGGTGGGAAATGGTAGGTGTTCTGAAGTCTCCTCCTGCCCTCCATTAATACCTTCACTGCCAGGAATGTGGGATTATCTTTACGACTCTGGTCTACTTGTCATAGGCAGAGGTAAAAAAGCCCTGCCATGGTGTCCTGGCCAGGGGAAAAAACCTACCCCGGACACAAATTCTCCAGGCCCTGGCCCTCTTAAACCCATAAAACCTGAGGCTGCGGGAGAAGGACAGGTCAGATTGGTGGCCATTTTATTTATGTCAAAAGTTCATAGAAGAAGATCAAGTCTGCTGATAAAAATGCTAAAGAATGAAGATTTTAGAACGGTTTATCATATTTTCATTGCGATCATGCTTGTCATGTGCATTGGGGAAATCGTGAGAGGATATATTGAAAACAGCGTCATATTGGATTTATCCCTATTTTCATGGGCTTTTGGAAAGTTTCATTTAGTGATTTTGGGGTGGCTGCTTGAAACCAGCTGGTGTTTATTGGTCGTTCCATTGGTGCAGCTTATTCATAAAGGGTACTTGTCTAAGCCAGTCTGAATCACTATATATGTCATTATGCAGTTATTTATGTTTATTGGTCCTTGCTATTGGTCCTTGCATTTCAGTCTTCCAATGGCAAGTGGTTTAGTCGTGACTTGCGAAATGGCAAGAATGTCGATGACTATGCATTCTTATCTAACTCCCCCCTCCATGAGTGAACAAAAAAAATCTTGTTTGCTCACGGAGGGGGAGGTTAATATTTTTTTTTTTTTAAAATTTTATATTTTTTTTTATAGAACATATTTTTTTCGAAATTTAAAAAAATCCCACTTCGCAATAATTGGAAAGCGGGTATTAATTTAATTATTAAATTTATGTTTTAAAACGCAATTTGTTTAAAATAAAACAGAATTAGCTTAAGATTTCATTATACTAATTATCACTTATATATCAAAATTTTTCCATAAAAGATTTTTCTATTAAAAAAATTTTTGTTCGCTCACGGAGGGTGAGTTTTTGGTCAAAAAATAGAGATTTTTCTAATGGTTTTATTCGCTCACAGAGGGGGGAGTAAGAGAAAAACTTTTATTTGGAAATGGACCTAATGAGTATGCTACTTACATTCATCCAAGCATGGCTAAAAAGGGAATCACAGTTGAAAATCTAAATATTCCAACTATCACAATTGAAGATCCTATAACTGAATTTAAAAGATTCTTTTTTTATTTTTTCGCTCCAACTCTCATATACCGAGACTCTTATCCGCGAATAACACCGCATAGAAGATGGTGGAACATTGTATATAATCTTCTAAATGTTTTTGGAACAACGTTTTATGTTTATTTATTACTACACACAATTTGCATTCCATATTTTAAAGAGTCATGAAACAAGCCTTGGGAATTAAGATTTATCTTGACTTCTTGGTTCAACATTATGCTGCCAGGCACTATGCTATTGGTTTTAATGTTCTTTGGCATCCTACACAGCTGGCAAAACTTATGGGCAGAAATCATGAGATTTGGAGACCGACAATTCTATACTGATTGGTGAAATGTGACTAGTTTCCATGCTTATTATAGAACGTGGAATATTACTGTGCACGAGTGGCTCTTTCAATATTTTTATCAAGATGTGTATAGATTCTCAAAAGGAAAAGTATCACAATTTGTTGGGTTTGCAATAGTTTTTGTTTATTCTGCTGTTATTCATGAACTTATTATTGCTGTATCGATGGGATTTTTTTATCCTATTTTATTTGCTATGTTTGGAGGGCCTGGAGTGCTATATACATTCTTTTCAAGACAAGAAAAACGGTTTTTAAATGTTTTTGTGTGGTCAATGTTCCTTGTGGGCAATGGGCTTTTAGTCATGTTTTATAGCTGGGAATTTTTTGCAAGGCAGCAAATTGACCTTTATCCAAAATATGGAGTAATAGGGAAATTTATTCCTCACTCTTGGGTTGGAAACTAGAATAAGTAATATAATTAGGCTTAGATATAGCTCACGCTTATTAAAGAATTTATTGCAATATAAGTGAGCTAAATAATCATAAACTATGAGAATTAATATTTATATTAGATAAAATTTTAGCTAAGGCTAAGCCAAAATTATGAATTTAAATAGACTAATTTGATTAGAAGCGCATAAAGCTGTATTTATTATATTCTCCTGCAGCTTGAAACAGCGATATCTTGCTGGTTCTTATAACAAAGCTGATATTTTTATTATAGCCAGTTAAAAGTAAACATAAATATCTTCCATTTATACCCCAATTCTAGAAATTCTAAATTAGATAATCAAGAGATGTACAGCATTACTGATGAATTTGTAAACATGTTAGTTCTACAGCAGCAAATAGTCAATCAAATCGTAGTTGCCAATAAACAAATAAGTGATTCGCTTGACAATATCATTGAGCAAATAAAATTGATAAATCATTCTAATTCGAGCCAAAGCCAGCCAAATTTGTTGGCCGATGAACATGCTCAAATAGACCAAATTTTCCAATGGGCCTCAGCGAATAATAATTTCGTGCACTTCATCCAGCTCGCAGATGCTCTTCCTTCTGTGATCTATAAAGAAAAGGGTTTTGAACTGCGTGTATTTGTGGCTGATAAAAACGATATCCAAATTCAGATCCCAAATACTCAAAAATTTAAAGTTTTGCTATTTAGCAGTGAAAACCCTCCCAAGTTACTGAAGCTAAATATTTCTGGTAAAAAGATCATCAGAGGAACAACAGAATCTGTAATGTACTCTGATGGGTTTGTTTATTTCAGTAATGTTGTTATAAATGAAGTCACATCTCACTATACAAATGATGCCTTCTATTTAGTTATCATGGCACTGAACTCAACTTCAATCAAGCCTTTAGTTATTGGCAACGTAAGTGTAAAAGCAAGAAAAACTGGCCAAATATAATTTTGAAGAATAACTTTAATAAAATTATTTGATAAGTTGGTAGTCAGATTTAATTGTAAAACTGCTCAGTCTTTATAGAGAAGCTGCATGTGCGTGAATAAAGCTGGCTAATTCAAAGAATGTAATAAATAATCCTAAATGGAATGCATTTATTTATTCCCCAGTAATCTATAGCAGACTGCATTCCTCTTTTTAATGATCTTCAAGCTTCTAAAATTTCTCCTAGTTCTTTAGGCAAATATAGGCTTCTTATTTTTTTTTTTTGAAATTAAGATTCAGCAGCAGGTTTAAGGAGTATAAGGAATTTCAAAATTTAAATTTATTCGTGTTTTCCTTTTCTGGCTCTATTGAAAGGTTAAAGTTAACAACCTAAAATCTGAATTCAGCATCAAATCTCGCAGTGGTTCATCAAGTAATTTTTTGGAAAATGGCCGCAGTCAAAGCTTCAGCTCTATTTTCCGCATGTGTTCGTCTTGGAGATCAAGCTGGAAGAATCATAAGGAACGTTTGAAATAGCAGAAGTCTCAACACTTTTGACAAATCCTATGACAATCCTTGCACAGCTGCAGATTTAGGCTCCCAAAAGATTATATCAGCAACTTTACTCAGATATTTTCCTGGGCTACAAATAATTGGTGAGGAAACAATTGAAATTAATGAAAACGAGTAAGATCTACGTAGCTCAGTTGAAATTGAGCCAGAACCTTTGGAATTATTCTCTAGTTCTGATAGAGATTTAGACATTCAGCGAATTACCATATGGATTGACCCCTTAGATGGGACGAAAAATTTTGTAATGGGAGATTTGGAAGGAGTTACTACTTTAATTGGGGTGGCCTATGACGAAAATCCAATTTTTGGAGTCATTCATCAACCATTTGGAGAGAATTGTCCTTCTTATTTTGGAGGAGTGGATGTTGGAGTTTGGTACAAAACATCTTCAAACATTTCACAATTCATTCCAAGCCTTTCAAATGACTTTTCAATTGCTTCATCTAGACTTCATAAATCAGCGCAGGGAAATGCATTATTGGAATTTTTACATCCTGACCAAGTTATATATGCAGATGGCTGCGGATTTAAATCGATTCTTGTTCTTAGAGGACAAGCATCAATATATTTGGTAGATTCTCCTTTTACTTCTAAATGAGATATATGCCCATCGGTAGCTATCATGAGATCACTAAATGGCTATAGTGTTGATCTGAATGGAAACAGCTATCGCTTTGATAAAGAAACGAGTAAGGCTAATTCAAATGGGATCATTATTACACTGAATCAATCTCATTTAAACAGAATTATTGAAGGATGGAGAAATTTTGATAGAAGTAAACTATAATTAAATATATTCAGACTTTGGTATAAAAGATTTTGTTTCTGCTTTAATGAGTCTGCTTTTTAAAAATAAACTCTTTAGCGTTCTTAATTTATTTTTACTATTTTTACGCTAGAAACTTGGGTCTTAACTCTATTTAATAATTCTAAAACAATATCTGATATCATTTTTTTATCATCCTATAGAATAGCGAGCATAAATGTTTTCATTTCATGCCAAACTACATTTTTTTAGTATAATATATTACTTAATCTCTTTGCTAATCTCTTCTAGTATTTAAAAACAATAGTTTCACTTCATTTACCATAAAATTTGAATTTATTTCCCTGCCATTTTGTCTTTAAAACGTTATTTTTTATCATTCCAAGCTTAAATATTAAATTTATTTAATAATGGGTTGTATAGCACCAAAATCAAAAAACACACAAAAAAAAACATCTGATGACAATCTCAATTCAAAAAGAGATGGCTTTCAATCAAGCCGACTTATAAAGGTGGAATCCAAAGATCAATTAGCCTTTCATCCTTCACTTTTTGTAGGTCGGCGTAAAGGAAACATTGAGGAACATTATTCATTTGAAAAAGCGATATATGCAGGCTCATACGGAGAAGTCAGACTTGCTTCAAATAAAATTACAGGCTTGAAAAGGGCTATCAAAACGATTTCAAAGGAAAACATAGGTAAAGATACGAAGCTCCGTGCTCGATTTTTTACGGAAATTGAAATTCTCAAACAAATGGATCATCCCAATATCATAAAGTTATACGAGTTCTATGAAGATGACTCAAATTATCATTTAGTGACTGAATATGTGCCAGGAGGGGAATTGTTTGACTATATTATAAAAAGCAAAATGCTGTCAGAACCAATAGCAGCCCAATTTATGAGGCAGCTTCTCAGTGCTGTAGCATATTGCCACCAAAACAACATTGTCCATAGGGACTTAAAACCAGAAAATTTGCTAATAGATGCGCAGTCTCATGAAGCAACTTTGAAAGTTATCGATTTCGGGTTATCTGCGTTTTTTGACTCAAAAGTGAGTATGACCAAGAAATATGGGACCTCATATTATGTTGCTCCAGAAGTTTTGCGGAGAAGCTACAATGAAAAATGTGATATGTGGAGCTGTGGAGTGATTTTGTATATACTGCTGTGTGGGCGACCTCCATTTAATGGAAGCAGTGGCCCACAAATTGTCAGAAGAGTTCAAAAAGGAGAATTTTCCTTTGACAGCCCATCATGAGAAGGGGTAACTCCAATGGCAAAAAAGCTAATAACAAGAATGCTTGACTATGACCCAGGCACCCGAATCTCCGCAAACGAAGCTGTTCAAGACGAATGAATGATCTATAACGCCTCAACTATTCCAAGAGATGAAAACATCGCCCAAATTTCTCTCCAAAACCTCAAAACTTTTCGAGTTGAACAAAAATTACAACGCGCCGTTTTAACCTACATTGCCTCCCAAATCAGCAACAAAGAAGAAATCAAAAAGTTAGGCGAAGCTTTCCGAGACATGGACACAAATGGTGATGGCAAACTAAGCAAAGAAGAAGTCCTTGAAGCCTTCTATTCTTTAGGTGGAAATGGATTCAGCCAAAAAGACATTGAAGATATCATAAAGCAAGTCGACGTGAATAACTCGGGATTTATCGATTATACAGAGTTTATCATGGCTACAGCAAGAAAAGAAAGCTTGTTGTGCATAGAAAACCTCGATTCTGCCTTTAGCGCGTTCGATGAAGATGGGAGTGGTAAAATCAGCGCAATTGAGCTAAAAAATATTTTTGGAAAAGAGCTAATTGCTACAGATGAGGTCTGAAAAGACATGATCGCTGAGGTAGATGAGAATGGTGACGGAGAAATCGACTTGAATGAGTTTCGAACGATGATGCAACACATTTTTGATGATAGACCATAATTATTTTAATAAAGCGATAATAAATGCAAAGACTTGTTTTTGTTTTTGCGGTGTTGGTTACTTTTGTGAACGCAAAACTGTCAGCAACTGGATGTGAAATGTTTAACTGTAAGCTTTCAACTCAAAAGTTTAACAATAATACTTGTGTCTATTGAAGCCAAAAAGCTGACAGTTATTATGTGCAGCCATGCACTGGGAGCGCTAGTTTTTGTCCACCGAATCATGATAGTAATAGCACATGCATTGTCCCTCAAAATTTCACTGGACAAGCATGGCCTGGAGAGAAGTGCAATGCTACAGTAACCTGCAATGGTTATGCTACTAAAGGTTGTGTAAATGGAATCTGCAAAGGTGCAGGAAATGGAGACAGTTGTCAAGACAGCAATTCCTGCAACCCAGGACTTTTTTGTGATGGGAGCACCCATTTTTGTTCTCCACAAATCCAGATTGGGCAAATTGGCTGCAGCTCGGATTTTATGTGTGTAAACGGAGCTGGCTGTGATTTTACAGGAAACCCAGCCACAAGTAAATGTGTTGCTTATTTATCTCTTGCCCCTCACACTGCAGTAGCTCAATGCCAAGTCAACCAAAATCGTCTTTGTTCATCTTTAACATGTGCCCAGCTAGGTGGTAAAAACTACTGCACAAATCCAGTCAAGTCTTATGCCTTTCTTCCAATGGTATGTGATGATAATTCAGAATGCACCTCTACAACAGATTCCTTCTTTGGGAACAACTTCGATTTAACCTCTTCTTGCGACTGTGCTTTGAATCCTAATGGAAACAAATACTGTGCATTATTCCCTGGAGATCAGCCAGCCCAGCAGTTTATAAGCCAATTGTCATTGTGGTACCAGAGTACTGAAATGAATAATTGCAATACATTGAGAAGACATAGTGATGGGTGCATGATGAGCTGGTGGGATGCCAAAAATACTGCTTACTACAATTACTACAATTTGAACTATAGGATGTATTCATTTGTGCAAAATATGCCTGATTGCGTCGCTCAAGTGTATGCTCCAGAGTATTATTATGCAAAACAACAGTATCAGCAGTATCAAAATTAAATAAGATAATACTTAAATTAAAATGCTTGAGCCTTATCTTTCAGAGCTATGCTCAAGAGGGATAGTTTTGGCTTCTGGAAGTAGGGTAAGGCAGAATCTTTTAACTCTATCTGCGAGTGAATAAAACCATTGGAAAAATCCTTGCAAACTCATTTTTATAGAAATATTTTAATATATAAATGATGATTATTATAATGAAATCTCTCTAGCTAATTCTGTTAAATTTAAATCAACTTGCATATTAAAACATATATTTAACAAATTTAACTTAATTTTTAATTCCAATTTTTAAAAAATAAAATTAACAACCCCTCCGTGAGAGAACATAATTTATTTTTCGCTAACGGAAGAGGAGGAGTAAGGCAAATTGAACTACCGTTTACATTGCAAGTGAGCGGATTTGCAGAAGATGCAGACTGAAGGACTTTTGAGAATCCTAAAGAATACGCACTTTTTAATGCAAGAAATAAGGCTAAATGCATTGAAACTGACAGCATTGTGATTTCAGCAGACACAGTGGCTGAGGTTAATGGGGTTGTGCTAGAAAAACCAGTTGACGCAGATGATGCGAGAAGAATGATAGGCCTTTGAAATGGAGGGATATGTCTAATGCACACAGCAGTTGTTGTTAAAGGAAAAAGTACGAATGAGAGTGTATGCACAACAGAAATTGAGTTTGATGTACTTTCAGATGAAGTAGTTGACTACTATATTAGAAGCAATGAGTGGGAAGGAGCTTCAGGAGCTATTGTTGTGGAAAAGAAATGCTGCTCAACGTTTATTAAAAAGTTCAATGGCTGCTTTAATAATGTTATGGGGCTACCTCTAAATGCTCTTTGCAATATGCTTATACAAGAAATTAAAAATTCAAGAACTGAAAATAGCATATCTTAAAACTATAAAAAAATTATTTATTTAATTGCATCCCTATAGATATTTGATTTCTTCTTTAAATATTCGGTAATACATAAATAATCATTAATTCCTCTTGCAATTAACTGATACTTTTCAAGGCCATTTCTTTGTATGTGATAAATTAATTTAAATTCAATGAACTCACAAAGCCAATATTCAGATTATGCTTACAGTTCTGGCAGAAATGTGAGATTTGAAGATCTTTGTGCTGAAAATTCAAGCAATGAACAATCCAATAGGATAATTCCTCCTTCTCCTCTCAGATCAAGTCTATCGTTCATGGATGAAGATCCTCAATCAACCTTAAAGTTTAGTCTCTCATTCGGATCCTAGGCGGCCATACTTCCGACTCTCAGGCAAACCAACTTGGATCCAACAGGCATCCTAAGGTTCCACCCTCCACCGCCCTGGGTTTGCGGTACACTTAAGAAAATTTCATGTATCTCGGGGATGGCCATCCATCGCTGCGCATCGTCCATCCTTGTTCTCTCTATATTTCTGATAAAATTCGCATGTGATGTCACACCTCATAATCAAATTCGCCAAACGATGGATTTCTGTTCGGGAGCACCAAAAATTCAGATGACGCCATATTTGATTATAAAGATCCCCAATCAGTCTCAGATAGTCGCTCTCAAGTAACCAAATTACAAGAAAAGCTTAGCAAATGCATCCAAAACGCAAATGATTCCCACAAAAAAGCCTCAAACCTCATCATGCTTCTAGATCACGAAAAAATTGAATTCCTCAAACTGGCGGAAAAAGTAGCTAACCAAGAATATAAAGAGAAGAGTTTTTCTGTTGAAAAGCACAGAGAAAAAGTATCTCTTGTGCTAAATGACTTAAAATCTCAAGAAAAAAACTTGCTGAAAGAGATGAACTCACTTCATGGGCCATCTGAAGCTTATATTTCTTTAGCATGAGAAAAACTTGAAAAAATCAATGAGATATTAAATGGAGAATCTGTGAGGATTCCTAAAGTCAGTTTTGAAATTGAAATAATTTCTAGAAAAGCAATTGAAGACTTAAAAGAACGATGCTATTTGCTATCTAAAGAATGTGATAGACTAAAAGATGGCATGCGGACTGTGGAGTACACCCCAGATACCGCAAGACATGGCCCGAAACGGTCAATACGTGATATGGAAACTGAACTTTCAGAGCTAAAAGAGTCTCACGATGTCCTTATGAGTGAAAAGAAAAAGGTTGAAGAGGACAATGAAAAACTGTCCAAACTTTCATATAATGACCAAGAATTGGACCATTATGTAACGCACAAGATTTTCGACCTCATCAAAATGCTGCAAGACTTTTCTAACCCTAGAATTGAATCTGACTCTTGGCTTGCTTATAAGTCCACTTTTAAAGAAGAAAAGCCAATCCCAGACTCAATTTCTCATCTGAAATGCATAGATGACTTAGAAAGGCTCGAACAAAGCATTGTGTCAACTCTGAAGTTCCAGCAAGACAAAATCAAATTTAAAGACCAAGTCAGCGAAAAACTCTTGGCATCCCTTAAAAAGTCAAGCATAGAAGAAGCCCGATCTTTGAATATGAAGCAGCAAACTTTACAAGAAGAAATCAGACAAGAGGAGCGGTTTTTAATCCAACGAGAAATCGACAAATTGTCATCAGTCAACAATAACATATCAAAAGAAAACCAAAGGCTGAAAGAAGAAAATGATAATCTTAAACAAGCTTTAGATGAAGAAAATTATCGATATGAAGAGCTTAATGAGAAATATATAAACTTAAAGCTAAACCAAGAGCAAGAAATCGAAAATGCGCTGAGATCACAAGAGTATACATTCGAGCAGAAGCTCAAAAACTTGAAAACAGAAACTCAGGACATTTTGATTGAGGATGATAATAAATGGAAACTGAAATCAGAAAGACTAGAAGAAGAACTGAGAGAAGTCAAAAAACAGCTTGAAGAAAGTGCACAAGGGAGGAATCCACAGTATGAAAGAGAGCTCCAGTATGTGAGGACTATTTATAACGATAAATACGAAGAGCTGTTCAGGATAACGACTGCACAGATAAATGAATTAGAGCAGAAACTTAAGGAAAACGAACACAATAAGCAAGCGGTCATTGATTTAGTGTGTAGTAAAATTAGAAAAGAAGAGCAGGAAATCAGAGAAAAAGAGTTCCAGAGGATAAATCAGCTACATGCAAGAGAGCTGAAGCTGCTGAATAATGAATTTGAAGAGTTCGTTATGAAAGCCCAAGCAGAAACAAAAAGATTAGCTATTATAGTAGACCAGGCGCTATTAAATACAGAATCCACTGTATTAAAAGGTGTCCAATCAGAAATCAGAGCTTTGGAGTCCCAGCTGTCTCAAAAGCACAAAAAATCTAAAGAAGACTCGCTGTCACTTTCTTACAGCGCTTTTGAAGACTCAGCACAGTTCGGCGAAAGCCAAAAATCCTGCAAACGATGTGGGATGAACGACAAAACAAGCCGAGAATGCAAGTTTCACCCATTTCTTGTCACTGCTGGGAGTGGAGATTTCTTATATGGAAAAGAATGGCACAAATGTAGAGAAAATGGGCATGACCAAAACACGCCTCCCTGCATGACCTGCAAAACACACTATTACGGAATGGATAAAGAAGGGAAAAACTCATTTATCAAAATTTGTGAAGAGTTTAATCCAGAAACCATGACTTTTATGGACGGATTTAAGAAAATTCCAGCTCAGGAGTCTTCAGCTGAAATGAGCTCATATAAAGAACCCCAAATTTCAATGCCTCTGCAAAAACTTGATGCTGCTTTATTTTATAGTGAAAGAAAGCAAGAGCCATACGATAAGCCAAGGCTAAGTTCTGAAAAGGTGTCTGCTACTAAAGAATTGGAAGGCTACTTATCTAAATATAGATCTTAATTAATATTTAAAATATCGAAAGAATAATCTTTTAAAATTAGCAACTGTTTAATAATTAATCGTTATGATTTAAAATGGGCAATGTTTCAGGAATTTGCTCAAAGCCAGCACCAAAGTTTATAGAAGAGCAGGTATCACTATATGAAAGTGCAGATTTAGACAGACTCACTATGAAGTTTGACGAAATCACACAGAATCCTAGCATCGCTGACCTGGAAAATGAGTTTGGTCCTTTCCAATTTGAGTATAATTATTATATTGAAATTGAAAGAGGCTTCAATCGAGTTGAATGCAACTATGAAGATAATAACCAAGTAATGAGATATATCAGTGAAGGTCCTTTGCTGGGGAAGGATGAAAAAGGCACATGGATTTATATTGGTGAATGCTTAATAAATTCCAAAGTAAGAGATGGCAGAGGCTATTTGGTGTATATTGAAGAGAAGTCAAAGTTTCAAGGCTACTTTAAAGATGACAAAATTAATGGGAGAGGACGACTTTGTTCTCCAGAAAAAATTCTTGAAGGAGATTGGTACGATGGAAGATTATATGGAGAAGGAAAAGAAAAATCAAGAGATAAATCAAGCTATAAGGGATCATATAAAGATGGATTGTATGATGGCCTGGGAAAATCGGAACATAGTGATGGGTCTGAGTACTCTGGAGAGTTTCTCAGAGGCGAACGACATGGATATGGGGAATATAATTGGAATGACGGGTCTGTTTATCAAGGAGATTGGAGAGAAGGGAAATTTCATGGGATTGGAAAATATACAGATTCCATGGGAAATATATATGAAGGAGGATGAAAAGATAACAGAATGAATGGGTATGGAGAATATGCATGAGCTGATGGAAGAAAGTATAGAGGAAATTATGTGGATGACAAAAAGCATGGGTATGGAGAATTTTATTGGCCAGATGGACAAGTGTGTAGAGGAAATTGGATAAATGGAAAGCAGCATGGAAAAGGTGAGTACAGGAACAATGGAAATAATAAGGTTGGCACATGACATCATGGGGTCTTTGTTTCATGGGATTAACTGAGCTTTTTACTTTGTTTATAATAAATTTGCGATTATAGATATAATTCGAAGCTTTAATTATAGACCTGCTGAAAATGAATCGAATCGTTGAGCTTGCTGATCTATTTCTAATATAAAAATAGGATACACTGTTTCTATTAATTCTATATTGATATAATATTGAAACTCTATAAAATTTTATAAGCAAAATATATAAGATCTCTATTTAAAAGCTTTAAACGCTACTGGGTTGCTGAGGAGGCCCTACAGAGAAAACTAACCCACATGTGCATGATACATAAGGAGCACCCATAGGATAAATCAGACTTGTTCTGCATAAACTACACTTAATTTGGCCTATAGGCTGGACAGCAGTCATTATTCCGCACATTGGGCATTTTACACAAAGAGCTCCAAGAGGATAGCTTAATAATGCTCTACAGCCAGCACATGGAATCACCTGTTGTTGTGGAGGCTGAGCTAGGACTTGTGGCTGTGCAGTAGGTGCAGGAGATTGGTTCTGAGGAGTTGATAACGCTGTCATACCCGGATAGTTTGAACTTTGAGGTTGTGAAGGATAATTTTGAAAATTATTTACTCTCGCAGAATCATAGCTACGTGCTTGTGGATTAACTGGTTTCATTTCTGTTCCTTTTGTTTCTTCGATTTCAAATTTCTCCAGAAGAGGAGCTCGGATACTTCCTTTCTTTTCCATTTTTTAATTTATTATCTGATTTCTGTTTCAAATATCCCCATGAATTCAGATTTACTTGATTTTATCTCAAAAGTTCATATATTATATTATTTATCAACAAAATCCAACTAAGCTTATTGTTATGAATTAAATATCTCTCATCGAAATTAATAGCGCATAATTTCTAATTTACTTAAAATGTAATTTCTTAATAAATCTAAAATGGACTTTCAAAGAATCATGCAGCAGCAGTTCAACATGAGAGGTCAAAATCTTGGTGACGTCCCTATGGTAGACACAGCTGAACAAATCTACATTTCTTCCCTCGCCCTTCTCAAAATGCTGAAGCATGGCCGAGCAGGTGTGCCACTTGAAGTCATGGGCCTTTTGCTAGGAGAACTAGTTGATGAATATACAGTCCGTGTAGTCGACGTTTTTGCAATGCCTCAGTCAGGAACTGGAGTAAGCGTTGAGTCAATAGATGAAGCTTTCCAGATCAACATGACTGAAATGCTAAAGCAAACAGGGCGGTCAGAAATGGTCGTAGGCTGGTATCACTCCCATCCTGGCTTTGGCTGCTGGCTTTCAGGAGTTGATATGAACACCCAACAAAGTTTCGAGCAGCAGCTGGCTAGAGCAGTTGCAGTTGTCATTGACCCAATTCAAAGTGTCAGAGGCAAAGTTGTGATTGATGCCTTTCGATTGATAAACCCGCAGCTTTCTATGAGAGGAATGGAACCTAGACAAACCACTTCAAATATCGGGCACGTTGCCAAGCCTTCTATTAGCGCTCTCCTGCATGGTCTTAACAGGCATTATTATTCAATCACCATCAACTACAGAAAAAACGAGTTAGAACAGTCAATGCTTCTGAACCTGCAAAAGCAAAAGTGGGTCCAAAAGCTTAAGGTTGAAGACTTCATGAAAAGAGAAGAAGAAAACTTAAAAATCATTGAAGAAATGGTCACGCTTGCAGAAACCTATAACAAATGGATCCAAGAAGAAATGAAAAAGACCAAACAAGAAATGGTTGTGAGTACAGTCGGGAAACTTGACCCTAAAAAAAGGCTAGAACATGACGTTGATCAACTGATGACCAATAATATTTTGCACTCACTGTCATCTATGATCGATACAGTAATCTTCTAAATAAGCACTTCTTTTAATTAATATATAAATAAATGAGTTATAACCCATTCTGGCCTTCATGGAGAAAAAGCACATTTAGAGGAACTGGAGAACTCCTTTGGAAAGCTCTCAGGATTTCTTATAAGATTGACAGGATTGCTGTGCCGCTTTTAATCCCACCTGCAGTATTCTTGACTTGGATTAGTGGGAATAATTGGGTCACCGATAAAGATAAGAAGAATCCTTATGTGGAAGAAGTCTTGACTCTCCTTCTAGGCTATCGAGCATGACTAGTGGAAAAATCTCTAATTTGGCAAAATTAACTTAATGTTAGGTCGCTAAAATTTTTTGAAATAATAATTTAGTATATAATTCATGGTGATTATAACGAAATCTCTTATTAATTAACTTGCATAAATTTTATAATTTATTAGCTCCATTTAAAATATTTAAAAAAGCCTCTATAAAAAATTTATATAAGTTTTAATAAAAAGTTAGCCTCTCTGTTAATGAGCAAAAAATCTTGCCCACTAACTAAATAGGGAGTGAGAAAGAAAGCTGAAGGTAAATATGATGGAGAGGTCATAGGCATAAGACCGCATCATTATACTTAATCAAAGAGGTTTCTCTAATTAGATTTTTAAATATATGAAATTCTTATAGGATATATGACTTTAGTTCTCGATAATGGTGCCTACACAATAAAATTAGGACTCGCAGAGAGTGAGCCGCAGGTGTATTATAACTGTATAGGGAGGATTAAGAAGGAAGTCATTGTAGCACCAAGATCAATAAACGGGGTTAATGAAGTCATGAGGCCTCATGAAAGAGGAGTGTTGGTGGACCCTGGTTTACAGTCAAAAATATTTAAGAAAGTACTCAAAGGATATGTGTGTTCTGATCTGGATTTGGTGATTTCTTGCCCTGTTTATACCCCATTTACATGTAGAAAGCAACTGGATGAAATCGTCTTTGAAGAATATGAGTTTAAAAGTGAAATCAGGGTGCCATCTGGCTACCAAAGCACTGGAATTATTGTAGATTTAGGTTTCTCTGCATCCACTGTCATGCCATACTTAGACGGATTTCCTATCAATTCTGCGATCACACGAGTAAATGTAGGAGGAAAGCTTCTCACGAATTATCTAAAAGAACAAATTTCTTTTAGACAATACGATATGAGGGATGAAACTTGGCTTGTGAACTTAGTCAAAGAAAAATTATGCTCTGTCTCCTCAAATTTCATGAATGAATTGAAAATGCTTCAGTAAGTTCTAAGATTAGAAAAAATAAATCACTAGAAAGGCACTATGTCTTGCCTGAATTTGGAGATGATGGCCACGAACTTCAGCCTGAAGAATCAAAAGAAGGAAAACAAGTACTTACAATGGGAAATTTGAGCATTGCTGTTCCAGAAGTATTGTTTAGGCCTTCAGATATTGGACTGACTGATGCAGGGATAGGAGAAGCTATTTGGATGGCGATGCAAGCTGTGCCGAGTGTTTATTGGGAAGATCTTACAAATATTTTACTTGTTGGGGGATCAGCGAATTTTCCAAATATTGAAAACAGATTTAAGGATGAGCTGCGGGCTATTTCTAATGATGGATTGACTTTTAATTTTATAAAGCCTGAAAAGTAAGCTCTAATTAGTCCTTCTTTTTGGAACTGAAAAAGCCTTTCAAAAGTGTCAGAGGTGAGGAAAGGCGTAACGAAGGAAGAATATTTTGAGATGGGCTCAGAATATATTGATTGGAAATTCCAGTATAGTTAATTTTAATTAGTTTATCAAAATTTGTAGTTTATCGAGTAAAATATTGACCAATTATTAGGATTTTTTATTTAAAACACAATGGAGGCTTCCTACAATCTATCATTAGAAAAAATTATTTTATTTTCACAAAATTTAACATATTAAAAAAGCAGCTATAGCAGCGCTTACACATTCCATTCTAAAACTCCCTGAAAGAGAGCTTGCTGGCTCTCCATTAGAGTACACCCCATAATCTCTCCATGTAGTAGACAAGCATGATGGGATATTCCCTTGCAAGTAAGGATAATTTACGCTCATAAACTCTCAGTATATTTGTCTTGGCCAATCTCCATCTCTTGCAGCTTCTCTCCAATTAATCATAGGCTCATCGCTATAATGCAACTTGCAATAAGCCTGCCCATCAGTATTCATTCCACACAAGCAAGTGCTATAATCTGTTCCATCTGCAGAAATACAATCATTATTTGTACTACAACTCTTTGGCAAAGTCCCTGCAGTTACCACAGCAGATTTACATGTAAAATACTCTCCATTAATAACTAAAGGTCCACCTGTAGCGCAGGCTCTTTCATCTGTTGCGTTTTGGCCTGCCTTGACTGAGTATTTCAACGTACAGATTTTCTGGCTGCAAATGTAACCGTCTATACAAGGCGTTGAGTCCACTGCACAGTTTTCCCCGTATTTTAAGCCTGCTACACAAGTGCAAGTACCATAAGGACAATAACATACTAGATTCTTGTCTCGGTCACAAGTGCTTACTAAGCCATAAGGATCGCATGGATCGCCTTTGCCAACTACGGAATATCCATAATAATCCTGCTCACTGCTGGCGTCTCATAAGCTCTTATCAATCCAATATTCACATTTTAAAGAAGTAGATGTTGAAATATGGCTTGGATGAGGACATGTGTAATTTGAATGTGAACAAGGCTTGAGGCTGTAGTGGTCTGACATAAATTCAACGCAGTTTGATGAGGTAGAATTAATTTTTCCGTCACAAGACATTTGGTAGCATGATAAAGAAAAGGCTAGAGGGATAACGATTATAAACGCAAAAATTCTCATTTATTTATTTATTTTAAAATAAAATTAAAATAAAGGCTTTTATAAATAAAAAAACTTAAAAGAGATAAGAATTACCTTTTTAAATAATTATATCAGTCTCTTTTTCCGGAGTGCAGGCGTCTTTGACCTTTTGGGCTGCACTCTTTTATCTTCAACCTTAGGCTTGCCTGGGGTAAAAGATCTGACTCTGACATCTTTTTGCTGTTTGCGTGCATCAAGCAATACACTCACATCTTCATGTGAAACAGATACTTCTGGTAGATATTTCAAATGTTTATCAGAGGCTGGAATTCTTTTAATTCCTCTGTTTATCCTTGGTGGTGAAGGAGATGGGCTTTTAATAAGCCTATCATCTATAGAGCTCTGCAAAGAGTCATTTCCTTCCACCTCATATTCCAGTTCTCTTCCTTCGATTTTTTTCATAATTTGTGAATAATCATTATCTGAGACTTCAAAGCTGCTGGGCTTTCTTTTTATTTCTTTTTTATTTTTGGCTTCATCTGTAATTCCCATCAGATCATTAAGTGTTACATGTTTGCTGCCATCTCTCGCAGAGTTAATAATATCAAATACAAGCTGCTCACGCTTGCTGATTGGGACTCCTTCTTCTTTGAAGAGGTCTAAGAGTTCTAATTGGTTGACTCGCTTGTGGATCAAGGTTTCGAGTCTTCGCTTTATCCTCCGAGCCAATCTTGGGCTTAAGCAGCCATTTTTGGAGACTTCCATTTCATTGATCCTTTTTATTATTTTTTTCTTGGTTTTTTCGTTTAATAAGCTGAGCCTGGATTCTCTTGTCTCGTCAGAAAGCCTTCCTAAATCAAAGCTAAAGTATTCTGGCAGCGGAGCTGCCAATGGTGAAGGCGGATCTGAGTTCAGCTGACTTGGGTCTACTATTTCATAGTATTTTTTATCAACTTCTGTTGTAACTTCTATCAAACTTTTAGCTACCCCTTCAAGGGTGTTAACTAAAAGCTGAATATGATTATTCAGTTTATCCTCTGTTGAATCTCCAGGAGCAGGCTCATTATGCATAGTGGAATTCAATGAATCTAATCCATTCCAATCCTCATTGATAGGCTTATATTTGATTTGCTCATTTAAAACTTCATTAGGAACCAAAGGTTTCAAAGCCTTTCTGAGCTCAATATCCAATCCTTTCAAAAACTGGGTAAATTCCAATTTGCATCTTTCTCTATATTCTTTAACAATTAAGCTGACTTTTTTGATTTCTTTCGTTACAAGTTTATTATTTTCAACGATTTCTCTTTTCAATTTCATTAAATCTCCTTTTAAATCACTAATAAGCTTAATTTTCGGCTTACTTTTCTGTTTTTCTCTATAAACCTTATACAGCGCTCTATCTTTTTCATAGAGCTTGTAGGTTAAATTAGTAATTTCTTCGAAAGAAGTCAATTCTACAGCAACTTTTGATGGACTCTACATAAAAGTTACAGGCAAGGTTTCAAGCTCAATTTTATCAAGAACCCTTATAAGTTCTTTATGGTACAAAGCAATTTCTTGGTTGAGCTTTTTAATCTTGTGAGAGCATTCCATGTTTTAAACGTATTCTTACAAATTATAGATGGAAAAATATAGCGAATCAGAAGAAACGACAAGAAAAGTGTTTCAGCTGCTTGATGTGGTAGGAAATATGTAGAACAGAGATAGAGTTATATGTCTGGAAGACTTAAAAACAATTTTTAGGTCAATACATTTGCATGCACCTTTGAATGCTTTAAAAACGGTATTGCTTGATGCTGGAGGGGCGAAGATTACGCTTAAGCAAGTATAAAATAGGTAGTTTAGAAAATTGAGGGTGGAGAAAACTGAGTGCGAGCTTAATGTGTTGGCTGATTTCAAAAAGTATGAAGATAGAGATCATCGGTGCTATATAACCCAAGAAAGCTTGAGAAGAACTTTGTATGAGGAACATATTGATATAAAAGATATTGATGAGATTGCTCATGAGTTTTTTAAATGCGATAAAAACCATGATGGGGCAATTAGTTATAAAGATTTATATGATTATGCTTTAGGAAACATACCTGAAGAATGGCTTGAATGGATTATCAATAAGTAAGAGATATTCAGCCACGAACGAGAAGTTGATCATGAAATTATTTTTAAAACTATTGAAGAAAATGGCTTCAATGTCTTGTCTGCCAGAAATTTTCTGCAGAATTATATGCAAGAGAAAAACAGCAAAAAAGATAATGTGGGGTGAAGCGGAAAAAAATACACTGTATTTTTTTCCTACAGTTTCCCACAGTCAAATTTGACATAAAATTTTCCAATTTTTTGAAACGATAGGAAAAAAATACATGGAAAAGAAAAAAAAATTCGAAACCAGGGCGGAAAAAAATTCAACCCCCAAAAATGAAAAAAAAACTGCATGAAAAAAATATACACATAAAAAAAAATTTTAAATTACTAATATTTAAAAAAGAAGCAAAGAAAATGCTTTATTAAATATGAATGACAATAGCAGTCATTGCGTTTGCTATAAAATTCACATAATAGATAAAAAATAGATGCAAGAACTGTATCATATGCTTTTATAGTAAAAAGTTTTCTGTGTTTTTTTTCCAAAACCGCATGAAAAAACTACTATAAAAATTTGAAATACAGATCTTTAAGTCAAATAGAGTTAAAAATAAACGAAAAACAGTCCCAGCTTAAATCTCTCTTTAATAGCAAGATTTAAGAATAAAATTAATGCCTAAATGTTAAAGATCAGTTTAAAATAAAAAAATTAAAAACAAAAGGAAAAAATTCAAAATTTTTTTTCTAAAAAAACAGCATGAAAAAAAATATCAGTAAAATTTCAACAGTCTAAATTTCGGCATGAAAAAAATACAATATAAAAAATTTAGTAGGAAAAAAAATACATATAAAATTTATATATTTTTTTAAAATTTTTTAATTAAAATAATCCAAATATCTAAGGATGAGTTATCCAAACTCTACTGTGTGTGATTAGTAATAATAACTGATAATAAAAAACGATTAATTATTTATATTTCTAAGTTTTATTCCTTCTGGTTTGGAGTCGATTACACTGCGCTTAAGTCCAGCTGATCAACTCTTCTTTTAATTGTCTATTGGATAGTTCTAACTCCCTCCCCCCCCAATTAATAGCGGACGAAAAAATCGTCCGCTATTAAAAAAGTTCGATATTTATAAATATTTTTCTATTTAAAATTTTTTATAAACGGCTGAAAAAAAAAATGCATTTTTAAGTCAAAGAGAAGCACTAAATCTAATAAAATGGAGTTGAATGGAGAAACCAGAAAGAGAAAAGACTAACAGCTGGTGATAAGCTAGTTATTGCACAATACTACCTGGATCATCAAAATGAAGGTCTTTCATATGAAGATATAGCCTACAAGTTCAATATATCAAAGTCAAGTGTCGGCGAATTAGTAAAAGGCATTCATCAATTGAAAAGGGGAGATCAAGGTTTAAAGAAAAGAAAGCCAGATGCATATTATTAGCTCTCATAATTTTTTAATACCTTTGCGCTTAAATTAATTCTATTTAAATATTCCCATCTTTATTTCATTGGCTCTAGTAAATTTATGTTATGCTTTGTTATGTTATGTTATGTTATGTTATGTTATGTTATGTTATGTTATGCTATGTTATGTTATGTTATGTTATGTTAAGATGCTATGTATTTTAAGTCCCTACTTTGCCGCCGTGACGTTTTATGGAGATAACCCCGTAAGGTGGCTAAGGCGTGGCCTCTTCAAGCCCGGTCCGAAACCCGGTTTCTCGGTTGAGGTGATGACCAACTGACCGCCTCCATTTCCAACTTGATTCGTCGCCCTGAATCTTGCGTCAACTCTGTCCGTACGTCGCCAAATCTGCCACTGAAGGGCACCTTTAATTGGGGAGAACCCCGATTTCTCGTCTAATTTGCCTTCCCCTCTTTTCCAGTCATCCCGAGAAAGAACTCAACAGCTTTCGCCATTCGGGGCAAATCACAAAAATAGCTTAGGCAGGTATGTCGCCCTGCCTCATTTCTGACACCCCACTAGGCTGGGCTCTGCTGGAAAAAAGGAGTCACGAATAACTGCCCAAGTGTCTTGGTCACAAAAACAGCGATCTTTGCGCTTAGACCTCTCGCCTTGAGGTACAAAGACATAGCTGGGCCAATTCCTGGCTCCAAAAAACCATGCCCGGATATACACAGGTAACTGTCTCAAGAGGACGGGTCGGAAGTCATCCGCCATTTTATGTATATTAGTAAATTTATAATGAACGATTATCTTATATAATTTAAAATTTTTTATAGTAAAAAAATTTCCGTTATTAAATGGTACCTAAGAGTCCATTTTTAGGGGAAAAAAAAAATTGATTTCATCCGCTATTAATTGGGGGGGGGAGTTAGATATTTTGGATTTTTTTAATTAAAAAATTTTAAAAAAAATATATATAAATTTTATATGTATTTTTTTTCCTACTAAATTTTTTATATTGTATTTTTTTCATGCCGAAATTTAGACTGTTGAAATTTTACTGATATTTTTTTCATGCTGTTTTTTTAGAAAAAAAAATTTTGAATTTTTTTCCTTTTGTTTTTAATTTTTTTTATTTAAACTGATCTTTAACATTTAGGCATTAATTTTATTCTTAAAATCTCGTTATTAAAGAGAGATTTAAGCTGGGACTGTTTTTTTCGTTATTTTTAACTCTATTTGACTTAAAGATCTGTATTTCAAATTTTTATAGTAGTTTTTTCATGCGGTTTGGAAAAAAACACAGAAAACTTTTTACTATAAAGCATATGATACAGTTCTTGCATCTATTTTTTTATCTATTATGTGAATTTATAGCAAACGCAATGACTGCTATTGTCATTCATATTTAATAAAGCATTTTCTTTGCTTCTTTTTAAATATTAGTAATTTAAAATTTTTTTTATGTGTATTTTTTTCATGCAGTTTTTTTTTTCATTTTTGGGGGTTGAATTTTTTTTCCGCCCTGGTTTCGAATTTTTTTTTCTTTTCCATGAATTTTTTCCTATCGTTTCAAAAAATTGGAAAATTTTATGTCAAATTTGACTGTGGGAAACTGTAGGAAAAAAATACAGTGTATTTTTTTCCGCCTCACCCGATAATGTGGAATCTTAATATAAATAGCATTAATAAAAAATTGCGATACAATTGCTGATAGTATCATATATACAATTTTTATTTAATTATAATTGTATTTCATTAATCATAATTCCACAAATTCAAAATAAAAACTATTATAAATATAAACTACTAATTTATTATTCCCTTAGCTTCAAGAACATTCTTTTCAGCACTCTTGCTTCATACGCAACAGTTTTCTTTTCACTGTTTGTGTCAAGTGGATTAATTTCAGTTGGAATTGTAGTTCCATACATCTCAGCAGCATCCAAAAATAGCAAAATTTCTGCAAGTGACGCATCAGGAAGCACCACCATATGCTTACTCATTGCTTCAATTAAAGAAAGGAAGCATCTTTTAGCATAAAACCATGTATCAGTGCCTAGCTTTTTATTATAAGGCTCCAGGCTTCTCACAATTCTCGAAATCCCAAATTCAAAATTCCCTTACTCCTTCCTCGTGAGTGAACAAAACCATTGGAAAATCCCTATTTTTTTTGGGGTGATAGTCCACCCTCCGCGAACTAATAATAGATATTTTAATATAAAATTTTTTATGAAAAAAATTTTGGTATATAAGTGATAATTGTCATAGTGGCACCTCTAGCTAATTCTATTCAATTTTAAACAGCTTGCATTTTAAAACATTATTTTTACAAAATATAATTAATATTTGCTTAAAAATTATTTCGTCGGATTTTTTTAAATTTCGATATATATAAATTTATTAAAAAAATATTAGCCCCCTCCGTGTGCAAAATTTTTTGTTCACTCACGGAATGGGGGGGTTAGAGCAATACAAAGTTCCTATAACAAGATTCACAATACAGAGATGGAACAATTGCTGCTCTGGGTTTTCATAGCTTACTTTTTCCTCTTCTTTTTCAATTTTCCTCATCAGCTCTTCTGCTTCATCATTCTGAGAGTTCATTATATAGCTTACACACAAGTTTGCGAGGACAATAGCAGTCAGGTCAAGCAAATTTTCTTCATATCTGCTGACGACTGGCTCATAGTATCGGATTGCTTCGATAAATCTGTTCTCTTGCATGAAAAAGACGTGAGCAACGTTTAGCTGCCAAGTTTCATGCTCAGAGCAGAATTCAGCAGACTGTCTAAAGAGTTTTTCGACCATTGAGTAGTTTTCTTTGTCCCAGTAAATTTTAGCTTGGGCCATAAGTACGGGAATGTATTTTTCTAGGGCTAAATCGTATTCTTTGAGAGTTCTTCGGATTTCATCGTTATCACGGGCAATTCGAGCGTCTTGGATTTGCTTTGTAAATTTCCTAAGCTGGTCGATATTTTGGTTGGCGAGGTTGTCAAATTTGCGATAGGCTTCTTCTGGGGAAGTTTGGCACATAATTAAAGCATCTAGGTATTCGAAGTCTTCGTTTGATAAACACTTATAGGTAAGTTGAGCATTTTCGGCTAACCAAAACATATTTTCTTTAAAATTTAATTTTTAAATATATATTGATTGATTGATTGATTGATAAGATTACTTAATAATTATAATCTCTCTCCCCCTGCAAGCTGTTGATAGAGTACGAATTCCACTCTTAGCAACGAGTCGACAGTTACATGATCTTAGAACTTCCTTCACCTTCAGCTCCGAAGAACTCTCTTTTCCCACTACCCCGTGCCATTGGATAGTGTCTCTATTAGCCCAAGCCCTCAGAAGATCATAGATCTCCCTTCACTGAGCCCATAGATGGGAAAAAATCATGCCAGGTCTCACCATTTTAAATTGTTTTTTAAATATAGAAAAATTATTTAAAAAAATTCTCTTATTTTTATTTATAATGGGAAGGTAAGACATCTGCAGCAAGATCAAAGTAATTGTATTTGCAATATAAAATCAGTAAATTTGCAAAAGTTTCAACAGGGAATGGCGGATTTTGCAGCAGGAAATTGAACTTTCTAAATCCGACTGTTGGATCAGAGTCCATATTCATCAGTGCTTGGTTATGAAGTGTGACTGGATCCAATTCTTCTTCACTTCTTGGAGGCATATCCAAGAGTGCTTCTTTAGCAGCTGCTATATTTTTGGTCACATACTCAATTGCAGCCTTTAAATTAAAAGCTTCAATAAGTGCAGTTTCCTTAAGAATTTGTGTATTCCCCACACTTTTTACTTCAACTCCTTCTGCATTGCTCCCAACTCCTAGTTCAGGATGTTCTCTTACCCCTTTTTCAATGATTTCTGCAATGAACTTCAAGCATGGCGCCCACTGTTTCAGCTTATAATGGCACAAGGCAACATTATAAGCTAAATCGCACTGATACCCGATCTGGTTTAGCGCTTCTTGAAACTTGACCCTTGCGTCCTCATACTTTTCTTCCTTATATAAAATTGCAGCTTCAATAATAATGACTTCAGGATCATTTTGAGCACAGCTGGCAAGTACACTTTTGGCGTGGCCCAATTCGTCTTGTTCATAGTAAGAAGCAGCTTGCATAAGGAGAATTCTTTGAGCTGATTGGTTACTTTTAATCATGTTCAATGCGGTCATGGCTTCTTCGTATAAAGCTCCTTTGTATAACCTTTGGGTATAATAAAATAAGGCGTCGATCAAATTTTCTGGTCTCCTGACCGATAATTCATCTCTAATATTTTATATATGAGGCTTAGTTTCCCTATTGAAATTATCCCAGATATGTCAGGGAAGCAGCAGCTGGGTAGTTTTTCCTACGGACTCCTAACTTTAGGGAATCAAATTATACAGAAGGCACCACCTATCCCAAGCTGTAGAGACTGGGACTTTCATGGTGTCTGATGGACCCAAGTAGATAGCCTGAACTCAAAGAAGAGTCTTTGAGGCCAAAATTTTCAAGGCTGGCATCCTCGTAGTGTAATAAAGTAAGGAGGCCACACTTTGGCGATCAGGGATGATGGCGTGAATTTCGCACCAGAGCGATGTGGGAGGCAGCAGTGGCAGCGTACAACCTGGTAGCGGACAGTAAATGAAAAAAATAAATCTAATTGAATTGTATAAGCTTTGGGCGTGATAAACACGATAATCTTCGACATCTGGGTAGTAGCGAACCAGCTGCTCGTACATCGTAGCCGCCATGCGATAATCTTGGAGGTTATAGTAACAGTAGCCAAGTAGTGAAAGAGCGGCACGTGACCTGGGAGATAGCTGAAGCTCTTTGTTAAGGATAGTCACTACTTCTTCTAGCCGGCCTTCTCGGATAAGAGTGTAAACTGTCGCAGTGTATTGCCCATCTTGAATCTGTCGGACCTGCATTTAAATTATTACAGAACTATTATTCTTACTCCCCCCTTCATGAGCGAACAAAAAATTTTTTCGCTCACGGAGGTTAAAATTTTTATATAAATTTAAGGTTTTTTTGAACATTAATTTAAAAAATTTATATTTTAAAAATGTAATTTATTTAAAATTGAACAAAATAAGCTAGAGGTTTTTTATACTCATAAAAATTTTTTATATTAGAAAATTTTTTTTTTGTTTGCTCACTAAATAGGTTTTTTTCAGAAAATAGGGATTTTTCCAAAGGTTTTTTTCGCTCACGGAGAGGGGGGTTAGTAAATTAGGATTTTCTAATAGCTAACACTATGATAAGCTAAAGTTTTAGAATAGAGAAAAGTATGCTAAAAAATTTGAAATTATAAAACAAACGAAATGGCAGGAACTCAATTAATAAAGAAGGCACCTGCATCTAATATTTAAGATTAGAACTAAAAGATAACAATAAAACAATTCATCCTAATATACATCTTATGATACTTTATTCTAATCCATCTATTAACTATCTTTGCTTCAAATAAAATAACCCTTTTGCATCTTTTTCCCATTCTGTTTCGCTCATATTAGGCTCTTCCAGGAATCTCATGAAAAACTCCCCTATTTTGTAAACCTTTGACCTTTTTCCTGTATACAAAGTTAAAGTTGTTTCTTTATATAAGGTGGCAAAGATATTAGACATATGAACAATATCGCCACTCTTTAATTGGCTTCCAATGTCTCCAAAGAAATTGCACTTAATAGACCCGGAATGATCGGCGACAAGGAATTGATGAATGACATCTCCACTTTTTAATTCAATGTTGCTTATTTTCTCTAATAAAATGACTCTCACTTCTATGTTCTTATCATTAGGAGTAATAGAGGAAATCGAGTGTGTTGGAGTTGTGTTCCAAAGTTTGTAGTGTAGTCCTGATGCCATTAAATAATTAACTTTGTTAAAAAATAATTATTGGGGGAGGTAATAATGGAAATTTTATTTAAAAAATAAAATTAAAGATGGAAAATAGATCAGCAAAGGATTAAGTAATTGGGATATATATATAATTATCAAGTCAATATCAAAATAAAATAAAAGATCTAGACTTCCTTGATGAAAATTTTTAAAAAATATATTACTTACTCCCCCCCCCCCCCCTCCGTGAGCGAACAAAACCATTAGAAAAATCGGCATTTTTTGACCAAAAACCCACCCTCCGTGAGTGAACAAAAATTTTTTTAATAGAAAAAATTTTAATGGAAAAAAATTTGGATATATAAGTGATAATTAGTATAATGAAATCTAGAGCTAATTCTGTTTAATTTTAAACAAATTGCGTTTTAAAACATAAATTTTGCAAATTAAATTAATATTTGCTTCCCAATTTTTGCAAATTAGGATTTTTTTAAATTTCGAAAAAAATATTTTTTATAAAATTTATATATAAATTTTTTTTTAAAAAAAAAAATAACCCCCCTCCGTGAGCGAACAAAATTTTTTTGTTCGCTCACGGAGGGGGGGGGGGGAGTTAAAATAATTGAGACTTATTAAATCAACAATTAAAATTTTAATTTTTTGAGATGAAAGATGAATAAGTGAAAAAGTGAATAAATAGCTCGAATAATTGTACAAAATAAATATTATATATAAATGCAATTACATTAGCCTATTATGCTGATGCTGTTTTCGTCGGAAGATAAAAACAGAACAACCTTATGATTTATTGACTAATTTGCTAACTTAATAAGCAGCAAATTTCTTTGCATAAGTACTTTTTAAACTGCAAGAAAACTTAACAGATATTGAATTTTGGGTAATAATAGCTAAACACAATTAATTATGAAAAGAATCCGATTAGATGAATTAAGCACTTTTAAATCATTAAAAGTATTAAAATTTAACTTGCCATTTATATGAAGAATCTTATACTTATGAATTCAAATTCAAGTTATTTACAACTTAACAGCAAAGCACGTCTTTTCTGCTCTGCTTCTCTCCTGAAATTTTCCCTAATTCTTGACATCTTTATTAAGCATCTTTATTAAAATGATTTTTATTTTAAGAAATATAATAATTGTAATATGCAGATTGGATGGGATAGTAAGCGCTGGATCAACTAAGCCAGTTCGAGGATCAGTACCCAATAGTCTTCTAAAAAGTAAAATATGAGGTTCTGGTGAGTATAAGTCATAATGAACCCATCCTTTGCTTTGAGCAATTCCAAGTTTTCTCCATTCTTCGTCGCTAACTTTCTAATTTATCAATTTAGAGATATTTTTATATAAAAAAATTATATTTTTAGATAAAGTTAAGTTATATATGTTCAAGAATATTTTAAATAAATAATTATTTATTTATCAAATATAAATGCCTACATCAAAAGAGGTAAGAAGACCTTTGTCTTTTAGCTCAGGACCTCTTTCTTTTGGTAATTTTACTTGGCGATACTCATACTCATCATCAAAATACTTTTCAGAATATTCAATATTATCCTTGGTCATTTCAAACAAAAAAATATTTAAATTTGAATTTAATTTATGTTCAAAAATCATGTTTAACAATCTTTAAAGGCATTTAATAACGATTTAATCCTATAAATCGAATATTAGAAGTTTATAGGATTAAAATTGTTTGAATTTCTAGAAGCTCGAAAGGAATTCTTAAGTCTGTGTTTTTAGATATGCTTGATCAAAAAACATATTAGTTGGGAATCGGCTTTCTGCTAATTATATTTAGAAAATATAGAAACTATGTGACATGGAAATTCCTAACCTCTTTCTCTTCCCTTGGGCTAATCCTTGCTATTTTACACCAATCAGCGAATTTATAAAAGTTTAAATTTCTGTTTATAAATCTATTTAAGATAAATAATTTATTCAATTAGCCTTTATCTCTTTCAAAATAGAAACAAAACAGCTTATTAATAAGATGCTTTAAATTGAATATTAATTTTTTTTTATTTTTCATTTATAATTTATAAACCTTATTAGATGGCAGAGAAAACTCCCAGATCATCATATAGCATTCACCCTTCATTTTGCCATATAATTCATCCAATCTAAAATTAAATCCCCTGTCTAAAGCATCTACCATATATTAAAGGATAACTCCAAAAATCAAAATTATTAAATAAAATTAATCCCCCATTTAATAAACTAAAATGAGCAGAAGGTCCGAAATTGAAGACGTATCTACCTTGCAAATGACAAACAAAAAAAATAAACGAAACTCAGAAGATACCAGCATCACTCCTCGAAATTTAAAATCTCTCCCTAAAACACTTGTTCGGTCTGAGCCCAAAATCGAAACAGATACCGCGCTTTTACAAAGTTTAATAGATGGGATGAGCAATATCACAAAAATAAAAGATTTCGAAAGACTTGACAATTTAATCACTCGGCTGAGATACCGCAACCTATTAAGAAACATTGACCCAGATTTACTCCAAGACCTTGCTTTGAGAATTAAAACAATAATTGAGCCAACGCTCAGAATAAATTATACAACTGAATATTTAGAAGTCTGTCAAGAAATTTCTCCTTATTTAGAGCCCACAAAAGTCTATTTAAATTTGGCTGGGTCTCCTTATATAGACAATAAAGTATTGGTTGACGAAACCATTGAAATTATCATGCAAATAATTAGAGACTCCTTTGAAAAACTGCTTATACCTTTAGCAAATTTATCAAATAAACAAAGTGCAAAATTGCTTGCTGATATGAAGCTGCAAAACTGCATGGCGAATTTGTGTGGGATTCTTGAGTCACTTTCAGGGCTGATTACAAGGGGGTGTCTTCAAGACTATTGGCTAATGGCAACAACTAATATTTTATTGAAGATCCTATTTACACAAGGCCTTGAAATGCTACAATTATCAGCAGCCCAAACTTTATCAGCGATATTTGGGTTTTATTCCAAAATGAGAGATCAAATTATCGATGAAATTATCCAAAACCTCCCTTTAATGACTGCAGACCCAAACCAAGCTATAGGCTCAAAAAGTAAAAAATTGGTGTCCAGGGACTATCCTGTATATTCTGACCTCTCAATTAGATTTTGCTCATTTTTAGTTGTACATGTTCTACAAAGCTCATGCCTTTTAAGCAAACCAATCAAACCTGATGGAAATTTAGACTGCGAAGTTGTACTGACACAGTATGAGGATACAATGAAATTAGTGCAGTATTTCTGCACTAATTTGGCAGGAAAATGCTTAAAAAGTTCAGGTGGCAGCCAGGACTACCGCATTTTTCTTGAGATTTTTATAAATGATATATTAAAGATCACATACTGCCCTGAGTTTCCGCTGGCTTCTAAAATACTTGGATGTATAATTCTTCACCTTTTTTCAATGGTTTCTAAAGGCCCATCTACCGGAAATCTACGATATTATGCAATAGAAAGATTATCAGATATCGCGAAAAGTTTCCGGTCTGACATAATGCAAATCCGAGAATCCCCTATTGTTCCTCACAACATAATCCCTATGCCTCAGACCCAGCATCCTTCAGACAACCCTAACAGCTCTCTTTGTATATGCAAAAAAGGCTGGTCTAACAGTTCCTGTGATATGGTACAATGTGAAAGCTGCTGAAAATGGTTCCATTTAGACTGTGTTGGCTTAAACCTAGAAAACTACACTGAAGAAACCTGGCGCTGTGACGACTGCAGAATTTGTGAATGCATGCAAAAATTCGACTGGAAAAGAAAAACCGAAAAAAGCAACAAAAAGAAAAAAGGAAATCACAGGAATTACGAAAAGCCTGCATCAGAAGAATCAGAACCAGACACAATAAACCCAATTGCTAGAGAAATAATTTACGCGACAGAAGAAAATGAGCATATTTACAAGCAGCTTGTTTATAATTTTTTGATTTCTGATAATTCCTATTTAAAAGAAAACGCCAGATGTGTGTGGCTCAGTCTTTGGATTGTGAAAATGATTGTAGATGTAGATAGGGAAGAGGATTTAAAAGAAGTCATGAGCTTGAAAGAATTTAAGCAATATAAGAAAAACTGACTTAATCCGCCACAGGTAGCAACTGGAGACTTTCCGAAATTGTCAGAGACTGGGACTTTAAAAGTCCTGAAACAGTTTTTGCTTTGTTTTGAGATTGGAGCGACTTATACACATGTACAGAATCAAATAGTCAATTTATTAGGAGCGTCTCAACCACTGACAAGATCAAGGGCTCTTAAAGGGCTCGCAGGAATTGTGGAAGCAGATCCAGAGTGTTTAGCAGAAAGAGTGATAGAAGAAGCAGTCACAGACCGTCTATTAGATACTTCAATTGCTGTAAGAGAAGCTGCATGTGATATAATTGGCCGTTTTATCTGCCATAACTCTCAATTTTCAAGTTTATATTATCAAGCTTTACTAGAAAGACTCAAAGACAAAGGAGCAAGTGTTAGAAAAAGAGTCATCAAAATTCTAAAAGATATTATAGTCTCCAATCCAGATCATGAAAAAATGATAGAAATCCTGTGCGAACTTATAAAACGGATTGGTGACGAAACTGAAGGAATTAAAGATGCAGTGATAAACACCTTTGAGTATATTTGGTTTGAAAATGGAACTGAAAATCAGTTTTTCTCAACTTTAGTGAAGGTTTATAAGCTGCTGAACATGAAAGAGCCGATTATTCAGCTATTCAAAATAGCAATAACCAAAGGAGACTCTTATAAAGCAAGAATTGCTAAAATCAGTGATTTGGCTTCAGATCAGCTCTATGCAAGCAGCATTCTTTCAAACTCAATTGTATATGCCAAAATTCTTGAAATCTTATCATACGTTGACCCTGCAATCACTTCTCAGCATATTTCTACATTATACCTATTTTTAACTCCCAAATACAACTCAGCTGAAGAAAGTGAACTGTTGAGCTCTCTGTGTGTGATTATAGAAAAAACGACTTCACAAATGACTGGGCAGTTTTCACAGAGAATTCAAAAAATTGAAACCCAGCTGCTTACTTTAGTCTATACCCAAGGCTCAGGTGTTTTAGCAAGCGCTCTTGCAGCTTTATGTGCAATAGTAAAAGACGTGACCCACAATGAGTCATTATTAACCCAGTTAATGAAAAACTGCTTCATACTAGTAAGCTCGCAGCGAAGATCAAAAAAATTGGACCCAAATATTTTGCCTTCTCTGAATCGAGCAATGCTAGTTCTAGGATTATGCATAAAATACTATAATGCAGATATATATAATGAGCTCCAGCTAGAGCAAGGAAAACAGTTCTCAGAAAGTATTTTTGACTATTTTAAATATTATTGTAGATCTGAAGCAGAAGGACTGAGAGAAAGAGCATTAGAGTGTTTAAGCTATGCTTGGGTGAGATTCCCACATTTACTGCAAAAATCAGAAAACCTTATAAATGATGCCTGGAAAAAAGCAGTCACCCCAGAAACCAAAATAAGGCTTCTGAATATGTTTCAAGAGTTTCTGTCACATTGTGACTTAAAAACTATAGAAGGAGGAGATGAAGACCATGGGACATTATTTATTGCAATCCAAGGCTATGTAGGGTATATCTTAACTTTAGCCAAAGACCTTGATATTGAGGTAAGAGAAAATGCGGCTGACATTTTAAAGCTAATTCATTTGCAAGGACACGTAAACCCTACTATATATCTCCCAACCCTTTTTGCTTTGTTAGCAGACGACAGCATTTATATTAGAGAAACCTCATTTAAATGTATAGAAACAATTTTTTCAAAAAATTCTGATATTGTATTAATAAACTTGCAGCCTTCTTTACAAGAGTCTTATGATTTTCAAATCAACACATTTAAAGGCACACGGTCGTTTACATCCCAAAGCGAATCTTTATATAATCGGCTTTATATGTTAATAAAGGACAGGAAAACTCATCGTAACAAGTTTCTAGCTACAATTTCTAAACTCCTTGAACCCAGTGCCAATCCAGAATTTACCTTTTATTTGGCTGATCTTCTGTCGTCATTATCATTCACCAGCTCTGAAGAATTAACCATCATATTTGAACACATAAATTCAAAACTCCAGACAAATGCATATAGGCTTATGAGATCTATAAAATTATGCTGTAAAAACAATGATGAGCTTTCTCATGAAGAATTAATGGACACTTTGCTTATCCTCCAGCTATTTATCCTTCATTATTTTTTGTCCAATGTTTATCAAGTAAAAACTGATGAAGAAAAATCAGACAAGCCGGTCACAAAAAACTCTGACGAATTTCCGAGCTTTTCTGAATTATATGAAAAACTATGGAAATATCATATATTAGAAAAAGCTTCAGGAGAAGAGCTTAAAAATTTAAAGAAATTAATGAAAGAGTCTATGGACTTACACTCAGCGTCAACAGATAATATCAGTTCAAGAAAAAGAGTCCGGAAATCTGAAGAAGGTGAAAAAGAAGAATATAAAAGAAATGAAGCTGAAGGTTATTACTAATATAGATAAACCTAATTTTAGATTAAACTTCTTTAATTCTCCCAGTAATAAGCAAATTCTTGCTTATTCGTGGGGTTTTAGCACAAAATTTTTCTAAATAGTAAATTTTATATGATAGTATGAAAATTGCCATTATTGGAGATAAACTGCCCAAAATTTTTATTTTTCACTTTTTATCTGAAAACCCCTAATAATAAGCAAGTTTTCATCTATTCATATAAAATTACTATTTTCAAATTTTGGCAAAACTCCCCAATAATAAGCAAGAATTTTCTTATTACTGGGGGAGTAAGTGGCTTTCTTGTTTCTGGGTGGTGGACGAAATCTTCGACAGGGAAAACTAAAAGCTGCAAAAATCCTACTACAATCATTTCTGAGCACAACAGCAAGCTGTTGGTATAAGTCGTTATCTCTTCAGCATTATACTTACTCTCCCCAATTTAAATTAGGGCAATAAACCCTGCTCCAATTTAAAGGAGGGTTAATATTTTTAATAAAAATCTATATTAAACTTTCTCAATAAAAAAAAAATTTAAATTAACGCATCCTTTTTGTATTTTAATTTATTTTATGAAGAATTAATTAAAAAAAAATCGATTCAGTGTGAAAACTGCTTAAATATTGTTTTAATTGCACCATTTCCATTTAATTAGTTCAAGACCAATTTTATATTTATTAATATTTTTACCTATAAAATTTTTCGTTGAAAAAAAATTGTTACAATTTAAAGTGGGTCAAAAATAAAAATTTTACCTATGTTTTGTTCCAATTTAAGGGGGGAGTTAGAATCGTTAGAAATGGCTCCGAGCTCAGCCAAAAACAAGATAAGAATTGGCTGAATTTCAGTGAACATCATAGTAAGCTTTATAATATAAAACTTAGTTGTAATCCCTAGTCTTTCAAGTTCTGGAATGTGATGTGCGAAATGGGAAAAGTTAAACAAATAGTTGAGAGCAAAACAAGAGCTGACAACTTTGGCAATAAGTGCAAGGTAAGCTAAGGAGTAATGGGCTGGACCTTTATAAACCCAGACGTCATGGAACCAGAAATAGACAATGAGGTCTCCAATACCTATTAAAAGTAAAACTATTGAAAGCTGTAACACTCCTGCATAAGTTTTGTTCATGTAGGAATCAGCCTCTTTAGGAGTAGTCAATGGAGATGGCTTGATACAGCCATAAATGCATTTAGCACTGCCTACTCTCATCAAGCATTCTTGTCGTTCTTTTCTTGAGTATGTGCTTTCGTCACCGTTTTTGACCCACCCCATCATTCTGTCGATATAGAACATGAAGGCAATGAGACCGATTGATTTATAGACGTTCAGGCAAAACTCCAAAGTCTTTTGCTTCTCCATTGTGGAAATGACAGCGAGGGCAGTCCAGCCAATGAATATTGGCATTAAGAATAAGATCATGAGAGCAATTTGGGCAGGCTTGTATATCAGATGTTTATAGTATTTCCAGAGTTGGTACATAACTAACATTGTGGAGATAAAGAGCACAATCCCAGATACTAGAACTGCTGCCTTCTCACCTAAGTCTCCATCATTGTTGTCTGTCTCAGAGATGTCGGTGGTTGTGGAGTTGTCTAAGTCGCTCATATTTACTTATAATAATGGCTGATAAACTACTTATTTTAACTCTTTCTGTGCTAATATTTAATTTTAATATAAAATATTATTTTAAAATTATGTATTTTACTACAGCTGAAGTAAGCTAAAAAATAATTATTACGATTCAGTGAAAATTTAAGTTGTTTTTGCGGAATTTACAAAAGTGCAATAAATTCGAAAATGGATGATTTCATTGAAGAGCTCATACAGACCAAAATGAAAATCGCTGAAAGCGAAGATAAAAGCCTTGCAAAATCAAAACAGCTGAAAGAAATAACTGAAAAGCTAACTGCTAACAGCTCCGAAATCGAAGAAATTCAAACTGAAAATGAATCATTGCTCCAGACAATTGCCAAACTAATTGAGGAAAAAAATACACTTCGAACTCAATTCGAAGAAAAGCTTGAAATTATAAAGAAAAACTCAACAGAGACCACAGACCCAGAAGAAGAGGATCTAAGATCTCTAAATATCAACTCAGAAATAAGAACGGATGAGGACAAAATTAAAACATGGACAAATATTCTTGCAAATTGAGAAAAAGTGAAGAAAAATAAAAGAATAAAGCTACTCAGCAAGAAAGGGATACCGAGCAAGCTAAGAGGAGAAGTCTGGGGAAAAGTGATCGGAAATAACCTTTACATAACTCCACAATTATATGGCATTTTGCAGTCGAAATTCGCACAGCAAGAAAGAGACGAAAGCACTTTGAATATTCCTGCAGATATCAGAAGAAATTTGAGCTCTTTTCAAAGCGCTCAAAGAGAAAAGCCCTTATTTCAGACCCTTCAAGAAATTTTAGAAGCTTTTATAGCGTATAGGCCTGATACTGGGTACGTGCAGGGGATGGCTTATCTGGCTTCAATTTTGGTTATTTATCTAGATGATTATAAATCATTTGAGTGCCTCGCAAATATTATTTTTAAATCTGAAATCTTAAGGACTTTTTATTCATTTGATCTACCAGGGATGCAAAGCTATTATCGAGTTTTTGAGCATTATATGAAGAAATACGTCCCTACTGTTTATGATCATTTTGATGAAATTGGGATTACCCCTGATTTGTATTTATTAGAATGAGTTTACACTTTATTTTCACGTTGCTTTTCAGTAGAAATTGTTAGGTAAGCTGCTATTTAGATAGTCGGGTATGAGACTCTTATTTATTTGAAGGGGATGCTTATATTTTTAAAGTGGGGATAGGAATCTTGATATCTTTAGAAAAAGAGCTGCAGGGAGATATGAATGGGATAATTAGCATAATTCTTAACACTGCTGGCTATTTTGACGATGCTTCGAAACTATTCCGCTATGTTGATAGGCTGAATATTTCGCTTTTCATAAATAAAATTCATGAGGGAGAGAAAATTAGCAGAGCTAATTTCTCTCCCTCATGAAATTTTATTTATGGGGTTGGGTTTTCTCTCGAGAACTTCTGCACAGCAATAGCTGTTTAACTTTGGGGATAGCCAAAAGAACAGCTCCTCAGTGCACTCAAGATTTCGGAGTTTTACCCCACAGCACATCCCCAAGGGAGGATGACCCTTAGGCGGAACACGCGCAGGAGCTGAGTCAGGGCAGAGCGACGGCAACGCGCCGGGTGAGATGTGCGGCGGCTGGGGACGAAGCGTCGATAGAAGGCTTGGCCGGTTGGGCTGACCACATATTCCAAGATGGCTCCGTGACGTCACTAGTTAGCTAAAAGCTCCTTTTGGGGCTGCAGCACTAGACACCTTAAACACCGAATAATTAAGTTAAGTTAAGATAGGCTGAATATTTCGCTTTTCAAAATCAATAAGCTTAGAGACACTTTGAGAGTTTCCCGACTATCAATTCAATAGTTTAAATAATCCAATTAACTTATTATGAATTGAATTAATTATTAAAAATTAATATAAATAGGCTAATTATGGAAGGAAGAACTATTGCACTAACAGAATGAGAAATAGCAGGAGAAAAAATAATTAACCAGAACGTATTTAGCTTAGCTCGACATGGAAAAAGAAAAGAACTTGAAGATTTGTTTAAAGGTGGAATCGATCCGGATTCACTTGATAGAAATGGAAATACGCTGTTTATTATTGCATGCCAAAATAACCATAAAAGTATTGCTAAGCTTTGCTTGAGATATGGGGCTAATATAAATTGAAGGAATAATTTTGATAAGACTGGGAAGTTTTATGCGAAACTTTTCGGATACACAGCTTTATATGAGTATTTGTCTGGTAAAGGCGCTGAGGAATAAATAGAGTAAGAGTTTTTATTTTTCGCAGAATTTAACAAATGCATAAAAGACCTTTTGATTGAAAGATGTAAAAATTCAAAAATTAAAATTATAAATTTCACATTAGTCATTTTAAGATTGATTTTTTAGCATATTTCCGGAAATTCCTGCAAATTGAATAAAAAACAATGGATTTACCTAATTTGATAGAAAGCAGTGTTTGAATTTTACTGAATTTATATAATGAAATTTAACCTATAAATTAAATAGCAGTATTTAGCTCTTTTAATTATAGATTATAGAATAAGCGATGGCGAGGAATCCGCCATGCTTTAGATCATATTCATAGAGTAACTCATGCCCTATTCCATAATTCAATCCATCCTTAACTCCCTTAGTTCTTTCCATAGATGAAGCAAAAGGATTAAAGTTCCTAGAGTCCACCTATATAAATTAAAGAGGCAACACGTGCCAACCTGCCCTCTTTGCGCAACAATTAGGCCTTATGGCCACGGCGGACTGAGCTGGAAATCAAGTGTGGCCTCAGAATATATGTATCCGGATATGCTTTGGCTGTATTTCTATGATTGGAATGGAGGTGCCTGACAACGCCCTTCGGATCCAAGGACTCATCGGCTTTCCTCTACTGAGAAACTGGGGTTTCGGCACAGGCTACAGGGGAGCAGACTTTTTCTTGTAGCTGTCGAAGGAAGGCACTTTGGCACTCGGCAAGCTCCAAAAAGCTAATCCATGGAATTAAGCTAATTCAATCACCCGTCGCAGGCAGTAGAAATCCAAAAGTTGCCTACTCAAGACTTAAGCCGCAAGGCAAGAAAGAGGTAAAGGTACGGTAGTGGCATCTACCTTAAGGGGATAGGCCCTCTGGGCTGAAGTTGAAAAGTAATTGAATCTTCCATGCTGAAGGTCTTTGGTGACTGCATCCATTATTGCTAAAGCCTGAATTTTTATAATCCTTAATAATAATCCTAGAGTTCCGCCCGTGCGCAGCATATTTACAAACACTGCATTGCTTTATTTTCAAGCATAACTACTAGATCCTGCATATATTTCATAATATCTTGTTTCACAAAGAAAATTCCAAAATAAAATCCCAAATTCATACCTTTTGTGAGTGCCGCGTGGTTAATTGGATCTATACTTTCCGCACAATCTTCAGTGGCAGCCATAAAAAATTTATTATTACCTGTTAATTATTTAATTCTGTATAATTTGCTTTAAGAAGCTTTGGCTTTCTTCATTTAAAAATTCTGGAGATACCTTTTTAAGCTCTCCTAGAATTTCATTGACTTTTGAACTATAAGAACTCATTTGATTAATATTTGACAAAAAGAGACTGTGGCTTACTTGGGCTTCTTCAGGGTCTGATTTAAGTGGCAACCAATTAAGCCACGCTGGAATTAATTCAGGCTGATGGAATATCGCGATTTTTCCTAATGCACCAACTGCGCACTCAGTTGACACAAAAAGCTGCTCTGATTTGCAGTCTGGAAGACTAATAATATAGTTCAGAGCTTTAAGAGTTTCTTGGAGATATCTTCTGAATATTGCACGGTCCCCAAATTGAGCAGCAAGTCCTAGCCCATATGCTGATGTTTGCCTTATATCAACGTTAACTTGATAGCAATTTTTAATTATAGCGCTTTCCCGAGGATGGCGCGGAATGGCGCCATCCTCGGGAAAGCCAGGAAGGCATCCACACGGGAACTGGGAGTTCCACGTGTGGATGCCATTTTGACATGTGGAAGTTTGGATCCCACATGTCAAAAATGGCATCCACACGTGGAAACTCCCAGTTCCCGTGTGGATGCTTAGTTGACTTTCCCGAGGATGGCGCCATTCCGCGCCATCCTCGGGAAAGCGCTATAATTGCTCAAGAACTGGCGAATTCCCATCAATGGCAATTAAATCCCCAGTGAACTCTACATAGTCGCAGAACACACAAATCGCATACAAAATTTCATTTTCTGTAGCATTTGGCTTATATAAAAGTTCTCCATAAAGGTTCTTAAAATATTCTAAGAAAATCGGCTGGAATTGCGTTTTAAAAGATTTCAGCATTTTCCCCACAATTTCCATTACTTTTTGCAGCACAGAGTCATCAGCGTTTTCATCGTCTTCTATTTCAGTGATTTCTTCCTCGTAAAGTTCCATATCTGCTAGCTTTTCTTTTTCTCTTCCCCTTTCTATTTTCCTGTTAAATACTTCTCTGACACTGTTTGCCAGTATACTGCTAAGCTCATGGGCAGCTCCTAGCCCAATTACAGCAGCGCTTGGGACGGCGTTTATGTACTCAACCAAAGCTTTTATTTGTTTATAAGCATCTTTAGGTGACTTCCCACATGAATTTGTGAGGGCTTGAATAATAATTGGAGTCAACTGAATTAAAAGAGTTTCTATATGCTGCTTATTAGAACAGCATGCAGGAATGTGCTGGATTGTTTTTAATGCAAATTTCCTGATATCTGAGTTATATGGATAAGAAATCAGTGGGGCGAGCACCCTAAAGGTCTGTTCTGCATACGGCTCAAATGATGTTTCTAAAGACTCGACTAAGTCATATAAAATTTTGCATGCCTTTATTTTATTTTCCAGGGCTGTTGTACTAATTGCAAGCTGTTTTTTCCCTAGTCCTTTTAATTCAAACTGTAGTGCGTTCATTCCATTGTCTATATTTAAGGCATCAGCACTTTCTGCATCAGTTAGCTTGAAATCCACATTCTGTTCTGCTTGTAAATATACATGTGGAATAATTATGTTTAAATAAGGTGCAAATCTATCTTTTAAGCATAAGGCAAAATGAGACAAAACTTCAGAAATTGCTTGATATGCAGGATCTGTGTCGTCTATTGAATTTCTTATCCTCATAAAATCATTCAATATAGACTCAGCTTCTTGTTTAAATGCATCCCCAGCTTCGCTTAGGCTTTCTACGATACATCCAATGCACCGTATACTGGCAGCTCTGATATCTTTTACAGTGGCTGTTGTGACTGGCATATTTACATAGTTTCGCAACCCAAAAATAAGCTGATTATAAAAAGGAGCAAACCCAGCACCAGTCGCTGTCGCAATCATGGCGATTGAGTTCAGTACTTCTTGTAACAGTGAAAATGGGTTGTTTGGATTAGACAGAATTCTTAAGAATGCTTCAATTATTGTTGGGAGATATGGAGTCAAAGCAATATCTGGGTTTCCATTTTCAACAAGAAGCCCTCTTGAGTAGTTAATCAAGCATGAGGCAGCTTGAGATTGGACTTTTGATAAATTGCTTTGTGATAAGCATGAACAAATTGCTGGGATTATTTGAGCATGATAAATATTTTCCATTTCAGGCTCAAACTCAGAACAGAGCAAACCTATTGTTGTCATTGTCGCCCATTTAAGTCGAGGAGAGTCTGAATTTGCAAAAGGCAAAACAGTGGCAATTACATGTGGGAAAATCGTTGTTATTAAATCATGGCAGCCGTCTGATATAAGACCTATTGCTAATATCCCGCTGTGCTGATTTGCCCAGTGAGCTGCTTGAAGTTGTGCAGGGATAAGCTTCATAACGTGAGGAAAAATAGCATCTTGCAAAGTCGCTGCCAAATTGCCCAGCAAGTCTTTTCCAGAGCTAATCGGGTCATTTTGAATAACCAAAGTATCGCTGCCTTCTTGATTTCACCCTTCAATATCATAAGGATAGTCTACTTCTGTTATCAAACAAAAGCTCAATGCAAGTGTTTCTTGTATAAAAAATACATTTTTTCTCAAAATCCCTGGAGCTTTTTTAATCAAAGTCACCAAAGTTTCAACAGCAGCTGCTCTTACATCTTGTGTATACTGATTATTTTTCCCTATCCCTGACATCGTCAATGTGAGCTTTTCAATGATATCTTTCCATATTCTCGGATAAAGCTCAGTCAGTTCTGCAAAGCTGTGCAAGACTTGCTTAAACATTTCAGGGTTCCAGTTTCCATCTTCAACAGCCTTTATGATGATATTCAAAATGTGGTCCATTCCTTGTGCATAGCCCATCACAGTAACTTCATCGCCTAGTCCCATCATAAAAGTGACGATAGACTTGACAGCAGAAAGCTTGACGTCTAAGTTGTTATCTTGTAAAACGTTCCACATGATCCCAATGACTGACGCGGCATTTTCTTTTAAAACTTCCATTGTTCCTGTATATTCTGTCGCAAGCTCGAATAAGTAAGTAAGAATTTAGGTTTAGTTAGTTAAGGAGCCAAATATTCCACCATATTGGCCACTAAAAATGGTGACGTAGTGGGTCCGACACCACGCCGGTGAAGTTCTGAAGGTTGCTTCCTAACAAGCTCTTTCAGGGCAGAGTTTTTTTTATTTTTTACTCCCTCATCAGGGTTTCACTACCTGTTCTCCTCCGAGAGCAGGCTTTTGTTGTTCCCAACGGCCTTTATGGCAGCCTAAAGCCGTCCCTGCGACGCAGCCAGAATAAAAGGCAAGCAGAAAAAAACTCCTGGGGAAGTTCTCCAGCACCAGTGCGACCTAATTCTGTAACCCAAGCGACTTGTAGTACCACCTTCCCGGGGAGAGTCCGGTGCAAGACCTTTAAGCTTGCACCATTTTTAATACTCTCAAGCTCGAATAAGTACATTGAAAACTGCTTTATGCTCGCACTATCAAAAACGCTTCATTCAGCCATATAAGTCATAAGTTCGTTAGCCCAGTTGTGCAAAATTGCAAAGTTCACAAGGACGTCTGCAAGTCTTTTGAGGAAAAGAAGGGACTTTTGAGGGGAAACTAAAGCGAATAAGGAGTTTTTAAGATGTGGGTAGCTGGACTCAGGGATTAATTTGACGTGGTCTTCTTCAATCACTTTCTTTCTGAACAAGATGGCGGCGAGCCCAGAAATGTCTTCATTTTCAGAAGACATTGCTGCAATTAGATTGTAACACACTTGCTCTGCATTGAGTTTCAGCATATTCTGAAGCGAAGTTTCCCCAATTTTTCGAGATTGTTTGTTTTTGCTTAGAATTGAACCAATGATATTTTCAAAGTCAGACATTTACCGCTCTTTCTAATTATAGTTAAAAAATATAAATTTTTAAATATCATTAAAATTTTGCCAAAATAATGTCCTGAAACTCTTGCAGATCTTATTTATTTACTTACTTACTTAATAATTCGGTCTTTAAGGTGTCCGGTGCCGCAGCCCCTATAAAAAGGGCTTTTGGCAAAACTTGTGACGTCACCGAGCCATCTTGGATTAACCTGGTCAGCCCAGGCCCAAGCCTTCTATCAAAGCTTCGTCGCTCGTCTTGCTGCACTTCTCACCCGGCGCGAAGCCGATGCCTTGCCCTGACTCAGCTCCTGCGCGTGTTCCGCCTAAGGGTCATCCTCCCTTGGGGATGTGCTGAGAGGTAAAACTCCGAGCCTCTTAGTGCACTAAGGAGGCGTTCCTCTGGTTATCCCCAGAGTTAAACGTCTATTGCTGTGCAAAAGTTCTCGAGAGAAAACCTAACCCCATAAATGAAATTCCATGAGGGAGAGAAAATTAGCAAAGCTAATTTCTCTCGAACCGAATGCCATTTTATTTATGAAACTCTTGCAGATCAATTTCTCCGTCTCCATTTTGGTCTACTTGGCTTATAATTTCATTCCAAACCCTCTCGTCACTTGGAATTCCTCCTTCCAGGATTTTCCTCAGCTCTGAAGCTGATATAGTCCCGCTTCCATCTCTATCAAACACCCTGAACGCTGTTTTTAAATTCCCAGCAGACAGCACTTTTTCTACATTAAGTGATGCCTTTAAAAACTCAGTATAATCAACAAACCCATTTTTGTCTGTATCAACTTCCTTCATAATTTTTGCTACCTCGCTTGCAGCTTCTTCTGCGCCTAAAATACTTGTATATTGTTCTATTAAATCTTCTTTACTGATTTTTCCATCACCATTTTTGTCAATCAGTAGGAAAATTTCTTTTAAATCTTTTGTGTCCTGCTGAGTCATGCATTGTGTGGCAATAAAAGTATGAACTGCGTCTCTGAGTTTATTGGATGTATGGAAATTCCTGAGGTTGGTTAAGACTTCGTTTAGCATTTCTTTATTTGTGATGGTACGGTTTATCCTTGTGGTTATCCATAAATGCTGCAAAGCATCAGATGCTGAAATTCTGGTTTCTTCAGGACATAGTAGAGAAGTAAGGAGTTCTTTGGCTTCTGCTGAAATATTTGGCCATGGGTTGACTGAAAAATTGACTTTTCCACTGGAAACCTTGCTCATAATTTCGTCTTCAGTTTTTCCATCAAATGGAGGAAATCCGCTTAAAAGAATGTACATGATGATCCCACAACTCCAGAGGTCACATTTTTCAGTATATCTCCCTGCAAGAACTTCTGGGGCTATATAATAAGCTGTACCTGAAGCTCCTACTGTAGGCCGTGAAGGAGTCATATAAGTAGCAGTTCCAAAATCTATTAGTTTTATATTCAAACTATCATTCCTTTCCTCAAGCAGAATATTTTCTGGCTTTAAATCTCTATGAATTATATTGAGATTATGCAAATACGCGACTGCAGAAAGCAATTGATACATAATCTGTGCTGCGTGATTTTCAGAAAAAGTCTGCCTTTTAATGATTTCGTCAAATAATTCTCCCCCTTTGCAGAACTCCATGATGATGTAAAGACGTTTTGAGTCTTCAAAATATTCATAAATCCTAACAATGTTGGGATGGTCTAATGTTTTGAGAATATTTATTTCCTTTTCAAGGTTTACTTTTGCAGCTTCATTTGTAATGAGATCTTTTCGGAATATTTTAACAGCTCTTTTTATGTTGGTTTCTCTATGAAAACAAATTTTGACTTCTCCTGAGCCTCCTGTGCCTAGAGCTTGTCCAAGTCTGTAGACATCTTGAAACTTATTTTCGTTTTCTCGGACGAAATTGCTGGCTTGGACAACGATTTCTCCGACGCTATGGATTTTTTTCTCTTCAAGTGTCCCGTTAGAATTTAAACTTTTGACTCTTCTAAATTTAGATCCGATCGAACATGTGCATCCCATTATACTTATTTCTAAATTTCCATTTTTCTAAATTTTGAAATGAACTTCGCCTAAAGAGTTATTTTTTTATTTTTAAATAAAACAAGCTTATTTAAAACCCCATTGCAATATGAAGCCATATAATAATAGCAAATATTGCTAAAAGCGACAGAAAAAAGTCAAAATTTGAAATAGCTATTGCTTGCTAAAGAGTTTTCGGTTTCTAGCTGCTTAAAAATAGACTTTAAAATCTTAAAAAACTATATCTCCTCAATTTTTCGGAGATCTTCAACTAGTTATCAATAGTTTAAATAATCTTTTATTGAATTTTTAATTATAATGAAGTTATTAATAGAGTCAGTATTAACAATATCAATATTCAATTAAGAAATTAATTATTTCTTAGTCTTCATGGCTTATTCTTTGAGCACCAAGCTTTAAAGCATTTTAGGTTACCAATAAAATATATTTTCAAAGATATCTCAATGGCTAGATTATTGTTTTTCAATATAAAAATAAATGGGTTGCAGCGAATCAGCGAGGATTGCTTCATTGGAAGAAGACAATAAAAAGCTTAAAAACGAGATTAGCAACTTAAAAGCAAATTCAAGCGGTGGGACATCAGGGACAAAAGCTCTCCAAAAGCAACTTAAGGATATGCAAGAAATGATTGAGAAATTAGAAAAAGTTCTAAAGGAAAAAGACGATGAGATTGACCATCTGAAGAGTCACCATCATAATCATTAATATTAACTCTTAAAAAACCCAATTTCACTTATTAAGTTATAAAGCTAACTACAATTGGAAAAGCTAAACTATGATATAACTATTTATTTCTGAGTCTTGCTAATAAATAATCTTTGAAGTATATATAAATCATTAGCCTGCATTACAATTAATATATAAATTCCTTTGCAGAGCTAAAAGTTTATATATTCCTACAATGTTCTTAAAAAAGTATTTCTAAATTCATTTATGATATTTTTGATAAAAAGTATCAATAATTAAATTTAAATTAGTTATTATCATAATAAACGCTTATTAAGGGTCATTATCTTGATTTTATAAGTTGAAAAAACTAATAAATAAAAATTCGAAATTTATTACCAAATGCAAGCTAAATAGAACAAATTCCAAAATTTTGTTATTAAATTCATTTATATTTGGCTCATATCTAAACGAAAATGCAAAATATAAAAAAAATAGATTAACTGTAAATAAATAATATCTATATGAGACCAAAAACATCTCACAACTTTCATAGACCTGAACGTTGCAAATCAGCAACTCCTGCCAAATCATCCAAGAGCAGAAGGTCCTGCACCTCCTCACGGTTATGTCCTCTTTCAGATCCATCAATTGGAATAATTTCTGAAAATGACCACAAAGTTGGTTTGTGTCTCTGCAAGTATTGTGAGTGTGGAGAGCATTTATGCCCCTCAGCAAGATCAGACAACTCAATAAAAGCTACATTTCGAACGAAATACAACTATGACTACCAGCCTTCAAATTTCGATATCCCTCTTAGGCAGCAGCAAAAGCTATACACGCCTAATCCCTACAAGCTTGAATCGCAGACTACTAATAAAATTGAGTACAAGCCATTTAAAATATCCCCAAAACATTCCAATGATATTCCGTTGGCATCAAAAAGTTTGGAATTTAGAAGCAGAACAGCGTATATAAGTGATTACCCTAATTGGGGACCTAATATTCCAAGTATTGAAAAAAGATATCAACCACCTGTGTATTCAACAGAAATACCATTTAAAGGAGAGTCTTCGTATAGAACTACATTTCACCAATTTAGTAAAGAAACAGTGGATCTTTACAAGACTGATTTAACCAAAGCTTCTATATCTACTATACAAATAGCGCCAAAAGATAAGCTGAATGATTCGACCACTTATAGGGACACTATGAGGGGCTATTCAAAAATTGACTTAAATGCAATAGTTAAAGTGCTCCCAGCGCAGTATCAGAGGTCTGACTCAGTGCCAAGTCATTTTAGGACCACATCAGGGACGGTTTTTCAGAAAACAGACCAATTTACTAAAGATCCGAGACAATTGAGGCTAATTTTGAGTGGAAGAAGGCAAAAATATTAATAAGTTTATGAAGAAACAGTTGATATTATTTAAAAATAATAAAATAAGTTTTGATTAAAAGTATTTACTTACTTATCTCCTCTGTGAGCGAACAAAATAATTTTGATTGCTTATGAAGAGGGTGTGGGGTTTACTTTTTTTAAAGTAAAAATTTTGAAATTTGCAAAATCGGAAAGCGAAAATTAATTTAATTTTTAAAATTTATGTTTTAAAATGCAAGCTGTTTAAAATTCGGCAGAATTAGCTAGAGAATTCATTATAATGAGTATCAAAATAGTTTTCCTTCACTTACAGATGGTGTTTTTTACCTAAAATTAGGGATTTTTCAATTGTTTTGTTCGCTCATGGAGGGGTGGGATTTAAATTTAATTATTGAATGATCAAGTATTTTATATCAAACATGAAAGTCTTTAGCCAAATAGTAATATTAAATAATTATAAATCGATTATAATTCGTGTCATTGCTTTTAAGCTAATTATATTATAACAAAACAATATCTTATAAGAGAATTATATACATTAATATAGCGTTTCGATCTATGCAGGAGCTGCGCTGGCTGCAAGCTCAATTTTGGTTGATAGCTTGACAGAAAATTCGATTTTCGAATTTTCTGGACAGCACAGTGATCCATCCTATTTCACTCCAGCTAGTTTGCAATTCCATTCTGGAGAAGTATAGCTGGTATACAAAATTCAGGCAGTTGCGAAGCAAGGTGGAGGTAAATACTCTTTTGTAGTATCATAGGGAGCCTCTCTTAAAATCTTAACTAATTCTATGAAAGAAACGCCTAACAGTGACTTTTTAGCATTAGAGTAACTTCCCAGCACGATTTCAGACATTGCGTTCTGGGCCACGAAGTTTCCATATCGGTTGCAAACTGACCAGAAAATTTGATTTTTAGAATTTTCTGTAAGGTTACCCAATTGAAGAGCTGAACAGCGACCCAGTCCATGCACTCTGGGCAAACGATCAAGAAAGGCTCAGAGGAGTCCGACAACTAATTTTTGGGTTGTCTGTCGGATCAGATTTCGGCCCTTCGGATCGAGGTCTTCAAGATGATTGACGACGAAGAAAGTGTTGATACATGCTGCTCACACGGCGATACATGGAGCTTCTCAATAAGGTTAATTAACCCAGTCTATCTCATAAGAGAATTTACAACATTAAAAAAAATTAATAAAAAATTATGAGCTCTCATACTCGGAGACCTTCACAAGACAGCCAGGAATCCCAAATCGTCGAAGAGAAAATCGTCAAAATAAACGGAGAAATTGAAATAAAATCCTACTCAAAAGGAAGATTTTTAGGAAAAGGAGGATTTGCAAGAGTTTACGAATTGCTATCCCTAGATGCCAAACAAATAACTGCTGCCAAAATTATCAGCAAAAGCGCCTTAAATAAAGCTAGATCTCGTCAAAAACTAATGAGCGAAATAAAAATACACAGAGCATTAAAGCACCCAAACATTGTTGGTTTTGAACATTTTTTTGAGGATAGCGAAAACGTGTATATTTTACTTGAGCTTTGTTCTAATCAAACACTAAATGAACTCCTTAGACGACGGAAAAGATTAACTGAAATCGAAGCCCAATGCTATTTGCTACAATGTATTGAAGGTCTAAAATATTTGCATTCTCACCGTATAATCCACAGAGACATTAAGCTTGGCAACTTATTTTTAAATGACAAAATGCAATTAAAAATCGGCGACTTTGGCTTGGCAACAAAATTGGAGTTTGACGGAGAGAAAAAAAGAACAATTTGTGGGACTCCAAATTATATAGCCCCTGAAGTATTGGATGGAAAAATAGGCCATTCTTATGAAGTAGACATATGGAGCACTGGGGTATTAGGATATACTTTATTAGTAGGCAAACCTCCTTTTGAGACTTCTGATGTGAAAACTACTTATAGAAGAATCAAGATGAATGCTTATTCTTTTCCAGAAAATATCCCAGTTTCTGACGAAGCAAAAGATTTAATTTCATCCATTTTAGTTTCAAACCCAGCTGATCGTCCTAATTTAGATGAAATATTAAAGCATGATTTTTTCTCAAAAAATGCGATCCCAAAGCTGCTGCCTGCGAGTACATTAGCCGTTCCTCCTTCTTCGTCATATTTAAGACAATTTGATATGAGTAACCGTGGCAGGGACAGCTTGCAATTAACTATGAAATCCAGATCTAGCTCGCAGCCTTATATTGGAAGTGGAAAAGACTCAAAGCCAGATCCTCGACTTTCTTCACGGCCTGCGTCCAGCGAAAGAGTGGAAAAAGCTGATAATAACATCAAAAAAGTGCCTTCAATTTCGTCATATAACCCTACAGAAGATGCAGAAGGGCCACAGATATGAGTAAAAAAATGAATTGACTATTCAAGCAAATATGGGCTTGGATATTTGCTATCAAATTTTTGCTGTGGTGTTTATTTTAATGATTCAACAAAGATTGTAAGCCTTTAGTGGCTGATTTCTATATTATTTGATTAACTCTGAATCTCCCTTGGTTATTAGTTTATTTAAGTGCATTTATTTGTTGAGGGGATAAGTGACCCAGCTGGCACAATATTTCAATACATACATAGGCCAGGCTCTTCAAGAGAAGAAGAAATCATGACTTACACATTTAAAGAATTCCCCCCAGAACTTCAAAAAAAAATGACACTTTTGCAGCACTTCAGAAAACACTTGTGTGACGAAGAAACAAAAACAAATGAACCTCATAAAGGGCTAACTTATGTAAAAAAATGGCTTTCGACCCCTCATGCTATTATTTTCAGGTTAAGTAATAAAATTGTGCAAGTAAGCTTTCAAGATAAAACTGAGCTTTTATTGTGCAGTGAAAGTAAATTCGTAACTTATGTCAGCAAGAAAGGAGAAAGAAATACGTATCCATTGCATTCGGCGATGGAGAGCAGGAATATGGAAATGACAAAGAGGCTGAAATACACAAAGGAGGTTTTGACAAGCATGCTCCATCCTAATGCTGGAACTGGAGAGTATAGGCAATCTCTACATGATAGAGATTTATAATATAAATTGTGTTATTTTTTAAAAGTTAATTTGGACGTAATTAGATCATTTTTTGTAAGTATGGTAGAATTTTACATTAACCCTTTTATTTATCTATTACTAAAATCCATCTTTAATTGTAGAGATGAGTTGCCACTATTATGATGATAAAAAAGGAATATCTGAAAATTATAATTAATAATTTCGCTTGTGCGCGTATATTTTAATAAATTAAATTTTATAGTGATGACAAAAATGCAAGTTAGACTTCATGCTGATTATGATCTAATATATTAATATATCATTAATCTTAAAATGGAAGAGGAAGAAGCTCCAGGGAGTGTCAAAGTAATTTGTAGATTCCGCCCTTTAAATGACAAAGAAAAGCAAATGAATGAAGGAGTCAGCATAAATTTCTTAATTCACCTTTTATTTAATACAGAACAAAATCTAGAGATTATAAGGTATCTATATGATTTTATTTTAATTTTTTTGAATCTATTTTGATTATATTACAAGATCTAAAATATTTTCTATTACTTATAAATAGATTATTTGCTTAATTTATATTCTTAAATAAAAAAATACGAAACAAACCTTTTTATAAAATTTTAAAAATAACCTGATAATATGACAAAATTGCTCACTATAAATTATGGGAGGGTTTAGAAGACAACAAAACAGTTATAGTGAAATCAGACCCTACACTAAGATTCACCTACGACTACGTTTTTACCCCATTTTCTCTCCAGCAGCAAGTTTACGATGCTTCTGCAAGCCCTATTGTTGACGCAGTCATGCAAGGATTTAACGGTACTGTATTTGCTTATGGACAAACATCTTCAGGAAAAACATTCACTATGACAGGTCCCGATTTATTTGATCCTAACATGATGGGAATTATTCCTCGCATGATAGGAGACGTCTTTTCTAAAATCCAAAACTCAAGCAGTAACTTAGAATTTACTCTGAAGGTCGGATATTGCGAAATTTATATGGAAAAAATTAAGGACCTGTTAAATGTAAATAAAGTTAATTTGAAGGTGCATGAAGATAGGACAAGAGGGGTTTATATTGAAGGGCTTACTGAGAAATATGCTTCTTCTAGTGAAGAAGTCTATCATCTAATGAAAGTTGGGACTGAAAATAGAGAAGTTGCCTATACCAATATGAATGCAGGGTCATCTAGGTCACATTCGATTTTTATAGTGACGATCACTCAGACAAATTCCAGTGATTATTCAGCTAAAGTGGGGAAACTTTATTTAGTAGATCTAGCTGGCTCAGAAAAAGTGGGAAAGACTGGAGCTGTAGGTAAAAGATTGGAAGAAGCAAAAACTATAAATAAATCTTTGACTATGCTAGGACAAGTTATAAATGCATTGACTGATGGGAAATCTACCCATGTGCCATACAGAGATTCAAAGCTCACAAGAGTACTTCAAGATTCATTAGGAGGAAACTCAAAAACAGCTTTAATTATTACATGCTCTCCTTCTCCATATAACGAAGCAGAAACTATAAGTACCCTAAGATTTGGGATAAGGGCAAAAGCAATTAAAAATAAGCCAAAAATTAACAGAGAATATACAGTGGCAGAGCTTAAACTTATGCTTGCGAAAGCTAAAGATGAATTAGCAAAAAAGGATAAAATGATTAAGGCTCTACAAAATGCATTAGGTAGCGGTCAGATTCCTATTCAAATAGATGAAGATGCGGAAGAAGAAGAAGAATTAAATGAAAATGAAGTCTCAAAATTGTCAGAATACGATGAAGTTATCCAAGAACTTGAAGATTTAAGATCAAAATATTCAGAAGAGTGTGAAAAAGCAAAGAAATATAAACAGCAGCTAACTGAAAAGACTATAGACTATGAAAATTTAAAATATGAATATGAAGAAATGAGTGGAAATTTTAAAGAAATCAATGAAAATTATAAGCAAATTCAAAAAGACTTGAAGATGGTTATTGAGGATAATGAAAAACTTATTTTATATAGAGATATGCTTAAAAATAATTGCTCAGACTTAGAAACTAAAGTCCTTGAGCTTGAAAAGCAAATAATATCTATTTCGTGCTGAATATGCATTTTTTATTAAAATTCAAAAATTTCTTTTTATTTATGTACAAATAAATATCTAAAAATGTTGAAATCGAGCAGGTAGAGTCACATTTAAAAAACCAAAAAATTTCTGAATTGACAAGAGAGCTTCAAAATGAGCATTCTAAAAATGGGGAATTGCTCCTTTTAATTGAACAAATGCAAAAAGAGATTGAAATACAGCGAAATAGCTCCCCTGAAGGAAAATCAACCAAAAGTGAAACCGACAGCAAAAAAGTGAGTCACAAAAAATGCAACGAAGAAAAGAATTCATTACCCTCGCATCCTTGATCAAACCACCTCAATTAATCAAAAAATTTTTTTAGAAAAAAACTTATTAACTTGAAAAAAATTTTACATAAATATTTTATGCCTAGCCACAAAAAATAAAGATGCAATAAGTTACCAATATATGCTAGAAATCGCATTAGCATTGCGTAGGTGATATTATACGTTATAATAATATAATATATATGCTCATCACACCAAATTAGATAGTTGGATTTAAAACAGTGTATGTTAATTTGTTCGATCAGAACATGGCTAAATTTTCCTGTTTTTAAAAAATTTTCAATGTGTTGCTTAGTATGGGTGGATAAGAGTTAATAAAACACTTACAAAATCGTTGTGAAAAAGTGATTCAGCTTGAAGTTGCCTTAGATGAAATCCGAGACCGTTATCAAACTTTAGAAAACTCTATGAACTTTGATATTGACGCAAAATCCAAAATAGAAACTCTCGAAAAAAACTTGGAATTTGTTTCTACTCTCCTTAAGCAAACTCAAAACGAGAATAACGATTTCAGAATCACTAATAAAATCCACCAAAATGACATTGAAAGGTTCTCTGAAAAATACTTAGATTTAGAACTTAAACTTGCAGTACAAAATGAGAAGATTGACGAGTATGAAAATATAATAAAAGACCTCTGCAAGCAGCTTCATGATAAATTTTCGACCCAAAAATCGGTGCCTTCAAGTGGAAACTTTGTAAAGCCAATAAAGGGTGGATTATCATAATTCAGCACAAGTTCCAATTAATAATACTGCTATAATTAATTTTTGCGAATATAGAAGTTTCTTATGTTCTCGATTAGCTTTGAATTTAAAATCTAAATAGAAAATGGAAGCTGTAAAAGTTGTTGTAAGGGTCCGACCCTTAAATCAAGCAGAAAAAAATCGAGGAAATTATAGTATACTTCAAATTGACCGTGAGTTCAATCAATGTATAATTACAAACCCAAAAACTCAACTACCAAAAACATTCGCGTATGACTCAGTTTATGACGAGCAAAGTGCTCAGCAGCTGTTATATGATGAAACAGCTTATCCTTTAGTTGAAAGCGTCCTTCAAGGCTATAATGGAACTATATTTGCGTATGGGCAAACAGGATGTGGGAAAACATATACAATGGTTGGAGTTCATGATCAGCCTGAACTTACTACCCTGATGCAGATTTATTTCGTAAATTTATATTTTTCTTATCAATTAAAGCCATTCAATAAATATTCACTTTTTTAATATTTAGCAAGGAATAGAGTGAAAGCACTGCTTTTGCTTCTTTATTGGCAATATAATTTCATTAAAAATAGACTTGTAAGCGTTAATTTGCAAAAAGTATGCTCCCAAAACAGTTCTTTAACATCATTCAAATATAATGCAGGAGTTAGAGGAATTATTCCAAATTCATTTTGCCACGTTTTCGGTGCTATCGCAGAAGCTCCTCATGAAAAATGTTTTTTAGTTCGTTGTAGCTACTGTGAAATATATAACGAAGAAATCAGAGACTTATTGCATTTTGATCCAAATGTGAAACTTGAATTAAAGGAAAATAAAGACAATGGGATTTACGTAAAAAACTTATCAATGCATATTGTAAAGAATATAGATGACATTGAGCAGGCAATGGCTATGGGAAATACACATAGAATTACTAAAGAAACTGCAATGAATGAAAGGTCTTCAAGATCTCATGCAATTTTTACTATTTATATTGAAACCAGTGAAGAAATTGAAGGAAGACAAATTATCAAGGCTGGGAAATTAAATTTAGTTGATTTAGCAGGCTCTGAAAGGCAAAAAAAAACTGGAACTGCTGGAGAGGCACTGAAAGAAGCTATTGAGATTAATCTATCTTTAAGCGCATTAGGAAATGTAATCAGCGCCTTAGTTGATGGCAACGCTAATTCACTCTAAAAATAAATTTTAAATAACTCTGCTAAAATAAATAATTTATTTTTAAATTAAATTTCTTAATATGGAGTTAAAAGCACATTCCATACAGAGATTCAAAATTAACAAGACTTCTACAAGATTCTCTAGGAGGAAACACTAAAACTGTTATGATTGCTGTATGCTCCCCTGCAGATTATAATTATGATGAAAGTTTAAGCACTTTACGGTATGCTTCTCGAGCCAAATTTATCCAAAATAAGCCAAAAGTCAATGAAGATCCCAAAGATGCTCTTCTTAGACAATACGCTGAAGAAATAGAAAGGCTAAAACGAATGCTCGAAGAAAGAAAAAGTGGGGAGCCTATTTATATAGAAAAAATTGTAGAGAAAGAGAAAATTGTGGAAAGAGAAAAAATTGTGGAAGTTGAAGCAAAACGAAAGCAGAAAAAGAAAAAGAAAAAAGCGCCAAAAGTAGGAGTTTTAGAGTCAGATAGTGAAGAAGAGTATCCTGATGACTTTGAAACTTCTATGCTAAATGGTAAAATAAACAATAAAAGCCTATCTTCGACAGATTCGGCAGAAAATACAATTGAAAATGAAACCCAAGCAGCTAGGAAAAAATCATCAAAAACAAAAAAGAGGCCTAAAGATGCAAGGAGTAGAGAGGAAGATCTGAATGGTACTGAAAGATCATCTAAAGTTAAGCAGGATACTTCAGAAATCTGAGAAGAAGATGAAGAACAAGAAGGAACAGCGGAAAAACCAAAATCTAACTCCCCTCCTCCGTGAGTGAACAAAACCATTAGAAAAATCGCTATTTATTGCCCAAAAACCCACCCTCCATGAATGAACAAAAATTTTTTTAATAGAAAAATTTTTTATTGAAAAAAATTTTGATACATAAGTGATAATTAGTATAATGAAATCTAGAGCTAATTCTGTGTAATTTTAAACAAATTGCTTTTTAAAACATATATTTTATAAATTAAATTAATATTTGCTTTCAAATTTTTGCGAATTAGAATTTTTTTAAATTTTGAAAAAAAATTGTTTACAAAGTTTATATATAAATTTTTGTTAAAAAAAAAAATTAATCACCCTCCACGAGTGAACAAAATTTTTTGTTCACTCACGGAGGGGGGAGTAAGCAAAATCATAGAGAAATCCAAATGAAAGAAGAAGATTCAACAGGGAATGGAAGATCCCGAAGTCCAAGCAAAAAGAAATCTAAAGCTAAATCCAGTACAGCAGACTTAGCTGTATCAAAAGACGAAAAAGTTTCTCTAAAGGACAAAGATTTGAGGAAAAGCTCAGCTGAGCCTAAATCATCTCGGCTGAAAAAGCAGCCTTCTTTTAAAGAAGAAACCCAAGCACTCCAGCTAGAACTCGAACAAAAAGAAAAATTCCTACAAGAAGAAAAAGGCCAACGTGAAGAAATGGAGCAGATGATTGAAGAAATCCAGAAAAAATTAATAGCAGGCGGCGAAGAGCTTAACAAAGCCGAAAAAGAAAGGCTAAACGCCCAACGCGAGTTCAGAAACAAATTAAAAAAACAAAGACAAAGAGAAAAAGCTTTAGCTGAAGAAAATCGGAAAAAAGAAGAAGAAATGCTGATGAAAGAAAAACAGTACCAGAATTTGCAAGAAGAAGTTGATGATTTAAGGAAAGTCATAATGAAATTAAGACTCAAATATAAATCATCATTAGCAGAAATTGATGATCTTAATCATGAAAATGAACAAGAAAAAGAAGGATTATTGGAAACCATTAGGTCGAAAGATAGGGAAACTGAATTCTTGCATAAGGTATTTGAGTTTATGCTTCCGCCTAATGAGCTACAGAAGATTAGGCAGAGATCAAGATGGGATGAAGATAATCATGAATGAAAAATTCCAGCATTTGTAATTCAGCAAAAACAGATCACTTTTCCTAAACTACCGAAGCAGCAGCTGAGAGAAATATATTAGATTTGGTTGAAATTTAAATAATAGTTTAGAATTTAGGCTGTTTTAATTAATAAATTATGGAGAAGGATTATTTTTGTGAGATCGAAATTAATAAAAATAAAAATAGTTCAAAATGAACTGAAAACTAGGGCTGTTATTTATCAGTCCCAAGATAAAAGTCAGCAGCAAACTTCAAATAATGCTGAATATGAGGAAGAACCAATTGAAGACTTGAGAAATGTAAGATTTTCTGATTGAAAAGAAAACGATGGAAGGCAAAACAAGCAAGACTATGAAGAGTACAATGAAAATGGCTACGCGAATCCAAAATATGATAATTTCAATGCAATTTATGAAGCTGATGGAAGACCTATCACAAGTGGTGGCCGCAGCAGAGAATCCCAATCTCAAAAACCTGTTAAAAATCCTCCTCTTGAGCCAATTAACTTAAAATCCCTTACAGGAGAAGGCAAAAGTGCAGTGCTCGGCCAAGAAATTTCAAAATCTCCAGCTGTCAGAGCCAAAATTTCTGCTCAAGGGAAACCTGTTCTCCAACCTATAGATCATAAGCCTGGCATAGAAAAGCGAAAATCCTCCCAAGAAAGACTAGTAAGAGCCTAGCTGCTTATTAGAAATTTTTATACAGTAATTGTTTATTCTAAATATTCATTAATATAAATGACAGCTCTACAAGTTCAAAGCTGGAGATCATCAATGCAGCCTACAGACCGAGCACGATCCCTTCCATTAAAATCCCGCAGCTATAATCCTAAATTTCCTTCACGAACTCTAGCTGAAGATAACATGGAAGGCCATTTTTCATCACGAAACAAAGCAGAGTTATTTCCTCATGAAATAACAAAACCTCAAAGAATTGAACTTCCTGTTTATTTTAACACCCCACGACGATTTTCTTTTTCAAGACCAAAATCTCCTCCTAAGCCTGCTAATGTGAATAATTCGTTTAAAAATCCGAACCAAAGTTTTCAAAATAACCTTGATTTAGAAAAGAAAACGACAGTTATGAAAAGACTGAAAGATTATAATATGCTAGCTTTTGCATGTAAAAGGGCTGGGAAAACGAGAGATGAAGGAAGGGCGTATTATAGTATTGGAGTTTTATATGATAATTTAGGACAATTGAAAAAAGCTATATCTGCATATACACAATTTTTAAATGTGTGTCAGTCAATTGGAGATGTACATGGAGAAGCATTAGCCAATAACTGTATAGGAGTAGACTACACAAAAATGGCTGAAGCTGAACCTAACAATAATGAGCTCTGGCAAGAAGCAATTAATTACCATATGAAACACAAAGAAATTGCTGATGTCCCTGGCAAGTTTTTAGCACATATAAATCTTGGGTTAATTTATAACAAGCTAGGAGATAATGAAAGAGCAGCAATAAACCATCAATTTGCCCTGAGATATGCTATCCAGATGTCCAGTGTAGCTGGACAAAGTGTAGCAATTGGAAATCTAGGACAAATTGGGAATAATAAAATTGTTGGGGATAATGAAAAACTTAAAATGTTTGCAGAACGATATTTAGCCTTAAGCCATGAGCTTAAAAATAGGAAAGGGGAAAGTGGGGCTTATCAACAGCTTGGAAATATCAGTTTCAGTATTGGAGATTATGATTCCAGCACAAAGAACTATTATCGAGCAATGAAGATTGCTGAAGAAATTGGAGATAAAGAGCTTATAGATGTCGCAAAATGCAATTTTGGAGCTGCTAATGGCAATCTGAAGATGGAGGAACATATGAAAAACATCCTCCAAAAAGTGAGTCAAGCTAAAGCTAAAATCTATAATAATTAAAAATGAAATAGGATTTATTTTTATTAATAAATAATAGGATTAAAATGGTAATAAATGGCATAATGTTTTCTTAATAAAAAATTCTAATATGGAATTTTTATTACTCGGATTTGTTCTGGCGCTTTTAGGTGTTTTAGCTTATTTCTTTATATTAAAGCAAAAGCCAAAAGTTGAAAGCAGGAAAGATTCAGCCCAAGAGGCCGAAGAAGAAACCAAAGAGCCAAAAGCATCGAAATCAAAAAGTAAGATGAAGCCCACTAAAAAAGCCACACCAAAAGTCAAATGCAATACAGAGCACAGGCTCTACAAAAACGCATTCAAAGGTTTTCACGAGCCTATCAAAGACTTCGACATCAAGCCTGGCTATATCGGTGTTTGCTGCAGGGATGGCCAAGTAAAGATCTTCAAAATCAATAATTTTGAAGACCAAAATTTCAAATTCATCCAAGGCAAGCTCGAAAGAGAAGAGCCAAGTGCCGTCGCCATAAGTGTCAAAGGTGACACCCTGGTCGCTGCTGGCTCTTTTGATCACAAAATCCACTATTTCGTATTAAAACAAGAAAAAGACAAAAAACTTCTTGTAGAAATCAACACATTTTCTCAGCAGCACACTTACGCAATATCAGATTTAGCCTGCACTCCTAATTGCATTATTTCTTCAGGTGACGATATGGACACTACAGTCAACGTCTGGTCTCATTCTGGAGATATACTAGCCACATATGATATGAAGCAGCTTAAAAACAAGCGTATGGCGATATCTGGGGACTTTAAATTCTTTTCTATTGCAACTTGGATTGGAAGTGCTAAAGTGATAGAAATTGTGTCTGATAAGAAAACAGGAGCATTTAGCAAGCTTAGCCCTGCTATGGATTTATCTGGGGGATCACAAGGGCTGGCTTGTGTGGGCTTTAGAGATTCGAATGAAGCTTTAACTTGCTGTCTTGATGGAAAAGTGAAGTATTGGAATATCAATGTGAGATACCAGCTGAAAGAACATCCTATTATTATTTCACAGTCAAATTTCCATAAAGAGGTTCCTAATTGCTGCACAATTAGTGAAAATTATATTGTTTTTGGATATGAAAACAAAATAATGATTTATAGCAAAGATTTTATGATTGTTGATGTCATTGAAAATGCGCATGCGAATGAAATTAGGAAAATGGTGGTTTATGAGAATTACTTGTTAACAGTAGCTTCAGATGCAAGAGTTAATGTGTGGGCTCTGCCTTAATCTTACATAAGGTTATTAAGCTATTTTTAAATTATTAGGTGTTTGTTGAATGAAAACTACAATTATAACTAACTTCTTTCTCTTATTGAAAGTAAACAATTTAATGAATGAGCAAATACACTATTGATGGTAATATATTTATACTCATTTCCAATTATCTCAATCTTAAAACTATTTCATATAATTCTCGAATATAATATAATGTCATCAAGACAGATTAATAGCTCCAATAAAAGCAGCGTTCACAACATTTCAGTGATTTCAGCACAACAACGGAGGACTGAAGAATTGAGCTCATCAATAGGCCGTTCAAGTATTGAAGAAAGAAAAGACAGGATGGCAAATTTTACTTACAATCCTGATAGAGTTATCGGTAATGGAAGTTTTGGGATGGTCTATCAAGCAACAATAGCAGAGACTGGTGAAACTGTCGCAATAAAAAAAGTATTCCAAGACCGCCGATACAAAAACAGAGAACTCCAAATAATGAAAGAACTGAAACACCCTAATTTGGTCTCATGTCGTCATGCTTTCTACTCTCCCGGCGAAAAATCAGATGAGCTCTATCTAAATATCGTAATGGAATACATTCCAGAAACTCTTTACAGAGTTGTGAAACACTACAATAAAATGAAGCAGCCTGTTCCTCTTGTATTAGTAAAACTTTATAGTTACCAAATTTTACGAGCTCTTGCTTACATCCATAGCTTAGGAGTTTGTCATAGAGATATCAAGCCTCAAAATTTATTAGTCGACACTAATACTCATACAGTCACAATTAAGGTGGTAATGCTATTCCCTTGATTAGACTCAATGAAGGAGAACTTGGGTTCTTTTGGGAGTTTTAATAAATAGAGACATACTGGATAGTAGATCAAGAGTATTCTTTTAAGATGGAGGCGAGAGAAATTATATTTCCTGTAAAAGGCTTTGGAAAACAGAAGAAGAAGCTATTTGAGAGTTATCTTACTAACTAACTCACTAAATAAATAAATAACTCATACAGTCAAACTTTGTGATTTTGGGTCAGCTAAAAAACTGGTACAAGGAGAACCAAATGTGTCATATATTTGTTCGAGATACTATAGGGCCCCAGAGCTTATTTTTGGGGCAACGGATTATACTGGAGCAATTGATGTATGAAGTGCTGGATGCGTCATTGCGGAATTGCTGTTGGGACAGCCTATATTTCCAGGGGAAAGTGGGGTGGATCAGCTTGTGCAGATAATAAAAGTGCTTGGCACTCCGACAAAGGAGCAAATTGAGGATATGAATTCGAATTATACAGAATTTAGGTTTCCTCAGATTAGAAAACAGCCATGAAACAGGGTTTTCAGATCAAGAACTCCGCCAGAAGCAGTTGATTTTATTGGAAGTTTGCTGGTTTATTCTCCAAGTTCGAGACCAAAGCCATTGGAAGCACTTTTGCATCCTTTTTTTGATGAGTTGAGGGACCAAAATACTACACTTCCTAACGGCGATAGACTTCCTGATTTATTTGGATGAACAGAAGAAGAATTAGGGTCAACCACACCAGAAATCATTCGTAGGCTGACTCCAAATTGATACTCTGATTCCCAAGAATAATATTCTTTACTTGATTGAATACTTTTGTAGTTTTTCCCTCTTAAATATAGTATCTTGTCTTATATAAATTTTTCTTAATATTATAAAAGCCGACTCATTGTTCTTTTACCACAATGCATTAAAAAGAATAAGTATTTATTTAAAATTTCTTTTTTTGGAAATAATATGAGATAATCTATAGATCTTTAATTAAGATAGGCTATAAATAAATTTTAGTAGTATTTATTTACAATTATCTTTCGGTTTTGATTTGGTCGAATGTTTTTAAAGCTCTATTCCTAAATTCATCAACTGTAAAAAAATGGTGTCCTTCGTCAGGCTCAGTAAGATTTTCTGAATCAATTTCTAGGAATTTTAAAGGAGATTTGGATCCAGCTTCTTTTTTGATGTTTTCATTATTTTTACTAGCAACTAGGAGTAAACCATTAATGTGCTCTTCAATTATTTTTATATCAGATATATCTACTTCTTTTCCGAAGCTCTTACAATTAAATCCAAGATCTTTAAGGATTTCTTGGATTTCAGAAATTGGATATAATACACTCTCCATATTGCTTTGCAATTTTTTATATCTATCTTTAGCAACTGCAATATTCTCAACAATTTTTCTCAATTCTTCATTTATTTTACTAATTTTTTCAACTTTTGTGCCCTCAGAGTATTTTTGCACCTCATTAAACCCCTTAATCTGATTTTTATTATTTTCAATATCTTTTTTTGTCACTGAAATTTCTTCTCCTAGCTCATACATATACTGAGAAAGCCTCGCATTTTCGTCAAAGCTCGCTACAAATAGATCTACAATTTCTTGGTGATTTTGGATTTCACATTGATTTTTCATGGTTTCCATTCCTGAGTTCAATTCTGTAACAAAATCTGAGTACATGTTAGATTTTTCATTAATCTCGATACAATTGGTTTTCCAATACTTGGCTTGATTTTTTGCGATTTGATAGATTTCTGATGCATTAGCAGTTGGCTCTGCAAAATTTACTGTGATTCCTTTAAGGTATTTAGCTTCTGATTGCCGGCCTTCTAAGATTTTGCTGCTTAGCAAGCTGATTTTTTGAGAATAATCAACCCTTGCTGAGCTTAAGGTTTCTTGCGCTCTGGTGATTCTACTTTGATTGTTTTCACTTCTATTAAAGTTAAATGAAGAGACTTCATTTTCACTTTTTTTAAGCTTCCCTGCGCTAAGAAGCTCTAATTGCAGCTGATTATTGGATTTGAGCAAAGACCCTTTATCTTTTCTCAATGTCTCTATTCTATCTTGTAATTTTTTATTCGAATTTTTGAGTTCACTTAACCGTTTAAACTCTCTTTCCAGCTCACTTTCAAGCATCTCTGCCTTATTATTGCTTTTCTTTTTCCACTCACCCTTTATTTTTTTATGATGTTTTGAAGATAGCCCACCAAGCATTGCAGTAATTTCTTCTAAATCCTTGCTAAGCAGGATTGATAATCTTCTTTCTTGTTCTAATTTTCTCGTTAGTTCTTCTACTTCAGTTTCTAACCTTTGTGTTTCTGTCTGATATGAGAGGATTTTTTTCTCTGAAACTGACTTGCCAAGATGGACAGCTTTTTTGTTCATATTTTCAGAAATTATAAAAAAACTTACTTATGCTTCCTTCTAGGATTTCATGTAAAAGAAAAATGATTATTTAGTCTTAATATACTTAAGTTATCTCAAAATATAATATGCCTAATAAAGCTAGTTAGTCTTAATTAAATTTTACCTAATATAAATAATTTTCTCCCAATTCTCAATGAACGCCACATCAATTAAATATAAAATGCCTTAACTTGGTATTATTTTTAAAATTATTTTTATAAGCCAAAATTTAGTACACACATAACTTGTCATTTTTCTCGTCCGCCCTTAAAAACGTATATAAGATTTAATGGAATAATTTCCGCCTGAAAAAACATAGATTCTCATAATAGTCCTTCTTAATAATCAGCTTATTAGAAATGGCAAAACCTCATAACGTTTCAGTCGTGACAGGCAATTCAAGAGTAATAGAAGAAGAATCCAAACACCGCTTTTCCTACAGCGCCACCAAAGTTATCGGAAATGGTAGCTTTGGTGTCGTTTACCAAGCATCTGTGAACGAGACAGGTGAGACAGTTGCAATTAAAAAAGTCTTCCAAGACAAAAGGTACAAAAACCGTGAGCTCGCCATAATGAAAGAACTGACCCATCCAAATATCATCGGACTGAGGCACTACTTTTACACGAAGGGCGAAAAAGAAGAAGAAGTCTACTTAAATGTAGTAATGGACTACATCCCTGATACCATTTACAAAGTAATGAAAACATATACTAAGACTGGCCAACAAGTTCCTCTGATCCTTGTGAAACTCTACTCATACCAAATTTTGAGAGCCTTGGCCCACACCCACGCAGTCGGAATTTGCCATAGAGACGTGAAGCCTCAAAACATGCTGGTAAACCCTACAACCCACGTTTTGAAGCTCTGTGATTTTGGCAGCGCAAAAAGACTGATTCCAGGAGAGCAAAATGTTTCTTATATTTGCTCAAGGTATTATAGAGCCCCTGAGCTTATTTTTGGAGCTGTTGAATATAAAGAATCAATCGATATTTGAAGTGCTGGATGCGTAACAGCTGAGTTATTGATTGGAAAGCCTGTATTCCCAGGAGAAAGCGGCGTGGATCAATTAGTTGAAATTCTGAAGGTCCTTGGAACACCTTCAAGAGAGCAGATCCACGATATGAACCCAAACTATAGAGAATTTAAGTTTCCCCATGTCCGAGCACACCCTTGGAGTAGAGTTTTTGGGCCTGATGTGCCTCAAGAAGCCAAGGATTTTGTGAGTTCTGTATTAGTATATTCACCACAGAGAAGACCACATGCACTAGAAGCGCTGCTGCATCCTTTCTTTGAGGAGCTGAGACAAGAGTCGACAAGACTTCCAGATGGAGCGCCACTACCAGATCTTTTTATGCTTTTTTGCCTTGAGTGGCGCGGTACGGGCGCCACTTCGGCAAGCTCCTTCTTCCAGTTGGCCGAGCCAACTCAGGTTGGTTCGGCCAACTAGAATTGACAAGTCTCCCCAAAAAGCCTCACTTGTCAATTCTCCAGTTGGTCGAACCAACCTGAGTTGGCTCGGCCAACTGGAAGAAGGAGCTTGCCGAAGTGGCGCCCATACCGCGCCACTCAAAGCAAAAAGCTATAACTGGACTCCACAAGAGTTGCGGTCTGTGAGTCCTAACGTAATTCAAAACTTGACACCTGCATGGTATCGAAGATAAAAATTACGACTTAATAAGGATTAGAGTTTGTTTATTGAAATGATTTATATTAGATTTAGGTATTTATGGAATAATTCTGATAGAAATTCTTTATCCTTTAGGTTGAGTATAAGGCATATAAAAAAATCTTACATAGATTTGAGTTTTAATTAGAAAACCCTTTTTATTAAAATGATGCCAATGATAAAATAAATTTGAAAATTATGGCAAGAAAAGAACCAGGAAAATCCTCATTTGTTCTCAGCCATACATACGCTCATTCCTACAATTAAGATTTTTTGAAAAATCCAAAATGTGCCACTAATTTAAACAGTCTGCCTGAATTGCGGATTTTAAAAAAATGTTTTATACGAGAATAGTTATTGAGTATTTAAAATTTCAGTATTTCGATTTTAGACCTATTTTCCATCAATCAAATAATTATATTTAGAATGTAAATATAATTTTTGGCATTTTTTAACATTTTTCCCACTTTTGCTAAAAATATTTTGATTATTAAGACCTATAAAGACCTATATTTTTCTATCAAAATAATTTATAACCTTAAAATTCTCAATATAAAAATGGCTGGCTCTCTATAAGACATATTAATATCATCGATCTCATTATCCTTTAACAACTTAAGTGGAAATAATATTGCATTAATTTAGATTTCAGATCAGCGATTATAATGAATGCGTGGATTTCCAATAGCAGAAGGTCTAAGAGAAGGTATTCAGACATATCGTTTATTAGCAATTATGAGGATGAGAGCTTTTCAGACGAATCCCCTATGATTGAACCTCTAACAGATGCTTGATTTCCAAGTAGACAAATAACTAGGAGCAATTTAATTAGTATTTCCTTTCTGGAAAGCGAAGCTTTTTCACAGAAAACTTTTATAATCCAGCCCGAAAGCAAATTTAAACTATTCTGGGATATTTTTATCAGCATTTTAATAGCAATACAGTTGGTATATACTCCTATTGTTCTTTTTTTAGCAGATACAGAAAGCAAAACCCTGAAATTTACAGATCTTGTTTTGAATGAATTATTTATTTTGGACATCATAGTCAAATTCAATACTGCTTCCTATTCTAAAGGACACATAATCAAAACTAGACTTGAAATTGCAAAAAAATATTTAAAATCCTGATTTTTGTATGATATAATAACTAGTATCCCAATTGAAGAATTATATGAGCTCTGCAACCCAGTAGGGTCAGAAAACCCTAACCACATGTATTTTAGCCTTCATCGAATATTTGAATACACAAAAATAATAAGGACTGTAAGAGTAATCAAGCTAGCTAACACTATGACTCTACTAGAAGATTTTATCCCTAATCAAAAATTTGCTATTATTTTCAGATTCTTTAAGCTTATTTTAATTGCTTTTTATGTAAATCACTATGTGGCATGCTTATGATACTATATAAATTTTTTGGATTCTTTCATATATCCTGTCACTTGGTATGACAAACTCCGCAATTATGGAGACTTTAATATGGAAGCCCAGAAAAAGCGACAGTCAATTTTTTTAGGACTTTTGATTACTACTAAATGGCTAAAATACTTAAAAAATACTAAAAAAATATCAAAAGTGTTTTTTGTTTAGATTCATGCTATTAATATGGAAGATCTCTATATTCGAGCGTTTTATTTTGCAGTTGCAACTACTTCTACGCTTGGGTATGGAGATTACGCTGCTTACTCAAGAGACGCTATGATTTTTGATATTTTAAACATGGGAATTGCTGTTATTATTGTGTCGTATATTATTGGGAACATAAGTGACTGAGTCGTTGCTCAGACAGTTTTGAGAATCGATTTTAGCAGAAAAATGGCAAACTTAAATAACTACATGAATAAAAAAAGGCTTCCTAAAGAACTAAAATTCAAGCTTAGGACGTATTTTGATTATCTTCAGCACAACCCTCAGATAACTCACATTGACGAGCTGAAAGTTTTTGATTTATTATCAACACCTCTCAGAGAAGAAATTGCTGGGATTACAAGAGGAAAAGTGTTTAAACACTGTTCAATTTTCCAGCAACTTTATGGGACAAAGTTGATTAATGAAATCAGCAAAAAAATAAGAATAGAACGATACGCACCAGATGACGTTATATTCGAGGAAGGCGAAAAAAGCCACACACTCTATTTCATTAGTGTAGGAATAGTTGAAATTTACCATAAGCGAACTTTGACTATTTTTAAAGAACTCAATGAGGACTCTTATTTTGGAGAAATTGGATTTTTTGCTATGCATCCGAGGACCGCTAGTATACGATGTATAGCATTTTGCGAGTTTATTGTATGTGACAGAAACGATTTAAATGAAATCTTAAAAACAAAACCCGAAGCACAACAGAGAACTGCGATGCTTTATAATTACTGTCAAAGAGATACCCCTAATAGGTACTCAATTTTAGGTATAAAATGCTATCTATGTGGAGTCACAGGGCATGCTGCAGCTCATTGCTATAAAGTTTTGATAAAAAAAGGTGACGAGCAAAGCAAAGAGAAATGGCTTAAAGAAAGAGAATATGGCAAAAAAATCCAAAGTGAAATTATAACGAGGCTTAAAAGAAGAAAAAGCCATAAACGGCCTGAAAAATACTTCGCAAAAAGTCCAATTGGATCAGTAAAGCACCTTGAAGATTCTTTTAAAGAAAATTCAGCCTTGGTGCAGAAAATGCGAAATTTTCTTGATGCTGTCCGCGAAGAGCAAATAAAGTCAATTAAAGTTGACAACAGCAGCAATTTCGCAAGAAAAACCTATTTAAATGTGATTGGAAATTCATCAAGCGAATCCAGTGATGAAGAATTCAGTCCGAGAAAATTTTCTGATTTAAGTGGAAGAAGCAGGCTATCGTATGTAAATACTGATAATCTGTTTAGATTTAGATCTGATAAGACAAGCGCAAGAGGATCATCTAATCGAGAAGAAATTTCGTTTTTTGATATTGACGAGAAGGTTGGGTAAGTGAGGAGTGTAAAGATAATTTATTTTCCAGTGATAAGACAGAGTGAACCTCTGGAAAAATTTTGTTCTTGTATTTTAATATGCTTATTAGGAAAACAGCTTAAATAAATAATAAAGTTAAGCTAAATATTCATAGAAAAATGGTCTTTTGTTTTCAAATATTTTGGATGTATTTTGGAAAAGGATTTACATTAATATTTGTATATTTTGATTGTATAAATATTTTGCAGCATGCTAATTTTCTAAAGGTCAAAGTCATGAAAATAGATTTAATTTAATAACTAACCAATCTTATAAATAAAGCTTAAAACTAGGATCTGCTTTTCTGCAGAAATTCAAATTTGTAATAGCCGGTAAATTTAATTTTTAATTCTCTAATGATGCAACATGGTTTTTTCTCAAATTCAATTAATAATTCATATGAGCAAATTTGGCAGCCCACGTGTAAAATTTTGTCCATCTATTGTTCCGCTTCCTTCCAACTTTGCCGACCAAGTGTTGGAGCTTGAAATTCAAGTCGAAACGCAAGAGTCAATTGAAGCCTTTAAGTCTCTAATGGAGTTATATTCTGTAAGTTCTATTCAGAAAGCCATAGAATACTACAACTCAATCGGAGATGCCAAATATAAATACTATCAGGAACGAATGATCAGTTTTATACAGAAGCAAGACTCAATTTTGCAAGCTCACGCATCAAAAACAGCCTCAACAACAACGTCACCAGAGAAAGTCCCTACTTCTCGGCACTCTGTCTCGACAACAAGTAAACTTCTGTTTCATGAGCCTCCTTTTGAAGTGGCGCCAGAAGTTCATAGACCTACTGAGCTAGCCCAGCGCCGGGCTGCAGATAAAGTGATGAAGCAGCATGAACAGGAGTCCCATGTAAGTATCAAGCATGCTCAACAAAATATAAAAAGCCAAAATGACAACTTAGAACAAAGAGTAATCAGCAGAAAAAGAGGACTCACAAGATATAGAAGTATATCTCCAGAGACTCCTTCATGTTGTGAATCAACATTTTCATTTTGTAGCCCAGAAGCTTCAAGGCTTGATATACCAGAAAGAGAATCGTGTGAAGGAGAAAGCGATAAATCAGGAGGATTTGCTAACTCTCAGGAAATATTTTTAATTTATTTTTATTCCGACTTTATTCTTAAAAACTGTCCATCTAAAATAGTATATTAAGATGGTATTTTCACTATATATTGTTTTCATTTAGGGAGTAAGCCTAATATTTCTGTGATATTTGATAAAGGTTTAGAAGAAATAATGGAAAAATATATTACTGAAAAAATCAAAGAAAGTGGGAGAATCAGCAAAATGTATAAAGAACAAATAGAAGAAATAAAATCTATAGGAGGATCATCTGAAATTATAAACCAAATTGTTAAAGAAATGGAAAGGAATAGAGAAAATGAGCTGAAAGATCTTGAAAATTCTTTAGAATTTAAGAGAAAACAAGAAATTGATTCTTTAAGAAAGAAAATGGGTTTAAGCTCATAATATAAAAATATTCATCCAATTCATTTTTATTTAAGTTAATCTAAATTATTTATCATATTTGAATTCATTTTTTCCATGCAAATCTGGAATTTATCATACGAAATTTCTAATAATGAACATAAAAAAGTAGCAATTCCTAATTCTTTATCACTTGTGTAGTCCATATCTAGCAATATTTTTCAAGATTTTTCTATATCTGCTAACTCCCTCCTTGAGTGAGCAAAAAACCATTGGAAAAAATCTTATTTTTTGCCCCAAAACCCACCCTCTGTGAGCAGACAAAAATTTTTTAATATAATTTTTTTTAAAAAAATATTTCGATATATAAGTGATAATTATTATAATTAAATATCCAGCTAATTTTGTTTAGCTTGCATTTTAAAAACATAAATTTTACAAATTAAATTTAATTCTTACTATTCAATTTTTGCGATTTTTTTTTTTTTTAAAATTTCGAAAAACAAATTTGCTATTAATTGACATATAAATGTTTTAAAAAAATCAACCCCCTCCTCCAGCGAACACAGAATTTTAGGTTAGCTAAAGGAGGAGAATAAGTCAAAGCCTACAGCTTTTGAAATATAATTTTTTAATTTTCCATAATCGTTTACCAAAGACTTATAAAGGCTCTTCATGTTCAAAGAATCAATCTCAAAAAGCTGTGAAAACCTGTAAGAGTCTCATTTAAAATTTTTTAATTCTAAAGAGTAGTCTATATAATCAGAAAAATTGTCCCGATAGGTATAATATCTAAACCCAGGATTATTTCCATAAATAGGAGAAACTGACTTGTGGATTATTATTGGGATATCAACATCAGGGAGAAGTTCAAATGAGCTAAAATGTAAATGCCCTGCAAAAATAAATAAAATTTTTTCTTTATGTACCTGCACTAATTCTGTAAACTTCTCAAGATACTCATCAGTCCACAGTTGCTGGGCTTTATTATAAATCGATATTCCAGGAGGGATATGCATAGCAATAATTACATTTTCTTCTGAATCATTTAATTCCTGCTTAAACCATGCCATCTGATTATTTGATTCTTGCTTTGAACCTTCAAATTTATAGCTGAAGTAGTTTGAATTTAAGCAGATTATTTTCAGCCTATTATCTGTGAACACTGAATAATATCCGCCTTCATAAAAACTTGTGTCGATCTCTCCTGTCAGTTCTTTTCAATTGTTATATAAAAATTCTAAATATTCTTCTCCTTGACCATCGATAAACGATTCATAATCTACATAGCCATCATTATTCCCTATTAAATAAATGACTTGGCTTTCAGGGAACACAGTCTTGAAAACGCTATCAATATCTATCCTTATTTATAGTAAATAAAATTAATCTATTGTATATATTTTCTAATTTTTATGATAATTTAATAATAGAAAATTATTTTATTTACTATAAATAGGCTACATAAGTCTTTTTAACGAGTTCTTTTGTTTCTTCCAAATTTAAATTTCCACTCTCAGCGAATAGCTCCATAGTATGATGAGCCAAATGGTCACCAAGAATTAAAATAAAATCAGGGATCGAGTCTATTTCTTTCATTTTCCAAGCAACTTTATTTATTAGGTCAATTGGAGAATCACAGTAATATCTGCCTGAAATCGCTTTATCAATGGATTTTTCCAAGATAGCCGGACCTTCTGATAAAGCTATAGAGTGGCAATATGATTTTGAACTGTAATTTGGCTCATAAGCGATATCATAATGTAAATCTGTGAGAACAAAGAAGTTTCCTTTTACTTTTAAGGATCCTCATAATAATAGTTGTATCAAGAATACCATCATTACTATCCGTTAATTTAATATTTTATAAATAAATAGATTTTTCAATAAAATTTTACAATTAAAAAATTATCTATATTAAAATAAGTACTAAAATATATTAGTAATAGATTAGCTTTAAATAATTTTATAAGTTGATCTTAATTATATGTCGTAGCAAGGGAATAAAGCTTTATCAGGGTGCAACAAATCATTGAGAAAACAAATTGTTCCTGCATCCCCTTCCATTAAACTGTAAGGTGTATCAGGAACTCCAATTCTTTTTCGCTGTGGGTCTTCATATGCTGCTATTTCTTGCATTACTTCTGGATCAATAAGTAATTTATAAGCAAATACTTGTGCCCTATAGATTCATTTCTTTTTTTGAGTTAAGTTGTAAAGTTTTATAAAAGCATATGCATTTCCAGAAAATCCATGACAAATCCCGCCTCCTTTTTTTAATAAGCCACGATTTCATATGCAGTTTCCAGCTCTGATTGCTTTGTCAAGATATTGGGGATTTTTAAAAATATCGTATGCGAGACAAAGCATTGGGACTGCTCCGCCAGCCCCATGGCAAAAATGAACGAGCTTGTCTTCGTTGCGGCCTTCAATTATTGGGAAATTGCCAGACTCAAACTGTAGGTTGCAAACTGCATTTATGCTTGAAATTAAAAGCTGGTCATATGATGGTCCAATGATTGATCTTGCTTGCAAAAGAATGTGAATAATTCCAATCGTACCATGAGCTCCACCTAACTTCGTGCTGATTTATATGGATATAAATGAGAATTTGTATTTAAATATTTATTATTTATTTCAGCTTAAAATTAATGGAGTAAATATCTACTTGCGCCACGTGGAAATGAATAATGAAGCTCTCCATTTTGGTTCCCAGATTTTATAAGTGCTTCAACGACTCTTCTAACAGCTTCATTGATAATTTGAACAAAAGGGCTTCCAGGCCAATATTTCTGAATAACTAGCAAGCAATACAAATATCCTGCATTCCCATAAAGCAGCTCATCTTCAGCTTTGCGGCCATATGCCAATTGTTCAGCTTCAATAACTTTTTGTACCGCAAATCTATCCCTATTAATCACAGCTTGAAGTGTATAAATCCCGACCTTTCCCATTAAAAACGTAATCGGATCACTATGAATTTCTATTTCGTCACATGCCCTTAAAGCAGCTCCCAACGCAATATTCAGATTATGCTCATAAATTTCTGAAGTCTGGCTTAGCCTCCAGTACATAAATAAATTCCCAGCACAACCCATATAAATAGAACATTCATCTTCTTGAGCTCCAGTGGAATCAATTGATGAAGTTATATTTGAAGGATAATTCCTCTCATGACTTGCAAGAAGTTCCTGGAATTTTTCTGTGATTGATGGGGTAAAATCTGCTGCACCTTCATAGTAGTCAGGAGCTGTGTTTTGTATGTATCTCTCCATTTAACTCTAGCTAATTAAGTCTATTGGTGCCTTTATATTTAGGAAACTAAGTTAAAGTAATAAAGTGCTAAATCATTCCTTTTTAAATCGAAACAAAACATAGATAAAATTTAATTTTTTGGTGCTTTAACCCTTTAAATTAAGCATATTTTTTTCAATAAGAAACATTTATAGGTAAAAATAGCCACCTTAAATTGGAACAGGATTTTTGTTGAGGGAAGTAAGTAAAAAAACATCAGTGCTTAGTTATCTAATTTGTATCCAGTGCCTGGAAAATAAGGCTGTGCTGGCTGCTGGGGTTGATACTGTTGAGCTTGGTATTGCTGGGGTTGATATTGCTGAGGTTGGTATTGCTGAGGAGGGTATTGAGCAGGTATACCATACACAATTTGAGGAGGATTATTCATTGCTGGCTGTCTTGCTCCTCTGTTCCCTTTCATCAACTCTAAAATTTCTAAGCGCTCTTGAGGAGTTACATCTCCTAAAAGCCTGAAGAACTTGACAAGGAATACAAAAATTGCGATTGTGAAAATAATGATAAAAACAGTTAAAACTGTATATATCGCATTGTCTGCAATTGCAATTAGCGCAATCCTCAATATTGTTACTAATATCTGATATATCATATAAGCCACTAACAAAGGTCTCAATAGCTTTGCTCCACCGAAATAACCTAAAACAGGCAGGAAAATCAATAAAATTAGCACAAAAAGGCCTGTCAAAATATAGATGAAACAAAGCAGGCAATCCAAGATAGCAATTCACTTAGTTGTCGACGCGAATTTGAGGACTTTTAGGTACTTGGGGTTTAAGGGCACAGGATCGATAATGACAGCAGGCACCTGCTGAATATTATTTGCGGGGAGAGGCATAGGACTGAATCCAGCATGATTATCGTAAAATGGAGCAGGGCCATTACTTATTGGCTGAAGGGAATGTAAAGGCAGCTCATTTGTTCTGTCTTGAATAGCTACTTCCTTGAACTCTTCACCTCGTAAATCTTCGTCTTGCAGCTCTTTTGCAATCTGTTCGTCACTTTTCATTTTATTAGTTCGGATTGCTATTGTCTGATTTAAATATGTTTTTATGATCAAAATATTAAGCTATTTCAAAATAAATATAAGGAGCTGCCTTATTTAGAAGTTGAAAGCTTTCCTGCTGTACTCAGAATAGAATCGTAAATTATAATTAATTTCTGATGATAGAGTTATTTCGAAATTTTTATAAAATTTCTCCAATATTATGTCGGAAAATTTAAAGAAGTAGAAAATGTAGATTCGAAACGAACTTCTTAGTGCTAAACATTTGATATTAATTATATTTAGCTATTTAATTATCTTAAAATATCCAATAGGGAAGTAGCATATAAGATACATAAAAGTAATTTTGTAACGCAAACATATTTTCAAAATATTTAAAAAAATACCATAGAGATATATTCAAAAGAAATCTCAACTGAAACTAAATTTGTGCATTTTGAAAATATAATAAAGTCTCAAAATAAAACTAAAATTATATGTGTAAATTTCTAATTAATAAATCATGCTCAAATTTGGTGTTCTTAATCTTACCGGACTTCCAGATAATGATATCCTTGATAAATCAAGCGCAGAATTCATTTCTAGCATTTTCTCATTCAAAATATTAAGAGACGCTCTTGAGTTCATCTGTTTCATATACAAAGGCAGAGGACTTGCACTATCCGGCCTCGATCCAGTTCTTTTAAAATCAGGCGATCTTACTCTCTTCTCCACCATCCCATAATTGACTTTATACCCATGCATATTCGTCAAATGGCTCAACAAAATCGGCTTTCTCGGGGAATATTTCTCAAAACTTGCCACTTTTCCAAGGTCATCTGATATAAGCTTATACGATGAATTATAAGTAGGAAACACCTCTTCTTGCAAAAATTTACTGTCTCTAGCCCTTGCTTTCCCTATATCAGGCGTGCTAACCCTTCTATATTTTCCACATACGTTTGGCATATCTTCATAAGCTTCAAATCTTTTTTCATTTACATCACTAGTCATTTTAACGATACTCGGCCTTGGCAGCTGTTTCTCTAACGATATTGCGCTTGGTTTGATGTCAAAAATCGTTTAATTTTGATAATGCATATTTCCTAAGGGATTTTTGTTCAAAATTTTTTGATGGATACAATTGCCCGAAAATTTAGACTTTTTACAAAATTTTTTTCGATGAAATGCACACTGTCAAAAGTGCATAATCATTGCTCCTGCACTCATTGCGCCTTTTATTTTACTTCTTGGCTTTTCTGGAGGACTTTCAAAGTCACTTACTCCCCCTTTAAATTGAAACAAAGCATATGTAAGATTAGCATTTTTTTTGGATACTTTAAACACCTTTAAATTGGAGCAAGCAATTTTTTTCAGCGAAAAATTTTATCGATGAAAAAATACTAATGTTTAAAAATTTATTTTTGACATAATTTTATATACAAAATGCAATTAAAATACTATTTAAACGATTTTTACACTGAATCGATTAATTTTTTATAAAAATAAAAATAATTTGTTAAAAAAATAAGACCCCCTTTAAATTGGAACAGTAATTTTTTGAATTTAAAAAGGGAGAGCTAATTTTGTTTCTTTCATAACTCGGGAGGCCGTTTTTGGTCTTTCACTAAAATCAATTTTCCTCGGCTGTTTATCGACTAGTTTATATCTTGCGTCATAATGATTACAAGGCGGAGCTGGACTTTTGCTACCATTTGCTTTATAAAATTCTTCACGGGTCTGCGACATAAACGCACAGCTTTGTTTAGGAGATGGTTTTTCGTCAGGTAAATCAATACTAATATTTTCTCTTAAAATCTCTTGCAGCTTTTCAGGAGATAGCTGCTGGGAATGAGCCCTTGGAGGTTGTGTTTTTATTGATTTTTTCGGGGATTTCCCAGATAAAATTTCTTCTTTGTGTTTTAATATTTGGAATCTTTCTGTACAAACTTTTCCAAATTTGCTATACATTTGTAAAAAATATATGAGAGTTTTAATTGTAGATGCCTTTTCTATACGAAGAAATAAAATATTGATGTTGACGGAAATTGGACTCCGAGGCTCACTCCCAATGGAGTAGAGCAGTTCGGATCATCCTGATGTAGCTAAAGTAGGGCCTCTGTCGGCCTTCAGGCTTGAGGATGCCTTGCGGAGAGGGAAGTTTTGTTTCTCTCCAAAGGTTTTCCAGACCCTTCCAGATGTTCTAGACTCGCATAATCTTTGTCTATGGGACTATCGGGGCATCCTACAGAGGTGGCTCTAACCTAGAGATCTTATCCTTAGGTTAGATCAAACTCGCAAGGAATTCAAGAGGGCTGAATTTTGGTTGGGCTCACACCTTTTGCACTCAGGTGTAATATGCACCCAGTGCTAGCCTCTTTTCCTGGAGTTAAGGTAGTCCTGCTAGTGGGGGGGGTCCGCTCACAGCCGCGTAAAATCTTAACCTCAATCTTATCTTTTCTATAGGTAGCGAAGGCCGCAGATCGTTTAACAACTTTAAAACCCTAGTCAAAAAAGCGTTTACTTTTCAAAAGATGTATAACGTCGAAGACATTGAATTTATTGAAGTCGACCATAGCTCAATTGATACTTATTTATATGAGCTAAATGCAGGTTTTTCTAGCAAAGATGCAGAAAAGCTATTTGATCATCTTGATTTTGTGTTTATTGATGGAGATTCAAATTTACTGCCTTGGCTTCAGCATACTCGCAAGTTTTTAACTTTGATAAGAATGTGCAAAAAAACTAAAAAAATTCTTTTTGCAGCTTCTTTTGCCATGCAGACTTTGGTGTTTTTGTGTGCGACAAGCTTTAATGTGGGAAGAGTTATCAATGGAAAAGGAAGAGGGAGCTCTTTACATGAAATTCACAATCTGCCAAGGGAAAGCTTAAGCAAACTTTCCCTAGGGGATGTATTTTTAGATAATTCAACCGGGGATATTTTTTGTTATGATGGGCATAGGAACGAATTTTACCCTGTCGCAAATGCAGGGCTGCATAATAATAAAGCAGCACAAGAAAATGAAAAAGTAAGCAAAGCAATTTTAAGAACCTATAAATATTCAGCAAAAAATGTAGATAAAATTGACGAAATATATATAGGAAAATCCACCGAAACTAAAGTAAGGATTTTTAAACAGTTTGTCCAGCATTGGCTTTTAAAAGGGGTAGGGTTTGATGAATTTTTAGTTCCTAATTTAAATAAATGGGACGTCCACCCAATAAATGCGACGTTAAAAGAAAATGTTTTATCTGTATTAGCAGAATCCCAGCGTGGACCACAGATAATTGTACATAATAATGCAGTTGGAGTGCAATTCCATGTCAGCTCGAAATATCCTATGACATTTTTAATTTTAAAAAATTTTGTGGTACATATGATGGACAGATTTCAGAACGAAAAAGATAAATTTGATTTACCTCTTCATTCGGTCACAAAAGCTGGGTTTTATTATACAGGATTTGGTGCTAGCCGAAATGGTTCCCAAGATACACAAAATGCTAATGATTCAGAAAAATACGGGCTTCAGGCTAATGAGGCAAGACATTCAGGATTTGCGTTTTCTTTGAGAAATGGAGAACCATTGACCGTGAAAATTAATTCTACTACTTCACAAGCTATCAAACTAAAAAAGATGGCAAGACCAAGGAGCCAGGAGAGTTTTGATAGTAGCTTTTCAGATAACAATAGTATGTTGAGAGAGCCTGTAAAAAGGACAGCTACCAATAAAAAAGTTGATTTTGCGTTAAAAAGAACTTTGTCTTCAGGCAGAGATCAAGTTATAGATAATAGGATAATAAGGCCGATTGATGCTGAATATGCAAACTCACTTGGAAGTCAAGTGATTGAATCACTTCCAGAAGCATGGAAAAGCAAAAAAGAAATCAGATCACTTTTGCACCCAGGGTATGCTACACATTTAATTCCAAAAAGAGGGAATATTCTAAATGGCACTAATCTTACTCTAACAAAAAATGATTATCATTATTATGAGAAGCCAGTAGTCAGAGTTACGATTTCTCCTAAGTTTTATTGTCGGTATAATAGAGAATTTAAAGAAAAAGAAAGCCAGGAGCTCATGAGAACTAGAAGTGGAAGCTTAGGAGCAACACTGAGAAATGACGGAACTCCTTATATTGAGCCAGACAAATTGAAAAGGCAAGAAGAAATTAGAGAAAAATCAAGATGAATGGACAAGAGAGATTTCCATAGAGTCTTCTCTGAATCTGCAATTACTAGACAGAGGGCAAACACATTTAATTCGCTTTCTTCTATTTTCAATGAAAAATAGGTATTTATTTGATTGGATTGTGTATAGCTCATATTAGGCCTATGGAAAAAGAAATGCAATTTTATTTTTAAAATAAATTTCTTGTATAAAAAGTAATTTTATAAATATTTTAATCATGAGATTTTCAATACCTAAAATGCTAGAAATTAAGTATATTAGTTTAATCATGAATCTAAATGATTATAATATAGTTTGCGAAATGGCTGAATATTTGTAACTTGGCAATTTATAATTCGATTGCCAATAGTATTTTACATAAACAGTAGAGAAATTATAAATGAAAATTCTTTCAAAACCTAATATGTTTTATCAGTGATAGCTTTAGTATTAGCTATAGCAATTAAATTTACAAAATAAATGCCTAGTTCATTATTTCTACTACTCAAGTATTAAATATTTACACTTCAAATTTAATTTTCACCATCAGATATGAAACTCTTATGCTTCGGGAAATTTCTAAATGCCCTTTGTTTGATTTGCGCTAAAAAAGAAACCAGCGAAACATCTGCATCCAGCTCAGAAAAATTGGCTGAAACGAAGCAAAATGACCCTTACCATAACCAAGAAAATTCAATTGAAGCGAGTAATCGGACATGCAATTCTATCAAAAATTTTGAACAGCCACAAGAAATGGTAGGAGATATAGAACAAACCTTTACATTTGGGCAAAAAACATTTTCCGATGCTTGTAAAGTATATGAGGGAAATTCTGACAGTCTTAATCCTACTGCTAAGAAAAAGTCAAAACCGAAGCAGAAAAAGAAAAAGAACACAAAAAATACAATTGATAAAATATAAAGCTAAAAAAGATTTTTACTTGTAACTATCATTTAAATAAAATCTTCTTTAACTAAAATTTAAAATGACCTCAGCATTTATTAATTATAATTTTACTTCTGAATGGGGAATTGTTGTGCTCGAAATCAGTGCTCACCTCCCGCAAAGAAAGGTGCTGATTCTTTCCACTTAGTCTGTGATGAATCGATGCTTCGTTCTACTTTTAAGGAAAGTTTCAAGTTATCTCATTATGAAGGAATATCAATTAGCAAACAGTAAGACCTAGATAGCTTAACTTTAGTTGTGGATGAAAGTGTGGAAGAAGATGATGATGATTTAACAAAATCATCTCTGAGTGAAAAAGATACTAATCAAGTATCAGCAGTTGCAAACGTTGAGGGAGTCAACTAAATTAACATATATTGACCGTGATTAAAGAAAATTTTGATACTTATGCTTGAATTTTATATACACTTTTTTACAAAAGAGAAACAATTTTATGAGTCAATGTCCTATTTTTCTTTCTTTATAATGGCTCATTTTAAAAACGAAATATAATAATAGTTGGATCGACCAGCAAATAATGTTTCCCATGAGTATAATTTTGTATAGATTTATATTAGAATTGAATGATCTCATAAAAATTTAATTGGATAACTAATTTTTGTCGAAATAATTTTTTCAGCCATATGCAATCTTTATACTTAAAATATGGATAAATTATGCACTTTTTTATATTTAGGCAATTTATATGAAAAGAAATTCTCCCGCATTTTTATTATAATAAATATTAGCACTGACCAGATTTTGTCTTGATTATATTTTTAAATATTCATAGCATGGTAATTCAGCATCTCATCTATTTTGAAATTAATGAGTAAAAATTATTTTTATCAAGTAAATCGTTCGTATTTTTAATTATTGTCTTTATTATAATATTTTTTCAAATGATTGACACTTAAAAGGCTTTTCAGAATAAAATGTTACCATCGGTAATATCTTATATATATATCAGAATTAAATTTACGAAGAATTGCATACCCTATTTAAAATTGGAACAAGATTTTGTTTAAAATTTCAATTTTTACAAACTTACTCATCTCTCTGTATAAATAGTTACAATTCCTTCTGAATTCGAATTTAATTGTACTGCTTCATTTGTGATGATATCTTCTGGCGAATCTTTTATATCTTCACCCTTACCGTTCGTCTTTGCGTTTCCATTTTTGCGTTCCATATAAGAAACAGTAACCTCATCTCATAGCACAGTGGTATTTTCTTTAACATCAGCGACTTGGGTTTTTACTTTCTTTTTCTTCTTGGCATTTCGTTTTTTAAGAATATATTCAAATGTGGTCATGTGTTTTGACCTCAATCAAACATGTAGAATAATAAGACAGCCATCAACTAAGATAGCTATCATTGCTTCTATTGTTACTACATAAGTCTTATTTTATCTTATAGAATTTATAACGCTTAACGTCCACTACGGGGTGACAACCCCAGTACTACCACTCGCCTTGCGTCGCATCGGGCCCACAGGTCGTTGGGGATGGCCTGCTTCGATCACCAAGGTGCTTCTCGGGAAAGTGTTCCGGCTTCGACGGCTCATGGATGAGCTACTTGCTTGATACATGGGTTGCTTTTCCGAAAAACCCAAAAAATGGATTTTTCTGGTCGGCTATCGGCAAAAAGGAAAAACACGTAGCCTGGGAACGTAACGCCCAGTTTCACGCTAGGGAGTTGCCCGATTGGTCCTAACGGACTCTGCTGAGCTTCCCCTTTCCAACTCCATGCCCTCCTTCCCCACGAGGAAAAATCCACCCCTGAGAATAGACTAGGACTAGGCTCTGAACACCACCAGAATTGCTTACCTAGTATTGCCGTCCATCTCTAGAATGTAAAGCCTTGCCGGATATAATTAAATATGAGTCGAGGCTGCATGGCCGGGAGGCCATGCCCAGACGAAGACGCCATATTTAATTATGTTACTACATAAGTCAAAACAATAAAAGCATCTTTATCAGCATAGTCGACAACTTCTTTAATATCAGAAACGTAGCTATCGTAATCATTATAATAATATACAATAATGCTGACTCCATAGCTGAAAATCACCATCATATTGAATTCAAGTGCAAATATAAGCTTTATAAAGTTATGATAATTCTTTTTCCCAATGCAATTGTTAAGCCACACACAATGATGATCAAAATTTTCAACACACCGGTTGCATTGCCCACAATGCTTAGTTTTCATACTTACATTACAGCAACAAATTGTACAAAAAGCTTGGTTTCCTTTAGGCTCGTCTCTTTCACCGTTTATTATTTTTAGAATATGTTCGTGCACCATAGGATCAGTAGGGTCACATATTATTGCTCGAAAAGCGAAAAAAATCACGAAAATTTGAGATAAAGCAAAAAGGACAGCAAAGCTTATCTAATTGAAAATTACTTTACTCCCCCCTTTAAATTGAAACAAAAAACCTGTACATATTTAAAGGGGCTGATTTTTTTATTATAATTTTTTTTCCTGTAAAAATTTATATAATATTTATGCTAGTTTGTTTAAATAGCCTCTACTAGCATTTTTTCAATTAAAATATAATTTAATGATGGTAAATTTTTTGATTTTGGTGATAATAAATTGACTCTCAAAGTTATTTACATAGAAATTATTTTTTTCTATAAAAAAAAATTGTTTCAATATAAATTGGGAAATTTTATTGATATTTTTCCAATTTAAAGGAAGTTAGAGTAGAGATTCATGCTGGGAAAATAAACTAGTGAAACAACAGCAATATTGAAAAGCATCATTATCCAGCTAAATACTTGCACAGGGTGTAATGGAAGACTAAACCCATGGCTTCTTGAGTGTTGAGCCATTTTCTAAACAATAGTCTTCAAGTAAAACTTAATAATCAATTTACTTACCTCATCTTATTAGCTGACAATATTGCACAAATATAATACAAAACATTGTGAAAGGATGCAAACTCATAAAATAATGACCAAAAAAATCATAACAAAGCGAAAATGGTAATTTCATCCTATATTATCGATCATAATTTTTTAATTTCCTAAATTATTCATATTAACTCTCTTATTCTACTATAATTTGGTGAATAAATGAAGATGTTTGCCCTTTTCATTTTATGCATCTCAGTCCCTTCAGCCTTCGCAGCCACAGGTGTCGATGTATCAGCTTATACCAGTCAAGATTCTTTCAGCTGTTTAAATCAAAATGGCTATATCTTTGGGATTGTCCGTGGCTACTGCAGCTACGGTGCAGTTGACCCCAATGTGGTTTCAAATATCCAAAACTCGATTAACGGAGGAATGCAGAATACAGACGTCTACCTCTTCCCTTGCTACCCATGTGGAGACCCAGCAGGCCAAGCTGACGATTTAGTGAACGCAATTGCAGGCCAAGGATATGGAATGGTTTGGATCGATATTGAAGTTTACGCTTGGGACTCCGACCAAGGAAACAATCATTAACATTAGCATTACTTACTCCCCCTCCGTGAGCGAACAAAAAATTTTGTTCGTTAACGGAGGGGGCTAATTTGTTTTTTTAAAAAATTTTATATATAAATTTTTATAGAAATTTTTTTTTTTACAATTTTAAAAAAATCCTAATTCTCAAAATTGGAAAGCAAATATTAATTTAATTTATAAAAATATGTTTTAAAAAACGCAATTTGTTTAAAATTAAACAGAATTAGCTCAAGATTTCATAATAATAATTATATAAAAAATTTTGTTCGCTTACGGAGGCAAAAAATAGGGATTTTTCTAATGGTTTTGCGCTCACGAGGGGGGAGTTAGAGATTTTAACGTGCTTCTCTGGCTCCGCAGGGTGATTTAGCAAAGCCATAAGGGCTCACCCAGTAGACATCGCCATTTTTATTGGACCGACAGATCATCCTAAGCAAGTGACGGCTAATTGGCTGCCAGATCTCACGGGCTGCGTTGCCTTGCTCGAAAATTGACTCCTGCGCGTGGTGCCACCTATGGGTCTCCCTTGGGAGTGTCAAGCAATAAAACTCTATATCCACCAAACATCCAAGGATCAGGCCAGGAGGCTGTGCGCCCCCCTTGTTGCTTATCTGATATTGCTGAATAAGGTCCCCACCAGGAAAACTGAGCCCTATAATAATAAATTGGTCAAAGGAGTGAAATTCTTCAGAGAAGAATTTCTCGACGACGCCATTTTATTATTATAACCCAGGAAACAACCAAAACTTTATTTTGACTATGGCAAATGAACTGACCAACCAAGGCCAAAGTGTCGGAATTTATACTAGCTACTATAACTGGCAAAGTATTGTAGGACTTGGATGGACTGGAGTTTCTCAATATCCATTGTGGTATGCCCATTACGATGACTGGATGAGCTTCGGAGATTTTACTCCATTTGGAGGTTGGAATACCCCTGCTATTAAGCAATATAACGGAGATGTAAGCTACTGTGGAGCTGGGATCGACCAAGATTACTATCCTTAAATTAAAAGATTTCTTTATATTACGCTTATTAATATTTACCAGTTAAGGGGCTGTTGTAATGCAGTGCTTGAGGATTCTTGTGAAAAGCATGGATAACTCAGTTTGTCTTAAATCAGTGATTTCATATTTCAATAAATTCCCGACCTGGGACTTGCATTCTAGTGGAGTATATCGAATAAATCTCCCAGTCATATCGATTTCAAAAGAAATTTCACTACTCTTGTACCCAGCTACACATCGGAAAATGCCTCCTTTTCTATCTGCTTTAAGGTTCATCAAATTTGAATAAAAATTGTGGATTTTTTTATAATGCTGGTTATCTTCAGTTAAATTTTCTATTTTTTTGTCATATTCCGCTTTGATTTCTTCTAAATTTCTCTCAATTTCATTTTCCTCATTTTCGGCTTTTTTGGTTTCAATTTCAATATTTTGGTTTGCAGCGGCTAATTCCATTTCTAATCTTTGGAGCTCATTATGAAGGGAGTCATTTTCTTGGTTTATGTTATCAATTTCTTGTTGTGTTGGGATTTTTTTATGATAAGCAATCATATCTTTTAAGTGATCTAAGGCAGAAATGATATTGGATTTTGTTGATTCTATTCGATTATCTAAAGCTTTGCTTAGATCTGATGTAAACTGCTCGAAATGGTTTTCATTTGTGTAGAAGAGAAGCAAAGAGTCGATATCTTGGTCTTCAGGGAGAGGTTCTGGGAGGTCTGATTGGGGAGGGCGAGGAGAAATCAAGATTTCAGTGTTTTCACCGAAAGAGACTCTTTTGTCTTCTCGTTTTCTGAATTTGAGAGGCCTAGAGTCAACGATTGGAGATCTTCGTTTGAGATCAGGGCTGACGTCAACTTCTTCAATAGAATATGTATCTTTAGAAATGCTTGGAGGGACTGATGAAAACTTTGACTGATTTTCTGTTTTCCAATAGTTTGAACTTGATGGCTCTTTTATTTTTTCAACATACTCACTTTTTACTTCGACTTCACCTGTTTGAATTTCCATATTTACCGCCTTTAGACAGAGCTTATAATAATTTCTAATTATTCTGTTATAATTCATATCCTAAATATTTAATGCAAGTATTTCCAATTGAAAATAATCAAAAATTTAAAATTAAAAATTCTCTATTCAAATAGAACCACAACATATCAAAAAAATTTATTTCAATATGTATAACTGTATAAATATTCAGTAACTTAAGCTTTAAAATTTTAATTATATCAGTTTTACTTCTTCTGTGCCCAAAGTTTTGGTTTTCAGCTACTTTATAGTACGCTCACAACAGCCACTGTTCTACTACATTTAGGACATAAATGATAACCATCTTTGCATGATTTCATGATCAATGGCAAAATGCAGCAAGGAATGCATCCTATTGAAAGCAGCCCACAGCACCCTAACAAAGACATAGTCCCTCTTTTATAAACAAGCTCAGTCACTACTTTATTATGACAAAACGGGCATATGATAGTTTCTGGATGAAAACTTCACTCTTTTGGGTAGTTTCCTATATAAATTGTAGCTGGCAAGAACTCTTTTTTTGGACTTAAATGAGAATAATTCGAGCTCGCTCGTCCATCAAGAGCGATTTGGACACTTTCACGCAATAAAGGGCTATTTGGCTCACTTTTAGACATTATTATTTAATTAAGCGATTACATCAACGACCCAAAGATCATTTGTGTCTCGGCCATCATGTGCTGTCACTTCTTGCTGGGAACTTTTTGTTTTAAAATTTTCATGTGAATGCAAGGCCTGCCCTGTTTGTACATGGATTAACCTTATATAGCAATTTTTCCCTAAAAGGTCGCCTGCTTTGCCGTTTTCAATTTCCAGTCTTCAATTATCATTGTCATCTCCTATTCCATATTGCCCATAACAGCTGACTTCTTGCTGCTTGGATTCGCTGGTCTTTATATTATGTGAATGAAGATTTCTGCCAGTTAATAAATGCTCAAGTCTTATTATTGATAAATTTTGTACTGGTGTTCCAATATAAGTATTTCAACGATTTCTACCATTTGGACCCTTTATAATTCATCAGTCGTTGTTATCTCTATGGAAAAAACAGGTAACTTCTTGTTGGTGAGAGCCATTTCTGTAATTAATTGGGTGGGAGTGCAAAATGTTATTTGTGTTAACGTGCTTTAGCTTTATGGGGATTCCATAAGTAATATATACTTGAGGGAGATAGAGGATTGGCATTGAGATTTCTTTTTTTTCTTCTTCATAAGAAGAGATATCTGCCTGATGTAGACGGAGAAGTTCTTCTACAGCGGATTTGACTGTAAAGCAAGGGATTAGTTGATTTATTGATAAAGGTTGATTTGTTAAAGGGCATGAATTATGAGTTTTCAGCCAATCTTCTATTCCTGTGCGCTGAAAGCAGTGACCATAAGGAGTTATCACTGGATCTGTCATAAGTTCATAAGAGATCGGGCATCTTAAAGCATCTATTTCTATTTTATTTGGATTTTGTGGCCCTGATTCTGTTATCATTGCAGTTTTTTATATAAATAAATATGCTAAAAATAAACTTTCCAGCAAATTTCCAAAGGCTAATCAAAAATTCATTTCTTGAGAAGAATACACCTACATATGAAATTATATATGAAATTTGAAAATAGTCATGAAAAGGAAAGATAAACGATTCTACAAATATTAATTATTTGCCTTTATTGAAAGCTCTACTGCTGCAGACCTTACGCATTTTCCCAATTTTATTTATTAGTCTTCATACTGATCTTGAACTTGTAGAGAATAGCCTTGACATAGTCTAGGCCCTATTAAATTTTTGAATTCGAAAATAATCAAAATCATTGTCCTGACTTTTATGCAGGTCAAATTTTCCTTAGCTGTAAGAAATTTCCATTTTAGTTAATTTTTTGATAAGAGCTGCTTTTCAATGATTCATTAAATTCATATATTTTAAACTATTTTTTTTCCTTTATTTATTTTCCTTTTGTTCATCTATGTCTATTTTCTCTAAGATTTTCCGTCAAAATCGATTTTTCGAATTCTGTTTAAGAAATTTCTAGTCCCCATTTAAGGTTGTGCGGATCAAATTTAATTAAACACGTGTATAATATGACAGAATCTGTGGATAAGCAAGAGCTGGGTAAAATCCAGACACCTTGGCACACAATTTCTGATGTGGAGTTGATAAAAAGCTTGAATACGAACACAGAATCAGGGCTCAGCGAAGACTCGATTGATCAACTGAGACAAAGATATGGATGGAATGAATTAAAAAAGGCGGAAACAAAGAGCCTGCTTGCAATGGTGTTTGAGCAGTTTACAGATCTCATGGTTATTATTCTTTTGGTAGCCGCAGTTATCTCAACCATCATCGCTTTCTTAGATGGCGAGTCAGGGATTGTTGGGTATATCGAACCTATCGTCATTCTTTTAATACTGATCGCTAATGCCGTAGTTGGAGTTTGGCAGGAATCAAATGCAGAAGCAGCGCTAGAAGCCTTAAAAGACCTCATGCCAGAGCACGCAAAAGTCCTTACCGCCCCGCCCCATCCATAAACTAGCAAAATCATTTGAATAATCCATATTTTTGCTTAAAAATCCACCTCTGTGAACAAAAATTTATTTAATATAAAAAATTTTTATGAAAAAAATATTTATATATAAGTGATAATTATTATAATGAAATCTCTGCTAATTCTGTTTAATTTTAAACAGCTTGACATAAATTTTACAAATTAAACAAATATTTGCTTTCCAATTTTTACTAATTGGGATTTTTTAAATTTCTAAAAAAAAAATTTTACTATTCTAATTTCCCATGGATAGCGCTATTTTGGCCTTGATTTTCCCACTGGGAAACTTTTTTGGTTCGACCAGTACCATATAGTTTGGTCAAACCAAAAAATTTTCCCAGTGGGAAAATCAAAGCCAAAACAGCGCCATCTACAGGAAATTGCAATATAAAATTTATATATAATTTTTTTAAAAAAAAAAAATTAGCCTGCTCTGTGAGCGAACAACAATTTTGTTGTTCGCTCAAGAGGGGGAAGTTAGAAGCGGCACTTGGAGCACTGTCCTTGCAAGAGAAGTGATCCCTGGCGATATTGTGGAGATGACAGTCGGCTCGAAAGTCCCTGCTGACGTCAGAGTTTTGAAATTGCTGACACCATCTTTCAGAGTGAATCAGTCACATTTAACAGGAGAAACTAAGGATATTGCTAAGCACCCAGGCCCTCTCGACCATGGAGATGTAGTCTTACAAGACAAAACCAACATTGCTTTTTCATCCTCCACCATTGCTGCTGGAAGTGCCCTTGGAGTCGTCGTCGAAATTGGCATGACAACCGAAATCGGAAAAATGCAAAAAGAAGTTACTGAAGCCAATGAAGAAAGAACCCCTCTACAAGAAAAATTAGACGAATTCGGGAATTTATTAGCAAAAGTAATTTTCGGTATCTGTGCACTGGTGTGGATTATGAATTTCAGAAACTTTTTCGATGAGGCTCATGGGACTCCTATTAGAGGAGCTATCTATTACTTCAAAATTGCAATTGCACTAGCTGTAGCTGCAGTCCCTGAAGGGCTTCCTGCTGTAATTACCACTTGTTTAGCACTCGGAACCAGAAGAATGGCTCAGAGAAACGCAATTGTAAGAAGACTCCCAAGTGTGGAAACTTTAGGGTGTACATCAGTCATTTGCAGTGACAAAACAGGAACTTTGACTACAAATGAAATGACTGTGACTGATTTCTTTATCCCTGACAGACTCAATGAAGGTTACAAAGCTTTTTCAGTTTCTGGAAACGGATTTAAAGTTGACGGAAAAGCTGAAGGTCTTTCTCCAGACTATTTCAATGACTCTTTTAGACAATTTTTACTGTCAGCTTCTCTTTGTAATGACTCTAAAATTGAATCTGACGGAGTCCAATATAAAATTATTGGTATGGCCACTGAAGCTGCTATTCGTATTGCAGTTGAAAAAATAGGGAAAACTGATAATTCATTTAAAAAAGCTGGGTATTATTCGGAGCATGTGATAGGAAATGAGTTTAAAAAATTAGTCACTCTTGAATTTACTAGAGAAAGAAAAAGCATGAGCTCACTTTGCAATCAGAAAAACACTGGTAGAAATATTCTTTATGTAAAAGGTGCCCCAGAAAGCATCATAGAGAGATGCTCAAGGATTCATTTGTCAAATGGAGTTGCTCAGATGACTCAAAGCATGAAGCAAGATGCTTTGGAAAGAGTAGTTGGCATGAGCAAGCAAGCTTTAAGATGCATTGCTTTTGCATATACTGATGATTGCCGTGAACTCACTGATTATAATGGAGAAAACCATCCTGCACATCATCTATTAGAAGACTATGAAAATTTCTTACACTTTTGGTCAAAAATATAGTTAGACATTTTTTATTTTAATAGGATAATAAGGTTCCGTACCATTTGATGAGAGTATTTTTCTTGGTGGCATTTATTTAGGAACTTTTAGTTAAATTTTTTTTACACGTGATAATTGGATAGAATTTTTAAGTATTTTTTTCGAAGCAATTATCGATAAAAAGGTAAACCAAAAAATCGAGCAAATGTCACGCGAGAAAAAAATTCCTATCAAATGGCTGGCAGCGGATAATAAGTGAACTATTACAGATGAGTTAAGTTAAGTGATATAAGGCCATAAGCGGATAGGCCACTAGCCTTACTAGCCCTTCTTGGCAGGGACAGAGAAAACTTCCAGGGTAAAAACAAACTTTCCTCTTCAGCAGATCCCCAAACCAGAAGACCTACATCAAAAGTGACAGAGGCACTATTTCCAACTTCACCAGGACAGAACCTACCAACTCCATAGGGATTGCTCCTGGAATTCATTTTCCATCGCCATCAGATTTTATTCCTGCTAATGAGTTAGGGTTCGAACAAAATCTAATATTTTTAGGAGTTATGGGCATGAAAGATCCTCCACGTCCAGAAGTCAAAGAATCAATTGCTCTGTGCAAGCAGGCTGGAATCAAAGTTTTCATGATTACTGGCGATAACAAACTTACAGCCGAAGCAGTCGCAGACAATATCGGCATCACCACAGGAAACACCGTCAGTTTGACTGGAATTGACCTCAACAAAATGCCAGAAAGCGAGCTCTCCAAAGCTCTTCAAGACGCCGATGCCTGCATTTTCAGCAGAACCGAGCCAAGACACAAGAAAAAGCTTGTGCAATTACTTAAAAGCTCAAGAGAAGTTGTCGCTATGACTGGAGATGGAGTCAACGATGCCCCAGCTTTACAAGAAGCCAACATTGGAGTCGCTATGGGCATAGCTGGCACAGAAGTTGCTAAAAGGGCATCCGACATGATTTTAGCTGACGACAAGTTTTCAACAATCGTCGCAGCTGTTGAAGAAGGTAGGTCCATTTATAACAACACAAAAGCCTTTATCAGGTATCTGATCTCCTCAAATATTGGAGAAGTTGTAAGCATTTTCCTGACTGCTATGCTTGGACTTCCTGAAGGTTTTACTTCAGTTCAACTATTGTGGGTAAACTTAGTCACTGATGGGCCTCCAGCTACCGCTTTAGGATTTAACCCACCTGATCTTGACATCATGAAAAAGCCGCCAAGAAGACATGACGAGCCTTTGATCAGCAACTGGGTTTATATCAGATATTTCGTAATTGGTACTTATGTAGGTGCAGCTACAGTTGGGATCTTTGTGTACTGGTATTTATACTTCGATGGTGGCGACTCTCATCCACTAGTCGCTTATTCTCAAATTTCAAACTGGTCAGAGTGTCCTGGCTGGAAAGATTTTTCACTTCCTGACTGGAACGGGCTTGACCTGTCCCACCACCCATGCTTATATTTCACTGAAGGCAAAACCAAAGCTAGCACTCTATCTTTAACAGTCCTTGTGGTCATAGAAATGCTTAACTCCCTCAACGCTCTTTCAGAAGACACTTCCCTCATCCACATGCCTCCATGGGTGAATCCTTGGCTTTTACTTGCAATTTCTGGGTCAATTGTCTTACACTGCTTAATCCTTTACGTTCCTTTCTTAAACGAAGTTTTCGGAATTGTCCCATTGACATCTCAAGAGTGGATTTTAGTCATGATTTTCTCAACGCCAGTAGTCCTGATTGACGAGTGTCTCAAATTTTTCGGCAGAGTCAGAAGCAGACGTAGCCAAGTTATTCACAAAAAAGATAAATAATAATTATCATTAGTTAAAAATATGGGAAACTGTTTGAAAGTCTTAACCAAAAAGACGCAAGGCCCTACGACAAAAGCTGAAAAAGTAAAAAAATTATCGCTAAAAGATACACACCAATTAGATGCTAGCAATGTAGAGATTTTGCACGCTGATGGGAATACCTCTGCTTATATATGCAAATACGAAAAAAACGAAGAAGTGAATGCGAATGAGTTATTGATCATGTATTTTGAAGGATTTGATGGGAGAAAAGAAGAAGTGCAAATCGTCGCTGGAGAAAGGGTCAGTACACTGAGGACCAAAGCTAAAGCAATTATGGGATTAGATGACATCCACATGGTTTTAGACGGAAAAGTGCTTGAGGACAAATTTCTGTTGAACCAGTATAAGGTGTCACAGGGTGCTGTGATTGATGTAATCCCAGTCTACTCGCCTTAAAACTAGTAATTATAAGTTTTTAAATCTGCAATAAGAGATCAGCTTAAATTCTGTTGATGAATTTTGCTTATAATTGACTTTTCATATCTTGAGAAAAAAATCTATTATATTTATTATATATTCTTTTCTGAGCTCTATGGAAACAACAGATGAAACAATATGCAAGGCACTATAGTAAACTATTATAAAGATTTTATTAGTCTATATCAATATCCCTCATCTTTACAATGGTAGCACGAGTGTCATCAGCATGAGAAAACTTTGGGGGAGGTTTAAATTCACCTTTCTTTTTAAACACAATGACCATATAGAGATAAGCGATGTCCCACTGATCCTCATCAATTGATACAGATTTTAAGTATTTCTTTAACAGCCAGTTGTACTTTTCTTTATATTCATCATAAAAATAATGGAAATTTCTTTTGCAGACAAGCTCTAAATCGTATTCTTCGGCTATTTCTTCAAGCTTGTCCATAATTACTAAATACTCAGAGACATATACTATTTCAGTCCCTTCTTGTCTAACAATAGACTCCCCAACGCTGTCTTCTAAATAAAAACCATATTTTAAGCCAAATTCTCCTTTACTTTTAGGGAATTGATCAGTGTCAAAATATAATTATAGAAGTTTCCTATGTTTGGCGCTGTAAGGCCGATAAATTCTGATCGGAATTTATCGGTTGGTTGCACCAAATCAATGCCTTGGTCGGACCAAAAAGCGATTTGGTCCGACGAACTTGGAAAGCTCCTGGGAAAATGTATGCGCTTTCAGCGCTATATAGAGGAAACCTCTATAATATATGGCGTCGCTCATTTCTTGCATATTTAATAATGAGGTTTGGTGAAATTATCCCAGCTATATTAGTGAAACAAGAGCAGGGTGATTTTTCCTAACGACTCCTGACCTTAGAGAATCGAATTTTCAGTACCACTTATCCCAGGCAGTGGATACTGGGACTTTTAGGGTGCCGATCGGGCCCAAGTAAGTGCCTGAGCTCAAAGGAGAGTTGTCGAAGCCCAAACTTCAGGGCTGGCGTTCTCTTTTGGTGATTTAAGCCTGATGTGGCCACACCTTTGGCGTGCCCAAACAAAAATAGGCAAAATTCGCCGCAGATCGATGTTGGAGGTAACTGCTGTCGAGCAATCTATGGACCTTAAACATGCATAGACTAATCAAGATGTCAAATTTAATTGAATAATACTGATTTCCAAATATAAAATTTTCGCTTTGTGTTTTCAACTTTTTTACAACGACATTTGCGTCTGGAATGGTGCTAATAAAGACAGCTCCTGGCTTAAGTTTTTCGGAAACATTATACAGGAACCTCCTGACGCTGTCTTCAGAGTCCCATATATAATGAAATGCAAACTGGCAGCTGACAAGGTCATATTCTAAGTCATAATGCTGATTTACGACTTGTGAAATTGTATAGTCTGGGTCACAAGAGCTGCCTGATATTAGCAAAGCTTCGAATTTTGGCTTTGGACTTATAGAATCAAATCTTTCTTTAGCCTTTTCGACGCTTTCATGGCTTAAGTCAATGCCAACATAGAACGCGATTTTGGCAGAATTAAATTTCAAGAGATCTCCTCCTCTTCCACAGCACATATCTAAGACAGTAAATCCTTGTCTTGTGTATTCATTTATAAGGACACTTTTAATTCAGTTATTGAATTTTCGTAAGCCTTCGATTTTGCTTACAGTGGCTGGGATATCTCGTCTGTCTCGGTAATGATTGCGAGCTTCTTCTTCTTTGTTAAGGTTTGGCTCTGAAGTTTTTTGCCTTTTGTGGCCAGATGACCCATCTTCTTCATATGAGGATTTTTGAGTATTTTCTCTTGGAAAATTAGGATTGATGTGTCCTCTAGACATTTTTATAAAGAATTAAAAAATAATTAAGCTTTAGACTCTACGAAATCTAGATTTTCACCTTTAGACTCAACGAAATCTAGATCTCCGTATGCTGATTTGTTTGATTTTTTTCTTTTTTTGATGATATAGAAAGCAGTTAAGACTGCAATGCAGGTGCAGGCTAAAATGCCTATTGCTATAATAAGCCACCAATACCACTCCAGACCGCTGCTGCCTGACGATTTTGTATCAGTTTTCGTTAAGCTTCCCCAATTAACATTATCGTAATTCATCATGCACGCCTCAGTGATATTCGGAAAAGCTCTTGCATTAATAAACTCTAAAAAGGTTTCCAAAGGACACGACGTCCCAGGACAGTTTCCGACCACTTGAAGCACATCATTATAAGTTAGCGTCACATTATAAATGCCAGCATTATTATCATCTTGAATTAATTCAAAAATCAAGGTTGACGCAAATGTTGGCTGCAATAGATTCCCCAATTGAAGCGCTGATAAAATATTTAAAAGAGTATCATCATGGGCTGAATAAAATTGGAATTTTAGGTTGTTGGCTTGATTTTTGGCGTTATTGAGAAGATATGACAAATTTGAAAGAAAATCGCTTCCTGCATATCTTGATAATAAATCAGGGACATAAGAGACAAGCTGATTCAGCTGGTCGTCTAATAGGTTAGCTTGAGTAAAAAATGACTCGCCAAATACAGCAGGGACTGTAAAGCCATACCAATTATTACACCTTAAGCTGTCTACTATATCAGAAAACATGCTTTCTGCCTCATCTAAGCTTACTTTAAAATAAGCCATAATGGTCTGATAAATCCCTGCAGATTCAGATTTTAGGTTTAGCACGTCTGTGCTGTTCTTTCTAAGCTTCACAAGGTACCTATATCTTTCACAGGTGTCGTCAGCTAGTAATAAATACTCTCTATCTGAGCTGTCTGTATGCACAGGAACTACTTGGGTGTTATTTGGCAGCGCAGATTGGCCTAATTCTTGTATTATTTCAGTTTCATTATAAACTTCAATTGGAGGGACTGCTGTTTCTTCTAATTGTGGAACTCGAAGATTTGGGCCTGTAGATGGTGGGTATAATCCCATCATTTGGGACTCAGCACTTTGAAGGGTTCTATGGACATCAGTCGAGTAAGCATTAATTTGAGGCTGGTAAAACGTTTCATTGAGCAGCTGGGTTTCGACAATATACCTGTTTCGTAATTCTGCGCCTATAAGATAATGCTGTCTCATCCCTTCAGGGGTTAACTCGCCTGGCTGATAGGTAGACCATCTTCCGTCATTATCCCAAGGCTGAAAACTCACTGGTGTTCTTGCTCCATGTCTGCTGACCTCTACAACAAATATTGTAGAGCAGGAAACTAATAGTGGGAGAGCTAGGAAAAGGTAATGAGACATAGCTCTAATAATTATATCTCCATTCATGACGTAGGTTTCTGTTAATTAATAAAGGATATATTGAGGTTTCTTGAGAATTTTACAATTAATTCTCAAAAATGCAAAAGCGAGTATATTCATAGACTCCCACTCCATTATTAAATTTATATGGAAAATTCATAATTTATATTAAATTAGAATTTATTTGTAAATAAATGAATCTATAAATTATTACTTACTCCCCCCCCTCCGTGAGTGAACAAAACCATTAGAAAAATCGCTATTTTTTGACCAAAAAACCCACCCTCCGTGAGTGAACAAAAATTTTTTTAATAGAAAAATTTTTTTTATGGAAAAAAATTTTGATATATAAGTGATAATTAATATAATGAAATCTAGAACTAATTCTGTTTAATTTTAAACGAATTGCTTTTTAAAACATAAATTTTATAAATTAAATTAATATCTGCTTCCCAATTTTTGCGAATTAGGATTTTTTTTAAATTTCGAAAAAAAAAATTTTTTATAAAATTTATATATAAAATTTTTTTTAAAAAAAAAAAATTAACCCCCCTCCGTGAGTGAACAAAATTTTTTTGCTCACTCACGGAGGGGGGGGGGGGTTTAGGGCTTTTGAAGTCCATTTTTTCGTTAATAAAGTCCATTCTTTCATAAGTTGACGAGCTCTTTTTGTTTTTCTTGATACAGTATACAATGACAGCAATAATGGCACTTATAACCACCACAAATCCAACAGATATTACAACCCACCAATACCAGTCATGTTAAGTTAAGTTAAGTTAAGTCATTAAGTATCCAGCCATAAGCGCTCACGCAGGCGGTGACCATCCGCCCCGTCTCGGCTCCAAAGTGCCATCCTAGGACGCCATCTTGGATTTCCCACCTGAAGCTCTCCCTGGATAGAGCCGCTTATATATAGCGTCCCAATGGCTCCGATGAGAAAAAACATGTGGTAGGCAAAACCTGTCTAGCCCATCTGACAGGGAGAGGGAAAACCTTCGGGGGAGAAATAAAACTTCCCTCTTTGGCAAGGCATCCCCAAGCCTGAAGGCCTACTTGCACCAAAACAGAGACCCTGCTTTCAGCACATCAGGATGGGTCCTACCTGCTCCATAGGGATTTCGCCTCGGAGTCTACTTTTCATCAACGTCACCATTTTATTTCAATACCAGTCAAGGCTTTCAAAGAAATCATCATCACTACTACTACTTTTGGTGCTTGGCTTTGTTAAGCTACCCCAGTTAACAGTGTCATAATTCATCATACAAGAAGCAGTGATATTAGGAAAAGCTCTTGCATTAATAAACTCCAAAAAGGTCTCTAAAGGACATGAAGTGCTTGGACAGTTGCCAACGGTTTGGAGTACATCATTATATGCCAAAGTTACGTTATAAACAGTAGGATTGGCATCGTCTTGGATTAATTCAAAAATCAAGGTTGACGCAAATGGAGGCTGCTGACCATTTGGTAATTGTAAAGCTGAGAGAATGTTAAGAATTGTGGTATCATGGGCAGAATAAAACTGATACCTTAGATCGCTGGCTTCTTTTTGGGCATTGTTAAGAAGATATGATAAAGTTGAGAGAAAAGCACTCCCTGCATATAGGGTTTTACCCTGAGTAGTCCTATAAGAGTAGATGGTTCCCGGTGGAATCATCGAGTTAGTCCAACCAGCAAGTGAGCTAGTCCGACCAACAAGTGAGTGAGTTAGTCCTACCACAAGGAGTTGGTCCGACCAACAAGTGAGTTGGTTTGACCAACTCGACGATTCCACCGGGAATCATCTGCCCTTATAGGGCTACACAAAGTAAAACCCTATATCTTGCTAGTAAATCAGGAGTGTATGCCGTCAATTGATTCAGCTGATTTGCAAAAGAATTGGCCTGAGTGAAAAAATTGCCTTGAAATTCAGTTGGCACTGTATATCCATACCAGTTATTTACCCTCAAATTATCAACTAGCCCAGGGAATATATTACCTGCTTCACTAGCAGAAACTTTAAAATAAGTGGCAATAGTCGTAAGAAGACTTGCATTTTCCTCAATAAGTTCTTGAACATCTGTGGCATTGTTTCTCAAGTCCATTAAATAATCATATCTTGGACAGTCCTCAGACGCAACTAATAAAATTTCTCTTGACAAGCTATCAGTATGCACAGGGATGACTTGGGTGTGGTTTGGAAGAGCTGATTGGCCTAATTCTTGGATTATTTCAGTTTCATTATAGACTTCAATTGGAGGAACAGCTGTTTCTTCCAATTCAGGAAGTCTTAGGTTTGGGCCTGTCCCTGGTGGGTATAATCCAAGTAGTTGGGATACTGCGCTTTGAAGGGTCCTGTCAACATCAGTTGAATATACATTTATTTCTGGCTGATAAAACGTTTCATTAAGTAGCCGGGTGTTGATAATGTATCTATTTCTAAATTCATAGCCTAATAGGTAATGCTGCCTCATTCCTTCTGGAGTTAACTCCCCTTCTGGGTATGGCGACCATCTACCATCAGCTGTGTCCCACGGAAAATAAGTAAGCGGCGTCCTCGCTCCATGCCTGCTTACCTCTACAACAAAAATTGTTGAGCAATAAATTAAAACTGGCAGAGACAAGAAAAGTGATAGTGCCATCACTGAAATAATTATTTCTCCACTAAAAAGCAAAAACCCCTCACAAATAAAAATCAATAATACAAATAAACTGTTAAAAAATTCCTTAAGCTGCCCTGAGAAATATATTCATATAATCTACTCTTTTTAAATTATGGAAGAAACCTCAAGCCCAGGATACTACACTTTGACATTAAAAAGCAGTGAAGAAGCCCGTCTCCAGCAGGTATTTTCTTCTCATTGTGATTCTGAAGGACGAATGAAGCTGTACCATTTCTTAATTTTGACACTAGAAAAAGGGATTGTTTCGAACTCCTGCCCATTAAATAGCATTCTGTATATTTTTCAACAAAGTGCAGGAGATAAGGACTATCTCAGTAAAAATCGATTTTTTTTTGCAATTACCTTGATAGCTCGACATATATTTCCTGACGAAATTTCTCCAGTCGAACAAATTTTTACCCAAATTCTTGTAGATCCAATGGTCGATTCTTCTCATCCTAACCTCCCTACCCAAGATGAAGCTACCCTGCTACTTCTAAGTGAAGGGGTTATCCGTGAATTTGAAAAAGCTGAAGAAGGTTTCTTGCACATCCTAATGGCTTACAATTCTCAAAATATTCAAAATCGTCGAAAAGTCATCGGAACTAAAAATATCAAGGCAAAAAACCATGGGATAACTGCCAGAAATTTCTTACGATACTGCAGAGCTGCTTCTTTAGTCCCAAACTTGCTTAATATTGAAAACCTTCAAGACTGTATCGCGTCAGTTTTGCCTCCACGGGACAAAGAAGAAAGAAAATTCTATGAAACTTGTGTGCTTATTAAACAATATGAAACAGAAGGCGATTTTTCTAGTTTAGTCCCCTTAGATCCATATAAAGGAGAGCCAGATTTAAAGCTTCATCATTTACAAATGATTTTTGGGAGAATTGCAATTCAGAGTATAAGAGATATTGATGACCCTGTATTGCAGGTAAGGACACTTTTATTTGACAAATTAAAGCTGGGGAAAGGACAAGAGCTAGGGCCAGGGCTGAGTGTAACATATTCGACTGATTATCAAAGTGATGTGTCGTTAGGGTCAATTGAAGACCCAGAAGACGTAATGGCTGATTATGAGCATAAACAGATGGTTTCTAGAAAGGATATGAGGGACGATATGAATTTAAATGAAGTTGTGAAGCAGACCCCTCCATTGCCAACAATAGAAGATGTCATCAAAATGCTGGATGATGAAAGAGTCCCACAAGTCCCACCTGTGCCTCCAATAGTCCAGGAAAACCCTCCACCTTATGCATTACCGGTTATTCAATTTGCACTTCCCAAGCCGCCTGAGCCCAAGCCAAAAAATGCAATGCCTCAACGCTCCAATAAGAAAAAAGAAGAAACTGCAGCTGACAGGCTAAAATTTGCCCCGCTGCCTGGTTCTTTTATTCCTAGTCTTCCTGATAAGCCACGCTATGAAAAGTTTTTTGAGCTAAAACAAAGCTTGGGTTCCAATTTATACCCAGAAACAGCTAAACAATGTTTAGTCAACCCAGGGGTCCACCCTTGTATTATTAGAGAAATCCTTTTGCCTCCTCCTAGTCCTCCAGGAATTGGGACATTAATTGAGTCTTGTTTTGTGTATCAAAATAACTATAACTACCCAATGGCATTAATGAGCTTAGACAATGCTAAACGAGAATGGCAAGATTTTGACGGCTCAGACGACCTCAAGCCTGAAATTGATTTATTTTTTGAAATCACAAGAGGGGCGATATACCAGTCCTGCAATAAAGATGGCCTGGCTTTAGCACAATATTTTTCATGTAAAGCAAGTTCTGATAAGCTTCCATTTAACCACCCTGATAAAGCGTTAATTTGGTGTGGCTTTGGATCTGTTTTATTCCATCTTGGGCATTATGGAGTCGCTTTACGAGCTTATTTAATGGCTAAAAAGATCAGAGAAAGAACTATAGGTGGGGATACAGTTGATACTGCAAGCGTGTATAATAATCTTGGAGTCTGCATGTTTTTCCTTGAAAGATATCAAGAATCCCATGCATATTTCCAGCTAGCAGAAGCTATTTTAGATATGCTATTAGGCCCACATCACCCTAGGACTTTGACTGCTAAACAAAATATAGCCAAAGTTAAACGGCAAAGCGTCATGGGGATGCCAGAGTTCAAGCCCTTATGGCAGAAACAATATGTCGACCCATTCCCCAAGGCTAAGAAAAAGGGCAAGAAAAAAGGCAAGAAAAAAGGCAAAAAATAAAATTCTTAATAATTATAAAATGTCGCTTAATTGGCTTATCGGATGGATAGACTTGCCAGTGTCAATTGTTATCTTGGTTATTTTTTTAATGCCTTTGGTGCCTTTATTTGTGAAGAGCATGACAAGCAGGTGGCTTTGGAATGTGCAGATGAGGATAGGGAAAAACGATTTTAAAGTAATTCATGTACTTTTAGTGCTTTTTGGGACGCTTTTTGTGGTTAGAGCTTATAATCATATCAATTTCACAGAAGAGCTTGACAGCAAAGAAATGCTTGAAGCTGATTTCAAGTCCAAAAGGCATAGGATTGAAAGAGATTTTTATCTCGCAGGGCTTAGTTTTGCATGCTGGGTATATATCTGGAGATTATGCCCATTGATAGACGAGTATTCTAAATTATCAAAAGAAAAGAAAGCAAAGTAATTAAGCTTAATTTCTATTTGAATTAAAATATTAGACTTTTTTCCTTCCCGACTTAATATGAACAGCACTTTTATATACTTTTTTAGATAGAAAATGCTTTTATGCAAATAGTATTTTATCATATAACAATAAGTCTATAAAAGAATATTATAATAAATGAGAAATTTTGATATCTTTGCAGAGTCTCATCATAACGACCCATCAGGAGCTGCTGGGCATTCTTTATTAGCAACTAATCAAGCTTATAAGTGGAAACAAATTATTTGTGAAAATGGACCTCGTCCTGGTCCACGAAGTGGAGCAGCAAGCGTTGTATAGGGAATCCACCTTTATAGCTCACTATTAAATATCAGTAATATTGAGTAACAAGAATTAACTAAAATAAAACAATTTTGTTAAATAATGTAAAACTTGCCAAATTAGGTTTTACAAGGATTTTTAGTCCTTATAAAGATCAAATTGCATTCTATAACTTTATATGATGATTCGTTATATATCTTTGGAGGGTACGGAGGAAATGGCCGACTCGATGACCTCTGGGAGTATAATTTTATTGAAAAGCAATGGCATCAATTAAATACCCGAGGAACAGCTCCAGCAGGGCGAGAAAATAATGGTGCAGTTTTATACAAAGGTGGCATGTATATTTTTGGAGGCTACTCTGGTCTATTTTGGCTAAATGACTTTCACCGTCTTGATCTTCGTAAGTTATAAGCAGATTCCCTAACCTGGACACCCGTTATTGCTAAAGAAGGCAGCCCTCCTTCAACCCGCTTTGGCTACGTCAGCGCAGCCTGAAATGATACTTTTTTAGTATTTGGCGGCTACGATGGCTCAAACTGGCTTAATGACATGCACGAATACAATTTTGTAAAAATGAAATGGACCAAGCTTGACGTCCAGGGCGTTTCTCCAAGTGTGAGAAGCTGCCCTTCTTGGGCCTCATATGGAAATAGCGTTTATTTATTTGGAGGTTATGACGGTGTCCACAGAATGAACGATTTTTATGAGTTCGATTTGGAGCAAAAAATGTGGAAACTTGTCCTATTCTCTGGGCCGGCACCATCTCCAAGGTATTTCCACTCATCAGTTGTATATGGAGACTGCATGTATTTATTTGGCGGATACAGTGGGATTGAAAGGCTTCAGGATTTATATCAGTTTGATTTTAATAAAAAATGCTGAAGCTGCTTAGTTGTGGAAGACGCTCCAACTGGCAGGTCTAGCTTGGTCACACAAGTGTATAATCATTCAATGTTTGCATTTGGAGGGTATAATGGGAATTTAGTGCTTAATGATTTTTATAAATTTCAGTTTGAAATGGTGGCGATACCGCCATCAAGCTTGCTATACCAATTTATAATGGCTTTCCACTACCTTTTTTATTATATATAGAAATGCTTTTAGCCATTAAAAAGGTGTATCTGATTTAAGAAAAATGATAAACCATCCAAGATTTAGCGATGTCACTTTTATTGTAGACGGTTTAAGTTTAAGTTACTCTTACACTTCAGTGCTATTAGTCTTGTTTTACTTGAGGCCCAGCTATATTAACAGCTCTGAACAACGATAGGTGGACCGGCCTAACCGTCGAACCGTTAAAGTTAATAAGCCCATTAAGACTTCTCAAGTTAGTGCCAGTCTCAGGACTGACCTCTTCTCTTCTAGCCGAGACTCTCAAGAAGCTATAACTTCTCTCACTAAGCTCGGCTATAGGTCCATCCTGCTGATAGCAGGAGCTAGGATCTATCCCTAAAATGGCATTTTTGATATTGTATTGTAGACGGAAAAGAAATTAAAGCAAATAAAGACATTTTAGCAGTCAGATGTGAACATTTCAGAGCATTGTTTTATGGAGGGATGAAAGAGCAAACAGATTCCTGTGTAAGAATTGATGATATACAATACCAAGTATTTGAAGCAGTTTTGGAGTATTTGTATACAGATTGTGTAAAATCAATGAGCGTGGATATGTATTTATTGCTTATGATAGCGGCAGAAAGGTTTATGATTGATAGACTTAAAGCGCTGTGCCAAGATAATATAAGGAAAAATATTAATATTGATAATGTGGTGCCTATTTTGAGAGTGGTTTATTATCATGGGGAAAACTCTTTGAAAGAAATATGTATGGATTACATACGCGTGAATTTTAAAGATGTCAGGCGAAATTCGTCATTTCAAGAGCTGGAAGAGGAACCACATTTAATGATGGAACTGCTAATGAGACTTTAATAATTTCTAATTTATTTTTCTGTAGTATGTGAGGATGATAATAATAGAATATGCATAGTTTTTTATAGTAAAGAAGCTAAGTTAATGTTTCAGCCAGAAGCGGAATCAATCACTTTACATCACCTTGTTGTGGCTCCAAAAACCAGTGTCCATATACCTAGAATGCGAATGAGATCCTCCAGAAGGCACAGCTACTGGTGGAAGCTCGATAGTCCCGATAAAGAAAGCCATGTGGCAGCCAAAGCCTGTCTAGTACATCTGGCAAGGGACAGGAAAACCTTCAGGGAGAAACAAACTTCCATCTTCGGCAAGTCTTCCCTAAACCCAAAGCCTACTTCAAAAGCGACAGAGGTGCTATTTTCAGCTTCATCGGGATGGGTCCCGCCTGCTCCATAAGGAGTGAGCCTTGGGGCTGATTTCTGTCACACCATCATTATTTCTCTTATAGTACAGAAGGAATTTTTAATTAGAATGAGTTATTAACTAAAAGGATAAACCTCAAGAGTTCTATCTCTTTTTACAAAAGATGATATATTCACTATTCCATTTTTGCGGATGGTTCCTGGGCTGAGCTTAAGTGCTAAAAGACCCAAAAATCCTCTAGTTTCATTACCATGAAATTTTCTGACTCCTCTTACTCCCCCTTCCGATAGCGAGCAAAACCATTTGAAAAATCCCTATTTTATAGGTAAAAACACCTCCGTGGGCGAACAAAAATTTTTTATCAAAAAATTTTGATATATAAGTGATAATTATTATAATGAAATCTCTTGTTAATTCTGTTTAGTTTTAAACAGTTTTCATTTTAAAAAGTAAATTTAGCAAATTAAATTAATTTTTACTTCTGATTTTCAAAGTGGATTTTTTTTACAAAAACATTTTATTATAAAATTTTTATATGAATTTTAAAAAAAAAAAATTAATCACCTCCCTCAATAAGCGAACAAATTTTTTGTTCATTCACGGAGGGGAGAGTTAAGATTAAATTGCTAGAAATTGTTATCGAAATAATTTTCTATAATGCTTATATTTAATGTTTTATTTAAAAGTATTATATTTCATTATAAAAAATAATTTACGGAATTCTAATACTGGTTTTTAACTATTCTTTAAATTTTAATAAAAATTTAAAGATCCTCTAAAACTCTGCTTACCCTTTGAAAAAGGAGTGAGAGAATTCACTGGCTCATAATTAGGATCAAACTGAAGCGTTTTCTCAATAATAGTTGTTTTCTTGCAGCGTCCACAAAGTCTAATCCCATGAAACCTGACTCCATCAATATCAAAATTCTTTCAGTTATCTTCATAAAATGATGAACAATTTTCTACTACTATAGATGGCCTGAAGTTCGCCATATTCACATCTTCCTGTTTTTCCTTAGAAAGTGTCCTATGAAATGCTTCAAAACTCTCTTTTGAAATGATGAGAAACTGGGCTTTTGAAGCAAAATTCAGCTTGAATTCATCTGGGAGAACATTTTTAAAATCTGGGTGCTGGTTCAGCTGTCTACCTCTAGCCAGCCTAATTAGCCTGTATTGGGCATTAAAAACATGGCTGAGCCATTTAGATACCTCATCACCTTCATCAGCGGCTAAGCCTTTTGTCTCAGCTAATGTAAACTCAAAAAATACATTTTTATTGTCCGTGATTTCTAAATGGAAATCATCAAAACCTGCAAAACTTAGTACCAAAGTTTTTGGCTTATCAAACTCATCGTACAAAAAGCTTGGTTTTAACTGTGAAATTCTTATATCTTTCGCGCAGTCTATGATTTCATCATTATATGTTGCAATTGACCATTCTCTGTCCATCAAAAAGCCAAATTCTCCGATTTCAGCTGATTCCAGGTGAACACCTTGGCATGATTTTATTGGGTAGCAAATTATATCTGAGACTATTATGGTTTTCTTTTTTTTGAATAAGATAATATAAGCTAACTCCCCCCCCTTCGTGAGTGAACAAAAAGATTTTGTTCACTCACAGGAGGGAGGTTAATTTTTTTTTTTAAAAAAATTTATATTTACATTTTTTATAAAAAATATTTTTTTTCGAAATTAAAAAAATTCTTAATTCGCAAAAATTGGAAAGCAAATATTAATTCAATTTGCAAAATTTATGTTTTAAAAAGCAATTCGTTTAAAATTAAACAGAATTAGCTCTAGATTTCATTATACTAATTATCATTTATATATCAAAATTTTTTTCCATAAAAAATTTTTGTTCACTCACGGAGGGTGGGTTTTTGGGTGAAAAATAGGGATTTTTCTAATGGTTTTGTTCACTCACGGAGGGGGGGAGTAAGAAAACTAAAAACATTGAAATACCGATGTAGGATATTTCCATTTTTTCTCCACTTACTTATTATAATAGATAAAAATTTGCTCTTTTGTCCATTTTATTTTATATAATTAAATGAACTATTACTTTTCTCTAATTAAATGAAAGTCTGCAGTATAACCTTATAGCCTAGATGGTATGAGCATTATTACCCTTGTGCATTATTTCATAATTTTTATTCAAATTTTCACATAAAATAAGTTTTATTCACACTTATTACTTAAAAGGTGACACACTTGCATCTGTCCTCTTTTGTATAGATTTTACCGTCAAAACTGAATTTTTTCTAATGATTCCTGTATTTCTCTTTACAGCTAGCAAGCCGAAAAAAGCTTTAATTCCGCTCCCATGTATCCTTCTCATTGTAGTAACTGGCTCAAACTTAGGATCCTGCTGCAGTGTATCCTTATGCATTGTTGTCATTCTACATCTATCACAAAGTCGTACCCCACTAAACTTCACTCCATCAATTTCAAAATTTCCTCAATTATCCTCTTCAAACGGCTGACAATTTTTTACCACAATATTAGGTCTAAATGAATCCATGTCAAATAACCCTCTTTTGTCTTCTGAAAGGCTCTGCAGCATATACTGAAGACTTTCTTCTGAAGTAATCAGAAATTGTCCTTCACAATTAAAACTCAGCTTAAATTCTCCTTCTTCTAAATTTCCATAATTCGGGTGGTCGCTTAAATCTCTTTGCCTTATCAATTTGCATAGCCTATAATCTTTCCCAAATACTTCGCTTAGCCATCTAGCGACCTCAGGGCCTTCATCTAAGACTTCTCCTTTCATTTCTTCTAAATCTACTTCAAAAATGGACGAAACTTTATTTTCGTTAATTTTTAATGCAAAATCTTGAAACTTTGGGTAGCTTAAAACTAAAAATTGTGGGCAGGAATCTTTGTCATTAATAATCGACGGCTTTAGCCTAGCTAGATTTGGGTTTAATTTTTGGTCAACAATATTATCTTTCTCATCCAATATCGCCCATTCTCTGTCCATTACTATTCCGGATTCTCCTATTTCCGCTATATTTAGATGTATCCCTTGACAAGATTTTATGGGATAAAAAATAATATCTGTTACTATTATAGTCCTTCTTTTCTTCACAATATAAAAAACCGCTAAAATGCTTATGATTGTAGCCCAAACCCACCAATCCATTTATTGTAATTGCCCGAGGATGGCGCTATCTTGCGCCATTCTCGGGCAATTTAAAAAATGGCCCCACATCGGGAATTGAACCCACGTGTGGGGCCATTTTTGGTACGTGAAAGTCGATGTTCTACACATACCAAAAATGGCCCCACACGTGGGTTCAATTCCCGGTGTGGGGCCATTTTTGAATTGCCCGAGGATGGCGCAAGATAGCGCCATCCTCGGGGCAATTACTATATTTACTAATTAGCGTTTATTTTATACCTGCGATCATAATACTCTTGTTGAGGTCTGTAAACTTTTATCTTTGGCTGAAAGGTGCATCCGTCAAGCTCTGATGCTTTTAGCTTTTCTCTTTCCAACTCAAGCCTTTTTTCTGATTTAATTTTTTGTTCCACTTGCCGGTCATAAATCTCTGCAAGATCTGCAGGTAGCTGAGACCTATTGACACTTTGCAGCTTAAACTCAGGCTCTTCTTCTACTTTTTTTTGCTTCTTTTTAGTAGTCAAAATTCGCTTTTCGACTGGTGACAGGATTTTTACTAAATTGTCCATTGACTCACAAAATTCTATAATCATAAAATGGCGACATTCGTACGGTAACGATCTGCTGATCGGCCACTCATTCTGCATTTTATGATAATGAGGCTTGAGGCTAGTCTGTTTGGCCAGCCCTTAGGGAACTTGAAAGGCCTGTGGTTTTTCCACTTCCATTCTGCGGCAGCGAAGGAACCTTTAGTCGTCACACGGCGTCAAGGAAGCAAGATGAAGTCGCTCACTCATGAGCCGTCGAAGCCGGAACGTCATTTTCAAGCATGCCTTGGTATAACAAAGCAGGTTGGGACCAGCGACCTGTGGGCCCGACACGTGCAAAAATGGTGGAGGTCCTGGAAACGGCTTTCCCCTTTAGTGGACGTAAAAAGCATAGATAATATAAGATAAGACTCACAAAATTCTTCAAAATTCAAGTTTTGGCCGAGTCCTTCTAATTCTTCTAATAAGGGGCGGATTAATGCAAAAACTTCAGTGTCAATTTTTTCTATTATGATACCGTTCCATGATATCTCGCCGTTATGGTCAGGGTTGAGCATTTTGTAAATGTCGTAGTATCTTTCAACACGATTTTTACAAATAAATCTTGTATTACTTTCATAGACTTCAGGCCTATAAGGGAATTCATTGGCAATTCTAAATAATTTTTACATTTGTTTGTTGATTTCTTCTTGTTTTATTTTTCTTATTTTGGCGTGCTCGTATAGTTCATTAAATTTATCCTTTGTCTGCCTTTGCTTTCTTTGGAGAATTTTTTCACTCATATGGTTAATCGGCTCCATGTCAAATGATCGTGTGGCATATCCTCAAGAAAATATGGATAGAGAGACTTATAATAAGGGCTTTTCATTTCGCAATGGATCTAGATGCATTAAAAAGAATTCTTTTGGAGAAAGTGCTTTGAAAATAACTAGAGATTTAGTAGAAAGATGATAGTTTTAATGATAGCAACCCCAAAGATTATATTGATGAAATACCGGATGAATTGTTATTTTTAGATAGTGAGATTGCTCTCATGGAAGATGATCTGGAGGATGAATATGATATTTTAGAAAATGAGAAAGCTTTGACGAAGATGATAGGAAAAGAAGCTGAAGAAATCATGGTTGGACTGCTAGACAAAGTGAAGAAACCCTTGGCAACGGCAAACTGATGCTAACCGAAAGTTTATTGATTTTAGATTCCTCCATAGTGGCAGAAATTATAATTACAAACTGTTGGGAGTATTAAGACTTGGCATAAAGGAGCAAAAGTAGAGGGAGTGGAGGGATTGGAGCTATTAATCGTCATTGTAAATCTTAATAGGAGGACTATAGAGACTTAGGATTTTTAGAGTAATTAGAGGGAAAACAAAGAAGTTCGAGGAAGATAAGAAAAGACTAAAAAATGGACAAAAAAGGAATTCAACAAATTTGGTGAAGGGTTAAGAAGTTGAAGGTGCAGCTATGAGATGAGAGCATGGAAAAAAGGAGATAGCATAAGCTCATAAGGAAAAGGAAGAGATCTTAAAGCTTTGGGATAAGTTTGGAAAGCAAAATCTAGGTGAAGATGCTGATCAAGAAAACTGTTGAGAAAATAGAATGCTTGGAAGAGGAGGAAAAAGCCTATAAGAGCTGCATTAGGTTTAGTATTAATCGAAAAAAACCCTTAAATTTCGATCAAATGACACACTATTAAAAAATTTGAGTAAATTTACTCTCTAAAGTCCACTATCATAACCTGTACGCGGTTAATCTGTGGAACAAAAGTGCAGATTTCTTTTTCTTTTTCAAGAAGCTCATCTTTAAGTTTTTCCAGCTTTTCTTCCATTACGATTTTTTGATAAATTAAGCTATCTTCGCGGCGGCCAGACGTTTTTTTCTGCGAATTTGGCCTATTTGTTTTAGGCCTAAAATTAATATCATTATTTTGCCTTTCTTGAATCCTCATTTGATTATTTCTGTCACTCCTTTCTGTTTGTGGGGCCCCTTTTACTTTTCTTGTAGTTAAAATACGTTTTTCAGCTGGTGACAGAATTTTCACTAAATTATCCATCGATTCACAGAATTCTTCAAAATTCAAATTTTGGCCAAGTCCTTCTAGTTCTTCTAGTAAAGGTCTTATTATTGCAAAAACTTCTGCATCAATATTTTCTACCACAATCCCACTCCATGAGATTTCTTCATTACGATCAGGGTTCAGCATTTGGTATATTTCATAATATCTTTCAATAGGATCCTGATCTTGCGGCACAAATCTTGAATTATTTTCATTGATTTCTGGCCTATACGAGAATTCATTAGCAATTCTAAATATCCCTTACACTTGCTTATTGATTTCTTCTTGTCTTATTTTCCTTATTTTTGCTTCTTCATACAGCTCATTAAACTTATCCTTGGACTGCTGCCTCATTTTTCTCTGGAGTATTTTTTCGCTCATAGGGTTTACCTGTGGGCTAAATGTACAGATTTCTTTTTCTTTTTCTGTTTTTTCGGCCCTTTCTTTTTCCAGCTTTTCTTCCCTTATAGTTTTTTGAGAAATTAAGCTGTCTTCATGGCGGCTTGATGACTTTTTAATTGATTCAGTCCTATTGGTATTTATTGCTGGCTTAAAAGTAAGCTCATTGCTTTGCCGTTCTTGTATTTTTAGCTTCATCATTTGGTTATTTCTTTCTGTCCTTTCTTTTTGCTGGATTCCTTTAAAATATAGCTTTTCACCAATATTTTCGCTTGCAGATCTCTGCAAAAATCTTTCTTTGCGGGAGTTTCCTTCTAAAAGCTCATATGAAGCAGCCTCAGACATTTCTTGTGGCGTCTCAATGATATTTTTCTGTTTTTTGGCTTGTTCCCGCATCTTTTGTTCTTGTTCTTTTATTAGTAATTCAATTTGGTATTCAATTTGATGAGTGAGCGCTTCTTCAAGTTTTTTATTTATTCCAAATTTCTGGGCAAAAGATCGAGCAAGATCTGATGGCTCGTCTGCTTCGTGCACGACAATAGGCTCTTTTTTCCCGTCTCCTATGTCTATAGTCATAATCAAAATTTCTTGACCTCTATTAGGATTTAATAATTCTGTAGGAAAAGTAGCTGTATTTGTCTGAGGAGAGCTAGGGATTTCTAGAAGGTTTCGGGATTTAGATTTAGAATAAAACAAGTTTCCTTCCATGGTAATTAGTATTTAGTGAAATTAAGAAATGGTTTGTTTGGGTTATTTATGAAGTTATATCTGCTACCATTGCATTGGTATTTTCTAAGAATTCGTCTATACTGATTCCGAGCTTGAGGTCAACTTCTCCTCCACCCAGCCAAAAGTACTCAATCCCCTAGTTAGGAAGTTTTAGCGAAAATATCTCAAATAGTAATTATATAGATCGAAATTTGGGGGGCTTTTTAGATAAAATGTCAAAAATGCTAATTTTGGCTGAATATAAGCATTCATATAAAATTTACCATTTGACAAAATTTTGTTCTAAAACTTCCACGAATAAGCAAGAATTTGATTACTACTGGAGGGGAATCAGGAGAAAGCTGTAAAATTTCTTTGCTTACTCCCCCACTGTAATTAAGCAAAAGCAAATTCTTGCCTACTCGTTGGGAGTTTTAGCACAAATTTTCAAATGTAAATTTTATATAGTAAATCGAAATTTGCTTATTATCGGAACGTAAATGCCCAAATTTGCATTTTTCACTTTATCTGAAAACCATGCAAATTTCGATCTATGCATTTGCAAATGTTGTGCTATAGCCATACGAATAAGCAAGAATTGCTTATTACTGGGGGAAGTTAATAGCAATGGAAGCTCAGTCTTCATAAGAAATGGAGTGACAGCGTTATAACCATATCCTGTCAGCTTGTGAGCAATATCCTCATCAGCCAGCCTGAAGTGGAAATGCTTTTTAGCGACCTTTTTATGTTTGATTGAGTTATTTTGTCATTCTTTGGCGAATTTCATATATCATTAACAAAATTTTAAATCCTTCCCTCTCCATCGTAATCTCATAATTTTTCAAAAATAATTTTTACTTTTAAAACAAAAAGATTTATTCTCCAATCCAATTATAACTTTTTCTGAGCTAAGTTTTGACTCATATTGAATCACCACAGCAACATATTTGAAATACGCAGGCTCGTCCTGATATAACTCATTCCAGGCTGTATTCTCAAGTATAATAGTTTTGCATAAATAATGGGTAGATGGTGCTCCTAAAAAGTCTCTTCTTTTTTCCAAAGTCCACTCATAATAATCTGACGGGGCTCTTTTAATTTGGATGCTTCTTAATTTTCTTTGTCTGAAGAAATACCAAAGATTAAGCTCCACTTCGGACATAGGCAGGGCATTAATACGCTTTGCTAAGGCTTCCATTTATGAAAGACGAAGTAATAACTATTTAACTTATTCCATTAAATCCTCAGAATAGGATTTTTCTGAAATAAATTCCTTATTATTTTAATCATATAAAGCATATCCACGATAGTGGATCGCCATTTCCTGAAGTATCCTGATATGACTGGATTGCCTAAATTAGCCTGTAAAATGGCATATCTAAATATTTAGTGGATTTGCCATTTCAAAGGATGGTATCACCAAAATTTATGGTGAAACAACTAAAATGTTGAAATTATGGCAATCCACTAGTGTGAATGTGCTTTATTTGATAAAAGATAAATTATAAATTTAGTATATGGAAAATTCTGACTTTCCCCATCCTTAATTGAACGATCCCCATCATTAGATAAAGGATGGGGGTTTAAAAAATTCGGAAAAAAAATTATATATATATTATTTTTTTATTGTTTTGGTGTACTTTTATATAATAAATATTAAAACTATTAAAATGAATAATTTAAAAATTTAAGTTGCACCTTTCCACTCTATAAAATATTTCTGTTCGTTATTAATTATTTTTAATTTATAATAATTCTATATGCATAAAAATGGTGAGGAAAAGCCATCCGAGCTTCTGACCCTTTTTCTTCAACACTATCAGGCAACGGCCAGTGTGAAGGGAAAGGGCAGAAAGAGATCGGCAATCCTTTGTGTATATCGGGCTAGGTTTTCTCGGGCTCTTGGAGCTGATCCGTGGGACTCTGAATTTTTGCCTCCGAGACCATCATTGGAAAGGGCAGGACCAAAAAAAAGCCCGAAATAACAATAATTCCTTTGAACAGGACTCAAGAGGGGACATCGGCCTAACGAGAAACTAGGAGTTTCGACCAGGTGATGCGCCCATAGGCTCAGGGAGTCATGGAAGCCAAGATCGGTCGTGCGAATTCTTTGCCTGTAGCGGCGAGGAAGGGTGTCTGCCGAGGCCTCTCGGGAAAGCTGAGTTTGTAGGTTCGGAAACCCCAGCCCTACCTAGGACATATAGCTTAATTATTTTAATATAATAATAATTCTAAATATTTTAGATTATTAAGCTTTTGAAGCCAGGCTAATGGCTAAAGCACTTCAAATGATTAATTCCATTTAGATTATTAAGAAAATACGTTAATTTGCCAATGCACTATTAATTTTCATAAATTATAAAAAATATTAGCTAATCTACTAATTTAATCTATATAAAAATTTGCAATATACGAAAATCGTTCAATCACATATGCGGGGAGTAAACAAAATTTGAGCGTTTTATTAGTCCTATTAAATTAAAACAATACATTAATGATTTTTAATTATGAAGATGAAGACCCAGATTACTTTGCAATGAAAAGAGCAAGAAAATTACAGCCAAGAGCGAACAATAATTCTCAAGGGTCTGTAGAAAGTTTTGAATCTGTATCTTATATAAATGCTACATGGAATGATGATAACTCAGGCAGCTTGACAAACAGAAGACGCGAATACTACTCAAATTGCCCAATTAAAAATGAATGAGTAAAGGCTCTTTTCCAAAAAGCCCACACAAAAATGCGAGGCCTATTGCTATTTAAAGCAATGCTCAGAGATCTCAGACTATATGGCACCGGCTCAAATTTATTTGATGCATTTAATTCATACAAAAAGCATATACAATGTATAATAAAATCAAAAACATTTACCAGAGAATCCGACCATTCAGGCGAAATTGTAAAGAAACACAGACTTTTTCATCCTAGCTCGAAATTTAAACAGTTTTGAAATATTTTGTTGTTATTCTTCTTAATGTACACATTTACAGTGATACCATGAGAAGTTGCTTTTATGGATGAAAATATGGTTTATGTCAAATGACAGTGGAATTTTGATAGTTTGCATTTCATCGAAATACATTTGGTCGACATTTAACGTTTTTGGTCAAATCTCTCACTATCAAAAAGTTTCAACAAATTTTCGACAAAAAGTGCTTCGGTGAAATGCACACTATCAAAAATGCACGATCATTGGACTGCACCCTGAAAATATAGGGGACACATCGTTTTGGATAAACACGTCTTGCGATTTTTTTTTTCTGTGTGATGTGCTGGTATACCTATTTAGTATAAATTTAGCATTTTTTAAATATTTTATTATTTAATAAAAAATTATTTTAATTAAATATAAATTTAAATACTGCCATTTATGACTCAAGAGGAAAACTAGTGTATTCAAGAATTGAGATTTTTAAGGATTATTTGAAAGGAATGCTCTTAGTTGACTTAATTTCGATCTTTCCTTTTTATTTACTGTCGTTAGGACCTGGGGCTTCAAGAGCTAATAGTTTTATGAGGTTTTTAAGAATGACGAGGATGACTAAAATTGTGAGGGCGAAAAAGCTGGCTTCTATAATCAAAAGTTTGACTGGGTCTGAAAAATTAGATTATTTTCTTGATAACTATCAAGGAGCAAGAATTATGGGGATTTTTTTTACTGTAATGATACTTACCCATTTTATATCTTGTATCTGGATATTTTCAGCTAAATTGGATAATTATAACCCAAATACGTGGATTGTGAAAAACGGGTACATTGATTCATCAGAAATGAGGATTTATTTAGCAAGCTTTTATTGAGCGATCACAACATTAGCAACAGTAGGATTTGGGGATATAAGCTCCCATACTCAAACTGAAATGATTATTTCTATATGCTGGATGCTATTCGGTATCAGCTTTTTTTCATTTTCTATGGGGACGTTAGCAAGTGTCCTGTCAAATCTTGATGAAAAAAGTGCGATTATTAAATCGAAATTACAATTAGTGGAATTATTTTCCAATGATATAAAATTACCTAACTCCCCCCCTTTAGTGAGCTAACAAAAAACTTTTGTTCACTCACACAGGGGGTTAATTAAAATTTATATATAAATTTTATAAATTTTTTTTCAAAATTTAAAAAAATTCCAATTCGTAAAAATTGAGAAGTAAAATTAATTTAATATACAAATTTTATGTGTTAAATGAAAATGTTCGATTTTAAAACAGAATTAGCTCGAGATTTCACCATACTAATTATTACTTTAATATAAAAATGTTTTTCATAAAAAAATTTTTATATTGAAAAAATTTTTGTTCTCACGAGTATGGATTTTTGGGCAATTTTCGAATGATTTTGTTCGCTCACGAGAGTAAATATCTGACAAAGCAAGTTATAAAAAAAGTAAAAGAGCATTTACGTGAGCTTGTTTTAGATGACGCTGAAAGGTCAAAATTAATATCATCCATCCCAAAAGCATTACGATTTGAAATTGGAAAAGCATTGTTTGACCACGCAGTTGACAAAATTGCATTTTTTAAAAATAAAGATGAAGCCTTAATTGCTGATATTGTGCCGAGGTTAAGCAGGGTTACTTTTCAAGAAAGGGAAATTATTTATAAGAAAAATGACTATGCAGACAATATGTACTTCATTGTAGAAGGAAAAGTAAGCTACGTCTATGGAACAAAGCATTTTATTTTTAAAAATATGATAGAAGGCTCATATTTCGGAGAAATCGAACTGCTAAGCCAAAAACCTCGTGATTTTTCAGCAATGTCAAGGATAGACTGTGTATTGCTAGCTATGAAAAAAAATATTTTCGAAATGATGCTTGAGCAGCACCCCCAGGTCGCCCAACAGCTAAAAGCAACAGCCGCCGAAAGAAATAAAAAAAATCTTCAAGCTAGAAAAGAAATAATTGACTTATTAGAATTAGTCGAGCTTAAAAAAGAAACCTCATTAAAGCAGCTTGCAGGGACAAAAAAAAGGGTAAAGCAAAAAGCCTCAGCAAGTGCTGATTTATCGACACAGTCAATGATTGATAGCTTCACTGGCATAGACATAAAGAAAGAGATTACTGTAAGATTTATTTAGAATATGAATGAAAATGTTGAAAATTTAGAAAATAAGCTGTCAAAAGCATTAAAACTGTTAGAAAATAGCCATAGTAAGACTAGTGGACTCCCACCTCTTCATCCAAAGCGTAAATATAATTTGTATTAACATAAATGGGTGCTTATTGTTGTTCAAGCCAAGAGCCGACTAGAGACGATTTCTCTATTGAAAATGAAGTTAAAGATAGCAATGTAGTCGTTTTTAGCAAGCCAGGATGCACAGATTCTTTGAGAGCTAAAACACTTTTGTATTCTATTGATGCCCTGCCAAAAGTAATTGAAGTAAATAAAAGAACTTATTATCTAAAAGAAAAATTATACTGAAAATAATTAATTTATTTTATATTTAAATAGTCAATTCTATTGATATACAGATTAGAGGCTTAGCTTTCTGATTTTTAGTATCTTATTTTTATTATAAAATATAAAGCTAGAAACCAAGCAAGAGTCTTTTCCGTATGTTTTTATTGCTGGAAAATTCATAGGAGGCTATGAAGAACTTCAAAATCAAATAAATAAAGGAACAATCCAGAAAATGCTTAAAGATGAAAACAATAAGCAAACTCAGTAGCAAAATTGAGAATTTTCAGAAGATTTGTGCAAGAATTGTTTATTCTTTAATTAAATCACAAGAAAATATATGCTAGTTATAAATAAAGTGAATAAATGGGATGCTGCTGTAAGAACGCAGAAGAAGTAATAAATATTTTAGCCTGAGCCAGAGTCTTATAAGAAGCTAGAAGAGCCCAAAAAAATAGACGCGACTGCGTTTACATTTGCAGGGTCTATTACTTCAGACCAGAAATCACCTCCAACATTTTCAGATCCTGTTGTTTTTAACACTGAAGGCCAGCCCACAGAAGTGAATTATAATACGAGCTTTGCAGATGGGTCTTTTGATTAATAATCTCAGGAGAAATAGAATTTAGGAGCTGGTAGATATTTAGATATATTCTATATAAAGACAAAGATTTAGGATAACTTATATGTAAATGTGCTAATCATTTTTTTTAAAATTAGTGAATTTTATTTATTTTTATAGTAAAATTAAGGACAATTGTAAAATATTGTTAAGGATATTATTATTAAAAAGTATTTTCATATTGAATTTTATTTGTAGTAAAAATTGAAAAATGGCCTATTCTCCTATATCTGAAGAACTCAAGTATGGGCCACTAAAAAATCGTCGCTGCACAGACGTTTTAATCTGCCTTGTATTTACCGCCTTCTTGATTTGCTTCTTTTCAGTTGGTATTGCAGGCTTTGCCCAAGGCAACCCCGATCTCATTCTTTATCCTCACGACTCCTCAGGAAACCTCTGTGGCCGCCCAGATACAGTTACATCAAGCTATAAATACATATATTACCCAACCCCCACAGACGACACTGACTATAAAGTTTGCGTAAAAAGTTGCCCTACAGATTCCAGTGATGTAAAATGTCACCCAAATACCTGGGTTACTAGCTGTTCTTTTGAAATAAGAAATTCAGATAATTCAACAAGTAAAGTTGACCCTTATGTAAGTGATGAATACCTTAAACGGTATTGTATGCCTGATAAAAGTGCTGCAGATGACCTAGATGAAGATTTTAATAAAGTGATAGATGCGGTATATGAAGATTCTCTGAGAGGCTGGGCTTCAGATATTTATAGGTGCTGGACTGCGATTTTGATTGTTTTAGCCCTTGCGATTGGATTTTCAGTGTTGTATTTGGTATTATTGAGATATTGTATAGGGCTTATGATTTGGCTTGTTATACTGGCGTGTATTGGATTGCTTATTCTTTTTGCAGCTTATATGGATTATGAAGCAGATAATACATACTCTGGGGACAATCATGAAAAAACCAGAAAAGCTTTAAGAATTTGTGCGATTTTTGGGTATATTATGATTGGAGTTTTTATATTTTTACTTTTATTCATGATAAGAAGAATCAATTTAGCAATCGCAGTGATGAAATCAGGAGCTATTTTTATGAAAGACGTTTGGTGGATAATTATAGTCCCCATCATTGTATTTTTGGCTGGCTTTGCATTTTATATTTACTGGGTGCTTGCTTTGGTCTATATTTATTCTAGTGGGAAATTAGAAGATAAAGACAGCTATGAAAAATTCTCTCACATGTCCTGGAACGACTCTACCAGGAATTCCTTTCTATTTGAATTTATCGGTGTACTATGAATAAACTCATTCAAAATAGCCTTATCTCAATTTGTTATTGCAAGTGCAGTGTGCTTTTGGTATTTCTCAGACTCCCGTCTATCATTGACTCATCATATATTATCACGATCAGCTTATAATGCATTCCGATACCATTTGGGTTCCCTTGCTTTTGGAAGTTTACTATTAGCAATTATTAAATTTATCAAATGGTATCTTATTCTCCTAGAAATTATGCCTAATTACAATGAATAAAAGCATATCTACATAAGTTACCTATATAAAATAGGATAATGGCTAATAGTTTTTTTTTCATTACAATTAGGTATATTTACTTTAAAATAAATTAATAAATATAAAAATTCAGCCAATTTAAGAATATTTTATTTTCCTCAAAGAAAAAGTCCACAAAGAAGGACTCGACAAAAACTGCTGTGTCAAATTTTTATGTGGCTGCGTAGGATGCTATGTGGCTTGTTTTGAAAGGTTTATCAAATACATTGACAAGCACGCCTACATCCAAGTTGCTTTATCTGGCGATAATTTCTGTAAAGCCGCCAAAAACGCGTTTGAAATCACATTAGAAAACGCTGCAAGATTTGCTGCATTAGGCAGCATTGGCGACATTTTTACTTTTATAGGAAAATTCTTCATTACAACCTTATCAAGCTATTTTGGCTTTCTCATCATTACCCACTGTTCTATTTATTCTGATCACATCCAGTCCCCAATCCCTGCTACCCTCGTCTTTATCATAGTAAGCTACTCAGTTTCCGGGCTTTTTGTAGGGGTTTACGAGATGTCCTGTGACACCATAATTCAAGTCTTCCTCGTCGACGAAAAAATTCATAAAGGCTCTCCTCAATTTGCCCCTGAGCCACTTAAAGATTTCATGCACGAACATAGAAATAAAGAGCATAAGCCATGCTGCGGTTTCTTCTAACTAAATAAAAAATGGAATCATCACTATGGAGTTTATACTGTCATGATAGCCGGGGGTTACATGAAATAAAAGAAGCTGGGTTTAAGCCTTCAGGAAAGCTCTGGAGCGACATATCAAATTTATTGCAAGTCCTAAACGCTAAAATACACCCTTGTTTTAAAGACCAAATTCCCACAGAAAGCGAAAATTTTTCAGCGATGTCTTATAGGTTTGACAATTTTTCTTTTAAAGTTCTGATGTTTGTATTGACAACTGCCAATGTAAAACAAATAAGGTTCAATAACTGTGATTTAAATGAAGACCTGATTGCTATGATTATAGAAATAATTAGTCTGGATCATATAAACTGGCTACAAATAGACTGAAATCCAGGGCTTCAGGACTATAAATATTCAGAACTATTAAGAGGAGATAGCAAGCTGCAGGTTTTGTCCTTAAAAGCTTGCAATTTAGGGGATAACGCTTTAAGCTATATTTGTGAAGCCTTAAAAGAAAATAAAAAACTGAAAACTTTGGATTTATATGGGAATAGAATATATTCACTGACACCGATAGCGGAAATGTTAGAGGTAAATAGAAGCCTTATGCATTTAAATTTGGCAAAAAATGAATTGACTGATGAACAGCTGATGCCACTTGTGGGGGCGTTTGGGAAAATCCCATTTCCAAGTGAAAGGGTAGAGGAGTTTAGAAGGAGGGAAAAAGAGATAATAAAAGAAAAAGCAATGAAAAATAAAGGACATGGGGAAATTGAGCCACCTGCTGATGAACTGATCGAAGAGGAGGAGTCAGGACAGTGCTTTTTGATGAAAAATAAAGTGTTTAGCAGGCTGAATTTGTCTTTGAATAAGATTGAAAGTGATAGACAGCTGAGATTGATTCTTATTCAGGCACTGCCTCATTTCAAAATACTGATGAAAAATAACCCAATCCCTGAGCTTGTAAAAAGACCCTTGGTCATTGGATTTTCACAAAATTTGGTAATTTAGTCTATTCTTTTAGTACTATAAAATCCAAAATTAGCCATAAATTTAAAACTAGACCTATTTTAGCTATATTCTGGTATAAGCCAAAATAATTTATATCATTATTCAGCATTATTTGTAAACTACCCATATTATTTGCTAATAAAAACGCTCAACATTAATTACTTACCAGCTCTTTGCTCGAATTACTCCCACAGCTCCTTCTCAATTTTGGAAGTTTCCGAAAATTCTTTCTCGTCCTTAGTTTCGAATATTCCTTGCTTTTATTAAAATCCTTCTCAAACTGCGAAAAATTAAGAGAGCTTGATGTATGAATAATCCTCTTATAAATTTGCATGTTGTCTTTTTCCCTTTGTTTCTCGACTTCTTTTTTACATCTTTCTTTATATTTGTTGATGTTTTTTTCTTCTAGTAATTGACTACTCTGTACAGCTGAGGTTACATCAAGAAGCCTTTCTAAGAATTTTTCATTGGATTTTTGAATTTCATTTTTTCTTTCTGTGTAACGATTACCATTTGTATAAAATTCTCGGAGTGAGGCCATTTGGGAGTGCTTTGGGAATCCTTTAGGCTTTGTGTTGTCGATTCTGGAGGATGAGCTGAGGATTTGTTTTACATGCTTTTTGTGCCGGCTCATGTTGCTTTGCCAGTCTCTCCATCCTGATAAATTTTCAATTATCACGGGTTTGCTTTTCATTTTTATACTAATTTTAAAACTTAATTAGGCCTAATTTACCAAAATACGTCTGTAAACTCTCCCCAAATGGAATAAAATCAACAACACCTTTCCATTTTTCGGAATCCACATAAAGAAAATCCATTGAGCTTGCTAATGAGGATTGCAGACAAGTTTTGTCTTTTTCAAACAAATACATTACACTTGCCCAGCAAAAAATCGTCAGCAAAGCAAAACTCCACTTTTCAAGCCAGGGCATTGCCGGGATAATTTTTCTCGCATAAAGGAGTTTTGTGCTACCAGTCAAAATTCTTGAAAACAAATATAGAGTAATCTGACTATTCACTGGGGTTTCTTTTGAAAATATAAAATACGACGAAATAAGACCTGACATCGCTGAATTTCCTGGCGCAGCTTTTCCTCTGATCTTCGTAATAAAGCATAATAAGCTTTTATATATAAACACATAAACCCCCAAGTTCTTCGAATGCTCTGTTGTATTTTTAATAATTTGCAGAACCCTCTTCTTTAAATTCCCTTTCCCAAATAACGCAGAAATTACAATTGAATGTGTAAACCTTACTTTTGCGCCATATCCCAGCCCTGACGCTAGTCCTTTAACTGCTGATTTCCCACAGTTTTCATGCAAGCATGGACTATTCATTTTATATACGTCATATTTAAAGCTATTTAACTTAAGTAAAGAATTCTGCCTGGACTTTCTTTAAAGACTGCAAGGACTCTACCAAATCTTTGGTCCTTTCCGTAATAGCTTTTTGAGCCTTGCCAGCTTGCTGCTTCAAGCTTTTATGGTCTTCAACTGATGACTGAATAGCTTTAGTTTGCCCGTCTTGCATTAATTTAACTAGCAATTTCAGTTCTCTGACCTTTCCTGCCCAGTCTTCTCCACCTTTAATAGCGTCTTCTGCACATAGCTGGAAGTACGCAAGCTGTTTTATCCCTCTTTTCCAAAACAGTAAAGTCTCGATTTCCAAAATCATTTCAGCCAAAGCTGTAAAATCAGCGACTTCTAGGTTTTCTTGGACTTTGTCAAAGGTGTCACCAAGGATGGAGACTAGTAAATTCATCATTACAATAACGTTGATAAGGGTCGTAATTAAGAAAGTGACGGCTTGTATCGTGTTAAGACCGTCAGAATTGGACTCCCCAAGGTTAAATAGATAAGAATTGGCGATGTAGGTAAGGAAACTTGTCTGGTCGTCACGCTCAGTTATGAGGAAAATAAAGGAAAAAGCAAGGGTGGAGTAGAATAGTAAAATCATGAAGGAAAACATGTCTTGGAGGACCTCAGTGATGAGACTTATCATGTAACGGGTAGGAGGGTAAAGGCGGAAATAGGTGATTCCTCTGATCCAACTTGCGAAAATGGCCAAGGTGATTACGATTGTATAGGCATCAGAATGAGGGTCAGTGTTAGACCAGACCATGATGGTGTAAATAATCATAAGAGCTCCTCTGGAGAGATCGAGGTAGTTCCAGAGATCTTCTAAATAGGATAATGGAGCAGAAAAGGCTTGGTATGCTTCGTATGAAGATAGAATAATGCTTAATACGAAGGGAGCGGTAATAAATGCAGAGTTATCTTGGAAGAAAATGACGTAGACGTTGAATAGGATCAAGTATAATAAGTAAAGAAGCCCTTGAGGATACATATACCATCTGACTTGGTTCCATTTCTCTTCTAAAATCCTTTGGACTAGCTCTGCCCTGAAGATATCTTGTATTGGAGAATCTAAAAGACTTCTAAGGAAATCTAGACTTTCTTGGCTTCCAATCACTAAATTTAAAGGAACTAAACAATGCATGAAATATATATCTTTATCATCTATATAGCCACCGATTGGATTCCCATTCGCATCTAGCTGAGCTGGAGTCTCAACAATAAAGTTTTCTTTAAGAGGGACTATTTCATCACTATGATAAAATGTCGGCAGTGGTACCTTCTCAGGCACATAAGTCGGCAAGTTATACCCTTGGCATCTTCTAAAAATCAAATCATAGAGTTTCAATAAAGCTCTGAATCCTTCAGAATTCAAATCAATTAAGCACTCTTTAGTAAGGCATGATAAAGAGTAAGGGTTTTCTACATAGGTTTTTATCATAGATTTCACAATGAGATTTCTGCAGTCCCTATACTCTTTATCCATAGTAATTGATAAGGGAGTTTGGCCAAAGGTGGACTCGACGTATCTGAATTCTTCAACTAACGACCTTTTAAGGTGGATAAAAAGGCTTGAATAGGCATAATAGTGCTGAGCAGCCAAAAAGTGGGGGAGGATAATCCAGTCGTCCATTTCTGGCCTGTGCTCTGGGATATCTGTCTTTAGAATTATATGCTTGAGATAGATCAAAAACTGATAATAGCCTTCTGTAGGTCCAGATACAGCCATTTCTTTGGAGAAAAGAGGGTTTTCGACTATATAGCAGTCATTATCAGCGACAGCATAAGCCAAATAATGCCCATTAGGTGACGCTATAAACTGTTTCATTTTGTCATGGACTTGGTTATAAAACACCCTTGTATAGCTTTTCATGCTCCAGTACGTGATTTTTCCATCTGTTGTCGAAGAAATCAAATGTTTTTCGTCATCTGTCAAATAAATCCCTACCAGAGGAGCCGTTGTATTTATAGTGTTAACCAAAATATTCCTTTCCCAGTTCCACACCCTAATTGTCTTATCAGAGCTGGAAGAAAGCAGCAGTTTTTCGTCTTTCGTGATCTGAAGACAGTTAATATCACCTTGATGCCCTTTAATTTGGAGATCTAAATTCCCTGTCTCTATATCCCATACTTTTATAATATTATCATAGCTTCCTGATATAAGCTTGGTTTCTTGCTTAGCGAGCACAAAAGAGGAGACGATGTCTTCATGGGCTTTCCAATTGGCAGTGACTGTTAAAGTATCAAGTTCCCAAATTTTTATTTTTTGCTTGCTTCCTGTGAAGAGGATGGTGCCGGCTTGATTAGAAATTAAAGTCATTGGAATATCATTGTCAGGATCTTCCATTTGGAGGGGTGGAAATTGAGGATCTAATACGACGATTCTTGATAGCTGAGAAATGATTATTTTATCATTTTTGCAGATGACGGCATTTATACCTTCAGAAGTGTTAATGAAATGCTCTTCATTTTTTTTGAAGTCAAATAATTTAAGGCTGTCTTTGGATTTTATTAATAATTGGTTTTGAGGAGAAAAGTTAAGGATCATTGCATTATTTTGGATTTTCCGCTTTAAAGCTAGTTTTGGAAACTTATCCTCTCTTTACCTAGCAAATAGCTTTTAACTCTTTTTAAATTTTTTTTTTGAAATATAAAAATCCCAATTGAGAAGTAAAAATTGATTAATTTAAAAAAAATTTATAACCCCTGAAAATACAATAGGTTTTGTTATTATATATATCAAAATATGTAGATAAAAATAATTTCGTTTACAAGAAGTGGGTTTTTCCCAAAGAGTAGGATGTTAAATGAATTTTTCTTGCTCTTAGAGAGTTAGTAGTCGTGATTTTTCTTTTTTGTTCACTCTCTACTGAATACATTTTGGTTTCATCACTATTCAGTGTAAATTTAATTAATGCACTTCTATGGACGTTAAGAATAATATTATTTCTGCCGTTTTTGTGGTCAATTAGAACCACATTTCCTCTTTGCGTCCCTGCCAGTATGATATCTTCAGTTTTTGCAATATTTAGAGTTATAATAGCTTCCTCCAGCTCTATAGGAGCTCGAAAATCTTGTAAATTATTCAAATTCTTCAATTTAATAACTTTCGCTGAAGAAATCGCTACAAAATTCCCAGACGGTGCAAAACTTACCTGTCCAATCCTTAAACCCATATTTTCTGAGCACAATAACTGTTTATTTTCTATTGAATGAACATAAAAGTCATTTCCTGTTTTCTTAGTAAACCCGACATGTAAAGAATTAGAAGAAATGAAAGCTCGGTCATATGATTCTGCGACAAAGCTTTTTACTTTAATTCTATCAAAACTTGACACATCCCACCTGAGCACTTCACTATCCATTAGTGTAAGTAATGACAATTGGTCAGGCATCATGAACATTTTATTGATTTTTGATTTGTGAGTGTCAACTGATTTTACGAACTTTAGCGTTGCTAGGTCATAAATAAATATTTTGGTCTCTCCAGGCCTTCCTAAAATTGCATTCTTATCCTCATTGAACAGTTCTAAAAATTTTGGCTGAATTTCAGTGATTTTTTTGGAGTGGCGGCCTTTAAAGCTTCCATCATAAGTAACAAGGTGGCTTTCTGTCAAAATCACAAAAAGATTTTCATCTTTTGAAACTCTGAATTGAAGGATTTCGTCAGCTGTACTTATAGATTTAGCTAAAGAATCAGAAATCATGCCTTCAATCTCAGCTGTTGCTTCTAGCATTGTCATTTCTGTCTTTTCCTCAGGGAGAGTCGGAGCTACAGAGGTCATGCTACCTAATTGAGACAGTAAAGGAGCTGTGAAGTCTTTGAGATCCATAATTAATAACCAGAAAGAAATGGTAATCAATAAATTCTTAGGTGAATTTAGGAAAATTATTAAAGCTAATTTAGGAAAAAGTAGAGAACTTGGCTTAATGTAAACTAGATTATAGCGATATTTTCAAATGAGAAATTCCCTGAGTCTGCAGTTTGACCAGTTATTAGGTTTTCAAAAGGAAATCCACATCTTTTGGCTTTGGCTTCAATTTCTTGGTCTTGAGCTTTATACACTTCTAAAATTTTATCTGGACCATTGTTGTATATTTTAAAAAAGCTAAGATAGGTATTTTTCGACAATCCATAAGATATAAATAATTTTACCTTATGAACTGACATTTCTTGCTGAAACAAAAACGCTCCAATAGGGCTGTATAAGTAATCATTAAGGAGCCTTTCATTGCAGTAAGGAGTTGTGGATATTGAAAATTCAGATATTTCTTTGCTAAGATGAGATGAAATGGCTTGCTGCAGCTTATAATAGGCTAATCTTTCAAACTTTTTTTGCGTAAGTGGAAGAAAAGCTAGCTTTAAAATTCTGATGTCTCGATCAATAATAGATTGCAAGTTTTCAATGGTAGTTTCTAATTTTTGATAATAAATTTTGGTTTCTTCCATAATGTTTTCATTTATATGCTTATAAGGTTCTGCAGTAAAAAGTTTCGTATGATTTTTATAAAGCAAGCTTTCTTCATCTACACTATGATCAACAATGAATTCTATACTCTTTATTAGCAAATTTATTCCTGAATCATTATCTGAGCTTCTTATTCTTCTCCACAAAAAAATAATATTTTCAGTTATTTCTTCTTCCAGTTTCTTAAAAACCTCTTCTTTTCATATTTTATTCATCAAATTGTACAATTTGAAGAATTTCGGCTTTGTCTTATAAATTGAATTTCTGATGTTATTAAGAGACTGAACTAAAGGATCAAGAAAATCAGCCAAATTCTGCATAGCTGCTGAAAATGCAGATCATATTATTGTGTATTCATCTAAAAGATCTTCACCTGAATAGCATTTTATTCTGGAATAAGCAAATTTGCAATTTATAGAAATCATTTGATAAATTAATGAATAAAATTTCAAGATTCATGGAGAATTTGTAGAGTCAAAACTAGGACTCCAAAAATATTGAATAGCATAGTTTAGCATCTGGATTTGAGAATCTGATGAGAATTCTTCTAGAAAATCTTGACTGTTTAAAGCCTGCATGATACTGTTAGAATTTTGATTTTCCTTATATGAATCTAGAAAGATAGAGTCTCCTATAACTATAAGATCCTGGTAATTTGAGGAAAAGTATTCAGCTTTCAATCTTGGAATTGGAATTGCTGGATTTTTAAATTCTTCAAGCAAAATACAGTAAAGCTGCTCTATATCATTTTTATTCAAAACACGCCCTGCTAGCTGTTTCCAGCCAATTTTGATTTCAAAATGAGAATCTAATAGTGATTTTCATTGCAAGCTTGAACTGTCATTTTCTTGTTTTACTAGCTTTGGATATAAGGTATATTCGTCATATGTCTGATATAAATCAAGATTGCCCATAAAAAGTCTGATTGCTTCCTTTTTAAATAATTTACTGGAATAAACTATTCTCTGATATTTTTTGCATGCTTGAGCTAAGCAGGTGAGTTCTTTGTAAGTTAAGTACTCACAGATATCTTGAATTAAGTTTAGAGAAATCATTTTTATAATAGCAATATGGCTAATTCCAATAGCAAATAATTTTTTTTAAAGTAAAAGCTAAGCTTGTTACTTTGAATATTTAGAATTAAGTTAAGAAGTTAAAGATTTTCTAATAAAAAAAAGATTAAATTTTGATGTAAAAAAAGAAATAATTAATGGTATGACTTAGGCCATTAATAGCTGCCTCGTAAAATTATTGATAATAATGATGTGAATGAAGAAGACTAATAAGCATCCACTTTCGTACAAAAAGATACTTTAAATAATCATTTCATTCCTGATAAGGCCTGATAAGAAAAAAATATCAAAAATTTTCAAAATCCCAAAACTTTAGTATCATAGCCATTTTGGTAAACATTTAGATTTAAAAATTATATTCTTTATGAAAAATATTTTGATTTATTAAATTAATATTTTGACAAGTAAAAAATAAAAAATTAATTTATATTTAAATGGTCTCTGTTACACTGCACTCTTACTGCCGCAGCCTTCTACATATATGTCTGATAATATTTTTCTAATTTCACAAAGATCATTTAATGCATCACTTAACGTTTTTTTCTTTGAATCTTCTGCAATTGTGACATCTTCGTGATCCATTAGTACCTTCCAAGGTATCTTTTCACCTTTCATTACACATAATAAAATTTGTTTCAATTCTCCAATTTGGTCGATTATGGATAATATTTCAGGATGCTTTCTTATGTTAGATTTTGCTTTTAATGGGATGCTACTTACAAAGAGATCAATATCTTCTGCAAATTCAAGTAAAAGGCTTTCATCTGTTTTTAAGGATGTTTTTAATTCACATTCATCATTTTTCTCTATAATTTTATCAATTTTTGTATTCAAACAGTCGTTTTCTGCCTTAATAGTCTCTTTTCTTCTTATTTCTGATTTTTTATATTTTTGTATTTTAGATTTCAGATCTTTAATAATGCTTTCTTTTTGTTTTATAATTTCCTGATATCCGCATGTTTCTTTACTGAACAAATCTTTAAACTTTTCTTCTCTTTCTTCCACTAATTTGCTGAGGTGCTTCAACATTTCATCTTTATATTCTAGTTCTGCTTTAAGCTGGCTAATTTGGTCTGTCGCTTCAGATAATTTTATTTCAATATCTCGGGAATGCTGCTTAAGGCGGTCTCTCTCTACTTCAATTTTAAGCTTCTCGTTTTTAAAATTCAATAGATTTAGACCTTCTTTGGCTCTTACTGGAGATAAATGCTTTTTACTATCTGAGTAAGGCTCCCATGATATCCTGGCTTTGGAATTTATGGGAGAAAAACAATAAAAGTCTTGAATGCCTGAAGAATTCATGGCATTTGTTTGGTGCTTTATCGGTGATCTTTCAAAGCACATTGATAACTGCTTCTTAGGAGTGCTGCCAGACCGTGTTGTATTGGTAGAATTGTCAAGTGTAGTTTTATTTAGCATTATTATAAGAATTTTTTATTATAAACTGTTAAAAACTTATTGCTAATTGAGTGTGCAAAAGTTAAGATTATTTGTATTTTACTTATGAATTTTAATTAAATAGTGCTTAATTATGATTATGAGATATGAATTAAAATAGCAATGCAAAACAACTCACCCTTTAAGGAAGAGGACAGCTCAGCGTTGGAAAGGAAAAATCTAGCAAAATCCACTGAATCGATCAGGCAATTTCTAGAAGGATACCGGGAGTTGAGCCATCGGCGACAAGGTACATCTTGGTTGGCAGCCTGACCAGAAAAGTCGTTTTTCTAATTTCCTGAGAGGGCAACCCGAAAACGGCTTACGGCATAGTGACCCATCCCATTACACTCCAGCTACTGTGCGAGCCCATTTCTAGAGGAGCATAGTCGATAGGCAGACGGCAGGCAGTTGCAAAATAAGTGTAGAGATAAATGCCCATTAGAGGTATCACAGGTATCACAGGGAGTTTTTCAATAATCTTAACTAAGAACTAACTCCCCCTCCGTGAGCGAACGAAAAATTTGTTTGCTCGTGGAATGGGGTTAATCTTTTTTTTAAATATTATATATAAATTTTATATAAATATTTTTTCGAAATTTAAAAAAAAATATTCAAGGTAATTTTAAAGTAAATATTAATTTAATTTGTAAAATTTATGAAATAGAATTAGCTAGAGATTTCATTATACTAATTATGACTTATATATCAAAATAATTTTTCTTAAAAAATCTTTATATTAAAATATTTTTGCCTCTATAAGGATTCAAAAATGGTTCGCTCGCGGAGGGGGAGTAAGAACTATGAAATATCATAAATAGTCAATTCATTAAGAACTTGAAAAATTCCTGAAAAATATTTTAATAAGCTTAGTTAATTATTTTTAATTTTAGTTCAGTTTAAAAGCTAACTTTAATTTAATTGCAAATTAACATCTTATAAAATCAAATCTTCAGAAGATTAAATGCAATCACCGGTTCTTCTTAAACCTAAATTAATATGCAAAACCAAATTTTAATTTCCCATTATAACTTTCTGTGCATTTTATTATGAAACTGACTGGTTTTTTTATTTTAATTTCTATCTCAAAACCCACATCTCTCCCCTCAGAAATTTTAAAAATATACCAATATCTCCACATCCCAAGCCACCCCTTCCTGTCTCCCCACTTCCTCTGTCATTTAAATTCTCATGTTGAATATATACATCAGATAAAAATAAAAATAGTTAAAAAATGTCTGAAGAACTTATACAAGAAAGCAACCCAATAGACGTATTAAAAGCTCTCAGATCACCAATCAGTCAAATAGACGACATTGTTTATATGGGAAATAGAGCTGGAGCTCAAGATTTAAGGATCCTGAAAAGTACTGAGATCAAACGAATACTGCAAATACAAAGCTGAGATGTTCCGCCGTTGTTCCCTAATGATTTTATTTATCACTGCATAGTAATCGGGGATTTACCTGATAATGACATAAGTCGACACATTCCAGATGCGCTTAGGTTTATTGCAGATGCGATAAAGGCAAATCAGAAGGTCTTCGTACACTGCGATGCTGGAGCTTCGCGTAGCGGAAGCATTGTAATTGCGTATTTGATGGGGAGGCTTGGAATTTCATTTGACGAAGGGCTGAAACTTGCAAGGAAGGGAAGGGCATGTGTGTGACCGAATCCTGGGTTTGTGAGCCAGCTCAAGCAATTGAGTCCAAGTCAACTAAGCCAGTATTTTTTTTAAGATTTTTGAATTAAGTAGCAAGAGGAGAAGTTAAGTAATAGATATTATTGAAGATATAAGTAATGTAAAATATATGATTATTGGAAGGAATATAGGAAATACTATAATTTGTATATAAAATGGTTTTAAATAATGAGATTTATGATATTTTAAAAGATAATGGATAGCTTCTAATAGTTTAGAATTTTTCAGTCAGTATCTTATACGTATAAAACATTTCACTACTGTTGACTAAATTTATATCCAAAAAAATTAAAATTACAGCTAGAAACAAAGCTCAGAAATAAGATTCTTTAAATGTTTAGCATTCAGCTTCAAAGATCAGTAACAACTATTGGGTTATTCATTTCGAATTTAAACTTACTGAGCTTAAAAATTTAAAAATATGTAAATTAATTTACTGAATTTCATTTATATAGTCAAAGTATTTTTGAGATTACAATAATTATATTATCTTGTAATAGTAAAATTTAAAACTACACTAATCTAATAGATGAAAAGTGAAAAAAGGCTGTCTCTTGGCATTAAAAATGCAAACTTTTAATTTAACTGAGAAATTTGATATATTCGTCTGATGCTTTCCATTTAAAACTCTTTATTAATGATTTTTTTCTGTCTCATTGAAAGTATATATCAGATAATTAAATATGTCTATCAGCGAAGAAGATATGTTAAATGCTCTTTTCTCACCAATCAGCCAAGTTGATAGCATTGTTTATATTGGAAACCGAGCTGGGTCTCAAGATTTAGAGCTCCTTAAAAGCCACAATATCAAAAGAATACTGCAAATCCAAAGCATAGACGCTTCGCCACTATTTCCTAATGATTTTATATATCATTGCATAGTACTTGGAGATTCCCCTTATAATGATTTAAGCCAAGTTATTCCAGATGCGCTTGGCTTTATTGCTGATGCAATATCAACAAATCAAAGGGTATAGAAATTTCTCGATGATGGCGCTCAATGCGCCATCATCGGGAACGTCTTTTCTGGGTCCACACTGGAAAAGGGTTCTACGTGTGTAACCCTTTTTAACACGTCGAGAATCTTCACTTTCACGCGTCAAAAAGGGTTCCACACGTGGAACCCATTCCCCGTGTGGACCCTTAAAAAACGTTGCCCGATGATGGCGCATTGAGCGCCATCATCAGGCAATCAGTATATTTGTGCATTGTGATGCTGGAGCGTCACGTAGTGGAAGTATTATAGTTGCATACTTGATAGGAAAACATGCAATTCTATTTGAAGAAGCATTAGAGATCGCTAGAAGCAGAAGGGCATGCATTAGTCCAAATCCTGGATTTGAACGCCAATTAAGGCAATTGAATCCAAACGCTCTACATCAGATATTTATTTAGATGAATCCTTCAAAATTTAACAATATTTTTATTGAAAAATTTCATCCTCATTGACTCAAATACATTAAAAATAATTAATAAATGAGAAGCAATAATTAAAACAAATTAAATAATATAGCAAATTTATATTCAAATAATTATTATTTAACTTAAATTATGGCATTTTACTCAAAAGACACCGATAAGTCCACTGAGAAGCTCAAACCCTCAGGTTTTTCTACTCCAGACGCTTACCCTGTATATTCCCCATCTCCTTACTCTCAACTCCAAGATTCCGGCTATGACTCAGTTCGAACTCTAGAAATCCGAGAAATGCAAGAAGAAGAAAAATACATCCAAGGTCTCCGTCAACAGCGAGAAAAAATTGAAGCTTTCAGCAGAGACCTCGACAAAAAAGTCAAAAAAATCCGTGAGCTTGAAGAAGAAATAAAAAATCTAAAAGGAAGCAAAGGCGAAATTCAACGAATGGCGGGACAAATCAACAAATTAACTGAAGAATTAAGGAATAAAGAAGAAGAAAATGAAGAACTTAAACAAGCTATGAGAAAACAAGTAGAGGAATATGAATATTCATTAAATGAGCTACAAAGTGTAGTGATGAAAGAAAGAGATGATAGGAGCAAAGAAATAAGAAATTTAAAAAACCAAAATAAAGCTAAAGATGAAGAAATCGGCCACAGGCAATTCGCTAGGCAATTTTTAAGTAAATTTTTAGAATTTTTGATAGGCAAAATTAAATAAATTAGAAAAATTTTGATAGAAAAATTTTGATAGAAAAATTTGATAAATTTCCAGAGGAAAAATGCTACACAGAAGAAATTTCGTTTTTAGCTTATGAAAATGAAAAAGCGAAAAAACAGCTGAAATTGGCTGAGGAAAAATGTGAAGCAGAAATTATTGCTGGAAAAGAAAAAGATAAGCAGGCCAATGAGCAGATTAAAGCTTGGAAAGCATTTGAGAGGATGCTAAAAGATCAAGTTGCAGAGCTGGGGCATGAAAAAGGCCTGCTAGAGTCCAAAATTAATGAACTCAGAGAAAAAGTAGAAATTGCTGATACAAAGCTGCATCAAAAAGAAGATATTGAGCCAGCATTAATAAAAGAAAAGAAAAAAAATGAAGAATTACGAGCTTTACTAGCAGAAAAAGAAAAAGAATTAGAAAGTTTACGAGAAAATAAAAGCCAAAACCAGTATCAAATTGAAGAAGAGTTCAATTCTCTACACAATGAGCTCAGCTGTGCTATGGATTTAATAAAAAGACAAGAAAACACAATCATAGAGCTAAGAATGAGAAAAAAAGAAGACGATTTAGCTATTTCTTCTTTAACTGAAGATTTAACCCACAAGGAAGAGGAATGTGAAAGAATTCAGTCTCGATTAAATAAATACTTAAAAGATAGCGAAGAAGAGGCATCAAAAACAACAGAAATCCAAATCACAATACAAAGGCTGAAATCAGAAAACTTAGACCTGAAAAAACAGCTGCAAAGTTTCATAGAAAAGGAGCAGCAGGATAAGCTGGAAAGGAGGCAGTTCGCCAAGATGAAAATCGAGCTATTAAATCAAAGAGACTTAGAAGTTGGTAGACTAACTGAAGCAATTGATGCATTTGCTGCGCATAGGAATTATTCTGAGCAATAATTATATATTAAACACTTCTTAAAAAATTCATAAAAAATTCAAAATTATTTATATTTATAATATTTAAATAGCAGATTTCTTCACAAATTAGCTTAATTTTGAAAAATAAAGATTTAGAATTAGATAATCAGCTAAAACGAAATAAAAAGAAATTTGCGAGTTGATCTTTTCCCATTCCTGTCTATTAAGTTTTGGAATATTAGTGATTTACTGCAAAAACGTTAAATTTGACCAAAAAACGAATTAGGATAGAATTGTTTAACTATAGTCTTACTTGGATTGAGCATTTGGTCCCTTCTTCTTGCCTGGGCCGGAGACTATGTTAAGGAATCTTCTGTTATAGAGGTTTCTTTTCTTGGCTCTGCCTTGTAAGATTTTCTTGCGTCTTTCTTGCTTTGCAACTTTAGGGGTTTGGTTTCTAACCTTTCCTGATCTGGCTAAGCCACCGTGCACCTTTCCCATATTTTGTATAAAGAAGTCTAATTAATGGCTTTATGTGAGTAATTGATATACCAATTCAGGAAATTTCAAGTTTTTAAAGAAAAGAGCTTAGTTTTATTGCCAATTTTAATTTCAAGAATGAAATAATTGCTTTTCAATCAAAAAGTGTATTTAATTAATTATTATACTCAATTAAAGTGGATATTTAAGGCAAATAAGAATTATTTTTTATAATAGTAAATTTGCATGCCTAAATCACAACTAATCCTTTATATCATAAATTTTAACAAATATTTCTTATTAGGTATTATTATCCAAATTATATTAAAAATCACACACTTTTATACCTTTTGCAATTTCTCTTCTCCTTTATTCCCTCATTTTCAAGTCATCCTCATCTCCTTATTTTCCTAAAATCCTTCCCAAACCACAATAAAAAATATTCTTTTTTCTCAAAATTCAGCAAAATTCTTCATTAATTTTAATTATCATTTCTTATCATTTATTTCTTCCTTTCTCTCCTCTCTTCAGCCTCATTTCGAAATATTAAATGTCAAGGCTTCTCCCTGCTTCACCATTTTCTCGTCTTAAGTGTGAAATCTTTTAAAAATGACACTAAATTAAAACTTTTCACAGCTGAAATCTGATTGGCTTATTTTAAGATAAAAAGGCAAAAGTAAAGCTTACTTTGTAAAATATGGGTAAGGAAAAGGTCCACGTAAACCTCGTCGTTATTGGTCACGTCGATTCTGGAAAGTCCACTTCTTGCGGACACCTTATCTATAAGTGCGGTGGTATCGATAAAAGAACCATTGAGAAGTATGAGAAGGAAGCTAACGAAATGGGAAAGTCCTCCTTCAAATACGCTTGGGTTCTCGATAAGCTTAAGGCTGAAAGAGAAAGAGGTATCACCATTGATAATCCCTATTATTTTGTATATTAATTTTTAAAAAAAAATCATATTTTTATTGATTTTTAAAAAATTTATATAAGGAATTCTTAGGTGTTGGTAATATCTCCTTGTTCAAGTTCCAAACCGACAAGTTCTACTTCACAATCATTGACGCCCCTGGCCACAGAGATTTCATCAAGAACATGATCACAGGAACTTCACAAGCTGATGTCGCCATCCTCATCATTGCAGCAGGAAAAGGAGAATTCGAAGCCGGATACTCAAAGAACGGACAAACCAGAGAACACGCCCTTCTTGCCTTCACTCTTGGAGTCAAACAGATGGTTGTCGGAGTCAACAAGATGGACGACAAGTCTGTTGAATGGAAACAAGACAGATATCTTGAAATCAAACAAGAAGTCTCAGAATACCTCAAGAAAGTCGGCTACAACCCAGCCAAAGTACCTTTCATCCCAATTTCAGGTTGGTTAGGTGACAACATGGTTGAGAAATCAACTAACATGCCTTGGTATGATGGACCAACTCTTCTTGGAGCTCTTGATAACGTCCAACCACCTAAGAGACACGTTGACAAACCACTCAGACTTCCAGTCCAAGACGTCTACAAGATTTCAGGTATTGGAACAGTCCCAGTCGGCAGAGTTGAAACTGGAATCCTTACTCCTCCTTTTTAAATTTTTATTTTTTTTAAATTTTTATTAATAAATTTTACTCCAAAAATGGCTGGTGAGTTAAACCAGGCACAGTCATTGTTTTCGCCCCATCAGGAATTTCAACTGAAGTCAAGTCTGTTGAAATGCACCACGAATCCCTCGAAGAAGCCTTACCAGGTGACAACGTTGGTTTCAACATCAAGAACATTGCAGTCAACCAAATCAAGAGAGGATACGTTGCCTCAGACTCTAGATCAGACCCAGCCAGAGAAAGCATTGACTTCACTGCCCAAGTCATCATCTTAAACCACCCTGGCCAAATCTCAGTCGGCTACACCCCAGTCCTTGATTGCCACACTGCTCACATTGCTTGCAGATTCAACGACCTTAAACAAAAAGTCGACAGAAGATCTGGAGCAGTCCTTGAACAAGAACCTAAATTCGTCAAATCTGGAGACGCTGCAATTGTTACTTTGATCCCAACCAAATCCATGTGTGTTGAACCATTCACAGAATACCGTTTTAAAACTTAAATTACTTATAGAGAATTCCCTGCAGGTCCGCCGGCCACTAATCGTCTCCGCATAACGATCTAGCGCTTGCTTGAAGTTAGATACAGCCTTCCACTGTGTTAATTTTTATGGAGGAAGGATTCCAGGAAATCCGAAAAACGAATTTCTGGTCACCTGTCGACTAAATGGAGCCCGAAGCCCAGGACGCAACGCATTGTATAGCACTTGGGATATTCCTGATTGGCCAAGTGGCCTTACTGGGTTTTCCCTTTCAAACTCCAGCAAGCCATCTTGATGAGGCGGAAAAAACTATTTTGATGTTTTTTCCATCTGTTTTTTCATTCAAAATAGACTGAAAATTTCAAAAAATGTTTCATTAAGCACATGAAATAAACTTATGAATAGGTGTTTATCAAATTAAAAAGGCATATATAAAATGATATAAAAAATCGGTATGAAAACTTCCACTTATGCAAACCAAAAAATAGAAGGTGAAAAAATACTAGTGGACTATTATAAAATTATCACAAATTCCACTGCATATAGTTCATAAACTGGTGCAAATCGTCATTGAAAATGAATTGTTACAATAGACTTAGTTCTTGCATATCTTATGCCAAACCACTCGCTATTTAACGTAATATTCAGGCTTTAAATAAAATATCATTAATTTTTAATTAGTTTAATTTAGTTTTAGGTGTTAGAACAGGTTGGTTCACCACACCATTTTAATATATATACAGAATACCCACCACTTGGAAGATTCGCCGTCAGAGATATGAGACAAACCGTAGCAGTCGGTATCATCAAAGAAGTCACCAAACTCGCTGAAGGACAAACCAGAACTGCTGCCCCAGGAGAAAAGAAAGCCAAAGGAGGAGCCAAGAAATAAATAATACAAATCTTTTTATAAACTTGACTTTTTAATATAAAAATAAGCATTAAGCTGTTTAAATTATTTACAAAGAAATTTCACTATGCTGAATTATATTAAATTTAAAATTTTTTTTAAAAAATTATTTTATTTTGTACAAAAATTAAAATTTTCTTATTTTATAAGTACTTTAAAAAAACGAAAATTGTATATAAATATTTTCTTAAATTACCATGCTATATCTAATTATTCTGGCTTTCTCTTTCCATAGCCAACAAATTTTGTACAGCTGGATGGTCAATCCCAAGGATCGCAATAGCTTGCTCCTTTGTTACAAATCTTCCTTTGATTCTCAGTCGATTATCTGCAACTCGTTTTCGACAGTCATATGAGATTTTTTTATTCCAAGTCCTTCGCTGTCTTTTTTCAAGATATTTTTTGATCTTTTTCCGGCGTTCTTCAAGTGTAATTGTCCCAATTATATGGTCTGGAGTTAGCTCGACAGGCCGTTGAATGACAACAATCGTCTCTTTAGAAACGGCCGGTTTCCTTTTCTTTTGTTTTTGGATTTGGGTCTCATAGACTTCATAAATCAAAGGATTTATGCTTTAATTAATAATTACCATAATATCAATATGAAAATTAGCCTTATTTTTTTTATAGTAAATATAGTATTTTTTAATTATTTTTTTATAAAATTTATATAAATTGGAATATAGCGACTTCACAATCATCTTGAGTACTAAATGATTGCGTGAGGGCTTGTTCATCAAAATGATCAGGTAATGATTCAATACTGGGCATCTAAATAGAAATTTACATCTATATGATGAGGGTATGAGTAACTTAATAAGTCAACAAACGATACCTTACGTTCATTATGATGAATTAATTCGGATTGCATTGACTCAAACATGAAATCGAAAGCGCTTGTGCATTCAGATCCCAAGTATTCGTCAAAGCATTCAACCATTTTTGGTTAGTTTAATTATTGGTTCTTAAATGGCCTCTAACTTCTCTGCTCATCATTTAAGAGAAAGCATTCAAAATTATTTTTGAGATCATAGGGATTAGGATAATTAAAAGTCAGGAGCTAGCTATATTGGCGACGCAGTCACCAAAGACTTCATGTACGGAGGTTTCTACCGCTTTTCGACTCCAGCCCAGAGGGTCTGTGCCAATTCCTGTACCTTCTGTCTCTTACTTGCCTTGAGGCTTCAGTCTTGAGTGGGCTTATGGATTTCTGCGGCCTTATCGCAGGCGATTAAAGTAACTTGATTCCAAGGATCAGCTCTTTGAGTCTATCGGGTGCCGAAGTGCCTTCCTTCGACAGCTACAGGAAAAAGGCTACTCCCTTGTGGCCTGGCTGAAATCCCAGTTTCTTGGTAGAGGAATGCCATGGGTCCTCGGATCCTAAGGACTTTGCATAGCACCTCTATTTCCAACATAGGAAGCAGCCAATCCATCTCTTGAGCCTGCACTTGATTCTCGGCTTGGAGTCCATCCCAGTTCCCCCGTAGCCATAAGGTCTGGACTACTACGCCAAGAGGACAGGTTGGCTTACTTACTTACTTTTACTATAACAATGCTAACGCACTGTTAAAGCTCTTATGAGCTCTTACTTCACTTATCTGTTGCCCTTTTGCTCTTACACCCTGTATGTTAATATGACTTATCGTTCTTAGTCTCTCCTTGGTCCTACATTTGGGTCTTTTATTTACTGTTCTTGAGTATCCAGCTTCAGTCATTGTCCGTTTCTTTGGGAAGTTCATTTGTGATTGCTGATTCAAGTCTAGCAGCATTTCCCGTACCTGTAGCTCTTGAAATGGAATACCATGTGACGACATGATCTGTGCTGGCTCTACTTTTGGCTGCAGTACTGGTGTAACCCATAGTGCTGGAGTGTCCTGTAACAATGGAATTACTTGTAGTGTCGTCATGTCCAGTATCAGTGGTTCAGCTTGTAGTGGTGATTTGTCCTGTAGTGTCAGCATGTCCTGTACTGATGGTATATTTTGTGATGTTGACGTAGCATGCAGTGCTGGTATGTCTTGTGGTAATCGCATTACCTGTAGTGGTGATGTTTGAGTCAGTCCCGCTAGGGCTCCATTTACACTCTTTAGCTTATCAGGTTCCTCCATCTGCATCTTGATTTTCTTCATCTCTTTCTTCACCACCCTGCCCGCTTTCTTCTCCTCCTCCCTCTCTCTCCTTTAACAGTCTTTCCCTCTGGCTACGCTCTTCTCTTTTCAATGCTGTTCTGTCGTGACTCTTGTCATTATGCCCAATCTGTTGGCAAACTCCACAGTAGAGTGAGGCAGCATGATTCAATCAGACTTTCGGCCCCTAATAACAATTGCATCGCTTAGATCCATAGCTTTCTCTAAAGATTCAAACTCCCCGTACATTGAGTACCTCGAATTCACGCTAAAGTGAACACTGTAGCTTTCCCCTTCTGTTGAAACAACATATTCAACTATTATCTCTACAACTTTGCAGCTTTTCTTAAGTTCTTCCACTATTTCTATTAATGCAACACCTGTAGGTACCATTACTTGCATTCTGTATCTAAGGTAGTTTACCTGTCCTCCTTCACAAACTGGTCCAATTGGTACAGTGAGCTTCTTTCCCTCGTGCCTCATCGTTAGTCTTCCTCTGTTTTTTTCAGTCGTTCCATGCCGTTTCGTCAGCAAAAGTGACCATCGCATCTCCAGAGGGTAATCTGAGGCTTCTAATTACATCTTCATCTCGTGTAAATGCTTCCAGCTCTACTGCAAATGAGCTGTATAGGGTCCTCTTCAATTCCTCATCTTTCTTTTGAATGAATTTGGATAAGCAGAACTTCAATGTTTTTCCTATGCATTCGCTGTCTTCAATTTTCGGCAATACGTTGATGAGCGCAGTATAGCCATAGCAGAAACCTTCCCTGCCAAATCCCAGGACTTGGAGCTCCTCATCCTTCGCGGCTCTGAGACAGGTCTGCTTTTGGTTTTGCTCCACATATGAAAAATAAAAAAAGTAAGAGGACAGGTTGGCACTTGTCACCATTTTAATGTATTTTGAGATCATAGGGATCTATGAATATATTTTCTATTTTCTTATAATCAAACTCCAAATATTAAAAATATATTCATATTTTATGAAATAATAAGTTAAGCAAAATGGGCTTAACATTTCATATATTTTTAGAATTATTTTTTCATAGTAAAGTTTACCTTATCCCAAAAATTATAATTTATTGTTTAAAAATCGTTATCTTATTTAAATTCAAGGAATTTTCAGCAAGATACGAATAAATCTAATTTATTATCAATGATATAAAGAAGAGCTATTTTATCAACTTGAAAGCATAAGTTATCAGTACTGCTCTATAAGTCTTCATAGAAAAGAACGAAATATTAAAATAAAGCAAAAGCAATTAAATTTTTATATTTCTGACATTATTACCTGAAATGGAAACTTTTATTTTTATGTGCAGTAATCTGGCTATATTTATTTCAATGATTTAAGATAAATTGATATAATTTACTTATTTGATTTAGGGAATGAAAGATCTGGAAAGCTTCCTTTGATGTTTATGAACTTTCCATCTCCTGATTCAATCTTATTGATTGTCGCTTCTATAGCAGCTATTGTGTTGTCTCCATTATGAAGCACATATCGGCTTCTTTTACCATATTTCAAAAACACCAATTTATCAGCCCCAATTCCTTCGAATTTACTTGAAAAATCTTTATCAGCACTAAGATCAACCCACATGAATTTTACAGTAACCCCTCTATCTTTATTTTTCCCTATAATATTGGTCGTATCTTTTGCAATATTTATCAGTGAATCAGTTGGAGGGGAATCTACCTCCTTTTCTCCCTAAAAATTATTTTTGCGAATTCTAAATAATGATTTTTTTAAAAAAAAAAAAATTTGCTGGAAAATTAAGAAAAATATTCCGCATAACCCTTCTTGTTTATAACAAATATCATCAGCAGACAGCCTATGCAACTGAGGCACTGCTTCAACAATCCACGACTTCGTGCTTGAACTCTCTTCAGCTCCTCCATGGACAAAAGTTTCTGAATGCACATTTAGCCATTCAAATATAGATCTATACTTGATATCTCCTTTATATTCAGTTGTTTTGGCATCCACAGTCTTATACAAAATTATTTTCGGAAATTGCTTAATTTTGAATTTTTTGATTGCCTCAGTATCTTCCTGTCTCACAATCCCAAAAAACATTTTCGCTTCAAAAGCAACACTCAAGGCTTTATAAAGAGTTGGGACTGACGATTTTTCAGTAAAAAGTAGCACTTTTGGGACTGCTGGCTTGTCTTCTAAAAATGTTTGATAATTTTCGTTGCTTAGCTCAATGACTTTAGATGGGATAAATTTGGCAGCATAAGCACTGATAGCTTTAGAGGTAGCTTCTCCTTCATAAAGACCAACTGGTGCTGGGAAAGGAGGGTAGACTTTAATTGCAGGGACTTCTCTGATGTCTTGTGATTCACAAAGTTCATAATGAGTATCACAGTTAACAACTCCTACTATAAAAACGCCTTGCCACTCATCAGCAAAATGGTTGAATTCTTCAGCTTGAATAGCAGATCTGCTATCTTTTTCTTTATAAAAATGAATAACGCTGACCCATTTGTCTCTTCTCCTTGTTACTTGTTTGTCGAAATTTTGGGAAGTTAAAATATGGACACTTGTAGATGCATAATTATAGAGAGCTGCTTGGGATATAGCAAACAAAACTAAAAACACGTGTAAGATTTCCATATTTTATATCCCATAAGCAGCAATTTAATATGAAATTTTCGTTATAAATATAGTAAATTTTATGTTAAATTAGCTAAAATAATATAACTCAAGATTTGATAAATAATTATAATGGGCTGTTGCCAAGGGATTTTATTTGAAAAGTCAGAAATCGCGATATCTAATGTAGATGTCGCTATAAAGCTGAGAGATAGAAAAAAATCGAGTGACGAGGAGTTTGAAGATATCAGTCTTTATTCCAGAAAAGTCACTCAAAGTAATATTGATTTTTACAAAGAAGAAACAGATTGCAATTCAAAATCTTTAATAGATTCCTTCACTACGAATACTTTTACTATGAGAAGCGATTTTGAATCGGCGTTTTTAGTGTCAAACTCTGTACTTCTTAGCAGTCGAGATTTAGAAAGTTTCATTAAATTAGACACAAGTAAATTGTCAATTTAGCAAGGACTGATTATTGAAATAATTAATTAAATTATTACCACGAAACCTATGATTTTTTAATGATTTTTTCTGCCTGGATTTTAGAATTTGCCGCATTAATTTTGATAAATTTATTTTATTGTCAGAATGAATATTTTTTATTCTAAAAATTAAATCTTAAAAAATCCTTGAATAATGCCTTAATTTAATTTTTTTTGGCTTTTTTACTGTCATCTGGTTTTCCAGAAGACGATGAAAATATAGCTCCTCCTGCAAGCAAAGCAATAATTCCTACTATCACTAAAGCTGGGGTACTAGTTAATACAGAAAACAAAGAATCAGGCTCTTCTACAGCATGCACCTCTTGTTCTAAGCTTTCAAAATCGCTATCATCTATCTCTTCTCTTTTTACCTCTTTTACTTTTTCTTGAGCTTGTTTTTGTGCTAATCTTTCTCTTTGAATTTGTGCTAGAAATTCAGATTGTTCATATTGGTGTGTGTCTTCCAGTCCTCCTTTCAGCAAAACAATGGCATTTACCTTTGGGTTGTCTTTTTGCCCTTTTTCAAAAGTAATTATCAACTCATCATGTGATACAGCGTTTTCCACAACATTTCCGTTGATTTTTATTTTTCCACCTTCATAGTTTATTACTATGAATTCATCATAGGCTGCTGCTTTGCCTACTTTTGAAAAAATGTCTAATTGTTTAACTACATAGGTGTCGCCGATTTTAACATTAAATATTTTTGCAGATGGATATGAGAAATAGACTTCAGAGAATTTCAATATATAGTAAATTATGATTAATTAAATTATTTTAAAAAATAATATAGAAAAATTAGATATTTAATAAAATTAGGGTAAGAACATAATTTCCTTCTTCTTTTATTGGGATTTTGTAGGTGAAGTCTTGTTCATCGTATCGCTCTGTTTGGTAAATTTCTAGATCTCGAGTTAGACGAATCTGGAATTGTTTTCCATAGTCGCTTGCAATACCTGAGGAAAAGCCATTGTCTTTACGATAGGTAACACCATCGGAGGTGACTATTGAGTCACCTCCGCAGTTGACTGCATATTTCACGAGTTTTGGATCTAAGGATAAAACAAGTGGAAATAAGAGAGATAGGAAAATAACCATTTTATATATTATGGAATAAGAATTCTAAAGAAATTCAGCAAATTGATTAGATAAAAGTAATTTATTATAGTAAAATTATATTGTAAGCAAAGAAAGATAAAATATAAAAGGTTTAATAAATCTAGGAAATTAATTAAATTTTAATCTAAGGCTATTAAATTTATTATTTTTCTATATTGGAATCTCATAAAAATTTTATTATTAATCACTGCAAGTTTTTAAAACAGTTATAAAATGGAAGATAAGCCTGCAAACAAAGCTATAAATTTCTTACTCACTTATTAATAAAAAGCACTCTTTTATTGCTGTTTTAAAAAAAAAAATTATGTCTCTTATTATCTTAAAATCAATTTTTAAAGGCTAAAAAAATTAAAAGCATTTAATTCGTAATTAAATTCCCAGGAAAATATTTTAGAAAAGTTTGCTCGTGGGAGTTAGAAAAAAATGGTCTTGTCCAAGCATATGAGTGTAATTGTTAATTAGATCTTCTCACAAGTTTATGTGAGCATGGCTTGCCAACTGGAGACCTGTATGAATTTTCAGCCCTTATGATGCTAAAATTTGAAAAGAAATGAAAAGCAAAACAGCGTCAATTAGCCTTAAAAGCCAAACAAGAATCAACCCCCGAGAAAAAAGTCAAAGGCGAAGAGCCAAAAGAAGAAGAAAAAAAGAAACCTTCAGATCCTACCAAAAGAAAAGGATTTGAAGACGAAAAAAAGCTAAAACCGCCTCCAGAAGATGAGAAAAAAGCTAAAAACAGATCGCCTGAAAGAAGCTATGAAGACTCTAAAAATAGATCCCCTGAAAGGCGTGAAGACAATAAAAAACAGAAAAATCCTATTGAGGATGAGAAAAAAGGGAAAATTAAAGAAGAAATTAAGCGTGTCCAGCCTGAAGAACCGAAAAAAGGAACAGTGAGGAAAACAGATGAAAGCTCTAGATCTCCTGAACCACAAAGAAAAATGCCTCAAGAGTCAGTTAGAAGTAAAAAATAATTATAAATGTTGCTTACCTACTCGTTTAATTTGGTTTTCTCTTGATATATATTTTTATTTAAATTAATCTATACAAATTTTAGCTTTAAATAATAGGATATCCAAGGGAAATTGCATATAGATTTCGGAATTTTTAATGCCTCAGATGTAGGAACCATTAAAAATGGGTCAGGGCTCGCAAATAATACACGGTCATCATATGAGCCTTGGCCTACGAATTCGTCTTTGGCAGGGGATGGTCATGCAGATTTCGCATCTCTGTTGATATCAATTTTTGTTTTATTTTCAAGACAAGTCAATGATAAATCTTTTTTTGGCTTTATTGTTACCATATTGTCCAGTTTACTCTGAATTTTGTTATTTTGGGGTTTTTGCTTATTTTTTGTCAAGGATTCGCAGTAATTAATCAAAGATAAACAAGCTTTATCTAGCTGGCTGTTCTTGATTAATGATTTTATACATTTTAGAGAGTCAGCATTTTTGGAAGATTTAATAAGCTCGTCTACTTTAAATATTAATTCTTTCAAACTTCTATCGTGAATTAATGAAAAATCTGGGTTGGCGATATAATCAGATTCAATTTTTAAGTATCCAGAATAATCATTGCAAGTATAATTTTTCTTTTCATCATAAACTCTATCCTTTTTGCTTTAAATTTGCATTTTTTAAAATTAATAAATTATTTGCTAAAATTAAAAAATATTTATTATACTGAATTGGATTGATTGTGATCATTTTTAATAATGGGAAAATAAAGTAAATATATTAAAAACTGGATTGTAAAAATGTCATAGTTGATATACAATTATTCATAAAAATTATATTTTTGAAATTGGCAAATTCGATTTCAATTTCTTTTCTTTTTTTAACTTCTTCATGGAGAGATCGCTTATATTTATTAGCCATCTCTTGATATTTATTAGAAAGCTCTGTATTTTGTACCTTATATTTCATTAGCTCTTCTTTAAGGTAATTTACATTTTCACTAGCTTGGATCATGTCTTTATGAATCATCCCTAAAAACTTCTACTAGCTCCCCCCTTTAATTTGAAACAAAAAATCCTGTTCTAATTTAAAGGGATTTATTTTAAAAAAAATTATATATATATTTTGAGAGTCGGCAAACACCAATTTTCCTATTATAAAAAAAATTGGTTCAAATTAAATGGAATTCCACCGATGTTTTATTCCAATTTAAAGGTGGGGATAAATAATAAAAACTACATTATCTGCTTGGCTCATGCTGTAAATTTCGTCACGAATTGTCTTAGCTTTTTTCTGTAATTCGTTAAAATAGTTCATTTCATAGATATTGAATTCAGCTTTTGTACTTGAATGAGACATTTAATTGTTTCTATTTTAATTTTTAATTATAAATAAATAAATTAATTTATATCAAATAAAAATTATTCTATTTAGGTTTAAAATACATTATAATATTTATTTCAATCAATAATTATATTTAAAAAAGTATATTAAATCCCGGCTTATGTCTTTTTCTACTCAAAACCCTGACATGTACGTAATTGAGCAAATTCTAGCTGACAAAGATTCTTGACACAACATCCAGCCAATTATTATCAGCGAATTCAAAGCTATAGCAGATTTTCTTAACCTACAATCCAAAGCTATCCATGACCTAGAGCTTCAGTTATCAAACAGAGTGACCAGGCATGAGCTTTCAGCTGAGTTAGCTGAAAAAGCAAGCATTTCAGAGCTATCATCTAAATTTTCCCACGTCCAAAGCATTTTTGAAGGAAGAATCACATTAATTGACGAAAAAGTTAGCCTAAGTGAAGTACAAAAACTGCTAATGAATAAAGCAAGTTATGAAGACGTCAAGTCAATGATTGAAGGAAAAGCTAATAGCAGAGAATTAAAGACAGAAATTGATAGAGTTTATGAACAAGTGAACTTAGTTTATAAAGAAATCCAAACTGCGTTATTGGAAGTACCACAAATGCAAGATTTTCAGAATTTATCTGATGAAGTCAAAGCAAAACTAGAAAAAAATGAGGTAGAAAAAATTGTGACGGAGGAGATTCAGACAATTTTTAATGAAGTAGTCCATATGCAAGATTTCCAAAAATTAGCTGGAGATATTAAAGAAGAAATTAAACAAGTTGAGGATATAATAAATGATGAAACCAAAAGAATTGAAGAAACCATTAGTAAAAACACTGAAGAAATCCTAAATAAAGCACTCAAGAAAAAAGCTGAAAAATCAGATTTACAAAAAAAAGCTGACTCAGCCGATATAAAAACATTATTAACAGCAATAGAAAGTAAAGCAGACTCCACATGATTTGAACAACTTAGCGAAAAAATATCAAAAATCGAAAAAAATGAGCTAACCTTCAAAAAGCGTATTGAAAACCAATGCAAAGACATGCTGGCAGAATTCACCAAAGCATCCACATCAAGCTTAGATCTCCAATTTTCTAAACATATAGAAAACGTAGACAGATACATTGCAGAACTAACCACAGAAATCCAAAAAGTCAGAATAAGCACCCTCCCAAATGCTCCATCTTTGGAGCTAGTTAAATCAGAGCTCAGCACAAAAGCTGACTCCAAAAAAGTAGAATTAACATTGCAAGACTTAAGAAACGAAACAATAGAGATGATAAATTCATTTCGAAGCGAAAACAACCTAGATCGGGCACATATAAAAGATTTTATAATGCAAAAAACACAAGAAGATGATAAAAATGAAAAAATATTTCAAGAAGAGCTAGAATTTTTAAGAGGGGAAATACAAAATATGAAAAAATTCCACGAAAAAAATTGGGAATCCTTTAGGAACTGGGAAAGAAATAAAAATGATATAAATGCTGATATAAGAGACACAGTCGAAAAATTAATGAAATTCAGGGATATTCTAGAAATGAAAATAGACCGAAAAGAATTTGATGAATTTAGTCAAAATATTATAAAATATCTAGACCACAAAGCTGACATAAACGAAGTTGAAGGAATTCTGCAAGGAAAAAATAAACAATTAATAGGGATTATACAAGATCTGAAAGAGGACATAAAAATTAAATATGGCTCTTTGCAAAATGAAACCCTTGAAAAGGCTAGAAATTTAATTAGAAGAAGTTATGAAGAAAAAGATTTTGAACAAATGCTGAGCGAAAGGGTAAGGTATAAAGACTTTGATGTGCTAGCTAAACAAATTGATGAATTAAGACAAGAAATTAAGAATATTAATGATAGTACTCTTTTTGACGAATTAAAAGACCAAATTAAGCTATTAAATGATCAAATTTCACAAAAAGCTCCTATAGAGATATGCAAACTTATTGACTCTAAGCCAAGTATCGATAATATCAATGAAACTTTATTGTCAATTCATAATGAAATTGATACAAAATTGCCTTCTGAAGATTTTTCGAACTTTATAGAAGACCAAAATATCATTATAAATACCCTTTGCTCAGAAATTTGTCTTGGCAGGTGGCTGTGAAAGTCTGGGAAACTCAAAAAAACTCATTTTATCCCTTGGGAGGTACAAAGCATAAATACGAATCCTCAGCTATTTTTGTGGGAGGAAGAAAGGATTTATATTGGAGTTGAGGATTCTGGGGTTTATGAGTTCACAGTAGGTGTATATTCAGAAGAGCAAGCAAATATTCAGCTAATATTGAATGGAGAGCCAATTATTACTTCTACGAATGGAAAAGGAGTTGTTAAGGAGTATAATAAATGTGTAGGATTCTCTTTTGTTGAATTTTTATCATTACCTAGAAAAAGCAGGCTAAGTTTGTCTTATTCTGGAGATTCTAAAGGAGAGGGATTTATAGGATTAAGGAAGCTATAATCAATAACTATTAATGTTAAAAAAATTATTTTTTATTTGACCTTCTTTTGAGAGTGTTCTCAGAAATTCAATTATCTCTCATTCTAAAGCTTGATTTAAAGGGTAATTTAGTCTACAGTAAATTTTAATTTTTAAGATTTTATTTTTTGTGTAAGCTCTAATAATATTAGATTAGTAAATTATTTTATCGCTGTTATGCAGCATTTCTCTCGTTAATTGTAATTTTCCTGTTTTGATTCCTTATTCCCTAATTTTCCAGAGTTCTTTACTTGTGCCTTTGAAGCGTTCTAGGCAAATAGAAAAGAAAATAAAATATTCCTATTCACCTTAAAAAAATTTAAAAGGAACACACTTGCTAAAAAGAAGATCAAACCAACTCATTAATTTTTTTTATTTATTATCTTTATATTTTATTATTTTGATAATAATCGCAAATCAATAAAGCCTCATTTCAAATTTGATGAATTTTCCAAAATTGGCAATTATCCTTAAAATAATATCAGCTTTTTTTAGTAATTTGATAGTTATTAAGCTTGAATTTGACCATTAGATTATCAATCTTACTATAATTTCAATAAATATTACCAAAAGTTGAAAGATGATCTTAAGAAAAAAACCCTTTTTACAAAATGAAACGCAGATTAAAATATAGCAAATCTATAGTTTTCATAGGTAAACAAAAATCAGCTCTCTTAAATTATATTTTGGCTAAATTTAATAATCAAGAAGAAAAATATATTGGATCTTCTCTATTTCTACTTAAAACTATTTTTTTTTGATTTCTTATCATTGTTTATACTAATTATCAACTTTTCCAATTGATTCAATATTTCTTTAGCAAATCTTATGTCTTTTATTATTATCTTTTAAATTTTTGGTTTTTTATAAATTCATTGCAATTAAAGCGCATCAAATGTGAAGATATTGATTGAGTTTTATAAAATTTAGATATATTGCGTTGGCAAGAAAACATTATTTTTTCGACTTTTAATAAACCAAAAAGCGTTTTTAATGCATTAATCCATATCACTCTCATTGAAAAGTCTTAGCTCATTTACAAAAGTTAAAACAACCTTTTTAAATTTAGGAAATTTTAAATTTTTAGAAATGTACATTTCACACGATTTTTTACATTTTCAGATAGTCTTAGATGCAAAAATTTTGATTTTTATAATCTCATTCTGCATATTGCATCAAATAGCAGCATTCCATCATAGATATAAAATTCTTTTTTATTTGCCAAATTTCTTGAAATCCTACTAGTGAATTAAGGACTAAACTCATTTCAAAATTAATTTTTATCGAAATGCAATAGACTTTGAGGAGTTACTCTCTAAAATTTTTGTTTAATTTAAAAAAAACAAATTGTTTTTTAATGAGTTTCATTTTTAATAAATCAAATTTTTTATCTATAAATGAGATATCTTCAAAAGAAATTCAAATCCTGTTTAAAAAAATTTTCTTTAAAATTACGAAAATTCATCAATCTCCATATTGCAGTAACAAAATACCATAATATTAATGATATATTCGTTTTATTATAATCAAACAATGGATATATCCAAAGAATGCTTAGAGTCAACTACTCTCTACTGCTGTTATTATCTAAACTGCTACAATTCATACTCAACGAAGTTCAATCTAAAGCATCATATAGAGACCAAGCATTTAAAAGTAAAGAAATTTAAGTGTGAAACTTGCAAAAAAATATTATCAACGAAGCAGAACCTAAGAGAGCATATGAAAATCCATGATGGAATCAAACCTTTTTCATGTAATCATTGTGGGAAATCGTATAGACAAGCATCTCAAGCTATAATCCATCAACGGATTCACAGCAAAGATGGAATGAATAATATAGCCGTTAATGCAATTGACACTGCCCCGCTCCAACCAGCTCGCCTCGTAATAAATGCTCCCGAAATAAATTGGGAAGAATTTAATGTAAATCAGCCTCAATTACCGGCTCTTAGAAGCAATTTTGATCAAGACGTAAGCCTGCCTTCTTTCGAGAGTGTTCTCAAGAAGGCTAAAAAATGGTATAGCTTTTAATCCTTAAGCTTATTTAAAGGGTAGATATTTAAAGTTTATTTGATAAAATTTACGCGGTTTTATTTTTTGAACTTTATTACAAGATTTATTAAAGTAAAGAGATTAATTTAATGGCAAGGCTACAATTTTGTTTACTAATTATTGATTTCATTTCATGTGAAGTAAAATGTAGACTTATGTCTTAAACCTAGTTTTTTGATCGTTTTAAGGTCTTCATATAATTTTATTAATAGATTTGTCCTTGGGAATGATAAGAATAGCTTTTTCAGTATATTTTGGTAAAGTGAATTCTATTTAATTATAATTTTCTGGATTTTTATGGTTAGGGCGGTTTGATTTGAGTTTTAGCTATGAATTCAAGCTTCCCAAGCTGTTTTGTTTTTTACTTGATAGGTTGGTTTTAGTTAAGTAGTAAAGAAATGCTTTACCCGCTTAAAAAAACTTTTCACCATGAGCACATTTGATTAAAACGTTTTCAAATTACTCGCCTATTGTTAATCATTATTTCAATATTTTAGCATTCGAATAATGATTGCGATTCAATAGATATCAATTTGAATTTTCATCAATTTTCAATAAGTAAAATTTATATTTTTATTGAAAATTTTTAATAAATTTCAATTATCTTTAAAATACTCATTATATTAATTAGTGTAATTTTGCAGTGAAATTATTCTTAAAAAATCTCAAAAAAGTAAAACTTAATCCCATCTAATTTTATGATAACAAAAGGGAACTTCTTTTTGCCTTAATTAAATGTAATGAAAATAAAATGCTATATTTCGTTAAGTTTAAATTTTCAAATAGTTTTGGTCTCTAGAATATCAACTTTTATAAAACTAGATGAATTTTACCTAAAAACGAAAGCTTTAAAATTGCAATTACCTTTAATTTCAAATTGAAGCGCAGATTATAATTATTTTTTAAATACAAAGTTTAAGCTTCAAATATTGAGCATATTCATAATTTACTTATAAAATCATAAGTAAGCCTATTTAACACAATAATCTTAAGAAGAAAAACTATACAAATTTTCTTCCATATGAATATCCACAAATATAAAATTATTGGGGTTATTAAATAGTATAAGACCAATTAAGAATCTACATAAATTGATTTAATATCTTCTGCAGCAAATCATATAAAATCTAATTAATAATTTTTTGGTTTCAATTTTAGCAATTATTTTTTGTTTCCAAATGATATATCTGCTCAAGCAATTCATATCTAAATAAATCCTCTCTATCATTAAGGAAATCGCACTACACCATATTTCAGTAATAAACAATCATATTTTCGTTATATATTTGCTTTATTATAATAAATTCATGGAAGATATTATAATAGGTCACATAGAGCCAATCTCTTTATTGTTGTGACTACTCAAACTGTATCTGTATTTTTAGAATAAAACTTAATCTCAAGCATCACATCGAAATCACAAATATAAAAGTCAAGAAATTCCAATGGATTGTTTGTCAATAATATTTAATGCATGGAGAAGACAGTCTACTATTCTTCCAAAACTGTAAAAATCTGATAAAAAACCAGCTAGCTAACTCTCTATAAACACACTCACACTAAAAATGGTTTAAATTTAGCTGCTGAGGCAATAGATACCGCTCTATTAAAAAATTGGGCTTATATCAAAAAAATCTAAAAAAATAATCTGGGAAGAATTCGAATCAGATGAGCCTATTTATCATCTCCATAGCACTTGCTGCAAAGAGATTCTTAATAGAAAAAAAAAATAGTAAGCAGTATAGCAAACGCTAAACGCACTTATTTGCTGAAATTCATAGCTTTATAAAAAGCAGTGCTATTCTAAAGATTCTGAAGGAAGAAGAATTATAAATAATCTTCATCATTAGGTTTTAGTTTTCTTTGGTTGCGGATTCCTAAAATTTGACTCATAACTAGCATAAGCTATTTTTTGGCTTAGTTCTCGCATATGGATTCCCTGAAAAAATCTTCTTTGAAGATATAGATGATAAAAATTTATCATTAGACCTTTTAAAACATATAAAATTGTTTATTTATTTTCGTTTTATTTTAAGCATTAGGAAAAGAACTACATATCAGTAGAACTTTAAATTCGAATATTCCTTAATTTTATAAGGAAAAATTTTTTGTTTATAGAAAAAGATTTTAGTGAATTTTAAGAAATTAAAAAATTCTAAATTGGCACAGATTTTAATAAAAGTCTTACTGAAATCATATTAATTGCTATATTTTTGCTTTAAAAAATCATATTTACCTAAAAAAGTAAAAACCTAGTGCATTCCATATTTAGAAAAAAAGGGAATATATTAGTTTTCATTAAATTTAATGAAATTAAATGTTATATTTAATTAGGCTAAAAATTCAAATAGTATGAGCCTATAAAATTACAATTTTTATACTACCTAAATGAATTTTGCTTGAAATCAGCAAAAAACCTACAAAAATACAATTTTCCTTAATTTCAAAATGAAACGCATATGAAAAAATTTTTTTTAATATCGAGCTTGAAGCTTTCAATATAATGTAAATCAATCATTAACTAATAAAACCATAAAGGAGCTCTTTAAAATTAAATTTTTGCTGAAATACATTAATAATTTAGTCCAAAAAAAACATTACGAGATTTCTCTCTATAATTCTGTATTTATAGTTGCTCTTTAAGTTTACTTATAGCTTTAAGTCAATTATTACCTCTTATATATCAATCTAAATTCTATGCCATAATCTTATAAAATCCAATACGCATTTTTGGGAGTTTCATTTTTAATAATTATTTTTTCCTTCCAAAAGTAAGTAACTGCCCAAGTAACTCAAATGATAATTAAATAAATTCCTTTGTAGCATTAAGAAGATCGAGTAACTCCATATTTCACAAATAAACAACCATATTTTCGCTATGTGTTCGATTTTTTATAATAAAAAACTGATACCATGGAAGATACATCAAAAAATTGTTTAGAATACTCTACTCTCTACTGCTGCTACTACCAAGGCTGTAATAATACGTATACAACGAAGTTTAATCTCAAGCATCACATAGAAACCATACACTTAAAAACCAAGAAGTTTATATGTGAGATTTGTCAAAAAAGTTTATCAAGCAAGCAAAACTACCAGAATCATAAGAGCATACACGATGGAGCCAAGCCATTCGCATGCAACTACTGTGGAAAATGCTATGCGAAAGCAGCTCAGTTAACTCTACATAAAAGGGTTCATACTAAAGATGGAGAAAAAATAACCGTTGAAGTAATAGATACTGCTTCATTAAAAACAGCTGATCTAGTCATGAAACAATTTGAAAAGATAACCTGGGAAGAATTTGAATCAAATCAACCTCAATTGCCGCCTCTTCAAAGCAGCTCTCAACAATTGATGTGCTTACCTTCTTTTTGCAGCGCACTCAAGAGGTGTAAAACGGAAAATAATATCTAATTATTAAACATTACTAAAAAATATTTTAGCTGTTTTATAAGTGATATAATCTTGGGAAGCTAAGAATCAACAAAAATTGAATTTTGAATCAATTATCCTTATAAAGTTAAAAAAGAGATATTATGTGTCCTAAGGTGTGTAGTATTCTCGCTTTAGTAATTTTATTGCTTCCTCAGAGCTAAATTTATCAATATGATGGAGAAAATAGATACCACTCTATTAAAAAAGTTGAGCTCATATAAAAAATCAAAAAAATAATTTGGAATGAATTCGAGCCTGCACTACAGCTCTTAGCATTCTTTTAAAGATATAAGCCTATCTTTTTTCGAGAGTGTATTTGAATAGTGCATAAATGTCACTTTAAAAATTCTCTAAAATTATGATAATAGCTATTTATTAAAAAATAATTGCCTTTAAACCCCACCCCGCTAATGCCATTTAATATTGAATAAAAATTAATTAATACTTGACTGAATAAGAGAAAAAAGGTATTAACAAAAAGTAAACTAAGCTTGTCTTTTTTTTAAAATTTTGAAAGAAAGAGACTTATAAAAATAAGAAAGCTATATCTTGCTTATTAATTATAGGTTTTTCTAGGTAGCTGAGTGATGAATTCCTACACTTTGATACTTACAACCTTAAACCAATTTTTTTGGCCACATATTCGGGAAATAAGTTTATTCTTGAGAAATTAATATTTAAGAGCAAATTTTATTTATTTTTATTTTATTTTATCTTTTAAAGCGGTAAACCCGCACTTCACTTGCTTTTAATCAGCCTTTTCTTTATCATAAAAAATCAAAATTCACTCAAAAAAACTCCAAACTTAAAAAAATTGAATTCAAATACAAACTCCTAAAAGATTCCAACAAACACTAGTAATCATCTGATAAGCTTCCAGTTTCATAAGCTGCATAAAAATTGCTTCTCGATGTAACACCCATTCACTCATGACTCAACATATATGGGCCAAAGAGAATCATCACTCCTTGAAGCTCCCGTATGTACATCTCTCTGCAACTTTTTGCGCGAAGTGCCTAAAAAACGGCTTTTTCAAATTTTATTTATAAAATCTATAGTAAAAACCTATTAAAATTTGTAAAATTGTTTTATTCCATTTTGGTTTTATTTTAAAAAATCCAAGCAAGAATCGCAAGTTAATAGAGAATTAATTTCGAGTATTCATTAATTTTAATAAATAAAAAATTTTGTTTAAAATTATTTATTTAGCAGAATTTTAAAAATTATAAATTAACGCAGATTTTCAGAATATATTTCTGCTTTAAAAAATCATAATTACTTAAAAATTATAATACACAATGAATTCCATTTGAGAAAAATGGAATATATATCATATATATTTGTTTTCATAATTTCGATGAAATTAAATATATTTTTCACTAGGCTTAAAAATTGAAATACTCTAAGGAATTTTAATTTTTGCACTTACTCAATGGATATTTCTTAAAATCGGCAAAAACCTTAAAAATTAAATTTTCCGTAATTTCAGTATGAAACGCAGATTAAAATAATTTGCTAAATACCAAATTTGAAGCTTACAATATAGAGTAAATCCATAATTTTCTTACAAAATTATTTAAAAATTAATTAAATTTGAAATACAAAAATGTTAGGAAAATATGCCTCGAGATTTCTCTCTGTAAGTTTGTATTTGTAGTTACTCTTTAGACTTCCTTAATAGCATTTAGAAAATTATTATCTCATATATATTTACCTATATTTCATATTCCATAATTTTATAAAATATAATTGCATTATTGTGAGAGTCATTTTTAATAATTAATTTTTTACTTTCAGAATGATATAAATATTCAAAAATTTTACAAAATATAAGATAAATTTTCTTTTTTAAGAAGAAAATTGCATAATTCCTTATTTCACTAATACAGAACCCATATTTTCATTAAATATTCGCTTTGATATAATAAAAATCATACCATGGAAGATATATCAAAAGCTACTTTAGAATATTCTACTCTCTACTGTTGTTATTATCAAGGCTGTAATAATCAATATTCAACAAAGTTTAATCTCAAGCATCACATAGAAACTATACATTTAAAAACCAAGAGATTTATATGTGAGATTTGCCAAAAATGTTTATCAAGCAAGCAAAATTATAAAAAACACATGAGTATACACAAAGGAGCCAAGCCATTTGCGTGCAATTATTGTGGAAAATGCTATATTCAAGAAGAACAATTATCTATCCATAAAAGAGTTCACAATAAAGATGGAAAAAAAGTATCCGTTGAAGCAATAGACACAGCTTCAATAAAAATAGCTCGCTTCATTATGAAACAATTTGAAAAGATAACCTGGGAAGAACTAGAATCAAATCAGCCTCAATTGCCAATTCTTCAAAGAAGTTATAAACAATTGACAAACTTACCTTCTTTTTACAGCATTCTCAAGAAGCTTAAAAAGGAAAACAATATCTAACTATTAAACTTTACTTAAATTATTCTGATTGTTTTATAAGTAATATATTCTTGGGAAGCGAAGAGCGAATCAAAATTAATTTTCAGTAATTATCCTTATATAATTAAAAAGAATTATTAAGCAATAAAAAAATGCGTAGGACTTTTGTTTTATTGAGTTTTTATTGTTTCCTATGAAAAATAGGCTAAATTTATCAATCTGATGACTCTGGGGAAAAATTTATTAGAGCTATGATATTTTTATTCACCAATATACTTTAAAATCAGGTTAAATTGAAAATTTCTGCGCTTTTACTAAGCCTTTTTCGGTCTCATCAATTTCTATTCATAATTCTTTGCTCAAATTATTGTAAATTTGTCTATAATTATCTGGTCTTTTAAAAGCTCTACTTTAAGCTTATGCCTGCATATTTTATTAGGATTGAACTTTAAAGACAAAATCATTTCGATGCTTATTTTCTAATTATGATCTTAATTTATTATGTTTTTTAATTTTCTTTAAGTAAAACTTTGGTTTATAAGAAAATAATTTTTTAAAAATCACTAACTATAAGTAATAGTGAAATCTTAGAAAAAGAGCATCTTTATTAAGTTTATTACAATTCTGCTTCAAAATATTGATAATTCACTAAAAAATTAAAACTCGATGCATTTTGATTCTATTAGAAAAATGGATTATTTTTGTTTACATTTAAATTTAGAAATTCAATTTAATGCTTTATTAATCAAAATTTTAATCTTTCGCTTCAATGCATTGGGTTATAATGAAAGTTACTTTTTGTGCATCCTTTTATCTATCCTGTTTGTGAAACTTGGAGCCAGCTTTGTTCCAGCAGTTCACTTGCATATGCTCTAAATTTTAAACATTAGTGAGCATAATAACTATCAAATTCTGCCCAAACCTAATTCTTAAGAGCTACTAAATAGCATTTTTACATATTTTTTAAAATTTTCAATAGCGCAAATTTTATAAAATATAATTGCTATTGCGTGAGTTTTAATTATTTTTTACTTCCAAGAACCCACCACTCAAGCAGGTTATAAGATATTTAAATAAAATGTCTAATATGATTATGAAATTTATATCACATTAATAATCAAGGGAAAAATATCAAAAATTCTATTAATGCAGGTATTCTCTATACTGTTATTATCCAGACTGCAGAAATATATTAAAAAAAAGCTCAATTAAGAAAATAAACAAAATTTTGCATAAAAATTTCCAAACATTAATGATAATTCTAAATATAGATCTACATTCACAATTATTTACTAGGCTATTAAATTAACTTTTGACCGATTATTGCATCTTCTATATTTATTTAGTATTTTCTGAGCAAAATCTTATCGTTAGTTGCTTAAATAGAAACATTGCCACCAACATATGGAATATTTTCCATGTGTGAAAAGATTCCATATGTTGGTGGTAATGTTGCTATTTAAGCAACTAACGATATAAAATCTAATTAGCATTTTTCTGGGTTTTATTTTTAATAATTATTTTTCCTTCCGAATGAGATATCCGCTAACTCCCCCCCCCCCTCCGTGAGCGAACAAAACCATTAGAAAAATCGCCATTTTTTGACCAAAACCCACCCTCCGTGAGTGAACAAAAATTTTTTTTAATAGAAAAAATTTTAATGGAAAAAATTTTGATATATAAGTGATAATTAGTATAATGAAATCTAGAGCTAATTCTGTTTAATTTTAAACAAATTGCGTTTTAAAACATAAATTTTGCAAATTAAATTAATATTTGCTTCCCAATTTTTGCAAATTAGGATTTTTTTTAAATTTCGAAAAAAATATTTTTTATAAAATTAACCCCCCTCCGTGAGCGAACAAAATTTTTTTGTTCGCTCACGGAGGGGGGGGGGGAGTAAAGTAATTCATACGATATTTAAATAAATTCTCTTTCTACATTAAGAAAATCGAGTTACTCAATATGAGTAATAAGCAACCATAGTATCGTATATATATTCGTTTTATTATAATAAATTAATATTATAGAGCATATATCAAGAGGACTCTTAGTGTCAAACACTTTCTACTATTACTATTATTTAGACTGCGCAAATACATATACAGCAAAGCACAACCTGAAGCAGCATCATATAGAGACCATGTAAGCAATATTTGTAAAAAATATATCTAGCAGGCAAAACTTGAGAGAATATATGAATATTCATTATGGAGGCAAACCACACGCATGCTATTGATATGGGAAAACTGATAGAAAAGTAGGTCAGCTAACTTTCCATAAACGAGCTCACATTAAAGATGAAAACAATGAAGCCTTTGATGAATTAGAGACTGTTCCATTAAAAATAGTTCACGTCATAATGAATTTGAAAATATAAGTTGAGATGAGCTAGAATCAAATCAGGCTCAACCGCCAATTCTTCAAAGCATTTGTGAGCTTACTTTCTGCTCAAAAAGTGTAAAATGGATTAAAATATCTAATTCTAAAGCTTTGCTTAAAGTTATTATATTATTATTAAATGGTACTCATATAATCTTTTTACTATAATCTCGCGAATATTAATTTTAATTTAATCATATTATATTTGTTATAGTGAAAATAGGCTGAATCACAAGAGAAGAAAATTTTTTATTATAGTTTTTAGAATAACTAATTAAATTAAGCTTAATCGATTCTCTTTTAGACATTTAAAGTTAAAAGAAAGGCTGATAAAGTTAAAAAAGCGGAATCTCAAATTTTGCTTCTCAATTTTATTTAAAAAGGGTGCATAATTTGTTTTCAATAAATTAAATAAAATTAAATATTATATTTCATTAGGTTTAAATTTTTAGGACAACGCCAGCCACTCGAATTTCAAAATTATATTTTACCAAAGATCTCACCTCAAATCGACGAGAAACCCTTGGCTCATCAACTTCTTTAATTTTTAAATTGAAACGCAAATTTAAAATTTGAATTAAATTCAAAATTAAAAGCTTTGGCCTCAAGATAAATAGAGAATTTAAATGCAAAACCATAATGAGTGATCTTAAAACTATATTTAAACTGAAATTGCAAAAATTTATAAATTTTATGAAAAATTATTTTCAGCTGTTTTTTAAGTTCTAATTGTATTTTAAGCATAGGAAATAAATTTTATAGATCCATTTCTTAGTTCTGCATCAAAATCTCAAATTTTTTGCTGCACAATCTTATCGTATCTTAAACTGGCATTTTGTGAGTTTCATTTTTATATAAATATTTTGCTTCGAAATTGAGGTATCTATACAAGTGATTCCTTTGTAATCTAAATAAATTCTCTTTCTAGCATTAAGAAAATAGCGCAATTCCATATTGCGATAATTAAAAACCATAATTTCTCTATATATTCGTTTTATTATAATTCAAACAATGGAAAACATATCAAGAGAGTGCTTAGAGTCAACTGTTCTCTACTGCTGTTATTATTTAAACTGTAACAATACATATACGACGAAGTTCAATCTGAGGCATCACATAGAGTCCATACATTTAAAGGTCAAAAAGTTCGAATGTGAAATATGCAAAAAAAATCTATCAAGCAGGCAGAATCTTAGAGAACACATGAATATTCATAATGATGTTAAACCATTCGTATGTAATCATTGTGGAAAAGCGTATAGACAAACAAGCCAACTAACGCTCCATAAAAGGGTTCACATTAAAGATGGAAATAAAGCATGCAGGTCCAATGATATCGCCTTTTGATAGTGTGCATTTCAACAAAGATTTTGGTAGAAAATTTTAAATAGTTTGCCCATTGGCCGAAATTTAACTTTTTTAGGCCAAATGTCTCACTATCAAAAGTGATTTGAACAAATTTTTTCTTACTCCTCCCCCCCTCCGTGAGTGAACAAAACCATTAGAAAAATCCCTATTTTTTGCCCAAAAACCCACCCTACGTGAGTGAACAAAAATTTTTGTTAATAGAAAAAATTTTTATGGGAAACAATTTTGATATATATAAGTGATAATTATTATAATGAAATCTCGAGCTAATTCTGTTTAATTTTAAACAAATTGCGTTTTAAAACATAAAATTTTACAAATTTAACTTAATATTTGCTTTCCAATTTTCGAGAAGTGAGATTTTTTAAATTTAGAAAAAAAAAAATTTATAAAAAATTATATATAAATTGTTTTAAAAAAAAAAAAATTAACCCCCCTCCGTGAGTGAACAAAATTTTTTTTGTTCACTCACGGAGGAGGGGGAGTTAGAAGATGTCGCACTAGCAAAATTTCACAGTCATTTGGCATGGGGCCAGAAATAATATAGCCGTTGAGGCAGCAGAAAATGCTCATGTGCAAATACCTCAGCCTATAATAAAAGATTTTGAAAAGATATGTTGGGAAGAATTACAAAAAAATCAGCCACAGTTGCCAGTTATTCAAAGCAGTCAAGATCAAGAGATAAACTTGCCAGCTTTTAATAGCGTCCTCAAGAAGTGTAAAAAAGGATTTTATATCTAATTTAAAGCTTCACTCAAAATGGTTATGCTGACATTTTTAAAATGGTGGCTTCTGTAAGTTTTAAGATAAGATTTGAGAGTTTTGAGGATGCTTTACAGTTTGAGTTCATTTTATAACCAATTTTTGAAATTTTTGTTAAAAAATCATTTATTATAAGGTTGTTAGATTAAATTAGATAAAGATGGGTTTCAAAATTGGAAAATTTTTTGAAATTTAAAAAGGAAAAGCATATTTTTATAATGAGGTTGAAAAAAAGTGACAAGTTGCTTGTAAAAGATAATGAGATGAAAAAGCTTTTTTTAACAAAAAGGCTTTAAAATATAAAATATAGCTAAGGATGCTAATAATCAATTCAATAATAATAATAATATTCTTAATTTGATATATATTCCTATATTCAGATTCAATTTTCTTGAATTGATTAATTTTTGGGAAAATTATCTAGCAAATAACTCTGTTACTAGACTTTTGCATAATAGCAAAAAAGTCTTGTATATCTTATATTTACTCAGAGGCTGAATGCCTCAGTAGCTTTTGCTGCATTTAAATATCTGGTTGGAACCCAAGCTTTTATATTCTTATTCCCTTCATCGCTGAAGTTCTTCAAATATTGTAATGGCTCTTCTCTCGCTCGATTATTTTCTTTATCATGACTAGTCGGGCAGAAGTGTGGTTTTGGCATCAGAACTGAAATGATTTTTACTGTAAGGTCGACTTGGAGTGATTACATCCTAAGTGATCAGCAACCTTAATTTATTGATTTTTGCACATACTTAATCCAATCTCTCATATAAATGAGGCTAATCAAAATAAATAATAAAAATATGCAAGATCTAGGCATGATATTCTTGGTTTGGTTTTCCATTCCACTATCACTCCTCATAAATTCCCTTCTCCTCTTTCCTTTCCCTAGGTTTCTCAAGCTTTACATACAAAGACTCAATCCTCAAATTTTCACAGGATTTTTCATTGCATCACTTGTGGTATTTACTATTTACGCAGCATTTTTCTATCTAGAAGAAGATCATATTGTCGGAGAAACTGTTGCAATCAGACTTGAAGCAAAAGCTAGAGAATGGAGAAAAGGTCGCAATTTTTATTCATCTTTTTTCAATTTTGTGAATTGGGCTGTGGTGTATGGGACATTGCGTCTTCGTAAAAAAATTGAAGCTATAAACGCCAAAAACAATTATTATTGAATAATTATTTTGCATAGGACTTTTCCTTACTCCACCCCGTGATCAATCAAAAATCTTGTTCGCTCACGGAGGGGGTTTAAATTTGTTTTATATATAAAATTTTATAGAAATTTTTTTTTTTTTTCGAAATTTAAAAAAAATCCTAATTCGCAAAAATTAGAAAGCAAATATCAATTAAATTTGTAAAATTTATGTTTAAAATGCAATTTGTTTAAATTAAACAGAATTAGCTCGAGATTTCATTATACTAATTATCACTTATATATCAAAATTTTTTCCATAAAAAATTCTTCTATTAAAAAAAATTTTGTTCGCTCACAGAGGGTGGGTTTTTGGGCGAAATAGGGGTTTTTCTAATGGTTTTATTCGCTCACGGAGGTGGAGTTAGAAATTATTTTTTTTACTAAAAAAAGCCCTATTTTTTACTGCAAAAAATATTTTTTAATATATAAAAAATATTTAAAAAAAAAAACCCCTGGTATAAAATTCTTAAATAATCCACATAATCACTAATTAGCTTTCTCCCATATTCATGGGGAAACAAATATGAAGATCCTTTTAGGAGTTCTAGTGCTCTCCTTAGCTTCTGCTATTCAAGTTGTCCCAATTCCAAAATATTATGACGGCTATTACCTTGGTCCAGCACGGGTGCAGGTCGAATGACTTTGCTTTTTGATAGTTTCCATTTCACCGAAAAATTTTTGACCGAAAAAAACCGTTAATTTCGGCCAAATGTATTTCGATGAAATGTACACTGTCAAAAATCCACAGTCATTTGACATGGAGCCGTCCAGCACATAGCAATTACACCTTAGAAACATTTATTGACCTATTGTGTCCTAAATCTGCCGCAGCCTTCCCAGCCTTAATTCAGTATTACACTCAGAACCAGCACTGGCTCGAGCTAATAATCCACCAGTCTCCAATGTCTTACAACACTTTCTCATTCCCTGTCTCGCAGGCTGGAAAATTTGTTTTAGAAAAGAAATCCGAAAGATACCTTGACTGGGTTTACTATTGGTTCCAGCACCAACAATCCTTTACTAATAACACTGCCAGCTACGATTTTTATACTGCAAATAATAAAATTGCGCAATTTACCTCACAATCAACAGGGCTACCAATAAATCAAGTTACTCAGGCCTTGTCGAACCAAGACTTTAATACCAAAGCAAGAGTTTCATGGAAATTCGGAGCTTCGAGAAACATTCCTGGCACTCCAAGCTATTTGTTGAACGGCGTATGGGTCCCTGATGCTTATAATATTACGACTGTTGCCGGATGGACCAGTTTCTTCCAAGCCATAAGCAGTGGGAATTAAGCTAAACTCTTTTGATAGTTAAATTTAAAAATTAAAAGGGAAATCGGAGCTTGGTTTTTTACTTGATTTTACCATAATTTATGAGAATGATTAGCTTAACGCTTATTCACTTACTGTCTGAGTGTTATTTCCAACCCAGACGTGGAAGATATCAGACCTCTTTATGTGCCCATGGCTGTCTTCTGCTTCAATATAGTAATCCAGAAGCACATTTTGGTAACCTTTGACGTAAACCCAGTACTCGTCAGCAATAACAATAGGAAGTTCTTGGAGATTTCCAAAGCAGCTTCCACTCCAGTTATATGGGTTTCCAGGCGGGAAGTCTCTTTCAGTCATATCTAGTACAGTCCAGTCACTGACGTAGTTGTTATCACATCTATAGATGTCGTTGTAGTTCTCAGAGGTTGGGTTAATTCCGTCGTTGTCCGTCCTGACGAATAATTGTACTCTCTTTAGCCCACTAACATCATACACAAAGGTGTATACATAAAAATCAGTTGGCTGTTTCACATATTGATATTTAGAAAGCACACCCATCTGATATCCACCTGGATTATAAGGCATCCTATAAGGTCTCCAAATAGTTGGCGAAGCCGAGTCACTCGGAGTTGTCCCAATTGCTTGCGAAATATAATTATATGCAATATTGCACCCTACTGTAGTTTTCAAGCACATATCAAGAGTGTTAGTCCCATAATACACAAACCCAGAATTCAGTGACGCCAGCATAAAGTGATACCCAAGTTCTGCTGGTGTAGCTGAATTATCAGGATTTTGTACTTGGCTTGGTCTTGATTTCCCATATACCAATTCTGCAGTATCGACCCAATTCTGCGTTGCAGTCGCTATTGCATAAGTTCTTTGCTTATCAGACCATCCATTAGGAATATCAAAAGTCCCATTAGCAGAAAACAAAGGCCAGTTCCAGTTTACAAAGGTTGGGTCTCCAAAATCCCCGTCTGCATTGATCCAAGCTCCATCTTCGACATGGACAATATCATTTGCATCAATAGGATAATCGTGCAAATACTGACTAATGGTGGTAGGCTCATAGCCTGAATTAAGGCATTGGTTTACTAGGTTAGGGACACATTCTTGATAATAGCTGTAGCCACCTCCAAAGGCGTTATCTCCATCATGGGCTAGGACTATAAAAATTGGCTTGTCACCAGTCCCTGCAATCTTGTTCATTTCATTGGTAGAGTAACAGGCATAGCCGTCTTGCCAGGACATAGCTTGGTCACTGGGGACTACAATAATTTTATATTCCTGCTCAGTATCTGGGTCGACAAATTTGGCATAATGTGGGACATAGGAATAAGGGTAACAATTGGTAGGGGAGCAGCCTCTAGATACACTCATGGTGAACCATTTATCTTGGGCTGGGTTTACTTGGTCTGCCTGGTTTGGCGGAGTGTTATTATCCCCACTTTTACTTCTCCTCAGCGAGTGAACAAAAAAATTTTGTTTGCTCATGGAATGGGTTAATTTGTTTTTTAAAAAAAAAATTTAATATGAAGGATTGTCATATATACTCTATAATAAAATTAATTTTTTTCGAAATTAAAAAATCTATTTTGAAAAAATTGGATAGTCAAGATTAATTTTAATTTGTATTTAAAATAAAATTAAACAGATTTTTCATTATAATTATATCAAATTATTTTTTATACAACATTTTTATTAACAAAAATTTGTTTCTCAGTCTTAGAGGGTTGTTTTTGAGGGATTTTTCCAATAATTTTGTTCTCTCTGGAGAGAAGTTAGAATAAGGGTAATTTTTAACAGCTCTAGAAATATGTAAATTAGACACAACAACATATTTATAGCCAGCTTTGACAAGACTTGGGATCAAAGTCTCAGAAAACGCCATTTCTGACGGGAAAAAGCCTTCACTTTTAGTGCCCCACCAATTTTGGTTAATTACTTGTTGGATTGCTACTTCCATTTCAAAGCCGTTTCTATCAGTTAGCGGTGCTAAAGTATGATGGTAAGGGAAACCAATGATGTCAAGCCTTGGGAAGCCTGAGAGAGTGGTTTGTTTGCTGGCTTGTTGATAGGCGGTCTGCCAATTTTGATAGTAGCCTAAGTAATAATTTTGGGCGAGAGATTGAACATTTTCAACCAGCTCTCCAGGGTAAGTTAGCTGAGCCCCAAATTTTGGAGCGCTTGACTGGGAGACAGTATTTAAAGAATCTTTAGCACGGTATTGATAAATCGCTTTACGGTCGTCAGAGCCAAAAATGTCTTCTAAATTGTTCTGAGGGTGGCCGTTCTGTTGGTTCTTCAACTGAATCGACTCCATGGCGAATTGGTAGGTACGAGAGTAGATACGGCTTTGGGCTGGCCAATAGATCGGCTGATCTAGATGCCACAAGTAAGTCATTGCAAGGGGAGGGTAGGCGTTTACAAAGGCAGCAAGGCTGAGAGCCAATAAAATAAACATTATTTTATTCGACAAAAATAAGGTGTAAAATTATCAGCAATAATTAAAAATCTAGCAAAAATTTATATAGGTATTATAAGGGTATGGCCTCTGCTAACTTAATAGAGACTGTTGCATGTGTTAAGTCTATTAAAGATATTATTTAGCAGATTGGGATTTTTAAGATGGCATTTTTATGTATTATTATAATTTTAACTTTAAATTCCATTGGCATAATTAAAAAACGCTTACTCTTTTTTGGTTGGAATAAAATATTGGTAAAATTCTTATTTGAACTAGGTCTTTTTAGACTGTTTTCAGGCCACAATCAGTCTGCAATGCTCAGCTGGATAAAAATTGGTTGAAATGAGTTATACAAGTTTATTAGTGCATTAAAAGGCCTAACAGCTTATAATTTTATATTCAATTTTTAATAAATTTAACAAATTTTTTGGGTTCCAAATTAAAGGGGAAAGCTATCTTTTTCAGTGCAAAATGACATCACACCATTTTCGAAAATTAAAAAGCAACCTCTTATGCATTTTTTTATAAAATTTAATTTTAATATTAAATTTCTTGAAATTACATCAATTTTACGCAATAAGCTGCTTTAGTCTTTTTCTTTTTCTTCTGATTTTTGAAAAAATATTATTCTCTATCGCCATTCTATGCGGAGGAAGTTTTGACATCTTAAAATCTGAGCCTATATCAAAGGTCGAATTATGATTATCTCAGCCTTCAATTTTTGAATCAATTTCACATGAATTGTCACTTTCTTCTAACTCCTCCTCAGTGAAAAAACAAAATCATTGAAAAAATACTTATTATTTGGGGATAAACCCGAAAACTTTTTTTCTTGCCCATAGAGAGGTAAAAGAAAAGAACTTTCTGCTATTTTAGTATTTTTTCTTGAGAAATTGTCGTATTTTTTACGCAAAAGTTTGGTATTTGGCCGAGAAAAACTATATGGTACATAAGGATTTTGCTTTTCCTCTATATCATCTGCTGATGTATTCAGTGATTGTGACTGTCCCAAATTAGAATAATTTTTTTCTTTTTTTATCTTTAAATTCGCTAAATAGCTGTCTGATCTTTGTAAATGATATATAGGCTTAATTGGTTCAGGAAATGATGTACAATTAATTATTTCTTTATGTTTTTTTAGTTTTGGTCTATTAAAAGTAGCCTCAAACTGAGGAATAAATGATAGCGTTAGAAATGCTTTAGGCAGCAAATTTGATTCAGACGTATTATATCTTATACCGCTAGCATAGAAATGGATCGACCTATATTACTTCCTACAATTCTGATTATTTAAAAAATGTCGAAATCAAATTAATATCAAAAAGATGAATTTTTCATAGGTAAAGATGGTTCAAGCCAATCCATATCTCTTCCTATTCTATATCATGCTGTTTTTGTAATTAATAATTGGGGTTTTAAATTTTTCATTCACATCAAACGATTTCAATTGCTGGGGAGTCATATTATCCATTTCCCGGTTTAATTTACAAATAGCGACATTTGGGGTAATTATTTGGCTAAAACTTTTCTTTTGCCGCTTAAAATTCGCGATTTGGGATTTTTCTTCTTCCCATTCCTTTTTTGCATTTGTACATAATTGTTCTAACTCCCTCCCATCATTGATCGAACGGCTCGCAATCGTTCGATCAAGGATGGGGGTTTTAAAAAATTTTATATATAAAAAAAAAATATATATTGTTTTTATATACTTTTAAATAAGATGGTTAAGAGTATTTAATAATTATTTTTACAGCAAAAAATTGAATTAATTTCATAAGAATACCAATTTTTAATATTTTTATTTTTTGGTTACACCCCTTTAAACTGTATAAATTTTAATTGGTTCCTTATTGAATTAAAAACTTTAAATTTTAAAGAATCTCTATTTTATAGATTATTGAGTTTTTAAGCTCAGTTTGCTGACTAAAGCACTTGGATGGTTGATTCCGTAGCTTTCTTGTCGTCTCAAAGCCTCTGATAACAACTTCATTAGGTACATCTTCCCAAGCTTTTGATAACTAATATATTTTTATATATATAAAAATTTTCATGATATGAAAATCGCTCAATCAAGGATGGGTTTAATTTTCACAATTTTTAGGAATTTTACAGTCAATCGTTCGATCAAGGATGGGGGGAGTAAAGATTTGTTTTGGACTTCAAATAAAGGATTTTTTAGGTTTCTCTTCTCAAGGGAAGTGTAAATGTCTTTTATGTAGTTTGCATTGTTTTTAGTTGACCTGGCTTTGTCTAATTTTGGCAAAGTTTGATTCATAGCAGCATTTGTTACCATAATTTTCATGCAGATATAAATAAATTGATAGGAAGTAGGGAAATATCATTTAAATGGGAAATTTAATAAGAAATTTAATAATATGGGAGAAAAGCTTGAACCGATAATAAAATCAGCGATCTCTGCAAATCTTCCAGCAGGGTGAATTTATCATTATTTGCAGCCAATAATAGTCATTTCTACTACGCAGCATCTCCCAAAATTGAGTCTTGTTAGAGCTTTTTATGAAAATTTTGAAAATCAAAACACATTTGTGCATGATGATTACAATTTTTTACTTGTTTTTAAAGGCAGCTCACTTCAGTACTGGAAAAGCTCAAACGAAGCAATTTTAACGACAAAATTATTTTGCAAAGGATTTATTTATACTTTTATGTTGTATTTTAAAATAAATGAAGATTTAACAGAACAAAATACAGCTTTATATAATGATTATGATTTAGCAACAAAAGTCTTGGGTCAAATTTATTTTAAATTAAAAAATACGAAGTTTTAGAATTTAATGGCTCATCTTGCACCTATAATTAAGTTTCCTAAATAGTTTGCTCACTTCAGCTAATTTTTTAGTTTTTGTATGCCTTTCTTCAAAACATCTAAAAAACACTATTCAAAAAAATATAAAATTTTGGTTTTTTCCTATAAAATTAATAAAATAACTCCAGTTGTTTTTTTAAGAAAATAATAATAATTTTATATCAGTAGCGGTGGTAGTATGCTATTTTCTGCGGTAAAAGGTCCTAATGGGATCTTATAATCTTCACATTTATCATCAATGAAAATCTTGATTTTCAACTCCACAAACAGGTCCTCCATTTTGGCCTTATTTGCTCTATGCTTTTTCCTGTGAACTGACAATTGACTAATTTGACGATATCTTTTTTTGCATCCTCTCGCCTTGCACGCATAAGGCTTTTCTCCTGTGTGGACGTACATGTGATCTTGCAGGTTCTGGGCCGATGATAATTTTCTATCGCACTCATCACATTCAAATCTAACCCCAACGTGGCAGACTTTGACGTGACGATTTAAGTTAAATTTAGTGCTGTATCGATGATCGCAGCCAGGGTAGCTGCATCTGAACTCTTCCATAGTTTAATTACACAAAAAGAGAAGTTGACTTAAAATATGCCATACTGGCATTATGGACATAAATCTGTTGTCAGCATTTTTAAAGTAAAAATTATAGGCTAATTAATTGGAATATAAGGATCCCAACAGAAATTTAACTAGAATAGTATTCAAGAAGTATAAAACGAGAAATATATAAAAAATTCTGAATAAATAATTTAGTGAGTATAGTTAATGCATTTAGGAGCTGATTTCCTAGAGGATTACTATAAAGCTTATCTTATATTAACCTCTTTGTCCTTATAGTGATTTTGTTATGGTTAAATTCTAGTTGCTGGCTAAATATTCATTAACTCCCCCCCCATCCTTGATCGAACGATTGACTGTAAAAATTCCTAAAAATTGGGAAAATTAACCCCCATCCTTGATCGAACGATTTTCATATCATGCAGCTTTTATATATATAAAAATATATTTAGTTATCAAAAGCTTGGGAAGATGCACCTGATGAAGTTGTTTTCGGGGACTTTGAGACGACAGAAAGCTTCGAAATCAACTATCCGAAGTGATTTAGTCATCAATCTAGGCTTAAAAAATTAATAATCTAATAAAATAGAGATTCTTTAAAATTTTAAAAAACAAATTAATTTAATAAGGAACAAATTAAAATTTATACAGTTTAAAGGGGTAACTAATAAATCAAAATATTAAAAATTTGGTATTTTTATGAAATTAATTCAATTTTTTGCTCTAAAAATAATTATTAAATACCCTTAACCCTCTTACTTAAAAGTAAATAAAAAAAAATATATATATATTTTTTATTTTATATATATAAAATTTTTTCCCAAAAAAAATTTTTTTTAACCCCCATCCTTGATCGAACGACGGCGAGTCGTTCGATCAAGGCTGGGGGGGGAGTAAGGATTTTTATTTGTTTGAATTTAAGTCTACCTCTATTGATTGCTAAAATTAATAAATTGGGTTTTAACTATAAATTTTTTATCATGAGATTTTTTTGGTTATGGGATAATTTTGATCCCGTTTTAATTAATTATGTATTTTATAATGGTTTGTCTTGACTTAAGAAAATTTATAAAAATCGTAATCTGTATAATTTTATTGAAAATCGAAATACTATAGACATTTTATACAGAAAATCATGTAAAGAAATACTTAGTCTATAATACCATGCTCTGTTTTGAATTCGCTTAATTCCCTCTTCTTTTCCAAAAGCTGATTCTCCAAAAAGGCTTCTTTGATTCTTAATTCACAAATTTTTGCCCACGCTTTATCATTTTCAATTGAGAAATTTTTGTTGTTATCCTTCACATCATAAACTTTAGCTAAAACAATATCATCACTCCATATTCTTATAGCTCGTGACACAATAAGGAATTATTCTTTAAAAGATAAGCTTGAATAAGGACCCTAAAGGTAAATATTATATTTTATCTAAAAAATGGATAGTTTATTAGGAATTATCATTTTGTTCATCTTTAACTTCATTTGTAGTTAAGCTGACTTTCTCATTATTTGTATCAAAATTTCTTTTAATTCTGTTTACTCGAATTTGGTTTTTCATTCATTCTGCTTCTTCTAATGTCATGCGATTTCTCAATAAATAAAAGTGATTCTTTATTGAGGTTGGAGCTCTATTTTTTAACTGAGAAGCAATAAAGACCCATTTCGCCCCATGCTCTATGTAGAGGTGAAGTAATAAGAAGTCTTCGTCAATTGACCATCTGTTTTTATAGAATTTTACATTAAATTTGGAGGGTTTGGCTTGAAGCATAGGCTATTGTATTTAAAAAAAATAGTTAAAATAAATTTTTATTTGTGAAAAAAATATTTTGATGAGGCTTATTTGTTTTTGTACAGGAACTTATTGATTCTTTGAGATCAATATGTGAGGATTGAAGATTGGAGAACGAATTCATAGGGAAATTTATATTTTCGTCAGAGAAAATCTTTTGGCGTTGGTCATGGTCTAAATATGAATCGGCTTCCGAACGGCTTCTTTTCATCATCCTTAATTAAATTACACCATGATTTTAGTAATTCGGCCTAATATTGATCATATAATAGCTTTCGGAATCTCAAGACTCCCAGCTATTGATTTAAATTAATAGTGAAAAGAATAGATAAATATTTTTAATGGATAGTAATTTCATGATCTCAATTACTTAGAAAATAATTTGAATTATATTAGAAAAGTTTACCCGATTTATCTGAGTATTTTCATTAAATAAATAATTAGATTATTTACTGTATTTTCATTAAGAAAAATCATTAAATTTATAGCTAATAAGATCCCATTCAAAAATATTATTATTAGAACTAAAAATGGTAAATTCTTAATAAAGCGATATCATTAAAAAGAAGATAATCTATAAAGCTATGCTGGCTAATTTTCAATAATTCTAGTATAAATCAACTACTTATGCACATTTCCACAAATGAATCTAAAGCACTAAGCTTGTCTAGCTTAAATACAATTTTACTCCTCTTGCTCAAAAGCCAAAACCAATGAACTATATTTTAAACATTATTTAATATCGAAGAACCAGATTATAATTTGTGATCCCATACAAGTTTAATTTTAAAAAATTCTCAATTTGCTAATAAGGAAGAAAACTACTAAAAAGCCTTTAATAGCCTCAGCTTGTATATTATTTGCAATTATAAGAGATGAAATCATTAAAAGTAATATTAGCTATAAAACTAGCAAATTGCACTTATTAAAAGTTAGAGCTATAATGGCACATATAGCTTTATAGCCGTTTTTTTATTTGAATAGAAAATGTTTCGATATCTTAAGTAACTGTTTAAAAGCCTATCATATCTCTTTTTTATTGATTATAAATGCTTTGGCATATTAAATAAGATTAAAAATAAACAAAGCGCTTTATTATATTCAAAAATATAAAATTCTTATCCTGAGACTTATCAAACAAATAAATTTACTACTTAACAGAAATTAAATAATATAATGAATTAGCATAATAATCATTTGCATTAAAATTAATTATTATTAGATTCTTGAATTTTTATGACTAAAATTAAATACTAAATATTAATGGATCTTCCAAAAATATTAGAGAATCTTAATGATTATCATCAGATCTCTACCAATAAAAGCATCCCATTTAACTTTGGAGAGGATCTCAAAAATATAATCGCAGAATCCACTTATACTCGCCAAGCCTATAGTCCTGATGTCACATCCAACAATATGATTAAAAGATTGAATAATTTATTACCAAAATCAACAAATAAAGAGCCAGGATTATTCAATTTGTTAGCAAAATACTCAAATGCTTCAAAAATTTATGCGAATATCCCTACAACACTTGTGAGATTTGAGGCTAAAATGTATATGCTGCAAACAAAGAAAGAAAAATACATCCAGTCTCAGGAATGCTCAGAGGAAGAATTTTTTAGAGAAATAAACGATGAGAGTGAATTTCCTATTTTCTGCTATAAAACTGCAGGGAAAAATCCTGTAGCTGTATTTTCAAAGGAAAATGCTTTAGAAATATGAAACTCATCATTTAATTCTGCTGTAATGCAGAGCTATATACAAAGCAAAGCTAATCCAGTTGCTATTACAAGAGTTTTGTGGAGAAGAGGAATGAAAAATAAATATTACACTATTAGTAACCGTAAAAAAGCAGGGAAAAAATTACATAAATCACAAAGCAATTCTTCACATCCTACTATTAGACGTCCACGGCCTAATAAAAGATCCACAGCTTTTCTTAACTCCCCAATGGTAATATCTCAATCACCAGAAGATGAATTAAGTCCTCTACCTGAAGGCCGCAATAATAAAAGAAAACACCTAACTGTCTGCCCATTAAAGTGATTTGGACAATACGGAAAAAAAAGGCAAAATTCTTTAACATCATATAAAAATAAAGACCTAGACTCATGCAGCCCTACCACAAATCGCTATTCCCCTCACTGACAAGAAGAATCAGCCGAGGATTATCTTGTATTAACAAGAAATACAGAAAGCTGCTATGCTTGTAAAAGTTCAGCAGTAATTAATGAAATCGAGGCCATGATTGGCGAAATTGTTGATTTTTTGGATTCTCAGGTGTTCCAGAATAATAAGCTTAAAGGAATAGTTATTGATTTTATAAAAGATAGGAACAATACTTGGTTTTTATTGGACAGCAGAGAGTATTATACGGAGGCTATACTGCAAAAATTGAAAACGAAAAAACCTACTATAAAGATTGACACTTCTAAAAATCCTCTAATTTCCCCAAAAATAGAAGTTCATAAGGACAACCCAAAACTGAGATCAGAATCCGAAAAAAGAACTTTAAAATTCACGGCAGAAGAGCAAAGTCCTTTGCTCGAGAGTCCTCAGTCCTGCCCATTTAAAATAAGAAGCCGCCCTAGAAGAAGTGGGTCTACATCAATGACTGAAAAAGAGCTTCTTGACCGCTTAAATAAAATTAATCAAAAAATAAAGCATCCTTGTGGAATCCGTTCCCCTCGAAGTGCATTTATCATAGGAAAACAAGATGGTATTAATTACTATATCAAGCATTTCACAAGCCAAAAGCCATCAGATTTAGATAATCCTCTATTAAACTCAACTCGACCTTTAAGCGAATCAAGATCTTTTATAGCAACTGATCAGACTCAAACCCCAGACAATGAATTTTGTATTAAAAAATATTTTGCAGAAGCTGTCGAGAATTTTGACCAAATGAAAACCAATGTAAAAATAGCCAGAGTTAAGCAGCAAAGTATAGTCAGGAAATATGGCGGAGCTGAATTTTGGAATAAATTTATTGTGGCTTTATATCAAAAAATTTTGTCATGTGAAATTTTGAATAGGCATTTTAAGGATTCTAAAATAGAAAGCTTTGAAATGATTGTAGTAGGAATGTTTAAAATAATTGAAGGGAATTTAAATTTGGAATTAAGGAGAAGGTTAAGGGCAGCCCATTATGCGAAAGGAATAACAGAGGTAGAGTTTAATTGTTATTGTGATATTTTTGAGGAAACAATAACTGAGTTTAAAATACAAGAAGAAGATAAGCAAGGGGTTATGTCGCAAATAAGACTGATGAAAAGTTTAATATGTCAAACTATTCATTAGTTTTGAATTGTTATTGATAAATCTATATTAAATATAAATTTCTTAGACTATAAGCTAAAATCTAATTTAAAATCATTTTAATTCCTCATTTTGAGCTAATTTTAATTATTTATTCATAATTCTTATACAGTTTATCATTAAGGCAAATTTTTTTTTATTAAAATCGATTTATACCATTTCAGCCAGCAATCACTGAAATAATTTAATCAAAAATTAAAATTTATTTTATATTTTTAATTATAGAAACGTCTCAAATCACAAAATTAATCAATTAAATTTTGAAACGAGGTTATTTAAAATTGTGAGTTTCAAAATAGATTACTTGCTTGCCATTTCTTTGTAAAATGGATATTCCAAGGATACTAGAACACCTCAACGATTTTCACCAGAATCAAAACGATCAAAGCAAAATCCCTGACTTTAGCCTTGAATTAAAGCACTTATTGGCTGAATCAAATAAAATCCTTAGCAGCGTTGGGACTGATGTCAGTTGGAACAGCATGATTAGTAGGATTAATGATCTTCTTCCAAAACCTCCTAATCACAAAGAAATTAATTTTTTTAGCTTGCTGGCGGCATATGCAAATTCAGCTCGACTAAATATAAATATTCCTGCGACCCTTATCCTATAATACCTTAAATGGCCCATTAAGCATAATCTTTATTTAAAATTATATAACATAATAAATAAAAAAAACTTTATTTTTGCATATTTTAAATAAACTATAATGGCAATTTAAAAAAATATTATAAAGAGAAATTTAGAGGCAAAGGCTATATAAAATCAGAATCTTTGCCATCTTTTATGCTAATTAAAGCAAACCAAAATAATTTAATTGAATCAAGAGAATGCACAGAAAATGAATTTTTTAGCTTTACTAATGAAAGTAATAGTGTAGGATATCCATGCTATTGCTATAAAAATTCTAATAAAGAAATCACAGTTGCATTCTCAAAAGAAACAGTTGCAAAATTATGAAAATCAGCCGGCGATAATAGCTTGATACAATTTTTCATACAAAGTAACGCAAATCCTGCCTCAGTTACAAGGGTGTTATGGAGAAAAGGAGAAAAAAACAAATATTTCACTATAATTAACAAAAAACTAGCCACAAAAAAAGAGCTCCATCATCACCATTCTTCAAGCTTGTCAACTAAAAAATCAAAGCATGCTATTTGCAGATATTCTGCTACCCAATGGCCTATAGCAACATCATCTAATCCAATAAAACATTTTCCAATTCGAATGAAAAATGATAAAAATTTGCCAGATCTCCATGCTTCTTGCAAACTAAAGAATAAAGCCCATAAAGATGATATTTTTAAAACTTTTGGAAATGATATTCCCAAATAATATTTATAAAAATTATTTATAGCTATATGAAATATTGAAGCAAATACTTAAAGCTATAGGGATTTCCAATAGATAGCCCTGTAAGGGCTGTGGATTATGGGCGGAGTCCCTTGGTTGGTGAACCAACTAGTGAGCTGGTCCGATTAACGTAGGACTAACTTAAAGATTTGGCCCAGAATCGAAAGCCCTTAAGGGGTATCTAGGGGAAAACCCTATACTTTACAAAATCTGTTAGAAGCTACGATAATTTAGCAGAAGTAAATATAGCTGCACACACAAATAATTTCAAAGAATATATTGTTGACACAAAAAATATCGCCAGCTGCGTTGCGAGTGAAAGTTTTGTAAAAATCGATGACATTGAGCTTATGGTTGAACAAATTGCTGATTTTTTTACTTATCATGTATTTAAAAAAACAGTAAAAGGGCTTGTTCTTGATTTTGTGAAGGATATTAATAATAAATGATTTTTACTGGACTGCCGAGAACATTGAATTGATCAATCAATGCCTTTAGAAAAAACAAAAAGAATTAAACTCCCACTTAAAATATCTGGAATCGATACTTCTGATAGGTCACAAACTACAGAAACCCGCACAAGTGATATTAATCATCCAAATTGCGCAAAAATAATGCTTACTCCCCCCCCCCCCCTCCGTGAGCGAACAAAAAAATTTTGTTCGCTCACGGAGGGGGGTTAATTTTTTTTTTTAAAAAAAATTTTTATATATAAATTTTATAAAAAATATTTTTTTCGAAATTTAAAAAAATCCTAATTTGCAAAAATTGGGAAGCAAATATTAATTTAATTTGCAAAATTTATGTTTTAAAACGCAATTTGTTTAAAATTAAACAGAATTAGCTCTAGATTTCATTATACTAATTATCACTTATATATCAAAATTTTTTTCCATTAAAATTTTTTCTATTAAAAAAATTTTTGTTCACTCACGGAGGGTGGGTTTTTGGTCAAAAAATGGCGATTTTTCTAATGGTTTTTGTTCGCTCACGGAGGGGGGGGGGGGGAGTTAGGGTCGACAGGCTAAATTTAGCGAAAAAAAGAAAAGAAAGCATCAAAATGAAAAATATTTATGAAAAATTCAAACAAATGAACGAAAAAATCGACTGTTTAAATACACAAAAAAGCACGAAAAATCAAGATATAAATGTTGAATTTTCTCCTATAATTCAGGATGAAGCAGCTTGTTTAAAAACCTGCAAAAACTTTGTCCCGATATTAGATTTAACCCCAATATCTACATCTCGCTCAAAAAACCGTGACCAAAGTCCTTCTAACGACCCATTTATTTGTACAAAAATGAGATATTTTTCAGAAGCTGCAGAACAAAATGAAGAGCTAAAGCAAAGTGTCAATAAAATTAAAAAGAAAAGAGAAAGCTTGATGAATAAATACGGAGGGGAGGGTTTTTGGAGTAAATTTATTATTTCGCTTTATAATAAAGTTCTAGGCTGCGAAATTTTGAATAAATATTTTAAAGACTCAAAAATTGAGAGCTTTCAGGGGATTGTGAAAGGGATGTTTAGGATTTTTAGTGGAAATTTGAATTTGGAGCTAAGAGGAAGATTGAGGACAGCGCATCATAATTATGGAATTAATGAGAGAGAATTCAATTGCTATGCTGAAATGTTTTACTTGACGCTATCTGAGTTTCAGGTAAGTCAAGATGACATTCAAGGGATTATGTCACAGTTAGGAGCTATGAAAAGTCTTATATGCAAAGAAATATAGTGTCTATAAGTTAAAGATATATAAATAAATTAAATCACAAAGTGAATTTATATGAATTTTATAATTAGCAAGACTTTGAAGTTTTAATATCTTAACGCATAGCTTCATTTAGGTTTGCCATTTTAAATATAATACTTTATTGAAATAATGTTAATTTCGCTTAATAATTTAAAGCATTTAAGAAATAATATGAAGTTTTATTCATATACTTGTAACTATTTTGGATTATCTTATTATTAGATAAATTTATAGGAAAACCTATTTATTTTCGATATAAAAATAATTCTTCCCTCCATTAGCGAGCAAAAATTAAATATATTTTGCATAGAATATTTTTTGGTATATTAATAATAAAATTTCAAACAAATTCTAATAAATTTTAACAGTTTGCATTTTGAAACATATAGGCTTAAAATTACTTTCAAACCTCAGCAAATTGAGTTCAAAAAAAAATCACATATAAATATTTTTATAATATTTAAATCCTCGAAACCAGCAAGGGAGGTAAGAGCTAATAATTACATTTTTTATAAAAAAATTGTCATTGATAATATTATCTCTTTCCAGAAAGAAGACCTATTGCATATAAAAATTAAAAATAAATGCATAGTTAGTATAATAGCAGTTATTGCTTATCATTATTTTAGGTTTAAAGCACGTTTAATACTTCAACATGAATTCTGATCAAAATAAAATATACTCTCCAATATAAAAAGTTTATATTAATAAAATATTTCCGCAATAAATATATAAAGCTATTGATTCCCTATTTATCTGTTTTTGCATATTAATATTATTATGAATTCAATATTTGAATTAATGGATTCAAATTCTTGTGGTACCGATCATTTTTGGGCTCCTTATATTTCTTCTAACGAGCCCACTTTTTTTGAAGGTAGCCTCTTTGACCTTAAATCCGGATTATTTCAGGAAAAATTTTATACTGTTATAGGAAAATCTCTTGTAAGGTGAACCAGCTCAAAGCAAAAGGCAAAAATGGCTAAGCTAGAATGGAAGCCCTTAAACCCTTTCATTGACGAAAACCAAGATGAAAAACTGTATGGTTTTTCCCTTGGGCATAAAAACTCATCGAAAGATTTTTATGTAAAATCTAGCAGTGAGCTAGACAAATGGGTTGACTGCTTATCTAGTATTTGCATTATGTCTGATATTGAAGACGACTATCAGATCAGCCAGCAAATTGGCAGTGGGAATTCTTCAGTTGTCCATTTAGGTGTAAGGATTCAAGACTCTAAAAAATTTGCGATTAAAAAAGTCAGTAAAAAGAAAATCCAAAAGAGCAAAATTAACTTAGAAAATTTGATAAATGAAATTAAGATAATGAGAAAGCTGAATCATCCAAATATCATTAAGCTTCATAGAGTCTATGAGAGCCCACATAACATTTACCTAGTTTTAGACTACGTAAAAGGTGGAGATTTGTATTCAAGAATTCTTGAAAAAGGATCGTTACCTGAGTCCACAGTTATCAAATTTTCCAAGAAGTTATTAAAAGTCCTTAGTTATACCCAATCATGCGGCGTTGTGCATAGAGATATCAAGCCAGAAAACATTCTTATGATATCTAAAAACAATGATTATAATTTTAAGCTAGCTGATTTTGGCCTAGCTGCCGAAGTCACTAATGAAAATTTGACCTTAAGATGTGGATCCCCTGGATATATAGCCCCAGAAATTTTAAGAAAATGCTCATATGGGGTAGAAGCCGATGTATTTTCAGCTGGCATTATACTTTATGTATTACTGTCTGGGCATATGCCATTTTTCAGCAAATCCGCTGAAGGAGTGCTTTTAAGGAATAGGGACTGTTTGATAAGTTATCGTGATGAGGTTTGGAAGAAAATTTCTAAAAATGCCATAAATTTAATACAAAACTTAACAGATACTCAGCCTAATAAAAGATTAACACCAAAAAAAGCCTTAGATCATCCTTGGCTTTCTACTTTATGCAAAGCAAAAAGAAGCTCTACAGCAAAAAATAGCGACAGAGAGATAGAAGAAGTAAACCATAGGAGCCAAAGCTTAATGGGTGATTCTGATATTTTGCAAGCCAGGAAAACTATTATTTTATCAACAAATTTTGCACCTATGAAAAATCCAAGAAAAATAATAAATGTAGTTAAAGCAAATGTAAATATCTGTGATAATTAATGTAATATTTGACTATAAAAAAGTATTTAAATTTAAAAATTTCAGTTATTATTTTATATTTATACAAGTAATCTCGCCCAGTCATGCAACCCTTGCATCATAGAATTTCTAGGCACTTGGTTAGGGTCTGCTAGTAATAGTAACATCTCCTGGAATCTCAAAGCTAAAATATTTGTTTTATTCATTGGAAGTCATATGCTTTGTAATGAATCCTTTTCAAGCCCTAATAAATCAGATGCAATTGCAGCCAAAACAGAAATCGCCTCAATTAATTCTTCATTAGGTGGCTCATCTCTATGCACAATTCTTTGGAAATTTTTCCTTGGGAATACAAATGACGTTTGCTGCTTATATTTTTTCTGATTAATTTTACATAATAAAAAAATCATAAAATCCTGTTTTTCCCCTACAAATTATAAATTGCTTTATTTATTTCCTAGTGTACTCAGTCTATTTAGTTTAGATTCATCAAACGGATATTTTCTCTTCAAGGTTTGGCTGACTAAAATTCTTGGGGCTTTCTCTATTGCTGATAAATCTGTATTTAAAGAACTTGCTGCTGAAGTTATACAATCTCCACGTTTTCTGACTCCCTTCGTCCCAATGTAGATTGGGGGTTGGTTTTACCAACTTTTGTTGAAACCAACCCTTCAATTGGCAAATCTGCATTATCAGATAAATTTTCAACTGAAGAGTTGGTTTTACCAACTTTTTATTATTAAACCAAACCCTAATTATCTCAGGAAACATTGGGACGAAGGGACTCAGATAGCCTGAAAACGCTATATTGACACACTTTCCACTCTTTTATTTTTACTAGCCCTTTGATGAGCAATTACAGAATGCAGCATTGTCAAATGCAAAAAAGGGATATTACCAGTCGCTTCAGAAAATTTCTTCATTTCAGATTCTAAATAAGAATCAAGAAGCGGCTTTAATGTGGTTTGAAAAGTTCTGAATGAGCTTATAGGCAGCTTTTCATTAAGCCTATGTCCAAATTGCTGCACAAATAGCTGAATCATGGACTCTGCGAGTCCGCAGCCTTCTTCTTTAGTAGTTGTGCCTTTTCCGAAAACTATTGTGATAGCGAGAGGCTTGCCTCTCGCCTTTGCGAAGCAGAAAAGCTCTTCAGATTCAATAGATCGCAACTCAAAATCAGTCGTGATTAATAGTGAATAGCTTTCAAAAGCCAGCCTATGCTCATCTGCAGTTTCTGTGTTGTAGTCTTTGAAGTAGATTACGTGAGCTGATTCGGTGTGAAAAAATAAAAATCTTTTCATAAAATTTTATTTATCATTACAGTTATAATTTATTAGTTTATATTTAAGTATTTTAATGAAAAAAATTTTTTTGCTATGTTTTGGGTGGCTCCATGTCAAATGACTGCGGAAATTGATTGTGCAACATCTCATAGGGAAACTTTGTTCGAATCATTTTTGATAGTCAGACATTTGACCGAAAAAAACCGTCAAATTTCGGCCAAATGGATACACTATTTAAAAATTTTCGACCAAAAGTACTTCGGTGAAATGGATACTATCAAAAAGGTAAAGTCATTTGACCTGCACCTTTTTTTTTTGGGTATTTGTGTATAATTAATTCTTAAATTAAAAGAAAGAAAGCTTTGAAAATTCGAATAAAAATAAAATTATCTAGTCTTAAACTCGATGAGTTATGACTGTTTTATAGTCCTCCACCTTAAAATTTCCGAAGAAATGCTCAAAAAGAGTCTTTTTTCTTCGGATTTGTAAGCCCATGTCTTCTAAAAATGCGTCATGAAAAAGGAGTCCATTTGTAAGGACACTAAGGTTGGAGACAGCATAATAATGAGATCTTGTAATTTTTTTACGATTTTCTATATCAGCTCTCATTTCTGAAACACTTGGGAGTTTAACTTTTCCTCTTAATCCCCCTCTATGAGCGAATAAAAGAATTTCTTAACTAATGTTTTTAAAAATTTATATATAAAATTTAAGTAGTTTTTTTTTAAAAATTTAAAAAATCCCCATTTCGAAATAATTTTAAAGCAAATACTAATTAAATTTGTTTTAAAATGCAAGTTGCTTAAAATTAAACAGAATTAGCTAGGGATTTAATTATCACTTATATATTATTTTTCTTTTATATTAAAATTTTTTTTTCACTTATGTAGGGTGGTTTTACCCAAAAAAATTAGATTTTCCCATAGGTTTGTCCGCTCATGGAGTGGAGTTAGCATTTCTGCAAGTCAACAAGCCTGTATCGAACATCCAAGTGACCAAGCAGGAGCTCTCGTAAAGCCTACAAATGCTAAGTTCTTCTTTTCAGGGATAATCGTATGTCTATACATCCATATCCCATCTTTTTCTTGCTCAATTCCCAAGTAATCAAATTTAAAACCAGTAGCAAAAACTACTAAATCCGCTTTATAAAATTTTCCATTGATCATTACTCCGTCGGGTTTCATTTCATCAATGGAGCCTTTTACAAGCTTAATTTCACTTGAAATAAACTTTTTTACAACTTCTTTTTTACTCGAAGAAATTCCTCTGGTTTTCGCATAATCCATCGTTGGATAAAGCCTTTCAGGGATATCTTCTTTTAACTTTTTTTCAATTAAATTATAATACCAATTGACAAGTGGCCTACAATAATTGTAAATCCAAAATCTATTGTCAGTTGGGAGCATAAAATACGTTCCTAGCCTTGTATAAAGCCAATGGGACATATCGATCCCAAAGATGGACTTTTGAGATAAAGGCTGAGGTCAATGGATGCTTCTTTGGACGCTCATCACCTTTGCATCATAGTTTTGAGCGATTTCTAGTATATCATAAGCACTTTTTTGGCCTCCTACCACAATAACGTGTTTATCTTGACACAAATTTTGGGCATTTTTAAATTGGCTACTATGGAGAATTTTTCCTTGAAAATTATTTTCTCCTTTTACTTCTGGAATGTTTGGCTTATAATTTACCCCCGTGCAAACTATAAGAAAATCATATGATTTTTTAATTCCGCTGTCTAAATGAACATTCCAAGAACCGTCTTGGTTTTGGTCAATTGCTGAGACTCGGGAATTAAGGGTCAGCAAATGGTCTAGATTGAACTTCTGAATAATACTTTGGCTTATTCAGTTTTTAAGATAATCACATTTAGGAAGTTCTGGAGCGTTTTCTATTGGGTCATCAGGCAAATAGTAAAAACTAAACAGAAATTGGAGACCTGATTGATCATAATTTTCGGTCCAAATTCCACCTGGCTGGGACTGCTGATCAAGGATTTCAATGTCATATCCTTGAGTATTTAATATTTTGGCTGTTATCAGGCCTGAAAGTCCTGCGCCTATTATTCCGATTTTTTGAGGGACTTTAGTAATAAAATGCTTGTTGGGGTGGTCTTTATAAGGGAGCTTTGGAAGCTCTTGATAGGGTAGACCAGCAGGATTAGGCAGTGGAAGTGGCCGTTTCAAATAAAGCCAAGCAGTCGAACAGCTTACTAAGCCAATAAGAAGAACTCTTTTCGCCATATTATTAAATTTTCACCATATGTTTTAGTTTAAACTTAGGGCAATAATATTGAAAGAAGAATATGCTGCACATAAAAATCAATAATTATTTTATTATTAAATATTTAAAAATATATAATTAATCTCAGACGGGTTCTAATGATTGATTTTAAAAATTGTTTTATAGGGGACTATTAAATCTGCATGAAATGAACACAAATAAATGGAGAATAACTGGCCCGTCCTCTCCCGGACTTTCCAGAGCTTCGAAACCTTGCAGCGATCTATAGCTAAGCCAAGCAGAAAATGGAGTCTACAGGTTCTGAATATTTGTGTTTCGGTTGGGTTTTGCCTCCCTCATTCGGCAATGAGGACTTAGTGTCTTCCTCGTGGATATATGGGAAAAGGATTTTTACCCCTGCAAGCCACTAGTGCTGACGACGAAGACATAATTGATACCGATAACAACTAAAGATGTTATCCCTGGCTGGGACTCCAGCCACTGTAGTAGCAGCCATCAAGTCCTATGCTGCGTATTTCAAGGTTATGAAACAGCATCAAGAACCATGCCGAAAGCCTATCTATAGTGTAAATGCTGGCAAACCCAGGGGGATTAGCCCGCAGCTGAGCGAGCCTTCTCCGAAGGCTTGCCTTAGATGCGGCATAAACAAGGAAAATAATCTCCGATCCTATTCCTAATCTGCATGATATGGAGTTAAGTATAAAATCACTGCCTTTAAAACTGAATAAAATTATCTATAAGTCTTTATCATCATAGCTCTCAAAAATCATCATAATTTTAATAATAAAAATTATAATGGAGCTCATAGAACTATTTTTCAAACATTTTTATTTAAAAATGGATAAGAAGATTAATTTTAAATCTATTTTCAATTCAAATAAATTAAATTTAAAATAATTAATACCACTGTTGCAGGCTTTCAATTTTTATCCTTTATTTGATAGCTTTATATTAAGTGGGTTTTTTTCATTTGTTTCATATATTTATCGGAGGCGTTTCAATTTTTGAATTTTATCATTTAAGAAATAATTTAGCAAAGCTATATATTTTTGGTAATTCTGTTCTCTATTTAAATATTTCTTGCTGATTTTTCCTCTTAAAATAGATTTAATTGTTTACCGAATCTGCTTATAAGAAATATTACAATTCCTGAAGGATACATAGAGCATTTTTTAAAAAAAGCCACAACTCTTATGTTTTTCTTCATAAATTGTATTCTATTTATTATTTCACATCAATTTTTGAGCTGCTAGTTATTTCTATTAAAATATTATAATTTAATAGAATAATAATTATTCTAAAAACTAAATTTTATTCGTTTTCACCATCGTGAGTGTTGCTTCTAGATACTATTCTTGTTACTTTTGTTTTTAGCTCTCCCATATCTTTCTTAATGACAGAAATATTATTTTTGGCCTCTTCAAGCTCTTCAAACTTTTTCTGAATTCTCGCTAAAGCAACCATAAAATATTCTTCATCTTTTGCCATGTCTTCATTATTTTCTAAAGAATTTTTCTTAATAAGTTTTGCCATTTTTGCACCAATTAGCTTAGGGAATTCTTGGAAAAATTTGTTAAAAGAACTAATATCTTTTAGCGCTTCATCACAACAATTTTCTGTAACTTTTACTTGCCTTCTTATCACATTAATTTTCCCTTTTCATTGGTCGCCTTCTCCAGCTTCTCTTTCCAAGCTACATTCTTGTAAATATGCTAACGGCGCCTTATTATTTCTTTTCCAAAACAAAAGGGTTTCACTCTCCAAAATTAGCATTGCGAATTCTTTGGTTTCAGCAATGTCAATGCCTCCTGATACTCTATCATAAGTGTCTCCCATAAGTGAAATAATCAAGCTTAAAAGAACCAAGGTGTTCAGTAATGAAGCCAAAACATACATTAGATCTTGTCAACCAGTATAATTTGCATCAAGATTGAATTCTCCGTATGCAACAACATAAGCTTTTGCTAAATTATCTCCAAAGTTAGGAAGCAGCTCCACATCGTAAAATATGATCCCGAAAACGACAGATGATGTAATAATTACTAAGGTAAATGGGCCCATATCTTTAATGACCTCAAAAATCAGCCTCATCAGAACTCTAGTTTTTTTAAATATTCTGAAATATCCAAAACCTCTTATTCATGTAATCATAATTGACAGAGGAAGTAGTACTCGATTTTTTGCGTAATCATCATCTGATCAATAAGCAACGCCTAAATACGTATAAATCACAACAATTTTTACTATTTCTAAGGCATTCCAAAATATTCGAATATAGTATCTAATAGAGGCTGTAAACAGAAGAGCTTCTCTAAACATAAAAAATGTATTAGCAATAAAGAGAGCGACTTGAAAATAGCCATTTACACTACTTTGAAACACTAGTAAAAGCTGTAAAACAATATTAATAAGATAAAGAATAAATTGCAAAAAAATGATCCAAACAGCTCTTCTTCATTTATACTCAATCATCCCTTTGATTAAATTCGTAGTAAAAATTTCTTCATTTTTACACATAACTAAGGATCTTAAAAATGTAATGCTAGTTTTATTCCCTAATGATAGTGGGATTTTTACTTTAGATAAAAAAAATGCTATGTCTTGTTCATCCCATTGGAATTCGTCATCTTCTTTATCTCATATAATTATATCAATTTTTTTCCCTTTTTGCTTTTGGGCAGTGAGCATAGCTTTTGAGGTTACAAAATTGGCTGGGTCAATTTCATTTGTCAATGTCTTCATAAGAATTGGGGATTTTCCTTTTATTATTCCTCATTCTGGCAAATGTTTCCCAGTCACTTGTGTGTAAGCTTGCTCATAAACTATAGCCAGAGACTCAACTGATGTTTTATTTAACTTTTTCAACATTGGCTCAATATATAAATAAATTTGTGGGCTGTTAATCAGCAAATGTTTTGGAAGATTTTTTATTAGAAATTCAGTGCATTGACGATTCCTTTTATGATGAGCAATTAATAAAGGATGCTCTGAATTGGAATTATCAAAATATTTTGCACCTGACTTTATTGCTTCTAAAAGCAAACTTGCATTTTTTTCATGGCAAAAAATATTAAGGATACTTGTTCTCATAGGATAAAATACATAATCTTTTCAATAACCATCAAAAAACTCAACTTTTTTATCTAAAGCACTTTTTATAAAAAGTAGAAAAAGTATGGAATATTTATAAGGGCACACGTGCATAGGTGTTTGAGTATTAAGAGGATTATTAATTGAATATTCGTTAATTTTTAACAGTTTTGAAATAATTATAAATAAATGCTCTATTTCTTATAAAATTAGGAAATAATATTCCTTAATCTCTACCAACTTTAATTATAAAGTATAAATTTTCCCATCAATCCCTCCTATAAAAATTTCTTTTTTTAACCTCGAAAACGCCATACAAGTAATACTAGACTCAACATGAATATTTGACAGCAAAATTTGGTCTTTAATTGACCAAATACAAACCAGCTTATCTAATCCTCCAGAAATAATAAATTTATTCCCATACGTCATAACTGAATTAACATCCATACTATGGCCTGTCAAAGTAACCACCTCTTTACGCTCATTAAGATTCCATAAAATTACATTATTATCAGCGCTTCCAGTCACAGCATAAATTTCATCATTTGTAATGGCCAAGCTTAAAATACGATCTTTATGAATAACAGGGAAAAGAGTTCCACTCCCAGAGATTATATCCCAGCAGCATAATTTTTTATCCTCACTCCCTGACAATATCATGCTATCATTATTGTATAGAACTAGTGACGTAATACTTGCTTTATGTAAAGACAGCACAATTCGAGAGCTGCTATCGAATCTCGAAAAAACAATATTCCCAGACTGAGAGCCTGACACTAGAAATTTTGAATTGAAAATTATTGAGGATATTGGGGAATCTTGAGCTTCAATTCGTTCTTTTAGCTCATAGTCTTTGCCGATATAAGAATAGATTACGATATGCCCGTTTGAGTAGCCTAAAGCGATTTCGTTATTTTCTAAAGAATGAGCAGAGCAAAGGGCATTTTTTTGAATGTTACTTCTCTTTATAGCTCATCAGTAGTTATATTGCCATAGATAAATTTTTATTTGAATTTGTGAATGGTATCACCTATTAAACTGGCAATTTTAAGCTAAAAATTTTATAATTTCATTATAAATTAATGAAATGGATATTATTCTATGGAGTTGCATATCTTATGATAAAAATAAATTTATATATTTAAAAAAATATTATTACTAATGTAAATTCAAATACAAAAAGTTAAAACTTATTCCTTTTTTATGACTTGAGAGCCTTCATCTTATTATTTCATCTGCAAATACCGACTCTGCATGTTTCTTTTCGACCTGAGAAATGCTCAATATTTTGCTCCCATGGAAATTATTTTCATTTTCATCCACATAAGTTTGATTTAATTTCCAAATTCTCACCCCCACTTTGGACGCACTTACAATGACTGAGTTATCTTGAGCTAAAGCTAGTCCTTTTACATTAATTTCATTACCTGCTAAAAGAGCGGGCTCAATTACACTAGTTGACTGAATATTTCAGACCCTTATAGATTTATCAAGCCCAGAAGAAAATAAAAACTGGCAGTCAGACGTCAACTTTAAACTTAGGATTCTAGAGACATGACCATTAAGTCTGAATTTTTGAGATTTTGCAGGGAAATTCCAGACTATTATAGTACGATCTTCTCCTCCAGAAAATAATAATTTATCATCCTGTGACATTTCTAAGCAGTAAATTGGCTCTTCGTGGTCATCTAACACAGCATTTAAAGCAAGGTCTTTTGTGTTCCATACTTTTATTTCTCTGTCTTTTCCTGCAGATATGAGGTATTTTTTGTTGTGGGTAATTAATAAACAGTTAATCGCGTCTTGATGCTCGTTGATTTCTGACTCCTACTTTAGAGATTAGATTAGATTAACGCTAGGTATTTAAGGTCCCCACTACGTCTGAGGAAGCATTCTACGGTTTCCCGTATGGTGGCAGAGCGTTCACCAAGCCCGGGCCGAAATCCCCGGTTTCTCGGTAGAGGCATTGTCAAGGCCGTCTCATATCGGCTTTGCTGACCGCCTCCATTTCCAACTTGGATCGTCGCCTAAGTTTACGCCAACACACTGCCGCGTCGTCCGCCAGATCTGCCCATTGCAGGGCACCTTTTAAACTGGAGAGATCCCCATTTAGTTGTCTAACTCACCTTCCCTCCCCTCTTTTCCGGTCATCTCGAGAAAAAACTCAACAGCTTTCGCCATTCGGGGCGAGCCACAAAAGCAGCTTAGGCAGGTAAGTCGCCCTGCCTCATTTCGGGCACTCACTGGGCTGAGCGCTGCTGGCAAAAAGAAGTCACGAGTAACTGCCCATGGGTCTGGTCACAAAAACAGCGGCTTTTGCGCTTAGGCCTCTCGCTTCGAGGTCCCAGACGTTGTTGGGCTAAACTCCTGGCTCCAAAAACCATGCCTGGATATACATGGGTAACCACCACTGAGAGGGTGGGTCGGTCGCCGTCCGCCATTTTATGTATATGAGCTCCTACTTTAATTAGTGAGCAAAAATATTTTACCATCTAATTTTTAAAAAATTTTTTATTGTATAAAGAAAATTTGAGCTGTTAAGCAGCTGATAAACTATTGCAATTTCCTGTGGATGGCGCTGTTTTGGCCTTGATTTTCCCACCGAAAAATTTTCGGTTCGACCAGTACCTTATGGTTTGGTCAAACCAAAAAATTTTCCCAGTGGGAAAATCAAGGCCAAAATAACGCCATCCATGGGAAAATCCCAAAAGTAATTACATTAAATTAAATTTTAAAAAATCCAATTTATAAAAAAATTAATTCATATTAGAAAAATATCATTTAAATGTGTCTAAATATATTGGTTGGGGCCAATTTTTCCAATGGTTTTGCTCGCTAGCCAATTAGGGCGAGTGAGGAAAATTTATACTCCGTGAGGTTTCATAGAGATATAATACCTGAGCGGTGACCGATAAAATAGTGAAGGCCATTATAGCTTGAAGAAATAGAAGTTATAGGCCCGTTATGTAAATTTATATCAACTGGGTCTATTTTGTTGTTTTCGAGGTTTCAAATTTTTATAAAACCTTGGCTTGTGCCTCCAAATAGCAACTTTCCATCATCTGATATCCTCACTTTCATGATTTTATATTAATTTATTTTTTACACAATTTTAATCAATATTTTAAATAAAAAATCTATTTATTTACAATAGCTTAATTGTGTGCATCTAATTTTGCCTACATAATTCGAATTATAAGTAAGTATATAGTCTGTTTCCTCTTTTTTGTCATAAATCCACAAATTTCCGCTTTTCAAGGCTCCTATAATATAATTCATATTTCGGCTAAACGTGACACTTACTGCTTCTTTTCCTAATACATAAGTCCTTGGTTCCAAGTATTGTTCAGCTTTAATATCGTCAAGTAAAGATTTCATATTAAACTTAAGATCAAGATCTTCATGGCTAGGAGGAGGCTCAAACTCTGATGATGAAGAACAAGAGTTAGAAGTTGCATTATGTGCACTCATATTTATTAATTTGGTTTAATAAGTTAAATTGGACATTAAGTTTATAGCAAAAAAGCTTTTATTTTGAAACTCCATTTAACTACTTCTTATAGCCTATGCATCCTTATAGACTGTAAGGCTTAGAGAAGTCAAACAAGTTGGCTACGAAAATTAGGCTTGTTATTAATCCTTATGATTGTATGTATTGTAGTTTATTAGAATGAATAGGCTATATCTGAACAGAGTTTATGAAGCAAATATGTTATAAGGACTAGTGATATGTATTTATCTTTAAAAAATGACGATAAATGAAATTATATGAGGCGAAATTTATAAAATTAAAAAATATTTCAGACTGTACAAATGGAGAATTGTAATGAGTTTAGGTTAGAATTAGAGAATAAAATATCAGACTTTGGCGAATTTTATTGATTTGGCGAAATTTTATCTTAATCTTAATCTTAATTAGTTAAATTTAACTCGACCTCTAGTTGGGCCCCTAGATGCGCAATGCCACAAGGGCATATTTTTTCTCCGTCTTGTCGCTACTCGCGTACTCGAGTCGGGCCTCGCTGTACGGCTCGCTCCTTCTAATCCCCATGAAGTCATTTGGGAATCCAGAAGTGCGGGAAAACACTAGCGGCTTGGCGCGTTGCCTCGCTCTGTACGACTTTTCTCCAGCACCTGTTCGGCCTAAGGGTCCTGCCTTTTATATCAGCAGGGGAAAAGAGGTAAAACACGCTGTATAAGGCTGGCGAGATAAAAGTCCTCGCCATTTTACACACCACCTTGTACAGAAGTCCACGTGTAAAAACCTAACCCTATAATAATAAAAGCGGGTGAGAAGGAGAGGGAATTCACGGAGTGAATTACCCTATCCGCCGAAGCCATTTTATTATTATGGCGAAATTTTATCAGTTTGCGATCTTATGATTTAGACTATGCTTCGGTTTATTAGCCTCAATCCCATAGAGATATATTAGCCCTCATTTAAATTTATTACAAATAATAGTTTATTTACAACCCATTTACTTTTTAATCAATAAGAAATCATTGCACGATAACTCCTAATTTAAAACAAAAATTTAAATTATTAACAATTAAGTTCTAGTCTGGTCTTGTATCAAATTTCTCCAAGACTCTGAAAACTCTTGGAACTTTGACATAAATTCTTCCTGAAAACAAATTCGATTTTCCTTTGGTTTATTTTCTGAATTTCCATTCTGCATATGTACATTTTCACCTGATTTGCTTTCTGTCAGTGATATATTTTGGTCTTTAGAGTCTATATATTTCTTTTTAGTTTCTAATCTCGTTAAATCAAGTTTTGGGATTTCTTCTAATCTTGGTTTTCTTGCTTATTTTTGAAGAAAAATAATTAATTTTCTATTATAAAAAATAAATTATGCATTACCGCGTCCAATACGCCTTAAATTTTTTATTTTTCATTACAATTTTTCTATTATAATTTTATTTAATTTTAAATTGCCCTTGGTTTTATTGGATGAGGAGTTTTCGAATTTTTTCTATTTAAACCATCATTTAATAGAGCTTGGTTGACAGGGTATCCTTTTTTAATTAATTCTGATAAGCAGTTTTGATAAACTTTTTCTCTCTGCTTCATATCGTTTATTTGTTTATTAAGATCATTTACTTTGTCATTTGCAGGTGTAACTTCGAATTTTGGGTTACTCGGAACCCTTGATTTTTTAAGTCTTGACTGAGGGATTTCTATATATTTTCCTTGAGGTGTTCTTGAAGCATCTGAGGCCATGGTGCTTACTTGTGTCACCCCTCTTAAGTCATATATTCCCTATTAAATACCTTGAGCATACTATACTAAATAACTTTTTTATTTATAAAATTATTATAAATAGGGATATTTGTTTCCTTTGTGCCTCTATAATTGTTTCTTTTTCATCAATATAAGTTTCATATCCTTTTTTAATAGACTCCAATAAATCCGAAAGTGGCTTTACAGAGTCAATTAATTCCTGGAGTGCTTCTTTGCATATTAAAAATTGTTTTTCTTTATTCGCTGGGGTTAATTTGGCTAGTCTGCCGTTAAGTTTAGTACACAGGGTAGAATTTTGAAGCAGATTTTCATTGTCAAAGGTATTGCACTGCGAAAAATCTAACGCTAAGCTGTTCATACGGTCTTTTGTTCTCTTTGGAGAAGTAAATGCTTCCTCGCTATGATTTCTTTTCATTGTGCTTGAAGAAAAAGATCTATTTAAATTTGTCCGAGGTTTTGAATAAGGTGATGCAAAACGGTGAGGTCTTGACCTGGCTTTGGTAGTTTTTGGGGTATGTGTTGGAGAGGCTGTCTTAGGGTTTAAGGCGACTAATCGTGATTTATGAGATGTAACACGCTCATTTTAAAAAAAGAAATAATAATTTAAAATAATTAAAATTTTGTGAAAAATGGTAAAATAATTTATGGGAATGTCGTTAGTTAAGTAGAATGAGGAGTGCTATCAGCCAACATGAAAATTCGTAGCCCAAAGCGTAACGACTGGGATCGCGCTGAGGAAAGTCCCTGATTGACCAGTAGAAACCTCAATGGTGCTGCTGGAGCAAGCTTTCAGCCCCGAACTTTATCTTCCTCTGAAGTAAAACGTTGACCTGGACGTGAGCATGCAATCCAATAAACTGGAAATTGTGCTCCACCAAACCAAGTAAAACTTAGCAAGCTACACTTCACCGAACTCCATCATCCCTTCCACAAGGTCCTGAGGTCTGATAAGATAGCGGACTGGCACGCATCTCCATTTTAATGTATTTTTATGTGTATGTAAATGGAAACCCAAAGCTTGGGCTTTTTAGAGATCGATCGACTGAGCTGTGGATATAATCTTTAGCTGAAAATTGAGGCAGGATATGAGCTCTTTTGCGTGGTTGTGACATAATTTAATTTTGCATCATAACAATAAAATGTTTATCCTTAAATTAATAGTATAGAGAAATTAAATTGAAATAAACAATAAAGTGGACTCGAATATATTCAAAAGCATGCAGAATGAGCCACTTTTTATTTATTTTTTGAAAAAAATAAATGATATATATCTACAAATAATAATAAATCAAGCTAATCTTTAGTCTAAGAAATTAGCAAAAATCATTTAATAAATTTTATTAAATATTTGGATAGATTGAGATACTAATTATTTATTATATACTTTCCATTATAAATACATATTAGCTTATTAAGCAGCATGAAATATAATTTTCTTAATATTTGTCTAATTAAATGATCCCTTTTCTTTTACTTGGAATAGCCTATGGAGAGCTTATCCTCCAAGACTCAGACTATTTAAACCCAATCAGCTTAAGCTCAGTCCAACTTTACCAAGTCACAGACTATTTCTTTCATATAGAAACCACCATATCTCTTGACGCAAATGATATCTTAAACATCCAATTTCCTTCTGAATACGAATCTCTTAGTCTATCTTCTTGTTCTTTAATATCTACTCCTAAATCCAACCCTATAGCATACAGCTCCTCTTGTATAATTTCTTACCCTATCATAAAGCTCATAATCCCTGTCTCATTCCCACCTATAAAACTTACCATAATTCTAAGCGGCGTCCAAAACCCTTTGACTTATAAAACAACCAGCTTATTTTCAATTTTTACCACAAAAACCAATGATATTAGGTATACAAGCCAAAATTTTGCCTTTGGAAATCTCGCCTTTGCTGAGAGATTATCAAGCGTTTTAACAGCTAATTTATTGACTGATTATTCTGGATTTAGCAATATAGTAGGGGAAAAATCAGACTATTTATTTGGGATTGTTATCACTGATAATATTGATAAAGGGACATTTTTTAGGTTTAATTTCCCTGATTATTGAGGAAAAACAGTAGGAGCTGACTATCATTGTAAAATGGTCAGCTATTTGTATTATAATTTTGTGCCTGCAGGGAGTTTTTATTGTGAAAGTGACGAAGATTATGTATATTTAAAAGGTTTAAGCCAAAATATAAAAGCTACAGCTAGCAGCCCAGTGAGAATTGGGATTTTAATTACAGATGTAAAAAACCCAGGCTGGGCTATAAATGGAGGGATTTTTAGTATTGGGATAGATATTGTGCAACAAGGGACAATAGTGGTGCTTAAGCAGTTTTCTACTACAACCCCTAGCATTATTTCAGGATCAATTACCAGCATTTCTGCCACCCCAGTAAACAGTTTAGCAGACCCTATTGTTGGTAACACAATATCTTACCTTATATCATTCCAAAATCCTCACGAAATCCCATTAGGCTCTACAATAGCAATGACCCTTCAGTCCTCCTCTTTCAGCACATCTTCCTCAGACTGCTTTATTTATTCAGGTATTTCTGACAGTCCATCCTCCCAAGCATCCTGCTTTTTATCCTCTTCTCAAATCATTATTTCTAATTTTAACAAAATTTATGCCAGCACGACTATAACAATCCAAGTCCCTATTTCTATATCCACAAATTCTATATCATTATCAGTGTCGTCTAATTATGGAGCCAGTACAATTGATGTAGGCAGCCAAGTTATTATAACCCAAAGTATATCTGCGAATATTTTTCCAAGTTTATCAGTGTCATATCCTGGGAGTGGAGTAATAAGCTCTTATGGGACTTTTACAGCCAGTTTAAAGCCTACTTCTGTGCTACCGATTGGGTCACTTATTTATATTTCATTTCCAAAGGAATTTCTTATAGATAGCTCACCATGCTCCCAGACTGCGTATTTAGGAACTGGAACATTTCCAATTTCATGTGAAATTTCTGAAAAAACTGTAAAAATGACTACAAAAACAGACTCGATCTCGACCTCAGAAAATTCAGTATTTACCTTGTCACTGACCCTTCCTAAAGTCCATACTAATTCAGAAAATTCATATGAAATTTGTATAAGAGCTATTTCAGGAAGCAGCATAATTAACACCCAATGTCTCATAGAAAATGTAGAAGCTTCAAGCTTGTCAAGCCTTACTAATAATATTTTAGGAGATTCTGATGCTCCTGGCATATACATGCCTTTTACAATTACCTTTAAATCTCCTATTACTACTGATTCTCAAAATTCTGCTGTTCTTGTGAGCTTTAGTACAGGGACTTCTGGATCGCCAGGGTTTCCTTTAAATCTTGGAATTGGAACACCTAACTGTAAATTCACAGGGACATCAGAAAAATCTTCCTGTAAATTATCAGCTTCAAATTCAATAGGAACAGATGCAGCTCTTTGGCTATTATCATTAGGAGCTCTTACAACTAATAGCAACACAGTCCGGCTTATATTAAAAAGCCCAAGCACTGCAGGTGTTACATTTTTTTATCAAATAAAAATTGGGTATATAGAAAATCGTATATTTAAACTCATAGGCCAAACTACTGGGAGCACTATTACTGTCGGGACAAGCCCAGCTTCATGGGCAAGCTCACTAATAGCTTCTAGAAGCTCACTTGTGATAAACGAGTCAATATCCTTGGTATTGTCACTAATATCTCCTACAGCAGTTTTAAACAATTGGGAATTTTACGCAATTTTTCCTATTGGCTGGGATTTGTCAGGGGTTTCATCAATTTCAGCATTAAGCTCGACAAGTAGTCTTGAAGTGTTTAATAATGATTATGCGCCGATTGTAAAAGTTCTGCTGGCAGCTGGAGGAATTTCAACTGCTGCCAGCTCATCTTTGACTATAAATGGGCTTAAAAATCCAATGCCAGTTGGGTATGCGACTGGAGTCCCTTTAAATATTGGCTTAATAGGAGCTTCCCAATCCATGGTCGCCTACTCTTCAACTGATAATTTACAAGCCTCAACCCAAGGTGCTATTATAAACCCTTCACTTACTATAAATCCTCCAGAAACCAACAATCCTGGCGCACAGTATAAATTTAATTTTACAAGCCTAAATGGAATTCCTGAAAATGGAAAAATAATTTTGAGCCTTTCAGGAAGCTTGACTGGGCTCTCTACATCAATATTGTCACATAGCTTTAAAAACATAATTACAGTGAGTTTGTCTGGGAATGTGTTTACATTGAGCAATTTAAAGCAGGTGGAGCCGAAGACTGAGATTGACATTTATGTTGATAATGTGCAGAATCCTGGGACGGCTTCTTTGACGAATTTTATGATATTTCTTGGTAAATTAAATAATCCCATTAATTTTTTAATTTTTATGAGAATTTTGGTCGAGAGAGGTTATTTTAAAGCAGATTATTAACCACAGATAGCTCTGGTCGAAATATAGATTCAGTTACTTTAAATGGTCAGCTTACTTCCCAATTTGCATACGGGGAAATAAAAATTTTAAGCATATCTTTTGAGCCTCCAAACTTGTATATCCAAAACGCTGATTTTTCAATTTCATTTTCATCATCACACAGACTTGCACCATCAAGTACTATACAAATAAATATTCCATGAGAATTTGATGCTTTAGCTTCAAGCTCTTGCACCTTAAACTACGCAATAAGTCTCTGCACAGCTTCAGAGCACCTAATAACAGCTGTTTTGTCTGAAGCAGTTGAAGCTGAAGAAATATTCTCTATGAGATTATATATAATCCCTTTATAGTACAATTACCATAAAATTAAAAAATCTATTAAATTCAGAATAATTTTATTAACACTTTACCAAGTTTTTAATATCCCTAATGTAGAAACTACAAGCTCATTTACCATCACAATTACGAATAAAAATACACTTATTGATAAAACTAAAGCTACTGCTTTGTATACATTTAGCCCATTGCCTAAAATCGGCACTTTTCCTATAGAAAGTATTGAATTTTACCCAAAAAATCAAGGAGTTTCTGCTACATATAAATTTATTATTAATTTGCCAGTAAAAATTGATGAGACTGTAAAAGTAGTAGTTTGGTTTCCTAATGAATTCGATGAGGCTTTGACAGGCTCTCAAAGTATTTCATGCTGGGGAGATCCAATTCAGCTTGTTGGGTACCAAATAAGCTGTCAGCTATTAAGCAATAGAAAACTCATTATAAGTGGCTTCAACGAAATTGCAGCAGATTTATCAATCTCTATTTATATAGGAAACATCATAAACCCTAAAGGCAAAATCGGCAAATTTCGCTTTGCTTTGCAAGACAGCAACGGTAAGCTTATTCTATATACCTCAAATGCAGGCAATTTGTCATCTTCCTCAATACCCCAGCCTTTAAAAATTTCTGATATTACGATTGACAGTCCTTATGCAAGAATTCTCAATAATTTTACCTTTGAATTTGAGCCAGTCTCATTTATCCCAAGCGACCTTAATAAAGGTAGAATTTGGGTCGATTTTCCATCAGATTATGTTTTAAAAAATTTAGGGACAGCTTGGACTTATTCTTGTTCAGCAAAAATGATAAAGGGTTATGATACAATTACACCCTGGGGTAGTGTTAAGTGTATAAATAAAGATTCTAATAGAATCGAAATAAGTGGTGGGGATTATTATGCTAAAACCCTTATTTTAGCAAAATAATTTACTTTAAAAATTTTTTTATTTTTATATAATTTTGGTATATATCCCTAGCTCAGATAAAAAATTACAAATTAAAATTTTTGACGTCCCTGGGCCTCAAGCCAGCACTTCTAGCCTCCCTTTTCTGATTAAAACTTATGACGATTACAATAAAATCCTCCTTGACACCACCTACCCCCTGCTAAACTACCCGTTTTCTTTCAGTTTATCTCTTTCTGGTGAAGAAATCCTTATCAATATAGGAAACTCAATTACCATAATTAAAGGCACATCTTCATCTACCATAACTGCAAAAACAAGCTTGTCGCCTATGAGGGTAAATCTTCAGCTGACCATGAATATGCCCAAAATTTCAGGTGCAAGGCTGCATCCTTCTGAAGTCTTGACTTGGCCAATATCTCAGCCTCAGGTAGAATTTACCTTATCAGTTCCTTATTCTACAACCCCAGGGATTTATAATTTAGAATGGATAAAATCTGGGGATAGCTATGACCTTAATAATCCTCAGGATACGATTTATGCAGATTTAGGAAGAACAATTATCAATGTAATTGAAGGGCTTGCCACGATTTCTATATCTGAGATAACGCCAATTCCTGAAAATGGGCATTCTTTGCCGATTATTGTGACTTTGAGTAATGCTCCACATTCAGAGCTAATTATAACGCCTGCTGAGACGTCAGGGGAATTAGAAGTGTCGTTTAAACCTATTTTGTTGGTGTTTTCTGGAGGGGAAACAGAAAAAGAGCTGATTATTTATGGAGGAGGAATTTCTAACTCCCCTTTTTATTAGAAAAAAAAAAACTTATTTTTGGGAAAATCACACATTTAAGAGTAAGCAAGATGTTTTAATATATTTTTTTTTAGGTGTGCATTATATTAATATATAATTAAAGATTATAATAATGAATTATACTAAATTTTTGGCAGTCCAAAATCTAAATTTTTTAAAATTAAATAGGCTCTCCTTTCAAAAAAATATTACTTTCTACTCGTTATCAAGCAAGTTAAATTCTCCAAAAGCGCGAAGTAAGGTAAAATTTGAAATTGAATGAAAATTGTCAGGAAATGAAGCCAAAGCATATAAAAAACCATCAAACTCAGAAATCCAGGCAACTGGGAGAAGGGATGCAACACCAATTATCGCAAACGTGAAAACCATTGATATAGGCCAACACTATGTGACTTTTCAGATCAATACTTCAGTGAAAGGAACTTTATATTACCAGCTAGAGCTAAGATATACAAGATCACCAAATCCAGTCGCACTAGTAGCAAGCTATGATGAAGGCTACGCATCCAGAATAAACCTATTAAGCTCTACCAATATAAACACAATCACCATTACCAACCTCGCTGCAGAAACTGAATACATTACCTATTTTACCCTTGTAGATACAAGCGATAACATGTCCCTAATCTATTCCTACGAATTCATCACATTAGAAGACTACCAAAGTATCCTAACTTATATCGCTTTTAATGAATACAACCCAGTCACCCAAGGCTCCTCAGATTTTCTTAATAATTCTTTAATCCCAACCCTCGCCAAAGCTATGGCAATCCACCCTTCCAGAGTTTCTTTAAAATCAGCAGCCACTTCTAGACAGCTACAAAGCCACAATTCCAATGAAGTCGCCTGCTATATCGCAAATGATAAATATGCAGACTTGCCAAGCCCAGCTTCTCTAATAGGAAATTTACCTTTACCTACCTTAAATTCTTATATTTCTAAAATCGGGATCACTGCTTATAGTATTTCTAATTTAATTACTATTGGAAATTCCCGGCCTGATTGGCTAGAAATGGGGTCTGTGTGGTCTGTTACAAATTCCTCTATAACTTGTGCAGGAGCCCTGAGAAGTCCTGGGTATATACATATGGTCATATTGGAGACTGAGGCAAAATCTCCAAGTCCTCAACAAATTGTATGGGGGGTTGATGGAGAAAATAATGAGGCAATGCACGCTTATGTGTATACAGAAGGAGGCAGCAGGGTGTTTGTTACTTATGAAGGGCTTGATAATGATAAGAGGTATGATGTATATATTTCAGCGTCAAATGATAATCCAGGGAATAATAAAGCGGTGGTTGGTCAAGCATAGGTAGCAACCAGACACCCCCACCCCCCTTTCACAGATGGCACCCCTCTCGGGTTTATCCTATAGAAGTAATTGATAGGAAATAAGCAGAATAAATTAAATATAACCCAATTAAAACACTATATTGTTAAATTAAGTCCACAAATTACTTTATATTTATAATTAATTAATAAATTTAAATTTATTAGCAATTAATTAGAAAATATATTAAATTTATATTTATAAATATAATGCCAAATATATATAGATAATGGCATTAATTATTAAATTAGCCAAGCACAATAAAATAACTTGCATTAAATTTATTGATTCATAAATTAAAGCTAATCTGATGACCATTGTACAAGGATTGCAGGACTGAATTGGTAACAGGATTCAATAATAAAAATAGTATTTGCTATTGTCAGTTTTACTTTTGGATCTCTAATTCGACTTTTAGCCTTTGTTCCACAAAGTTCATAAATATATGCAGGATATATTGCTAATTAATACCAAAGATCATTATTATGCTTGTTAAATTTTTTCATATGTAGTGTGCTTAGTAGTTATAGGAAATTCTCACCCCATTCCACCTACGCTATGTGGATATTGTATAAATCAGTAATTTTGAATATTTAAAATAATAATTTATTTATAACGTCTGCTCTAAATTGTCATTTGTCATATATTTATGCTATATTTAGGGGGGGGCGCCATCTGTGAAAGGGGGGTGGGGGTGCAATTTTTTAGGGGGGGTGGGGGTACCATTTTAGGGTGGTGGGGGGGGTGGGGGGGGTACCACTTTTAGGGGGTTTGGGGGTGGGGGTGTAGGGCTGCGACCTATGCTTGACCAGGTGGTGTATAATGCAGCTGAGTATATTGGGGTTAGGACTGCAGTAGGGGATACCTGCAAAGACTGCGATGTTTTTATAGTGGGAGATAGCGCAGTTTGGATAGTTTTTAGTACTGGGTTGGGGTTTTTAATGGGTTAAGTTGATTAGATTTCGAAAACCATGCAATTCCTGAAGGATTGTATACAAAAATAACGCCCCTTCGCCTGCTCGCCATTTCATAAACAACTTTACAAAGGTTGCTGGCAATACAGAATTAAAAATGTCGAATTTTATGGTCAAATCTCGGCGAAAATCGAAATCCGAAGCCCGATGGGTAACTCCTGGTTTTACTCTAGAAAACAGTCCTGATTGGCCAGGAAACAACCCACTGGTCTGCTGAGAGATCCATTTCCAGCTCTCAGCTCCATTCCCCTCTGAGGAAAAAACTTACCATTGGTGTAAAGCTGTCCTTTTAATGTATAGCAATTGCCCGAGGATGGCGCAAGATAGCGCCATCCTCGGGCAATTCCTATATACTAATTCAGGCTTGGAGAAATAATTTAACACTTTGACGACAACATCAAATTTTCCCATAAGAATAGGCTTTACCATTCATGACAAAAACTACCCAGAATTCTACCAAAACATACTAATTGATGGTAAAGTGGCTGAAGTATTAAAATTATGAATTAATTATTAATTGTTAAAACTATGCAAATATTAGAGAAAAAATTGGGTCAATATAATAGGCGATAAACTTACATAAATAAATAAATTTTAATGTATATACCATTAGAGTAAAGCATGTGATCGCCTAATTGAGCTTCACCACACCAAAAAAAACCTGACCAGATGCGCGTTCCCGAGCGTTAACCTCCATTTTTCAAGGTCCCGCACTTGGGTCAACTGCAGGAGTTGAGGAGTTGTTTGGCTTGCCACACCATTTTAATGTTTATAGGTTTTTAATAGTAATTTTTTAAATAATTATTCAGTTTAGGCAGATTATTGATGATCCAGCCTAACCATAGTAGAGTGAATATATAACCGGAACAAAGAATATTTATTTAATTAATCAAAAAATCAATTTAAGTTCTGGTCTGGTCTTGTATCATATTTCTCCATGACTCAGAAAACTCTTGGAATTTTGACATGAATTCTTCTTGGAAACAAATCGGACCTTCCTTTGGTTTGTTTCCAGTGAGTGCAGGCCCAATGATCTTGCACTTTTAATATTTTGCATTTCATCAAAGAAAAATTTTGTCAAAATTTTTAAAAAAAGTGTACCATTGGCCGAAATTTAACGGTTTTTTTAGTCAAATGCCTCATAAGAATTGCTGCACTATCAAAAATGCACAATCATTTGGCATGGAGCCGCTTCCAGTATTTCCACTAATTTCTTGTATGTCTGCAAATGATTTATTATCTGTAAACGAAGAATTTTTACCATTAGAATCTATAAAATTTTTTTTGGAGTCTAGTCTTGATAAATCCAATTTTGGAATTTCTTCAAATTTTGGCTTAGCAGGATGAGGGGTTGTGGATTTTTTTCGCTGGGAGCCTTCATCTAATATACATATTAGAATTTTTTCATCTTTATTTACAGGTCAATATGGAAATAAATAAAAATCTTTTATTTTTTATATATAAAAAATAATTTAAAAAAAAATAAATTAACCGTCAATTTGCCTGGGCCTTCATTAATCATAGAATTTTGTAGGATGCTGCCATTATCAAAAGAATTATAATGTGAAAAATCTAAACCTAAGCTTTTCATACGGTCTTTTCCTTTCTTTGGAGATACAAATCCTTCTTCACTCTGATTTCTTTTCATAGTGCTAGAAGAAGATGATCGATTTAAGTTAAGTCTTGGCTTTGCATAAGGTGATGCAAAACGTTGAGGCCTTGATCTAGCTTTAGTAGACTTCGGAGTTTGTGTAGGAGAGGCGGTCTTAGGATTTATATAGTAAAATACCATGAATAGCTTACTATAGATTTTCTAATAAGATTTTTGCCTCATTCAATGTAATTTACTATAGCAGATATCCGTGATTTTTCATTAGGTGTAATAGGGAATCCAATGCTGGGGCTTTTTATAGATCTGTCAACTGAGCTATAAACATAATCTTTCCCTGAAAATTGTGGCAAAATATGGACTCTTTTCCTTGGTTTCGATAAGTTAATTTTGCATATCAAAATTTGTTTTTCTTTACTGGCAGGGGTCAATTTCGCTAATTCTTCATTAATTTCTGTACAAAGGGACGAATTTTGAAGCAAAGTCCCATTATCAAAAGTACTTTGCTGCAGAAAATCCATTCCTGAGCTTTTCTTGCGGTCTTTTACTCGCTTTGGAGAATCAAATCCTTCTTCGCTGCAGTTTCTTTTCATAGCTGTTGAAGAAGACGATCGGTTTAGACTTGGGTTTGGCTTATTATAAGGTGATAAAAAACGTTGAGGCCTTGATCTAGATTTAGTAGATTTTGGAGTTTGAGTTGGGGAAGCTGTTTTGGGGTTTAAAGCGACTAATCGTGATTTTTGGGGTGTAAATGGAAATCCAAAACATGGACTTTTTTGGGTTTTGTCATTTGAAAGGCTAATAAAATCTTCAGTGGAAAATTGAGGAAGAATTGGGACTCTCTTGCGTGGTTTTAACATAATTTAATTTTATGCATTTTTGTTAAAATGTTGATCCAACGACTTATAAATTTTTTGGGATTAATTTATATTTATATTGGGAAGTTTAGGAAATTGTGATTGAATTTAGAAAATGAGACTCAAAAAGCTAGAAAGTATATCAATTGCTAGTATTTTTTAAAGGAGATATTGAAATTCATTCACAAAGATTCAGGTTAGGATAGGAGTTTTTACATAAAAATTAGAATATCCAAGTATTCTAAATGCAATATCTCAACACTCTAATTAATTGTCTATTAATTAATAAATCCAACAGTTGAAATAATGCTTAAGCATACTTTTTTATCTGTTACTATTGAAATCATTATCTTTAATTAATAACAAAAATCTAAAAATATTTTGAGTGAGTATTCACATGCCTAATCATTGCTCAAGCAATTATTCGAAAATAATCCAAGAAAGGTGATATCTAATACAGAGTATATGAATCCCCTATATTTTTTTGCAATTTCTTTAATAATTAATATTAAAAAATTGTTGAATAAAAAATATTGTGCATTGGCCCTTTTTGAGCGCAAGTGCACAGGTCATACTGATGACCGGTTCCTTTTATTTCCCAAGTCTGGGATACAGAACTGGCCATGTTTACTTGCGCCCAAAAAGGGCAATGCACTATATCAAACTTTATGTACACATTGCATAAAATTTTGTCAAGAGTCTATTTAGGAGATTATGAAGCTGCCTCTGACCTAGTACTTTTAAAACATCATGGGATAACACATATATTAGTTGTAGGTGATGGTCTATCTCAAAAATTCCCTGATCATTTTTCATACATGCAATTGAGCATTTATGATCTCAATTCTTCGAATTTACTGGAACATTTTGATAGGTGTAATGAATTTATTCGTCAAAGTATCGAAAATAAAGGAAAAGTGCTGATACACTGTGATACTGGAATTTCAAGGGCTCCAACCATTGCGATTGCTTATGTTATGGCAAGTAAACATTTCTCATTTGCGCATGCGTTAGAGTTTTTGAAGAAAAAACACCCAGAAACTCAACCGAATAATAATTTTGTGACACAATTAAATCAATATCAAGCTAAACTTCTGAAGCAGTCGGGGTTCGACATTGTGAAAAATGAAGTTTGTGGATGCTCAATTTTTTAAAAGTAAAGTTAAAAATTTTTATTTTCTTTAAATATTTTAAAACTATTCTTAGTTGTATTTGTATGCATTTAATCATTATGACAACTCAAAAATTGAGCAACTTTTATATATTTAAAAGTCATGTTTATTATTAAGATACTTACTTACTTCAACTCAACTTTTTTGCCTGTAATAATAAATGCTTTTAATAGAAATTATATAAAAAACTCATTTTTTGGATTTTAAATAATCCAAATTTGTAATGTTTTGAAAAGAAAAATCTAATTTAATTTAAATTTAATGTCTTAAAGGTTGCAAGCTATTAAATTTAAATAGTTAGCTTGATTTTCATAATAATCATTTGTGTATTAAATAAGTTTATCTAATTAAAGGGCTATTTTCCGAAAATACAGATTTTAAATAATTCTTTGCTTGGGCAAGGAGGAATTTAAACTAATATTTCTAATTAACTATTATAGGTAAAATAAAGACCTGAAACCAGTCCAAAGCCATATAAAATTCGTTTAAAAGTCATATTGGTATAGTGTTCTGTTTCATACTTTTGGATCATTTCTTCAGGCTCAAAGCTGCCTTCTTTAGCCATATAAACTTTTCCTCTATAAGGAGCTATTTGAGATCCAGTTTGCCCTCCAATAATACTCATAATAACCATTTCTGGATTATATGTATATTTTATTCTGTAATCACCAAATCTTGGCTGGTAAGCCTTATTTTTTCTATCAAATCTTGAAAGATAATAATATTCATCATCATGATAAATTGCAAAGCCTTTTTTTCTTATGCCATTAAGAAAGTTTTTTTATAGTTAAATAATTTCTATTTTCTGCATTTAAAAATTACCAATTAAATCCAAAATATTTATTGTTTTAAAAGCAAAGAGTTAAATCTTTTTGAAATTTGACCTTATGCTCAATTGGTTTAACTGTTCAAGTACTATTTATATGTTTTAGAATTTCGTTTCCAACAAATAAAGGATAAACTGCATAAGGAGCATCCATAAAATATTCCTCAGACTGGTATTTCCACTCTGCATTCTTTTTATCATCAGGAAAATCATCACTTGGAATAGGTTTTTCGCTCCAAATTTGCCTAAATTCTCCAGATTTTTCTTTGATAAACTGGAACATTTCTACAGTTCTTTTCAAATAGAGGCTGCTTTGTTTAATTTCAAGCAAAGGGTCTTCTAGTTCCTTATTGGATGTATTTTTAAGAACTCCTTTTACAAAAACAGGCTTTCCTTCATTTTTCACATCATAATCTAGAGGCACAATGAAATTCTTCTTAAAATCATTAAACTCTTTATTATCAAGCCAATTTTTTATCTCAAAATATCCCATAAGTCCTAATGAAATTCCACTAGCTCTTCCACTTAAAAATAAGCAAGGTATTTTTGCTTACTTATGAAGGTGTTATATTAAACAATTTCGGGTTTAAAAATTCACAAATAAATCTGATTTAATTTGATTTAAAATGCAATCCGTTTAAATTTAATAGAATTAATTGGAGATTTCATTATATATAATAGTCTAATTATAAATAAGAATATCTTATAAGAAAAAAGATTTTGGTTAATTTCATCTACAAAATAAATTTTCCATGCTATACTCACTTTTGATAGAGTAAGAATCATCCCAGTATAGCTCTTTTGTTGGTCTTTATCCATATATTTATTTAACTAAAATTTGCCATCGTTAATTTAAAAAGCTGCAAATCTTGACAATTATTATCATTATGCCAAGGATTCTCATCTTATATAACATTAAAATTAATAAATTAACATTTCTTAATAAAAAATAATGGCTCATCATGAAATTGACAAAGAAGAGCTTGACTATCGTCTAAATGCAATTCTTAAAGAGGAAAATCTAGAATTTCCTAGCACAGATCTGTTAGAAAACCTCCCAAACCCTAATAGCCAACCTTTAAGTTTGAATTTAGAAGCAAACCTCGATCTGAACCTGAAAAATCTGATGGTAAGCCCATCAGCAGAGCCTAAACCTGAACCTTTATCCCCTGGCTCCGAAAACCGCAAAAAACGAGGCAGAAAACCTATAAGACCTAACGACCCCATCAAAAAGAAGACTGAAGAAAAAGATAAATACTGGCTAAGAGTATTTCGGGCATACATGAAAACTAGATACTCAAAATTAAAACCTAGGCTAACTCAGAACGAACAATTATTTTGGTTAGAATATTTAGGCCCAAGTGGCAAGCCGGGCAAAGGAAACCAATTTTTATCATACGGCAAAAGGTATAAAAATTTCCTATTCGCTGAGCCTATTTTTGTCGCTGCTTTCCGAGACTGGTTTCAGAACCATGGACATGAGGATTTATCGAAAAAATGCAAGCCTGGCTCTGATTTATGATACGTTTATTATGATTATGCCAGTAAGGACCTTGTGAATTATATTCCTCATGGAGCTTCTTCAGTTGATAGCGGAGACTCTCCACTAAGCTGCACATCGCCTCCTGAGCTTCAAGAGTCGCCGTTTAATGATGATATCGATTTCTGTATGATCGGCACTGACAATGATACTGTTTTTGATAATTTTATTAACCAAATGTAAGCTTATAATCAAAATCTAATAATTTTTATGGTAATTTATAATAAATAGCTGTTTTTTATTAAAAAAAATAATTGTTTTATTTTTTATAAAAAAAACAATAATAATTCATAATTTTTTAGCATTACGGCGAAAATGCTTGATCTCAACCCTGGCCAACCTGATCCTCCATTTGAAGAGGAAACCTACAAAGTCCTGCATGTGGTCCCTGGAAAAGGGCCTTACTACACTATTCAAGAAGCGATTAACGCAGCATCCCCTGGCACTCGAATTCAGATAGCATCAGCGTTATATATACAAAGTATCACCATAAACAAGCCTGACCTGATTCTCGAACCTCGCGAAATCGACAGCGAAGTCCAAATAACGTGCCCTCAAGGACCTATAATAACAGTTTCTTTAAAAGACGAAGAAAGCTGTACTATAAAAGGCTTAAAACTGATCCATACCTCATCCGCAGGTAAAAAAATTGAAAGTTTCAGCAGTGCGACTGACGAAAGTTTTTTTGATTTATCAGAAACGCCAAAAGGAAATGAGCATTGGATAAGGTCACTTAAAATATCGAGAAATATGAATTGTGCTGTATGAGCAGATGGAGGGGTGACACATCTTGATGGCTGCAAAATTTCGTTGACTGCTGCCAAAACTCCATTACCAGGGGTAGTCTGTAGTAATGGAAGCTTAAAAGTAGAAAAATGCACAATTAAAGGACACGGAGAAATACCAACTGTAGGAATTTATAATAAATTAGACTTTTTGCTTATAGAATCTGGGAATTTTTTAAAAAATAAAAAAAAACCCATAAGCAAAATGACCAATATATTATACGTAAGTGAAGCTAATTTATATTGCAGAAAATCAAAAATTTTTAAACATAGAGGAGGTGGTTTAGCGTTATATGGGACTCCTGATAACTCAATTATGGTTACAGAGAGCCAAATCATGAACAATATCAATTGTGGGATTTATTGCTTCGGTGAAGAGTCAAGACCCACAATACAAAGATCAGTGATTGGGAGTAACGATGGACCAGGCATAAAAGTGGGGCTTTATTGTTGTGCGCAGATTAAAGCCAATGAAATAAAAAATAACGAAAAAGGAATTGAAGTTGATAATGGCGACCCTTTTGTATTTTTGAATATAATAAAATCCAATTCTGAAGAAGGCTGCTTTATGAAAGGCGATAAAGATTATAGATGTGATGGAAAAATCATGAGTAATGATATCACTGAAAATGATAAAGGAATAGTCTGCTCAGGCTCAACGTGCCATACAAAGATAGTCGGTAATGGCAAAATTTCTAATAATAAAAAGGCTGGCGTTGAAATAGTCAATGGCGCCCACTGTGTGATTTTTCGAAATGATATTTTTGAGAACGGCACCCAAGGGATTTTATTAGTAAAAGGCTCATCTTCACATATAGAAAGAAATAGTATTCATAATAACCAAAAAGCAAATATCGCATTTGGAGGGTGTGAAAATAGTGATACCACTATTATAGAAAACTCGATTTTCAGAGGAAAAAGTGAAGGAATTTTTAATTGCCAAGGAGGCACTTCCTGAATCAAAAGAAACCAAATTTATGAGAACAGTGATGGGATTTTGCTTATTGACAGTCACCCTTTTATAACGATGAATTCTATATACGATAACAGAAGAAGTGGGATTATTGTGGCTGGGAATAGCCAGCCTAACGTCGTAGATAATGAAGTACTAACTCCCCCCCTTTAAATTGGAACAAAAAATTTTGTTCCAATTTAAAGGGGGGTTAATTTTTTATAAAAAAAAAAATTTTCAAAAACTTATCGAATTAGATCAATAAATTTGTTTAATAAAATACTATTTACTCTTTATCCTTTAAAATAAAGCAAGATATTCTAATTGCCCGAGGATGGCGCAAGATAGAGCCATCCTCTGGCAATTACTATATAACTAAATTTTCATTATTAGTTAATACGCCACTATTAATTGGTATCAAAATTATTTATACAAAAATTATTATTTTTATTGACAAAAAACAAATTAAAAACAAAAATTTTTTAGAAAATTTATCGATCAAAGTGCTAATTTTGTTTAAATAAGATGTTATTTATACTCTATTCTTTAAAATAAAGCAAGAAATAACTAAATTTTATAAAGAATTCCTATTGAATTATATCAAAACTATTTAAATAAAAAAATATCATTTTATCAAAAAAAAATAAAATTTTTTTGAAAAAAAGAAATTAATTTTTTTTTTTAAAATTTAGCAATTAAGGATAATAAATTTATTTAAATAAGATACTCTTTATACTCTCTTCTTTAAATAAGAACAAGATATAACTAAATTTTTGATTTTAGTTAAGAAGAAACATTTAACTTATATCAAAACTTTTTACATAAAAATTATATATATTTTTTTATTATATAAATTAAATTTTGTTCCAAGGGGGTTAATTTACCAAAAAAGTGGAAATTTTACCTATATTTTGCTCCAATCTAAAGGGGGGGGAGTAAGAAATACAGCTGTAGGGATCTGTGTAAGAGATTTATCGACAGGGCTGCTACTAAGAAACTACACGTTTGGAAACCTTGTACAGATGGCTATAATTACAAAGACGAAAATGAACATTAAGCAGATTAAGCAGGAAAATTACATTAAAGGAGAAGTTCAGCTTCCGCTACCGACTATATGTTCATTACTATAATTTATTATTAAATTTATATAAAATATGACTGACGTAATACGACTTGTGAATACTTTGCAAATTTTGCCAGTTTTAGGAATTGGGTTGAGGCTTTGCCTTAGGTCTGGGATTTCTAATGAGACAGTGCTGTGAAATATGCTGAGAGGGATACACATTTATATAAAATTTACAGTATTGCTGATTGGACTCACAAAAGAATTTTACACAATTTTCCCAGAATTCACATGGCTATCAGATTTATTTATAAGCTATTCATTTCCTCTTTATCATTATTTACACATTTTCAAAGGAAATTACAGTTCTTTTAGTGATGAAGGTTTTTACTTTATTTTAATCTTGAATCTCAGCCTATTTTTAATTGCAGCACTTTTAAGATTCCTATATAGTTTTACTGAAGAAAAAGTAAAAGGCTTGTTTTTTTATTATGAATTGATAGTCCCTGATATTTTTATTTTTATTGTAAAAGACTATGCTGATTTTTCCCCTGTACAAAGCCATCTTCAAGGGTGCGCAATTTTGGTTACCCTAAGTTTTTGGACTGCAATAGGAATTATTGCCCCTATGATAATTTCTGAAGATAAATATCATTATCGTGAAGCAGTTTATAATAAATCTGGGCTGAAAGAGCAATATAGGTTTTGGTAAAAATAATGCAGGCATTCAGTCATAAAAATTGAAGAATTATTTGTGGTGCTTTTGCTTTATTTCAATGGAGTGTGGCTACCTAAACATCTCAGAGCTGTAAAATTTATATAGAAATCTGTGCTGACCGCAATTGTGTTTTATGTCATAAAAAAATGCCAGACAATGTATTGGCCTTATTATCATAGGTTTTTAAATATTTTCTTAGAAAGCAGCTTTTCAGTGCTTACAATTCTGGCATTTTGGAACCATTTTCCTTGGCTTTTAGTTTTGCTTGTGTATCCATTCGGCAAGCTTGTGCAGCAAAAAATCTTAAAATTGGATTAATTTTATTCCTAAAATAATAAATATTTTTTTTTTTTTTTTTTAAATATTCATTATCACATTTAATTAGAAATTAATAAAAAATAATGGAATTCTTAAAAACTGATTTTAAAAACTGGATAGTCAAAAAATGCGAAAACTCCATGCAAGGCGTCAGTTTGAATTTCTATGAACTTATTCATACACCTCATGGCTTTGATGCACTACAGAGCTGATTTCTTACAATGGGCGGAAGCGAGCTTGATGAATATGCATTTTTCAAATTAATGAAACTTGTAGTTAATGAAATGACTGAGCCTGAAGCTTGAGAAACTTTTGATACCCTGTGCCAAGAGCCAACAATAACACTTAAAGAATTTTTAATGCTGGTTTTTCTATATGCGTCTCTTGAAACAAAACAGATGAAGGTTATGCTTTATATGCATGGGAAAATGCTATATCAATTATTAGCTGGCTCTGAAAGACACGAAATCTCCTTCGAAAGAGTAAAAAGAATTGGCAGATTAATAAAGCTTAATGAGAGATATTTAATCCAAAAAGGCAGAGAACTTGGGATTTCATGACCAATGAAATCATCATTAACGTTTGAACAATTCCAATTATTTTATTTTGATATTTTCAGCGAATTAGACTATACAGAAGTAGTGCAGCAGCAAGAGCCAAAGCCAGAGCCTGTTGTTGTAGTATCAGCTGCTAAGCCTCCTCTGCCTGTTGCTGTCAAAAAACGTACTACAAAATGTGCGTCCTGCCAATCTAAACACTGCATGCTGCTATTCTTTTTTATTTTTTTTTTTTAAAAAAAATTATTTAATAATTAAGTACTTTTTTATAGAGAAAATAATTTTTAAAAATTTTTTTTTAATTTTTGAAAAATCAATTTAATTTAGAATATAAATTAATTATTTTTTAATAATGTTTAGAATCCCTTTATTGAGGTTTAAGCATAATCCTAAAAGGGGTACACAAGAATATAGAGATTTTCAAGAAAGATTAAGAATTAGGAAAAACCCAAATGCAGCAGAAGTACAAAAACCAGAGATTCCTGTTGAAGAAGCACCAGAAATTCCAGTCCCAGACGCAATAAGAATACCCTTAAAATTTTGCGTAATTCCTCCAGTGATTTTTACACTTGGTGCATGTGGCGCAGACTATTTTTCTTATCAATTTAGCAAATTTCTAAAAATTGCAGGATATTGGTGCTGCTTTTATTCAACTTTTATGGGCTCAGTATGAGCAGGCTTAGAAATGCTTAGATATAAGCCGCCTTTTTATGCATATCCAAGCTATAATGTTTTTGTGAGATCTTCAAGACTCTTTGCAAGTTTTGGTCAATGCATGTTAGGGGTTTATGGGATTAGAAGTTTTGATAAAGAAAGTTGGTCTGGGATCATGATTTATACAGGGCTCCAATCGTTTACATCATTATGATGCATTAGCTCACATTATAGAGGATTGATACCAACTTGGGTCAAAAATATGCAGTGGCCGCTTATGATGATATGCCAAGCTACGCTATTGCTATTAGGTGTAAGAGTTTTTCTGAAGGAAAGTTATATTTCTAGGATGAAAAAGTTGGCTTCAGATATAAATCAAGGAAATTATAAAAAAGAAAATAAAGAAAATTAATTTAACTCCCCCCCCCCCCCTCCGTGAGCGAACAAAACCATTAGAAAAATCGCCATTTTTTGACCAAAAACCCACCCTCCGTGAGTGAACAAAAATTTTTTTAATAGAAAAAATTTTAATGGAAAAAAATTTTGATATATAAGTGATAATTAGTATAATGAAATCTAGAGCTAATTCTGTTTAATTTTAAACAAATTGCGTTTTAAAACATAAATTTTGCAAATTAAATTAATATTTGCTTCCCAATTTTTGCAAATTAGGATTTTTTTAAATTTCGAAAAAAATATTTTTTATAAAATTTATATATAAATTTTTTTTTTAAAAACAAAATTAACCCCCCCTCCGTGAGCGAACAAAATTTTTTTGTTCGCTCACGGAGGGGGGGGGGGGGGGGAGTAAGAGTGTGCAGTATAAGCAACAATAGTGAGTTTATTTAAATAGAATTATAAAAATTTTATAAAAATTAAGGTATTTTGTTACTCAAAGCTCTTTATTTTCATATTTATCATATAATTAAAGATATGACTACAGCTTTAATACTAATAGGTCCGCCTGGATCAGGCAAAAGCACCTTTTGTTCAGCAATATCTCAGCTATTTCTCAAAATAAATAGACCATTTTGCCTTATAAACTTAGACCCAGCAAATGAAAGTTTGCCTTATGACCCTGACATAGACATAGAAGAACTCATCAATCTTGATGATGTGATGGAATCCACCTCACTCGGCCCAAATGGTGGACTATTATACTGTATGGATTTTATATACAAAAATATCAAGTGGCTTGAAAATCGGCTAACTCAATATAGCGGATCTACCCTTTTAATTGACTGTCCAGGCCAAATCGAGCTTTATACACACAGTGATTTATTAAAAAAAATCATAAAACATATAGAAGAAAAATGTGACGTAAAAGCTGCTGTTTTAAATCTGATGGATTCAAGCCTAATGACATCCCCATCTACTTTCATTTCAGCTTGCTTGATTTCATTATCAATGATGACACATTTAGAGTTTCCTCATATAAATGCTTTATCTAAAATTGATTTATTAGGATCATTTTATGACTCCTTGAGATTTGGGCTAGAATTTTATATAGAAAATACTATTAATTTTTAAAATATTTTTTTTTTAAAACAAATTAATAAATAATATTATATAGAAAGGAATACTGATATAACAAAAATATCTCGATTGTTAAATCAAGATGATTTTAAGTATAACAATAAGCTTGCCAAACTTTCAAGCAAGATCTGTGAAATAATAGAGGATTTTGGGCTAATTTCTTTTCAACTTGTTTCTGTATCTGATAACGAAACAATGCTAAATTTATTAAGACAAATAGATAGGGCACTAGGAAATGGAGATTATTATATAGAAGACCAGCATGAAATGCTTGTAACAGACAGAATAGGCAAAATTGAAGAAAAATATGCAAATAATTAATTTTTTGTATTCTGCAAATGCCTGAGCTTTATCAGCTCTCTTTTTGATAAAAATTTTTCATAAATTCCATCATTTTCAATTTCGTGAAAAGATCGGAATTTTTGAACGTGGCGGATTAACCCTCCTGTTTGGACTTCTTCTTCCCCTTCAAATTCAATTATAATGCATGAAAAATCGTCAATCATTAAGTCTTCGTTTTCTATTATATTGAGCCATTTTTTTCGTGCTTCTTCACATAGCAATCGGCAAATTGATGAATTTTCAGGCTTTATAACTGGCCTTACGAGATATTCTGAAGGCTCACACATTTTTCTGCAGCTTTCTACGAATTGGGAAACTTCGTTAGGAGTCATTACGTCTCAAATTCCGTCAGAAGCAATTACTAAAAACTGATCAGTTCCTGGGTAATATGCAATTAAACTAAAAATCAGTCAAAATTATAAGAAATTTATTCAATTTTTATTGAAAATAAAAAAAAAATTTAAAAACTAGTATCAATTTTATATAAAAATGCATAATTAAAAGAGGTAAAAATGGGGTTAGGAATAATCCCAATCCTTTTCCCAATTTCATCCCCTAGCGACCTAGAAATTCTAAGCCCAGGGATATTTGCTCCTCTCATGAAAACTCTAAAAGGCCCTATAGGTTGTTGATTATGGTCTACAAGTTTTTTTATGACTCCTCCACATTTTTTAATTCTTTCCATTTCTGGCTCATCATTTGGCTTGTGATCCCCACTCAAAATTTCTCCTTGGACATTTACTAAATGTCTGACTTTATGTTTAAATTCTGTAGGAATATTATGCAAATTATTCATTTCGACTAAAGTCCCTATTAATGCTTTACAGTCTCCTACGCTTGCAATATGGAGTTTTTTAGATGAGAGCATTACCCCTAAGGCAGTAGTTCCTGACATGTGTGAATCTATATCAGAGCTGCATAGGGCGTTGTGGCATTCTATATACATTTTATCAAATGCTTGTTCAGGATTTTCATTAAATAACAAAATATCCCTTATTATGAAGCCTAATAATAGGAAAAAAAATTATAAAAAAATAAACAAAAAAACAGAAAAAATTCATAGTTAAAGGCATATTGTTTGTGAAAAATTTTATCATAAAATCTTTAGAAAAATTTACTATTTTGTCGCCTTCAATCCCATGCCCATCAAAAACCATTGCCAAAATTTTGTCTTGGCAAATAGTACAAAATAGGCTATCTTTACATGACCATTCGTGCTGGCCTTTAGGGTCTTGTCCTGGAATGCAGCATGCAGATATTTTGAATTTTATGTTTTCTTGTATAATTTCTCTGTGATTCTCTATTAATGGCTTTAAAAGCTTAAGTTTAAGATGTTCATATGTTGATTTATTTTTTTGGATTTTTAGTGGGACTTTTTGAGGGTAAATTATGTCATGCTTCCTAACTTAAAACTAATAAGAAATTATTTTTTATCATAATTATTTATTTTTTTTTATTAAAATTTCATTTTATGCAATATTGAAACCCTTTAACATCTGAAAATCTAATGTATAAATATAAAATAATTTCAAAATTTAATCAGCCTATCACCTCCAATTTATCTAAACAGTTTAGATGTGTGGAGTAAGAACTTCTTCTGGTTGTCTATTAAACACACAGCCCATATTAGATTATATATATATATCCAATTTGAAAAAATGTGGTTTATTTATTCCAATAAATTATTATAGCTCATGCACCTTAATAGATCCCTATACCCGAGCAGAATACCGAATAAAAAAAATATGGTACAGGGCACCTGCCTTATTCAGTATAAGTCTGATTAGGCACCTTAAAACCATAAACGGAGATCTGCCATTTTCGTTTTTTACTTTTCAAAAAAGCTGACAAATACAAATGAAATTTGAAAATTAAAATGGAAGGCCAATAATGATCTAAAATATTTCAGGGGCTATAAAAAATCGAGCTTATAAAATGCTTGACTCTAGATAGGGTTTGCTCTTTTAAGCCATAATTATGAATATCAAATTAATTATTCTTTGAGCAACCATAAAATGTCTCAGATTATAATTAATTAATGATTGATAGATTTTCATGCTTTTCTAGTCCATGCAAAAAGCCAGTGGAATTTATTTGTAATTGTACAGTTCCTGAAACGATGATGTGTAGAGATCATATAAATAAGCATCTCATATCTCTAAATACGCACAAAATAGCAAATTTAATATCAGAGAAAGATCACATAATTAAAACTTTTAACTTAGAGAAATGCTTGCTTATAGAAATTAAAAATACTCTCAATGTAAGCTTTGGTCAATCTTTTAAGGAATTACTTAGATTGAAACTATTAGAAATAGAAGAAAGTATAAACATAATTGAAAAAATCATTCAAGACTATAAAAGAAGGAATATTTTTATAAATAGTAGAGGATCAGCATTAAAAATTATTGAAAAAGAAGTAAATAAAAATAAAAACTATTTAGCAGATTTGATTTTGAAAGAAAAAAATACTCAAATTGATGCATTTATTAAAAAACTTGGGTCTTTAAAAGATATTAGTGAGCATCGCCAGCTTAAAGCTGAACTCATTGAAATTTCCACATTTGATAAGTATGATAATTACATCTTTTTATTAGCTCAGGAAAATATTGACATTAATTCAAAACGAAACAAATTTACCAAAAAATGCAAAAATCTTCAAGTTTTATTTGAAGAATCAATATTCAAACTTGATAAATACAGTTTTTCTTTTGCTCTCAGAGACATTCTTTCTAACACATTTCAGTGCAATTTAGTTAAAAAATATGAAAAAATCCCAAAATCCTTTAGAAATTCAATATTAAAGACCCACGATAAAACCTATAAGCACTGCAATATAGATTTTAATTATCTTTATAATTATGATGAAAACCTTAACGGAACAGAAATATATATATACGATATTGAATCTGGCTTACGAACCTCATCAGTTATAACAAAATCATATCAGAATTGCCCATATCGTCTGCTAGATAAAATAACAAATAATAAAAATTTCAAATTAACATTTACTTATAGTAGGAAATCGCATTAAAGAAGGAAAAGCGTTTTTAATGGATATTAAAACTTCAGCGATAAGAGAAGAATTTAATTTCTCAATGTTTGGCAAATTCAACGATATTATTTTTTATGAAAATAAATTATTTATCTTTAGCGGTGATGGATCTAAAAGCATATATTTTAACATAAATACCAAGATATGCCATAATTTTTCTTTCTTAGTGCTATTTGGCAAGATTTCTGCAGTTCTTTTTAAAAATTTTATTTTAGTAAGCCGTGAAAGTCAATCAATATTTTATTTATATGACCTTATGATTGACAATTATTCAAAAATTGATTATGTTTCAGCACATGGACTTCAAAAATTCTTTTTTGCTGATAATAAAAGAGCTTATTTGTGAATTAAAAATGGGTTAATATATGAAAGTGAAGAAAACAACCCATTCCAATGAAATGTAATAGGAAATAATGATTTTGGGATTCAAGTGAAGATTAATGAAATTACTTATAGTTACTATATGGGAAATCTTTATATTAGTTTTATCAGTAGGCCAAAAATGTATTGCTATAGGTTTAATAAAGAAGAAAAAGGAATGGAGCTTATTTATGAAGACAAAGTAAGTCTGTAATTATTAAAAAAATAATTTATTAAATATAAAATCTTAATTCGCAATTGCTTCTATTAACTCCTTTATTTAATAAGCGTTTCAAATCAGTCAATGAAAAAGATAAGTTTTAAATATAGTTCATTCAATTCTGTGAATGAAATCTTTATATTAGTTTTATTGCCAGGCCAAAAATGTCTTGCTATAGGTTTAATAAGGTGGAAAAAGAAATAGAGCTTAATTTATGAGCAAGAAGTTAATCGTAAGAATAATTTTTTGAATAAAATAAAATAAATGCTATTTTAAATCAAATTTAAACCATTTATCCAATTTTTAATATTGAAACTCTCTTTTCTTTAATCCAATCCTGAAGTCTTTTTTATCCAAACTAAACTTATAATAATTCTTTTGGAAATTTGTATCTGTTATAAATAATTAATGATTGGTAGATTTTCATGCGTTTCTGCTTCATGCACAAAGCAAGTGGAATTTATTTGCAACTGCACAACTCCTGAAACATTGATGTGCGGATATCATAGAAAAAATCATCTCAAATCTTTAAAATCGCATGAAATAAAAAATTTTTCATTAGAGGAACATATTATTAAGACTTTCAGAATGGAGAAGTCACTCATGATAGAAATGAAAAATATTCTGACTGTGGATTTTGAGCAGTCTCCTCAAGAGTCACTAAGATTAAAACTATTAGAAATATACGAGAGCATCAACATGATCGAAAAACTTATCGAAGATTATAATAAAGGAAAGCTTTATTTAAATATTGATGCACCAGAAGTAGAAGCTATTCACAAAGTACTTAATAAGAATATAGACTATCTAGCAGATTTTATTTTGAAAGAAAAAAATAGCCAAATTGATGAATTTTTAAAAAAACTGGACTTCTTAAATGACATTAATGAACACTACCAGCTTCAAGCTGAATTTCTCCAAATTTCTTATTTTGACAAGTGTGATAGCTATATATTTGCTTTGGCGAAGGAAAACACTTATATTAACTCATCTCGAAAAAATTATATCCAAAAATGTAAAAATATTCAGTCCTTATTGGACAAATCAGTTTTAAAAATTTACAATCAAAACTATAAAAGTCATATTATAGATTTTAACTATCTTTGCAATTATGATGAAAACCTCAAAGGAACAGAGATATACATGTATGATATTGAGAAAGGTACAAGAACTTCAACAATCACAATAAAATCATATCATCCCCCGCATCGTTTGCTGGATAATATAACAAATATATTAAAAGTTTCAAACTCGCATTTACTTATAATAGGAAATTGAAACAATGAAGGCAAAGTTTATTTAATGGACATAAAAACTCAAGCAGTAAGACTACAGTTTAATATCTGAAACTGTATGAAAATCTCTGACTTTATTTTTTACGAAAACTATTTATATGTATTTAAGATAATCAGCTGCGTAAGGTTTGATATAAATAGCAATTTATTCTATGAAATACCGTTTCCACAGCTGTATGGCAGAGTTTTTGCTGTTCTTTTCAGAAATTACATTTTAGTAAGCAACAGTAACAATTCAAAATTTTATCTTTACGACCTTATAATTGAAACATATTCAGAAATTTCATTTTTTCAAGATATAGAAAGTCAGAAATTTCTTTTTACAGATAATTTAAAGGCTTATTTGTGAATTCAGCATGGAAAAATATATGAAAGCGAAGGAAATAACCCATTTAAATGGAATGCAATCGGTAGCATTGATTTTGGAATTAGAAAAACACCTGATGACATTGCTTATAGCAATTATATGGAAAATCTTTATATTAGTTTTATTGTAAGGCCAAAAATGTATTGCTACAGGTTTAACAAAGATTCCAAAAATATGGAGCTTATTTATAATGAAGAAGTTAATAATTAATTTCTTATGAGATAAATCTATATTTGTTAATTAATCTCTTTAAGAGTTGACACAAAAACTTTTTGTATTGACTTGTCCTTTGTCATTTTTAAAGCTTGCCATATGCAGGCTGCAGCATCTCGCTTTTGTTCAAGGCTATCCAAAGCTTGTCCCTCACGCAAATAAGCCTTAAAATTGCTTGGGTCTAAAACTCTTGCAATTTTTGCATCTAAAAGAGCTTCTTTTGGCTCAAAATTCGAAATATACGCTTGGCTCCTATTTGAAAAATAGATTGATTTATGATTGTTTGCGATCGCTTTTGTGTAGAACTCAATAGCTTTGCCATATTCTTTTGCTGCAAAAGCTTCATTTCCTTGAACTTTAAACTCCTCAGCAATTTCTGGATTTATTTGTGATAAAGGCTCAATTGCAATATCATCCACTTTGGTTAAAGGAAGCAGCCTATCTACAACTTCTGTTTTATTATTTTTATAGGCAGCCAAAATTGTTCTTCCATTAACAGTTGCTCCTCTTTCTAATAAAAATTCAAATAATTCTCTAAAATCGAACTCAGAAGCAACTTCTAAAGCTGTACAGCCATCTTTGTCAGGCAAGTTAACATTACAGTTTGCGTTCACTAAAGCGTGTACAGCTTCTGTATAGTTCATAGAAGCTGCAATGACTAAAGGTGGAGGAATATTTTTTCCTTGGCTGCCATTCGGATTCGCCCCTAAAGCTAGCAAATGAAGAAACATATCAGTTTTTTTCCAGACAAGGGCATATTCGAGAGGAGTCCCATGCTCACTTTCTTCATCAATATTTGGATGAATGCTTCTAAGATACTCAAGAACTTCTATATTCCCTGTTTCTGCTGCAATGTGAATGGGGGAAAGACCTTTTTTGTTTTTTAAAGCCATCAGATTTGGATATGATTCAGCAGCGTATTTAATGATTTCGAGTTTTTCGTGGTAAATTGCTAAAGAAAGAAAAGAATTTCCATCATTGTCAAGGGAGTTTGGATCTGCATGATTTTCTATCATCCATTCCAAGATGTGCTTATGGCCTCCTGTAGCTGCGAAATGGATAAGCTTTCTTCCATTTCCTTCCATGATTTCGTTTAAATTATCTTCAAAATCTGGAGATAGAAGATTTTTGACAGCTTCTAGGTCTCCTTCGAGCGTTTTTTGTACTGCATCAGTCAATAATTGACGGCCTTTTTGGAAAGCTGCTGCTTTGTTAACCATGGATTTTTATGTGTAAAGCAATATAAATGGGAAGCAAAATTTAAAAGTTTTCACAGTTCATATTTTATGGGTTTTCTTTTATTATTAAAGTCCTTAACTAGCTTGAAGTGACAGCTGCGTACGTATTGGAAACCTTAAGAAACGCTTCTCTTGCTAAAGGATGCTTATTCTTATCTGGGTGCAACACTCTTGCAAGCTGTCTAAAAGTTGAAGCAAGCTGCTCTTTTTTCTCTTCTGATAAATATTTCACTTTTATAAATTCTTCACTTGCATTCACTCTTTATTTGACCAGAAATGGCCTAATAGCCGACCCGGCCCTAGAGTCATTGGCCTAGGGTCCGAGGGCCCACAGCTTGAGAGAGGTCCGGGGTGAGTTTTGCTAGCTGTAATTAAGCTTTTTCCTGGACCCTTAGACGGGTAGGAGAGCAAACTCCAGTAGAAGAACAGACTCAATCATCTGAAGAAGCTGCACCTGAAGAGCAAACTGAAGAAAGACCAATAATTAGGGTAGGGATATAGCAAATCTTTCTTTCTTTCTTTGACGGGTAGCAAAAAATTTGGGATGACTTCATGGAAAAAAAGATGCTAGGAAGCTTCGAGCGGAGCGTGGGGCATTAAAGAGGACCATACAATCATCTTAAGGCTGATTTCCCCCTGAACTAGGAGCCTGTGGCCGATAAGTCCTGAAATAAAGAGAAGCAAGGGTCTCCTCGACAAATCTCGACGTCGCCACTTTTTGATGACATTATCAAAAAAAATTTTAGAAGACTTATTGAAGGGTTTTTAATTTTGGGACTTGGGCCTGAAAAAAGCCCTTTAAGTAATTTCTCTTTTCTCCCTCTCACTTGCATTCAGAATTTTATAAACTGAAAAAATTTGATCATAAGTGCATTCACCGTTGTATTTTTCGCTTTTCATATACATAATTGCCATGTTTCTCGCTGATTTATTTATGTAATTTTCTTTAGAAAGTACTGAAGCCTTGTTTTCATCATCTCAAATTTTTAATTTTTGCCTTGCTTCGTTAAAAAGCTCTTCTTGCAGTTTTGTTTGTTCTTGCTCAACCCTTCGTTGTTCTTCAAGGATGATTTTCTTTTTGGTTCTGCGTATCAATAAGGAGAATTCTTTGGATTTACAGTTTATGGAATAAGGTATAAACTGGTTTGGTGAAGATGCCCCTTGAGGCTCTTCAGACATCTCGCTTAGTAACAGCAAGCCGGGAGGCACCGGCAACTAAAAATCATTATAAACAGTTCCATATTTGAGAAAGATTAGATAAGAAAAGATAATGCAATCTACTTTATTCAAAATTGATCAATCAATACAATGTCACTTCAAAAATGGCATTTTATAATTAATAAAATGCTTCAAGAAGTTTATACTCTCTTAACTGGAGCTGGAGTTGGAGGCATAATTGGATTTTGGATTCTTAAAGGAGAATACGCTTATTCATCTAAGGAGATTACTGATAGAATCAACTATTTAAATGCACTATTGAAGGAAAAGCAAGAAAGCTTAAAAAATTAGGCTAAAATATTTAGATAAAATTAAATTAAGCCAAAATGCTTAAAAATCTAACTATTTCTATTTAATTTGTACTAAACTCTGCTTGTTCCCTTATTTGAAAAGAACCTCCTCAGCATATAAATCTGCATCAGCGATATCAATCCTAATACCAAAATCTTTAAAATTGCACTATAAATAACTCTATCGCAAGTTCTTTCAGTTAAATCTCGATGGACTTTTTCCCTTCTTTCATATCCCTGCCAATATGATTAATTATTTTATTTTTTTCTTCAAAAAAAAAAAGCCTATTTGTTAGAAAATTCTTCTATAAATGCATAAAAATGAATATTCCTATAAATCATATCAAGCTTCTTTGTCATTTTTGTCAGCCCTTCTGCTAATGGTGCAATTTCTTCTTCCTTAGCCAATTCTTTTTCACTCACTTTGTCTGTAGTTTTATACTCAAAGCTCACTGTTTTTGGTGCTCCATCTATAGCTCGGAAGCAAAATTTGTATTTTCCACCGTTTTCTGACAAAATCTCAAAGTGCCCTTCTCTCGTTTTCCTTTGGCTTTGGTAGAGAATGCTTGCGTCAGGCCCAAAAAGTCTTGTGATCACATTTTGGTCGCCATCCCCAGAAATCACATAAGCACCTACAACCTCGCTTCCTTTAGCTGCCATTAGATAGTAGCAATTCTCCATGTGCCCAGGAAGGGTAAAATAAACAGCTTGAGCAAGATTTAGCAGAAATAAAATAAAATGCATATTTATATTAAATTATTTTCACAGATGAATCTGTGTAGACTAAGTTCCTATGCATTTCAATTTTGCACATAAATTCTCTGAATTGGAAGACTTCATTTTGTTGGGCTTCCAGGAGGGATTCTAGATGGGAATATTTGAATCATTCATTTTCGTTTATGTTTTGTATAGATTTATATATGAATTGTGAGATTTTTAGCTGGTTTTATTGAGATAAATTAATTGAATGGTATAGGGTAATATTTTTTGGCATAAAATTGGGTCATCTAAAGGAAGCCCATGACTTTGTGTTAAAAAATGAAAATCTTTGGGGCAGTTGTGAGGCAGATCTGAGTTATTATGTGTGCAAGAAGTTTTGAAGATTTCTAAATAGCCAATAGCATATTCTAGATGCTCTGTTACATTAAGATCTCGCAAATATTCAGCTAAAGCTCGGTTTTGAATTTCACAGAAGTTTAATGGTAATGGGACTTTTTTAAAATGTTTTTCTGATACTCCTTTCGGTAGCAAGTTGAGTTTGCAAAGATAAATATAAAGAATTTTAATATTTGAAAAAAAAATCATATTTTTAATATTTGAAATGAAAATCTAATCTTTTATAAAAATTATTTTAGGATTAATGCTAGCTAAAATTTAATGATTATATATCAAAATTTTTTACTTGAGTTAATTTCAGAAAAAACAAGGATTTTCTTGCAGGCTAAAGGGAGTAAAAATGATTTTCTATATTTTTTTTTTAAAAATAATCCAATACCATGTAATGGCACCTTTATTATATCACGATGAATTTTATCTTCTTTCTGATTAATTGCCACAATAAATGCAGAAGATTGCGGCAAAATATCATTTACTACCAATAAAGCTTCACTAGAACTATAAACACGCGGCGGCTGGTCTTCTTCAAAAATCATATAAGACTGACACCCTTTTATGCCTACTGGAAAAAAATTCACAATATTTCCTCTCATATAATAAACTGATGGGAAGCTTTGTTTTGAGTGCTCAAGCTTAAACATTCTATAAATCGGAGCCTCAGCTTTAGGTAATTCAGTAAATATTACAGGCTCCATTCCTCCTTGTGCCAGAATTAATCCGCATCTAGTGTTTTGGCTTCCTCCTCTTATTTCTAGATTTCTGCTTGCAAAAATTTCAATAACTTTTTTCAGTGATTGTAAACGAGGATCATGACTTTTCTCAAGTTCTATTGATAGCAAATCAAGCTTCTCATAGCTAATTCCGTTATTTATGGAATCTTCTAGCTCTCTCTCCTTTAGAACGAAAATGCCTATTTTTTAGGAAAATTAAACCAAGCACACTTTTCTTTAATATAAAATATTTTTTATATTTTATTAAAGTTGTTAAATAGATCTCTAGTTAATTCTATTAAATTTTAGACAGCTTGTATTCTTTATATATTAATATAGCTTATTTTTGCAAATATTTGTGATTTTTAAAATCTGATTAAATTTAAACAAAAAAAAAAAATGAAAAAAAAAACTTACCTTTCTCTTAAATTGGGAGTAAAGGCTCTTTGGAGATTTCACATATGAGACCACAAATTTCTCCCCCTACTATCAAAGTTACATGAATGGGATCATCAATTTCAGATTTTCATGTGTCAAGAGAATGCTGAGGCGAACTAAACGCTGAGCTTAATAAGTCATCCTCATCATTTAAATTTAATTTTCACGATGAATTTCACTCATTTATATTTTTTTCTGTGATTTTCTTAATAAGTCCTAACCTACATAGTATACTAATTGCGTCAATAATAATTTCTATTGGTATTCCACATTCTTTGCTTATTAATTTTGGTGAAACTTCTGGCTTTAACAGTTTTAGTACGCTCATAATAGCGTTTTCAAAATAAGAATTCCCAATATTTGTATTGAAATTTTTTACATTGTCTGGAGGCTCATCAAACTGGTCATTTTCTTCAATAAAAATATCATACTCAATTATCCCAGACTTATATAGCCCATCCAGTGAATTTTTATCGAAAAGAAAAGCATTAGAAAATCCCTTTGTCGCAAAAGTTGTATACTTGCTTGCTCAGAATAGCCCACTAATGAGTATTTTTTGGTTCGCCATTCTTAAATTTGGTTAGTCGGAAAATATGGCATGCCAACGAATTTGGGGCCCAACCAAAAATGCTCATTAGTGGGCTATTCTTGGTAAATAAGTATATATAATTCTTGCAAATTTGTGAGCTCATCTCGACTCGCTGACCTCCTAATATTAATACCACGATTATTTGATAAAATAGGGAAGACACTTCACCAGTGTTCTACAGATATAGAAAGTGGGGCTGTAGGTAAAAGTCCGCGGATTGCTTTACTCCCCCCCCCTTCCGTGAGTGAACAAAAAAATTTTGTTCACTCACGGAGGGGGGTTAATTTTTTTTTTTCGAAATTTAAAAAAATCCTAATTCGCAAAAATTGGAAAGCAAATATTAATTTAATTTATTAAATTTATGTTTTAAAACGCAATTTGTTTAAAATTAAACAGAATTAGCTCTAGATTTCATTATGCTAATTATCACTTATATATCAAAATTTTTTTCCCATAAAAAATTTTTCTATTAAAAACATTTTTGTTCACTCACAGGGTGGGTTTTTTTGGGGCAAAAAATGCCGATTTTTCTAATGGTTTTGTTCACTCACGGAGGGGGGGGGAGTTAGAAATTTTGGCGGCCCAGCCTCGGTCTTTGCATTTTTGCAAGGTTTCTATATAATTGGTTCTTTGGATTCCTGTTAGTCTTAGGATATCTGCAGCTGTAAAACTAGGGATTTCTTCATATTGTTTTTGCGTTCTTAATGCATCACATAGCATTTCTATATAATAATCAAATGGCCCAGAGCATCCATTCATTGTAAGACTTCTACAAAGATGATAAGGATAAAGCTCCATTTTCATTCTCATATCTCTGAGTATCCCAATAAAAATTGTAATTTAAGGTATTTTATATAATGTATTTATTTTGCTTATTTATGGTAAATTGATTTTAAAAATGTCAAAAAAATTTTGACATGTCATTATATATAAAACTGAGTCTATGGTATGTTAAAATTTTTTTGTATTTTAAAATCAATTTACCATAAATAAGCAAAATGAAATTTATGCAAGGGATTATAACTTTTGATTAATTTATATTCAAAATTAATAATAAAATAATTTTTTTTACTGAAAGGGGAGTGAGTAAAATCCTTATAAAAATCTAAATGCTGATTTCCTTGCCATCTTACTCGATGCTTTTGGTGATAAGAAAGTATCATATTTTTCCACAGATAAATTGGGTTGCCGCCTGGGTTTTTTAGAATTATTTGGTCTTTTATTTCTTCATCAAGATCTTCCCATAATATGATATTTTTCAAGCAATCTTCTTCCATTTTGAATTGTATTAGGTGATAGACTAACTTTATATATAAAGCTCTTTATATTAGTTTTTAAAAATAGAACACAGTCAATATTAAAAATCCTAGTATTATATTATCTAGTATAATGAAGAAAAGATTATAAAAATAATGGAAGAAGATCTAAAAAACAGCTCTGAAACAAAGAAAAACATATTAATTGGTGCTACAGGCTCAGTAGCAGCTGTAAGGACCATCCCAATTGCCCGTGGTTTTATTGAAGCAGGCTACAATGTAAAAATTGCAGTTACTGAAAGTGCTAAAAATTTCATATCTGAAGAGTCCCCAATATGTGAAGTTTATGACGAACAATCCCATTGAAGCCAATGAAAAAACAATCATCAAGTTTTGCATATAAATTTACGGAAATGGGCTGATATCTTACTAATTGCTCCTCTAGATGCAAATACTCTTGCGAAGATGGCAAATGGGCTATGTGACAATTTATTGGTAAAAATAATTTAGACCTGTGTGGTTAGAGCTTGGGATTTTTTAATTTTTTTTTAAAAATATAAAAAATTAATTTTTAAAAAATAATTTTTTTTTTTTATCTATGGGGATTTAAGCAAGCCAATGGTTTTGGCACCTGCTATGAATACTATGATGTGGGAAAATCCGTTTACAAATGAGCATCTTAATAAAGTTAGAGAAGTTTATAATGCTCATATAGTAGGGCCAATAGCAAAAACTCTGGCATGCCAAGAAACAGGGATTGGTGCAATTTCTGATACACAAGAAATTATCAGGTGTTGCATAAGTTTATTATCCAATAATTATATATAGCATGATGTATTAATTTATAAGGAAAATAATGTATTATATTTATATATTATTTAATAGAATATTAAGCTATTTTAATTATAATATTATAATTCAATAATTAAAATTATTTTTTCCTTCTTCCTCTTCTCAATGCAGGAGGCTCAGTCCTTACAGGTGCTTTTTTTACTGCTTTTTTTCTTTTTTTCAGCCTTTTACGACAAGTATGAGCAGCATGGTCTCCTTTTAGCTTAATTCCACAGTCATAACAAAAATAAGTCCTTCCTTGGCATTGAGGAGACGTACATACCATAAATTTACACCCAGAAATTCTCTGAACAGCAGCTCCACACTGTGGGCATCTTAATAGCCCTTCCTGCTCTATTAGCTCATTAAAAAGCCTATCAGCATCTGAATTTTCTATATCTTTTTAAACTAACTAAAATAAATGGTAGCTATACCCTCAAATTCACCCAAATCCAGCATATTTTTCATTCTTTAAATTCTTCACACGTCAAATCTTTATGAACATCATCTTTACACATAGGGCAGCATTTAAATTTACACTGAGGGCATTCATATTCTTTTTCACCTTTTTCCACTATACAAATATACTCACAATCAGCTCCTGGACAATGGAAAATTATACTATCATTATCAATTTCTGACAACTGTAAACCTCTTAATAAGAATTTTTCATATTTTTGGTAAATTTCAGGACCCACTGCGTCTTCAATTTCATACACATTTAAAGGCTGAGTGCAAGCTGGGCATTTTAATTTTTCATCACTAACCTGTGCGGATTCTATAAGCATTTCTATATGCATTTTGATACAATTTGTACAAAAACGGTGATCACAGTCCAAGGTGATCCCGTCTTCGATTTTTACTTCGGTGTAGCAGACTTGGCAGGTGAATTTTGGGCTTAATAAAGCTTTGGCTTCGTCGTCAAGGAGACTGTTAAGGGCTCGATCGCAGGCGTCGTTTTGGATATCTTTTATTCTGCCATTAAATGCTTCATTTAAAATTTCATATTTTGCATAATTGAATATGGATGAGACTTTTTATAGATTAGAAAAAATTAATTTATATAGAAAAGGCATATATGGTATGCTGTTTCTGCACTCTGGACATCTTACATATCTTAATTAGCTTAGCTTAACCTATTATAGACAGGCTCTCTCATCAATTTTTATGCAATTACGAAGATCTCTGATACGAGAGATTCAACCGCTATGCGAACATGTCTTCCATCAGGGATGGCAGTGTCTCCTCCTTACCTTTCGGCTTCAGTGTTGAGTGACGGTCTTCGGATTTGAGTGGCCTTGCTTTGAGGCTGTTGGATGAGGAAGCAAGGGTTGTCTACAAAAATCCCAAAAAATGGAATTTCTGGCCTACTATTGGCAAAATATCCCAGAGCGTAACTCCTGGTTCACGCTGGTGAAGTGCCCGATTGATGTAAGGATTGTCTGTAGACATTGCTGTGCGGTACCTTTCCAGATTCCGGGCCACCCTTCCCTTGAGATCCTTGAAAGCGGACTTGGCTAGGCTCACTACATCAAGAAATACTTACCTAGCATTGCTGTCCATTTCTGGTAAAACCTAGCCTAATATAATAAATATGCGCTCAAAGAAAATCGGCGTAGCCAACCTCGAAGCGCCGAAACGCCACATTTAATTATCTTCTTACATACTCAATATCTAGTAAAGTATTATTTGTGCATAATAAGGCATGTCTTCTTATACATTCATGCCCACAAAAATAATGCTCTAAATCATTACAATTCAACGCAACAGCTTGGGATAAGTCAGATTTCGCTATATATTTCCCACAAAATAAGCAATTTTTTCCAAAAATTTCAATTTTTACCTTCAAATTTAAATTGTGATGCTGCAAAAGTTGTGAAAATAAAGCTATAAAAGAAGGCAAATTCTGTGACTGCAAAGCATAAGTTTTTTTATTTAATGCTGACGATAAGAAATTGTGAGCGATTAGGAGGGTCTCATTATCCATCTATTCAATTCTGATTATTATAAGGAAATAATTAGTGTCCTAATTGGTTATTAATGATATAAAGGTAAAATCTGCAGGTCGCACGCAATTCTGTATTTTTGAGCAGAGAAGAAAGAAGCGCCACAACTCGTTTTTTGCCTTTATTTGTGTGTAGAGAGAAAAGAGTTAATGATTTTATGTATGAAGGGACAAGCTCGTATGGGATTTTTGGGACTTGCACCAAGAATAGGTTTTCCAGAGGCAAAGCTTGGATAGGGTTTGACAAGAAATACTGTGAAAATAGGTTTAAGGTAGAAATAATTGAAGCGATATTTGTGGTAGATGCTTGCTGAGCCTCATTTACTTGAGAAAGCTTAAATGAGATTGATTTTCTCATCATAATTTTTTTCCTTCTATGTTGGGCTGCATTTCCTGGCTTTTTTAACCTTAAAGATTTTGCGTTACCAAGGACAACGTCATCTGAAGAAGTAAGTCTGTTAAGATCTTCAATAATTTTTTCGCATAATTCGTGAGTGTCTATGTATGAAAAACTTAAATCAGTTGCAATGTTTCCTGTAGCTTTTAATAGCTCTTTTAATAGCTTATTATTTTGTTCAGAAAATCCTGAGGTGGTTAGCAGCCTTGAAGTCATGGCCAAAATTTGGGGATGCGAAGAACTTGTACCGAGAATTTTAATTAGTTGTTTTAATCCTTCTGAAAGCTGCTTTATCACAAATGATTTTAGATCGGAGAACTGCTTTTTATTGAGGCTAAAATCAGCATTTCATTCACAATTCAGGATTTTTTCGAAGGATTCTTGTAGTGGTGAAATTTCTAATTCCCTCTTGGGTTAGCAAAATAGCCTTTAGAAAACCCCCTATTTTGAAAAATTAGGACCTCATTTTTAAAAATAATTTTTTTTTTTAGAAATAATAATAATTTGGCATATAATTAATGATATGATGGGACAATTTTATTAATTTTTTGAGATTCTTCCTATATTTTATTTTAAAAATACAAAACTATATACAATTTTTTTTTTAAAAAATTTGCACCCTTCCTTAGCGAGCAAAAATATCTTACTTGATGGCCAAGGGGGTAGTAAGGATAATGAGCCTTCGTCAATATTTCTTATGATTTCTTTTAAAATGTGTCCATTTCTTTCAGCATAAGTAAAGAAAACTTTTTCATCCACAATCGGGGAATTTCATTTGGCTTCGGCTTGGTCCAATATTTCCTTGAAGCCATCCAAAACTCTTGGCAGGCTTTTTGCCCAGCCTTTCTTGAATTCTTCAACTGCATCATCAATATTTTTCCACTTTTCAATGACATCTCTGACCTTTTGCATTGTAAATTTATTATAATATTTTATTAATATTAATTTTCTCTTTGGCTAGACAATTTACTTGATTAAATATTTTGCTTTATCATTTGAAATTTTCTGCTTTTATATAAATCAAGCATTTTATATAAAAAATTTCAAAATTTTAAATGTAAAAATAAAAATTGGGAATTTTCCCAATAATAAATAAATTTCATTCATATAAATTGAAAATTTTGTATTAAAAGCCTGAGGGTTAAGCTATTTTAACATTTTTTATTCAAAAATTTGCTTGTTTAATCCCGAATTTATATTAAAATGGCTGTGTTTTTCATAAAAATTGCTATAACCGGGGTGCTTTTAGCTGCTGTTGCTGCAAATGAAGAGAATATAAAAGCAAGGCTGAGTCAGTTTGCAAAATGATTGAAAAGAAAGCTGAAAGGAAAAGAAGCTAAAGTTTCAACTAAAAGAGGACATAACCCTGAAACTGAGAATGAGGCTGAAGGGATGGAAGCTTTGCTATAGAAATTTCCCATAGATGGCGCTGTTTGCCCTTGATTTGCCCACTGGAGAAATTTTTTGGTTCGACCAGTACCATGTGGTTTGGTCAAACCAAAATATTTTTCTCATGGGCAAATCAAGGGCAAACAGCGCCATCTATGGGAAATTTCTATATGTCCTATTTCTCATGAATTAATGACAAACCCAGTGATAACTCCATATGGGCACTGCTTCCAAAAAGAATACATTGAGCAGTGGCTTGATGGTCATGACTACTGCCCCTTAACACGACAAAAATTATTGAAATCTCAATTAAAGCCGTGCTACACGTTAAAGTATGCTGTAGATCAGTATATTAACTTGCAAGGCAAGATTAAATTTGAATAATTTAATTATCGTATTTTGTTTATAATTTAATCGTATCTAAATATTCTTGTCAGTAAACCCATCTAAATTTATATTCTTTTTTATATTTCAGCTCTATTTTTCAATATAAATATCATTCTTTATCAATTTTCTCTTCAAAGACACCAAAAATCTTTATCAGTGTTTAATATTTAAATTAAATAATGGCTTAAAGTAATAAAATTAATGGAGAGCGATAGCTTAGTTCCACCACTTGGATTAGGATCTTCAGACGAAACTGACGAAATAATGTAAAACTTATATAGAAAACAATTAGAAGCCCAAAGAAGCACCTATGAGAAATCAGGAGAGTTTCTGGAAGCTGAAAAAGTCCATCAAAGAATCCTCCATTTCAAAGCTGAACAAAAACAGAGGCGTGAAGACGAGCTTTCAGAAAGACAAGCCAAAGAAGCCGCTGATTTAGAAACCACTTTTGAAGAAGAATTCAAAGCATTCAATGATGACTGGGATAACCGTATGAATACTTATAAAGAAAACTGCAAAGAAATGGAGCAGCAGATGAAGGGAAAACAAGAAAATGAGTTCGAAACCACGAAGAAAAGCCTTGAAGAGTCAATTCCAATAATTCCTAACTCCCCCCCTCCGTGAGTGAACAAAAACCATTAGAAAAATCCCTATTTTTTGCCTAAAAACCCACCCTCCGTGAGTGAACAAAAATTTTTTTAATAGAAAAAATTTTTTAATTTGATATATAAATGATAATTAGTATAGTAAAATCTAGAGCTAATTCTGTTTAATTTTAAACGAATTGCTTTTTAAAACATAAAATTTTGCAAATTGAATTAATATTTGCTTTCCAATTTTTGCGAATTAGATTTTTTTAAATTTAGAAAAAAAATTTTTATAAAATTTTATATATAAAAATTTTTATAAAAAATTTATATATAAATTTTTAAAACAAAAAAATTAACCCCCCTCCGTGAGTGAACAAAATTTTTTGTTCACTCACGGAAGGGGGGGAGTAAGCACTCCTCAGAATATTTAAACCTTAAAAGAATCCAAGATACCCTTGTAAGAAACAAAGAATACGTCGAAGCCCATGCAATCCAACAACAAATGATTGACCTTGAAGAAAACGAAAAAAAAGACTGGGGAAAGGACAGAGACACCCAAATTTCTTTAGCCTTGTCAACTCTTAGCAAAAGGCACGAACACGAGCTAGAAGCATTTAAATTAAAAGCTGGCAAAGGCTTTGATGAGCTTAAAAAACTGCGTGCAGCTGAAATGGAAAGTTTACTAAAAAGATACCAAAACCTGAAAGCTGAACAGAAAAACGCCCACAAGCTGCAAAAAAATAGATTTTATGGGAAACATACAACAGGCTCTGGGCTTTATAAGACGGAAAACACTGCTTCTTCTAAAGTTCTGTTTACACCAAGAGCACAATTGAATAGGCCATCAACTGCAGCTTTAAGACTGACTATTGAAAGTCATGACGAGAAAGACGCCCAGCAAAATAATTAAGTTAATAAAGATTAATTTAAGAAAAAAATTTATGTCAGAAAATCCAGTTTTTAAGCAGTGGGAAAGTGAGGAAAAAGGGAAGCTTGATAGAGAAAAAGCGAAAATAAATGATAAAAAGCATTTGCAGATGGTGGAAAAGGCACAAAATTTGAATAATATGCACCCTTTAAAAGATTTAAAACTATTACGGCATATGCAAAGGAAAGAAACATTCCACAAAAAATCATCCATAAGAGTTCATTGAAAACCGAAATTTCCAAAAAATTTTGATTCTTTGAAAAACCTTAAGTCTGGAGACTGCTCATCATATATAAAATCTTGCTTTAAAGGCAATCATAATAGATATTTTTCAAATGATACAGCTCTAGATATAAATTTTATGAACAGCCCAAATCATCACATTTTTAAAAAAAGGACAAATTTCAGTACTGTTATTTGGGAAAATTTATATGATTTTGATGCAGAAGAGGACGATGGAAGCATAAACAATTTAAATTGAATTAAACAAGAAAATTTAAATAAGTTTAGCAAACTTATTTATGATAGATTAAAATCGGTGAAACATCAAAACCATAATGATTTTACAAAAACCGATTTAAATTTGTCTAAGCCTTCCGGTCAAAAAAGTATTGAACTGTCTTTAGCTGAGAAAAAGAAAAAAAAGCAAGAAAAATGAAAGAAAATTGCGAAAAATATAAAAGACTACAGAAGAAATCATAGTCTTTTAGGAGAAGACCTAAACAAACAGCCAATCATGCATACGTTAGCTGATTTGCCTTGCGTTTCCAAATATAATCCAAATAAGCCCATCTGCAAAGCCAAGACTCTGCAGGCTAATTACCCCAGAAACCTAAATTATCCATAATTTGTATTTGAATAATTAATCCCATAATTTAGATTTATTTTACTTGCTCCTCCCTTTTAAATTTGAACAAAGCATCGGTAAAATTTGCATTTTTTGAGTACTTTAATCCCTTTAAATTGTAACAAAGTTTTGTTTTTCAATGGGAAAATTTAAACAAAAATATATTAAAAAAACTTATAAAATTAATTTTGACCTAATTAATAGACAAAATGCAAATAGAAGCTATTTAAAACAATTTTCACACTCAGTTGATTAAAAATAAATTAAAATTCAAATTATTGTGTCAATTTATATTTTTAAAAAAATAATTAATAATAGCTTTAGCATAAATTAATAGAAAAAATGCAATTAGAATTCTATTTAAACAGTTTTTACTCTGAATAGATAATTTATTATTTTATTCTTCATAAAAATTAATTAAATATTAAAGTATCGTGCCAATTTATTTTTTTATTTAAAAAAAATTAACCTCCCTTTAAGTCGGAGCAGAATTTTTAAAGTGGGGTAGGGAGTTATGATTTCTATTTAATTTCCTATCAAAAATCTTACAATAAGTTTATCCGTTATTTTTAAAATTCCCCTATTAATTTCACCCTTTTCTAGACAAATATTACTGTGATTTATAAGCAACAAATAAGAAAAGACATATTTGTGCGATATCAATAAACTTATCATTGGAATAATTAATTACCGTTGATAGACATGAAAAGAAGCAGCACTTTACAAGATATCCCTAAGTTTATTAATACAGCAGTTTCCCCTGCTGGCCTTTTTGTATCTATCACTTCTAATTCAATAAGCCATGTAATGAGAACCACAAAAGGGAAAGAAAAACTACTAGCCCTAGCCCAATACTCCTCTGAGCTTTATAAACTCACTATGTTTGACTACTTAAAGGCAAACAAAATCCAAGAATGACCAATAAAAGTCAAAAATTTCCACGAAATCGAAAAATCTATGAAAAATGGGCGAAAATTGATGAGAGTCCTTATGTTTTTTGACGAGCTCAACGTAATTGAAAAAATTTGGACTACAAACCGGACGCTTGATTTTGTAAAAATTTTGAGAATTCTGGCACATTTTGCTAGCACTGTTTATTATATTCTAGACAACCTAGTTTGGCTCGCTGATATTGGAATTATAAGCAAATTCATATCTACAGCCAATATTAGATGAAAAGACACTAAAGACATTTCTTGCATAGCAAGGTGCATACTACAATTTACCATTGATTTTATTACAGCAATAAGAACTAATAAACATATTAAGGCAGCGACTGATATCCTTCAAGAAAATTCGACAAAAGTGATTCATGAGAAAGGATAAATAAATGGCATTCAGTTAGAGAGAAATTAGCTCTACTAATTTTCTCTCCCTCATAAATTTTTATTTAGGCTCCTTCTCGAGAACTTCTGCACAGCAACAGCAGCTTAACTTTGGGATAACCAGAGGAACTGCTGCTCACAGTGCAACCAAGAGGCTCAAAGTTTTACCTCTCAGCACATCTGAGGAGATGACCCTTTAGGCGGAACAAGCTCAGGAGCTGATTGATGGCATTGCGCTGGATGAGAAGCATTGGCCAAGGTGGCAGGCCGTTTATTTGAGATACCGGCCTTTTGGAATAGAAATGCTTATGACGTCACCATTTTGACTCTGTCCTTTTAGTGGAGTGCAGCGTTAGACACTTTAAAAACTTTAATTAATGTATGGATGATTCACGAGAAAGATGAAAAATATCAGAAATTAGTTGAAAATTTAATTGATTGCAGACGTGAACTGAGATTTAAAAAAATCGATATTATTGTTACAATATTAAGATTCCTCATGCTTGCAAAAGCTCTAAATTTTCCATGGACGAAAGGGATGAGCCATATTTTCGTAGCAATCTGTGGGGTTTGTTCAAATTCTTTATCAATATTCAATATTTTGATAGCTGAGCCTGTAGTTAGAATTGAAGCCAAACAAGCTCCAGAAAGCAAAGATAAAAAGCTAAATTTAATTTCTTAATAAATGGAGAGTTATTTTTTTTTTAAAAAAAAAATATTTTTTAATTATTTTTTATTTTTTAATAATATTTAAACCCAAATGGATAGTTCGACAAGCAACAGGATTTGGAACTCAGTTATGCTTTCAGCTGAAGAAGTCAACGTCTACCGTTTCGACGAAGACGCCAACGACCGTTTACTCGACCAGCACCCTTGGACTTCTGATGAGCGCTATTTCACAAAAGTCCGTATTTCTGCTGTAGCCCTAATCAAGATGGTCATGCATGCAGTCTCAGGAGGGAATATTGAAGTCATGGGCTTAATGCAAGGTAAAGTTATTGGCAGAGAATTCATTGTATTAGACGCATTTGGGCTACCAGTCGAAGGAACCGAAACCAGAGTAAATGCAGGGGCAAGCGCTAATGAATATATGGTTAATCATGTTACTATGGGAGAAAGTGTAGGCAAAACTGAAGGCACCTGTGGCTGGTATCACAGCCACCCAGGCTACGGCTGCTGGCTATCAGGAATTGACGTAAATACCCAAAAACTCCACCAGCAAGCTGAAGATCCTTATCTTGCTATTGTAATAGACCCAATCAGAACAATTTCTTCCGGAAAGGTCGAAATTGGCTGCTTCAGGACTTTTACTGACAATTATCACCCCCCTGAAGCTGAAGAGTCAGAATACCAGCATATTCCGCTAAATAAAATCGAAGATTTTGGCGTTCATTATAAGCATTATTATACCTTAGAACATACGATTTTTAAGTCATCAATGGATACAAATATTTTGGATCTTTTGTGGAATAAATACTGGACACAGACCTTAAGTTCGTCCACATTGCTTAAAAATAAAGATTACGCGAATTCAGCTATTGCGGATTTATCAGAAAAATTAGAAAGGTTTGAAAGACAAGGCAGAGGGGGAAGAGGACCATGGGCAATGCATGGAGGAGAAAAAAACCAGCTTTCGAAGATTGCGCAGGATGCTGCTAAGATAGGCTCACAACAGGGCCAAGGGTTGATTAATATGCTGCTGAAAAATCTGCTTTTTTATCAACCTAGAGTAAAGGACTAAAATTAATTCAATTATTAAATGAAATTTATTAAAAATGATTTAATAGCCATTATAAATATGAATACATATACTTCTAGTGAGAATCTTCACGCAAATGACCAATTTGAAGATAATTTTAACCAAAATTTGACCTTTATTGTGCGTTCTAAAGAGAAAATTAAAGCAAAAATGATGGAGACAGCTATAATTTCAGGGAAATCTAAACATCTCCACACAAAATCAAAAGAGAGAGTAAAATCTCCTTATGACCCGACAAAATTTTATAAAAAACCTAAAATTTCGCATTTATTGAAGATCCCGTGCCCAAGCTGAGAAACTGATTCAAAAGAAACAATAAAAAATAATGATAACCAGGCTATATTAAAACTCCCAAGGTGCGATATTGTTAAAGAATTCATCGAAAGCCCAAGAAAAAAAGAAAAAGCTCGATACAAATATTACAATAATTTCCAAAAAATATCATTATATGAAACAGAAAATAAAATTCCTTACGAAAGAGTAAAAACAAGCTACCATATGAAAAGAAAAAATAAAAGCTCTGATTTCGAAGAAGTCCAGATGGTTCGGAGCTTTAAAAGCCCTAAAAAACAAAAGCTTGAGACACCTCTGTTACAAAAGAGAAGATTATCAAACAAAGACGATGAATTATTTATAGAATTTACTAACCTTACAGAAGGAAAATAATTTTTTTTTAAAAAGAAAATGTAATAGGCATTTCATGCACCAGGAATTGGCCTACTAGATGCAATCAGACTGATTGTGACCAGTAAAATAAGTTTACTGTATCACAAAAAGGTCCAAGGCCTATGTAATTTTTTTACAAAATGTTTTATTAGAAACTCAAGAGACTAAGTACATACAAAAACAAAAAGCAATTTTCAAAAATAAACTGACAGATTTGCCATCCCCAGTTAAAAATAGCCCTCCAAGTCCAGACTACCACAAAGAAGACAAATTATGGACTTTTAACCTCAACCCTTCAGCAGCTTCAATTTTCATCGAAACACCCTATAATTAATGTTTATTTTATTTGATGAGATTAGATTAACTAAAAGCTGTACCCTTGGTCTCTCATTAATGGTCCTCTTGTATAATAATCTGGTGGGTAAAATCCTGGCCCATACCATCTAGCTTTAATTCTGTAAACTGAGACTATTGTATAGGCAGAATATATAACAGCCAGTAAAATTGCGAACCCAAACAGTCTAATTCTATAAGGAGGAAGCTTACTTAATGCTCCAAGTGCCACAACTCCTAGCCCTCCTATCGTGATTAAAAATCCCATTAAAAATCCTTCAGCGCCATATTGGCTTCTCTGGCCTGAATGAATAAGCTCTGGAACTCCTTTTTGGCCTGACCCCACCATTGGGACTCCGTGAATAATATCATACACAACACCTGAAATGCACACGAAATACACCAAAATGCTGCCGAAAAGCCACATATAAGGCACTAATAGCAAGTCTTTCAGCTTATAGACCAATGTAGCAATAAACAAAAATATAGCGACCATATAAATAAACATCATCAAAGACTGCAGCACTGGGGTCTGCATTTGGATATTTCTGCCTGACCTGTTGTTAATAAATTTAAATAATTGAATATGAATCTCAGCCCTTCGCGGTCGGCTACACCTACTCCTTCGAGTACATATTTAATTATATCCTGTAAGGTTTTACCAGAAATGGACAGAGTATTTCTTGACGTATAAGAGCCTAACTAAAGACCACTTTCAAGGATAGATTTACCTCAAGGCGAAGGGTTTGCGTAGACAAATCTGCATGCAACCCATAGACCAATCAGGGACTTCACCAGCATGAAACCAGGAGTTACGCTCTGGGATAAGTGTTTTCCCTTTTTGCCGAGAGTCGACCAGAATTCTATTTTTGGGATTTTTGCGGTTCCCCATCAAACAACCTCAAGCAAGGCCGCACAAATCCGAAGACTATCCACTCAACACTGAAACCAAAAGGTAAGGAGAAGACACTGCCATCCCTGAAGGAAGACACGGTCGCAAAGCGGTTGAATCTCCCGTATCGGAGATCCTCGGTGATTGCTTAAAAATTGGGCGAGAGTCTGTCTGTAAGTTAAGTTAATAAATTCTAATAATTTGTAAGCGTGGGCGTCACTTCCCATATTAAATTCCCACATATCTTCTCTCTTGACTGTGAAGGTTTTCCCATTGTTGAGAATATTTTTTGGCTTGCTGACGAAGAGATTTGGGGCTGACATAAATTCGTGTTTTTGAAAAATTTCTTGGGTTTCTGTTGGTTTTTTAAAAAAATCATTAAAAGATAAATAATAGGCTAATTTTATTAAAATAATATATGGTAATTTACCTTTAGGAATTTTTATTGGTTACCTGTTTCTGTTAAATATTCAATTTCTGCGAAAAATACAGGCAATTGAGTAGGGTCGTCAGAGTTGGACTCGGCTCCAGCTGTTTTGTACGAATAAATAACTTGGTCGAGCAGTCCATGGATTTGTTCACATTGTAAGCACTTGAATTTGGTGACATCTGCTGTGAAGTAGACAACTACGATATAAGGACGTGGAGAGTCTACGATATAATGGTAATAGCCTGTTGTATTTAAACGAATCATGCCTTGGGATGCTGAAGACAGGGCACGGAGCTTTTCAAGCTTTGCTTTACTAGATGGGGATATACATTAAAATGGCATCGAGGAGATCTTAAATCTTAGATCTTATAATAGGGCCTTAGGAAGGGAGCCTTGAATTGATTTGTGTATCCGACTTTATGTAAAGACGGAGTGAGACGCTGATCAGATCATATAAATCCGTGTAGGTTTTTCCTCATGAAGGCTTGGAGTTTAAAAATTCTCCTAGCCACGCTAGATGACACTCATTGAGAATTTTGACACTTGCCTAGCGTAATGCCTGAGTCCTGAGCTTTGAATCTCCATTTTGCCTTCAGCTGACCTTGAAAATCGACCTTTTAAATTTTTCTATGGAAGTTAAACATATCACCATGAATTGCCCGATGTTTTGGGCCGTAAAATCCCTATTTGATAAAACCAAATGCTGGCTTGGATCGCAATATAAGGCCGTTTGCAGACTGATGAGTAAGAGGTGGAGCTTTATGGAATAGAATAAGTGCTTTCAGGTACTGACAGTGGACTTATCTTATATTATAATTAACGATTATCGCTTTACCAGCTGGCTCAATAGAATAAGCAAAAGCTAACTCCTGTGTTATTAATTTCTTATTTTTGAATTTTATAAAAAAAAATTTATCTTATAATTTGGGAGAGGATTAAGAGAAAAATCAAGGCTAAGAGGCTCTTTGCCATTTATAAGAAAATTGCACTAATAATAGAAAATTATGCTGCAAGTTTTCAATACTTGATACTCAAGAAGTTGGTTAAAAAATGGCTATAAACCTGGTTTGGGTTCATCTGCTTATTTATTGGGCTGAAGGATTTAAAATCTCTTTATATCAAGACTAACTTGCTTTCTTATTATTTATATAAATATAATATAGCAACATTGTATTTTTGCCTTTGCATTATTAAAGTGTCATGCTAAGGCGAAGAATGCGAATTGGCATATAAATAGTTGTCAAATTAAAAAAAATCATGAGATAATTTATCCATATAACAAAATAACCATTATTTTCCTTCATTTATTTGCGTTTCTTTAAAGCTGTTCTAGGTAAAGCCATTACTGACACTTATAATTCAAATATATTCAAAAATACCTTCTTATTAAATTATATCTTAATTAACTAGAATTTATGCAAGAGTAAGAAAATAAAAATCCCAGAAAAATACCATAAGACTGTATTGCCTAGCTATCTTCATTAATTAACTCAATTAAAATATTTGGATCAGTCTTCATCACTATCATACTTTCTCCACTCTGACTGTTTTTATAAACAATCATTTGATGGTCTCTTGCTTCTATTAAAAAATCCTTCAGTTGCTTTTGGTTAGTCACCAATATCTCGTCTTCACAGATCTTATAGAATTCACTAAAAAGTATCCCTTTAGGCTGCGTTACATGAATATTAGCCAGCTGCAGCAGAATATCTCTTTGGATTCGCGTCATACTTTGAAGAACGTATTTTGTTCCTCTAATTTGAGCAAAAGTAGTTGATTTGTGAAAAATTGGCAAATTTTCCACAACTGAAAGCTCTTCTGTATATGGATAAAAAGTAGTGGCAGGGATATAAACTTTATTGTATAAATAATAAAACAAATTTATAATAATAAATTATTTTTTAAATAAAAATATAAAAATTTGCAAAATTATATGAAGAGAAAATTTATAAAAATGATATAAATGAAATTATATCGAATATTTGTATCAATTGACCATCTGAATAATAAATATGGATTGTCGAGAGACGCCACTAAATGGACTGCAGGATGATTAGCAATTCTGCTTAAAATGTCTTGACCATAATAAATGGCTTCAGATGAGGAATTCACTCCGTGAATTTCATCCCTCACCCAACTTTTATTATTAGGTTTTTACTCTTGCATTTCTGTCTGCTAGGGAAGAAATGGGGACAGTTTTCTTACTTCGCATCCTAGAAGCATCGTGTTTTACCTCTTTTCACTGCCCGATAAAGGCGGAGCCCTTAGATCAAGCAGACGCTCTAGGAAATTCCAATAGATTGAGTCAATGCGCCAAGCCTCAAGTGGTCTCGGCACTTCTGGGCTTTCAAATGGCTTCATGGAAGTTAGAAAGAGCGAACTTTGTGAACATGCCGTACTATCAAAGGAAGTGATCAAGCCGAGGAAAAAGGCTGTCTTTGCCCTGCACGCTTAAGGCCTAACTCGAGGTAAGTTATAAGTCTAAGCTTAAAATGTCCTGTGTTTCTGTTAAAGTAAAATTTTGCCCTTCAATATTGTGTATTATTATAAAAAAATGAAATGGGCTAACCTTAGAAATTTCTGTCAATAAGTTCAAGGTTTTAGTTACAAGAGTTTCTGGTTTTCCACTCATAGGAGGGTCTTTTCCTAAATTCTCCCAAATTCCTTCTAAAACTTTTCTAATTGTCATTAATGGGTGATAAGCTTTAATAATCATCCTTGGAGGGTCATCATTTTCTAAATACTCATAAAATGTTTCTAACACTTCAAGTTTTGATCCAGGTCCATATAAAAGTATCCTATATTCATGGCCATTTTTACTATAATTTTAATTATCATGTATATTTCTAGCTTAACTAAAACAGGATAAATTAAACCCTTGCAATAAAGTTTCTTTTCAATAATCAAATTCCTTTTCAAAGCCTAATTCATTGTAACTTGTGCTATGGATTGAGTCATCTTTTGCTCTGAGAGGGTCAAGCTTAAATTGCAGATTGGCAAGAGATGAGCGAGCTTCAACATTTGCTGCTATATAGTCAGGAATTTCTCCAGATTCTAAAGGGTTTATACTGGATTTTGACAACTCAATTTTTTGATTTTGAAATGATTTTAATGAGGCTTGGTTCATTTCTTCGACTAACTCTTCTTCTTCGTTTTCTTCTTCACTATTAACTTTTTACAAGATGACGGGTACAAAGTCCAATGTGTCCGGTGAGTTGATAATAGCCCCAGGTAAGTGGATCCTATCGGTTTAGGAGGCTCAGGAGGATTTTTCTGGTTAAGACCCATGATAGGCTTTTCTTCTCGGCCCTAGGCAAGAACTAAAGGCACAGTGCCAGCTCATATTTCTGGGAAGCAATATTTGCTTGCACAAGGATTGGTCAAGAAGGATATTTTGGCGTAAACTTAAACCCTGTGCACCACCAGGGATTTAGAGAGTCCTTAGCCGTAAAGGCAAGATTCAAGCAAGGTCGGGACTCCTAGAAAGAAAGGTGACTTCAGCATGAAAAGGACATTATATATGACCCGTCGGTGCCTTAGGGAACATTAGTCCAGGACCAGTTAAGGACGAATAGAGGCTGAAATGATCCTCCGCGACCCTAAAATTAATGCAATCTAATCTTCAGCATTAGATTTGTTATCCTCACTTTCATACTCTAGACTTGAATCTTTATCAATATCTTCAAAGGCAGATGGATCTTGGCTTTCTTTGAGTTTTTGTATTTTCTTAATCATACCTGCCATTTTATTAACTCCCCTTCATAAGTAAATACAAATTTGAAATCCTTATATTTTGTGAAAAAATCAATCCTTCATCAAAAATATTAAAAATTTTTTTTACGATTATAATAATAAAAATCTGTTTAATTTTAAATAGCTCGATAAATTTTTTCGATTAATTTTTATATTTCGTGACTTTTTAAATAAAAAAAAGCTAAAAGAGGAGTGAGAAATTATTATCTCATGTTAAAAGTTGAATTTTCTCTATTCCAGTATATTTCAATTATTTTCATTAATTACGGCATCATAATGCATGATATTATTATTTAATTCATAAATATGCAAGCGGCCATCTCAGCTTCCAAGTTCCAGAGGAATACCCCTGAGTTTTCGATTCGCAGAAAAACAGCTGTAGGAATAAAAGAAAAATGCCAATCAATCGAGATTAGCGACTTTGCTGACATAATTAAGGCACAATGTCACATTAATATGCCAATATCTTCGACAGATGACTTAGCGACGCTAATTCCTCCAACACCCCAAGTGCAAGAAATGAGGCATCAGAGGCAGTCCTCAGCTTCAGATTTGTTTAGATCTTTTACAGAAAGGCAAATTATGATCGACGAACCAAGCTCAGCAACAATTGATATAAATCCTATTTATTAGAAAAATAATTTTACCATATAATTTTCTAGATTTTATTAATTTAACACAAAAATCAGCAATTTTTAGCTTATAAGCCATATAATTTCCCAATATAAGGTATAAATCCAAATTAAGATCCTCAATTGAAAATAAACTCCATGAACAATTTCTCGACAAAATTTCTGAGGAGGAATGGCGTATTATTCATAATGAAATTTACCAAATAACTGATATAAACAGACTAGGACTACTCGAAAAAATCTTAGGTCTCAGCATTTCAAAACTAAACCCCGACGACATCAAAGAGTTACGTAAACTAGGGAGAAATTCATGCATCCTGTGTGGATGCAATTGCAGGGCTAACACACTCAGCCCTGTTTCTCTGCCTCCAAGAAACTCTCAGCCAAGAACAGATAGGTCAAGTCCTTTTCCTCAACAAAGCATTTCTACCTTTGACTTGTCTGAAAATTCGAATTTTAAAAAATGCAAAAAATGTCTCTGCTATACAAATGTGTCGGATTCAAGCTCGTATTGTGAGTATTGCTTGATTTCTCCTGTAAATGAAACGATTTTGAATGAACAAATATCTTAATCTTAATTAATTTATTTTTAATTGGGGAATCTGGGAAAGGCTTAATGAAATTCAGTTTTTTTGAAAAAATTAACAAATATCGATAATAATGCAAATAAAATCAAATTTAGAAGCCCCGATCCGAAGTCTTCTTAGTTAAGATTATTGAAAAGCTTGTAGTGATACCTCGAAAGGCTATTTATCCTGCCTTGATTTGTAACTACCTGTCGTTTGCCTATCCGCTATGCTCCTCCATAAATGGGCTCACAACTAGTGGAGTGAAGCGGGGTGAGTCACGTGTCGTACGCCTACTTAGGTTGCCCTTCCAGAAAATTCGAGAAATCGAATTTTCTGGTCAAGGTGTCGACAAAGATGGAGATCTTCGCCTAGCGCAGTGCTTTAGGCAGATTACCCGATTTCGAGAGGGGTTCCCTTTCCAATACTGAGCATCTATCTTATCCCAGAGATAAAATCTTGACCTAGAATGAGCTGTGGCTGTCCTAATCGGCATTGCACTCCACAAAACCATAAAGCCTGGTCAAATACATACCATCGTCCCTTCCACAAGGTCCCTGGGTTTCCCTGCAACAGGTGTTGTAGGGTTGGTTCACCACACCAAAAATCGTCAAGAATTCATGAAGCTCCACCATTATCAACTAATGTATTTGGGGATGGAAAACTAAAATCAATTACTCCTCCTAAAAGAAGGCTTCCAAGCATGTCTGGGTGCTCTTCTAAAGAGTCCCAGCAAGACAATGGCCCATTTTCTGTCGATTTTTCGATTGGTGGGAACAAGCTTTCAGTAGATTTATCACTGAAAAATCAGTATTTGAGGATAATCATTCCACAAAATATTAACCCAAGCTCAAGAGACTCAATTAATAATGAGAAACCTACAAATGGCCCTGAAAATTTAATGCAGACTACTTTTACTCAACTGAATGTCCCTCCCGCTGTAAAAAACCCTATTACCCCTTGCTTTAGGCTGCCTCTTGATAAAATTCTAAATGAAGAGCCTAAAGAACTGCAAAGTGAGTCTTCTAATGAAATATCTAATATAATAAAAATCATTGGAAAATTAAAGTCAGCTTGCTCTCATTTGCAGTCAAAATCTACGAATTTGTTAAAGCAAATTCTCAGCCCATCTGAAAATTCAGATTATAAAAACTGATACCTTGACTATTTAGTCTGCATGAAATCAATACTCAAAGGAATTTCCAAAATTTTTCCTCAAAATGCGAGTGCGTTAGAAACCATGATTAAATGTACGTCATTGCTATTTGACTCACTTTTAATCAAAATTGATGAGCTAATCCAGCAATCTTTGAATTTCAAAGTAAAAGCTATAAGTTTACAGAACGAGATGCAGAAAAAAGAAATAGAATTTGAAGCTCAATATTCGCAAATGAATAATATTCTTCAGAAATATGAAGGAATTATTGAGTATTATAAACTCTGCGAGTCAAGAACTCCAAGTGTTTAAAGATTTCTTAAATTTAAAAAAAATTATATATATTACAAGTCTTTCCTTTTCATTTGTTTTTGGATTTCTTTTAGCTCTTTCATATGCAAATTAATATTTTCATTAATTTCCTTATCCCCTCTCTCCGTGAGCGAAGAAAAAACCATTGAAAAATCTGCACAAAACCCCACCCTCTGTGAGTGAACAAAAATTGTTTTAATATAAAAATTTTTTATGAAAAAAGATTTTGATATATAAATGATAATTATTATAATGAAATCTCTAGCTAATTCAGTTCCATTTTAAACAGCTTGCATTTCAAAATATAAATTTCGCAAATTAAATTAATTTTTGCTTCTCAATTTGGAATTTTTTTTAAAACGAAATTTATAAAAAAAAATTAGCCCCCTCCGTGAGCTAATAAGATTTTTTTTTCTTTGCTCACGGAGGGGAGTTAGCCACATCCATAAAATTTTTCGGCATCTCATATATTTCATTTTTCGCAAATTCCCCGAGATGGTACATTCCTTTAAATCTTTTGAGATGCTCTGGCAGTTCTAAAGGCGGCCACTTCAAAAACTCGTCTAATTCATTATTCTCTTCTTGCCTTTCTCTAGACAGCTGCTTATCAAGGCTCGGCGCTTTTATATGTTTAAAGAAACGCTGATGTATTTCGTCCATGTCCATTAAATCTGTAGACAAAACATTTCTTTTTGAAATTTTTGTCCTATAAGTTGGTGTTGAGAGAAATTGCATGCTTTTTGTATGGCCCATTTCATATGCAGGCTTAGGGTTATAATACCCGACCTCAGGAATTTTTCATTTTGCTTTGGTCCTTGGAAGTGTTTTTAAAGATGAGGACAAAAAAGGAGCCTTTTTAGGAGTTTTAGGAAGAGACCCTGGCTCCAAATTGGTCCGTGGGGTATTTTCAGGAACTAAAAAGCGGCTTGAAAGCAGTTTCCCAGTACTTCCTCTTTCATGGACAAAAGGAATAAAAATATTGCTTTTATACAAGTTAACACGCTTTGGAGTATCCGAAATTGCCAGCGGCAAGTTTCTTGCCGTTAGCGGTGTTGTAGGCTTTGAGTCTAAAATTGCCATGCGAGCTGTGATGGATCCTAGTTTATTCGTGTCTCTTTTTTTCATTATTATCATAAATTTCTTTTTACAAATAAACTTATTCTATAAGCCTTAAGCTTTTTAATGAATTTTATAATGATCTATTCCGCCTATCTCTAAGCCTCTTATAAAACATTGGCTAAAATGGCAACAAGAGCTAAGATTCTTAAACAGTCAGAAAACAAGAACCTAATCGCCGTCATCGGTGACGAAGACACTGTTACTGGCTTCTTATTGACTGGGATTGGCGAAAGGAACCACAGGGGCGAGACAAATTTCTTTATAGTAGACGACGCAACCCCACAATCAGCAATTGAAGAAGCTTTTCAAAGGTTTTTGTCAAGGCAAGATATTGCAATTATCCTGGTCACCCAGAAAATCGCTGATAGAGAAATAAAGCACTTAATTAGCTCACATGACGATATGTTGCCTGCAATTTTGGAAATTCCAAGCAAAGATTGTCCTTATGATCCGGAAAAAGACTCAATCATGCAGAGGGCTGCAAGACAGCTGTATGGGGCTGATAGAGCAGAAACGGAACTTAAAGCGCCTTCAGCTAAAAAAGTTGCTTAATTTAGGAGATAGTTTAATGATTGATATAAATGGGATGAGTTTTGTGGGAAATTTAGGCGAAAATGATGATTTTAGGCGTGTTTCTTAATAATTTATAGATTTTGCTTAATTTTCTCTTACTTATTGAAATAAAATCTGTATATCATGATAAAAGTTGAGGAAATATGGATCAAATAAGTGAATGACTACATATGATTAGCGAGGATCCCCGAGACGATACCTTAAAAATTACAATTCTTGAGTCCTTAATTGATAGATATTCTTGCTACAAATACATTAACCGATCAAGAAGAACTAGTCATTTTGGCATTAAACCGCTTCAAGATCCAAGTAATCTTTCTTTCCACTACCCAAACTTTGCAACCTCAACTGATTTTAACTCGGAATTTGACTCTTTTACCCTTGGGCATACTTTTTCTACAGCATCTTCAGAGGTTTCACTCACAGCCAGCATTGCTTTTCCAGAGAACAAAAAGTGATATTCCAATACTAAAATTTGTAATTTTCATCTAGATTCCGCAGAAGAGTTTGAAATAATTCGGCACAATTTCATTGTCCTTTTCTTTGAGCACAAGCCTAAAGGTGGAGCTAGAGTCCATAAAAACGAGCTTTACATACATATCGCCAATATCATCCAATTTTTCTTGGATTGCTGTATCACCACAAGCTTTTTTTTAAACCAAATAATCATGCCTGAGAAACAAGTACAATGGATGGACTTAAAGTCGTTTGGGCAAGCTATGGAAAGAGTCCAATATACAGTGTTTGATAAAACCTCGTTCTTTTATAAGCCTCCAGACCAAGAATTAAAGAAAATGATTAATTTACAGAAACTTTTGTGTAAGAAATATGCAGTTTTTTATTGTGTTGTAGAATTCGGGTATGGAAATAGCCTGGGGAGAAATGATTTAAAAATAGTCATGAATATGGCATTAAAAAGTAAAAAGAAAAACCACGAAGATACAACGAAATTTGTAGAGTGGACTTTTAAGAAAAAACAAGAAATTTTCAAGAAAAATGAAGATTTTATCACATTTGAGGAGTTCCATAAAATACTGAAAAATTAGTTAAATAGTAACTAATTTGATAATATAAAGTTAATGTTTAATAGAGAGATCTTCTTTGAAAAATGAATTGCCCCATCTTGCCCATTCCAGCTCTTGAAGTTTTCTTGGGATTTTTTTCAATTCTACATGAAAGAGCATTGCTTTAGAAATAAGTATAGAAATTGACTGATTTTTAGCAACATCAGCAGGCAGCTTTTTAGAATTACTTTTTATAAAAGGATCGGCCCTATGGCTTAATAGCTTTTTAACAGCGTTATAACTCCCCATACGGCTAGCTAAATATAAAGGAGTTCTATGTGTCTATTTAAATAATACCATGTCTAAGACATCCACAAATGCATTGTGTGACATCAAGGCTTCTATTATAAAAGAGTGGTCTCTAATAGCTGCTCAATGCAAAGCAGTCATTTTCATGGCATCAAAAACATGCGCAAGTCATTTGTCGTTATGCAAATGGACTAAAACTGCGTTTAAGTTTCCTTCTTTGCATTCCTTCATAAACTCTATTGAATTTTTTCTGCCAAAAGGCTCATTTCCTATGAGTTTTGGCAGAAGTGGCATTTCTTTATTATCCTTTTTAATAAAAATATTTAAAAATTTATATAAAAATTATTTTATGCGCATTCTTTTAAAAGGTTTATAGTAAGCTTTAGCGCTTTAAAATGCCTGACGCTTAATTTCAGGCACTCAAAATACCTTTTTTTTGGCTTTGCCATAGCTCTTATTACCCTCCTAAAAGAACTTACAGCTTCTTTATTTTCATAATTTGGCAGTTTAACTATATTATACACAATTAAATATGGAATGTATGAGTTAGGGGTCTAGTCCCATATACTCGTCCTAGTGAGGGAAGTTCAACTTTTCTGAAGGAAATCAGCGTTGGGACTGCTCCGGCAGCCCCAAGTGTACTTGAATCACAATCAAGGCATGAAGAGAGACTCGTCGGGCTATAGGCAACTGTAAAGGTTCGACGGCTAGGCCAATTCCACCTACCGTTGTTCAGAGCTGTTAGCTAGTGGATGGAATTCATGAAGGAAGAGCTTGTTTAGATGGATCCTAAGCTAAGTGGGAGTCTACAAAGATTTATCGTAATCTTAATCTTAATCTTAAACTATATTATATGCTTCTTTCTTATAAGAAATCAGAATACCCCTAGGCGCTACCAGTCGGTAGTCATTTATATTCGTTGAAACTGAAAATTCTTTAATTGTTGGAGATTTTTCAAAGGATTTTGACTTACTATCTTCTTGATCGTTTGGGGAAGCTAAAATATTGGATTTTATCATAGGGGATGGAGTTCTGTGTGAGCTTCTGTAGGTTTTAGTAATTGATGGCAAAGATTTTAAACGGTTATGTTGATTTACAGGAGATGGAGTTTGAAACCTATAAGGTTTAAAAGGAGAAATAAAAATAGACTTTTTATTCTGCTGTCTTCAATTGCATACTTTATTTTGCTGCATAATTAGATTAATTGTGAAAAATTTTAATGATAAAAATATACAATTATTCTAAATTTTATTGCTAGCATTTAAATTGAGAATATCGTCTTCACAAATTTCAAATCTGCAAACTCGATGTATTATCTTTGGCCTATATCGGATAAGTTATGTGCGAGTGGTTATTTCAATGAAAATCCAATTTAGGCTGTTTATGCTAGCTATGGGAGGTTATGATTATGATCTAGATTTTAATTGCTCGTATTTATGGGCTTAAAAAGAGAAAATGCTGGGTTTTCAGCGCTAAAATCCTAAAAAAATTCAATTTTAGCGTGTGCTTTTTAACCGATTTCAGATCAGTCATGTGCGAATAGTTTAATATGTTAAAAGTATCCTCACACATAAAGTAAGAGAGCTTGCTGGGCAAAAATACTTTATTTTGCTTATTACTTTAGCTACCCAATCCTCTATAATTAATATAAAAAGTATAATTTTTATATAATTCACTATATATCAACCCAACTCTTTCAGGAAACTGATAATAATGAAAAACAATATGCAAAAATGGGAGATTGACTTACAAAAAAAGATCCACAACAATAAAGTCAAAACCGCAAGACCTACCATCCGGTACCCAAATTCTGCTATAACTAATGACCCTCATCTGAATTCATCTTCATCCCAAGAAGAAAGCGAGCTTGATTCTTCATTAAATAGCATCCTTAAAAGTTTCCATCTTCAGCAGTACTTTAAAAAACTCTGTGAAATGGGCTACGAGCACAATATTTCAGCATTAGCCAATTTAAAGCCAGAAGGAAAAGAAAACTTGTATAATCACCTACATATAATGCCAGGACACAAATCTAAATTTGAAAGTTTATTTGAATTATTAAGGCAGTTCCAGCCACGGCCAGAACAAAATACAAGGAGAAGCAACTCTTTAAGCTCACAAAGCAAGGAAAGAACAAGGAGACCGTCTTCTGGGGCCCACCCAAAGGTATCTCCTAAGCATTCAGTCCCTGAGGACGCATCTCGATATAACCATATTCTAGAAAAATTCAAAAATCTTGACATACAGAGTGGCTCAGAACTTTATAGAGACGACGCATTAAATATGGTTAGCCGAGAGAAATCAATTGGAAGTGACACAACTGAGCCAAGCTCGACTGATGAAGAAAAAATAAGGATTCAAAAGGAGTTGGAGATGGCTCTGTCTTAATTCTTATTTAAGATTGCAGAAAAGCTCCCTGTGATGCCTCATAGGGTATTTTCCGCTTTCTTTCCTAACTAACTGCTATTTGTCATGCTACACTCTCCAGAAATGGGCTCGCATACTAGTTGAAGTGTTGTTGGATGGTCACTGTGCCGCGCGTCTCGCTTGGGTTGCCCTTCTATAAAACCTTGCAGGATAGCCATCGCCGAACGCACCCTCCCTTCCACAAAGTCCTGGTCTCCCAGCTAAAGGTGTTAAGAGCTCCCGCAATTATAACGTATATGATATCTCTATCTAGAATTGAAGAATTAAAGTTAGAATTAGAAAAAAAGCAAAAAGAGAGCCCAAAAGCAGCAGTAAAATCCTTTGATCCATTTGAGCCACTTCCAGAAATCGAAAAAAGAAATGATGAAGTGGGGGTTTCATATGACTCGGCGAAGATTAGGTCCACTCTTCATCATATAGATATAGAAGAAATGTGCAGATCGCTTACTCCCCCCCCTCCGTGAGTGAACAAAAAAATTTTGTTCACTCACGGAAGGGGGTTAATTTTTTTTTTAAAAAAATTTATATATAAATTTTCTAAAAAATTTTTTATAAATTTTCTAAACAATTTTTTTTTTTGAAATTAAAAAAAAATCTAATTTGCAAAAATTTGAAAGCAAATATTAATTTAATTTATAAAATTTATGTTTTAAAATGCAATTCATTTAAAATTAAACAGAATTAGCTCTAGATTTCATTATATTAATTATCATTTATATATCAAAATTTTTTTCCATAAAAAATTTTTGTATTAAAAAAATTTTTGTTCACTCACAGGGTGGGTTTTTGGGCAAAAAAATGCGATTTTTCTAATGGTTTTGTTCACTCACGGAGGGGGGGGGGGAGTTAGTAAAGCGGTGGTAAAACTGGTAAAGCATGGTATGGAGGTCGAAAAAAATCGTGTACAGGAACCTAGTTTAAAAATATCATTAATCCGTCATGTTTGATATTATCAATTAAATTATAATAAAAAAAAATAAGAAAATTAATAAAATTATTATTAATTGAAGGAGATAGCGTCTTTGCCTGATTTTTTTGAAGATAGCAGCAATATGCCTGAATCTTTAAGGTCAAAAAACTCTATAGTTTCTTCAAATTTCAGCTCTTCTATAGGATCATCATTAGATTACAGCCAGGATTCAGTAGTGAGATATTCAGATTTACAAGAAATTGCTGAAGAAAGTAATGAAAACTCCCCATTTAAAGATGCAGGCGAAGTAGCCGTTCCTAAGAGTATCCAAGAGATTTTTAAAGAAAATTTTGATGACCATAATGCATATCCTGGGGTAGAGCCAGAAGAAAATGAAATTTATAATTTATCGAGAAATGTGATTGTGAGGAGCAAGATGGAAAAAGAGTGCTCAATTATATGCTTGATATATATGGAAAGATTAATTGAAAAGACTGGGATTTATATTACTGAAATGAATTGGAAAAAATTTATTATTCTATTAATAATAATTTTTTATTATAAAAACAAGGGAATCTATCCTTTTTTATAGAAAATTTATTTTTAATATAAGCAGCTTATTATAATTCATCATAAAATTATTATTTTGCTTGATTTTAGCAAGCAAAATTTGGGATGACGAGTCCTATGAAAATGTCCATTTTGCCCAAGTATTTAGCATAATAACCCTAAAAGAGCTAAATGCAATGGAAATGACGTTTTTAAGCTTAATTGACTACAATGTCGGTATAAAAAATAGCGAATACGCAAAATATTATTTTGTGTTAAGAACTTACTCAGAAAGAGACAAACGAAGCTTCCCATTAAAACCTTTAGACGTAGACACCGTAAGAAGGCTTCAAAAAAATGCAGGCCACGCTGAAGCTTTATTGAGGGAAAAACACAGTGAGTCTCTCTTTAAAACTCTTTAATTAATCTTTATTAAGCTACAAGAGGTCTTATTCTGTTAATCGGGGCTTCTTCTTTAGGAATGTCAATTTCTTCATAGCGGCCTATTAAGTCATCTAAACTCCTTAAGGCTTCATCAAAATGCGCTGCTTCCATAAAATTTGTATAATGGTGAACATTAGCTTTCCTTTTATATAGCTTTAAAAATTTCTGCTTTAATGCTCCGAATTGATTTTTTATGGCAGAATTATCAGGATAATTAAATATAACGTCTCGACTTGGGCAAGGCCAGAAGGACATGCAGCCTCTGTCTCATATTAATTATATTCGGCAAGGTTTTAATAACTATAAATGGATAGCAGGCGCTAGATAAGCAATTCCAGAGGTGTTTAGAGCCTACCCCTAGTTCGCTTTCAAGGTAAGGTTTTAGAGGGAAAAGGGAACTTTGAGTTGGAAAGGGGAAGCCCATAAGGCTTACTGGAAACGCCTAAACCAATCAGGAAATTCGCCAGCGTGAAATCAGGAGTTACGACCTGAGCTAAAAGTTTTCTTTTGAGCTGAAAGTCAACCAGAATTTCCATTTTTGGGATTTTTGTGCGGGCAATTTCGTTTCCCATAGTCTCAAGCAAAGCCGCTGGAGTCCTAGCCTACCCACTCAACACTAAAGTCGTCAATGCGAGGAGAGGACATGCAGCAAGAAAACTTCGGGTGTCCATGGTATCAGAGCCTAAGTAGGAAGGAGAAACCGTTCGAGCTAATTTGCCGGAAAGGCAACTCGCCGTTCATGCCCTCGACAGCTCGTTGCATAGGATGAATCTCCTGGTGGGATCCTGGCGACTTCGCAACCAATAAGGTACACCGCGACCTTTAGTAAGTTAAGTTAAGGAGGAATTATTGGATAAGCATAGTAAAGAGTAAGGCATTCCTACAGGAGGCTCATTGCAGAGGCCAATTTTAAAGCCTTCTTGATTCCAGTTAATCATTCTCATATCAGGCTTAATCCTGTTTACATTTCTATGAATGTCTGCTATTTTGGCGTCTCCTCTTAGGATCAGTCCACAAGCTAAATAAGTTGAATGTCTTGGGTCGACTTTTAATATTCCTTTTTCCAAAAAATAACATCTTAACACCCTAACACCCTATTTTTTCAATATTTCAGTATATTTAAATCAATAAAATATAACTGAAAATCCCTATCAATTACATCAGAAAAAATTTGATCAAGCCTCCTTGGCTCCATTTTTACATCTAAAATAGAGTACAACGGCGAAATGCTTGATATTAAATACTGCATTTTTGGAAAAGGAACCAAATTCATAGTAATTTCATTAAGATCGACATTTAACATTCCTTCAAATCTCATTGAGCACGTCAAATTATTCAGCATATGTGCAATAATATTATTCATTTTTGTAAAAGACTGTACTTTTGATTCTCCTAAATCTGTAATTTCTGTTTTTACTCCTTTTTCTTTCCTTTTACTCCCCATTTAAACTAAAAAAAAATTCGGCTCCATTTAAAAGGGGTTAATTTTTTTATTTAAAATTTATCAATAAATAAATTTCATAAATTAATTGAGTGCAATGCTTTTGGATTTTAATTATTTTATGAAGAATTAATTCAAAAATTAATCTATTTATTTAAAATATATTTTATTTGCACTATTAAACTAATTTTATAAAAATAAGTATTTTCACCTATAATTGAGAAACAAAATTCTGTTCAATTTAAGGGGTTAAAGTTCCCAAAAAATAGTATTTTTACCTAAATTTGTTCCGATTTAAGAGGGGTGAGCTAGAATTCTCAATGTTATATAAAATGTCCATTAATGCTTGATTATCAATTGGCAGCACACAGTCGGCATGCTCTGTCAGCTCATTCATAGCTAAAACTGCATTATAAGGCCCAGTCACCACATCATTTTCAGGGTAAACCACAGTCGAAAATCTAAAAATTTCAGGAAAATTATCAGCTAAAATCCCCAAAGTCCTTGTCCCAACTCCACTTCCAGTTCCTCCACCCATACTATGCATCAAAAAAAAGCTCTGTAAGCTGTCACATTGTTCTGCAACCCTTCTTACTTGGTCAATGATAATATTTTCGTATTTTGAGCCATATTCGTAAAACCCATGAGCCCAATTGTTCCCTGCTCCAGAGACATCCATTATAAATTGGCGACTATCAAATAGCTCTCCAAGGTCACTGCGAAGAAGTTGGTTTAAAACACCTTCTTCCATATCAATTACAACAGATCTGGCTTTCAAGGTATTTATAGGCTGGCCTACAGGGATATTTTGAGGATTTGCGTATTGGGGATCCACATTTCGGAAGAAGCTTGACATAGGCTCATCGAAAATTCCAGATTTGTTGTATTGGGCGTGCTCTCGGAGGGCAAGGTCTCAAAATCGCCATGCCATTTGGTTGCCACATTGTCCGACCTGTACGGTGATGAGTTCTCGAGGCATTTTTTAATTTAAAATTAGAAGATTTTATAATGATATTGTAAAAAGTGTGGGTTATAAATTTATGGCTTGTAGATAACATTTTTAGGATTTATAATTATTTTTAGCAAGACTGGTTTTTAATAAATCTCGTATAGATGTTTGTAACTCATATTTATGTGCATATAAATACTTTAGTAACGTAATTATTTCTCCATGATTTTATTTAATTGAATAATCGAGGTCTTAGTCTTAGTTAAATTTATAGAGTAGCTCCCGGCACGACCGAAGGTCCTTTTCTTCCGCCTTTTGGACGCCTCGCTTGCTTTCCTTGCCCTGCTCCCAGTGTGCACCTAAGTGCCACAGGCTACCACTCAGCTCCTTCCGGTCATGGGGCTTGGTCATGCTATCTCGGAAGTAGGCGGACTGGGTCACCGTGCTTCACGTCGCCAGACTAGGGTTAGAGCTAAGGATTAACTCCTTAGCTCTTATCGGCTCCTGCCATGCCCTCCAAATTGGTACTAGCGGTCCCTAGAGGAAAAACCCTTTTTGCCCCGTGTCCTATCGGGACGACCCTAGGATCGTCGTTGCTGGACTGGGAGGGAAACCTAGCCGGACACAAACTACCAGTACCCATTCCAGACCTTTCCCTGGGCGGATTGGCTTCAGGCCGCAGCAAGGTCCCCAATCTCGCCTCAGTTCCGGGAGAGGACGGGTCGGTGTCGTCGCCATTTTATTTGTGTTGAATAATCGAGGTATATAAGCAATTCAATGCACTATAAATATATATTGCCTAAAGCTGAACAAAGGACTTTACTTATATAAAATTAGCTGTTTATCAACATAAATGTCCTTGGATTAAAAAAAATCCTGCCTAAACCTCAATATAATGACATCATATTGTATTACTAAAATTAATGGGTCAGAACCTTTATAATCAATAATAAGTGATGGGCTATCTAACTACAGAAGCAGTCGAAAATCTGAGCAAGCACAAATACTGCAGTTCTGAGTACTCAACTTTTATGAACTTTCTCAATAGAGCATTATGGACTCCTTGCTCAAACTTTCTGCCAGATTGGCTTGCACCTAACCTTATAACAATTTTGTCCACAGTTTCCATTATGTTCGCATGTTTCTATGCTATTGGGCATAATGATTTGCTGTTTAGTGCAACTGTGCCTCCGGATACAATGCTGATTGGAGCTATCGGGATTTTTATTTACAGCTTATTAGATAACCTTGACGGAAAACAAGCAAGAAGACTTGGGGTCAGTTCACCACTTGGCCAGTTGTTGGATCACGGATTAGATGCCAGCGTTAATGCCCTTTCGATTGGCTTATTGTTAGTCCAAGCTTTGAATTTTCACGATTCAATAATGATTCCAACCCTTTTGGTTTTTATGCAATTGCCTTGCTTTTTTACTTTTTGGGAAGAGTATTACTGCGGAATAATGAAACTCCAGGTAGGAGGCTTGGGAGCTGACGAGTTTAACTTTTTATCAATAGGAATAATGCTGGTTAGCTATTTTTCTGGGACTGAATTTTGGGATAATAAAATATTTTCAGCAATTCCTTTGAATACCCTTTATGTGAGTGTTTTGATCATATTGTAAATTTCATATAGATTCCTTATCATTGGATTACCAAGCTTTACTTCTTCAGTCTACTACAAAACCAATACATTAAAATCATTTTTATTACTGATTCCTCCAATGCAGGTTTATTTGGGAATTTACATTTTTTACTTCAGTGAAGCTTATAAGCATTATGCACTTTTATTTTTAATTGCTGGATGCGCTTTGGGAGGACTATTAAACTGCAGATTGATTATTTCGGTCACTTGCAACGTGGAATTTAAGATTTTCAGGCTTGATACTACACTTTTCTTTTTGTTTGCGATTGCAAGCTATTATTATGAAATTGTAAACTTCTGGATTATAAATAAAATGGCATTCGGTTCGAGAGAAATTAGCTCTGCTAATTTTCTCTCCTCATGGAATTTTATTTATGGGGTTAGGTTTTCTCTCGAGAACTTCTGCACAGCAATAGCAGTTTAACTTTGGGGATAACCAGAGGAACTGCTCCTCAGTGCATCAAGAGGCTCAGGGTTTACCTCTCAGCACATCTCCACGGGAAAATGATCCTAAGGCGGAACATGCGCAGGAGTTGAGTCAGGGCAGGGCAACGGCAACGGCAATGCACCAGGTGAGATGTGCGGCGACTGGCGGAGAAGCTTTGATAGAAGGCTTTGGCTGGTGGGCTTACTACCGCGATTCCAAGATGGCTCGGTGACGTCACTAGTCTGCTATAGCCCTATATATTAGGGTGCGGCACGAGACACCTTAAATACCAGATACTAAGTTAAGTTAAGGTAAGTAAACTTTTGGATTGCGGCTGGGCTTTGTGGGGCGATGACGTTGTATTTATTCTTTTACTTGTACTCGATTTCTTGCGAAATTGCAGAGTGCTTGGGAATTAATGTGCTGACAGTCAGAAAAGCGAATTAAAACAAAATCTTAAATAACTAAACAAAATCGATTAATTTAGATAAAAGACATTAGTTTTATTAATAAATTATTGTTCTAATAATTATGATAAGCAAATTTATCATTAATTAATTGCTAAATAATAGGATATCCATTAAACTCCTTAATAAAAATGGCCAGCAAACTCTCATTACTTTTATTTTCAATTTTTATTATTACTTTTCACATTCCGAAATCTGTAGCTATTGAAACAGATGCAGAAAATTCTGACAATTGCAGACGAGTTAAATCTGATGATTATTTTATTGATTTTGCATCATATCAGCAAAATATTATTGTAGCTGAGGATAATTTCAGCTTATTTTTAAAGGAAAGTTCTCAAAATACTGGACATCTGGCTTTAATTAAACATTTAGAATCAGAAAACGTTGACTTAGAAGAAATTCAGCTTGAAAATTTTCCTGAAGGAGTATCTTTTCATCCTTCTGCTTTATATTTAGTTAAACCTGACCAGCTTTATGTTTTGAATTACAATGCAAATAAAATGGAGACGAGAATTGAAATTTTTACAATTGATTCACAGTTTGCAAAATATCATGGCTCGATATACTTTGACAGCTCGATAAATGGATTTTTTAATGATTTTCTAATAGAGTCTGATCATACACTTTATATTACAAAATATTTTATTAATGAAAATCTGGCTGACTCATACCCAATTTCAATAAATAATTATATTTCCTTAATCCTCCATCCTTGATCGAATATTCAGTTAAAGTTTTCTTAAAATTGGAAAATTAAACCTAATTTATAATCTAACTACCTTTATTTGATAGTGATGAGTATTAGAAATTATACGACATAATAGCTCAACGCAATTCTAATTTTAATAAAATTTATTGCATATTTTATCTCTTGTGGCTAGTACTTTAATTAACGATTTAATTTATTTTTTAAAAATCCCATCATCAATCTATAGCGATCAGTTCGATAAAGATTAGGGAGTTAGTCAATTCTAATCATCTGCCAAATAATGTTATGCAGCTTTACGAATGCACATTTTTTAAGCACTCTTATTCTGATTGCCAGCCAATGAATTTCACACTATTTAATTCTGTAATTGGCATCGTCAAAGACCAATTTGACAATTATTATTTTTCTTCTAAAGACGATGATGGTTCGTATTTTTTGAAAAAATTCACAAAAGATAGCACAGGGAATTTTATTGAAAAAAACAAAATCAAGACAAAAGAAATTATCGGGAAAATCAAGTATGATGAAGAAAATAGCAAACTTTATTTAGCAGTTTCTCCAAAAATAATACACTTTTTTAAAAATCTCCCTGGAGGAATCGTCGAAATTGACCCAAATTCAGACAACAAAAAATTATCAACTTTAATAAAAAATCCCAGAAGCATGATAAGAAAAAATAGCACAATACTTATTAGCTCTTATTATGAAGCAGGAGGATATGCTTGTAATGTTTAAGTTAAAATGAATACAAATAATATTAATTATTGTTTCTTGAATTCGTGTTTATATGTTGAAAAGAATCCATCGGAGAAAATGGTGGAAGTGTGTATGAATTTAAACTAGATGCCCTAAGCTGCATTAAAAAATCCATACTTACATCAGATTTCCAACCTGAGGATGAGTCATATCTCTTTAAACTTTGTAAAGAGTCTGAATGCTGTAAGTCTTGGCAAGGCTCTTGAAGTCCTCCTAAAGAATCCCCTCGCAGAAATACCCCCTCAAATGGATCTGGGCTATCTCAGTTGCAAATTGGAAAATCTTCAGGGAATTTAAACATGCCTATTGTTGTTTTTTTATATAAAAATTCAGCTTGAATGTCTGCCAAGTTGTAGACAGGAGCGGATGGCTCAGTTTTTACCTCTTCAGACTTAGTAACTTCTATTTGGTAGCGGTGAGTATTATTAATGTGAGCTTTTTCTTTTGGCTCTTCGTAAAGTGAGCATAAAATATTAGGGGTTTCATCTTGGGCATTTTCAGGTATTTTTGAAGAATTTGAAACTTCATCTTTGCAAGGAGAATTTTCAGCATTTTTCTTTATTTCTGGTTTTATTTGCTCATTTTTTGAAGCTTTTACTTTTGAAATTTCTGAACTTGTGGCTAAAAGTGCATAATAAGTAGGGTTTTGCAAAACTTGCTTAACATTCCCTACAATTCTTTCACTTTGTGGTCTCCTTTTATTATATCTCCTCAGGTTTTTTCTAACAGTACTGTAAAACTGGTTTTTTATTGAATTATCTGATCTGCCTGGGAGGTATCTTGCTATTTCAGATCACTTATTCCCATATATTCTCTGATACTCAAACAGCGTTTTCTCTTCTTCTTTTGTCCAGGCTTCTTTAATTATTTTAGGATTTATGTGGTTATGCCACCGTTCTCTGCATTGTTTGCCGGTTCTAGATATTTCTTACCTTCCTTTCACGTTGTAACGCTCCTCAAGTTTTTGTGAAATTATTATCCATAAATAAAATGGCATTCGGTTCGAGAGAAATTAGCTTTGCTAATTTTCTCTCCCTCATGGAATTTTTATTTATAGGGTTAGGTTTTTACTCGGGAACTTCTGGACAGCAATAGCGGTTTAACTCTGGGGATAACCAGAGGAACCACTCCTCAGTCCACTCAAGATTTCGGGCTTTTACCTCTCAGCACATCCCCACGGGAGGATGACCCTTAGGCGGAACACGCGCAGGAGCTGAGTCGAGCGACAAGGGCAACGGCATCGCGCCGGGTGAGACGTGCAGCAAGGCTGGTGGAGCAGGAGTTGATAGAAGGCTTGGACGGGGCTGACCCGTGCCAAGATGGCTCGCCTACGTCATCAGTTTTGCCATAGGCCCTTTTGGGCTGCGGCACTAGACACCTTAAATACCAGATAATTAAGTAAGTAAGTAAGTAAGTGAAATTATTATCCAGTTCTTGTCTCCGAATTCTTCAACAAGAGTTTTAATAAACTCGTCGTCCTATGTGGCTTTTACTTTTTCATCCCAAATTTTTGCTTTTCTGTTCTGCATTCTCCTAGGTTTTATAGTAATACACTATTTAAAACATTAAAGGCATTTTAAAGGATTTTATTATATTTTTAAATAATTTATAGAGCCTGGGATAAAATATTATAAATGGATTATAAAAATGCCAGCCGTTTTAAATTAGAATTTTTAGGCTGATTTAGTATAGAACTGCTTTATATTGAATTTTCATAGTGAAAGCGGAATTAAATCTTAAGTTTCTATTACAGTATTTTTAAATGCTAAATAAAGAAAAAATTAATAGTTATAGATATTAATTCGAATGATAAAGCTCATGAAAAAAGGGAATATTAAAAACTGTTTATTAATGCCGAAAATATATGTATACCTGTTTGCGAAGAATAGCCCACTGAGCAGCATTTTTTGGTTTCGCCATTATTAGATTGGTTAGCCAGAAAATATGGCATGCCAACGAATTTGGCAAGCCAACTATTGTCTGGCCAACCAAAAATGCTACTTAGTGGGGTATTCTTGGTAAATAAGTATAATTAATCAATTTTAAGATTTGCTGAACATAACTGGAGAAGTCATATTTCATTATACAAGGCTGAAAGCAATGAATGGATATTTGTCCGCAATGCAAAATTCTTTGTTTGAAATTCCTCTTTGCATAATGATAAAAATACAATTTTAATATAACTTACTGCACTGTGAAGCTGCTGTAAAATTATCTGATTTTAATATGATTTACATTAAGCTAAGCTTTACCTCAAAAATTTAAATATTGTGCACATTCCAGAATTTTCTTAAAATTTTATACGCAAAATAAATATTATTTATAGTCTTTGTATTTTACGCCAATTTCTTTAGATATTTTTCCTCAAATTTCCATTTTTAATTTATTAGAAGTCCATCGTCAATAACGGCATGAAATCTTCAGACATAATTCTATCCAAAGAAAACCTATTTTCCCAATGCAATCAGCTCTTTCCAAAACACAAATCTATATCGTCCACGACCAGTGCATTTTCTTCTCACAATTCGTTAAGCTTTGACGCAAAACCTCCAGGAATTTGCAAAAAAATAATAAGTAATTCTCCATCTCTGGTAGAGAAAGCATCCCACAAGAAAAAGAAAACTTTCACTGTAAATTTACCGACACTTTTAATAGAGTCCAACCCAGAAGAAATTTCAACTTTGCCTCAGCCGATTCACGTATAGCTTAGGTAGGCTTTTAGCCCTAGCGCAGTCTTTAGGCATTTATTTATTAAGCCAAGCTTATTAGTGTGGGTAGTAAGCCAAAGAGCGATACACTCTAAGGAAAGGCTAAAAGCCTCCCCAAGCTATATATGCAGATCTCGAATCCCAAATAATAAACACCCCCGTAAGAGCCAAAAAAACAGTCAACGTGGTTCACAGAAAACTTGCAGTCCCTCACTCAGCAAAAATTGACTTAAAAGTCCCAAAAGAGCCTATCTCAAGGGATAACAGCAGGACAAGACCAATTTGCCATCAGAAAATATGAACCCAAAGCGAAATTCTAGACGGAAAGGATCATCATAAAAGGTCAAAAACCTGCCACAGAGAGTACGCAGGGCAAAGCCAAAAGGTTAAAGGAAGGTTTGACAGTGACATTTACGAAAGATTAAGGTGCCTATCCCCACAAGTAGATACAATTTTCAGTATGCCACAAAGCAACAAAAAGCAGTGAATTACAAAAACCGAACATTTTTGGAACCCTTGCAAAGACAACCTATTAAACCGTATTTTCGGAAGGTCAAAATCGCCTATTGTATAACTAAAAAAACCCATCACAATAATTACCATAATTTAATGCAAAAAAACTTATTTTTCTTATCACTTTTTCTACATAGGACCTTGATTTTTATTAGTTCTGCACATTTTAAATATAGAGATCAGGCCTTCACGCATATTATTAAAAAAATCTGCACCGTCCTATATCCTTATCAACAAAAATTCTTCATTTCTCTTTACTTATAAAATTTAACCCACTTTTACTAAATTTCAATTTTATGGATTTTTGTGATACCTCCCGCCCCATCAGTGTAAAATGTGAGCAATGGTATTCTTTATACAGCCAACGAGAATTCAGCTCTTCTACCATTCTTTTTCACTTGAGAAAACACCACCCTGAAGGTCCACAATTATATACCCCAAGTGAAGTAAAATGTTCTCGATGCCACCAAACTGTTATAGTTTCTTCTTTGCTTATTCATTCACAATTGTGTGAAGAAAGGAATAAAGACTCTTTAAATATAAAAAATTACAATGAATTTTCGCTATTTTTTTAAAATTTTTATATAGTAAAATAGATAATTATAAGAGAATATCATTATTGAAGAAAGTGGAGACGATTTAAGACATACATGCAAATATTGCAAAAGGAAGTTTATGGCTGAGAGGATTGAGAAACATCAGCAAGCTTGTGAACTGGCTTCGAGAAAAAGACCGCTATTTAATATGACTAAGCAGAGGCTTCCAAATGTGTATGAATTTACAGAAAGGTCACATTCAGTTAGTAGATATTCTTTAAAACTTCAATATCCCAACTCAAAATGGCAAAAACAGCATTTAGAATTGCTGAAAAATCTGCAGCTTTCATCAGAAAGTGACTCAACTTATGAAAACTACATCACTTGTCCACACTGCAGTCGGAAATTCGGCCCTATCCAAGCTGAAAAACATATAGAAAAGTGCAAAGATATCATAAACAAGCCTAAGCCGCCTCCAACTGTATTAAGAAAAAACCGGTTTCCCAGCATAAAAAAAGACAAAGAATTAACAATAAGGACTAAAAGCCTCGGCGCCAAAAACCGATCTTTTGTTATCGAAAGCTCAGAGCCTCGAATCGTGCTTAACGAAACCCTCGATGTCGAGTCTATAAGTGCTGTAAACAACCAAGATATCTTATATACTCCAAATATCCACACCTCATACAGAATAAAAAGATTTGACCAAGGCCATTTGTTCCCTTTAATCGAGAATGATGCTGTTATTACAAAATTGTCCTATCTAGATGGAAGTGATACAAGCCAAAAAATGTTTACACCGAAAGCAAAAACGACTAAACAGAGAACATATAAAGAAAGAGAGCTGAAGCCAAGCAGGACGATAAAGACGCTGGAAAAGCCGGAATATTACCCAGGATCAAGGGACTTAAGCCGCCATTCTTCTCATACGCATTTGGCAAGCAATCGGTCACAGTCGACGCAAAGGTTAAAAGAGACGACTGCTATATGTCAGCATTGTGATGCAAATGTGCCGCTGAGAGCGCGGTATTGTATGATGTGTGGAAGCATTAGGATGTAATTCATTTAGTTATAAATATTAATATTTAGTAATAAATCAGAATAAATTTGCATCAATAATCAGTGGATTGACAGATTAAAGAATTCATCATAGAAGATAGATAAAAATCAGAGGAAATTTCACTTCACTGTTCAGAAAGCGTTCATTTAGTTCATCATTTTATATTTATGGATTTTTAGCCAGGTTATAAATGGCAGAGTCTAGGAGGATTATCCAGAAGAGATGGAACAAAACTTTGAGTGGTTAAATAATTTATGGAAAATATAAGGTGATCTTTGTAAGGAGAAATTTAATAGATTTTTAAGGCAAGCCTTCACATTTGGTGCTTTAGAAAACAGTTTTAAAAGATGTTTCGCTGAAGCCTGATTTGGACTATTTTGCATAAAGATAAATAATTTTTGAAGATTTATAAACTAGTAATAAAGAGCAATTTAAGATTATTGAGTGGAAAATGACTTATAATCTTCACTGCTATTTTTAGAGTAATTATTAATATGTCAATTACCATTAAAACTGTTTAAGAAACACTTTGATTCTATGCTTATAAGTGCTTCGATTTTATTAGCAAGACTAAAGCACATTTTATATAAATAAAGAAGCCTAGTCTTTTATTAAATTTTTCTCATAAATTGATTTTCTGCTATACCGTACCATAATGTGCATCCTCATAATATCATTTTATCAATAAGCCAAAATTTATTTTTTCTCATTTAATTAGCCCTATCATAAAATTAATCAAATGTATTGATAAAAACCCCTATATTTTATTAGCTTATAAAATGGTCGATTACAACCAAAGAGATATCGGCATTGGTGGTGCAATCTGGGTCTCCGGCATAACTCTCCTCATTGCATCTTTTATCTCATTACGGCACATTTGGGTAAACAATAAAAACCCTCATTACAGAGAGGCTCAAAAATGGCTCAACGTGATTCTTCTTGGCCCAATGCTTGTAGGCTGGCCTTGCTGGGCTATAGTCATTGTAGGCTCTGCTATAGGATTGCTTGAAGTTGCTGCTGATGTAATGAAAGCTCTCATAAATAAATAATATTCGGTTCGAAAGAATGCTTACTCATGGAATTTTATTTTGGGATTACTCTCGAATAAAATAAATTTGTTCGCTTACGGAGGGTGTTATTTTTTAGGTTGAAATTTAAATAATCATTTTAGTAAAATTGAAAAGTAAAAATTAATTTAATCTACAAAGCTTATATTTTAAAATGCAAGTTGTTGTTCAAATTAAACAGAATTAGATCAAAAATTTAATTAGTTATCACTCTTATATCAGAATATTTTTTTTATAAAAAAACATTTTTATCTTAAAATTTTAGTTCGCTGGATTTCTCCAATGGTTTGTTCGTTCACAGAGGGGGAGCTAGAGATATTCAGCACTGACCTTGGTTTAACTTCTAGCCACATCTACTCCTTGTGCATTTAAAAAGCTCAAGGTTTTCCACTCAACACAACTGAAGAAGGTAGCCCATGGCAAAGATGTACAGGAGCTGAGTCGGACAGTGCGACGGCAAACGCGCCAGTGAGATATATAGCTTGGTTTGGAATTTCTACCTCTAGACACATCAAATGTCTAATTAATCACCGTAATCTCTGTAATGAAAGCTCTCATTGTTTACGTGTTTGTGGAGTACACTATAAGAATGTTAGGATGGCAAAGTGATAGTACAGGCTCTCATTATGACCCAATGAAAGTTGACGTCGCAGTCTCCTCAGTCGAAAAGGTCAAGCACAAGTGTCCTTGCTTCGGCTCTATAAGCTTAGAAACCCCAAAGCACGTCCACAGCTTCTTATGGAGAGTAAAATGGGCTATGATACAATACGGCCTCACCTTCTTGCTGTCAGCAGTAGCTTCGTGCATTCTTCTATACGGATTTAGCACTGATTACCTGCATTATGGATCATCTGATTTCCAATACGGCTACGTTTATATTAACTATGCAAAAATCGTAACCTCAATTTACGCCATGTACTTCATGATGATGTTCATGAAAGTCACCAAGGAAGCCGGCTAAATGCCATTTACCCTATTTGGTACTTGCCTAATAGCAATTTACAAAAAAAATTTAATGAAAAAACTGTTTAAATTTTTCGAAAAAAAATAATGCTAATTTCTTTATCAGGAAAAATCAAAAAATCAAGCACCAAGAAGTCAAAGAGCTTAAAAATCTCAATATGACACCAAAGTTCAAGGTTATTGAATATGCATTTATGGTCACCCAAATCCAACCTTCTATCATAGGCCTTGCAGCCTCATACGGACTAATAGCAGACACCACAGACGACGATTCAGTAAAATACGTAACCATTTATACGTCAAATTTACTTCTCTGTGTCGAAATGATCATTTTGGCTTTCGTTAACTGGGTGGTGTTCCCTATTAGTGACTATAAAGGTCATGGGGCAAGCCAGCCATTGATTTCTCAGATTAAGAACATTTAATCTAAATCATTAATTAAAAATTGCATTATAATAAACTTGTCAAAGCAAAAACTGTGCCATATTGTTTTAAGACCTCTGCATCTATGTTTTCTACAGGGTAGCTTTGGGAGTCTACAGAAAAAATGCCTCGTTTACTGTTGGGCCTTAATGACCATTTTGACGCACTTATATGCTTAAGCTGGTCAATACCAAGCTTTGGGCCTTTTCTTTGCTTATACAAGACATGGACAAGTCCTTTTCTTCCTATATCGCCGCTGTTGACTAAAATATCATTTTTCCCGTCATCACCATTGCAGTCTGCTGACATGTTTAAAGCTAAAAAATAAATAAAACGGTCGTTATGCTCATGTTCACCGTCCTCGTCAGTTCATTTTAAGCTGGCATTGTATTTTTTTAGAGAAATAAGCCTTCAAGCTGAATTCAGGGTTTTTCGGAAAACTCGGCACCTATGTAAAGGTTACGTTTCGCTGGTAATTTCGACGTCAGCGGTAAATGCTCAGGAAAAGGAATAAATGCTGTAAATTATTTCGTCGCTGGAAATTGGCTTAATTTCTGTTATGTCGATAGGGAGAGGGGTGCCTTTAGCTGCTATGAATGCACAGTTTTCTGGAGAAAAAGGCTCATTTGATTTTTTACACAATATTTTGGCAATTTCTTCATTATATCCTACTGAAATTGGAAAAACTGGGCAAAGTCGTGCTTGTTCGCCATCACTTCGTTTATAAAGGGCATTTATGACTTCATGGAACAAGTTGTCACAGCCGACTACCAAAATCCCGTCATAAAGTGATAAATCCAGCGTTTTTGTGGTTTCAACAGCTTGAGAATGAGCCTGGATCCTAGAAATTGCCAATTCACAAGCAATAAAAATTGGTGCTACCTGTCGTCATATTTGTAAGGCTTTGCTAGTTTGTGATAAAAATACCTTAAACCTTCTTCTATATACATCATATTCATACTCGTCAGGTAGTTTTTGAAAATAGCACATACTTTGAATAATAAGGACCCAATAATCAGAGTCATTCGTTAAAAATAAAAATCGCTCGAGGATTCTTGTATTCGATTTTTTGTGAAAAGCGATTAAAGTAAATCCTTTTTTAGGTTTTGTGCTTTGTGGGATCGCTCCCAAGATGTCTTGCCACTTCATTTGGTAAATTGCAGTTGAAGTGGCTAATGAGATAACTAAAAAAGAGTCAGGCTTAACTATGAGTTTCATGGATTCCTTGCAAAGGATTGCTTCGCCAGAGTAAAGAGTGTGCGGTGAAAATTCTTGGAGGAGAGGTTTGTTTAGAAAGTCTTCCATTAAAAATCTGTATAATTACATCTGTAATATATATCAAGGAAGCACTATAAAAATCGGTATATTTGGAAATTTCGTGACAAAATTAGAAAAAAGATAGCAAATAGCAATATATTGGCTATTAATAAAAATATTTAAAATAGCTTGTAGTTTATCTATATATGAAAATTCGTATCCTGAGATTGGAACTATACTGAAGAAGTGCTTGGCAGCGAGACAACTAAGACGATTCAATCTGTGGAAATAATTCAATCTTTAAGTGATGAGAATGAAATCAAGGACAGCAGTTTGAAATGCTGAAGACATATCTGAACATGATGGACATAGTAACTATGAATGATGGAGTGCAAGCAGGTTCATGCGACAGGACTATAGGGGTAATAATCATCTTTGAGAAAAAGTTTGGAAGTAGAATATGTCAAGAATGGAGGAAAGGGCACATCAAAAAGTAAGGATTCTAAAGGAGGAGCCTTCTTAAGTGCTGGAATTTAGCTTTGAATCTCTTAAAAGCCAAAAAATGTATCTGGGAAAAGGAAAGCTATGAATAGAATGGAATTTGCATACAATAAATATATAAATGTCTGGCAACTTAAAGATTAGTTGGTGCACTTAAAAAACGTTCAGAAATATATTCACGTCGCTGCCATTTTATTTTTCAATTACTGTTATCTACAATTTTCTATAATTTAATTCATGCAGAACTCACTAGTTATAATATTTTACTTACTGGAGAATCTAACACAATTTATTTAAGCTAAAAAGATGCTAAAAATGATAATTAATTGAAAACCATCGAGACAATTAATGATAATGAGCCTATCAACATAGACCCACTTTGCCCAACAAGTGATCCATGAGGGTCTTTATTAATCGTATGCATATACCTATGGGCCAGCTCGAAATACTCAGAATTTATCATAGTCTCGATACAATAGTCATTTTCTTGAATATCCACATACTTAACCACAGTCTCCCTCAAAAACATGAGCTTATACGCGTCATTTTCTCTCCAATTATCCAAAATACACGTCTGATGGTGCCTTCTCATTGTATTACATTTTTTAATTTCATCAGATCTATACCACGTCGCTAATTGTCCTAAATAATATAAATATTCATCATCGCCAGGTAATATCCCACAGAATTTTTTTCCTTTCGGGTTAATACCACAATGGCATCCTGGACTCAGTGACACTCCAGAAATGGTGTCAACCTTTGACATGCATTCTTCGTCAGTGCTGCATTCGACTGGATTTTTTTTATTTTTTCCTAAAGAACTCAAGCAGTAATGCTTATTTTCTGTTGAATTTGTAAAGCAATATGAAGATTCACATAGTAAATTTGAGTTGCTGAGGCACTGGGAAACTTCTTGATTGATTTTTATGCTTAAATATTTCCTGCAAATTCCGCCATCACAACCAGAGCCATTTTCACATTCATAGTCATTTTCACAATCTTGAACTCCGTCTGGGAATTGCTTTACACAGATTTTTTGGTTGTTGCAGAACGCTCCAGGCTCACAAAAATGTGAATCACTGCAGAATCCGAAGACTGGGCTTCCTTGGCAGACGTTTTCAACACATTCGCCAATATAATTGTATTTGCAGTCATCAGTTGTTCTGCAGCTTTCACCAGGCCATTTTAAGGACGATTTTGTTTTGGCTTGTGGGAGAGAACAGGTAGTATTTTTTCCAATAACCGGGCTGCAGTAATAAGAAAGGTCGTTTTGGCATGAGTGAAGCCAGTATCTGTCAGATTCCGCCTCGTAGAAGGAGCAAGTATCTTCGACGAATTTTTGAGATTGATGTTTACAAGAGTAGGCAGAGCAGGTTTCAAATGCAAGCACAGGAATTGTGCTGAGAAAGGAGAGAAATAGGAATATCATTATATTTATTGAAATCTACAATAAATGGATTTTAAGACATATAGAAATTTCCCATAGATGTCGCTGTTTGCCCTTGATTTGCCCATGAGGAAAATTTTTTGGTTTGACCAAACCATATGGTGCTGGTCGAACCAAAAAATTTCCCCCAGTAGGCAAATCAAGGGCAAACAGCGACATCTATGGGAAATTTCTATATATTTTATTAGGTATTCTTAAATAAATATTGTGTAAAGTCACTTATATCTTCTCTTTAGAGATTGTCATAAAAATTTGCATCTTCACGAAAAAATACCATTATTTAATTTTCAAATAAAAATAGGCAGCTCAGATTCAAAAGAATTTGATCTTCTTTTTAAAAATTTCTCAATTTTTGGCTTTTATAAATATGGCTGCAGAAATTCTATTCGGAACTAGATCTCTAAGAATCCCAGTTGAAAAAGCATGGAGAATGAAAGCTGGCATCCCAATGCGTCAAGCTACAGCAGAAGAAAGGCTTGAGTACATAAAAAAAGTTAAAGAAGAGCTGAATTTAGAAAGTTTTCTAAGACATAGCACTCGCCAAATGTCAGCAGGCACCCAGAGATTCCAAAACTACCCAGTTTTCCATGTAAACCCAAGAAGAGCACCTATCATCGCAAACCCAGGCGCAATACCTTTAGAAGTTGAAGACGCCAATGGAAATGAACTGACTCCTCGCGTTGATAATCCAATGGATTTCGTGACAGATGAAATTAAAGACTATTTCAAGAGAAAACAGCTCAACATTGACTTATATTATTCTCATGAAGGAAATCAAGATAAGCCTAAAAGGCGTGACAAAAAGACTCCAATAAACTCTAACCTCAAATAATTATAGGATTATTAACCAAAACCTATTTTAGTTATGATTTTATATCTAAATCTATAGCTCAGCCTAATTAAACCCAATAAATTCTCCTTATTTCTCACCACCGATATAAATATTATAAATTAAAATTTGACAATGGGACCTTATTTGTCTGCTCCTAACTTCTCCCCTCTGTGAGCGAAAAAAAAACTTGTTCAAGGTTACTTTTTTTTTTTAAATAAATCCTAATTCGCAAAAATTGGAAAGCAGATATTAATTTAATTTGCAAAATTTATGCTTTAAACGCGATTTGTTTGAAATTAAACAGAATTAGCTCGAGATTTCATGATAGTAGTTATCACTAATATATCAAATTTTTGTTCCATAAAAAATTTTTGTTCGCTCAGAGGATGGGTTTTTGGGCAAAAAAAAAATAGGGATTTTTCTAATGGTTTTGTTCGCTCACAGAGAAGGGGGGAGTAAAAGAGATAAACGGAAAGCTTCAGGCGAAAACCAAAGGTTAAGATTCGCCTCAAGTGAAATGCAAGGCTGAAGGAACTCAATGGAAGACGCCAAGCTTACCAACGTCCAGCTGGACTCAAATACTTCGATATTTGGAGTATTTGACGGCCATGGAGGCGCTGAGGTCGCTGAATTCGTATCCCGACACTTCAGTCGGCAGCTTCTACTAACCCCTGCTTATAGGGAAGGCAGACTAGAAGACGCCCTCCGAGAAACCTTTTTAAGGATGGATGAACTGCTAAATACTATTGAAGCCAAGCGTGAACTTGTAAGAATTTCAAGGAACCTCCCGAATAACTACCCTGTAGAGCCCGACGACAACTTAATGGCTGGCTGCACAGCTGTTGTATCATTAGTCAGAGGAAACCAGCTCATTGTGGCTCACGCTGGAGACTCACGTTGCGTTTTGTGTAGAGAAGGGAGGGCTTTAGAATTGACCCGAGACCATAAGCCAGACTTACCAGAAGAAAGAACCAGAATTATTCGTGCTGGAGGAAATATTGTGGACGGCAGAATCATGGGGAATCTTAATTTAAGCAGATCTATAGGAGACTTGGAATATAAAAAGAACGCAGCGCTCCCGCCTCAGGACCAAATAATAACGGCTTATCCAGATGTGAGGAGAGAAACTATTACAGAAAACGATGACTTTTTTATTTTAGCGTGTGACGGGGTGTGGGAGATGTTAGATTCGCAACAAGCGATTGAATTTGTGCATAAAAAAATAAAAAATAAACCGATTACTGTTATTGCAGATGAAATGCTGGATAAGTGTCTAGCAAGAGACGTCTCGAGCAGTGGAGGACTGGGATGTGATAATATGACGGCAATCATAGTTGCTTTCAATCATCCTTTAGGTCAATAATAATTATAATTATTGCATTTAACTGTAGATTAATGCATTTTTAGAAGAAAATATTAAAACTAGTATCTTTTTAATGATATATTTAATCTAATAAACAAAAGATGCCATTTTGCAAGTGAAGCTTTATTGAATTAAGAAAGTAAGCATCATTATAAATGCTATTTGTTTTTGTATATTAATTATCCAGCTTATAATATTTATAGAATGCTCAGCAGCTCATTAACACCAAAAACTCAAAATTATATTTCTCGCAAATCCAAAATTCTAGAAAAATACAAAGAGCCTTTATCTGTCTTCCGATCTCGTAGATTAGAAGAATTTGCCAAGCATAAACGCAAATTAGCACAACAAGAACAAACAGAAATGAGATTAAAAAATTTAATAAAAAAGAATACAATAAGTGAAGCAATGAAGGTGCGCAATAAAAAATGCGAAGAAAGCCAGAAAAAAAAGGAAAAAGCTGAAAAAAGGTTAAAAAGAATCGAAAATTGAGAAAAAATTGCAAAAGAGAACAATGAGAAAATAAATGAGGCGGACACCATTTTTAAAATGCTTTTGTCAAAAATATCAAAATATGAACAAAGTATATTCAGCTGATTTATAATTCTAATAAATGATGAAGTGTATTGACAGCTGTTTTCAAAAATTGAAGCTGCAAAAATTATTCGTAGTGAGGCTAGTTCAGAAATTAAAACAAAGACCGAGGAATTGGTGCCAGAATATTTAAGATGGAAAGAGAGTTTTATTAAAAAAGGAATGAATGAAATACTTGCTGAAGAGGAGGCTCAAAAAAAAATTGAAGCGTCCAAAAAAGACTACAATAATGACATAAAGGAAGCCAAAAAAATTTTTAATGAGTTCAATAGTATAACTAAAACTAAGCAAGCAGAGGCAAATATGTTTATAGCTCGAGCAAAATTCTTTTGGGCAAAAAAAAAAGAAAATATTGAGGAAGCGAAACGAAAAATGCTGAAAGCTTTAAAATTTTCTCCTTACTCCCCCCCTCGAAGTTCGACCAAGATATAGGGAAAATTCCTATTTTTTTTGGAGAATTAACCCCCCTCAAAGTTCGACCAAGACCTATATAAATTTACTAGGAAAATAAGCAATTTTTCAAAAATTTTTAAAACTATGTGGGGGTGAGCTTGCGATTTTTGTATTCAAGTTCTAAAAAAGCGTTACAAAACCATCTTGCACTATTTTTTCTAACCCTTACGCCCTCTCAACCATACAGAAGAATATGATGAATATTTTTTTTTTAACTACTGAATTATATAAAAAAAATTCTATATAATTTTTGTTAAAAAAATTTTTCTTAACCCCCGAAGTTCGACCAAAAAAATCTTGGTCGAACTTCGAGGGGGGGGAGTTAGCGCCGTTGTCCGTGTGATTGCAATAATTAAATATGCAGTTTGTGGATAATAATTACATTTTATTTTAATTTAAAAAAATATTTTAAATACTTCAACCATACGCCTTATTCCAAAATTTTTTCTTATAAGTGTCCTTATAGCTTTAGCTTTTATGAATTCTCACTTAATTTAAAGAGAAAAACCGGGAAATGGAGCGAAATATACCTCTTCATATAGAAAGGCTTGTATATGAATTAGAGCATTCTAAAGAAGTCGAAGAAACCTTACTAAGTGCCACAAATTTGCTAGGAAAAGATGTAACACTCCTTCAAATTTATACTCAGCTGGGTTTTTGTATAGAAACAAATAAATTCCTAAGATCTCCGACCCTGAATCAAGCATTATCATTAATTTCTCAAGAATATGGCCTTCCCTACCACCAGACTTCTATTGATAGCTTCCTTGCTAATACGCCTTCAAAGGTAAGTGATGCTGATTCAGACTTGCGCCGAGAAATGCTGCGAACTTTCTATGAACAAGGAATTAACGAAATTGCATCAGGATCAGAATTAGGGCTAGAGCCTTCAGCAGAGCCACCATTAGCAAGCGCATGGGACTGTTTCAGTGTTTTGCCTAAGCAAATACAATTTTCAACCCCAAAACCAAGAAGACTTCACCATAGCCCAAGCACACAGGCAACTAAATTTTTTACCCCATCTTCAGTAAACTCAACGCCTTATTCCGAGTGCGGATCCGAATTTGAGACTCCAAAATCTACTAAAGGACTTAGATATTTAACGACACTGGTAAGACAACTTGTATGTAAACATCAGCCGACTTCTTTTAAAGATGTGGCTTTAAAATTAATTGATGAGCTAATTGACACTGAAGGGGTTGATAGAATAAAAGAAGAGAAAAATATGCAGAAATTATATAAATAATTAAAAAAATTATAACAAAAAAAAATATCTATGCTAGAGGAAATAGGATTATAAGAAGAAGGGTTTATGATGCTATAAATGTCCTTATAGCTGCAGGAGTTTTAGAGCGCGACGAAAAAAATGTTCGATGAAAAGCAGAATTTAATGTTGGGGAATTAGTGGAAAAAAGAGAATTTTTAGAAAAAAGAAAGCGAGAAGTTGACGCAAAAAGACTTGAATTCAAAGAAATTTTGAATAAATATTTAGCGATACAGAATTTGATCAATAGAAACACAATCAATCCGAAAGGAGAGCCTGCCCTTCAATTTCCTTTTTTATTGGTATCCACATCAGATTCACCTACAAATTCTATGTCAATTAAAGTAAATTCTTCAGCGACTGCGCTTGAGTTAAAATTTGGCGAAGCGATCACGATGTTTGGGGATATGGATGTCTTGATTTCTCTAAAAATGCATAAGATCAAGCCTTCATTGCTGCGGCACTTTCTGCCTAGCAGAGAATTATTGAATTATTGCACACCTTATTTTCCTTAATTTATAAAATAAATAAGATAAAATATAGCTGGATTTTTGACTTGAAGAAATAAATAGAAAAAAAGATAATTACATGATGCAGGCTAGAAATGCTATGTCAAAGAATAGAATAATTTTGTAAATATAAAATGATTATAATTGCATTGAACATATTATAATAAAATCTTTAGGATATTTATAAATGGCTATTATTTAGTATATTGCTATAAAGTTATTTTTTATACCAGAGTACTAATAAATTGGGCATTTATTTTTTTCTTATTACACTTGCAGAAAATCAATCAAAAAATTATTTTCATTCTTTGCTAAATTAAAGATTTCTTTAATTGAATATTCTTCTTTCAAGATGTTTCTTTTCTCTACAGAGATTAAATTTTCTATTTTTTTAATAAGATCACATCCTTGAAAAATCAGCAAATTTAATGTAAAAATTTGATATATTCTCTACATAAAGGCCAATTTATTATTTTGATATTCTGAAGGTATTAATGCAGCACACAAAACTGAGCCTGAATAGGTTATAAATTTCCTCAAGGCATCAAGCAAACCTCAGAAGCATAGATTTTCCAAGACGATATTTATGTTTGAATCATTCAAGAAAAGAACCTAAAGCGCAAAGTATATGATAAAATCACGCAAAATATGTCGAAAATAATTGTGATCATACAGTTTTCTAATGAATTAACAATTCAATTATATATATTAAATTAATGATAATTGTATTTTTACTTAAAATGCATTAATTCTAGCATTTAATTAAATTATGGTGTCGCTTTTACCAAAATTACATCTCTTTGCATACTGTGCTGCTGGCTTCAGAAACTAGTGGGATATAATAAATGGCCACCATTATCACTAGCCATCATATTGAACTAGTGTACTTGAAAAGATATTTCGGAACTAAAATGCATTTTTCTCATTCAGCAGAATTATGAAATAGATTAAAAAAATTAATCTTTTCTATCATTTCAGAGTTGCCATCTTCCTTAAAGAGTGCCTTAATGAACGATATAGGACTTCTGCAGATTGGGCAGCTTAGTTTCCAATATTTATATGTTAAAAGCAAAATGCAACTTGCGCAATGTTGATGCCCACAATTGAGAAGAGCGCAATCTATGTTTTCCTGTAGCACCCCCTCCGTGAGCGAACAAAAAAATTTTGTTCGCTCATGGAAAGGTTGATTATTGTTTTTTTTAAATTTTTATAGAAATTATATAGAATTTTTTTTTCTTCAAAATTTAAAAAATCTCCAATTGTGAAAATTGAGAAACAAAAATTAATTAATTTGCGAAATTTATATTTTCAAACGCAAGCTGTTTAAAATTAATCAGAATTAGCTAGAGATTTCGTTATAATAATTATCATTTATATATCAAAATTTTTTTTTCATAAAAAATTTTTTGTCGCTAACGGAGGGCGGGTTTTTGGTGAAAAAAGAGGGATTTTTCTAATGGCTTTGTTCACTCACGGAGGAGGGGAGTGCACAGAAGATGCAATGATCAATTTCGTTATAGATTTCTGAAATAATTGGTCTTATCGTCATAGTTGGCTTGTAGATGAATGAAAGGAGTATTCAAAGAGCAAAACAGACAATACCAAAATCAAAAATGGTCATTATATTTATATTGTAGAATCGTATTATCTTCTTATTAAATCTGAAAATGTCATGAATTAACTTTAATTAAGCTACAATTTTCATAAATGAGCATTGGAACAATAAAATTTATTTTAAATATTTTTGCTAAACTTTTCAGTCATTATTACAAATTTTATCCTTGAATTTTCAAATTTAATCACATTATGATAACAAATAAGAGTCTCCAGATTAGAATGGTAAATAATTGCATAGCAATTAAATTTTTTAGTATATTATACTACAAATAAAAAAGTTCAAATTATCACTTTACCACACAATAATTCTCCATTCATTTTCTATATTATAAATAAATGGAATATTTAGGTGAGGTCGTCATATCAACATCCAAAGACGATCCCAATATTTATATTTGGGAGCCTCCCACGCTATCACTCCTCGCTCATTTCACCGAAACCATTTCTCTACACAAGCAAAGCTTAACTCTCTCCAATAACACAATAATTGCCCCTCAAGGCCACAAATCATTAATCAATTATTACAGGTTTGGCAAAGAAGCCCCAGAAAAAAAGTCCTCGACCCTTGAACAAGTTTCTGCAATAATCAGCTACAATTGGATGATTCTGGCTGGAACAGTCCAAGGCCAGCTTATGTTATGGGACATAAACACAGGAGTGTTAATGCATATATGGAAGCCTCACTTTAATAAAGTCACTGCCTTACAAATAATTGAAGGATTTTTTATCAGTGCAAGCGAAGATGCCTCAATACAAGTTTTCGCAGTTTCCCAAGTTTTGGCTGGAAATTATATGCCTTTTAGGAATTTTTCCCAACACTTAATGCCTATCACAGATATGGCTGTATTAGGGACAAGCATTTTTTCATGCTCTAGAGATCGGTCATTTAAAGTGTATAGAAATTGGGAATTTTTTTACGAAAAATTCGTAAATTGTCCATTAAATGCGATTGAAGTAAGCGAGCAAGGCAATAACAAACTTTATGTAGCTGGAGATGATGGGAAAGTTTATTTTAATAGAAATAATGAAATTTTAACCTGGGATATCGACCAAAGGCCTATCACAAATTTAGTCCTTACCACAAATGAGCAATTTTTACTAGCCTCGACCGACAAAGTTTTTGTGTTAAATCCACAAACTGGCCAAAAAATAAAAACTTTTACTCCCCCCCCTCCGTGAGTGAACAAAACCATTAGAAAAATCGCTATTTTTTGCCAAAAACCCACCTCCGTGAGTGAACAAAAATTTTGATATATAAATAATAATTAGTATAATGAAATCTAGAGCTAATTCTATTTAATTTTAAACGAATTGCTTTTTAAAACATAAATTTTACAAATTGAATTAATATTTGCTTTCCAATTTTTGCGAATTAGGATTTTTTTAAATTTCGAAAAAAAAAATTTTTTATAAAATTTATATATAAATTTTTTAAAAAAAAAAATTACCCCCCTCCGTGAGTGAACAAAATTTTTTTGTTCACTCACGGAGGGGGGGAGTTAGCATTCACAAAGGAGAAGTTGTCAGCTTATTTTGCATACCAAGACCAAGTGATTTTACAGAGCAAATGCTCACACATCAGCCTGTAAAAATCTTAAAAAAACAGCTGGAAGGAGAGCCTGATACAATAGGATTTGAATTCCAAAGGAAAAAATTTGAGCCAAATGAAGAAAATAAAGAAGACCAAAATATTGCAGCGAACTCTGAAGAAATTGAAAGGCTTAACCAGATCAATGGGCATTTATATAGACTTTGGATAGAACATTGCATTTAATTAAATAGAAAATTGCTTATTAATTTCATATGATAAGGCGGGATTATAATTAAAATGGAAGAAGATAACTCTCTAAGCCCTTTGAAGAGACAACGAACAGAGCTAGAATGCGCAATAGTACAGGAAAATAAAATGTGTAAATTGAGCCCAGCAAGCAGTGAAAGTTATTCTGAGTATAGAACTCCGCCTGAATTTCCTTCAGATGAGAAGAAAATTAAATTATCTCCGAAAGAAGAAAATGAGACTGATGTTGGTGATGAAATGGAAATACATCATGAAGATCCAAAAAATTCAGATTCAACTGAAATATTGACTTCACAAAATAAATTAGCAGACGAAACTCATACTCCTACTGAGATAATGGGTGAAATGAGTGATATAGCGGATCTTAAAGATGTCCCTAAACAAGAAGAAACCACAATAATTATCGATGGGCATATAATCAAAGTAACACTTAATAAACCTTAAAATGGATTTTCCGTAACTAAGCTTTTTTTCAATCACAATTTTGCTTTCTGTCTAATTAATAATTATATGCAGAAGCCACACCAACATCTCAGAAACAAAAGCGATCAATTACAAAATAACGCAAAGCCAAAATTTAAACTCGATTTAAAACATTCTTTAATTTCCCCCAATTCCAAATTTGTAGGGCTGACCAATAGAGACTGAAATAATTCCCCATACGCAGCTATCAAAACTCAAAAAATTCGTAAAATTAGTTCAAATTTGCCAACTCAGCGCAGCAATTCTCCCGCAAATCCAGAATTTTTAACAGTTCAGACAACTAAACACCACAAATCCAGCTCAGCTTTTAACTTTATTATAGGAGATTCTCCTATACAAAGCAAAAATCCTTCCCCGATTAAACTTCTGAAAAATTCCTCGTCTGGGTTTTATGTGTTTAATGATGCAAAGCAAGTCCAAGACTTAAGCACTGTGAGGATGCCTAATAATAGAGATTTTTCTGAATTGACAGCTGATCTGTTAGAGAAACTGAAAAAGTCTGAAAACGCCAGTAATGAGGAAAAATATCAAGCTATTAATTCAGTTTTTGATATAGCTGTAAGGTCCATTGCAATATGCTATCGATTTTAATGATTATTTTTTTATTTTATTTAAATTTAAAATGTTTCCTAATAAATTTCCTTACTCCCCCCCCCCCTCCGTGAGCGAACAAAAAAATTTTTGTTCGCTCACGGAGGGGGGTTAATTTTTGTTTTTAAAAAAATTTATATATAAATTTTATAAAAAATATTTTTTTCGAAATTTAAAAAAATCCTAATTTGCAAAAATTGGGAAGCAAATATTAATTTAATTTGCAAAATTTATGTTTTAAAAAACGCAATTTGTTTAAAATTAAACAGAATTAGCTCTAGATTTCATTATACTAATTATCACTTATATATCAAAATTTTTTTCCATTAAAATTTTTTCTATTAAAAAAATTTTTGTTCACTCACGGAGGGTGGGTTTTTGGTCAAAAAATGGCGATTTTTCTAATGGTTTTGTTCGCTCACGGAGGGGGGGGGGGGGAGTTAATTTTTTCCAAATTTTATAATGGTATTTAGCTTTAACAATTTTTTTAAAAAACCCTTTTTAGGCTTTGGGTGCTATTAAGACTTTTGGAAATAAAAGGAATTTCATAGTGTTCTATAAAAATGCATACACTATACAGTTATACAGCTTGATAAACCCTTTGGAGCTTTGCTAATGAAAATCAAAGAGTCATATGAGAGCCTGCATCACGAAAAAGCTGCTTTAAATGACGAAAAAATCAAGTCAAAAAGTCCGACTCCTACAGCATTTAACCTGCCAAAGCTCCAGCTGTCAAGAAGAAATTCTCAAGACTTCCAAGATGAATTTATGCAGCATTTAGATGAGTTTTCAGACAGCTGGAGAAAAGCGATTATCGAAGGAAGATAATTTCATGTTTATTCTCGAATAATTATCATAAAAATGTTAATTCCCTTTTCTCTCTTCTTTATCATCTTGTTCTAGTATTTCTACAAGCGCTCTTTCTTCAGCCTGGATTTTTGCTTTATCTTCTTCTGTAGGATCCAGCCTTACCAGCCTATTTCCTTCATTACAAAGCTCAGCCCGTGACACCCTGCCTCTCTTTTCTATGTATTTTTTGACATCCAGAAACTCTTCTTCTGTGATATAAATGTATTTCCCTCTCTCGTCTTTTATGCCATTAATCCATCCACCCTTTTCTAAGTCGTCTAGTCTTGATACAGCTGTTTTTCCGTCCAGGCCGAATTCAGAAGCCAGTTCTTCAACCATTACAACTTTTCTCATTTTAATAAAATCAATGAATTTTTTCAAATCGTACCCAGCTTCTTCAGCTTCTTCTCCTCCTTCATCAACTGCGAACATATCTTTCCATTTCGCGTACTCCTCTTCCTCTTTTTTCTGTTTTTCTTCCTCAATCTTCTTCAGCCTTTCTTCCTCTTCCTTTTCTTTTTGCTCTCTTTCTTTTTCTTTCTCTAAATATTTCGCATTTTTTTCATTCTGCCTCTGCAGCTTTTCTTCATAAGCTTGTTTTTTGGCTTCCCTCTGTGCTTTTTTCTCTTCTTTTTTCGCTAATTTAGCTGCTTCCCTTCTTGATAGCTCTGACTTTTCGTCGTCTTCTTCGGTCTTTTCTTCTGCTTCTACCTCTTGTGTCTGTTTCTGTCTTAATTTTAAATTCATCCTCCCTTTTGCATTTTTTTCCACCTCCTGAGGCTGCACAACTGGCCCTGATTTTTGTTTAAGCGCCCAAAAGCCTATAGCTCCTATCACAATCGTCAATAAAAGGACACTAATAGCTTCAATAATCATATATAAATATGGAATAATAGTTCCTTATTATCTTTAAAATGGTGAGAACTCACTATCCTTCTTATCTCAAGACAGTGCTAAAAGCAGGATCTATCGTCAGCTTACTCTATTGGGCTTTGTGTTTGAACATAGGGTGGGTACATCATAGAGAGCTAGCGAAAAACTCCAGAGTACGAAGACGCTTTGTTAAAGCTGGAGGATTTGACTCATTTTTGCAAATGAGGGACGAATATCACAAGCATCAAGTCAGACCCATGTTGGATTTCCAGCCAAATCAGCCTTATGCAACCCCAGCACCATTGAAGCCTCAAAAACACTTTTAAGGCTAACTATTTAGCTTATTATCATTATTTATAATCTACATAACCTCGCATTGTTTTTTATTTTTCTTTGCACAAGCTTTTGAAAAACATGCATAGTTGCTTTTCCGCTCTGTGGAGATAAACAGCCTTTGCTCGTCATACCGAATAGTAGGGAATGCTGCAGTCTGTTGGACAAGCTTTATGTTGGTTCTTTCGATTTCTTTTTTGAGCGCTGCAAGCTTGTTGGCGATTAATTTGATTCTTTTTGTGATGACATAAATTTTGTCCTCTGGCATCAATATATAGCTGAGGACAGCTTATAGGTCTGGCTTTAGTTTGCCAGCTTTTCGGAGTTGCTTTATAATATTTTGTATCCAAAAGTTATTCTGATAGCCTATTGACTAATAGAGCTATAAGCTATCCTGGGCTATATTGAAATATTTTTTTAATTTTTTTTTCTAATAAATTAATTATTTTAATTTTTTTTTTAAAAATTATTGAAATATACAGAAAATGCAAGCTTTGGGGACTCATAGAGTTCATCATTTACTACAGTCATTAACATGTATTTTTGAGGAACTTCTACCTTAAAAGAAGACTCATAAGATTTTATTTCTAAAACCGATGTAGGCTCAGTATTGGCTTGAAGTAGATACTGATATACATCGATATAACAAGTCGCCACTGCTGTTTTTGGCGGCCTAAACTGCCTCGTGGTATGCTCATACAGCACCACTTCTGCAGCTTTGTCTTTAAACCCGCTTTCTCTATATATCCCTTACAATTGTATAGCCGCATCTCAAATCGCTTTATTTCCCCTAATGTCAACTACATCAGTTTCAGATGACGAGTTTCCTATATTCAGCCTCAGCGAGTACCCTTCAAAGCCTTCTTCAAACGCTGACTTTAAATCGGTGATTTCTGCAAAGCTCGCCAACATATAAACAGGTACCAAATCTTCGATGTTTTCGCTCGTCAGCCTAGTGGCGTCATTTATTTCTAAAAATGATAAGCTATTATGGTTTAATAGAGTTTCTATATCTTGGTCCTTCAAATGAGGGTATGGGAGGGTCAGGTTCCTATAGACGCCTAAAGCAGTGTCTAATAATCTTTTCTACATTAAGACTACAGTCAGAGGAGCTTCTTTTAGCAGCTTCAGGTACCTTTGGTGTCTCCTTACAAGAGTTTCAGAAAAAATTTGGAGAAATTGGTTCCTTATTAGCGTTTACAATGATTTACTACCAAATTTGTCGCTTGTAACTTTTTCCCAGATGCGCTTGACTTCAGATAGAGCTTGCTGGCAGTCTTTGTTGTAAAATCACACAGTAAGGTCTGGGAAGGCAATTTTTAGGTCAGATTTGTCCTCTATGTCAGCTTCATTTAAAGATCGATTGTACTCTTTCCGCATTTCTTCAAAGAGTTTTTGGGGAAGGTCTTCCATTTTGTGTATATTTTATACCTTGGGCGCCCTTACACAATTATTTATCTAATCGTTATTTTTCTTATAGGTGTTCATTCAAATAAGTTATATGGGCAACCTAGAAGTACACTTGAGCTATAGTTATATATTTATTGATTATTTTATATAGAAAATGTATTTCTTGAAGGGATTAAAGTTTTTCCGCATTGGCTGCACTTTTTTGGGAAAGCTGATATGAGGCATCAATGAGGGGAAAAAGGCAAGTCCCAAACCAGCAGCCCAGTAGGCACATACTACCACAGTCAAATCAGGCTGCACTAGTAGGTATTGAGGACTCGACAGGCTTGATATAAGCTTTGCAGTGGTCACATCTTAATTTGAATAGAAAACTGTGATCAACGGTCGGGGTTTTAGTAAGTGTTGTAGCCATTGTGGATCGTCGCTTGTGGCTTCTGATTGGCGAAAACTCAGGATTGCTGACTTCAGTTGCACTGGCTGACTCTTTTGACCATTGTGTAAACCTTCTCCCTGTGCTTGGCATTGTGATTAACCCAGGCATAGTAAAAGGGAAGTTATCTAATTCTGACTCATCTTCCGAACTGTCAAGCAATGGGAGCAATCCTTCATTCATTTTTACTAATTAATCATTTCTAACAGATACATTAATTTTACTGTGTTATTTTCTCTATTTTTAATGCCAAATTTATATAAAAATCATTATAATCTGCTTCATATTTATTCATTTCAAATAATTTTAAAATGTTAGCTCAGCTTCCTACAACAGTGAAGATGGCACGCGAACACGCAATTCTTGGGTTGTACCCAGAATCTCTACAGATGTTCGAGCAAGCGATCGGGATGATAGATTCCTACCTCCCTTCATGCCGAAACTCTCCTTTTAATCAAAGATGAATTAGCACTAAAAACAATTTGTCAGAAGAGTATGAAGCTATAAGGAAACTTTACCAAACAGTCAGAAGATTCCAGTCAAATTCGCCGCCTCCAGCTTACATGCAGGTCCAAGAGAGACAAATAAGCCCTTCAGAACAGAATGGAGTATTCCAGTTCGCCATATCAAATCCAAATTATAGAGGACCTGCCAAAGGTCTTGGAAGGTTCGAAGGGGTGCCTTTTGATAGGCCGCCTGCAAATGAACCGATGGATAGTTTCCAGAACGACCCTGATGTATGGCCTGCACCTCCTATGCTGCCTAATAAACAGAAAAAACCAACAAGACCACAAGCCCAGCCTGTTGTAAAAACTAAGCCACCTCCTCAGAGTAATCAAAGAAAGCCTCCAGCGCCAGCTAATAAAGGCCAAAAACCAGCCCCTGAGCCAAGCAATATTAGAAATTACGACAAGCCTTGACGAGCAAATACAAAGCCAGAAGGCGAAAAAGCAGCTAAAAAAGGTGAAGGGGAAAAGTCCAGCTTTTTGGAGTCAGTCTACCCTGATGGCGTTGGTCCTGACACTGATTTAATCCAGGCGTTAGAAAGAGACATGCTCGACAAAAACCCAAATATCTGTTTTGATGACATTGCAGACCTCGACGAAGCCAAAATGCTTCTACAAGAAGCCGTTTTATTGCCAATTTTAATGCCGGATTTCTTCAAAGGCATTAGAAGACCTTGAAGAGGTGTATTAATGTTCGGGCCCCCTGGGACAGGCAAAACCATGCTTGCCAAAGCTATAGCGACCTTAGGAGAAACCACATTTTTTAATGTCTCAGCTTCTACGCTTGGGTCTAAATGGAGAGGAGAAAGTGAAAAACTTGTAAGACTTCTCTTTGAGATGGCAAAATTTTATGCTCCGACCACGATTTTCTTTGACGAAATTGATGCACTTGGAGGCAAAAGAGGAGACTCGAATGAATGTGAAGCGTCAAGAAGGGTCAAGACTGAGATGCTGGTGCAGATGGATGGGGTTGGATCAAGCGAAGATGAAGAGTCGAAAAGAATTATAGTACTTGCAGCTACAAATAGGCCGTGGGATCTTGATGAAGCTTTGAGAAGAAGACTTGAAAAAAGAGTTTATATTCCTCTGCCTTCAGATAATGGCAGGAGAAAATTGTTTGAAATTTATTTGAATTCTCTTGAAAAAAGCGATGATATTATAGCATAGGAATTTTTATAGATTTCTTAGGTGTCGATCCTCTCAGTTGAAGATTATCCATGCTAAGACTGATTTTATAGCTTGATTGCTGACTTGCCAAATAAATTTGGCAAGTCTAATTCAATTTTGGTTGTAAGAAGAAGATCCTTACTCCCCCCCCCCCCTCCGTGAGCGAACAAAAAAATTTTGTTCACTCACGGAGGGGGGTTAATTTTTTTTTTTAAAAAAAATTTATATATAAATTTTATAAAAAATATTTTTTTTCGAAATTTAAAAAAATCCTAATTTGCAAAAACTGGGATTATTTATATCTATTTATAATGTAATCATCCCTTTTGTTATATAAAAATAAGACAATGGTTATAAGACGAAATATTTCTAGTGATTATGAGAAGGCATAGTAGAAAAAAGTCAAGGATATAGTGGCGCTGATATTGCCAATGTATGCAGAGATGCCGCAATGATGCCAATGAGGAAGAAACTTGCAGAAATTAGAAGCAAAGGAATTAATGCTAAAATTATTGAGCAGATTAAAGATAAAGTGAACGTGCCACTATGTATGGACGATATGAAGGAAGCCTTGAACAACGTGTCGAGGTCGGTTAGTAATGATGATCTGGGGAGATATGAGGAGTGGATGAAGGAATTTGGCAGCACTTAATCATAATTTACCATTTTATTATATATATTTGCACACAATTATAGAATTTTTACTTTGTTTATGATATTAATTACTTATATCTCATTTAACTCAGAATCATTGCTGTCAAAGCTCACATCACTCATGTCTGAATCTGATTCAATGCCATCTAGCTTTTTTAGTGGTTTTGATTCGGCAGGCGGTGGCTTGTTTTCTTTCAGGAGTGGCTTGTTTGGAGGCTTTGGTGTTACTTCTTCTGGAGAATCAAATATAGCATCCACTATTATATAAGCATTTCTTTCAAAAAAGTCAATTCAAACCTTTTGACCTTGCTCTTTTAAATTTTCAATCCACTGCCAAATGTACCCGGGGTCGTTCCTTATTTTCGCCCTTAAGTCTACAATTGTTGGATCCTTGCTTTTAAGCAGATTGTCTAATATGGTAGCATCATCATTTGTGCTGCTTGGTGGCTCTTCTGGAACATCTTCTGGAACATGTAACTCTTTTAAGTATTTTCTTGACTCCTCGAGATTACCATCATATTCTTGTAGAGCCTTATATGCATCTTCAAACTCATAGCCTTCTTCCATTAATTGTGCAAGTTTCCAATCCCAATTGGTATCATCTTGTATATTGTTTGGGCTTTTCTCTTGTGCACTGCTTGGACTATTCTCTTGCATGGTGCTTGCACTTTTCTTTTGCGCACAGCTTGCATTTTTTACTTGTGCAATGTTTAAACTTTTATCTTGTGCAGCGCTGCATTTTTTGCTTGAATTTGGGATCGGTTTTTCTTCACCATCACTTTCTAAATCGCTGTTTGCGATTTTTTCATGATTACTATTAACTGCAATTTGAGGCTGGGGTTCCGGATTAGGCTGAGACTCATACAGAGGTGGGGCCTGAGGCATGACATTTGGGCCATTATTGCGGACTGTACGCTTAGACACAAGAAATTTTGGAGTGTTACTTAGTCCTGGGAGATTCAAAATTGTAAGTTCGGGATTAATTTGTTTCCCTCCATAGACAACAAGAGCTTGAGATGTATCAATACTTAGGCTATCCAGATAGGATATGATTTGTTGCAATAATGGCAGGTTATCGTTTATCTCAATATCTGAGAATGTTCCTATCTTTCTACAGTCGATAATAATTTTCATTTTATAAATTAAAGTCAAATTGTTAGATGTGAACTGCAACCTGACTATCTATGTAGATCCAGCTTATCCAGAAATAGTTTCTAGGTTAGACAAACCCTTTGAGGCTGTCCCGCTAGTCCCAATAGACAAAAACTAAGTGGTTGTACACCCATCTGGTTGGGACTGAAAACCCATCAAGGAGAAATAGAACTACCTCTTCATCAGGCATCCCAAACTCAAAAGCCTACTGAAAAGGGGTACAGCCTTAATCGAGCATAATTAGGTAGGTCCTACCTCTCCACATGGAATTAACCTCCAGTCACCTTTTATTTCTTCATTTTATAAGAAATATAAAAATGCTTAAGAGTACTCATTATAAGTTATATATTAATCCACCCCATCCAGTAAGAAAACAGCCCTACTAAAGCTGCACTTGATATGTATTTTCTGTTTCCGCCCATGCAAAATCTGTATGCGTTTACAAATTTCATAACAAAATTCATGCACTTGCTGACGCAGTCGATCACTGTTTCCATTTCGGCTGGACTTCTGCCGAATTGGGTGCCAAGCATTTGGCCCATCATGTTTTTCATTTCAGGGTTGTTTAGCATGGTTTGGACCATGTTTGCGTTTATTTGCGGCATGCCAGGGTTTGCTTCTGCTGCTGCTGAGCCAGGCTGTTGTGGAGCAGCAGTAGGGAATCCTCCCGATCCCATCATTTGTGACATCATTTTGATGGTTTCAGGGCTCATCATCTTACTCTATATTGGCTAAAAGCAAAATTAATGATAATGGGACAAAATTAATCTTCTTTATTAAATTATTTTAAAAATAAATAATTATAGAGTTAGTCATATTTTGTATTTGTTCAGACGAAACGTTTAATCCTTGGCTCTTCATCATGCTTTCCATGAACTTCGGATCCATGTTCTTAATAGAAGATGTCATCCTCTCCAAATCTTCAGGGCTCATGTTTTTTAAAGTTTCCATGCCTTTATTCATCATTTCACTATTCATATTTCCTGGAGGAACTATAGGAGTGTTTATAGCCGGAGCAGGCTGCTTTGGAGGTTCTTCCGTTTGCTCTTCAATGATAATTTTCTTTTGTGGAGCTTTTTCTTCTTTTTGTGGAACTTTTTCTTCTTTTGGTGGATTTTTTGTTTCTTCTTGGAGAAGTTTTTCATTAAGCTCGATCCCTCGATTTTTTTCTTTATTGCTCAGCTGTCCAGTTGGCTTTGGGTCTTCTTTTTTCACTGGTTCGTCAATTTCTTCGATTTTCGGAGAATTTTTCTTCGGTGAAGCTTCAAGTGAAGCAGCTCTGACCTCCTCTAATAACTTTGTAACTAATGTAAATCTTACTGTTTTCGTCACTTGGTGACAGTTTTTTAGCTTCTTCTAGTTTCGTTTTAGCTTCTTTTAATTCTCCTTTTTTCATTAAAGCCTGTCCATATCTGTAATAAGCCTTTGCATTTCCTCCAAAAATCAAGACCTTTTTGCACTGTTCGATTATTTGGTCATAATCCTCAAATTTGGCTAAACAGTTGGCTAAATTCATTCTGCAAGAAATTTCTAAGGTTTTTGCTGACTCTGAAAGTGGCTCTTTTTGCAGCTTTCTTAAAGCTTCCTCGTATCGGTCAATGGCTTCTTTGTATTTTCCTTGATTAAAATATGTGTTTCCTTGGTTCTTTATTTCTGTTGCTTCAACCACTGTTGCAGTTGGAGGCTCAGGCTGTGGTGGAGGGGATTGTTGAGGAAATCGACCAGCTGGGACGTTGTTTTTCATGTTTTCCAAGGTGGATTCGTCCATCTTTGACATACTTGCTGCTGCAGTCCTAAAGAGGGCTGAATGTAATTTGATCGGAACATTTTTGTATGAAATTTGTCGAAAATTTTTTTCCTCTGTAGAGTTTTTGATGAATTTTTAATTATTTTCTGAGTAAATATTAATGAGGAAAAAGTTTCACCGAAAAATCCCGAGGAAATGTGATACTAGGAAAATTCCAATAAAAAAGGGCGCACAACCTAAAGAATGATGGATCCATATTCCCCATCCCAGCCATTGACAGGTATTGTCTGAGCTGGTCGTCAGTCATCTTCGACATCATATCAGCGCTTTGCTTCATGTTTGAGCCGTTCATCATGTTTTTGTAAGCTTCGAACTGGGCTGGGTTGAACATTTTATTATATTTTTTTAAGATTTAATAGAATTTTACAAATTTAGCAAACAGCTTATATGTGAGCTAACTCCCCCCTTAAATTGGAACAAAAATGATGCTTCAATTTATTTGATTTTTTTTTTAAATATAAATCGAGCCAGCTATTTTGAATTTATTTCTATAGAATTAATTCAAAAAATTAATTGATTCAGTGTGAAAACTGTTTAAATAATTCATTGAACTTTTTTCAGTTAAATTAGGCCAAAACTAATTCTAATAAAAAGTAGTATTTGACTTATAAAATTTTTCCTGTGAAAAAAATTGTTCCAATTTAAAAGGGAAATTTTACCAATATTTGTTTCAATTTTAGGGGAATAAGAGAAGCTAAATTCAAAAACAGATTTAAGGACTGCATTCATACTCGCAATTTATTATTTTTTCCCTTTTAATCATTTCAATTTCGTTCCCAGGTTATCAAATTTCTATATCCAGGCCTAATCTGCTTTCCTGCTAATTGAGTTTTGCCAAATAATCAATTTATGTGAAATTTTCCATTTGGCTGATTAGATTTTTCTCCAACTTCTCAATCTTTCCATATAAAAATATTTTAAGTTATATAATTAATAAAAAATATATAGCCCTAAATTTCTTTGTATTGATTAGGGACTGGCTGATTTCGAATTTTTTTCACTACAGAAGCAAATTTCAGATCTTTTTTGGTATCTTCATAGTATTTAGAAGATGGAGACAAAGTGCAAATCATGTAGGTTTTACAGTTTCCTCCTAATGCATTCGCCAAAATTCTAGTTAAGGCAGACTCTCTGTAGCGTATTACTCCGCCTCTATACCCTATTTATTAATATATCAATTATTTTAAAAAAGTTTTTTAATATTAAAATTTATCTAAAAAGACTTACTAGCAGGATTTGCCAAATTTTTTACAACTGTCTGCAGTGCAGCAATAGAAGAATTAAGTGATATAACGTATTTTTCAAGAGTGGCACATGCAAAAACTCTTTGCTTCGCAGCAAGGTCTGCAAAAGTAATAAAACTGCTCATTTCTAACACTTTATCTTCTTGGTTGACTCTTTGTTTCAATTCTAATATCAAAAAAACATGAGAATACCCTGCAATTTGATTCATCAGAGCTTGGAAGGATCGCTTATTTGTTGAGCCTCTTCTTATCAATTCTTGGAAGTCTTCAGGACTTCTAACAGGGTGCTTCGAAAGGTTTTCAACAAAGAATTCATGATCGCTGTTTGTTCTTATTTTTAGTCCATGCTTAGGCCAACTAGTTTTCGGGACCAATAAATCATAGATTTCTTCGGTATAAATTTCATACATACTTATCAATATCTCATTTTCTGATAAATTATTTAGCCTTGAAAGCAGCTTTTCACATGTATAAGGTATAATCCCTTGGGTATTGCCAATTCCATACATTGAAAATGTCTTTCCTGATGCGGTCTGGCCATATGAAAAAATGCAGGAATTGTAGCCTTCGAGTAAATTATTTAAGAGTTTGGTACTGTATTCTTCATTTATATCTTCCGATCCTGCAAACTTGCTCGAAGTTCGCAAACAGAGCCCATCTTCCCTTTCAACAAAACCATCATGTGACCAAAATGAATTATTAAACAAAAATTGTTCGGACTCAAGACTTTTAGGGTCTGTGATTATTGTAGAATTGCCTTCTATATCTATGCAGCATTGATTATCAGCAGATTGGAGTTCAAAACGAATGAATGGTCTAACTCGGACAGCAACATTTATATTCATTATGATTATTAGTAGAAACCAGATTTATGAATTATTTCTAATGTTATAAAAAGTGAAGTTACATAATTTTTGATTAAAATCAAAAACTAATAGTTTCTTGAAAAATTCTCCAAACAAATACCATTTATTATTAAAAATTTTACAAGTTCAATTAAAATCAAACAACATCTTTCATGGCATTCTAAACTATGGGCTTTGCCAAACTTTAATATAACTTAGCCTTATTTTAAAATCAAATTGCCCTGAAGCATCAAGTGGCTTTCTCCAAATATAATTAATTTCATATAGCTTTGAATATTTACTTCTAAGTATTTATTAGCAGATTGAAGCCTATAGCGACTGAACTGTCGGGAATCGATCAGCAAAATGCATATTTTATGTAATTTTTTTTTGGGCAGTCAATATTTATTAATTAATATCCTCTGTGTCAAAAAGAACGACGTTATATTTCTTTTGATAAAAATCTGAAAATTTGGTTAATTTTACACCCTCTCCATCCACTAATATTCTATTTGAGCCATTTCCTATGCAAGCTGAATATATTACTTTTGAACTAATTAAAAATTTCATTAGCTCGATTAAAATCAAGCATTTTTCTTTAGCACTTTTAAACATATAAGCTTCCCTATAATTTCCTCCAAACTCTATACATTTTTCTAATACAATCCTTGAGTTGTTTTTAAAGTTAAAGTTGCTATGAAACATCAAACAGTTTCCTCCCACTGTAATCATTTGCATAAAGCTTTTAATACCCACTCCTAGCCCACAGATCAATGAGTTGTTATAATTAGTTTCAGAAATCTTGTAATCCTCCACAAATCTTTTGAGATTAAAAAATTCTTTTTTTTGAATTTTATTTTCTAAAAATTTTAAGTATCACTCACAATTGATTCCGTTTGTAGACTCTTCTTGGCAAAAATTCTTGCAGGTGTGTTTTTCTTCATCACCTATATACAGTGTAAAATTAGCCCTATAGGCATGTAGAGAAACTCTTTGGAAACGCCGATGCCTTGTATATGATCTTTTATGAACTTGAGTAATAGATCCATTTTCATAAGGATACGAATCAAGGATAAGCAACCTGCCGCATATCTTGCAAATTCGAAAATAAAATAATAATCGAGCGCCTTTGTAGATTTTATTGAAAAGGCCTTTGAAAGTTATTATACATGGGTAGTCAAGAGGCGGCCTAATTCAAAAAATCTCAGGAAGCATGCTTGAAAATAATCTTTCAATGGCCCAGCTTGTTTTTGATGTGTGATAAAAAACCTTGCTAACATGAGGAATCGAGGATAGAATCTCAAGCGGAGTTAAGAATGATAAAATGTTGCCAAGCAAGTTATTGTTATAGAGAACCTGGTTCATGATTTGTATTGATAATAAGCCCCATAATATAAAATAAATTGGGCGGCAAGCCTATAATTTATATAAAATAAATGTGACTAATATATTGATTAACATTAAGATTTATACACACCATAAGCAGGACTCACATTAGCTAGACTACCTTTGCGAGGAAAGGTAGCCTACGCTGGCGAATATACACCAGAGTGAAAATGGTGTAAAGCCCAACCAAAATTCCACCCTCTTGAAGTTTCAGACGAAACGCACCTACCTAAGTATAAGCTTTCTAGATTAGAGCACCCTCTGCCGGGTACCCCAATAGTTCCAATAGAGGAAGAATATTTGAGAAGCAAAATCTGCCTAGCTCATCTGGCGGGCAGGGACAGAAAAACCTTCGGGGAGATAAAAACAAAAACTTCACTCTTTGGCAAGGTATCCTCAAATCGAAGGCCCAATTCAAAAAAAGGCTTTATTATCAGTTTCATTGTAATGGGTCCTACTTCTTCATATAGAGTGCACCTCAAAGGCCAATTCCTTCAAGTCATCAATTTATTTCTTAAAATATTGAGTATTTTACTTATTAAAAGGGATATTTAAATGAAATAATGATTATTGCATTAAATTGCATTTAATTGTCTTGCTTCAATAAGCAAGCTATTTACTGGTGCAGATAAATTTGATGGAGCTCTCCTTGGATAATTTTTTATTGTATATTTTTCTGGAATCCCCAATGCATACACTTTGAGATAGTCTACAGCATAGAAATACTCGATATTTTCCCTTGTATCTAAATCTACCTTCTTATGACTGACTGTTACATACTCGATAACTCCAAGATGATGCAATCTTTGTGCTAGCTCAATCATCATTTGAACAATTTTCCTTTTTCCTTTGAAGTAATAGAGCTCATTATACTTTTCACTAAATCTCTACCACAATTATTTTTTAAATATTTAAACAGTAATTATTATTATTATTAATAATAATAATTTTGCAGACTTGAAGTAAGCTCTTTGCAGGTATCTTTGAATATCGGAACCACTGAAATAAGGTTGCAATATTCAGGAAAAATGAATTCGCAATATGCTCCTACACAAATTCGGTTTTCAAAAATGTTTGAGCTGACCTTAAAGCAATTCTCAAATTTGCTATTCCAATTTATATAAATTTAAATACAGATATATTTTACGTGTGGATTTATTTTATAATGGGATATTATAACTCCTTTCACATTCTGCTACTTGCCAAATAAATGGATGCAGTCTGGATTTTAGTTTAGCCTTTCTTGGAAATTGTGCAAATCATTCACAATTTGTTGTGCTATTTGGCAAGCTTTCATCCCATTTCATATTTCTACATTTGTGGCCACCTGGGTTTGCTATGAGCAGAATAAAGGGAACCCCATCAGCAACAATTGAAGTTAGTTGCCATTGTTGATGAGATTATTTAAATTTTTTAGAAATATAGTCCAGAGCAACTTTTAGCTTGCCCTGGGCTAGACTTTCCCTTCAACTCGCGAGTGGATTTGGAACCGAAAATTCCTAAACTAACAATGCGAGTTGATGAATGTCAAGTATATGGTCACTTATCAACTCTTGGATTTGGTTGGAGCCAAAAGTTACCTAACGACAAGTATGCGCTCACTTGCCTACTCGTGGTGTTGGTTAGGCAATTTTATTTCGGGACCAACTCCACTAGTTGCTAGTGCAGGGCCAGCTAGAAGCGGCATTGGGCTATAATTGAAAAATATTATATATAAAAAGACATGTGTTTAAGAAAATGCTATATTATAAAATTAATAGATTTTGTGATAATATTTTTAATAGCTATTTTCTCTTCTAACCTTGTTTATGAGTAATAATTCCGTTCGGGGTTGATTGATGCATTTTACCAATGACTCAGTCGGTAAAACCTAAACCACATATCCTGCTGCAAACTTTGCAAAGCTGGATATTAAAGATTAAGCGTTCTCCTCATTTTATTGTGTTAAACAATCCTGTCATTATTTTTATTGCTGGATTTTCAATCTGATCTTTAGTCCAGAACAACTCTGAAATCATATTCGTGAAAGATTTCTCTATCTCCCAGTGAGTTCTGGACACATGATTAAAAGTCTTGCTTACAGTTTGCAGAGAAATCAGCTCGAAAGGATTTAAGTAAGATAAGATACCACCTAGTAAGTCACAATTATCTAAAACGTTCATCTTTATTTTTATATATTAATACCCCGCCAATTTTATTAATCCATACTAAAACCAAAATATAGAAGAACAATAATACACATAATGCGACTTTTCTTAGTTTTTTAGAGAACTGTAACATAAAATGGATAACCTCAACAAAAGCCCTTATTTAGCCAAGTTTCAAACTGAAATAGACAAAGCTATCAATTTCATGAGAATCCACAATTTCAGCCACCCCTCAATATCACAAGCCTGTGAATTCCTTCAAATTTCTCCAGACGAGCTTTACCCAAAAAGTTATCGAGAATTTAATGATAATAACACTATTTCCGAGTGCCAAAAAATCCGCTACAACCACTTCGAAAACCGCCGAAAGGCAAAAATAAAAGTGGTCGCTTCTTATATCGCAGAAAAAGACCTTTTGCATGAGCATTCTAATCATGTAGAGACAAGTTCCAGCCACAGTAGTCAGTTAGATATTTTTCAGCATACAGCTTGTCCTCCTACCAACCAAAAATCAAGACACAGCAAAACCAATGAGCCAGAGCTACCGCTTTATGTCCCAATTTCTCTAGAAGAAGTGGCCAAAAGAAAATTCGATATGGCTAAACATGATGTTTTTCGAAAACTCCAAGTCAAAGAAAACCAAAAGTTTATCAGGCAAAAAAGTGAAGAAAAAATTAAGCAAGTGACGTTAAAAGAGGTGGCAAAGGCTCAGAAAATCGAAATGGATAAAAAAATTCATGATGAGCTGAGGATGACAAAAATTATGAAAATTGAGGAAAAGAGGAAAGGAATTTTGATGAAAAGGCACCAGGAATATGAAAAATATGAAAAAGAGGCGTTGTCAAATAACCAGTCTTTTAGTAAATTAGACACTTTTAGTGCTTCTGCAGTTTTGAGTAGAAGCCAAATTGCATCTAGGGAAAGAGGGCTGAGTCCAGTAAGGAGAAGTGTGATTATAGAAAGTAGATACAATGATGATGCAGTAGATGAGCAGCTTAAAAAATATACTGACAAAATGGAAAACTCGACAAGGCTTGCAACCCGTTTTCAGGTTGAAAAAGCTGCGTCAAGCTATATGAGAAGCTTATCTGTAAATAAAGTCTCTGAGTATCGAAAAAGTTTACAATTGCAAGAGATGGAAAGATTGGATCAAAAATTGCAAAAACTGCATAAAAATATTGAAGAATCTTTGGTAATTTATAGCTAGAAAAGAAAATCAGAAATCATTGAAAAAGAAGCAAATAAAAAAGTCAAGAATAAACAATTTTGAGAAGAAAAACTGTTTGAAGAGCAGAAAAAGCTTGACGAATATTACAAAGCCAGGGAAAACTATTTAGAGCATAAAGATCAAAAACGGCAAAAAGCTGCAAAAGAAGCTAAGGATGCTAGAGCCAAGAGAAGTGCCATGCTCACAGAGAAAAATCACTTACGCAAAAGAGATCAAGAAGAAAACATAGAAAAAGTCAACCAAAAATTCGAGCAATTCAAACAGAAAATTTTTGGAAAGCATAAGGAAGCTGAAGAATATTTACGAAAATTAAAAGCTGTAGACTCACAGATTCCTCAAATTAAAGTTGAAGCCGAAATGATTTTTAAAATGGAAAGAGAAAACTCTAGCAGAGATAAATCAAATGTAAAAACAGCAGCTTAATTAATGCTATTAATTTATTTGTAAATGACTTATAACCCTCCTATCAGCTCTGATACGATTTTATCTCTAAATCCTTACGATTCATCTGTTAGCGTGACCAGCGTAATTGATTTGCATGCAGCAGCTCTTATAAAGTTTAACCCTCAACAGAGTTTCTTAAGAACATCGACATGCTTCATTCCACCAAACAAAATTTTTTGTTTTGGAAATTCAGAAGGGCGAGTTTATGTTGGGAAAACTGTGATAATTGAAGACGACCAAGCAAAAGTAATGAAAGAAGGAACTGCCTGCTTAAACTCTGGGTCAGTTTATCTCAATGGCTGGTCAAGCATGAAGCCTACCCTCCACCTTTAAATTCAACTATTATCTTTGTTATAATTTACATTAAGTATCAGAGCTCTTATATGATTTCAGTGTGGTTTTTATTATTATGTCTCATTTAGAATGTAAATTCATGATTTAAACAATTTTAAATTAATATTAAAGTAGGCAAATCTTTAAATCGCACCTATAAAGGATTATTCATTTTATCAGACTCCTTATCTATATATAGTCCTGCCTATAGCCTGATTTATTGTCTTGAATCACAATATAACAGCTATACTTATAAGAGTGTGATTTTAAAGGTATATTGTTTCATACATGGCCAAATGGCTATGTTTATCTATTTGGAGGAAATAATAATAACGGAATCTTACCTTTATGTGAAAAGTTTTCTATATTAAGAAATAATTGATCAAAACTAGCTATGCTGGTAACACCTATGATAAATTGTGTTTGCATTGAATTTTGTGGAAAAATTTTATATTCAGGCAATTCAAATCGAGTGTATTTATATGATGTTTATTTAAATTCCCACATAGTCGTTATCAATGCACACAGTTTGACAAGCTACTCTGCCATTGGGATGAAAAGGCTTATCTTATCGAAAGTCAAGGAAAAATTTATGAAAGTGATAAAAGAAATCCTTTTCATTGAAGCTTTGTTAGCTATACAGCACCCAAATTTATTAATTGCAATTATACTGGGATAAGCATATTCTTTGTTGATTCATGATATTTTAGGTTCAGGAATGGTGAAATATACATATTTGATTTGGAAGAAAAAATTTTGGCTAAAAAATATTTAAACGATTAGAATAAAAGAAACATTCTAACTCCTCCTCCTTATGAATAAGTGATTTTTTTATCATTATTTGAAGGGGGGTTTACTTATTTTATATTTTCAAAAACTATTTACAAGCAAGTGTTTGAAAAATAATATTATTTTTCTATAACACGAAATTCTAGTTCTCCTCTTATAAATTTAAATTTTTTTGATATTAATTTATTAATAACGCTTTTAAGTAGTAAAAAAATATCCACCTTCTATTAATTTGATCCAAATTGCTTTTCAAAAAATGAATTTCTGATGCTGTTGCTATTTTTTCAATCTCTAATTTCTTTATATCAACTTGTCATAATCTCGCATGCTGGTCAAAATATAAAAAATTTTTATTATAATAGCAGACATTCGAAAGCGGCCAACAGCAACCTTTTATTTTTCCATAGAATTGCCAATGCCTCCAATCATTCGCTTCTGAACGATAGCAAACTCGCTCAGTTGTTACCAAATAGCACCTGCTATTCAATACAAAAAACATTTTCCAAGGGTTTTTATTAGTCTTTAAAAGTCTTTCATATGAATTTTCTTCAGGGTCATATTTTCATACATAGCCAAGCTTGCGTCCTGAGATCAAAATTTTATTTTCGTAGACGACTGTTGATGTTTGCTCTGCCTTGCTCGGTAAATCAGCTATCCTTTTCCACTTGTTTTTTCTCAAATTAAATTTGCTGCTTATGACTTGATCGCTTCTTTTTGCTGTAGAGCCACCAAACACATAGACAAAATTTTCATAATAAATCGGGCTGGCTCAATATCTTGGCAGTCCAGGATTTAAAAATTCAACTGAAAGTGTTTTTATATCTATAAGAAGACAAAATCCAACGGGTGTATCATCTTTTAGGCAACCACCATAGTAAAAATGCTGAGATCCACTTAGTTTGCACATAAATCCTTTGAATTTTAGCTCAAAAGGTATGGGATTTGGAATTTTTGCACAAATTTTATTGCTTTCTACATTATAGACAAGAAACTCTTTTGAATCTTCGGATAATGAACATAGATTAAGAGGGATATCAACAATTGAGCTAAATTTTATTGATTCTTCCTCGATTTTCAGAAGTAGTCTAGATTCTTCCACCATATATGGGGCTAAATTATTATATGAACTGTGCGTTGCATAATCTAATAAATCTCTTATATAAAAGGTTCAAAAGTTTATTTGCTAAATGAAATCATAATTGCTATTAAACGCAAATTAATTCGAAAATATAAATTATTTACCAGTATTTTAATCTTCAGGCGCCATGTTTTGGGGATTTCTAAAGCAGTCTATGAGCAGCCAACCCCATAATAAGAATATTGCAACGAAAAGAACAACTAAGAAGTAAGCAGCAGGGTCTATTTCTTCAATATCAGTCTTCATAATTATTTATTTAACATAATTTAAATTTTTAGGGCTTTCTTGAATTTTAAGAAATTATATGCAAGATAATTTATCACAACTGACTAAAAATATGGAGTATTTTATGTATTGGGATAAGCGTACTCTTTGTTGATTCATGAGAAAAAATTTTGGTTAAAAAATATTTAAACGATTAGAATAAGAGAGATATTCTAAATAAAGTCTTCCTATTCATCTTTCAGCTTCATTCTCCTCTAATGCAAAACATTGATCAAAAAAAAGCATTCGCCCAACTAGCCCAACATTGCATTTCACTAAAGAAGTCAAATCTGACTGGATACACCATCCTCCCTCCTCGATGTCCTACACCCCCACTGGATGTAGGATCAGCTACAAGAGTTATGAGAGTTGGCTTATCATGTCATTTTAGTATATATTCAAAACACAAAGCAGTCCAGGCTAACGATTTTAGCATTTTCTACTCAAAATAATTTTGATTGCAAAAATATACTTGAAGAAGATTTCGAAGAGCTTTCAAATAAAATTATACCTATAGATCATTTTTCTTCTTATTGTAAAATGCAAAAATTCCTAAAAAATTCTTCTTTGAAGGTGTTGATCCCAAAGCTAGAGCACCTAACAAGAATGATAAGAAGCATGGGTAAGTGGCATTGAAATTTTGAAAAAAATGAATTTGTATCAGAATTTCTGAGCAAATTGATTGATGTTGATGATTTTGAAAGCCTAATCTCAAGCTTAGTAATTTCAGATATAAATAATATAGATAGCATTAGCAAATTACTTGAAGATGAAGCCATCACATAACTAAGCCTAAACAACACTGAAAAATAGGAATATTATTTTATTGCATTATCAGCCAAAAAATAAAATTCCATTATGAGAAATACTTAAAGGAATATCAAGACATTCACGAAGCATTAAAAAAATACATTGACAGCCTTAGATATGATAAAAGATATTTATATAATATCGAAGTCATCAATAGCTATACAGGAATATGGACTTTCGATTTAGAAACTTGCCAAAAAGAATGGAAATTATTTTCTACACCAGATCTTATGGGTCATCAAACATGCATTGTGCAACTCCCTAACTCTCAATTGTTTTGCTTTAGCAGCTATTCTTCTAATTCTGGTTGTGCATATATTTTTGATCTTAAAATTGGAGATCTGCAAAGAACTTTACCTTATACAACCCCACACACCCACTCAGGAGGAATTTATTATAACAATGCTGTCTATGTTTTCGGTGGGAAAATAAATTACTCAACGCAAGAGTGCTGCACTGTGCAAAATTCAATTTAAATAAAAATAAATGATTTTCTCTCCCGCCCATTTTGAAACCATCCCATGGCTGCTCTTGTGCTATTTTCAAAAGAGGAATTTTACTGTCTGGTGATAACGATACAAGGCTATGTAAATATGATTTATCAATTGAGAGCTGCTCAAAGATTTATTCAATAAAAGCAATCAAGCATCATAGTAAGATATTATTTGCCAGAAATTCAAGACTGTATTTTCTCCAGCAGAATGGACCTATTTTTGAGAGTGAAATAGATAATGAGTATATCTGCCAGAAAATCGGCTATAGCAACATGACTTATTCATATAATAGTTCTAAGGTCTTTACTGGAGATATTGTTTATTTTTCTATATTTTATGATCAATATGTATGCTGCTATAAGTTCGGTTTATCAAATAAAAAGTTGGGAAAATTCGTCAAATCTCCAAAAAAATAGCTCATTAGCCAAAGGTTTTACAATAAAAAATTTATTAAATTATTAATTAAGTTAGTGATTAAAATATTTTATTTTTAGTACAGGCTCCAAAATATTTGAATAGGTTATAAGATCATTTTTATGAATCAATCTGCTAAATTGAGAGAAAATATCCCCCTTTGCAAATGTATGAAACATCTACTCTTAAATGAAGTATTCTAAGAAGCAATATATTTAAATTATTTTTTGCCTAAAATAAAGTTTTTGAACTGTAGAAAAATATAACTAAGTTTTTAGAAATAAACTATCTTCAATGAAGAATATCTTTGGGTATTAAAAAAATAGAAAATATAATCATGTTTTTCTTGTTCAAAGATGGGAAAAGTTATACAATTAATTTACTTTTATATACTATTTCAATTGAAATTTGAGAGAGATCTACTAAACTCTGGCAGTATCATTATTTTGAGTTAATTAAATTAGAGATTTTCTTTGAAATTGTTGCTTAACTTACCAAAGAATGGCTACAGACATTTAATAATAATCGAAATGAAAGGTCCTTTCTTTAAGTATGGAAATTAAGTTTTTTCTGTTCGTCCATTTCTATTAGATATTTTTACGTTTTACAAATCAATACAAGTTGTACCAACTCATATATTGACCTCACAGCTATAAGTATTTAGAAAGAATTGGATTGGGAATCTTTTCCATAATTTATTAATCATCAATTAATTCATTAAATTGAAGATTTACTCAGTAATTGCTAAAGGAGATTGAAATTTTAGACACCGCTGGATAAGAGCTTTCTCAAAAGTTCTATAAGCAACTTCTACCTCTTTAATTAAGCTTTTTAGCGTCAAGGCTCTATTTTCTTGAGGTGAGAGTCTTGAAAGACCAAAAAGTGTGCATGGCATTTTTAATTTTTGAAACTCCAAATGATTTACCTCTTTATTATTAGGAAATCTATTAGTGCTTTTTTTCCAGGTCCATCTATTGCTGCGATCAGGAAATATAGGATAAGCTTTGAAATCCACTTGATTGAGGTTATAAATATATTCAAGAACTTTATTTAATGCTGATTGTAAAATCAATGAATATTGAATAGTTGCTTCATCGGCAATCAACTTTAATGGTTGATGTTTTATTGCAAACGATAGTCAAATAGTTTCTGTTGTTAACAAGGATTTATTAAGCTCCATCAGATCAAGAGGTTTTATATTCATAGATCTTCCTGAAGTTCTATAATTATAATTATCAATCTTGAATAAAGTGAATTTTGCTATAAAATCAGAACAGAATTTGATAGTTTTTCTTAAAATATTGTATTCTGTGACAATGTCTGGATTATTTTCTAATTCCTCTTTAAAGCTTTTATTTAGTTTTTCTGATTGTATATCAGACATCAAGCCTATATTTTTCTTTAGCTTCATTAGAGGATGGATAATTTCAATAGTATCACAATTAATTGGTTTATTACCAACCTCAGCTTGCTTTCTTTTACAGAGCTCGTAAAGGCGAATTTCATATGCTTCAACGGAAGTTTTTGTGTTTCGAATATAGTGTAAAACCTTTTCAATAATAATTTTATCATTAAATTGAGGATTTATTGATTTCAAACAGATAATTTTTTCATTTCAATCTTCATCAGAATACCAAGTTGTCCCTCTTTTAGTAATAATTGTATCTTCTTTATAGCTTGAAAATGAGGTTGCTCTTTGAGTTTCCTGAGTTGAGATTGTGTTTTGATTTGAAATGCACTGATTTTTCATATTATAATTCTTAAATTAATTAGAAATAACTTGATGAATTAGGGTTTAAAATATGACTCAATTTAAATATGGCAATATGAGGTTGCTTTAATTAAAAGGTAAAATGGTAATATGAGTTATCAATAAACCAATTAAAATACAATATTAAATTATTAATATTTTAATTCCATATGAAGAGGCATTCATTACATTTTTTTACTCGAATTCAGCAGCAGAGCCACCCCAGGCCTTATGGCCTCATAATTAGTCAGTTAATTTCACTTTTTCTTCCTCAAGAATTCTTTCCTTTTCCTGAACTTCGTATATTAAAAATTAATTTTATATTATTGCATATCAATTTAGAGATGCATTTTTTTTTCTGTTATAACAACACAAAATAATTTCAGCTCTTAAGTTTTAATATCTTTTATTTAAAACAAGCTAGCAATTAAATCTACCAGAGTTTTATATTACCGTAAAATTATTGATCCTAAAAATCTTTATAATTCATAAAAGATAATAACAGAGCTTTAGCGATACATACTAGATTTCTTTTGTTAGGGTATTATTATTGATGAAAAGAGCTTATTTTTAATTATTCAGCTATGACTTGCTCTATGATAAAGCATTTCCTTGATAAGCCTTCTCGAGTATTTTCTCAACTGAATAGAGAGATTAAATAGTTTCTTTTGTTTACTAAGCCTTCGATCTTTTATTGTTTGATTATTAGGGAAAATTATATATTAAATTTTACTTACCTTGATAGACAAATACTTTAAATAAATCCAATTAAAGCATTAATATTTAAAAATTATCCAATTTTAATTATCAAGCTGAATAAGTAAGCAACTTTAAAAATCTTATTTTGATCAGAATTAATTATTAATTCAAATTCAAAATTGTGGTATACATAAATTTTCAAAAATTTATATTTCATTCTCCACATCTCAATAATATGGAAAACTCACAGCTTTACATTCCACTTCTCTCTAAAGTTTTCCCTGAAGAATCCAACACCACGTCATCCATCACTTCAAGCTTTACTCGCTTTCTTTCGAAATCCCTTGAGCCAGAATTATACTCTATGAAGGCTGCGATTTTTGATATAAATTCTAGCTTTGGGAAAATTCTCCCAAATTACCTTCATTGCCCATATGGGATAGTTGCTATGGAAAAGCTCCCTGATGAAACCCATTTTTTAGCTGCCACATATGAAGGCTATGCCTTGATATTTGATATAAAAACTGGACATATTGATGACAAAAAAATCTGTGAAAGGTTGAGTGATGTTAAAGCATTTCCTTTTGCAAAGGTTTCGCTATTTTTAGGAGATTCATCCATATTTACGCTCAGTGTCCCTAATTATAGCTTAATTAAATACGGCATCTTGGGTATGGCATTCTGCAGGTTTTACCGACCCAAAAATGTATAGCAATGCTAGGTAAGCAATTATGGCAGTGTAGCTACCTAGCACTAGTCCGCTTTCAGAATTGGATTTTTTTACCTCAAGGGAAAAGGAGGGCACGAAGTTGTAAAGGGAAAGCTCAGAAAAGTCTAGTAGCTCCTAGCGTGAAGCCAAGAGTTACGCCTCGGGCTTCATGCTTTTCTTTTTGCCGAAGTCGATTAGAAATTCCATATTTTGGGTGGGACAACCTTTGTAAAGCCCACGCAGAAGAGAAGTCTTGCCCTCTCCCAACTCTAGTTCAAAAGACAATGGAAGACAGAAATATAGAACCCTATTTCAGAGGTGCGATGAAATTAGACGATGAAGAATAGGAAAGGTGGTATTCTAGCTAAACAGCCAAACAAATTTATTATCCCAAATCGAGTAAGTTCTCTCTGGCGACTTCGCAAAGCAGATAATTCCCTGGGATCTTTGGTGGTTGTGTTGCTAACAATGCAGCAGTAAAATTGTTAATAATGCTAATGTCAATTTAGTCCCTAATTTCAATATAGGAGAGATTAAATTTGAGTCTAGCGTAAAATCAATTGCACAGTCAGCTGACAAAAAAGAACTTTATATTTTATTAGAAAAGGAGCTGATAAAAATAGAGCCACCTGATTTCGAAAATAGACAAATAGTGCTGACAGGGGAAAATTATTTAAGTTTATGTATGTCTCCAAATAAGAAATTTGCAATTGCAAATAAAGAAGGAAAGCTCTTTATATATGACTTATAGCAAGCATAAAACCCTCAAAGGCCTAACCCCAATCTAGAGTAAGAATAAAAAATTCAATAGTATATTCATATTTAATGCAAAATAAATAAGTAAACCACTATAAGCAATAAAATTTTCAAAAGGCAAATACTTGATCCAAACTAAAGAAATAATACCAGACATATTTATAAATGTGCTTAAAAATCATAATGGGTTGAACAATAAGCTCTAATTTCTATGATTTTAATATATCATATAAATAGGGAGTTAATAATTGGGGTGGGGATGGGTTTTATGTTTGACCAGACTTAGGCTTTATTAAAATTGGGGAAGCCCAATTAAGAAAGGAAACAATTGTGAAAATATTTTCTGCTTCTGAAAGCAAAGTAGTAACTATGAATTGCAGGAAAAAAATCATCAAAATTATCGAAATAGGCTCTTTTGAAATTATTACGGAAATCAAAACTAATGATTCAGCCAGCTGTGTCGCTATAACAAACAATGAAAAAACATTAATTTATTCAGAAAATTCTAGTATAGTTTTTTGAAATATCCAAGCAAATAAAATTGAGGGAAAAATTAATGCACATGAAGATAGAATTAGATATTTAGGATTAAGCCTAAATAATGATTGCATTTATTCATGTGGTATTGATGGGAAATTTTCTGTACTTAAATATCCAGAATTCTCGGTTGAAAAAACCAAAAAAGCACATAAATTTGAAGTAAACCCATGAAATGGAGATATTATAATTCATACTAACTCACCATTGGAACAAAATGTTGGTAAAATTCCCATTTTTTGGGTTAATTAAAACCCATATTAATTGGAACAATAGAATTTTTTTTTAGTAAAAATTCTAATTTTAATAAAATTAGTTTTGACCTAATTTAATAGAGATCGCGCAAGTTAAAAATTTGACAAACTAAATGGATTAACTTTTAAATTAATTTCTATATAAAATAAATTAAAATTTCTAAATATATTTAATTTATATTTTTAATTTTATATATATTCATATTTATTTTATTTTTTGTTCCAATTTAAAGGAGGAGGAGTAAGAAAGAATTAAAATTGTGAGACTTCGATAGAGATTTCGATAAAGAACTTGATGAATTGGAAAATTTCAATAGAAAATTTGATATTTTAAATATCAAGATACACAACTAAAAATGGAATGTATGAGTTAGGGGTTCTGTCCCCTATACTCGTCCTAGTGAGGGAAGTTCATTCTTCCTGAAGGAAATCAGCGTTGGAACTGCTTCGGCAGCTCCAAGTGTACTTGAATCACATTCAAGGCAAGAAGCGAGACTCGTCTGGACCATAGACTACTGTAACGGTTCGACGGTTAGGCCGATTCCACCTACCGTTGTTCAGAGCTGTACGCGTGGATGGAATTCTTGAAGGGTGAGCTTGTATTGTCAGATCCTAAGATAAGTGGGGGTCGACAAAGAGTTATCGTAATCTTAATCTTAAATATCAAGATAGTAAAAAAAGATATCATTATTTATTTATATAGCAACTGTGTATGCAAAATAAACACCTCTACAAACGAAAAGAAAATTTTCAAATTAAGCGGAGATAAGTTAAGTTATTAAATTATGCTGGTTATAAGCGGATGAACCCGCTAAAGTCGTCCAACTTGCCTTCAACAGCTGGATTTATGGTTTGAGACACACCTGCTCAGGTGATTAGTTCTTTGGGTAGAGTACCGTCTGTTGGTCTCGATATAGAAAACTATGAGGAAGGTAAAAACCTTCATAGCCCATCTGGCAGGGACAGAAAAACATTCAGGGGAGAAACCTCCCTTTTCTGTAAGGCTTCCCCAGCCTGAAGACTTACTCGAAAAATGACATAAGCACTATATCAGCTTCATCAGGATGGATCCTACCTGCTCCATAGGAGTGCCTTGGAGTCCAATTTCCGTCATTGCCACTCTTTTATTCTAAAGTGAAGATAGGCACGATAGCTTTATTTGTGCAGAAATCAGCCCTGATGGGAAATTTTTAGCTACTGGCGGCCATTCCCAAAAGCTTTGTTTGTGGGATATAGATACGATGACTAAGCAAAAAGAATTCAAAGGGCATGACAATTATATACATTGCATATTATTTTTGCCATACTCAAAAATCATTTCTTCTGGCTGTGCTACTGGAATTATAAGATTTTGGGGCCTTGAAACTGAAAAAGAAGTAATTTCTGCACTTAAAGCCCACGATAAAGTTATTGAAGTACTAAAAGTTATCAAAGATGAAACAATCTTAATTGTCGGCTGCGATTATGGAATAGTAACAATATGAAAATGAAGGGAAAAATTGCTATTAAATACAATCAATCCAAACGGTGGAAATATAAAAGATATTTATATAGTCCCAGACGAGCGTTCAATGATCACTTGCTCATATCATGGAAAAATCTCTTTTTGGTGCTTGGAAACTTATAGTCGATTATTTTTCTACGATACAAAAACTTTCATATGGAATCTCAGGTTGACTTATTTAATTAGTGTTTAAAATGGCGCTTGGTTCCTCAAGCCACGTTATATCTGCTATATAGGCAGCTTTTTAATCTAACTCATGACGTCCCAGGCCATCTTACCCCGTACTCTTATATCAGACGCTATGAAATTTTCCATTAGATTATGTGTGCTACTTGCCCGTTATCAAACCTCATAGGGCGCGATACCTTACTCTTTATTTGAATCCTCCGCGTCTTTCTCGGGGCATCATGTAGCAAAACCCTGTACTCCTAAAATTCAAGGGCCAAGCCTTCCTACCCCATGTGGTAAGCATTTTGGCATAGCAGGATAAAGGGTGCTAGGAATACTGAACCCACAATAATAATATTGAGAAAAGGTGGAAAAATTAATGGAGAGAATTTGCTCTGAGTAGCCATTTACTATTATTGGAATTTCAGGTTGACAGATGATAATAAACATTTAATGTATATTGATTCAAGAACCAATATAAACGAGGGGAAAATTCACAATAAAAATTGCGAAATCGTAATGAAGTCGAATCCACTGATATCTGATATTGTTCAAGCATGTGGCCATGGGAATAATTATGACTATATGAAATATGTAAGTTGCATCATTTCAAATAGGAGGGTAGCTTACGATCCAGATATGGACAATTGGATTATTTTGCCTTATAAAATTAACACACTTCATCTTTATTCATATTTTAACCGTCCTGTTCACCTTAAAGCTGCATTATCAAATCAAGCCTCATTGTTTAACAACATCTACAACCAAAACCCCTTATCATTATCGGCATCAAAAGGTTTTGAAAGCTGCCTAAACGCGATAATTGCCTCAATGGGAAAATATTTATCTCATAATCCTTACTCATTTTCAAGTATAAGCAATTCTACACTTATTGTGCTAAACAAATCTGGGTACTCTACAATAGACAATTTTTATAGATTTGCTTTTACAAAATATGAAGGCTACAGAACAACTAAGTTCTGTGATGATTCAGTTAATACCCCAATTTTTAGACACTCTAATGACCCTATACCAGTTGAATCTGACTTTTTAAGTCCCAATGACAAAAAGCAAGAAGAAAAACCAATAAAATTTATGCATTCTTTAATAGCTTGCGGACTAAGTTTTGGTACCAAAGATAGCATTGATTTTCTAAACAGCATCAGAGATTCGCCAAATTCAAGAATTTTAATCACAAAATTCATACAGTCATTACTTGACTATAAATGAAATAAGCTGAAATGGATGATGTACACACAAGCTCTTCTTTATTTAATATTTATGCTACTGCTATCAGTATATGTACTCGATTTTATTGACGCAAAAAAGCAAACTATTGTGCTTTTATCATTCAGCACCCTCTTAACGTTCTATGAAGTATATCAATTTTTTGCTTCCCCTCTTGACTATATCAAAGATATATGAAATTATGTTGATTTGATAAGATCATATTTTACAATTAATTATGCAATCTTTATATGGTGTGACTACGACTCAGTCACAGCCCATGATTTTTTAGCATATCTAGTCATTGTGTCGTGGCTCAGAGGAATAGCATATTTTAGGCTGTTTAAAAATACAAGATATATGGTCAATTTGCTGACAGAAGTTGTCAAAGATATGTTTTCATTCCTAATCCTTTTGTTTTATTCAACAGCTGCGTTTTCATTTATCTTTACAGTTCTTGATGATGAAGGATGGAGCTATTTGAAATATTTGACTATTTCTTATAGAATTGATTTAGGGGATTTCGATACAAGCTATATGAATTCAATGCAGTGGCTTTTCTTTGTGCTGGCGACTATGTCGAATATGATTATTATGCTGAATTTATTGATTTCCATAATGTCGATCACTTTGGATAGAGTCCAAGAATTTTCAGAAATTGCTGATAAGAAGGAACTATTATTAATCGGTCAAATTATTATCAGCCTTGATATAAAAATATTTTAGCTTGAAAAAGCATATATAGGCTATATTAATAAATTGTAATTGCCAAGGCTAATAAGAAATTTATACTATTAATTATAGTAGGGATGATCATCGAGCTAGAAACTTTGTTGTTTTGGAGAAGAAAACTTGAAGGGACTCATTATTTTCATCTATGCCAGGAAGATAAAGCAGATGATAAAGAAAAAAATATGGCAACAAGGGTGCATGCGATTAAGAGAAACTTAAAGGCATTCCAGAATGAAACTAGGCATGAAATTAATGAGGTTGTTGGAGAAGTTAGAGGGCTCAGAGAGGCTGTAATGGAGATGAAAGAAACGTTGAAAATTCTAGTTGAGGAGAAGAGTAGACAAAAAAGAGAGATCAATGAGTCAATGCTCTCAGTTGAAGAAGTAAAATTTTAGGATTAATCACTTAGGCTAAGAAAATAAGGGCTTGTTAAGCTAGTCAATTTATAAAAGATTCATAAGCCATAAAAAATATTTTCTATGCTTTGTGAATGCAATATTAGATAGTAATATAAAATACTTCCTTTGGAGCTAAAGAACTCTTCTTTTGATCATAATTTGATTCGTAGATAAATTGAATTGCGAAGTCGTTTAAGATTATTTCACAAACAGCATTTTGCTACTAAGATAGAAAAAGATGCATTAACTCAAGAATATTTTGTTAAAATTTCTGCTTTTATTTTACTAATATATTTACTTTATATTTAAAGATGAGAATATATACTTAAAATGGACCACCCGACCTCCTCACCCTATTTCTTCAACGCCAACAGGCTACGGCCCAGTGTGCAGAAAGAGAGACAGGGAAGCCTTATATATCGTGCGAGTTTTTCTCAGGCCCAAGGGGGCTAATCCATAGGACTTGAATTTTTACCTCCTATTTGAAAGGACAAGATCAGTAGAAGCCCCGAGCGGATGATAAGTCATCAAGCAAGGCATTTTCCAACAAGTAGTGGGTCCATGGCTCCTGGAGTCATGGAAGTTAAGATCAGTTTGTGTAAATCCCTTGCCTGCGGTGGCGAAGTAGGTGCCTGCAGGAGTCCTTTAGGGATGATGAGCATGCAGGGGCGGAAATCCCCTGCCCGATGATCCCGAAAAGCTTAATCTAATCTAAAGATGAGAATGTTTAATCCAACATTTCAGGAAAGCTGCAATATAAAGCTCAGCATTAGAGTTACCCAATTAATATCAGCTCTTCTCATTTTAGCATTTAATCAATGCTCGATGTCTTTTTCTTGCAAATTCTATCAAAATAATGCAATGAAATATAAACCATTTATTTTTAATACTTCTGATGTACAAACTAGTGGTTGCTGGCGGAGGTACAGCATCAGTAAATATTGTGAGCCAAATCATTCGCGCAGGAAAACTCAAGCCCAATGAAATAGCTGTAATAGACCCATCTCCAAAACATTATTACCAGCCTGCATGATCTATGATAGGTGGAGGAGTTTTAGGGAATAATAATGAAGTAAAATCCAAACTCAAAAACTATGTGAGAGACACCCGATCCTTATTTCATCCCGATATAAACTTTTATTCAAAATCAGTCACAAAATTCATGCCTGATTTAAATAAAATCCAAATTGAAGGCAATGAAGAAATTTCTTATGAAAACTTGGTTGTTGCTTTAGGTCTTGTAATGGACTATGATAGACTGCCAGGCTTAAAAGATGCTTTAGAAGATGAAAATTCCAAAGTAGGGACTATCTATGATTTGAATTATGCAATGAAAACAAATAGGTTGATTTCTGAATTCCAAGGAGGAAAAGCTTTTTTCACAGAGCCAACACAGCCAATTAAATGTGGAGGAGCACCACAAAAGATTATGTACCTTGCAGATGGTATTTGAAGAGATAAAAATGTTCGTGACAAAACCAATATCAATTTTTTCCTTCCAATGTATTCGATATTTACATCTCCTTACTATGCAAAGCTTCTAATAAAAATAGCTGACTTCTCCTCCAAGAAATAAAATATATTTTATTTTTAGGAAATAACTTCATCAATATGCAAAAGATCTTTAATAAAAATTTCTTACTCCCCCTTTAAATTTGAACAAACATCAGTAAAATTTGCATTTTGGAGCTCTAATCCCTTTTAAATTGGAAATAGGAAAATTTTATCGATGAAAATATTGATTTTTATAAAATTAGTTTTAACCTAATTTTATCGACAAAATAAAGTAGGATATTATTAAGTATTTCTCACGCTGAATCGATTAAAATTTTTTATTTAATTCTTCGTAATATAATTAAAATTGAAGGTATTGTGATCAATTTATATTTTTTTATTCGCTTATTTAATAGACAAAAACAAGTAGAATGTTATTTAAATATTTTTCACTCTGAATAGATTAATTTTTTAATTTAATCTTTATAAAAATAAATTAAAATTTAAACTATTGAGTTCAATTTTTATCTCTTAAAAATTCTAAAAACAATTTTTTTAAAAAAAATAAAAGATGAAGATTTATTTTATAACATTAGTTTTGACCTGCTTTAATGGAAAGAGTGAAGATAGAATGCTATTTAAACAATTTTTTACACTATATCGATTAATTTTTAATTATTTCTTCATAGCAATAAAATAAAATTCAAAGTTGTGCTAATTTTTTTTTTAAAATTCAAAGTTGTGCTAATTTTTTTTTAAAAAATTTAAAAAAAATCTTTTATAGAGCAAAATTTTAATAAAAATAACTTTTGTTCCAATTTAAAGGGGAAGTTAGTATATAATATTTTAATTTAACTATTTCTGACTTATTTTGCTAATTTAGAAGGCTAGAGTTTCTGAAACTATAATTTGATAAATTAAATTCATAGACAATCTTAAAGGCAAAATAGCTTTTTCTAATATAACTTTAATTTTCTTCTTGAAACCCATAAAAATAGAAGAGAGAGTGAGGATAAAAATGTTTTGGTCCACTATGGCCATTTATTAACAAAATTGAATTGAAAAAATAATGAAGCAATTTTTGCTCATAATAAACAAGAGATCAAGCTAAATTATGACTTCATCCATGTCACACCTTTTCAGTCTACACCAAAAGCGTTAAAAAATTCTCCAGTTAGTGATAAAGACGGTCTAGTAGATGTTGATAAAGGCACACTTAGACATGTAAAATATGAAAATGTATGGGGAATTGGAGACTGCTCAAATCTTCCAACCTCAAAAACTGCGAGCGCCGCCATTGATCAAGCGTTTGTACTAGTAAACAATCTTATTAAAACAATAGAGAAGCAAGGATTAAATGCCAAATATACAGGATATACATCTTGCCCACTGTTTGTTAGTCATGGAAAAGGAATCCTAGCAGAATTCAAATATGAAGGAATTCCAGATCATACTTATACAAAGCTTATGGATAAGCCTAACAGGTTTGCGTATTTTTTGAATAAATTTGTTATGCCAAAAGCATATTTTTGGTTAATGCCTAAAGGTAGATGGTATGGAAGAAGGTTAATATTTCCACCAAAATTTAAATAATTAATAAATTATTTTAATTCATGTCGTAAAAGTCTAATACGAATATGCGTGGAAAATCCAACCAAATATCAATATCACTTAAATTATCTGATTCTTCTCCCACCATCACTTGCGAGTTATTGGATTTTGCACTTTTTATAATTTTATTTTTGATTAAAAACAGTATCAGCTCAATAATGATTAAACATACCTTTTTTCTACTTTTAAAATAATAAGTTTGGTCGTATTTTCTGCTAAATTCATTACATGTTTCTACAAAATTTACTAGAGATTCCTGCGGCATTGACTTGAAAACGAAAGAAATATCCACTGAAGATTGGACTCGAGTCAAAGACTCTCGAATTATCATTTTTTCTGAGGATACAAAATTAAGCCTAGATGCCATGTTATAATTATGATCTTTTTCTATACGATTTTTCCTTTTTACAAGCCATTTCAAATTTCTGTCTAAATTTCTTTCTTGTTTTAAGCGAGTCAGATAATAGTCCTGTTTGAACTGGGATTCTTCATCAGCCTTAGCTGTTAAAATTTTGCATAACCTTCCTATTTTTTGAAATCATTCACTGGGATCTGGACTATCTCAAGAAATCAATACCTTTTGCCCTTTAATGCTCCTACAGAAATGATTAGAGATGCTTCCAAAATATAAGTCAAAAGTTTCAGATCCATAAGAAAGTCTTAGTTTTTGGTATTGCTGATGGGCGATAACTCCGGATGAAGTGTTTTGCCTGATCGTTTCTGATATAATTTTATACCTAGAAATACCTAAAAAGCGGCCACAGCAACGGCACATAGAAAGTTTAAAAATTAGCCTGCATTCTTCGTCAATTGTATTGAATAATCCAGAGAATATTTTGATTGCCTGATAATCAATGACAGGATTTGTTCATATGATATCTGAAAGCATGTTTGAAAATATTTCTTCAATAATAGGGTGGCATTTCGACATTGAATTGAAAGTTCGGTTCACTAAAGGGATGGAAGCTAATAAGTCAAATATAGGACTTTCCTTGAATAGTCCGATAACGGGATGAAGCCAGCCCGTTATCGGGCTATTCAAGGGAAAGCCCTATACATCAAGGTAGGAAAAAATATTGCCAAGCAAATTATAATTTCTTAAAACATCCATTTTTTTCCAAGTTAGAAAGTAATGCAATTTTGCTATCATTAATTATTTCGATTATACTCATTCAGAGTAATTATGGATGGTTTTATGCTCGCCCTAAGCAAATTGAAGATAAAACTTGTGGAGATGTTAGCACTGTAACTACTAAACCAATTTCTTAAGTTGACAAATAGCAGCTATAGGCGCATCTGTCAACTCGTGGATCTAGCTTGACAACTTATGTCGCCGAATATCTCTATGAGTTAACCTGCAATTGGTAGCCAGAGGGAGTCATAAGCGGTCCTGGGCTATATTAGATAATGGACACTAAGCATTTAGCACATCAGCTCAAAGAACACTCCAGAAAAATCCTTTTCATTGCATCTCTAGCTGCATTAAGCTACGTTTGCTATAGATCCTTTTGGTTAAATCGAAAAGTAAGTCATTTGCTTATTCTCAGAGACAAACTAATCCTCTCCAAAATCAGTCTAAAATCTCCTCCTCTTAACGAAATGAAAATTTACTCTTTCTCAGAATTCCAAAAAGGAAAAATCCCAAAAACTCAAGGTTTTGACATTAGGAAATTACTTAATTCCACAAATCCTGGCGTTCTACGCTATGCAGCAAATGTGATGTACTCTCACATAACAACTTCAACTGCAAAAGTATTCGACACCATTGATGGTATAAAAGAAGGACTTTTATATGTTGCTGACTTACAAACCCAAGGAACTGGCAGAACAGGCCCATGGATGTCTGAGCCAGGATCTCTTTTATACTCATACTTATTTTCATGCCATGCACAACATGCAGTTATGATTCAACTCATTGTCCCTCTAGCGATTATCAGAGCAATAGTAAAAATTGGGACGAGAAACGGAATTTCTCAAGAAAGACTTGACTATGTGAAATTAAAATGGCCAAATGACATTTTATATAGAGACGTAAAAATTGCTGGAATTTTGGTAAATTCAAAAAGCGAAGGAAAAGATTTTGTAATGAATATTGGAATTGGAATAAACTGTGACAATAAAAAGCCAACCACATGCCTGAATCTTGAATATGGAGGAATTTTCACAAAGGAAGATTTAGTTGCTGAGTATCTTGCAGAGTTTTCTGAGATTTGTGATTTATTAGAGAAGCAAGGTGGATATGAAAAGATTAGAGATGAATATAAATTGAAGTGGTATCATTATAATAAGATTGTAGATCTTCCTAATCAGAAAGTTAAAGGGAAATTAATTGATATTACAGAAGACGGGGTTTTGCATGTTGAAGATGATGAAGGAAATGGATATCAAGTTCATTCAAGAGAAGAGATTATTTTTTAGTTGCATCCTCTATTAATCAGTAAGAAAAACTTTCACTAACTTGGTAGTGATTATTATTATAGAAATTGCCAGGTGATGAGCTCAATGCGCCATCATGGGCAATTTCTATATTTTTTTTTAAATTTTTTTAAAAAAATGAGGTAAAACTTTAAATTTTTTCTAATTTTAGAATGAAAGCTGTCTAAAAATAATTAGAAATACTGGAGATTTCAATATAATAATTATATAATTATATATTAAAAATTTTTTGCTAGTCCACGAAGAAATAAAAAAGGGATAATAGCTCCATAATTTTGTGGAGTAAAAATTTATGCGGCAATATTGATTGATTAATTAATAATAATTATTTAATAAAATTCAGCATGATGCTATATTGAAGCGATTACTTAAGATTATTTCACTTAATTTTTATATTTTTAATTAGAATTTAATTACTTTTCTCCTCCTCATTGAGCAAGTCAAATAATCAATTCTAAATTTATCATACATAGCTATTACTCTAATTTTAGCAAAATGAAGCTTTCCTTTTTATAGCGCAGCGTTTTTAATGTGCATGATGCTCATCTGAAACCGCATGTGATCCTCATTGTCTTTGAAGTTTTAGTTGCTGAATTCAGATAAAAATAGTCAAAACCCAGGTTTTAGCCTTTAGCTTAACATCCGAATCCTAGTACTTCATTGACTTTTTTTTAAAATAATAAATAGTATCCCCAAAATTGCCCAAGTTTATGGCCTTTTTATTCTCTTATTAAATGTTTTAGAAAAACTTCAGTAGCATGTGCAGAAAAGCCTTAAGAAAATTGGGCACAAATTTATTGTAAATAAGGATTCAATTGTAGAGTTATCCCAAGCTAAATATGTGCCAAAATAAAAATCCACTTTTAAATTATATATTGATCCTTTAAACCGAATATGAGGGAAAATAAATATTTTCAAATAATATCTTACCTTTACTAAACTGTGTATTAAATTATTAAATTTATAGATTAATTAGGTAGCTTTATTTTTAATCAGGCAAAGTCTTTCTAATTTCTTTTATATTTTATATAGACTATCAATTACTCGATTGTGGTATATGAACTAGGATTATATAAGAAAATAGGGCTACAGTATATAAATTATGCAGACTTAGATGATTACTGAACAAAAGTATGCAGCAGCATCTGCAGAAGATCATTTATTAAATCAATAGCAATCGCCAGCATTTATAATCTGTTCTCATTAATTAGAAACATACTGACATATATTACAATAGCACTTCGAGTTACTCAAAACTGAACATTTAAAAAACATTAAAATTTATTTTTAACTAGCGATTAAGGCCTTTATAATTTGATTAGTCTTTTTTTACTCAAATCAAACTTGAAGTATTCATTTCCGTATATCCCAATGTATATTCCTCCTTTATTATATGAGCAATACAATTGGTCAGGATAATCACTGATTATTGATTGTTTTATTCGTCTCCAATTCATTTCACTTCCAATTTCACTTTCATAGACTGATCCCATGTCACATTCAATCAAATACAATCTCTCTGCATTTATCAGAATCTTTCTTGTGAGTGCTGCAAACTCATAAGGAATTGTCGAGAAAGAGTCAATATCAATTGAGTATAACAACAGATTTTTATTATTGCTTCCAGAAATCAAAATATTTCCATTATATATTATACTATTGCAAGAGGAATCAGCTTTTGGCATTGGAGTTAATTGAATTCATCGATTTTGATCAAAATCAAATCTACTAGATAGAGTTAAATACTTACGATTCACTCCTCCGAAGCAATAGACACTGTTGTTGAAATAGATACATGATGAGCAGAAGCAAGGAGGTCCAGATGGCAGAACTTCGACTCCATAATTCATGCCGATTAGCACTGCATGTCCAGAAGTTTTTGGATATCGACTGCCATAACAAAATAGCTTGCCATTTGGAAGTTGAGTTATGCGAGTACCATCGTCTAGTGACTTTGGAGTCTGCAAGATTTTGATTTCTTCTTGGCTTTCAGTTTCAGTGTTATAAATAATTAAATTAGTTCTGTCGTTATCTCTTTTAAGATTATAAAGAGATGCCTTTTGTTGATAGGCATTAAGATAATCTTGTCAAGCTTGCGTTAGCAGCGGATCATAAACACTAAAATAGTTCTGATATGATAAACAAGTTGCTCTGAAATCCATTTCTAATTCTGGATTGTTTGGTCTACTCAAAATCTCAGCTGTTTTATTTCCTAACTGCTCCTTTAAATTAGTACTTGAAATAAATAGATTAAAATTAATATTATTAAATAATTTTTTGAAATATTTCTATAATGAAAATAAATAAAATTATTTATGAGAAAAATTAATAAAATTTAAAATAAAAATTAACCCTCTTTAAATTGGAAAAGATTTTTTGGTTCCAATTTAAAGGGGGGAGTAAGTTATCTAAGATGTTTAATGTGCTTTCTGTTTCTTCAAGTTTGCTGTTGAGATCCAAAGTAATGGTGTTTATTTGAAAACTAAGTAAGCATTTCTTGTTTTTTATCTCTACATTTTCAAACTCTTTTAAACTCCTGCTGTTCATCTTTATTATTAAAGAAATTGAATCATTAGCCTTGTCAGCTGCATCAAAATTGAATCATTCTTAGGTATTAAGGTTTCAGATATTGGGATAATTAACTGAATAAGGCAGAAATGGTTAGATAAGATGCATAATCAACAAAATTTAAAATCTAATGCATATTATTTTCAAGACTTGAATTAAATTAATAAGGATTCTTTACTTGGTTCAAGTGCGTAAATTAAACTCTGAGATTTAGCGAAGATAAATTGATCTTCATTGTCACCGTAAAATTAAAAATTTTGCCAGGGACTGTAGATAAATCTATTAGAGAAAAGCTTTTATTAGACCCAATATAATCGCTTTCCCAAATCATTTTTCAAGCCCTTAAGTAGCTATATGGGCCATTACCTTTATTGACTTCTTTATAAGAGTTCGAATTCTTACTCACTCCCTTCGTGAGCGAAACAAAAAATTTTGTTCCCTCAAGAATTGGCTAATTTTATTTTATTAAAAAATTAAAAATCACTATTTTTTTTTAAAAATTAAAAAAAAAAACTCAATTCGCAAAAAATTGGAAGGTTTTTTTTTGGGCAAAAAATATTATTTTTCCAATGGTTTTATTCGCTTATGGAGGGAGAGTTAATGATTAACTTATAGTTTCTTCACTAAATAAATTCTATAATCAAATTTGATTCTGATGTTGATATGAACATGGGTTAATTGGACTCACTGATTTTTTCTACTTAATCCATTGATTTCAATCAGTTTCCAGGGAAAGTGTTATATGCAGGGCTTCATCTTCTTTACTTGAGTAGCTGCAACAAATAAATTACTAGATAACTCTCCTGCATATTAATTTCTTCGATTCTTCGCTTTACATAAATTTATTATTATTTAGATTTTACAATAAATTTCTGTGCTCTTTCTCCTTTGTGAATTGTGCTTTAACCATTAAATAGCAAGTAAAATCATTATATTAAATTTAAATGTAAATAACAATAATAATTAAAATTTTAAAAATTATTATGCAGCAAAGACAAAATATTTATAATATAAAATTTCTGAGTTAAAGAATTATTTTGCACATCAGATACTAATCAAAAAATCATGGGACGTCTTTCAATTAAGTTTATTTGCAATTAAAACTTCTGTTTTTTTAATATATTATTAGAACTAGGAGCTCCTCTCTATATGTAATGGTATAGCTTCAATTTATTCAAAATTGAATATTTAAAAACATTAAAAATTCTGTTAAAAAGTAAATAGGATAATTGTTGATTTGAATAGTGAAATAGTTTCTCGGCTGCATTATAGTTTAATATGCCAATAACTTACACAAAAACCTGAGACTATTTTATTAAATTATATTTAATCATCGTGAAATTAGCGAAATCTCTTCATTGATTGTTGTCAAATGCATTTATCGTGCATTTGTCTTGATTGCGAGACAACCTTCAAAGAATGCTCGTCATATTTTTTTGAGAAGGCCGATAGAGATTAGTTTTTCTTTGAACCTTTGCGTCTCTTTTTGGATTAGCAGCTGATGAAGATAACTGTGCAGTATTCAGGCCGGTCATAAATATTGCCACTTTTGAGTATCCTTCTCTTTTCAACTTCAGCTTCATTTTTCACTTTGTTTCAAAAAAAAATTATCTTCGAATATAAACTTGAGTCTACAGCTTCAATCTTTTATCTGAAATATATTACTTTAGACTCTATATTTAATCATTTGCCTGCTATTTGTAGCATTTTTAAATGCATCGGACCCATTTCTTCATTCACGAGATAAGTCTCAAATTTTAGCCAATATTTCACAAATATAGTTCTTGTTTCTGTGCCAGCGAAAGTTGTAGTGCCACTGAAAAGTGAGTAAAGATCTCTTTCTGCTTGAGTTAACCCAGAATTTGTTGGTTCTTTAACAATCGAAGCTTGAAAAGACCTAGATGACGATTGGACTTGCTTTCTTTTAGTACCTTGCTTGTCACGCTTTTTAGGCAATGGGACATTTAAAATTATAAGCACTTAACCATTAAAAAATACCCGTTTTATATTAAATTTAACTTTAATAATAAAACAGTTGATCTAAACACTCCTTGCAATTCTACTTTTGAGGAAATTTAGCCTTTATGGATATATCAATATAATTTAAATTGATATAAGATTTTGCTTATTATAACTTACACCCCGTTTTGGATCAGCCTTGAGCACCCCTCCCCCATGCCACCCACCCCTAACGGTTCCAAATATTTTATCATGTTAAATATTAATTTGATAAGTTAAAATATTTGAGGGGACTTGCCAAATAATATTTTAACATTTAAAATTTTCAGGACCGTCAGGGGGTGGGTGACATGGGGAGGGGGTACTTAATGGCGAGCAACCACGAGGGTGTACTATATGTTAGATACCGATTCAATAATTCTAAAAAATTAATTATTAAACTAATTTGATCAATTTATTGCTTAAAAATCTTGGCCTGCATTTTAAGGAAGCTTTGGAATAGTTAATTCTCTTTTCATAGTACTCAGATTACTTGGTCTGACAGATAGATGAGTGCGCCTCTTTTTCAAATCTGATTGATCATCATTAATTATGGATATTAGATAATTAAAATTTTAAAAAAACAAATTTAATTTTTTTTAAAAAACTTAGCAGTTAAGGATAATAAATTAAGATTCTCTTTATAGGGTGTTAGGGTGTTAGGGTGTTAGGGTGTTAGGGTGTTAGGGTGTTAGGGTGTTAGGGTGTTAGGGTGTTAGGGTGTTAGGGTGTTAGGGTGTTAGGGTGTTAGGGTGTTAGGGTGTTAGGGTGTTAGGGTGTTAGGGTGTTAGGGTGTTAGGGTGTTAGGGTGTTAGGGTGTTAGGGTGTTAGGGTGTTAGGGGTGTTAGGGTGTTAGGGTGGTTAGGGTGTTAGGGTGTTAGGGTGTTAGGGTGTTAGGGTGTTAGGGTGTTAGGGTGTTAGGGTGTTAGGGTGTTAGGGTGTTAGGGTGTTAGGGTGTTAGGGTGTTAGGGTGTTAGGGTGTTAGGGTGTTAGGGTGTTAGGGTGTTAGGGTGTTAGGGTGTTAGGGTGTTAGGGTGTTAGGGTGTTAGGGTGTTAGGGTGTTAGGGTGTTAGGGTGTTAGGGTGTTAGGGTGTTAGGGTGTTAGGGTGTTAGGGTGTTAGGGTGTTAGGGTGTTAGGGTGTTAGGGTGTTAGGGTGTTAGGGTGTTAGGGTGTTAGGGTGTTAGGGTGTTAGGGTGTTAGGGTGTTAGGGTGTTAGGGTGTTAGGTGTTAGGGTGTTAGGGTGTTAGGGTGTTAGGGTGTTAGGGGTTAGGGTGTTAGGGTGTTAGGGTGTTAGGGTGTTAGGGTGTTAGGGTGTTAGGGTGTTAGGGTGTTAGGGTGTTAGGGTGTTAGGGTGTTAGGGTGTTAGGGTGTTAGGGTGTTAGGGTGTTAGGGTGTAGGTGTTAGGGTGTTAGGGTGTTAGGGTGTTAGGGTGTTAGGGTGTTAGGGTGTTAGGGTGTTAGGGTGTTAGGGTGTTAGGGTGTTAGGGTGTTAGGGTGTTAGGGTGTTAGGTGTTAGGGTGTTAGGGTGTTAGGGTGTTAGGGTGTTAGGGTGTTAGGGTGTTAGGGTGTTAGGGTGTTAGGGTGTTAGGGTGTTAGGGTGTTAGGGTGTTAGGGTGTTAGGGTGTTAGGGTGTTAGGGTGTTAGGGTGTTAGGGTGTTAGGGTGTTAGGGTGTTAGGGTGTTAGGGTGTTAGGGTGTTAGGGTGTTAGGGTGTTAGGGTGTTAGGGTGTTAGGGTGTTAGGGTGTTAGGGTGTTAGGGTGTTAGGGTGTTAGGGTGTTAGGGTTAGGTTTAGGGTGTTAGGGTGTTAGGGTGTTAGGGTGTTAGGGTGTTAGGGTGTTAGGGTGTTAGGGTGTTAGGGTGTTAGGGTGTTAGGGTGTTAGGGTGTTAGGGTGTTAGGGTGTTAGGGTGTTAGGGTGTTAGGGTGTTAGGGTGTTAGGGTGTTAGGGTGTTAGGGTGTTAGGGTGTTAGGGTGTTAGGGTGTTAGGGTGTTAGGGTGTTAGGGTGTTAGGGTGTTAGGGTGTTAGGGTGTTAGGGTGTTAGGGTGTTAGGGTGTTAGGGTGTTAGGGTGTTAGGGTGTTAGGGTGTTAGGGTGTTAGGGTGTTAGGGTGTTAGGGTGTTAGGGTGTTAGGGTGTTAGGGTGTTAGGGTGTTAGGGTGTGTTAGGGTGTTAGGGTGTTAGGGTGTTAGGGTGTTAGGGTGTTAGGGTGTTAGGGTGTTAGGGTGTTAGGGGTGTTAGGGTGTTAGGGTGTTAGGGTGTTAGGGTGTTAGGGTGTTAGGGTGTTAGGGTGTTAGGGTGTTAGGGTGTTAGGGTGTTAGGGTGTTAGGGTGTTAGGGTGTTAGGGTGTTAGGGTGTTAGGGTGGTTAGGGTGTTAGGGTGTTAGGGTGTTAGGGTGTTAGGGTGTTAGGGTGTTAGGGTGTTAGGGTGTTAGGGTGGTAGGTGTTAGGGTGTTAGGGTGTTAGGGTGTTAGGGTGTTAGGGTGTTAGGGTGTTAGGGTGTTAGGGTGTTAGGGTGTTAGGGTGTTAGGGTGTTAGGGTGTTAGGGTGTTAGGGTGTTAGGGTGTTAGGGTGTTGGTTAGGGTGTTAGGGTGTTAGGGTGTTAGGGTGTTAGGGTGTTAGGGTGTTAGGGTGTTAGGGTGTTAGGGTGTTAGGGTGTTAGGGTGTTAGGGTGTAGGGTTAGGGTGTTAGGGTGTTAGGGTGTTAGGGTGTTAGGGTGTTAGGGTGTTAGGGTGTTAGGGTGTTAGGGTGTTAGGGTGTTAGGGGTGTTAGGGTGTTAGGGTGTTAGGGTGTTAGGGTGTTAGGGTGTTAGGGTGTTAGGGTGTTAGGGTGTTAGGGTGTTAGGGTGTTAGGGTGTTAGGGGTGTTAGGGTGTTAGGGTGTTAGGGTGTTAGGGTGTTAGGGGTGTTAGGGTGTTAGGGTGTTAGGGTGTTAGGGTGTTAGGGTGTTAGGGTGTTAGGGTGTTAGGGTGTTAGGGTGTTAGGGTGTTAGGGTGTTAGGGTGTTAGGGTGTTAGGGTGTTAGGGTGTTAGGGTGGGTTAGGGTGTTAGGGTGTTAGGGTGTTAGGGTGTTAGGGTGTTAGGGTGTTAGGGGTGTTAGGGTGTTAGGGTGTTAGGGTGTTAGGGTGTTAGGGTGTTAGGGTGTTAGGGTGTTAGGGTGTTAGGGTGTTAGGGTGTTAGGGTGTTAGGGTGTTAGGGTGTTAGGGTGTTAGGGTGTTGGGTGTTAGGGTGTTAGGGTGTTAGGGTGTTAGGTGTTAGGGTGTTAGGGTGTTAGGGTGTTAGGGTGTTAGGGTAGGGTGTTAGGGTGTTAGGGTGTTAGGGTGTTAGGGTGTTAGGGTGTTAGGGGTGTTAGGGTGTTAGGGTGTTAGGGTGTTAGGGTGTTAGGGTGTTAGGGTGTTAGGGGGTGTTTAGGGTGTTAGGGGTGTTAGGGTGTTAGGGTGTTAGGGTGTTAGGGTGTTAGGGTGTTAGGGTGTTAGGGGTTGGGTGTTAGGGTGGTTAGGGTGTTAGGGTGTTAGGGTGTTAGGGGTGTTAGGGTGTTAGGGTGTTAGGGTGTTAGGGTGTTAGGGTTGTTAGGGTGTTAGGGTGTTAGGGTGTTAGGGTGTTAGGGTGTTAGGGTGTTAGGGTGTTAGGGTGTTAGGGTGTTAGGGTGTTAGGGTGTTAGGGTGTTAGGGTGTTAGGGTGTTAGGGTGTTAGGGTGTTAGGGTGTGTTAGGGTGTTAGGGTGTTAGGGTGTT